AATTTAAATACTTCGTCTACCTTTGCAGAAGGTAGATATTGAAAACACTGCTACATTTAATGGCACCCTATTATCTACTTACTATATAGTTTGTTTGTTTTTTTCAGATGTTTCTGATATAATATAGAGGGTGTTCGGCTGCCTTTTTGCATCGTATTATTAAAATCAGATTACTAAATACAATGAAACCTACCGTCTTTGATAAAACACTTTTATGTACCTATTTGTTCTATGATATTCTACTTATGTGGCCGTCTTATAGATGCTAGATAATGCACATGCTATATATTTTGTGACCATTTACACAGCGATTATTAGATCATGACCAATGGTGTATTGTGTTGGTATATTGGTTAGGTACATGATAATACTATAATGTGTATACTAAAGTTAGATAACTGTAATAATTGTTTATTCGTTACAATATTGTTAAAAACTGGGTATTAGAGAAAACTAAACAATAAAACATTTCAATTGTTGTGGTCATTTTAAGACACTGACTCTAGTATCAAACGCGTGAGAAATAAATTGTATTTCATGACCTAAATGTCATGGAAAGTCGTAGTCTGGAGCATACTGATAACGGCTACTTCAAGCTTGCTTTGTACTTCAGTAAATCATGGCTCCATATTTGTGCTGAGTGCATATGAACGTTCCTCAAACAGTTCTCTAGTGATTTTAAGAGTACTACATAGGCAACAAAAAGTTATGGAGAACCTATTTACTGATATCACAAGTGCTTAATAAGGTATTTCTACTAATATATAGACATAGCAAATGTAGCTTGTATTTTTGTTTACCTTCAATACCCATTTCACCATATACTTGCCCTATTGGTTTCATCCGTATTGGATCTTCACTTAGAGTAATAGATATTGATGAAAAGGCAGCTTCTAATTATATACATGGTTTGTTTTCATTATACTCAGCATTTTTTAACACTATTCTTTAGCATCTATATTTTTGTTGTAAATAACACTTAAGAAACTTTTTAAACTTAGACTACTTAACAATGAAAAGGACTCCAGCATAAAACCTAAGTTAGTATACTAACACTACTCAGGATTTTTGATTAGCTTAACTGATTTTTTACAAATTTAATACTAATGTTACAATGTAGTTCAGGAAACATGATCCAATGCGCTCTGAATTGATCAAGTAAAATGAAGCATTTGTTTGTTGTTAGTTGTCTAGTGTTCACTATTCACAATGGAAGAAAAGGGGAAGAGAATATTAAAAATCTAGCACTGACTGAAGTGACTTTAATACACAATATCCAATATTTCCTGATTTTTCTTTGTTGATTTTATATTATCGCTGTCACAAAATGCCAATATGAATTGAAATGGTCGACGAAGTATCATATACACTCTTCTATCTAGTTATTAGTTTGTTATATAAGCCATAATTGGTTAATTCTATTCGACACATTCTAAATTAATCCAATTTTAATAGATTTGTTTTGAAATTTAATGGATCAACGGTTAATATTTGGAATATAGTTACAACGAGAATAGGGTTTGATACAATGGCTTTAAGATTTAATGTTTTGGCAAACAATCTCCAATGTTTTGGTTGTGGCTTTATGAGCTCCCTCTCATAAAATAATACTTTCTCAACCTTTACTAACCAATTATAATTTATCGTTCCAAATGTCTTGAAAGTACCGGTTAGCAGAACATTTTGTTTTTCGCGTAACATTGAATTCCTTAATATTTACCCTGCCACAGCATTGATCCTATTCGTTGGCTTTTTTTAAAGTCTTTCACCAGTTCCAGTTTGGATTAATATAGCCTCATTTTCTAAACATGGAATTAATGCAATTGACTGGAAAGTACAACAAAACAAATAATAATCTAAGTGTACTGATTATAAACAAACTTTATCCCGGTAGCAATATAGCCTAGAACGTAAGGAATACAATCCATAACCCTGGAATCCGTTCGAGTAAATTAGGTTTGCTAAATTAGAATACTGGTAGAAGATGCTTAAGATGGATAAACAATTAGCTTGAGGAATAGTTTGCCTTCTAATATCGATGATTTTGGCTTATTCGAAGAAGCTAGACCTGTTTGAATGGTTCTCATATACTTGTAGTGTCTTGGGCCTAGCTGCATTATGAAAGCTTTGATACGGGTCAGCTTAGTTGAATCCTGATATAGACACAGCATGACTTCTATACAGAAATCTGCCATCGGTTTATGCTTAGCTTTTACAATAATGATAGTGTGGTGTGCTGCGACATGGTAATATATTTGATTGCCCTTCAAAAGAAGTGAACAATTGAAGTGTTTTTCAAGTATTCCATGCCTGTGATTATCAGGGGAACCTTTCGGTATATATCAATAGGATTTTTGAGAATCCATGTTCAAGGTTATGATCGGAAGGCTATGTCTTTGATGATCATGTTAATTCTAAAATAAATCTTTCACTATACGTTTAAAAGAATGAGAATTAGTACTATTACTTTTTTCAAGACAGTTCTTTTTTGGGAAATCCCAGGACTATAGAATATGGTGGTTGAATATATATCAGAATTGAAATACAAGTTAGAGTAGTCATTTCCTGTAGCAATTAGAATTTGTGGTCTCTGATGTGTGGTCAGTACTGGTATAGCTTGTTATGAACATTGTTGTTACTAGTATTGTATTGTAAACTACTGCAAACTAGCAAAAGTTTGATGGATCTGAATTCTCACAGTATTTGAAAGAGTGTTTTATTTTCATGCCGATATGGGCAAAATTAATATCACGGGATATATTGATGAACATTGCCTTGTTGCAATCTCATATTGGACATATTGGATGAATATTTTTAAGAGACTTGTTGGATTAGCCTGTTAACAATAGTAGATATCTTCAGTAAAAACCTTAAAGTGATAAACAGTATATTACTTTCATGAAATGGATGGATGATAAATAATTCTTTCTATATCTGTTAATCATGATATCAGTAGTTAAATCCGAATTGATTTGTTACAATTTTCATACTTCTGTACAACTTATTGAAATTATACATATTGTTTGTCACTTACATTCAAAACTATAAAAGTATGGTAACATAAAAGTAACTGTCTGGGTTATAAACCTGGTTTGTTTTTGATCAATTTCAAATAAAAAAACATGCCTTAAGTGATATTAACCAATGCAATATTGGTGTGACTCTAAGAAGACATATCTTTGTTGATGGGTAAACCATCTTGCTATTACCATTAATTACTCGTAACTAATGAATGATAAAGAACTCCTATTGAAAATGATTTTTATTTGTTCAAATGTAATATTACTTTGTATTCCATGTGTAAAAATTACACTGGGATTTTAGTAGTCTATGTGCAGCTGAAATAAGCATGTTATATACTTTTGCATAATCCAGGACATAGTATTTTTTATTCACCTTATTAACAGTTGAATCAATTTCAAATTCTCCAATTTGAGATTATGTTTTACTATCTTATACATGGCCGACTGATATCAGATGAGAAGATAGAGTCGGATTATCCAATACCTTTCAAAATAAACATGTAGTAAAATCAACATTGAGACATATCAAAGCCAGATATTCTGGATATCAATATATTGAATGTAAGAGGTCAGGTACTTGAACGTCAGATTGTGCTATAAGAGTAATGCTATTTGCATTTAAAATCTTCTAAAACTGGGGTAATAGCAGAGAATCTACCTTGAGCTATTGAACCATAGAATGTTTTGGCTTCGATAATAGTTCCTGACAAATTTGTTTTTCCATTATTGCCAGTAAACTGCTATTATCTGTGTTTTAACAGTAAGCAGAATAGTTAGCCACTTATTGGTGGTAGCTACTTTGTCTTTATTTCTGTTGAATAATATAGTTACTGAGTTGTTTAGTTTGGTTTACGGTATGGTTCAACTGTCATAAGGCCAAAGCCTCCATCTTAAATTTGCTTTTACTGTCATACATTTATGACATACTATATGTAAATTCATCATTCACAGGTTATAGTTAATAGAACAATAGTAGCAAACAATTTTCTCTCCGTCTATTATACTAGTTTTTAATGAAGTTAAATATCTAGTACACTATATTCAAATAGAAATCCCATGGAAAGTTACAAATGATGTGTAGTGTTTATGGAGCTTTTAATAGATATTTTTGAACATATTGCTTTATAGCAAAACTGTGACAAAATATAAATCAAGCTGTTGCAAGTATTCTTGTTAGTGTAGCAAACTAAGCTTTGTGTTTGGAGAGATACTTCATTAGTCGCAATATGGTCGAGGCCTTTCTAGACACTATTGAACAGTCGCGTCTTTTATGTATAGTTAAATATAAAAAAAAAAAAAGTAGAGAACAATATCATCTATCAATTACTACCTATATTTATTAAGTTTTATGATCCTTTAATAAGTGGACTGTCAATCTAGGCCTCTAACATTTTGATCTTGATTCAAACTGCAGTGTTATGTCTTAAAAACTGTCATACTGAAGAAATGGAGTGCGAAAATTTCTACCAAAATACTGTCATTCTTGAAGAGATAGTAGTTGCTGGTAGTAGTGAGGCCAAATTGAGTTTAATCTACAAACTAGTCCATTCCACAAAATCTCATGATGTACACCTCTTAGGTGAATTTTGTATTTCAATATTTTTCGATATTGATTATTCTTCATTTTTTCGTGCTAGTAGGATAGTTATATCTTCAGCAGGATTAATCCAAACAGTCTAGCCCAATACTTATGACAAGATACTCATATTATAATACTGAATCAACTATAATATACATTTAAACATCAGTCTGTCCAGCAATTGTATAAACAGGCATATTTTACTTAATTTTTGAAAGTTTCATATGTTAGTAGAATTCACAACAATGGCATAAAAATTTATTACTATAAGTAAACGCATTGAATGTTTTTTTCGTCATCAAAATATTAAAACCGTATCTATCTAGAGAACGTTACCTAAAATATAATTAAAACTGCTTGCAGTAGAAAACGAATATTTGATGATATAGATGAAGTAACTAAACAAGAATATTGGCAATTGTAAATATTAAAAGCGCTGGAAATAAAAAGTAACTAACATTGAGACGATATGTTCCACCAAGGTACAAGCTATTCAAAGCATCCGACGCTGTTGGTTGTTGTACTAGTGTAGTGATTTGTAGTGATAAGCGTGGGGTAAAAAAAGCAGAAATAGTGGTGTAAGTATCATGCCGGCTTGTGGCGCTTCTAAAAATGGCATTTAGAGAGCGTGAATGATGCAATGATGAAAAATCGGACAGTAGCTTCGGAGTTGGACTTGGTTGAGGATTCGGTCTTGGACTTGGTTGAGGGTCAGGTCTTGGACTTGGTTGAGGGTCAGGTCTTGGACTTGGTTGAGGGTCAGGTCTTGGACTTGGTTGAGGGTCAGGTCTTGGACTTGGTTGAGGGTCAGGTCTTGGACTTGGTTGAGGGTCAGGTCTTGGACTTGGTTGAGGGTCCGGTCTTGGACTTGGTTGAGGGTCAGGTCTTGGACTTGGTTGAGGGTCAGGTCTTGGACTTGGTTGAGGGTCAGGTCTTGGACTTGGTTGAGGGTCAGGTCTTGGACTTGGTTGAGGGTCAGGTCTTGGACTTGGTTGAGGGTCCGGTCTTGGACTTGGTTGAGGGTCAGGTCTTGGACTTGGACTTGGACTTGGACTTGGACTTGGACTTGGACTTGGACTTGGACTCAGTGATGAAGATGTTTCTATAGTTGAGCTATTCCAGTAAATGTGTGAGCGAGTAGAGCTTTTAGTCTTACTGAAAATTGGTACCATTGTTGAGGATATTAGTTTCGGGGTCGAGACCGACCTCAACTCAAAGGATGAAGAACTAGAGATAATACTTGACTCGATGTAGGAGCTACTGTCAGAGCTTGAAAACGGTGGTGTTTCACTACTATGATTGGTGGTGGTGGTAGTAATATTAAGAATTCGTGGCTCTGGGATATCTCCCGTGGGAGTAGAGGATTTTGGTATAGAACTCGAGTGGTTCGAAACTGTCGATGGCTTGATCACCGAGCTAGGCATCGAACTTGGTATCGAACTTGGCATCGAACTTGGCATCGAACTTGGTATCGAACTTGGTATCGAACTTGGCATCGAACTCGAGTGGTTCGAAACTGTCGATGGCTTGATCACCGAGCTAGGCATCGAACTTGGTATCGAACTTGGTATCGAACTTGGCATCGAACTCGAGTGGTTCGAAACTGTCGATGGCTTGATCACCGAGCTAGGCATCGAACTTGGCATCGAACTTGGTATCGAACTTGGCATCGAACTCGAGTGGTTCGAAACTGTCGATGGCTTGATCACCGAGCTAGGCATCGAACTTGGTATCGAACTTGGCATCGAACTTGGCATCGAACTTGGTATCGAACTTGGTATCGAACTTGGCATCGAACTTGGTATCGAACTTGGTATCGAACTCGAGTGGTTCGAAACTGTCGATGGCTTGATCACCGAGCTAGGCATCGAACTTGGTATCGAACTTGGCATCGAACTTGGTATCGAACTTGGCATCGAACTTGGTATCGAACTTGGCATCGAACTTGGCATCGAACTTGGTATCGAACTTGGCATCGAACTTGGTATCGAACTTGAGATAGTTGATATTACGACGCTTGAGCTGTGAATCAGAGCATGAGAACTACTGGGGACTCGGTGAGAGCTAGATGAATATTCTTGTGATGATGTTGGCAATGATGACGATGATGGTATAGGAGGGAGAGGAGGTGTTGATATACTAACACATTTTTCCGCTAATGGATCAAAGAAAAGACCAGAAGGGCAGTCCAGTCTTTTAGATGATGATGACGATGATGATGACCCATATATAGATTGACTAGAGCTACACGGGATACCGACATAATATATCGTTTTTATAATTGGTAACACTTCTTTCTCAGCTTGGATAGTAATATAATCTGTCTCTAGAACTGTTGATGATTTCACATCTGCACATTCACTTTCATAAGTTATCAGACCTGGGCATCCTTCAGAAGTATCATCAACCGAAAAAAAGTAATCTGAGAAATCTGTTATGCGCTCTGATCCATGTTCTGTTTTAAATGTAAGTCTCATCTGACCGTAGTAATCTCTGTTATTGAAAAAAAGTCTTAATGGATAGTATATCCCTTTATCTAAACGCACAGTAAGTTTGTTACGCACTATTCGCCTTCCCCAAATTGCCCAAGCTACATAGTTTCCAAAAGTATCAGCTGTTGAGTCTCTCCTACAACAGTCAAAAGCATTTCCAGCGCCAAAATTCATGAAGAGTAAATCGTCTGCAGATATATCGAATGTATGCAACCCTGTGACTTTTGGCTTAAAGTAGCCATAAAGAAGCATCGTAAAGTTTGTAGTTGTTATGGGTTCATTATAGTTAAAGTTTGGAGGTAAATAATCGGCTATTGGTGTGCATTGTCTTTTAGGGTGAAAGTTGAAATTGATATCGCCACTAACACCATCAACGCGGGCTATTAATTTGTTTTTTTTGTAACCCACCCTTGGAAAATTCGGATCAAGATAAGCAGGATCCCAGCATGGGTGAGAACCTTTCTTCCGATATGGATATGAATACAGTTCCATTGACAAACCCTTTTTAGGGTTTGTAATTTTTGGTGAACATCCTAATGGATATTTTGATGGATTACTTAAGAAGGAATCAAATATTTGTAGGGAATTATCAGGTTCGAGGATAGCAGCGCAACACCTGAGAAGGAGCAGCAAACAAAAAAGTATATTTGCAGTAAATGTTGTTTTGGAATACATCGCAATTTACTGGTCTCATAAATACCAATTTAAAATCAACACAATAGTAGCTATTGTTCTAACCTCACGCCATCTTCGACTTTGTTAACCATGGTTTAAATTTCTTCTTTTTATCGACATTTATATGTTATCCCTCAAACAATTTTATTTCACCATTATAATACTTTTCTTTTTTCTGTGGTACTTGGCGTTATAGCCACGGATTGTTTAGAGACTTATCAAATGAACTTGAGGAAACAAAAGTAATGCAGATTTGTTATACCAAAGCATGGTTTATCAACAAATTTATTTGAGAATAGCAGAGTAGAACCTGAAATTTTGAACTAGAAGTGCTACCAAGTACTCAGAGAAATGGTCAACAGAGAGAAAGAAGCGTTTACTAAGTCTGTCAATTTCCCATTCTGTATAAGTCGCAGTCTTCTGTATGGATATTAGCTAATTATGGCTTCAAACAATAGGCACATATCATATAGGTTATAAGGAATTTAAGGTTCTGTTACTTGGTCAATATTTTGACTGTGCTTATCATCAAGCACTTATTTCATACAAAGGAATAAGAATGAGACATTGACATCTTCTTATTTCTAAGTCCGATAACATGTTACCAATTCAACTGGAAAATGGCGTGGTTTAGTGACGTATGTCTAACATAAGACATACTCCTTTTTTAATTTATCACAATGTTTTTGAGCTGTATGGAAGAAAGCTTCAAATCGCTGAAAGTTCTTCTTCTCTTGTTTTGTGCTGCTGATTTTATGGTATGTAGTCTTTCATTGATTTTCAGCCCATATAAGAAATTTTCTAATAATTAGAGAGCATTTGTGAGACAAAATCAAAAATGGCATTTATTCATTTTTTTGATGATTTAGGTATTGAACTAGCTTTGGAAAGGTTTTTCTAACACAGTTACCAAAAGCGGTTTGAAGAAAAAGAAATTTTAAGTGCAAAGTGAGCCATGATGGGCCTGTTAGTGCTAGTAGAATTCACATTTTAATCAAACTAGAGCTAAAGAAAATGTTTTGATCTCGTAGCAGTAGGATCAGTTTGAGCAGAACAAAGTATCAATTTTTCATTTCTCACCATATGCATTAGGTAATTTTTTAATGAGCAGAACTCTGCAATTGTCATATAATTACAAAAGGTAGGGTGCATGTATCAAACAAATTAACTGCAAATTATATTACATGAAAATTTATTGTTCTCTTACAAATACAGGGAGTTTGGATGTCATGTTTTCATCATAAAGGTATGTTCCAATTATGACATAACTTTCTCCGCGATTTGTTCCGATAACTTATGGTTTTAAAAACGATAAGTAGTCATATATTTGTACTGTTCGATATTTCTTTCTTTTTATCACTAACGTTGAGCCGCTGGTTTTTACAACTGAAACTCTTTGGTCATTAATTAAAGAGAAATAAAAGTCCAAAGACTGTCGAGCCAAAAATAGAACAACTATAGAGGGTTTACGCCCCTCTTTCATAATGTCGATCCTAATCAACGTTAGTGCCAGCCTCTACAAGACATACGATAAGCTCTACACTTAATCCTGTGCTCTACAATAATTTGCCCTACTTGTTACCATTGGACTCGACTGGGTACCCAGTGACAGGGTTATGATGTAGCGTAGAACTGAAAAGATTCAGCCACAGCAAAAAGGTTCGAGAAATTTCAAACACCCAGTAAAAGATGTCAAAAAGGCTTTTTGATGTCTTATCAAAATTTTAGAATGGTGCGAAAATCACCATTAAATTTCTGCCAAAAAAAAATAAAAGAAAGAAAAGAAAAGAAAAGAAAAGAGTAACACCATTTCTTAACTTCTTGTGGCATTGTATCAACCATATATCGGGCATTTTAGCTTGTGTTCCAATTTCTCTAACAATTAACTTGTAGTTGATTCTAGTACACAAAAAACATTGCCCTAATAGTGTTAGATAAGCTACTTTTATGATAACACAAAAAAAAATTGTTCTTCAAACTGCCGGTTTAGATAAGACGATGTGAATCTAATAATGGATTCATGATCTTGTTGAGAATTAGAATAACTCACATAATTCCAAATGAGACAAATGAATTCGTTGAACGTAAGATATCTGTCGCTTAACATAGTTTCGGCCTTCACGCCACCATCATAAAAAGTCAGGTGATATATATTAGATTCAACTATAGGCCTCTGAGAAACTCCTTTGATATTAATACCCTGATGTTATACCATATAGTTCGCTAATGTGATTGCCTATCATTGAATTATATGCAGTTGGATAATATTCATCTACCATCTCTTTCTATTATCAAGTTGAATTTCGCCTTAACAATTAGCGTTTCGGTGTGAGCAGTTCAGCTGCTGTGAGTGATCTCAAGGATTAGAGAAAAAATTCCTTGCTATTGATTGCTAAATATCGTCTTGGTAGAGCAGTGTAAGTGTTATTCAATAAAAGCCACAGCTATGTTGTAACCATGAAGATTAATGGTTCCTGAAATAACAGTTATGTACCCATAGTTGACTATGTCAGCTTGCCATTCTTATGTTGGACCAGAAAAACCTTGACTTTGTAACATATTTTATCCTAAATATCTTTGATTAAAACCTAGCAAGCAAATTGAGTTACGGTCACAGCAGTCTTCCTTTTTCCCATTAAATGTAGATTTTGATATTTCAGGAGATAGCCTCAATGCTGTCCTCAATAATATCAAATAAAGTTATAATAATTGATAATAATGTTGCTTTAAGGAAAATGATATACTTGGCGATTTTGCTTGCAACGTTAATATAATCAGCAACATTATTTACTTCACTCACTTACCGCTCATTGTCCTGTTTCTAAAAGGGACGTGTAATACTGGATTGTATAATGGCTTGGTCATATATATATATATTCGGGACTCCAAGTATTGTCAGCCATATTATCCGAAAAGCAAAAACGATAGATTCAGCTACATTATTTGTAAGGAAGGAATTCAATACTGTGTGCTGAACGTATAGTTTTAGAACTAAAGAATTTAGTGATTATGCTGGTTTTCATCAGGTCATGTAGCATCCCTGATAAACCTCTAGAAAGATAATAGCATGGCAAATAAATGCAATAGAAGACCCTAGGTAATTGGCCGTAATGGATAGATACAGGGTTGGTATAGGTAGTGTAAATCATCGAGAATGCTAACAGTGAAACAATTGCTACTATTGAATTGTTTAATCACTTTAGGTAATATCAAATCACATTTTATAAATACCGTTGAAAATATGAGACAATGCTCATATTATTCTCCACAGGGTTTTTACGCAAAACATTAAAGGAAAAAGTATTGTTGCCTTCAACAAGTGCAATGAATTATATGTGGGGCCACAAATATTTCGTGAGAGACGTCAACTCCTTATAATTGAAAAAGGGGAGAAATGTAAGCATGTAAGAGATGGTGTTTTGCATTGTTCACAGAAATAGTTTTAGATGGAGACAGTATCAATCAGATAAGGTGCACTGTCTAATTCTTGCATGTATAATCGGAATTTACCAAGAACAGCACAGTAGACCCATTATATCAACAATTTGAACCTGCATTTGCTGTGAAAGATCCTAAGGTTTAAATTCGCGGATTACTGAACAATAAGTAATTGCATCCTTTATCTGGTATTAGTTTAATAATTACTGTGTGTACGATAGTAGAAAAATTGGCTGGAATATCTAAGAGCAAAAAATATCTGAACACAATGCCATATAGGATAATATTCTTATATCACAAAACATGCCGAAATATTCTGATACAGCGCCTATTAGGTCGTTAGTATTTATTTATGAATCGGCTGAGAACTCCCTTACTTACCAAATTTAAATACACAAAAAAAGGAACATATGTAAAAACTGTATTGAAAAAAGCTAAATATATGTATTCGTATTTTTGACTCCAACTTGTTAACTTAGTGCTCTTACATCTTTAGTAGCTACCCCAGGGAGTTACTCGTCTAGAAGTGAAATAATCTGAATATGATACTAAATAAGTATATATTTAATAGATATTGTTTGCTAGATAATATTGACAAAACACTGTTGGGTAAATTGTAATTAGGAAAGGTATCTCTGGAAGTTGTTTGTTCTTACTATGCCTTCTTATGTGCCCTCGTGTATTTGGTATACTAGACTCTATTTAGACGGTCTACTGTCATTTATGTAATTCTACGATACGATAATGCTATTTGGTCTCAACGCACATTTTGAAAAGATGTAAGATTTGTTCTACACAGTTCTCCAAGCATTGACAAGAAATGGAGTAAAGGAAAGTTTGAGGTTTGTGTAATATAAGTTCATGTCGATTTTATTGTTAATCATACCTGCATTGTCCAGATCATTATATTAGGTCAAAATTTTGATTCGTTTGTTAAAAACAACTTGCAAATTCTTATAGGAGTTAAATCTGTATCAGTACAAGGTAGCTGTATTTAATTTTGTAAGATTCGCTTGAGTGTACTAGCTTAGGTTTTATTTTCATCATATAATGACCATCCTAATTTTTCCTAATATAACTTTTAAGGTAATTACAGAATATTTATTGAAACCAAGTATTAAGGAATCAAATTGAAACATGGTTGGTTGGTGGGGACTAGATACTGCCGAATAAAGCTATACAATACCTAAAAAAAAAATGGCCCTGGTATCTCAAGATGTAAGCGAAAGTGGGAAAATGAATATCCATGAAGTCTAAAGTGGTGCCACTTATGTTAAGTCTTACATACATGGAACAATGGATAGTTCGTCTCCAATAGCAAGCATTATATATCTACACAAGTGTGAATTCAAAATCTGTATATGGTAAACATACTTAGTGAGACAATGTACTGGACTTCCGTGAGTTTGTAGTCAGATACCGAACGTAATTGGTCGTTTTTATAGAATGTCTAATAACAGGTCTCCAAAACATACATAGCAATCGTTACTATGAAATATATTTAATAATTCATTTCTTGTTGCAGTATTCGCAATTATCTGAGTTTGATAGTAATTCTCTCTAAAATGTTGCTCCTATTAATTGCAAATGGTGAAAGTATTTGATCGTATTGTCTTCATAATAGTTTATCGCTATTTCAAATGAACATCCCCAAATACCCATATAGTGTGAATTATTGTCCAAGGGCTGGACAAAGTCCAACAGAACTAAAGCACGTTTTGAGTCTCTAACCCTCAAGTTCGAGTACCGTGGGTATGAAAGCGGACGTAAAAAAAAATTCGGAATCGCTATTATTTGATGTAAATTGCAATGAACACCAAACTGAAAACATTTGCCGCGTAATATGATGTCATGAAGTCTTGGCCATTGTTAATATTGACAACCAGAAAGAAGCACATAGGCTTTCCGCAATATATAGCTAGATACGTAGATGTACGGCACCTTCCTAATTGGGAAATGAAGGAATTCTACTGATGTAAGTTGGTTCAAGTGCTATTGTGTACGAGGGGGTTGTTCAGGGCTATTGTGGCGCTGTTGCTATAGACTTAAAAAACGGACACCGTATGCGTCTACTCAGTCAGTATTAAGTGTTTGCCTTACTATCATCTTCTACTCGGACAAGCACGCACAAAGGGTGGTCATAGGCTTGAAGGAGACGTCCATACATTTGGTGAGAATAGAGGTGTTCTTGGTTATACATAACTTATTGATATTAGCTATGACTGTTGCAATTTTCTCTATTTATATGAAGTTGCCATCATGAGCAAGAGTATACCACCAATATGACATGCTGGTTTGGCTTACTGGCATTACCTCCTCATCGAAGTAGGACGGAGAACTGGAAAACCAAACTGTGGTGTGTTTTGAGAAAATGGGGGGGTAGATAATTCGTGTAGAGTGTTATATAAGGCGTAATAGTCGTTTGCACCTAGGCAGTTTCAGAAGCACTGGAACGGCGAGTCATCACCATTACAGAAACAAGGCGAGTCGCCGCATCAGATCACGCGGAATTCACTCCTTTTTTTTCCATTTCGCCCAGATATGCCACACGGAAATCTTCTACGATCGATACCAAAATGCTATATTCCATTCCTTTTCCAGTAAGTAAAGAGAAAAATTGTGTCAAAAACAAAAAAAAAAAAGAACTGAAAGGTACTTGATGAAATATGTGAATTCTGATGTCGCTACAGGAAACTTCTGTAAATCGTGCCAAAACATGGGGGGGAAACGCAAGTTTCACAGTTTTTTTTTGTCTTTTCCTCCATTACTTTCTGTTAGAAAGGTTGGCGGACTCTCATTAGACAGCACAGCAATAGCCGTGGGTCACAGTCCAGCTCCATTCCTACTTCATATCTATTAGCTCCCCCTCCTCCAGGGGCCACTCTACAACTATGATGCAAAGCATTGAGTACCAGAGTGCAGAGTAAACTGTGGAGGAGCCGTGCAAACAACCTCTCAGAACGGGGAAGAGAAGTAGGAATGATGTAGTGCTGCATCCGATCTGGGGAAGCACAGTAATTGATGGAACCCTTTCTGTTTGTGTAAGCTAATAGATGAATTCATACACAGAGATAATCTGTACACCTGAAGCCTAAAGCTATGAAGGCCGCAAGAAAGAATACAATTCAATACTTGAATTGCTCTCAGAAAGTTACGTATCCATTTGTTTTCTGCTGTTTCTGCTTGTTACTGCTGGCAGTTGTCATTGTTCTTTGTTTCTTCAATTTGCACGGCGACGTGCATTTTGTGAACACAGAAAAATGCAACTGTGGGGGATCCGTTCTCGTAGCGCGCGGAGTGGAGGAGTGGAGGAGGGGGGGAGAGTACTAGAGGTCTTAACCTCCTGGCATTTGATTAAGGGTCCAGCAGCTTCTTCCCTGTTGTCTAAGAGTAATCTACGGATCTTGATTTTAGCAGTATCAGGGAAGAGTAAATCAAAAGGAGTGGTCCTTTGTTTCTTTTTCATTTTCTATTCCACGTTCGCACTGTGCTTGTCAGCGTTTCAGCAACCAAATTTTAAGAGAGTCGATGAGTCCATGAAAAGAAAGTACAATTCAAAGCAAAAAAATATTGCGATAGAAGCTTTCCTACAGTGTGTAATAGATTATAGGATGAGCAAAGAGGGACTGTGTTTCCGTACTGTAAAGAAAAAAAAAAAGCAATAGTCAAGAAATAAGTTAGAATGGGGAGGCTATATGGGAGCAAGGACAACCTAACAGTTCTGAAATAAATAATAGATTTTGCGTTACGGTTAATAGATTGATGGCACATCGGAAATCAAATACAGCTCTTGAGCTGTAATGTTTCTTTGGTCCTGTGAGTGTGTGGTCTTTAGTAATGCTATCTTTTTTTTTAATTTGAAAAAATCGGTTAAAGTGGTGGTGTGGGGACGATTTGAGTTAGTGCCACTGGAAATACTGTGGCATTAAGTAATGAACATTCTACTTTTAATAATACTTTTTTCTCTCTAGCTATCTCTCCCATCATTTTTACAATATAATATAAAGGAAGTATATATCTTTAGCGAAATGATAAGATGAGTTTATGTACAATCTTCATGAAGATTTCTAACTTACAAACAAGTCAGTAATAAGATAGAGGTATCATTTCACTAGAAACACACAACCGCTTAACACCAAAGATAAAAACTAACAAAGAAAAAAAAAATTCATATTTTCATTAACACATAATACAGCATGAGTTCGTCTATATCAGACCGGGAGGCTGTTAAAGTCGACTCTGGCAAGCAAGAAATATATGAAGTGAGCAGCTCGCTAGACATCGATGAGTTGAGGTCTGATTTTGATCCGGAGCAAAATATTCGTGAAGATTTGACCAGAGCATTAAGTCCCAGGCACATTAACATGATATCTATTGCAGGCATTATCGGGACAGGTCTATATTTATCTACTGCGAAGTCCTTGCATAATGGTGGTCCAGCTTCGTTGTTTATGAATTATACAATTATAGGTGGTGTAGTATATTTGACTATGTTATGTCTGGGGGAAATGTCGACATTCATGCCTATCAGCGGTTCGTTTTGTTCATATGCACGCAAATTTGGCTCAGAATCCTTCGCATGTGCATTGATGTGGAATTATTGGTTTAATGACGCTGTCTCTGTGGCAAGTGACTTAACTGCATTACAGCTGGTCTTGGATTACTGGCATACCGCTGATCACCATTTCCCATACTGGGGTGCTTCCCTTATATTCTGGTTTTTTGTCTTATTCTTAAACGTTATCCATGTTAGAATTTATGGGGAAGCAGAATATTGGTTAGCTATGTTAAAAGTTATTGCCATTGTTATCTTTTTCATTATGTCTATTATTGTGAACGTTGGTAAGAATCCCCAACATGAGTACATTGGTTTCAAGAATTGGACACATGGCGAGGCTCCTTTTGTTAATGGTTTCAAGGGTTTTGCATCATTATTTGTTAGCGCCTGTTTTGCTTATGGTGGTACTGAATCAATCACTTTAACTGGTGGTGAAGCTAGTAATCCTGTTAGAAATACGCCAAAGATTGTAAAAACTGTCTTCTGGAGAATATTGATATTCTACGTTTTATCCACATTTTTCATTGGTATGAATATTCCATATGACTACCCAGGTTTATCTACTAAATCTGTCATGACTTCTCCTTTTACTCTTGTGTTCCAAATGGCAGGTACTCGTGGGGCTGGTTCCTTTATGAACGCTGTCATTTTAACAAGTGTTATTAGCGCATGTAATCATGCACTATTTGCAGGTAGTAGAATTATGTACAACATGGCTTTGGATGGGTACTTGCCAAAGAAAATTGTTGGACGTACTAATAGATATAAGGCGCCATATGTTGCTGTGTTGATCACTTGGGCTGTCGGTGGTTTGTGCCTGGGTGCCAGTTTTATAGGTGCGGGTACTCTATGGACCTGGTTACAAAACATTGTTGGTGTTTCAAACCAAATTGCATGGTTATGTATTGGTATTACATCAATCAGATTCAGAAAAGGTCTTGAAGTTCAAGGAAAAACCGACTTACTGCAGTTCAAGAACTGGACATATCCCTTTGGTCCTTATTTCCTTGTAATTTTCACTGTTTTCATCATCCTTATTCAAGGTTGGCAAGCATTTGATCCATGGAGCGTTACAGATTTTTTCTCTGTTTATTTGGAGCTCTTCGTTTTTCCATTTGTCTATATTATATGGTGGTTATGGAAGAGAGATTGGTTTGTTAAGTATGAAGATATGGACTTTGTGACTGATAGATATATCCCAACCAAGGAAATTGTGGAACTTAACGAAAGACTAGACAACCTAAAAGGTTGGAAGAAGGTGAGACAAATCTTTAGTGACTACATCGCCTAAAATGCTGACTTTTTTTCTAAACAATATTTCATTACTGTTCTTCTGCACTTGTAATAATAATACGTATAATACATAATTTTTTATCTAGGGCATTAATTTATATGGCATTAAAATATTCCGTTTTCTCATCTCATCTAAAACTTTAAAAATTTATATGACCTTCTTTACCACAAAGATGACGGGAACTATGTAATTGGTTCCATAATAATTTAATGTTGTTCAAAGGTTCTGTCATCGTGAAGATCGTATTGGTGAACTGGAGATAATTTTATGCGTATTGATATCTTTTGTCTTACTAAAAGATAATAGTTATGATATTAATTATGTAGATAAAATCATAAATATGAAAGCTGGATCCCTTGAAATTCACGAATTAGAGATCATCCCACTTCAGCACCTACAAAGATCTCGTAATTAATTAATGTCTGCAACAATTCTTAACCAGTTATCAAGTTCTACTTTACCATATTGGATATCCATCATCCATGATGCTATTTGTTTTGTAAGTGGTCCGCTTTGTTCTCCAGGAATCAAAGGAACATTGATAATAGTGTCTTTCCATCCAATCTCCTTGATAGGGGAAACAATAGCTGCTGTACCACTTCCAAATGCCTCTAATAATTCACCTTTATGAGCCTTTTCTTGGACCTCATGAATAGTGAAATATCTTTCATTAATCTCCCATTCATTAGGATCCAAATACTTTCTAGCAAGAGTTAAGATGGAGTCTCTAGTAACACCTTCCAAAATAGTTCCATCTAATGGCGCAGTGACCAATTCTTTCTTACCGGTTTCCTTACAATTAAATGCAAAAAATGCGTTCATTGTACCAACTTCCGTGACATAGTGCTCCGGACCAAATAACCACAAATTTTGCTGGAAACCCTTAGCGGCAGCCTGCGTCTGGGGTAATACACAAGGAGCATAATTAGCGCCCAGTTTTTTGTCACCGACGCCACCTGGCCATGCTCTTGTTGCATAGTCTGTAGCATCCAAGCGAACTGCCTTAAATCCAGTTTTATAATAAGGGCCAACAGGAGAACAAATGACAAAAAGTAGGGCTCTGTCTGGCTCTTTTACACCAAGGCCTTCAGATGTACCGATCAAAGTGGGTCTAATATAGAGAGAGTATCCCTCACCTTCAGGAATCAAGTGCTTATCTAATTCGATCAGCTTCCCGATCAGTTTGATCAATTCTTCCCCGTCAAATGTTGGCAGGCAAATTCTTGCTGCAGACTTGTTCATTCTTTCCATGTTTTTTTCAGGTCTGAACATTGCAATTTTACCATCCTTTGTTCTGTATGCTTTCATACCTTCAAACAGCTCGAAGGCATAATGGAATACAATTGATGAAGGATCAAGACATAATTTGCCATATGGTTTGATCTCCGGAGCGTCCCAACCATTCTCAGAGGTCCATTCAATGGTCAGCATATGATCGGTAAAAGTCTTACCAAAGACTAGCTGGTCATTTGGCTTTCTTTCACTTGGAGTGGAAACTTTTGTGATCTTCAACCTTGATGCGTCCATATTTTATTTCAAATCTCTATAATCAGTAGAATCCTATACTTTGGTCAATTCTGTTCTGACTTTCAGAGCAATAAGATTGTCTATGATATTTTCTAGAAATGGTTGGTTATCTCTACAGCCCTATAATCAAATCATCTCTTATGTAGAACACATATGTGTCATTATATATAAAAATCGGAGACAAGTCATAGATTAGGAGTTCTTAATTTGTAGTTCATGATTGGTTGAGCATACTAGTAACTGGCTGTTGGCATGTTTAAAAAAGTAGAAAAATGTAGGTAGAATAGAGTTTTGATTTCAAAGAAAACAATAACAAACCTAGGATGGCATAGATAAGATAACAATTACTTTAAAGAGAAAAGTGGCCTCAACATTCCTAGCAGAAAGTTAGTAAAAAATGTTAATAAATCTGTCCCTGTCAAGAACTGTCCAACCGCATGAATGAGGAACGTTCTTTGATGTTCTTGATGATGTCAGAGTCTACAAATGTCACTATCGATTGATCAAGAACTCAAATAGAACTGGAAAAAATATTTCGGATTACAGTGGGATTCCACTTGAAAAAAAAAGCACAAGTATATGTTTTGCAGTGTACTTGTAGAACACTAGGACTATCAACCTATAAATTGGTTATGGCCCGTATTTTACAACAGTAAAGTGGGATGCAACTTGGCAAAGCAAAAGGCTTCAAGCCCTCACGGCTACTACAAATGGGTTTGTAGGTCTTATTTCTCCGCAGTATCCTGCCTGCATTCTCCAATAATTTGGCGATCTGCAAGACTTTACTTTATTCTGATGCTAGGAAGAGCATCGCAAAGGAAATGAATTCAAGACAGCTGAAAATAATCTGTTTGCTGAATTTATTGCTTTGGCGTGGATTCAAGCTACAAGCATTAATTGATACATATTTAAAAAAGAATTATTATGCCCAAGATAATACAATGGGAGGACATTAATGTCCGATTTTTTTGAGCAGCATCTGTATGTGCATATCAAAATTCAAAATTTGAACTGTAACAGCAGAAACACTTCTTTTATCTGATTAGAAGGGATTGATATCTTTGGCTTCAAATGTATTAAGCGGCGTCTACCACATTTTCATCAATGTATCAGAGTGGACTAAATTATTAAAAATGGTAGAGTGATATGGGTAAAAACGGGTTCTACTTTTTTGTGTATAGTCTAGAAAAATTTATAAATAGCATTTTAGGTTAAAATTTTCAGCTGCGGATGCTGTGAGGTGTGGAAAGGTTATGCTTTGTAAGGATACTCAACTGATCTATCCTTTCTTATCCATATTTTCTTTTTTTTTGATGTTGCAATATGTGTCACGAATTTCTCCACACAGTGCTCAGTCTTGAACCTCTTGATAAATACAGGATCCCATAGCTCTGAACCGATACCTAGATCCTTGCAGCACCTCATTAGAGCATTACTCTTGCACCCTTCTGTGGCTGTGGGTATTCCTGTCTCCGAGAAATAATCCTGTTCACCACGTGAAACGCTTACCAACTGGCCGTGGCATACTAATCCGTATTCTCGTGTCACTAGTTTTGATGTTACGATGGTTTGGGACCTGGGCACAAGACCCCAACCACCAGCTCCGAAGGCCCTATTCAATATGCGTCTGTACTTGATCTCTGGGAGATATATCAGCCCGTCGGGTTTGATTTCTATGTCTGTTGGTTCCAAAGGTAACGCGAGTGCTTTTTGTACAGTGGCATCAAACGGTTTACTGCCAAGACCATGCCATGAAGTGTACCAATCGATCGAGCCCATAGAAGTGATACCATTTTCGTTACCATTTGTTGACTCCAGAAACTTCCCGTTAAGTGCCAAAGCTGCTTCTGTTGGCTTGACAGATCTCAGTGGCTTAGCAGTGGTTTGAAACGTGCCAGCCGTCCCACTCGCTATGTTAGAGTTCCACCTCCGGGCCAGGAACAACGCCCTGCTGCCATGCCCACTAAATTTCAAAAGCCTTTGCATCAATATAGGTTGCTTGTAGCGACTAATTTATAGACTATATGCTCCAAACTCAGATTCTTGTTAAGCACTACGAGGGGTTTGTTTTGACTTGATTATATACAGCTTAAACAGTACCACTAGCTGCGATGCGATATAGTACATACGATGGTTCCAAGTTGGCAGGTCTTTTTTTCAGCAGCAGATGAGAAAAAAAGTGTAAAGCAAGATTTCCAGTACACGAACGCACAGTGGTCATGGGAAACGTTTCTGTGAACCAAGAATTGATCGACATCAGGGTCAAGCTGATGGAGAAGGTTACACAAAGTGCGTACGTAGCGCAACGTTGCGTTTCTGAAAATAAATACATCATAAGCACAGTCTAAGAGACATTATACGGATAATTTTTACCATACCATGTAGCATGTATGTAAACGAGCGTTCTCCTCGAAAGAGTATTGCAACCATGCGTTGACATCTTGTCCTCTTGTAAAGTAACCACAAGGACATTGAGTTTCGCTGTTTACCTGTCCTTTGAACTGAATATTTTCCGGGTAAACAGCCTTTTTCTTTGGACCCTTAAATGTATGAAATATTGGCACAATCTTCGCTTTTGGCAGTTGAAGGGAAAAAAGAGAATGAAAGACGGTGAAGGCAGAGGAGTGACTTTGACGGGCAAAAATCCCAATGATTTGCAAAAGTTGCTTCTACTGGACAAGAAAACAAATATAAAGCACAAGATTTTCCAGAAAAGCTTCAGTATTGCTCAATTGGCTTGGTGTTTATTTATGTCTTATCGTGTAGACATTGATTGTGCTTAATAACGCTGTCACTGATTTCACATTTTCAAGTTCCCTTTATATCTACTTTTTTTTTTCACTTTCTTTAGAACTCGACTATAGAGAGCAACTGGAAGACAACAATCAGTTTTGGAAGAAGAAAAACACCAAATAATGGCAGTTACCAAGCGGTCTCCTGGAACTAAGAAATTTGGCTCAAGCGCCTCTAAGGAGTCCTCAGTGGATGTGGACGATGTATCTTTGAAATACAACAAAGGCGTTGCTGCCACAGAGCAACTCGCTCAGAATTGGTTGCTGAACCCTAAACCGGACTCTGATAATAGTTACAGGCTTGGTTTTTACTTAGTCACAGCCATTGCTTTTGCAGTGAGATTCTATAAGATTTACTATCCTCGTGAAGTGGTCTTCGATGAAGTACACTTCGGAAAGTTTGCTTCCTATTATTTGGAGAGGACATTCTTTTTCGATGTTCATCCTCCTTTGGCTAAGATGATGATTGCTTTCATCGGTTGGCTATGTAACTACGACGGCTCCTTCAAGTTTGAAGAAATCGGATTGAGTTACGACAAGCACCCTGCACCTTTCTTAGCGTACCGTTCATTTAATGCTTTACTGGGCACTTTGACTGTATCTATCATGTTTGAATCTATGAAGGAATTGAACTTTAAGGCCATAACCTGCTTCCTTGCATCAATGCTAGTCGCTATTGACAACGCCCATGTAACCGAGACTAGATTGATTTTATTGGATGCCATTTTGTTAATTTCGGTTGCTGCAACTGTTTACTCTTACATTAGATTCTATAAACTACAGTTGAAAGAACCATTTTCTTGGAACTGGTACATTTGGTTGTACTTGACTGGTTTCTCCTTGTCCTGTGTTATCTCGACTAAATATATTGGTGTGATGACGTATGCAGCTATCGGGATTCCTGTGGTGGTTAACTTGTGGCAATTGTTGGATATTAACGCAAAACTTTCAATCAGGATGTTGATCAAACATATAGGTAGAAGATTGAACGGGTTGATTCTTATCCCATTCATTATTTACCTCTTTTGGTTTTACGTCCACTTTGCCATTTTGAATGTTTCGGGACCCGGTGACGTTTTCATGTCTTCTGAGTTTCAAGATACTCTTCATGACTCTGAAGCTACAAAGCTATCTAAAGAAGTTCAATTCTTCGATATCGTTACCTTTGAGAATCAAGACACAGGTGCTTTCCTACATTCGCACCTTGCTCGTTACCCATTACGTTATGAGGATGATAGAGTCTCCTCCCAGGGACAACAGGTTACATGTTATACGCATGAAGACGTTAATAATCAATGGGAAATTCTTCCAGTTGCAGACAAGGCCAAAGGTGATAATATAAGATTTGGTGATGAATTTAGATTGAGACATGTTGGAACTGACTCTTATTTGTTAGCTCATGATGTTGCATCTCCACTTTACCCCACAAATGAGGAAATTACTACAGTTCACAAAGACGATGCCTTGGGAGCAAGAGCAAACTCTACCATTTTTAGATTTCAACCAATTAACAAGAAAGATGAGGGTCATATCATAAAATCAAAAAACGCAGTCTTACGTATAATTCATAAAGAGACTGTCGTAGCTCTATGGTCTCACAATGATGAGCTTCTACCTGATTGGGGTTTCGGACAACAAGAAGTCAATGGTAATAAGAAAATGACGGACTCTGGTAACGCCTGGACAATCGACAGTATCATGAATCTAGATGAAAAGAGAAGTGCTTATGCTCCTAAAGAAATCAAGAGCATGCCTTTCTTTAACAAATGGTTAGAACTACAAAAGTTAATGTTCGAGCAGAATAATAAACTGACGTCTGAGCATCCTTTTGCTTCCCAGCCCGAATCATGGCCCGGAAGTATGTCTGGTGTTTCATTCTGGACTAAAAATGAAGAGAGGCGCCAAATTTACTTCATTGGTAACATTATTGGTTTCTGGTTCCAGGTTATTAGTTTCGCTGTTTATGTAGGAATAATCATTGCTGATCAAATTACAAGACAACGTGGTTACTTTGCCTTGAACAAGGTTACCAGGGAAAAACTATATGGTCCATTAGCGTACCTATTCTGTGGTTGGGCTTGTCATTATTTCCCATTCTTTTTGATGGGTCGTCAGAAGTTTCTGCATCACTATTTGCCAGCACATTTGATTGCAGCACTATTTGCCGCGGGTCTGTGGGAAACCGTTTTTAGTAGATGTAAATCTGACGACCCATACAAAGATGAGGAAAAGCCAGGTGTTAGTTTTGAGAAATACCCAGCTATTTACACTGCTGCTTATATTACATTTAACATCACTGTTCTGGCAGCTTTGGTTTGGTGTTTTGTATTCTTTTCTCCTCTGATTTACGCTACTCCACTAAGTGCTAGAGAAGTAATCAAGAGAAAATGGTTAGATATTTCATTGAGTTTTGCTAAATAAAACAACTGAATTCAGGTTGTCTCCATCTTATATAAATATGGAAACTATATCTCTTTTTAAAATTAATCTTTCTAAAAGTAAAGGGACAAAATATTATGTTCTGAAATTATTAACTGGCTCCTCTAAATGAAAGTTTTCTATGTGCCGTACTTCAAAGGCGTATGTTGTTTTTAGGCTTTGATATATTAAGTATTTAGTTTAGCGTAGGAAATGGAAAACTCCTATGCATTCTATTGATGATTTTCAAGTAATTAGGTTCGTTTTCTGCATTGATATATCCATATCTGATTAGGAATTCAAGCATAATGAGCCCACAGTTTGGCTTGAATTCATTATTAACTAAGGCATCTATGGTTTGCTGTAAATCCAGTAAATTGAAACTGTCGACCTCCCCATCATTAGGTGAGGGTTTCATATTGGAGTCAAATCTCAAATCATATATATATTCTACCTCTCCAACAATAGCGGATGATTCGTTATAGAAGTTATCCCTAATATTTCCTTTTGGAAAGTAAAAGTATGAAACAACACCTCCTGCCCTAATATTCTTTTGAATTGACTCTTTATCAAGATTCGCTTCTTCTATACTCTCTTTATACAGAGTCTCTTCAATACCATAAGGATAACCCAATCCTCCCGCAATTACATTATCTAGAAGATATGGCCAAGTAGGTTTATCTTTTGAGCGTCGTGGAATCCAAAACTTTATCTCTTGGGTGTGTTCATCGAACATGTAACCGTTAACATGTACACCGTATGTAATAATACCTAAAACACCAGAGAGAGCTCTCTCCACCAAAACATATGGCTTCTTACCTACCCACACAGCATATTTTTCATTTCTCCAACCTTTCACTCCTTGCAACTTTGATTTATCTCGTAATTTTAACCCTAACTCATCCAATCTAGTATTTCTGCTATCAAAATCTAAGTTATACTTAAACTGTAGTATATTTTCAGCTTCCTTTATTTCAAACAATTCTAGCAATTCTTCGTTTGCAACCCTTTGTATTTCTTCTAGAATTCCACGATTAACAAATCCGACTTTGACACCGTCATGAGTAGTCATATAGAAAACATTTTTCCTAAATTGCTCATTGAGTTCAAAATCTGAAGGCAATGAATCAACTCTATCAATCACTTCAACAAAACTAAAACCCTCTCTATTATCCTCAGTTGTTCTTACTAGAATTTGCCTCCCAGTAGCGCTATCCGTTTCCACTTTTACCATTATTCCTTGATCTCTCTAAAATCAAATGGATTAATAAAATTGATAATGAAATTAAACAAAAAAAGTCAACCTTTCTAAACAGGATTATTGGCTGCTCTTTATCTGATATAAGACTTAGGTTTTCTTAAATTTCAATAATTATTTGGAGATAGAGACGCATTCCTATATATATTATAATCAAACTATCGCAATGCTTTTAAAAACTCAAAATGTCCTTTTTGCATATGGCCTAAAACGGAAAAATCTTGAATTCCGTTTGAAGACTCTACAGTGGATGTAGATAAGGAATTGAAGTTGTTAAATTATCGTTGTCAGAGTTTAAGCAACACAAGCAGGTATATAAAGAGTTGATCGTGTATATAACTATAATGAGTTTAATAGGTTAGTTGTTTGCCATGAAGGGATACTGTTATCGATTCAGTTTGTGGCAATGGTTATATGGGATTAGTATCCTCAATAGACATATAGGATACTTTCCAACCATTAAACATCTTGAGATTTTCAGGTATCAGTTCATGAATTTTGGTCAGTTGCTGTAAAAAACTATCTAATAGATCATCAGATAATTGTATGTCTTCCATACTAGATGGAGGTCGATCCCACGAATCCTTATATAATAGCTTGTATGCTCTTTGAACAAGTTCATTCCCTGTATAAGCAACGCTACAATCATACGCAAGAACCCAAATAAAAATCGGCTTTTGACCCCCAGTTTTAAGGGCAAAATATCTGGTGGAGTTGAACTTAAGTAAGCTGAGTATTCTTGCCAGCACCACAAGGTAGCCCGGGTAATCTTCCGATAGTTCCTTGAAAGTGTCTTGCAGTTGCAAGTTCTGTTTCTCGAGGACTAGAATTTCGGAACCCTCCTTATACCCAAGCGTAGATCTGCAATTACTACAATCAACACTTCCATCCGTTTGAACAACCACCTTCCTGTCAATAGTTGACCCAATAGTTTGAAAATAAGTATTGCCGACTAAAACTTCATTTAGACGGGGTTTTAACTCTTTATAATAATCGTACGGTTTTGCATCCGTTTTTGACTCTCCTATAGTTGGTTTGTGGCAATGCCAATAATCCATGAATTCTGCCCAGAATTCAGATGGCATCTCTGAGATTTTCTTAATATTTACTTCAGAATCCAAAACTACAAGTTTGCAGTTATTACAGGCTATCTGAAAACCCTGCATTTTCTTAAAACGCTCGATATTCCATTTGTCATCTGGTAAATCCACCAGCGAGATTCTATTTGTCAATGCCTGAGTTTTACGTTTTAGTCTAACATAGCCACAACTTGTTTCACTCAGATGTATGTGCCCATTTTTTTCATCATATAAATTGTCTAAATTCAATCCTTTCAATCTTATAGAGGTTTTATAGCTATCGTTTATAACTCTTAGCTCAAGAGTTGATCTGTTTGTTGATATAGAATAACTAACATTATTCAGAGCTTCAACAGCTATTAACGTGACACCAACATTTTCTAGTTCTTCAACCAGATATTTCATTAGTTTGGTGTAAAAATGGTATTATCTAGCTTGCCATTCCTTAATTAATAATCTATATTTGACCTGATTCCAACGAACTTCTTAACTAATGTTAAGTTTTATCTAAAGGAAGCTCATCGCCTTTTATTATTTTTTTTTTCATTAAAGGGTCTCTTGGTAGAAACGACGCCAAATTTATTAAAAGCTAAATACAGAATAAATTGTAAGCAGAGAGAACAAACAGTCAGTTATTTTGAAACTGCAGCTCAGTCGATCTAATAGGTTAGTTGAACAGATAAGTTACTGGAAAGAGTGATTTGCACTGTGTTCAAGATTGTGTAACTTCATTGATTTGATTGCATTTAGTAGTATTTTGTATTCACACATAATACTACAATGTCTTCCTTCAGCTTCCTGAACCAGTCTCCTGATATTGAGCAATTGGAGGCAGAGGAGCACACTAGGGAGACGCAGATTGAATTATGTTTTCAATTGTTTCAAGATGCACTTGAGCGATTAAAGGACGATAAGTTTGGTGACGCTAACGACTTATTTGAGAAGCTTATGTCACAGGAGGTAATCAAACCAGATAAATGGGGACTTTATGCATATAGTTCTTCAATTGTCGATAATCTAAGGTATCTGGCTTACAGAAACAGAGGATTCTTTTATTATAAATTCCTAATGAATCAATATAGCGAAAGTATGAGCTCAGAAGATGTAGTAGATAATATTCTAAAGATAGTGGAAAACCTTTTGGAGTCATTAAGACATAGTGAGGCAGATTATAATGTGATCGAAGTACTTGTGCAAATATTTGAGAGTTTTAAAAGCAAAAGACTACAAAAATTATTGTTAGAGAACGAGTTTATGAATAATGATTCTCATTTGCTGTTCTCTGGAAGAAAACGAACTAATATTTTACCTCAATTAAAAGTCCTTATATCACAATACATCAATCTCCTAAAAGACTTGCATGCATCCTCAGTATTAGAGAAGAAAATCATTTGCAATGGCCAAGCAAAAAATACTTCACATTTGCCAAGGACCAATGTGAAGTTCAAGAACATTTTGGAGCAACTAAACAAACTGAGAACTGAGGATGATGAACTTATTAAAAGTCTAGATATTCACGATATCGAACTTGATAACTACGATTGGACCTCCCTGTTGAGGTCTTTGCGGGAAACACTACCTACTGTAAAATCATTAGCATTATTTGGAAGGAACTCAGATCCTTATGCCGAAACAGAAACACCAATTGAAGCTGTAAAGGTTATAGTAAAAGAAGAGGTTGTAATTGATAAAATCCATGACAATAGCAACAACGAAAATGAAGTTACAGAAGAAAAGGAAATAACTGATAACAAAGTAGTTACTACAAATGGTAATAATAGAAAGAGAAGTATAACTGAAATAGAAACGAAGCATGCACAGAGGAGTAGTAAGCGCTTTAGAGATCGTGATTCAAGCGCCGCTGATAGCGAGACGCCCATGACATTCGAACCAATGTTTTACTCGTATACGAAAATACTCTCCCTATTGGGGTGCAAGGCTCCTTATGATTATGAAGCCATTTATCCTGATTTGATGGAAGTCAAAGCGAATGATATTATCTATGCTGACTTTCTAGCATGCCTGAAGGAATGGTCGCACTGGCACACCGATTGCCTTTCATCTCAAAATGAAAAAGAAATTAAAACAAAAAAGGTTGAATCCAGCACAGACGTTTCATTGAGCCATTTCAAGACCTTATTGAACTCTAAAAATTTTCAAAAATCTGATGACCATATTCCAGAAATCAGCCAAACCTCTTTAAGAAGGTTTTTGGATAAGGTTAATAGACAGCAATGTCATTTCCACGAATTAAGATTTAAGCTAATTTGGTTCCTTTTCGATAATCAGAATGGAGACCGACTACTAACATCCACGAGATGGACCAAACAGATGTATAGGGATGTCGAATGGATTACATTGAGTATAGAAAAAAACATCTTTTCCTTTATTCAATCTGATATTGCTAAATATAGACATGTTGCTTTATCAATTTTTGAAACATTGATTAATAGCTTAGTGGAGTTATGTGAGGAAATAAACAGCAAGCTATCACTAGGCCAGAAGGCTAATGACCAAAAAACTCAAAAAGTCAAGATTGAAAAAAAAATTACAAAATGGAACTCAATTATTGCTCAGGTGGAAACCACTGATAGAGATTGGACAGTGAGATATTTGTGGGCATACTATACTCTTATTCAGTGTACATCTGATATTCAAAATTGTCTATTATCTAACATTCTGGAAAAAGTCCACCAAATTTTGATGAAGGACAACTCAAGTACGGTATATCTATATCCAAATGCTGATTTTATTTCAAGTTTTGATTTGTCTTTCGTAGATACACAATTGAAGAAATTGAAAATGATAAAAAAACTGGTTAACGTTGATAAACACTCAGAGTCAGATAAGAGTGAGGATAATAACTCCCAATTTATAATGTTGGAGAACGTACTTTTATCAACAATATCAGAAAATCATGCAGTTGGAGGAGATGATGATGATATGATAGATTTTTTTATGTCGGCCCCATTTATGCTTAAGTTCAAGCTATGGGAATTAATTTACATGAAATACGTAAAAAAAAATGATATTGAGAAGACAACACTAATATATGGGATTATGCTAAAACTGTTAGTTGATACTCTTGAATGCAAAACTTATCGGACCTTGGGACCCAAAAAAAGACAGGAGCGTCTTCTCATAATGATGTCATGTTTGAAAGATATAACCCATAACTGTATTGAAGTTTTGAAAAACAATGCTTGGCTTCAAAAAAAGCTGTCTTGGTATGATGATACTACTTCCCAACTTGTATTTATTTTTTTTATTTTGTTTCCAATGCTTCCAGTTAATACCCCTAACAAACTTAGCGGCACGCAAACATTTTTTCAAAAGGCTACAAAATCTTCTAAAACAATTAAATCAATATTTGTTGATATACTAACTCTTTTGTTGTTTCATCTCAATATTGGTTTAAAGAGTAAGATTTCATCAGAGCCTGAACTAGAAAACAGTATTATTGATTTGGTGTCAACTACTCACATATCAATTTCTTTCTATAATTTTTGTGATTATGCTTCTGGGAACTTTTTACAAATTGCAGAGAACTTGATCTGTCAATTCACTAACGAGGAGGCGTTTACTCAATTAAAACAAATTATGTGGTGTAAATATCACTACCAATTATCAGGGGATTCTTCAATTGTGAGTCAACATAAGACTAAGGCAATGGAGATGTCTAAAATGGTCTCTTTGCCCCTGGGTATATATTTGGTTAAATTGCAATATCAAGATAAACACCCCTATATCAATAGCGCCAAAATAGCTTCAAAGCAAATTTTGGATAATATTGTTGAAACTTTTGGAGATTTATCATCCCAAGATAATTACATTATCATGAGGAACTTGCATGCATTTAATGGATATTTGAGAAGCAATATAACATCTAAACTTTTTCAGTCATGTTTTGAAGGCAAAGATAAGGTTGATTTAAAAAATCCAAATGATGAATTTCAAAAAGCAATGGATGCAGGGGTATTTTACGTATCTGGTATACAGGCTTTAAACCTCTATAAAATAAGAAAACGGTCAGTCCAAGCCAGGCCATCAGAGCTTGATGCAATTATAACTATGTTCAAAAATGATATCTTATACAATACCAAAAGGTTTGAGAGTTGGTACTTACTTGGAAAATGTTACAGTTACATAGTGGAGGATGACTTATTATGGACAGCAGATAAAATATCATCTTCAGAGAAGAAAGCTGTTATAGCAACCACACAGAAAAGAGCAATACTTTGCTACGCGATGTCTCTAACACTGTTTTTTGAAAATGAAACCACACGAACCGTTGATGAGCAGATAGTTATTGTAGAATGCCTTGAATCTTTGGCTAACGAGCTAATGATTGCAGTATACAAGCCAATGGAGGCTTTGTGCTTTGACACTAATCTATCGAGCTTAGTTGTTTCGTCAAGTAACCCGGCAACTAGTTCTGAAATTGAAAAATCATCAGTCGCACCCATATATTCTATTACTGATAGTTCAATTGAAGATACAATGATTAAGTGTTTGACACTCGCAAATAGATATCAAGAAAGCCTTCTTGAAGCAGGGAAATTGGATCGTTTGAATTGGTTCAACTTCTATTCTATAGCCATCGTTTATTCTACAGAGAAGTTGGATAGAAAAGGGGATATGATTGATAACATGTCAAAGGCATGTGAACTGGCTAATAAGTATACCTCTGTGAAAGATTCGGTTGTGGAACCTCATGTGGCCTTGATTCATATGCTTTACAAACTTTATATTGAAGGGAAAGTAACTATGGAAGATACTCTCTCAACTCTTAAAAGGGACAAATTCTTTGAAGGTTTTGATGATGACTTTTGGATCCTAGATGTTTCTCTGACTCAAGACTATCAAAAACGTGAATTTTTCTCGAAACTGATTGAGTTGCTAAAATATGTCATATCGAAGGATAAGAAAAAATGGCAGCACGAACCATATTTTTATATTGCTGAGATTTTATTTATGGAGATGAAAGACGTAGAGAAATCTAGGGAATGGATGGATAATATTATATCCATTAGATCAGTCAACAAAAATTTGGTTAATATTTGGAAACCAGATTATGAACGGCCAGGGAAGCACTTTGTTTTTACCCACAATTACGTGATGTTCTACTTAGAGTTACTGAAATATGACAAGGATGCCCAATCGATAGGTCTATTAACCAAGAAGTTAAGGAGGTTTAGTTCCGGTATGGCTTATATCGGTAAAGCAAATGATGTTGCTACGTCGTACTTCATTGAGTGTGTTACCAAGAAGTATTTGCTTCATGATAAAGTTTATACAGAGTCCTATATGGGCAACATCAACTATAATGACTTTGTGAAATATAGTCAGGAGATTGTTGATAATTCAAAAGCAGCAGATATCGCTGAAGACATTTTAGAGGTACTGAAAATTGCATACCAACTTAAGAAGGGCACCAATAGTGTGGTCTATGACACTGTATGTTTGTCATTGTTTTTCCAGTATATCTACGAGCCATATAGGAAAGAACATCCCGAGACAGAGCCTCAATTGGTGTCAGACTCCGAAAACAAGTCTAACATCAGAAAGAAAGTAAGTAAGAAGGATGCATTCGACAAAATTAGAGCATTGGTTGATAAGTTGCCATGAGTTACGAAAACTTAGCTTGGGATCCATATCACCCATAATAAATTGTTAGAGTTGCCTTACTTCCGTCATGCTTAGGGACAGTATTGCATACATCTCAATTGTTATATAATTATATGTAATTTCAAAAGTACGAAGAAGCATTTGGTTTAGAACATGTAAATAGCTCTGGTAATTGGCAATAATGTATTTATCTTTTGGTGTCAAATATAATTTCTATACTACATATATGCTCTGTTTTTACAACGAACGATGATTAAGTCATCCACACTTACTCTGTCTGTTCTACACTACTAAGTCTGTCCGAATTGTTACTTCCTTTGTAGCACATATTCTGAAATGTCTGTTTACTTGCAACAGAATATCATGGCTCCAGCCACAGATGTGTTTTGGGCAACTGGTTCTTGCTTTTGAGGGCGTTCGGCTTATAATTCACAGTTTGCTGTGGTGAAGATGATAATTGAATTTCGAGGTTTGCAGCAGAAAAAGTAATCGGAATATCACACATAGATGAAAAAGTAGCCAAAAGGGCATGGAATTTTACACAATGACTGAAAAGACTTCTAGGAGTCAACCCGATGACGAAACTTTTTTCACCTGGCCGTTCATCTCTTTCCAATGTGATCTCATCTCTAACCTCGGTTCTTTCAAATTCATTTACAATTGGTTTTGTACTCATATAAATGTAAAGTCAGATGTTTTTATACAAAAGTTAATTCAATTCAATAAACTAAACTCTTCTCTCATTAACGTACATTTCTAACTTTGAGAAACTGCTAGATACAAATTAAATAAAGAAACAATGTCTAACAAGAGTGTTAATGTTGCTATTATCGGTACTGGTGTTGTTGGTTCCTCTTTCTTGGACCAAATCGTGGCTATGAAGTCCAACATCACCTACAATATCATATATGTTGCAGAATTGAGCAAGGCTTTGATATCTGAAGACTACAGCCCATTGGCATTGGGTTCTGACTGGGCTAAGGCTGTTAACGGTGCAAACCAGGGCCCTCTTGCTCTGGAGAAACTGGTTGATTTCTTGAAAAAGTCTCCAATTCCTGTCATTTTGGTTGATAACACATCCAGTGCTGCCATTGCAAGCTTCTATCCCACCTTTGTAGAGAATGGTATCTCTATTGCCACTCCAAACAAGAAAGCTTTCTCTTCCGATCTAGCTACTTGGGATTCTCTATTCTCAGGTAAGCCAACTAACGGTTTGGTGTACCATGAAGCCACTGTCGGTGCTGGTCTTCCTATTTTGGGCTTCTTGAGAGAAATTATTCAAACTGGTGACGAAATTGAAAAGATTGAAGGTATCTTTTCCGGTACTTTGTCGTACATTTTCAATGAATTTTCCACAACCACTACAAATGATGTTAAGTTCTCTGATGTTGTTAAAGTGGCTAAACAGTTGGGTTACACCGAACCTGATCCAAGAGACGATTTGAACGGTCTAGACGTTGCCAGAAAAGTCACCATCGTTGCTAGAATTTCTGGTGTTAAAGTTGAATCTCCAACTTCTTTCCCAGTTCAATCTCTAATCCCAAAGCCATTGGAATCTGTAGAATCTGTGGATGAATTTCTTCAAAAATTGCCAGAGTACGACGATGAACTAACTCAATTGAAGAAAGAGGCTGCCGAGGAAAACAAGGTTTTGAGATTCATTGGTAAAGTCGATGTGGCTACTGGTAAGCCATCTGTTGGTATTGAAAAGTATGACCACTCACACCCATTTGCTTCATTAAAGGGTTCTGATAATGTTATTTCTATTAAGACTAAACGTTACACTAACCCAGTTGTTATTCAAGGTGCTGGTGCTGGTGCTGCCGTTACTGCTGCGGGTATTTTGGGTGATGTTATTAAGGCTGCTCAAAGACTGGTCGGTGCATAAGCTCCTTCAAAAATTCTATCATAAAAGGAAGCTTATCTACGTATAAGAACTAAATAGCTAACATTAGAACCCTTTACATCAGTTTTCTTTTTTTTTTTTTGAACTATTCATTTCTTGTATTAGACTAATTCAACAAGCTCTTTCCATTAATGTCTTGTTAAATCTTTTTTGAATTTTTGAGCGCTTATGTGAGTGCAGCGGTAGAAATGGGAGACAGAAAAATAATCATCTTGAAAATCATTCTGATTACGCCATTTATTATATTTAGTGTATAAATTCTATTATGATTATGTTTTACAGAGACACAATGAGTAGGATCTACTAAGACTTAGGGAGTAATAGTGAATATTATCATTAGGAGTATGTCTTAAAATCTATAAATATTTAGTGACTGTTAAATATGCGGGTAAAATTGATATGTCTAATGGAAGGGGAATCGGGATGCAATTTCAGTGGGGGGGATAAATCTAAGGCCAGTGCTTTCAGTCTTCGACAGTTTTGTTACTCAACCATTTTTCTTTTGCGTCAAGGAAGACGGCGCGTAATTTGGCATAGCTGTAACAAGTCCTTGAAAATTCTATCACAACTTTTCTGGAGTCTACTGTAAAAGTGGGGCTGGAGCGTGTCTTACTGATAACGTTAGCTCTGTTTACTCTTGACATGTAGACATTATTTGGAGCCAGGAAGATATTACCATTTTCTCTCATTTCGGCGATGTATGCTCCGGTCGTGTGAATGTATTGCGCATATTTGAATTGGGGTTTACCCCACGAGTACATTATTTCAAAGTCAGCGTCATCTCTTTGAAAGAATCTAGAGGCTCTGTTATCAAGTAAGAACCCAGACATTTTCAAAAGATGAATATGATAATAGAATTTACTCACGGCGAAAAGTTCTGGGTCATTGAACTCTGGATCCTCCCAAGGATTGATAACCAGATGTAATTGTACAAAAGTATGGAATGGGTCCACAGATGGAATCGTGCAGAGTTCATTCCATGGGATCTCTATTAGCTTTAAACCGTATTTCTCACAGATTCTTGCCCAATTTCCAAGCATATTATCGATTAGTTTTGGAGTAGTTGTCAGCCATTCTAGTCTGATATGGAAACAATGTTCAGGGTTATGAACTCTATCAAAGTGGACTGTGCATAGCTCCTCTTTATATGACTTTGAGCTAGGGTCAACATTGATGAGCATTGAGTTACTTAGAACCACGGTTTTCTTTTCTTTATAAGAGTTGGCAGAAGTTGTATTCGCAAGTTGAGTTGAGTCATCATCCATGGTGGATACTTTATTTCTCATACTTAGTGGAGTCAGATTCGATTCAGTTGAATTACGAGATGTTGTCTTCTTCAAAGTATTGTTATCAGATGTGTTTGAGTTTTTGCTATTAGTTCTCTCAACCGTATTCATGTTGATAATGAATTCTGGTGATATCTGATAAAAATAATTACCATCCAAAAAACTATGTTTATCCAAGACATGAATGAACAGTCCGTCATTCATCAATTTTTGGCCATAGCTTATTGCCGTTGATCTTGTATCAATATCTGAGAAGTTACGTATCAACCAGTTCACCATTTCAGACCCAACAAAACAGTTAGCATGTCTTTTCCAATGCCATTTCCTTGTTACTAAGTTAAGTTTGTTTTCACCCATCTGTAACTCTTGTGCAAGGTTTTTCAAGTCAATGTTCTTATTCAATTTTTTTGTAACATCACCAAAAATTGAATCCTTGAAATTTAAAGTCGAGCTATCAAGTTGAGCTTGTTGTTCATTCAAGAAATCAAATAGTGATCCTGTATAGAAAATTACCTCTGGTTGTATCTCCGTTTTTCTATCCTTCTGAATCTTGGATTCTTCAACAGATAAAAGCTTAAGCCTAGTTATTGATGCGATTAGTTTCCTCAATCCCTCTACTCTAATTTCCTCAGTTGTAAGTGTCTCATTTTTGCCGTTAACAACCATGGAAAAAGTATTTGACGGGATTTCTGCAGGCAATATAACATACTTTGATCTGAATCCGTGCCATTCATCGTAGAGATATGGATCAGAGTAACCTGCCAATAGTTGATCTAACAAATTCCAATTAAACTCCGATCTCTTCGTGTGGATGGGATCAACATCAGTCTTTCTATAGTTACTGTCGTATCTGGTTTTAACAAAAGAAGTGTAACTAGGTACCTGATCAAAGACATTACGCTCACTTTTTTCTATGTACCTTTCGACATTAATAGTTCCACTGTTGTCATAATGTAACCTATGAATCTCAGAGCCCATTAACATATATATTTTGAAAGTGCCTGTCAGATCGCCTCTCAGGTATTTATGAATAGCAAAAACATCTCGATCTCCTTTACGAGCCGATTCCACTTCTTCGATGGTGCTACTGGTACAAATTTGGAAGCCAACCAGTAATCTCAGGTATATCATATTACGTAAAAGGTCCTTCGTGGTCAATTTATATTGTTCTTGCTCCCAGTTTTGAGTAACAGAGTGATTTCTCAGCATGAAATTATTCTCTAGCTCGTATTTAGATGGAAAACGTTTCAAAGTGATTGGAAGCTCAGCAGGAGAAGTAAAGGATTTCCATTTGCTGTATTTTCGAAAAACATTTTTAGGCCATACGTCTCTCCATCTCGTAGGTAACAAGTCATCGCCAAGAAAACTATATGATGGTATTGAGTCTTCTAAGATTTCAATCCAATCATCCATGCTATCAAACTTGATGAAACGGCTATGGTTTGATACCGAATTTTTTGTACTGGAGGTAAAATGAGGGCTTGCTGTGAATTGTTTTCTATTTATAGTATTTCTCGTTCCAAGCAAATTCTGTTTTGTTTCAGAATTGACATTTTCATTTGAAGATAAATTGTTTATGTCAGACTTGAAGATCTTAACTCCAAGTTGTGGTCTTGGAATAGGTTTCAATATGCTCGTAAAAGAATCTTTATTGTTCAATCTATGTTGGTTGTCACCGCTCACATCTCCATCTGCTACAGAGGATGGGTAAACAGCGAAATCGTTATTATTGTTTGTCTTTCCATCGGTATCATCACTTATTAAAACGGCATCTTCAGTTATTGCACTTGAGTTTATTCCATCAGAATTAAAGTTGCTTTGTTTAGTGGTAGCCAGAAATTTCGTGAATATTCTTTGAGTAAAATCTTTGATGGATGATTTCTTAGTAACATCTTTCAGTGTATCTGCAGCTGAAACATTTCTTCTTTCGTCAGTTCCTCCTCCACGTTCAGGTAACTTCGAATTCTCGTTCAACTCATTGTCATTGGATTGGCTTTCGAAACGGGTACGATATAGATTACCCGTTACCAAAGGAGTTTGTGGCTCATCGATAATCGGCGTCAAATATTTTGTATTTTTGATTAATAGGTTTTTGCTATTTCCTGTTAATCCATTATCAGTTTGTATATCAAAGTATTGCTGTTGAAATACAGGATTTGTTAGCTTTTTCATATTTTCGGGAGTTTTCTTAATCATAGCACTGGGATGGAATGTTGTCTTCGGCTTAAATTGTTTTTCAAAGGTAGATTTATCAGATAGGTCATATGGCGGGTTATTTCTAGATGAATTACTAATTTTCCCTACAAATTGAGGATCTTTGATTATTGTATCGCCCTTTCGTGATCGAATTGAATTGTTTTCTTCACTATTAGTCCTTTGAGATTTTGTCAGAGTATTTCTTGACGTGGAGGATTTATGGATGGTAGTTGTTTTATCATTGATTTTTTTTAGTTCTTTAAGATCTTCCTCGTCAGGATCGGAAGAAATGTTTTCCGCTTTGAAATTAGCAGTAGATATGGGCAAAAAAATATCTCTGTCATAGTCTTTGAGGAATGTTTGTAAATCATTAATATCATCAGAAGGGTTTAAATAATCTAGTTCTAGTTCTTGAACCAATTCTGTATCTGTCAAACCCATCATCTGTAGATCATAAATTTGGCATCTTGGAGTCCACTTATTGGTATCCTTCGTTTTATCATTCCAGAAAAAAATATTCAGCCAAGGCGGTATGCAATGATGTAGCTTATTTTCATAATCAATGTATCGAAATAGTGGTACGACATGTAAAGGAGGGTTAGAAAGACAAATCAAATCCATCGTTAGTTCTAGAGATAATAATTTTTTACAAGATAGTTGTAACAGATCGTAATCGACATCATATAAACCTTTTCCCGGACTGATAATCATCACATGGGTGGACGTATGTCTGAGATCAAGCTGTCTGAAGGGATCAACTATTGTAGTCGCAGCAAAATTGATTAGTTCAAGGATATTTGATTTGATCACAGGAGCAAATCTGCCCTTAATAACCGAAAGTTCATTATCCTTTTTATCATCAGATTTACGAGACAATAATTCTCTTGTGATTTCCATAAATTCTTTTCTCAGACTTTCCATGATTTCAACCCAATATATAACACTAACTTGATCTACAACGATTCTGTAATAATCTGTTGTGTTCTTGATTCTTTGGCCAGGTTTTAAATCCTTGTAAGAAGATGTAGACATGTCCATTGATATTGCAAACGCGATGGTTATGCTATGATGGGTCTCAATATCCTTCCACTTGTTGAAGATTTTGGGGAAAAAGGAGTTGATCATTTTTTGAAACATTTGTTCGCCAGATTCATCGAAACTCCACATTTCATTAGTAATTTGTATAATAAACAAAAGCCGTGATGACTCGGATCTGAAAACGATCTTAGTATTGTCATTTATGTATCCCGATAGTACTTTCTTACCATTTTTATAGATTCCGTTGACAGTGGTTCTGATAGAATCTAAAAACATAATTCGTTGTCCGGTGAAAACACAAGTATCTACCAATTCAGAAGACATGCACCACATATCACCTCTATTCACAAGAATATCTTTTATATGCAGTTCTATCAAATCGGCAGCAGTGTCTTCTTTTCTCTTGGGTTTAATCCATACACGGGATCTTGGTGGTAAGTCTAGGAGTAATTGTAATTGACCCAAAGCCACTGAGATATTTCCAAACTTGTGACATCTTTTCCTGGTTTCTTCATCAAAATCATGGGCAATGAAATATAATTTTTTGTCTCTAGAGTTTTTATTGCTTCTTGCAGAAGTAGATTTACGTTTACGATATGTCCTCAGTTCGCAAAGTTGTCCTTCTTTAATATGGGGTAGTTTCTTTAAATCTAGCATGACCAATTTTTCAGACACTCTAGATTCGTGGTATACCAGGTCTAATTGTAATGTCCTGTTTATTTCTACGTTTGCTACAGCATTAGATGAAATTGATTGGGGTTGATTATTCGAACGTGGGTCTGTATCTACCAGTAAAGATGAGGTATAGTGACTATCGTCTTGTGGTTCTACTTGAACAGGTTTGTTTCCATTATTGATTTCTTTATAACTAGTAGTAATTGTTGGTAGTCTTTGTAATCTCGATTTAACGGAATTTGCGTCATGAGAAACTGTTGTTGTGGAGTCAATACCAGCAGAGCGACCAAATCCAGCTGTCATTAGATTTGTATCTATACCACTCTGCAATGATTGTCCACTGATGGTTTGTATCTCATTCTGGGATGATGCGATGGGTGCTTTCCCGACTATAGCTACACCAGCATTTAATACCAACGTATTAGCATTTGTTGTATTGGATGCAGTTCCTCTTGAACGTCCTGACGATATAGTTAGTTTATATATATTTTCATTCTCAGTCTTATTCTTATTCTTATTCTTATTCTTATTTTTAATACTGGGACTGTCATTGTGATTGGTATTAGTACTAGTACTGGTGCCACCTGCACCAAGACTTAATTCATTAACATCTTTTCTACTATTGATACTATCATCGTTAGATCTCTTATTAGACTGGTTTTTGCTCCGTAAAGCCGAAAACATCTGAAGATAATAAAAAAATTTAGGGAAGTAAAACAATAGGAAACAATTGAAAAACAACACAGACTAAGAAAGAAAAAAAATTAAGAAAAAAAAAAAAAGGGAAGAAAACTTTTTCCCTAACTCTTCAGTCTGGATCAATTAGGAACAAAAAAAACCTCGATTTCGTAAGCCCTTTATATACTTTTATTTTTCCCTAGTTGATTCTTCTTTGCTAATAATTTCAAAAAAAAAAAAAAAGAAAAGAAATAAAAGTTAAGTTAAAGCGCCACAAAAACCCTATATTTAGCAGAAATAGTTTACGGATGTGAGGGTGGAGAATTAGATGCAGGTCACAGGCCACAGATAGCTATGCAGAAACTTATCAGCGGCTATATAGATAAAAAAAGAAGAAAAGAGTCGCTCACCCTTTTTTTTGTATTTTCTTTTTTTAGTGTTTTTGTGTCAAGATCTGGAAAAGCCACGAAATAAGCAGTTAATCTTTGGATAAAGACAGGTTGCTCGAAGACTAAACACAGATCTCCTCGTAGACAAACAGTGGCTAGCGAGTTAATGAAATTATTTGTTCGGCGGCTATTACCGAGGTGTAGGGGGGCTCCGGCTCCGGATATTTCTTTCTCTTACCGTGGGGTTGCTATAAATTCCTCCTTAATTTTGTCCGCGCTTTTATATCCGCCTCGTCTACTGCTTTGTCTGTGTATTTCTAGTTTTAGTTTTCCTATTGCAGAGAAATATCAGTGGAAGTGGAACTTGAAGTTGGGGCAAGGGTGGAGCCTTCTTTTCCAAACTTTAGTGAGGTCTTCCTGCGGTGAATTGTAAGAAAGATTAATAGAAATCCAACTATCGATATGAGTTGGTATCGGCGGCTATAACTGAAAAAACCGGTCCGAGCTTTGTTAAGCACACACGAATATCTGCAGATTTTCTTTCTTTTAATCTATCAATTTAAATTTTCACACACTTCTGAAGGTGGGAATCTAGTACAGACCCTTTGTGTTCTCTAAAGATATTTGGCTCTTGAAGTTCCTTATTCAGTTGTATGAAGTGTTTTGATGATGGCTCCAATACGGACCTACCGCTATTTCTTTACTCTTTTTTCGTTTCGATCAGATTGGAAACTCCAGTAGTTCAAGAACGTTTATACAATTGTCGAGTCTTCGGCACGTGATATAGTTCTCTCTAAATGTATTGGCTCCTGCTTTTCAAAAGTTAGTTCAGCGGTTTATCAACATCCAAAAAATTTAGGTGGTCAGTGGTTACCTTATATTGAAACCAAACTATTGAAGAATGCTTATGACACTTGAATCAATCGCGTTTGTATCCATGTGCTATACTCTCTACTCTAACTACCAGATCCCAGCAAGTAGACAAAAAGATTGTTTATGCCGGTTCCTTGCGCATCAAACATCAACATCATCATCATCATCATCATCGTATCACAAAATTCGTGATGACTTCGGGGGGAAGTGGGAGCAGGGGTGGGGGGAAGTGGGAGCAGGGGGGCATACCTTAAGGAAAGCCCGGGTAACCAAGATCAAATTAAAAAAAAAAGAAAAAAAACAGTACTACTCATTCCGTACAAAACACCTTCGAAGTCGGAAAGGGAAAGAAGAAATAATTATCATGTGATCAAGATAGACACGATGTACGTATTTGGCCACGTGTCGGATTTGTATATAACCATTCACGTATTATTATTTCTATGGCAGCTGGTTTCATCCAGCTAATATGAAGCGAGGAGGACGTCATTGACTATTTGGAAAACGCCAAATCACGTGTTTTTGCTCAATGATGTTTCTTAAGAAATACAGCAAGAGGTTAGATTGGATTTTCTATTAGTGCGCGTTTTTCTATACCGACCAGAATGTGTTCTTTTGAAAACACCGATGTCCACAAGAGAAATTGAGTGGGTGGATAAGTGGAAAGATACAGCCCTGTAAGAAGGGCAGAAGCAAAAACTGTGGATCTATCCATTTTCCTCAAATAAAGCAGCACAAGCTCAGATTGTCCTGTAGGTGAACTGATACCGGAGATTATTTTGCTGCTTCTCTACTGCTCTACTGCCTGTAGATGAATAATATCATGTGAGTAAGAACCACTTATTGGCTCAGATTGTACAGGGAAGAGGCATCAACAATAAGATCATGTGATTTTAGGCCTAGCTAGCACTCAATCTCGCTCTCCACGTGATTTTCTTGTTATGTTTTGTTTGTTATTTTTGGTTCCAATCCTTTTCTATACGGGCCATATTAGGCAGAATTCATGAGAGGTGAGCCCACTCCAATACAAGGATATGCTCCCACTCCCACGTCTGTAACATTGAAACATGAGGGGAAAGGTACGGTAAGTCCGCTGCCTTCTGAGTCGATGTGATCTCAGATACGTCCCAGACCAGAAGCAGACTCTTAATTGTGAAGTATCAGAATTCTTTTAAAAAAAACCGAACTCGCATTTTTGGTGGAACCAAAAGTTACGTTAGAAATGGCTTGATCCCTATCCCCTCGATGTGGAAGTCTTTGTTGTGAAGATGATTTGAATCACATTCGAGCCACACTTCAACAATATAGCCTGATGTTTGAGTAAAGTGGTAACCGGTCAATTCATTCATTTCACGATGACTATTATTTGTCATTACATTGGAGCTGTCGAGTGCTTAAAAAAAGGTGATCATAGATTCATATGCGTTATTCCATGTGTGTGTGTTCTCAGTGAATTATATGTGTAAGTAAAGTGATCAATATGTGTGGTAGAGTGTGATTGGGCCCGTATGTGATTGCATGCGTTAATGTAAAGGTGGAGGAACATAACAGAAATTATATTTGTGGATTGAATTTCAGCTGTGTATGGAAGTACCATGATAGTATGGCTGTCAAATTCATCACAAAAAAAAAAATGATGGTCATTGGAATTTAGAAAGAAGATGACTTTTTTCCATTGATATATAAACCAACGGTTGTTAGAGAAAGTAGTATTCTGCCAAGTCAAGTCTCTTCTAGTAGCTGACCTTGTACTTACTTCAAAGTTTCTTAGCCTTTCAACTGAGCTAAAATAATAAGTCCTAAAATTAGATCAAACAGGCATTGTGAATTGGCCTTGAATTTTGTTTGATTATTAATAGCTCTTATTTTTTTTGCATTTTTTGTTATTCACCATGACTGCAGGAACTGCCGGTTTGGATACAGGTCGCCCATTGTACTATGTTGGTGCTCAGAAGGATAACACGCCAAGAGATGAAAGCCTAGTTTCTTACGTTTTCAAAGGGGAAACCGATTATATTAAACTATTGGCCTCTACAGATCCATTGTCCCGTGTAATTGATAACAACAAAGGAGGTGTAGTACTACTAGATCAAGTCACACTTTTGGAATCATTGCCTCACCTGTATTCTATAGGTAAGAAGGATTCTACATCTAACATTACAGAAGGTTCTGTTATCACAATAATTGTTGATCTTAACCTGGAGGATTATTCCATCATTCCAGCCGTCAGTGATCTACATTTACCCATTCATATTGGCTTAGAATCTATTAATTTAGAGCAAAATGGTATCCACTTCATCAATTTCAACAGGATCAACGGCACTCAAACAGCAAATAACATCTTCACATCAGGAGCTGCTTCACCAAAAAATCTAATTATTAACTTGTCTCAATATTACAATGAACTTGTGAAGTCCGTTCCAGAGGATGTTGCTATTTTCAATATAACAGAATACAAGAAAAATTTACTACCAGAAATATTGGCAAATGTTCCAAGTAGCATCACCAGGATTAATCTACTCCAAGGTTCTTCAACTGCGTCTGAAAATCAAGAATATGAAGATGGCTTTGAGCCATTCTTATTAGACTTCTTTGCTGATTTTGAAGTTTTGGTGCAAAACAATATCCAACAGTTGTTGCTAACTAAGATTGGTAATAAGGTTGATGACTTCAATTCTGTTTCAGCAAAGATAATTTCCAACCTAGAATCTGCTAAACCAGTCAAGAATCTATTTGTAGGTGAGGTGGTCGATATTAGCAAGGATGTGACGGAAGACTATTCCAACTCAATTAAAAATATTTTGAAATTAGAAGATGCCTATATTAAGGTTTTAAAGCAACTACTTGGTAACAACCTCTCAATAATTAACGAATACAGTAACTCTACTATTAATACCCTAAGTCCTGAGTTCGGTTATGGGCGCTATCTACAAGAGAAGGAGATTCAAAACAAGCTAGTTGAATTAGCAAGAAAGTCATTGGATCCTCAATTATTTCATTCACAGGAATCAGATGAGTTTGTGAAGAAATTGTCCAAGTGGGTGAGCTTTAAGTCTTCGTCGTTAGATCAAAATTTACTTGAAGAAGCCAATAAAATTGGTTCAGACATCTTTGAATATTTAAAGACTGATGCACACTCACAAACAGCTATCAAGCTTCTAGAAGTTGCAGAAAACGACGAAAAATACTTCCAATTCAAATCATCTTGGCTAATTGGTTCAGATGCTTGGTCTTATGATTTGGGTAATTCTGGTGTACACCAAGTTCTAACCTCCTCAGATAATATTAACATGTTAATCATTGATTCTGAGCCATATGAACAAAGGAAAGCGTCTACTCAAAGGAAAAAAGATGTTGGTTTATATGCCATGAATTTTCATAATGTTTATGTTGCATCTGTTGCCGTCTACTCTTCTTACACACAACTTTTAACGGCATTCATTGAAGCCAATAAATTTAACGGGCCTTCTATTGTTTTGGCTTACTTGCCTTACAAATCTGAAAAAGATACACCTTTGGATGTATTGAAGGAAACTAAAAGCGGTGTTGAGTCCGGTTACTGGCCACTGTATAGATATGATCCTTCAAAAGAAGAAGCTGATGAACAATCTGCATTCCAGCTGGATTCATCTGTTATAAGAAAGCAATTAGAGGCCTTCTTGGAAAGAGAAAATAAACTTACACTATTGACCAAGAGAAATCCAGCTCTCGCTAGAACATTAGCTCAGTCAGCATCAGATGTTGTTACCCAGAAGCAAAATAAGAGGGCTGAGGCTGCTCTTGAAAGCTTACTAAACGGTTTGTCAGGGCCTCCTCTTCACATCTACTTTGCCTCTGATGGTGGTAACGCCTCTAACCTTGCTAAGAGATTGCATGGTCGTGCATCTGCCAGAGGTTTAAAATCCACTGTGCTATCCATGGATGATTTAATACTGGATGAGTTACCAGGTGAGGAAAATGTCGTGTTCATCACTTCGACTGGTGGTCAAGGTGAATTTCCACAAGATGGTAAGTCCTTCTGGGATGCATTGAAGGGTTCCACTGATTTGGATCTCTCTAACTTGAATGTCTCTGTCTTTGGTCTTGGTGATTCTCAATATTGGCCAAGAAAGGAAGATAAGAAATATTATAACAAGCCTGCACAGGATCTTTACAGAAGACTGGAATTTTTGGGCGCAAAAATTCTTGCCCCGCTAGGATTAGGTGATGATCAAGGTGATGATGGTTATCAAACTGGATATTCTGAATGGGAACCGAAATTATGGGAAGCTCTTGGTGTGGCTAATGTTGAGGTAGAGGATGAGCCAAAGCCAATAACAAACGAAGATATTAAGTTGAATTCTGACTTCTTGAGAGGTACTATTGCTTCAGATCTAAAGGATGAATCTACTGGTACAGTTCAATATTCTAATGAGCAACTGATGAAGTTCCACGGTATTTATACACAAGATGATCGTGATATTAGAGAGGTACGTAAAAGTGAGGGGTTGGAGCCTTACTACTATTTCATGGCCAGAGCTAGACTTCCTGGTGGTAAATGTACCCCACACCAGTGGTTAGGATTGGACAAGTTGTCTGAAGACAGTGGTAATGGGACACTAAAACTAACTACGAGAGCCACGTTCCAAATTCACGGTGTTTTAAAGAAGAACCTGAAGCATACACTGAGAGGTATGAATGCAGTTCTGATTGACACCTTGGCTGCCGCAGGTGATGTCAACAGAAATGTCATGGTAACTGCCCTTCCAGCTCAGGCAAAAATTCACAAGCAAATCTCTACTATGGCCGCTGAAATTTCCGAACACTTCTTGCCAAAGACAACTGCTTATCATGAGATTTGGTTGGACGGTCCAGAAGAGCAAGATTATGAAGATGATTGGAATGAAAGATTTAACAATAGAAAAGAAGGACCAAGAAAGAAGAAGACCTTGGTTAGTGGAAATGCTTTAGTTGATATTGAGCCAATATATGGACCAACTTACATGCCAAGAAAGTTCAAATTCAATTTAACAGTGCCTCCATACAATGACGTTGATGTCTTTTCTTCTGATATTGGTTTGATTGCTATTGTCGATAAAGAAAAGAACTCTATTGAAGGTTATAACATTTACGTTGGTGGTGGTATGGGTACAACTCATGGTAATAAGAAGACTTATCCTAGAGTAGCATCCTCATTTGGTTATGTCAAGAATGAAGATGTTTTACCAGCCCTTGAAGCTTTGCTGATTATCCAAAGAGACTATGGTAACAGGGAAGATCGTAAACAAGCCCGTGTCAAGTACACTGTTGATAGACTTGGTGTTCAAGGCTACAAAGAAAAGGCTGAAGAAATTTGGGGTAAGAAATTCGAACCGGAAAGATCTTATGAAATCACATCTAACATTGATTATTTTGGATGGGTTAAGGATGAAAATGGATTAAACCATTTTACTGCCTATATTGAAAATGGTAGGGTTATTGATACTCCTGATCTACCTCAAAAGACTGGTTTGCGAGTATTAGCGCAGTATATGGAAAAGAACAATACGGGTCATTTCAGGCTTACTGGTAACCAACATTTAGTTGTCTCAGACATCACTGATGAACATTTGGATGCTGTAAAGGAGATTTTGGCCAAATATACCTTAGACAATGCTGATTTCTCAGGTTTACGTCTATCTTCATCCGCTTGTGTCGGTTTACCAACATGTGGTCTAGCATTTGCTGAGTCAGAAAGATATTTACCAGACGTAATTACTCAATTGGAGGATACCTTAGAAGAATATGGTCTGCGTCACGATAGTATTATCATGCGTATGACTGGTTGTCCAAATGGTTGTTCTCGTCCTTGGTTAGCAGAGCTTGCACTTGTGGGTAAAGCCCCACATACGTATAACTTGTACCTAGGTGGTGGTTATTACGGTCAAAGAGTTAACAAGCTGTACAGGGCCAATTTGAATGATGAAGAAATTGTTGACGTGATCAAACCACTATTTAAGAGATATGCAGCTGAGAGAAATGAAGGCGAATATTTCGGAGATTTCGTCATCAGGGCAGGCATTGTTAAGCCTACTCTGGAAGGGCGTCTGTTCCACGAGGATATCTCTGAAGATGCTTTCTGAAACTAAAGGGCATCAATGTATCGTATAGATTATTTATTTATTGTGTACACTACTTTAATTTATGCAAAACTTAGAAAATATACTTTTTTTAATGAATGATTATATGATGTATAGGTATAGATATAATGATAGAAAGGTATATTTAATTTTCATATCTGTTTGTTTTATGACGCTATTTTATCTTTGTAGTGGTATGTAGTCCCTTGTATTGAAGTTATAAATTTAGTAGTGAAGCAAAGTTTTGTGTGGAGTGATGTTCACCAAAGCAGAAATTCAATTACAAAACATAAAGTATAATATCAATGTTCTTTATATTAGCAACAACTTGCAGTAGAGAAAAGACATAGAAATAAACTATGAGCTGTACCAAAGAAAATCCTTTTTGAATTAATGTTGTAGATGAAGTGTGGGAATCTGATAATTGTGGCCGATGGAGTTATAGATGACAAAGATATAATAAATCTAGCATGCGATGAGGTGCTCGATACAGATGATGATCTCATACACAATGATGCTCTCGATTGGCGGAATATTATATTAAATCTCAGTTTCCGCTGTTATAGTGTAAATGATGAAGACTACCTATTAGCAGAGAAGTCTAATCTAGTTATTAGTCGTTATTTCTCTAGAGCATCTAGAGATAAAATACTGGAGATTACCAGTTTCCTGATAACAAAAATCCAACCTTTATTAATAAACAAAAAAAATGCTGTCATAGATAAGCAATCTAAAGGATTGAATCCAAAACTAGGCTTTTCCTTTGGAGATGATGAAGTCTATGAGATATGGAAGAAAAACGGTGGAATTCGAAGTATACCTCTTTGTCTAACCATCCTCAGTCACTTACCTATAGATAAGATATCAACAAATCTTTGGTGGATAAGTCCTTTTATTTTGAATTTACTGGATGCTACATCTGATTTACAAAACCTTAGACTTCCTGGTGTGAAGTTGTTGCATGTTATGCTTGAGAAGGTATTTATAGATCAGTATAGCAACAAGTGGCTAAAGTTTAAGGACACAGGCCTGTTTCAGGAGTACGAAAGAATTCTAATCAATTTTTGTTTTTATTTACCCCCATCGTATGATTCACAAAATACGTTATTAATTTGGAGGCAAGTTTTTCCAGCGATATATTCATTGTACAAAGCACAATATATTGAAGATGAATATCAACTACGGTTGCATATACTTAAATTTATTAGCGAAGTAATTTTACAAAATTGTTTGCCTAGATGTGGTTGCAAATATGATCAATTGACCTCCTTTTTAATACATTTTATGATAGAAATGATCCGTACACTTGGTGAGAAGAGCACTATCTACATCCAAAGAGTAATTTATGATATAGGGCAATATCTAATAAAAGATCCATTTTTCACAGCATTCGATAAACTTATCTTTGAAACTATTGAATTAGTTGAAGCCATAATAGGGTATTGTAATACGACCCGAGTTCTTGAACATAAGTACGATATTCTTGGGATCATCTTATTAATCTATGGGAAATTGAAGAACGAAGAAAGTATGAGTGACAAAATTAGGAAACAATTGCAACATACCATCAAAATGTTAAAAGATAGAGGCTGTAACTTTTCATATGAGATAAAACATTTGAAGTCAGTAAAAGGTATAGATTACACAGAACTATTTGCAGTGTAAGATTTATGCCAATTTCGAATCAGCCATGTAATGGTATATGAATTGGTATTAATAATATTAACTTGATACAAAGATATGGCAAAGGTAACATGGCCATCAAATTGTCCTAAACTGAATTTCCATAGATTAAATACTAATTACAGGACATATACATATACATATATATAAATTTCATAGATGCAATTTTTCATTTCCACATATTTTCTGAACTTCATTGAGAGTTTTGCAATCCTCTGACCACTCTTATATTAGTATCCAGAAATCTGTTGACGCAAGAGGCCAAACATTCTTCCTCCTGAGAGCTCAGATTTCCGTTATCGACTCTGGAGATACATTTCTTGAAACAAATATCTGTGAATTGGTTAATCGATGTCCTAACTTTCTGCTTAGAATTCTCAGCATCAAGATAAGCAGCAATCTCTTTCTTTGAAGCGTCCGTCAAATCGCCAAGCTCACCAGGATTTAAGTTAGACATACTCGGAAATTTCCTTAAGATTTGAGGATTGTTTGCACTCAACTATGAGAAATACGTTATACATGTACAAGTTCCTCAAGCTCCTATATATGACTACCTGTTGCTAATAGTCATTTTAAGTGTTGATCATCGAGGATTCCTTTCAAAATTTCATCAAACTAAGGGGAAACAGACAAAACCCGGCCAAACCAGAAAATTGAAGACGAGAACTTTTAAAAACGCGGTTTCTTCTAAGAAATGAATGGAATCATCGAATAAGCTTGTTGCTAGTTGGTGAGCCTAGCCTTTGAATCGCAAAACTTTTTTGCTATTGAAAGAATATTAAGGGCCAATATGACTAACAAAAGTGAGATTATTGATGAATATACTGCAGTACTTGAGCGCGAGATAGAAAACAAACGGTATTTTCTGAAGGAGTCTCATGACGCGCTACGCGATCTCATCGAGTCTAAGGCAGAAAGACTGAATGGGGCAGGGTCAGTTCAAGGCAGACGGTCTGCAATTAATAAAGACGTGTGGCAGAAGTTCATGGAGAAGCCTATGTATCTACCGGAGAGACAAGACCCGATCGGGCTTAATCTGGTTTCTGCGCGCTTGCGAGAAAAAACAGAGTCTATGGGTCCCTGGCTTGAAGTAGAGAAAGAGATCGTGCATGTTGAGGAAACCTATTTGAATTCATTGAGACAGTTGAACGCTGCGATGCAAGACACTATAGCAGAGTTTCGAAAGAACCCTCCTAAACCACGAGAGGAATTGGTATCAAAAGACTATTCACTTTCGAGTTTGAAAACTCAACATGAAAGTTTACATAAAGAACTAAAAGAATTTGTAACTAGGTACCTAGAACCAAATGCACCAGAAAATACTTCTGCGGAAGAAATGCTTCAATTGATCTCAACTTTAGTACAAGGCAAGACTCTAGACAAAGATCAATTCAAGAACTCTCAAAGCCTCTTTAGGCTATTGATGAAGGGCATGTTGTTAGAAAATACAGACACTAACAGTTACAAGTTAATAGATCTTGTATCGTAGTACTTTTTCAAACACCCTAGGGGCTTTTGATTTAATAAATAAAGACCCCAGCGATATCGAGATATTCGAAATACCGGCATTTATTATGTGGATGTGGACGGTGGGCTATGGCCATGGAAAACCACATCATTTTATACAACGTGCATATTTTTATCTGCTCGTGAAGTCTTCCAGGCAGCGAGTTGGAAAAGACGTGAATCATGAAAAGGAATCACGATCTCCCATACATTTGTGATAGGATTTCTGAAGCTAAATGACTTGCATCATACTTATACTGGTACGGTCAGGTTGTTAGCCTAATTGACTGCTTGATAGTTGAATCTTAGAATACTGTTTACCCACCTAATTCGTGCATATATCAAGGTATCAATACACTCTATGGACTATCACAGAAATAATTCAAAGGTACATCACAATAATGAATGAATCCAAAAGGCTGACACTAGAGGAGAGACTCAATTTAGCTGCACAGAAAAGAAGGAAACCCAAGAAAATAGTACCAGGCGGAAATGCGGAAGATTCAGGACTACATACCAATCCCAGCAGCAAAGAGTCCCTAGTTGAAGATCACGAAATTGAGCTGAATACATGGATCCCCGAAGATATCAGCTCAATAAGTCGAGATGACCTCATAAAAGCATTGGAACCTCATTTTATAGAGTATAAGACTAAACAGAAAAATGCGAGTACAACGACAACTGGTGACTCTAGTGTCTTCAAACTGATTAAAGGGAAAGATGAAGAGATTGCACAGCTTACAAAGAAATTAGAAGATAGGCGTAAGCAGGATACTGCGAATGAAAAATTGCTATCAAAGCTCACAGCAGATAATGAGAAACTAAATAAAAACAATGACAACTTGTCTAAGAAACTGAATGAGAGTAACCAAGAAATAAGTAACCTTCAACAAAAATACAGCCTATCAGAAAAAATGCTTGAGGAAAGTACTAAAAATTCGCACGATGTACAAGTTTTGGAGTCAAGCAATAAACAATTGAGACAATCAATAATTGATAAGGAGAAGACCATTCAGGATCTTTATGCAAAGATTGAAAAGCTTGAGGATGAAATATTGAAAGGGAAAGATACATTTAAGATCGAAAAAGAGAATATTAATAAAGCAAATAGAGAAAATATTACGGCTTTGGAAAGTCAGATCGAACAACTCCGTATCGAATTGGAAAACTGTAACGTAATTACTAATGAAAATGAAGATAGCCAGTCAAAATATCAGCTTATCAAAGAACAATTCGAGTCGAGTAAAGCGAATTGGTCAAGCATTGAATCTGTATTAAATTCAAAAATATCAACTCTAGAAGATACCATTGAAAAGGAAAAAGACCATCGAGCTAACTTACTGACACAACTAGAAACGAAGACCCAACGCTTGTTAACTTTGGAGAAACAACAAGATCAAGAAAGCAGTGAAAACATCACCTTAAAAAAAACCTGTATCACGCTAGAATCTAAAGTAGCTACCTTGGAGCGGGACCTACAAAACTTAAAAGACGATTACAATTTATTGGAGAGTAAATATAATACTCAGAGAAGTCAATATAGGAAATCATCTGAATCTAGGTTAAATAACTCCTCAAGATCGATAAATGAAGAGGTGAGTGAATCTTGGAATGACTTTGGATCAGGATTGAATTCTCTTAAAATAACAGAGAGCAATGGAGCTCTAGACACTCTGATGGGACAGAGTAGTAACATTGGAGATTTGACAGCTTCCGATTTTACTAATAACCATGAATTAGATCCCATAGACAGGGATATCTCCTTTGAAAAGAATTTGGATGCAATTGAGGAAACGTCGTTTCCTGAGGACGCTGATGAACTAGATCAACGCAATAGCAGAGGCGTATCGATGAGAAGACATAGCACCCGGAACTCTACCCAAATGCAAAGCAATGCACAGCTTGTTACAAAACTAGGGCATGAGATTGGCAGACTAGAAACGGAAATTCAATCTCACAGAGAAAAAATCGAGCGGTTACAGAAGGAAAAACAGCTAGCAAACGACGAGATTTTGAAGCTGATAGATAAGAATAATGGACTTTCTTCTATTAAATTAGAAAAGGAAGAGTTGGAAAAACAAGTTCGTGATTTACAAGAGAAGTTAGATACGTCTCTTCAAATACTTGGTGAAAAAACTGAAAGAGTAGAAGAACTACAAAATGACGTCCTTGATCTGAAAGATATGCTACATGAACAAGTTAAACAAATGGTTGATCTACAAGAGAGATTACGATAGAATATTACATTTATGTAGCTCACTTTGCACATAAAAACTCGAGTCACTTAATAACAAATATTAGTTGGAGTCATTACTCTAAGATATTCTTATATCATTTAATAACAAATATGTCGGAACTTTGAAAGAAACAACTCAGTCATTGCCTTGTTGTTTAGCAAGTATGGTGTGTTCTTCAATGTCCTGCGCTTCCCATGGATAACATAACCATTTGTCTGGAACTGTTAATGCAGCCAAATATCTACCTGAGTCCATCATTTCTGCAGGAAGCTGCGCTCTTTTCTTCTTATCCTTGTTATGAAGGACAAATATAGAAAAGATTGTATCTTCATTCAATCTATTTAATCTTTTTTGTTGTTCCTCAACTTCTTTCTGCAATTCAGTCACAGCATAGTGTAAAGTGGTCCTTGTGTCATCAACTTCATCAACAATTAGGACTTTTTTACCTATCAAAGAGTCGAAGTGCTGGTCTAGAGCACCAAAATCCAACCATTGAGTTCTAATCACTTCCTTACCGATTACATCAGCGGTGTTACCCAATCCAAGATCTTCGTAGAGAGATAAACCAATGGCTTGAATAGGTATATTCTTTTGACCTTGAACTTTCAAGAATGATCTAATAATTCTAGCAGGTATCATACCACCACCCGTGATAGCAATAATAACATCAGGCCTTTCTTCTCTTTCCAAAATTTGCTTAGCGATTTTTTGGCAAAGCTTGTGGATATTGTTGTAAGAAATATAGATCTTTTCTTCAGACATTGCTAATAAATAGAATATGTTCACACTCACTTTACCTTCTGTGAAGTCCAGTACAGATAAATTCTCAGACTTCGGTATTTAACTATACAACAGTACACCTACATTCCTGACCCCGCAATTATAAACAATATATGAATAAACACTATTCTTACTGCAATATGTATTTTCAGTATGTACCAGCATGACCATGGTTCATCCAGATTCTTACTTACTATGGAATTTTCCATGAATTTGGAAAGAATTGCGATGCTCATCGCAAAATTTTTTTACTCGTTTCCAGCTATTTTGATCATAGCGACAAAGCAAAGTGAAACAGAAACGATAAAACCCACTGATTACTTAACAATATCGATTTCATACATGTGTCCTCACGATGAACACATTAATGTGCCATAATTGTGAATACTTGATGTGGTTATCTTCTTGTTTATGTCGATAGTCATCTGCCTTAATACAGTAGAAAAATGCTTAAGATTATTGAAAAGTATGTAAAGTTCCATTGGAACCTCTTATCTACTAAATTAAATGTTCATTATCTGTGTATGCATGCTCTTGTCCTCATCTGAAAGTGAATTCATGATTGTAGAGAACTTAGCTGGATTGCTCTGCTCTAAACCTGAAGTCGAGCTCTTCACCAATTCATAAATATTAATGTCATCTAGGATTGAGCCAGCAAGTGGGTCTTCTTCTAAATCATCAAAATCTTCCCCATCAGCTAGACCATCAACAAATTTCAAGTCATTGTGGTCACCACGAAGCATTTCAATGACGTCTTCAATATTTGCTTCGTTATTGTCCTCATCACCTCCTTCGTTGAAATCGAAATGGTCATCCCAAGCCTCGTTATCATTAAAATCTAAAGATGAAAACTCTTTTCTCTTTTCCTCCAGCAACTTTAGAGCAGCTGGATACCTTGCCATCATCTTTAGAACTAATGGATATACTTGGAAAAGTAAGTTACCTAAGTTGAATTTTAAAATCTCCTCTTCGGAGACAGAACAAAGAATGCTCATCAGTGCCAGAACAGATAGTTTTATGTCGTATGTTCTAATATAGTTAGGAATATAGTGTGACACCCAAACTTCAAAAAACAATTCTATACAATTTTGTGAGGCCAAAGCATTTAACACAATAACTGGAGTCACAATCATATTCGAAATTATGACATTAAATGAAGTCACACCAAAAACAATACTCTTTTTTAGTGAATCCTTTTCACTTATGATTGCACTGATTGCATCATTTAGAAATTTAACTCTTATAGGGTCTGGTAATTTTTGTTCTAGGGATAGTGTCAACTTCTGAGAGAGCTCAAAAATAATTTGAAGCTCATCTAGATCAGCATCTTCTCTATTGGCTGCCTTTTCATACACCTCAAAAAGTATTTTACAGTAAAACTCATTCTTTCTTAATTCATCCTTACCATAAATTAGGAAGTTATTCAAAACCAACATGAAATCTTCTAGATAGACTGACACAGTGCTCTCCTCACGCCTGTTACATTCGCCAATCAATTCCAGTACCTTCCATGCTATTGGACTTATAGTTCTCATCAAAAATGTCGAATTCTCAAAAAACTCACATATTTCATGGTAGAAGTCCTCCATGTCATTATTCAAAATAAATTCAGCTGCTGGATAGAAAGATTGTTCCAAGTTCTTAACAATATCAACCGAATTCTCAAAAGACAATAAAATAGATATAGTTGTTGATAACACACCAATTGCAGCCATTTGTTTGTCAGTTTCATCTGGCACATCATCAGCCTTGAGAAAGCTATTCGGATCAATATTTGAAACCTCGTGGAGATCAATAGCAAGTTTCAAAAACTGTTGTACGAGAGATTTCATCAATTCAACACCAAATGGTTGTAATTGTTCAGCGAACTGCTCCACAAATTCTTGCATGACACCGGATAAGGTGTCCATTTCGAATTCATTTGAAAGCATCAGTAGTTTCTGCATAGTAGGAACGACGGACTGCGACAAATGTTCCTGGAAGAAAGGATTTTGAATGAATGCCTGTAGAGCTAATGCTGCCATTAAATTAACAGGGACACAGTCTCTTTCCTCATTGAAACAAGTCATAACACCTTCAAAAATAATTGCGTTAAGTTCAGGGTCCTGTAGATCAATATAACCTAGTTTTGAACAAATTTCACAAACTCTGCTTCTCAAAAACCCATATGGAGATTTAAAAAAAGGCAAAACCATATTTTTTAAAAAAGGTTCCAGTTGACCTGCATAAGGTGAGTTTTTGCTGGTCAAAATATCAATTATCGAAGAAATAATTCTCAAACTCGATTCAACCTCGACAGCATTTTCAAGAGTGATATTATTAAAATCTCCCACATTTCTATTTAAATTACCAGTAACAAACTCTAAAGTAATGCCTCTAGTGGATTTTCCTCTCTTGTGCACAGCGGATGTTAGTAATGACAATGCCGCTAAATCTGGGGTATAGTTTTCATCCCATAGTTCCATATTCCGGTGTATATATTCTTGAGGATCAGTTTCAAATATTTCAAGGGTCTCCTCATTGGGACGTAGTAATGGATAGATAATATGCTGCAAAATATTTTCATAGTAGCCACCGACCAGATCCCATGTAGACTTCTGTATTACACATTGTTCAATAAAGTTCAAAATATAGTACAGGGCTTCATCACTTAACCAAGTTTGCCTGTTATTCCATTGCTCAATTTGTTGAAATAATAATTGCAGGAAATGAGGTAAGAAGTCTTCCTGATAAATTTTCTTGAAGTCATTATATTCGAATTTCTTTGTCAGGGATGTCGATGCATATCTTTGAAACAACCTGTAAAGATTAGCATAAGCCCATTTCTTACATTTGACCCAAGAATTAGTCCTTCTTAAGTCAGGATCCATATTTTTTATGGATTCAGGAAGAGGCTGTTGTACAATTTGAACCAGAAACTCAGCCCAAGGGATAAAAGATTCCGGACGTTGCAAAACGAACGGCAGATCATGATAAATAACAAACTTGTAAGTCTTTAGGATAAGTTTCAGCATTTCACCTATTTTTGGATTTTCCATGTTTTTGCCTTCATTAAATAAAACATCCTTACCATATTTCAACAATTCTGGGAAGTATTGTAAAATCAACATTTCTAGATCTTGCCTAGAGTCATTTTCTTTCCATCTATAAGTTCTGAAGAGTTCAGAAAGACAGATGAGGCCTATATGAGTAACGTTAATATCATCTGATGACAATAGTTCCAGAGATTTTGGAAGTAACGACTCCCATTTCTTAGCAGGGTATTCTGCTGATATTATAACTGTAAGAGCAGGCTTCAATATCCTTACACAGTTGCTGGACTGTTTTGCACAAGCAATCAATGTTTGAATCAGCATATCCATGATGACTGGTTTCTCATCGTTATCAACCTCAAACATTAGAAGTTCATTCTTACCGGAGTAATTATTAGAACTCCAACCATAAGTAATCTTATTCTTGAAGTATAATGAGGCGGATAACTTAATGTTGTCTGGAACTTCGCTAGAGGCTATAATCTCCAAAGAAGCTCCTAAAAACCCTTGAACTTTGCTCGCTTCTTTCAATTGCTCTTCTGCAGCATGTCTAATTCCAGCATCCTGATTTAAAGTACCTGCAAAACACTGCAATAAAGTATTGGGATCCATAACGGCCTACTCTTTTCTGAGTATATATTTGATATTTGTCTGCTGAAATCCCTATCTTGAACCACAAAATACAACTTCAATAATAGAGTAAGAGAGTATAATGTTTATCAGTAAGATTATTTACTACTAGCCTCCAAACATAGGCACAAAGAAACTCAATAGCTATAACTGGGTTCCAGCATTTGAGTTATTGGCTTGAAGTTAGCTGAGTTTCACTGAGTTCATCTCATCGCTAGAATCTCATCGCATCGGGAAAATCGTCTCTTGCAATGAAAGTATCGTGCGACAGTTGAAAATTTTTTTAAAAACACTATAGCAATAAGCCTGTTGAAGAGGCAATGTATGCCCAGAAATTAGTGACTATTCTTCGCTCTATAAATGGCCAATTGATGGCAACTATTGCTTCAGCGTGCTGCTTACATATATATAGTGTAATCATATTTATTTCTTTGATTTGTGCCAATTGGTCTCGAAGCCCTTCTTGAGCAATGTAGCATGCGAGAGTCTTGGGAAAATGTGTGCCTCTGTTGTGAATACCATCGAAGTCAAATCTACGTTGTCATTAAACAAGTAATACATGTACTTCAAAGTCTCTGATAACCAGAATGTTTCCATGTTATCACCAAGTGAACCGGGCTTCGTAACATCGCCTAAGTTAACATACTTACGGCTCTTAGGATCGTCACAATCAACACAAGTGTTTTGTATGAAGTTTTGGAATATCTCATAACCCCATTCCCTATACATTTCATTACCACTGAGTTGATATAGGAACATAATAGACTCTACAGCCTCAGGTCTTTGACGGTTGTGGGCATCATTGGGTTTGATCCAGAAATCACCTTTTTTACTCTTCCACCAATCATGACCTGGCCTAGCTTTGCCATCATTGAAAACCACAATCTCTGGTGCGAGTCCCGTAGGGACTTGATGGTACATCTCGTAACAAGTCTTCGTTAACTCCTTAGCAAGTAGCCACTCACTCTCTCTTTCAGAATTCCAGAATGAAGCTTTTCTTGCTTGCTCTAAATGTAATCCATTCGTAGCGCCCATACCTAACACACCACCAATGAAACATACTAGATGATCCATTTTTGTGGAAAAAGGTCCATTTAGACCCTGCTCCCTTTCACCAATGAACAGAAGGTTGCTTGGAGTTGTGCGGCCAAGTAAATGCTTCGCGATCCCATCAAGTGACACCAAGTACAATTGACGATATATTTCTTCACCGGTGAGCTGATATTGCTTTAACAAGTACTCGTAGAACGAGTCTCCCATGGACCCGAGTCTTATTGTAGCAGTACTGAACCTACCGTTTTGGGAATTTGTTAAGATTGGTACCAAGCCGTTGAATTGATTCATCAAGTTATTGTTGAGGTATAATGGAGCATATAGTTTCTCAGATAGTTGCCACAGAGTTGAATTGTCTGTCAAATAAGCTAAATACTTGAACTCCATCTGTAGAGTGGTGAATTCAGCAGTTGGTGTGGTAGTATACCCGCCACCATCCATCGCAGTAATGCCGTGCTTCAAATTAACGGTCTGAAAGGGGACCCCATCTTTATTCACTTCCAATGCAACAGCCAAACGACGACCTAAGTCTTGGGCCTTATCTAGGTATATATTTGAGTAACGTTGTGGCAGATCTAACTCGGTAGACAAGTGATATGCGGAGAGGAGCCCACCCAACAATCTAATAGTAGTCTCAAACAAGCTCACCGAATTGTCATAATCAAAGTTTAATTCGCGATCAATCCATTCTGTAGCTGCATTGATGTGCTCTCTAAACTCATCCTTGTAATTGGCGCTCGAGTTGTACATAACCATCAAAGTGTCCAGGGAATCGACTATGATCCAACCCATAGGGCGCTCCTCCCCAAGCATATTATGTCTGTGATGAGAGGTCGGGCTGTAAACATCGTAACCCCAACCATACTGACTATAATCTCTCCAGCTCTCGAGGAATACTTCCTCGACTTTGTTCCTCATAGCAGCGGCATCTCCATCGAAACCAGACGTCTGCAGGTTATAAAACCACAGCGCAAGCGACACACATAGCACCACGGCACTCAGTATATACGCCATCGAGAACTCTTATCGAATTGCTGTGAGAAACAATTGTATAGCACATGATGGACCAATGGCCTCGTTAAATACCCAACAAACCTCGACACTCGGTTGCTTATAAGTGCAAGATGCGTTGAGTGGGAGGTGATAAACTACTGAAGGACTGGTTTACTCAGCGAACTAAATTATTTAAAAACTAAAAGAGTTTATCATATGATCCTTTAAGGCCTTTGACTTCAACGATTGAGTAACTTGTGGAGGTTGTCTCCTTGGTTCTTGTATCGAAATATGACTGAGAGTGGTTTCTTGTCCAGTTTAAGTGTGTATTACCCAGTGCATCATGCAAAGTTGTGTGAATGACAGTGCTAGAACTGTGTTGCTGTCTTTATCGTGTAGTCATGAGGGATATTGTGCGTGTTTGTGAGTCTCTTGTATATATTTTGAGTATTTAAGAGATTTAGTTGTACAGATCAGTCCTCTGTCATAGTAGGCAACCAATTGGCACTTGTTCGCACTGGGGTTGAGTCATCCTTTCAGTTATATAAGAAAAGTAGTTCTTGTCGGTGGTAAATTGGGATAAACGAATAAACTGAGTTTAGCAGTGGTGGGTCTAAGGATAAAATCAATGATTTCAGAGATATTGGGTGAGTCTATACCGAAAAACACTGAGCATGCAGTGTCTGTGTGTCTACCTTTATGGGCAGATGTGGTTGGTTATGAAGAAGGTGACGCGCGAGTACTTGACAGCCTAACGACGGGATATCCAAGGTTCTTCATCCATGCGTCTGTGAAGAGACTTTGTAACTTGATCAGTGAACAATATGCTAGGGCTGGAGAGTCCTGTTTGTGCTTCCCATCTTACTTGGTTGCCAAGAGATGTAGAGAATACATTACTGTCAAGAGCAAACAGCTAGACAAGGATGCCGACATAGGTAAGATCAGAATTTTACAGTTAGCGATGCCCCAGGATGATACAGATCACACCGGGATATTTGATTGCAAGATCGCAGCTCTCTTCTTCAAATCTGAGTTATTCCCATTAGCAAAGCAATACTGGCAACATAGCGGTGAGATTGTATCTAGTAGACTGGCTGACTACGTTACTGAGAGGTTATACCCTAATGCAATCCACATTGATGAAGCTACAAAGGATAACAAAACCTTCATTGAAACACGGTTTGGTAGAAACCTTGACTCCTCTTTCATTAATAGAGCGAAGGATATACTGAGAAATAGAATTGCACACAAGGTAGTCGAGACAGATCACAACCAGGATGTAGCAACCAATGTGTTTTTATTTCCCAGTGGTATGGCTTCGATCTTTACTGCTCATAGGCTCTTACTGAATTACGATCATATTAGGGTGTCTAACATTAAGCATAATGGTGTTGATAAATCTGATGATATTATCGGTTATGGTGAACCCTATTTAAAAACTGTTATGTTCGGTTTCCCATATACGGATACATTGTCAATCCTTAAGAAGTTTAATCATACGTATTTTTTGGGTTTAGGGGATGAGTCTGCAATGAAAGATTTGATTGGAATTCTTGAATCTGGTGAGCAAATATTGGCAGTATTTCTAGAAGCTCCATCTAACCCATTGTTGAAGATGTGTGATATGAGTAAACTGAAGCAATTATCACAGCAATATGGGTTCTTCATTGTAGTAGACGAGACTGTCAGCGGTTTTGTTAATATTGATATTCTATCCTATTGTGATATTGTCTGCAGCTCATTGACCAAAATATTTAGCGGAGACTCAAATGTCATTGCTGGATCCCTAGTGGTGAACCCAGCTAGTAAACTACATGATTTTGCCATCGATTTCTTAAATGATCCAAAGAGGAATGAGGACCTACTATGGTGCGAAGACTCTGTATACCTAGAAAGAAACTCGAGAGATTTCATCGACAGAGCACAGAAGATTAATAAAATTGCAGAGGATCTGGTATCTACTGTATTATTAGAAGAGGAGGGACAATTATTAGAGAAAATATATTACCCAAGCTTAACGAGTCCCGAGTCCAAACTTAATTACGATAGTGTCAAATGTAACAATGGTGGATATGGTGGATTGATTTCAATCGTCTTCAAACGGGAGGACCAAGCTAAGGTGTTCTATGACAATCTATCCTTGAATAAAGGGCCATCCTTGGGGACAAATTTTACTTTAGTTTGTCCTTACGCAATCCTTGCACACTATGCAGAGCTCGATGAAGTTGCTAAGTATGGTGTAGTCAAAAATTTGGTTAGAATATCGGTGGGGCTAGAATCTCTAGAAACTCTCCAAACTATATTTAGAAAGGCATTTGATGCCGCTAAAGACGTATAACAGCAGCATAATTTGTTAAATAGGACTCAATTCATTTCATGGTAATTTTATCTATTATGCTTATAACTCTATCTTTATAAATGCATATAATTTAATTAAAACTGAGTATGCAGCGATTGCCTAGGAAGTCCGAAATCGAGATTATTTTAAAAGCGCGATGAGCTGCGAAGATCTATGTCGTAATAGCTATCGAAGGAGCAGGATGCCAAGAGATATCGAAGCGTATTATAATGGATAAAAGTGGCGAATTGCTATTGAGAAGATGCCCAGTCGAACGTCTAGTTGATGAATTGCAAGAAGGCAAGCTTTTGAGACTCTGCGATGAGGAAAACGGGTTTCGGAAGGTTCTCATGGAAGAAGTAAAACCGGTTAATAATAACTATTGTAAGAAAGTGCTACGCGAGATCGTTGACAGATTAGATCGTACTGCTGGTCAATTACCAGAGGATGTCTATGAAAGTTGGGAATGGGCTTATGAAGTTTATTTTGATATGTTGAATGATGTGCAAGATGAGCTAGCTATGGATGAAGCTGATAACGATGTGATTATGTACAAGTTCAGTGAGCAATACAAGGTTAATATTGCTGAGACACCACGTACTATTGCTAATGGCAGTACAGGAAATAGGACATGGGAGGCGGCAGTGTATTTGGGTCTGTACCTGATAGATCAGTGTGCCTCAAATGTGGTAGCTGCACCGAGTCGAATTTTGGAACTTGGATCAGGTACAGGGTTAGTCAGTCTACTTTACCAGCAATTATACCCATTTGACAAGCTCACTATGACAGATGGTGATTGGGATGTGGTACGCAAAAGAATACCAGGCAACTTATCCTTAAACGATTTGAAGCCTGGTCTGGAGGTTAAGCAATTGGTTTGGGGCCCTCGGGACGCTAACAGTGGCGACAACCAATGGGACTATGACTTAATTCTCGGCAGCGATCTTACATATGACGACCGCATCCTCGAACCCCTGTGTCAAGCTTTGCAATGGCTATTAAAGACGGATGGCAGTAACGAAGCGCTGTTGGGCGCAACTGTCCGTAACGAGGCCACTACTGCGTTATTCGAAAAGTACATGAGAGAGTACAAACTGCAGTATGAAGTAATCACAGAAACCACGGACGAGGACTTCGAAAGGCTGGAAGAAATAACCTTCACTAGGCCTATTGCTCCAATCCGCATCTACAGGATTAACAATGCAAAGATATAAGATATAGTATAGACAAGAAAGAAGAAATAATAGTAATTAATGTCGTGAGTCCTCTGACACTCTAGTCTCATGCACCCGACAAGATCGGGAGATATAAATGGCACACAGGAACTGTGCGGTACCCATTCATACGAATCCACTAGAGTTCTTAAAAGACCACCAAAATTTTTTGATCTATCCCCAAACATATCACGATTATCAAGAGAAAGAAGAAATAACTCTGATACGTACTGTCTATTGCCGGGGAACACTTTTGGACAAAGTTGGTCTCCTTTTAAGAGAGCTACAAATAACCAAGAGCTGAAACTAGACTGAAACTTTTACGCAAGAACCTGCACTATTTATACTTCCTCAGTGAGCAAGATGGGTTCCACTCGAGAATTGGAAAAAGTTTTTCGCTCAGCAAAGAAAGCCGTGCAGAAGTGTCAACAATATAGTTTCGTACTGTACGATGGTAATGCGATGAGTTAGGTCATAATACTAAAATGTGTACCAACTTGAAGATGGTACATGTGTGGCTCACTGAGTAGCAATCTGTACAAATTAATTGTACTTGTGGGTAGGCTTTTGAGTTCTGGCGTTTCTCGAGGTAATTGTTGATTTTTTTGTGTTATGTTGGTAGGGTGGGGAGAAACCTGGCCTAATAGTGATTGGATTGTTTTGACAAGAGTGTATAAGTTTCGTCATATGGATGCTGTCTAGGTCTTGGAAACTCCCATTGTCCACCGGTGGTGCCAGAAAAGGGGTAGCACAGAGGAACTCTTCTTTCATGTGACATTCAGTGGTACCCGGAAGTGTAAATCTGGTAGGTCAATCTCGTTGTTTGCGATTGGGCTGTCTCTTTCCGAATGCAACATCCTACCGCAAACCAGCACAGACAAGCACTTACAACTTAACATAAACAAAGAACAAGAAAACCAAGCAAACGCAAATTGAATTTGGAACCTCTGAAGCACTCGGAGCGGTGTGAAGAGATAATCTCCTTTGTTGGTCAAAGTGATGCTGACTGAGACTGAGAGTGTGTGTGTTCAGAGACTTTGCGAAGGAAGGATTAGTTGAAGGTGAGAAAAATACCTCTCCAGAGAGACTGAGACAACACAAAGCAGGAGAATTCAAGATTTTTGTGATTATCACCGACACCAGTGCACAGAGTCAAGTGGACGACAAAGTGCCGGGAACAAGAAAGAAGAGAGTCAAGGTTTAATCCCAAAAAGTTCTCTTTAAGGGCAACAAAACAAAACTGGCAAAAATGGAAGGAAAAAAATGGAAGCTGAAGAAGGAATGTGAATCTATATAGTCTTGAATGGGAACACCAATAAATGGATATATACCCGACGACAAACTTTGAGCGCAAGAACTTTATATATTGGGTTTTTGAAGCAAGACGATATTTAGCTTACCAGTTTCGAGGGAAAATATAAGGGTTAAAGAGACTTATATACTCGGACAATTTCAATTTTGATTTTACAAGGTTGACGACAATTAGTAACAGTTGCAACTTCAATAATTGAATTGTTTTTTTATTTGAATAATTAGTGTTATTGAGTTCTCCACAAACTGCGAAAAGAATATTGTAAATTTTAAAATATTTCATTTCGTATTAACTTCATAGTCCTACAGTTGAAAGGAGCGGTTCTTATAAAGACGAAGAATTCGGATGATGACTAATGGACAGGATCAACACTGTCTTATACCCAAGAAATCTAGGGCAGTAAAGACCGACAAACCGAGGCCGTTTCTATGTCCTATATGTTCTAGAGGATTTGTACGTCAGGAACATCTGAAAAGACATCAGAATAGTCACACCCATGAAAAACCCTTCTTATGTTTGATTTGTGGTAAATGTTTCGCACGTAAGGACTTAGTTCTTAGACATTTGCAGAAATTACACCGAGATTATAAGACCGAACAATTGGACAAAACAATAGGAAGAGGAAAATGGGATGAGAAGATACTTAATACACCTGATGTTTGGAACAATGATATTGTCAAAGTGAAAGGGAACAAAGCATCAATCTTACCAACTGTTGACTACACAATGCATAGACAGGACTTGGTTCTCAAATCGAATGATGGCAATGATTCTCAAACTGGTATCAGCAGTCAAAATTCTATTACTTTCAATAATATGAGTGTGAGCGTTGGATCAAGCGGTGTATTGGAGTATGAGAGTACCAGCAAGAGAAGTACACCTGGTAATCATTCTTCAGATAGTACTCCAACTGATAGCTCTATCAGTCGATTACGCACCGAAGGTAGCTATACAAACACAAATAATGCTGATGGCACTCTAAACCCAGTACCGTACCATGATCTAGATTTATCTTCATCTTCATCGCTTTCCTTTGCAACTCCTTCATACCAAAATACAAGGACTTCCAATAACCCTGTACCAATTGGCGGTGGCACTCCTCTGGATGTCAATTGGCTAAACTCAGTGTTAGAGTCTGACAACAAGATAAACGAGTTAGCCTCGAAGAGCTTATCTCCATCTGCAACACTTGGCCAAAAATCTGATAAACATAACAATATCGCAGATTTCAAGCTTTCCCTACCGGAATCAAAAAAGAACAGACGGTATAGCTATCCAAATAATTTAAATGACACAACAGCAAAGCAATCCAATGATAAAAACTATACTGGCAGCCCATTGAATCCGAATGGCCGTATGCATTCGAATGGGCACAATAACCCCCCTTCTGCGTCTAATGCAACAATAACTTTAAATACTTCGGCTGGCATTGAAAATCACACCATCAATGATAAGGATCTGTTTAGACCTGATCTTAACCATAATCCATCGTTGTCATCTCTTTTCAAAACAGAAGATCCTACGAGCTCAGAACAACCGGTCATTGATATTATAAGCCAACTCTCCTCTGAATACACATCACCCAACGATTTGAGTTTTGTAAACTTAAATCAGCCAAATCTAGGCTTCTTTACTCAAGAATGGAGAGATCTGATTTTACAAAAGTATAGTCTCCTGGATAACAACTTTCCAACTATAAAAGAGTTGAACGAATATATTGAACAGTATCAAAAGGAATTTCATCCATATTTTGCATTCTTACATCTTCACTCTGTTCAACCGTCATTGAGCAGGATATCACTATTTTTATCTGTGGCGGCAATTGGTGCTTTTTATTCCTATAATTCAACACATTCCAATTTGCTGGCAAATTTGGCTTATGGAGAAATTAACCAACTAATAAAATCTGTCAAATTAGACTCCTCTCCACTATGGCTTGTCCAAACCATGCTGGTCTTAGGTTTTTATGCTATTTTCAATAACGACATTTCGTTGGTACAATCAGCAAGTGACCAATTTGTAATGATTGTCAAGATTGTCAAGTCAGCGAAGATTAATCAGCCTCTTGAAACGATGGTTGTACCACCGACGAACTTATTCCCAAATCCAGTTACAAAGACACTGACTTCGGATCAGATTGATGCGGCTTATAGGTATTTTATCACAGCACAATCTAGAATCCACATTTGCCATTCAATGCTGTTTTTAAGCAACATTTTCCCTGCTATGTCTGGATTAGAAGCTTGTTTTCTATCTTCAGATGTTTTGTGTGGGGTGCCTTGTCCTTACGAGGATCTTTATACGTCTAAATCTCCTGGAGAGTGGTATAATAATGTTTTGAAAAATAGCATTGAAATTGCAAATAGCAGTCAGCTAGTAAATTTATCAAATGGTATGGTGAGCTTCCAGACGTGCTTGGAGTATTTAACAACCGGAAATCATGTATTATACGAGAACATCAAACTGTCATTGTATACCTTGCTCTCCCTGCTGGTTTCAATTCATGAAAAGATATTACTCGAAAGACACAAAGCAAAAACCGAAAAGGATGTTCAATACAATGATACACAATGGAAATTAAAGCAAGGGCCTCTGATTGACTCAGTAATTCGTAAATGGGAGATTTTATATATGAAGAATGGAGGTATTCTTTTGCCTACGGAAAATAATGTTGCAAAAATCACAGGAAGCCATGTTATGAGGAATAATGTATCATTTTATTTATTTGCAAAACTGAAACGTTGTATTGATCTGAATCATGTCATTCAGAAGATATGGATGAGAGATTGGACCACCATGAATACGGCATTAGAAGAAGTAATATATGATAAAGAATCTTTACAAGAAGCTACCGATTATGCTATTAGTCTGTTAAGATCATGGGCTTCTACTTTTACTATATTGGATGATGAATCCATGCAGGCTATGAAGACGCCTATGTTTTCAATGGCCTGCATTTTTTCATCAATCCTTATCATTGCAGAGTATTTGAGATCAGTAGAAAGATGGGCCAAAACTTTCAATGCTGGTGATCCAAATGCAAAAACCATGAACCCAACCGACAAGATTTTGTGGTTGAAGGCAGGAAGACTCTTGAAGATGTTTCAAAAGAAACTTATGTCATCAGATGCAAAAAAATACTCAGAGTTTGCAGGTGTTCAAAAGCACGAGATGCTTGATATCACTGAAGTAGATGAAAGCGTACTACAAAGGGCTATAGGCCTTGAAGCTAAAGTAGATGAAACTATCCAAATGATTCTGGCCGCATCTTTGGCTTCGAAAGCTCTTTATATTGGTGTAAGGGTCATCGGAGACACACCAATATGGCCTATATCCGTTCTGTTTGCACAAGGTCTGCAATCAAGGGCTGTGTACTGTGTGATGAAAGATGAAGGTGTATTTACATAACTAAATCATCAAACTCCCTCTTAGCTAGCACTTTACATACACATGAAAAGTGCTAGCCCGGACTATTGTAATTTTTTTGAAAGATCCTCCCCGTATTGTTTATTTAGGAACGAACTATAATAGCATTAACGCCTTAATATATATAAGATATATAAACTGAGGAAATATCCTCTTTGCAATGAACGATTATTATGAATCATCATTTTCTCTAACACGATACAGTTATTATATTTAAAACCACCCAACATCTATTGCGCATTTTTCTGAATTTTGAACATTTTTCTCAACCCTCATCGCATTCCCCTAAAACAGAAATGTGTCAGCAAATGATAACTTACATAGCATTAGAAGTAGTCACTGGACTTCTCTTATGCCTCGACGAAGGTACGATTAGGAATCATATATCTGCATAACATAAAAAAAATATTACGCACCCATTTGGTATTGTCTGATAGCTGTTTTAGTGATTACAGAAAAATCGCAGTTGTTCATTGTCTGCTCATTCTATTTCTATTTACACATTATCGAAAACTACACCAAGGCATTAAGGTGGTTGAAGAAAGAAATAAAGATTAGTCTAAAACGAATCTGACTCTAGCACATCTATACTACTCATCTTAAACCTCTAATTTGTAGTAGACTCACTAATGTCCGCCATAGATGATTCACAGAGCGATTTAAGACCCTTTCCAGTGGACTCCAATGACGGATCTAGTCAACCTGATGGTTATGGTAGCATAGAACAAGATGAAAGGGCGTTTAGAAGACCCAGGAGTGATACTATGTCCACAATACGGAGTGGAATAGAGATTGTCAGAGAGAATATGGATCGCTGGAAGTTCTTGTATCTTATTCTCGCAAGTCTGTTCATATACTTATCTTTCATAGCAGCATTTGCCCCACGTACATCATTGGCGAGGGACTTAAGAAGGTTTCATTCTGCAAGGATGACTCAATCTGAGGTATACAGAATATTCTTGGATACCCTCTTATATGAAAATAAGGCAGAGCAGCATCACGATGCTATTTCAAAAACCAATGGTACTAGTTATATCAAAAATTATTTAATTGACTTAGGCTTTGAAATTAAGAATGATTCATATTATGCATGGGTGAATACACCAGTTAAACAGCAAGTCAGGGTTATTCAGGATGATGAGGTAATTTATCAGGCTAAATTAAAGGAAGATCTTACTGGTGTATCACATAATGCCTTTCATGGCTATTCGAAAGATGGTAAATTAACAGCAAGATTTGTGTATTGCAATTACTGCACTATAGAGGATTACACAAAATTGGTTAACGATAAAATTGACATAGAAGGAAAAGTACACATATGCAAATATGGAATAAATGCCCCTGGAAATAAATTAAAAAATGCTGAGTTATATGGATCAACTGGTGTATTAATATTTACAGATATCAATGAAATCCCTAACATGCCGGTGAACTATGGCACTATTAACTCGAGCGAGACGAATAGTTATGATGATGCTATACAGAGGGATACAGTTAGGTTTGGATCTGATATATTTGGCGACCCAACTACCCCTGGGTATGCCGCTCTATATCCTGATACCGAAAGAATGAATCCAAACGATTACATGCCGTCAATACCATCTTTACCAATTAGTTATAGAGATGCAAGCAAATTGCTTGATATGCTACATGCAAAAGGTAGTTTTTGGGTTTCAAATGATGGGGTAAATTCAGCTAAGCTGTTCAGTGGTCCTTCAGATCCTAATACTGAAGTTCAGTTGGTTAATAGACAGGAGTATGGCGTTCAACAAATCGATAACATAATTGTAGAAATACCAGGTATATTATCTGAGAATGACATTTTGATAGGTGCACACAGAGATGGTTTTCCCATCGGCAACGGAACATCTAGTATGAGCTCACACAGTGGGATAGCTGTACTATTGGAGTTTGCGAGAGGTATTAGCAAACTGAGGAAAAAAGGTTGGAAACCATTACGTACAATAAAATTTGTCCTATGGGATGGTTTACACAACTCCCAATTAGGCTCTAGTAGTTTTGGAACTAGATACGCCACCTCACTCAAAAGAGACTCGTTGCTGTATGTCAATTTAGACAACGCTATTGCTGGCCAGTATTTTAATGTCAAAGCCAATCCAATGCTAATTTCGGCTATCACGGAAGCGTCAAAAAATATTGACTACAAAAAAAATGAAGACTGGTCATTATTTCAAGAATGGTACAACACTTCAAATGCTAAGGTCGATTCTTTGGAAGGAGTCAATGACTATTCGGTTTTTCAATTCTACCTTGGTATTCCCGTTGTAAACTTTAGTTTCAACTCTCGTACTTCGAACCAACCTCAATTTCCCATTAACACCGGCTACGATAATAAGGAGTGGTTAATTAGATATGTTGACCCAGAGTTCTTACTACACAATACATTATCGCGGTTTTTAGGAATGTTTGTTTTGATGGTCAGTGAAACAGAGCTGTCATACTATAACCCACATCCATTCTTCAAGCATTTGAATATTCAATTTGATAAAGTAAAGAGATTTGCGGAAAAGACTTTCAGTAGAAACGAGAAATTACTATACAAGCTCGATAGCCTTGGCAAATTGATTAAGGATATCGCAGATTATGACAGTAAATACTATGAACGAAGAAATAAAGAAGTAGCTGATGGAGTGTCCTCTGAACTACCAATTTGGGCATTTGTGCGAAAATATCGAGTATTCTTGAGCTTGATTAGAGCAAATAAAAAACTACGAGAAATTGGAAAAGTTTTTCTAACTAATAATGGTATTGAAGGCAGGCCTTTGATGAAGAGCTCTTTGTTTGCGCCGAATCTTGAGAACTCGACTGAGATAATGATGTTTCCAGGCCTTCTTGAAGCAACAAAGCAAAAAGATGTTCAAAAAGCAATGAAGTCGTTAATTGTATTGGAAGCACAATTCCTGAATGTGCGCTATTTGTTATTGTGAGCAAGAGTATAGTTACTTAAATATTGATTGATACTCCTTCTGGTATGATGTCACTTTTTGCCATTTTTTGGAGTCTATTATTGCGGATTGCATACAATAACTAGAAATGAGCTTTGTAATAGAATACAAAAAATCAAACAAATATAAAGTACAGTATTCTACAAAAGTAAGTGAATATTATTCAGATACGTAATTATTTTAGAGAAACTAACTTAACGTCAAAAGTTAGCTCAGAGTTAGCTGGAATACCCGGTAAGGTTTGCTTTCCGTAAGCATATGGAGCAGGAATCACAATTCTACGCTCACCCCCAATAGCCATACCAGTTACACCAATGTCCCATCCTTTTATGACTTCACCGCGATGAAGTTTGAAGTAAAATGGCTTACCGCTGGTATTTTTATCAAAAACTTTCCCATTTTTTAGCTTTCCAATGTATCTCATACCAACTTTTGAGCCCTTCTTAGCCTTTGGACCCTCACCTATCTTACGGTCCTCAATAATAACACCTCCTTCCAACACTTGTGCTTTATTCTTCTTTTCATTCTCTGTAGCCTTTGTATTTTTTTCATCCTTAGTCTTTTTGGATTTTTTTGTCTCAGGTTGTTCATCTAGTTGTTCCTGTTTTCTTTTCTTCTTGTTATCCTTTGCAATAAGATCCTCCAAATGAGCCTCAACATCGCTGGTCTCTTCTAACTTAGCTAATTGTTCATCAATATCTTCATCACCCTCGGAAATAGCATCGTAGAATTCTTGGTCCTCATCACTTTCTTCAGAGCTAGCCTCATCGTGATCCAACTCGTCATCTTCTTCTATTTCTTGGTCCAACTCATCATCAGAGTACTCCTCGCTATCTTCATCAGAGTATAGATCTTCTAACGGTTCATCAAATGGATGCTTCACGTAGTTACCAGTTAGGGAAATGGTGTAAGAACCAGTCACCAGGAATTGAACGTCTTCTTCTGGAGCGATGGTAATATCGATAGCCTGTTGGCATCTGGTCTCCGGGGATAAAGTAACCACGACACACTCTTCATACTCGTCTTCACCGTCGTCATCCTCATCGTCATCCTCATCGTCCTCGTCCACGTCCTCGTCCTCGTCCTCTTCCTCTTTATCATCATCACTTGCCTCATCGCCATCTTCTGCAGCTTCATCACCTTCCAACTCTTCAATCAGCTTCTCCTCGTCAACTTCACCGGCATCCAAGTAAACTGGGTTGCGTCTAATGATACGCAACGTGGATGGCTTCTTGTCCTCGTCAAAGGGCTCGGGGTCAATGGCAGCCATCGTTATACGTACAGTAACCGGGGTATCCAGCAAAACGGCCGGGGTATGTGTGTAAGGCTCCACATTCAGAGCATACATAGCTAGCGGTAACATATCAGACATTCTACACACAGTTGTTTCAATGATAGTCTTCACTCTTCAGGAGTAACCTTTCCTTCCTACAATATTTTATCAGTCTGGTACCCATAATATATAGAGCTCATCGCAAGTTTTCCAAAAATTTTGGCAATTAGCTGAAATTTTTCAAAATTTGCCAAATTTTCGGTTTTTCAACAGGAATCACCCCTTTGGGCCTGTGAACCTCTGAAGTTTCAGGAAATGCCACTATAAGAGCAGCCTTTGGTTTTGTAATTTTGGTGTATTGGGTCGATAGTTGGTCAGGATAGCGGCTATAGACTGTTTAGTAAGGTTATAATATGGAGGGGCTTTACTTTAACGTCGATAACGGGTTTCTCGAAGGGTTGATCCGCGGGTACAGGAACGGGTTGTTGACGAACAACCAGTATATCAACTTGACGCAATGCGATAACCTTGACGATCTGAAGTTGCAGCTGTCATCTACAGACTACGGTAATTTCTTGTCGCAAGTGTCGAATGACGCGCTGACCACGTCTGTGATGCAGGAGAAGGCGTCTGAGAAACTGTACAAGGAGTTTGGGTACATTCGGGACCAGAGCAGCGGGCTAACGCGGAAGTTTATCGACTATATCACTTACAGCTATATGATTGACAACGTTGCGTTGATGATCACTGGAACCATTCATGAGAGAGACAAGTCTGAGATCCTCAGCAGGTGCCACCCCTTGGGTTGGTTTGACACACTTCCCACGTTATCTGTCGCCACGGATTTGGAGTCGCTTTATGAGACTGTTCTTGTGGATACACCATTGGCGCCATTCTTTAGAGATTGCTTCGATGCGGCCGACGAACTGGATGACCTGAATATAGAAATCATCAGAAACAAACTGTACAAGGCATACCTGGAAGACTTCTATAAGTTTGTTTCAGAAGAAATCGACGAACCTTCCCGTGAAATAATGCAAACTTTGCTTGGTTTTGAAGCTGATAGGAGGTCTATAAACATTGCGCTAAACTCATTACAAAGTCCAGATCTAGATCCTGCTTTGAAGAAGCAGTTGCTACCGGAAATTGGTAAACTGTATCCTGTCGCCACAGAACAACTGGCCAACGCTAAGGATTTCGAATCTATCAGAGCTGTGCTGGGTCAAGTTCCTGACTATAGAAATGCTCTAGAATCTGGGTCGCTAGAAGACCATTTTTATAAACTAGAGATGGACCTTTGTAGAGACGCTTTTACACAACAGTTCACAATTAGTACAATATGGGCATGGATGAAGTCAAGAGAACAAGAAGTGAGGAATATCACCTGGATAGCTGAGTGTATTGCTCAAAACCAAAGGGAGAGAATCAACAACTATATATCAGTGTATTGATGAGCAATGACCATCTATGAATTAAATCAACTTTAAACATAGGTTTTGGATTGTAATTACCCCTTTTAAATAGATCTCGAACAGTTAAATCTAAGTTTATTTTGTGTCCTTGAATATATGAGAAACTATGTAAAGTGAATTATGCAAAATTTTCTGTATTTCTTTAAAAATCATTACTCGTGTTAATAAAAAAAATCATGATGTGGATAATACATGGAGAAGGAAAAAATCTAGCTAACTTACAGGATGTTGCTCATTAGTTATCAAATTGTATCTTTTACCACCACCAGTACTAAACGTAACTTGAGCGTCGGCTTCCAAATGTTAAGTCGCAAGCAGCAGATCAGTATTGTCATATCCGATTCTCAAAGATGTTACTATAAGCTGTAATCGCGCATCCATAAAGGTTACTATCGTTAAGAAATTGCAGTTTCACCATCCCTTTGGAATGGAGGTGTATTCTTTCTTGGTAGTACTGACAATAGTTCAAAAAACTGCCCACATAGTCTATATCTATTCCACCCTTTGTAAAATATATTTCGGGGCTAACGAATTTTCTTATGGCAATGATTGCTGCCACAAGGTATATAGCAGCCCTATTGATTAGCAGTTTTGTTATTTGCCTTATAATTTGGTATACTTCATAATCCCACAAAGACAAAAGGTACTCTGAAGGGCATTCACCGTCAGATAATATTTCGCATATTAGTCTTCCATCATATTTTATTTCCTCATCTCCGACCATTGGCAAAAGGTTGTAATATCTTATTATATTGTGTAGTATTTGTGGTATCCATTTACCAGATGTTATGGATTCTAAGGGCATTTTATCGTCTATATTAGTGTCAAAGTTGCCGAACTCAATGGATTTGGAATACCTTCCCAAGAATCCCATTTCTGAATTGATAAGAACTTTTTCTCTATAATCATCTGAAAACTGCGTTAAAATATCCTTTTTGAACTGAGGCAAATCTTCGTATTGTACTTCAAAGCAGGAATTCACACCAGTTCCTAATATCAAAGAGATTTTATCGTTGTTGTCACTTTGAAGATATTTAGATGTCATATGAACCGCCAATGAGTCATTAATTACATTGCTTATCTCAAAAGTAAATGATGAACTGTACTCCTTTTCTAATCGATCAAAAGATTGTTTCAAGATATCTAATATACTAATGCCTTTCAGTTCTGGTGACATCCTAAATCCTTTTCCCATGGCTACAATTTCGTTGTTAGCATTTACTGGGAAACTGAATGTAATAGCGACTATAAATTTTCTAGGTAGACTTCTTTCGTTGTTTATTGGAATACGATTGCATATCCATTCCACTATATTGTCAAAAAATTTGAAATCAACTACCTTTGATTTAATCTCCAACTCATATTTTAGCTCCATTTGGCACTGGGGCATATTAATCACAGCAAACTTAAGAACACTTCCTCCAAAATCAATGGCAAGCATGTCCATAGGCTCATTATACTCAGACCATCCTCGGCAACAAACCTGTGGGAAAGGTAACATAGACTTCTTACAATTCTTCAACATGAAATCAAGCTCCTCTTGAAATTTCTCAGTTATTGTAGCTAAAGACTGGCGCACTCCAAGTTGGCTCTTGACCTCTTCTAAGATCTTTTCCGGATTAGCTATTGTCATTGTCCCAATCGGTCTCATCTAATGACTTCAAATTCCTTCTTAGACACCAAAAATATAATTTGGTGTTGAAAAATAGGCTATCTCTTCTTTATAACAACCCCACAATTTTTAATGCAATCAAAATCGGCTAGGAATTTACAGATTGATGTCCTGATTTTTTTAGGTCAATGCTTGCTTAGGTATTTGTATTCCAGCAAATAAGCAAGAATTTATTATAAATTTTGCCAATCTCAGCTAGTCTGCTATCAGTTATACTTTTGCCTTATCATTGATATGAGCTTTGCCAATCCCGCATCGCGTTGATTTACGCAAAATTTTGACAAATTTTGGTGTTTTTGTAGCAATCCGATGAGCCAAAAGTTTAAAAGAGTTGTAGCAAAAGCAGACCTTGAAGTCTTGTTAATGTAGCAGCGACATTTGTTTTATATTATATATACTAATGTGGCACTTATACGGAGTTGTTCCCTTCTTTGTGATCAGATTGGTACTTCTTCCACCGACCGCTTTTGGAAGGCGTAATTCTTATATGTGTAAATGCTTCAAAGTAATGCATCTGGAAACCCATCAGACTAACTGGTTGTAGTTCCTTAAAACCCCCGGTGTAGATATATTGGGCTTGATTTGAAGATGAACTCATCAGCTGTTTTTCTATTGGCAGTCTAAATACCGCTGAAATATGTCGTGTTCATCTCATTTTTGTGGTCTTGATGTTACTTCCAACACTTGGAGCAATCATGGGAACCAAATGGTTAGTTAAACCAGATAAGATGTTGCATACAGATTTTCAGTCAAATTATATCATATATAAGAGGTCAGAAACTAAGCTATACAAGACCTAACTAATAAATGCAAACGGAAGTTATAATCAGGAATAAAGTAGCAGTGTATAAGCTCATAGGTCTGTGCCAGAAATATAGAGATGATGTGCAAAACTTGCACAAATGCATGCTAAGGTTGAACTCTTTGTTTTACAAAATGACTACCGAAGAAATTGAGAGCCAATCGAAAAAGAATAATGACAGCTCAACCACTCTTATTGCCAGTGCCACTAGCGATAAGTGTAGCAACTTAAATTACAACCGCTGTGATGAAGGCTTGAGTGCATGCCAGGTAAGCCCTGTAGAAAACAATTTGGATGAGGCTAGTCCACAGGATAATGATCTCCTGCTTAGGCCCAAGACATACTCTGCTGTTATGCTTGATACGGCGGCTATATCAGACGATGTGAGACCTCTTATGGAATCAATTCGCAAAGACACACCAAAGAAGTTCCATTTCTATAAGAACTATGGATTTCACCTAGGCACCCTGCAGGATGAATCAAGAATAATTGCACAGAAATTACATTACGAGCTCAAGCACATCTCATTGAAGATCATTATCCCCATGAAACTCTTTGACAAACAGTGTACACATTACCTGAAGCATTGTCCTTGTGGAAACAAGATAGTAACACCTTATGAAGTAAAGCAGGTTGACAAATTTATAGAGTACATACCTAAGTTCTGGCACTACTGGTTCTTATCTTATTACTCGATCTTCTACAGAATCCATTTCTTGCTCTACTTGCAAAGTTGCCAATTACTCTTACAGAAATCAAGGAATACAGTTATCAATAAAAGTGAGTTGAGTTCTATTAGTCTATTGAATGATTACAGAGAGAAAGCAGAGTCTATAGTCAGGCAAATGGAAAGCTTTAACTTTACGAGCTAATTCAATTTATTATGATCTAAACTCTATATTTGTGTTTCTATTCTTTAGTTAGTTTAGTTACAGTTTCCACCAACAAAACATTAAACCTCTTCTTTCATATCAAAACAATAAAATTTAAGAAAATGACACATTGATAAATAGCAATAATTTGGGACAATTCAATCTTATTGTCTAACTACCATAAACATTTTCAGTACTTAACCGTTTTAAAGCCCTTTTAATCTCACCAGCAGATCTAACTAGCTCATTTTGCTTGTATTCAAGTTGAGCTTCTTTCAGTTTTGTCCATTTCTCTAACCTACCAATTATGGTAGCACCTTTAAAGGAGTCGAGAAGCACTGCGGAGTCTTGCCACAAATATTGTTTCTAAATTGATTTAAGTTACAGGAAATTATTGTTATCAAGATAATCACTTGAGTTAGTAAAATGAAAAGCATGACTAAACGCTCAGTCGTAGTGTACAAAAAATTAAAAACACATACTCTGTAAAGCTTATCAAGATCTGCCAATAGCTCATCTACAGTAGCTGAATATTGGTCCATAATAGAAGCACCCACTTCATACACAGACTCCCAGTCTAGTCTGTAGACACCATCATTTATCCGACACTTATCACTGTTGCCGCCATTACTTTCTTCAGCTATCTGGCTCATAATTGAGGTGATCTCTGAGATACGACTCAACACATCCCTCTTAAAACACTTATTATCATATGTATCTCTAATACCACTCTTACACCACATCTCAATGGTTTGCTTCAGCATAGGATGGAATTCAACATCTGGGTGCTTCGTGGTAAGGGCGTCTTGTTTTACTATGGTCTCCCCCTCCACTTCTGTGTCTGACTGTTTCGTTCCCATCTTCAGTTACTACTAAATAAACTATTTGCCTTTATTTTGTAGGTGAGACAATCCTAGGATTCCATTAAAATGATGCGATGCAAGATGGCTTTTTCAATGATTTTTTTTGGTGCTTCATTCCGATTGCCGCTAGAAGGCGATAAACAAACGAAAAATACGTATGTTAGGTCTATATTAAATGGCATAGTTAGTGTTTTTTATAAACGGTTAGAATGAGATGTATATGTGTAATATGCTAAAGATTAAATTGTGAATGTTCTTAAATACACTTAGCGAATACTATCTGCTAAGTAGATTCCAAATGCAATAGATAGTAGGGCCTTCTCCCGCAATAAGACTTGCAAACTGTTAAGAGAAAACAACATATGAAATGTAAATGCAACATTTAAAGATTTTCTAACCGGCGCTGTTTTTCATGAACCAAAACTGATGAAAACCGGCATTGAATAATCTCAGAAATGCATAGTAGAGGACGGTTGAATAACTCTTTGTATACTTGAATCACTATCAGTGCTCGACCGTAAAGTGATACTCTGCAATTCAAACTGTTCCTCTGTATCATCGAACTGCTTATTCTTGAAGTTTTTAATTATTCGGCTGCTATCCAATCTGGTCATGTTGTTGTAAGATGTACTTCCATGGATACCCGTGTCTTCAGTATGACTACTAGACAACTTACCTCCAGATCTGCTCGATGCAGAATTTGAGTCCTCACCTGTGATAACATTCTCGTCATCAAAAGGATTTTCATACTGCGACTCTTCTGCTCTATCCAAAAATCCATCCTTCAGATCGCTGGTCCTAGGATCGTAATTCTCAGCGATACACCACTCCAAGCCTGACCACACAAAGCACGATAAACTCACAAAGAATGCCAGCATCCATAAACATGTGAACCATGATGCACCTAGATGGTAAGAGAAACCAAAACTTTGTAGCTCACTTTTGATTCTTGCTTGAACTGTGTAATTCAACCATGCCAGGCTAATAACACTTGTTAGACCACATATGAAGACAGTCAAGCTAAATATAGATAAAGTGTGAACTAAAAATTGTTCCAGGAAGATATTCAGAAATCTTCCCTTGATGTAATAGTACCAAAAAGTGACGCAAAACTTGACCAGCTCTATGACAAAGATAGCATAGAGCAAGTTAGTCACTGTAACTTTCCTCGATCTGAGCGAGTTGATGTATTTCGAGTAACTGGTGGACAACCCCATTCGCGATCCATCCTTTGAGTAAGCGTAATCTAGAATGATCCCAAGACCTAAGTTTGACAGCACTTCACGGTAATCAAAGATGTAGTCAGAGCCAGTATCTATACAATCACACATAGTTGTGGAGTTCTGCACTTGATATAGCCTACCTTTGGAGTCCATCATCTGTTCAGTGGTGAAGGTGCAATCACAACGACCATACAGGGACACGACAATGTATTGGGGTGAGCTACGCACCTGTTGTGCTGTATATTCTGTTAGGATCACCAGTTCTGAGGTAGTTAACCCGACACCGTTATTGATACTGGTCAAACTTGCAGTTTCCATGTTAAGTCTCAGCACATCGAACAAACCTTGGGTGATATCAGCAGAGAAGGCATCTAGCTTCGACATGTACATGCTCTTAGGGAAAGTGAACGGTGCCAGACACACCAGCCCGCTCAGCAGGATAACCATGCCGGACGATATCAGTCGCAGCCACTGCACAAGAATCTCCAAAGAGTTCAAGTTAGTGAAGGGCCGCATAAGCAGCCTCGCAACATGCAGCATCTCTGTCTAAATATGTAACACACCTGTGTATATGCGTATATCTGGCGTTAATGGGGATCAGAACACCCCAGGATCGATACTCGCAGTAGTGGGCTCATATCTTTTTATATTTTCGTGCCTGGCTCATCGCTTGCAAATCCCAGCGATAAGAGACAAAGGCTTATCAGGATTCCGGAGTCATCTCCTATAATTGAGGATGCGGAAATCAAATCTTATCACGCACTAGCAAGTGAATCAAGAATATATAAACGAAGACTCCTCCAAAAATACGTATGTTTATATACCTTATCGATTGAGTAAATACGAGATCAATATCGCTGACAAGGCCGTGGCCACGGCCTTGTCAGCGATAATTGTATGGTAAAGATTGGCAATTCGGAGTATAAGAACACCAATGTGGAACCATCTGGCCAGCTACAGAATAGCCATAAGGGTACATATAACCGGCAATGGGCGTCCTATGGCCATCAACACAGAGGTGAACTAGCTTGGCTTATCCGAATTGCCTCCGCACTCTATTTTTATCGATTTTTCAAGCAATTTCTTGTTTGGTAAGGTCACTTTTTAACTGAAAATTTTCAGAAATTTTTTGCGCAACAAGAAATTTGATTGCAGCCCATCATTGAAACCGATCAATTGTTGACGTGTACTAGGGGACTGCGTGGTAATTGGAGCCCATAAAGCACAGGTGTAGACGGGGACCATCGGCGGCGCATTGATCTTATCAATTGCTCGATATAGGGAGACAGGCCTGCAAATTAGGAATTTGATTGGATCAATTGACCTGGAAAGAGGACAAAAGTTGGTGCTCACGATTTATTTTGTGAAATTGGGGCAATCTGGGAAGGTTTCGGATTAAGTAAGAGGATGGCTGAGCTTATAAAAGACCTGGAAGGATGGCAGATAATCATCAAGGACCAGGATGGTAATGTCATGGACGAGCGCGACCGGAAAGTACGGAGGAAGAGAAATGTCTCGACTGATCTGTTTATATTCCGGGAGAAAGACGCACTTACTTTTGGCCGTGGTCAAAATGTGGTTGTGCATGACGAAGTATCTGACTCATACGCGGTCTACTTGATCCACGAAATACGCCAGAACACCTTGAACCATGCGCTGGAGATACTGTGTTTCACATATTTGAGATGGTTTGAATTAGAACCACGTGACTACTACAAGGAGTTCAAGCCCGAGTATCTGTCCATGACCAACCAGCAAATTACAGAGAAGTTCCTGGAGGAGATCGATCGCGATGAGATATATCTAACTGCTGAAATTACGCCGATATGGCTCAAGGATTTCATAGATATTGCCGAAGTTTACAACGCAAAGAAATGGGCGCAGGTAAGACAATCAGTTAACAAAGAGAGAAACTTCTTAGTCAGATATGTGTGCGAACCCGTAGCAGAGAATTTTGTCCCTGTAGACATAGATAACATTATGGATCAGATGAGAAAGCGGTCTGCTCGCGATTTTGAGACAATGCTGAAGAATTTAACAGTCAACGGATTCGTCCATAGCTCGAGTAAGAAAAGGCAAAAAATTAAGGCTGAGGATACCGACAATACTGTAACTAAGAAGAATCTACTACATAATCAAAAACAAAAGGAACCTGAATCACATGAGCTGAAATATCAGAAAGTACAACTAGAAGATAGTCCCCAACCTCATCACAAGAAACCGCAATCAAGAATCGATGATCATTACAGCGTTGTGAGTGATATGCCTCATGGCCGTATAGTCAACACTGGCGTCAAGCCAACTACAAAAAAGTCAAGCACGTCTAGTCAAACACAAACTGATCACACTCAAAAGAGGAAACTTCAGTCTGACGGAGGCAAATCGGGGCCCAGTAATATGAAGTCAACAGTGGGCAATGGTAGTTCAAATGATAATATTCAAAAAAAACGTAAAACAGAGGACTCTAGTAAGACACCAAGTAATTTACACACGACCATGACTGGTGTATCTAGAAGTACTGGCGTTACTTCTGATGCTGGTAAAGTGGTAGATAAGGAAATCATAAAAAATCCAACATCAGTACCTTCACAAGGAGGTAATAGAACCAAAGGGAATGATATGAGTAAGAAGGAACCCTACTCAAAGGCAATAGCTGCAGCAAATCAACTTAAAGCAGGCAGGACCAATCAGAAATCAAATCAGACAGCTAAAAAACCTTCTACAACATCTAGCAATGAAAGAGAAGAGAAAATACCTGCTTACTTATCAGGCCGCTTTCAACCGTCAGAGGTCATTGACTCTGTCCAAAGTGGCACCCTCAATGATTTAATGACCCAAGTGAGAAAGAGAGGTGGTGTTTCAGAAGCCTTAAAATACAAAGCTAAAAACCATGTCGATGGAACTGGCCAGGATTTATATGCCACGGCAAAGTCATTTACATCCAACCTTCGTAGAACTTTACTAGGTTCCGAGAACTCAGCTCAATCTCAACAACAAAATGCCAGCGATATAGAAAAAAGAAAACCATATAATGTAATCGATGATTTCAAGAATAATAGTTCGGCAAAAATACTCGAACATGTTAAAAGAGGTAATACAGTATCCGAGCTTCTATGCCACCAACCTATTGACAAAACACCTGAGAAATCAAATGATGAAAAGTTGAAGCCTTTACTTACTGCCTTATCTGATCTTACAACAAACAAACAATTTGTGCAATTACGCAATATTGTAGGTTTGACTGCTCAATCAAAGAACAGTGGTAGTATCTTTGAGAAATTACGGAAATGTACCACTAGTGAATCCCTAATTCAATGTATGTCAGACTCTATCACATCTGACATCATTCTGTCTATGAGAAATAAGGAGTTTGTGACCATTTATGGTTCTCTTTTTAATGCTATTATAAATGGTAGAAACAAATCATTATATCTAACTGGTGACGATGAATACACGATCAAATATGTTTTCAATAAAGTTGCACATGAACTATTACTATCTGCAACCTTTGAAGAAATTCCTCAATTTAAACTCGCCTCTGTCCCATCCTCATATGATAATTTCTATCAGGGACTATGGCAGAATATCTCCGGCGATATTCTGTCAGATACCGAAGCAGCTATCGCATTAGATTCATACTTTTCTGTCATGCAGCCGGTACAGAGATTTCCTATTTTGATATATATCGAAAACATGGATGAGTTTTTCAATAACAGTGAGACAATATACAAAGACCTTATCAACTGGTTTTTAAACCCACTCAGTAAGATTACACTAATTTGTAACGGCACAGTGGTAAATAATGAAATTGGAAACCCACTCAAGGACATATTTTTACATGTGAACTTTCCCTCTGTATCCGAGGAGCAAGATTGTAGTGTAGCTAACATTTCGAAGGTGATAAACCAGATAAACTCCTCTTATTTTTATTTTAATGCAGATTTACAAGCAGCAACATTTTGCGAGTTTTACAAGCACTACACCAAGAATTGGCAGAAGATTAACTTTCGCATTAACGAACCTGAAGTTGGAATTTCCGTAAAAAACATACAGAATGCGCTTACATTGAAGGGTTTTGATTCCATCATCAATGTACACAAGCATATCTATCAATGTTTGAGAAATGTGGTAAACAGATATATTGACAGCACGGCAAAGAAAACCACAGTAGATATCCAAGCCAACCAACTGTCAGTCTCTGCAGGCTCAGCAAATACCCACTATGACTTGATGGAACCACTATATGGCCGTATTATGTCTAGTCTCGCGGAATTAACTTTTGTCGATAAGTTAGTATTGTTCTGTACTGTGTTATGCAGGCTAAGAAAATCCAGTGTCGAGAAAATTGACCTTAACGAGGTTTACAATGTAATCGTTGATGTGCTGCACCATAACTGCGATAACTCTCCAATGATCTCAAACCTATTACTGACATACTCAACGATCAAAAACCGTAACGATAAGGGGTCTGCCATCAAACTGTTCCTAAGCAGCCTGATGTGGCTGGACGTCTTCACCCGCCTGTATCGTACAGGCTTTGTAACATTACACGTTGACCAAGAGGACCGCAACCAAATAAAAGTCGCGCTTGCAGGGTTTGAAGTCGACAGTATTCTAGCCGAGTTGAAGCGCGACAGCTCGATGAGCTGGATCCAATCGTGTCTCACCGAATAGAAAAGCTTTCATCTTCTTTTCTTGATTCTCCTCTACTAATACATTTTTTCAATTTTGTTTTGCTAATAACTCTAATATATAGTAATAAAAAAAAAATAACTACATCATTGACAAGTCTCATCTCCTCTTATACCGTAGTTAGTTTATAATGCATGTGTCAATACAACCTCACGCACCCAACATCACCGCTGTTCCCACATATGGCGCCAATACCCAGCTATAATACAACTTATGTATGGTAAAGATCATCGCCATTACCACAGAATGGACGTCCCGCGGTTACCGACACGCCTCTTTGACACTCAAAAATGACGTCATTGGCAAGCTGTATTTCCGCGTCCATTATGTCAGCCTCCCCCCCCCATGTCCACCCAGCTGAAATCCAAGAGGCTATACACCAATCCAGTGGAGGAGCTTCTGCTGCGCGTGGTGTATCTGGAAGCAGGATGTTTGTCTTGACACCACAAGTATATGTGCACTTTAGTGATGGAGCCGTCTTTACCTGATCGGGTAAGTAAGTTCAGGGTGGAAAGTTGGGAAGGTCAATGGTAGTGTGTGGGGGGATGGGAGACAATATGTAAAAGTATGTTTACACGAATAGATACACTGTTAACCATGCGGCTCTAATACGTATGTAGGGATTTCCACTCTGCAGTTGTTCTGAAAGCAAATTTTCCTCTAAAAAACAATCATGTGATGCAACGTCACAGATGTTCAAGTTAGAAGTGGAAACAAAAAATGACTTTTTTGTGACTGGTACACCCAAACACCAGCTTCCTACTTTAAAATTTTTCCAGCTGGTTGTTTTCCAGAATTGCATTCCTCTTTGTTATACCTGTGGGAGTGGGACCTGTCCCTTCCGCGGTGACTGGGTGTCAGTTCCCACACCGCGGCGAGCGTACTCTACCTCCGTGCAGCTCGCTAGTTTGTCACTAGGCATTGGGCATTGGGCTAATGACAGGAACGGGAAGTGCACCCACACAGCATCATTCAGAGAAGACCACTTTGAATGGGATTCTGGCGAGCTGCCTGGCGTGAGCTGCCACCAGGCTACCTTGCCGAATCACTTTCGCCTGCCTGTAGCACCCTGGCTCTGTAGGCTAGGCAGCAACTAGAGCCCCTAGGCAGCATTGGCAACTCTAACCTTCCAATACAGGGAGCCAGGCTAGAGCGGGGGTCCCCTGGAGGAGATTGTACGCTACTGGAGCCTAACCTTGGATCCTGGACTTAGCTTAGGCTGTGGCCAGGCTGAGGTTAGGCTGAGGTTAGGCTCAAACCTAGGCATGGTCTTGGGCTCGGAGGGCAGGGGGCCCCATCTATGATCCTGTGGTAGCCACTGGCTGCAATGGCCATCCCAGGAAGGTAACGATCCAGGGTTGCCAGAGGATCGTCGCGGGCCAACACTGCCACAAGCCGTAAGATTCTGGAAAATTGTGCATCGCAACTGCGAAAGACAGTGGAAAAACCTTTTGCGACACAGAGCGAAGGCTTGGGAACTCATACGCTGGTGCAGTGCAGAGGATTGCCAAATTTACTTGCGTTAGGCAGGAATTGAGTGTGAACTTGTGTAACTTTGTTCAAATGGGTATTATCTTTATATCTTTTCTTGGTTCAGAGTTTTAAAACATATATATTATTTAGTGGCGGTTTGTATAATATAGTCGAAGAATACCAGACAACTCTATTAGAACTGAAAGTACTGTAACCAACCATGGCTGTCGGTAAGAATAAGAGACTATCCAAGGGTAAGAAAGGTCTAAAGAAGAAGGTCGTTGACCCATTCACCAGAAAGGAATGGTACGATATTAAGGCCCCATCCACTTTCGAGAACAGAAACGTCGGTAAGACTTTGGTTAACAAGTCCACTGGTTTGAAGTCTGCTTCCGATGCCTTGAAGGGTAGAGTTGTTGAAGTTTGTCTTGCTGATTTGCAAGGTTCCGAAGACCACTCTTTCAGAAAGGTTAAGTTGAGAGTTGACGACGTCCAAGGTAAGAACTTGTTGACCAACTTCCACGGTATGGACTTCACTGCTGACAAGTTGAGATCCATGGTCAGAAAGTGGCAAACTTTGATTGAAGCCAATGTCACCGTTAAGACCTCCGATGAATACATCATCAGAGTCTTTGCCATTGCCTTCACCAGAAAGCAATCCAACCAAGTCAAGAGAACCGCTTACGCTCAATCCTCCCACATCAGAGCTATCAGAAAGGTTATCTCTGACATCTTGACCAGAGAAGTCTCTAACTCTACTTTGGCTCAATTCACTTCCAAGTTGATCCCAGAAGTTATCAACAAGGAAATTGAAAACGCTACCAAGGACATCTTCCCATTGCAAAACGTCCACATCAGAAAGGTCAAGCTATTGAAGCAACCAAAGTTCGACTTGGGTTCTTTGATGGCCTTGCACGGTGAAGGTTCCGCCGAAGAAAAGGGTAAGAAGGTCTCTGGTTTCAAGGACGAAGTCTTGGAAACTGTGTAAATTATCTAATAATCACAAACACGAAATAAGCACAATAAAAAATATTAATATTATATCATACTTTTTCATTATACAATCAACTCTCTCACATGCTCCCTCCTCTCAAACTTCTTATTTTTTTTTTTGAAACTTTTTTGGATTGATTGGATTATATCGCCAAAACCTTGATTCAACGTGAATTCATACACTCAGGATTATTTTCAGGTTATGTGCTGATTTGGTATTATGATATACAAAATGCAAGATTGAATGTGGACTATAGAATACCTTAGGGAGATACTATAAAGGGAAATTAGTTCTATCAAAAGGATCGCTCTAACTCTACAGCTGGTGCACTGAACTTCAACTCCATTTCTCACTATTTCTAGTAACTTCATACAGAATGTCTACAGAGGAAAGAAAAGTTAATAACTGCTAATTTTTTTAGTGTCTGCTTGTTAAATTTTTGTATGATTTTTTATGAAATCCCAATTTTTTTGTTTTAGTTTTTATCATTATTTTATTCTGCATTTTATTATCAATACCAATACCAGTTCATATTATTATTTTCTGATACATAAGTTGTTTGAATAAATCGTTTCCTCCAGGGCTTGATCCTTCAAACAGCTACCGAACATATATATACGCATACCCTATACCTCTTTAAATATAAAAGATAGTCTGCTTACAGTGTATTAACCGCATTATTGATTTTGCCATACGTTACACCAAGATATATCTCACTAAGGTTACTACCATCTACTAATCAATAAGCGTAGCGGCAGGTATTAGTGTAATCAATGTGTAATTCCTTGTATCTGTGTACTGTGAGTAGAGATCATGTGACCAAACTTCAAGGGTGTGTATTCTGCATTCATCTGGATAATTTTCCAAATTTTTCAAGGACATCAGTACAATCGCTGCGAGAGTTTCTTAGTAAATGTGCCTTAGGAAATGTGTCGATCCGTAGCAATTTCGCTAATGTCGTAATTTCAACAGAATAATACGAAATACAGCAATAGCATCTGATCCTTCGAGCACTGTATTCTATCAGGTTTGACGCCTTTACTATATTCCCATAGAGCTATTTAATAGAGTAATAGCCACTACTAGCTTTTTTGGTCATAAAATAGAGAGAGTAGCTCATAAAACTCATTCTAACCCTCAGTGTGAATTGAGTAGGGAAGAAGAATGATAGAAAAGAAGTTGGCGATTCTCGCCTCTGTATACTGCTCTAAAGCAGATATCAAGCAGCTGAAACGCATTATTCCTTATTTCAAGAATCAGAAAGCACTCATATTCCAGTTTGTTCAAGCTCTATGGCCGGAGTTGCAAGATCCTTTAGATCTTAAGTTTTTATTTGATGTCGATACTTTTAATGGTGACGAGGACCACGCAGCAAACAGTTTAAATGATATTCTAGTACAATGCTTGGAACAAGACTCCTCGTTGATTCCACTAGTGGAAACAAACCCTGATGTAGTGCTAGAAAGGTACGATCAATTGATTAAATATGTTACAAGGGACTCACAAATTGACTTCAACATTCCACCTTCCCATTCTTCATGGATAAAGAACAGAATTATTCATTGTAATAACTATGACAAGAATCTGATCCTCTATTATCAACCACTATGGTCACAATTAGAGCTAACATCAGAGTTCAATGAATGGGTGAACGGTGTATTATTACCATTGAACAATATCCCAGCTAATAATAGAATTCATATTGAGGAGCTCATAAAAATGGACTCAGCGAAACGCATAACGTTCCTTTTGGGTTGTATGCCAAGTTCTACATCTGATTTAGGGTTTTTTTCAAATATTTTCCTACCAATGTTAAGGTACTATAAAGAAACCGATCTTGATTATTACACGAGTCATTACGTCAATCCACAAACATACAAACTGGAAAACAACAATGAAATAACAATTCTCTCAAAAATCTATGAAATATCTGGCTCTGTAGAGGTGGGAGCAAAGGTACTTGGCATTCTTTATGAAAATGGTCAAAACTATTTCAAAAGTCACCCAAATAAATTCACTGATTCCGAGTTGAGAGTTTTATTGACCAAAATTGGAACCGAAGATTCTAGTTTACACCTTAAACTGCTTGATCTTATCAGAGATATCGATGATCTGGAACATTTCAACAGCTTCAAAACACTATTTGATATTCAAGAAGGTACAGAGGCTCAACAATATGACTTATTCACAATATATTCTAGGTCTTTTAGAATAGATAATATATCTGAATTAGAAAAGGACTTCTTATTCAACAAGTTGTCACTTAGACAAAAACTTGAAATAATAATAGAGTCGCTCATAGAAAAGAACAATTTATCGGAAGTGAAGAAGCTGTTAGATGAAGATCCAACGCCCGAAAATAACGAGTTGCTAATCAAAAATTTCTGGAAGTTCTTTTATAGATCTGAAAACATCCATGATGAGGCATTTAAGATTGCAGAAACGATACTGTCCATGATCCCCTCTAATTTTAATGGATCTGCAAAACGCCATCAATTAGAATACCTACTTAAGAATTCAAGGGACCTGTCTCAACATTCGATCAACTTACATCCACATGGTTTCAAACCAAACTATTTATTGAATTATAAAGATGAACCAATGGCTATAATATCCAATCTTTTAGAATTAAACCCAAAACTTTACAAGATGACAGATAAAACACAGGATATTTTGTCAAACCTTAATAGTTGTTTTGACAAGAAGACCACTGAAGTTGCTAAGTCGAAGTTGTTGGCTTTGCATATCGATCATGCCTTGGTTAACAGAGATTTCATGTTTGCTTATCAACTATGTAAAGAGTGGTTTGCTATCTGCAAAGATGCTGGAAATGATGAAGGTATTGGAAAACAATGGCTGACTATATTCCAGGTTGGAAAATTTATTGATCCTGAGTGGCCTGATAATGAAGCACCAACTGAAATACTCATTCTTCAAATGGAAATTTTGAGCGAACTCCTCCAATATTCTCCGATTGATCAAATAGAAATTATAGCAACACAATGGAGTGCTCTAGAGGTCGAACTAAGTATAAGGGATCTCTCAACTGATACCTCAATATCGAATGATTCAAATTCATTACAATTTATACAAAACAGTTTGAATGAGGTTTCGCATACCATGGCAGCATTTTTGGGCAGAAACAGATAAGTAGAAAATAGATATTAAATAATACTATCGAAGTCCGTTGGCCTTTCCCAGTTGTAATCGAACTTTAAGCCTCATAATAGACATCCTTCATATGATGACGTATTTTGTTTAATTTGCGAGCTACCTTATTATTTACATGTTAAAGAATTTATATATAACTAGATAAAATCCATAAGCACAACTTAAGTACAGTGCCATGCTCTAGTTTATTCACGCTATTTACTTTAAAACTTCTCAGACAGTTGTAGCACTGACCAACCTCTTCAAATATCCTCTTACTGTTGGTAATTCGTCAAATCTCGAGACTCCATTTTCTCCTTGCCTTAATTCTTTGATTGCATCACATGCCTCTTCAACAGCCTTCAAGTTGTTATCCGCTGTAAATACCACGAAAGCCTCTCCAACGTCATTGATCTGACCATCACTTTCTTCCAAAATGGCATTGATTGAGTCGTTACGAGATTGGAATCTCTGAAGTTTCAACGTTGCAACAAGTTTCAAACCGTCGACAAACTTTCTATCCACTACATTATCTTCAATGACCTCATGAATTCCAAATAGAGCCTCCTGGAATCTTGTCAGCATTTCAAATGCTTGTTCATCTTCACTTGAGTCAAGTTCAAGAAACTCTTTCTTGAAATCATCCACTAAATTATCCTGTAATTCCTTGTTTTGAGCAAAAGTCTCTCTCGCTCTTTTGAAAGCCCAATCCCTTTCACTCAGAACGTGTCTGATTCTCCACATTGTAGTTCTAATCTTTTCACTTATGTCTTCATAGTCATTTCTATTGTTCTTGGCAGCGTTCTTCAGCAAGTGATTTTCCCTAGCCAAAATATTCCTTTCTTTCAAACAGGTATACCAAAGTGAATGTAAATCCTCAAATGACTTCCTTCTTAACTCGGGAATACTCCAGGCACGCGAAGTTGTGTCTAGGTCCTCCGGACGTCTCATAAACTTCTTATCTGAAAAGAACTGCCACAGCGGATGGTCATCTGGTACCACAATATTCTTCGTAGACGGAGGGATAGGTGGTTGAATGCGTAACTCATTAGAGTGGTGTGTTTGCTGAGTGGGCAACCTGATCTGCTCTTTTGCCCTCGTCTCAGTATTCTTCGGCTTGGGCTTCGTGTACCTCGTCCGCGCCAGCTGCACGCACCCAGAATGGAACTGCCGTCTCAACATCTTCCAGTATAGCTCTTCTTTTCAGTGCTTACTATGCAAATGACTACCAATATGGCCTTTCAACCTGCTTTACAATTTGTCTTATAGTTGCTCTTATGCTTGTGATTCTGTTTTCTTGGAAGGGAGATTGAGCTTTTTTTTCCAAGTACTGAGCTTATGGCTCTGGACGAAGGCCCAAGCTCAGAAGGACCAAAAATTTTGGCAAAAAGCCTTCTCGGAAAGTAGGATTATAACAGTTGGAATTGTAATTTAAGTTGAACTACTGCTACAATAAAGGGAAGTGAGCCTTCATCGTGTTATACTGGGTATACATTTGTAATATAAGCGAGTAACGTGAATCGAGTCGTTTTTTCCGCATAGAAATTGAGTCGGATTTCAGTGTTTTTTTTGCATTATTTGTTGTGGTTTTGAAATACAGATAAGAGATGTCTTTGAGCACACCGTTGGATCTTTTGAAGCTCAATTTAGATGAGAGAGTGTATGTGAAGCTGCGTGGTGCCCGTGCTATGGAGGGTGTGCTGCAGGCGTTTGACTCGCATTGCAATATTGTGCTGAGCGATGCAGTAGAGACCATATATGAGCTAGTGGACGGTGAATTGAAGAGTCAAGAGCGGGCCTCTGAGATGATATTTGTAAGAGGTGATTCTGTAACTCTAATAACAGCAGTTTCCGAAGAAGAATAAACAGAAACGTTAAAATATGAGAAACTAACCATAATAAAAACAATATGCATTATAACAAATACTCTTACGTACAAGTCATCGCCAGTCACCACCTAATGATTATCCAATAGACTAAACCCATTCGGAATGTGTATATATAGATTGGAACAAATAAAAACTAATAAAAAAATAAAATACAAGTGTAATAGAAAGTAATATTTTCAGAATTTTGCCCTATATATAAATAATAAGATCAGCCAGCCCCTCGCTAATGACCGCTAATTGGAGCACTTGGTAGTTCTACCAATGCTTCTTTCATAGCTTGAACACCCTTCAACAAGTCCTCCTCTGAGATGACCAATGGTGGAGCCAATCTAATTATGTGGTCGTGCGTTGGCTTGGCTAGGACACCTTTGTCTTTCATTAATAGACATAGGTCCCATGCTGTACGGCCTTGGGCCTTTTGTGAGTCAATGACAATGGCAGTTAGTAAACCTACACCTCTTACTTCGGAAATCATACCGTCTGACTGTGCTTGAAGTTTACGTAGTTCATCTTGTAGTAGATCTCCGAGTTTTTGAGCTCTCTCAACCAATTTCTCTTCCTTGATGACATCAAGAGCGGCAATTGCAACTCTTGAGGCCATTGGGTTACCACCAAAAGTGGAACCATGGGAGCCCGGTGTAAAGCAGGACATGATTTCACGAGATGACAGCACACAAGACACTGGCAAAACACCACCAGAAATGGCTTTACCCAACAGAACTACATCAGGTTTTACACCTTCAGTATGCTCAAAACATAGCAACTTACCAGTTCTACCGATACCAGTTTGAATTTCATCACAGATGAAAAGAGAGTTGTATTTTTTACACAAGTTTTGGACATCCAATAGGTAGCCCTTTGGTGGCACAACAATACCAGCTTCACCTTGAATAGGTTCAAGGATCACTGCGGCAATCTTGTCACCATGAGACTCAAAAGCCTGTTCCAAGTCCTCGATATGGCCATATCTAATTGCCTGTCCCTTTGATGGGTTCTTGGCAGTTGTGTTTGTCAAAAATGGACCAAAGTGCTTTCTGGAGTCTTCCTCATCAGTAGACAAAGAGATTGCACCAAATGTTCTACCATGGAAGTTACCTTGCGCACCAAGAACAATGGCCTCGTTGTCTGGAATCTTCTTGACTTCGTAACCCCACCTTCTTGCCAATTTCAAAGCGGTTTCTACAGCTTCAGCACCAGTGTTCATTGGCAACACCATCTCATAGCCGAAATATTCAGTTACGTACTTTGCGAAAACGGCAAACACATCGTTGGAGAACGCTCTAGATGACAGAGTTAGAGTCGATGCTTGGTCGACTAGTGCCTTGACGATCTTTGGGTGACAATGACCTTGGTTCACAGCAGAGTAAGCACTCAGAAAATCCAAGTACTCCTTCCCCTCAGGGTCCCAAACGTGAGCACCAGACGCCTTGTGGAACACCACAGGCAGAGGGTGGTAGTTGTGCGCAGAGTATTTCTGTTCTAGTTCAACAGTTTCCTTGGAGCTAATGTTAAAGTTCATTATGTGGTTCGTCGCTATCGTTGTAGTCTTGCAGTAGTGTACGGTGAAAAAGTTCAAGGACTAATTTTGGGAAGTTTTAAGTACCACTTGGACCGAGTTTATATACTTTTTATTTTTTGTATTTTAAGAATCGTTGACAAGATAAAGAGAAAAGTTTTTCTCCTAGTTAAAAGATAAATCCCCAACTTTCACAAATAATTTTTTTTTCTCTCCTCTTTGTGGCATCTTCTCTGCCCCACTTCTCTTCTTTCCTTTAGCAAATCACTAACGCTTATTACTTCCTTTAACTTTAACCTTCAAAGGGTCTAATTTTAAAGGAAATCCTTTCTGAAAAAAATATATTTTTCTTCAAGATGCGATGAGTGAAAGACAATGGGGGAAGGGGTGGGATGACCAGAGATGAGGGGGGGGAGATGGGGGGGATTATTGCATACGCAGTGCAAAAACTACCGGGACATCGATGTATATCCAATATAGATCACATATATATTGGTATATACATGACAATTGGGGCGGTTTTTCCAAGTTGATTTGCCATTGCCAGCTTTAATTAACGCTGCATTGTAGCACAGTCCAGTTCTCCGCTATGACGAATGATTCGTCTTGTCAGTGCGTTCCACTTATCAGCTAGTGCGCCTTACCTGATCTGGAAGTTGCTGATCTTATCGCTTGCTATCAGTCCCAAAACGGCTTATCAGCATCTGCCAAAAAACAGGGTTGGGCGACTCCCCTGCAGAGGTTTCTTCACGCTGCCAATCTTACAAGGAATTGTAGCTGCATCCACACACACACACACACACACACACACACACAGAGACACACCGGGGGAACTCGGGAGGGAAACAGTGAACGTTATCTCCGCAGAGATTGGTTCTGTTGAGTGATATGAATATAGCTATGTACGTTATACATCTATACGAAATTTATGTATGAAAGAATACAATATGTTGTACGTAGATTATGATACATGCCCCCATGTCTCGGCAATTGTACGTGGGTTTCTCTGTAACTCGTTCATTAGCAGCCGAGAAAGATCAGAGTACGGGTGTCTGTGTGTGGCTTGAAAGAGACGGAGAGGGGCATGGAGGGGTGTAGGAAGGGAAGGGATGGAGAGTGGTCACAAGCACAAGCACAAGCACAAGCCACAAGTCACAAGTCACAGCAGAAAATTTTTTACGGAGATTGCTACCATGATCACTGGATGTCACTAATATATAAGAAACTGTGAAGACGGCGAGGATGGTCTACGAGCTGGGACTGTATTGTGCTAGTGTAGTATTTTAGAATTTGCTTTGACGTACTACCCACTACAAGACATACAACTTAACTACAACAACATCAACAAAATGGATAACAAGAGACACCAGACTAGCATTGGCTCGGAGCTAAGCGAAGCCCAGAACAGATTGAGCACTGTGGGTATGCGTATCAGACAGCGTATCGACAGGGGCTACGCATACAGCGGTAAGAACGTCAGCGGCATGGACGACCAAGTGCCTATCAGAGACGTTGCATCCACAATCGTCCCTCAGTTCAGAACGCAGGTACTATACGAGCAACAGCAACAACCACAACAAATGCACAGACCAGCCATGAACGGGCCAGCTCCTATGCTTGTGAACCAGAGAACAGAGTCCTCCAACCTCGACTGTATGCAGGAAGAGATGCTGTCCAATGGTAAGAGGAGAGTTTTCTGAATCAACTTCGCAAATGACTCCGAAACTCCTACGTAGCCGATACAAGGGCAACACTGCATGTGGAAAATGTAACACTACAAAACAAACGCAATATAACGCAAAGCACAATTTCAAAAGATACCAAAGATGACTCAAATAGGAAACACTTGTACTTTGATCTACACTGATCTTTCGCACATTGATCTTCGGCAGGACTCCACTGGCCCGCTATTGGAGCGGCGCTAACTGCAGGATTTTCCGTTTTGAAACACTTGCCATCTGCATGACCGATTTCCTCACCACCCCTGCAGCCTTTTTCTACTATCCTAACCTTTTTCATTTTTCTCTCCATGTAATACTTCTATTATTAGTTCTTTCTTTTTTATTATGTAATCCATGTATTTTTTGTACTTCATTTTAACTTCAACGAATATCTATTTACCGGTCTAGCGCCCAACTGTATTTCTTGTAATCTCCGCGCAATATCCGCTTTCTGTCATTATATGTTGCTAAAAAAAGGAGGAGGGGTAGTTATGGGAGGGCCGGGAAACGGCTTTGCCTAATTATCTGAGAAAGTGCAGGGATTTTAAATGCATTGGTAGGCGGCTAATTGCAACAGCGGTAAGACCGGGTCACTCCTTATTTCCATGTGCTTTTGTTGTGCGTGTGGTTCTAAACAATATATAATTGTTTCCATTACCCCAATTTCTAATCGTTGTTATATATGCAAGCGCGGCAAATTTTTTTTTTATTTTCATGTTTTGTTCAGAAGATGTCGCACAAAACTCAGACTTGAAGTTAAAAACGAGAGAATTAGCGCAGTTAGAAAAGCGCCAAATTACGGCTTTTGCTAAAATGAAAAACAGAAAAATGTATATAAGCGACATGATTTATCCCCACCTTTACCTTCGAAAGTTCGCCTCTCTATTCTGTCGGTTAGCACCTGTTTACTTTTTTCTTTTGGTATACTCACCACTAATATGATTGATTTATATGGTTGACTATCGACATTGAAAGTATGTATAATACGACCCTGCCTGTATATCGTCTTAAAGATATTATCCTTTTTCTTTCGCTTCGAAGTAAGCAGTTGATGATTGCAATATCTCAAAAGGGTTTCTACTCCTACATTGTCGAAAAATACGAGAAGTCCTATATACACATAACAAAGAATAATTAAAATCCTTAATTATCTTTGTCTCACTCCAACAATCTCCAAGAGTGTTGAAACATTAACGACCTTTAAAAACTAGTTAATAACAATAGGGCTTTAAATCAACATATATTCACCACACCTGAAACTAAGCCGGATTCATCAACTGGAAAATATACTCCAAATACATTTTATCTTTTTATTGCTATCTTTGATAACGTAATGAAATCAATGGCCTTGTCTTAGAAGCCAAGAACGTTTAGAATTTTTGGAAATGCACTTTATTTGTCGATTGCGCTTCCTAAATTGGATTGTAAGTTTTCTACAACAAGATAAATATTATACTGGTCCTTCTTCGGTTCCCAAAGGTGTAAATACCAAGAAAATATCTTTATTTTTGCCCCTACCTTACCTTTGTAACTCTTTATCTCTTCATCTTCCCATTTTATGCATTCTCACAGCCCCCTGCCTTTCTCTCTCTATTTTAATATTTTTGCTGCCTAATTTCCACACTCTACAAAAATTGACCATGCAAAGATTGTTTTATCTGGAGAAAAAAATAGATAAACCTGCCAAAAAGAGCCAAAAAGAGACAAAGCAAGGTAGAGGAGGAAAAACCTATATCCTCTCGTTGGAAAGAAAAAAAAGCAGGCGAGAGGGAAAAGAGGGCCCACAGAATACTTAATCATCATATGGTGACTTCCAAGTCTTCTCTTTGATATCCAGGTCTAGTTTCCCACTCTTTTTTTCTTGAATCCTCTTGATATAGTAGCAGTAACATCTAATCACAAAGGAAAGAAATATTAGTATCCACTTCGTCAACATTGGTGGAAATAGAAGATAAAAGAAGCTATCAACTCACAATTACTATCGGCTAATTAAAGCTGAACTCATTCCATTATACAAGCCCCGAAACATAGAAAACAAGACTTCTTGGGATCTTTAACAAAAAAGAACCTATCCAGACACTATCTTTTAGCAAAAGGCTGTTATATCGGTAGTTGAATATTGAGAGCTGATATCATCTTTTTTACTTCTTAAGTTAGGGAAGAATTGAAAAAAAAAATAGGGTATGGCCTTTCGAATTACAACTCTGAACTCATAGATAAAAGTTATTCCTACTTATAGGAGAAGACACATATTTACATTACGAGACAGATATATTAGAAACTGATAGGGAATTGACGTACCTGTTATTTTATCTCAATCAAGAGCCAAACTTCTCACATTAATAATCCAATTTAAATTTTCGTTCTTTCTTTATAGAGGATAAACCATCATCATCAGAAACACTCTCCATTAACCGATGGGGAATACGGACTCTAAACTTAATTCCCTGTATAAGGAGCATCTGTTGAAACTAGCCAGACCTGAAATCACGTCTATTGACAACTCTCAAAATGGCGTCATTTGTCTTTTCAATCCAGAATACTCTTTGAGAGAGATTATAGATCTATATAACAACAGAGGCAACATAACACCCGACAAGAGTTTAAAGCATACTTCTGACAATCACAGTACCTCCATTGAGGATAATCTATTCACAGACTATTACAAGAATTTCTTGAAGTTTGACTTCCAAAAAATTGACAATTTTAATGACTTGATTTCGAAAGATGAACTGCGAACAATATACAAGAATAACAAGGAGAATTATTTAAACCTGATAAGGTTTGTTATCCTAAAAATAATACTAATACCATCAATATTTGGGAATACTCAGAATAAATCCTCTTTCAATAAACTATTCAAACAACTCCTCACATGTATTAAAATATTAACGAAGCTAGTGCCCGTATACTTAGAAAATATTGTTAATGGTGAGAAGGATATATTATGGGACACATCCCCTGATGCCCTGTTCGGAGAACATATCCCAGATACTGACCTAATTCCTGTATCAATGACCTCCGCCTTAAAGACTTCTTTAGATATGCCAACTGCAGATTTGGCATCCCCTCATATGGAACGTCCACTTGGTGCTGCACTACTAGATTCTTGCCTAAATCTTCTTTTCATTGAGGATTTCACAGTCTCTTCTTCTTCTGATACTTCACAAAAGACTGGCGACCTCACAATGATTTTGTGGGAAAATGGGATAAATACTTATGATACATCTTATTATACACAATTTGTCCACTTGGATGCAAACAGGCTGCAAATTATAGAATTACTTTTGGCATTGGTATCAATTGATATTTACCTTCCAGTAAATTCTGACGGTTTTAAAGCCAAAGATAAGATCAAAAACAAATACCTAGATTATATGAAATATGAAGCAAGAGAACATTCGGTTATTTGCTTAACAGCTTCAATAATAAATTTGTTTTGCAGACACTCTGCATATTATAAGCAAGAAGGCACAAATCCTTATAAAATCATACCGAAAGAAAATAGCAGGGAAAACCCGAAGTATAGCAACAGAAATAGCTTTGATACCAATCCAGGCTCTTCCAACAATATCAACAGCCAATGGTTACCTGAGTTAAGATCCAAATTAGTGATTTCATCATTACAATTCCTCAATGTTATGATATGTCCTGAGGAATCGAACACTAAAGTCACCAAGAAGAGAATGGTTAATACTGCTGTTTCTTACTTAGCTACTCTACAGAGGGAATTTGACTTAAAACTAATTTTGACCTCAGTAATAAGAATTTTCAAATTACCAATCGATGCAGCCATTGATGAAGATTCAAACTTATTCACATTTCCTACAGCATCATCAAGAAAAAAACATCAAAATTTATCTAATCATAGCAGAACTTCATCATCATCTAATATAAAAAGATCGACATCTAATTCCTCTGCTACCTCTAGATACGATTCTAATCCTAATACTGTAACTGGTAGTCCAAAGTTAGCGAATATGAGAGAAAACAACACTAGTTCCTATTCATCACTACCTCCATTACCGCCTATTCTCTGTCAAAGTTTAGTATTTTTGATTAATGTCATCAAGATAAACAAACTTGTAAAAAATCAGTTTGCTGACAAGTTTGCAAGTAAATTTGTTGTGTTTGCTGTTTATTACTTAAAATATTACAACGATAACCCGGAATATTCCCTAACTGTGATACCGGTGATTAACATGCTTGCTCTCTATCTAACTTCAAAACCGTTGGTACTTTTAAAAATGCTGGATCCCTTTAATTCCAACTATTACACGAATAAAATACCTAATGCGTTTAAATTAACATCTGGAAATATTAACAATTTGACGTATAGGGACTTTACTGTGATTCAACTTTGTAACATTGCTGACTACGAAGTGAAAAACAATATCCAACCGAATCCTATTATTTATGAAACTCTTTACAACCTAATACCTATTGATCCAAAATGGTTAGCATCTGATACATCAGGTGCAGATGACGAAGAACTCACTTTACTGTCCAGAAAAAAATCTATCAACAGCAGTGGCAATGGGTTAAAGAGCTGTGAACGTCTAAGTTATAATGCTTCATTAGCTGTGCTTCACCTGATATCTAAAATGTCAAGTAGAAATTATTTGACCACCTATTCCACTCCAAGAATAGCATCCATGGTGACATCAATACCAGCTTATGTCCTATCACCCGGTTTTAAGCTTGATCTTCTGGCTATTCTTTTGAGAGCTGTTTCTCTTTATGTTGTCTCAAATACAGATGAAGCTATGAACTTAATATTTGCTTTCGCACGCCATAAGAGTGTAATACTGCAACTCTCAGAAGTTATGAACTCAATTGCCAAAAATTTTTCACCTACTAATACACAAATCTCAACTACTGATAAAAACATAAGGTTACGTGATTTTTACCGATTGCATGATCTATCTTACAATAACATCAACTTTAGGAAAGCATTTAATAACGATGAAGGTTTTCACAGATCGTCTTCACCAAATCTAATAAAAAGTAACAATGGAAAAAATAATGATAATAATGACTCTGACAATGATTCTATGGACATGAACAGTTCTGCATATCTCGTGTTAACCAAGCCAATTGCAAGAGAATATTCCAGTGACGATCTTCGAAATAATAATCTTACAACTAGGGAGCATGCAGGCTCTAATAATAATAATAATATTAATAGCAGTAATGATAAAACATTGCAAGTTCTTGAGTACGTTGATTTTATTAATGACCCAATAATCTCACTTGCAAACGAGTCTGATTATTTCAAAATGAGACCTAAATGGCCAGTAGGAATTTCAATGAAATCCAAAGTTAAGTCTTCCATGAAGAAAGATTTTGTCAGATCCTGGCAAGGGAATGATAGCATGGTATTACTAGTTAAGATAGTCAAGGTGCTACTGTATGATTTTCCTGAGATTGCAACAATAAATAACTCCGAGTACTATGTACTTCTAAAAAAAATGGAGGAGTCAAAGGATCACTTTTTATCTATGATAAAGGATAACATCCCTATTTACATGAGAACTGGTAGTTCTATTCAGCACCAAAAACTTTCCATAGATGATGAATCCAAGTTTTCGACCATATGGTTTTACACGTTGTGCTGGTCTGACATATTCAACACTCATTCTAGTCCCTATAATAAATCATTAATAAATGAACTGGAGGAGGTTGAGGAAACCAATGACATTATCCCAACTATTAGTAATAATGGCAGCAATATCTTTGCAGACCCTGGCTCACCAGTTTTGGAGAGATGGAACTCCAATAGTTCGAACTTATCGCGCACCAATAGTAACAGCAGCTCTTTAATGGGGTATTTTTTCCAACAGCCACAATCTGCAAGCTCTAATAGAAGTTCTGTAGACCACACAAGCCGTTTCATCGAGAGTAAAAACGCATCGGCCCCAACTAAAAAGGCAAGTGCTCCACAAAACAGTTCCTTTTCATTATTCAAATTTTCTTGGACAGGTTTTAATAAGAATGGTAACAGCGATGATTGTGATGTAATAAAAGAGGAAGAGGAAACAACTGTTTCTCAGACAAGTACTAGAAATGGTGTTAATCAGCAAATTTTTGTGAGCGCTTTGGATATGTCCTTACTAAAGTCTAATATATGGGTTGATACGAAAGTAAGGATGTTCATAGTCGAGAGAGAGGAAAAGGAAGAGTTTTCTCTTTTGGACATGACTTCAACATTCTTTAAGAAGTTAAAATTCAACAATTCTGCGGCGATGAGTAATTGGGAATCCAATAATATTCCGGGATCTACTCCATTAGCATCCGTTCCATTTGCCGCACGAAATCCAATGTTCTGAAATCATAGGTTGAAAACATCTCTCTATTGATATACAGGGAATGTTTGATACTTGCACCTGCCTAAGTAACAAATTCACAGTCGCACATATAACTTCCTGGCGAAGCTCATAATCGACTAATCCAATTTTTACACTGAAATGCACATAAATAAAACGAACAACATGAGTTGATTGAACAGAGACCTAATTGTCATTATCTAATGAGTGTCTCCTATAACAAATCAATTCTAATATAGTCATGTACAGAATTTCATCATACTATTGATATATAACATACTAAATTATTATTATAGGAATGAATGCAGATATCACCGTTAAATGATAATTTGATGGGGGTATCAGTTTCTTCTTTTACCTTTCTTTTGAACCAGCTCGAAACCATCATCATCTACTATTGGCTCTGATCTCGACTTATCGTTCTCCATATCCACATCAATTTCTTCGTAATGCATATGTGTGTCCTCGCCAGTAGCACCGTTCATGTATTCTTCATCTTCATCGTCTTCATCTGAGGATGATTCATCATCACCAGTGACCTTTATAACTCGTTGTGGCTTATTCTTTTCCTTGCTTTGCCATTCCAGGTAAAGTTGTTCAACAATCTGGTAGTTTTGAGCAGCACAGTCTTTATACACTTGAATTATACCAGTTGCAATCGGTAAGGCAGAGTCATCCTCAACATTAGTATCAAATTCGTCAACCATGGCGTACAATAACGTTTCTTCTAACAGAGCTGCATCGACAATCTTTTCATTCTTGAATAAGTCCACGATAATACCGGTTATCCAATCTCTTTTCTCAGCTGATTCTGGACCACCCCATTGGTTGTCAACAGCTATATCCAGAGCATCCCACTTGTATACCATCATAGAACACCCTAGCTCAAACCTTGCCTGCTGTTTTTCATCACTGAACATCAAGTTTCCTTGACCCTGAGGAGCCTCCACATAAACTGTCTCGTCAAATTCCATTGTAATTTTATTTGTATTGTGTTCCCTTTCAGACTTATGTTTTAAACTTATGTTCTAAACTATACTTTCTAGGTTTGATATTATGTCACAGTTTAGCTACTTGTTTAGTCTCTTAACACTCTATAATACAGCCATTATATCTCAAGCTCATCGAATTTTCAATTAAGTTTTTCAATTTCATGAAATTTTTCAGTTTTTTCCACTTTGGGAACAAGCTCATCGGAAGACTCAAAAAAGGATGGATTCCAAATAATGTAAGGGTAGTTGCCATAACAAATGCAAAACAAAATGAACGCATCAGGCTTTGCTTGCTTGTACCTAAGGCAATAGAATAACGGCTATACATCCCCCCACCAGCTAAACCAGCTACCATGCTAAACGACATTTTAGTTGAGGTTGCAGAAAAAACCCAGTTACTGGAATCCCTGATCATACCTCATGAGAGAGCACTCACTGAGTCGGATTACTCTGATCAGTTAGAAAACATAAGGGCTGAAATCTCAGCGACTCTCAATAGTTTAAGCAATCTGAATGATTTACTCATATCTCATGATGGGCCGTTACGAACAGAAATCTCATCGTTAATGGCAAGCAAATCCAAGTTGAAGAAGATCAACATGAAAGAACTTACACTTCTCAACGAACAAGAGACGTTGGAGACTCTTCGTAACGATTCTTCAAATTTGGAGTCATCAAGGCCAGGATTCACCACGCAGCAGCAGCAATCTATTACAATAGCTTCATCTTACCGCCATGAACTTCAGAAATACCTAGACTTGGTCGATGTGGAGAAAACCTCGCTCAACACCAACAAACTGGCCGATAATTCGAAAATATCTAAAGAGGATGTAGAAAACTCCGATTTCAATTTCAATCTGAAACGTTACGAAAAGCAGCAGTCGATATTACATAGCGCTCTGACAGTCAATGAGATAGAGATAAAGAAATTAGAAACACTGCTGAAAGAATTTAGAAAGGATAATAACTTCATCAGAGATGAATTAAAGCTGATAAATAGTAATCTTAAATCACACGAGGATTTAATTAGTGATGAACTAAAGCAAATCGATGAATCCCGTTATGCTATTATGCAATCAATTGGCTATAGTGGCAGGAATGAACAACAGTCGTCCATATTAGATAGCATTGTGAAATTATCAATAAAAAAGCCTGATATTCGCACACTAATCCAGGAAAGGATCGAAGAGTATTCAAACCTATTGAATTTCATTGATATGAAGTTAAATGGACTAGATCAAATGCTACAAGAATATAAATCAAGGAAATCTGAATGGGCAGAAAAAAGTATCCTTTGGAGCCAATGTCTTGCGCTAATATCAGAATTGGAGGTTACAGTTAGGGATCAATTATCTTCAGCACATACTGTAGGCTCAGAAATTAGTCCTGACCAAATTAAAGCACAAATAAAAAAATTCTTAACCAAGCTTAACAAATTATTAGACGAATCCGATTTAGAGGATGTTGTATATTCCCTGGTTAGAAATGAAGTTAACAGTTTGAATGTGGCCCTTGATGAAATGAATCAAATGCCTCAAATCAAAAATGATATCTCTGATAGAGAAAGCATTCATAATCCCTCATTCAAACTAATCAGCAAATCACCACCCAAAACTGGATTTAGCAGCGAGAATGTAAGTTATAAGCTGAACAACACAAATATAAAGAAAGATTAACAATGTCATTATTCATTGATGCAAGGAACTTGTTGAGTGCAGGCCAGGAGCATCCTTTAATGTCAAAAACTTCTCATCCACATTTCTGCACCTCCAAATTCAAGATGCTGGCTCATTAATCTGTGGTTTTGGAAAATTAATTATTTATCAAATGTAGATTAAATAACGTGTTATGATGTTGATGTATATGCTTTAAATGTAATGCAAAAATAATGAAATATGCAGGTTTACATAATTTTTATGAATATAACACTCCTCATATATGCGAATGACATAGCTCTGACGAAAGGAACCAAATCATGGTATTGTTTCTATAGAGTCTGAAAAACTGATATGTCTCGATTTTTTTGATTTCTTTTTATCTTCTTTCTTATCTTTCTTCGAAGCTTTATCTTTAATATATGGAACTGCCGGCTTTGAAGGCACTTGGTTATTCTCCTTTGATCCAAATATCGAGGATTTTTTTTTTGTTCCAGATGGGTTTTCATCATTTGCCTGTATTTTTGGCTTTTTAATTCTTTTCTTCTCAATAAATGGACTTTTGTCTTGATTATCAGCCCTTCTTTTTATTGCTATCTTTTCAATCGGTTTAAAGGCGGTAACAGGATCATAATCATCCTCCCCATCAGAGATGTCGGTAGCTTCAGAAATATTTCTATTAGAAATATCAGCATCCTTTTTATCGGCAGCCGCTGGAATTGGATGCTTTTTCTTTTCCTTTGATTTGGATTCTTTATATTTGTTCAGTGTATCCTGGGCCCTGCTATTTGAACTATTCAAAAAGCCAGAATAGGCTTGCTGCAAACAACCTCTTCCTTCAGCGTCATCTATCAAGTGAGACCACAGTTTACTCTTTCTCAAAGACTTCTGATGACCCAAGATCCATATACTGGTTCTAGCTCTGGTTAATGCAACATTCATTCTTCTGAAATCCTTTAAAAACCCAACACCACTTTGCGAGTCATCAGCACGGACACAAGATATAATAATAATTTCCTTTTCCTGACCTTGGAAACCATCAATCGTGTTGAAATCGACAAATTTCGTGATGGAACCTCCAAAATATCTCATAAATTCTCTCCTCATTCGTTGAATTTGCTCCTTATACGGGGATATAACTCCAATCTTGTTAGAAAAGTCAATCTTGTTATCATAAAGCCTAAATAGTTTATCGACCATCTCTATTGCAACTTCAATTTCTTCTTTATTAGTATATGACATGGTTTTAACATTTTGAACTTGCTGACCGCTGGTTATGTCAAAAAATTTGTATGGTTTAAATGGCTCTTGCTCATGCCATATTCTTTTATTTAATGATTCCATATCAGGACCATCCATCAGGCGGCCATCATAAAATTCAGCAGAAGGAAATTTACTAATAGCGGGATGCATACGATATTGAACATCCAAAAGAAATGGCTTTGAATTTTTTTCCATTCTTACAAACAAGGATTGATTGTACTTGAAGTTACTAGCTGCTCCAGATAAAACAGTTGGAGGTAATTGATTTGGATCACCAACCATAATACATCTTTTACTGCCATATCGAAGTGGAATAATTGCTGATAATTCTGTACATTGACATGCTTCATCAATAACGACAGTCTCAAATTTCATTCCCAATGTAGCTAGGACATCATGTGCTGAACCAGATAATGTCGAGCAGATAATATCACATGAGGCAAGTACCTGGGCTTGAGCATTCCGTCTATCCAGATCACGATTTCTGTAATTAATGGCATTTTTCTCTCTCATTTCATCCTTTTCACGTCCCAATTCATTGATACTTTTAGTTAGTTCCCTTATCTTCATTTGGAGATTTGCTATATCATTTGTTGACATTGAACTATCTGGAGATCCATTCTCTGCATTTAATTTATCTCTTAATTGTCTTCTTTCGGAGAGAAGTGATTGGAATTTTTTCTCAATATCAGGATTATTGGTAAATTCATAACTCTTATCCCCAAGTTTCTTGTCAACGATTTCTTCTAATGTGACATCCTTTAATTCCGCGTTTACCACATCTGTACGACCTAATCTAATTATAGCCGGCCTAACAGTCTGTCCTTTTGTTTTGATACCACTCTTTAAACGTAAACAGATCTCATCGACTGCTGCATTACTGGGAGCACAAATCAATATCTTTGGTTTCTTTAGCATCTGATCTAAGGTGGTAGATTTTTTATCGGTAGGTGCTTGGATGGTTCCTGTTGGTGTAGCATTTCTTAGAGATAAGAAATAACCAACTATACCTAAAATTGTCTTAGTCTTACCAGTACCAGGTGGACCTTGAATTAAAGAGAAACCACTACTAATAACAGTATTCACAATTGCTCTAGCTTGAGACTCATTCAGGAAATATTCTTGCTGAACCTTCATAATCTGTTGCTCAAATGTATTAGATGGCGGAGAAAGTTTTGCAGACAGAATTTGATTAACCAAATCATAATACTGTAAAGCCTCCAGAGTGGAATATTCTCTCTCAATTGTTGTCATTTGCATTACTTTGACTGCATTGATTTCTGCCCTATGAGTCAAATATTTGGCAAAGCTATGGTTTCTATGCACTCTCAGAGACATATCTACATTACCACCTTTTGTCTTCTTCAGGGTTTTTACCTTAGCCAAACAAGTAAACTGCGCCTTTTTAAATTCTTCATATCTTACCTTTTGTCCTGGTGCAATATTTGGGAAATATGCTAAGACTATAAGATCGGATTCCGTTATGTTACTGTCCTGTAACATTTTTTTACTGATTGATGCATATATCTCATAGAAGTCTGAAATACTAGTTCTATTACCAATAACAATTGAAAATGGTGTGTTTTCATCTCTGTCCCTTGCAGAGCACATACCTTGCCATGATTCCAGAAGCAATAAAGGCTTCATGACATTCTTATAATCATTAGCAGATTTAAACTCGTCTTTTATGTCACGATAGGCATCAGCACCTTTGTCATCAGGATATTCACTTATTTTTGTATAATCCCATTGTAGTAACTGCTCATATAAAGGATTCAAATCAACGTTTAATCTCTTTCTCATATACTCTTCTTCCATTTTTGCTCTTTCAGCAGCGCTATTTATTTTTATCGGCTTACCAGAAATATCTAATGTTTCAATACCCTTAGACTTACTTTTGGCAACAGCAAATAATTCTCTTGCAGTTTCCATATCAATGTCACTTTCATCACTACTAGTATCATCTTCCGCAGTTTGAGATTTTGAAGGCGCTTTAGTATGAAATGCTGGTTGACTTGGAGGATGTATAACCCTATTTTGTAACAACTGCCTTCTAGCCATCTCCATTTTAGACAATGGTTTAGGTTGTGGTTTGGTCTTCAAGCTTAATGCTGCACCAGCTTGAACTGTACCAAAGGATGTGATCTTAGATTGCGTTACCTTAGATTTTGTATGTGCAGCCAGACCAAGAGCTTTTCTTTGCAAGTATTCAGACTTTAGCTCTGCAGGTGATTTTCCAGTACCCGTCTCTTCAGAATCACTAATAACAATCGTTTGTTTGGCCTGTTCCTTCATTTTATTATATGCAGATGCTTCATCCATAATTTTACTGGTTAAAGTAGGATTTAATGTCTGAGCTCTACTGATAATTTCATTAGACTGCTGCAATGAAAGTTTATTGGAAAATTTCCTGTATTTGGATCCATATTTCGCCATTAGTTCAACAAGTTCGTCATCAAACTTCATCTTTCGCTCTTGAGCAAGATCTGATGTACTAGTAATCAATTTAACACATGATTCTAATAAAATTTCATCACTTAGCCTTAACCAATAAAGCATATTTTTAAAAGCCTTTAGCACAACATGAAAGAGGTTTACATTTTCACCCAAAACATCTTTGAATTCTCTAAATGATCCAACCAAGGCGTTACTTAGATCAAGAGTATCTTTTGTAAAATTCTCTAATAAAGAGTAGTTATACTTTGTCGCCCACTTTAATGTACATCTGTAAATAGAATCCAAAAATGACCAAACCAAATTCCAAAAACTAAACATTTCATCCTTAGTTTCTGATGAATTAGAAATTTCTGGATTACTTAGTACACCGTTAGTAGGATCAATGAATGCACTAATAATATCCATTAACACTTTAACTGTTCTTGGACATAGTTCAAAGTATTCACATTTGATCAATTTCGAGAGAATAAAATTGATGGAGTTCAGATGTGAAGAAACATTTTGTTTAAACAACGCCTGCACACCTTCCAATCTACCATCAACATCGAATGTGTTGTACAGTATATTTGTAGCGGCTTGGTACAGTTTTTCATTCGAACTAAAAATACAAGACCAAAAACCAACCATAGCATCCTTGTCGCCTAATATTTCCATTAGTTGATTAGGAAGTAAATCATTAAAATTTTCAACCAAATTTATTACCAAGTTCCAGACATTTTCAACTGTCTTATTATGTTGTGTAGTATTTAAATTCGACTTAGTAATAATCACAATACCATAAACATTTTTTAGTGAAGTAAGCAGCAATTTGGTTAGTAAAGGTCCATTATGAAACGATCCCAATTGAATACTACCGACCATATTTTCCAGTAATGATAATGGAAGAGGAAATTCGTTTACCGCCGTCCCAAAATACAATTTATAAGTTCTTTGACATAAAGTTAACAAATCGAAGTCAATACATGTTGTAAGAACCCCCATAGTAGATGCAGCAACCGATGTAGCAGAATTACCTAAACCTGGATAAAAACTCGCTGGTTCCGTAATCGATTTTAGTAAAACATTTTGGATCAATGAATTATCTAGTAAGAGACGAGAATCCACTTTGGTTAATAAAACATTTTCAAAATCGTTCACAGAATAAAGTTTTGCTCGTTCATCATCTGTGATGAAAAGAACCGAAGACAGTAGCGTACAAGAAGAAGTAACCAAACAGGCTTTGGATATAGATTCTAAATTTGGTTGATGTGCAACTATTTTCAAAAAAGAAATCGACACCTTCTTGACCATCTGTATCCGTTTTGATGGAGAAAGCGCGTTGTAAAATGGTAAAGTCCAAGCTAGTAAATCTGTCAATGAACCTGAAAATGAAAATATTAGTTCTTCACGATTTTCTATAATAGGCTCTTTCTGTAATCTCATAAGTCTAGCCAAGAAGACTGGTTGTTCAAATAAAGAATCTAAAATACTGTGAAATGTATATGGCTCAATAAGTTGCCAAAAATCCTGGCCAAGTTTGTCCAGAAACATATGCAAAGCTCGAAGCAAGAAATCTACAGGCTTATCAGAATACAACTTCGTCATATGATTACACCACAGTTTTACCAAAGATTCAATTGGGTACTTAAATGATCTTTTCAGTGATTCTTGATTTTTTGGTATGCCGAAGTATTCCTCAATAATTTCTCGATCTAACATGGTGAAGATTGGAATAAATCGTGTCCAGAATTGCGAAACTATAACCTCATTCCAGTTACCTGGATTTTGTAAGAAAAGAAAATGTGTTTGAATTTCATCCAGTACGTCATCACCTATGGTCTTCATATTAAACGTTGTTTTGCTTTGAATTAGGTTTCGCAGTACTTTCCTAGCCCAATCATTTTCATCCTTATTTCCTTCACACCAGCAGAATATAGTACCTGCAAGCAGGATATCTCCGTCATTTGGTGTTTTACCATTCAATAGAGAATCTTGACTGGATAACAACACGGAGAAAGATTTGTCAAACAGAGCACGAAAGGCCCGATCCATTCTCATCAAGTTTGGATCAGTCATACATTCATAAAAAGCACAGGAGAAGTCGTTCTCTACCTGTGAACCTATCGGCAGATTGCTCAGTTTTTCAATGGGTACTCTAATGGTATCTAAGCGCCAGCTGCAGATGAGGTTATTAAATTTAGCGACATGTTCATGTGGTACGTTTCTTTGGATTGCAAAATGTCTCAACATTCGGCTCTTACCTCTTGCAAATGCCAAGACACACTTGTTACAAGACGCCAGAATCGAGTTGAACCGCGATTTCAACCAATCAATAGTGGACTGGTCATTGAAGGAGAATATAGTAAGGCAGAATACCGCGATAGGTTCAAACTGTGGATCACAAAAAATATGCTGGTCCTTCAATTCTGCAATGAAGTGCAAAACATCTCCCAACAACTTCGACTCCGATATACCTACGTTGCTTCCATTGTAGACTTTCTCAATCAGGGGCACAAATTGACCAGCCTTTTCGTAAAGCTGCGCTATCGGCAAACTCATTCTAGTACCAAAAACCCTTACGTGTTGTACTCTCTGCCCTTCAGAGTTATAGGGTCCTAATTAGTCAAGTGTTATGTGTTCCACTCCGAATAGTGGGTTTAGTTTCTTTGTATATAAACAAACAAAAAAAAAGATAGAGTGGAGCTGAGGTATCGAGAACAGTAGTAACTTATTCTTTACGTAGTAGTGTCTATAAATAGCGGGTGGCCGCCGTTACTGCAAAATTGCTCCTGAATAATACACAGCTAGGTATTGCCTCCACCGATGTCTCTTCTTCCGCAGTGAATAATAACCTCAGTAAAACACCTCTAAAATAACGGATGTGAAGTATCCTGCAAAATCACAAACACCTTCCAATGGCTGTTGCCCACTTACAACTCTTATAAACGGCTCCTGACACTTATCCCGTTGATCACATTAAGCTAGCTCATCGCAGAATTCCAGCTTCACGCAGTGGATCAAATTTTTTGGATTTTTTGTCAAGAAAATAATTTGCTTCCTAGTGTAGAATCCCGTTTTTTTTACACAGAAAACCTCGCAGAACTACGATACATTTCTAGGAATTTTACGTGTTGGCCAATTCCAGCAGAGTGCAGACTGACACCAACAGGCTCGCTGAACCTGGCACGCATTGAACAGTCACACTACTACAACTGGTGCTTGAGCTTCTACTGGCCCCTGATCTGTCGCCAGAATGCTCACGTTGTGTGGTTGCAATAGAAGAGGGTATCCCGATGTAGGCCTACTGGGACTAATAAATGTATGAGCACATATATGAAAGAAACCCAGAGGCTGTGCCTGACAATTACTGCTTAAGAGAAACTCAATATGATCACACACAGTGATGTGTAGCGAACTCTTGAAGGTTGACAGTGTTGCCAATGGCAAAATCAGTATATGAATCTCTGCTATAAATGCTACTCCTGACGCCCACTTAACTAACAAAATCCAAGTGTCCCAGTGGCCGAGTGGTTAAGGCGATGCCCTGCTATTCTCTCTACGAACAGCATTTAGGCATTGGGTTTTACCTGCGCAGGTTCGAATCCTGTCTGTGACGCTTTCTTTTTTTGTTCTTTTTTTAATTTTTGTTCCCCTCCATATTAAATTGACTGTCATGTACTGATAGGAATATGGCTTACAATAAGTGGACAATTTTGTACATGATTTCCAATGTGGTTTGGTCCAAACTGCTGTCCAAACTGCTGGCCACAAGCTCACTTCTCAGAGGCTATGTAAGCTAGGTTTAACGCTAGCTCTAAAACTTTATGATTTCCGGGTAACTTTTGGAAAATTTTCTGAAATTTCCTGCGATGAGCTTTGCGATGAGCTCATGAAGATGAACTATGGCACAGCTAGTTGGATCTGAATATTCCGTAATAGCATGGTATATCTTACTATTTTAGTTATTTTAGAATTATTTTAGAGTGCCAGGAATCAACAAAAGAGAATATCGGTGTAACAATGGGTAAAGCTAAGAAGACAAGAAAGTTTGCGCTAGTGAAGAGGACGCTAAATGCTAAGAAAGACCAACGGTTGAAGGGCAACCAGGAGAAACAGAAGAGTCAGGAGGACCCTGAGTTGACGAGAAATATACCACAGGTGTCTAGTGCACTGTTCTTCCAATATAACGAGGCGATCAAGCCGCCTTACCAGGTGCTGATCGATACAAACTTCATCAATTTCTCCATTCAGAAGAAGATAGACATTGTGAAAGGTATGATGGACTGTCTGCTCGCTAAGTGTAACCCACTAATCACTGACTGTGTGATAGCAGAACTCGAGAAACTGGGACCTAAATACAGAATTGCCTTGAAACTGGCAAGAGACCCCAGGATAAAACGTTTGACTTGCACTCACAAAGGTACATATGCGGATGACTGTATAGTGAATAGGGTTCTACAACACAAGTGTTACATAGTAGCCACGAATGATGCAGGGTTGAAGCAGAGAGTAAGGAAAATACCTGGTATCCCTTTGATGAGCGTAGGTGGCCATGCCTACGTTATAGAAAAGTTACCAGACGTCTTTTAATTATTTACAAACTCATACTTTCCCTTCCATTACACATATTACAATTGCAATGACAAATAGCATAGCATTACTTACCATTTATAGTTTCAAATAAATAATAGCACAACTCGAGTATTCCAGACGTGACTAATATCTGTCAACTCATCGGGGACTAAAGCTTGGATGAACTCGTCCTACTTGATGACAAAACTGCTTCCCTAAAGTTACATAACCCACTTCATCAAGAAGGACCAAAGTTTAACAATTAATACTTGTAATTCTGGTCTCAGAGTTGGATCAATATACCTAAATAGTCAATAAAGAACATCTTAATTAGTTCTGCTGCATTTGCCTGAGTGCAAGTATATTTTAAAAGTCACAGAGGTTTAAAACAGACTACACCATTATAGATCAAAGAAACTTCCAGCATTTGCCAACTTACATTATATTTTGCCTGTCATGGTGGGTATTTTGTCCAAGACACTATCTGAGGTGCATCCTACCTTGTTGACCAATGGTATGGGTATTACCAATACTCATAGAAGGATTTCATTAGGCTTCTTTCCACCGAACCGTAAAAACCCGTTAGTTAGGAAATACAGAAGGAAAAGGGCTAACCTCAATACTAATGACCAGCGCAGCTTTCAATCGTTAGTTGATGATTTTGGTAGCTCAGTTCATGAACCTTCCCAATTCCTTAATTACATCAATGAAGATGAAGAAGATCTTTATTACAACGATATAGAAGAAGGCGGCGAACTAAGCAGGACCGTATCCCTACCATCATTGGTTTCTGAGACGCCTGATCTGTCACCACCCGATACAGATTGGATTATTCAGGAACATGAGAGAAGGTATTCCTCTGTCTATAATTCTGACAATGAAAATGACTTAGCAGATGAGCCCGTCAGTATTGGGGGAAGTATGACAAATAGAGAGCTTGAGTACGATGAATTTATGAATAGAATTAAAGCGCAAAAGCAAGTTTACGATTCTATAGCTAGCCACAAATATAGAAGGCGACCATCTCTCATTTCCGTAAGTAGTAGAGGTACTGTTCCCACAATTTATCAAGAAATTAATGGGACAGATGGTGCGGACGTTTGTCTCCCTGAAAAGATAACCTTTAGAGAGGAAGCTAAGGTTTTGAGTTCCTTTTCTTTCCCATTGATATTCACATTCTTATTAGAACAAATTTTTCCAATGGTTTGTTCATTAACTGTCGGACATTTAGGTAAAAACCAACTTGCCGCTGTTTCTTTGGCATCTATGACCTCTAACATTACCTTAGCAGTATTTGAAGGTATTGCGACAAGTCTGGATACATTGTGCCCCCAAGCTTATGGAGCAGGCAGATATTATAGCGTCGGAATACATTTTCAGAGATGTGTTCTATTTTCTTTCATAATATTCCTACCATTTGCTCTTTTCTGGTTTTTCTCGGAGCCAATATTATTTTTGGTAGTCCCAGAGAAAGAGTTAATTGCATTGACTTCTCAATTTCTAAGAGTTTTAATCTTTGGTGCTCCCGCATATATTTTATTCGAGAACTTGAAAAGATTTCTTCAAGCACAAGGAATCTTTGATGCTGGCATTTACGTTCTTACAATATGTGCACCACTTAATATATTCGTTAGTTATACCTTGGTTTGGAATAAATATATTGGAATAGGATTCATCGGTTCCGCGGTTGCAGTTGTGATAAATTTTTGGCTAATGTTCATTCTATTATTGTTATACACAATCTACATTGATGGTAAGAAATGCTGGGGTGGCTTCTCAAAGAAAGCATTCACACATTGGAAAGATTTGGGACATTTAGCATTTTCAGGAATTATCATGCTAGAGGCTGAAGAATTATCCTACGAAATTCTAACATTGTTTAGTGCCTATTTTGGTACTAGTTACCTTGCCGCTCAATCTGCTGTATCTACAATGGCCGCATTATTGTATATGGTACCATTTGCTATAGGAATTTCTGCATCAACACGTATTGCTAACTTTATTGGGGCTAAAAGGGTTGATCTTGCACACAATGCATCTGAGGTTGGCCTTGTGTTTTCTTTTGGTGCTGGCTTAACAAATTGCTGTGTTCTCTTTTTTGGTAGAAACATAATTGCACATGTGTTCTCTAGGGATGATGAAGTTATTGATTTAATGACTGGATTGCTTAGATTAGTGGCAGTAGTTCAAATCTTTGATTCCCTAAATGCTGTAGCTGGGTCTTGCTTAAGAGGACAAGGAATGCAGAGCTTAGGAAGTATTGTGAACTTACTAGGTTACTACCTGTTTGGAATACCATTAGCATTGATATTAGGATGGGTATTCAACATGAAATTGTATGGACTCTGGATTGGGATTGGATGTGCGATGCTGTTGATTGGATTAATTGAGGCATACAATGTTCTGTATCCAAACTGGGACTACATCTTAAATTATGCTGAGATCTTAAAAGAAACGGAGGAAGATGATGATGATGACAGCTACTTTACTGACTCTGATGATAACGATGAAGAACCTACTGAGAGAAGCCCTTTATTAGACTAAGTGCTATTAAGAATCCTTCTAATAAATATCGAAACCCATATGTTTATTGACATATAAAGCCTCATTTCAAAAGAATTACATGTCGATTGTGATGAAATTAGAATAGTAATATATATATCTTCCTTATATTTACAAGCACCATATATACTAAATGGAAAGATACAGTTTACTCTTAGCCAAGAGTTTACTTACAAGACAGGTTGTTGTTCTACTGTCGAGGACGAGCTAGCTTTCTTTTGTTTTCTTTCATCCTTACGGATCTGTTGTGCAACCTTTTTTGATTCTTTCACTAATATTTTGTCACCAAAGAATTTAAAGTCTTGCATGTATCTTCTATCCAAGTTAAACTCTTGAGTGATGGCAGCATCATTTAAGCCCAACTTTTCAATAGTCCAATAATATCTTTCTGGATTATCACGTTTTAAATACCTCAATAGACTTTGTCTTTGTTGAACCAACATCCTAAGCATTCTTGTGTTGGCATAGTCCTTTTTGTGGTTTTTGATATGGTTGGCAAGATTTTGTATTCTGACAGTCAAGCAAGCTGCTTGCACTTCACTTGATCCCGTATCACCAGGGAATCTTTGAAACTCTTCGCGAGCTAAACGAATAGCAATTTGCATAGTATCCTTCCTATTTGCATTTCTGATGTTCAATATTCTAAATAGCGCTTCATGACGTAATGACAAACTCTCAGTCGTTTCTGTTGTTGCAAATTCTGGGTTCAAAGGTGAAAGATCTCTATGTTCTTGTTTTGTAGCCTCTACGCTTACTAGAAACTTTTCAACTTCATCGTAGTTATAATCGGAGGATAACACTGTAGGTTCCTTTATCTCGGCGTTAATACGATTGATAAATGGCGTGTCTTTCCGCCCTAGTACCGGATCAACCATTTCTGACTGACTCTTTATACTGGCTTGCCTAGCTTCATTTTTTTGTCTTCTTTTCTGGGCTTTCAAAAACTTAACTGCTTTAGCACCTTGTGTAACTGGCGTAGCATGGTAATACCGCAGTGGATTTACCTTCAAGCCGACACCTTCAATATTCCGAATTAACGTTCTTGCAAATACCATATTCAATTAATCCCTTGTGAATCTTTTATACTATGCTTATCTGAAAACGAGTCTCTGTACGTTCTCTAACTTGTATGATAGTTTAGGACAACAGCTTTTCCTTCTCGATATTCAAATAATTGCACTGTTTCAACTTATGTACCAATCGAATCACAGAGAAAGTGAATTGCCAAGTGTTGTTGCTATACCAGTGTTATTCAAAAACGTTATCACAATGTCAAGCGCCTCTGTATTTGTTGCTTTGCTTGTCTATTAGCCATTTCAGAGATTCATTTGAACACATTCGTGATCACACTGAAGGAAGTTCACTCGGGCTCCTGTTTGTGGGCTCTGTATAGCTCTTACGTACATTATGATATATAATAAGAAGGTCTGACTATTAGTATCGAAATATTAGCTCTAAACTGGCATCAGTAGGTATTGAAAGTTATATTATCTCTCTATGAAGTTTTTATGTCCTATATACAGGAGTGACCAGCACATTAGTTTAATGAAATGGAAAGGCTGTAGCTTCAGAACAAGCTATAACCCGATTTATAACTTATTGAAGAGCATAATTCGACAGCAACAAAGTGAACGCAATTATGTCACATCGAATCAGATTGGATTATTTTCTGCTAGTATTTTATCCTTTCCGGCTTAACTGATGAATCTAGATTACAAGCTTCAAATATAGAATATCTCAATAGATCCACGCCGTATCTCTTCTTGATAAATTTGGAAACCATCGAATTTGTAAAAATAAGCTTTGGCAAAGTCGGTAAATTTCTCAAGCCACTAGAGTCAATCCATTGAACAAACTCATCAACATCTGTAACCTTATCCATCTTGGAAAATATCAGTTCAAAAGGAATTCCTGATTCTGTCATTAGATCCATAAGATAGCGGTCGTGCTCACTTATCTCCTTCTTTGCTGAAATGAGCAGGAAGCAACGCTTCAACTCTTTTCTATTCGATAAATAATCTAAAGTAACATTTCCTTGTTCAATCGCACTGTGGAATCCATAACCGGGGGTATCAATAATCCGGAATTTATTGCCCACGTTGTAACAATTTAAAGTCTTTGTAAATCCTGCTCTATTCGACATACGTGCATGAACATCAAGATCTTTTTGTTTAAAACTAGTAATAAGATTGTTCAAAATTGTAGATTTTCCGACATTGGTCTTGCCTAAAAAGGCTATTTCAGGCAAGGGGTTGAGTAGCTGAAATGGGTATCTGGTTTTTCCATTATACAACTTCCCACCCTCATGATTCATGCCACTATTGTGCCCATAGACACTTTTCATTTGTTCACTAGGTATATTCCCAAAGTCTGCCACGCTCCATTCATATTTGCATTCTGCTCTATTGAAGAAATGATTGATAGCATTCAGTTGGCTTGCCGATGGGTATGCATACGAGTTGTTCATATATTTGTTCAGATTGATCCAAGAATGGCTTTTATCTGAAGAAGCATGCTTCTTGTGCGGTTTTGAAAGCAATCCAGAGCGCTTCACGTTTACCTTATTAGATCCGCTAATCAAGCTATCTGACGTTGGCTTTACTTTAACATTTTTCACAATATTGATTGCATTACGACCACTAATCTTCCCTGAACTCATCACAACTTTCTCAATTGACGAAATTAACCATGTTATTAACTACTTATCTTCACTAATCACTTCTGTATAGTATGGTTTTGACTATTTGCATATATGAATTAACAATTCCCTACAGTACAAACTTCAGTGCATTTTTTTGCACCGCTAACTTCCCACAAAACAGAAATGCATCAAGCTAATTTTTCGTAACCCATAGTGAATGATAAGGTAGCAAAATATCGATTATGGTCCTATTGTTTCATAGATAGCGTAGACGGTCTGTATTTATAATATTATCATCGTTCTGTTAATATATATTTACTATATTCCTTATGAAATATTTAATGCAATTACCATTCATTTGTTTGAATGAATAGTGTTTTGGTGAATTGTGAATTGTGACTTAACATGAGAAGAGGAGCCAGAGATAACCACTTAGGAGAGCTAGAAATATCTCGTCCCCCAAACTTTTGTATATCAACAACATATTTAACGCCTAGGAAACGTTAAGGTAATGGTAAGACTAGAAATAATCAGGCTGGAAATGAATCATTTCGGATAGGCCCTCTTATTTAATAGTGATGGATAAATCTAAAAGATCTAACAAACACCGACCAACTCCGCAAGGTTACACATGCAGTTTTTATCAATATCAACTTTAAAGTAATCAAGAAAATAGATTACCAACAGCTCCATCCTCAGTGTTTGGATCATCCAACATGTCACCACTTTCTTTATTCTTTTTAATTAACCGTTCATTGGCTTTCTGAAGAATAGCTTCACGTTTTTCTTGCTTTCTATTTTCTTGCATTGCCTGTTCCTCGTCAAAATCATCTTTTCCAAGAGTCATCTTTGTCCAATCAATAAACTCAACCATGAGGGCTCTTTGACTTTTGTAGTCATCTACTTTTTTCAGATTGCTATGCAGGCTATCAATATCATAACCACCCGATAATTCATAGAAGAATTGCCTTGCTGACGTGCTCTCTTTACAGAGAGTGAGGAATAATGTAGTGAAAACGTATAAAGCCTCGTTGAAGAAATCTTTGAAAGCACTGTTACATAGCACATTTATGAGCAGGTTCTTCATCAATTCTGTAGTAAAGAACACATCTACAGTTTCATCCTTTGCCGCAACTTCATTTATGCAACCTTTCATCACTAAGATAGAGTTAAAAGAACATTTGTTATCTTTGTAAGCCATCAAATGGTTGACCAATTTTAAGAACGGTGCCAAGATATTTATATCATTGAAAATAATCTTTCTCATTCTCAATTGATGTGAAGTGAGATTACTGCGAGCACTTTGTGAGCTGACACTTGCTTGTCCAACACAATCAATGACAATTCGAACAACAACTGTTGTTAGTTGTCTCAACAGATTTTCTTCCAATATATCTTCTGTCATTTGATCATTATCTACAGGAGCGGGGTTTACGTCCATGACATCCATTCTTACAGACCAACGCTGGTAAAGCAGATGATCTAGCATCTCAAACAATTTGGGTAAAAAAGCACTCATAAATTTTGGGGCACAGTCATCGGGACAATTTTTCAACATTGGTCTAATTGCAATGTTTAAAATGTGTTTCCAACCATGTGTTGATACACCAGGACTAATTTCATTATTCCCTGGTTTGAAAATGGCAATTGAGTTAATAAGCATATCAGGAACATCATCTAATTCAAAAAATATACTACCCAAAGAAGATATTGCGCTAAGAACCAATAATGTATATTCTCTAGTGTATCTTATAATATGACCAACCGAGTCTGCAAAATCACGCAAAGTTTGCATAGCTTTCATATGCTCATCAATGAATTCATCCTTGGATTTACTAGAGGCACCTGCTTCCCAGAATCTTTCAACTGTGGTACATTTGACAAAAGTTTGTACAATAACTGGCAAGTTTTTCCAGTTTTCTGCATCATGATACGATTGTAATTGAAAAAGTAATCTTAGAATGTATGGTAGAACTGGAATAATTCGCGGTCTCCATAAATCCTGCAAACGTTTAAATTCTTCATCACCTTTAATGCTCTGCATTGAATAATGAATAAACATCCTAGTTGCTCTAACTGGAAATAATGTTTGCCATCTTTTAGTTAATTCTGCTTTCAAAGCCCTTCCTTCATCATCAATTGGAATAGTCAACAAGTCGCTATTCTCATTTATACCTCTTTTTTGGAAGTATTCTGCTATCTGAACTATCCCTAATCTTTCCATAAACCAATGCAAGTCAGACAATCCTACCTCTGTTGTCTTCTCAGACCATGCCATTAACTCTACATCCACCAATTCCGAGAATCTTTGCTCTTTATTATCCAAGCTAGATTTCAAAACAATAATTAATAGAAATGATTTGAATGATATCTTTTCGTGATATGACAAGTTTGGCATAATCTTAGCTATTACTGCTTCCAGATCAGGATAGATAGACTTCAAGGATTCGGGCATTAGTAGGGCCATTCTATTCAATTCTATACCACAAGCATATCTTAAATCACGGACAGCATCTGATTGTTCTGACCTATCATCCAAGTTGACTTCTGGGTAGTCCATAGTTGCACTTGTAATAATTTTCTCCAACAATGTGAATAGAACATTGTCTCTCAGCATTGTTAAGAATAAGGCGAAGTTCTGAATTTGCTTCTTCAAAAGTAATGGCTCTTTCATGTTTAACGCTATCAATTGATTGGAAAGAATTTCCAGTTTCTGTAAGATAGAGTCCAACTTTTGATTGTAGTCTGGTCCACTTGGATACCAAATCTTCCATCTTATACAACCGTTTATAAAGCACTCTACTATCATATACTGAGATAGGGCACCCAAATATGGTTCTGATTTATGATCTAAGAAAGATGAGGTCAGCACCTGTTGACCAGCAGGAGAACTGAAATAGACATTTAGTCTATTGTTTAACCATTCATATGTCATATCAATTTCAACACATGAAATCAGCCTTATGATATCTCTGATTCTTTTTCTATATGTAGAACAATATGATTGAAATTCAGAGTTTGATTGGAAATCAATATCAACATAATTTCTTGATATATGACCATCTATTTGTTCGTAGTAAACTAAAGCATCTGCTGCAAAATTCAATAAATCCTTAATGGCATACTTTTGGATCAAGGGGATGTAGTCATCATTTCTTAGACACGAGCACCATAAATCCAACGTCAAACCACTAACAATCAAACTTGGATTATATGTTGTTTGCATGACTAATTTGAAGTATTTTTCAATCTGATTGTTTGTGTCTTTAATTTTTGGTATTGATACATACAAACAACTGGTCATATCGACAAATTTCTTTACAATAGGGTATCTTGTTTCATCAACTTCTTCCTCAGGATTAAACAAAAGATCTTCATATACTCTAGCCAAAAGATCCATACTATCAAATACTTTATCTATAATGGTTTGATAATGTTCGTCGTTACCATACGGCCTAGTCAATAAGATGTGAATAGAATCGAGAGCCATTGATTGAGCTTTTCGTATATCTGTGGCAAGGCAGTCCAATAGAGTAGTCAGAATATCATTCTTTATTATTACTTCACTTAATGGCCAGTTCAGACAAGTTTTTAATGTTTCCAATAACCTAATGATGTACTCTGAATTCTTGTTCAACAAAGCAGTACGCAGTTCTGGTATCCAAATTGAGAACCAGCCATCGCTATCAGCTTTAAATAAAGTCCATTTCTCACTGAATTTGTATTTGGTGATAAAAATGTCCATCGGGCACACGATCATCACACATAGAGGCTGTATAATGGTCATTCTTTTCAATACCGTCATATCATCTAACAGAAACACATCTTCAAATAAAATACGGAAGATGATTAGGGTTACTTCTCTACTTGATTCATTGATGTTCCACAATTGGTGTAAATCCCTATCTAAATCCACCCAAGAATCCAAAAGCTGATCGTTGCTTGGGTTTGTTTCCTTCAGCGCTTCACCCCAAATTCTCTTTGCAATTTCAACCCAAAGACTGGCCAACTTCTCCTTTATGTATCTGGTATCAACAGTACTAACATTATAGTTTAGTTCAATTATCCATTTTTTCAATTGTTGTCTCTTTTCATTATTATACGAATTCCAATTTTTTTTAATATTGTATTCCAAAAGGTTCAATCCAAAGTATTTCAAAATATTGTTATCACTGTTGTTTAAAGCAATTTCAAACCCCCAAAGAGGGGATTCTTCCAATGTTCGAACGCTGTCTAAAAATTTTTGAGCCTCTAACCTCTGCCCATTATTTGATTTAGGGGAATATATTACATTAAGTGCCTCAACAACTTGATTAGCCCCGACATTCATAATTACAGCTTCCTTCCACAATGTTATGCACTAATAAAGAATAAAAATATGAATCACGGAAATGAAAAATAATATCAGACCAAAAACCAAAAAAAAAAAATATCGAACAGAAAACAATCAAGCAAGACGCTGGTGTTTGTTAAATGCTTGTAACCAATATCAATCAATAGTTACTCCGTTCTATAGATAGAGTACTGATAAAGTTGTTTATCTTCGTAAAATGTTAATAAACAAACAACTTCCACTGACTTTCAAAAACTGATTATTAAATAAATCTAGAATAGGTCAATTGCTTTGGAGTCAAACACTTCTTTCAATTAGTAAACAGTTTATAGCTATCAAAAACAGTTTCTATTTCAAAAAAAGTTCTTGATATGATTCACTTCCTTGGTGATGATCTATTCCTTTGTACTTGTTGAGGATCTTTAAAGATTGATTAAATGTTTAGCAAATAACAACTGCAGGAAATGAAGAGAATATCAAAAAAAGAAGTAGTATATGTATGAGATCACTCTATTTGACTGTGACTTGTTTAATTTTTTGCTTATTTCTTTAGTTTTAATCTACATCCATGTGTAAAGAATACACAATCAGAAGAATGGATATGTTACTTTTGTTATTTCAAATCACCCAAACTTCAAGGATTGTTTTAGAGGGAGAAAAAGATACAAAATATCACTCTAACACAAACAATGTGTGGGCTAAGTAACGAAAACGGGAAAAATGGCGTTTTCTAAATTGTATAAATTTTCTGTAAGAAAGACAGAGACAGAGACAGACAGAGACAGAGCGAGAGAAAGAGAGCATGAGTGTGGGCCATTTTTGCGGAACTTTCATAGAGATGAATTCACCAATAAAGTGGGGTGGGGAAGGTTAAATGCAGTTCGACACAACTCGGGAGCAAAAGCGAAAGGAGACAGTTGTATGAAAACCAAAGAGAAAAGAAAACAAGTCAATTAATAGATGATTACAACCACAGAAGCTACTGTAGGCGTTGCTACGCAAGTTTTTCATTAAGACAATCTTCCTTTTGGTATTCACTTTCTGCAATTGTGTGTGTGTAACTCTGAATGCAGGGTTTAAGAAATGGGGGGAGGAAAATGAGTGTTTCGAGAGAAAAAAAAAAGCAAACTAATGGAATGCATGGTGGACACGGACCCAGACCCCGGTGGGCACAGAGACTAGAATTAATTACTTGCTCTTTTTCTTTGTCACTTACGAGAGTTAGTAACAACACACGTACGCTGGTGTTATCGCCAAAGAGTCGATCATATTATAACTTTAAAGTTATGTAAGCTGCATTTGGTGTTACGAAGTACATGCGCCTAAGCATGCTCAACGTAGAGGTATATTATCCTATAGTTGAATTGTGTTGATTACAGCTGTTGGAACAGGTTCTCTACTGTAAAGTTTATCAACGAAGAGAAACTGAAATCAATGTATTGAAAACAGTGACAGTATCAATTGATAGATGCATGTTGAATGTTGTGCTATTTATTTTTTAAAAAAAAAATTACAACAGCAAAAAAATAATAAAGTGACCCAATTAATCATTTGCCCTCACTCATGAATATTTTGAACAGATACATACATTTGTCATATTTTCAATAAAAATGAAATGCAAGTTCAGATTGTGTTTGTTTTTTACTTTATGTGAAAGAAATATAAGTGAAACAACTCTAAAAAAATATATATAGACAACGAAAAAAAAACTTTAAAGACTAAGAAATGAATGCTATTTATACCAATTTTTTTTTGAAGAAAAGGCGGTCAATTCAATAAGTAATAATAATTCAGCGTCACAGTCAGTTAATATAATCAGCGGCTAACACCCGGTTCTATATGCTAGCAGTGCTACGAGATGTTCTAGCATACCTGTCCAGATCCGACTTACCCCAATTTTTTTCTAGTACTTTGTATTGGTAAGATATAAACAGGAGCCACTAGACCACGGAGTATAGACTTTATTTTTTTGCCGCATATGACAATCCTGCGTTGTTTTCTAACAATAATTACAATGGAGCAATGTGATTTGTTGCCGCGGATTATCGATCCTGCATTGGTTTCTTACAATAGTCCAAGAAGGGAGCATGGAAGTTAGTTGCCGCGCAAAATAGAGACGATGCGATGGTTTCTAACAATAAAAATACAGAGTAAATAGAATCCTGATCGCCGCACATGTGCATTCTGCACTGATTTCTAATCGATGCATACTTTGAAGCCCATGTACCCGCGGTTTATGCACCGACACCCTTAATCTGAACACAAATGCACACACTCACACACATATAAATATACTGTAGTCTCCATGTGGTCTTCTTGACACAAAGAAAACCACCAAGGCAAAAAAAACTGCTGTTGGACTAACAACAACAACAAAAAAAAGGCGGTCGGCGCTTCTATTACCCAAGTAGGAATAAACAGTTAATAAACGCTAAACCATAGCAGTTGGAAAGGGGGATGCAACATAAGACATGCATGCCAGCTTCTAATAGTTAATGAGTACCTGATACCGTGCAATTCCCAATTGCCGGTTACTTTGATAATTTGCAAAGCATGCAAAATGCATAGATATTGCATAAACTGGCTTGATGCTAACTATGATACCTGCTAACGCATACCGTATGCGAACACACGCCAAAGAGGTTTTCTCGGCCGAATAACTTTTTCCATTTGTGGTTCTGAAATTTTCTTGGCTTTCTAGTTGACTTTCAGTTTACTCCTAAGAATTCTCGCGGGAATGGGGAGGAAGAGGTACCCTTCCCCTTAAAAAGAAAAAAAAAAGAGAGAGAGAGAAGAGGTCAGAAACGTCTGCAGAACAAGATCGATTCATTTTCTACTAGACAAACGGTGTTTTTAGGCGTATTGTCTTGTTCGTGGAACTAATAGATGCTTATCACTCGCTAAAGACTATTTCCAAAACTATTACCGCCAATTACTGGGATGGGGAGGTGGAAGGGGAAAGAGTGCTGATTATGTCAGATGTGAATATGTTGTTCCTCTTGCAAGCAATTGATTTACGTTTCTCTTGAAGTGCATGTCTCGATGATTCCTCCAAGACGAATTGAGCTCACTGAATTCAGATTGCATATCGAATAGCCCTGAGAGTCACAAATAGGTTTTTTCATTTTCAATAGCAGAAATGAAGCCCTAATAACATGTTTTTTTCTTCAAAAATAACCCCATACAACAAACCTTACCTGAAAGTCCCAGCTGTATAGTAAAAAAAAAACCCTAAAAGTAACTGTCTCAAAAGAGCTGCATTACTGTTTAAGAGGTGATCGATAGAGGTGAACTATCGAAGACAATCCTTTCTCTTTAGGGTTTCTCTTTCTTCTTCATAAATTAGCCTAACATTAGATGGCCATAATTGACTAGTAAGCCAAGCCATGACGTTGTAATCTATGGAACACATAGAAGACCAAAAATAAAACCCTCTTTTTATTCAACTGTTCCCAGAAGAATACAGCCCTAAGTTTTGACAAATGACCACATTAACAATACAGAATACCTTTTTTTTTTCTTTTGTCTGTGGAATCGATTTTAAACATGAATGCCCTTGAATTGCATATTTTAACAAAATTATCAAGTTAATAATAGGGTACAGTGTAATTGGGATAAGTAGACACATGGCTGAGAAAATTGGAGAATAGTGAATATGGAATATACTACACCACTGTATCTTGAAGTTTAGCATTATGGAATTTGGAATAAGATAAAAGAATAAATACTAAAAAAAAAAAGGTATATAAACCAGGGCAATTGACCTCTTTTAGTTCCAAATTTCAATTCCAATTTCCTTCTCTTATTAATATTTAAACTTAAAAACAAGAACCATCTTCAAACTTCACTAGGAATAATACAAACACTCCTAACAGTTACTAGAACCGCCCAAAAAAAATAATTACTAAAAAATAAAAAATGTCTGCTACTGCTACCACCACTACAACCTCCCAATTGCAATTGAACTCCACTTCAATTGAACACGCTTTGTCTGATGTTGTCAAGACCGATGACTGGAGTGACTTCCAATTCAGACCAATTAGAGAATCCACTGTCTCTAGAGCCATGACCTCTCGTTACTTCAAGGACTTGGACAAGTTTGCCGTCTCTGATGTTGTTATTATCGGTTGTGGTTCCTCCGGTCTATCAGCCGCCTATGTCATTGCTAAAAACAGACCAGACCTAAAAATCGCCATTCTAGAGGCCAATGTCGCCCCAGGTGGTGGTGCTTGGTTGGGTGGCCAATTATTCAGCGCCATGATCATGAGAAAGCCAGCTGACTTGTTCCTAAAGGAATTGGAAATTCCTTATGAAGATGAAGGTGACTACGTAGTTGTCAAGCACGCCGCTTTGTTCACCTCTACTGTCTTGTCCAAGGTTCTACAATTCCCAAATGTTAAGTTGTTTAACGCCACTGCTGTCGAAGACTTAGTTACAAGACCAGCTGGTCCAAACGGTGAAGTTAGTGTCGCCGGTGTCGTTACAAACTGGACTTTGGTCACCATGGCTCACGACTTACAAAGTTGTATGGATCCAAACGTCATCGAATTGTCTGGTTACAAGGAAGATGGTACCCGTGACCCATCAAAGAAGCATGGTGTTGTCTTATCCACCACTGGTCATGACGGTCCATTCGGTGCTTTCTCAGCTAAGAGAATTGTTTCCATTGACAAGAACAAGAAATTGGCTGGTATGAAAGGTCTGGACATGAACAATGCCGAAGCAGGTGTTGTTAAGAACTCTGGTTCTTACAATGGTGTTGGCTCTATGTACTTTGCTGGTATGGAAGTTGCCGAGCTGGAAGGCTGCAACAGAATGGGACCAACCTTCGGTGCTATGGCTGTTTCCGGTATCAAAGCTGGTGAAGAAATCTTGAAGCACTTCGCTGAGTAAGGGGTATCTTTTTCTCCACTACATATCTGTCTTAACAAAGACTGATTTCTAAATACAGTTTGATATATCTATTATAAATAAAGTTTTTATACGTTCCTTATGAATCAAAATCCAAGTTATTGATCTTATTTCATCTGTTGATTTTAGTTGCTAATTAGTTCTCTTGTTGTCAATGTCCGGCATTAATATTGATCAGTCTTGAGATAACTCAATTTCAACTACTTTATCAAGATGCAGTTATATTTTTTATGCTATATAATATTACAAATTACAATCAACTAAACATTGTATAATCATACAGAACGTTAATGAGGATATCAGAAATCAAGCCAGTTGAGGTCAGAAATAAAAACCGTTAGCAATAAAACGGAGCATATATTCTTCGACATGATTTGTACCCTCATATTCATCAACATCTTCATCAATGTCGTCACCATTTAGTATATTACCACCAGTTTTATTGGTTGATGACTCATCAAAATCCTCATCATCAACATTGACTTCACGTAGTGCTGAATTTGCGGCTTTGACATCATCTTCATCCTCTGCTTGTGCAAGCAGTTTCTCTAGCTTCTTCGGATCTTTAATTGCTTCTGAATCAGATCCGAGAAGAGGCTTGGTATCAATAACAGGCAGGTCACCAACAACATCAGATCCGAAAAGATCTTTCACCGAAAGCTTGCTAAAGTAATCTGTTGTGAATTCACCTTTCTGGATTATTACATCATCTAACTGTCGTTTCTGATTGGCTTTCTTTAAAATATTGCTCTCGATAGTATGTTCACTCACAAACCTATAAATGTGAACATCCCTTGTCTGTCCAATTCTATGACAACGGTCCTGGCATTGCTTATCCATTGCAGGATTCCAGTCAGAGTCATAGAAAATAACTGTGTCAGCACCTGTTAGGTTGATACCTAAACCACCCGATCTACTAGATAAAATGAAAACAGTAATTTTAGGGTCACTGTTAAATCTCTCTGTGAGAATTTGACGGTCTTCGATTTTAGTTGCACCATCAAGTCTCATATATAGATAACCATGATAGTTTAGAAACTGTTCAAGAATATCTAAAACTTTTGTCATTTGAGTAAATATCAAAGCTCTGTGACCACCATCTTTTAATTGTTGAAGTAAGATTGCAAGCTTTTGTAATTTACCACAGTCATACTGTAATAAGGACTTATCTGGGAAAGCAATTGTCAGTTTTGTTTGAACCTGATGGAACGGATTATCCAGTTGTACTAATTCTTCATAAGGAATTATGCCTGATTTGCTATTAGGAGTAACAAATTCATCCATTCCCAGCGTCAACTCACCAATATTCGAAGTTACAGCACCTGGGGTTAAAACTGCAAACTTCTCAATTGTGGTTCTTCCGTCAAGTAGTCTAGTTTGAAGAGGTTTAATCAAATCGTCGTAATTTGGATCATCTATACAATTATTAGAAACATGTGGCATTTCTAATAACCTGATTAGATTCATACCATATACCGTCTTCCTTGAGCACCTTTGGGAATTCAAATAACCAATAAAATTAATTTTATTTTCTTGCTCATCTAGTTTTTGTTGCATAAATTCTTCATAAAAATTTGATATATTTTGTGTATTGATTTTCAAATGTCTAGACTTTTGTCTTTCCTCCTCAGCATTTTGTTTCCTTAGTTTTTGTACTTCTTCGACAAATTCATTGATGCAAGCTAATTTGTTTATGGTGTTTGTATGATATGAGGTCTTTTCTAGATCATTATTAGTAAATTGAAGATTGATATTTTGTAGGTCAACTAATGTGTCTTTATCATGAAAATGTATTCTTCTTGTAATGCTATTTGCCCTTTCAGAATATCTGGCAATCACCGATTCACCAAACAAAAATGATGTTTTTATTGGTCTAACTTCAAACAAATCCGGGTGATTACAAACTTTCCGTAATTGCATTAAACAATTAACAATGGACATAAAATTACCACTAGCTAATGTAGCTTTCGTTTGAGCTCTTGACATGAAATCATCATAAAGAAAACGCTGTCTCTTAGACAACTTACAATAGACAATATGCTCATATTTGCCAGGAATTTGTTTTTCAACATCAGCTTTTAATCTTCTCAAGAGATAAGGTCTTAAGACTTGGTGCAATTTTTCTACTGTCCTTTTAGTCTCGTTATCTTGTTCATATGTTCCTCCAGTTTCAATCAATTTATCTACAGGTCTTCCAAACCATTGTTGAAATGCATCTAAATCAGCAAAACCACTGACCTTTTGTCCGTCTATCACTGTTTGTGGCATTAAAAAATAGAGTAAGGACCAAAGCTCAGCAATATTATTTTGTAAAGGTGTACCAGTTAATAATATACGTCTTTGGGTATTGAAATTTAGAAGTGCTTGCCATCTGGTCGATCTGAAGTTCTTGATGTTATGCGCCTCATCAAGAACCATATACTGCCACTTTTTCCTCTTAAATGAGTGTTGATCCTGGACAATGAGTTGATACGAGACAATACATACATGGAAGGCATCTGGTTTATTCCATCCTTTCCTTTTTTCCTTTCTTTGTTGCGGGTTTCCATAATATGTTAACACCTTAAATCCTGGAGCAAACCTCTTGAATTCCATTTCCCAGTTTAATAATACCGAGGTTGGGACTACGATTAAGTGTGGTCCCCAGTTGTGCTTTTCACATGCAAGATAGGATAACAATGAAATTGTTTGTATCGTTTTACCTAACCCCATTTCGTCAGCCAAAATACCATTGGTATTGTTGTTATATAATGATGCTAACCAGTTCAAACCCTGCTTTTGATATGTCCTCAAAGTGCCCCTTAAAAGCGAAGGTGTTGGCACATCTTGGACAGCTAAAGGGTCATTTGTCGTATCTGCTGGAAACAAGTCTGATTTTTCATTATCTGATGTAGTATCATGTTCGCCGTCATTCGAATCTTCACTGTCATCAGTCAGATTTTCGTCATCAGAATGGGAGGTGTCAGAGTCACCCATTATAAACTCTTCATTAGTGTCACTTGAATTAGATTCATTTTCGAAATCGTTGGTCAAAAGAGAATTTAGGCCCAAGTCGGGGTTTTTAGATGGGGATGAAATTTCAGGTGAGCTAAATGCAGAAGTTGAGCTAGTTTTGAGCTCATTGATGTTATTTTTTTGATCTTCTGATAAATCGTTAATTTCATCATCAGATTCCTCATCCGAAGATGATGATAAATTATCACTGTCACCAGTTGAAGAAAAATCGTCACTGGTACTATTTTCGATATCATCCTCGTTAGGATGCTGTTTCAGTTGGGCTCCTAAAAGTTTGGAACTTTTTTCCAACATTTTTGATAAATGTTCTTTTCCTTGTATTCTTTTCAGTTGTTCCTCTTCGTCTTTTTTCAAAATTCTATATGCTTTTTCAGCTAAATTCCATCTCTTCTTGACACTTTGGATAATATTTCTTGCTATTGCCTTTCTTTGCTTTTCGTTTTCTTTTAAACGGCGATCTTCAGCACCAGCGATATGTTTGAAATGCTGCTCTATCATCTGTGCAATTTTTTTAGCGCCAGCTATTCTTTGTTTTTTTCTGTTTTGAACAAGCTTGGATGAAAACAGACCTTGATTAATTAAATGTTCTTGATGAATATGAAGGTTTTGCTCCTTATACATATATTGTATTGGATCCACCTTTGCGTGAGAGAACATGTTTGGCACCTTTCGTGCCGAAGGTTGAACGGTCTCTGTTACAGGATCATACTTAAGAGCTCCAGTTTCAATACCTTTCTTGATCATTTTGGCAAACCTTTGCTGTTCCTTTATGAATGTGTTATATTCCTCATTTGTCATATCATCTTCTAATATCTTAAATGAGTCTAAGTACTCGTGTAAGGTGGGGTAGTGACTATTAGCTATATTATCTGGGTTTGTTATGACTGCCTTTGGTGGGTTCACATATAAATTTATTCTTTTCCTTCTCTTTATCGTTCCTCTTCTCTTATTGGGCAATTCATCCTCCGATGAAGTAGTGAAATAAAAATCTGACTCGCTTGCGATGTCGTCATCTTTGTATAACTTCAATTGCTTTTCATTAAAGTCGCAGTTTTCGATTTCGTTTTTTACATCGCTTGACTCCATAATTTCTGGTTTGATTTCAGAACCTCGATGATTTGGTTTCAAATCTTTCACTACAGTCTTAACATCTCTTTCAGAAATTTGAGGACTTTCAGATTTATCCTGATGATTTGGTACTTGTTTTACAATTTTGGCACGTTTAGTATTACCTTTCTTTTTTATATGTGAATTTGAAAACTGTAATTTCAGATCTTGTAGTTTCTGTTTTGCCAGTATATCAACTTCTTTTAGCAGATTAATATCATTTTCAGACATAGTATCTAACTCATTGATGGTGCTGGACCCAGAATCTCGAAGATGTCTCACTGATCTACGAACTTTCTTTCCGCTACTTTCGTTATGTAGCTGTTTCTTCTCCTGAAATATCGACCCCCACGTCACGTCCTTTTCTTCCAGTAGTCTTTCATAGTTTTCTGAATTCGGTATATAGAATGGATCATATTCAACCAGTGATATGTATTCATGTAGATGATATAACTCATTTGTCAGTTGATCGTGACGCAATTTTAATTCCGAAAGCTTCTCAATTTTGCTCTGTCTGTTGTCTTTCCCATTCAGTTTGTTATTTTTCGACATATCTTCTGTATTCTGCTTTTGAGTATGGTTTAGTTTTGTTATAGTCAATTTTTATAAAATGGCATACAACTACCACAGATATTTGGTGTAAAGTAATAAAGTGCAAATCAAATAATGAAGTAAAAAAAAACAATAAAACAACGCCTAGCAACAAATGAACAAGTAAAATACACGGTTTGGAATGAATAAATACAAGTAAAATGGTCAAAATGCAGGGCTAATACAGTCAGCAGGTAAATGTAAAGCGTTTATTTCACCTATGCGAATGTCTATGGAGTGCTTAAACCGATGATTCAAAACAAGATCAACAAATTTCTGGATTTATATTTGGCAGTTTGACTTGCAACCTCTCTAGCAAATGCAATAAAAAAAAGGATGAGCCCAGACAGACTATTGAATACGCGTTCCTTTTCGATAGTGACCAACTAGAAACGACGTTTATTGTACAATTTGAAGATCCACTGCCTAAGTAAATGCAATCTTTTCAGTATCAATAGAAAGCTCCAGTTCTGTAGTCCGCGATGAATTGGTTTATACCTCTATAACTAGTCAAAAAGCCTAGTTTCTTATCAGATTTATATCAAATTTCTCTTCAAAACAGTGGCAACTTCCCAGTTTTTCAGCTTTTATTTTTTTCAAGGCCAGACCTCTTCTTCAACTTTTCCCGTCTTGTGCCCAATTTTTAGAATTTCAGCGATGTGGGTGGAGGGGCCTTCAGCCTGTTAAAAGCCAGAAGATCCGTAGAGCGATATATTATCATGTGAACTATACTGCTTGAGAAGTTATACTGTTACTCAATTACTCAATTTAGAACAGTATATTAAACGGCTCAACGCACAAGAGGGCAATCAGTACAGGTTGAAGATTTTATGAGTTTACTATAAATATTCTGTAAAGAGCTCTGTACTTGTTTTGGTATTGTATATTTGTTAAAATATGCAGTAATTAAATAATATAAAATATGCAGATACGAATTATATTGTAAATGGTGTGTGCGGAACCGCATTTGTGTTTTAAGATATGGTGTTGAAATGTAGGATATCTAGGAAAAGATCTCGCTTATCAGTTTCTTTATATTGTTAGCGTTTTTTCCAGCCTCTCCGCCTTCTTGTATAATTTGCTCTATTTGCTTCTTCATAGTAGGTAAGTAGACGTTCTCTACATTTCTTATCCTAGATTCAACATCTAAGGCATCTGAACTACTAACTGAAGAGTTATCTTTATTGCTGGAGGAAGACTTCAGTTGCTTATCGAAAAGTTTTAGGTAGCCATATGCTTGTGGGAAACTAGGTGTCATATATTGTACCTCCTCAAAATTTTGAATATTGCTCGTTGTGTCTTCATCTGTTGTCTCCACTGTTGGTTCTTTACAACCACACTCAAGCAACGCATATAGTGTGGAAAGGTGGGCAGCTTGAAACTTGTTGTCTCTTTTACTGGTTTGCATTGCTCCAGCAGCTTGGTTGGAGTTCTTGCTGTGCTGAGTTTCCCATGATAGCACTCTGAATATACCAGCCATTAACTTATTCCAAGCCTGATCGCAAAACTCTTGGCCACAGTATTTCAAAAGACAACCTAGAAATTTTGTTGAATCTGCCTGCACTCTCGGCAAAATATGAGTCATACCCATGTTTATATACAGCACTAATGATCTGCAATGTAACTTGAGCACTTGTTCATCATGTTTTCCTACCTCATCAAACAGTTCCAGCAATTGCTCTCTAACGTCCTTTGAGTCATCACATATAAGTTGCGAAGTTTGGGAAATTAACGGTGTCATTAGCTGTGTACTAATTATCTTCGGAATTGCTTTTATATATATTCCCAATGTTTCCTTACGTACTTTATCGTTATGATGTTTCAGCAGCGGTAATCTCTTTCGCAGATCGTCGCCAGCATTATTCACCAGTTGACTTCTAACCGATAAAGTCCTAGCAGTAAAAGAAGTGTCTGTACTATTACTAGGCTTACCAGTGGGTTTACCAACTTTAAGCTTCTTCTTCAAAAAATCCTTCTTCTTTTGTTTTTGTTTCTTAGACTTTGTCATTGTACTCAGCCCCAATTATAAGTATCTTCGAAGATTTTTCTTAAAACACCCGCTAATATATGCACACAACAACTAGATAAATGCTAATTTATATGGAAATTGTAAGATGAGATCAGCTTCTCCTGCTAATATTCAAAGCTAATGATCATCTCAATACTACACATATTTTGCGATGAGATGAGCCTTTTGCAACTTTTTCTTGAAAAATTTCAAAAAATGAAAGCAAATCGTGAGAAAACGGAACTTTACTAGCGATGAGCTCAAATATAGACTGTTGAAATTGGATATCCCTTTGTGGGACTGTAAATTTGAGTAGCTGGCTATTTCAATCATATATTTACATATCATTCATTGTGATTGAAACAGTTGTTTTATTGTGGTATTTGAAGGTAGCTGAAAAATGAGTTCGAGAGCCCTAAGGAAACAGCAAAATGATGCTGAATTACTTGAATCCATATTAAACTCCAACGCCACAACTAAGAGAACTACGCAGCAGCAAAAGCCAAAGGCTAATATGGCCACAACTAACATATTCTCTTTGATGGATGACTACAATAGTGACGATAGCGAAGATGTAAAAGATGATGCTGAAGAATTTGAATTACATAAAGACGTTGCCGATGAAGAGAACGAGGCAATTGCTGCTCCAAAAATACAGCTAGCTTCCAAGAAGTCAAGAAAGAAAGCAAACAAAGGTAGAAAGAATAAGAAGAAGGACAACAAACCTGTAAATGAACCTCAGAGTGATACAAAGGATGATATTGGAAACGACGAAGAACTTGATAAAATTATCAGAGAGTTTCAAAAGAGTTATATTAATACTACAAATCTACATCACGATGATGATATTGATGGTGATGAGTTTGTTACCGCCTCAGAGAGTGAAAGTTATGATGAAGGTACCAGATCAAGTACTAAAAAAACGAGTAATCATAACCTGTTCACCGATCCAGGATTTAGTAATTTTAATATAAGAGGCTTAAAAGCTTGTGAACGTTTCTTTAATACAGATATTAGAAAATTAGATCCTCATACTGAATATAAGCTACTGTTTGACGATATATCTGCTAAATCATTAGAAGACATAGATTCTGTATCGTCGGTATCTATTTCACCACAACAATTAAAACAAATACAGCGTCTAAAGCGAATGGTAAAAAATTGGGGTGGCAGAGATAGACGTACTGTACCAAATGGGCCTGGTAACAGTCCCCATAGATTAAGATTAACTAAAGTTCGAGATGACTGGATACCAACCCAAAGAGGTGAATTCAAGATGGCATTGATGACAAAATCTGAAGTGATGGACTGGCAATTATGGATGTCACCATTAGATTGGAAAGATGTTGTGGAAGAGAGAGTCGGTAGTTTGCACAAATTCATTTCATTTTACAAATTTGAAAGTGTCACACCTGACATCACTAGGAAAAGTTTGTCTGAGTTTTACGTTTCTGTCATTCTGCATCCTGACCATGAAGCTTTAATTAGTTTGATTTCTTCTAGATATCCTTATTTGGTTCCTGGTTTATTGCAAGTGGCTTTGATAGCTATCAGACAAGGTGATAGGTCAAATACCAATGGATTATTGCAGAGAGCATTATTTGTATTTGATAGGGCGTTAAAAACTACTGTTCAATTTGATGGTGTCAAATGTCAACTTCCATATATCTACTTTATGAACAGACAGTTTTATCTAACAATTTTTAGATATATTCAAGCACTCGGTCAAAGAGGTGCTGTTGGAACAGCAAGCGAATGGACCAAAGTCCTTTGGTCTTTGAGTCCTTTAGAGGATCCGTTAGGTTGCAGATATTTCATTGATCACTATTTGCTACTAAACGAAGAATATCAGTATATTATTGATGTTGCCAAGTCTCCGTTGTTTACTACATATAAGCAGTGGTATACATTAGGATTTAGCCTTGCTGTAACCTTAAGTTTGATTCGATTAGGCAAACTAAAGGAAGCTAGACAAGAGATTGAAAAGAATGCCAAGATAAACACAGCTTGTCTAATGACCCTCTTTTTGGAGCACCTAAAAGGAGATGTCTCTCAAGTTCAAACCACTATTGAACCAACAGAAAGGGATATTTTGGAGTTTAAATCTTATGTGACGAGGTTTCAACATCATTGGAAATCTACTGAAGAAGTCAACTTTTTGCACGATGAGCTGTCTCGTATATTTACCAATTCAATCGATCTTGATAGTGATCTTGACAATGCAGCTACAAATGATGATGTAGAATCGCCATTTTACATTGATGGAATCCCAGTTAATCTATTGAGATTTGCAATTTTATCCGAAGAGTCTTCATTAATGGCTGCAATTCCAAAAAGAATATGGTCGAACTATGAAATTTATGAATTTGATGTATTACCGCCTATCCCTACTACTAAAGAATCTAGAGATGTTATAGAAAATATCAAATCATTGATTAATGAGAGTGAGCTAATAAGCTCACAGGCTGAAGCGTTACAAAATGAGGAAATACTTAGAAGAATTCAGCAGTTATCATTACAGGAATATATGGAAGGGAACCCGCAAGAACTAGATATTTAATTTGGGTTCAATCACAATTATATTCCGTTCCTTACTATTTTTGGATGTCATAACTAATACGTTAGATAAGCAGTCAAGATTATAGAATTATAGGCTTCTCTAAACCACATTTTAGTATATGTCAAGATTTTTGTGAAATAAGGACTCTCAGGATGTTATATCAAATGACTGTGTTAGTATATAAGAAAAAATTATCTATAAATTGATCCTTTTAAATTAACATGATATCCTAACTTACATTTTTTGTATTTGAACGTAAGGTATCTATCATTTTGTTTATACTGTTTTTTAATACCTTATTGGGTTTTGTATTTCTAGCAATACCATTTGGGGATGAATATTTAGAGCAGGTTTTTGTTTTTCTCCTTTTTCCCAAGGTTCTGGTGTCAAACTGCGACTGTCGTCTTTGTGATGACTTGTTACTTTTAGCACTAGAGAATGGTGATGACAAGCTACCCCAAGGAGTTGTTGTTAAGAATGGACTATACGCTGGGAGGTGGGTACCTTTAATACCAGCACTCAATAATGAATGAAAAACAGGAGTCATATGCGAAGTTGAATTGTGAGGTAACATATTCCATATTGACAATTCCTGAGAAGAGATTTTGACTCGCTCATTGTTCAGTTCAAAGCTTGCATTATTGCAATTCTCGTCTAACAGTTCACTTAAAGTTATGCTATCCACTAATCCAGGGCTAGTAACCTCCGGGTAAGGGAAGTGTAAATTATTCCCTACAGAAGGATTTATCTTCTGAGTTGTAAATGCACCATCTTTTGCGGCTGATTTAATATCCTGAAATGGTGTTCGTTGGACATGGGGCAATAAATATTGTGGATCCAAACTAGCCGAGACCAAGAACGGTGAAAATTGTGCCGTAACAATTTTGTTTGTATCAATGCTGGAATTTTTATCAATCTCCATATTCCGATCGTCGTAATACAAAAAGCTTTGGTCTGGGTTCAAACTAGTAGCCAGAAATCCATTACTAATATTCTCGTCAGGATATTCAATTTTAATATTCATAAAATTATCATCGTTATCAAAATTTGGAGAATCTGATGTCAGTTCCTTTAAATCACTTGAATAGTCAGTATCCATACTAGCGGGAAGATTGTTTGTAGGGCTTAGAGGAGAGCTGATAGCACTTTGAGCATGAGATGTGTTACAGCTTTGAAATTTTGAGTATGCATAAGATGAAGAATGGTTTGATCTCGACAATGGATCACCAATATTAACAGAATTGCTTACTTCCTCTAAAGAAGAGATATCATTTGCCTCCTTTTGCTCCTCATTTTGGTTATCGACAACAGCATTTGTAATTTTATTTTTACTTATGTCTTTATCTCCAGATTTTGTAATTGTGTTGCATTTCTTTGTCGAAATATGGCGGCTCAGTTGTTCTTGGAGTGACAGTTTGGAATCCTGGTCGTAATTAAATGACAAGGCTGGTTCTTGAATTGCGATTGTAGTTGGATTCTGGCCATTGAATTCTCTTTTGAGGTCCCTCTCAAGGGCATCTGCAAAGAGTTTATCGTGTGGAATGCTAAACCAAAAGAATACCTTTTGCTTCTTTTGGGTCTTGAGGCATAGATTGCGGAATAAGAACTTTAAAAACTTTGATTTCGGCTGTTCTAAAGTTGCATCCAGTCCACACTTCAAGTTCCGCAAATCAGAGAAAAGTCCCTCTTCGAACTTCTTCCTTTCTATTACCTTACGACCAAATTTTTCCATTCTGTACATACACGCCTTAACTATGTCAGTTCCAGTCATATAATATAAGCTGTTCCAAAAAACACAAGATATAAAGCCTTGTGAATTGTTCAAATAATATCTTCTTATGACTTGATTTTCATGCCAATTAAGTGGTGCTGTCGCTAGGAAAAACTTTAGGTCTTCAATAGCTGATATGGCATCTTCCAAATCATCTATAACACTTTTTACAAGCCCGTCATCATTATGGTGCTTCAGATCACCTTTCAAAATTTCTTCTGTTCTTCTTTGTCTACCCTTTATAAATGGGCTCATGGTGTAGATATTACAGAATATAACTTCTCGTTGTAGTATATTTGGTATAATATTAATTATCGGCGTGGAAATAGACTACCGGTTTTCGCTATTTTTTGGCAGAACCAACAAATTTTATTAGTGTTCAATTCCTATGAACTATCAATAAACAAACACGTTATCAAAGGAGTTATCAATATATCAGATGTTTGCAACTGGGTGATCAATAATGATATTTTTATTTGGTATATGTGATTTGTCTTGGAAAACCACTCAATTGATCTAACTCAGAATATGTCAACAAAAAAAAATCAGAATAATAAATCCTCGTTTATCTGTTACAGTCCTGAGTCAAAATTATCAAAGAATTAGGATCAAAACAAAAACTGAAGTCAAGACACTATGTTTTATAATGAAATATCAAATGGTTCCATTACCATCCCATTTTGTAACATGGATGTTTCATATCAGTTTTAAACAAGTAAAACAAAAAACAATGCCAGGGTTCTGAGTCAGGAGGGTCTAGATAGTAGGTAAAATGAAAAGAATCTGTCAGTGGTCTTAAAATTAGGACAGATTTAGTGTTCCTTGGTAACAGTTAAACTATATTAAGTTTCATGATTTTTAATTTTAGTTCATGAAGACTGGTGTAAGGAAGTTTTTTATCATTGACAGTAGTAAACAGTTTCAAAACCTTATTTTCCAGTAGAGAGAATTTGTATAGCTACAAATATAAGCCCGTTGTTGTGGTCCATTGTTAGTATTGATCCTGTAATAATATTACTCTAAACCACTCTTGAAGTTAGAAGAATAAAAATAGCCATTATAAAAATAATAATAACGTCTTAAAACGGACATTAAATGGGTGTAAAGAATAGGAATGGGTGGAAAAATAGCAATGCCTCCTTGAAGCTTTTTAGTTTGTTTGTTTTCAATGTTTCAGGTTCATCAATGATCACCGCAGTAACCTTTTCTTTTAATTTCTTGTATCTACTCCACAGTTTCATTACTGATGTATTATAATAAGATAGTCTTCATACAGCAGTGTAGAAAACACACAAGAAAACTGAATTTCTTTTAGTTACCTAAAATGAATGGTTCTAGGAGTTGTTAGATCGGTATTTTTCTTCTGAGTTTTGTTGCCTTTAAAAGATTGGTTATAGGTTAATCACTTCACTCCGTTCCCATATGTTTCTTTTCCCCGTTTCCTAGCAAAAAGTATGACCTCAAGCGGAGCTACACCGGCCTTATCTATCCTGGCTAAAGTTACACTCTTTTTGTCAGTTATTTTTTTTAGATCACTTGCTTGTGTTCTTTAAATTTTTCAATAATCCCTGTACCGGGAATGTAGGAGCAATGCTGGTAGCGAAAAGTAATTTTGAGGCACTGCCCTTCGTTAAATTCTTGATGTAAGAAGAGATGGAAAATGGGTCGATATTCATGGAATCATTAGAGTTTTTCAGTTTTGTTAGTTGTTTCTGTATAATCTTTTCTACCAAGATTTTCTGTTTCGGAGAGGCCTCCTGGGATCTCCACCTGGCATACTTAATGATCCTACCTAGAGAATTTGAGTTACCGAGATCTTCATATTTCTTAATCACTTGTTCAAGTTTCAGCGTAATTTGGGAGAGATCTTGGTCCTTCTCCAATATAGTTGGAACGTAACGTATACTAGAGTTAACCTCATCTCTATAGAGCTTCGGGATTTCCCGATATAGTTTTAATGTGTATCTTGTACCTCCTGGTTTATCAGATGACCTATACAACCTGATATGATGGCCGTTACTCAAATCAAATGCCCAACAGTTCTTTGTAATACGTACCCATGCGTATTTAGATTTATGGATGAAGCTTAACTCCTCTTCAATCTGATTTATCTTGTTAAGATCAACCGCAATGCCAGCTTGTAACTTTTCATGATACTCTTTGAAATTAGCGTACGAGATCAGATTTAAGTCAAGTGCATCACCATGTGAGACTTCCAGTAGTGTTTGCTCCATTTTGTTCAATTGATTTCGAAGCATTTCCTCATGTGCCCGTTTTTGCAACTCGGCTTGAGTTTGCATCTGTTGATATTCAGCCATGCGAGTTTCTTCTTCTAACTTGATCTTCCTCAATTCTTCCAAGGTAGCGTTGTCAAAGGTATCTTCACAGGATTCAATCCCAAGTAATGAAGGTACTGACACCACACCCGCTTTTGTTGAGCCAACAAAATCAATGATATGGCAATATTCCTTTGAATGATGTAATCGTAACCCTCTTCCTATCATTTGAACTAGTAATGTTCGCGATTTAGTTGGTCTACATAAAAGTATGCAGTCAATATTAGGAATATCCGTGCCTTCAGTGAAGATGCCACAATTCAGAAGTACTTCTAGTTCACCAGATTTTATATCTCTAATTGCCTTCTGACGATCCTCAACACTTGTCTTTGACGATACCGCCTTTGCTTTAATGCCTCTTTCATTAAAGTACCTCTCCAGGCACTCGATGTGGTTGATATCTACCCCAAATAGTAATGATGATTTGATGTTATTCTCTTTTCTTTTCTCCAAATATGAATTATAAATGATACTGTTTACCGTCTGTGTATTAAGTAATCGAGAAAGAGCGCCTGTTTGGAAATCAGATGTTAATGTAGAGGTGGGGATTTTGGAAAGATCGACTTCCAATCTGACAGTGGTAAACTTACTTTCACAAAGCCAATTATCATCGATCATCTCTATAATGCCTCTGTGGTAGACCAGCTCATCAAAACTTTCCTTTAACGACTTCTTATCATATCTTTCAAAAGTAGCACTAAATCCTATTACAGGGATTCTTGTGTTAGCTGTATCACACCGAAAATGCTTCAGGACTTTCTTGTAAGAATCGGCAGCAGCATGATGTGCTTCATCTATGATAATTAAATCGATATCACCTTCTCTGTACTTGTGTAGTCGTCGGATGATAGACTGTACAGAGGCCACTATTACGTCGCTGTTGGAAACGTCACAGTTCTGATTACCCATCTCCAGTTGAATATTAAGGTCCTCATTAATTCTTGACGTAGTTCTAACGGCTTGTTCTGCCAGCTCTCTCCTATGAACTAATATGAGTGTTCTGAATCGACAAGCATTACCACGGTTCCGTTGCCGAAGTAAATTGATTAGGCTGGAAAATATAACTGTCTTACCACCACCTGTAGCTAGAGAAACTCCAATCCTTTTCTTCCCTAAGGCAATAGCATCTAAGCATGATTTTATAGCATCATTTTGATAGTCTCTTAGTATTGGAGTAGCTGTTGTAGAATACCACTTCAGCGAGGGGGCATTGTTTCGAAAAGATTGTTTTAGAATTCTGAGCATTCATATAGGCCATTGACTCAAAATTATAATTTGCAATACAATCTACTGAATCAGTCTTGTACAGTTACAAAGATAAGACTAGCCAGTTAATATGGTAGCCTTTGTAAACTGATCTATGTAAGCTTGGTGTACTATAATTTGAAAAAAAAAAAAAAAAAAAAAAAAAGGCGATGATGATAGTAATAGCCATTGCATCGCTTGTCGGTAATGTTAATGCACTCCTAATTATAGTAAGTATCTTAACATTCAAGCAATAAGTCGATTCTGATGTCCTGTTAATCTACTTATGTCTAGTTAAACCCAATACAATGGAGAAAAAACTCATGGTATTCTAACGATAATTACATTATATATGCGATGAACTAACAATTTATTAAAGGCTGAACTTTGCTGTTTCTTTTTTTGACGTTCTCTTAAATGTTGTGTATAGACCTAGCATTACAAGAATTATGAGCAATACAGTCATCAATCCCTCATTCGAGTTGTTTTTAGCATCTGTTATATTCTTATTCAACGAGCTCGCGGTTCTAAAGTAAATTGACGAAGCAGGTTCTTTAGGCTTAGGTGTTTGAGAAGATTTATCTTTCTTAGAGGCAAGTTGGCTCTTTTGGATTGCTAAATCTATAATATCCTCGTTATTTCCACTTGTCTTACCACTGTTGTCATCAGGTATAACATTTTGAACATTAGCAAAGAAATCTGTTATTAGAACATCAGACACGTTTCTTTTGAACAAATCAGATCTCACACCTACATGTGAATGTACTTTTTCAAATGTATAAGAATCAAACAAATCTTTCAATGTGAGATTTGATGTCTTATCGATTTGTTCCAGAAATTCCAAGCTATAGTATGTAAATCTGTCGATAACTGCAACACCAATTTCCACATCAGAGTGATGTGAGTATGAGCTTTCGTCCAGTTCACTTGAACCTACAGCAAGTACATTTGGAGAGTAAAACTTTGAGTACATGGTGTTGGCCTGACAAGTGTCAATCATGAAGAATATTTCGTTGTATCTTTTCTTTTCGTACATTTGAGCGAAAGCGTCTGCAATATCTTCTGAAGCGATCTCTTCGGCGTCCTGGAATTTTAGGAAGTCATCACCACCATGACCGGTTAAATAAATGAATATATTTGAGTTTTCATCCGTTTGTAATCTTTTTGACTTCGGTTGATCTTCTGTCCATCTGTCAGTCAGCAGTCTTATAAAATTCTCCACTGTTACTTCATAGCCTCTGTAATCAACCTCTACAGATTCACCATACAAATCAATAGCATGATCTTTGTTGTTGAATACACTTCCTGGGAACAGGTTCCTAGAGTTACATGCAACATCGTCACTCAACATAAGAATGATCTGCGAGTCCGGAATCCCCAGTCTCCTCACCGTCCTGTACATGCTCAGCACATTAGCCATGTGTCTATAATTAAACCAAAATCTGGAAGTCGATACCAGAACGGCCCAGTTGTTAGTGTGTTCAGCATTTACCACCCCGCAGGCCAGGGTTACTAGCCATAATAGGCACGGTAGCACAATCCTCATACTCTTCGGTGCTTTATAGAATAAGTAGTTAGCCTTTAGATACTGGCCTGTCCAGATATAGCTTACAAAACACCAATGCTATTAAATAACACCTCTTAAATGAGTAGATGGTTCTATTCCAATGTGGATTATTGGCCTTTAATAAATATATTTCACTGCAATTCGATTGTTTGGTTCATCACGAAATTACGTAAATTTCACTTCACAAAGAGGCGAGTATGAAGGGCTCTTGCGGGTTTTCAGTGAAATTTGATAGATGGCAAAGCTGCCTCTCGTCGATAGGTAATGGAAGTGTGGGGGGGGAGGGAGCATTATATTATTGTGAAACTTTCTATACATTCAGGTTTATATATATGAACTTATTCCTTCTCTACAAGTAGAGAGCTATTTCCCAACTCTGCCTCTGCTATTGTAAGCGATAGCTTCTCGATAAGGTTTTCTCTTTGGTGGTTGCTTAAAATGAACTGGCAATCGGCAAATCCATCGAGCTTAGCCTTGATAACCTCGTAAATATTTCTAACTGTATCTGTTAGGTTGAATCTTCTAACCATCCTACGGCCGTCACCAGTTCTGATCTGTATCCTTGTGGTCTTTCCTGGTTCATTCTGTGGTTCCTCGTGGTTGATGGGTTCAATTTGATCGAACAGTGACCCAGTAGATGGTTTTTCTTCTTCCTTTGCATCAGCTATTTCTGTTTCAGAGACTTCGTCTGTGTTTCGCTCGTTGTTAGATGGCGACACTTCTTGTTCACCAGCTCCTAGGGATTGTCTGATAGCAAGTTCCATCTGTTGTTCTTCTGAAAGAGTAGTAGGGTCAAGATCCGGTGTTGGTTGTTTGATCAGCGGGTTCTTGGAGCCCGGCTCCAGAGAGAAGTCTTTTAAGAACTTCTCAACTTCATCTAAGAAACTCTCTAATCTCGGCACTGTGCTGTCCCATTGTTTTAGTCTTTCACCAGTTAGGGGGTCTAGGATAGCAATATGTGGCAGTTCTTCCTTGGATTTGAGACCATAGAAGTGTACGTACGGCTCAGCATTTCTCGATTCGAATTGGTATTGCAAAAATATGAAGTTTTTCTTTATCAGTCTCTTAACACGCTTGTTTGACCATATGTCCCTGTTCAGCGCTTGGCATTGAAAGACGCCCGAGTCCTGAATGTTGATCATAATCCATCTCTTCTTCTTTCTTGCTTTTAATTTGGCTCTGTCCAAGTTCACCTTTGACATGATATCAAATGGGGGTCTAAATAGCATGGCGAGGCGGGCCTCCTTGGTGATAGGGTTCTTCAGCCGGCGTACTAGCTCTTTCCTCTCCGTAATGTTGCCATCATCGTCAACTTCCACTACGTCCTCTTCAACATACTCGTACTCATCATCGTCGTCTGAGTTACTATTAAACTCAGACAACGACGACGATGAAGACCCTTCTGAAGACGAGTCATCACTGTAGTCAAAGTCCATCCGCTGGTTGAATATTCCCTGTGGTGTCGAGTTATCAAACATGTCCTGCGCCACATTGCCACTGTGGTGCCTTAGAGACCCAAAAGATCCGCCAATTCCACCATATGTAGTCGGAAACACATGAGTCTCCGCCAGAGTCTCATGCCTAGCCTCATCGGGAGGCCTCACATCCGTCTGTGGTTCCTGATATGCTTCCTGTTGCAATCTCTCCGCCAGCGCAGAGTCACTCTCCGCGTGAGCCACAGAAGAGCTAGCACCACTAGTGCCAGCACCAGCGTCAGCACCACCCGATGGCAGACCCGAGACGCCATGCTCGAAGTACAGCGATATGGCAGTGTCCACATCACCGCCTGCCATGTCCAGGAACTGCCTGGCAACATCTGCGTCTTCAACAGCGGTAATAACCAGGAAATTGTTGATTTTGTCCTCTTCCATCGCTGTGATATAAACCTTGATCTATTCAGTTTACGACTAGTCACTCAAACAAGTACATTTGAGGGAGTTTGCCACTATTGAAGGTTAATATATTACTACTTTTCCAGAAATGAGCTTATTCGTATTGCGATGCCAGCACGTAGTCTATGATGAGGGCTAGCTGTGGGAAGGGTTCCAGAAGGCAATGAGCAGACACCAATACAATTCATCGACTGGTATTTGGGAGGTGGACAAGATGAGTTATGGTTAAGGTAGGTCTATAAAGTATGGCGATATAGTTGAAATACTTGCTGTTGAAACACATTGAGTAAGATTGGGAGGAACTGCTGGAGCCAAGCGGTGATTAATTTTTTAAAGCCGGAGTTTTTAGCAAAAGGGACACTAATAGCAAAAGCAAGAGACTAAGCATTGAAGAAGCTTGCGATTTCTGGTAGAAAGCTTGCTGATATATAAGGAGAGTAATTCATATTACTTCTAATCAGTCATCTAGTGATAGGCACAGCGATGGTTCAAGGACGTGCGCCGGTGAGTCGAAGGGTACAGAGGTATAGAGGTGGGTTGTTTATCGCAGCCGCGTCGGTGGGAACGCTAGTTGCTGTGGGGTCGCTGGCGGTATATATAGTGAAGCAGTGGCTCTATCGCCAGCAGCTGAGGATTGCTGAAGAGCATTTTGTCAAGGAGCAGATCAAGCGCCGGTTTGATCAGACGCAGAGTGACTCTTTGGCGACGTTGTATGAGCTAGTGCAAGTGAGTTCCATGGTCTACGACCAGAAGGACTTGAACCTTGATGAAATCATGCTTGCTCTGAGGGACAAGAAACTACAGAAGCAGTCTCAAACTGGCAGTGCCGCCAGAGCAGCGGACACCACAAGTAATAGCAGTGTGACGGGTGTTACATCTGCTTTGAATGACAAAGTCAGTGAGAAAGCCAGTAGTATAAGAAGTTCAAAGACCGATGATATAAGAAACATGACCAAAGGAGAGTTATGGAACCAGTTGAAGATCAGGAGCATTTCTAAGTTGGTGACCGTAACGTACACAACATCTTGTCTGCTACTAATGACTAGGTTACAACTGAACATTTTGACAAGAAAGGAATATCTTGAGACAGTGGTGAAAACTACAATGCAGAAGAATAATGATGCCGGCAATTCATCGGGATTCTTTTCTTGGGTGGCCTCGAAAATATGGGGTAGCCCCTCAAATGGAGAGGAGAAGAGAAAGTCTGCTCAGGATATGTATGGCGAGTTAGTTCAGGCTGAGAAAGCAGGGAAGCATATGTCAAAGGGCAAAGTCGAGTATATCAATGAGCAAGCATTTCTATCCATTTTCTGGTGGCTGATCAACCGTGGGTGGTCGAAGATACATGAGATTGTAGAGCGCGAAGTGCGGTCAGAATTTGGACATCTTGACCCCAAGGATGCGTTGACCATTGATGATTTTAGTGAGCGGTTGACGAAGGTCTATTACAGAGTTAACAAGACTTTGTTCCTGGTCAATGAGGAGAAAGAGAAGCCGCTTCTTGATATTATGATCCCACGGACCCCTCAAGAGTTGAAAAATGTCCTTGAGCAAGCAATGGACCTCGAATCTTTGCAATTACTTGAGCAAGATGACAGTATACTGCGCCAATTGTGTAAAGAGATGGAGAAGTATATGAAGAGCGAGGCCACATCTATAGTCATGGAGCAAGCGATAAACGAGTCCTTCGATTATGCGATCACTGAGATAGATGCCAGTATCAAGAAGAGGAACCAGGAAGAGACACAGATGGCATTGTTTGCGTTGAGCTGCAAAGAATGTTGTGACAAGATGCTTAAGACAAACATGATGACCATGGACAATGATTACTTAACTGTTCTCGACGGCATTGCAGTATTGGACGATCTAAGTGCTATGGTATATAGTAATTTTGGCCTCTAAGGACAAAACAAAACAGAATGGGGATACATAGTGCTTACTTACCATTATTTAACCTAGTCAAATTAAATAGTTGTTTTATTATTATTACATCGCGATTATCAAAGCCAAGTAGTGATCATGTGGACCCTGTTCCAATGCAAGAACTTCCTCCATCCCTCTTACCAGTAAAATGTTGAACCTGCTGCAGGGATACTCTTCTTCAAGAACGCAATCGTTCACCGTCTCTCTCCCCAAGCGTATTGTGTATCCCGGCAACTCCAAGCAGCCCGGATAAAGCCTACACACAAAGAGCCAGGGAGGCAAGGAGCAAATCGAGAATCCATTCTCTTTGTCAGTGAGATGTATGCAGATTATGGCTATTTTTGAGCTGAGAATAAATCTCGCAAACTGGACATCGAGAGGGTTAAACCCACACAGGGCCAGTGTGAGTTGTCCCGTTTTGTAACGAGGGCAAGAGACATTGTGCTGGGAGCTGATCGAAAAGCATGATGTTGTCACTCGTCAGTGTTAGACAACGTCTCTCAACCCTCATGCCGGGCTTCACGAGTTTATCGCAACTCTTCCGACTATTTGTGGCATAGTGATACAAGGAATCGAAGGGAGAGGGTGAATTGCTTGTTACGAGTCGTCGAAGAGGGTTAATTTGCCTTTTAAGTGAGGAGAGAGAGAGAGAGTTGCAGTATCTATGGGCCGAGAGAGTTTAGCTCTCCCTCCATGCTGGGTTTTGTACCCGGCTTTGACTACATATAGGGCTGTCGAGTACATGCCCCACCCACTCCTGATCCTTGTTCTCCTGTTGTCTTTGCGATGTACAAGGAAAGTTACTTTACGTGATATATTAAGAACCTTTCTTTCGTAAGGCCCAAATCGGACTAATCGCTTGGGATAGGAGAGTTGGAACTGCGAATCCTTTCCAATTGTTGAGACAGAAACTAAGGGTTCGCTATTTATATGCGAACAGCCGGGCTTACCTCCTGCAACATTGCACGCTAATGTCTTTCTCTTCTCTTCCCAGGCGTATCTTCAAAGGAGCAAGGAATGTAGAAGTGGGGTGTCCATCCCAGATGGCAAAACCCAGGAAGAAGTTGTCATTGTACAGTTCTCTTGAGCAATGCTTGTAGAAAAAACTGTGTATACATGTGTTTGTGAAGAAATAAAACTATATATAATATCGATTCTATTAGCCTTGGGACCCAATTAAGGCCATCGTAGACAACCAGTTTGAAATTTATAGCGAAGCTCGTTGTTTAGAACAAAAGCCCCCCAGGTTTGTTAGAAAGAAGGCAAAGGAGCAATTTTTGTTTGGACGTTTTATACCAAGTATTGTTATAAAGCAGTTTTATAAGAGTCTTACAAAGTTGCTGGTGGTAGAGCAATAAGATTGAAGGGTTACCTCACAGATTAGAGTATAAGCTAAGAAAGACGCGATGGACAAGAAGGGCAAGTACGTTGTATTGGTGAGTGGTGAAGGCGAGAAGTTCACTGTTGAGAAGAAGATTGCTCAGAGGTCCTTGCTGTTGAAGAATTACTTGAATGACATGCATGAAAGCAGTTTAGATGATGAGGACGAGGAGCAGGACGAGGACGAGGACGAGGACGATGAGATTGTGATGCCGGTTCCCAATGTCAGGTCGTCTGTGTTGCAGAAAGTGATTGAGTGGGCAGAACACCATAGGGACTCTAACTTCCCAGACGAGGACGATGACGACTCGCGTAAGTCTGCTCCAGTGGATGCCTGGGACCGTGAGTTCTTGAAAGTGGACCAGGAGATGCTTTACGAAATCATATTAGCAGCCAACTACTTGAATATCAAGCCATTGCTGGACGCTGGTTGCAAAGTTGTCGCGGAGATGATAAGAGGGAGGTCCCCAGAAGAGATCAGGAGGACTTTCAATATAGTAAACGATTTCACGCCTGAGGAAGAAGCAGCTATCAGACGTGAAAATGAATGGGCGGAGGACCGCTAAGGGAAATTTGATCAAACTTAGCCGAACTCAAAAGTGGTCTTGGTCAGAAACGATTTGATCCCTCATCTGCGTGGTTCACTTTGCCTTTGAAATCATTGCTGTGTGTGAACAGTTGTCTTTTCAATACTGGCAGGAGAGCATAATACAGAACAAAACTGAAAAGCTAGTTAAAAGGGTTCTTTCATATTTGGCCTGCGCATTATCAACAGAACGTCTGTTATTCATTTCGTTACATTCTATTTCCTTTTTTTTTATCTTTTCCCTTTCATCTGGCATATTCTACATGTATTTTTAATGGTTTTGATGCTCTAACCTCTCTATAGTAGACTTCATTGTAACAATTTTTTTTTTCTAATTCTCATTATAGTATCTTTAATGTCCTACATTATTGTGCTAAATATACATGAAGGCGTAATAGTAATTAGTGGTAGTAATGTGGCATGCACAGTTGATAGATAGAAACCGATACGAAAGTATAGGTGTGTATGCAAAAGAGAGCATCATTACTTATTGAAATTATCCAAATAGAAAATTACTACTCCATAGTAAACTGATTATATAACTTTATTTTAACCAATAGAACTCGCAATGTTTTACTAGCAATGAACCTCAACGTCTATCACCATCAGTATCATCTCATACACTTCTATAACATCATAAACTCTTATACTACAACACTTTAGCAAAATACTAGCATACAAGGCTCATCGCTATTATTGTTGTTATTTAAGCTCAATGACCCAAATAGGAAATAACGGCACGGCTCTCCACAGAAATTCCCGCATCAGGGCCTCTCCCATGGGGGGAGGGCCAGAAAATCAGACTCAAAAAAAATTGTCAGAATAACGATGAGGACAGCAATGAATCCTTTGCAATCACAAAATCATTGTTGTAGACTAATCCTAAAACCTAAACACTCATCCACATTAAATCGGCTGGCGGGCAGGGTATTAGTGTTATAGGCGATTGTAGTGATAAGACCAGAGGGCAGCTCAAGGGAAGATATTTGCAACTAGAGGTACGTTTTCCATTGCAACCTTCGAAGTGTGCAGGTGTCTCGAAGTTTACATAGAGGTGGAAATATGGTAGATAAGAAGAAGAAGAGGTCCTTCAGTGAGACAGGTATATTCAAGCTGTTCAAATCAAAGTCCCGGTCGAAATCGTCGAAGTCTAAATCAAATTTGAAGGGCAAAAATGGGCATTCGTCACAAAGAAACTCTAGAAGCAAGCATAAAGAGCGAACGTTATCAAGGCCTTCAGTCTCTGATCGGAAGAGGTTAGAAACAGAATCTGGTGATAGAACGGTTAGTGAGAGTCACTTGCTGTCTTCTAAGCTTCGAAAACTCGGAAACCATAATCATAACCACATCCACAATAATGGTAATATAGAGTACCCAGAGATACGATCTATACGAAGTGGCGGCTCAAGAAGTTTCAATGACCGTTATAATGACTATAATGACTATGATGATGATGACGATGATGATGATAATAACGACAATGGTAATCGAGACGGTCTTGATAATGGGCATACAGATACAATGTCTGATGCTACCGAAGATGGTATAGACATTTCATTCAAACCCAGAAGATCATTGCAAAATTCAACTGCAGGATTGAACAGGATTAATACTTTACAAGGATACTTTAATATTCCAGTTACTATAGACTCGCATCATACAAATTCACATAACAATAATTCGGGTACTCGAACTAACCCAATCTCTCGAAAGACATCGGAATTTTTTAATTCCAAAAATCCATCCAAAACTGGGACACAATCTAATCTTCAGGAAACTAACCATACGCAAGGTATTTTGGATACAATAGTATCCTTTGCTCAAAATGCAGTAGGTAGAGTGCCTAAAATAGTAGTAAATGATCCTTCTGCCGAAGAGATAGTTGATTCTGGTGACAAGGATAAAACCACCGCAACAAACACACTCAAGGCTAATATTCCTGGAATAACTTCGAATATTTCATCTCTGTCATCTGTTACCACTAATAGAAATGGAACTTCAACTTCAGGTAGAATACCGTTAAAAACAGAAGATGATTTGTTAAATGGCGGTGAGCAGCACAACGACACTGTTCTCCACTCGCCGTTAAATGAAGAAAATAGGAGTTCGTCATTTCTGAAGCACCTTGACTATTTATTATCACCCAGAACTAGTGATCCACTCAAAGAAAAGTCAACGCCTTTAGCTGACCTAGCTGTTGATAATAAATCGGAAAATTCGGTACCGAAACATGACGCCAAACTTCCCGTAGCAAACAAGGAACAGCAGAGATATTCTTATAACACTGTTGAGGAGGAGAACAAAACTATGAACTCACAAGGTACTAATTATACAGACAAGGGTCTAGATCCCACTAAAATAAAGTTTCAATCGCATGTAGGTAATCATGAGCCTGCGATAGCTACCTTTGGAAGAGGTAACTTGACATTAGATGTCCTGATCGATCATTCCAATTCTGATGAGACTATTGATAACAGTGAAAGCAGGGTTTCGTTTAAAAACAACAATCCAAATCATCCTGGTATGCCTATATTCAACGAAAACTATCGAAACAGTAGCTATATTGATGTCCAAAGGCATTTGGGTTTGAATAAAGGCAATGAGATAGGAAGAGGAAGAAGCAGAACACTGCCTACCAATGATGCATCAGCTGTTCTTGACCAAAAAATTGAAGGTGATAGCAAGAGAAATTCCAGAATTACGACATTGTCTAATGATGAAATTGTCGGTGATAATGATAGGAAGCCGCGTTCTTTGTCAAGGAAATTTTTGAATCGTAGATCTTTTTCCCCTAGTATTGGAAGTAAAGTATTACCATCGATGGCCTTTCGTAATTCAATGAACAAGACACGCAACAGTAACGATAAAATGGACACATCGAAACCTAGGTCTAGTGGTGTCTTTTCTGCAACTGTTAACTCAACTCAAGATACAGAGTACACTAAACCATTCTCCCTTGTCGGAATTGAATATTCAAGTGAAAAGAAAAATATTGAATTCCACAATATTTTTAAGGATGCAGGTGTAACTCCTCAAGAAAGGCTGATATTGGACCATAGTTGTGCACTTTCTCGTGATATCCTATTGCAAGGAAGAATGTATATTTCTGACCAACATATTGGTTTCAATTCTAATATTTTGGGTTTTGTTAGTACAGTTTTCATCCCTTTTAAGGAGATAGTTCAAATTGAGAAGAAAACCACAGCAGGAATCTTTCCCAATGGTATTGTTATTGACACGTTGCATTCCAAGTACATTTTTGCATCGTTCATATCTAGAGATGCTACGTTTAATTTGATTACAGATGTTTGGAATCAAATAATTCTTGGTAGAAGATACTCTGATGATACAGATCAAAGTGATTACAGTTCTAGATTAAATGATCTGAGTGATTCGAATAGTTTATATAACCAGTTAAAGGATATTGATGACGATGGCGGTGACGACGCAGCGTTGTCTGATATTGACAGTACTGATATGACGTCTAGTGAAGAAGTGGAAGACATTATTGGGTCTGGAATTGGTATAAAGAAAACTAAAGGACAAATTAAAAGTTTATCCTTAGGACCATCTCAACATGAACCTACGTCTAGTGGCTACAAACCTACTAATAATGAAAAACTTGTTACTGAGTTTCTTGTTGAAGCACCATTGGGCACGGTTGTCAATCTATTATATGGAGAAAATACCAAGTATATCACTGATATTTTAGCTTCCATGAAAAGCACTGACATATCACCTATTCCAAAGTTATTGGGTACGTCTAGCAGAAAATTCAATTATGTGAAGCCTTTACCAGGGAATATTGGTCCTAGTAAAACAAAATGTTTTATAACTGAGACGTTGGATCATTACGATCTGGAAAAATATGTTAAAGTTTCGCAAGTTTCTGATACGCCTGATGTACCATCTGGAAATGTCTTTTCTGCTAGATCAGTATTCCTGTTTACTTGGGATAAGGATAATAATACAAAAGTCGTCGTCTATGGCTGTGTTGATTGGAAAGGAAAGAGTTGGTTGAAGAGTTTTATTGAAAAAGGTACTATGGATGGGATTCTAGAAGTTGCTAAAACAACACATCATGAAATAAAGACTATACTAAACAACCAATCGTCCTCAGAACAATCTGTTGAGGATAACGGTGATAGCGCAGAAGAGGTTATTGAAGAATCAAATCTACCGAAAATGGGTCCTTTGTCTCATCAACCAACAGAACCTCCTTTTAGTAAGGAATCCGAAGACACCGTTATTGAAGAAAATGTTAATTTTCAGGCCCCATTGGGAACTATATTTCAAATTTTATTTGGGGATGACACTTCATATATAAAGAAAATGATTGAAAAGCAGAACAACTTCAATTTATCTGAGATTCCACCTTTTAATAATAAAATGCGTGAATTCACATATACCAAAAGACTAGCAAATTCGTTCGGACCAAAACAAACGAGATGTTTCATTACCGAGAAAATAGAGCATATGGATTTGAACAGTTATATATTGGTAAGGCAAATTGTGAAATCACCTGACGTTCCTTCAGGGAATAATTTTGCTGTTCATACAAGAACATATCTGACTTGGGGGAATGATAATAGTACCAATATGTTGGTGGTAACCAATGTTGAATGGTCAGGCAAATCATTGCTGAAAGGCACAATTGAAAAAGGTTCGATTGAAGGACAGAGGGTGACCACAAAGCAAGTAATTGAAGAATTGAGAGATATAATCGCTAATGCTGGCTCTAGTAGGAAAAAGCTTAAGAAGAGATCAAAAACTATTACTTCTTTGAAGAAAGTTACTAGTCAACCTCTAGAAAAGAAGCCAGATACGGTTGCACAAAATATGGACAGTTCAGCTAATTTATTGGACCAGTTTGTGTCATTTGTTATGGAACTGGACTTTACATCCTTAAAGGGGATTGGTTTTATCATTATAACAGTTTTTCTATTTTTCCTGCTGTTGAGAGGTTTATTCTTCTCAAACGCAAAGTCTGCTACTAAAATTATAAGACCAGGAGTAATAATAATTGATGGAGAAGAATATAGCTATGTTCCAAACTCTAAAACTATATACAACGCATATGAAAAGAAAATTGGGAAATTTGACTATTCCTTCAAGTCGGATGATAACAATCCGGTGATGGAATCGGAATTTTTAATTTGGGATTGGCTTGATGATAGGACCAATGGTAATTCAAACAATTTATCGTTCCGTAAACAGTATAAGAGAGGTTTTAAACCTGTCAAGACACATAAACTTCAGCAACTTAAGGAATCTATCAAAATAGCCGAAAATGAACTTAATGAAATGAAAAGATTGCTAAATGAGGAAGAAGAACTTCTACTTTAAATCTTACGACGCCGTTCTTATTTAGCATAATTAATAGTATTATAGAGTTAGAGATATTGAATATAGAAATATAATGAGTTTTCTTAGGACCAAATCATACAATCTGCATAGTAAATGTTTAGAGAATAGGATGATGTTGCAGTCAAAATATTTTTTTTGAAACTTTAATCGGACATCATTATATCACTGTTTTCACCTGTTAGTCCTTCTCTAGAGGTATCAGTTCGGTTAGTTCTGTTGGTTGTGTCATCTCTATTTTCAACGCTTTCCGATCTTTTCCGTTTCTTTGTGTTTAGCTCAGATGGTAACGCTGCTGCATTGTCTTCGTCAGAGCAATTCTCTTCGTCATTACGAGTTGGGGGTTTACTGTAAACTTGTGAGCTTTCCAATATCATTGAGTACTGTTCGGTTGATGTGTCAGCATCAGAATGTTCATCTAGTTTACTTTCAGTTTTTTCGATTACGTCTTGTAAGGACAGCTTGAACCTAGTTAGCGAGTTCCTTTGGTTCTGATCAATAGCATCATTTTCTAAAATATCAATTATATTATCTTCTAGTTGTTTCAATGTGGAGTATTCTTGTGTATGGTGTAGGTGGACTAAGTTTATATTATTTAATAGCAATCTCTTTATTTCAGATTTTTCGATCTGAGGAACAATCTTTAATACGTCAAGTAAGAAACGAATTTGAGAAGAATCGGCGTTTGCATCTTTTTCATCACGGTTTATGATCTTCCTTGGGTCAGTCCAATCAATTAGCTGTTGAAATATGATATTAGGTTTTAGCATTGTCATTTTCTCATCATTATATTCATCTGAATACCTAAATTCATCCCATAATACACATAACCTAAGCAATATATCTGCACCAATTCTGGCCATTCTATTTTGATGATTGATGTGAGAGTAACAATACACCGGTAAACAAAATGCAAAGGCCTGAATTAGCTCTTCATTTGCTGAGTTAGCTGGAGTGTAATAAGACAGAACCAATGTTTCAAATAAGTCATCGTCGGTAAAAATATCTGCTAAGAAAAGTTTACAAAGTCCTTCAGCTGCAATTTTCTGGCAACTCGGAAGTTCGGTGTTCTTTAAAACCTTATAGAAAATTTTGTGAAGTGAAATTGAATCGACTTTGCCTTCTCCATCAACGACAACATTCCCGTGTAGGGCAAATATATCGAAAAGGACTTGTAGTGCTATCATTTTTAGAGATTCGTTACCTTTGGAAACACACATCCCCAATATATAAATATTTTCTGTAGCTAATTGGGCATCCAGTAGACAGCACAGCCCCAAATTCTTTATTCCTAATTCTCGAACAGTTGGTTCACTATTTCTTACAGCTGGAGTAATTAATGTGTCGATCAGAGAAGCAATTAGAATATTTTCTTGAATTGATGAACTGACTAGTTCAAGCATATAACCAGAACGAGTTAAACATAATATTAAAGTATCTGGTCTAGCTTCCTTTTCATACAGCATCTTTCGCATTATGTCTGCTTCGTTCATCGTATTAGAGTCACCGTTGACAAGGCCTTCTACAGCCGAGTGAAAGGAGTCTAAATCATCGTCATCCCCATCATTTTCATTCTCATCTTCATTATCACTTTCTTCTTCATTACTTGATTCATCATCATCAGCGTAGTCGAATGTAGAAGTTTCTAGCGTGGTGTCTTTCTTGGCTGATTGAGCATCACCTAGGTCATCGTTCTTCTTATTAACCAGAACCTCTGTACTTGATTGTTTGTCTTTTTTCTTTTGTAGTTTCTTGCTCTTTTTCGACTTTCGCTTAGCAGCCTTTTCTTCCTTTTCCTGCATATCAATATCTTCATCACGTATATCATTAATCATTTCAATTACCATAGTGATGAAATCTTTTTCATTGATCGATAATGTTTTCAAAACATCAATCCCGATCTTGATAGATGTGACAGATAGACTCTTTATTCCTAGAAAATTTCTCACTACGGTAAGCATTGATCTTCTTCCTATTTCATCACTATAGTCATACTTGTCTGCAGCCATTAATATTTGTTCAATAATGAATTCCAAGTGCTTTTTATCATTATCAGTTATACTTTGTGATTGATTATCTTTGAAAGCCTTGTTGATATACGATTGAAGATACTCAGCAAGTCTAGACGCCTCTGGAAAGTTGTCATATAGTACCTCATTTATGTTATACTGAATGCAATATAAATAAAAGCATCTAAAAAGAAAAGCAACCTCGATTGTGAAGTTTGACCATATGTCATGTGAAAATTTAATTTTTTGTATTATCTCCGGATGTTTCTCAAATATGCAAACTAATACTTTATCACAAGTTGTAGAATCTTTCACATTCAAGTGTTCTAACAGTCGAATCAGATCTCCGTCTACTAAACCCAACCAATCATGGTGTATAAGCTTTTTGCACGCTGCCCTAACAGATTCTTCTCTATCTTCCAGTCCCCATTTTATCAACTGATCTAGAATCTTAGTGTCAATTTTTGTAAAGCATTCCTTTCCAGCAGCTTTCAGAATCCTTGAATAAACAAGTCTCCTATTGATCTGGTTGACATCTCTTGCTCGTTCTAAGATGTATGGTAAGGTAGCCGGTAAAGATATTAGGTTTAGCATTGCTGCACGTCGTACTTCCGCTGAAGGGTCGTTCTGTATAAGTGACATTAATGTTTTTGTAGATTCGTTAATTTCGATAGCAATTAAATCATTGGAAGGTTCATTCTCTCTACCCACATCTTCAGCCTGGAATTTTGTCAAACAAAAAACAGCTTGTATTCTAACATTGGGGTCTTTGTCATATATTCTTTTATTAAGCGACCAAGTCAACAGCTCATAGAGTGACTCGTCGATTTCACCTATATTATCCATAATGACAGCCAACAGTTGCACAACCCTGAATCTCACATTCTTGTCTTTACTCTCAATTCCTCGCAGAATATTCCTTATAAAATGATCCACAAATTTGGTGAAAGCGGATTCGGCGTTATTTGGCAGTGGTTTTCCCTGAGCCTTAGCTAATTCAATCTCCTTATCTAGAGAGGCAATGAAAGAGGCCACAAGCTTGATGATTCTGTCACCTACCACTTCCGTTTTCTTTAAAGGCAGTATCGCAAGGATCAGTCTGTTGAACCAGTAATTAAATGCATCTTCGTAACCCTGCGCTATGGCTTTTGTCTGTATCTTCTTCAACACAGCAACATGTTTACGATGGCCTGCATACGACAACTGTGCGGCTTGGAATACGTTAGCGATCGATCCAAAGATCTTCGAGTTGATATCGCTTCCATCGGTAGTGACCTCGGTCATGTTTCTTTTCTTCTATAGCACACACGCAAGAGAGAAATCGGTTGCGACTCCTGGTATTACTGCTAGTCAGTACGTTTAACTATATGCTGATTGAGTTAGCCTCGACAGTATTATGTGTTATATGTGTGTTGCTACGTGCTCAGTGGGTTTTGATTCGCAATTTTGTCAGTTTGTTGGTAAATTTCGGTTTGTTTACAAAAATGATGATCTTGCGATGAGCCCCAGACGGGTGCGTAGGATAAGAGTATATGGAAGACATGCAATACAGAAGCAAATGCATATAGCTGATACAGGTACCATTGTATAGTATACAGTCGTTTTAAAAATATTATGGCCAAGTTAACACATTTTCATTATTCTTTTATATTAGTTTCTGGTTTTGTGTGTGGTGGTATGATTCATGTTTTGTAGATGGTATGGGCATAATTGAACAACAAAGATAGCAGGTAATAGCAACTAGTTTTCTTAGTTGTATTACGATAGTAAAAGTATCATCAAATTGCTCGCAAGTAGTTGCGGAGAGCATATAAATATTAGAGATCTGATGAAATTGTTCAAGGTGATTTATAACTTTTCGCTATATATAATCCGTGATGGTAAACATTGATTCAAATCAGAGCAGTCACGGACACCTACTTGCTTATATTACAACAGTACTGCTAACCCAATTTTCAGATGGTTCTTCAGTGCGGACTAGGTATTCAAAATAGCTAGTGATAATTTCCTTGAGCCAATAACTATAAAATAAAGTCTAAGAGCAAATGTTGCACGTATACACATGCAAATCAACTACTCAAACATAAAAAATGATAGCACAAGTTTTGCAACAATTTTGGTTTTGTTATATCATATTCCGAACAACTGTTTTGAATAACTCTCATCACTCACCCCAATAAAAGTAATGACATGTACAAGATAGACTAACGTTTGAAACCTCATAAATATGTATGAGACGCACTTTTGCCAATTTAAAATATACTTAAATTATTATAAAAAATAATAATTTAAATAGATATCTTTATTAATAAAAAGATTAGTTTATATCATTATTTAAACTATTTATGAACTTTATTTTTAATCAATTTATATATATTTTTATATTATTATAATGTATATTTATATATTGTTCTCTATTTAACCTCCATAGTCATACTTGATGAATAATAAGTAGTAGCTGTGCCAGTAATAAAATAGTAGTAGCACCGACGACAATGTTTGTTTCAAGTTAGTGGGCGATGTGAGTGCGAATTATACTACCATTAAGTCAAATTATATATATTTAATATTGAACACTAAGTAAAACAGAGAGAAAACATGTGACTAATTCGTATGATAATACACCAGATTCCAATAGTCACATGATATACTTGTATATAATGACCATACATCACATGTAAAATACGTAATTTGCTATGATAAATGTGACTATTTAACGTACATAGGTATCAAAACTCTATATAGAAATTTTTGGATTTTCATTTTGGCAGTGGACCTGCGAAAGGGACTTGGAGGGGAACTCTAGTTCAGAGAAGAGCGTCCTACGAATGTTTCTGGGTGGCTTCAGTCCAGTGATTCTACGCGGAAAGTGAAGAAGTGGAAAAAAGTTGAGAGCTGAAAAATTTCTGCAAGAAAAAAAAATTAAAAAAAAAAAATGCGATGGGCTATCAAAATGCGATGAGCTGGACTATTATAACAAGTAGTTACTTTCTGGGATTGGTAATATATTTTGTTAGGGACTTGCTACAGAACTTGTAATATTAGATTTGAGGAATAGAACTATAATGACGATGTTGGTGCACAGATCGAGGTTCGTGGACTTCACGCCCTCGAATATTACTGCGTTGGCTTTCTCTCACAAGTCCAGTGCTGAGTTGACTCCGTCTGATCTGAGGCTTGCTGTTGGCAGAGCAGATGGTAACATTGAAGTGTGGAACCCACGCCATGACTGGTTCCAGGAGATGATCATTGAAGGCGGTCAGGACCGCACGATCGAAGGGTTGTGCTGGTGTAATGTCGCTGGTGAACCACTGAGATTGTTCTCAATTGGTGGTTCTACTATTATCACGGAGTGGGACCTGAACACCGGTCTGCCAATGAAGAATTATGACTGTAATGCAGGTGTCATATGGTCAATTGCCATAAATGCAGCTGGAGATAAACTTGCGGTGGGTTGTGATAACGGTACTGTAGTTATCGTAAACATCGCTGGTGGCCCAGGTATAATAGAGCACGACTCGATACTAATGAGACAAGAGGCTCGTGTTCTATCCCTGGCTTGGAATGGTAATGATTATGTTATCGGTGGTTGTTCTGATGGTCGTATAAGGATTTGGGCTGCGCACGAGAAAGATGAAAGTAGAGGAAGAATAATTAACACAATGAGAGTAGACAAGTCGAAGAAAGAATCCACTTTGGTATGGTCAGTACTATATCTACCTTCTAAGAATACAATTGTCTCTGGTGACTCTACCGGCTCCATTAAATTTTGGAACTTCCAGTATGCTACACTGTCCCAGTCATTCAAATCACATAGCGCTGATATTTTGTGTCTAACCACAGATGCTAAGGAATCTACTATTTTCAGTGCTGGCGTCGATAGGAAGATCTTCCAATACAGTCTCGATCACTCTAAAAAATGGTTGATATCCTCGAACAGATTACTACATGGTAATGACATTAGGGCAATGTGTGCTTACCAATCTAAAGGTGCTGATTTCCTAGTTTCGGGTGGTGTTGACAAAACACTATTTATCAACCCTATTTCTTCATTTGCAGATGGCCGTTATAGAAAGATGCCATTTGTTGTTCCCTACAACAAGAACGTGCTGATCAATAATACTCAAAGATTAATAGTGATGTGGGATGGCTCTGTGGTTAAAATATGGACTATGGGTACAGAAGTCGAGAACGAGAAAAATTACAAGCTGGTTTGCAAATTGGTATTAAAGGATGAGCAAAAGATCCACACTTGTGCGATGTCTCCAGATGGTCAAGTTTTATTGGTTGGTAGAGCTACCACTACAAAAATTTTCCATTTGCAACCAATGGAAAATAAACTGAAAGTCACCAAACTATCAAATGATTTCCTCTTCACAATTGGAACAAAGGCTGCAAAGTTTATAAATAACTCAAAAGTTGTGATATGCAACACCGATGATGAACTTCTTATGTTAGACTTAGAAGAAGAAGATGATGAGAAGCCTGAGTATTTTGAGTTGGATGAACCACAAAATACCAAGAGTAGTTTAAAGATACCTTACATGAACAAAATTAATAGGATTGATGCTAACGAATCTGCAGTGGTAGTATCACGTTATTGTGGTATTGTGACTGTGATAAATCTGAAAACTAAGAAAAGTCAGAATTTGCTGCATCTTATGAACTTTGTTACATCCATTTATATTCATGAGCAAAGAAAAACTGTAATAGTGGTAACAGCAGAAAACAAGATATATGAACTATCCTTGGCAAGTATCTTTAGAGAGGATACTGAAGACAAAGAAGGTGACGAACAAGCTGATGTTACCAATGAAGAGAATAGTGTTTTTACAGCATGGTCTAAGAGAAACACAGAAAACATACCTAAACAATTAAAGGATATGAGACAAAAATGCCTTGGTGTGTTTGCATCTGATGAAGACAGTAACAAGATATGGCTTTGGGGCTCAACTTGGATCTGTAGAATCGACATGTCGAAGAACTTACCTGTAATCACAAGGAAGAAAACTAAGAAACACGGTCGTGATGGTCTAACAATTACCGATGACAGCAACTACATGAATAATAACCTTGAAGATGAAGATGAAGATGTTGATATGGATATTGATGAGGACCTTGAGATACTGAAGGGCGGTAAAGTGAAATCAATTTCTAACCAAAAGGATCCTTTAACTTCAGAAGTATTTTACTTCAATGATAAATACAGACATCTACTAATGGCAGACTTGTTATCCTCTTCTGAATTGGTAGTTGTCGAAAGACCTCCAATATTCCTAAAAGATCAAAAGGCATTCCAACAACCAAAATTGGTATTCTGAATTACCTGATTTGTCGGCATCTTTTTATTGAAATGGCTGGAAAATAAGACGTACTGTAGTTGGCTTCTCTGAGTTCAAAGAACATGACATACAATATCTATCAACAAGATTACTCATGACTAAAACCCTAAATCATTAACAGTCCATTATTACTCTAGATATCATTTTATATCTATATATTTAATTGCATTTAATTGAATCTAAGTGGCATACAATATTCAAAACTAAATTTGACTAGATATATGGGATTGTTCCATTCGATGAGTTTAAGCCGGTGATTATGTGGGAAACGAGAAAAACGTAGCGCAAGATACACTGAAAAATTACTGAAATGAGAATAAGTTGACATATTCAATAATTTTAATGCCTAGTCTACTCCAAACATCTTGGTTAAAAGTTGAGTTAAGGCATGAAATATATATAACAGTCACAGTTCATTCGTTCGATATTTTTTTTACTGCATTAATACTAGGTAGCCCGATAGTAAGAGGCTTATTTACCAAGGTGACTCAACTGCATTTTCTAAGCAATAATTCAATATAAGGCTAGGTGCTGAAGCTCCTATGATTAGGAATAGAAACTATCCGAACTAAAATTTTGATTTGGTACTTTTAGGCTAAAATATAAGTATGCAATCTAGTGATGTGCGGCCTAATGACACGCAACAAGAGTATTCGAAGTTAATACAGGAGGAGAATACGAAAAGTAGTTGTCCCATATGCTTCAAAGAATGTGCCAATCTAAATGAACTCAATAAGCATTTGGATAAAGACCATAATTTTGGAAACGAAAATAGCAATGGTGATCATGTAAAGAAGCATCAGAACAAGAAAAAGAGTAGTGGTATTAGAACTAGCCACCATGAGGTGTATAATGAGGGTATGAGTAAATGTGCTTATTGTAGAAAGAAACTCACTAAATCAAATGGTGTCTCAAATTGTTATCACTGTGGTAAATTATACTGCCGATCGCATCTGTTGTGGCAGATGAAACTGGATAAGAGAGCAAGGTATGACCCTCAGCATGGGAAGTTCTACCCTTGTTGCTTCAAATGCACGTCTTCGAGACCTGGATATAACGACTATGGGCTTACAGTTTCCAAGACATCTGAATTCAGTAGATTAAGATCTTCAAAAATGGAAGACAAACAGTTAAGATCATTACAGTTGGAGACCAGACTTTTGAAATTAATCGATGGGTATATCTCAATATCGCGGAAATATGGGAATAATCTTTTCTCCACAGTGGTACGAAACAGTGAACTTTCCAAATATGAACGATCAATAGTGCATTGGAAGGACGACAGTAATGTACACACATGCAATATATGTACTTCAGAATTTGGACTGGTGCGACTTAGTAGGAAGCATCATTGCCGACTTTGTGGAAACATTGTGTGTGATACAGACGGCTATGAGGAAGAAGTGATAAATACAAGACGTCGGAAGACGACAATGAAGAAATGCTCCTATCAAATAAAGCTGCGAAACCTAAAATCCTCCACCGATGATCTGCATTATAATTCTCAGCTACGACCCGATGAAGAGTATATAGCCGAATTACAGGTACGACTATGCTCGACTTGCATTGATAATTTACTATTGAAGAGGAAATTCAAGAGGGACCTTACAAAACCGATGCCACCGTTATTGTCCCGCTACGAGACCTTACACAATATCGCCGATGTCATCAGAACCATCCTGCCACCATTTCAAGACGCTTTACAGAAAATAGACAATGAACGTACCAAGAAAGTAAGTGATGAAAAAGAGCTCGCTGATCTAAGCAAACTCAGAGTGAAACTATTACGCTCTTTTGCTAATTACAATAGTGTGAACAAACAGCTTTGTAGCATCAAACCGAGCAACTTCAGTGAAGAGCGAGTCAAGAATTCGTTGTTGGTTGAGTCCTCGTATTTCATCAATGAGAACATCCTGCCACTGAGATCGTTACCTGCTGTGCTCAGTGGTGAGGACTACGTGATGAGCAAGAGTGAGCCGGAGGTCAAGAAGCTCTCTGAGCTTATGTCCAGTGACTTGTCTATCAAGGAGATCAAGCAAGGCCGTGAGGAGTTGATGGTACTCGAGGAGCAAATTTTCCAGATCGAGTCCCTGGTCGAGACCGCCAAGCGCCAGAGGAAGTTCGACGAAGTGGCCACACTAGCCACAAACCTCAATGAACTGAACCAAAGAGCCACTGAGTTAAGAGAGAAGCTCGGGCAAGAAGGGTTTTGAAGTTACTATTTCACTCCAATGGCCAGCTTAAATTTGACCAACGCGCAATGACATGATAGTAATTGACAAAAGGTCAGGGCTTCCGCACTGTACACATCCCAGGTCTTCAGTGAGAGATAGGGCTACAAGCTACGCAAGCCCTATCATACGCACTTCTTTTTTTAAGGGTGTTTCTCGATCGTTCTGACCGTTTCTGATTATAATGTGAATGAGAGGCAGCTTTTCTTTTCACATGTACAGTGCATTCTGTGCTGTGGGCCGTGCTTTTGTTGATTTCTACCTGGTGTCTACACCCATGTCTTTGCGAGATATCCATACGGCCAAGTCTCTGCTAGAGACTACGAAAAATTCTAAAGAAAGTATACTCGAGTGGTGGTACTACGGCCGTTTCTGGCACTCGTATATAAATAGACATTCTCAGCTTTTTCTCATCTCTTTCTTTTTGTTTTGCTCTTCTGTGGCCTGTTGCTGCACGAATCCTCTGTGAGTTTGTGTCTCCCCTGCTGAAAGCATAAATGTCTTAAATACTCCCGCAGCGCAGCGAGAAAAGATAATCGCAAATTGAAAACCGGTAATTTCTTCTAGTCTCTTAGAAACAGACGGGAGGCTAAGAGAGGTATGAAGAGAGACACGGAAGAGAGTAGGAAGCAACAGACACGCACACGCACACGCACACGCAGAACACGCCGCAGAACCAGCACACACTGCACTAGCTTGCTGCTCAAACCCTCCTTTCTTCCTTACCAACCCCCTTCCCCCTTCCCACTCCCCACTGTACACTTCGCAGGAAGGGACACTCAAGAGCTCAGGCCAAAGCAACACTGCAAAAGAAGAAAATTTGTCTTCTGCTTTTCCCAACTTCTTCCGTGCCCACACAAGGAAATTCTTATAAATACAACTTGAACCGGCAGCCCGACCATGCCCCCCCCTTCCATGAAACCCTCCACCCTTCTGCCACAAGTAACTACACGACTGAAAGGAAAAGGGCTTTAGTTCAAAGTGAGCAAGAGAAAATTTCTTTTTTTTTGTACTTATTTCCTGAACAAAAGCACTGCTGCGGGTAACTTTTCTTTGTGATACCGAAGTCAGTTCTTCTTCACGTGATTGCTGTTATTGGTGATTAGAAATATTTAAGTCAGGTGATTGCCGTTGGGACTGATTTAGGCTTTTGATAGTATAGAGGTGTATCTTCTCTCTCTCTCTCTCCCTCTCTAACTACAACGAGTATTGATTAAACCCAGAGCTATTTGTGCCACTATGATAGGAGACGGTGACGACGTTACGCTTCCTAAGGCGACTGTGCAGAAGATTATTTCAGAGGTGCTGGACTCAGACCTGATGTTCAACAGGGATGCGCGCGAGATTATCATCAAGAGTGGTATCGAGTTCATTATGATCCTGTCCAGCATGGCCAGTGAGATGGCAGAGTCGGACGCTAAAAAGACTATTGCCCCCGAGCATGTGATTAAGGCGCTCAAGGAGCTGGAATACAATGAGTTCATACCCTTGCTGGAACAGATACTGATTGAATTCAAGGGCACACAGAAAATCAAGGAGAAAAAGAACTCCAAGTTTAAGAAGTCGGGGCTAACAGAAGAAGAACTTTTACAACAGCAAGAAGAACTGTTCAGAAAATCGAGATCGAGGTTACACCAAAATAGTGTGTCAGGCTCAGCTACTGATTCTACATGAAAAGTACGAAAAAAAAAAACAACGCGATGTTAGGGAAATGGCACGATAAAAAGATGTTATAATTCCCTTTCATTGTTTTTTTTTCATCATATTCCTTATGTCTTGCATTCTAAAGCCTTAGCCAATGGATATGGGGCTTTCCTTCTGTTTCAGTTTTATTTGTTGATATTTATTTTTTTCGACTCATCCTTTTCACTTCTTAATTTCAAATTCTAGCATTCCATTGTATTATTTCTAACATATGATTTATAAATTTACATATTTTAAATTCACGGTTTTATCAATTTCAGGTAACTATGAGCACTCATAGCTAGTCTCGCTGTCCATACTCTTACAAATACGGTTCATTTTTACGTATAGTCTTTGATTATGGTCTATATTGTACATATATGCTCTATATTTTATTATGTAGTTGTATTCCTTACGTTATCCATTTCAATTGTTCGAAACGAACTCAAGGATGACTTGTAAAGATTCTTTTTTATCGTCTGACATTCCCGATATTATGTCTTGGTATCTTTGCGGGTTTTCACTCTGTAGACTAGTTAGGAATACAGAGACTTCCTGGAAGGCATTTACTTGATCCAATATAGATTCTTTGAGATCATCATCATATTCTTCTAGATATTCGTCCTCTTCTTGAGGGTCAAGCAGATCAGTGCCATCAGCGCCACCACTCAATTCTTCACCCTTGTTTAGTGCCTCACGGTTTCTAATAGCCACTGGTAATTGTTCTACTAGTGTGACTAGCTTGTTAGAGAATTCCTTCAAATATCCACTAACACAACTTGGAAGCTCAGGTAGCTTTAATATAGACATTATTGCCAGAATTTGTAATTTGATAGCAAAAACGCTCTTGAATTTTAGATCAAACCATCTCTTTAATATATTCAAAGTGACACCTGATGATTCCATCACTTGTAAAGTTTCTATTGGCTTAACAAATAGATATGCTAATACCATTTTTATCACCTGCTTATCATCTAGGCCAAATTCTTCATCCATTGCTCTGCTCAAAGCCTTCTCTAAGAATGGTGTCTCCTTCATTGATAGAGCAAAACATGTCAAAAGGTTCATAACCCCTTCAACATCATAATCGATTTCGCTCTCCAATTTAACAGACAGTAGAGATAAGAATGGCTCAACGAACGTTTGGTCCTGTGGAAATCCTTGTAGAACAATTGTCTCAAAAAATACCAAATATGACTCAAAGTAGTCAAGAGCATAAGTTTGGAAGGAATCCATAACATCGTGGAACATTTCCCAGATTTCTGGTGTGAACTGATTGAAAAGTGCCTTTGAGGATAAAGCTAGGGAATCCATCAAGTCAACTATCTCAGTGATAAATGAAATTTGTGCATGGACAATAACAAACTTAACAACAGGAGCAAATTGCTCTACTAAGGATACTTTGTTCATGGACATAACCATAGTTGTCATAGTGGCGAGTAAAGCGCAAGCTTGCGTTTCTTGGTCTTGATCACCGGTGGAATAGGCGCCATTAGTGCTCTCGACAATCGATCTTCCTAGATTTAAAAATTGTTCAGCTAGATTTACAGCAAGATCTTTAGCAAATGGGGTTAATTCGTCGGCAAAGTTCTCAACAAAAGATTCCATAACTTCGGAGAGAATATCAATTTCGAATTCCTTGGACAATTTTAGTAGCTTTTCCATAATTCCAGGGACTTGTGAGGAAATGTGGCCATGAATATTTGGATTCAACACGACTAGTGATTTCAATGCATCTGCAGCCTCAACTTGAATTGGCAAGCAGTCACTATTTAGGAAATGACCGTAAGTTTGTTCAAATAATTTTGACAATGTCCCCATATCGTTAATATCATATGGATATGATGCAACTGTTTCTAAGGCGCGCGCAACTAGAAAATGGTGGCTATCATCAGCAAGGAAGTTCACAATATAATTAGAAAACATGCCTTCAAGGTCCTGAGGGTTCTGGAAAAGGGAAAACAAGGTGCTGATCATACGCATGGCACCTTCTTGCTTGAAGCTCCATTCTTTGTCACCTTTGTGTTGACTGAAATTGGTAAAGACCTCATTGATGAATACTAAAACTTCATTTAATTTATCAGGTCTTACAGTGCCCAGCATGTAAACAAAATCAGAGGAAGCAAAATCAGCCATTGACCCATCTTTGTTCAAATCAAAGTATCTTCTTGTGTATTCCTCAGGGTCTTCGTAAAGTAGTTCGACACTCTCTTCTGTAGCACATAGGCATGGGAATATTAAGTGCTGGAGAACAACATTTAGATGAGGTTCTAGAAGTGGGAATAACTCGTTTGTTATCATACATTTTTCAAGGAATTGGACCATATAATATAAGGAAGCTTCACCCAACCATAAAGATTTGTTGCTCCAGGACTCAATGAACTTGAAATATTCTTGAATAATCTCAGGAACAATCTTGGTGAATACATAGTTAACAAACTCTGGTGTGATGACCTTTGTAGATCTGCTATATCTGTATAGGAAACGAGTCAAGTTACCAAAGCCCCATTTGTTCACTTTAACTCTCTTATCAAGAGATCTATCACTTGGATCCAATTCCAGAACTTCAGCTGGTAGTGGTTTTTGGCAGATGAATAGATGTAGTTGAATCCACGCATTAAGCTTGTCTAAGTCGGCAAAGTATTTTGGTAAGTTGTTCAGACATGAGTATTTGAATGACTTCAATACCAGGTAGAGGAGTTCGTTAGATCTATAATCAGTTTGGTTCACTAGTTGTGAGGTGATATTCTCAACAATAGGGAAAATTTCAATAATGAAGTTGTCAATTACTTCTCTGTTATCTGACATATCCCATCTATGAACAATTGCTACTTCGAAAACTAACAATAGACCAGGGTATAAGTATTCTTGTTTGCCACTAGTCAATAATTCTTTTACTGTAGCAGTCAAATCCCATGAGTTGTCAGCATTCAGTATACCTCTAATAGACTCAGTCAAATGTGGCCTCAAATGAGAACTCTCGCTAAACTTAATCAATGTTTGCACTAATTGTTCCTTAACACTTGCCTGTTCTTCTTTAGTTAAGCCCTCTGTATATTTAGTAGTATTCCAAGACCTCTGTATTTTGTTCTTCATGTAAATAGCAGCAGAGAGTCTCACGTTCATGGCAATACTGTTGTCAGTCACAACATTTAGCAGAAAAGACGTAAAACCGGGCTGTTTCTGGTACTCATATAGCTGGTCCTCAGCCTGCTTGATAACTTTGGCATCAGATATTAGCGTATGCCCAATGCATGTAAGAATAGCACGTTCATCCAACATCGCTATTGTGTCGATAACCTATTTACTGCAGTACAAATACAACAGTCTTACAAATGATAATAAAATAGGAGACAATTCTAAAAGAGTGGACCGATCTACAACGGGTAAATGCATAAATATACTCCGGTGTTTCCTATTTTTGTTAGAGTATTCGACCAGCTTGCTATTTGGAATTGGAATTGTTGCGATGATGATGAGATGAGATGGACTTGCAAAAAAAAAATGAAAAATTCGAAACTTTCGGCAGACATACCATAGAATTATCACGTGATATATTTATATATTTATATATATATATATATATATATCCACTTGAAGTTTATATATGTGTATTAATTTCATGAGTTAGGCAAATTGTGTGCATACTCGAAATGACGTTTGAATATATTAGTGTTATGTACAGATATTATGTTAGTTTTTGTAATATTTGTATTTCAGACATGTTTGCCCTTGGTTAGGGCAGCTTTCCGGTTAGACTCACAAGGCATGTAGCAGTAATGTGAACAGTATACCAACTAGGAATGAGTTTATAGCGGTAACAGTCAGCTCTAGCATGTTGAATTGCGTAAGCGATAGTCCAGTAGAGTTTTGAAATGTGTTTCTCAATTTGTCCCAAAAGGATAGCTTGGTGATGGTTTTCTGCTCATTAGCAATGTTATTGCTCTCCTTTGTCTTAATCTCTTCTAAGAAGTCGCGTATCTTAGTTTCTTGTTCCTGTGAGTGTAATTCTAGCGCATGCCTTACTTTTCCTTCAAATGACCCGGTCAGTCTACGTCTTTTCCAAGGTTCTAGCAACAATTGGAAGATTATGAATAGTACCAAATTGAATCCCATCAAGATAAATGTGCCCCAAGTTGAAGTTCTACGAATCTTATCGGACCATATCTGCTCCTCATGATACCTGGTTAGTATTGCTCTATAAAGATCATCGGTGAGTTGCTCTTCCTTTTTTTCAATATCCCTGACCTTTTCTTTCAGTTCCTTCTCAGTTTGTTGATTGATTGCATCGTCTTTATAAAGCTTTGTGAAGTTCTCCAAGTCGGAAGGGGACCAACTGCTCTTTCTTTGTAGAAGCTCATTCAATTGCTTTTGGGATAATGTCCTGGACTCTATAGCCTTGGTGTATTGCAATTTTAAATCAGTGCGCGCTTTCCGTGTGGCGTCAAGCTTTTCATTGATAAGATTTATACTGTTCTTTAGCTTCTGAATAGATGAGTAACCAGTAACGTCATTCAATGCTTTTGTCGCAGTGAACAGAGTCTCCTGCAATGAATCCAGGTAAAACTCAAGCTTTCGAGACCATTTCTTCCTATGTAACTCTCTCTCAGACGGGAGATCTTTTATCTCTTCATTGGTGAGTTCATCTTTCTTGTAGTTTATTTTAGCATCCTTGGATTCTTTCTCTTGCTCGGCTATCTTTTTGTTGGCCTCCTGTATTGATTTTCTGATGTTTTTGGCATGGTGTTGAAAGACACCTCTGCCCTCCAGAAACTTGTTCCAGAGGTTGTTCAGAGACCCATTGAGCTCATTTAACTTTGTATTTAGTGCATTACCTGTAGGTCTTTTACTCGCACTGGATTTGTTCTCCTCACAACGGAAATGAGTGAAGGTAATGTTTCTTAAGTATGCTTGCCTCTGTATCAGAATTGCTCGACCACTACGCGAGACCGGCCTCAGGTATCGATAACTGTACATCAAGGGGTTGATATTACTATATCAGTGATGTTCAATTTACAGTTAGACTATTTCTAGTATTGGTTTTAGTATCTGTTTGAATCGTAGACACAGTTAGGCTTCAAATACCGAAACTCCGGACTCTCATCAGAATTCGTTGAACAATAGATGCTCCTAAGAAGCATACATGAATATTTAAATAATCAATGAAAATAGGAAGATACATAGTATGGTATAGGTTTTATCAATGTTTCTTTTACAATTCAATCGCTATTTAAAGGGTTATATTAGGACACAGGTGAAAAACATGATTACTATTACATTGGGAAGCAATATGACAATCACAAAATAATTGGTCGAGAAGATAACCTCCCACCACGGAAATTTGTTAACGCTCTGTGTTTCTTGTCGATCATTTGCAAAACCCTCCAAGCTTCTTCGACATGATTGGGTTTTAGCGGATTTACTTCATCATCAAGATTATCAAAGAGCCGTTTCTTTCGGGTAATCGCAGACTTGTCTAGACTTACATCCTGGTGTATGTTTTGAGATTGTTGTTTCTGGTTCTGCAGTATCTGTTCACGTTTCTTTATTTTCAATGCAGTCTCAGTCAATGAGCAAACGATTTCGAAAGTTAAAAAACCCAAAATATCTATAACATCATCATGTGGTTTACCGTCAGTCAATTGAGTTATCCCAGACCAATCCTTGAATCTCTTACTTTTCCTGAAAGTAAATGAGGCTTGTCTACAGTCAGACCAATGTACGTACTCTTCTCTAGTCATATTTCTCGTTCTGTCATCATTCATCTTTAATCTCTTCAGCGTAGCAATATTTGCTTCTCTTTCATCCTCGTCAATGTCGTCTGCATCTTCATTGTTTTCCAATGGTTGTTCATTGAACATGAATTGTAACTCCCACGGCAGCTTGATCTGTGACTTTTTCACTTTCATATTTGCAGAACTATCCTTCTCGTCTTTGTCGCCAGCTTTCTTCCCCAAGTCTTCCTCTTCTGCACCACCACCTGCAGGGGCATTGGAATCTTGGTCCTTCGCATTCTTTCTCAGATCCTTCCAGGATAGATAACTTCTCAGTCTGTTCACTTTGGCCTTGTCGTGTCTGATCAGGAAAATAACGTCCTCAGGTAATATACTCTTGACACCCCTGCTCTGTGCCGTCTTGTTTGCTTGCATCAATATCTCTACCACTTGCCCTCGCACTATGTCCTCAATCAAGGATGTAGTCTCCAAAGGTGGTTCCGTAGTCTCACCTGAGACAAACATCATCTGCTGGATCTCCACGCGATACTTGTGCTTATCCATCTTAGCTTAGTGCCTTGTACCTCTGAAAACCCTATTGAGCACTGAAGAGTCCATCATCATAAAATCCTTTGAAATACAACTCTTCTAAAGTTGCTATACTGCTTTCATTCAAGCTGGGTTAGCTCATTGTCCTGGAAATTACATGTCTTCTTATACGTGTTATCCACGTGCATATAAATGCTATTATTATAACTAGAAGGTATACGGTGTGTAGCAGTGAAGAGGTCAAATTGAGTGCCCAGCTCAGTGCTTGTTACATGATGCATCTGTTGGCATTCACGGTTCCGGTATTAGTATTGTGTAGCATTGTGCGGGGGAAGATTGTGTGTTTGGCCTGTACAGGCTCATCGATTTCTTCAGAGTTAATCTGTGCATTGTCTCGCAGTCGATGATAAGTAAGAAATGTGTCATTATTGAAGTCTGAATCTTTCTCATGCAAACGATAGATTCTGAGTGACCCATCTACCATGTGTTATTATTGCCGTAATTGCACTCCCTTTGCTAAATTTCAATTCATTATGTGCGTGTATGCATGGTTCTCTGTGAAATCGAAAGTACTGACTTGGAATTCCTCGAGGAAACCCTTGTCATATGTATTAGACTTTCTAAAAAGCAATAACTGGGGCTTAAGGGCATCGCTTGCATTCGCTATATAAACCATCATAGATATACGTTCTTTGTGTAATCTTGTAGCAGTATGTAAGACGCTTGGTTCTCTAAATTTGATAAAACAGGAAGCGTATACCTCCCCCTCCCTCCCGCATATTATAATGTCCGAAGTCAAGTTAAATATTACCAGAGACGTGGTCAGAGCTAGTGAGACTCTGTACAAGGCATTTGATGATTCGCATGCCTTCGATTACATCACCAAAAAGTTCTTCAACTTGCCGGTGGATGAGTATGTCTCCAAGGACAGAATCAACGCAATTACACATTACTATGTAGCCTGCTACCACGACAGTAACGGTGAAGTGGTAGAGGCTAACGATTACGACGCGGTGGCAGTCTTCTCCTTGCCAAACCAGCACCTGCCAAAATCCTTGACAAACGACCCACATTTCAACCAGGTGTTTTTCCATGATTTGAAGAGCAGACTAGCAGAGGTGATCCCTGAGGACATCCACTACTACTACTTGTTCATGATCGGTAAGGACCTAACCCGTAAGGACACTAAGGGTTCCGTTAGAAAGATCTTTGAAGAGTACAAGAAGAGGGCTGACGCCGAGAACTGTGCCATTGTCCTGGAGGCCATCGCTGAGCACGCCAGATCAGTCTACGAGTACTTCGGTTTCAAGAACTACAAGACCTTCCATTACGGTGTGGGCGAAGTCAACGAGCAAGGCCAGCCTGATCCAAATGGGAAAGGTTTCACCGGCTACCTCATGATCTACCACAAGGACGGGGACAAAGTTTTGAGAGAATAATCTAAAGCAATCTATAATTCTTGATTTGGTACTTCGCATATATAGCAAGGCTTAAATTGATAAACACATCATATATTAAATATTCATGCATCACGCATGCATATGGTCCACTCCTCCACCAATACTCCATACCATCATACAAGCAATATCTAGATAAAAAAAAACAGCTGTAGAATATCTACCATTGTGATATATAGTCTCCTTATAGCTCCCAATATGTGTTTTAATCATATAACAAGTCAATCGGCGCATACTTAGAGTGCGCCAATTTTTGTTAGTTACACTAGAAATACAGTTCGCGTAAGTAGTATAGTGGTTAGAATCTATCCTTCCCAAGGATGGGACCCGGGTTCGATTCCCGGCTTTCGCAGCTTTCTTTATTTTTTTCGATCAGCTCTAAGCTGGTTTTTTGCCAAAATTTCAAAAATCGATGCTTCCTTAGCAGAACTGCATAGTGGTGATGCCTTTCATTAGCACCAAGTAGTTTTGCGGATATATTTTTGTTACAATTTGGTGTGCTATTTGTAATTCTAGTACAGTACCTTCTATAATCTCCACCAGTTGGGAACGGAACACTGTTTACTGCATTTGTTAAATACTCATAAATTAAGCCTGATCATAAGCTGCATACAATATTTGTTGGGCAGGATATGGCAGTGAGAGAATCAAACTTGGTTAAAATCCTGGGTGATGAAGGATACCAGAAGCTTAGGTCTACGAAATGCTTGTTAGTAGGTGCCGGTGGTATTGGATCAGAACTACTGAAGGATTTGGTTTTGATGGAGGTTGGTGAAATACATGTTGTCGACCTGGATACAATAGATTTATCAAACCTGAATAGGCAGTTTCTGTTCAGACAGAAAGATATAAAGAAGCCCAAATCGGCCATTGCAGTTAATGCAGTCCAATCATTTAGCAACTCTAAGCTGGTACCATACCAGGACAATATCATGGACACAAATGTATTCCCACTTCATTGGTTCCAACAATTTGACATTATTTTCAATGCGCTCGATAACTTAGCAGCTAGAAGGTACGTTAATAAGATGACGCAATTCCTATCTATACCTTTGCTGGAGTCCGGTACTTCAGGCTTTGATGGCTACATACAACCTATTATCCCAGGAAAGACTGAGTGTTTTGATTGTACGAAGAAGGAAACACCAAAGACATTCCCTGTGTGTACTATCAGATCAACACCATCCCTACCAGTTCATTGTATTGTATGGGCAAAGAACTTCTTGTTCGGTCAATTATTCTCTTCTTCGGCAAATGATATAGCAAACGAGCAGATGAATGAACAAGATTGGGGTACAGATGATGTCGAAGAAATCAACCGTATCAAGAATGAAACTAATGAATTGAAAGAGCTACAAAATATAATCATTTCAGGTGACAAGTCTAGAATACGGGATATAATCAGCAAGCTGTTTATACAAGACATCGAGAAGTTACTTCTAATTGAGAACCTATGGAAAACGAGAGCTAAGCCAGTTGCTCTTACCCCAAAGCAACTGCAGGAGTCAGAGCAGCTAGGAGATGTGAATCACTTGAACTTGAATGAAATCTGGGACCTGGAGACTCAAATTGCAAAATTCACCCAAATTACATCTAAACTTATGGATAGGTATAACACAGAAAGTGCTATAGATTTTGATAAAGACGATCAAGATACATTGGAATTTGTTGCCACTGCAGCTAATATTCGTGCCCATATTTTCCATATTCCCGTTAAGTCTGTGTTTGATATAAAACAGATTGCAGGTAATATCATTCCTGCTATTGCTACTACGAATGCAATAATCGCAGGTCTGTCATCTCTAATGTCATTGAGAGTTTTGAATCTCCTAAAATATGCCAAAGTTGATAAGCCAACTGATATCAATATGGCATTCACAGCAAAGGCCAGTAATTTAGCTCAAAACAGATACTTGTCTAATCCTAAATTGGTATCTCCAAACAAAAAATGTGCAGTTTGCTCTAAAGTCATTCGTGGAGTTTTCAAAGTAACTAAAAATCAAATGGAAAAGCATTCTTTTATGGACTTTATAAATGCACTTACTTCAACCTCAAAACTATCTGATGACATTTCAATTTTAGATGCCACTACTCAGAGACTGTTGTATGATTATGATTTTGAAGACCTCGCAGAAAAGAAGCTTGTTGATCTTTCTTTGAAAAATGGTTCAGTGCTATTAATTACAGATGAGGAAGAAGAAGCTGGTCTAACTAAACAAATCATGGAATACTACATTGAAATATCTGATGAATCCGAAGATAAAATAGAGCAACTGTCACTTCCTCAAATCATACCACAATTCAGCATTCCTTCCGAAACTGCCGATGAAAATGGAGGTGGTGATATGTTGCAGAATGACTCACTAATGACAAGTAATGATCAAACTACACCTATAGTAGTTTCAGAATCCGATGCTGTAGAAAATGGTAACAATAAACGTCCATTGACAGAAGAACTAGAATACCAGAGTATTAAAAGTAGGAAGTTAAATCCAATCGAAGATGATGATGAGTTAGTTATATTGGATTAGGTTTCCCTGCTAGTTAAAGCACCGATTCTTATGTATTTCAATTATCTGGTTGATGTAATGTATATAGCGCATATATGTACGAATTAGAGTCCTAATCTAATAATGAATCCGTGAAAATGTTCAGACATGCCAATTGAACTGAACTTTTGCATACTGTATTGCTATCATCGAAAAATAGAAACTAATATTATTGGTATTACTAATTGTGGTTCCTCCATGTTAATTCTATATGATAAAACACTAATATAACGATTGAATATGTTAGAAGTGTTGTCAAGTAGCATATTATAAAATATGGATTCTAAACTGTGGGGTATAAATTTAGCTAATATAAAAGGAATACTAGTACAACCAAGTACGGAACTTGAATATATATAACAAATAAATCAAAGCTACTGTAGTGATCAATTACGGCTGGTTAATCTTGCAAACCATGACTCTCTCTTCTTAGCTTTGCTCTCTATAGACTCTTGGGAATATGCAATTGGGGAACGAGGTCTTTCAAACTTCTCTGTAGAGGAGCTACCATTTTTCGGCAGGTTATCTTCAGAGCGGTTTAATATAAGTGATAATGGTCTACCAGATGAATTTGATGTGATACTTCTACCACTAACTGATCTTTGAACTTTTGGAATTGAAAGGAGGTGTTGTCTATGATTTGATGAGTGTACTGGAGATGATAGATGGGGATCTACATTTTCATCATCATTCAAAAGGTCGTCACCTTCGCCATCCGTAGCTGTATCACCCGTATCACTTAGAATGCCCGGTTTGTGTAGCCAAGGAAATAATCTAGAACGCCTTTTGTTACTAGCAATAACATCAGGGACCATTGGTGCAGAGCCGATGGATCTCGAGTGTGGTCGTTGATATTTTGGTACCTGTAGAGCTGGGCTCTTCGCCTCGGGTTTAGAATGTATGTTATTTTGCTGTGAAGTTGCTGTAGAAGTCGTCTTGCTATTATCGGGTGTGCCCTTTATTGTGGTAGTCTCGGTTTGTATCTGTATATTAGGCAACGGTGAACTGGTCTTATCTCTGTTAGTGGTGGATTCCGTTGTGCTCTTTTGATGGACACTTTCACTTATTTTTTTCTGTTGGTCATCTTTAGTGCTCTTCAGCAGGTGTGGAAGTAGTTTGTATGTATATTCTATCAGAAACTCGACCACAAGTCGGGATAGTTCGTATTCTTTGGGGTCTAGGTCGTGTTGTGGGTGCGACAAAATCGATGGCTGAAAAATGGCGGCCAAATTGGAGCCTGACATCAGATTCAGTTGGGATTGTCTGGCAAACAGACTCAGCAGATCCAGAAGGTATATGGTCAGTTGTTTGCTATCACTCAATAAATCAGTGAACAGCTCTTCGTACTCCTTGATCGCGGCCCTGATACACCTAGACAGTTTCTTCTTTCTCCGCAGTTGCTTCCGCTTGGCCTCTTCTTCGGTGATGTGTTGCTCGTCCTCGTTCTCGTTATCGCCGTCGTTGGCCCTATCGTCTGTGTCTTGTTTTGTGGATTCCGTGAGCTTCATGGTTAGGGTGTTCTCCTTGTTGGCGTTAGGGTGGCTGACCTCATTGTTGAGCATGTACTTCAATATGCGGGGCCTGTTCATCAGCGGAGCTCTGAATTTTTCATACAGAGCGAGCGGTATCAGTGGTTCCTCGAGGTTGTTCAAGTAGCGTCTCAGCAGTGATGCCACGTCGTGCACCGTGTAGGGCTCCCAGTTGCTGAACTTGGCACCGTAGTCCGGCGGGGTGGAAAAGATGTATTGCAGCTCTTTTATACGCTTGCTGTTGCCCGCGATTCTAAACACACCTGAGGTACTCAGCCCGTTCGACTTCAGGTACGCACCGCACTTCGCCACAACAATGGGTATCCTCCCGAAGCTGACCAGCTCGCTCTGCACAATCACCTCAGCGCTGGCCACAGACAGAGACTCCTCAAGCGAGACACCAAACACCCGCCCGGAGAACCCGTTGCGTCCAGACAGGAACTGGTCCCGGTAGTCCCTGAAGTCCTGGCGCTCCGCAGCGCCAACCTCGTTCTTGATCGGGGAGCCGGTCTTCGGCGCAGTGTGGTTGTAGGAGTGGCCCCGCTGGTACACCGGCCGCGATGGCGTCGACAGGTTCTCAGAAGAGACACTCTTGGGATTATTGACAAAATTCTTCCAGAACGGCATGTGTCGCGATGGCGATATCGAGTGCTTGTTAGGCATGAAAGGGCTGTGGAAAAAGTAGTATTAAGTAATACTGCAATTAAATAGAAAAAAGGCGGGTATCCTGCTATATTAACTGTATTACGTTAGCGCTATTTGTATTACTTCTTGTGGTGCAATCGCACTATTAATATAATTGCAATTGCTCAAAACGGGAAACCGAAGAGTTCCCTCATCTGGAGCTTCATCAATTTTTCCCAGTTTATGTGAACAATCAATTTACTTTGTAGAGAAGGGGCCCGCACTCCCAGAAACACCCGCACAAACAATCCTAACCTCATCGGTCTCTCCGTCCCGCTCTTTCTTCCTGGCGCCCCCGCCAGATATTTTAAATGGAAATTGCAATTACCCTTTTAAGTTCGTTTTTTCCAGTTCTTGGGGCACCCCCGCGGGATTCTCTATGCGGGGAGGCGTCTTTCCCTGTGCCCATTATTTCTCGGATCACCCACACCTGCAAGGAATGCAATCTCCTAAACGGGAAATTTAATTTACTGCGAAGAGGTGCCGTCAAAGCTGGATTAGCATGCACTGCTCAGACAATTGCGCACAGGGATGCAGAAATACAAGCCAGGAAACTGGGCTGTGCGGATTTGCTGAGTGCCAAGTGCTTCGCCCCTTCTGTCTTGGGTTGTACAGATCTGGCCCCTTAGTGAATGAGCCGCAGGGGGGCGCATTAAGCAAAAGGATTTCACGCGTCTTCGGCTTCTCCTTCCCCTCTGTCTCTCTGTCTCCCCTCCGCGGGTGTCTGTGCATTTTCGGCTCGTTGTCATGTTTCCTCTCTGCACCTCCTGATCGTACGTAAGCGGCGATCGGGGCTCGGTGGCCGAGTCCGTTAGGGTTTTGTGTTTCACATGACGTACCAATCATCTTTTAGGTCTTGATGTAACCCTAAGTTTGAAGGAGAAGGGTGGGGCAGGGAGGAACACGCAAGCCCTATAATATGCGTTTGCATATGCTGGATACACTTACTATTAGAACAAATATACATCTACATAGCGCTAAGGACTAGTTGAGCTGGACGTAGTTGCCAGGGAAGACACCTTGCTGGCCGTTGTACCTGCCTGTCCACCACTCGTTCACGTCTGGAGTACGCTGCACCACTTCTATCACTGCGCCTGCAGGGAAGCTTAGGTCTCCTGCGGCCTGTGCCTGGTAGTCATACAGCGCAGTGACCGTTTCTACAGGTGCACCAGCAGGTGCTGGAGCAGCCATGGGCTGCTGTGGGGGTTGTGGGACGGCTGCACCGGCGCCCATCGCAGTGTATGCTGGTGGTGCAGCTTGTTGCTGGTATCCCATCGCACCGGCGCCAACGGCACCTGCTCCGACAGCCCCGACAGCCCCGACAGCCCCAACAGCGCCTGGACCCATGGCTGGTTGCTGTACTCCGTACCCGGTAGCTGGTGGAGACTGCATGCCACCGTAACCAGTGGCGTTGGGGGACTGCATTTGACCGTATCCTGGTGTGGTGCTTCCGACAGCACCATATGCGCCTGGCGTGGGTGAGGCGCTGTCGGTGTCCTTACCGTAGCGTCTTCTGGTCATCTCCAGTTTGGTCTTGGAGTAGCCGATCTTAAAGTGGGTGATGGTCAAGGAGTCCGTTTGTTCCTCGATGTTGCCTCTCTTGGCGATGAAGGCCTCTATGATGTCACTGTTCAAATCGAAGTAAGGAATCTTCATGTCCTGGAATTTGTTGTATAGTGTGTAGAAAATGTTCAATTGCATGTAGTAGAAAGACACAAATAATGGTTGCACAAACTGTGCCTCGAGACTGAACAGAATAGGCAGTTGTTCCTTCAACATGTCATTATAGTAGTCGTACTCTTGTTGGGCTGTCTCCATGTCAACTTGAGCTTTGTACATCTTTTCTTCCACTTTAGGCTTGGCATCCGGCTTCTCAGATTTCTTCTCGTACTTGGTGTAGGTATTCAAGTGCCTGTCCAGATCCAGCTTCTTATGGTTACGCTTGGTGGCCATCTTTCTAATGTAAGTGATGATCTTCAACAGTTCCTGGCAGGGCTTCACGACTTTCTCCTCCACCAGCGCTAAATCCGGCTTCAAAGTCTGTTGCAACTCGGCAACAAGAGCCCTGTACTGTTCACTGGCCTCTATACCTTCTGGATTGTCCTCGGGGATAGTGGCATTGGGGTCACTCATCTTACCACTGATGGGCAAGAAGATCTCCTCCATCGCCTTGGCAAACCCAATCTGGTGGTTCAGCATACCATTCACTGCGGAAGAGTAACGCTTGGACTCCTCACTCAGCTTCTTGGTCTCCTGCTCCAACTCCTTGAAACGACGTTCGGCATCCTCATACACAGGGTCCTCCGTCTGCTCACCCATCTTAAACTTCTGGCGGAAGGACTGCGGAGCCCTCGTCACCACTTTTGTAAATCCTTTAAAACTCATTACTGCTCTTTACCGCTTGCACAACTGGCTGCCTATTTCAAGAACACTACTTGATGAGTGCGATTCGTTGGTCCCTTTTATGGTCATTTCGCTGTTTTCGCTGTTCTCGCTCAGCTTTCCTGGAAAAAAATCCCTTCTAAGAGCGACATCGCAAATGAAATTGGCAATAAAGGGTTCAAGAGGACTCATGCTCACAATATTTTGGCATAAACATATAGCAAGTCTCTAATATTTCTACGATGCATATAACTCTGACTTGCATTATAAATTCAGATTGTCATATCTGGGCAGTCTTTCTGCGTGTCTCTAAGGACAACCTGATGTAAATACAGTAGAACTTCCCCATTATCCACAATGCATGATAGCATATCCTGTTTCCAGTAACTGGTATAGGACTGCTCGTTAATCTTGTATATATGATGTCTTTGCAGTGCTCTCTACAATACCTTGTATGTGCTAGTCACGCTACATTTCTTGCTGCACTTGCAACTGGGATCATCGCTGAGTTGACAAAAATGTGATGAGACTTATAACTAACAGCCATACTGTTGATAGCACAGATAACAGAGTCAAGGTCATTACAAGAGAGTAGTAAGATCAGTATGGTTGATGAGAATAGCAATAATGAGAATGGGCTAGACCAGGAGGAAGAAATAGATGTGTATTCCGATCTGTATTCGACGTATACGCAGGTTACTTCGTTGACTACTAATGATGTTGATAACACCACATACCCCATGACTTGGAAGACAGTCGCCCTTTTTGGCAGCTCCACAGTGGGTGGATTACTATTTGGTTACGATACAGGTGTCATCTCGGGGGTATTGCTCAGTTTAAAGCCACAGGACCTTGGCAGAGCTACCATTTCTGATTGGGATAAAGAGCTGATCACCTCCATAACATGCCTTGGTTGCTTTGTGGGATCCCTGCTGGGGTCTCCGCTGGCTGACAAGTATGGCAGGAGGATAACTCTGGCGATCTTTTGCGTATTATTTATAGTCGCCGCACTGTGGATGGCCTTGGCCAGCAACTTAGTACTGCTGGTATTCGGTAGGTTTGTTGTGGGGATCGCAGTGGGTACTGCCGCGCAATGTACTCCGGTGTACCTCTGTGAGATATCACCTGCCAAAATTAGAGGTCAAATATTAGCACTGAATTCCATTGCTGTTACTGGTGGGCAGTTCTTGTCTTACATATTCGCTTATGAGCTTTACGACGTGAATGGCTCTTGGAGAATTTTATTTGGATTGTCAGCCGTGCCTGCTATAATATTTTTATCCATGTTAGACTTCATACCTGAATCTCCTCGTTGGTTGGTATCTATGTCTAAATATGATAGCGCTAAAGCAGCCTTGCGTATGATCTATCCGACTGCGTCTCCTGGTCAGATAAACCTCAAATTCAATGAACTAGTCATCAATCTAAGCAAGCTCAAACATTACCAAGATGAGCAAACTTCGCTGATGGTTCCATTATCGGTGCGTTCCTCTCGAGTTACAATCAATTCTGCTGATTACGGTTCGGTAGCAAACTTGAGATCATTACACTCTCTAATGAATGAACCTTCTGGAACAAATCATTCTAATAAGACAGTTCATCACAGAATGGAGCCTAGGACAAAGAGAGCATTGTTAATCGGTTGCGTTCTTATGTTTTTCCAGCAAATTACTGGTTTCAACGCGTTTATGTATTACGCTCCGCTAATATTTTCGAAATTAAACTCTCATAACCCGCTACTTCCAGCAATGTCAATTGCATTTACTAACTTTTTATTCACCTTTTTAGCTGTCTATCTCGTTGACCTTGTTGGGAGACGTTCGATGCTTCTAAATACAATTTGGATTATGACTGTTGGGTTGTTACTGTCTACAATTGGGTTTCAACATGAAAATGTTGTTGTATTATTATTTGCAGTATCTATATTTGTGGCAGCATATGCTTCTGCCATGGGCACCATACCCTGGAGTTCAGTAGAATTCCTGCCACTGAATAGAAGGTCGTTCGGAGCATCATGTATATCATGTACTAACTGGTTAACAAATTTTGTTATTACAGCATCTTACCTATCTGTGATGAATAAGATCGGTACAGAAGACACAATGTTATTCTTTGCATTATTTAGTGTGATGGCATGGTTTTTTGTGTATTTCTGGTATCCTGAAGTCAAGGGACTATCACTGGAAGAAATTGGGAAAGTGTTTGAAAATGGTATTGATGTCCATTATGTTTACAGGAACTATTACTGAAGCTATTTCATGGTAATCGAATATGAATTGTTCTTTATAAAGTTTTAAATATTCTTAATATATATGGGTTAAATCTCTAATTACTACACCTTAAAATCACTATCTTAGTCTAAAATAGACCATTAATGTTACCCTTGTCATCAACCTCCACATTTAAGTATCCTGCATGGACGGATAAGCCTGGGATTGTTTGTATTTCAGCTGCTAACGCATATAGATAGCCTGCACCAATAGATGCCCTGATATCTCTAATAGGGACTATGAAGTCTTGTGGAACACCCTTCAGTTTTGGATCATGTGATAATGAATATTGGGTTTTAGCAATGCAAATTGGCAATTTATCAAAACCTTGCTCTGTGTATAATGCAATCTGTTTTTGGGCTTTTTCAGATAGTTCGATTCCAGCACCACCATACATCTCTTTAACGATAGTTTCTAGCTTCTCTTTTATAGGCAAATCTGTGTCATATAGGAACTGGAATGATTTGGGTTCCTCACAAGATTGAACAACAGCATTGGCTAGATCAATAGCACCTTTTCCACCTTCTTCCCAATGATTAGAGACAACCACATTGTTTGCACCAGCGGCTTTACATGATTCTTCTATAGCTTTAGTTTCATTTTCAGTGTCAGTGGAAAATTTGTTGATTGCAACAACAACTGGGACTCCGAATTTCTTAACATTCTCAATTTGTTTAACTAAGTTAGCGACACCTTTCTTTACAAATTCAATGTTCTCCTCTATATACTCTTGTGGAAGCGCTTGGCCTGGCTTGACGTCCGGAGCACCTCCGTGAGACTTAATAGCTCTAACAGTTGCAACTAAAACGACAGTGTCCGGGACTAATCCTGATGACCGGCATTTAATATTAAAGAAGCGTTCTCCGCCCATGGAAAAATCAAACCCTGCTTCGGTAACAACGTAACCTGGTTCTTGAGAGTCTAAACATGTACCCATCAATTTTAAGGCAATCTTATCTGCCATAACAGAAGATGCACCAATTGAGATATTGGCAAATGGACCTGCGTGAACAAGCACTGGGGAGCCTTCAAGTGTCTGCATGAGGTTTGGTTTGATCGTATCGGTCATTAAAGCTACTATTGCACCAGAGCAACCAATATCATCGACAGTAACAGGTTTGCCGTTTATGTCGCTAGCAACCACCAACTTGGAAACTCTACGCTTCATGTCTTGTAAACTAGTGCTTAGAGCTAAGATTGCCATTAGTTCCGAGGCAACAGTAATGTCAAAACCAGTTTCTCTAGTCCGTCCTTTTTCGGTAGCAGCTTGACCAATTGTAATTTTACGTAGCATTCTATCGTTCACATCAACAACTCTTTTTATGTTGATAGTATCAGGGTTAATATTTAGTCTCACGAACTTATTTATCTCCTCTGCTGTAAGTTCATCAGGATTAGTTTTGTTGATTCCAAGTCTCTCTAACCTTCTAGTCATAGCAGGAGAAAAAGATCTGATACCATTCTTTTTTGGAACAAGTTTGTCATAAAATTTGGCATCATTCTTTATTGTAGATTCGTGTAGCATCCTAGTATCGATTGCAGCAGCCAAAAGATTGTTTGCAACACCAACTGCATGGATATCACCAGTTAAGTGCAGATTAAATTGATCCATTGGTATGACTTGAGCATATCCGCCTCCAGCAGCTCCACCTTTTACACCAAATGTGGGTCCCATTGATGGCTGACGCACATTAGCAATGGATGGTTTGCCCAGATGGCCGGTCAAGGCCTGTACCAAACCCATTGTTGTTGTTGATTTACCTTCACCCAAAGGAGTAGGTGTGATACCAGCAACAAGAACATATCTACCATTCTTCTTGGACTCAAGTCTATCTAGTATTGATGTAGATATTTTACCCTTGTAATGGCCATGGAGTTCTAGTTCATCTTGAAATATCCCTAATTCCTTAGCTAAGTTATCAATATGTTTTGGTTCTTGAGACTTCGAGATTTCAAAATCAGATGGGACAGGTTTTTCTAATTTTAGAGGTAATGGTTTTATTTCTGGCACTTTTTCAAAATTGGCCAAACTACGCTTGGCGGCCAGGACAACATTCGAAACTAGCATAGCGACAGTCATCTGGCCAACACCACCTGGAACCGGAGTAATGTATGAGGCTTTCTTTGATGCGGAGTCAAAATCGACGTCACCAACCAACCTATGCCCAGATTTCTTCGTGTTATCCGGTACATGGTTGATGCCGACATCAATAACAACTGCCCCTTCTTTTAGCCATTCACCCTTGATCATATTTGCTTGTCCACAAGCTGCGATTACAATATCTGCTGTTTTGACTATTTCTGGTAAATTAACGGTCTTGCTATGACATTGAGTTACAGTAGCGTCCAAATTTTTCAATAAAGAGGTTATTGGAGTTCCAACAATGCTAGACCTTCCGATAACAACGGCATTCTTCCCCGCAATAGTAATATTATGTTCCTTCAAAAGCTCTATACACCCGTTGGGGGTGCATGGAATGAACTTTGGATGACCGTTTTTCTTAGTGAGTTCACCAGCGTTGTATATGTGGAACCCGTCAACGTCTTTGTCAACAGAGACAGAGCTAGTAATTGTGGTCTCATCCAAGTGCTTTGGTAAAGGCAATTGGATCAGCAGTCCATGTATGGAGGTATCGTTGTTTATGGCTTCTATCTTGCTCAACAGCTCAAACTCAGTAATTGACTCCGGCAGTTTTTCTACAATGCACTTCACGCCACTTTGTTCGGATTTCTTCAATTTCATGTTCACATAGGCAGATGAGTCCAACCGATTGCCGACTTGTAGAATCTTCAAAGTGGGCAAAAACTTATGGTTCTTCCTAATGGTGTCTATCTCATTGCGACATTGCTCAATTATCTTCTGGGATAGCTTTGTCCCGGACAATAGGTGGTAGTACCTATTGGTTCTGAGAAACTTTAGCATGGCGTAATATATCTTCTGCCCTACAGCTACACTAGGTTAAAGAACAAGATATAGCCTTGATTTAGGAGCCCTGCTTTTTATATGACTATTTTAACTACAGAGCTAATCATTGCGATGAGTTCAAAAAAAAAACTTGTGAAAAAAAATTAAATGATTCAATTGATTATCATAGTGGGGGGGACCCTTAAATTCACGTAATTTACTCTTCTTGGGCGAGTTCAAAATGAAAACTGTGTAAACGTTGCAAGCAACGGCCAACTGTTTATCTGGAAGATAAGGTATCTCATTCCTAAGGAAGGAGTCAGGATATGGGTATAAAATTTATGTGATCACATTTTTGTTCAAGACTATAGATTTGCTGGTCGTGTTAGCTATTTTATACAATAAAAATACATTATTACACATCTTCTCATACCCGATAACCCAGCAACTCAGTACACTACTTTGCCCACTTTCTGTTTTTATTCCATTATTACGCAAAGCCAAGTCATGTGACATGGATTATTGTTTCTCACATCGAAGAACAAAAGAAAGAAAGCACAACTTGTTCCGTGCAGCTGGGCAGTAGGCCTTGCTTCTCTATTGTTCCTTTGGGGAACTGACGTACGGGTATTGTATCCTGCTGTAGCGTAGGAAGGGAAGTTCACTAAGTATTTTAGGTGTTCGTTGTGAAGATTCCCGCGTGCAATCTCGTCGGAAAAACTGTCCAGAGCGAGGAAAGGAAAAATTTTTACGGAAAAACTATTATGTGAGCAGCAGGCCGGGTGTCTGATTTAATACCGACATGATGTCTTCATTTAGTACAACGAGTAAAATATGGAAATACTTATTGATTCCCCCCCCATCTCGTTTGGGCATAATGGGAGCTACAAGTGTTTATTATAGTTGCGGTTCTTTGCACCGTTGGATGTCTTATTTGTTTTTCACGTGGTAAATCACATTCTGGATATTGCATTTGCTTACGCTACCAGTAGTTCAATATAGTGATGAGCATTGACGGTAATATAATACAGGGATAAATGTTTATCAATGATTTACATTCTTTACATTAGCCAAAAAAAAAAAAAAAAATATTCTCCATCCAAGAATATCTCTCATTGATATTTCTTTAAAAGTACGTTATTCTTTGAACGCTTGATACAGAAGATTTAAGTACAAATTAAATATTCAATTTATAATTTAGAGCTGATATAAAAAGGAAGTGAATATTGCAACTAACAACTATGAGATCAACTCAAAGTCGTTGCTGGTAGTGGTACAACTTGTGTGTTAGATATGTCATAGTAAATTAAACCAAAATGTATTACAAAATCAAGTCAGGAAAAAAAAGTTTATTATGAGGAATCTGTAATTATGTATGCAGTGAGTTAAAATGGGTTTAAAATCGAACTTCCCTAGACAATGTAGATTAGAGAATATGTTTCTATTGTCACAGTGTTATTGCGATAAGTCAACTGAGATAAAAAAAAATAAATTGTGGTTCCTCTTATACACATGCGTGTGCATATATGACAGCAAATTAGTCATTTCCAATAATGGCTAAGCTGGTAAGTTTATACATAAAAAAGGGGGAGGCTTGACTGGGTATTGCCATAGATGCAAAGTAAGAATTAGTAAAATAACAGTTGCGGAGTAAATTATTGTAATGAGGTAAAACAATTCAGCAAAACATTTCTGCAGAAAAAATAAAAATGTAGCATTCCTACATCTCTCTCAGTTGGACTGAATACCTTGCACCTCTTTCTTTTCATTGTATGGGTTGATCTCTTCATTTTTAACCAAAGGCTTGTTTTCCTTATTTAGTATATCTGGTTGGCGGATGGGAGGCGGCAGGTTGTTTGTAGTCTTTGATTGACCATTTTGGCCAAATTGAGACATCACATTTGGTAGAGACATAGGAGTGGTAGTTATATTGGTTGTGTTGTTATTCGTGTATGAGTTCTGGACTATGGAGGGAGGTATTGGAAGTGAAGATTGCTGCATATAATAGCTTTGGTTTGGGTACTGCTGGTATTGATACAGCATTCCGAATCCACTTCCATTAGAATGCATGTTGTTTACCCCAGGAGTATTTGAAGAGTTGTTGAACTGTGGGGAGCTGATGTTCCCATTAAAATTGGCACTATTTCCTGTGTTAGACATGGGTACTTTATGATCCACATTAGACCCATTATGATACAGGAATTGGTGACTATTTTGGCCTTGTTGGGTGGAAATCATTGGATATGGCAATTGTTGTACATTTTGTTGCCGCTGATTAAATGTATTCATGGGCATACCGCTGCCAGACTTCAGCTTCATATTATTAATTTCTATGTTATTTCGGTCATTGGCCATGTAATCCATTTGGTTCTGGTTACCGCCATTGTTGGGCGTCATTTGATGACCTGCGTAGTTAATCGAGTTCGAGTTCTGATTCTGGTAGTAGTAACCCTCCTGTGGCGCGTAAAACCACTGCTGGCCTGTGGGCAAGGGCAAGGGTAAAGTGGAGTTTGGCGGGCAGAGCACAGGTCTATGGGTAATTGCAAAAGCCGGGTAATTGCCCATTATAGTGGAGATGATGCTTTCGAAGAATGTGTAAAAATATCTGGTCGACTCATCAGTCTGTTGTGGCCCGTTTTCTATCAGGTCGAGGACGTATATTTCGTTGCTGTTTGTTAAAGTGCCGGTCTTTTTCTTTGTTAGCAGGGATTTCTTCCAGACCTGGATGTGGGAGGAGATCTGCTTCTTTGTTCTGTATTTACCTATTCTGTACCATATGTACATTGATATGAGCTCGTTACGGCCGTAGTTACGGTCTCTGATTTTAATCTTCGAAGTACCATTCTTGATGATGAGGCCCAGAGCTTCGACAAAGGCGGACTCGATGTCCATGGGCCACTTGTTGTCGCTGCCGGTGGTCTGTGTGTGGCCGCTGCTGTTGCTGCTGCCGGTGCTATTTGAGCTGCTGACATTACTTGTGCTGGTAGAGTTATTCATATTGTACCTATCTGATACCGAGCTGTCATTTGAGACAGTCATAATATAGATTGAGGGCGTTATTTGTGGGGGGGAGTACGATGTGTATTAGTACTCTTTTTCTTGATGTTATTCTAATGGGAAATGATTACCTTCGAGGATATAAGCGTTTGTCAATAAGTTCTTGAAAGGATTTGTGCTCTTTTTAGTTCATATAGTGACTATATATAGAGGGGGGGGAAGGTGATTCCAGATTACTTAGGAATTTTCTTGAGAGAGCTATAATATGGTATGGTTTTTAAATTGTTATGACTATGGCTTTGAAGAAGTGTAGATCAATTATGAAATCAGAAAAAATAAAAGATTGATTTGAAAATGGCTAAAGAAATTTTTTATTGAATCAAAGGGAAGCTAAAAAAAAATGTTGGATATATATGTGAATGACGGTCTTGAGAACCGTTGGCAAGGGTCCTCCATATCAAAGTTATCGTTCTGAGGACCGGATTTATGTGGGTACTTAACGTTCGGAGAACGACAACGAATAGAGTAAGAGGATAAACCCAAATGAAAAAAATTGACAAAAACAAATGAATGCGAAGGGCAGTTGCAGAGAAAGTAATGTAGAGAAATACTCTTTGGAAGAGCTGTGGAAGAGAATTACAAATAAGATATTCCATCCTTTTGGCGAGTATCCTAAGAAACTGCAGTAGAAGGAAAAGAAAAAAAAGAAAAATATCTCAATTTTAAATTGAGAAAAAGTACCAGAAAGGGTTTTTCCTTTTAGGAAGAATTGGTAATTCAATCGCAAGATGGTCAGAGAGTGCTGTGGGAACGAGGGCGAGGGGAGGGGGGTGAGTGTCTCTGAAGAGCTGGGAAGAGCTGGGAAGAGCTGGGAAGACTCAGACAAATTCTGCAGCTCCCCAAGGGAAGAAGCTACATTTGTGGAAGCAATGGAAGGAAAAACAAAAAAAATAAAAATAAAAAGAAATATTCGAATTGTTCCGTTTGTACTGCAGAATCTGTGGAGAAGACGTGGCAGAATAGAATAATTGTGCAAAACACACACAAAAAATAAAAAAGGAATCGTTCGGTGAAATTCAATTTCGAAGAGACGAGCTTCCCTGTGCTACATGAAACTGTAATAAGGCGTAGAAGGAAATAGCACCAAAGTTTCTAATTTGACAGGGGATGTGGGAAAAATGGAAGGGCTAGAACTGTGCGTCATTTTCACTGGTTCCTCTCCGTTCCTTGTCTTGTCTCATCACCTAGTCAAGAGGGAAAGGGAGGGGTAGCAAAAAATAGGGATACGAACATCGAACATCCCGGGAACTGTAGGAAGCTTGACGGCTCCTAGAATGTTGAAGGACGCAACATACGTTGTTAACAGTTGTCTGTTGCACTCCAGGGAAATAGAAGGGCATCATGCCCCCCCCCACCTTCCTGTTGCGGCTTGCAGAGAAAATGCAGAGAACTGTTGACAAGAAGCACCGAACAAGTAGATGCTGGCTATGAAAACAAAGGAGCACCGAAATGAAAGAAGAAGAAGAAGAAAAAAAAAGAAATATCTGTGGGATAGCTGCACGATATGCTTTACTAGCTTTGCTATAAAGAAGCAACCCGTTAACGGGTTGCGAGGAGAAGGGGGATCAAGCGAGCAGCAACCAAGAAACATGGTGATCCCCGGGGACATAGCGCAAGCTGAGACAGCGGTGTAGCATTTGCAAGAGACTGAATCACCTCCCCTCTTTTGCCCTTGTGGAACTGTTTCTTTTTGTCATCCAGCATGAAGACTATCAATTTTTTTTGCAGAGATGACGCTTTGTAGATTTTAGATGTCGCAAACACTGAAGATAGCCACATGCCAAGGGTTGCACCCGTATGTGGTTTCGATAGCATCAAAGATCATTTGGCTGCTCGAAGACTTGATAGTAGCTCAGCATGCGCATCTTGCAAAAAAAATTTAAAAAAAAAAGCAGTTCCAGGTTATGCTTAATTCAACTATTTAGCAATCTATACTATCTACATTGTCCTTTGATACAAAGAATAAACTGTTATCTTAGTGTGATACTTGGAAAAAAAAATACAACGTCAAATTGGATCCTGCCAACTTGAAAGCGGCATTTTTGCTTGATAACAAAACAGGTAATCTGTTTCATTATGTAATGCCGGTTCGCAAGTTCGGGCATATAATAATTATATCCACTTAGCAAGAGCTTCAAAATAGAGGCGTAGTACTCATCTTTGAAATTAAAGCACGTCCACGCTTAGATTTACTAATAGATGTGGAATACGCCTTTGCACATAAGCATTAAAAACTTCAACTAGCACTGCTGCTGAACAAGTAAAACACGATTGTGCTATGCCCACTTTTATCAGCACCAAAAATGCAGTGAACCCAAGTAATTTATAACTGCAGATAACAACCTACTGTTACAGATAATGCTGATAAGCTTAATAATCCCCACTTTAGACCCAGTTCAGCAGTTACTGTTAGTATTGTACTGCTGCGTAGAGCCTTCGAAGGAAAAAAAAAAGAAAGAAAAGTTTCCTAAAGTTGCTATGAAACAAACGTAGGCAAGCTAAAAGCGTTAATCAATAGGAAACGGGTTTCTTTGAAAAAGAAAAAAAAAGAAAAAGTTGATCCATTGAGAATATGCGATGGGGATCTTCTTAAGACGATGCCTGTTGCAGATTGAGAGTAGTGTTGAATGTCAACTTTGAGACTGGTATGAGCAAATCTAGAGTTTATTCCTGTTCAATTTGTTAAGCTGAGCTTGATTTTGAATTTATTGTTTATTCCCTATAAACTGAATAGCAACTGGGACAACTGAGAAGGCGGGTATTAGGATATATCATAGCAATACCATTATGACATTATCGTTCCTATAGATATGGTACAAAAATATCAATGAAGATTGAATAAATGTCTTTATATTCCTCTATCTACCTGATCACTTTTTGGGAGTCATCACGATGTCGGTGTTACATGTTATACCACCGTGGTGATTCAAGGTTCGCATAACTCACATAGATTTGATTCTTATATTTTGTTTTGGGTATTTGTCCCCCGTACCTTGTTAAAACCTCAGACAATTATAAGAATGTGGAGAATTAGACAATTTTACATTACAGCATTAGATACTGAAGTAAACAAGCTCAATTCAAGTAAAAATGAGAAACACAGGGCCACCTTGAAGTGATACAAGATGCATACTTAATAGATATTTACACTTCTTGAGCACTATATAAATATATATCATCCGTCAATGTTGAATGCCTTGTCAAACCTGGACTAGATATAACAAGATCATGCCACATACCACCAAAACAATAAACAGACACAACAATTCTCAAAACACGTAAAATACTCAAGAAATGAAAGACTTATACCCTCAATAGCATGCCCATCAATGCTGAGGAATAACAAAATTGATACTCTTATCATTTTTATATCTGATAATAAAAGCCATAATAACAATTTAATGATCATTGTTAAGATACTACTATATACTTGTTATGCAATGTATGCCTATGGACGAATACTCTTATTTTTCTTCCGGTAGCGATATGCCAAAGATTAGAGATTGCAAAGAGTTGACAAAATGATCATAATATGCTATAGCTTGGCCTTTTGCGGCGAACAATGAACAAGATTTTTGTTAATTTGACTGCTCAATAGGATAAAATCAAATATACAGTGCTAAAAAGTCAGTTAATTTAAGTTTGTGCGCTTTTCTACTGGTATATTTCCTAATTGGCTTACTTTTTCAGTCATAGTCGACAAAAATTTAAGGAAACAAAATAGACGGTGCAATTATCACACTCAAGAGAAGAAAAAACCTAACTGAGATCTCCATCTTGTGGAAATATAGATAAGCGAACTATAGTTATTCTCAAAGCTATCTCTGGACTTATTAAGGATTTCTTCGATCACATTCTGTTTTTATTTTTGATAGCACAAGCGCGATTCAAATAAGAACGACCCAGTACCCAATCAAACTGGGAAACTTGTGCTTAGAGTTAATTGACAAAACACTATCAATTGTCTAAACTAAACTCAGAATCTTTCACAAATTAGCTGAATCCTCCCCCAAAAAAATTAATGCATAATGACTATAGGGAACATATATGACTTAAACTTCCTGCTGAAGTTGACAAACAAACTATTTGAGAACCATACATTCGATTCTTACTTAACCAACCAGCAATTAATTGTCTTAAATCACATTCTGAAACATAATGAGCTGAACAGTGAAATCTGGCCGGATTTTATGTCTGGTAACCTAAGACTAAAAGTCAAGATAGATCAAACCGTTGAAGACAAGGCGAATCAAGAACAACTACAGACTACCGATGGGGTAGCTGGGAGCCCGAAAAGCACCCACATAAAAAAAGAAGACGACTTTGAAACCAATACAATCAATGACGACGATGAATTTACGAGATCGTACGATGACGAGGATCTTTCAAAACTTGATCTAGATGCTCTGAAAGAACAAATTGACGGTGCATACTTTGTTGGGAATCTATCTTTGAAAGTCAGATATGTGTTATCACAGTTTGGAATAGAAAACAATCTAACAGATTATCTTGAAGAAGGTATTGACAATACTGATAAGGTAGAGTCATATGGAGGAGAGAGTCCCACAAATGCCAATACGGAAGATAACTTATTTACCAGTACCGATGCTAATGAAGATGGTGAAGATGACGACTACGACTTTGATGAGGATGACGAACCAAACAAAGAGGCAGAAAGTAACGATAATGCTACAGAGGAAGTAGTAGAGTCTGATCGTACATTTAAAGACTCTACTACTCAATGCTTAACACTAGAAATTACAATTTCAAAGAATACTCTTGCAACGTATCTTAATCCAAATGACATCGAAGAGAAAATATTAGAGAACTCTGACAAATTCTTCCATTCTTTGGAAAATGATAGAGAAACAATGCTCAAAAAATTAAAACTTCAAAGAAGTGATCAGAAAATAACCACCGATTCTGATACTATTGATCTAAATGGAAATAATTCTGATGATAATAAAGGCTCAATCGATGACGACGACGACGACGCCACAATCCGAGTACCGAAAAGACAGAGAAACAGGGATGTGACAGGAGATGATGATGATGAAGAAGACGATGATGACGAATCTAAAAAGGATAAGGAGGGAAATTCTCCAAAAAAACTAAAAACCCTTCCCACCGGTCTTGGTATTGAGAATTTATCTTTGAAGCATTTGCTTTCGAGGATACAATCAAATAAAAACAAGCTGAATATTTCAGATTATGAGTTGAAGCATTTGCTAACAGAAGTCAGGAAAAACAGATCAAAATGGACATCTGACGAAAGAATTGGTCAAGAAGAACTTTACGAAGCTTGTGAACGTGTGGTTATGGAACTTAGAAATTATACTGAACATTCTACTCCATTCCTTAATAAAGTTAGTAAAAAGGATGCCCCGAACTATCATTTAGTTATCAAGAAGTCGATGGATCTAAATACAGTTCTAAAAAAACTAAAGGCATTACAATACAACTCTAAACAAGAATTTGTTGATGATATAATGCTTATATGGAAAAACTGCCTTACTTACAATTCTGATCCTTCTCACTTTTTGAGAGCTCACGCCATCGCGATGCAAAAAAAATCACTACAACTAATTCCTCTAATTCCAAACATCACGATAAGAAATAGAGCTGATGTAGAGAGAGAGCTGGAAGAATTGGAAAAAGATAAAGACTATAAGGACAACGATGATAAAGAAGATGCAGAAGAAGAGGTTGCAGGTTCAGGTAGAAAAGGGTTAACTATGGGAGCGCATAAACTAGCAAAAGATAGCTCAGCTACTAATAATGCCACCAATACTGATACAAATGAGGAGACTACTAAAGTCATTAACAAAATGGACATCGAAGTACAAAAGGGGGAAGGAGAAGAGAAAGAAGGGGAAGTAATGCCGGAATCAGACCAATCTTTGTCTCAGGACAAGGGAAATGATAAAATAATAGAAACTGAAACAAATTTTAGCAAGGATGATGACAAGCATTTAACGCCACAAAGTCATAATAACACTGAAGAAGAGACTAAGGATCAATCAGAAAAGATGGCATCGGAAAGTAAGACCGAAATAGAGGAAGATTCAAAAATCAATGAAAGCTCGGAAGAAAATGCTGGTGATAAAATTTATAGTAATGCTTCTAAAACTGAACAACCACAAGTAACTACAGTTATAGAAGGTGAAACTGAAGATAAAGGTGAAACTGAAGATAAAGGTGAAGCTGAGGTACCAGCAGATGAAGAAGAGGATGATGAGGAGGATGATGAGGATGAAGAAGCCCAAACTTTCGTTGTTGAAAAAGATGACGATAAAGACGATGTTGAACTGTCCGTGTGGAAAAGTATAACTGCAAATATAAGGGCAGACATATGTTTGAAACGTTCAGAATATTTCAAGACGGGCCAGCTCAATAGTGAATTAGATGCTCTTCTAAAGGATCCAGAACGCATGAAGCCTTTTTTCCAGTTATACAAGGAGTTCAAGGATCAAAAGGAGCTAGAAATGTTCAGATTGAAAATGGAACAGAACTCTATCATGAAAAATGGGTTTGGAACTGCACTAGTAAAACAGGAGGATTACTCGTCCATCGGGGGTGCCACAAACCCTAGTGAAAACCAAGAAGGGAATGATGCATATGGGAAAACTTATGAAGGTATGGATCTAGACAGCTCAACGCTATTAAAAGAATATGATACAATGAATTATTTACCTGAATTCGCATATGGAGGCCAAGATCAACAGATGCTAGACCAAAATGAAGAGGATGCAGTTAACCGTATCTTAGAGTTGGGTATGACAAAGAAAAGTGCTCTATTAGATAATGTCGGCAAAGGCTTAACTCCCAAAGTTAACAGCAATATTTCCTTAATACAAGAAATCAGGCATATTTGTCACAAGATATCTTTAATTCGTATGCTGCAAAATCCGTACTCGACTCAATTCAACAAAGCTAATCCCGGACAAATCTTAAATGCACATCAATACCGTTACGAGAAAGTAAATGATGATATTGATATTGACCCTATCTCGCAATTACATAACCATGATTACAAACATGACAAGAACGTAATGTGGAAAGTCATGCACAAAAATGTCTCTAAGATTGCGATGTCCAACGGGTTCGAAACTACTCAACCTACTGCTATAGATATTCTGACAGAGATAGCTGGAAACTATCTTTCCAATCTAACGAGATCGTTAAAGATTCACAAAGAAACCAACTCAGTCAATCGTATGAAACCGGAAGAGATGCTTGAGGCAGTTCTTCTTGAAAATGGTATCAATAAACCAGATGATTTATACAGTTATATGGAGTCTGAATTCGAGAAAAAGACTAAAAAGCTCAAGGATGTCAAGGCTAAGTTGGAAAACTTCTTGAAAGATCTATTGCGCCCTACCTTACAGGATTTATCTGAAAGAAATTTCGAAGATGAGAGCCAAAGTTTTGTAACTGGTGATTTTGCATCCAATCTCAATGGTGAAGATTTCTTTGGTTTCAGAGAGCTGGGTCTTGAACAGGAGTTTGGTATCTTAAGCAACTCGGTTCCTATTTCGCTATTGAGCTTTCAATTCCAAGCTACAGATAGCGAGACGAAGGAACAAGTTATGAAACTTCAAGCTGAAGAAATCAAAGATATTGTGTATGAAAAAGTCAGCAAGAAAGACCTTCAATCAGATAGATTTTCTCCTATCGTGCTGTCACTACTGACACAGTCCTATGAGAAGACGAAGTCTGCCATTCCGAAGATCAACAAAGTTGTAACAGCTGAGGCAGAAAAGGACAACGATGATGTCACAGAAGAGGAGCCAAAAACTAAACCATTGGAGGACAATGATGACCTGTTGGTCATGGAAGATGACGAATTGCCGGTCAAGACCAAGATGGGATCAAGGTTAAGATTACCACCAACTGGTAAGATATCTACAACGTACAAGAAGAGGCCACTTGCAGATGCGTTTATATTACCCGAGGAGGATCCAATCGATGAGATCAATGTTAATAATGATAGTGATCAGGTTAAAGTAGAAGACGTCCCTGAGAATAACGGAACGCCAATGGATAACGACAGAGAATTGGACCTGCAAATATCAGAGAATCCTTTGTTTGACTCCCCCGATATTGACAACAACAGCTTTGGTCTCAACTTAGAAGACAACGATATCGCTGTTTCCAACAGTTCTTTGAACCTGAAGCTGGGCTAGGCCCCCCCTTCCGATACAAGTTTTATGATCTTATCGTTAAATACCATTAGAAGTATTCTATAGTAGCGCATTCTCTACGCAAAGTTGTAAATACACAGTTATTAATATCGCTAGTTCAACCCCCACCGTCCTCTTTATTTAATTGTTAAAATCTTATGTAGATATGCTCCAAGTCCGTAAGGTTTCTCACGTACAATGCAGAAACACCGTGGAACTACATTTATTTCCAAGCCCCGTTATCTTATTGTGTAAAAGCCCAATTAATTGACCGACCCCCCACGGTGTATGCCTCAAGAATGAACTGAATCACAGAGAATATGTCAATTGAAATGACACATCCCGGTGCCAGTTACCATGTGAGTCTATTTTAAACCAGGTTTACAATCCACGGAATGAGAGATGTAAGAAAAGTGTTCCTTGTTATTTTTTGTTCACGTGACTAAAAAATCAGCCTTCCTTGGGGTTCACAGTGGTTTCTATCTCCACGTACGGCATCTCTCACCGGATTAATCCTTTCCGTGGAAGTGGTTCTGTGGTTCTGTGGTACTGTGGAAGTGGGAAACTATCAACATCAAAAATTTGATATCCTCAGATCAGCCCGCTAGAAGTGCTCACTATTGGCTTGATAAATCGAGGGACGTTTTCATGCGGTATTTTCTACGCGGAGAAGTGATGTTATTTTTGGAGAACTCGTAAATCATATCTGTTCCTCCCGTTTTTCAAAGTAGCGCATGGAAATCCTTAGTTCCACGGAACTTTTCAAAACCATTATGAAGGGCTACTGTAAAACAGCTGCACAAGAGTCTCTCTCTCTTAAGAGGTCGCTAAACGTTGCAACACAAGAAGCCCGTGAGTGGCTTCCCCGTAACGCCCCCCCCGCCATACCACCTCCAGGACTCGGTGGGAAAGGATGAGTAGAAATCGCGGGCTTTCCTTCGCGTAATAGGACTGCAAAGAAGCAAGAGAAACACCGTGGGAGAAAGGGACCCCTAAAGTAGCCCAACTCTGTTTGGAAGAATCAAAGGCAGGGACCTCTACCTCCACCGTACCACTGCCACACAGAAGAGCAGCGGGACTACCGGAACACGATTAGCCTTCGTTTACATGTTGGCAAACCCAGGACATAGATCAGAGTGTATTACATTAGCACAGACCGGCCGTGGGTAAGTTTTTCCTGACTAAAATGGCCGCAGCTGCAAGTCCACGGAATATTTCCCTTTTTTGCTCGATAAGTTGTACGTGCTGTCCTCTCAGATCGTATTATCCCCAAAGAAAAAAGAAAGAAAGTGATTTTCTCTTTCTTCTAGCAGCTATGAGTTGAGGAAGATTCCACGGAAAGGAGCGAGGAGCAACGATGATTTCACCCACAGAGCATGCTGTAGAGGCAATGGCTTAAATACAAGATCTGAAAATCTACAGTAATTGCTTTTGATGAAGAAGGATCAAGAATTCGATTACAACTTTTTATTTTAATTCGATGGTCTTTCTTCCACGGGATGCCCATCCGACAGATTAGACATTTCACAAACATAACTGGCACACACACAAACAAACAATGCTTCTATAGTGATTCAGTTAGTCCTCCACGGGATTTGGACTTGGACCTGGACTTGGATTTGGACTTGGAAAAAGTATATAAAAACTATATGCCAATTGATACTTACAGGAAAAAGAATTTACAACTCTTGATATATACAAAGTAAAGAAAAGTAACAATGTCTCTTGCAAGTGACAAGAAGGATGCCGATGTGGCGTCTACTACTACAACTGCGCAAGATGATGACAACTTGTCCACATATCATGGTTTCGACCATCATGTGCAGGACCAAGTCAGACAGCTTGCCCGCACATTGACTCAACAGAGCAGTCTGCATCAAAAGAAAGAACACACTCTGCCTGAGGAAGGTATCAACCCTATCTTTACCAACACTGAGGCCGATGACTACAACCCAAGATTGGACCCTACTTCCGATGAGTTCTCCTCTGCAGAATGGGTTCAGAACATGAGCAACATTAGCAACTCAGACCCGGATTACTACAAACCATACTCCCTTGGCTGTTACTGGAAGGATTTGGTCGCAACTGGTGAATCTGCTGATATCGAATACCAGGCCAACTTCTTGAACGGACCATATAAAGGTCTGAAAACTGTTTATAACACGGTGGTGCCATCCACAGCCTCTTCAAAGGACAAGAATTTCAAGATTTTGAAGTCTATGGAAGGTGCCGTCAACCCAGGTGAGCTGCTAGTTGTGCTAGGTAGACCTGGTTCAGGGTGTACCACTTTGCTAAAATCTATCTCGTCTAATACCCACGGTTTCAACATCGCCAAGGAATCTACTATCTCCTATAGCGGCATGACTCCAAACGACATCAGAAAACACTTCCGTGGTGAAGTTGTCTACAACGCTGAAGCCGATATCCATTTACCACACTTGACTGTTTACCAAACTTTACTGACAGTTGCAAGATTAAAGACTCCACAAAACCGTCTGAAAGGAATCGATAGAGAGACTTACGCTAGACATTTAACGGAAGTGGCCATGGCCACTTTTGGTCTTTCACATACAAGAAACACCAAAGTCGGTAACGACTTAGTTAGAGGTGTGTCTGGTGGTGAACGTAAGCGTGTCTCCATTGCTGAAGTCTCTATTTGTGGTTCTAAATTCCAATGTTGGGATAACGCAACGAGAGGTTTAGATTCTGCCACCGCACTGGAGTTTATCCGTGCTTTAAAAGTTCAAGCCAGTATTTCCAACGCTGCTGCTACTGTGGCTATCTACCAATGTTCTCAAGATGCATACGATCTATTCGATAAAGTCTGTGTGCTTTACGATGGTTATCAAATTTACTTTGGACCTGCTGGTAAGGCTAAGGAATATTTTCAAAAGATGGGTTACGTTAGTCCTGAAAGACAGACTACTGCTGACTTCCTAACAGCTGTCACTTCTCCATCTGAAAGAATAATAAACCAGGATTACATAAATAGAGGTATCTTTGTTCCTCAAACTCCTAAGGAAATGTGGGAATATTGGAGAGCCTCCGAAGATCATGCTGACCTAATTAAAGAAATTGACAGTAAGTTATCTGATAATTACGATGCTAATCTTGCAGAAATAAAGGATGCTCATGTCGCTAGACAGTCTAAGAGAGCTAGACCATCTTCCCCATATACCGTAAGCTATGGTATGCAAATAAAATACTTATTAATTCGTAATTTCTGGAGAATCAAACAGAGTTCAGGTGTTACGTTATTTATGGTCATAGGTAACTCGTCGATGGCGTTTATATTGGGTTCAATGTTCTACAAGGTAATGAAACATAATACTACCTCCACATTTTATTTCAGAGGTGCTGCCATGTTCTTCGCTGTCTTATTTAATGCCTTCTCATCCCTATTGGAAATTTTCTCTTTATTCGAAGCTAGACCAATCACTGAAAAACATAGAACATACTCGCTATACCACCCAAGTGCTGATGCATTTGCCTCTATCCTTTCTGAAGTTCCAGCTAAACTTATTACTGCCGTTTGTTTCAATATTATTTACTACTTCTTGGTGAATTTCAGAAGAAATGGTGGTGTCTTCTTCTTCTATTTCCTGATCAACATTGTTGCAGTATTTGCCATGTCTCATTTATTTAGATGTGTTGGTTCTGTCTCAAAGACATTATCTGCTGCGATGGTTCCTGCTTCCATGTTATTGCTTGGTTTGTCAATGTATTCCGGTTTTGCAATCCCAAGGACTAAGATTTTGGGATGGTCTAAATGGATCTGGTACATCAACCCACTTGCATACTTATTTGAATCGTTGATGATCAATGAGTTCCATGACCGTAAATTCCCATGTTCACAATATATCCCATCTGGTTCAGTTTATAATAACGTTCCAGCTGACTCAAGGATTTGTTCTAGTGTTGGTGCCATTAGAGGTAATGACTATGTTTTGGGTGACGACTTCTTGAGAGAGAGTTACTCTTACTTGCACAAACATAAGTGGCGTGGTTTTGGTATTGGTCTGGCCTATGTGATTTTCTTCCTTGTTTTGTACTTAATCCTTTGTGAGTACAATGAAGGTGCCAAACAAAAGGGTGAAATCTTGGTCTTCCCACAAAATATTGTTAGAAGAATGAAAAAAGAACGTAAACTGAAGAATGTTAGCTCTGACAATGATGTTGAAATTGGTGATGTTAGTGATATCTCCGACAAAAAGATTCTTGCTGATTCATCTGATGAATCGGAAGAAAGTGGTGCTAACATTGGTTTATCTCAATCTGAAGCCATCTTCCACTGGAGAAACTTGTGTTACGATGTTCAAATTAAAAAGGAAACTAGACGTATCTTGAATAATGTGGATGGTTGGGTTAAACCAGGTACTTTGACTGCGCTAATGGGTGCATCGGGTGCTGGTAAGACTACATTATTGGATTGTTTGGCGGAGAGAGTAACGATGGGTGTTATTACAGGTGAGGTTTCAGTTGATGGTAAGCAAAGAGATGACTCTTTTGCTAGATCTATTGGTTACTGTCAACAACAAGATTTGCACTTGAAAACATCGACAGTCAGGGAATCGCTAAGATTCTCCGCTTACCTACGTCAACCTGCTGATGTGTCTATTGAAGAAAAGAACCAATACGTTGAAGATGTCATTAAGATTCTAGAAATGGAACAATATGCAGATGCTGTTGTTGGTGTTCCTGGTGAAGGTTTAAATGTTGAACAAAGAAAGAGACTGACTATTGGTGTTGAATTGGCTGCTAAACCAAAACTTCTGGTCTTTTTGGATGAACCTACTTCAGGTCTGGATTCACAAACAGCATGGTCCATTTGTCAACTAATGAAGAAACTAGCTAATCATGGCCAAGCTATTTTGTGTACAATTCACCAACCTTCTGCTATTTTGATGCAAGAGTTTGATAGATTGCTGTTTTTGCAACGTGGTGGTAAGACCGTTTACTTTGGTGACCTAGGTGATGGCTGTAAGACTATGATCGATTATTTTGAAAGCCATGGCTCTCACAAGTGTCCACCAGATGCTAACCCAGCTGAATGGATGTTAGAAGTCGTTGGTGCTGCTCCAGGGTCTCATGCTAATCAGGATTACCACGAAGTATGGAGAAATTCCGATGAGTATCAAAAGGTTCAGGAAGAATTGGAGTGGATGTCCAACGAGCTTCCAAAGAAAAATACTAATAACTCTGAGACAGTCCATAAAGAATTTGCTACTGGTGTTCTTTACCAATGTAAGTTGGTTTCCCTTCGTCTGTTCCAACAATACTGGAGATCTCCAGATTACCTATGGTCAAAGTTCTTCTTGACTATTTTCAACAATATCTTTATTGGTTTCACATTCTTCAAAGCTGATAGGTCATTGCAAGGTTTGCAAAACCAAATGTTAGCTGTTTTTATGTTTACAGTGATCTTCAACCCATTGCTACAGCAGTATTTGCCATCATTTGTTCAACAAAGAGACTTATACGAAGCAAGAGAAAGACCTTCCAGAACATTTTCATGGAAGGCTTTCATTGTTTCTCAAATCCTTGTTGAAATCCCATGGAATATCCTAGCTGGTACTGTCGCTTTTGTGATTTACTATTATGCTATTGGGTTCTACTCCAATGCTTCTGTAGCACATCAACTACACGAACGTGGTGCTTTGTTCTGGTTGTTTTCGTGCGCATTCTATGTCTACATTGGATCTCTTGCTCTATTCTGTATTTCCTTTAACCAGGTGGCAGAAGCAGCAGCAAACATGGCATCCTTAATGTTCACTCTATCGCTATCTTTCTGTGGTGTTCTAGTTACTCCAAATGGTATGCCAAGATTCTGGATTTTCATGTACAGAGTATCGCCATTGACATATCTGATTGATGGTATGCTTTCTACTGGTGTTGCTAATGTCGCCATTAAGTGTTCTAACTACGAGTTACTGCGGTTTTCTCCTGCTGCAAACTTGACTTGTGGCGAGTACTTGGGACCATACCTACAAACCGTGAAGACTGGCTACATTGTTGACCCATCAGCTACAGACACATGTGAACTATGTCCATACTCTCATACCAATGACTTCTTGAGTTCTGTTAGTTCCAAGTACTCTCGTAGATGGAGAAATTGGGGTATTTTCATTTGTTACATTGCTTTCAACTATATCGCTGGTATTTTCTTGTACTGGTTGGCCAGAGTTCCAAAGAAATCTGGTAAACTTGCCAAGAAATAATTTATTTAGCCTGCGCTCATAATCTGGCTCTGGTATTAATACATATTGCATTCGGAAAACTATTAGTTTTTATAAATTTCATAGATTTTATTTTTAATATTATAATTTAAGTTCATGTTTGTTTATCATCAAAATTTTATTAATGGGACAACATCCTAATGATGTTCTAAAGAAGTGGATCAGATCCTTAAAATCGTCAGATTATATTGTTGAATTTTCCCGTATCTCATATATCAAAAGTATATAAAAGAAATCTGCTCATAGGTATAAAATTTTAGACAGCGCTCGGTAAAATATATTCTAGTAGTACATCTATTTACTTAACCTATTATTCTCTGAAACTTAGTTATTTATAGTGCATATTCAACCATTTCAGCAGTACTAAATTATGGTTATGCTTGTCGTTTTGTATTACAATGTAGGTCGGCTGATTCAATTGTCCAAAATCGAGAAATATAAGGATATTTCAGCAGGAATTCAGTAATAGTCTTGTAAACTTTGATGTAGTTGGGCATTAAGTGTAAAAGAAATTTAGTTGATTCCCATTTCTTGATACAGACCTAAACATCATCAAACTAATAAGATAATATGTTTAAACTTCCTGGGTTTGGTAAGGCTTCTATTAGCCATAGCCCACCAGACATGAGCAATGTTAATATCAGACCTGTCACTTTATGTGTTACTAATTGTCCAAACAACACATATGCACTAGCCAATGTCGCTGCTGTCAACCCTGCTGATTTACCAGATAACATATATATTATTGTGGACAACTTGTTTGTATTCACAACAAGGCATTCAAATGATGTCCCAGCTGGGACTATTGGTTTTAATGGTAACCAGCGTACTTGGGGTGGCTGGTCATTAAATCAGGATGCGCAGGTCAAATCCTTTGATTTATTTAAGTATGCTGGTAAAGCCTCATACTTGGGAACTATAGATATGGAAATTACGTTCAGATCGAGAAACAAGGCAGTTGCCACACCTTTTGACCAAGATGAATTGGCTGCCCAATTTGTCGCAAACTTTGAATCTCAAATTTTCAGTCCAACACAGTATATGATCATGGAATTTAAAGGCCATTATTTTGACCTAAAGATTAGAAACCTTCAAGCGATTGATTTGGGTGACATAGATTCATCGGCTCCAGTATCATCAGGAATTGAAGTGAAGGGTATACTGACAAAGCAAACACAAATTAATTTCTTTAAAGGTAGAGATGGATTAGTAAACCTGAAATCTCCAAATTCTTTGAGACCTAGATCAAATGCTGTTATTAGACCAGATTTCAAGTTTGAAGACCTTGGTGTTGGTGGTCTTGATAAAGAATTCACGAAGATCTTCAGAAGGGCTTTTGCAAGTAGAATATTCCCACCAGCTGTGATTGAGAAATTGGGTATTTCCCACGTTAAAGGTCTGTTATTATATGGTCCACCAGGTACTGGTAAGACATTGATTGCAAGAAAGATCGGTATGATGTTAAATGCCAAGGAACCAAAAATTGTTAACGGTCCAGAAATTCTAAGTAAATACGTTGGTTCATCTGAAGAGAATATCCGTAATTTGTTTAAAGATGCAGAGGCTGAATATAAATCCAAGGGTGAAGAATCCTCTTTACATATTATTATATTCGATGAATTGGATTCTGTCTTTAAACAAAGAGGGTCTAGAGGAGATGGAACAGGTGTTGGTGATAATGTTGTCAATCAATTACTTGCCAAAATGGATGGTGTTGATCAACTGAATAACATATTGGTTATCGGTATGACAAACAGAAAAGATTTGATTGATGGTGCGTTGCTACGTCCTGGTCGTTTCGAGGTTCAGGTTGAAATACATTTACCGGATGAAGCAGGTAGAGTACAAATTTTTGAAATTCAAACCAAAAAGATGAGGGAAAATAATATGATGAGTCCCGATGTAAACCTTGCAGAGTTGGCAGCGTTAACCAAGAATTTCTCTGGTGCTGAGATTGAAGGTTTAGTGAAAAGTGCAAGTTCTTTTGCTATAAATAAATCTGTCAATATAGGGCAAGGCGCTACCAAGATTGATCCAAAAAATATTGCACAATTGAAAGTGACCAGAGCGGACTTCTTGAATGCCTTGAGTGAAGTTACTCCAGCTTTTGGTATCAGTGAAGAGGATCTAAAGTCGTGTGTTGAGGGAGGAATGTTTGTCTATTCGGAGAGAGTGAATGCTCTTTTGAAGCATGGAGCGCGTTATGTGCGTCAAGTTCGTGAGAGTGAGAAATCAAGACTGGTTTCGTTACTAATTCATGGACCGCCAGGTTCGGGTAAGACAGCTCTTTCCGCAGCCATTGCTTTGAAGTCTGAGTTTCCATTTATCAGAATGATATCGCCAAATGAACTAGCAGGTATGTCTGAGGCAGCTAAGATTTCATATATCGACAATACATTCAGAGATGCATACAAATCACCAATGAATATCTTGGTCATCGACTCCATTGAGTCATTGGTTGACTGGGTTCCTATCGGACCAAGGTTCTCTAATAACATTCTCCAAGTATTAAAAGTTGCATTGAAGAGAAAACCTCCTCAAGATCGTCGTCTACTAATACTAACTACCACTTCTGCTTATTCTGTTCTTCAACAAATGGATATATTGAGTTGTTTTGATAATGAAATTGCAGTTCCTAACTTGTCCACATTAGACGAGTTCAACAACGTAATGAAAGAGGCGCAATTCCTGGACGACTCAGGGAGAATGCAAGTCATTTCCCAGATGCAAAATGCAGGCACAAAGATCAACGTCGGTGTCAAGAAAGTGTTAACTAATATCGAAACCGCTAGACACGATGACGATCCTGTTAACGAATTAGTAGAACTAATGACCCAATCTATATAAAGCAGCAACATCACCAAAAATATATATACTTAACAATAGATAGATAGCCTGTTCTATAGAGTCATAGAGTTATTGATATACACTCTAATGTACATTAGCTGATAAAAAATAATATTAAACAATCTAAATGTATCAGGAGCTGTTATACACAGCAAGAAACAACTTATAGAGCAATATGTCACATGACAGTAAGCGTGAACGTGTATATAACGATGGACCTTAAGGAATGAACTGTAAGCGTCCGGGTAAACCTAATTGGCCTCTTCTGAAAAATTTTCTGAAGCGGAAGGCCATCGCTTGCTCACGCAGTGGGAAGACATCACCATAGTTTGTATTGCAAGAGTGTTCAATGGAGGCATTAGCGGGATAAAAGGAGGTTATATCAGGCTTGCTTATGGATAGTTTTTGTTAATAACGGAACTGAGACAAAGAGCATCGCAGAAAGCTAAACTAATAAGATGGCTCCACCACCACTACGTCCTGAGAACGCTCTGAAGAGAGCCGACGAGTTGATCTCGGTCAATGAGAAGCCAGCTGCTCTACAGTCTTTGTATGAGTTCATTACTGCCAGAAGAATTAGATATGCTACTCCTTCCCAAGTTGAGCCAATTGTGTTCAAGTTTTTGGAACTAGGTGTTGAGTTGAAGAAAGGTAAGTTGATCAAGGATGCACTATACCAATACAAGAAGCTGGTCCACGGTTCTGCTGAAGGTTTGGTTTCCGTTGGTGCTGTTCTAAGAAAGTTCATTGACTATGTTGAGACTAAGTTGGCCTCTGAACAAGCCAAGGCTGAAGAAAAGCAAAAAGAAGAAGTTTCTGATGATCTTGAAGGTGGTGTTACCCCAGAAAACTTGTTGTCCTCAGTCTACGAAGCCGACCACTCCGTCGCTGGTTTCAACGATGAAGCTTTGAACTCTTGGATGAGATTCAGTTGGGAATCATACCGTACTGCTCTGGATCTACTAAGAAACAACTCTCAACTAGAAATCACATATTCTGGTGTTGTTTCCAGAACCATGCAATTCTGTCTAAAGCACCAACGTAAGAATGAATTCAAGAGATTGGCTGAGATGCTGCGTCAACATTTGGATACTGCTAATTATCATCAAAGCAAATTTGGCAGCAACCAAGTTGATTTGAGTGACGCTGACACTCTACAACGTTACTTGGATCAAAGATTCCAATTGGTTGATGCTTCTGTTAAGTTAGGTCTGTGGCATGAGGCTTACAAGGCCGCCGAAGATGTCTATCACTTGATGAAGATGACCACACGTAAGCCAAAGAGCTCCACCTTGGCTAACTACTTTGAAAACTTGGTTCAAATTTTCTTGGTTTCTGGTGATCAAATTTTGCATACTTTGGCTTGGAAGAAGTACTTTGAATTGTACTCCACTAACCCAAATGCCACTGAAGAGGAGTTTAAGAAGATTGCCTCTACCATCTTCTTATCTGCTTTGTCCATCCAATTGGATGATTTGCCAAATGTTCGTTACAACTACCAATCTCGTTCCTACCGTCTACTAGATGTTGAGACTAAGCCAACCAGAAAGGAAGTCATTCAATCTATTGTTGAAGATGATACTATCTTCTCCAGAGTTGATGCCGAGACAAAGACCTTATATGAAATCATGGAGGTTGAATTCGATGGTGAAAGCTTCAAGGGTAAGTTTGAAGCCATTCTGCCAAAACTAGAAGGTGAATCCTATTTCGCTAACTACTCTGTATCTTTGAGAGATGTCATCATTAGAAGAATGTTTGTCTTTGCCTCTCAAAAATATGAAGACATCTCATTGAATGACCTATACTCCTCTGTCACATTTTCTTCTTCTTTTAAACTAAGTGAATGGGATATTGAAAAGCAATTGTTGCAAGCTGCTGTTGATGACTACGTCTCTTTCCAATTGGACCATGAACAAAACAAGGTCACTTTCGTGAAGGATCCATTAGTTAACTTCGCTGCTATTAAGGAAGAAGAAGTTGAAGAAGAGGAAGAAGAAGAAGAGGAAGAGGAAGAGGAAGAGAAGGAAGCTGAGGGTGCAGAAGGTGCAGAAGGTGATACCGAAGAAGGTCAAGAAGCCGTTGCCGAACCAGAGCCTGTCATCAAGCGTAACTACTACATCCGTAAGAGACTTTCTGAGCTTTACGAGAAGTTGCTTGAGGACACCGATTACAACACTGTTTCTTATCTAGATAAGGTTAGAATTGCCCGTGAAGCTTTGATCAAGCACACCAAGGACACTATCGAAGATATGAAGAAGAACTCTGAGGAAAGAGCTAAGATGCACCAAGAGAGAAGAAGACAACACATGGAATCTGCTGCTATGAACGCTGAGAAGGATGCTGAGCAAAGACAAAAGCGTATCATGGAAGAAAGAGCCTCCATTGAAGCCAAGTTGGAGGAAGAAGCTCACCGTCGTCTGATCGAAAAGAAAAAGCGTGAGTTTGAAGAAGTTAAGCAACGTGAAATCCGTAAGTTGGTTGATGAATTGAATGCCAAGGGTAACGGTACCAAGGTTGAATACGATGAAGTCAAGGATATGGATATCCCAGATATCACGAAGTACTTCGTTAACAGATTGTCTAAGAACAAGGATGAATTGGAAGAACGTATGAACTTTGCTGTCAAGAGAATGGATCACTTGGAGAGAGCATACAGAAAGGTTGAATTGCCTTTGTTAAAGAAGCAAGCCGATGAATTGCGAGCAACTGACGAGGTCAACTTCGGTAACATGAAGAAGAAGATTGTTGATGCTGCTAAGGCTGAGTATGAGGCTAAGATGGAAGACTACAACAGAGTATCATCTGTGTTTGACGACTACAAGACCTTGAGAGACCGCATGTTGGCTGCACACAACGAAAAGTTTGCTGCTATTCGTGCTGAGAATGCCGCTAAGTTAGAGGCTGCCAAGAAGGCTAGAATTGAGGAAGTCCGTAAACAGCGTTACGAAGAGTTGCTTGCTAGAAGCGAAGCCGAGAAGAAGGCTGCTGAGGAAGCTGAAAGAAGAGCCAAGCTTGACGAAATTGCTAGAAAGCAAAGAGAGATGGAAGAGGCTTTGGAAAGGAAGTCTGCTGCCAGAACTTTCACCCAACCAAGAGCACCAGTTGTTCCAAACGCCAACTTGGACGAGATCGCCAGAAAGCAAAGAGAAATGGAAGAAGCCATTGAAAGAAAGCTTGCTGGTAAGTCTGCTGCTCCAGCTCCAGCTCCAGCTCCAGCTGCTTCCACCCCAGCTGCTTCTACCCCAGCTGCTCCAGGTAAGATGTCCTTCGCTGAGAGAATGAGATTGAAGAGACAACAACAACAACAAAAATAAGAAGAAACTAGATAGACCTACGTAGTTTTTTCTTTTACATAATTATATTTCATGTAACATATTCACCGCTTTGATATCAAGACAAAAGAGCATATTTGAATTCTTGTGCAATATCAGGAACAAAAAGAAAAATGTGGTTGAAGTGTAAGAGCAGGGTAAACCAGTATAGTTAACGGTAGTATCACGAAAGCTGGTTGTGGAACAGACTAACCTGGTTGATATATAGATTGATTTGGAAACAGTAATTATTATAATTATTATTAATAGTGGGGTATCGATTGGGTCTATATTTTTACAAAACTAGATAAATTGGAATAAAATAAAAACAAACTTTGTAAAACGATTTCTTTTTATGGGTTCCATCAGAGCTTTAAAAAGAACAAAAAATAAAAATTTTTATAAGGATAACGAAAATGAAGCAAGTAGCTCCAACTAGCTCCCTTTAATTGTATGGGTAAGTTATTGTCCTGTGGACAAGAAAACGTCTGTAAACTATGCCAAACTTTATCTCCTTTTCTCTTTTCTTATAATTAAGGAATTTATGGGGATTTTTGAAAGTGTAAAAAATGTCATTAAAAGAGCGTTACGTCTAGTGTCTAACTGTCAGTGCTGCTGCAGAAAAAAAAACGGTAACTTCGGAAAGAGTGTGTCTTTTCCGAAAGTGAAGAAAGCTAACAATTCTTCCTGGAGTTTAAAGAGAAGAACAAAACATCCTGGTCTGCCGTTTGTTATTTTGTTATCAATAGTTTCACTTTGTCTCTATATATGGTTTAAAAGATCAACTGGTGAGTGGAAATAACAAGGAGTGAGCACGCCCGAAACAACATTCCTATTGTATAAATATTTTTGTTCGTCTCAATTTCAGTGGAGTTATTAGTTATTAAATGCGATTGGTTGAGATGTAATGAAGGAAGTACATTTCACACAAAAAATATATCTGTGGTGTGAAAGTAAATTTCGATCTCTTATAATTTTTTTCTCAGTAGAAGAGGGGAAGGAATAACTGTAATAAATAAATTATTGAGCTATTATTTCGTCTACCTCATCATAGCAAAGCGACGGCGACAGCAGCGACGGCACCGAAGAAGGAGCCGGCTGGGAAGACTTCTTGGGCGGCGGCACCCTTAGACTTCTTGGTCTTGGTGGAGGAAGTGGAAGCAGTGTCGTTGGATCTGGCGGTAACAGTAGCGGAAGCGGAGGAAGAGGCGGAAGAAGAGCGGGATCTGGAAGACATGCTGATGGAAGTGGAAGTAGCACCGTTCTTGCAGACGAAGGAGTCACCTTGGATGGCACCCTTGCTTTGTAGGGACTTCAAAGGAGAGCAGGAGAAGTTACCGGAGACGGTGTTGAAAGTGGCACCACCTCTGACGGACTTCAAGGAGGACAAGTCCAAAGTGGTGAAGTTACCGGTGATGTCGATGGCACCGCCGACAGTTTGGACGTTCTTCAAACCGTCGATGGTCTTCAAGTTAGTGTTGTTGGCGACGACCAGACCACCGCCGACGGAGGTCAAGTTCAAGAAGGACAACTGGGTCAAGTCATCGTTGGAGACAACGGATAGGGATTGACCGACCTTGGACAAGTGGGTCAAGTTCAAAGTGGAGATGGTGTTGTTGATGAAACCCAGGGAGGCGTTAACGGACTCCAGCTTGGCGAAAGAGGCGTTTTGGACGTCTCTCAAGGTGATGTTGTTGGCCCAGATCAAGTTGTCAAAGGACACGGCGGTTTCATCGGCGTTGGAGGCGAATTGCAAAGCACCTGACACGGATTCCAAAGAGGACTTGAAAGAGTTCAAGTATCTGTTGTTGTTGATGTTTAGGACGTTGACCTCTTTCAAAGAGCCGAAACCTTCGACGGACTCCAAAGAGGTGTCGGAGACGACGATGTTGTTGGCGGATTGCAAGTTAGTGTTGAAAGTGGAGATGGCTGGCAGAGTGATCAAGTTGATGGTGTCGACTTCTTCCAGCGCACCGAAGGACGCAGTGGTCAAGATGGTCAAGTCCTGCATGTTCAAAGCACCGGTGATCTCCTTGACGGAGTCAGCAGCAAAAGAGCCCAAGGAGGTGGCATTGTAGATTCTCAAAGAACCATCGATCTTCTTGACACCGGCTAGCGCAGCAGAGCCAAGAGCACCAGTGATGGTCAAGTTACCAACAATGGTCTCACACCCGCTGTACTTGTCCAGATCAGACTGTGCAGTAGCAGTAGCACTGCTACCAAGAGAACACCCAGATGGAACATCGTCAGATGTAGAGTTCTGACCCAAAACAGAAGTAGCCATAGCGGCATATACCAATGATGTGACCTTCATTATTTTATTTTATTTGTTTTTTTATTGTAATTCGTCGTTGTTTCCTTTCTCCTCCCGATTCCCCACCAGTATGTGTCTTGCTACCCAAGGGCACTAGCTTTATATAGCTTCACCCAGAAGTGAAAAAAATTTTTCATTTTCCCGTTTTGTTTGTTTGTGTTTTCTCGTCCGTTTACTGCGCTCTCTCTCTCCCCCTCTGATGTTTACCAATTTCTCTGTTGGTACCACACAAACACCCGCAGCAAGTTTCGGTTATTTTTCCCGTCTCTCTCCCGTCCCTCTCTCTCTACGGGTGTTTCTTCGTGTGATGACACGACCCAGACCGCGTTTTTGGGTGTCCCGCGCGCACTTCTGGGTCGCCAGGTACCGCATTGTCTTGCGTGTCAACATATAGTGTTCTTGTATTGACATACAATACAATACAATACAACAATACAACAATACAACACAATACAACACAATACAATACAACAACACATCAATATAACGTTTGTGGTAATACCATAATATAACTGTGTACCCCCCCCCTCTCTCGTGGGAGCGTGGCTCACGACCTGAGGTTTGGGTATTTCTTGTCTTGGCCCTTTCGAAACTAGCAAGTTCATTCCCCTCTTAGAAGTAGCACAGAAATGATACACTCTCGAAACGTACAGGCGCTGCTGGACGGTATGCTCGGCGGGTGCGACGTGCTGGAGGGCACCGTGCCGGTGCCCGCCCTGCACAGCGTAGCTCTGCTCTCCGCAGACACGGGATCCATCATATCCTTCAGCAAAGAGCACGACCTCGAGCATGGCCCAGCGGAGCACGACTCCCTCAACAACTTGCGTATCATGGCACTGCTGGTCAAGGACAAGTTCTCCTCGGACGAGAAGAAGTCCTGCGAGAAGGGCTACGACCTCGACGGCGGCCACAGGGCGTACACCTACGACGTCGAGGACCTGCACGCCAGCGTGACCAGGATCCCCGATAGCGACCTCCTGCTCATGCTCCTCGCCCACAGAGACTTCCCTTACGGGCTGCTCAACATGAAGCTCAAGGCGTGTGTGAAGTCGTTCGCACAGCTATACGGATACAGGCTCGGTTAGCGGGGCCACCTCGCGGTACTGCGCCCGAAGCACAAGACCAAATCTATACTCTTTATACAATACACTGCTACAAGACATTGCTATACCATAATCCACAGTTGACCTAACCCGTTCAAGGGCTTCATGAGAGATCCATGCTGATATGTTTTCAAGTTTGTTTTTTTTTGTTACAATCCGCAGCTGTGTTATACCTGAAGTGCGCTAGTGAGTGTTGTTATATCCCCCGGGTGAGGGTGAAAGTAAGCCCTCTTTGCCGATATAACACCCACTTACCACACCAAGGTTGCTGTGTTGCGGGTTGTGCTAAAAATATCTAGTCTGTCTCACCCCCCCTCCAAATCCCGATATTAACAGAAAGGCCATCTTAATTTATAAAACTGCGATTTAATTACAACGGGAAACCAAACAGTATACTCTTCAGTGCAAGATGCTCTCAGCACAAGTTACTCTCATTTGCAAGACACCCGCAGCAATACAACTGCGACATCGAACCCGGATATGAGCCCCGAAGTGAATCTGCCTCCCTAACGTTAGCGAATGTCTCGAATAGCCAGAACTGTCCGATATATCGAAAATTATATCAAATATTCCTTCACTAGCTCTGTATTGAAAACACGTAGGTTAGGTAATGTCCACATATAAAGTATTTATTATTCAATTTAAATTAATCAAAATGAGAACACAGAGTTTAACCCACTGAGTTCTTCTGGTGAGTCAATAAGATAATCATCCTATCATTTTTTTGTCAGGACTACTTGTCTCATTCTGACACTGCAATAGCATGGACATACCCCACAACATTTGATTTAGAGGATTAATCTGCTCAAAATACCTCCCAACAGTAAGCACAGCTATTTGTTAATCCTCATCTACGCTTTATCCCTCTTCCTCACCACTCCTTCTCTCATACTTTCTCAATTACACTTGAGCTTCTTTAAAATGATTTGCGGAATGGGTCTTACGATGAGCTCAGGAAAAAGAAAAAAAAGGCAGTACAGAAAAGCACGATAGAAAACTTAATAGGGATGCGAGACTCGGTGAAGGTTGGTGTTTTGTGCAGACTCAAAATAAGGACAGAGAAACAGATTGGTCTGTAATTGTCCTTCGAAACGTTGACAGGTTTGCTTGAGCACAATGGTAGGCAGGAAATTCATCATGACGGTGGACTCAAAATCCAGTTTCCTCGACAGACAGGATCTATCACAATTAAAGGAATTTCACATTAGCAAATACATGTTGTGATCGGTGGACATTGTCCCCAGAAGGAGGCAGCCTTTGCAACAGAACATGGGGAGTTTGCGGAAGAGATAACTCTCATCAAAGTGAGAGCAACTTAGTACAAGCAATATGATTAGATCCAAGTGAACTACAAAAATATCTATTAGCAAAAACAGAATTCCTTATAATGAAAAGGAGACTGTTTGTTTAATTAATACAAGTTTATGTGTCGAAGCCTTTGAAAATAGAAAACGATTTTCTCCCTCTCTTGATGCCCTGTTGATAAAAATAGAAAGATTTGATAAATAGTCAGTTAAGATTCTTCGGCAAAATTAGTTATTAATTGAATCTCAATCAGATTAAGATTCTTTTTCCTGAATCTTCTTATCATGCCCATAGCCTTCCAAGATGTTTACAATTGACTTCTATTCCCAGATGTAGAGCGAAGTTAAGACGAGCTTGTTTGTAATAATGAAACTAAACCTCATTAATATTAAATTAGCTATAACTGTATGAAAAACGCATTAAATAACTTAAGAGTAAAAGAAAAGAAAAAGTAAAATAGAAAAAAATAGAGAGTACACTTGAGAGAATATCCAGCCCATGAGTAAAGCAAGGAGAGGTATTCTCAAATCCATTTTGAAATAAAAGATGTAATATATCGAATTAAAAATCTTAGTAGATTGATAAGTTGAGATTGGCCAAAAAACAATAAGATCCTTTTGTTGAAAAAGGTATCACAAAAAAATTAATGATTAAATTGGAAATGAGAAAGAAAAATAAAACATTATTAGAACTGAAAGTATAATTATTGTTCTTGTGAATCTTGTGCTGTAGATAGAGCAAACACTTAGCAAGTGGAAGAATAAATTGAATGCAATATACTAATGGAGGGATAGTGAGATCATATTGATGAAGCTTCACCTCCTTGGTGTAAAACATTTAGGTATGGTTTGCATAGAACATCATTATTTAGTGGAGTAGCAGAACCAGAAACATCCACCTCTGATGGGTAGCCATCGCTTACGTAAGTGGATGTTGTAGTGTTTGAAGTCTTTCTCTTTTTCTGTACTCTTGATGAAGTTCTTTTACTACTTTGAAGAAGCTGCTTTGCAGTTGGCTTCTCAGCACAGATCTCACCGGTCGGTAGAATGTAAGCACCATTACTTAGTTTGAAGTGTAGCTTGTAGTGTCTCAACATGTTAGACTTGGCGTTGAAGCTCTTCGTACAGTTATCAAATGGACATGGGTAAGGCTTTTCACCTGTGTGGATATTCATGTGTGTACTTAGCGAGCTTGGTCTTTTGAACTTCTTGAGACATACTTTGCAAATGAATTTAGTGTCTTCTGATGTCTTATTTATCTCGGCTTGTGCAGAGAACTTCTCATCAAAAGCGTTTGAAGTTTCATCATCTGCAGGTTGTATGCAGGAAGACTTGGGCGATACACTTTCTTCAACTTTCTGCAATGATGGTGGGTAAGCTTCAGCCATCTTTACTACTTCATCTCTTGGGTATGGAAGTTCGTTTTTGAAGTGGTATTGAGAATCGCTATCGCGCTTTTGTAGCATATCTGGGTGTTCTAATGAGATAAAACCTTCGGACTTTAGAGTATCTCTTCTGGAGTTTGTATCCAGTTCGAAAACACTAGATGGTTCATCTGATATTATAGAGTCTGTTTCATTGAAAAGCTTTTCGTAACTTTCGTTGTACATGGAGAAAGGCTGAATAACCGTGGTGTTTTGGATAGCGGGGAGACTCATGTCATTGAAGCAGTCTAAGTAGTCGTCTATCTTGAAACGCTCTTCATCATCTAGCATGAAGGAGTTTAAAGGATTACTTTCAAAAATCATCTTTCACTGGTAGTTTATTGTCTTTTTCTATCAGCGAGATATTGGAATACTAGTTATATCCTAGTAATCAGTTATTTCTTAATAGTATGTGAATTGTATTAAAACCTTTTGATACCAGCAAAAAGGTTTATAATATTGTATTCTAGAAATAGCAGGTGTTGTGGGCTTCTCTTTGTGTGATGTATCTCTATTTTCGCTCTGGAGTGTGAGAAAAAATGGGATACTATATATTTGTTTGACTGATGTCTATTATAGGTAAGCCAAAAATATACTTGATGTTTGGTTTTGTTTGTCTATAACTATAACAATATAAATGTAAAATAAATAGGAAAATGGAAAGCCATATCAACGGACATCAACCATCAGGAATTCAAAGATCTGGGTCTATATTTATAATATTTCCAAAAGGGTGGTTTTTCACAGTTCATTTTCCTCCTCGACTCTAAAGCAATTAATGTCAAGTTGCATTAAGGAAAAGGTTCAGTAATCTTTGTAAAATATTATGGTAATCCCATCTACTTTTTTTTTCCTTCCACTAGTATTTTGTTTGCAATTGCTTGCTAATCTACGGTTGATACAGAAGAAAAGTAGGCAGTGAAAAGAAAAAGGCCCTTTTTCCAGTTTTCTCTATGAACTGTAGGTATCTATGTAGTGCTCTGTTATTCAGTAATATTCACTTTTGTAAATTACTGATATGTTAGAAACATCTAATAATTTCATATTTTTTTTTCTAAATTTTTTTTTTTTCAGGTCAAGAGGGCCATAAAGTGAAGAAGGGGAGGGAGTGAAAAGCTGGCCCTATTCCCACTGCAGGAAGCGTACTGAACAAAGTATTGATGGGAATTAGATCCGTCAAATTTACCCATAAGATTACTAAAAGAACTTGCAAAAGGGCATTGGTGCGGCGAAGCAGTGCAAAAGCACGGAACTTATTCTCTTTAAATTAGTGGGTAGAAATGAAGGAGAAGAAGTTCATTCAAAAGTACATTTTTCTTTTTTTATTATTAGAAAATGATTAACAAAGAGAGCGAAACTGGGTCATAATTCCCTAGTGGAGAAAGCGGAGAAAAGGACCAACGAAGGTCTCGAACATCATCATGGTAAATGATTAAAATGTTCTTTGAGTAGGGACACAGGGAACAATCACTGCAGGGGAAGGAAAATGGAAGACTCCAAAAAGAAGGAATCGAACTGAAATTTTACGGGTTTGAGAACGTTTTCCTAGCATGGAAGAAGAAGAAGAAGAAAAAGCTTCTCAAGTACTCACAGAAAGATGCGTGCATCTGTGTACATAAAAAATTCTGTTCGATTTTCTATGTCTCATTTTCTCTGGTTTCATGTATGGAAGGCTTATAGTTTCCTCTTTAACGGACGGACAGTTCAGATTTTTTGAGATCGGAGACAGTGTTTCATCCGTAGAAGAAGAAAAAAGATCCTGGAAGATGTATGGAAGTACACGAAGGAAAGACCAATCCTGCTACCAGCATTTCTGTGCTCTCTCCCTGTAATTTACCCTTTTAAGGTTCCCTGATAATCACTGCGAGATTTTTCTTTCACAATACCCCCTCCTCCTACAGTACTTGTAACGGCTTTTCTTCTGTTCCCTCCTTCTATTCCCACATCCCACGTACCTGGTTTCTATTCCGCTTTCAGCTCCTTCTCAAATCTCTCCCACAGTTCCCCGAGAATCACCCCTAGAAGGCGTTGTGCACAACTTTCTTCTAGATTGTAATATTCTTGTAATGTTCACCCAACACGTATTATTCAGAAATTGCAAAAGACCTCCTGTTAACCCTCATTCGATTTTGTAATCTCAACCCACAACCTTCACCTGAGTGACAAACCACCGTAGGAACAGGGTCCCCCCCCCCGACCACAAGATGGAAAGGGTTCTTCGTGCTTTGCCTACACACTCCCTAATTTTCGTACTTTTTATTTTTGTTCAAGTTGAGTTCTGTGCTATTCTTCCAACTATCAATTCTGCCAGAACATCCACTTTCCTCCTCTGGCCACGTTCTGGCTGGTAGACGGAATTTCCTAAGCACAGCAAATTCCATGCCTCTCCATATCCTTCTTGGGTTTCCCCCCCCCTCCTCCTACTCTGATTTCTCAACATCGGGGATAAACCAAAGCTAAAACTTGAGTGACTGTGCAAATGATCAATGCCCAAAGAATGAACCGTATCTCTCCTTTAGAGTTGCTCAGTCTCTCGCGCAGCAGCTGGTCTCAAATAATTTCATTGCTAACAACACTGTGTGAAATTGCAGATGTTCGAGAATTTCACTGCAGCTCCTTCTCTACATATACACCTAAATAGGAAATTGAATAAAGAGAAGCTCCTTCCACAGATCATGTCGTTGAGATGAGTGGGAAAAAGCCCTAGAGAGAGCGTTACCCAAAAAAGGAGGTCCCCGTTAGAGGACAAACAAGGAAGGAGGGGCGAACGGTCATTGAACGGGCAGTGTATAAAACAAAGGAAGGTGATAAACATTTGCTTGCTGGAATTCGTAGTATCTGTTGTTTTGTTTCTGTTTCTCTGCAACTGCGGAGACAGATACGTACGGGTAAAAAAGAAGGCTTGTTACAAAGCACTCCTCCCAGCTGGGATTATAGTCATACAGCATTTCTTACTACGCATATTCCTACTTCATTTTTAGTCACTTACACACATTGTATACAGCACCAATCAAAAGTGTGCTTGTTGTGCTGCCATCTCTAAGTGGATATAACGAAAAGCAGCACAGTAAGAGTTAGACTCTTTACTTTCTATCGGCTTTTCTTTTCTTATTCCTCTGATTGTTTCATAGTGAAAACGGAGGATCTGTGCAGCCCTTTCTACCAGGAATAAGTGTGTTTGCTGACTTCCATTACTACAATAATTTGTTATCAGGATACCATAAAATAGCGCGGGACAATCGATTAAAAAAACGCAATTAAGAGAGAGAAAGAAAAACACAGCTACCCCATTCACAGATCCACGTCCTTATCAAACTCAGTTCTACTTTGCTTGTATTTGTCACTCCTCGTTTTCTTCATTACAGTTGACGCTGCGACTACTGCAACTGTATCTGTCTTGGACATACAAACGCGAAGGGCACTATCCTGTTTAGCTCTTTCGACTTTTCTGTATGGATTCGATAAGTAAGGTGTTTTAAGAAAAACTAGTGATATAATTTAGAGTCCCGGATAGAATAGGGCTATACACATATGCCCTCTCTCTCTCCTTCTCTTTGTCCCTCTACTGCAAGAAGAAGAAAAGGAAAACTCAATTTCAATTACTGTGTATTGAAATTTAGAGAAAGAAAAAAATCCCATTTAGCACTCATTGAAGAAAAAGAAAAGCTGACAAAGAAAGTATGCCGGCTCTGTCCATCCTACTTTAACCGGGTTTTCCCCTAGAGACTGTCTGTACAAATAGCGGTGAATTCGACAAAAAAAAAATGATATACGATGTACGAAAGATTCAAGACAATAGGGGAAAGGGCGAAAATATAGCCAGAAAGAAGACGCGAGAGCTCTTAAAAAACCGCGTATTAAGTAAACATGCCTAATGTGTTGTCACTTAGTTGTACCTCAGATAAACCTGCGTAGTTCATCTGTAATATGTTCTGTAAATCTGCTACAATTATATCATTGATGCCTGCATATGTATCTGTGCTGGATGTGTGCTAGATGAGTAACAGTGTTGAGTGCAATTGGGTATTCTCGAGGCGAGAGCTCACTCATGTTCTACAGAGGCCTATGGGCATTTTAACGTTTTCAGAGTTACGTCTTCTATTGTTCTTGGGCTCTTTCTGTGTTGTTTCAAGGCTCACAAGGCTGTTATAGAATCAGAAGAAAAGAAGCACAGAGTGACTATTCTACTATTGATTGCTATCTGCTATTAAGAGTCAACTGTCGTTTTTTGCTCTATTTTTCTCTCACAGCACCCTGCACAAACGGCAACAGATATTGGAATATTGAAACGACAAAGTTGATTTCATTTCAATGTTCCAGACTCAATCATATAACAGGATTCACACAGAATTTTAACTGTACAAGCACAACGTTGAAACTCAGCAAAACTACGGCCATACATACAAACGGCACCAAAAACCCTGCTGGCAAAGGAAACATGGTAGTCAAGCGCGGTGTTTCTTCTATGTGACTTACGGTGTTTTGTTTTTGAGAATTCCTTGAGACGTTTAGGCACTTACACTGGAGTCTTGAACAGTCGCCTTGAAAGGGGTTAGTTTGGGGTTGTTTTGCTGCTATTTGTTCTTAAAGCTCATAGGAACCGTTGTGGAAGCCCATTATCTCGGAGATACCGAGTTCATCATAATACTTTATCTTGCTATTGTTTTTCGAGAATAGATAACCCATTTTAACAGCGCTGGTAATCCGTTTACTGTAATTGTTTTGTTGAAATGGAATGGATCGTGGCACTCGGCTTTCTGAACAAACCCAAAATATCTTTAACACTATAGCATAAACGGGTTTACCAAGAACCACATTGGTGTGTCTGTTTAGTGCTGGACAAAAGAGAAACATACAGTGAATTGGTACTATGAAGTACTCATGTATTGTTAATACAAAGACATCCTGTGTAGTTTTTTCCAGCTACGTAATTGTCCGTTAAGTAGAAATTTCTCACTGAGTGAATGGAATTTTTTTTAGGCAAGCATTGGACCATGAAAATGGCAATTTTTTTCTTGTTGGTAAGTTTCTATAAATAAATTCAATACACCATTTGGGCAATGGTAAGAAAGCGCCTTGTATTTCTTATGTGTGTGGGTTTATAATAATGGTTAAACTCACTTCTGTTCATCCATCTCTGCTGGGATGTTGGTATTGTCTTTGAAAAATTGCCAAACCTTTTCCAAGGATTGGTGGAACAATGGCAAAGTTATTTTAGGTATATGAGTTTTTATTGAGAGTATTCTGAGATAAGGATGGGAAGACCTTACACAAGGAAACTTGTTCTTCTGTAAACAAAGTAGGGTGAGAAAAGGAAAGGTGACCAAATAATGACGCCTTTGGGCATCGATAAGGCGAAGCTCAGAGCAAATATACAAAGCTGCTGGATTTGTTGTTTTCTGAAGCCACCCTTGTTTTTGGTGGCTGTCTTCTCAATTACATAAGGGTCATCCGGCTAAATATCTCTGATGTTATGAGAAGGCTAGTGACTATTGCAGATACAATCTAAATGAATAGGGCTCAACAAAACAAGATGTTGCTTGTTCGAGAGGGTTATATGTTAATTTGACTCTGTTGGAACAGCATGACTTGGTTGCAAATAGGCACAGTCACATACAACTTCGTTGGGTCAACAATTACTGGCCCCCCAAACACTATTGTATTGGTCTTTTGGAATAGCCAACAATAAAGGGATAAAGTGCACCGGGAATCAACTTGTAGCGTTCAATACCCGCAGAGTATATACTCCCCCATTGTTCAACGTATGGCAGCTCCTGCCTACACGCTTTTCAATGGAAGTAGGAATATGTAGCTAGATGTTACTTACATCATTGTTATGATGTCACAGTTACGTAGATCTCAATTCAACAACCTTCTTTTGATTTAAGATCTAACTGAGGCATTTTAAGTAATCTATGACAGTAGAAACTACTACTTGGCGGCGGGGGGAGGGAAGAAAGCCGTGGACAATACCAGTAAATTAGCAAACATCCTTCACCATTTTCTGTGATCGTAACTGTTAAGGTAACATTCCTGCTTTTGCAACCCTTTTTTATCCATCTGTTTCTACTCAATTTACAGTTTCCTCCCGCGATGTTTAACTGCATCTTCTAAGTGAACAGTCCTTCCCTTCCCTTACCTCTCCGTACCTCTCCGTACCTCTCTCTGTAACCTTGTTATCTGCCTGATATCCCACGTTTTTACACCTGTAACTTCATCTTCCCCCCGACCCGTAATCAAATCCTGCTACATTATCTGAGCTTTTTTTTTCTCTCAATCGCTAACTGTGTTTCCAAACACTCAGACACTTGTACGTACAAGCTGTCAAAACGAAAAGCAAAACCCCTATGAAGACTCATGAGTAGTTCAGTTGTTGTTTTTTGAAGGATTAGTAGATGCTGACAAATAAAGACCCCCCCACCCCCGGGTTGGAAAGAAAAGGACCAAGAAACATGAGGGGGGCCGAGGGTGAAGGGAAATTTAAAGATCTCATTTTGGGTTCATCCAGGTCAGACGTAAACGTTAGATGATATACACCACGTGCATATGTGGAGGTGGTTATCACTTTGACTCCAACCAGATGACAGAGGGGAGACAACTCCAATTTCTCGTGGAAGACAAGTTTCTTTGAAATAGATAAGGATTGGGGAGTTGTGTGAGAAACTGCGTGGGGAAACCGGTGCGGAGGTTAGTTGGGGCTTCCAAGGTTTAGCCTAGATCTCGGTCTTTGGATATCGGTTTTGACCGACAGATGCGGTTCCCAATTTCTAGACAGGAAATGAGGCACTCACTGATTAACGTTGCACGTCCAGTTACACTTCTAGTTGCATATTAATGGCCCTAAGAGGGTCTATGGACGGAGGGGAAGTGTCTAAGCACTATCTCGCAAGTAGAGACTCTTCCCTCCCCATGATTGCTTGCAATTAAACTGTTCTATGTAACGTTTGTTGCCATGTTTCCACTCCATCTGCTTCTCCACTCTGATCCTCCTACACTACTCCCTACATCTTCATACAGAACGTTGTATGCAATATCTAAAGATGAGAGGTATTATAAAACTTTTATGTAATGTTTGTAATATAACGGAAAATTGGGACCCTCTTATACATCATACATCAGCCCGCTTCTTTGTTCAGGGTGTCACGTCAATGTGCTTCCGCGTGCTTTGGGTAAGATTAATTAAGTTGAATTAGTTCAAGGGTCTGGCCATGTTAAACTTATGAGAATATGAACGGAAATACATGAAGGTGAGGAAGAGGGGCGGGACTTTCTGTTAAAGTTTTTTGTTACTTTCATATACATATCGGGGTTACATTTCATTTTGACTTTTCTGAGATCTTTCACTGAGAAAAGTTACAAAAAAAATATTGAGATAAGATAAGAATCTTGCTAATAAACTGTCGGTGTTATGTTTATTGTTGCTGTGTTTTAGGATAGGAGAGATCTTAGATTCAAAAGTAATAAAAATCATAATATAATTACAAAAATGGTGTGTTTGATATAGTTCAATTTGATATAATTCAATATTGTCTGTGACTTTTATTGAGTATGAGAGGACGGCGAAATACTAGCTGTTTCATTTAGTCCGTGAATATTATGTACAAACACGTAGAATCGTAATCGCGAAAGTTACACTCTAGGTAGTGTACAAAATAATTTTCGTATACGCCTTGGATCTCTTGTCTATTTCTTGTTTGAATATAGGAGATTCTGGAATACTCTTTGAAAGTTTGAATGTTTAGGGACTCAAAGTCTTCATATTGTCTCTGGATGATCTCATCATGTTCACACCAACCGATACGGATATACCGGTTGCAATTGGGACAAAGTACATGGGTTCTACGGAATCCGCTGCCCATTATGGAAGAGTAATAAGTTGAAGGTATAGGTAATAATCTCACCACAACATGAGGTAGAACATTTCTTGTGAATTGTATGGCTGAGCTTTTCACCTCTTGAACATAGAATGTCATGTAATCTTCCAGTTTTATGGTGGTAATGTTATTTTTCTTTTGATTTATGTGATACCAATCTGTTGTGTTATCTAGTCTTGTGATTATTCCGTGCGCCAGAAATAGGTGTTTGAAGTAAATAGTCGAGTCAACCCAGTTGACGCCAAGGCAAAACCTGCACATTATTTCTTTACGGCTGTCACGAGACCTCAAATACCGATAGTTTATCAAGTCAGTCCTTTTTATCGGGCCTGCAGAGCTGTAGTGGTTACAGCTTGTGTCGCTCTCTAAATGGCTCTCCAAGATACAGGCCGATGGCGGACACTTAAAGTTTTTCTTAACCTCATAACTTTGTGATTCGTAGCTTAACCTCATCATTCTAGTCAGTTTATGGTGTTGGAAGCTTCTAGGTAAATAGAGTTTATTCTTGCCACATATATGTTTGCAATTCGGGCGTAGATGGTCCAGTTCGAGGTACAAAGTTTCATATTTTGAACTCTTTTTTGTGTAGTTTGTTGGGGAGGGAAAAAAATGTGCATCGTCTTCAACTGTATCAAGTAGTTCTTCGGGATACGTTCGGAATTGGCGCAGGTTTAAATTGTTGCCATTATGATTGAACAAAGTCGAGCTATTTTCTATCCAGTTCTCCATTATAATAATCCTTCTTAGTTTTAGCCGTTTTGTAAGATTTATCTTTAGCAGTACAAGGTTGGCTCGATTAGTAAGGCTACTTATTTTTTTTCCTAAAATTTAGCGGCTCTATGCTCAAGCTTTTGGTAGTTTTTTATTTTATTATTAGTAGCTCCAGATTACTATTATTGTACTGTTTACTTACTTATATTGTTGTGTAGTATTATTGACTTTTTTTCGTTACATTATTGAAAGTTCACTAAACGTAGGCTATATATGTAAATTTCATGACATTCATTTGGTCTGACTTTTAAACACAAGGTTGGCCCTCTTTGAGGCCCCTGGTTACACTATCATTTCAAATGTCTTTGTGATTACTTGCCGCAAAAGCATGTGGTGACATAAAAGTTTATCCTGGAGCATAGATATATTATTGCTGGCACCGAAGTGTAGGTGTCACAGTAGCTTCAAAAACATTAAATCAATGTAAACGCAAAAAAAGAGTATCACGACATTTACTGTAAAGATCACGAGGTATTATTGTATACGAACACCTTGTTCCGTGGAGTATACATGAATATCTAAATTTGTCAAGACACAACAGGACAGCTCTGAAGAAACTGCGTCATTGCAAGAGGGAAGTTCATTTGAGATTGATACGTAGAAGCCCATATTTCTGCTGTATTGTTCCAAGATAGATAGCAACTTGCCATCCCCTATGCAAAGGAGGTTCTATGATAGCGAAAATAAACTCTGTTTCAACAAAGAAATATCTCCCAGTAGTTGTAACATCCGCCATCGGGTATACAAAATTTGAACATGAACTTGGTAACCTCGAAAGTCCACTCTACCACCGAGCTTATGCACAGGTACCCACACAGAACTGTCCAGTAGCCAGTAGCAGCCTTAGAGCTAAATCGGTTTGACTCAAAGAAAACAAAATTCGTGTCCCAAAACGTTCGTCATATTCGACCTTCAATTTCAACTGTTCTTGTGACAATGTTCCCCTACAGGAAATCTCCATAGCAAAGAAAAATTAAGGGCTGGGACAATCAGTTGTCTAATCAGAGAGGTGGAAAACCTTAATTTCTTTTTTCATTTGTTTGTTTTCAGTTTTTTCTTTGAAGCTGCATGTCTACGAGGGATCTGTTCTCGCAGGTTTCCTAAGGAGTGAAAAGATAAGTGGGGCGTGTTTTTTCAATTCGAGATAAATAAGTCTACGTAAAGTCCTCATAACTGCATTTCTCAAATTGTGAGATACGACAGCCAGACGCTATTTTTATTTCTTTCTTAAGTACAATAATGAAAAAAAAAGATCCAGGCTGGAGATACCACCATGGAACTTCATAGCCACCTTCCAACGCGATTTTGCTGTCCCCAAACCTCTGTAATTGTAATGTCTCATGGTCGGGAGTGTAAGTCACACAGGTATATTTTAATGGGCGAACAGTGTTAATCTATTGCATTTACCAGTTGAGGGCTTTAAGAAGGGGCGAGAAGGGTGGATTGTATAGCCAGCGACATGAGAACGTATCTCCGTCCTTAGTTTTTCTTTTCTTACTGTAAAAATGGTAGAGTTTTAGGAGAAGTCCCTAGAGGGAAGAGGTGAAGAGAGGAGAGAGTGGCTGGACCAATTGCAAGGAGAAGGGTCAGGAGCGAACGTTGCCGGGGTGGCCCTTTTTATTTTTTTGCGTGTTGATTTATATAGGAGACAAATACAAAAGCGTAGATATCTCGCATGGAGCAATAAGGCTCGGAACAGAGATTTGTAGGGGAAAAGCTAAGAAAAATAAGAAAATCACCTTCCTTTGCCCCAATTAAAATGGGTGTAGAGAAGTATGCGTACAGTTAGTAAGGGGGGGGGAAGATCCCGGTAAAGCCTACGAGGGAGAATTTCCACTTTTCCACAAGATTATGTGGAGACACTCCCCGCCCCGATCTGTGGGAAGAAAAATAAAAGAGCCGAGAGTGACGGAAAAGATAAAATGGAATAAGACCCATACAGGCAAGACAATAAACATGAAACCAGGAAAGAAAATGCAGCAGTAATCAGAGAAAGAAAATGACGAATTTTTTCTCTCAAAGAACAGAAGAAAGAAGAAAAAAGGTAGCTTCTTTTTTTAGACGATACCCTAAATGCAACACAGAATGGAACGCAGGTACTTTCGTGTACATGGAATGCTTCTATTGTTGTCGCATGAGAATATAGAAGGCCCTGCCTCCTTGTCCCCCCTTCTCTCTTCCATCTTGAGAAAAAAGGAGGGCAGTACGGAGAAATACTGTTGCCCACTTTCAGAAAGAAAAGAGAAGGATGCTTATTCCACTACAAACTGAAAATTAAACGGAAAGCAAGGAATTTGTCTTACTGGTTCCATACATCCCCGTTCTGAAATCGTTCTGAATGTGTCTCTTTCATGAAGTGGCTTTCCAAATGCAAAAAAGAAAGAAAAATCACACAGGGAGGGAAAGGAACTGCGGGGGGGGAGCAGTGGGATAGAAAACGAAAACAAGAAATTCTTCTTTATCCCCTGCATGATTATCTGAGCAATCACGCATATTTTCAGCTTAGAAGAAGAAAAAAAGGAATAGCAACACGACCACAGCATACAGAATGTTCCGCAGGATGGTGGGAAGAAGTTCTTCCAAATGACGACCAGAAGCAGAGAATTATTACTTGAAGTAATTTGAAGGACCCAAAAAAGAAGAAGAAGAAAAAAGAGAACTGACAACGATTTGTGCAGGATAATTGAACTCAAAATCATAAGATTTGTCAAAGAAAAAACCAACAAGAAGCTTAACATCACATAACACCTACCAGTAAATATCAACATAGAGATTGGGAAAGAGGATGAAAGATTTCGAAGGATATGTGTGGGAAAAGAGTGGGCAATGCTACTCAGTATCTCAAGAGGGGATTCCAACCAAATTAAAATGCCCATGTAAAACGAATACTGTAAGACTACTAAATAAGAAACAAGAAAAATAAATAAAAAAAAACAACAACAACAAAAAACTTACTTTTTGATTGTATTTAATATCATTCTGTTTAAGAAGGGAATAGGAAAAGAAAAGGGACGAGATAACTTAAAATGATTTTCCTTTTTTCTTTCTTGTTCACAACCTTCTAAGTTTTCTTGAACCAATTTATTTTATTTTCCTTTCCTATTCCTTTGCAAATATTTGGTGCATATTTATAACAAAAAAAAAAAAAAAGATGAGAAGGACAGGAAGAAAGAAAACAGCCCATTTTTAATTTTTTTTTCCTTGGTATCATTTATATATCAAGGAAAGGAAAACATCAAGGATTGACCCATCTTTTTCCTATTTTTTTTTCCTCAAAAAAAAAAATAATATTGTAATAGTAGTACATATAGTACTTTATGTTAAAAATATATTAATCTTGAACATATAAAAATAAAAACCTGAATTACTAAGAAGAAAAACAACAACGACTAATCTGTATTGTCTATAAATTTTTAGAAAATTGATAGTAGGGAGGATTTTGTTTGGCATTGGTGGAACTGATATAATAAGCTAAAATCTTTATTCTACTAAGATAACACTGATTTTCTAAAAAAATAAAAAAGTGGCTACATATTGTGGAAACGACCCTATCGACTATTAAAGTACTAGGTACGGGTAAAAAGGGGAATACCTAATAGACATAAATAACATAATAAGGATTACTGGAAAGTGTCCTTTGAAAGAGTTTAACTAGAAACCATTTTTCGATAAGAAATACTAGCAAGGAAAGTACAAGGATGAGTGAAGAGTTCAGTTCTTGGTATGGAGATGTTACAAGGAAATGCGGATCGCTTGCTATTGATCTCGGCTTATCTACGTTAGCCTTCGATCAACTGGTGAAATTGCTAGAACAAGAAAAACACATCAGCACTATCCTACTGTTAGTCAGGCTATATCTAAAGAACAAAGATTATTATAATGTCGTCACATTCTTAGTGAATGGTAGAGATAATGAGATACTCAGCGATTATAGAGTGTGGAAAGCTATCGCATTATCTTATTTCAAGCTGAACAACGTACAAGATTCGTTAAATGCTGTTGACTACGCTCTGAAGCTTAAATCTGACGATCAAGATACCTTGTTGCTGAAGGCGAGGATAATGTCTTTCCTTGACGATAGCTCTTTGAAGACTCAATATGAAGCATTGATCTCGTCATATAGTGATAAATCATCAAAGGAATATTATCAAATTCTGGTTTGCTATATGCAGTACTCTAGAAATATTGGCGACATACCTAAATGCTTTGAGATATTCCAAGCTATCAGCCAGGAGTTTTCAAGAACTCAAAAGAAGAGATCAATAAATTTCCTGCAAGTATTCTCATATGCGTACCAGTTGTATGCTTCAACAATCTATCTAACAGAAGGTAATATAAACGAGGCCGGTAGAAAGAGAAAACGGGGCTATAACAATGATTCTCCTCTCGAAGTTATAAATGAGTTTCTAAGCATATCAGAACGTAACTACAACTCGTCGTTATCAATTCAGCCCTTGAAAATATTACAAGGTCAAATTAGTTTCATTGAAGGTATTGATCTAAGGGAATCGATAAATTACTTGAACCTAGAGCTTCAAATACTAAATAACCATGCTGCTACGCTATCGGAAGAAGGTGTATACCACAAATCAATACTCAACTACATGATTGCAAGAAACATGTTAAAACTAAACCCGCACGAAAATGCACAGGTTGCATACGAATACTTCCAAAACTCGTTATCATTAACACCTAACTTACCTTTCATATGGATTTCTGTGGCGTCATTATATCTGACTTTGGGTCAACTAGAAGATTCACTGGCTACCTACTCACAAGCAATATCCCTAGCTATGTCTTTTGAGAACGTTTTACCGCCAAAAGAGTTATCTTACTACAAAAGATTTGCTGCAGTTGCATGGCATGGTATTTCACAAGTCTATACTGTAACACTACAACTCACAAATGCTATTGAAGCTCTTGATCATGCTATTTCTATTGTATATCAAGAACATGATGTTACAACAGAACAAGAACTAACAAGTTTAAGAAATGAGTATGTCAAATTGAATTCTCAATCTACACCTCATCCAAACATTGTTTACTCGTTACCAGAAGTATCCATGAAACTTCTTCTAGAATACGAAACATGCAGAGATTCCTTTCTTTTCCAAAACATAGATGATTTAGAAATAATTGATAAGAATAATCTTAACGATGGTGCAATTAAGAATTTTGCAGGACAAGTGACAACTCTTACAACGCAGCCACCAACAGATCAGTCAACTTTAAGGGTACTTAACACCGCTAACGGAACAAATAGCATTGCATACACCCAAAAACCTCCAGGCTCTGAAGTATATACTAGAAAGCAAAGTGTTACGGGTACGCCTTCATCTGCTCATGCACAACAATATGGGAGAAATCCTCAGCTGAGTTCCTCTATGAGCCAAACTCTAAATGCACCAATACAGGACGTTAGGACAATTCAACAGCCTAATGGGCAGAATATTGTGGTTGGAAATCAGATTCTCCAACAGCAACAACAACAGCAATATACAACAAAACAACCTTTTGTGGTATTTAATCATGCTACCCAAAAGCAAGAGCTGGTGACTCCACAAATAGTCTCTACAGAAAATGGTCGTTATCAACCCCAGCATGTTTCGATGATTCAGGGATTGCCTCAACCAAATCCAAATGCATACTATCAAGTAAATGATGGAAATGTAGTTTTAAAACCAATTCAGTCAATGAACAACAATGAGTTTATCACCAAAGTACTATGACTGTTTATTAACTAACAACCTAACTAGAACACTTCCTGTAGTACATAATGTAATACTTAATTAAATACAATGGCTCATATTTCACAATTGAATTTTATCTTTAATCACTACTAGACCTCTGTCTCTGTTTGTGAAAGTATACCATTTTGGCGAATATTTCACGACCTCGTCGAATGCTGGAATTTTCTTAAGTGGATGGCCATTCACAACTGATAATGAGTCAGCCTCTCCTGTGAAACATGCTACAGTTATTTCAATATTATTATCACCCTGCCCATCAATTACAGGGTCATAATCTAGATCAAATGGAATATTGGGTAGCCATTCAATTGAGAAGTGGTGAGCACCATTAAAATCTAATTTGTGGATAAGTACTTCATCAATACCATCTGCGTATTTTATTGAATTAGACACTGAATTAGTGTTGTTATTATTGCTTTTTATTACGGAAAACTTCTTTACTGGACTCTGCTTAGATGACTGGGACCAGAATGCCAGTGAACAAACTCTATTCTCACTCACATTAATTTTTATTTCTGCACTTAATGGAGCGTAAGGTGACCTTTGTGTGTCATTGTTATCATTTTTCAAGACTTCGATTTTCATTAGGTTCTTGTTTTGTCTATTACCCTCGCTATCGACAAGATTAGGAGGCAGTCCATAATAGTCACAAATTTTAGATCCGCCAAATACTGTACAATTGACCAGAGTAGACTGTGATTTAACGCTTGGTAAGTCGTATATCATTTCTTTAATTGGAGTATCTTTTGCAGTGAAAAGACTAACCGATGATTTTGATATGTCATGTTGATTTACCGTTTGTAAAAACCTCACTTTGAGAGGCGCTATTTCTGAAAATGGTTGCATTACAAGAGACTTACCGAATAACAATACTCCAATTATTGCAATGATTACTGACGATTGATAGTTCAACTTTGAAATAAATGGTAGAATAGGCAGCGCAAGAAGTATCACGCCAATAGTAATGATAATACAAATCAATTGAACATCATCTGTTGTTTCCTGGACCATTTTGTGAATAGCGTCAAGAGTGTAATCTAATGAAAATAGGAATATGAATGATGAAATAGGCACAATACACAAGAACTGCACTATCCAGTTGTAATGCTTTGAAAAATCGGAATTCTTATCCATCTTACCACTATCACCAATATGGTTATTTGATAACAATGGCATTCTTTCATCAACTTCTTCTGCATTCGAATGTAGATCAGTATTGGTGTTCGAGGTAACTTCTTGGTTGCCTGTATCCCTTACCTGATTAATATTTTCTCCACGATCTTGGCTAGGCAACGGGTTGTCTTCATCATTTTGACTACTAGCATACCGAACACTAGAATTAGGTGCATCATTTACTGCTTTATTTTTTGTACCAAATAAACCTAAAGATAATGCGACGATTAAACAGCCTGAGAATATACTCAAAGGATACGTCCCTGTCAGTGTGAAATCAGATTTAGCCATTCTTAGAGTAATATACAGCTGCATTAACCAAGCTATGATGAATATTTGGTTGATAGCTACAGTTTTGTAACTTTCAGTTGGATTTAACCTTTCTGCTAAAGTAACAATGAGATAGTTAACAGTAACAAATAGCAGGAACAGTCCAGTTAGAGGAGTTCTATAATCGGCGGAATACACAAACGGATTGAAGCTATTCAGAGACTTTGTAAGCAGTAACAAAAAAACAACAGACAATCCGAGAGACAACAATAATCTCAATTGCACTAGACGTGATCTTTCAAGCCTTCTACGTTTATCCAGATGTGCCTTCATCATTAACAAAATAGGACCAACAATTAGCATGAAAATATCAGCGTAAAATAAATGCTTTGTATCAACAACAACAAAGAACAAACCCAACAAGTCAAAAAATACAGCAGGGTTGGATGAAGATTTTTTGATTAGCTTCTCGTTGCTGATATATATAGCGAGCTGAAGAGATTGATTAAGCATTGACCACAAAGATTCTTTAGATGTGTACTGTATTGAATCTTTTGCTGTGTGATAATAATCTCTGGGTTTGTAAAATGAAATGTCCCACCCTTTTAGTCCATATTCATCATACACCTTATAGTCTGTTTGACTTCCGATATAACGACTGTTAAATCCTTGCTGGAATATAGAGTTACCAAACGGACGGCTCTTTACTGCTTTCTTATATATCTCGGCAGTTTCTACGTTAGATGTTCTGAAAAGGACTGCACGATCTCCAGCACCCATCCCTTCTAAGTTAATGAAATACTCAATGTCTCTAATCCAAGGATGATAAGTAAATGCATATGCGCCAAGTAAACCAAACTCTTCATTGTTATTAAAATTAAAAATTACTGAACGTTTTGGTTGAGAGCTCGAAAAATGGTTTAGTAATGAAAGCATAGTGGCTATACCTTTGCCATCATCAGTTGCTCCATAGGAAGTAGGTACCGAATCAAAATGTCCTGATATTAAGAGAGCAGGTAGCTCATTGTTGGATCCCACGACTTTAACAATAATGTTAGAGGATTCATAATATACAACCCGTGAAACCTTCGATGTACTGTTAAAGACATCTGGTTGGTGAAACAGTATTGATGACTTGTTTCTATAGTCATCATCAATATATATGTTATCATTGCTCCTGGTGATATTCTTAACTCTCTGTAATAAAAAATCATGGACAACATCATTGTTCCTTGAGCTGTAAGGATGCGGCGATTGAGTTATAACTTGTAGGTCTGACCATGCCTGTTCTAGGAGGTTGCGACGTAACTTATCGCTTGTGGCATTAGGTAAATCAAGCTTGTACCTGCTCCTATCGAATACTAACAGTGCTATGATGATTGCATATGTGATTATCAGTAAAATGCTGAAGTTGGTCTTCCTAAACCGGAATATAGCCCGAAGAAGTGCCTTGAATCGCATAAATCTCTTCTCAACGTGTTGATATGTTGCCCTTATATTAAAACGAATAACTATTACAGAATCTGACACTTGAAATTAAAGGATTTAAATACTTTATCCTCTCATTTCATTTAATAATTCAGGTCATCCCGGATTGTTTATATTTTGGTTTAATATGTTCTGTCCCTTGAAGCTTTCTGCGCTGCTTTCTAGCTCATGTCAAATTGGCCTAAAGAAAATTGACATTAATACAAAAATGTTGCATATAGAAGAGGAAGGTAGTACGATTATATGAATAAAATATGTTCTGAATATCAAAATTTTAAGGATTTACAATATATATGTTGGACAGGTAGATAGATATGTGCGCGATTCTTGTTTTCAGATCGTGAGCCTTTTCATTCTATTATCACATTTCCAACCTTGATGAAAGCAAACGTTATATTCTTTTTCCCTTTTTTGTATACCTCTGTAGCAACATCATCGTAGAGGTCTAAGGATCGATCAGGATCTATATGTTTATAATCGAGAAGGCATTGCTTTAGAAGTTTCTTTTCAAGTTGTGTTCTTTGTGACTCTAATACATCCATTTTTCTTTTAGCATCGAGTGCATTGGACCATTGTTCAAAACTTCCGTCCAATGCAGGTGCCTTTAATACCTCTTCATCGTCATCAAACTCCTCACCCAATCCATCGCATCTACATATCAGGTCGTGTGTATTACTCTTAGTATTTTGATGAATTGTGAACAAATCTTTCAAGTCTGATTTGTCGAATAGATCATCATTTGCTGAGCCGGTATCGCTGGTATTTGAGGATAAGAATTTCCTGGTTAAATTATGCTTCATGAGCTGCCTTTGTAATATCTTTTCATCTATACAGCCAGTTGTTATTAGTCTGTAAATGTAGCATGGTCTTTTCTGACCTTCTCTGTGAATACGAGACATTGCTTGTAAGTCAACAGCTGGATTCCAGTCATTATCGAACAAAACCAAGCGAGAGGCACCAATCAAATTTAATCCAACACCACCTGCCTTAGCACTTAATAAGAAACCAAAAATGTTGGGGTTATTATTAAATGTGTTGACCAACATATCACGTTGCTTAGCTGGCGTTGCTCCGTCTAATCTGCAATTGGATAACTGGTTACTGTTCATGAGTCCTTGTATAATATCCAATGACTGTGTGTAATTTGATACTATAACAACTTTCTCCATAGGAGAAGTAGCTTTGATTTCTAGCAGTAATTCCAGAAGCACAGTTAATTTACCGGAGCTGTTAGATTTATTGGAAACTGTGAATATATTGCTATCCACATTAGATTGATAGTAAGGGTCATTACATAACAACGATGGAGAGTTACAAACCTTTTTCATCAAATTGATCAGCCCAAGGGAAGTATTAAATGTGATGTTATTCATATCAACCCTTACATTTTCGATAATGTCTCTGAAGGCTTTGATCTGTTCAATGGTAGGTCTACAGAATAAAATAATATCTGTTTTGGGAGGCAGAAATTTTGATAGGATATTGTTTGACCGTCTAAGAATAAATCTCTTGGTAAATTCTATAAGTTGATTAGATTTCTCTTCACCTTGTTCAATTACTTTTGTATTGAATTTGTTATTAATATCTCTCGCCCTTGATATAGGATTGATATACAACTTTTTGAAGCTTGCGTAAGTTCCTAAAACTCCAGGATTCACAAAATCGATGATCGTAAAGAACTCATTCAGGTCATTCTGTATCGGTGTCCCCGTCAAAATCACTTTCTTGTCGATATCTAAAGATTTCAATACTTTAAGAATTTTCGATGCTCCATTTTTTAGGCGATGACCTTCATCGCATATAAGTAAGTCTAGTTTATCTTTTTGTTTAAGAAGTTCTTCTTGGACTGTCAATACTTTTTCATAACCTAAAATTAGTACCTGGTAAGTTCTATTAACTTTTATGAAGTTTCTCACACTTATTTTATCCATGTCCACATTGTTTTTGGGGTTAAGAGTTAAAATTCCAATTCTGTTTAGTCCCAACCATTTTTTAAATTCTCGTTTCCAATTGCCAATTAAAGTAACAGGACATACAATGACTACTTTGCTTATCATCCCACTCAGAGGTACACCAAGTTGTGAACACTGCACTTTTGATGCAAAGGGTGTTTGTTTTAGTAATGTCCATATCAATGTGATTGTCATTAGAGTTTTACCAAGTCCCATATCATCGGCTAAAATGCAACCTTTAATATCTGAGTCTCTCTCAAGCCGGCAAGATTTGTCATCAGTAGACTCAGCAGTCAGGTTGGTTTCCAATCCCAATAAACAATCATACATAAATTTGACTCCAATTCTCTGGTGGTTCCGAAGCATTTTGCATAAAAGGGGATCCACTATAATGTCGACTTCAGAACCCTGAAACGTATTCATAATAAGTGGATTCTCAATTGTATTGCAATCAAATAAGCTTCTGAACTTTTGTGTAGGAACAGTATTTTCTGGTCTATTTGTTTTCGCTATTTGCTTATTCATTGATGAGATAGGTCTAGCATTAGGGTTAGTTTTTAGTGTTGGAGAGATGAATTTCTTAGTAGACTTAGTAAAAAGTTGCGATACTGGTAATTCTGAGGAGATGCCCTTATCTATTGCATTTTGCTGGCTACTAGAAGTTTGAGAAGGTATCAAATTAGAGTCAGGTTCTTTCCCTAGTAATATTCTAACCTTTCTGATTTCATCAGTATCAAATATTTCATAATCCAACTGGAACTCAAGACCTTTTGTGGTATAAATGGAATCGAAAAGCGTATCAATGTTAACTTTAGTACTTGAGCCGAGAGGCTTCCCTTGCTCATTGTAGATTATCAATTTAATAGCAGCATCAAGTATCAGAATAGCATATCCATCTCCGTTCCATGTTTTATTCTTCTTGGTTGTGTATTTTCGGTACATGATGGTAAAATATCTCCTAGTTGTATCAGTTTTGCTCCTATCACTGGTGTCATTCGATCTAGCAGGCTGCAATTCAGCAGTTTGAGCATATGTTCTCTTTACACCAAAAGTCGATGCTGTGGAACCGCCCACAGAGCGAACTGGTCGAGGAACAGTTCCAGAAGGTATTATCCTTCTTGGTGGCTTGAATGGTTTGTTCTCATACCGTGGCAACTGCATTCGAATCTTTAACACTCGCCTTCCATCAGGAAATATAAGGCCAAGCGAAACTAAACAAAAACTCTCAGAGTCCTAATAAAGTCTTCCATTGGTTTGGGGAAGACTGATCATGCTTACAGCAACATCTGTATTTGCTATAAACCCCCAGCTACTGTTTCTCACGATTGGCAATACGCCAAAGGCTCAACTTTGAGGATATTATTGTTATTTGATTATTGCCAGGGACGCGATGAGATTTACCCGGCCTCAAATCACTCCGAACTACTTCCCGCCTTCCCCATTCTTGTTGGATAATACCGGCAATAAGGTCTCTGATGGGCGGTAGCCTTTGTGATTTTATGCTAAATGGTACATACAAGATGTGCTAGCTACCAAAACTGTATGGTTTATGAAGGGGATCAGCACAATCAGGGTGGGTTACTGTGACGTTTTGCCTATACAACAAGCTCACTAGCTCATTGATTGAGGGGAGTCAAATAGATATCGGTGGATATTACTGTTTGACATGATATGATACACGTTCTTCCGAAAGAAACATGGCAGGTTTTGCGCGCGGATACTCAGATAACCGGTATTGACAGTGTTTTGAGAGAGCTGTTACAGAATGCAGTGGATGCAGGTGCCAGTACAGTCGATGTAAGCTTTAGTATCAAGAAGAACATGTGTATGGTGGCAGATGATGGCTGTGGTATGACTAGAAAGGATTTGGATTTGTTGGGAAGGCCTCATATTACATCCAAGATACGCAACTTTCGGGACTTAGAGAGATTTGGTAATGGCAATGGTACTATGGGCTTCCGTGGGGAAGCCATATTTGCGATATCACAGATCTCGGAGCTCACAATGATGACTAAGCATAGCGATTTTAGGGCGCATTACTGGCGCGATTTTCCAATGACATCCGTGCTTACTACAGAAGAAGACATAAGAAGCTCGTTGCATGCACAATATCTGTCAACCACACCATTTTACGAAGATATCTGGGCAAGATCGTCAGGAACAGTAGTAATAGTGTCAGATTTGTTCAAATATATACCTGTTAGGAAGAAAACATTGGAAAATGTGCCTGTAGCAACTATTACAGACTCCATCAGAGAAGATTTTTATCAGATTTTGGTCAGGAATCCGAATCTTAAGTTAAATATTTTTACTTTTGACGATAACTATAAAAATTTTGAGTTTCTAAATCATGTCAAGGAACAATATTTACACTCATTAGGCTCCATCCCCATTCACAATGCCTTTATTCGAGTGTATGGACATGTTGTCCCGGATCCTTCTATCAAAATCGTAAAATTAAGCTTCAGAGAATATAATATAACTGGACTTATATCTAACTGTCAAGTGCGAAGCAAGAGTTTTCAATTTGTGTTTGTTAATGGTAGAAGATATTCAAACTCGGAATTTCTCGGAAAGATCAATAGGATATTTGATCAAAGTACATTTGCGACTAACGCAGTCGAGAAAGATACCAGGCTAGGAAAGAGAAGCGCCAGATCTTATCCTTTATTTGTCATCAAGATTGATGGACCAGCTCACGTGCAAGATCTTATTCAGAGCACCTCAAAGGATATTATCCACTTGTCAGATGGTAAATTAATAAATATACTGATTCTGAAAGTAATATATTCGTTCCTTAAGGATCAAGGCTTTCTGACTGAGATTCCTACCCAGCTAAATGATGATAATTGCGATCGTATAGACCAATTGGGTACTCTTGAAGAACCTATATTTATGGATAATGATTTTCATCGAGATTTTGTAATAAGGAACAATGTCAAAATGGCAAAATATAATAAGGTTAGCCATGCTAACATTAGCCACCCATGGAAAAGGCAAAGGTTGGATTATCCTGTTCGCAGAACTTCAAAATGGTGGAAGGAAAGGTCTGTAAATGAACTACACCAATCAAGAATATCTACTAAGTTTGCACCTATAAAGAAATGGGCCGCATACGAAAAATTGCATGTATTTGATTATAAAGACAGGTTTCTGAGTAGGTCTGATGATTTGAAGGAGGTAGATGTCGTAAATCAGGTTGATCAGAAGTTTATCCTACTAAGACAGAAATCGGCGCGTGGGAACTTCGAATTATATATAATCGATCAGCATGCCTGCGATGAAAGAATAAGATTAGAATCCTTTTTGAAACAATATATTTGTGATATAATGGCCAATGCATTGGCTGTACAAAAAATATTCCAAAGTAGGATTGAGATAGCCATCTCCGAGAAAGAAAATTTTGAGCAATACCGCCATGAATTTTCTAAATGGGGTATATACTATAATGTTGTTCATTCTAATAACAACTATTCATTGGATATTTTTGCTTTGCCTGATATGCTCGCCGATAAGATTAAAGCTAATGAAGAACTTAAGGATATGATGCTACAGCATATATTTGATTTAAAAGATGGTTCACGATCCAGGATTAAAACAATTTCTAGTTTGGATGCACAATTTTTATCAGGTGGTTGGTGGAGCAACGTCAATAAGATTCCATCATTTATTAGAAGATTCTTTGACAGTAAAGCTTGTAGAAGCGCTATAATGTTCGGAGATACATTGAACTTGCAGGAATGTCGAGACTTGGTTAGGAGATTAAATGGATGCATTCAACCTAATTTTTGTGCCCACGGAAGACCGTCTGTTGTTGAACTAATTGGTCATCAACATCAGTGGGAACTGAAAAACTTCACTGCTGATTACGACTATGATTAACGACATCAATGTCACCAAGACCCTTAAATTACAAAATTTCTTTTTTTTGGTCTTCGATTTCATGATTTACGATTTTTCTCGTTTTTACTGCGAAAATTTTAGAATTTACAGGACTATGCGTATATGCATGCGATGAGCTTAAAACAGAGCTTTAAACAGAGCGTATGCACATAGGGCCTCCTTGCTTGGTGCTCATTTGCCTGTGCATGCGATGTCTTTAAGATAAAATCATGACAGTCACTGAATCATATTTGCAAATTTCTGAATATTTTGACATTAATGAGACGTCCTGGGGAGGACGGGCATGCTTCAGTAAAAGAGATCTTAACAATGGGCAAGTTGTGTTAGAAGTTGAAGATTGCATGGGAACATCCATTGATTATGATTTTCGTAAGGAGGTCTGTCATTACTGTTATAAGTACAATAATGGGAAATCGATGAAAGTTAAAATTTCCTTTAACGATTTACAAGATTGCTTGTATGAGTTTCCACAGCTCGCTACTTACAAAGCAAAATTTAAAGGAGCCGGACTCTGGTTTTGTTGCGATACATGCCGTGATAAATATTTAAGCATCCATAATATTACTGAACTTATAGAATCCTATGAGATACTGTTAGAATCGTTTATGCGCATGATAAAGAATAAGAGCCTTCTAGAAGAGCAGGAACAAGATTACAATGGCATAACGATCACGAAGGAATATATAGACAACACCTGGGAAGATATAACGACTCGATGGATACCTATGGTAAGAAAAACGAAAGCCACAAAAAGAGCGAAATTCCTACCGCAAATTTCCGAAGATGAATACAACTGTTGTCGATTTGTTAGTGAAACGCTATTCCGAATAAAGCATCTGGATCCTGGCTCAGATACATTAGAAGCATTCCATAACCTCCAGTCGAATGAATTATCAAAAATACAGAAATTTCCAGTTTTGCTCAACTTTCAAGTCTTGGTCTTTAAGACTCTATTTGTTTTATTACCAGACAATTTAAAAAACTCCCTCACTGTTCAAGCGTTCAGGCATATTTTAGGCAGCGAATACGGGAATGCTTTTGGAATTTGGCAAGATACTGAAGCTGTGGATAGCAGAGAATACTTTGGTTATTGGGTTTTCCCTAAAGCATCCTATTTCAATCATTCATGTGACCCCAATATAACAAAAACCAGAATAGATAGAAAAATGGTATTCACACTTAATAGAGATGTGGCATGTGGAGAAGAGCTAAACATCGACTATTCAGGTGTATTAGATTTGCCTGTTGATCGTCGACAGAAATTCCTTTTTGAGAATTGGTTTTTTGTATGTGGTTGTAATAGATGTAATTCAGATTTGAAGCTTGTCCATTAATGCCTCTTCTAGGGTAGATTTACTAACGCCCAAACTGGAGGAAAGCTCGCTTTCTGTTTCTTCCGTATGTACCCCTTCTTTTTCATATGTACTATCATATCTAGTTAAGCCCACCTCTCTATTGTTATAATCGAGTTTATTTCCTTTAAAGTTTAGTATTCGTGATGATTTAAGTTGTTCAATGGCTTTCTTCGTTGTATCAGGTGTTTTATTTTTATCTTTGGGCCCATTGTCCTCGTTGAATTCCTCTTGTATTGTACCTGGGGTTCTCACTGGTAGCTGATTTAAAAAGTTTACCTCCTTCGTAATCTCTTCAGTACTATCTCTTTCAGGTGTTTCAGACCGGTCTGTAAGCGCATTTTTGTTCTTCCTATCTATTTGCTGTCTTAATAATTCAAAATGTTTTGTAAATAGCTCATAGCAACGACGCTTTAAAAAATATATGGGTGCATCCAGCCCCTCTGCTAATAACGCCCAGTCTATCTCCTTGTCAGGGTCATTGAGTTGGGAAAGTAGACTCCAGAGTTTCTTTTCCTTCTGTATATTCCACTCAAACACTGGTGGATCAACAAAACCATCGGGTCGCTTTCCCTTCACCTTAACATAAACAATAGTATTCTTTGAGTTCATCCTCACTGCCCTATATTGGATGCCTTAGACACAACTGAAAGTTAAACCCACATTTGATTCTACTGATTGGCATCGCTTTTTTAATGCTCATCCTTAAAAAATTCTAGGAAATGGAGCATTAAATTGAAAACCAATTCACTTTTTTGGGTCAGCAAGCACATACATTATAAACTGGACACGAAAGGAGTAATACGTGAAGTTATCGTTGCCATAACTGGTCAAAGCGATTAGAAGTATCATACCTTGTAAGCGATGCATGTACGGTGATGATATCGGGAGAGGAAACAGACAGCATTCAAGATGGAGCGAATGAGGTTGAATTTGATAGTTTCGATTTGCAACTAAATAACTACGATCATTACATGGCGTATCCAACTTCCTTAGACAGGACACATGGATCTAGTTTACCATTGAAGAAATTCCATAAGGTCCCGGTTATTAGGATATTCGGATGTTTGCGCACAGGTCATCAACTGTTGTGCCATGTTCATGGGATTTTTCCATACTTTTTTGTCAAATATGATGGGAAAGAGGATGACACTTCCATAATCATAAATGAAAAGTGTGCTAAGTTACATCAATTGCTTGAACAGATTTTGCGAGATAAAATGAAGAGTAAAGGATCCAGAAATGACAAACAAGACGAAACAAACCTCAACGAACTGGTATATATAGCCAATGTTTCAGTGGTGAAAGGTGTCCCATTTTATGGCTACCATGTAGGGTGGACACCTTTCTATAAGATATCGTTGTTAAACCCTAGCTTAAGTGAACAGGTTTGTAATATTATTAGGGAACAGAATGTTCTACAAAACGGACAGAACGAGGTATATGAATCCCAGTTCCCATATTTGTTGAAGTTTACTGCCGATTTCAATTTATTTGCTTGTTCATGGATTAACTTCAAAAAGGTATATTTCAGAGCGCCAGTACTAAATGAAATGCTGAATATGGACGAAATAATGATGACCAAAGAGTTGAGGGTATTATTGGATAGATTTCATTCTAAAGATACTGTGTTAAAAAAAACTATGTTTCCAAGAATTGGCAATGGTTTGTTAGAGATAGATGTAATCCCTCAGTTTATCAAAAACATCGACCAAATCAAAATAAGAAACATCCACCATGATCTGTCAGAGAAAAAAGAAAGTGTTAATTACTTAGATGATGGCCCATATGTTTCTTCTACTAAAAATATGCTTAAGGACGTTGAAATACAGCGTAAGTTGTATTCACTGGAAGAATACAAAAAAGCAGCTGATATATCAAGGAATGAAAACGATATGATTTGGAACTCAAGTCATCAGTTTGAGATGTTTTTAAGGAAAGCTTTATCCAGTGTTAAAGTTTCAGATAAGGATTCGAATTTTCTTTCAGGTCATTTTAATGCGAATGACTTTCTTAAAACACCATTTGAAATGATTGATGAGCTGTGGCCCACTAAATTTGAATCCTCTATAGATTTGAACGATGAAAACGAACGACATGATAAAAATGATCAGCTGTTAGATGTTGGCGAAGATTTTGATAAGGCGGAAGAGCGAGACGAAGACATACTGGGTGAACCAAATGAGGATGATTATATCGAGAAAGAAATGCATTCTCAGGATAATGGCCAATTCATAAATGTGAGTACATCAGTTATCTCAACAACACAGTCATTGGATAAGCTTTTGACACAGAGTATAGTTAAAAATCAACGAAAGTTAAAGATAGGGAATGTTCTGTCTGATTTAGGTAATGTTGCTACTAATTACCATAATTATTTTCCATCTAACATAAAGAAGTACTATAGGTATAAACAATGCAATATATCTTATAGTTCTATGAATGAAGATCTTCAAGATAATGGGCTTCCTATTAATGATTATATGGGCCCATTTTTCTCCGATCCTTGTGATCTCCATAAAAAAGACTATCAGTACGCTGGTAAACAATTTGATATAACATCAACACATTTAATGAAAAGGTACCCATTAGACTTCAAAGAGGATCTAGTACGGTTGACTAAGCAAAGACTTGATAATGATGTACTTTTTGCTTCGTGGAAATATTTGAAGATGCCGCCATCATTTAATGATGTTGCAGAATCCGTTACTAGAAAAGAGCGAGCCAGACATTCCATTTCCCAAATTAAAAAACCCACAGCTACAAAGAGTTTGGGAAATACTTCCTCCATAAAACGGTCGGAATCAATTCACGATAATTTAACGCATTTTTCGCTCGAAATCCATGTAAATACTAGAGGTGACCTTTTACCAGATCCCAGGAAAGATGAAGTATCAGTTATATTTTGGAAGGTAGACAGTGACACTTTTCCTTTCAGTATAGATTTACAGCTTGAAGGAATTATGTATACAAACAAGCTTGAAAGGGAGAATCTTATTGAAACTTTGGAATCTATATCCGGAGGGGTACCAATCATGGAGTATGAGGACGAATTTTCTATGTTTGATGCCCTGACAGATCTCATTCTATTATTTGATCCTGATTTATTGTCCGGTTATGAAATACACAACTCATCTTGGGGCTACATATTTGAAAGAAGTCTGAGCGTGCATAAATTTAACATTGCTAATGAAATATCTCGGGTAAACATGGGTGCTCAGTTCAAACTTCGAGATTCATGGGGTTTTAAAAAGAGTTCTGGTATTAGCATCACTGGACGTTATGTGCTGAATATTTGGAGGTTGTTAAGGAAAGAAATTGCTGTTACTCAGTACTCTTTTGAAAATATGGTTCATTTGCTCCTCAAGATACGACTACCTAAATACTCCTGCAGTCATTTAACATCGCTCTGGAGCAATTTTAAGACAGGTAACGAACTAAAAACATTCCTTAACTATTATTTGACGCGTGTAAGACTAAATATTGGAATCCTAAAGAAAATTAGCTTTACATTAAATGTGATGGAAGAGGCCAGATTGATAGGTATCGATTTTCAATCTGTATATAATCGCGGCTCCCAATACAAAGTGGAATCATTTTTGATTCGTATTTGCAAAAGTGAAAATTATATACTGCTCTCACCTTCAAAAGTTGCTGTGCAGAAACAAAAACCTTTAGAATGTGTTCCACTAGTGATGGAACCAGAATCAGCATTTTACAAGAGTCCATTGCTTGTTTTGGACTTCCAATCATTGTATCCATCTATTATGTCAGGCTATAATTATTGTTATTCTACAATGATGGGTAGAGTGCGAGAACTTGACGGAACAAAACGAACACTTGGTGTAACAAATTTTGAACTGAAGTCGGAGCTGTTGAAAAAACTTCGAGATGATATTCGTATAGCACCAAATGGTGTTATTTATGCTAAAGAGCACTTGAGGAAGTCAACATTATCCAAAATGCTTTCTGAAATACTGGAGATAAGATTTATGATTAAGAAGACGATTTCAGATCTTGGTTCTGATCATCAAGCGCTCAAGAAATTGCTAGAATCCAAACAGCTGGCTTTGAAACTTTTGGCTAATGTTACCTATGGTTATACTTCTGCCTCATTTTCAGGTAGAATGCCATGCTCGGATTTGGCCGATAGCATTGTTCAAACTGGTAGAGAAACATTAGAAAAGGCTGTCAAAATGATTGAAAGTACTGCATCCTGGGGTGCCAAAGTTGTGTATGGGGATACAGATAGTTTGTTCGTCTACTTACCAGGGAAAACGAAAGAAGACGCATTCAGAATTGGCGCTGAAATTTCCAATAGTATTACAGCATCTAACCCAAAACCAATAACATTAAAATTTGAAAAGGTCTACTTTCCTTGTATTCTTTTGAGTAAAAAGAGGTATGTTGGATATTCCTATTTGTCGAGTTCCCAACTTAACCCCCATTTTGATGCAAAAGGTATTGAGACGGTTAGAAGAGACGGAACACCAGCTCAACAGAAAGTGGTAGAAAATGCCTTACGGATTTTGTTCGAGACAAAGGATTTGAGTAAGGTAAAAAATTATGTAGTTGACACTTTCACCAAGATACGGAGTGGAAATATTTCTATTCAGGATTTCTGTTTTGCTAAAGAAATCAAACTTGGGCATTATAAAAGTGAGAGCACAATGCCTCCTGGTGCAGTAGTGGCAAAGAGGCTTAAGAAACAAGACAGTAGAGCTGAACCCCAGTACAAAGAAAGACTCTCGTATCTAGTAGTGAAAGGTAAATCTGGACAGATATTAAGAGAAAGATGTGTATCAGTATCAGAATATTTTTCAAATGACCATTTTGCCCTCGATTCGGAATACTATATAACAAAAACGCTGATTCCCCCACTCGATCGGTTGTTTAATATAGTTGGTATAAGTGTATCCGATTGGAATCAAGAGGGGCCTATGTTTGTTGAGGGTTCCATTAAACCATATACTGGCGCAGACAATATCCCCACTTCGACTAGATGTAAAGCCTGTGAACAAAACACAGTTTCTGGTGATAGCTATCTTTGTGACAATTGTGTTTCTAATGAGAAAATGGCTGCATCAAAGCTTATTATTAAGATTCAAGCCAGCGCTAGTAAGTTAAAGGTACTAAATGATATATGCAGAATATGCAGTAGACAATATACAGGAGACATGGGGCTACTGAGCTCCAATAATGCATTGAAGTGTGTATCTTATGATTGTCCTAATTATTATTCCAAGCTTAAAGCTCAGAGATTAATGCAATCTAAGCACTATTATTCTTGGAATGAGCTGTTGCACAATATGGATCATTGGTAAAAACTTCATGGATGATTGGAACCGGTTTGGTAGTAAATGCTAATTAGTAAATAATATTAAACAAGAATTTTGCTTTCGAAAACAATTCATCCACCAAATAAACTTATATTATGAAATGGTTTCGTAAGCTGATTGTTTATTCTTATCTTTTTTCTGAGCTCCCGATATCAAATTTGTGTATTCTTCTTGTATTACTTCCTCTGGTTCAAAACTCTTTGAATTGTAGTTGTTTACATCATCTGAATGTAATTTTATAACGTTGTCTACGCAAAAATATTGAAAACAATTCAATATTATGGGGAACACAAACATAACCAAAGTGACTTGTAAATCGGGCCATCTATCTGACCAGGATAAAATTAAATTAGCAAACCAGTATGCTAAATCTTCAAAATAGTTGAGTACTAAATATACACAGATTTTCATAACTATCAAACTACTGGTAAAAATACCTAGCTGTTTGAAAAATGCAGTTATTAATGGCTGTTCTGACTCTTGTGATTCTATATCATTCTCCTCTTCGGCAAAATAGTTCCCTGATTCAACGTTTTTGATGTTGAGATATTGCAGAATATAAGTGATACAATTAATCGCCAACCAGAGAATTGGTATCCCCACGGTAGTATCCAGTAATAGATTTAAGAAATACCAGTCACACTGTTCATCTGAACCATCATCTTCTCTGGTAGAAGACACGCTCTCTATGAGATTCCCTATTATACTGATAAATAAATATGCTTTTTTTTCATGATGTCTCTTTAAAACACTTATGCCAACATTAATAAAATGTATACCCAAGGCACCGATGATTTGCTTGCCAATATCGAACAGCCATATCTCCATCTTTCTCCTCGGGTGCTCGTGATTTCTCTTAAATAGCAACAAAGCTAGTGCAGAAATCCCCATTAAGCACTGAACTAGCAAAGATGCAGGCCCCAACAACTGGCAGTTATCCATTCCTGGTTTGATCGGTCCCATTTCTTGGTTTGACTAATCGTATATTCGCTTTAAAATGGCAGGAGCCTTCATGGAATCCAATATAAAACTAACCTTAGAACACGCACCTATTCTAAACAGTTGATATTCGAGCTTAAGTCAATATGTAGCCTTCTTGGCCCTCACTGATATCAAGTTTATTACACTCAACAATTCCGATAATCACCCAATTTGAAAGTCAACGCCTGATTTGATTTTTTTCGCCCTTTAAATATTACCGATGAGATGAGCTCAAAAGCCGTGATAGGATAACAGTATTCACCAATATTTTAAATCTCATGCAGGATTGTAATAGAGTTTTCTATAATAATTGGGTCATTAAATTATATTACATCAAAGATATTTATTAATAATTATTGCATTCTAGTTTAGAAAAACTGCTTACAAATCGCTAGTAATCTATCGTCATCTGTAGTACGTACAGACTTTTTAGCATCAATGATTAATCCAGCTACAAATTTCCCGTTATTCATTGCACTTTCACTGCCTCTAACATTCTTATCTCTCAAATCTAAGATTTGGGACAAGAGGAATACCAATTGATCCTCATATTGATAGAGTAGGAAATCCTGTATTTCAGTGGGTTTATCAATGGTATTTCTCAAGTAAACACCAAGAGTCTTTGCAACTTGAAATAGAAGATAAACGTTAGCGGATTCTGATGTGTTATTTTCTTTAGCTACTTGATCGAAATGGAATAAGCATTCCCATAATCTATCTGTAATGTCCTTTTTGATTGGATTTTTAACAAGCAGCAGCTTGTCCAATGCCAAAGATGCAGAAATGGATCCATTTTTGCATATTAGTTTCACGAATCCTTCTGAGATATTACCCTGGAAAATAAATTCTATTTTAGAACTAGGTATAACTGTTAGTAACTTGTTCAGCAAACCGTTTACCAAAGGAATTAATCCTTGAAAGTATTGTGCTTGCTCGTTACTATATGTTAGAAGATTAGCAATGCCTTGTAAACTGTCATTAGGGAGTAATAGGGTATTACTTAAGTTTAAAACCTTTTTGAGAAGATCCAAAACACCTTGGAATTGTACTGGGTCAGAAAGCTTTTTTGAGTAGCAAATAATGTCCGGTATTGATAACGTTTGTTCTAGTTCCTTTGATTCCTCAGTTGATCTGATAGCGTTTGTAATATTGATAAAAATAGCACCGATTGTGTACGGCGAAGGATTCTCATTTCTTAGATGATTTAAACACATATTCATCTCCGAGTGAGTAGTATTTGATTTATCAGAGGCGATATACCCTGATGTCGTGACCAGGCGTCTCATGATGATCAATTTATTATGAAACTTTAGTTCTTCCAAGTTGTCTATTGTCTGTAGAATGTTTTTTTGGATTATATCTTTAGTCTCCTGTTGTTTGTCAAAGTTAAATGTACCATCGATACTAAAAACAATCTCAGCTATATTTGTTAATGTTGCCAAAAGCTCGATTAGTGGCTCTTCATCATCGCCATCATCAATTTCTACAGAAGCCGATGTGATGTAGGTGGACAATTGATAATAAAGAGTACTCACAATCTTCATTTCATCTAATGTAGCGCCCTTTTTGTCGAATTCTAGGATAGCATCAATAAGTTCAGCAATAAACAATGCCATTTGTACTTCGTTTTCAGATGTCAAATTAATGCTATCCAACCTCAAATAGCTGGTAGGACATAGAAAAGCTGCATAATGGGTGACATAATTCCGGTTATCAACTATCAAATTCTTAACCATAGCTGCTAGTCTCATTTGTAGTGTTATGATAACATCAGGATCATTTTGCTGAAGATTTAAGGCTAGTACCTTAGCAAAATAGGTTTCAATTATAGGATTCGCCAAGAATCTATTTTTATCGAAGAATATGTTCCTATTATCATCGTTATCTGCAAAACTATTCGCGAGTACTCGTACTATCTCTGAGATTATCAATAATATATTTTTATTCGACTGGGTATCAACAGTGAACTCCTGCTCTAAAAGAAATGCCAATGATTCAGTTAGCGAGTCGAGCAATCCCGACCGACCAATTATTGTTCTATTGCTTTCTATTCTAGCACCCTGTGAGCATTTCTCTAAAGCACTCGTGTATACTTGGACATTAGATTCATCGATGTTTGCCACTTTCAATTGTTCAATATCTAGTAGAGGCTTCAACTCAAATAACAGCGTCTCATAATCCATGGTTTTTTCTTGTAAAGTAGTAAACTGGGTGCTCTCTTGAATTGGATTGAATATATCGATAATAATGGTTTAACAATAAATTCTCTTTATCGAACAATGATTCGAGTGTAAATATGAATCCAATATTTAAGTTTTTTGATACTTCTATACTGCGATGAATGGCTTCTGTATTCACCTAAACATTAAAAGTCGTCATGCTCGAATAAATAAATAGATCAATCTGATACTCAATGTAGGGAATATAAAAAATACTTAAGCCTTCTATGCTATAAATAAGAAATGTCAAAAAGTAAAAAGTTGTATATTGTGAATAAGGTCTTTGTAAGAATAGATGAGATATGAATAATTAAATGAACTAAAGAATGCAAATGAAAAAAATGAATTTTGAAGTGAAGTAATAAAATGGCACAGAAAATCATCATAGTGTATAATTTGTGATTTATAGTCCTCTGTGGTTATAGTCTGTGTTTATGGTATTCTCTACCACCATTGGAATGTGTCTGTGGTGTGTGTGTGTATGACAAAAAAATAATAATTAACGTTCTTTGTGCTCAGTTTTGTTCTTTGAGCTTCTTCAAGTGCTTCAGCACTGTCACACCGGGCCTTTTTCTGCCACCTTTGCCGTTTCTATTAAGTATGCTTTGCACTTTGTCGAAGAACGCTTTCTTTTGGAAATTCCCTTGCTCATCAAAATCATTCGCATTTTCTCCAGTGGCACCGTTCAGTTTCCTACTATTTACTACCGGTGGCGTGAATGGTTTTAAGTCCTTTATCACATCACCGGGCACATTATCCCACTCGGCATACATCTCACTACCTGTAGCGGACGACACCCAGGGGCTCATGGCTTCCTGAAACTCTTCTAACTTCATGGCAAACTCATACAGAGTCTTGCCCTCCTGGCTGTTTTTGGGCTCGACGTCGAAAAACAGCGGCCTATAACCAGAGTACAACACCTCCGTGCTCATGTTCTTCAGCTTTGTATCAGATATCTGCTCCACACGGGGCAAAGTAGAGTAATCATACACTTTCTTCTTCGTCTGAGCCTTCTCGGACTTCAGATCCCTCACAGCGCCCCCAGCCTCCTGAGCAGCACTCGTCACACCACTGTTGTACTGCTTCTTGTCGCTGATCCCCAATCCAAGCTTCCGAACACTCCGCTTCTTCTTTCCCAACTGACCCTTCTGCAACAACGACTGACTGCTGGGAAACGAGAATGACGACTGGTACCGAACCTGCCCAGCGCTCCGCAATCTAACAAACATCGTACGTATCATCGCCTGCTTAACAACTCTATAGACTCTTGCTGTCCTAGCCGCTCCCCCCCAGGTACAAAGAACCAAAGAGACACTCATCCTCTTATATACTCGTCAAAGAGCCAAAGTTCCCGGGAACTTCACTTTCATTGCTTTTTTCCCACCCAGCTGGATCGTTTCTTTTTTTTTCGCCACTCCTGTACGGAAGATTCTGTGCAGGATCAACCCACAATCCCTCGGGTAACCTTTAGCATTCGCTGTGGAAGCGAGTTTTCTAGAAGAGAGATATAGGAATAGTCACGTGATACAATGATGTATTGGACTGTAGTAATAGTATCTTGTATTGTACTGTGCTGTATTGTGCTGTACTGGTATTGAGAACTGCCAAATATACTATAAATGATGCCAGTGTGATATTGTATTTCTAGATATAATACCCTATGTTCTATATATGTCGTTAGTCTATGGAGATCATGTTATCTTCATGCCGATGGGCAGGGTCAATGAACGCTTCACGGGTAGGTACAAGAGCGCGCTGGAGCTTGCCATGGAGTTCTGCCTGGTAAATGGAGACTGCACCACGAAGCTCATGGTGCTGTTGTGTCCCTTCAATGGAGGCAGGACGACTTCGTCGTCCTCCTCCGAGGCCGAGGAATCGTCCTCATCGTCAAATAAGTTGGTGCCTTCCGATCCCTCACTGTCGTATTCTGTCAGAACAGAGGCAATAGGGTCCTTGAGACTGGCAGTGCTCTGGTGAGTTAGCGCTGGTTCGTTAGTTGCACTGTGCTCACCCTGGGCCATCTCTAGTCTCATCTTGATGCGTCTTGAGATCACTGTGCTCAAGTAGTGCTTGTACAAGGTCTTGATATCGTCCACGTTGGCGCCATATCTAAAGTTTTCCGGAGCGTAGGACTTTGGTCCCGCCAAAGTCCTTGGAGCAGCCTCCACAGGCTCAGTTTCGACGTAGTAATCGCTCGTAGACTCTTCACTCTCTTCTTCCTCTTCTTTAATCTCCTCCTTGATGGAGAATCTGCTCATCGAAAGTGGAATCACTTTGTTCTTCACCACAATGGATGGCTGTCTTGCAATGGACGATAGACCAACGGAACCACTGGAGCGTACCAATCTCCCTTTGGACTTGATACTGCTGTTCCTTGAAGAGATCCTGGAGTTCTCCACAGTATCGTACTCGATCATCGAGTTGCGGTTATTTGCGGATGCCTTAGGTGTTGCCACATTAGAGGTCAAGATAGACGCAGCCCTTCTAATCGATGATGGCGTACGTCTCAGTGATGGCGTGGTTTTCATTGTCTTGGTAGCCGCAGGCACATCCGCAGTCTTTTCCTTACTTTCCAAGATATCATGCAGATTATTATTGATTTCTGGAACCGTTTCCGATACCAATGCTGGTTGTAATGACTTGAGAGACATAGACTTGTGCAACTTGTTGTTAAAGCCGTGTGTCCTCTTTTGATGCAATGTATGTGGTGCAATAGAGCTAGACTCCTGTCTGAGCTTTTTTTCATGCCTTACTTTAGGCAGTTTCGATATCTCCAATCCACTGCGTATACTATTGGAGCGTGAAAATGACTTGGAATTCTTCTTGAATCTGAACAACTTACGTCTCATCACCAGTCTCAGTTTGTTACAGTTTTTTCTAATCTTTATTCCTAACTTTGTGAAATACTGTAACAGTCCACCTTTGCAACGTACTGCATTAGACCTTTTCAAGGAAGACCTCGATGATCTTACTGAACTCGATGCTGTAGAAGTCTTCCTCGTAGACTCCAAAGAGGAGTTGATAAGGGAGGACATATACACATTGCTTAGAGAAGGTGAATCGTTTGTACTAATGGCAGCTCTCGAAGTAGCCCTTAGCTGATTCTTCACCACTGAGTTTTGTGGTTTATGGTTCTTATTTTCACTCTTATTAGAAACAGCGTCCTCGTAACCTGAAATGTCGGAGAAATCAAAAGATATATTATCAGCTGTTGGAATAGTCTGTTGTGCTATGGTAGTGGATATTGATTCCGCTGTCTTGCTCTTCTCCCTTGTCTGTCTTAGATTTTGATTACTTCCCATGTGCCCGTACTCGTAAGTGCTCCGTATCCTCTGCCTCTGAGGATCCAGAGACTCCACTGTTTGCAGTTGGAACGAAGACTCTGTGTTCTCCAGTATGGGCGAGACCATGTTGTTGTGATTGTGTAGCTTTGGAGATGCGGTGGTATTGTCTGAGATGTTAGCGAACGAGTAATAGCCGTTGGAAGAGTTACCAGAGTAAGTATTCGCATTGGACGCAGAAGAAGTGTAATCAGACAACATCTGCGAGCTAACCTCTATATCTTCCTGTGGCTTGAGCGACAATGTCTCATTGACTATTCTGTGGTTGTCGAGGGAGTGCTCATCCACCGACCCACGGACCGGCGACGGAAACGTAAAATCCATCTGCTTCCCATTGAATGACTTTGTCTTTGTCCGTGTGGGTGTTCTTATTATCATCCCACTCATTATTGTATGTTACTCTAGTGTATTAGCTTGTGGTATTAGCTTGTGGTATTTGTGTATAGAGCTTTACCGATTGGAAAATGGGGACAGGAGAAAGGGAAACGTTTCCGCCATTTTCCAAAAGGACACTTTATATATACTGGCACATCCACAAGGCATCATTTAAACAGAGATACCTTCTTACCTCGCACTTAGACCATTGCCCAACCACTCCCATCGCTTGTAAGCTTCCAGCTACTTGCTCTTTAAAATCAAAATGGCTTGGTTTATCCAGATTTTCAACCTCTTCAAGCTGTGGTGTAGAGATGCAAAATGCGATGAGCTGAACTTTTTCAAGAAATTTTAAGGGAAAATTGGTCTTCGATCTCGTCTGTGCGGGGCTTTCTGAGCTATGGGCCTTTTGAAAGAATTCCATTGAAGTGAAAAATTTCAAACAGCCAACTAGCGATACCCACCCACAGCGTATAAAGGTTTAGCCAGCCATCTTTTATCAGTGAACAATGGGTCCTGGGTTAGCGGTTGAGATCAGGAGGGGTTTAACAGCGACGACGATGGCTCATAGGAAGTGGTTAGTGAGGGGCAGTGATCTGCGGAAGGACATACTGCGGAAGTCGAGCAAGCGGTACAGAAAGTATGGTCGCAGCAAGAAATGTTTCAAGGAACTTGTGCAGTTGTTGTTGAAGGATGAATTTCTGGTTGACAACAACAAACCTCCGTCTTCTAAAGCAGGCACGCAGAAGGAGCTTGTGAAGTATTGGAGGAAGCGGAGGACGCTTTTCAGTAAAGTCAACTCGATGCCGATATATATGACTTCGGAGTTGTGGTTTAGTGTTACACCTGAACGGATAGCACGGTTTCTTGCAAACTTCATTTCTGCTTGCCTACCGAATGCCAAACGGATTCTGGATGTGTTCAGCGGTGGTGGAGGTAACTCAATACAGTTTGCGAATGTGTTTGACAGAGTGTATTGCTTGGATTCAAACCTGGAGCACTTATACTGCTCTATAAAGAATGGACAAAGCTATGGGGTTTCTAATAAGTTGTGGATGTGCAAAGGTAAATGGGGTGAACACACAGCTAAGAAGTTTCGCAAACTGAATATAGACTGTATATTTGGATCACCGCCTTGGGGTGGTCCTGAGTATATCAAGGATGAAAAATATGATCTGGAGAAAAGTCTGCTCCCGTTTGGACTTTACAAACTATTAAAGACCTTTAAGATAGTAAGTGATAACATCATATTGTTCTTGCCTAAGAATTCCAATTTAGACCAGCTTAGTGAGACTACAAAAGAAGTATTTGGGCCCGAGGCCAAATGCAAAGTCCTTTATATTAAGGAACAGGGATACCTGAAAGGTATGCTATGTCTTTGGGGGTCTGCATTTACTAACTATCAACAAGATACAGCATCTGATAGTGAAGAAGAAGAAGGCGAAGAATTAAATGAGAGTGATAAAAGTAAAAATGCGAATATATACATTAATTACGATATAGATGGATGAGTCTAATAATATTCATATCTAGAATCCACATTCAACAGTATTGATATAAACATGTGTAGTTTAGAACGCTGTTCGTGACTCTCTTTTTCTCAGAAGTCTGCAGATAATAGAAGAAAATAAAGTGACCAGCACAATCTTCCAATTACCAGAGTTTTCGGTAGAAGCATATCACTAGACCTATGAAAACTGCAATTAAATTCTGCAGTGATCTTTCAAGTTTAGTATGAACGTAAATTGAAATAAAATAAGAACCCAAAAGAATAATACAATCCCAACAAACAATTTGCGGTTGGGTTTTTTAATTGACCGTTGTAATGAAATGAAAAGTTAGATGCAATATTGTGTATACCTAAGCAAGCAAATAGCATCCATGCAAAAATAGTGTCATAGATTGCTTCAGGAATTGGAAGGTAAATCTCTTTTATTAAAGACAATATTCTCACCTGCGAATGCTTTCAACTTTGTTAGTAGTTGGCCTTTCTCGTGAAATTTCAATATATCATCGGCAATTCCATTATTGATCAAGGAGTGTCCGTTGATAAATAAGTAAGGTGCTTTTGCCTGTTTAACAGAGGTACTCTTTAGAACTTCAACTTTTGTAGACTTAATCTTGTGGGACAGGATGTGTCTCTCTAAGAGAACATCGTGGTCATGTTTATCTAAGTCTACAATGGCCAATTCTGGCGTAATCTCGTAATCCCTTGTAAGCAATTTCCTCAGTATGTTAGACTCGTACTCAGATGACCTAATGAACAAGACAGCAGGGGAAGTGTTGATAATCTGCTTAAAGTTCTTTTCTGGATCATATTCAATCACTGTGCCGTCTTTAGCCACTGATGAGGAAGACATGGAAGTATGTGCCACGCTGTTTAAGTTATTGCTCTCTTTCTTGATGGAATTGACACTGGCCTTTCCAATTAAAGCATTGCTGTTGAGGCTATCTGTGCTTGCTATTATGGATTGGATGGGTATATCAGTGCTGAATATACCAAGAACGTTCCCGAACGTTAGAAGCAGCAGGACTAGCACAAATACCGTCCCACCAAGACCCCTCTTGGCTCTAGTCCATTGTATATTATCGGCCTTCTCTTTAGACATTGTATATATATATAAAAAAAAATTCTTTGGCTGTACTTGGCGACAGGTGTTATGAATATGCAAATAAAATTACAGACTATCACAAAGAAAATATTGTGATGTTTGGGAAAGGGTCCATCTTATATATAAGAAATTTATGTTGTTTGTTGTTGTTGTTATATTTTTTTGTCCAATTCTCTTACTGTAAGCAACGCCTCTTCTGTATGTGCTACGTTCTTCATTTCAGTAGGGTATTTTGGCAATGCATTCAGAGTATAGTCAATCAGCGATGTGCGAGTCCCGGAATTCCGTTTCACTTGAAAGAAAGAAATTCTTTCACTCTGTGGTGCGTGGGTACTGTGTGTCAGATGTGTGTTTCACAAGTGAAGTCATACAGAGGGACTCCCCTCACTTAGCTAGTATTAGTCAGTTTACTGCACGAAAGAGTAAAACCAACGCGAGCTATTTTATTCTTTTTCTTTTTTGCTATCAGTAAGGGAACTCATACCAATTCCTTTTGCTATCCTTCTAGAAGCAGCCTATTATCTTCCAGAGCTTTGGTGTTATCTTGCTTTTCCATCCGTTCGCACAGACAAACCCGCAGGTAACAAAAGAGTATCTTTTTACGTAAATCAATCCTCGAGAAACAGACAAAGTTTGCTGAAGTAGCAATTGCTCTCGCGCAAGAGACACTGGGAGTTCTTTGGCCTCTCCCTCATTCTATGCATCATCCGATTATTGCTGTCTGTGCGATGTGTACTTTCTGTCGTAGGGAGAACACAGAGATAGGAATCAAGAAACTTTACAAGCCACTAGAAATTAGTACTAAAGCACTAGGAAAATCGCTAAATCGCTCACCACTGCGCAGCCCCCCCATCCTTTCTAACACGGGAGCTCAGACACGTACAAGTACAGCTAATCGTAGAAGGGAAAGGTTAGACTAAAGGGAACAGCAAATGCAACAGAAACTGTAGCCAATCCTCTCCATTGGTCCTTCTGCGAGGTTATCCTGTGGACACTTTTTTAAGTTTCGGGAAAGCACGGACAATCCCCTGCCATCACCCCAACTTAACAACAGTACATCACAATGTGTGCTTTCTGCAATTGCTACAAGTCTAGATTTTAATTCAATTCCTACCTTTCTTTTGTGTACAGTAACAGTATCAAAATTATGCAACAAAGTAACAAGTAGAATGTATGACAACGAACCTGGGCCTCCTACCTGCCATACTGGGTGAGATTCAAGTTTGAGAACAGCATAAACCAAATGCCCCTTTCACTCTTTTGTGTTGTACACGCGTTCTGTGTGGTGCTGGCAGTGGGGTTGGTAGGAGAGGGACTTAACAAACACGTATACATGCATAATAAGCAAACACGAAAAAAAACAACAAACAACAACAATAACGAAAAGATAAACAGAACGACTTGGGATCAATTTAAAGTTTTGATGTAGGCTTTAACAAACATTACCTTTCAGTTATTGCTGCTGTTGCAATCTCTTAGCACTTGTCAAAGCCTCAATCAGTTTATCCTTTGTTTGCAGCGACCTCTTTAATTGCTCTGTTTCAGTGTGAGAGTCGTTCAATTGCTTCTCTAGGGACTCCGAGTAACGGTGTGCCGACTGTAGTTGACGCCTCAAGTTGTCGAATTTGGTCTCTAGCATAACGGCAACTTCTGATGGTAGCAATTGCGCAATTTCTTCTAACTCAGCATCCACGCCAGTGCTATTCGTACCTGCATACCTTCCTTTGTTATCAAGGGCAGGCGAAGAGCTAACCAGAGTGGAAGAACTGCTGCTATTACTGGTGTTTCTTGTGCTCGCACCCGATACACCCATTCCGTCTTCTACCAGCAAGCTCTCATAATGCTTCAACTTGTTTTTCAACAACAAGTTCTCCTTGGTTAATAGCTGCGTATCTGGATGCAAATTTTGTTGTGCACCATTCATTGTTCCGGATGCAACTCCGGCAGAGACTTCCCGAAGTTTTGCTAATTCTCGATCCCTTGTTTGCAATTGAATCAATAGCTCTTGAATTCTTTGTTCGCTTCTGTCATCACCACCGTCTAACTTTGAGGGTGAACTAAATGGATGAGCAGATCGATTTATCCGCTTGTAGACACGTGAAACATCGAGTGCAACGTTCTTAGACCGGCTCGCAAACCTCAGCGTGTTCAAGGTCTCACTGCTACTCTCGTGTGCCAAATCTATTGTACATAGTGCAACGACAACACTATCACCGCTTAGAGCAGGTTGCAATAATCTGGTTAACTTAGAATCTCTATATGGTATATGATTCCCGGAACTACTTCCATTTGGAGACGCCAATGACTGTTGGGAATTAGCTGCTCTACCAGTATGATGTGATCCATTGTTTTCTGCACTTAGTCTAGATATTACTGTTCCTAATGCCAGTAATGAACGATTAATGAATGCACCTTCTTTACGTCTTTCATTCTGACCTACTCCTCGCTCTGACCCCGCTAAATCACACAATGATAGCGTTCTTATATTTTGTTCTCCAGTTCTAATATCCTTAGAAATAAGCCGTATCATCACAATTGCATGAGATCTCGAGCTCCTAGTATTGAACTCAGTTTCACTGGTTTTACGATTCTTATTGCCTTTGTTGATCCAATCCAAAACTTCTTCACTAGTGTCACACCTCTTTTGGGTTAACCCTACGACTCGCACACCGCATTCAGAGTCATCTCTTATTTTCAAATCACCTGAACTGCTAGTATGTGTAGATGTGAATAATCTTGACGGAGTGTTTTGTACGTTGCTGCCGCTCGCTACGTCTAAAAGGTCATTTATTTTCTCATTGTATATTTCCAGGTATGACACCCACACTTCACTTTTTTCATTTTCAGTATTAGTTTTCTCAAGCAATGAGCTGAACAAATACGAAACTGATAGTGGTATTAGCCCCTTTTCCTCTTCAGTACCACTCATCGTAAATGTTTTCCCTGAACCAGTCATACCATATGCGAAGATAGTGGCGTTGTAACCTTCAATTAACCTGTCTATCAGGGGTTGCGTAGTCTTTCCATATATGTCAAAATTTGAGCAACCAGTTGAAAATACATGGTCGAACGTAAAGTCACCAATATCATTATGTGATATTACTTTATCGCCATGAATTTTCCAGGATACAATTTTTTCCGTTGGGTATGGCTTAGGCCGTATCACTACTTTAATAGTTCCTGTATACTTATCTAAATTACCGCTCCCATTCTCATAACTTGATGATTCCGATCTGTTCCTTATTTTACCGTATTGCAAGTACGGATCGCCTCCGAATGATCCAGGCCTCAGTGGTGAGCTGCTTCTAGAAGAGGAGCCCGAACTAGAACCATTTCTAAAACCCCTAGTCACGGAACTCCTGCTCCTAGCATAGCTGGATATCGATACAGCTGAATCCAATGATGGCGAGGGTGATTTCATTACCCTTGGAGTCTCAAATCTATATTTTTCGCTGTCCCTCGATGCGCTCATCACAGTTAACAAAGTTTGTCTATAGTTTCCCGTAACAGAAAATAAAATATCAGGCTCTTGATCGTTATACCCCGTGTCAACCTTATAGAAACTAGGATGCTATCAATCCCGTACTTACATCAAGGCTTGCCATATACGCCATCACTTAATGCCTGGCAGTTTGTTTTAAATCCAATTTTCTCTATTGTTGACATTTCCTATTTCGGATATCTAATCGATGATCTCCGTTGAGAGGATGGCAATAGTGACAGATAGACCCATTGTCCTGAGTAAAGCTATAAGTAAAAAAAAGTCAAATAAGTTGCCAGTTTCATTTTAGATATGCAAGATAGTATTTAAATTTGTTGTAGTACAAGCAATGTTTCAATTGTTACTCTAACTATTTGCAATATGCAGAACCTTAATTAAGATTGTAGCTGAAACAGCAAGTCAGTTATGTGCCCATGGTGCAAATATGTTGAGCACCTCACAGATGTTTACCTTAATAAGTATATATTTTTTCTTTAAAATTTCACTCATGTTTATATAAAAGTTATATCTCTATTATTTAAGATCTAAGTTACACGGTCTGCGAGAAGAACAGCAAGCAAAGTATTCATCTAATTATACAGAGCTAATGCTATAGCTTGTAGGAGTATCAAACATCCATTAGCGTGGCCCTAAAGAACTAATAATTTCAATTCAGATCAGAAGTATAAAATAGACTAAGGCATATAAAACCGCTAGGCGAGATATCAAGTCTTAATTTCTCTTCAAAACAGTAAAAAAATGGAAGATCGCGAAGAAAACAAAATGGCAAAGTAATAATAAAATCTCTAAACCATTGGTATTTTTTTGTATTTATTTTATAATAGAACAAATGTGACAATGGACCAAACATAATCTCCAAAAGCTCAAGCAGAGTGTACAGCCTCAGCTAAACTGACAACATTGGCATCAAGATCAAACACAGAATAGTATCTGCGTAAGAAAGCGTCACCCAAAATAGCCATTCTTCCGATTGGCTCTGGGAAATCCATTGGAGTAATAACAGAGATACAGCTACCAGAAACTTCTAGTGTATATTCAAATGGTGACAGAACAAAATCATGTCCATCAAGGGTAAATGTTAAATCAGGTAGTTTAGCTCTAGTAGAACATTCCAGAGTATATTGACCAGTCCAACCCTTCTTTGCACCAATTTGTGCGTTAATAATCTCAGCCATATCAGAGGGTAATGTAATCAACGAGGTACCAGTATCAATCGCAGCACCAGTGTTTTCTAGTTTGCCGGTACTCTGATCACCAAGTTTAATTGCATTCAATGGAACTTCCCAATAAGCCTGACGGCGAACATGTAATGGTATCAAGTCACCTTTGAATTTTGATGAATCAACTCCACCCAGTGTGAACACACCTCCGTCACTTGCGGATCCTCCTTCCGCTGCTGGGTCATTGACACTCTTCAGATAAAAACTAAACTTTGACTCATCTAATAGGTGCTGTTGAATAGCTGAGTAAAATGGTGGTGTGATATCATCTTGTGCAATTGTATCATAAGCAAGACCCAAAATACCGTCAAATTTACCGAAGGCAAAAGCCAACCCTGGTTCACTGGTGGTTTCACCAAACTTCTGATTCTGAATAGTCAAATCACCAATCTGCAAATTATCTTCAGAAATATAACCTTCGATCGAACCAGAGCCATAACTGATAGATAATGGTCGACCATCCTTAATATACGTACTGGATTGAGAATGATCGTATTTGTTGTGCAAAAAGCAGGCTAATGAACCACAATCGACACTTGGCACCCAAAGATTTGACGAACCAGTGTCAAGTATAACCTTAAACTTTTGAGGTGGAGTACCCAAAGAAATGTCAGCAAAATATTGGGCATCCATATAGTTTGACAATGGAACGTTGTGAACCTGATCAGGATAAAACAGATGGTCCCTTGGTAGCACAGTCCCGGGGTTAGCCTTCTCATATTGACTCACGTACTTGTGACCTAGTTGCTGGACGTGAGCCTCAAAGCCCAACTCCAACATTTCCTTGGTCAATTTTTCCTTCTTTAATTCTGCTTGGAATACCTTGGCATCAGCATAGTCTCCCAATAGCATTAATGCCAATGGCATTAATACACTTAGTGATAGTCTCATTCTTGTTTTTTGTAGTTATAGCTTAACAATGCTGTATTTGAGAAGTTCAATAGGTTAATTATTAAAGAACTCTCAATACTAACGTATACTTTAATGTCAGAACAATAACTAATAGAAACTATTAGAAATAGAAACTGACTATCGGTTCAAATTCAGAAAGGGTTGGCTGTTTTATATATTATCCGAGCACCCTTTTTCCTAAAATTCGAAGTTTCTCCCTTGCCTCCCTAATAACGGTGTAAAGGTGGGGCAATTATAATAGATGTGAACCAGTTTTCCTCTTTTTGTGATAACTCCGCACTAAACACAATAATGAGCCACCTTTTACGCTCAGAAATCCCTGCAGAAACTTTAGGTTTAACTTCAACACACCCTATTGCCTTTTTTTCTAGTAGTCGTACTCCCTACGCACAGAAAACGAACAACTGACGAAAGTAATTTCTAGTTATCAGTCTAATCTATCTCCAACTGGTCGAAGAATTGAACTCGCTCAAATAAAGAACAACCAGAATTCTATATAGATTTCAAAAGTGAGCAGACAGACGCTAGTCACGTGCACGACTCAAGCTATACTCTCTTATAATATAATCAGTTAATTATCCCAAAATGACTGCTACTCCAATGAAAAATGGTTTGAAATAACAACTACCGCTCAGACCAACTCAAAACGGATAGACCAAACAGAGACACGCAATCAATTAAGTAACTGTAAAAAATATGACAAATAAAATAGGATGTTTGACAACTGAGAACTCTCTTGGATAATATAAAATAGTATATTGACCAGATATCTTATATTTATGAAACAATCTTATCGTTTTTATCCTTTTAAACTATCAACACTCTATATACTTACTTTTCCCGAATATCTAATGGATAGCAAAAACTTTCGGAACTTAAAAGAAAGAAGAACTCGGACCAGGAAAGCAGAACATGATAACTAGCAAAAGCGTCCACCTTATATACCTTTTTACCAAAATAGCCAGTCATGGGCTCACAACATGGATCTCCCATGATTCGCACAGAAAATGCTGTACAACGCTGTTTTGATAAGTTAGACATGGCAAAAACTGAATGAAACACACACAATTGCCGCACAGATTTCCATTCCTCAGACAAAATATTGTTAACCGCCAACCAGCTAATACTTCGCTTCCACCCCTTCTTTTTCTGCAGTCCTACTGACATTTCTTAGGCCTCTGACCATACCACTTTCCGCAGAGTCATGTACCAGCTGATTGTCCACCCCTATCTCTAGTATTATAAGTTTGCTCCGAGATCTCACCCTTCCTACTTGAACACTAAAAATAGTGCTGAATACGTAGAATCAGCCGTGGAGGTACAAGGAGAGCACGGCGGTTAGCCTCAACTGTGGATTTTTCTTTTTTTTTTGGCCGTCCCAAACAATAAGTGCAAACGGCACCATCATTACTGCCCGTTTAGGTAAAAGACAGGTTATCATTGCAGGAGCTATGTAAAGAGACACCCGCTCAGAGATCTCGTAGGTTGCAAGAAGAGTAAAACAAAATACAGAAGCTAGTGAAGTGGCTTGTGCTGGGATCGCTGTCTCTGTTCCAGAATTGTTTCACACTATCGAAATTGGCGCTGCGTAGATTTGCTCGGCGGCAAAAACAAACCAACAAGGGCGGCTAAATTTAAACTCACAGAATATATATAGACAAGGTATGGAAAGGGCCACATTTCACAGGTGATCCAAACTTGATATATCTGCTACAATATACAAGATTGCCTACCAGACGGCGTTATTCATGAGTCTATATGTATTTATAAGTCTATGAAACATAAAATCTATCTCTTGTTGTATGTAAATATAGAACTTCATTAAGACTAAACAGTAAGAATGGTTCAGTTGTGGTTTTATTCAAAAAAATTGCATATTTTCAGCGTTATGGTCAGTTTGGTCAAGCTTAGCTCTCTTAACTTTCCTAGATGGGTCGGTTATTGATTGTGAAAGCGAAACTGAATGCACTTTCTTCAACAGGTTCCTATTTTGATCCATTGTTTCGTTTGCTTCTTTAGTGCTGGACCTCTGGGCGGCCATTATCTTGGCCAATCTTGACACTAACTTTAGCTCATCTTCTGTCTGCGAGGTCACAGATCTCTCCTCATTTGGAATCCCTAACCCGTTATTGAACAAACCCGTTGTATCGTTCAATTCAACTTGAAAACCAATGACGAAGTCTTTCTGCTTATCCTTAATAATCTTGATTTCATCACCTTCTTGAAGTAGATATTTCTTTCCTGGAGTCATTCGAATGTCGTTCACATAACTGTCATTTGAACCAGAATGGCAATACCATATATCATCTAGACCTTGAGCTGGGGACTCATATATACTTTTACCAATCGGATGTCTCTTTTTCAAAATGAAACAATGGACTCGCGAGAGCCTGTTGTCATCTATTCTGCAATTACAATCATCTGACCGTCCAATAAAGAAAGGATTGATACCTTGCTTTATCTCAAAACTTTCTTGAATTACACTCTCCGGCAATGGTTTGAAAGTCATAAACTTACCGGAACCTTTTTTCTTAACACTTTTCGTGTACTTCTTTATATTTTCAATAGGGTTGATTACTTTAGGTTGTGTAAAACGTGTTGGCGGTTGCGTCGGCACTTTGAAATCCTTTAATTTATCATTGATCGGCTCATCCTGTTGAAGTTTCTTCTGAGCTTTCAAGAACTCGTATTGCGCATCATCGAGACTTTCAAGTGCTTTTTGTTGCGACATGGATTGTGACAAGGAAACTTGTGAACTCATGGAGTTAGCATCAAATTGAGATGAGCATTGTTTAATCCATGGATGATTCAGTGCATCGTCAACAGTCATCCTCTTACTTTGATCGACCTGTAAAAGACCATCAATGAAATCTCTTGCTTCATCAGATATCCGAAAGTCTTTCAGTGGCCCTTCATGATAAGAACCTTTTCTTATTTGCTCATAGAGTTGTTCCTGAGTACTACCGCTGAAGGGTAAATGCCCAGTCAATATAACAAATACAAGACAACCCATCGACCACATATCAACTAGGGAAGAGTACTCTATACGTTCTTCCTCTGTCTCTTCTTCGCCTGTAGCACCTGTAAATCCTCCAATTACTTCTGGAGCAACATATGCTAATGTGCCACAGAATGTCTTCATAATAGATCCGTTGCCTTGCACTTTAGCCAAACCAAAATCAGTTATTTTAACCAACACAGGGTCATCCTGTTCTATCAAGATATTATCAGGCTTTAAGTCTCTATGACTAATCCCCTTTGAATGTATATACTGTATAGCCTCCAATATCTGTCGCGATATTTCTCTACCAGCTTCTTCTCCTACAGCGCCATGTGCAGCAACGAAGTCCATCAGGTCACCGCCAGAAATAAACTCCATTACCATATAGTAGTTTGCTTCATCCTCATAAAAAGCTTTCAGACTTACTATACGAGGGTGGTTTAATTTCTGCAAAACCTCTAATTCTCTTGAAACACCGTCCATATTACCAACTACTTTCCGCTTATTAATGATTTTTACAGCAAAAGTTTTACCTGTATTTCTCTCTACAGCCTTTTTGACAGTAGCAAAAGCACCAGTGCCGACCACTTCATCATTAATGGAGAAATCCTTGTATATACCCGTTAGATTAATGTTAGGGTTGGCATTGCTTTTGGAGCTTACCTTCAGACCTTGACTACTCAACTCTTGTCTCACTTCTTCCAGATAATCTCTAAACTTTTCATTGATAAATATCACCAGTGATATAATATCTGAGGAAACACCTAAACCAACAGTTATTTCATCTCCCTGTGACAGCAAGTGATTTCTATCCTTTTCTATCCTCTGATTATTCAACCAAGTTCCATTTGTAGAGATATCTCGAAGCAATAAGTTACCGTCTTCACCAAGAAGTATTTGAAAATGCTTATTTGACAACCGTGATATGTTTCCTAGATGGTAATCGCAAGCGTTGTTTCTACCAAAAGTCCATATTTTCTTGATCGATTCTTTCTTCTTTGCTATCTGTTCCACATCCACTTCCATGTCCTTGATCGGAATCTGTCCCGATGTGCATATAACTCTATACACGCTATTCTTCTTGATCTGCTCCTGAGTAAAATTGTCAATCAAGTACTTCTGCGTAGCCTGTGTTGCCTGCTGGGTCGGTTGCGTCTCCATCATCTTCGACAACCTCTTTTCAACCTTGATAGAACTGAATTCAACAGTTTCACTGTCTTTTATTGTTGGTGTTGAATTTTTGCTATTTGCCTAAGCTGATCGCCCCAGATAAAGCTATTGCTATTAATATGCTTTACAATGTACGGCAAGCGGCTATCTTCATTTGCGAATACCAAGCCTATTATGTCATCTGATTCGATCAAATGCCCAAAACCTCTGAAATGTCAGTCTTCGATGTCAAAATCACAACTTTAGGTTCCACTGGCTGTAGCAGTTTACCCAACTCTCCCACGGATGATTCTGTGCAAAAAAGGCAATTTCAAACCCGAATTTCGTGTCGCGATGACATATAATCGGCACTAAGGCATCTTCACGCGTCTTCTGCAACGCACAAACGATTGTTATCACAGTCAATAGAACAGTATGCATCCAAGAAAAATGGACTGATTAGTAAATATGCACCCTTGATATGTGTTGACGTAAAACAGAGGCTATAGGTTCTACTAGCGACTACCTACCCGCTATCCCTCAAGCGCTTGATTCCTGCATGTAATTCCACCGGCGAAATAGAATATAACATAGCTTGAATATCTTGACCTGACAAAATAAAATGACTAGACAACAATCAAATCCAAATGAAGGCAACCATTCATCTCAATGAAAGCTATGAAAACTCCAGGATCTGAGATCAAAATGCCCAATTGAAGGGAACCGCTAAAATAAAGGGCAAATCACACATAACGACAAGTATATCTTAAGGGCCTTTCATATAAAGGGAACTAGGCGTTTCTGAACCAGGGAACTATAACAAAGCATCGCTGTTTCAGTTATAGTCAGAAGAAGGCGTATCAACTTAACCTTAGTTATAATCGGACTGTTGAAGTGCAGTTGATTTCAGCTATACAACGTTTCTGTGAGATTTTTTTTTTGAGAAAGTGGCCATTCGAAAGTATACTGCTGGCAAAATTATCCTCAATAGCGATGATACCTAGCAAAAGGATATTGACAGATAAGGATGTTAAGATATGGGAGGAGTCTGAAACCAGAGAGGATATACTAAGTTTTATTGAGTCTTTGGCTAAGGCGGTGGAAGGCTTTGAAAACGATCAAGTTAGTGAACCTGTAAGTGACAGTGTGCAGAGCACCATAGCGGTGTTAACAGAGATCGATAAGCTAATCAAGTTACACCCGGTAATACAGGATAAAAACACTTCCAGATTTGGTAAGGTCGAGTTTCGGGATTTCTACGATGATGTATGTGAAAAGGCTGATGACCTTTTGAGTTCTCATTTCCCCGCGCTAACCTCTGAGCAAATCGAGCAACTGTCAATATACTTACAGGAGTCTTGGGGAAACAAGAGAAGAATAGACTATGGATCAGGCCATGAACTCAACTTCATTTGTTTCCTGTACGGCCTAACTCATTATAAAATTTTTGATCTTCAGCGTGATGCCAGAAATTTAGTTCTAGTGTTGTTTATCGAGTATCTGAAGATAATGAGGGAAATCGAGACCTTATATTGGCTAGAGCCTGCTGGCTCACATGGAGTCTGGGGTTTGGATGATTATCATTTCTTGCCTTTCCTCTTTGGGGCATTTCAACTCGCACCTCATAAACACTTGAAACCAAAATCTATTCACAACGAGGAGTTGGTAGAGATGTTTGCAGATAAGTATCTATATTTTGGCTGCATAGCTTTTATCAATTCCGTCAAGACATCAACGTCTCTTAGATGGCATTCACCAATGCTGGACGATATAAGTGGAGTAAAAAAGTGGTCAAAGGTTGCTGAGGGTATGATAAAGATGTACAAGGCAGAGGTTCTAGGGAAACTTCCCATCATGCAACATTTCTATTTTAGTGAGTTCCTGGTATGCCCAGAAGGTATCTCCGAACCCCGTACTCATATCCACAACGGTGATGAAGATGATGACCAGTGCTGCCAGGATGGTGCAGCACATAATACCTGGGGTGATTGCTGTGGTATAAAGATACCTAGTTTGTATGCTGCAAATGCTATGGAAAAGCAGTCACACAAGCCAATACCGTTTGACTAGTCTCGACATATATTTATATACGTAAATGATCTATACTAACATTACTTACCAAAGCAATTCAATGGAAGGACAATGGAACACAAACGATTGTTATCATTTGATAAAATTTAATGCAATGTGTCTATATAAATAGCAATATAAAACTTTAAAGTCTTTGTGAATCTAGTTTTGGATTCCAAGGTAAATTAGGATGAGTGTCTTGAGAGGCAGTTTCATCTTGTTTCCAAATTTTGATTGTTCGATCTGTCTCACCTGTCAATAAACGTAAACCTGTTCCATCGAAAGTACTTGATAGGATACCTCGTTCACTTTCAGGAGAACCAGGCGCCTCTTTTGTCTTGAAAGTCTGATACTTATGACCTGATTTATAGTCAAAGAACGTTAATGATCCATTGTCAGAACCAGCAAACAAAACATCATCTTGATTAATCGATACTGTATTTATAACATCTAAGTCTTGTGAGACAAAGTTTGTTAGTAACTCTCCCTTTGGTAACAACCATGATCGTATATCATTTGTACACGCAGATGCAAACGAAAATTCAGATGGATGAACTGATATATCTCTTACCGTTCTTTGATGATGTGTTAACACCTTCATTGATTTTCCTGCTACTAAATCCCATAATCTTATTGACGCATCTACAGAACTGCTGATCACCTGGGGGTCAACTGGAAGACACCGTACTTTTGTTATGGGTCCTTTATGACCAGGTAATGTCATCACTGGTAATCTTGTCCTTATGTCCCACACTTTTACAACACTGTCACGCCCTGCAGTTACTACCACATCAACTGTTGGATGGATATCTACAGTATGCACACCAGATAGATGTCCATGATAATTTCTAATTGCCGTATTCTTTTCCAGGTCCCAACATTTGACCGTTTTATCCTCACTCACCGAGAACATGTATGGATGCCTATTAGAGATTGCAAGGTCTCTGACAGTCATATCATGAGCCTTTAAAGTTACTTTAAGCTTACCAGAAGCCAAGTTCCAAATCTTAATGGTTTTATCATTACTTCCTGTAGCAAACCATTCATTATCAACTTTATCCATTGCAATACATCGTACCCACCCATGATGCCCATGTATCACCCTAGTTAAATGCCATGGTGCATGCCACCTAGGTGTTTGATTCAAAAGCTTATCGTGTCTCTCAATTACCGATTCATGGCCTTGCTCATCGGCAAACTTCTTATTTAGAACCAATCCAACATCTCCTGGGTTTTGTTGATGCCTGACCAGCGCCCGACTGGCATTGGAGGGAGTTGCACTGTTACCACTTGCTTCAATAACAGGCTTTTGAGCATCGACACGCTCTTGTAAGACTCTCGGCAGCTTGCTCAAAACTTCAAACTGATTTTTCCATCTTGCTTGTCTGTATACCTCATCAGCATCTACCAACTCATCGCCAATACTCATCCCGCACTTCTTACTTGCAAATTTTTGAAAGTATTATAGTCAAAATGCAAACTGTATACTAATAAAAGGCACCGCACTGTGCTAATAGCTGTAAGCAATGTATAAATATTGCACATATAGTATCCATCTAGCAATCATAGACAACGGTGCAAGTGAGTGCTTTGATTTATTTCCAATCTTTCTGTAATTCCGATTCTCAGTGATTTTCGAGATATTTTTATCCATTTTTAGGGAAAATAAGCTTTAAGATGCCAAATTTTATCCAAAAGTATAATCAACTCTTGAGCTTTTGGGCACTATTCTATGTTGTATATACATTCGTACAAGTATCGAAACTAAATAGTTGTGGCACGTAACTTCTGTGGTGAACAATCTGCATAATTATAACGCAACAAGGCCTTCATTTTGGCGAGCATTACAGCTTTCAGAGAGGTTAATCGGGACCTCTACATCGAGAAGACGTCATTCTAGTGTTTATTATTTGGTGACAAGCTAGAGGCTACACAAACTGAGGCTAATCCCGTATTGCATAGTGGATATTTATAGGTCACATAGACGCATAGAGTTAATTGATAATAGTTCGGAGATAATTTACCATAGGGCAGATGATAAATGCGATACAACCCCCTACTAAGGCGGAACAGAATAATATTAAAGCCATTATCGGTAACTCATATAACAGGCTCTATAGCCAATTCTCATCTAGCGAATTAACAGAGGTGGGGAATTATAAGATACAGAAACAGATAGGAGAGGGCAGTTTTGGTAAAGTATATTTAGCAACACATCGACCCACGAAACAGAAAGTTGTTCTGAAGACTGGTGATAAAAGTGACCCCAATGTGGTACGAGAAGTATTTTACCATAGACAGTTTGACTACCCATACATTACTAAGCTGTATGAAGTTATAGTGACCGAGACTAAAGTATGGATGGCTCTTGAATATTGCCCAGGAAAAGAGCTTTACGATCATTTGTTATCGAAGAGTAGACTACCTACATTGGAATGCGCCGAACTTTTTGCTCAAATCACCGGTGCTGTACACTACGCCCATACTCTAAACTGTGTTCATAGAGACTTAAAACTGGAAAATGTCCTCCTGGATAAAAATGGAAATGCAAAATTGACGGATTTTGGTTTCACAAGAGAATCCATGACAAAGGCAGTGCTTGAGACTGTGTGCGGAACTACCGTGTATATGGCTCCAGAAATGATTCAGCATAAACCTTATGATGGTTTTAAAGTGGACATTTGGTCTCTTGGTGTTATATTGTATACTTTACTATGCGGCTGTCTACCATTTGATGAAGATGATGACTTACTAACAAAGCAAAAAATTATCAACGATACCCCAGTAATTGATGAACGAATCACCATACCCGAAGCGCAAAATCTCATTGAACAATTACTTTCAAAGGATCCCACAGAGAGACCAAATACAAGTGCCATATTACTACACCCATTCTTACAACCTTATGGAACCTTGATTCTGGAGCAGACCAACAAGATTATCCTGAAACAAAAACAAGGTGGGTCTCAATTCAGCTCGCGATTAGAAAGAAGACTAATAAAAAAAATGAAGAGAATAGGTTATGATACTCAAGCAATTAGACAATCTGTTATCAAAAAGAAATGTGACTCTTTGTCAGGCTTGTGGTTTTTATTAGCGGAAAAAGAGAAGAAAATTGATGATAAGAACCGACCAAGAAGAAGCCGTTCATTGCTTTCAGTCCGAAAGGTGTTTGATGACTCCACACAAGACCTATTGACTGGTGATGACGGACTTTTAACTACTTCTCTTGAGGTTACAAGAGTTGGTTCGATAGGTAAGATATTAAACAAGCAAGCTGAAAGAGTGACATCGTTAGCACCTATGGGAGTGAAAAAGTCCATCGATTTTTCAACAAGGTCACTGAATCTTACTTTAACTAACACGAACCAAAGCCAAGATAATAATACAAAAAACCAAGAGTCTGTCACATTTTCAAAAGAACAAGTAAGAAGGGTACAAAGTGGTACCAATGCAAGTACACAAAACGAGCAATCACCAAAGAAGACAAATATATTCAAGAAGATGTCCAAATTTTTTAAAGAGAAGAAATATTTTAGCAACTTAAACAATGAAGAGAGTGCAAGTAGTACAAATACTATGAGAAGAAGCTTAGAGACATCTCTAGGTGCTTCTTCGCACAATAAAGAAAGCGTTTCACCTGAAAAGGGTAATTCCATTAACGAAGATGAAAATCGAAATGAGAAGTTTGATTCAACTGACAAAAGAAAACCAATCAAACAATCAGAAAAGGCAACTATGGTCCTTTTACCAGAAGACAGACACAAACTTACCATAACTGAGCCAAATGTGACGAGGCTGAAATCCTCCAGTGTAACATCTCGACAAACCTCCACTGACAACGATGACAGCGAATCAATGGATAACTCTAGATCAGGATCTGCTGAAATAAAAAAGCGAAACTTAGTGCCGACGGCACGTCCATTTTCTGGGTTATCAGAAATTTCTAATGATACTTACAACTCTGATTATTCAACTGATGGTAACACATCCTCTTACAGAGTTAATGACCCACCTCTATCACAGATAATGAAAACTAATTCTGGAGGTACTTCTCAATATTCCGGAAATTCTGAAAAACTCACAAATGGAACTGGAAGAAGATATATTAGAAGAAACCAAAGCTTGATATCCAATGCTTCAAGTGCCTCAGAAAAAAGCTCCAGAACCGATTCATTTTATGATATCACTACAGCATCACCACCAGCATTTATTGATAACCGATCTAAGAATAATTTTGGCTTAAAAGAGTCAATTTTACCTAGATTTGGAGCACATCATTCCTGGGGGCCAAAAAGATCCTATGCAAGCAACAGAGTTGGCTCTTTAGGAAGAAGAGCGCAAAAGAGGAACTATCTAAAAAATAACTCCAGTAGAACTACCCAATCCATAATCAAGGAGGAAGATTCTTCAGACAACGACGAAACTGATGTCTCCTACCATAGCTACAGGTATAATAATAACAAATCACCCCTCAATGCTTTCCGTTCGGGTGGTACTCCAGAATACGGTGAGGATAAGTTAATCTCATCCTCTCCATTACAGACATTTGGTAATGTCGAACATACACCCCCAAAGTCCGCAACTGATTCACCTGAGGCATTTAATGGTATTTATGCACCTGTTGTTTCAAATCGCATCCCATCCAAAAATATAGTCGAAGATGAAGAATTAATTAGTGCGGCTGACTTGGAAGATAACTTTTCAGATGACTAATACCTTGCATTTAATGAATAAAAAATAAAAATTATATATAACTTATTCAAAATCATAGTTTTCCCACTTTGTATCATATTGCATTACATAGTTTAATACACCATATATTTTAATCCTATGACATTGAAAGAACCACCATGCAATCATTTATTGCATATTTCCCATCTTAAAAGACTCCAGTAACTTTTGAAGAATTTCATCTGACATTTCCAAATCACAATCGTCACCAATGTCATCAGTCTGTGGTATACCATCCTCTTTTAAACCATTCGATATATTGGAAGTCGTGTATTCATCAAGTTCCTTTTTCGAAACACCTAGTGCTTCAGTAAGAAAATATTCGAAAAAGTCATCTTCATCAATGTCAACATTTTCACTTTTAAAATATTTCCTGGCCTCATCATCTTTTGATACTTCATAATCCTTAGCCGCCAGCTTGCTTTTGGTTTTGTTATTAAAAGTCTGTGCGCCATATAGATTCTCGTTCATGTCAGCGAATATTTTCTCAACTTCTTTTATCTTTCTGACTTCTTTAAATGGAAAGTTAGCAAATATACTATCAGGATCAGTGAGTCTCTTTGAATTTGGCTTGTATAGAATTTTACCAGTCTTTATGAGCCTACTGAAAGTATTACAAAGAATCCAACCACAAATATGCGGATCATAACAATCTTTTTCCTTTCCGGTAACGTTGAACTGCACAGTAGAAAGAATCCTTAAATGACTAGCCGGAACCAGTAAATCATAGGTAGTTGGTGATTGCTTAGCCTGTTCTACAATAGTTGCTACTGACCCGCCAGCAGTATCAGTGTTTTCTAGAGATTGTTTTATTAAATAAGATCCTAACCCTGGATTTAATTTCAAGCCACTATGACACATATCATCGGGTATGGCTAATTTTATCAACTTTAGCTCATCAAGGTACGAATGTGGAAAGGAGTTTAAAATCTCTTTTTCAAACGCATCCTGCATTTTAGTCAAAACTTCACATTTAAACATTTGTTTTGATAAAAACTCAATACATTCACTACTTTCAATACCACGACCTGGTTTGAACGAAGCAGGAATAGCTTTAAATTTGCCCTCATGCAGCCAGAGCCTGTTATTTGCAGAAGGAAATGCATAAACATCAGGCATCAAATCCTCGAATTTGTCTATCAGAAAATCACCATCCGTATCGCATATTTTCATGAATACTTCAGGGCCTGATTCCTTCAAATATTCGAAAAGCAGAGAAACTACGATCCCTTCTTCAGCTTCTATATTATCTTCCACACAATGGTATCCAAATAAATAAGGCCTTTTACCCTTGTCTTCTGAAAGAAATCGGATTTCCATAGCTACACCTTCAATATTGCTCCATGGATAGTGTATATTGCAATCATTTAATGATTGTTCAATTCTTACTTGGTGCTTCTGTAATTCTTCCAGCTGGTGTTGATAGTCGGCATAAATATCTAACCAAAATATACCAAAACATAGGTAAGTGTCTTCGAGCTTGGCGTCACTATTACTCTCAATACCGTCAACTGGCTGCCATAGGTACTTCGAATCTACCACATTATCGAGGCGTCTGACACTCATTCCAATCGCTAAGTGAGTTCAGTACTGTTTTACAGTTTTCTGTTAAGCTTGTGTTCTGACAGGATTATAAAATAGCTTGAAATCGCTTTATGTATTAACATTACTTTTCAAATTGTTTGCTAGCTCATCGCATTTTTTTTTTCAGGAACAATTAAGGGAATTCGAAAATCAGCTGGATCAAAATTGACATAATAATCGATCAATACTTCAGCCTTTGTAATGACAATGTTATTGAACGCCAGCGGGGAATAAGACCACAATCACATCAATTATAGGGCACTGGAAACTGGGAAAAGGAAATATTTTCTACTGTAGCGAGAAGTGACTAGACTTTACATCATTTGGTTCTCACATATATCTTATTAACTATAAGGTTGCGAGCTTTGCAATTGAATACCAGAGAACTACTATTAATTATGGGTGATAGCAAAGAATTGGTCTGGAACGGCAGCATAAATGTACAAATCAAACTTGATAGTCGATTACTGGTAGATGGCGTTCCTGAAGGTCGACGGTTAGTGAATATTAGAGTACCTAGAGAATCTCATATAGCCATCTACACACCACTAGTACTAGAAAGGCTTCGAAACGTTCTTAGATCAGATATTGAAGAACTCTTACCAAAGGTATGGTATAGTTACAAAGATATTAGCCTGCCGTGGTCGATACCCTTTGGGACTTTGTTTGACATATACAATGGAGCTCATAAAGGTATTAGTGGGAGTCGAGATAACTATATCAATGTATGGAAATTAAACCTAGTTACAGATGAGAAGTTCCCAATCAATGTGATTCCCATAATAGAAGGACAGGATCAATTAAGGAAATTTATGATGCAGAGTTGGAAGCAATGCTGTTTCATTCTGAATGGGTCATCTAAAAGAGTTATGTCTTTGTCCTTACAGGACTCCCTAGAAGTATGGGAAGGCGTAACGGAGCGGGACTATGCAAAGTACAGCGGTGTAATCAAAAGGATATTGCCGAGGACTCCCAGAAGAATACCTGTCGCTATCCATGCGGCGAATGGTGGGCCGATTGTACAAACTACAGAACCGACATTGACAGACACTAGTTTTTCTCAAGCGGTTGAGGGAATTGTAAAAGCAGACTTCGTCGTTTGCCAAGGGATTGTAATGTACTTAAGGGACTTCTCAGATACCTCACTATACGACGTTTACGATAAGCTTCACAGCATTGACGGGTACCTCCATCTAATAGCCAATTTGTAGAGTCAGGGGTTATAACACAATCAGATTTCATTACTTATTAATACTATACAAGGTTTTTGGTATCTATTAGTGTTGTATACGCTACCAGGTATTCGTTATCGTGCGACAAAGTCGATAGGAACTTTGCCTGTCTGAGGAATTGCAATTGATCCAGTCGCAAGGCCTCGTTATCAAGCAGAAGCTGTGGCACACCATTGCTACGCCGTTGTCGATAGAGCAGCTTTGTATATATGAACATTGCAGGTGGCAGAACCGTGTGTAGAGGCGCTGCGCAATGCAGCGCTTTGAGCGCGGCCTCTTTCAAAGCCCATGTGCCGGCTATGTACCTTATCTGACCCGCTGACAGAGAGGCACCGTCCACACCCAACGCAATACGCTCGGTTGGGTGCATGAACTTCGATACGACACGTTGGAACCCTCTCGAGCCCGCATCATACTTCGTCAGCAGCCGATGCATACGCGGCAGATGCACGACGTCGCACCCTACTCCAAGAACGCTCATTGGTAAACTGCTTTCGCCAGCTCTCACCAGCTCAGACAGCAGAACTTGAGCGCATGCAAACCACTATCAGCTATTACAGAAGCGAACATCGCAGTCCAAAGAAGTGGGTAACAACCGAGTGGTAACCGTGACAGCATAGAACCTCTTACAAATCGGGCATCCCGGAATTTCCCAAAGAGGGACCAGAATCATTAACGACGTAACATCACATGATAGACATAGGGCAGAGAGACTCAGATTTTCGCCAGTACGGCCAAACTCAGAACAAGTCAGTGCGGTTGTGGAACTTGTCCCTTACCCCCCCCACCCCCGTCTCTTTTCACAATCTAGAGAAACCGGGGTACAGACATTCTGCAGAGAGAACATCGCACAGAGAGACACCTGGCGAAATTTGGAGTGACTCCTCGAGGGGGGGGGACTTCATGCTCATCGCAAGGACTGCCCCCGCACACTGAACACTGCGATCGGTATTTGGATTAAACTCCGATTCCCCCATACCCTTAGCAGTTCATCACAATACCATACAATAAGCTACCGAATAGTATTACTACACAACAAGTGTTAGGCTTCTGGGACTGGTGTGTTCATATAAATAGGACAGGGCATCTTTTTGGTTAGGAAAAGACAGTGGGAAGAAAACAACCAAAACGATGGATGGTATACGTGTGCGGAATGTGCTGATCAATGTGCACAGGCAGTGCATCGGTCTGGATATAGAGAGGATTGCCGGGAAGCGGTATCTTGGGGTGTTGCTGAAGCATCTCTACTATGTTGCGCGGACGGGGTCGACTGGGTACTTAGACGGCCACAAGCGGAGAGCTAGGATGATATTGCTGGTGGTGGTACTGATGGGTGTCGCTGGTGCGAGCGGGATCAGCTGGGGTGTTATGCGGATGCTGACTCGACTACGGGGCTGGTACCTGCATAGCTGGAAAAACAGAGGCAGGCGGCCCTCGATGCGGAGGACCAGGTCTCAGACACGGCTGGTGGATGGTGGGAGAATCATATACGTTCCCGAGGACAGTATTGATGGGAAACCTACATCCTCTAAGAAGAATAAGAAGTTTCTCATTCCACCAACAGATAATGACATATACGAGCATGACAAGTTCTTGTTCAAAAATGTTGAATCCGAGAGAACTAGGTCCTCCCAGCTATTCTATTCTAAGTTCTTGAACCAGATGAGCGTGATCTCAAGGATACTGATTCCTTCTTTCCTAGACAAAAACGCCATACTTTTATCCTCACAGATTTTCTTTTTAATTATGAGAACTTGGCTTTCCTTATTTGTCGCAAGACTAGATGGTCAAATTGTGAAAGACATCATTGCCGGCCGTGGCAGGAGGTTCTTGCTTGACATAGGGTGCTGGTTTTTAATCGCTATTCCTGCATCATATACAAATAGTGCGATCAAATATCTCCAACGCAAATTGAGTCTGAGCTTCAGAACGAACTTGACAAGATACATACATGACATGTATCTAGACAAGCGGCTAGGATTCTACAAATTGCTCTATGACTCAAAGGCTTCCACTTCTGTCATCAAAAACATAGATAACTCGATAACAAGCGACGTCACCAAGTTTTCAGATGCCACATGCTCAGTATTCGCAAACATAGCCAAACCTGTTATTGACTTGGTATTTTTCTCAGTGTACTTGAGAGATAATTTAGGAACTATGGGAGTTGCTGGTATTTTTGTAAACTACTTCATTACTGGGTACATTTTGAAAAAATACACCCCACCTTTAGGTGAATTAGCTAGCTCTAAATCATCAGCAGAAGGTGACTATTACAACTACCAGCTAAACATGATCAATAACAATGAAGAGATTGCATTTTATCAGGGTACTGAAGTCGAGAAGACAAAAGTAAAAGAATTATACGAAAACCTGATGGAAAGAACTCTGCTTGTTGATAAGAGAAAATTCACTTATAACATGGTTGAAGACTATATTTTAAAATATACTTGGTCAGGTCTTGGATATGTATTTGCTTCAATCCCAATAGTGGTTAGTACAGTTGCTTCCGGTATCAATAATGAAGAGGTGAATATGAAAGAGTTTATTGTGAACAAAAGATTGATGCTGTCGCTAGCCGATGCGGGCTCACGTCTAATGCATTCAATCAAAGATATTTCACAATTGACAGGATACACAAACAGAATCTTTACCCTCTTGTGTGTGCTTCACCGTGTTCATTCTACAGATTTCAACTATGGTGCAAACATTGAAGATAAACTACAAGAAATAAGTGATGCTTTGAGCTCATCGTCAACCTTACCAAACAAAACAAAGGTTGACATTATTAGGGGTACTATTCAACGTAACTTTAACGGTGTCAGATTCGAAAATATCGACGTCATTATACCTTCTCCTAGCGGTAGAGAAGGTGTAAAGCTAATAAATAAACTTGCTTTCCAAATTCCTCCTCACATTGACTTTAATATGTCTCATTCTAACTCGATTTTGGATATAACTGGGTCTAAGGATGTTAATTTACCATTTTTGCAAGGTCCAGGCTCAAGTTTGTTGATTCTAGGCCCTAATAGTTGTGGTAAGACATCCATTCAAAGAATAATTGCCGAGATATGGCCAATTTATAATAAAAAAGGTTTAATGTCTATTCCAGCTCAAGAGAATTTAATTTGTATCCCACAGAAACCTTATTTTACAAGGGGTGGTACATTGAGAGATCAACTTATTTATCCTATGTCCTCCGATGAATTTTTTGACAGAGGATTCAAGGACAAATATCTTGTTCAAATTATGTCTGAGGTTAAGTTGGATTATTTGCTAAAAAGAGGAACTGGTCTTTCATATTTAGACACTGTAGCTGATTGGAAAGATGTTTTGAGTGGTGGTGAGAAGCAAAGAGTAAATTTCGCCAGAATCATGTTCCATAGACCACTTTTTGTTGTTCTGGATGAAGCCACCAATGCGATTAGTGCTGATATGGAAGATTATTTATTCAATTTGTTAAAAAGATACAGATTCAACTTCATCACTATTTCTCAAAGACCAACATTAATCAAATACCATGATTTGCTGCTTGAGATATCAGGCAAGTCTTCTGGATCATGGCATTTACAAACTTTAGGTACTGATGAAGCAATAAATTCAATAGAACATGAGATAGAGGAACTGGAGGAAAAACTTGAAAATGTGAAGCTATGGGAGATAGAGAGGGATGAGTTGATTAGAAAATTATCCGTTGTTTAAGGAATAAGTCGACATGAGTTAGCAAATAAAAAATGCATATGTACTAAATGTAGATTTAATTTACATAATAAATGAATGAAAGATGAACATAACGATGCAGAAGATACCCCTTCATACTATTTAAAATCCTTATAGGTCCACTTTTCAGTGATTTTTTGCTTGTATCTCCTACCTTTGGTACGAGGAATACGGGCTTCAACTTTACCACTACTTTGAAGTTTTCTTACAGTGTCATAAAGCAAACTCCCTTCTGGTCTTACCTTTCTCAAAGAGTCGGATAATTCATCTTTGAACTTAACCTCAAGACCCTCATTTAAGATATGATACTTAGTTCCCAACTTCCCCTTCTTATTTTTCTTCTCCTTCTTAACCTTTTTGTCCTTCTCTTCATGTCTCTTTTCAACTTCCTGCTCAATTTCCTCTATCTTTTCTAGTTCTTTTATCTGTTGTTTTAATTCCTTAATTTCTTTGTGCATTTTTACTTTTTCTTCATGTCTTTTAGCTTTGTTCTTTTGATATTTGGTCTTCTTCTTATTTTTAACAACTGGGTTGATAGATAGTCCTAAAGTAACATCTGTGGACTCTGTAGTTTCCTCAGTTTCGTCTTCTTCGTCTTCTTCATCTTCTTCACTTGATGATTCTTCCTCTTTATCATCTAATACTTCCATGAGTCTTTGAATTTTTGCTTGATATTCCTGAATTTTATTTCTAGCATCTTCTCTTTTCTTTTCAGACTCATATTCTTTGCTTATGAGTGAGTTCCAATGCTTGGAGTCTGGGTTGTATGACTTACCCGCATGAGGAAGATCTTCATATTCTGCGACTTTAACCGGTTTATGTTCTAAAGTCTTCGGTTTAACCTCTGCTATGGACCAACTGGTGGTTGAGTACTTAATCAATTCCTCTGGAATTTCATCCCGCTTCTTCTTGAACTCGATACCGGAAGGAAGTTTAACCTTATTACTTTCCTCTTCATTCCATAGATCAGCAGCAGCAGATTTTACGAGACCATCTTTATCACTTCTATTTTTCAGCTTTGATTCACCTTGAATCTTACCAGCCAGTGATAGCAGTTTCTTTAGTTCCTTCTTAGAAACACCTTGAACCTTTCCTCCCTCCTTGGTTTGATGTTCTTGGTGTCTTGGGTGAATAACAGATTTAATTTTAGACGCAGTCTTAATAGAGTCCAATATCTCCTTACTTTTCAAGTTCTTCTTGATCTGCTTTCTTTTTATTAGTGCCTTCTTTAGATCAATGTCACCTTCTTCATCAACTTGAAACAATGCGGTATCTTGCAAAGACGCTAAGTCAGATGTACCATGAGTAATTTCTAGGTCTTTTTGAGTCTCTATTGACTTCTCAATGTCAGTTAAGTCAATGTTCTTTCTCCAAGCTTTCTTACCTTTTCTTGAAGATTGCTTATATTGAGCAGGCCTCTCATTTACCTTAAGTGGAGCCATATTTATGCTAGATTGTCGGTATCGGTTAGTTTCCAAACATTTACCAAAAATATAATGCGAGCATATAACCTTTATGTTAATAACTGCAAAAGTTTCTAGTAATCATTATGATATTCAGTAGCTCATCGCATAAGCTCATCGCACTGGAAATCAAAAATCAAAAATGAAATTTTTCAAAATCGGTCATTAAGAACGATTACAACATTTGATATCGAAAGTGATGAGCCAATAACGACTTCTATTAGCAATAGTAGTAATCTGAATTAAATCTACCTGTATGCAATTTAGATTTGTTGAGGTTGTATAGAGCTTGTATAGACGTAGTTTATTGATGGTTACTAAATAGTTCGACAAACATATGAAAGAATTTTTTTAGTTTTAAAAGGTACATAATTGTATAAAAAGAAAATAAAAACATAGGGGATATAAGGAAAGTTTTAACTTCTTTTGTTAGCATCATTATTGTTAATGCATAGTTTCCCAAATTACTTGAATGTCTTTGCCATCAATTTTCAGTACAATCTTCGGATTTACTCAATGATGGTTTATTTTCAGGTCATCTGATACTTGAGGAAGATAGTATTAATAGTAACAGCAGCTGACAGAGAAAACATTCTTTGTATCTTATGGGTAAATGTTATGCGCAACATAGAAATATATTTTATTATTTTTTTTCAAATGACATTGTTAGATAACTTGATTATCTCCACAGGAAACAAAAATATAGGAACAAGGCGATTAATAGTTATGGTTTAAAATGTTCAATTAAGTAACATTTACAAAACAACCTCCTTCTCCTCATCCCATAGCTTTCTATCAAATCTCCAGTGAATTGAGGTCAAATCTTCTTTCTTGTCTTCCTTCTCACCGTTCAAGGTACCACTTGGAACATTTTTTATGGATAAGTCCATAGCTTTGGCTAGTTGGAGGAAGATATCGTCCTTTTCAGGTACTAGGTAATCCTTGCCTGGAGCGTCGCTGTAGTCGAAATCCTTAAACCATCTTCTTTCCCAGCAGATGCCTTTCGCTTCTTCTTCCTTTCTCAAGTCTCTTTGTTTTTGCTCAAGGTCAGACTTGGTCTTTGTAATTAGGTCCATGTCACCAGCCTTAATGGCTTCAGCTACTTCCTTCCATGCTTTCCTGCTCTCTAGTGGATGTTGCTTATCAATTGGCTTTACGCTCAAATGAGAGACAGGTACCCTTTCGGCTTCATAGAAAGTGCCAATTTCGTCGCTGTAACCAGTAGCTGGATTTAGCTTGGAAATCTTGGATGAGCCAGACCATTGGCCAGAAATGGTATATATAGCCTTATTCTTGTCGGCACTGTCGGCAGCGCTCTTGTAGATTCTGGCTTTAAAAGAGTTCTTCTTACCGGAGAAGTAACCTCTACCAGAGAACTCGACAACACATAGTAGGCCGGTGGAGGATTGTAGGTAGGACCTGCCTTCTAGTTCCACAAATGGGGCAGCCATCAGGATACCTTCGATATGTAAAGGTGGTGGAGTGATTAGGTAGGATTCTTTGTTAACTTCCAGTAGTGTATGACCATATTGCTTGACAGAAAGCATTAGAGTCTTTGTGAAACCGGTCTTCACTTGGTTGTAACCTTGCAACTTGACTTTGTTCTTGTCATTGAAGATAGTGTAAGCGGTGATAGGAGGGTGGTGAGAGACTTGTTCGGATAGAAGCACGGTCTCACCGAACTCAGGGTGGTCCTTGTTATCCCATTTACCGACGAACAGTTCACCCAAGAAAGGGTTCAATGGCTTCTTCTCAGAACCCATGGTCTCGTCACGAGAACAGTATTGAGATTTCAAAGTGGAAATGAACCATTTGGTGACAGACAGCATTCTAGCCATTTCAGGGCTCTCGACGTTAGGGTCTTCGGTACATTTGGTCTTGAAGTTGGCCTCATTGATGAAAGATGGTTCCAGGAACAAATCAGGATGTTCAGCCCAGTACTGCGAGAACTCAGACAAGGAAACTGGGGATAGAATAAATGGTGGGGCAACCAAAGAGGATAGATCACCATTGAAAGTGGAGACAGACTTCAAGAAAGAAGTCCATGCAGAAGAACTGGCGTATCCTGACATTATCTTAGAGGCGTTAGAGATTGGTCTCTTTTATTTATTTATAATAATAATGTTCAGCGGGGGGAAAGCTCTATCAAATCAGTTTGCTGAATTTCCAAGAAATCTTCTGTGGCTATTTGGTATTGATGCTAGCCGTTTGCTCTTATTATTAGTGGAAACCTTCCTAATATCCAAAGGTATTGCAAAGCTATTTCAGAAAGAAAGGTTTTTCCTTTTGTGAATCGACAAGTATATCGGGAGCTCGCAGAAATGCTAATCTACCAAATTTTCAATATAAAGAGACTATACTCGGATATATAAATTCAGTTTTAACAAGAAGTTCAACAATTAGGAATTCGTTGTTAATCGACTTTCCCTCTCTCTATTTGGTGTTTTTTCCTACTTTCAGTCTCTCACACTCTCTAACACACACACATTCATGCTCATGCTGTATGGGGGGTAGAGTGAGAAGGTATTTGTTATTTTACAGTTTATGGGAGGACCAAGGATATTCCATGGATTATTAGGTAACAACTAAAGCAGCAGAGGATTATCCCAAATCCCTCCCGCATTAGGAAGGGGGGGTTCCACACACTCAACTAACGGATGTAGGGAAACCCACAAGCTTTCAAGTAGCTGTGAAATACGTATTTTTGGCTCTAGTGATGATAAAAGCTTAGAAGAGACAAACTCAGGAGAGAATATAGGTAAGTGATAAATTTATCACTCATGCGTTAAGGCAATTTTCCCGTGGATTCCTATTCTGGAGCATTGGCACTTAAGTAGGTACGAAAACCTGTTTATACAGTATTTTACCATGGAGAGGGCCATGGGGAACAGTGTGAAGACATTGTTAATGGATCAAAGATCAAAAAGTCCCTCAAATATAGCAGGCCAACAAAAAAAGAAACACCAAACATAAGAGCCGTTATATATCTCGTCAATGGCAAGATTACAGTAACTCATATGGAGCATTTGGATTTATCGTTATTGTCTATCGAGACGCGTAGTTTAGCGTTTATATATTGCAATGCCTTGTAAGTTAATAATGCTTACTTATATTTCTGGTGTTTACAGCCCATGGGGCAGCATGTTGCTCTATACTAGAAGTGCTAGACGTTTCTCATGATCTACGCGTAAATCTAAGCTTTTGTTAGGACCACATCGCAAATACAAAGGAATTGAATTGTATGTCTAATGTACAGGGATATGTATTAATGTGTAGTTGTTGAAAGCATGTAGTGAAAGTATGCAATAATGTCCCAGATTGTGGTTGATGGTCTCTCGGTTAGAGTTGACTGTGATGTCGAGGACGGTGTCAAGTCACCGATCTCCTTGAACTTGTGTCTCAGTGGTGATGAAGAACTCAAGTCCAGTCGACTAGAATGCTATTACTATACCATAATGGGGCGTAAGGACGACGTCTTGGGTATCCCATTGAGAGACACATCTTCTGATTGGATCCGAGACCTGGCCAGGCTGTGTGCCACTATGATTACAAAGAAATACAATAAGCCATGTTACGTGACAATATCCACAGTGGGTGAAAATAATTTCCAAGCTAGCACTATCCCACTTCTAGCAGCGGTGAAAGAACACGTTGCTACACTAGTCAATTGATCTTACTCCTTAATGCTAAATAGGGATCAACAATTTAATGCCTCTCTCTCTCTCTATTGTATATATAATGTTTAGAATGATAATGATATGTATTAATTAATACTAAGAACTTGCGATGAGCTGGGCATCCCCAACCTTATCATAGTTGGTTTCGGTAAGAAAAGACTATGCACCAGAGTATACAGTAGAGACTAAAACCTTATCTATTTAATCAAGCCAATCGGTTTTTTATATACCATAAGATTCTTGTCTAGAAACCATAAATACACTCAGTATCACACTGATCAGCTTATGCTGTTTGAAACTTGAAGATCGTCTTGCGGTAGCTCAGAGCACCATACGGAATCTCCGTATACACTGACTTTTTGTTTTGTGACTGCAACATACCACTAACATCCGTACACCATAGTACTTTGTGAAAGTTCTCCTTTTTTGGGGATTTTCTTCCCACAAGCGAAGTTGGAAGTAGGGAATGACAAAAGTTCATGTGGAGTGGAGCCAGCGCAGTGTGAATGTGTTTAGCAGAGGGTTGGGCCAAATGTCCGGGCTGGAAGGAACCGGGAGGGAAGGGGTGTGTGTCTTCGCTGTTGAGTGGTATCGGGTGGATGAGCACTTCCCTGGGAGCTGGCAGTACCACTTACCTGGTATTCCACCAAGGTATGCCTAGACTGGTAGTGGCTCTCCAACCAGCAGATACTCACTAGCAAGGTACCTCTGCCCAGTTCTGCGAGGGGGGGAGAGGCTTCTGTTCGCCTTCCCGCCTCTCAGTTCTGCCTAGCCGTTGTGTTAGGCTAGCCAGTCCCGACACCAACCTAGCTTGGGTTCTGGAGGGAGTGTCCAATTTCACCGCAGACTGGAGGCTCCGGTACCAGCAGGGTTCGGTTCCAGTGGGCTGAGGACTCACTAGCTCTGGAGAAAACTCGCAACTCTGAATGAGTAACTTTCCAGCAGTTTTGGCAATTTGGCAATTGTGCAATGTGTAATGTGAGGAACGCATAGCACAAGGACATAACCTGCGAAATCAAATAACTGAAGTAGCGCTTATAAGTTTTTATAGTTATAGGAATTAGCTCTCTTGCGTTCAAATCTCGGATACTAAAACAATCGAACCCCAATATCGCTAAAAATGGCTGAATCTCATAGATGTATGTTAACAGAGAACCACACATATGAAAACTAGAATGGCAAAACGTGGAGATGGATCGTGGACTGGTTGATCAAAAATACAGGCAGATAATTAATAGCAGAATGCACAGAAACCATATAATAGAAACTATCATCCGAGGAATAAGACTTCCTGTGGCAGTTATAGCATCGAATCATTGTGGTCAGTAACTATGCAAGGCTATGCAAAAATACTATAACTGGTGTTGATAAGTCTTTTAAAAGCTGATAGAGAGGCCGTGGTAATCTTTTGTATAAAGGAATTTCATGGTCATAGAATAGCCCAGTGTATATGATTTTGACTGACATTTTTGATACAGACGAGGCTAGTGCCAGTGCCAATGATAGGCTTAACATTTACTAAAAAACCCTGTGATATATCCAACTTACTCATGTTTGCCAACTAATTAGACAAAAAATATTGAATTCATTACTAACATTTTCTATTTACAACTCACTCACATTTGAGCTTTATTCAATGAGTTTTCCTTGGCGTTATCTTTCTGCTGAATCCCTCGTATTTTAATCTCTTTATCCTGGTGTATGTTCCTCATTTAGTTTTTTCCAAAAATTATGAAAGTTATGGTGTACAATATTGTAAAGTGGATTAATGTTCCTCTATTTTTCTCTACTACAAATGATAAGTTCAGTGATATGGATTTGAAAAACCGAAAATAGTTCAGCAGTTAATAGGCCATCGTGATAAAACTTGTTGATAGATATGCTAATTCGTTGTGGCTTGTATACCCATTTATGCAGTGTACGTCAAAGGTAAGCACTTATCCTACCAAAGATCCAAGAGCGTTAACAACCCAAACGTCTCTTTGCTTCAAATCGAAGGTGTCGCTAACCCACAAGAAGCTCAATTCTACTTGGGTAAGCGTGTCGCTTACGTCTACAGAGCTTCCAAGGAAGTTAGAGGTTCCAAGATCAGAGTTATGTGGGGTAAGATCACCAGAACTCACGGTAACTCCGGTGTCGTCAGAGCTAAGTTCAGAAACAACTTGCCAGCCAAGACTTTCGGTGCTTCCGTCAGAATCTTCTTGTACCCATCTAACATTTAAAGCGCATGCTGTATAAGATCTGTTTTATTATTATTCTAAGTATAGCTTTAAAATAATGCAATATACATTTTAATATAAAAAATCATTAAAAATATAAAGGTTGCAGAAACATTACTATTAATTGTCTCTATTGATCCATGGATGGTATGTTCATGCTCTGTTCTATGTGTGCTACAGTCATAAGGAACTACTTCCAAACCCTGGTACTATATGTTGTTCCATTAATTGACTATATATCATTTGTTAATGAATGTTTGCTTTTTTGAAACTTAGTGACATTAATAAATTAAAACTAATATATATTTATTTAATTCAAAGACCATTTAATATATAAACTAGAAATCACGAAGCATATATGATTTATGATATATTACTTTTTGAGATGCTTTGATGTAGTTATTTAAACTCTCATACTTCTTCTTTTAAAAAATTCAAATACTCGCTTCGCAGTAGATTTCCTTTTGTCGTCTTCAGAATATATAGCGGAGTTTCTATGAGTGTTGCCCGGTGCATTAATCTGATTTAGTGTATTTGAAGGTATTTGCCTCAAATGTCTCTTATCATATAACTCCGCCCTTCCGTAGGTACGAGATCCCACATTTAGATTATTCGTGCTGTGGTTACTTGTTGTCCTCAGCAGGCTAACAGAGCTTGCTTGTTTGCTAATGTTCCGGTGTATATTACTTTGTTGCGAGCATATTGAAACAGAATCTAGTTTTGATTCTGAAATTGTCATTTCTGATTCTTCAGCATCTGATTTATGATCCTTATTCTCAAATGTGTTTATCTCACCTTCTTCTGATAATGTCCCAAATATCAAATCGCTAATAATCCCACTGTATCTATAGCTATGTCTTCTTTGTCTTGGATGCTCTACTTCATATATTTGGTCATGGATACGCTTTGAAAGTGAATCTGTGCTCTCATTAGCTTTGATGATATCTGCAGAGGCAAATTTTAAGTCCAATAAAGGCTTGCTGACAGTGAAGGATTTCCTTGGGAGAAGTTTTGGTGAGTTACCCGTTGAGGAGCTTGGAGACTTTGTTAGATCGGGTATTAAAGTTGGTGAAGCATCGAAGATACGAGCCTCAGAAGATATCGAAGTTTGATGAGAAGAAGCTGTACTATTGTCTCTTTTCATTAGCTCATGAAGACCTTCAAAGTTTCCATGGTGAATGTAAGAAGATCCAGGCGCTTGCATAGAAGTTGGACGTACCTTTCTAGATGGCTTTACAAACGCATGTTTCTGAGGCTGTATGCCTTCAATAATATCTTTATGGTCATTACTTCTAGACCTTGGTTTTGAATCAACACTCTTCAAGGATTCTCTCTCACTTGCATCAAATACTGCCTGTAAAGCAGCAGATGCCGCTGAGTTGCTTCTATTATGGCCATTTCGTTTACCGAGTGGAGAATATCGGCTTTCTACAACTAAAGAAGAAGGGCGTGCCAAAATATGAGATTGGAATTCTTTTGGTGGTACTGGTAAGCTCACCAAGGCTGAATCAATAATTAAAGAGTCACGCTTATTGTCTTTTGAACCAGAAGAATAGTTGGAATAAGTTGAGCCAGGCCTCTTGTTGGGATAAAATTGGGGTTTAGATTTTCTGTATATATTTTTCGTATTAGAAAGTCTGTCCCATTCATCTGGGGTTATTGACAAGAATGTCGAGTGAGACTCTAACCATGGGTGCTTTTCTATTGACCTTATGTTTATTCTCTTCTTTGGATCTATGACAAGTATTTTTCTCAGTAAATCCCTAGGTACAGGATTGATGTATTCTGGAAACTTCAGAGGGGTATTGAGAATGTAATTGTATAACCTTGATATATCGTGGCCATCTGGATTTTTTGGATCATCATCCCAAGGCAAGTAACCAGCAAGCATAGCAAACAAGATAATTCCACAAGACCACGTATCAGCTTTTCTTGCATCGTAAGGCCTGTTTGAAACAACCAATTCTGGTGCAGCATAGCATGGAGATCCGCATGATGTTTTCATCATACCGTTCTGTCGTAGAAATTCGTTAACAAAACCAAAATCAGTAATTATTAAGTTTTCCTCATTGTCCAGCAATAAGTTTTCAAGTTTCAAATCTCTATGGACCAGTCCTTTAGAGTGTATGTAGTGCACAGCACTTATCAATTGAGAGAATAATCGGCAAGCGTGGTTCTCTTTTAATCTCCTCTTCCTTTGAATAAACTTGTAGAATTCACCTCCAGCGGCATATTCTAGAACAATTCCTATATATTTTGAGTTTTGTAGAACTTCTTCGAGTTTGACAATATTTGGATGTGATAAATGCTTTAGTGCGTTAATTTCTCTGTATATTTTTGTTTCTTTTGAAGGGTCCTTTGTTATGAAATCACGTTTGATCAATTTGATCGCTACTTGCTTAGGAACTTTGAAAGTCATTGGCTTGTTTCCGGCATTACCTTCAGTGTTATCACACTGTTGGTATGCCGATTTCGACCAGGCAAGTTTTACTTTTCCAAACTCTCCCTCTCCAAGTGTGGCCCCGATGACATAGGGTCCGAACGTTACATGTTTGCGATGTTTCGGCCCTTGATGGTCCTGGGGTCGTTGTGTCTTATCATGTTCACTATTATTGGTTCTTTCATATGATATGCTTCCGCCTCCATAATATGTATGTCTTTTGCTGGCAGTCATATATTATATTATTGAATTGTGTTCTCCTAGTACTTCTTTTTTTTTATAATAATATCGGAATGTTGCTGGTTGATATATCTTGGTATGCACTTGATAAGAATATGGTTAGATGCCACAAGAACTTTATTGGTGTTATATTATGTTCCTGTTAAACCAGAAAAAGGTTAATGGAGCAGATCAGTTGTTCCCAGTACTCTGGTCTTTAGTATTAAGATAAAAAATAGTCGATCTGCAAAATAAAAGTCCTTAAAAGTAAATAAAGAATTAGAAAAAAAAGTAAAGTTGATGTTTTCTCCTATGCCAAAAGGTTTTAGTCACTGACCAGGTTAGTATAATGGAGACGATCAAGGGATGAGGTTCAGCTCTTATAATATACCGAAAGTACCCACTATAAAATTATTTGAGAACACTCCAGGAGAAAAGAGGAACACGATAGTTTTGAAAAATACCGAATAATGGACTAATTCTCAAATTAGGGCTTTGCAAATTGAAGATGGAACATAAAATATTAGTCTATACGTTCTCCCTGGAGAAGCACTGCTCTTGTTGTCAAGAAGATATCGTATCTATGCTTTCTTCTTTTGCTTCGTTTTCACTTGCAAGATTTTTGTTATGATTTCAGTCGAGATAGGTAATTATCACTGCAGAAGTACCAGCTTCAAGCTATACTGAGATGTGCTTTCTGCCATAGTCCCAATAACAAATGGCTATATTGAAAGAAGCCATTTGTTTATGTTTCCAGGAAAATCAGTTTGCTTATATATTTCCTGATTCGGATAAATACACAATTTTAGTTTTTTTATTTTTCCTTCCGAAAGTCTACTGAAAATGATGATCTGTACGGGGATTATCTGTAGGCAGAAAGTAAAGACAATAAGACTTTGATTTATAGATGCCAATTCATATACGTGTCTGCTTCTGTTCTGTTTTAGATGGCATACTAAGGTTTTAACGAAACATCTAGGATTCTGCTGTCTTTTAATTTCTTAATTTGTTTTTGAAATACTTCAATATTCTATTTTCAGGTTGAAAATAAAAGTGTCAATCGCAATTGTGACACGCGTTTCTCCAAAATAGAATAAACTCCACGATAACTCAGATAAATACATCATAAAAATACTACTATATATAACAAGCAAAAAAAATTTTTTAGCGAGAAGAGACACAAACCATCCCACGAATGTTCTGAATACTATGTGATGTGAACAATACTTCCCATTACATTTGTAGCAAGGTACAGTACAACATACAAATACGTTCATTGCATAACTATTTTGATTGAAAAAACACGAATGACGTATTTTCTCACCTTCCCCTCCCCCATTGTTCGTGAGCACTTAGACGAACGAAATTCTTAATTAATAGAAGGGTTCCCCCATTCGTACGTACACTTCTCTGTAATGAGAGAAACAATTGGACCCTGAAAAAATTGAGTTTTACTTCGAGTTTTTCTTGGAGTGTCTCTACTGATTGGTGCACCGAGCATGCCTACGTAATCTGGATGCTCCCCGGAGGTTCCTATATCTTTATCCGTTGCACGTAGGTTTCTGAGTAAAACACCGTTTCCCCGGAATTAAATATTTGCTTGATTCTATTTTTTCCTGCAACGCTTTCTTAGGACATGGTTGAACCCGCTCCGAAAACGATTAACTGATTTGTCTTTCCCCGGCGGTTGTTAGGAACTCCAGGTAAAGGACCGTTGTTGCTAATTTTAGAGGCAGGTGGATAAGATAAGCAGCATTACTCTGTGCTATACAACTGTGTATATAGTTTGCAACAGTTGCACTTGCATAGTGTAAGATTGCATCGGGTTAAATATAGAAGTGCTAATAGCAGTGATACTTTGTCTTATCTGTCAAACGGGGCCATATATTTAAGGAACATGCGCAAATGACCTTGTCCGGGCTGGAGAGGTGATAAATATTCCTACCTTTCTGATGTAGAACCAGGGTGGGGAAGTAGTGTCGAAACGTCATTCTGCTGTGTACAACAAATATATGTACGCAGACGTGTGTCAAAAAATTAAAACTTTATCGTTGTTCGTTAAATACATATTGCGTTAGATAATGGATAACAGTCTATTTTATGAAAGTTAGAGAGCGCCAAGTGGGAGTAAATTAATAAAGATAAGTTATACATACGTAACTCGAGAAATTTGCCCTCTAACTGTCCTCTGCTTCAGGCAATACACCTGTGAATGGCTTATATACGGTTATCAGACCGTCAGTGTCTATAGTTCCTATGAGACCCTCAATTATAGGGTGAACGGAAACGCTGTTCTTCTTTGTGGATTTTCCCAAATGTCTGCGGGAACCTCCAGTATGGTAAAATGTCAGAGATTCGGCCTGTATTTCCTCGGTATCTAGGGAGTCTATTGCGCTCTGGTCACCTCCCTCACTGAACAGCTCTGAAACTTTCTCGAAATAGTTAAAGACATCCCAGTGATATATGCTTCCTGATATACCTACGGTTATGAACTCAGAAGGAGAACTTGCTGAGAATTCAACGCTTGAAATGGGCTCTTCTACGTGGTTACTGAGTGATAAAAGTGATTCTTGACGTTTGTCGCCTCCAGTGGTTGCAGTCTTCACAGTTAGTCTCTTCACATCCCAGAAGTTAATGATACCGTTCGCACCTCCTGTTATTAGTAAAGTTTCTACCAATGGGGAAAAGGCAAATGAGAGAATGTGCTCATTCTCAATTTTCCAAATAGGTGTAGCTAGATTTCTTGAGTCGTAAAAGTATAAGTTGCCAGAGTTATCGCAAAACCCAAAGATATTGTCATTGTAGAATTTGATGTTATGGACAGACTTGGTCCCTGGCAAATCAAGACTAATTAGGAGCTTTCCTAAGTCCTTATCGATATTGGAAAATACTTTGATAACTGTCCTGTCTTCATTTAGTACTGCCTGGCTAACGATAATCTTCTCGCCATTCAATGATAAGTCAAAGTCGAAATCAATCTTGTTCAGGCTATCATTAACAAAATCTTCTTCCAGCTCATATTTGTTAGGTATTATCTTGGCACCACCATCGACCATGGACACTGGGGATTCAGTGCTCTCCTGGAACCATACGATAGCACCACTGTCCAGCAGTGCCACTACTTTGCCATTTCCGACGCACTTGATTTTATATATATTACAATTAGCTGCAGCTCTCCATTTGGGAGATAGATCCTCCGATTGTATTCTGCTAACTATTTGATCAAATTGGGGCAACTGTAACTTTTCATTGGGTTGAAGGGTATCCTTTTGTAAATGTAGACCCAAGGGTAAGTCACAATCTAGGCTGTAAATCTCATTACCGATACCATAGTATATAACTGTCGACAACGTCCCATTGGCCTTGTTTGGTATTACTTCATCAGAAAAAGTCAAACAACATGGAACATCCTTGATTGTGCCTTTACTTGCATTAGCATATTTCGGCTTCATGGTGGAAATATGCTGGTAAAGAAGCGGAATAGTCTTCTTCCAAATTTTGAACTCTTCATTGCGAAGTTTGTTGCTTGCAATTTCTGTATCAACTGTCATACCTATTTAAATACAACCGTCTTTTCTCCAAGTACTCTAAAGTGTATTAATCGTATCTTTGCTCTGCCAGCCAACTCTCAGAGAAAACCACAAGAAAAGGAAACAAATATCTTACAGGTGTGTTATTAATTGGCTAGTTATAAAACGTATGATGTATATTAGATATTAGAAACTATTTATTGTAAAACGTTTTGAATGGGTATTCTTTCGAGTTTTTAATTTGGAAAAAAAAAGGCAGATGAGTGTTGTATGTTTTCGTGCATAATGGACTGCAGCCAAATGGTTAATTGATAATAGCAATACTAAAGCTGTATAAATATATATATATAAACTTCCTTTGAAAGTTGGTATGCAGAGATTGATCTGTAGTACTGGCAATGCTAATCCAATTAGCTTTATTTGTTGCTTTAAAGTGGCAGCAAAATCATGAAAATCAAGTATTTTAGAAACAGACAAGACAATTTCGTCAGTATCAGAGATACGTTATCAGCACACGTTTATATCATGTGCTTTGACATCTATGATCTCATTATATGCTCAAAATAATTGATATTAAGTTGCCTTTTCCTTGTCGATATTGATAGGTCTAAGCGCTTCAAATGAGTCTCAAGAGAAATGATTTGCCTTGTGTACTGATCTGAGGTCATGGTAGACCAGTCGGAGTGCTTGTTACATCTTAATTTAATGCAAATACCTTCTATTTCATTACAATCTGGTGTACTTGTCGTTATTTCGGAATATTTGTTGTAAAACTCTTCTGGATTGCAAGGTATCTTGGCTAGGTTGAGAGAATAACCGCAGATAGCCTTCTTTGATCTTCTTTTTTGAGATTTCTTTTTCTTTTTCTTGGTCTTAATGGTATCATTCACATTCTCTTCTTGTTCAATAGTATTATCCTCTCCATTGATTAGTTTATTGACTGAGCTAATCCAGTCTAAGTATTTATCAAGCTCTTCTACTTTCTTTTTTAAGCCCTCAATTTGATTGTTCGTTATGTTATCTTTTTCTGTTAACAGATCTTTATAGTATTTATCATCATTGATTATCTTGTCGTAAATCTCACCATGCCTATCAACTCTATCGATATCGGAATCGATAAATGATGAGGAACCAAAGGTTTTAAACTTCTCTACATTATTCTTGGTAGCGTGATAAACATCTTTCAACAGCTTATCATCAGACTCATTAGCGTATCTATTATTAAGGTCGTTTTTGATTTTTACCTTATTTAGTAATCGAGACATATACTCTTTCCCATGCTCTTTGGAACAGTATTTGCTACCAGATTCGCAAGGCTCATAGCAATCCTGGAGCCTACACTTTTTCTTCCATAATGATTTGGGGCATTCACCATCACCTTTAGATCCAGGACCAGTTATGCCTACACGGCAATACGGACATATGAAAGACTCGACTAAATTCCTGTATGTTTCAGGTATCTTCATACACTCAAAGTGAAACCAGTCATCACATCCGTCACATCCCACCATTAACTCACCATAATCAGGTTTCTTACATATACAATAGACATCCTCACCAGTGTTAGTATCTATTTTGGTTGTAGAGTATGGCGGACACCATTCAGGCAATAAATTAGACATTATCTTCTTGCTCAGGTAGCTAAGCTATTGAGGTTTCTTATTGGATTAGGTAAGGTGTAATAGACTTGTACTATGATATTTATATATTACTACAGGTACTATTATCCTTGTATCATATAGCATTTGCTTAGCCACTTGGCCCTCCATCGCTGATTTTTCAGTCATTATTTCTCGGACTGCCAGCAAGGACGCGATGAGGTTCGAAAATATGAAGGCTTTTGAGCTTTCGATATCTTTTTTTTACAAGAGGAATAGACAAAAAATATATCTCATGAAAGGTATGTATAGAGTCTATAAATCGTAACGCTAGTGCGACGATATGCATAAATATAGTATTCAATAAGAATATAGCTAAGTCTTGCGTTAAATAGTGCCTAGATGGCGAATAAAAAGTAAAATGTCAGGCCCAGATATGCAGAGGAAGAATACTCATTGGTTGACCTTCTTAACATCACGATTCATTGATGCATTGTTTAATAGTTGCTCATAGATATTCTTGACAGCACCTTCGAGATGTTCTCGCTCATTATCTGTTAAATCCGATTCAGATGTGACAATACCGTTACCTTCTAACTCGTTCTGTTTCAAAATGTTATACAAGCTCTCGATATCACAGCAATGGTAGTCATTGATCTTCTGGATTAATTCTTCGATGGAACTTACACCTTTTGCCTTGATTATGGCTGTTCTTAATTCAGGCCCTGATGGTAATTTTGTGAAAATCTTCTTCTCTTTACTATCAATGGATGGTAAGGTAGTCTGAGAGGTCGATGCAGACACAGCACTTGATTCGCCGTACTGAGATTCACCATCAGGATATAAAGCTTTCTGCTGCTGGATGTAGAAGCCCCATTTGTGGAAGTCACCTTCTTCTTCCTCCTGCTTTTTGCTGGCTAGTGAAGTTGTGGACGATCTACGGGAGAATACTGGCCTTCCGGTTAGTGTGTCGATTGTTCTTCCGGATTCGGTAGCCATGAGATGGGGTCTTTGTTGTAAGTTATCATTCTCATTCACCTGTAGATCTCTCTCGTTACTATTTTCATTTAAGTTATCAGTTTCAACAACATGTCTCAAGTTTGGATGATCGACTAAGGAGTCGCTTGAAGCAATTTTGTTCTCACCCAGTACTTCCGATAGATTTGGCATATTGTCAAAGATGTCAAGAATATGAACCAAATTCTTTTCCAATAGGATCAATCTTACAAGATTCTCTTTCTCTTGCATTGGTAAGTCTCCCGATTTTCTTTTTTCAAACAGATTGTCAATCGTTTGTTGGACATTATTGTGGATTTTGTGAAGTTTTTGAACATATTTCTTAAGAAGGTACCTCTTTGTAGCATCTTTCTTTTCGATGATTTGTTTTGTGTTCAATTGCGTTAACCTCTCGAGGACATCCTTAGCTGTCATGGTAACCAAACTACCATCAAATAGTAATTCATCTTGAGAATCCAGCTCATCAAGTTGAAATGAAGAGTCCATGGTCCTTCTCATGTTACGCATCAAACATAATGCCAACCTTGAGCTAACTTCGTCAGATATGGAACTGTAATCAATATCCAGCCCTACCAAATTAGGAGAGTCCCTAACAAAAGCATATAAGGTTGCTGAGAAGTTATTCTTGGCAAACACAGTACCTGAATTGGAGTCGCCGTTGGTAGAAAGATTTTCAGCGCTCTCCGTTTCTGACATTGGTGGTTTTTGAGATAACATTGAGACATGAATCAAGCCAGTACATTTAGCTAGAAGATTACAAACAACTGTCATTTCCTTGTATGTCATGTTTTCGTTATCGATATGCAAACGTTTCAGTTGTGGGAAACGAGGCAAATATTTATACATGTATGGTAAGATATCTGGAAAGACTTGAGGTAAGTTGCTTAAATCTAAAAACTCTAGATTTGGTAGCTTCGAGAGTGCTTTTAGCAACAAAGCCATATCGTTGGTGGATTGGATATTCGTGGAGTTTAAGGTAAAATAATGCAAATTTGGATAAGTTAAGCTGGAAAGTTTTCCTAATGTTGGCTTTATCAAGTTTGAGAGGTCGTTAAAGCCCAAATCAACACCTTGCACATTGTAGTTAGACATCCATTCCAGTAAAAACTTGTAGTGTTGAACACTGCAAATTGACTTTGTAGCGTTAGCCAAACCGAGTCGTATCCCATTTGTTAAATGTTTCTGTGTAGCGAACGTAATAAGGAAATTTTGAAAGTCTTCTAATGGAATATTATCAAAATTAACTCCATTTACTAATATTTCTTCAAGGGGCCTTAAATGTTCAGCTCTTTTCGCGAGTGTTTTAGCAAATAAATCCCAATCCATACTGGACCTTAACAGTTCAGTCCCAGTTTCAGGTTTGATTCTTGTTTGAGAGATGTCGATCTTGTTCAAGGATTGACTGGTTAGCAAAAATTTGCACAATAATTGCCAGCTTTCCTTATTCATTGTAACATTGCGCAGGCTTATCTTCTCCAAGACAGAGGAGTAAGCAACTGATGAAATTACAATCTTAAACATTTCAGTTGATAAATTAACATTGTCAAAAACTATAGTTTGAATTGGAACTATTGCAATGAAATCACAAAATGATAAGATATCAATTAATGTTGGTTTGGGGTTCAAGAATTTTAATGTTTGTAAAGGAGCTGTCTTATCGGTAACTTGTTTCAAAGTAGATGGAATGGGTAAAATTTCTCTTAGATGGCAGCATCTGGTATATACCACATCAAGAGTGATTTCTTGATTTCCTTCCAAAGTACTACCAGGATCATCAAAATGGTGTTCATGCATGTGGATTGGTAAATCAATTCCTGTCTTATTTAGCTTTTCACTTAAGTCAATGTTAATGTCCGTATCATGTACAGCTGAGTTTTGGTCTCTCTTTGACTGGTCCGATTGTGCCACGAGATTTAGCATGAACCCTGGTGCTGAGGCTTGTTTCCCATTTGAGAAGTTTGAAACTTCATGGGCTATTCTTCTAGCGGCGTGGTGGGCTTCTTGCTGATGTTTTTCAGCCTCTTTCAATGCAATTTGGTGGATCTCCAAAGCTCGTTTGTATTCTATGGAATCCTTTGTGAACTGAGGGCCAAGGTTATTCTTTTGCTGGTTGCTTGTGATACCTACAGAGATAGCCGGCAGTTCACTTATCATGTCATCAGGAATCATTATGTTGCCTGGTTTGGGTGTTCTGGAGGGCAATTGCTGTGGTGGGTCGGTCTCGAACTTATCTACTGCAAATTTGACTCTTTTCAAAGAGATCTTAGTCAAGTCTGTGGGTCTCTCTCGTGATCCCGATTCCTTTTGTGTTTCCTGGTGAGTGTTCTTATCTGTGGTGGTGTTGTCACTATTTCTTGCTCTATGCTCCTTGGCGGACTTTGTAATCGATGTGGAGCGCCGTATATCTGGTGATGGCGAGTTTGCACTTACCGGGGAAGCTGGTGTCAACAGCTCTTGTGGGTAAGTTTTCTTTTCGGAGGCTGTTGATATGGCCAATCTCTTTGCAGTGTCTAGTTTCTTCTCGGTGTCGTTGCTCTGCGAAGACGACCTGCTTCTTCCGAACAAGGACCCGAACAGAGAGGTCTTCTTTGGCTTTGAGCTTGTGGATGCGCTTCTCTTCACGGACACCAGTGACGGCGAGTTGCGCGACTGCGTGGGCGTGGGCGGCGGCGTCAGCACCGGCACTTCGTCCTTTGTCTCCTGATTTAAGCTATGTGTCTTGGTCAAGGCGGGCATGCGTGCACCGGGACCTCCATCTGCACGTATATCTACTTCGTCGTCGTCTTCTATGGCCACAGCCCCAGCCCCTGCTATGGCCCCAGCCATGGCCCTTGGTATGGCCATAGTCCCAGAAACACGCTTGGCGTGAGGGTCAGCGTACATGCCGTGGGAGAGCGACGCATTGGATATAGAGAGCGACCGCGACCTCTCCGTCTTTCCCGCGGCGCCGGCTACAGCGACAGCGCTGCGGTTCTTGCGCCGCGCCTTCTTGTGCGGCTTCGATCCCTTGTACAACCAGTCAACGGGCACGTCCACATCGTTGGTGATCATTGCTAGACTGTGGGAGTGTCAAGTTTGTATAACCAAAAAAAAAGCCAGCGTACCAAACTTATGTATGCACCACCCGGTTTTCTCTTTGCTTTCTCTTGATTTCCACCTGCTCCCTCCCAACACGTTTACAACCAGAACTCGGCGGCAAAGACACAAACCTCAGAAAGTGGCCTTTTTATAATGGACGCAAGTTAAAAAAATAAAATAGCCGCCGAGATCTCTGGATTTGGAAAGATTTTTTTTCTTCTACTGGCCATCAATGTATCACCATGTACGCACCGTCCATCACGATTAGAACGAGGTTGCCCCCCCCCCCAACCTCCATCCCCCGAAATTTTGAGGCATTTTCTGTTGCGCGGGGGTTCCCTTGTACGTCGAGATGCGTGCTCTCACAAGGCAAAAGGCAAGATGTACGAAACGTGTGTTCCATACAAAATACGCCTGTACGGCACGCACTTCCCTCGTTGGTGCAAACACGCGCCATTCACCACAAACACAGTTTTGAGAGAATCATCACATGGTAGGAAAGAGAGGTGTAACGTACGAGGAGATATCCGGGTGCATCCCCGGAGGAGTAATGCGAGAACGCGGCGATGGCCTGGGAAGGGATCTGGAATCTACACTTTTCGTTACAAATTCCTTTCCTGCCCACTTTGTAGAGGCAGAGCACAGCACAGCACAGACACAGTGATGTCACCGATACGTTTCTATTACCAAGAACTCGGCCCGGAGATAAAGTGTACGGGGACCTCTGCGTGGACCTCTGCGTGGAGCACTGCGTGGAGCACTACGGAGGGGAGCGGAGCACTGCGGAGCAAAGCGGTGCAGAGAACTAGTGGAGATGGGGGTGTGTGTCTTCTTCCCACTGTGTCTTCCATGCCCAGGGGCTCTCACATATATAAGAGAAGCACAATTCATTTCATCTTGGACCCCGGCAGACCCCAGACACAAGCAACTAAAAATGTTTTTGCAGAGATTTGTGACAGTAGGCGGTGCTGCCATTGGAGCTAGAAGTACTATGGGTGCCATGGGTGCCATAGGTGCCATAGGTGCCAAGGGCACTATGAACAATATCGGAAGGAGGATGTATCATCCCAAGGTTATAGAGCATTACACGCACCCTAGGAATGTGGGGTCTATGGACAAGACGCTTCCTAATGTGGGTACTGGTCTGGTTGGTGCGCCTGCGTGTGGCGATGTGATGAGACTGCAGATCAAGGTTAATGACAAGACGGGCGTGATAGAGGACGTGAAGTTCAAGACGTTCGGGTGCGGTTCCGCGATCGCTTCCTCCTCGTATATGACTGAGCTAGTGCACGGCATGACCTTGGATGACGCCGCCAAGATCAAGAACACAACCATCGCAAAGGAGTTGAGTCTGCCACCTGTCAAACTGCACTGCTCTATGCTAGCAGAGGACGCTATCAAGGCAGCAATTAAGGACTACAAGTCTAAGAGAACATCTACGACAACACTGCACTAGAGGAGGAAAGGAAGAGAAAGCTCTAAATTTTAACGCTATACCCTCCCAAATATACACCCAAGCATTTTCCCCATTATTTTTTTTTACTTATTTTCATTTGATATCATTCCATTAAATTGAGAGAAAACCTTACAAGGGTTTCATCAGCCAGTCATTCATTCCAATTTGAAGTTTTTATTTTATTCATTCCCTAAACTTATCTTTGTTTGCATATTATTCATTTCATCCTTTCAAAAATATAGATAGGCTCTTTATTATACAGTACCGTTTGGCCAATCTATTCCGTGTTGGCAAAACGATACAGACTTCTCGTATTTTTGCAGGTCTAATTTTTCTTCACCATATGTGTTATAGTTTATATATTCACAAGGTATCTATTTTAACTATTATGTTTTTACTTTCCCACTAACACTACCACTAGATATCCACTATTAGTGGCCCTAAATAAGTGAGACAAGTCTATGATGTTTGCTACGACACCACGAAGAGAAAAAAAATTTTTTCATTGAGGAATCGGACTATATAAGGAGAGCTCATCTCATCAGTACATATCTTCACCTGTTTATGTTACTTCTTGAAAACAGAAAAAAAATATCAATAAATAATCGTGCGGATTATACAATCCAGGACTATAAAACCGTGTTGCTTCCTATTACGTTTTAACCGTATTGTCATACCAGAAGCGTCAAGTCCATCGGAGAGATCATACTCGAGTTCGTCTTAATGCCCTTTTGTGTTGAACATTTGTGCTTCCCTTAACGTATTCTTTATTGAATACGCCTAGGGTTCGCCATTACGTACTTCGCAAGGGCTGGTGGGACTTACATTTTTTGTATCTTTTTTCACATATCGTATATATTACTGCTTCCGTTCGTAGTATTTTAAATGCTGTGGTTTTGTATATAACTTGTCTATGCATATGTGTTTAGTTGGAATGATCTCTTGTAGGAGATAGTGGGATAAAGTTACCAACAATGCAGATGGGGATGTTGTACCGATCACGTCTAATTGTGAAACTGAAACAACAAGGCCTTTTCTTCAAGCCGTCTTTGGTTCTCAGCGAGCAACTGGTGAGTACAGCTTTTTGGCCCTTATCAAAGGCAATGGAACCATACTTCTCCCAGAAATTTACTGCGCTTTCTTCAGTCATCAACTCGTAAATGGCAAGTTTACCATCGCGCAGATCATCCACCGTGCAGTCTACCAGCGATGCAAACTCTTTGTTGGCCCTATATATTTCACCAGTACGTCTCCAGAGGCATGCAGGCATACTCATCGAAGTGAATACTCGATCATATGATAGTAACATCCTCTCAAAGCTCTCCTCTACTAAAACCAAGTCTACATCCTTTAACGACTTGGCTATGGTCCTAAATGCAGGTCGTATGCTCATTAATGGTTTCAAAATTCTTTGCTTATTCGTGTCGTTCATGTACTTATCCATATATTCTTGTAATCTTGCGTACCCTTTGGCGTAGTCATATGGTTTTAATAGCCCTGCTTCTAGCTTCGCGTTGATAACTAGCTTCAGTCTGTCTACGGGATTCATTTCGGTGGACGGATCAGCAGCGGTTAGGAAGAACTGTTCCTTTGATGTGGGTGTATCGTCATATTTGTCACTTTGAGCTTTAGAATTGCTGCTCTCTTGTTTATTCAGTTTTTGTCTATTATGCTCCTGGTCTTGTTCTTGCCCTTGTCCATCATTGACTGTCTTGGTACCGTTAGCTTTACTACTTGCTTCGTTTATATCCTGCGAGATTTCCTGGTTCACACTAACACTTCCTATAATACCTTCATTGTTATCGGTCTGCTCTTGCGTATTCTCTATGCTATCTTCCATGTTGGAGTGAGCTGTACGTTCTTGCTCTTTATTACTTTGGCTGGTATTTTCTGATTCACCCGGTATTGGATTCTCCAACATCATCAGGAATTCATTGAGTGAACTAAACTCGGATCCTACATTTTCCGATACAAAGTTTGGTTGTGGGGGTAATAATAGGTTATTGTTAGAGGATGATATTGGTGTTTCTGTACCATATACGCTGCTATTCGAGCCCTGAATTGCACGGGTTTCATCACCTATATTGATCTCAGCATTTGGGATTTCTGTGCTCCCTATTGGCGACATACTATTCTTATATTGGTATTGGCTTTGTATATTAGAGACATTCTCATCAGCAACACATAAATGGCCTATCTCCCTCTTGATACACCGCGAACAAGGTCGCTGATGATCACAATTCACATGCGACCTGCGGCAAAATATGCATGATTTGTACAGCTTCTTCTGCTTCTTGGCTGCTGGTTCTTCCATGTCAAAAATATGATGCTGTGCTTAGCGAGTTGTGGTTAAAAGAAAAGCCTGTCTTGCAATTATCTGTAATATCAAATCCTTCTGGAATTAGTAGCTGATTCACTAAAAGTTGCTATGATACAGCTCCAGACCTCGCGGAAAATATTGGGGATATGACAACAGCGGTTTCTGTTTCAAGTGTAATAACTCTTGAGGATGACTTGTTCGTCAGACGCTGTCATATTCTCCACTACTTGCTAAGCGAACTGTTTCTAAAACTTGCATTGGTTCTTGAAAAAATGATTAACGTCATCTGTCCCTTTGAAGGGGTCTTCGGTTTTTGTCAATTTCTAAGCTGCGGGATGGGAAAATGAAAAGTTACGCAAAATGCATCAATATTTCAGGTACATACAGAGGCCATAGAGACTCGGTTACCTCGATCAATTATTAAGGTAATACCTGTATAAACTCCGTTGTGTTAGGGTAGTTGGAATAATGTCATATACAGTGGGCCTTCGAATGGCAGCTCGCCGGAGTGTTCTGAGGATGACTCCTCTGTCGCAAATGCGCATGGTTCCTCGAGTGAGCCATCGTTGGAGTAGCAATGGGCCTTCATCTTCAGCAAAGAGTAGTTCTAATGGTAACATTGACTTTTCGAAACTGACTAGGGATGAAATCAAGCAGTTGAGGGATATGAAGATGGCTAAGGATAGGAAGTACAAGGATCGGACGGTGGCATATTATTTTGGCAGTGTTGCGGTGATATTTCTCGGGTTAGCGTACGCCGCAGTGCCATTATACAGAGCCATCTGTGCGCGTACTGGGTTTGGTGGTGTTCCGATCACTGACAAGAGGAAGTTTACGGATGACAAGTTGATCCCCGTGGACACGGGGAAGCGTATTAGGGTGTCATTCACCAGTGAAGTCTCTCAGATCCTTCCATGGAAGTTTACACCTCAACAGAGAGAGGTATATGTGCTGCCAGGAGAGACGGCGTTGGCGTTTTACAAAGCCAAGAACAACAGTGACAAGGATATCATTGGGATGGCCACGTACAGTATAACACCGGGTGATGCTGCGCAGTACTTCAACAAGATCCAATGTTTCTGCTTCGAGGAGCAGAAGCTTGCCGCGGGCGAAGAGATCGACATGCCCGTGTTCTTCTTCATCGACCCAGACTTCGCCTCTGATCCATCAATGAGAAACATAGACGACCTTATCCTACATTACACATTCTTTAGAGCCCACTACGGAGACGGCTCCGCAGTCTCTGAGCACCAGCCTGTCGAGGATGTGAACATGGCAAATGCACAGATCCTAACCCCACAGGTAATAGATGCGACAAAGGATTGAGGTTGTGGGGGGGACAAGTATTTATTAAAAGACGTTAACGAAGCTAATGAAACGAGAAAGGACAAGCACGACCACCATTTTGTAAATAGTCACATAACTAGTAATATATAAAAACCAACCCTATTTGACTCCTGAAACAGCATCTACATTAAATATACGACTTGGCGATCATACAGCTTCAATATCAGGCTAGTTGCCAAGTACAGTATGGAGTTTAGCCATTGTTTTAGAAATGTCACAGTCGCGGTCGCAGTCGCTGTCAAAGTCACATGTAAAAAGTCCAGCACATCAGTGACTGTTTTTCTGATAGACCATTTCCCAATTGGGACAGTTCTAACACCCAGACACTATATATATACACCCAGACATTGTATTGCTATGGCCTCCAACATCATCTACTGAAGAAATCGTCAGCCTTTTTTCGAAATTTTGCCCATCCAATATTCCCCATTCGGGAATATCCCACGGAGTTTGAACATTGGTGTGGGGAGGAGGTATACGCCAGTGGGAGGAGGCCAACTTCTTGTATTTCCCCCGTAGAGAGATGGAGTAGCCACAGAGGCCAAACATGGAGAAAAGAGACACGTATACCCATTCACGGTAATCACACGGAACGCGCACGTACTGCACTACATGAAAATTTTTGTTGCAAAAAAAAAAGTTTTGCGATGAGCTTCCAACGTTTCGCAGGAATGGGCACCATAAGCTCAATTGATTGAGTTTTAGACTGGTGACTGCTATCTTTGATTCATATATCTTTTGGAGAATACGATAAAAATATTATTATTTTAAGTAGCGTTTAAAATTGTTATTGTAGTACTTTTCATATACAAAGACCCTCACCAAACTTAGATTCTTTGACAACAATGGTTTTTATCCAAAACTTGAAGACTTCTGCTTACCACTCTCGTTTCCAAACTCCTTTCAGAAGAAGAAGAGAGGGTAAGACCGATTACTACCAAAGAAAGAGATTGGTCGCTCAACACAAGGCTAAGTACAACTCTCCAAAGTACAGATTGGTCGTTAGATTCACCAACAAGGACATCATCTGTCAAATTGTCTCCTCTACCATCACTGGTGACATTGTCTTGGCTGCTGCTTACTCTCATGAATTGCCAAGATACGGTATTACCCACGGTTTGACTAACTGGGCTGCTGCTTACGCTACTGGTTTGTTGATCGCTAGAAGAGCTTTGCAAAAGTTGGGTCTAGACGAAACCTACAAGGGTGTCGAAGAAGTTGAAGGTGAATACGAATTGACCGAAGCCGTCGAAGATGGTCCACGTCCATTCAAGGTCTACTTGGACATTGGTCTACAAAGAACCACCACTGGTGCTAGAGTCTTCGGTGCTTTGAAGGGTGCTTCTGACGGTGGTTTGTACGTTCCTCACTCCGAAAACAGATTCCCAGGTTGGGACTTCGAAGCTGAAGAATTGGACGCTGAACTATTGAGATCTTACATCTTCGGTGGTCACGTTTCCCAATACATGGAAGAATTGGCTGACGATGATGAAGAAAGATTCTCTGAATTGTTCAAGGGTTACTTGGCTGACGACATCGATGCCGACTCCATTGAAGACATCTACGCTTCCGCTCACGAAGCTATCAGAGCTGACCCATCCTTCAAGCCAACTGAAAAGAAGTTCACCAAGGAACAATACGCTGCTGAATCCAAGAAGTACAAGGCCAAGAAGTTGACCAAGGAAGAAAGAGATGCTCGTGTTGCTGCCAAGATCGCTGCTTTGGCTGGTCAACAATAAATTATTTCTTAAAAAATAAACCTAATTTTTTTAATATAATAGTTTATGGCATATTTTGGTCCGGTCTTCTTTAGATGCTAGATTATGAATATTTAGATATATTTTATTCTTCTGACTATATATTGTAGACACGGTCTCTTATATGTACTGAAATAATTTTTTGCACTTTTCTCATCTCTTGGAGTTAATTTCAAACATTCTCTGAAGTGAACACAAAGCAATTTCTGTTGAGAATATTGCATTGTTTGCAAGGCAGGTGCTCTTAGTGTCTATTGGGATCGACAGTCCGCGGCCACTAGGGCGGGTAGGCTTCGATGATGAACGTCACAAAACCACATTTTGTGTTTTAGTGCAGCAATTTGACTCAAAAACGGCCGGAATACGATTAAGGGAATAGATGAGTTCACAAACAGATCAATATTTATAATTTACCAATCATTTAGATTTTATTATTTTCTTGTATATATTTATTTCATTTTACTCTCTAAAGTATACCGTTTGCTAGTTACAAGTCCAAAATATTAAATTCCTTCACTACCAAAAATCAATTTAGTCAAAAATCTAACCTCCCAAAAAGAAACCAACATAAATTATGAAAAGGCCATTCATTTTCTCTTCTCAAATCTTAGCATCCTTTGTGGTTGCTGAACAATTTAGAGCATTTTTATCAACCGATGAAATTGGCAGTGATTCTATTCAGCGCGGCACCGATGACAATCCATTGGTAATCCGCATTGACAAACAATCCTATTCGCCAGAATTAATTGACACTCTCACTAAGTCGACGAATATAATTTTTGCTGACTTACCAGATGTACCTGAATTTATCAAAGCTGATAAAATAAGCGACGTCGACTACCAAGTAGTTCAAAACACTTGGAAACATAAGGATAAAAAAAATGATGAGGAGGAAAAGCAGGATGATAACGACAAGAAGGAAGATAAAAACAAGCAAGAGAACAATGATAAAAATGAGGAAACAAAATCCAAAACCAAACCCAATTCCAAGACAGTAGAAGATCATAAGACGACACTTTCTACAAAGACAACTACTCATTCAACCATTATTTACACTTCTTCCAAACCTGAAAAGACCAAAGAGAGTGAGGAAAACAGTAAAGATTCTCGTTCTGGGGACAAGGGTAAACCTTATGATGACTCAGAAGATAATGGGGATAGCGATGACGAATTATGTGACGATGAAGAAGAAAAAGAAAGTAAGAACAGTAACAAATTACCTTCAAATCACACTGAACCGCACTTGGGCGATAACGAAGATGAATTCTTTGACAACATTGGTAACCACTTAAACAACAGGGGCCACTACCAATGGCTACTGTATGCCATACTATTTGCTTTACCGTTTCCAAATATTTTGTGATTCGAATGATAAAACAAACTATACAACTATTAAATATGCCTCGATTCACGAAAAAAATATACATATCCAACAGCGTGTATAAAATATATACTCCAACTGAATAATATTGCTAGATAAATAATGTTTGAAGCCACATCGAAAACACTTACTAAAACTTCTATATACCTTCAACAAGAATATATTCACAAGGTATTGATCATGTGACTTCTTTTTTCAAAACGACGGTACTATAGTGACAAAATATTTCGAAGAAAAAAATTAAGAAACTCAGCGAAGTTCAGGCTTCTACACCAGTAACGTCTGAATACAGACTATTGGGAAGCGTAATCGAGGGCAGCTGAATTGACAAAGTAGCATTTTCGTGTGAATCATCTCTGGTAAAGCTCCTGCAGACGCCGATACATAGAAATATAGAACTGGCATTCAATTCTTCTTTCCAGGATTTACGTCTGAAGAGCACACAGGAACACTAAGGAACAAATGGTAGCAGTATGTTAAACTATAATCTTTTTAAGGGTCTATGCTAAATATTTGCAATGAACAGACATCATAGTATTTTATTTTATATGAGGACAATGTTTACTAACTTTCTGAACTTGTGAGCTTTACCTGTACTGGACAAGTGTATAATGGGATTGGAAGTACGCGAATGACGCGATCTTTTTTAATTGAATTAGAAAAAAACACTTGGTGGATAAGTTTCGAGTTCTTCTTCTATAGTCGACTAAGAGAACAATAAGAATCAAGACAGAACAACACATTCTGCCCGATGTTCCTCCGGTAGAGAATTTTCCAGTGCGCCAATGGAGTATTGAGATTGCACTATTAGATGAAGAGGGCAAAGAGATGCCTGCCACTATTTTCGATAAAGTGGTTTACCATTTGCATCCAACATTTGCAAACCCAAATAGAACATTTAATGAACCTCCTTTCAAGATTGTAGAACAAGGTTGGGGTGGTTTCCCGTTAGATATCAGTTTATACTTCCTGGAGAAAGGTGGTGAGAGAAAGATATCTCACGACTTAAACTTCCTGCAGGAATCATACGAAGTAGACCATGTTATCCAGGTTCCACTGAATAAACCAACTTTGACTGCTGAATTAGCCAAAAGTGGATTTACAGAAGATACAAGTTCTGGCTCAAAGAGAAAGATGACAGGCTCAAATACTGGAGCCGAATCCAAAACGAAAAAGGCAAAGACTACTACTGCATCTACGATAAAAGGTAATGTTGACTTAGAGAAGCTGGCTTTCGGTTTGACAAAATTGAACGAAGATGACTTAGTTGGCGTAGTCCAGATGGTTACAGACAACAAGACTCCAGAGATGAATGTGACGAATAATGTAGAAGAAGGTGAGTTTATCATCGATTTATACAGTCTTCCTGAAGGATTACTAAAGAGTCTGTGGGAATACGTCAAGAAAAATACCGAATAAAAAATGTACTATAAATAATTTATAAACGTCTAAATGAAATAACTAGACTATCAAAACCAAAGGAATTTCGTAAAACATCAAATAAAGGGTTGACTACACCGCATAAATACATGAAAGAATAATTGATTCAGGCTCTTGGTCATGGACTGGAATATTAGTGCCATCATATACAACAATGTTTGCAAACAACAAGTTCAAAAATAATAAGAGGGAAACAACATGCCAGATTTTTTTGAAACTTAAAGTCGAAAGAATAAATTAAAGTTGATAATCAATTTGGGGGAATACTCCCCTCCTTACTTCCTCTTCTTTTCGTCTTTGCAATTTTATCTAGATTACCTGTAACTCTATTCAAATATTCTGGCAGCGGCTTACCGGTCTTTAAATAATGTAACTTCCAATTTCTTGCTTTATCCTTCAGTTGTACTTGTGTCCGATTTTTCAGATTTTCATTGATTTTACCACCAGGGCCATAAAGATCTAAAATCTTAGCCCAAGCAGGTCCCAGATCGATTAAACCTGTGATCAAAGTTTTTTCTTCCTCCTTTGACCATGTTCTTTTGGCCTTCACCACCTTGACTGAAGGAGACTTACTGATAACATCAGATAAAATGGAATTATTCGAATCCACTAACTGAGAATGAACATTCTCTCCACCACTCATGTGTGCATCATCCATAAAATTTTTCTGCATTCCTTGACCACTCTCATTCTGTAATGCAGATTGAATCTCATTATTAATGCTCTCACTTTCTGCATCAGTAAGTGGTCGAAGTTCATTGGCGTCAATTAACTTTTCTTTATTTCCAGTATCAAATGTATTTCCAATAGGACTAGGATCATGAGAATTTACTGCTAAATCGGTGGTCAGGTGGCTACCAGTAGCAAACAGAATCTGTGGGTCGAAGTCAGATGGATTAAACTCCAAAAGGGCAGTTTTAGATCTGCCTTTCTTACCCCAAACAATCAAGTTCATATTCTTGCCACAATATTCAAGCAATTCTTTGACAAAAAATGTCCAGTCATAGCTATTTAATAAGTCTGTGTAGTTGGTAAACTTAATTAGTGTTTCTTTCCTACGTTCACATCTGCCAACAAATTCTTTCTCAGATGGCGTCAAAATCTTTTTCTCATTTGGGGCAACAATCTTTCTATTCACAAGTCTCATGGCAATATTATCAGGGAAGATAGTATCCAGTAGGATTCTTTTTTCGGCATCGGGTATTTGTTCATTGGCGCCCAGGTGGTCCCGGATCGAGGAAATGTACGCATGAGTCTTTAAGTCTAGATATATGATAGCTTGAGGTTTTAAAAATTTTGAGACTTGATCACCATTAGTTTGATCTGTTAGGATAGTATTAGGGCAAAAAACGTCCAAGTAAACTTTTTGTAAGAAATCAAAACCATAGGGCAAGCAGTTTATTACCGTGAGAATGAATGTTACCAAATTGGCCTTCCGTATAGTAGATATGATATAAGCTTCGTGCCCTTTAAGTATAGTTGGTGGAGGCATATTCAAAAGCCACAAACCAGGAGCAACGTTGTTCACATTCAATAGCGGCGTTCTTGACTCGTAAACGTCACGGATATTTTTGAAGATCCTCACCAGCGTGTGGAACATCTCCGATTCACCTGTTGAGATATAATTCTCCTTGTTTGAGATGACTGCAATAACATTGGGAGTGTGAGCATTTGATATCAGAAATCTTAACAGTTGTGTTGAGACATCATTTAAAAGCGATAATGTAGAGAGCGTGAGTCTCGTCTTTACCGGTAAGTCTTCGATTATATTAGCAAACCTATTAACGTCTTCAGTATCCGAAGACGCCATCTGAATATCACCTGTCATTTCTATGAGGGAACAGTAAATTATGAGAGGGCCACCGTTGCAATAGTCCACTAAAGGTAAAACCGTCAAACTTCGAAATATATAATCAAATTCTCAGTTAGAAACGAACTCTCTTGTTGACTATCTTTGGAATTATCAACTATTACTAGCACTTGCTTAGCCTACCTACTGTTTGCAGAGTCTCAAAAAAAAAATTGCCGCCCAAGTGAAGCCTAAGACCTATTCCAGTGCTTATATAAAGACCTAATCGGACTTATATCCACTATACACAACAGATCGCATAAGGGCTTCCTTCACTACCCCCGTATTGTCCCTCAAGCCCTAAGGTCTTTCAACTCCCTGAATAGCATTTGGAAAATTTTACATAACGTATCAAATGAGAGATCACATGACACATATGTACATAATATTACAGTTTTATAAATATCGCTGGAAAGCCAACTGAATAGTATTCATTATTTCTCTGTTAGAATAACTATGTCTGTAGTAATAGAATAAAAATCAGATTTGTCTTTAGAATTGTATTTACTTGTGATTGATATAACATCAACCACTTAAATTATAACTTATAAGTAGAATTGAAGTTTGAAATAAATGAAGTAAATACCAAATAATAAATTTCATCGTATTTTTGCTGTATGAAAATATAATAATGTGAGCTACATACATAGGAAACCTTTCATGTTGGCAAAAAGTATGAGACAATTTTGAGAAATTAAAGTAAAGGGTAGAAAATAATATAATTATGAAAATAGAAAATAAAATAAAGAGAAAAGAGAGAAAAAAAATGAGAATTAATGAAAGTTTTTATCCAAAAATAAACAGTAGTATTACAATCCATCGAAGGGGTATCTTTATTTGTTTTGTTCTGATAGAACCTGATTAGAGTTATTAATACTTCAATTCTGAATAGTAATGAAGAAGTGAAACACTATAACCCTAATCTTAAAATACAAAATAAAAAGAGCAATTTTTTTTTTCAAATAGGAAACTTTCAACTGACATTCATAATAGAGAAAGAATATGAGAAACGTTGAGTGGACGATCAACTATCATCCACTTATTTTTTTTTAATACAAAACTATTATTCTCATTATTAGGAAAATAAAAAAAGTTCAGTCATATTACAATTTAATTGACTCTTTTTTTCATAAAATTATGACACAAATGGGTATCTATTAGAAGCCCAAACTAAAAATCACAAGGACTCAATCCTTAAATGGATTTGATAGACTCTTTACCCTTTTTCAAGATCTTAACCATACCAGATGGACCAGAAGGTTGAGACAACTCACCGGACTCTACACCTTTCTTAATGGCATTATTGACTAGGTAGTCGAAGTTTACTACCTTCTCGACATTAGTTGGGTATTTGTCCTTGATGAATTTCTTCAAAGCCATACGGGAGGCACCTTTACCGTTGTTCATGGATAGGACACCCGTTAGAATCATCTCTCTGTAAGTGATAGCACTAGACTTCTTTTGAGTAGTCTTTTTCTTCTCATCCTTCTTTGGCTTGGTTACTTTTTTGGTAGTAGCAGTGGCGGTCTTCTTAGCTGGAGTCTTCTTTTCGGAGGCCTTGGAAGCGGTGGACTTCTTGGTGACCTTCTTGTCTGTGGTCTTAGCCTTTGTTGTGGTAGATGTAGAAGCTGGCTTCACAAGCTTCAAGACACCAGAAGGACCCTTTGGAAAGTGGAATTCTTTGCTATCGATACCTTTCTTGATAGCGTTGTTGAAGTAGCTATCGAACAAAGAAACGGAAGCAACATCAGAGTGGTTATCCTTGATGTATTTCTTCAATGCTACACGACTAGCACCTTTACCGTTGTTCAAGGCTTTCAAACCTTCGATGATCAAGTTCTTGTAACCTGGTTTAGTATCCTTAGTAACTTTCTTGGCAGCCATTACTGATTATGTATACGATATATTATTTTTGTTTGCTTGAATCTTGTTAAAAAATGTATTAATCAACTTCAGTAACAGAATAGTGAAAAAAAAATAGTATTATAATAAAATAATCTTTTTTTAGCCCAAAATTTAACAATATATTTGTTGTTTATAAAACACGTAAACTTTGGGAAAGCTGTTAGTTAAAGAAGTATATATAGAAGAGGCCTTTTGTTTATCGCAAACTTGCAACGGGGGAGGAGCAGATCAAATGATTAGCGTTGTTTGGGCAGCGAAAGATCATCCCAACACTATTCTCCTGCTAGAGTTGAGGCAGAAATCCATTCAACTTTGTTCGCACTGCTTGTGTGTGGGGAGTTTTTTGTTTGCAATGTTGTAAACAAAGGGAGTAATTGTTTTTGCATAAGACACGTACTATACGATCACCTCCATGGCTTTTGACTTTAAATTTGCTTTTTGGTGTCGCTGTTACAACTACATATGAAGACTGCCCTCCTCACAAGACAGCACAATGCCCAACGGTAGCTTACACCGCTAAAAGCACTACACTTCCCATTAACAATACTTTTAATCCAACATTGCAAACCTGAAAGCCCATAATAGAGAGTAAACACATCGAGCTTTTTTTTCGCATCGCGGTACAAAAGCTGGAAAAGTAGAAGAAAACGCGAAATGTGAATATCATATACAACGACATAATAAAATGCAAGAAAGCTGGCTCTAACTTTCGGCCCTCACCTCCCGGCCCTTAGGGGCTCTTGCTCTTGCACTTCTCTTAATAGTATACTTTTCAGCGGTTAAAAGGTGTAGTCGGCGTTCTGTAGTCAGGAGGAGGAAGTGTTGTTACTTTCAGGTATGCTATTTAAGAACTTCAAGACAGCAACTCATTTTTTCCACATTTCTTGCAGAAATCTCATGTAATTGCCCATTGGCAAAATCGATTGCGACTACATGGGCCATTGGAAATAATACTGTCTGCGCCAGACACACATGGCTATGCATTTCAAAATAAAGTGTTGGCACGTCCTCTATTTTTAACCTATTAGACAGCAGATCGATTCTTTTAGCCGCCAATTTGAAGAAATTAGTTCTATGGTTAAGATATCATGTGATAATCATAATGTACGGTTCAAACATATGTGGGTTCTGGTTTTTCTTAGCTCCCAACTACAGGTGTTTCTGAGAGGGTTCCGAGTGAAGAATATGATTACTGCTACAGATGTTTCTGGACATTTTGGGACTAATTGAATGGAAAATTTTAATTGATATTTTCTTGAATTTTTTTTCATTTGCAAACTACAGTCTAGGACTCTTTTTTTTTGAATAGATGCGATGCGATGAGATGAGCTATTAACATTGAGATTACACAAGCTGATAAAATTAAAACAAGTCTAGAAATTAAAGATATTCTGGTAATCTGCTGTTGGAACTGACTGCAAGTACTAGCAAATCCTACTGTGTTTTAGCTTTTACTTTTTATCCAAGTTATTCTGGCAGGCGGTATAAAACGCATATTAACTATACCCAGTTTGGAAGATAGATTACGTTTTTGAAAATAAAGAAATATGGATATCGACAAGTTTCATTTGTCGTTAGTCTCAGGTGGTAAACCATCTCTGGCAAGGAACGTTGACACACCAGACTCCAAGAAGAATTCCACTCTCCTGTCTGATGACCTTACCCATTATGTGATCCCATTCAATAATCAGATTAAGATATACTCCACAGAAACTAAACATTGTGTGAAGACAATCAAGTTTCCTAACCACGAAGTCTTGAACACTGTCTTCATGAATGATGATGTCAAAATTGTGCACTTTGCCTTCGGAGACATGACAAAGACTAATGATACTATCGATAACGAATTACTCTCTATTGTTACGAACACTGGCTCTCTATTAGTTCTCAACTTGAAAGGTAAACTAGTGGAAGACCCAAAGCATCTTAACATAAGTGCAAAGTTAAACGATCCGAAGGAAAGTATTTCAAAGATACTATTTGGTGAAGCAACACAACAGATAAAATTGATCACATCTAAGGTTAACAGCGACAACACACTTGCTTATTACTTATACGATTGTTCGTTTGAGGACAATATATCATTGACATGCACACATGAGTTACAAAATGTGCAAAATATATCTTGGTCCAACAACAATCTGTATTTATCCTATTTGGTCGAACAACCAAAGTCAGAAGGATCTAGCAAAACTGAGAAGATATTCAAGTGTATTTCTATTTTCGATGATAGTTTAAACCAAGAGTTTGATCTTTCAATTATTTTACCATCAACTACTGTATCGCAGTCCAGTAACTCTAAAACTGTATCGACCATTGCTATTGATAACAATGGTATACAGTTAGCTGTGGGTTTCTTTTCTGGTGTCATTACTATAGTCGATTTAGCAGATCTACAAACCAGACTACTCAAATGGCACATAGATTCTGTCTTGTCCCTAACGTTTACTGATGATGGATCTTACTTACTTTCAGGTGGTTGGGAAAAAGTGCTCAGCTTTTGGCAGTTAGCCACCAATATGCAACAGTTCTTGCCCAGATTGAACGGTGTTATTGTTGATATTGATACCATCGGAAATGGTAAGTTCTACTCCTTGACTCTACAATTGACGGAAAATGTTACATCTGCAGACTATCAAATACTGCTACTAAATGCTGCAGACCTGACCTCTGTCCTTTCAATAACAGGCCCTTTGGCAGTTTTCTCAAGTGAAACCAAAAATAGTAAACAACCATTATCCTCGATGAATACAAAAACATCAGAGTCTGTTTCATCATCAGTTGTGTCAAAGAAGAAACTAAAGAAGAAACTACTGAAAAACAAAAGGCAAGACTTCACTGTTCCTGCTTGTATCAATCCTGTATCTAAGCAAATCTATTTTCCACACATGTCAGCAATTCAGGTTTACGACTTTTATAAGAATGAACCTATTGCATATCAATACGTGACTTCAGCTGTTGCTGGTGCGATGGGTAAGGTTAGAACCGAACTAAACATCCAAGAGCCTCTTATCACTGAGGTCCAATTTACCAAAGATGGTAAATGGATGATCACACAAGAGACAGAATTTCCTCCTGAGGATCTTCCATCATCTAAAGATCTAAATTACATACTTAAATTTTGGAATAAAGAATCTGGTGAAGGAGACTGGCAACTGAAAACTAAGGTTTTAAATCCCCATGGTCTAGCTGTTCCTATTACCAAGATTTTGGTTGCGCCATCATGTATTAACAATTCCGAAGGTTGCTTGACTGCCGACAATAATGGCGGATTAAAGTACTGGTCATTTGAAAAGCATGAGAAAAACTGGTGTTTAACAAAAGTGTCCCTACCAAATTTCAATCATTTTAGTAATTCTGTATCTTTGGCATGGTCCTCAGATGGTAGTTTAATATTCCATGGATTTGATGATAAGCTTCAAGTGATAGAATTTGATACATTAAGGAAATTCGAATCATCATTCAGCGAATTGACATTTGATTTTGAAATACAAGCTTTACTATTATCAAATGACAAGACTTTAGTTGTTGCTACCAAAACTACATTATATGCATTTGATATTCTAGCAGGTGCTATAACTCACTCATACGATCTTTTCCCATACATCGATGGCGTGTACAAGAACACTAACATTTCAAGACTGCTTGCTTGTAATAGCAAGAGTGGTCAAATTGCTTTAGTTGTTAACCAACAAGTCGAAGATGAATCCAATAACAAAACACTTAACTATAAATCAAGTATAATAATATTTTCCGCTGACCTTTCGGAAAGAGTCGGCTCCTATAGCCATGATGAGTACATTTCTTGTATTGAGTGGAATTATGAAAGTGATTTTATCTTCATGGATATACAATCAAGATTAGGTGTTGTTGGTGCTACAGTTAGTACAGAAATGTCTGATGAGGTCAATAATGAAGGTGTCTTCGACGGCCTATATCACGAAAGTGGTAATAGTTTCCATGAAGAACTTAAAAAATTATCTTCTCAAAAAGTGGAAGCTGAAAATGTTGATACTGAAGATAAGAACGATGTAGACTTAGAATTCATTAATGGTAATTTCGCTAACAAGGCTATCAATATGAACAGTTTCACAAGCATGATGGACAATATACAGAATATTCAAATGGAAAGTTTGTTTGATCGTGTCATGAAGGTCCTGAAATAAAATCGCATTATTTTTAAATAGTAGGTAAAATTTGCATTTTAATAGATATGAAAACATTTCTAAATTATATTTCATTCTTTATGATTATTCCTTAAATGAATCTTCACATTTAACCAGCTACTTTGCAAGTTGTATTTTACAAATGAATAGAAATCACTAATGATCATCACATTTTATCATTGTTAACGATATATCAGAATCCGATATAGTGGTATCGTAATGTTTTCACCATAATATAACTTAGTTTATGTTGAATTCGTGAGGTTCTTCCTTTAAGATAAAGCTATGAAGACCTATCATATAATAAATAACTTAAAACATTTTTTTAAATGATTATTCTTAATTTTTCTTTACAAAAGGTGTGGGTTGACTATGTTAAAATTTATAAAAAAGAAAGAAATAATGTAGAAGATGATTAAATGAAATTATGAGATATCCCTGCATATTAGTTACGATTGAATTACCATTCAACGTTGTCAGCGTTTTCTTGAGCCCATTCAGCAGCTTCGGTTTGTTCTTCAGTAACTTCTTCCTTAGCTTCTTCTTCACCAGCTTCTTGAGCAGCTTCTTCAGCAGTTTGTTGCTCAATTTCTTCTGGGTTTCTGTAGAAGTACAAATCTGGCATGATAGACCATGGTTGGGTTCTGTCAGTCAAAGCACCTCTTAGTCTCAAGACTTCTCTGGCCAACAAGTACCAGATCAAACCGATAGAGTGCTTACCTCTGTTGTTACATGGGATAGCGACATCGACGTATTCAGATGGGGAGTCCAAGTCAGTCAAAGCGATGACTGGGATGTTAACGTAAGAAGCTTCCTTGATGGCTTGAGCATCGGATCTTGGGTCGGTAACAATGACCAATCTTGGTTCCTTGAAAGAACGGGTGATGTAGTTGGTGAAAGAACCTGGAGTGAATCTACCAGCAATTGGAGTAGCACCAGTGTGAGCGGCGAACTTCAAAACGGCTCTTTGACCGTAGGTTCTAGAGGAGATGGCGACAACATCTTCTGGGTTTGGAATGGCAGCAATGATTCTAGCAGCCAAAACCAACTTTTCCCAGGTCTTACCGACGTTAATGACGTGGACACCGTCTGGTCTAGCGTTGAAGACGTATGGTTCTTGGTGGACCTATTTTAAATAAGATTTCAATCTCTGAAAGATTATCTTCAATAATTGAAAATAGCTTTAGTCGAGAAAATGAAACAATGATGTTAGTAACTTTTTCTTAGTGTTCAGGACTTCTATAAACCGCAATATGAAAAGAGGCCACATAAAAGGTGATAAAAAACATTCCTAAAAATGGATGCCAAACGTTTCGATCAATGCATTTCATGTCTGCAAAAAGATTATAATATCCCACAGTATATCAAATTTCGCAGGATGGTTTATGAGATCTTTTTGGCCACAATAAAATTTTTCAATCTCCACATTCATTCGATCTTAGGGAAATGTTTCATTAAATTTGAGCATTACTGTCCATATAAAATATCCATTCCTGATAGGCTTCAAGTAAAACTCCAACAATGACTTTACAATTTATTCAGTAAGAAGCCAACTGATTCATGTTTTTATCCGATATTATCTCATTCGTGGTATTTCATAGCCTTTTCAGCAAACATATGTAATTTCTCATTCATAGAACTCTTAGAAGTTCGTTCATCTTAAGCATTATATCCACTACTTGTATTATAGGTTTCTCTCTCAGTACTTGCTCATCTCTATGGAATTGGAATTTATTATCACCATGAACACACCCATCATGTATTCGAACCGATTGTCTCTCATATTGTGCAGTTTTGGTAATTGGAAAAATGGTATTATTAACATACTTGAACGTTTCTAGCACCTAGGTGGGTGTTAGCAGCCAACAAAAGTTGGGCGTCCTCTGGGGTAAGATCAAAAGTAGCTGGCAAAGACATCTTATACACAGATAGATTTGGTTTATTGTAATAGTTGTGCTATCCCTTCTTGAATCGGTTTCTCAAAACCTGAAATAAAAAAGCCAAATTTTAAATGATAGTACTATGTAAAGAATTATGAATTTTCTAATAGATAGTACTTAACAAATTGCAAAAAAGACGCTAACGAATAGTAACCAATACACGTATAAGCTACAACCTCTAGGTTGGAACCACAGAGGCACTAACCTATTGTGTGATGAGCTCAGTACGCAGCTTCAGAGAGTCGCTGGAAATTTTGCAAAAAAAACGCAGACATCAGACAGCGTTGGCCATCGTTAGGTGAGAGTCCTACTAGACACCCGGTGCAGCAAAGGGCTGGGGCGGAGAAGGACTCAGCCTAGACTTGAATTTCGGCTTACTTGCTAGGCAGAAGGTGGGCACTAGCTAGACAGAAACCCAACTTGCTAGCCTGCTGGAACGTAACGTTAGTGAGGCACTGGCGGAGCTCTTTCGTTCTCAATTGTGCAATCTACTGGGAAAACTTGGGGTCTTCCTCAGGCTGGTCCAACACTAGCCCAGGCCAGGTGGGTGCTAGTAGGGGGCCCAGAGTATGGTATTGGAGAGGTTCCCCTCTCTAAGGTCTAGAAGACGCAGACAGAGAGAATCGATTCTCCATACTCGTAATGGCAATTGTGAAGCCGGGCCGGTGGATTAGAAGGGGGCCACTGTGATTGAATCAAACTTCCCCAGCCTAGAGACCGATACGAATCTGTGGCAAGCCCAGACTGTTTCCACTAAGGACCCCAGTAATTGAACCACGGTGTGGCCCCCCTGCACGGACTGTAGTTTGTCAAACAGAACCTGGGGCCGACTACACCATTCGAAAAAAAAAAACACTTCAATTGTGGTAGCTCCTCTAATCAGTATCTGAGATGTATGGGTGCAGACAGTCACAAAACTCTTACCAAAATATCGGCAAAGGGAAAGTATCTAATAACTATTAACGAAACACTATTGCGGCATCAGTCTCCCCACCTGCTGCTGACCGTACAGCTGTATGTTGCACTGAGCAACTACTCCCTCCACTCTTGCGGGTCGCGCTCCATCTTAGAGGCTGGGAGGGGGTCCTGCACACAATGCACTGCTGTAACAGTGAGAGAGCCACAAGAGGTGAAGCAAGACGCGAAAAGATGGAGCTACCTGCGTGAAAGGCAGGAACCGGGATATAGCTTGCACTACCCCCGATTCCATAATGTGATAGGAGTTAGAGTTTGACAATACGTATTATAATTGTTGATATACGAACGTCGTCACATATCTATTCGACTAAAAGCTACCCTCAAAAAGAGGTAAAATTTGGGCTACATCAGGTCCCAGTCGCGTATAAATTCTTATATAGTGTAGCTGCAAGCGTCCTCAAAGGTGTCAAAAGAAGGACCATAGATTTTCGTAAATCTGAACGACCCTATGTTCAATCCTATGGGAACAATCGCAGCACCATATTTCGCTTTTTGTTAATAGGAGACGGCAGGGACAATAAACAGAGTGTACAAGAGATGGAAATAATACATTGAAGAAAAATCGTACATCGCACATAATACCAGCACTGGGGGCAACTATAGGGCAAAAAAAAATGGAAAAGATTCTCTAGCTGCCGGGTGTAGACTTTTTACTGTACATTAATTCATATTCCTATGTAGACTACATTGCTGCGACCATTTCTGCTTTTAAAGACAATTCATAAACCTCCCGAGCTTAAATGGGAGAAGAGCGAACGGATTTAATACCTGTGCCTATCCCGTAGGGAATACTCACACCCACAGTAGCATCTAGGCTATATTCCTCCATGTAATGTCCTCTACAAATACAGACTGCAGTAACGCAAAGTCATCCTCCGGACAAGGCTATCAGCTATGCTATTCTCTGTCTTTACTGCCTTATCATCAAAACAACTGGTACTGGAAGAGTGAAAAAAAAAAAAATGCTGCAAATTGTAAGTGAAAAAAGTTGGTGAACTGCTGGAAAGACAAAGCTTGAACTCTAATTCATGAGGTAGAAGTTATATTGAAATTTCTTTTTCATTACCCTTTGCTGCATGTATACAAGGTCTGTACCGTCACGATAATTAATCACTTACGTGGGTCAATTCAAGAATCACTTAAGTATGTAAATTATATATAAACAAAGTACAGAAAAATTGTATAGCAACAGCATTGGCACAACACAAGCACAACTACTCACAAACCGTTTTACGTAGGGTCTTAAACATAAAAGAGACAGCTTAAAGATGGTATCAATGCGACTATTGATGAATAGTCTACGAAAGAGGAAGCTACTCGTGGCTATCCAAGTGGTAGTGTTGTTTCTTATTTTCAGCCACTCTTTTGGTACTGATTATTTGATACCATACAACAGCAACACAGAATATGCATCTTCTGCCGCGCGTGTCCAGCCGATGCAGCTGCCTGATCCAGTTGCTAAAAAGACTCTTATCGGAAACGTGTTGAGGGCTGCCCTAGACGCTAAGCCATCGCCATTTAAGCTAGATAGAGATGCTTTGAAGACCAGCAGTTGCCCAAAGAAAGGTGATGTCTCATCGGGAGGTATTGACCAATTCCACTGGACGTCCGCAAAGAACCTGAAGGCGTGCTTGAACCTGGATGATTACGCCATCAAAACATTGTCTGAAGCCCACTCAAGGTACATGAAGACTCTCTTTAACGATAAAGGTGAGTTTGCCATCTCAAAATCCGACTTTAAGAAGCTGTATCCTAATGAGAAAGGTATAGTCACGCTTGGTGGAGGTAGATATACTATCCTGGCCATGCTAATGATCGAAACTGTGAGACGCCATGGATCTACACTACCAGTTGAAGTGATGTTCCCGCCTGAAGACGAAGGTGAATTTGATTTCTGTAACAATTGGCTACCAAAACACAACGGTAGGTGTGTTATGATGAGTCAAGAAGTCCCATTTGAAATTCTCCAAAAGGACAAAGAGGTTAGATTCAAGAGTTACCAGATTAAGTCATTGGCCCTGCTCTTAACATCTTTTAAGCAGTTTGTGTTCATCGATGCCGACAACAACGCCATGAAGAACATAGATCACATCTTCGATACCGAGGCATTCAAGACCCACGGTTTGATTTTATGGCCTGATTTGTGGAAGAGGTTCACCAATCCAGGCTTCTACGATATTGCCGGTGTAAAGTATGACTTGGGTAAGAGAGTAAGAAACGTTAACGACGATGCATCCCCTCCAGAAACCTATGATCCTAACCATTCCATCTATACTACACACGACCTAAAGCAAAGAGAAGAAATCGCAAAACACTTATATGAGGATGTATCCCTTGCCGACCTGGATGGTACAATAGCTGATACCACCACAGAGTCTGGACAGATGATGGTTGACAACAAGAAGCATTTGTCAACTCTATTGTTGGCCCTTTATTATAACATTTATGGCCCTGATCTTTACTATTACATGATGTCAATGGGGACTGCTGGTGAGGGTGACAAAGAGACATTTATTTCTGCTGCTCATGTACTACATCTTCCATATTACCAAGTCAAAACTAACATAGGCTTCGATGGATATGTTAACGATGTTGATAATCAATTCAAAGGTGTTGGCTTGATGCAAACAGATTTTGAACAAGATTACCAAAGACACAAGCAAGTATTAAAGGAGTTGGCCACTGAAAAACCATTAGAACCTGTGAAGTACCAACTTCCAAATCATTTCCAAGATAAAATGAAGAATCCAGATGGAACTTCCTTGGATATAATGTTTTTGCATGCCAGTTTCCACAAGTTCGATCCTGCTGACCTGGCAAAATCGAAGCAATACTTCAAGCAAAACGGGGAGCAAGTCCGTGGTTATAATAGAATCGATGCGTACAAAAACTTCGATTTTGAGTTATTTAGCTTCAAGAAATTGTACGATAACCTTTGTACCTCTGATCACATATCTTTTAAATCATTGAAGAAACATGAGGGCACGGAATTCTGGACTTCTATGTGCAGTTACTTCAAACAAAGGGTTGACTTTTTAACTAAAACTAAGCCTGCCAATGCATTCATATGATACTTCTTTCAGGATTTACATTTCGTGAAGTATCTGATTGACCATATTTTACCCCGTTAGTGATACCTTTACCTTCACATAATATAATAGATGGACCTATTCATTCTATTGTCAAGACAGAACCTATACTTTACAGCATTTTTATAGCTCTTAATTTAAAACATTAGTAGTACATATAAATATCCCCACTCATATTTATGGCTAGCCAACGAAATAAAACAAGATAAATATGCGTTAAGCCTCCCAGTCATTGCTACTTGGTACACTTAAATGACTAACACTTCAACAAAAAATTTGTCCCAATATATATGTTTTGGTATGAAATGCAACCTTGACACATTCTTTCTTCACAAAGAAAAATAGCCTGAAAAAATAACAACAAACAGGATAATTGGAAACAAATGAATACATATATATCATTTAAAAGTCCACACTCGTTCAATTTAGTTTTCCTTTGACCATTTTTATCTGTAAAGGTTATAACATCATATATCAAACCATACACACGAAATAATATCCATTGATTATGAACAATCATAGGTCAACTTATATCAATCAAATTTTGGAACGAAAAGACCCCTATGAGGCTACTGAGACATTGAGGATACGACTATCACAGGCTAAACTTTTGAACACAAACTTATATTTATTTTTGAATCAACTTGCTGATCTAAGGAGAAACTATAACCAACAACTGCGTAAGATAATTATTGAAAATGAAGATTTAAATAGTATGCTTAGAAAGCAAATGATTGAAAACAATGTTCTTACAGCCGAGGAAATGCAACACTTTACATTCAATTCTTTAGGAGAAATAGAACCTCTATGGAATACACTGGTATCAGAATTAAAACTCGATCTTGCTGCTAACACTAAATTCAGTAAGGTTATCGAAGATGAGGTAATTTTAGGTATCAAAAATTCTGTGGAGAAGAATAGCAATTGGGGAACCAGCAAGCACCTTCATTCCAAGTTAAGTAAGGTAGCAGTCTCATTAAAAAGAAATAAGGACCCTAATACACATGCTGAACTCCAATCAGAATGGGATGCCGATAAAGCAAAACTATTCCAAATTTTCGAAACAATGGACTATGAAAGACTTTATTCAGTCAAAGATTGTCTGTTGAAGTACCAATCTGGTTATACCGATTATATTTTAAAGACAACCGAAAAATGTGACACATACATGACACAGTTTTTGGAGTTCAACCCTGAGAAAGAAATTCAAAGATTTGCCAATGATGCTTCCAATTACAAATTTAGCCAAGTGCAACCCGGAAATAATGCTAAGTATGCCCCATCTAATATGAACACACCAAACCAGGAAAGAGGCTCATTCAATGATAAAACGTCTCCAAGTAGATTTGCTTCAGCTTCAACTGTAATTAAGCATGATATGGGATCGGAGCAACCTATCATGCTGGAAGACTCTACGACTTATAAAAATATGAACAAAACCCAGAAGCTGAAATCGAAAATGGGTTCCATTTTTGGTAAAAATAAGTTAAAGAGCAAAAAATCGCAACAACGCTTAAGCTCTTCACCTGAAAAACCACCATTATCAAAATCATTTAGCTCAGCAAGTGCGTCAACTAATTATTCTAGTAGAAAGTCGCAAATGGCTTCAACAATGCAAACACCTCAAGTAGACATACAAAATCGTGAAAGTGGTATTACCGACCAGATTTCCTCAAGTAATATTTCAACTCCAAAAAGCTTCCAACAGCAACCAAAAATTGAACAAGCTCCAATCGCTTCAATGAGTCAACCTGCTTTAATACCCAACCAAAAGGACAAGCCTCTGCCAGATATTAACCAAAGTAAAAAAGAAAGAGATATAGTTTCCGATCAAAATGCGAAATCTACCCCAGAAATAATTCAACATAAACCTTTGCACATCACATCTCCAAATTCTTCAAAGTCGCAAACACCACGGCAATGGTCGACAAGCAGTGCTGCATCAACTACTAATAATGAGCCACCAGCATACTCACCACATCTAAGCAACAATGATAACATGCCAAACAACACAGCTGCGAATACACTTGGGAGTCAACAAATGATGCAGCCACAATTAACTGGCGAGTTAACTGCTCTGCAAGCTCAAACCACGGGTGCTACCGGTACATCAAGCGCTAATAATTCCCTCTTTCAACATCTACCGGACGATTTCTCAATATTTGGACTTAATGCTAGTATTGCCGAAGTGTTGAATGCAACCTTTAAGGATGGTGTCTTAACATCTTCTCAACTAGTAGGAGAAGTTGCACTGAATTATGTCAAGAATACGGTGATGAACACCCCTCTTCCCATCGGATTGAATCTACAGGTTACGAATGCATCAACCTTCAACAAGGTCATTTTAAATCAGGCATTTATGGAGAAGGTGGCGGATACAGAATATAAAGTTAATCCACAATTTATAGATGGTAGAACATTGGGGGCTATGAAATACTCAATCGATAACACGACCGTGCCTGTTGTCATACACCCAATATGGAAATTTGAGCCTCATCAAGCCAGTGTAGTATTAACTGTTGGTCTCTCAAATCAAATTCCAGAAAGCATAAACGAGTTGACTCTCAGTGATTTTACTGTAATGGTAAATATTGCTGGTACTGAGAGTACAAGTGCATTATCCAAACCACAAGGTACATTTAATAGAGAAAAGAACAGAATTACCTGGAAGTTCAAGGAGCCACTCACGATTTCTAGGGATGGTGAGAATGTTAAATTAATTGGTAGGTTTATGACAAATGGACAGGGTTTTGAACCTAGTGATGGTGTAATGCTAAAATTTGTAATTCGTGAGCAACAGGGGCAACAGGATGCTTCAATAAATATAATAGGCAGTAAGATAACATTGTCCGTTCAAGAATACGATGTTGAAAATCCATTCGGAGGTGAATGGCAACCAATGAGAACAAACAGAACACTGGCCAGCGGAAATTATATCGCTACATCATAAGTGAAGATAGAAGCCCATATAATGGTTTCATATTACAAACAACCACCTCGTATTTATAGATTTTTGTTTCATTTATCTCCTAATATTTTGAGATGTAATTATACGCGTTTATCATATATTAAAATTATTAAATGAGTATATAATATTTCTAAATTGAGTTTATATTATTTCTATGTGACCATACTGGCTAAATTTCTAATTTTATTAATGGGGTTCATGTCACATCATTTTCCTTATTATACAGCTTTTTTTTTTTTTTTTTTTTTTATATTTTTAATTTTGTTAATGGAGTATGACTCAGGTCAACTATGACTCAAGTGATGACATGCCATTGTAACTAGAGCAAATTATACGCCTTGTCAACCTTTCAGGTCAAATCTGAATATGAAATATTTAGATATGGGGAGGATAGCACTTCGATATAAGATGAGCAGTCTGACTCAATGGATATATTTTCAAAAGACAGACTTAGAAGATCTTTATTAAATAAACTAGGTATCCGAAACTTTCTAGTGTTAGCCGTATCGGTATTGCGCCTTGCCGTTTGTTTTTGCAATTCTCTTTGTTGTCTTCTAGACTCCTTTAATACAGGTAAAAAATAAGCCGCAAACTCTTTGATTCTCTTGAGATGGCTATCATCAAGGTCGGCAAGTATGTGACTTGTCCACAAGTCATTTCTATCTATATCCACTTGGTCATCTGCCAATGCCAGAGAAGGTGTCCTCTGTCTGTCTAGTTGTATCTCAAGGCACCATTTATCTATCTGAGTCGATACATTAGGCGTCAGTGACGTTGCCTCCTGAATGGGACTCCTCGTTCGACTAATGATTACATGCTCATATGTCCCTAAGGATGTCGAGGACGACGTAGACAGTATGTTATTGTAATAGTCGCTGGACCCATTCTCAGCGTTATCATGAATCCCAGACAGCTCATCGTCTGTCCTACTGGAACTAATAATCGCATCGTTCTCAGAACTGGAAACGTAATTCAGCAAAGTCTGAGTGTCTCTTCCTGATATACTAGGAGAGAGCCTCAAGTCGAAATCGTCCTCTGGAGATGGTAAGTTAGACGATCCATAGGCTATACTGGCCTGTATTGCTGGCAGAGACCCTTGGTTGTGTGGCATTCCAAATCGAATCATCTTTTGCTGCTATATAAAATAGTCTTTAACTAAGTTTGCTCTGTTGCGATCGGTTATACACATACAAGATCTTATAGTTTTACTCTTTATCTTCCTTTTATATAATCATTTCTGTGAAAGGAGCAATATACATTTATTACTTTTTGAATCATGGAGGGGGGACAGTATTGAGTAGTACAAAATAGCCTTTAAAATTAAAGAACACAATCAAAAAAAAGGAAATCACAATGGCCAAGCAACGAATCGGTCTTGCTAAGTAGAAATAAAATCCCAGAAGCCAAGAAGCCACCACTCTGATAACAAAGAAATGAGCTATCTAAACCCATGAAAAAAGGTGTAGTGTGTACAAATTAGAGTTGTAAAATTGCAGATAATCTATATTCTGCAGATCAACAAGCAAAAAAAAAGAAAGAACCCACTAGTAGGTGTTTAACTCAATTTTTAGCAGTAGATATGGCTTCACCATGGATGTTAAGGGACAAGAAATCTTCTTACCCCCCACGACCTATCGGATGCTCAAAAGACCATCTAGATTCAGATACAAGAGGGAAAGCCATTTTCAAAAACGAATCGTTCTCTTCACTAACAACTACAACAAATTTGCCATTATTCTATCTATACCCAAGAAAACCAAGCCAACATGTAGTAATACCCAAGTCTATGCATAGCCTAATGTATACTAACTAGTCTGGCTATGGACTTATGGAAGAGACGGTAGCTGAATGCTGATAGCCGGGTAAATTTAGGGTTCTCTTGTATGTTCCAAAGGTGCTACTTACAGAGAGAGGTGGGGGGGGGAGGGGGGCAAAGTAAAGCCCTAATTTTGGCTTTTTTTCTTGTTGCGTTATCCCACTTAGCTATAGTATGGAATACTGGGGATTTGAAAGAAGAGAGAATTAGGGTTTGAAAGACCCGGTGCTTTTTCTCAGAACCAAACCCTAAAATCTTCTTGCTTCCACTGTGTTCCGTTCATCTATTGTTCACCCTAATCATGATCATACAAAGTTGGAAGGCCTTTCTAGAATCCCAACTTATTCGGAAACAATGGTACATATGTAGATTACCTTTGCTACAACTTCTAGTGGAAAGGCATTTGTGGTTTGCTTTAAGATACTCTCTACTGTTGCGTGTTGAGAGACTCTACCCGCGATTAACGATACTCCTGAGAAAATAATGTCGATTACTATCCATATCAAGTCTGGTCAGAACAAATGGGACGTCTCCATCGATCCCTCGCAAACGATCTTGAATTTGAAAGAGGAGATTGCCAAAGTTTCTGAGATCCCTTCAGGTAATCAGAGGCTGATTTACTCTGGTAAGATTTTGAAGGATGACCAAACTGTTGAGTCCTACAACATCAAGGATGACCATGCGATACATATGGTGAAGTCTGGTGGTAACGCTTCTACTTCAAATGCTCCTACTAATGCTAACGAATCCAGCAACTCTTCTACCACTGCGGTGCCATCCAACATTGCCTCCGGACAAACTGGCGGTTTCAACCCATTGGCTGACCTTACCGGAGCTCGTTACGCAGGCTACGCCAATTTGCCCTCTGCCGATATGTTTGGCCCCGATGGTGGCATTAATAACGCCCCAGATCAGGACGAAATGCTAAGGATGATGGAAAACCCTATCTTCCAGTCGCAAATGAACGAAATGTTGAGCAACCCAGAGATGCTAGACTTCATGATACAATCCAATCCACAACTACAAGCAATGGGCCCACAGGCTAGACAAATGCTACAGAGTCCGTTCTTCAGACAAATGCTGACAAACCCTGCCATGATTAGACAAAGTATGCAATTCGCAAGAATGATGAACGGTCAAGGTGGTATGCCTGGCGCAGATGCAACAGATGCTTCGGCTTTCCCAGCTCCAGGCGGAGACGATACTGAAACTACTACAGGCTCTACAGAGAACACAAGTACAAACAACAGAACGAACAGTAACGCAAACGCTAACCCTAACGCTGCTGCCAACCCATTTGCCGCACTAATGGATCCTGCAAGCAACCCATTTGCTGCCATGATGGGCAACATGAACAACCAGCAAGGTGGTGCTGGCGTACAGCAACCGGCTTTTGACCCTACCCTATTAGCATCATTGCTAGGTGGACAACTACCTGCACCAGCACAAGAAGACAACAGACCTCCAGAAGAGCGTTACGAACAACAATTAAGACAGCTGAATGACATGGGCTTCTTTGATTTTGATAGAAATGTTGCAGCATTGAGACGTAGTGGTGGCTCTGTTCAAGGAGCTCTTGATGCCCTCCTGAATGGTGATGTGTAAAAGAATTAAATCTTCAAAACAAGTACGTTTTAGCAGATGTATATATTATATAGAATTACCAATTATGCCCAGATAATCAATTACTTCATTCATCTTATATATTTAAATCAAAACAGTTATTTAATAATTGATGCAAGATGTGAAACACCATCTTCACACAGCAATTATTAGTGATTTGCGTACGTAAGCTAATGCATTCCATGTGCAACTATGTATAGTATGGGTCACTATAGGTCAGTCACCATAAGCCTTTCCGTTCACCCATGGCATCTGGCCATCTCATCCCATCAAGTTTCCCTTGAAAAAAACAAGAGACACAGCTGAAAAAAAAAAAGATGAAGGAAAACAAGAAGATCAACTAACCTTAACATGCTTTTAATATGTTTATTATTTCCATAACCTACCAACAACCAACTTAATAGAACTAACAACTATACAGTGTTTGTTATAGCTTAGCATTACACTTTGACAGGTACCGACTGCGTTAGAATTGAGCCTGTGGAACTATATTGGACATTATTTACATTTTCGGGTCAATACAAAATCCGACTGTCCTCCCATCTACAACTCATTCCGAAGGTTAAAAACTCAGCTGTTTTATCTATTTGAGAGGTATCAGCATATTGTGCTAAATCAGAGAACTCTCTCTTTGCTTCAAGAGAACTTTAAAAAAATATTGGGATTTCAAAATTGGAATACAACAATTCTAAGGTTCAAAACCAATTGTCTTACAAGATAATTAAACATTAATATACTTAGCACCTTGGCATTATGAGTACACCTGTTCTTACTCCAATGGGGTTGCCATACCCTATTACTGTAGATGAGTTGATGGTGCCCATAGGTAGCTATGTGGAAAAAGGTCAACGTTTGTTTGCATATAAGTTTTGGTATATGGTTGAGATTGCCAATTCACCAGACGATAACGACATAGATTATGAAGGACCAGAGATTGAAAAATCTAAAAGAAAAGTCAGGGAGTCAATCGAATTCTATGAGGCACCTTTTGAAGGCGACCTTTTATCCTGGAACGTTGATGAGAAAGATGAAATTGCTGGCCCAAATATGGCTGTATGTGAAATAAAAAGACCTTGTAACCATGATATAGTTTATGGTGGCCTTTGTACAATGTGTGGAAAGGAAGTCGATGAGTATGACCAAGTGGATGCAAACCTGACCATTTCACATACTGACACAAATCTGCGAGTCAGCAGAAAGGAAGCTATAGACTTAGATAAACAGATAACTACCCGGTTAAAGAATGAAAAAAAATTAGTATTGGTAGTTGATTTAGACCAAACTGTAATCCATTGTGGTGTGGACCCAACAATAGGCGAGTGGAAAGCCGACCCTTCCAATCCAAACTACGAAACGTTAAAAGATGTCAAATGCTTCTCATTAGAAGAGGAACCAATTTTACCACTAATATATATGGGACCAAAACCACCAGTACGAACATGTTGGTACTATGTTAAGATCAGACCAGGGTTGAAGGAATTCTTTGAGAAAATCGCGCCTTTATACGAGATGCATATATATACAATGGCTACCAGAGCATATGCTTTAGAGATTGCCAAGATAATAGATCCAGATAAATCTCTTTTCGGCGATAGAATACTTTCTAGAGATGAAAATGGCTCATTAACACAGAAGTCGTTAACTAGACTTTTTCCAACTGACCAGTCTATGGTTGTTGTAATAGACGATAGAGGTGATGTTTGGAATTGGTGTCCAAATTTAATTAAAGTTGTGCCTTATAACTTTTTTGTGGGCGTTGGAGATATTAATTCCAACTTCCTACCGAAGCAGCAAACTACCATGCTACAATTAGGGAGACGAACACGCCAAAAAATCAAAGAGTCAGAGGAGTTATTGACAGATATTATGGATACAGAAAAAAAACTACAGGAAAAAATTGATGAAGAAGTTAAAAGGCAAGAAGAAAAGCTAAATCACCAAATGGCCACCGCTGAAGAAAGCACCGACCAAGAATCCAAGGAAAAGATAGCTAAGAAGCTTGAATTCTCCGCGTCATTGGAAGTCCAGCAACAAAATAGACCTTTAGCAAAACTCCAGAAACACTTACACGATCAACGTTTACTGATCGATGATGATGATGAATTGTTTTATTTGAAAGATACTCTGGCATACATACATAAGGAATTCTACCATTTATTGGAAGATGCTAGTGACCAAAATGAAGCCGATATTACCATGTTACTTCCTAAGTTAAAGAAAAAAGTATTCAAAGAATGTCATTTCGTTTTTTCTGGTTTGATTCCATTGGGTACTGACATCAAAAGGGCGGATATAGTTATCTGGACCAGTCTTTTTGGTGCTGAAAGTACATCTGATATAGATGAACACACAACTCATGTAGTCACTAAGACTCCGGGCACCTACAAAGCACGGCTCGCAAAAGCATTTAACCCCGATATCAAAGTTGTACACCCAGATTGGATTTTTGAATGTCTGGCATCATGGAAGCGCATTGATGAAAAACCATACTTGTTAATAGTTGAGCAACCTGTTTCAGAAGATGAATTGATTGAATTCAAAAAGAAGCTAGAACAAAAGAAAAAGAAGTTAGAGGAATTAGAAATTGAAGAGGAGGAAGAGCTCAATGAGAGGGCTAATCAAATGGAACCTACAATGCCATTATTTGGTGGAGATACTTCATGGCTTAACGACGATGAGGATGAGGTTGAATTTGGCTCAGATGATGATAACTCAGATGAAGATAGCCTTATATCAGAAGACACTGATAATGGCTTGGCCGCAAATGGTAATTCTTCTGAATCTTCAATAACAAACAAAGTTCCTGAGGCCACAGAAGATGTACTAAACAATCCATCGGATACCCAAAATGAAGAGGATCAAATTCCAAACGGTAATGGTAATCATCTTCCAAAGAGGCCAATCGATGATGTATCTGAAAACGCTCACGAGATGGCAAGTAAGAAACAACTAACTTCAAAAGATGATGACAGATCTAGTGATGTTGAATCAGATTTTGAAGAAGATCTTCTGAATGCTCTAGATGATTAGATCGATTTGGTGGTTTGGATATTTTGACTACATCAGTCGTTTATCCAAACTCCGTCGAAAAGAAAAACTGTTTTACTAGCCCGTGGAGTCAGAATAATTCTTGCCTAATCTTTTAATTTTCATATTCCTAACTAGCGTCGTATTTTAATGCCTAATGTCCAATGGTTCATTATGTTGTTAAGCTACGAATACCCTTGTTCTTCTGCTATATGCAGTGACAAGTTTTACATATTGGCTATATTTACCTCAATAACTGCATAACATTAAAATAAAACAAACTAACAATCTTGTAATAGATACGCAAGTCTTCACTAAACAATACTAACGATGCTCCGGATATAACATATCTATATAGACTGTCTCTATAGTTGTAACAAAATACGTAAAATACTGCAATTGATTGCATAGGTCAGCAAGATTCTGATATTAGGGGACAGTAAGCCCATTGGGCCTTCCCAATGTTTCTAGGTTAACTATACAAACATTTTGCAAACTCATCAATATGCCAACAGTGTTTAAAGGACAAAAATATACTGAGATATTTCTGCAATCAAATAGATTTTGCTCTCAATAGCCAAATAAACAGTTAAAAAAAAATGTCTACGACTGATATACCGGTGGAATTAAGAACTGCGATCGAATCATGGCTACAGCTAGATAAGAATGAGGAGACTAGGAATGAAGTGATTAAGCTTTGCAATGATCAAAATTGGGATGAATTACATAAGAGGTTTGACTCCAGGATAGTGTTTGGTACTGCTGGTTTAAGAGCTCGGATGGAAGCAGGTACTAATAGGCTAAACAAATTGGTGATTTTACAGGCGTCCCAGGGATTAGCAACATACATCAAGGATAAATTCCCTCAAAATTTAACAGCGGTAGTGGGTCATGATCACAGATATCATTCACAAGAATTCGCACAGGTTACTGCTGCGACATTTATAAGAGCGGGATTCAAAGTTTACTACCTCAACCCCCACGATGAATTTGTTCACACTCCTATGGTGCCCTATAGTGTAGACCATCTCAATGCCTCTGTTGGTGTTATGATTACTGCCAGTCATAACCCGAAAATGGATAATGGCTATAAGGTATATTATACCAATGGCTGTCAAATAATACCACCTCATGACCATGGCATTGCTGAGACTATTAATAATAACTTGGAACCATGGTCAACCGATTGGAACTTTACTAAGATCTTATCAAATGCAGAGACAGATGGAAAAATTGAATATGTTAGAAAGAGAATGTTGACTTCATATTTGAATTCAGTAGTAAATCAGCTTATTCAAAGAGATTTTGCTGCCCCAGATGAAAAGCCCTGGTTTGTGTATACACCAATGCATGGAGTTGGCCATCAGATTTTTAGCACTATTTTAAATGAATCTCTTAATTTGAAAGACAATATTGACTATATCACAGTTCCTGAGCAAAAAGATCCAGATCCTTCCTTTAGAACAGTTAGTTTTCCAAACCCAGAGGAGAAAGGTGCTTTGAATTTAGCAATTACGTTGGCTGAAGCCAATGGAATTAAGTTAGTTTTAGCGAATGATCCAAACGCCGACAGGTTTTCTGTTGCTGTTAGAGATGACAGTAAAAATGAGTGGAAGCAGTTAACAGGGAATGAAATTGGTTTACTTTTTGCCTTTTATGAATTCAAAATGTATCAAAAGGCTGCAGACAAGGGTATTAAAAACAAACCTTTGGCTATGCTTAATTCAACGGTATCTGCTCAGGTTATCAAAAGGATGGCTGAGAAAGAGGGTTTCCTTTACAAAGACACATTGACAGGGTTCAAATGGATTGGAAATGAAGCTGCAAAACTTGAGGAGAAAGGCTATTTTGTTCCATTCGGCTATGAAGAAGCTATCGGTTATATGTTCCCAGCTATGGAGCATGACAAAGATGGTGTCAGTGCAGCCATAGTCTTCTTGCAAGCTTACGCCAACTGGCTACAATCTTCATCCAACCCTATTGATATAATCCACGAATGCTATGATAAATATGGAGTTTCAGCCGAGTATAATGGTTATTATATTGTATCAGATCCGTCTAAAACAGACAAAGTTTTTGAATCTATAAGGTCCTCCTATACATCAATGGGATTAAGTTTTCCTGAGTCAATCGGTGAGCATTTTAGAGTAACTGAGTTTAGAGATTTAACTATTGGATTTGATTCAACAACAGCTGATAAAAAACCTTTACTACCTGTAGATAAGAATTCCCAGATGATTACTATTACTGCCGTTCCTTCTGGTGCCTCTAATACTGGCGAGTCTGTTAGGTTCACAATAAGAGGATCTGGAACTGAACCCAAATTGAAAGTATATATTGAAGGAATAAGTTCCACTGAGGGACGTGCACGTATTCTTGCAAAAAGTCTTTGGGAGACCTTAAAACATGAATGGTTTAAACCCTCTTCAAATGGATTATCCACAGACTTTTAGAGAAATTGAAACAAGTATTCAAGAATATGATAGTATATTATTTCAGTCTATAAAATTTTTTTGAGGTATTACATAAAAGAATTTTAAAAATTTCAAAAGTGTTTTCGGCGTATTCACAATGTTCTTATTTGGGTGAACCGCATGTTACCATTTTCAGTATGTTCAAAAATTTGGTAATGTTTCATTAGATCTATTGGCCTCCATTCCAAAGAATAATGATTTAAATTAGCAGCTTTCACATTCACTTTCAATTCTCTTTCTATGGCGCTTAGCTATTATATCGGTAACTAAAAATACAAGGCTGACGCATACACCAGCTGATGCTAAACCAATAGCAAGATACAGAGCAGAACGGTAGCCTTTTAACAAATCTGCTCCATGTGCATTGTATTGCTGTTCAACAGTATTACCCATACCAAGACATAAAGAAGTCGAATAGTTTACCACAGTATTCACTAATGAACCAGCCATTCCTTGATACTGCATTGGTAGAAAATCACTTAATATTATGGAGGATGCTGGAAAAGATAAATCCATGCCAAAACTTAATATGATTTGCATACCCACATTCATTCTCCAATATGTTTGATGAACGGGTGTTACGCTGAGCATGATTGACCCACAATCAAATGCCACCATTGAGAAACAAAGCAACACAGCAGGTCCTACTTTTTTAATTGTTAATGCCACAACAAAAGCAGCTACAGTTCCCCATATGACAAACATAAAATGAGTACCACCTGCCCACAATGGAGTATATTTTCTGAGATTCAACTGAAATGCGTAATAATAGTATGTCCAGATACCAAATGAGCCCCAGCCAAAGAAAAGCGCAGCAAGAATCATCAAAATCTTTTTGTTTTCGAGTACTGAGGGTGGCAATAATGGTGAGGTTGCATATTTTATTTCGTAAACCACAAATATTAATAGCAAGATTATCGATATGATTAGGAGCACAATAATATATGCCTCTCCCCAACCAACTATTGGTGCTTGATTCCAAACGATATTGAGTAATAGTAAACCTGAAACACCTAGAAGTGATCCAATCCAATCCATGTTCAGATTGTTCAGATTAGTGGGAACATTATTTGGTATCGAATAGAGTGCTAATAACATATTAACGAATGAAGCAATTCCAAAAGCATAAAATACCCAAGGCCATTGTTCTGCATCTTCAGTTACTATTAATCCTCCAAATAGTGCACCTAATGCGGCTCCAGCAGGTGCCATACAACCAATACAGCTAATTACTATATTTTTTCTGAGTGTTCCAACTTTGTAGATGTTCCCAACCAAACCCATGATATTCGGTAATATAAATGCAATCCCCAATCCTTGAAACGATCTACATACTATAAAAAATGCATCGCTGTTAGTATATTTTGCAAGGCCACATATTATAGACCACAATGTCATAATGATATAACCGACGGAAAGGGCTTTCTTAAGGCCATAAATATCGCCTAATCTACCACTAATTAGGATAAATGAGCCTGACACCAAAGGAAATGAGGCCATTAACCAAGGTTGTTTACTACTATTCGATTTGAAATAGTCTGCTAAAACGTTCATTGTAGATAAGGACTGTGTTTGTCCTGCTTGATTCAACAACTGTGCTACCATACATGATATGATGAACATTACTTCTTTAAATCCAGTCTCAAAATATTCAGGATTTTGAAATGGGCTGTCATTCTCGTGACAGTCATCCACAGAACAAATACATCCTTTTGAAGTAACTGACAATTGATCTGAGTTGGACTGGCATTCATCTGAACTACTGCACTCCTCACAGCCATCAAAGGCAATGCTTTTAGTTACCACACCATCATAATTAGTTTTTTCTGATTTTGGATTATTTTTTTCTGAAGTCATATTATGAGTAACAATAAGCACCATTTATTATCCTGCCAGCTTGGTGTTTGTAGATTTTTTCCTTTGCTTTAGAGGTATTTTTATTTTAGCCAAGCTATTAAATAAATTCAATTCAAAATGCTGAGTGTATAGTGTTAGATATTTATTAGATTTAATGTAATCTTAACAAATTAAATTTTGACAATGACAAACAAGCTAAATAATATTTTATATTGGTTGGCCTTTATATATTATAAGTTCAAATATAGATTGCTTCGAATTAAAGGAAAAATATATAAGGAAGTACTTACAATTGATACGCATCTTACGATAGTCATTGTTGGCATATTTTGGGTCTCGTATTCAAGGAAATATTTTACAAATATTTTATTAATATCATGATACTGGTGCAAATAACAAGTGCCTATAATGTTTGTCTAAAAAGAAAACAGAGGTGTAAAAGAGGTAAAATTATAATTCAATAACATCTTAAATGCCTCTACTAACAAATAGCAATAAAATTAATATCCAACTATACTAAGAGCTCCTACAAGAATATGAGTGCGTAAATAAAAATATGCTAATAAATAGAGTATTCCATTGAGCTGAGTTAGCTATGGGACTCGAATGTACCACGCTAGAACAGTTACATACGTTCAGGAATGGAATGCCAAGTTAAGGAAGCAATAAAGTTGGCTGGAGTTCAAGGTGAAACCCCGTAGATATTTTTCAACGTTGGCGACACACATTCGAATAGCAAAAAAAAAGCCATGGAGTCTTTGCACCTTCTTATCTGTGACCGAACTGCTACATTTCGGAACCCCCCCCCATCTTAGCAAACGTAGATAATATTAAAGAAAATGGTAAACACAAATATTTACGCGTTCATGTTTCTATTTACGCGTCTCATTTGTTTACAATGTCCCAGAGATTATGGGTACAAATTATGTGCACCTCCTGTGAAATAAAGCTATTGGCAATTCACACAAAAGCAATTGTGCAAAGGGTTTAGTCGAATGAACAGACAAGAAACTCTGCTTATTCTGTCTTATGAAACAGGAACTGAATCTGAACGATAGTCCGCTGTAAGGAGTTAGAAAATTTGCTTCGTATCCCCTATTACCAACCCACAAGATAAGCTAACGTTTCTGAGAAACAGTAGTAAGTTAGTGTATCTTAATGTTATAAAATAAAATATTAATAATATATTACCAAATATTCAGAAAACACATCAGTTTCTTTTGCAAGTGCAGTGGGAAGGTAAAGTGAAAATCAGATCTAGCGTGCATCTATACTCAGATTTCTGTGGAGGTCAATTCTCTGCCCCTTTCGCAATCTACCAGTTCTGCCGGTATTTCTACGCTCTCCCATTGTTCTAGCAAATGTACCATATTTTCTTTCTTTTTTTTTCTGTGATTTTTCTCCTTAAATATCAGCGAATCGCGTCAAGCCAGTAATACAACGGAGGGCATGAATATGCTTTACCTTATGCCAGTATCCAGGCAATTAGTAGAACTGAATTTGCCCACCGAAGCTGATTCTAACATATTAGAATAGTAAAATTATCTCACGCCCAATTAGTTGCCAAAAACAATGGATATCAAACTCCACTAACGGTACAAAATGTCCCACGCCCTTGAGATAGCCTAATTTGTAGGAAAGTACTACTCATCTCTATGTGAAAGGGTTTGCAGCGCAGTTAATCCAACAATGCCTCTTCCATCAAGTTTTCATGCGAATCGCTCGTTCATATCAACAAGGCAATACTTTTTGGGAATAGTTTTTGAGTAATTTGGAACAGGCCATTCTACACTTTGAACTAGTAATTTGTAACAAGATCACCGAATGCCTTTTAGTAATACCTTATTCATATATATTGAAAAGAATGATAATACAATCCCACGACATTGCAATGCGTTATGTTCGACCAAAAGGTGGGATAAACGGCAATAACTTCTTTGATGATATAACAATCCGAGCTGCAGGGAGTTACTAACCACCGATGAATATATCTTGCCCATGCCATCTTCTACAGGGAGAGAAATACAATCTCGAATGTCCAAATCCCCTCGGTAGATCGAAAGTGCGTTTATATCTTGTAAGTATCATTAGTGCCATGTCAAAGACTCTAAGGTTAAAATACTAATCAAAAAGGAAAATTAGAAAGATAAGTGCAAAATCACAAACTTATAAACATGTCTTAACCGAACCTTCTTAAACAACTAAAAAAAAAATAAATAGAACTGAGAAAATATCTGAAACCTATTTGATAAAGCTATTTCGAATTTTGCCACTGGAACAAATCATGCAGATTTCCTTGATTTCTACCGCCATTAATTTCAGTTTTCATGGCCAATGAATCCTTCCCTAGTGTATTGTTATAATTAGGGTATCTTCTTGGCCTCCTTTGAGTACTGTAATCCCCAAAGGATAAACTCAATGTATCGTCATCTAGAAAGCTAGTACTAGGGCTCAAACTCTTTACAGTATTTTTATTGCCGAATGAGGATCCATATTCACTCTTCTGTTCAGGAAGATATGAAGTTGCGGCATCAAAGTGATTATTATTCAACCTCTCATGTAATTCTGAATTTGTTGACCCAAAATTGACATTACCATCCTGTGAGTCATGCGTCAATTCTGAATTTGCGGTCAAGAGAGCAGTTGTATCAGATCTTGTTCGCTTAGTGTCCGAACCACCAAACATTTCATTTGTGAAGCTTCGAGAATTCGAATAATCATCCTTACCATTAAAACCTATCCTTGTAGATAATATATCATTATTTCCAGCTTGAACTTGGGTTCCTTCATGCTGTCTATGAATTTCATTATTTTCAGATAGCAAAGGTGCCAAACCAAGAGACGCATCAATAATGAAATCATTATCTCCTCCATAAAGTGTATTCATTGACAAAAATTCATTACCTTTCGAATTTAAGCCCGAAGTGGCACCATGTGATGGTAACTGCCCAGCATTCTCACTTGAAAGTTTGTTGCCTACATTTCTAACGTCATTCTCAAGAGATGATGAAAGTGATTTATGCTCATTATTGAGGAGTAGCATTAGTTTAGCAAAACTTGTACTTCTATTTTGAGTCTCATTGAAAATGGCGTTTAGTTCCTGTTTATCACTATCCCTTTCCTTATTTACAGGCTCTTTTGAATGGGAACTAGAAATACTATTATTATGCATCTCATGCTGTTGATTATACTGAGTATTCTCATTGGGTACTTTAAACAAGCTTTCTGGTGCATTAAATAAAGCCGATAAATCAGTACTACTAAATGAAAAGGCAAGTGTGTTAGAAGTAACTCCTTGTTCAATTTTATTGGGGTTTATAAATTCATTATTTTCTTCTAGCTTAGCAGTAGTTGTAACTTCATTATCATTCACATTATCATCTTCTTCACAAACAACTGAATCACTCTTTAATTCTCCCTTTGCTATGGGGTTACTAGTGCTGGAAAGCTGGCTAGACTCATTTTCTAATTTGATTTTTTTATTATTCTTCCTGCTGTTGGAGAGCTTCATAGCTGGAATACCCATTTGCCTATTATAATGGTTAATTTTCTTTTGGACTAGTTTGTCTAGTTTTTCCATCTTAGTTGTCGGAGATTGTAGCAGTAACATCAAAGCCATATCTAATAATTTCAAACTATGCCAAGATATTATTCCTGGTAAATCCAGCTTCCTCTCAAGCTCCAGCTTAATTATTAGGTTCTCAAGGAGGTTTTTTGTTTCCACATATAACGAACCACCCTTCAGATATTCTACAGCGCTACAGGCAGTCAACAATGCAAACCTGGCCTTTGTCCTAGAGATATTGATCGGTGAAGGCAAATAGTATTCTGAAGTATAATGCATTACCTGAAGCATGGTACTGGCTGCTTTTTGCATTAGAATATAAGATGGACAAACTCTCGTTGGTGTCTTATTTTGACTTTCTTTTGGAGTTTCAGATGTGTCAGAAGACGTCCCTGGTTGAAGTTGCTGCTCTAATGAGGCCGACCTTGTTGCGATTACAGGCAAATGAATCATACACTTCGCCAAGAAATAAAATAATAATATTGACGACTTCTCGATCAAATCCTTTTCGGAATTCTTAACAACAGTCAATTCATCAAAGTTGAAAAGCCCATTTGCCTCTAACCGGAAACCATACTTTTCAGGCAGACGATTTTTCCAAATATCAAGCGCCTTCTCATGAACAAAGGCCATACTTTCAGTTGCCGCTTCGGACATCATATTTCTCTTGAATATAGAATCTAGAATATTACCCAAGACCTTGGCATATCTGATAACCGCTAGAGAAAAGTCAGAAACTCGACCTTCTAGCTGACTATCTTCTTCTTCAGAGACGGGTAAGGCACATTCAATTTCGTGATCTTTAATTAGCCGCGGTACACCCAACTGTAGGGAGTAAAATACATCTAAATAGTATATTGCCCAGAATAATAATCTCCTTTCACCTTGTTCAAACTTTTGCATTGTCGACCCCGATGCTGAAAGCAACACAGCACTTGGACATCTATGTAATCTCAATTGTTGAGCCATAGATATTACTGTTCCTCTTAACTGATACAACCGCGGAATGTCACCAACATTCAAGAAGTAAAACGAAATAAACGACAGCAGCTGAAGACTTTGCACAGTTGTGGTCGACATATCCTGGAAGAAAGAGTCTAAATGGATTTTTTCTATAAGCTGGTTATAATGCGCTATTAGGTTTTGAGTTCTTTTGCACTCCAATTCTTGCGTCGTAGCTTCCAATTGTTTCAACCTAGACAGCAAAGCCATTTGGCACATAACGGCCAAGACTGTAGCAAAAATTTTTAGAAAATTAATCTTTATTTGTTCGGTTTTGTAGACTTCAAAGAGTCTATCACCAAATTTGTCAACTTCTGTCTTAAAAGCCTTCATCTGCTTTATGAATAATTTTCTACTGAATATCGGTATCGTATTTGACCAACATTCAAAGTACACATCAACTAGACGTTGTATTTCCATCCATGACAATAAATCATCACTTCTACTATTAGGTATAGTACTATCAGGAGATTCGTTTCTATTTGACCCATTTTCAGTTTCTGTTTCTCCAAGTATATCAAACTTCAAAACCTCATAAAAGAATGGGCGAAAATCCTCTGAAACATAATAGTTAGGTGATAGATTCTCGTCCGATGAATTACTATTAGGTGTTGGCAGATTCTTCTTCAATGATGACAGCAATGATACAGTATATAATGACTGCTTCGATGAAAATCCGAAGGTCTTTTGTATATTAGCCATTAATTGTGGTATGAATAGAATTTCCTCTGTCGATCTAGGCAGGGCTAATGATACTAACATAGCCAACTGTGCACTTTCCTCTCTCTCAGCCATGGAATTTAATGCTTTTACTGCTGGCAGTCCTGGTGCTACATTTTGTTCAAAAGACACATCGGTGTTTGAATCCACAATGATGTTCGAAACAACAGGCTTCAGATGAACACATCTATGATTAGGGTCTGAGTTTCCGCAGCTAGAGCAGCTCTGCTGCAATTGTAATTCCATGTTTTCAGTGAATCCGCGCTCACTATCTCGTTCCATAGATGGTGATCTCTTCCTTTTTGAGGGCGATTGCTTCTCTAAACCATCACTTCTCGTGTTGCTTCCCAGGTCAGAGTTGCACAAGGCCATTAAACGCTTGTTTTCAGTTTCCAGCTCCCGAACACGCTCCTCTAGTGTCTCAGTATATCCCCTTGGGAAGGATTTTCTATTGAGCCTATCGCTAATCTTACACTCAAACCCGACCAGCGCGCACTGCGAACACTGCGGTATCTTCCCATCACACTTGGTCTTCTTCAACCGGCAACGATCACAAGCCTGTGCCACTCTATATGTAGGTGTAGACCCTCGACTACCTGTGTTACTCCCAGAAACTGAGTTCCCATTAGCAGGGCCCGCACCAGACCCACTCCCGTGCACATCATCATCTCCCCCGCCAGCTACCCGAATCAACCTAGGCGCCACAAAAGTTTCATCAGCATTAGACACCATCGTTGCTGTTAGCTCTCTTTTGCATGATCAGGTAACCAGTATTTCCTCATCCGTGCTTTTTATAATAGTCCCCCTTCCCACCGTGGAATCCAGTTGCTAAGGTGAGCATGAAGCTTATTGCTGCAGAATCCAATTATTTGCGGGGGTAGCAGGAGGGGGGGACGGGGGATAGCTGGGTCACAGAAACATATGCAGCAACGTATTCATACATGGAAAGCTTCCCCTGCGCTGTTTTATAAGGGACTCAGAGACTTCTCTGCATGAGAAAAAAAATGAGAAGCTTCTGAAAAATATTCCGTTCTGTGCAGCACTTTCTTAGCCAACTTCAACTTTCTCTTGACAAATGATTTACCTAAATGGCGAGATATTATTTCATTTGACACCGGTTCACTCAGAGATGTACGCACAAAGCTGCTTGCTGACTTTATAATTTCTCTGCATTTTCTTTATTTTTCCGGTTTTTTTTATTGGAATATTCCTTTGTCCGGAGTCCTGCGTTCGAATCCCGGTTGGGGCGTAATAGACGTTTCATTACTTCAGTAAGCGTACCAGTTCTGGATAGTTTCATTAACACTAAGGTGATGTTCATAAGACTTGGTCTAAGATCGTGTGCCCAGTGTTATGCACCGAGGATCCGAAGGCTTACGACGCCTTTCGCATGTTGCCTGATGTAGAGTGTGGTTGGGTTCCGTGATATCGAAGCATACGATAAGGCTCTGAAAGGGCTTTGACCCAAGGCTTTTTGAGTTCCTGCACATACAAACACACACATGTATAATAAAAATACATAATGTTTATCTGTTCTAGGAAAACAATCTTATATGCTGAAGAGGCCAAATACACCAACAATGAAATCCATAAGAAACTTCCCGTTCTCGAAACTCCTGTTTAAGCTGACGAAGCTGACGATAATCTTTCAAGTACTGTACATATACTTCACTCCTAAGGTAGAAGACCTGAACAAAGAGAACTTGACGAAACTGCTACCTACCCATGACAACTTTGGTGTGTTGAATCTGGTGATTGCACACCCAGATGATGAAATTATGTTCTTTTCCCCAACTATACTGCAACTAATCGATCATGTCCAGGAACTCAACGTTGTCTGTCTGTCAAATGGTGATGCCGATGGACTCGGCGAACTAAGAGCGAAAGAACTGAAAGACGCTATCGGGTATTTGACTGTAAACAGGAACCTCAGAAATGTGTCCCTTAACATCCTCGATTACACCGATGGCCAAAACGAAGTTTGGTCTGGTGTCGCCACAGATTTGAAGAAATATATCTTGACCTCCGAACCTGGTGTCAAACAGAAAGATATCATCTTGACCTTTGATAGGGAAGGTATCTCTGGTCACAGGAATCACATTGCCTGTAACGAAGGCGTTATCTCCTACCTCAAGACCATCAAATCAAACAGCTTTGTTTTCTTGGAATTGAAATCATTGTCCACATGGCAAATCATAAGCAAATACTCCGGTGTTGTCCCAAAATTGTTAGAAATCATCTATAACAAGATCAGAGCCAGCAATAAAACCTTCGTGTCATACTTACCTAATAGAGATTCTATTGCCACAGACAGTAACGTGTGCTTTATAAGCACTTTTGACCAATATGCTCTCTCCTTTGCCGCAATGTGCTACGCCCACAAATCCCAGATGGTCTGGTTTAGGTACTTATGGTGGTCATTCTCAAGATACGTATTTGTGAATGACCTATCACGTATCACTGTTTAGTTTTGTAACATTTTAACGACCCCAATAAATAAATGCATATCCAACTTCTGGGCCACTACTAAAGAAGATACTTGATAACTTTTGTCTAATAAGACTTGAAACCACCCACCATTCTTGAACAACCGCAATTGATATTAAGAAATCATTTTATGTATTCTTTTCAATATGCTTAGAATATGAAATTATTATTTAAAATGATGACATTTAAGTCAAATATTAGTATATACACGCTATTCACCAAAGTCCTCCCAACAGCATATCTTCCTGTTCCTCCTCATCGTATTTCTTTTGAACCTTAGTCATTTCCTTTTCTTGGTTATATCCTCTCTTTTGTAGGTATCTATTTCTTAGAACAACAAATAGATTTGTTAATTGCTGCTTGTTTGCTGCGTCATATGACCATTCTTTTATAAATTGGAGACATTTTGAGTAATGCCCAAAATACACCATTTTTTTTATAGTGAATATTTGAAACTTCTTCAAGAGTTTAATTTCATCAACCGTCAAGCTATTTTTTGAATAAAGTGTCACTAGTGAGTGCTGAAATATATCATAAATCCACTCCAAATCCTTGAGTTTGATATAGTCGCTGCTTAAGACCTTATATACTAGGTTCAGAAATTCAACATTTGCAGTAATAAACCCACCATTATTGGTTGAATTTCTCCAGCTTTTCATCAGCTCCCATGTTCTCTTAGAAAGATCGATGGTGGAACGCCATTTATTGGGTAATATAATATTCCATTTTTGAAGGTTTATCCAGAAATCATCCTTCACAATTATGTTTGGAATTTTACCGAAAAATTTATCAGCAATTACCAAACCTGGCTGAATACTTTTACCACATTTAGAGTAAGCCGATACAATGGCAGTTAAGAGATCACTTGTAACTGTTATATTATATTTGGGCGGTACTGAGACAGAGTCTAACTCCCATATCTTGTTGATAATGTCCTCAATCAATGTTGTCTGCCCAACATAGCCTAAACAAAGTATGACATTCTTTAGTATACCTTCATCAAAATAAACAGGTTGTGAATGATTGTCTTTATCATTGTAGCGTAAGATATAACGAACTATTTCAAAAAGCTTCACACTATCTAGAACATTATATGTTGATTTAACATTTCTGTGACTGCCATTTATTTTGTAAAATGCCTGCTTTTTATTGTTACCATTTGACACATCAATTTTCCAAAGGTCCTGCAAAGCACCGGATCTTAGCATTAGGAAATGTGCTATTGTTTGTTTATCACCATAAGGTCCCAACAAATCTTCTCCTCTTTCCTTGTAGCCATCAAGTAAAAACTGCAGAGCCGTCTGAGCTCTCTTTAATTGACTTCCTTCAATAAAGCGCTTTATGAACTTGTTCATATCATCTTTATTAAGAGCGTCAACACTCCCACCATTATGAGTTCTTGTCAGTGAGATATAAATTTGCATTAGTTTCGATAAGTATCCCATATGGTATTTACCAACTAGGTTTGTCCTATTAAGTACCGGTTGAATCATTGATGAAAATTCCTGGATGCTGACATTACTATCCTGCAAAAGCTGTATAGCATCTTCAACTGATCCTTCGTCAATTTCGTAGTAATCTAAGAGCTTTTCTAAGTTATTATTTCGGCTGAGTGTTTCAACAAGGAGCAGTTGCCGTTTATTCAAATCAGTTAATGATGTAAGTTGAGAGTGTATTTGTTCATTCAGTGATCTGAGCTCCACATGTGAATACTTCGACACCTCGACATTTTTTGTGTGAAACAAGGTTTTGGAGACAACTGGATAAGAATATAATGGACCTTTACAATGACAATGTACAGGTATACTTCGTATCCTTGCTAAATGGAAGATATTATTAATTCCAATAACCTGCTTTCTCATCGTTCTCAACACATGGAATTATGGTACCGTCCAGAATCAAGAAAACTTTTTGAGATTACTATGCTATTAAGGATAACCCTCAGTATGTCAAATGTACTTATGTTGTAAACCTCAATCGTACAGGACAGACTTGGTATTTATTTCACTGTGGTTATTGAAGTGCGGACCTCGAACTTATTCACTACGGTTTTCTAACATTCAACTATTCGCAGGAATCGGAAACTGTCGTGGCAGAATGATAAAATAGTACGGTTATGCAATATAATATTATCCACTCACGAAGAAATGTTCATAATAAATTATAAGAGAACCCGTTTAAGATATTGGTATCTTCCAATAGAAATGTAGATGTATGACATGTTAAAAGAATTATGCCTGTGACTTTAATGCTATTTTCTATAAAATAAAAATGATATTTTAAAAGTAAAATATCTGGCTGTGAATCATTCTATAAATGTATATAAACATCAGCAATTTGTACCTCAAGCCCTGCCAATTCCAAACAGAAACTGTTAGCTGGTCTTGATTCTTTGTCATTTTGGTTCATCATTTTGAGAAGTTCATTTGAATATACTGGCTTAATTCCTTCTTCTAGGATACCTAAAGTTATATGAGGGATGTCATTACAACAAGCCAATGTGTTTAAGCTACCATCACGTTCAACTTCCACTAATTCAGGTTTAACAGTTAATGTGGCAATTTTTGAATCCCAATATAAACTTTGGACTGTTACTTTGATGGAATATTTAGTTTTGATTCTATCACAATTCTTATCAAAGGTTTCAGGATTGACAGTGAGATACTCATCAAAACTGCGTAAATAATCATCCCACAGCTGTTGTTGAGTCTCAGTCCCTTTTTTGCCTTGCATCAAGTGAATCAATGTCACATGTAGTTTTTCCTGGTATTTCTTATCTTGAAACAATCTGTCAATATGTATATAACTATCATTATCAATTGAGGACCGATTCTCTTCTATAAAAGCTTTAATACACCGTAATAACTTCGTCGGATCTCTTAATTCAGCAAAGAAGTAGACAGGTTTCAGTTTTTTCATAGTTGGGGCTGATGTATGTTTTTTGTCTTTATTTTTATTTCTTCTACTGCCCTTCTCATTGATAATTTTCACAGTGGTCGGCTTATATTCTAAACTCTTCTCAAATGCTGCTCTGATTTCTTCATCAGTCGGGACAGTTGGTACCAAAACAGGGTACTTATCATGCAAGTTATTTAGGATTCTCTTAGCATTGATCAAGGAAGAATCCTTTTCTGTAACAGTCAAATCAATGACATGATCAAACATAATATCTGGCATACGATCTTCATTAACTGGCTGAAATCTTTTAATGAAACCGCTCATAATTCCCATAACTTTTTTTTCACCATATTTAGACAATTTGATACTTTGATGATCATCACCTCTTGCAAAAACTCTATTAGTTGTGATCTCCCTGACATTTTCCAGGTCATCTCTTTTGGTAAACGAGAGACAAATTACTTTAATATTTGTATCGTAGGGCAAGTAGTCTTCCTTATACTCGTCTATCCAGTCAAACAACTCTTTCCTTTCTCTAGCTTGGTGATTATTTCTGTCAACAACCACACATTTAATTCCTGGCTTGGCTAATAACTCTAGAGACCGCTTCATTAGTAATGAGTTGTCTTTGCCAGTAATATTATCATTTTGAACATGTCCCCAACTTTCAGGGTAGATATTATTGATTGTCATAGCTGTCGTGGTTTTACCACAACCAATTACAGCCACAGGAATAATCAAAAATTTTGTATGTTCATCTACAGTATCATAATCAATTTTATTAGCATTTTCCAACTCCAATACTTTTTCATGGTTCAATATTTCTAAGCCCGACATACCAAAATCTTTCAAAAACTCATTCCTTAGTTTAATAATACCAAATCCCTTCATATACTCTTCACATAAGGCCGGGCTCGAATCTAAGATTGGAATCACAAAATCTAAATACTTATTGGTAATAAATTTATGTTTTTTGAATTTGAAAACTCTGGATTTAGTTGAAATATAATCCTTAGTAACTTCTCTCCACTGCCTGTACATTAGATAGGGTTCTTCAAATTTATACTTAAAGAAGAAATCATTCCCATTTTCTCTGGTTTTACATCTTATTACAAAACCTTCTACCTCCTGGCCATGATACGTTCCACTATTGGAGCATTCTTCCAAGAATTTCTTTAATAAGGTGAAATCATTAAAATTTTCATATTTAATTTGCTTAAAGTTGTATTTTCTGGCAAATTCACTAACACTATCCATATCCCATGTCCTAAATGTGGTTTCATTATAGTTTATACCATGTAAATATAAACCAACATCGTCATTTGTATACTCCAATATGTGCTCTTCAAATGTGTCATCACAATATTCAGCCACTGCAGTTACATTATTTTGATAGAGTTCCAATGCTAATTGTTGAGGCTCGATACCAATGGATTTCAACTGTGATAGAAGGAATTGCTCACCAGCATCGGCATGATTTCTGTCAACGTCATCTCTTGGCCCAGTAGAGTGTTTTGAACAAACTACTAATGTCCCATCAGCCATACCAGATACAAAGATAATACACCCATTAGCCTTTAACGTAACATTGTATGTCCCTTTGGTATCGCTTTCTAAAGTGTCCCATCGAGTAAATGGAGTTTCATCAATATTAAAGAATTTGTCATAACCTCGAGCAACTATTTGAGGATTCTTGCTATCGTCAGTTATAAACAGCCCACGAGCGCAGCATGGTAGTTTGATGTTATTTTTACCGTAGTCCCACTCATTGAACTTCCAACTAACCACTTGACCATCAGAGTTTGACAGTTTACAGATTCGTTTGATGGCTTTTCCTCTCCCAGGCAATTGTGAAGCAGCCTCTAATTTCTCAACCAAATCTTTAACGTTACGGGATAGATTCATAATGTTATAAAGCTCGTCTTATATATATATTTCTTGACACTCAGTAGAATTTCAAGATATTGCAATGAGACTAAATCAGAGAAGCTCATCGACTTTTTATTCACTTTTTCACATTTTGTCACTAAAGCGAATAATCAGCAGCTCCTAAGGAAAGTTTGGTAATCCCTAAACAAAACTGTACATATAGTCGGTTCTTCTTGATCTGACTAGACTATAATAATATGACAGCCTGTTTACAAGCCATACAATATCAAAAGGGCCAGTTATATAATAGTGCTTTCAAACGTGGTTCAATAGTCTAGACTCTACGATTACTCAGGTAAAAGTTCGAGGATAGCACGCAACTATTTTGGATAAAACTTCCAATTTGTACATAAGCAATGAACGAGATAGATGTCGATGAAGCCGATATTCTTGTTCTTTCGCAAGGGCTAGAGAAAACTAGTAGGCTTACACATCAGGTAAATAAGTCATTAGCGAAGATATCGAAGACTTCGGCTCAATCGAGTCAGCTATTTGGCCCGATACTAGCAAGAAATAATGTTCTCAAAACATTACAAAGAAATATCGATAGTACCCTGAACTCGGTGGCATCAGTAAAAGATTTGGCAAATGAAGCATCAAAACATGAGGTTCTGTTAAGGAAAGGTATTGCGAGCTTAGGTTTGAAACCATTTACGGTCGAACTACACAAATTAGAAGACATGTACCAGGACATGAGTGTAGGAAATTCGAGGCATACTGAAAATGCAGAGTTTCATGGTATTTTGAAACACTTAAAAGAAATGATAACATCGTCAGAGGAACAGTTAGAATTGGAATTTATTCAAATACTGAAAAGAATAGAACCATTTGATCCACAGATAAATATGGAGAAGAAGATACCATTTCCTTACTATTCAGATGAAGATATATCACAGATGTTAATTATTTTTAACTACTTTTATGTGAAATCAGAAGACTCAAGAATGCAGGATATTTTTATCAGAGAGAGAGGAGACCAAATGCTGAAGTCAATGGCTTTTATGGAACCATTCGCAAAAAAGGTAACTTCAAGCAAAAATGCTCCTTATGAGAAAGGTAGTAGTGGTTTCATTAACTACACTGAGGCCGTACTTGGATTTATTGCTAATGAAAGGTCCCTAATAGATGATGTTTTCTCACAATTTGCAGAAATAAAACCTAGAGTCCTAAGAAATATTTTGGATCCAATAGTTGCAGCATTTTGCAAGGTTTTGATGAGTGACTTAATATTTGTCAAGTCAAACATCGATAATGCTGGGTTGTTCAGTTTTGAGCTTACTGAGTGCATTAGTGGAGTCCAAAAAAGTGTTAAAGGGATGAACTTAAAAAATCAAATGCAATTGATTGATGCTGACAAGCAAGTCAAAGATGTAACAAGATCTTTGTTTAAAGATACAGTTGATAGAATTAAATCAAAAACGAACCAGATGACAACTATCCCTTCAGACAATGGTGTTACTGAAGCTACTGTTGACACAATGTCGAGGTTGAGAAAGTTTAGCGAATATAAAACAGGATGCTTGGCAGCAATGGAAAGCATATCGCGAGATGTGTGGCTGTCTAAATCGTTCAGAGAAAAAGAGTATACGATCCAAAGTGCTGCTATTGCAGATAATGAAACAGCGGCTTCACTTTTATCATGTTTTTTAAGTGATTGTATTGACACTCTTGTAGCAAATCTTGAAAGAAGAGCACAGACTATTTTGATGCCAAATCAAGAACCAGATGTTGCTAATCCAAATAGTGCCAGAAATAAGTTTAAACAAAGGATAGGTTTCTTAGTATTGATGAACATGACATTAGTTGAGCAAATAGTCGAAAAATCAGAACTAAGCGTAATGCTTGGTAATTTAGGCAAAGCCAGAATAGAAAAACTAAAAAAGAGATATGTCAACTACCTAGTCGCAGATTGGAAGGACTTAACTGTCAACTTAATGGATACCGTTGTTATTGATAGTGTAGGTAAAAAATCGAAAGACAAAGAACAAATTAAAGAAAAGTTTAGGAGGTTTAATGAAGGTTTTGAAGACTTGATATCAAGAACCAAACAATATAAACTCTCTGATCCAGCATTGAAACGCCTACTCAAAAGTGAAATTGTGGCTTTATTGATGCCAATGTATGATAGATTCTATGGCCGGTACAAGGACTCATTCAAAAACCCTAGAAAGCATATTAAATATACACCAGACGATATTACGAACGTCATTTCGCAAACTTTGAGGTAGTATTTACGTATGTAACTGGTAAAATAGTAAATAAAATAAAACTAAGCCAATCCATATTTTGCCTAGATATTTCCTACTGTAATTAAAACTTTACAAAATACATCAGTTCTAATCACCGTAGGTTATATCTGAGAAGTTAGATAATACCCTAATCAAGGTGCATTCGATCAGAATTTTATTATCATCCATTGCTTTTGTCACCCCATAACAACAATCATATACTATCTACCGCATTGATATTTTTATGTGTTTCAGCTGCGTTAGTTATGGGCTTTTCATGCTCGCCTATATGTGAGGTTCTTCTGTGATCCGTATCTGATAGCCCTCCTGATGAATCATCGGTTGGATTAACATCCCTAGTTAGCATGTCATCGTGAGATGTATTTGTAGCATCATCGTTAGGTCTTTGATTTGCCTTGAATAACATGTTTGAATGTGATTCGTTACTCACTATAGGAGAGAGTGGTATTTCACCCTCTAGTTGCAGAGGATGCCAGGCAGCAGAGTTTCTATCATATAGTGCTGTTATATCAACAGAAGAATCTGTGGGTGATCCTAGTAATGGTAAAGATTCTTTTGATGGCATTGCAAAATTGCCAATACCAGAAATTTGAGAGTTATTGCGATTGGAAAGTAATGGCTCAGCTGTGACACTATCCTTCCTAAAATTAATAGCAGACATGTCGAATGATGAACGTGCTGAAGCCTCACCATTAGATGATTCATGAGTCCTGCTCAGTTTCAAATGGTTCTCGTTCTCTTCCGCTTCATCTCCCAAAATCTGACTTATGTCATTAAAAAAATGGCGGTCATCTCTAATAGTAGAAGGCATATTATCATGGCTAACATCAAGACGTGGGGTATTCTTAACATTCTCACCTGTATGGAGGGATATCATAGATGGTGAATGAGATCTCAATAGTGAATGGGTTAAATTTGGTGAAGAGCTAAATTGGAATCCGGCCGCAATATCGCTATCATTACTCAACGTATCTATGGAGGCAGTATCTGAGAATGGTGTCAGCCCTTTGATACGAAGATTTTTATTATTAATCGGTAGAGACTCTTGAGAATGACTCAATTTTATTTTAGGTATACTTGCAGAAGCTACCACACCGGAAGGGTCATTGTGTGTAGCTTCTTTATAGGTAGGAGGATCTTTTGGTAGAATCATTGGCGAATTGGACCTAGTAGTTGCTGCTGAAAGCTGGTCTTCCAGGCTTTCGAAATCAGGAGGGTTTGATTGATGAAAATCAGTAAGTGAAAGTGATGATAGCATTGGCGAAAGTGGGACAGCTTGAGGAGAGGCAAGCTCTCTTTGAATTGAATCAGGTTGATAAATGTTTGATTTCAAAGTGGGAGAATTGAAAACATTTGCGCTAGGATCATTTCCTGATTTATGCCTGGAGTCATCAAACTCATCATGACGTATAACACGGTATGGTGCATTATATATCGATTCTGTGTTTACATCCAATGCCTGAACATCAGGCGACAGCAATGGTGACATCAGGACTTCTTTAGGAAAGAAAATATTAGAATCATGATACAGACCAAGTTCATTATCATTGGTGCTTTCCCTATTCTTTTGTGAACTGCTATCAGTAAAGTTTTGCTTATTGAAGATTAAGTGACTTTCATAGCTTGGCAATAGTGTGTTCGCATGTGAACACAGCTTATGTAAAACACGCATTGGAGAATCAATACTAATTTCATAATGTTTTCTTTTATCTCCGACTACTCTAGAGAGTCGTAAACATATCTTGATCCAATGGTTGGCTTTGATATTGTCATACGTCGTATCTGGGTGTATTTTTTGATGATTATTGAACTTACTAGGAACAAATAGTTGGTATTGAAACTCTTTATTTACCAAATCCCCGGAACTTTCATCTAATAGCAAATTTCCCATGTTCTTAGCCTTGTTATAATTTGCATCTTTCGGTAAACCTGGGACTCTTGGACCTTTGTGTTCTGCAAGTAAAAACTTTTTAGTGGGCTCAATCCTATGTACCTTCTGATTCTTGCAAAAATATTCCATTGTCTCGGTAACATAAATTCTTATTCTATGTAATGTTAGCTTTTCCATTGGTGATAGTCTAAAATTTATAGGCAAAAAAGCATCTAAGACAATATCTTTAGAACCAATTACAATATCATAAAATAACGCATTCTCCCAATCCCTAGAGATAATTATTGGTTCACTCTCTTCCACCGAGTTATCAGACTGTGTTCTTATGATATTGACCGGAGTTCTACCAGTTAGATTAGACTTAAATGGACCATGTCTCTCCAAACTTACGAATAAATAATACTCAACAAATCCGAACTCAGCCTTGACTGTTTCTGGGTATGATTGAGGAATCAATTGTTCAAACGGATAGATATAATCACCAGGTTGAAAAGTTCCATTCTCACCTACTGGATCAAAATCTGCAGTAGCCTGTTGACTCTGATTATTAGAGTTCACTTGGTGTGAGGAGTTTCCTGCATGATTATGAGTTGTGGAATCGCCTGGAGATGCAAAGTTTCCGCTCAATATATCAGAAATGAATGAGCCTGTTGGTGCAGGATGAGTAGGTGTTGAAGCGCCGTTTCTATGTGAGGCTGAAGGTGTATCATTTACGCCAAAAGCGTGGGCAGAGTTCGAGGATGTAGCTCTTCTCAAAAAACTCATTGGTGATAGGGTTTTATTTAGGGTGTGGCCATTATTGTTATTACTGGAACTGTTAAAACTATTGTTAGTCAAAGTCGAATGGGATGAAGCCCTAGAAAGGACACGCTTTCTGGCAAAGTCATCTAGATTATCCTTTGATTTTGACCTCAGAACAGTATTATTCTTCAAAGGAGAGAAATTTGTTGGTGTAGATGACTGAGTAGCACCAGTTCTAAGTGCTCTTTCGCTGGTACTTCTTGGTAAAGGTCTATACAATGCGGCACCTGTGCCTTTATAAACAGGACTGTCCTCGTTACCAGGAGTCCCTGTTCTTGTATTCGATCCACTATTATTTGAAGTTGCATTACTTGCAGCTGGAGAGCTAGAGGCCGTTGAAGAATGTGCATGATGAGAGTGGTGATGCTCTGAGGACTGGTAGAACGGCCAAGTGTGATTTATGATATCGTTAATCTCGGCAAACTCCTGCTTCTTTGGCGGTATACCTTCGATCCATTCTGTACGTGCATAACCTTTGAAGTTCAAAGTCAGGTTCTTCACTTTAGTAGGTTTCAGAATCCTCAAAATCAAGGAACCTCTCAGGATCCCGGGGGGCTTATCGCTGTGATTCAAGTTCTCGAAATCCTGTAGAAAAACAACAGGCTCCGCCAACTTGATATATATCTGCACAGACGCGGTGGATGCCACCGGTTTGGCATCAGTTGGGATGGTCAAGTCCTTCCCTATGGGGAAAAGCGGCGAGTTAGAATCTGCAATGGGCATGTGTTTTCTCTCGTTACGCTAGAGCTGGAATTCCACTTTCTCGACACTTTCTCAAATTATCAAAAGTCAACTGGTAAGTCACAGAGACGTCTAGCTTTATATAAAGAAGCAATATCTCGATTCTGTGACTAGTAACTGGATCACCGATAATCGGTAGCTTATAATGATTGCAAAAAGAAAATTTCTGAAGAAAGACCCGAAGAGCCCTTTGTCGTCTGCTTCGAGATGAGGAAACACATGCGAAAGGGTTCCGATGATCACAAGATAAGCTAATGATGGTGGGTAGAACACCAAAGTTGATGTCCAGTGTCTCTCCCCCCGTTGCTACGGTCTATTACTATTGCTGCATCATAATTGAGGTATTTTTGAAGGGACTATCGTACCAATTATGCTGGGCCTAGGGCTAGTAGGGGGAGTGTCTAATAAGCCATAGGATAGAGCCACACTATCAACCGACAAAAAATAGAGATTGTATACATTTCTAGTAAATATAGCTTTGTTCTAGGTACATTCTATATACTTAATAGCCCTTTTGACTATCTTTACCTTGGTAAGTCCCATCGGTTTGGAGCTCATCTCGGGCAGCTCGTACGTTTCTTAAAAAGCACAAAAAGGCCAACTATAGTAAGCCTTAAATCGATGATACTGTGAGGACAGGTAGCAATTATACTTAAATTTATCCTTGGGAAACTATCGTTTCATCCTGGACGCTGATAATTTGAGAGCAAATTTTGGAACAATGCATATGCGGCTAAATAAACGGAGGAGGAACCATGTGCAGGAGCAGATGTCTGAGCTCCCGCAAGATGCCAAGAACGATTCACTTGCGGCAGCGCAGGTTATCTTCAAACGGCATGCAGATAATGCGAACAGTACACCACCGTCGCCCGTAGGGCTAGATTCTGCTGGGCACCTGGATAAACAGGCTGATACCGCACAGAGAGTTCACAAGGTCGGCACTCCAAGTGGTACATCTAGCAGCCACAATAGTGGGAACGAGGGTATGCACAAGGTGACAAAGCCATTGGGAGAAAATACGGCAACTACAGCTCCTATAGCAATAAAACAACCAGTGCGTGTGGTTAGGGCATCGCCAACAGCAATAGTATCACCTACTTCCCATACTCCGCTTGATGCAGCCACTGCCGCAGCTAATGTAGTGGCAGAGAAGTCCAAAATCAGAACAACTCAACAGCAATTACAGGATAAGAAAAGGAGAGATATAGAAAATGCGCACCATGCAGCTTCTGCAGCCGCAGTCACTTCCTCTAATCTGGCTGTTGGGTCCCCTCCATCTCAATATATTCCTTCGGTGCCAACATTGAATGTAACATCCCCACAAATGAGGAATAGTAGCCAGAATATAGATAGGAGATCAAAAAGTAATGAAGAAGCACATAATGGTCATGAGAAGATGATGAATTCGAGATCTAATTCGATAAACTCGAGCACTATTAAGGGATCTGTGTCCGAACCCAATACGGTGACACCATTAAGACAGAACTCCCCCAGTAATATGGACGATATTATTCAAAAAATGGAAGCAGTTGATATTGATGAGGGTCGGAAAAACAGTTTTGTTATGAATGGGTCTGGTGACAGTGTGGATAGCCTTAAACCTAACGTTGTTAGACGGCCTATGAGAACACCATCAGGAAGGCGAGTACGACCCCCATCACCAATAGATAAAATAGGTAGTATTCAGGAGCCGCATTTAGAAAGTACCGGTTTCAATGATCAAAACGACTTCTCTGAAATGTCATCTCTTATTGACGGGTCCTCATCAGAAGATATCACAAAAATAAGAGGCAGTGGTATCCGAGAGAGGTCACCAGTTGATGGAGTGGAACATGGAGGTATGTCAGTAAATATACCAATGCAGAGATCCTTATCGTCCGATGTCCTTTCACCTTCACAACAAGCAGCAATGGTAGCGGCGACCAAACTATCGCCGAGTACGCAGACTCTCCCTGTTGAAGAACTAGAGTATCTTGCTTCCACTGGTGATGTTTCTGCTTATAAGGCTCTAAATAAGATTAATGGAACTAATATGGCTTATAAGGGAACTATTCCAGACCTAATACCAAGTCGTGCAAGGGCTCAGAAGACAAGTAAATTGAAATTTAAAATATTCGGTGGTGGAAAAAATAGTGATAGAAGAAATAATGCTACACCTATTGGATATGACCCTGTAATGAATATCAGCACCGATTTTGGAGGTAAAAAAGTGGTTGAATCAAACCAGAATAATGTTAAATTTAAAACTACGATGCGCAGCCAGAAATATTTAGGAAATGATAATCTTGATGACAATGATCTCAGGACCCAGTATATTGATGACGATGACGATGATGATGATTATGATAGTGCTTATGAAGATTTGGATTATTCTCGAGATGATAGTGAGGCTATGTATAAAGGCGACAGGGAATCGTCGAACCCTCGAAGTAACAGTTTGTTGCAAAGCAGTAGTTATTCTGGTAAGGTTGGTTTTAATAGTAACGCAAACAGCGGTACATCAATTAACAATTCTGGGAACGTAAGCAATTTGGATTATTCATTGAGAGATGGTGTAGCGGAGAAGAAGAAAAGTCGGAGAGATAAAATCAAGAAAAAACTGAAAAGCACGGCATCAGTTGTGCCATATTACCCTCATTATGCGCTGACGCATTTAGCAAGTGGAGTAAGCACTGTAAACAGTAATTTAAACAATAGTAACAAGAACACTAAATGGTTCAATGAGGACAAGCCATGGAAGTCGCACAAGGATGTTGGCTTTGTCACAAGTCAAGAAAGGAAAAGGTATGAAGCTATGTGGGTTACTAACAGATATCTATATTTGAATCTTTTGCCCTGGTGGCCGAAGGAAGAAGTAGAGAAAGATGAAGATGATAGTGCTAGTAACTTAAATAGTAATGCTAGCACCAATGTTGGGGGTGTATTGAGTGATGGTGATAATGAAGAAGACGATGTCACCCGATTCTTACTTTCCCTGCCGGCTGATGGACTGATGCTAAATCTAGTGGCTAAGGACATCTGGGAACGGTCTAACTTGCCCAATGATCTGTTGAAACAGATCTATGACCTTGTTGACACCCGAAAGGATGGAACCTTGAACAGAGAATCCTTCCTAGTAGGAATGTGGCTCGTAGACCAATGTCTATACGGACGCAAACTGCCACAGGAGCTAGACCCGAAGATATGGGACAGCGTGGACCGCTGGGTGCTCAACGTTGTGAACTCTACCATGATGACCGCGCTCGAGAGAAAGCAGAAAAAGAAAATGATGAAGAAAGAGCTGAAGAACATCAAAAGAGAACAAAAACAAGCCATCGCAGAACAGCATAACTAAATAGACATCTAGCAATTATATTATGTGTCGGTATAGCAATACTTGCCAGCATTAAATAACAATATAATCACTTACTTTCTATAATCTAATCACATGATGGGTCAAAAATGACGTCATTTAAGTCCTTCACCTGTGGGTAGGAGCAAGACTCTGTTAGGATCAGGGATCTCCCCGCAAACATTTTCAGTCCATCTTCCCTCAACAGAAACAGTAGCAGAACATTGATGAACTAGTTCATTACCCAATAGGGTAACACCTAGAGTCTATTGTAGTAGTGGCTTGGTGAAATTCCCGCACGACAATTGATCTGGAAGTTTAAAACATTATCCTGACCACAGAAAGCAGTGTACAGACTTTGAACAAGTATCAAGATCTACGGTTATTAGAGATTCGCTGCTTTTTCCTCAGAGAAGGAAGGTTATAAGAGACGGTCTGTACAGGCTGTACTGTGACACTAGTTGAGCAGCAAATATGCAACTAGTTCCCAGAAAGGGCTGCAGCTACGCAAAACTGGAAGATCAATTGTTCCTTTGGGATTACGCAAGATGTTCCGTACATTTGAAAGATGAAAAAATAGCTCCTTCCCTAGAGATGTACGTACACGTAAACCTCTAAAGGAAAAAAAAGCAACATCTCTAACAAGAAAAGAGAATTAATAAAGAAGTGCAAAATTAGAGAACATCGAAATTGGACAACCCTGTGCAACTCTTGGATGGGCATACTAAGTGGTCCTTGTCACTTTGGGACTTTAGACCAAAAATATCGCAGTCAAAGTCATCTATCAATGGCCCCCCCAGAGAAATGTTCTCTGATAAAATTGTGTCCCACCCGTCTACGCAGGGCCTAAAATAGGAAAAATGTGAAGTTGCAGCCTTAGCCCCGCTCCTCAGGTAGGAGTTATAAGTAATTTTCCAGATAAACCTCTATCTTTCAATATATATATTTACATTGTGGATTTTTTTGTAGTGTATACCCTTTGTGACCTTCTTGGAAATTACCTATATTTGTATACTGAAATATAAGAGGTAGTGAATAGTGGGAATGTTCAAAGTGTTTGGTGCACTGTCCGGGAAGGGCAGCAGTGACTCCAATGGGAATTCCACCAGGAGTAGTATCAATGAGAAGAGGACCAAATTGATCCTGAAGGAGGCTAATGACTTCGAAATTGCGTTACGGGCCATGGACTATGTTCTGGATGACAGGACTGAGGAAGGCCTTGCACTGTTGAGGGAAAATGAGAAGGTTAATGGGCAGAATCAGACCATTACTGTCCTCGCCAGGGGTGTCATCGAATTCTTGCAAGCTACATTAAGTTTCGAGATGGAGGAGATCAAGAATGCTTCTAATACGCTGGCCAAAGCGGAGCAACTGTCGTGGAAGTCCCGTACTGAGGCTCAGAAATCGGGTATCAGGAATAGTTCTATCTACCCACCAGGTACTGTGTACGCAGTCACTTACACTGAGTCATGTCTCTTGCATGCCCTCTTGATGTTGTTTACTGAGAGTATGATGGATGCAGCAAAAGCATTACTTAAGCTGAGGAAAGCATATTCAATGCTTCATGAAATAATGGAAGTAGTCAAAAAGTCGGAATTGTCAAGAAAAGTTTCAAGTTCCTCTGCAGTGAGTATTCAATCAAATGGTAGTTTTGTTTCAGAAGAAGCTACATTTGTATCTGCAGATATTCCATATCAGTTATCAGAGACCGAATCCAATGATCCCGAACTGTGGGCCTTTGCAGAGAAGATATATAAGATGAGGAAACTGCGGCTATCAGGGGCTCATATCGGTAACACACCTGCTATCTCAAGATTAAGGTCAGGATTAGGACTATCAGCTTCAAATAAATCGGAAGAGCTTGCAAATAGTGAACAATCAGTTCTGTCCGATGAAGCTGCTGAAAGACAGGCTACTATTGATGAATTTATCCATTCAGGTGTCAACCTGTGCTACGGTATTTTGCAAGTTGTTCTATCTTTAATTCCACCGGCTATCGGAGCTGTACTTTCTATAGTTGGGTTTAGAGGTTCACGTGAAGAAGGTTTAAGGCTAATTTGGAAGGCTACGAAAGACAGAAATGTTCACGGTTGCATTGGTCTTCTTGGACTAATGTTTTATTATGATGGTCCATTCCAGTTTACCGATGTTGATTTCGATATACCACCTGCTCTAAGTAATACCAAAACTTCAGACAGTGATACTGATCGTGATGGATCTATTTCAATCGATGAGATGGATGGGCATGCATTATTACATCCGGGACCTATCCTCGAAGAAGCACTTTTGCATGCAAGAGCATTATTTCCAAACAGTGCATTATGGTTACTAAATGAAGCTAGGATGCTATCAAGTAGAGGTAGACTTCCTGAGGCAATTGAATTGCTGGATTCCATTGATGTAGAGTCTATCCATATGAGACAAGTAAAAGGTTTATTAGTATTTGATAAAGCTATCACATTGGTTCATATGCAGGAATATGAAAGAGCAGCTACAAATTTGTTGTCCTTATTGAAAATCAGTGACTGGTCTCATGCATTTTACACTTATTTTGCTGGATGCTGTTATCTTGAAAACTGGAGAATGGCGCAGATGGGATTTATCAAGGATGATAAGTTAGAATTTTATAGAGAAAAGGCTGAAGAGCTAATATTCAGTGCTCCAAAATTACTTGGGAAGAAGACGTTTAAGTCGAAAAATTTGCCATTGGACAGATTCATGTTGAGAAAGGTAGAGCAGTTTAAGGCTACACAAAAGAAGTTAGGCGTTAAAAATATTCTTGACGCTATTGGCACTTCTCCTATTCGTGAAATTACTTATTTCTATAATGGGTATAATAGAATGAGTAAGAGTGATCTTGAAATTGCACAAAAGATGTTGACATCTTACCACAATCCTGCTATTGACCAACATGATCCTGATCAAGAACTGATTAAAAACCTATTGTTATCTTTGACAATGAGAAGACTCGGTGATGTTGAGAGTGGTGTTAAACTACTCGATGAAAAAGTGCTACCAAGTATCTACTACATGCAAAATGGTAAAGTGAAATATATAAAAAAGACTGAAGACCCTTGGGCATATCCAACAGCTCTTTACGAAAGGGCACTTTTCACCTGGAAGCTTGATGGTGTTGATAATTTGTCAGAATGTAGGCATTGGTTAGTAACAGCTCAGAATTATGCAGGCGACTATGAATTGAGTACCAGAGTGGGAATGAAGATTAAAGCTGCCTTAGATCGTGTTGAAGAGTCTTTACAACATGGCACTGCATAGTTATAGTTGTTTTTTTTGCGAGCCAATGATGCTCCACAACTGTATCATGATTAATGATAATTTAATGAACACTAACATGTATTTTACTTCGTATTTACTGTCTGATAATAAATATTAGTACTTGTTCTTTACATAATTCTGTTGAATATACTTATACTATATGATAGTAGGTTTTTCATAATATCATGTAATAAAGTGTAGAAATAGTATAAGTTAATATTACAATGCTATTACTATGTGATCTTGCTAGATAACATAACTATTCGATACGTATGCCTAATCTGAATTAACGAAGTCTGTCATGAAGCAATCTTTCTGAACCGACTTCTTCGTACTCTTTTTTCCCAATCCACAATTGGTGAAAGGTGCCCAGACTAGATAAAATGCTGCCACCTAGCCAGGATTGATATTGTCTTTCTATACTTTGGCCCGTGGCTAAAACTCTAAATTTTAAAGCTGGAAATTTCATGTTAAGTTCATTTAGGATTCTGTCACTTAGTCCAGGTATAGTTGAGGAACCTCCCGTTATTACAAGATTGTGTGCTAGTGAAGCTCTAATATCTACATCGCATGATGATATGGAAGATGATATCAGATCCACTATGCCAGGTAATTCTTCTCTTTTAATATCTTCCGCCGTTCTTTTACCATTCTCATTAGTGGTACTTGACGATTCAGGCAATGGTGTTGCAGTATTACTATCCAAGGGTGTTGACTCTTTGGTTCCTTCTTTTTCTTTATTGTTACCACTTCCTACTTTATTACGTTTCATAGGTACATAGTCGTTTCTCCAAGTTTCTACAACACCTGCAACATTGACAGGCCAGTCATCTGGCACAGATTCTTTTAAGGGATTTATCAGTTGTTCTGCAAATTGGTATCTGTCATTACTTTCGAATTCAATAACTTCATTCCAAGGAGATTCAATTGTTCTACCAGTGGAAGTAGCTTGATTGTTTTTCTCTTGTGCAATAGGTGTTGTAGCCACTTGAAATATAGTTTCCTTGCACTCTTGGAAAAAACCACGAGAGTTGGCATAATCATATAACGAATCTGCAACCGAATATGAAAAGCTCCTCCTCTTGAATTCTGGTTTCCGTTGTTCAACTTCAAATAAAGGTATTATCTCTCTGGGTTTCAAATAATCAGTCAGTAATTTGTTGAGGAATCTACCAGCGAAATGGTTACATCTTGTAGATTTGGAAAGCGACATACCATCTATTACTGGTGTAACAGATGCGATATCATGGCCAATATCTACAATCAAACTATTTGGCCGTCCTGTCGCGAAAGACACAGCGGTAGAAGTTGCAGTCAAATAGCATGCTTCAAATTCCATCCCTTCTAATAGTATTTCCAGAGACTTTGATCTATTTTCCTTACTATTCCATAGTGGTTCTGTTAACATTGCAGGGATTCCTCTATTCGATTCTATGTGAAGTTCATTTCTCAATGCCCAAGACCACTGTTCAACGGCAGAATCCCAATCGCATACCTGCCCATTCTCGACAACCCTCTTTACTTCATAGTCAGGTCTTGGGATAGGAATTGACTGTTCAGAAAACACTTTTCTGGTTTTCCTTGTTTTTTCTGTGTTGTCCTCGCTAGTACTTTCTTCTGCTTCATGTATTTCACCGAAACTGGATGGTAGAATGGACTGCGGGCAATCAGTTCCAGCATAACCAATATTGGTAGTATATGAACCAGGATCGATGATAACTGCGGTTATCTCATCACCACCGTATACTTGCAAAGCCGAGTTTGACATCTAATATATGTCTTATTCTGTCAGTTCTGACTATATCGTAATTGTTTCGGGGGTTGCAAAGAATAAACGTAACCAGAAATGCCACAGGAACTTAATCTAACTTTTGTTCCAATATAAATTCTCTGCTTGTTTGAGTAATTACTTAATTAGTCGTGAAATGACTTGATGACACCTTTATTCTCTCAAATTATTCACTGCCAGCTGTATTTTTTTTTTATGTTCTAACTTTGTTAGGTTTTTCCTTGACCGAGAGGAGTCTCGAAGTGACAAAATATATAGAATACAGACATATAATGCAAATTGATTTTATAAAAGCGTAGAGGTGCTGCTGATTCTTATAATCGATATAATTTTTTTATTAACTAATTAAAATACAGATAAAAAATATAGACATTATAGTTTTGGATTGCGACGAGTGGATTTTGGTGTCATAAAACCATTAAAATACATAAAAAGTTGAGAAGAAACAATGGTCAAGTGCTAGAAAACTTTACGAAATGAAATTCGGAAAGATATGAAAACCAAAGTCTCTGATTCTATAATTATGGTGTTGCCAAATTATGTTTGGGACTCAATCATTGTTTCAAAGATTTGATGATGGCTTCACCTGCCTTCTCAACATTTTCCTTAGCACCCTTGATGAAAATTACGTTGTTGATCTTATCAGATTTCTTTGGAACGTAAACAATACAGTTGGTAGATTCACGAATTTTTTTGACGTTGGAACCACCCATACCAACAACCTTGAAGAACTTGCTTGGGTCAGATGTCCAGACATATCCAGAGTAAGTGGCATTTGGAGCGTCGTTGATTCTGTTTTCAATTATTTCCTTGGCCTCCTTCAATAATTGCTGCTTCTTGTTTTCGTCAACAGAAGCTTCCTTCTTCTCACCATTTTCTTCATCTAAAATGCTATCAAAGTCAATAGGCTCGTATATTAGTCTCCATGGTATTTCACCATCTACATTTTCAACAACAGATGGTCCGGTTTCTTCAACAGTGAACTTGACTTTCTCACCTTCAGCTCCAGCAACCTTTTCATAAGGAATATCTACAGGCGTTCTGTTTAGATTGTTGGCCTTCTTGGTGGCGTTACCGTATCTAACGTTCACAAACTTTTCAAGTCTTAGTCTTTGTGGAAGGTTACCACGATCGGATACATAGTTTTGAACATTTGCTGGGACCATGATCTCCAAATCAAAGTTATCTCTGATGATCTCTGTGAATATCTTCTTCTCAGCTTTCTCGATGTTTTCTGGCAAACCTGTTAGAGAAACACGAGTCTCTTCTTCGTCCCTCTTAGGAACATAAAGTTGGATGTTAAACTCAGATTCTAGCTGCTTTCTGACAATACCACCTGGGCCAATCAATGCACCCAATCTTTCACCTGGAACTTCGATCTTCTTGGTAATGCTGTTTTGACTTTCTTCAACAATCTTGTTAATTGCCTTAACCACGTTGGAAACAAACTTCTTTGGACCTTGAATTGTGATAATGGAAGACTCTGAGTCAGCATTTGGAATATCAACAGCTCTTCCTCTAACTTCATCACCACCAGCATTACTGATGATTTCTCTTAAAGTGTGACCACCAGCCCCAACAATTGTCTTGTGGTATTTGCGGTCGATGTCAAGTTTCTCAGTAACGTGGTCTGCAGCTTCAGAAACAATAGCTGCAATTTTAGTAGAGGCTTCCTTGATGGCATTTCTGTTACCAGTGATTTCAAGCTCAACAACACCAGTTTCTACCGCCTTCGGATCATCACTCTTCTGTAAGAAATCTAGTTCAACACCAAATTCATCAGAAAGACCGTTGATGGTGTCACCATTCTTACCAATGATTCTAGACATATGCTCGACTGGAACATTGACAATAGTCTTATGACCATTTTCCATTTCGAAATCAAGAAGGGCTTTCAATTCATCGTAAGCTTTGTTAACACCTCTTGATGGACCCTTAATGGTAATGGTGTTATTTTCCTTTAGGAAGTTAATGAAGACATTGTACTTCTCTTGTAGACGAGTACGGTACATACCTTGAGGACCACTTAAATTACGGTGGTATTTAGCCTGTGCAACAAGTTCCTTTGTGACGATATCTGCTAATCTCTTAGCTTCATTTGCAATATCCTTCTTAGCATGTTCAATGATAAATTGCAAACCCTTAATGGTAATTTCAACAGTCTTATCTTGGTCAGACTCACCCTGTTGAGGAATATCAATAGAACAGTTGTACTTGTTTCTCAACTTTTGTAGATTAGCACCTTTGTTACCAATCAATCTGGAAACGGAAGCGACAGGAACTTCAACGGTTATCTTTGCAGTAGTAGATGGGTTCTCAACAATAGATTTAATATCTTTGTTTGCCTTCTTAACAGCCCTTTCGTCACCTCTCAAAGTCATCTTATTCTTTTCAGGAGAGTGTAATTTAATTTGAATGTGGCCGTCATCGCCGGAAATATCTTCTAAGATCAATTTTAGAGCCACAGAGTCCTTTCCAAAAAACTCATCTTGCTTTTCAGATTCAAGATCATAAGTAGCAACTTCTAGGGAGTTTTGCTTCTTACGTAGATCATTTAGATTTGCGTTGACTTTTTCCAAGCTTTCCTTTATTTCATCAGTTGATGGTTTGAAGTCTTCATCTGTTGAGGTAGCAAACAAAACAACAGAGTCATCACCCTTGAAGTAGTCACCAATTTGGATGAACTTAGCTTCTGATTCATGGCCTAGTAAGATGTGCTTAATATTTCTGTGGAATAGTTCGTAATCTAGGTCATCGATGACCAGTGTTTCAGCTGGAGTGATGTCATTCACAATCGCAATAATCTCTCTACGAGCAGCCTTTATTTCTGAAGTCTTATCATTCTTTGCACTCAAGTAAATGAAAACTTCTTTGGCATTTTGCAAATCTTCGATGGATGGCAAAACGTATTTGACATCTGGGAATTCCTCTGCAACCTTATCCAAGACGTTGTACTTCTGGAAGTAGATGACTAGTCTCTTAGCATGGTCAAGATTCTTGTTGTGTGCTTTTGAAATGTCAAGTGAGTCGACGATGTATTGCTTAGAGGAAGTCCTAGCAAAACTAATAGCCTCAGCTACTTTGTCTTTTAATCCAGCAAATTGGACAGTTTCATCAGAGGAGCTCTTTGGGAACTTGACAATAACACCAAATCTGTCCTTAACTTCGTCCGCATCAATTAGGAATTGGAATTTTGATGGAATCTTAACATTTTCTTCAGCAAGTTCATTGGATAGCTTTTGTAAGTAATCCTTTATCTTGGTTTTAGCGTTTTTAATGTCGTCTAAACTACCCGTAATTGTGAAAGACCCGGTATCTTGATAGTATTGCACTTTGACATCATCTGAAGAGACTTCCTTGACATTAACGAATGATCCCAAAGTGGAATCCTCTACAGATAGTCTAGCAGTGATATTCTTCAGATCCTCGTTTACAATGGACAAGATTTTGGCCTTGGCTTGCTTAACAGATTCAAAGTCACCGAATATGGAGATATCGCTCAAGTCGTCGTCTAGATCTTCATTGTAGGAGTCTGGTTTTGGTTCTTTGCTGATGTGGATTTTGACATCGTATCTGTCAGAGATCTCACGAATGTTCTTACCACCAGAACCAATGATGACGGCTTTGCATCTTGATGGAACCTCGATGTTTTCCGTTATAGGTCTGGTTAGCATCTTTATCAATTCTCTCTTAGCCTCCTTAACTTTTGGTGCTGGACCAGAGATCAAGAAAGTACGGGAGTTTCTTGACAAGGTAGACTCGACAGAGACGTTGTTAGCCTGCTTAACAGTTTGTAAGATCCTGGACAGTTCCAATTTAGTCACAGACAATTGAGATTGCAGGTCTAGGGTAAAAGTTTCCTGAATATTGTTTGATCTCATACGACCAGCGCTGGTGGCGCTAGCAGAACGGGACATTGATGGACTGACGGAAGAAGAAATGGCTGCAGGTTTCATGTTAGGACCCCATTCAACTTTGGTAGCTGGTTTGAAGGAGTTGCTATCTACCAAGGATGGTAAATCCTTCAAAGAAGGCAAAGGTTTTGGCTCAGGCTTTGGAGCTTCTTCGACAGGCTTTGACTCCTCATCAGAGTCAAAAGTAGTGCCGTCAAGAGAATCCAAAGAACTCTCAGCTGGTGTGTTATCCACAGCCAATTCTTTCTCAGTAGCAAAGGTCAATGACATGGTTGTAGAGTTCTTCTGTATGCAAATTTACTCAAAACTTTTTTCTTTATCGACTTTTTATCCTTTCAACAAATTATCAAACTTAATTGTAATTTTTTTTTATTCTAATTTGAAAAGAACTGAAAAGATAAATAAAGAATAACTCACTTTCCCTGTTTTTTGTATTAAATGGTCGTTCAATTGCCAATTGGTTGCTCTTATTAAGATATTGAAGCAGTTCTCAGTGTTCTTAAATTTCTCGTATTGTCAAAACCCAAGTTTCCTGTTGGTTTTGTCCTTGAAAAAAATTAAAGAAAGGGTGCTGGGGTTGTTTGCGAAATATAAGCAATTGGGACTATTTGTAGTTAATAGATAACAATTGAAAATAAGAGCTATATATTTTTGTGAAGATCGAATTCCAATAAGAGAAGAGAAAGAGGACTATGCCCTTTAAAAATATCTATTTTATTCAAAGTTTTATAGTTTATAAGAGAATTTGTCAAAACTTTTTTGACAAGAAAATCCTTTTCGTTGGGACTTGCTGATTGCAGTGGATAGCCAAGCACTTAAAAGAGCATTTTAGGAGTTCGAACTTAATCAAAGAAAGCAGCAAGATACCGGGCGTAAACGTAAACATTGCTATGTACAGTTAGAAAGAGTAGGGAAAGTTGCTGTACGTGGTGGCATCTACGGATTATGTGGCACTTTTTGTCACTCTACGTGGGACAATCAATTCTTGAAATGAAAGAGACAAAGAAGCAGACAGCCTTTACATGTCTGCGGGCACAGGAACTCAGTCTCAGAGGCAGAAGTGGAGGAGTTACAGGTTACAGATGAGAAACTAGGAGGGGAAAGTGTTCACAGTGTGAAATCTTTCTTGCGTGTGTAGTAAAGTAGTGGCCAACACTTGCAATACATCTAGGGAATCGTTTTTGCTGTAGTGATAAATGCTGGGATGTGGTGGGAGAACCCTTGCACTAGCATCAATTTAAAAATAGAATGTCAGAGAAGTTAGCGAAGCTTTGAGTGGGAAGATCCTGTGAAATTCCACATGTCAATAGTGAGACTTGCAAATCCCTCATATCACTCTAAGAGAACAATTTTTGCTAGTGCATTTCGGTTTCTTATCTCGATCACCTGTGCACTAATTTTCTTGCTAAGCATAACATAATATAGAAAAACACACTCAATATATGGCATGGCTACAAGAAATGGTGTACTTAGCTGAAGAAAAGTAGGGTAAAGATATTTATTTCACCGGCAGCACCGCATTATTTGTAATAGTCTCCCTTCCTTCCCTTTGCGGTTTGTGAGGAATGGCAGTTCACAAAACAGGACTATTGTATGTAGTCTTGTTGAAGATGTGTTCTCTTAGGATTTGCGCAAAATATATGTAGTAAAAATTTGCAAAGGATTGGCAAGAGCGTTTGGGTGTGTCACCTTTGCTGATTTTATTCAACAACTGAGATCACAGCTACTGTTTGATGTGATTCCTTTTGTAAATTAAATACAATATGTGTTATTTGTACGATATCGAGGTAATACCTTTGCACAAAAGGGTCATATTTTATTACTTTTTCCCTAATCAGGTCACTTAATATAACACCAGCGAATGAAATGATTTTGTTCTCTATACAGATACGTTTAATAAGAGCTATGTGGCTACGTTTCGTTATATAATCTTTTTATAGCTTCGACTTCTGCCACCCGAATGATATCTTTTTATTTTGGCCCGGTTCGATGATCACATTCAATAGACATGGTATTCTTTCCCGGGTATGAACCAATGCTTTCTTGTAATAATATTCAAGTTCTTGTAAGTTTTTCACCAAGTATCCCTTTGCACCAAGACCTCTAGCCACTAAATCATATCTACATTTCTCAGAAAGCATTGTAGGGGGTAGTTGAGTCTCGTTGGTGATTGTGCTTGGGTCAGAGCCGTGATATATACCACTGTTATTCATGATTATGAATATAATGCCAAGGCGATATCTAACAGCAGTCTCTATTTCCATACCTGAAAATCCGAATGCGGAATCACCTTGTATCGTGACGATGTTTAATTCTGGAGAATGTACTTTTGCTGCGATCGCATATCCGAGTCCAACACCCATTGTTGCATTAGTTCCAGCATCTAACCTTCTCTTTGGGAAATCTGTTTCGAAAGAAATTCGAGCAATATCCATAGTATTTGCACCTTCGGATACTATAAAGCTTGATCTATCATCAATCAAATTTTTCAACATGCTATAAACAGAGTAGTAGTTCAGCATTTTGGCTCCATAATAATTTTCTGGATTTAGTCTTACTCTTAAGTTATGTTTATTACTTTCAATTTTTTCTTTCAACTCTTTGGTAAGCCCTTTGTGTTTCACAAAATCCAATTTGTGCAAAGTGTCTCTTAAATTTTCAATCGTGAGTTGTATATCACCCCAAATGCAATATGATGTTCCATTAGGGTTATTAACACCTAGCGTTAGCGGCTCAATATCGACTTGAACAAATTTAGCATTCGAATTCCATTTTGGAGGTGACGCATAGTGTAGAATCCAGTTCAACCTTGCACCAAATACTAAAACCAAATCTGCCGATTTTAATGCTTGTGATCTAGCAGCTGAAACATTTAATCTATGGCTGTCAGGAAGGATGCCCTTAGCCATTGGAGTTGGTAAGAATGGAAAGTTGAATTCCTCGATAAAATGACGTAAAGCTAATGATGAGTTGATGCAGCCTTTACCTAATACGACAAGGATGTTCTTGTCCTGGTGTTCTTTGATTAATGAGGTAACTTCAGCAATGGAACGAGGATCAGGTCCTGTTGTAATACGTTTAGTTTCATGTTTATAAAATTCTATCGCTTCAACTACATCAGTGATAAGGTCCCCAGGAAAGTCGATATACGATACACCTGGTGTTCCTTGGGTTGCACTGTTCCATGCGTTGAATACAATGTTGGCATCTTTCTTAGTACCTGTCAGTTCGCCTGCAAATTTTAGATACGGCTTTAATAGTGATACTTGATCCAATTCTTGAAAGCCACCTTGATATTTCTCATCTCTTGGAACACTTCCTGCAATTATTAACAGTGGCCATCTATTGTTCATAGAGTTGTAGACACCAGCCAGGGCATGTATCACACCAGGACCACCTACAACCAATAACACACCAGGCTTTCCAGTCAAATAGCCATATGCAGAAGCAGCGTATGAAGCAGCCTGCTCATTTCTAAACCCAATAAACCTGATACCAACACTCTGTAGTTCTTGAGCAAATTCTACCACCGGGATACCAACTATTCCAAATACAACGTCAACATCATACTGGTACTTTAATAAAGACGCAATGTTCCTGCTGTGAATTACTTTTTTACCCATCACTGCCGTTACTGTTCAATGATAAAACTTATACAACGCATTGATTTATCGCTAAGATTTTTTCAGTTAAATCACCTCCCAAGCAGTAAATTGTTCGTTAGTATGTCTTATATACTTGCGAATGAGTCCAACAGTAGTCAAATTGTAATATTCTGTGAGTCAACGAGTTGTGGTACGTGCCCCCAAAAGCACAGCTTCAGGAATGTGTTTAAGGGCTGGGCTCATCGCACTGTCAAATTTTGGAAAAAATAACAAAAAATCGCTGCGATGAGCAAAAATCACGTTTCTATTGTCAACTGTCAGCAAATACAGCTGTAAATCGATATTGTGGCTTTCAGATGAGCCCATCATAACACATCTAGCATGTTTCTAGCCTGATCGTTTTTCTTTCTATTGTTAATCTTGCATCTGAGCATCATAATGTTGTCTGGGATAAAATCACGCGCAGTCAGCTCATGTCCACACGCTCCTTGGGGACATTTCTTCTTATCTGGTGTATCAAAGTACATCTGGATACCCACTTTGTCAAATACGTGATTACAAGCTTTGGAGATCATTGGGTTCTCAAACGGTTTGCAAGTAATGGGGCAATTCAATTCGATTTTACCACCTTCAATTTGAATATCGTCTTCTTCTTGGTCCTCATCGGGTATCACACAAGTTGGGTCTCTGATTATGTATGGTAGTGCTTTAAGTAACTTCTCATATGTATTTGGCTTTCGTCTCACGTTGTTTCGAGGTATGGTAGGTTTCTGGTCTACTATGCCCTCGGTGAAATATTTCTGAAAACTGTCAATGCCGACCGTACCATTAGTATATTCTCTGAAGCTATCAATATCAGTCGCTGGTGAATGATCAGATATTCTCAGATAATCTTGTTTTAAGGACTCCAGTTGGTTATCCAATTGGTCCGCCTGTTCTTTTTGCGCTAAGGTATCTTTGTAACTCTCAGTAAGCTTGTTCACGCACTGTAGTATCTGATCCTCTTCCAGTAGATCGATGTATGTAGTCAGCTGGTTGATGGTTTTTTCGTATTGTTTCTCAATCGTACTTAACTCAGAAGATATATAGCACTCTCGCAGATCATGGAAGTTATCTCTTTGATCTTTATGTATCGGCAGCGCCTCCGGAAGTGCAACGCTATCCATTATTTGTACCTAAAACTATGATGAAGCTACGCAGTTGTTGGATTTGGTACTAATGTATGCGGGCTCTGATTCTTATTGGCCTCTTGTCTTATCTGCTTTTATTTTGAATATTTCATAGCGATGGTTTTGATCCACTAAGCATTTTTTTCATCTGAAAAATCATAAATTTTGGCTTATGAGAGAGTAGTAATAAGACATCTGTAATACTGGAAAGGCTACAAGCTAGGCCCAGTTTAGTGAAGACAGTTTCAAATTTGAAAGTACAGTGTATAGTATGAATGAGGAGATTCAAACGTTGCTCATATATCAGATATGTGACTCCCTGAGGTTTCAGGCCAACATGGAGGATATCAGTGTCGATGACGTGATGGATGTTATGCAGGAGAATATAATGGTAGAATGTCTGTTGGATGGCGTTATTATGGACAAAGCTGATGTCCAGAAGATAGTGATACAGTATGTTACTGATGGTGAACTGGGAGAAGAGGCAATCGGTGACAAGATGGAGTCTATGTACAGTAACTCCCGAAAGAAGCTACTGAAAGAAATAGACGACCTCGATAATACAATAAGTACGAATAGAAAGAAGGATAAGCTATTGAATTTGTACAGAGACACAGTGCTTAATAGGCTACAAAATAAGAAGACTGTGCTGGACAAACTCTACCACGGAATGAAAGAGGACTCTAGTGTGATACGGAACAGGATATACCTTGAGCGGATCAAGAATGAGACACCAAATAGCATTGCTGAGCTGCAACTAATGTTACAACGTAGCATTGCGGATTGTATCATGAGTGAGCCCATTGGTAGTGAGAAGTATAATATAGCGAAGGAAATACAAATAAATCTTGAAGACACTATAAGGTTTATGAAGCGCGCTCTCGAGTAATATGAATGTTATTAACAACTAAATAAAATAAATTTTTGGGAATATTAAAATTGGTTGTTCATTAGCAAAAGGATGGCTATATGGTTAATCTAAATATTCGTAAAGAAATGTATTGATCTGGTATATGAATAGTAATGAGGCTGTCTGGAAAACAAACTATCCGGTTAGTTTGACTTGGGAGAGTACATACCCGATCAGAATCTGGCTAGAGCTCTCTGTCTTTCCTGCCATTTTCTATAGATAATGGTAGCGACGATAATGCAGGCCGCTAAACCAACAAGGATCAGCACAACGATGGGTCCACCAGGTAGCATCTTAAACTTTGTTTTTGTTATGAGAATAGAGTTTCAATTGTATAAAAGTCCACAATTGTTGATTCAATTCGGGAGTGATTGCAAAACAAGAAAACAACGACTTCTATTGTCAAAACTGCAGCAGCTAATGTTTATATATGCTATAGAAGTCGTTCATCAGGTGTTGTGTGGATTGAATGCACGTTTAATAATTTAAACTACTGTCGCCCATGTCCTGTGTAGGATCTGGCATTATGAGGGATATTTAACCATCTTTCACACCCTGTCGTCACAGAAAAGAATTGATAAGAAGTGTTTTATTCATATTAATTGCATGGTTTATCAAAACTCCGAAGCACAATTTATACATTGAGTCTCTTCGATAACCGTTTTTTTGCTTCCTTATCGGAAGTTTCATACGTCACTTTGATAGTCCAAGAGGAATGATAAGGCACCTCCCACATGAGGGTAGTTGGAGAGACTATCAGGTACCTTATCCTGTCATAAAATCGTACAATCCCAAGAGGTACAATTTGAAGAGTGTGCATCGGCAACTGTTAGAGTGGTATTCTGACGCGTTTGGTGGTATGTGTATGCAAAAACAGCTCAAGATACAGTCTACATTTCTCTGCCAAGCAATTCCCAATGATGGCCAAGTATATATGTACTTAAAGACGTTATTGTCAGCTGATAATCGTCAACAATGTCAAGACTTTTTCATTTTCCTTCTGCCCCCCTCCCCTCATATTACTGACCAAAAGAGGGAATATGTAAACATGTAAGTAGTTCCCGTTTGGGATATGGAGAATGTTAGTTGTTAGAACGAAATTTAATAAGCCAAAAGCAATTAATACGGATATTTCTTAGGCATATAATATTGTTGTCAAAGAAGTAGTAAGAAATTCCCGTAGAGAAATCAAAGTAAGTTGGGTATATCGCAGGAGGAAAGGGCGTACTCCATTTTATCAACTCGCTTTACACACCCACACAGAAACAGTCGTAATAGAAGGATACGGGCCCCCCCAGCTAATAAGTTGGTATTTGTGTTTATTAATATAATAAATTGGAAGTTTCATAATTCATTTTGTTTTTGTATGATGTCGATGGCTCAAATAGGAAAGTGGGGCCACCTCTCATATTGTCAGGAAAGACCAACAGTATGTGTCCCAAAACGGGTATGATGCTTGGAAGAAAATAGAGTGCTTAGAAAGTAGCGTGCAAATGCATGTAATTCATGGTCGGGCCCTGCTACAACCACAGGAGGCCAGAGCGATGTGTTTTTCGTGAAATCAACAAGCGATGAGCTTTGCTGTTGTGATCTCCTTAAATAGCCCAAAGACAAGAGCATATATGTTGCTAAAACAGCTAGAACAAAATAGTAACTACAGTTGGGAACTACAACAATATAGGTGAAGGATAGTTGTAAAGACAAATAGGAGGATTTTTGACAAAGATATCAGAAAGAAAGCAAAAAATAAGAGAGCAGAGAGATATCAAAGTAAAAAAAAAAAATAATAAAAAAAAATCCGGTAAAAGAATAATAATAATAAATAAAATAAAAAAAAAAATATTAATAATAATAATTAAGTAAAATTAATTGGAAAAAAATTAATTATTATACCTTTTATTGCTTCATATTGGATTGATTGACGTTTGAGATTGTCTTTAATAGCGGTATTATAACATAATCAAGTCATTCTAGTTGGAGAGAATTTTTTTGAGTCAACTGATAGTAAATAAATATTCATAGGAATAGGAAATACTCTCATAACATAATAGACTTTGGAAATGAGTACATTTGCTAGATGGAGGAAAGCCGAGTTGTTTGACTTGATGAACAAGTTGAAGATAACCGATGTGAGTAACTCAACTAAGAAATCAGATATGATCGTTTTGATTGAGCACTATTTGGAGAACTTGAGTGCACCATTGGATTATATGCATGATTTCCCAGAGCTTCAAACTTACTATGAGGATAAGCAGCAACTTAAGATTGAAAGTGATATAGAAGATGAGCTGGACAAGATCAGCAGTACTAGTGAAGACATGGAATATGGCGAGGATATAGACATGAAGGAGGAAACTTCTGAAACCTCTAGTGACTCATCTGCAGAAGAGACTGAGACTGTGGTTGAAAAGAAAGACTATAATAACTTGGACTTCAGTGAAGAACCAACAAAGCTTCAAGATTTCAAGTTTAATTTTGATCAAATTCTAGATGATATCATTGACAGAGCTTACATTATCAATGAAAATGTTAAAGATTACTTGTCTTCCATCAGTGCTGTGGAGAGTATATTTACCATAATAGAATTGGTCTTGTTTTCTGTCCATCTGTTTGCAAATTACAGAACCGGTGAAACTGTGCTCTCTGCTCAGCACAGTATTGGTTACATGGATTACTATTTCAGACCTGAATACTATAAGCGTGAGGTTGTTCATTTCTTGAATAAGATAGGTTTGCCAATTCTGACCTGGTTTTTCCTATTGAGAATTGTTCCTTGTTTTGTGTCTTATTATATCAACTTCATTAGATATGAGCTATTGGTTGATATGGACCCAATGGTTTATCATTTGTTCAAGGGTATTGTTGAGTTTTTGATCATAACCAGGTTTAATGATAACCAAAATCCAATTCAAGGATTCTTGAGCTCCTTTTCGTTCAGTCCACTAGGCCACTTGCATGTGGACCCATGTAGAGACTTGAGAGAGTTCAACGATGCCCTAGGGTACCTGCCTTTGTGTTTTTCTGTTGTTTGTACCATTTTAACTCTTTACATTCTTTAAAACAGAAAGATCTCAAACTAACTTTCTCCATATCGAATGGCAGTTCGGTTGGACTCAAGTTTTGATAACTAATGACCTTTCTCAGATGGAATTCTGATGGGGAAGATGAAAAGACTGTTCCGGAAACAACGAACAATGTTAATACTTTTTTTTTGTGTGTGAATGACAACTTCTGTTTAATATTATTTCCTGGATCATGTTGTAGGTTTACGTCAAGCATCTTACAATAATTTTGACAATGAATCCTTTCTGACTCTAATCTCTACTTATTTTTAAAATTTAAGTTTCTCTTTTATTTCTATTTTGTCTTAACTTTTTCTATTATCTACCAAATTCGGTTTTAAAGAAACGTGTTCGAATACTAATTACTTTCAACTCAGCAGGCATTACTTTGTTGTAAATTCTGTTGTATGTTTCAGACCATTGTACTAATTAACATTCACAAAACGAATTGTAGTTCTAACTATCTCTAGGATCTATTATTATATGTCACTATCGTTTGAGATAGAAAAAACAAACTAAATCTGTATAAGAATAATAGATACACAGCTAGTTACTTGTATACATATATTCCAAGTGTGAAAGATATATATATATATATGTAGGTATGTATGTATGAGAAGAAACTCTCAAAGGCATATCACAAACTACCAACTTGATCATCTTGCAGATAATACTGTCTCTATTACCATCGGAAATTATATACCTTACAACGGTCGTTCGGAAACTGTTGGTGATATCGAAACAATCTGGCAATTGCCAAAAACATGAATGGCAATTAGCCAAATGGGACACTAACATAGTAAGTGAAGAATGTACTTGAGAACTTACTCTTCAATCAAGAAAATCATTTGTGTGCTTTCCGATTTTGAATTGATAATTGTTCTGCTATAAAGTTAACGAAACAGTATTAAGCAGCCATGTCACAATTTATCGGCTACGGGGTCAAGCTTGAGCTTAAGGATGGCAAGATACTAGAAGGTAAGATTACGAAGGCGACTTCTAAAGGTTTAGTGCTATCCGATGTGAAGTTCGAAGACGGTGGAAGCTCTCAATTGTTTAAAGTTAGATCGTCACAACTGAAGGATTTGAAAGTTGTGAGTGTGAGACAGAAGAATGGCAAAGGCAATGGTAGTAATGGTAATGCTGCAAACAAATCTAGTAGGAACAAGAGTAGAAATGATTACAGTATGAATTCTGGTAGCCAGACAAATGGTAACACATCGCATGGTGGATCTAGGCACAACAATAATAATAATAATAATAGCAGGTACGATAGCGACTGGGCCAATGATGATGTTAATCAGATTAAGTTGCAAGACGATTTTGATTTCCAAGGAAACCTGAATATGTTCAACAAGAAAGATGTATTTGCACAATTGAAACAGCAGGATGATGTGGCACCGGAATTGAGGCTTGTAGCTCATAATAAGAAGAAGGACTACGAGAAGCCAAAGAATTTCAATATTGACGAAATGGTTATTCCTAACGCTAAGGAGGACTCTTGGCATAAAATTGACTCAGAAAGACCACAACAACAAAAATCAGACGGATATCTTGATTTTGAGAGTGGTACAGATGATGATGATGTTGATGACCATGAAGATCGTCAGTTATCAAATACAAGGGACAGAAAGAACAATAACCAAATCAAGCACAATGTTGAGGATGACGACGATGATGATGATGAAGGTTTGGAATTTCATGATGCTGATGAATTACCAATTACACAAGCAGTCAATATCACACATTTACTTCATAAAGCAGCTAAGGGGTCAAACTCTGGTAAGTCTAAGGACGGAAGCCAAGGTAATGAGCAGATGTTAGCTAAGTTGGAGCAGATGATAATTCAGCAATCAAAAGGATCTACTAGACGCAATTCTAGTATAAGCAGCAAAAAGCCTACTTTATTGAAAATCAAGGATTCATCCAAGCAAATTGCCACAGCTACTCCAGTACAACTCTTAGAAATTGAAAGAATAGCGCAAGACCATTTTGGTATTACCGCACCTATATTAATTGAGAATTTCGCTATTAACTTGGCGCAAGTTATAAAACAGAAACTTGGGGGCAAAGCCAGATTACGTCTGGAGAATTCCAATGCAGAGCCTCTTGTTGTGATACTAACATCTGATTCTGTAAGAAGTGGCGCAAGAGCACTTGCATTAGGAAGACAGCTATGCCGTACGGGGCATATTAGAGTAATCACTATGTTTACCACTTCAGTCAATGAGATACAAGATAGTCTAGTGAAGGAGCAATTAGAGCTGTTTAAGAAATGTGGTGGTAAAGTAGTCAACAAAGTCAGTTCACTAGAAAGTGCGGTGATGAGTTTGAATAGTCCAGTTGAAATTGTTATTGATGCTATGCAAGGTTTTGACTACAATATCTCAGATATATTTGAAAACATTGCTGAAGCTGAACAAGCTGACGAAGATGTTAATGCCAGTGATCAAAACAGACGTAATAACACTAGAAACAGCGTCTCAAAGGCAGAGACTATCGAACAAAGAATTACGGATATTATAAACTGGTGTAACAATCAACGTGGATCCACGAAGATTTGGTCTTTGAACGTACCAAGCAGTTTTGATAGCGGTTCTGGTGTTCAAAACTTCCCCGTCGCCGTGCAAGCCACCGGGGTTATTTGCACGGGCTGGCCATTGTCCTCTTTACCAAACATCAAATACACGTTGAGTTCTCTCGATGATGTCGTGGCCGTCGACATGGGTTTCCCAAGAGGTGTCTACACACTTCAAAACTCCCTGCGTAAATTCCTTTCCTTTGATGTTTTCGCAATTGAAGGTTCCATCGCTTTGGAACTTTGATATCACGAACTCTCAGCTATTATTTTTGTTTGTGAACAGCCATTGTATTATCAACCCTAACCTTCACTTCCCTGGTATACAATAGATGCCAAAGATTTTAACAATATGTTTTCTTCTCTAAATAGTCCCTCATCTAAACTATATAAAACGAGAAAAGACCCTTTTCTGATCGTAAGAGTTAGCTTGGGCTTCCCAAGCACTTGCATTTATACCTTTCATCTATTCTGGTAACACCACACGAATAAGGGGAAATGACATATTAGACGTCCTTCTTCCAGCTTTTTTCTTTAATTTTTTCCCGGAATTGCGCAAACGTACACCCAGAAGGCAAACTTTTGGTATTTAAAACAGGGAAAGGCCCAGTTTTGGCCAGTTGTATCTACATTGAAGAGGGCAGTATTTAAAGCATAGCGGTTGTCTAGGCACTGGAAATAGTTGTGGATTGTTAGACAGCGGTAGAAATTTTTATAGTAGGCCTTTTTCCGTGAGAAAATTGGTGGAGGATTTTTTTCAAGTAGAAGGAGTCAGGTAGTGTCTCCCTAAAAGAAGCCAAGAGCCGTCTTTCTCATTCAATATCATTGACTGTGTTAAGTATTTGGAGCTATCGAATATTGTTGTCAATCTTTTCCATATTTAGTTTTGTGCCTTTTAGAAATTGGAACAGGAACAAAAAAAAAGGAAGGTGAACAAATTGGCTGTTGTGATATTGCCTTGAGAATACAAGAGCTGTTATAAGAAGATAAAGCGGATATAACTGCCTATTTTTGGACTTTGAAAATAGTAATTATAAATGGGTGGGTGTTGTAGTTGTTTTAGGGACTCTTCTGATGATGTCAGTGTGCTGCCTATAACAGACAATGAACGCGAGGCTGTGACCTTGTTGTTAGGATATTTGGAGGATAAGGACAGACTAGACTTCTACAGTGGTGGACCTTTGAAGGCATTGACTACATTGGTTTACTCTGACAACTTAAATTTACAAAGAAGTGCTGCTTTGGCGTTTGCAGAAGTAACTGAAAAATATGTTAGACAAGTGTCTAGAGATGTTTTAGAGCCCATACTAATTCTTTTGCAAAGTCAGGACCCTCAGATTCAGGTGGCTGCATGCGCTGCTTTGGGTAACTTGGCAGTCAATAATGAAAATAAACTACTAATAGTAGATATGGGCGGTTTGGAACCACTTATTAACCAGATGATGGGTACAAATGTCGAAGTTCAATGTAACGCTGTCGGTTGTATAACTAACTTGGCTACAAGGGATGATAATAAACATAAGATTGCCACATCAGGTGCCCTCGTACCTTTAACAAAGTTAGCTAAGTCAAAGCATATCCGTGTACAAAGAAATGCCACTGGTGCTTTGTTGAATATGACACACTCAGAGGAAAATAGAAGAGAATTGGTCAATGCTGGCGCTGTACCAGTTCTAGTGTCATTACTGTCTTCTAATGACCCTGATGTTCAATATTATTGTACAACTGCTCTATCTAACATTGCAGTTGATGAAGCTAACAGAAAGAAACTTGCCCAAACTGAGCCCAGACTGGTATCAAAGTTGGTATCGTTGATGGATTCACCTTCATCAAGAGTTAAATGTCAAGCTACATTAGCGTTGAGAAACTTAGCATCCGATACAAGTTATCAATTAGAGATAGTTAGAGCTGGTGGTCTACCACATTTGGTTAATTTAATTCAAAGCGAGTCAGTGCCTCTAATCTTGGCGAGCGTTGCATGCATAAGAAACATATCCATTCATCCATTGAATGAAGGCTTAATAGTTGATGCAGGTTTCCTTCCACCTTTGGTGAAGTTACTAGATTATAGAGATTCTGAAGAAATTCAATGTCATGCAGTATCTACTTTAAGAAATCTTGCTGCTTCTTCAGAAAAGAACCGCAAAGAGTTTTTCGAAAGTGGAGCGGTAAAGAAGTGCAAAGAGCTCGCTCTGGACTCACCAGTTAGTGTTCAAAGTGAAATCTCAGCTTGTTTTGCAATTTTAGCACTTGCTGATGTTTCTAAACAAGATTTATTGGATGCCGATATTTTACAGGCATTGATACCTATGACATTCTCAACCAATCAAGAAGTTTCTGGTAATGCGGCAGCGGCTTTAGCAAACTTGTGCTCCAGAATTGACAACTATTCCAAGATAATATCGTCATGGGACCAACCTAAGGAAGGTATTAGAGGTTTCTTAAAAAGATTTTTGCAAAGCAATTATGCAACCTTTGAGCATATAGCTCTATGGGCTATTTTGCAACTATCAGAAAGCCATAACGACAAAGTTATTTACTTAATCAAAAACGATAAAGAAATAATAAACAGCGTAAGGAAAATGGCTGATGTAACATATGATCGTTTGCAGAAATCTGGTGTTGATGTTAATAAAAATGGAAATAGCGAAGAAAGAGGAGATAATGAGGACCATCAGAGCAACAATGATAGAAACTTGGCTAATTCAACTTCCTCAGATCAATATGAAGATGCAAGCATGGAATTATATAATATAACACAACAGATTCTTCAATTCCTTGATTGAATTTAAAACAGTTCTGATTTGATTTTTCCATATTCTTGAAAAGTCATTGTATTTCCATTCCTTGTGAATGAGTATTTTATTTTCTTCTCTAATTCGGCTAGCTTTATGAAACGGTTCTGACTTTGTTAATAAAGTGATCAAGAACATTTATTGATGTTAGCTTTACGCATTAAGCATACCACTACAATATAGTACTGCTGGGATGGATTCGACCTTTTTTCTAAGTCGTTCTTTAGATAATAACCTCTCGTTTCTTCTGAATATTGACCTTTCGATTTGTACAAGATACCGGTATTGGAGCTCAAAATTAATCAGATTATAAATGGCTTCAAATTGCTACATATATTTTGTTGTAATTTTAGCTCAAAAGAAAATCTAAGATGATACAAAACCTCGATACCAAATGTAAACACATATATTAATATCTTTATAATTTTAAAACAAACTTTATAAATACATACTTCATTAGTTGTTTTACAGCTATTTTGTTTGCTGGTGTAGACAGGCAAGCATGATCAATTTCTTACGGAAAGTATCACGTAAAAAATACTATGCGAAATAACTAGAAATATCAAAATTTAGAGAGATGGCAAATACATTGACGTCTCGTTTATCTTATGAACTATGCAATTGTCTCTATTTTTGTTGGTTTTAGAGGCCTAATTGTGTCATCATAACTTCATTAACAGGTCATATGTATTTTGATAATGACAGCATCACCAATTGATAAGCAAGACAAAGCAAATGACAACACTTCTAAGGAAGAAATAACACCTACTCGTAAATCAAACTCTTCAACTTCAGTAGATCATGAAAACTTGATTATTGAGGAGGTTGAAGTTACCAAGTATTTATCTGATAAAACGGCTCCAAAACAACGTTCTAATTTAATTTTAGAAGAAGTAGAAGTAACTGACTATGTTGAATGAATTTAATAATATCGAAAAGTACTGAAGGCCGAAAAGTTGGAAAGTTAATATAATATAATATAATATAATACAAACAAGGTACTTAGTGCAGGCACTAGTTCATCGGAAGATAATTTATAGAACAAAGTATTAATATATTCAAAGCTCAGTACTGAGATTATTATTCTTAAAAAACATGATTATTTTAGTTTATTTTTTAGATAATTTATAGTTTTATCAAATTATATAATTTCTATCTTCTGTATTGTGACACAAACATGAAAAGTCTAGCTTTGTTCGTTTCTATCATGACACATAAATGATGGGCATAATTAAAGATGTAAAAAGAGCATGTACTGTTAGTGAGTAAACACTCTACATTTGACGGGTCAAAACGATAGCAGTCCTGCTTGGAATGTATACTTGGATGAAGTTCCTTCTGTTGTTCCATTCCAAGTCAGTGGTGAAAAATTCTTGAGCCTCATCAATTCTATTGTGGCCACCAAATTCTGCTCTATCAGTATTTAGTACAATTTTGTAAGTACCAGCAACATCGACACCAATTCTGTAGTCAGTGAAACTTTGAGTTGGATGGAAGTTGAAAACAAACAAATGGCCATTTCTTTCGAAGGCGATAACTTTGTCAACCTCGTGCTTCAAAGAGACATATGCTTGAGGAGTATTCAACCATTGGTGTTTGGATTCACAGTTTTGCATTGCAGCATCAAACTCGTTCAAATGCCTGTAACGCAATAAATCATCATCAACCAAGTTGAATTGTCTTCTTGCATAATGGTAACTGTCATTGTTACCAACTCTTGGGAAGTCTAACCATTCAGGATGGCCGAACTCGTTACCCTCGAAGTTTAGATAAGCCTCACCACCTAGAGAGTGGGTGATTAATCTAATCATTTTGTGTAGAGCAATACCACGGTCAATAACCAATGTTGGCTCCTTCAAAACGGTCATGTCGGTGTACATGGCAGCATCCATTAGCCAGAAGGCAAGAGTCTTGTCACCGACTAGAGCTTGATCGTGGGATTCACAGTAGGCAACAACCTTTTCACCATGACGTCTGTTAGTCAATGTGTGAACAATGTGACCCATATCCCAGTCATCATCTTGTTTGGTCTTTAGAAGCTTGATCCACATATCTGGGAGAGCCATAGCCAATCTGTAGTCAAAACCACCACCGCCTGCAGTTCTTGGTAGACACAGAGTTGGATAACCAGAAACATCTTCAGCAATAGTAACAGCGGATTCCGGTAGCAAGTCATGGACTAGGTCATTTGCCAACATCAAGTAAGCCAGGGCTTCATGGTCAACACCAGATCTGTCACGGGACAAATACTCGTTGTAGTCACCGCTGAAAGCACCACCAGCACCGACACCATGGTGTAAGTAAAGCATAGAGGTGACACCATCAAATCTGAAACCATCGAATTGGTAAACGTCAATGTAGTAAGCCAAGTTGGCAAGCAAGAATCTTTGCACTTCAAAGCTACCATAATTGAATAAACGGGAATCCCATAATGGATGCTCACCTCTACCAGAAGTCAAGGAATGGAAGTATTGGTGGTCAGAACCATCGAACATGTTCAAACCATCTTCACTATTCTTAGATGCGTGACTGTGAATGACATCTAGTAGAACCAAGATACCCATGCTATGGGCAGTATCGATTAACTCTTTCAAATCTTCTGGGGTACCATAACGAGAACTGATAGCAAAGAAGTTGGTAACTTGGTAACCAAACGAAGCATAGTAAGCGTGCTCCATAATAGCCATCAATTGGATAGCATCGTAACCTAGATGCTTAATTCTAGGTAGAACGTTTTGAGTGAATTCTTTGTAGGAGGCAACTTTTGGCTCTGGAGAAGAGATACCAATGTGAGCTTCATAAATTTTAATTGAGTCGTTAGCCAAATTGAACTTAGGTCTTTGGTGTTTAAACTGGTAAGAGTTAGGTGGGTTCCAGAATCTACCCTCATATGTTGGACCGTATTTCTGAGCGGTTTCTTTGCTTGGTTGAGTGGCTCTTGTAATCCATGCTGGAATTCTGTAAACTTTTGAGCCATCTGGCAAGACAAACATAACTTTGATCTTGGAATCATGAGGGATGGCAAAATCGCCGTTCTCCAAAGGTGCTAGAGTGATGCTAAATACACCAAATTCATCCTTATGCTTCATTTCATGAGACTCTTCGTTCCAGTTGTTGAACTCACCGACTAGGAAAGCACGTTGAGCATTTGGAGCCCATTCTCTGTAAACAATTTCTTTAGTTTGCTGGTTGGCGTGCAGACCATAGGTCTTATATGCGTTTCTTGCGAAATCAACCAAACTTTGCTCAGAGCCATCAGGTGTGGCGTGCTTGATGTCATATAGCCATTTATCAGCAAGGTACCTTCGCTCAGAAAGAACATCAGCAAATGGTTCTAACCATGGGTCAATGGAAACTGCTCCCTGGACATTTTCAGGAATCTTAGTCAAACTCATTGTATTATTCTAGTTTCTGGGTGGGAAGAATTATCTAGTTCGTAATTGTAATATCGAAATTATTCGATTGTGATTGTTTTTGATGATGGTATTATACAACTAGTTATATTCGAATAGAAAGTTTACCAACTGTAGTGCTTACAAGTGTTTTGTCAAAGTGAACAGCACAGAACAAAAGTCAAATTGTTACAAGGATAGCTATGTGGTCTGTTTAAATAGTCGAAAAGAACAGATACATACAAGTGTTGAATACTAGCAAGGGGCTAGGGGTATCGCAGCAGAGGGACGGTTCAACTAGTCAATTGCTAAAAACAAACAAGACTGATGCCAAAACTGACTAGACTTCACAGGTAAAAGATGAATGGGGCATCAAAAAGGGTAAGAAATTGAATCATTAGTCCAAAGGAGAGGGGCTAGTACGTGTGAAAGGGGTGGTGTCTGTAGCTTCCTGCAACTTAGTACAAACGAAGTCCCAATTTTTGTACTGGGATTAGTTTTGGGCTCTGATTTTGGTTGTTTGTCTTGTCTCTTCTGATTAGGAAATTAACAAGCTTGTCAAAAAAGGAAAACAATCGTAGGCTAAAAGGCTGGTAGTGGATCCTGTCGAGGGTTAGGGTGGGGGGGGGAGAAACAAGGATGATTAACTTACTGCCTACAATCTGTTGATTATTTTATGGAATGGAGGGGGGGCGAGAAGGGGGGTTAGGATTGCTACGTGGGGTGGAGCTCTCTCACTTGAGTGCTCAGAGGATGAAGAAGGAATAAAAGAAAAGCAATATTGTAGTTCTGACAGTACTTGACTGGTTGCTTATATCTTGCCTACACAATTAAAGCAACGAAGGGAGCTTGTAGGAAAAGGGTATGGGTAATGGTATCGTATCGTATGGTACCGTTTAGTAAAAAGATATTTACTACGGTTGAAAAGACCTTAGCTTTCAAAATGTAATAGTAACCTGGGATACGATCATATACCTCCTTTCGAGGTTTCCATTATGTACACCTTCCAACCTGGATTGGCTTGACCAAGATTTGGAAATTTCTTGAGAAAGAAGGGGCAAATGGTAAAAATCCAAGTTTGTTTTCCTTGTCTTTTGGCAGTTGAATTCTTGTTTGAAACTTGGCATTTGTGCAGTTTGACAAAAAAATGAAAGTGTAGCAAAGCAATGGATAAGAAGAATACTTGTAGACCTTGAAACTGACTGCAACCGTCGTTGTGTTTGCAGCGGATGGAAAAATAAAGGAGTATATCTGTAGTATCACATGCTAATAGTCGCACTTCTATGGTGTGCCCTTTATACCCCCACGAATTTTGAGGGCGTTTTAAAGTCTACGCTACATTCTATGCCCCACCTTCCCTTTTGGGAAAACTCTAAATTACGAACGTCTCGAGTATTTTGTAAATCAGAGACATGATTCCGCATATTATAGCAAGCACGCAACACTTGGTTGACTATGAAGGGGGGACGGGGAAGAATTCTCAGCTGGAATTATTGTCCCAGCAACTTTACGAATATCAGTTGCCCTGTTTATCTATGTATTTCTTTGGCAAATCTCACTGTCAGGTATTCCTGTTGGCAATAAGAGACTGGGAACAACGAAAACACAAAAAATTAATAGGTAGGTTACATGTATGTAACTGTAAAGATTCTAAATTATTCATTATCTAATAGGAATATGCATACTGTACATGCTATTATTTAAAAGCACTCTCTCAAAATGGCAAGATGATTTGAGATTATGACTCAAACCACTAACTACCTTCGAAAATAGCACGTACAGGGCCCAGATATCAATAGTTCTAATCAAAGATATATGCTGGAGTAAACCTGCAAAAAAGTGTCAGGGTAGAAAGTATGGTGTCATAGAAAAAAAGAAAGGGAGAAGTAAAATCATGATGAAGTTTATGTGAAACTAATGCTTTTCAGACGAAGATAGTCATAACATGTTACTAATCCTCATCGCTTAACTCTATATCGCTGATGTCACTGAGCTCTTCGCTTGGGTCTGCATTATCATCGCTTATATCTTCCAAATCACTGACCGGTTCATCTATATCATCATCTCCATCCTCATCTTTCATTTCTGCATCATCACCGTCATCTTCATCATCCTCAGGTGTTCCAAACTGACTCTCATATCTCTCCTTTGTGGCATACTTATCTATGTATTCCCGCACTTTCTCCTCGTATACTTTTTTATCCTTCAGTTGTAAGTTAGCTGCCTCATTGTTCAATGGATCGCTCCCATTAGGTTCCTTCAGCAGTCCTGGCAACATCCACTCTACAATGTTCAGTAGATCATATAGTGGTGACCATGTAGAGTTGATGACATCTAAACAGATAGACCCTGACGCAATATCTATATTAGGATGGAATATCTTGTTTACAAACCCAATACTTGGCGATTTATAAGGGTAGTTGTCTGGCAGCTCTACGTGCAATCTCCAAACACCTCCTTCATATGGTGTGTCCTTAGGACCATAAAACTTAACATGGAACTCCTGCATGCTATCCTCCACCAGCTCAACCTCATGATCACTCATGAGAAGCTTCATCACATCCGTCTCTATACGTCTCTTTGAATTCCCACTCATATCTCTAGATTTGCTAGTTTCTTGAAACTTGTTATGCTTGCCTCTTCCAGGGTCACTATTGTCTTGGTATTCTTCGTCACTTGTGAAATTACCTAACTTGCACACGGTATTATTCTTTCTAAGCTCGAATTAATGGATTACAACTGACTTAAATCCTTGTCGAGTTCGTTAACATGATCCAGAACGAACAGAACCCGGAGCGTCTGAGCCCTTTCCCTTTTATATACTCATTGCTCCTACCTTGATGATCCGTAACTTCGGGCTTCCCTATCCAGAGCGATTTTTTTGGGCAAAAAGACCCTCAAAGTGGACTTTCCGGGGTGAGGAACACTTGTCCAGAGGTTTGACTGCCCCTCTTTTTTCATTATTGCTAATGGGCTAAAGGAGTCATAGTGCGGTGATAACTCACATGATTAAGAACTCTTTTAATTTGATAGTGGTGCATGTTTGCTATAATGGCTTTATTGAAGTACTCAAAAAGACATTCTGCAATGTATTTGTATGCGCTTGCTAATTTTTATATTATAGTCATATGTGAAAGTGCTGCTCTTTTTGTTACCTCCCTTTCATTTTGTTGTTGCAATTATGTTAAACTTGGAAATTATTGATGTCTCTTTGCTAAATAAAATAATTTAATAGTCTGTTAGCAGAAGATTTTGTTCAGAATGTTCAGTTATAGCTAAAATATTTTGTTTTATGATTTCCGGACTGTAGCTGTCTCCAACAAGATATGGCAACGGTTTCAAGAAATTTATCCTTTCTAGTGTCTCTTTCTTTGAACACTGTCTCTGCGTGTGTGTAGTGCACCCCTGAGGCTTGTATACGTTTTTCTTTTGGAGTCTAAGCTTTCTTATTTGTTTCCTCATATGTTTGAAAGACTTCCAGAAACTTTTCGTCTTCTTATGCACAGTTACGGTATCAACAACAACCTGGTCGTCTCTTTTATGCCTCCAAATATCATTGCCAGTTAACAGATTGGTAATTTCACGGCTTGAGTTCTCTGGTTGTTCTTGGTTCTGTGATCCAGCTGTCAATAGTGTCGTATTTTGTCTTTGCATTGCCGCCATCTCTTTCTGTTTCAGCTTCTTCTGTTTCAATTTTCTGGAGTAGTTTATTGTCTCACTATATGCATTGCTTTTAAAGAATTGGTTAATTGCGTTTTTTCTACTGGGGTTTCGGTGTTTGCAATTGCCAATGAACCATCTTTGTGCAAATTTAGACTCAACCGATGAGAAGGAAAACTCCTTCCCGGCGTCAGAGATATCGATGCCCGTACTTGAAACGAAGAACATTTGACCATTTTTAAACAAATAAATAATAGTAATTTATTGGTTTGAGAAAATCCAGATAATACGAGCTACCAGACAAGGCAGCAATCATTGAAATATTTTCTGTTGCTACAGTATTGATTTCATTATCTTCCCACATACAAAACATGAAAACCACAAAACAAATTCAAAATTGGGTCCAAATTACTGGCCTTCAAGAACTGCATACCAGTATTATTTTGTGTGAGTGTGTGCGTGTGTAGCTCTAGTTATTACTAAATTTTTGTTGTTAGGAACCCGCTCCACAAAAAATCCGATCTTGTAGAACCAGTCCATTAAACGGTCTGCTAGTCTAACCGCCCATAGAGGAGAGAAATGGCAACAGTGCTAAAGTACATCTGCAGTTTACTAGTGCGCCTAGCGGTATAGGCCACCGAAGCGGTACCACCAAGGTATAATGGGCCACTAATAAAGTCTTCACGGGTGATTCTGGGATCTCAATATATGGGTTACTAGTTTCCCACGAACACCAACAACAATTAGTAAGACTCCGTGGCCAAGCTGGTTAAGGCGTGCGACTGTTAATCGCGAGATCGTGAGTTCAATCCTCACCGGGGTCGGTATCTTTTTTTTTTAAAATCTCTGTTATATAGATAGACTCTGTCCCACTCCCCTGAACTCCCGAGCTCCCGAACTCCTGAACTCCCGAGCTTCATTCCTGGCAATAAATCCAAATCCAAATTTAATACTTGTGGCTGTTGGTATGGTATTGCCTGATTAGTTAAAGTGTAATACATTTATTTGTGTTATTTACATTACTAAATAGTACAAACACATAGAATACTCGCACAGGTCGGTTTAGTGGCTACTGTATAAATCATCAAAAACCAAAATCCTGAGGGGGCAACGTTGCCATGTTAAATTCGTCTGTAGTAAAAGTATATTTCATTGGTATTCATTAAGATTCATAATTGCTAGATAGTATAAAAAAAGGGGATAAGGTGTAGAAAGAGAGATGGGATGTAAAAGAATAAACACAATGGGTTAAAGGTAAAAGAGATATAAGCATGACAAAAGGAATATTATTATTACTATTATTATAATTAAATATCGGTTGCTCTGTTTCAATTGTAGATCAATAGGAAAAAGGTGGCAACACGGATAGAGGAGACATGATTTTTTGAAAAGATAAGGAGGAAATAAGAGGTATGCAATTACACTTGATATACGCACCAAAGGCGTTCTTAGTCTAGTGCGGGCTTTCTGTATCGCATTTCATCAAGAAGGAGCGGTAACAGATAAGGAGTCTCCATTTTAAACTTTAGTAAGACTAAAAGTTTATTTGATATAGTAGTATTCTGTTTTGATATTTCTTCTTTTCTTTTGATACTGGTCGGGTTGGGGAGTAATAAAGAAAAAAAAAAAAAGAGATAAAAATAACAGGAACGTATTATTATTAGAGGGTGGATAAAAAATTAATAATTACGTCATGACTAGCACGACATTTGTTATTATTATTGTTAGTGTTTTGTTTTATGGTTTAAATTGAAATTAAAACCGTAAGATTTGAAATTGCAGAAGTTCAAAAAAATTAGTATAGGGTCTTTTCGTTTGTTGGCAATGGGAATGGGTGAGCAACAATGTAAGAGTTTTGTCTGCTGGCGACACCTGCGTAAGCGTTGTACCAAGCAATGAAAGCGACGACGACACCGACGACACCACCAGCTCTCTTACAGCCAACTTTGCCTGAGAATTCACCAATAGACAATAATAGCAAGACCAGAGCCAGTAGGAAGAATAGTGCAAAGAAAGCAACGGTAGACTTCAATGTACACAAAGTCAAACCGTAAGTGAAAATGGTCCAGCCCAGTAGGTAGAAACCTAGGGCGTTACCCAAGTCACTTTCTTTATCTTTGTAGGCTTCTAGGATACCGAACCATGGAATGTAAATAGCACCGAAACTCAACCAGAAACCACCGTAGGAGCACAGAGCAGTGGCACCAAAAGTGTTTTCCAAAGCGATTTCCCAAATACCGGCGATCAATTGGACAAGACCACCGTAGAACATAGCCAAACCGACAACAACGTTAGGAACCACAATACCTTGAGCCTTGGCGTTGAACATAGATAGCACAAAAGTGGTTAGAGCGAAAGCAGACAGACCCAATGGGGCTGGGTTAGCAAACTTGTGGCTTGAAGGTGGAGCAAGACCTGGGTTCAAAGTACCACCGAAAGCCTCGTACAGGTCAGTCTTCAAGAACTTCTGTCTACCAATGTAGATGTACTCGTTGTTGGCACCAGATGTGTAGATCTTGCCAATTTCGTGGTCTCCACCAGCCATGTTTTCGACATCAGAGTCGTAGTTCTTGTTTTGATACTCTTGGTGATCGCCAGCTAGTTGGGCGCTTCCTTGATCTTTGTCAGACATCTGAAATTTGTGTAGGAACTTAATTTTGAAACAATTTAATTATGTGCAGTGTACGTTCAATAAAAAAAAAAAGGTAACTTTTTTTTTTTATATCTAGTAAAGTGTTCTTATTTTTTTTTAACAGTTGTTCTAAGAATAACTTTCTTATAGTTTTTGTATTTTTTGTAGTATAATAATTTTAAGAAGAGATTAGAACAAGGATTTGAAAATTGAGTACAAGTACCCCTTTATATACTTTTTTTTTCTCCCCCCGTACAGCTTGGAAAGGTCCAAAAGCTCCGAGGTTGAAAGCGGCTCTGTTGTACTAGAGTTTCAAAACAGAACCTCGGGGTTGCACAAAGCACTAAACACAAAGCACAAAAAGGCCAAAGTACAATATACTCCAACATGGTTTTTTGGTTTTATGGTTTTTGGTTTTTTGTTAGTAAGAAACACCCGCGGGGGCGGAAGGTAAAACTTAAATTAGAAAAGACGCTTATTTTTTATTGGGGGGGGGGAGATACGCAGTGTTCTGTGTTGTTGATATTCGAAAGACAGCGGGAACAACAAAGGACATCTCCGAGAAAGGTAATTGGGATGTTCCAACTCTTGAGGGCAAGTTGCCGGTTTTTCTCCCAAATGCAAATGCGGAGTACCTCGAAGTCGAAATGTAATAGAAGTCCTGAGTCCTGAGTCCTGAGTCCTGAGGTCCTGTACGGTACGGTCCTGTACGGTACGGTACGGCTGTTTCAGTTCTGTTTCTCTTTGGGAATGATGTAAAGCAATGAAACCCGAGCCAGAGAACGTTGAAGAACGAGATGTGAGAAATTCAACAACCGAGTTCAGGATACCAGAAAAGAGGGGGGGATGGACAAACTATATGTGTGTGTTTTACACGTCTGTTTGTGTGTGGTCACATCCCTTGGCTCTACGTGTGCGATGTCTCTGAGGTACCCGCCCACCTTATACTCTTTTATGGTATCTGTACTAGCTTTTGTGTTGTGAGGTTCCTTTCCCCTAATTCACAGCACTTCTTCATGTTTTGTTACCTTGTGCGCATGGACCTGTGTGACCAAAAGAAATTAGCACAAAGTGGAGTATATCTCTTTGGTCATCAAAGGTCATTTCTTTCCCCCCCCCCCTTCTCCTTCCCTCAAAGATATCCCCTTTCCAATAGTGCTTTTCCTCCATTTCTCTGTGAGTGTGACCACTTTCCCCTCATCTCTTCCTAATTTCATTTCCTATTTGGGATCTCTCATTGTGATGGACAGGATTTGCCTTACTTTTAGTCTCTCTTTTTTTGTTTACCATTTTCCTACCAAGCGGATCCATCATGACAACAAAACAACAAACAAAGATGCTCTTCGGTGTGTTGGAAGGGAACTGAACCAGAACCCCTAAGCGTTGTACCACTGGTGGCTTTTCTTTTGGGAATCCAAAGTAAAGAGACAAAAAAGCGATGATCCTTGCCTTTGTTCTTCCTCCCCTCGGTTCTGAGGTTTGTTTTGTGAGGCTTTTACCATTACCCCGGATTTTCGTACTTTCCCCTTCCCCTTCTTTGTCTCGCACTACGTACATCTACTCTTCCTCATCTCCGGACAGCCGGGAGGAGGGGAGTTGGAGACGGTTAGAGTTATGAGATCTGTCGTTGAATTTTACATTCGCTTCCCTGAGGTGAAAGAAAAAAAGTGCTTGTCATTGTACGTGTATTTTACAGGTGGTTGTACGTATATTTTACAGATCTGGTATACACTTGTTAAGGGTCCTCAAAAAATATATATGAGGAGCAAAAGATTACAGAGAGATCTCGCACAAATGAGTTGAAGATACGCGGTGTTCTGGGGCATTCGTGAACAGAGTCCATATTTCCACATAGGTCACGACTTTTACCCCAACTTCCCTTTTCCTCTTCACCGAGATTTCGATCTTTATTTAGGCCCAAGAATAAGCATCTCCGTAGGGAAGAAATAACTGACATCAACAATGTCAGCAGTGTCAGCAGTATCAACAATGTCAACAATGTCAACAATGTCAACAATGTTAATGCTCTGCTCTAACCGCCCAGTCCCACATCACAGAGTGAGAACCGGTTCCAATTGAGAGGCAACACTTTCTCTTGCATTACTCCAACGGAGCAAGATCTTCAAGGCTTGTCCCCTCTATAAGGATCTCGGAGTGGTTTGCTGTCCCCCTCCCCATCCAAATGGTTGTTCTATGCATCGGAACCCATATACGAGGACAAGAACCACGCAATGACAGGGCTTGCACAACTGGAGATTAATTCCACGGGGAACCACGGGAATCCACGGGAATCCACAGGACAACTCTTCATATTCAAAACTATTTTGAGAAGTTACTCATCTCTCTTTCCCTTACGTCAACGAACACCGACTCCACTTTTCTTGTGTAAGCACATTTCCTCTTGTTAATCTTGGTTCGTGTGCGTAATCTGTAATGCTAGCGAAGATCGGCGGGGGAGAGGGAGATTGTATGAGGACTGCGAGAGCGATGCACACGTCATTGCGATTTATCGGAGTTTTCTTCCATAGTTCTCGTTTCTTATCAAATGATAGATGGCACTTTCACAATACCCATTCATCAAAGTATACCGCTTCTTTGTCCATTGATGATGGTGCCATCACGGTGTGGAAGTCGAAGATGGAGTACTCCGACTCCGCATACATGTCCGTGGCGTCATCCGCTTGCGAAACGCTGGCAACCTGGTTCATCTGCATCACGCTGGACAGTGTCACACGGTAGTGGTCGTGCAATACCCGCTCAAGCTTGTCGTCGTACACTAGAACCTCGCACAGCGAACGTATGTCCCCCAGATTCAGCTGCACGTTGGCAACCTGCGCCTGTTCTATGAACTGCAGGATGTCCTCCAGGCTGCAGTAGTTCTTGATGCCCGGGGCGTACAGTGCGCCTTGGCTACCGTTCTGGAAGTTGGAGAACCCGCCGGGGTACGTGCACTCAGACACGAATCTCCACACAATCGTCAGCAGACTGTTGATGAACTCCACATCCAGTTCGCTGTCGGTAAACCACGGACCACCGGTGACCTCAATGGACGGCTGCAAGTGGTACAGCATGTATATCTTACGGGTGGGGTGCTTGACACTCTTCACACTCTTCACGTACCGCTGCGACTCTAGGGACTTCAGACACTTCAGCACGACGTGCTGGTGCAGGTTCGTGCGCGCCTTGATGGTCTTGCTCCATATACCTTCACGGCCGCTGCTCTCGATGTAGGAGTACACGAGCGCTTCCTCCGCAGACATGGTCGACTTCTTCTGCGCTTCGAAGAAGTCCACCGCTTGGAACTTCAGCTCGTTGTTCTGCTTGACAAGCTTCAGCAGGTTCTTGTCTAGAAGCTCCTGCACAATAGACATCAGATCGCTCAGAGACGCTAGTCCACTGCGCTCACTCAGCTCTTGCTGGGTGAACAATGCACCCGAACCTTTAGTGATCATCACATTGTGCAGTTCCTTGGCTCGATCAGATAGCTGGATCGTGGCGTTATTGATATCACTCATCGTCCGTTGTTCAATATATCCTCACTAAAATGTGTGCTTGCTTGTAGAGAAAAAAAACAAGCCAACTCAACGCGATCACAATGCGATGCTATATATCTTGTCTATGCTCTAATATATGGAGCTCATCGCACTAGCCGTGATAAAAAAAAAATATGCAATCTGAAAAAATCTGAAAAAATAACAAACTGAGATGCTCTACGGATCATTACTATGTACGGCATTCAAAGAAAATTTTAACAAAAAAAAAAATAGCGCCGCCTAGTTTCGATCTAGGGACATCAGGGTTATGAGCCCTGCGCGCTTCCACTGCGCCACGGCGCTTACCGTTTTGATATTATTCAACTGTGTTGTAGTTAACCATATTGAGAAGGATTTTCACGTGAAGATTGTACGTGAAAAGGTATTACAATTGACACCCCCCCTCTAGACGGCCGGTCAGACAGTACCAAGGATATACTTCCAGACAGAATAAGTATCGTTTTAATTATTGCTTGTTTAATTGTTTATTTTTCTAAAATACATATCGATGTTGGTTGGTTAGATATTTATGTTATGTACTAGATAGGGCAGATGAAAATCTTTCAGTTATCATTCTAGTCTAACCATGGACCTTTTTTTTTTAACTCTTTATGATAAGCCTGGTTTGTTGCGCTGCTGGTTTTTTCCTTCCATTTTTTTTAAATAACACTGTTAACAAGGTCCGCACATAGAGTGGCATCTTCTGCTTTACCTTGGACCTTCAATGCAACACCCTTGGAACTCTTGATGAATTTGACTAACATACCGATCTTGGAGCCAGTTAGTGCACTCTTACCGAATAGCTTCAATGTATGAGAGTTGGAGTCACCACCAACATACTGTGTGCTACCAAGTGGAAGACAGCTGGTGTTTTGGATGACTTTATCTACTACTTCTTGTATGCTGATATCTTCTTGGATGTTATACACAGCGATTTCTTCGTGTGGAAGCTCGTCAAACGCAGAGGTGAAGTTACCAACAAACGAACTCTTGACATAGTCACCACCACTTAGTGTGATTGGATCGATCTCGTACTCATCTTCGAAACCTTCATCACCCTCAAATGGCTCATTGGTGTCTGGGTTAACTTCTCTAGTCGTGAAGTTAATGCTGTTCATGAAAGTCTCTGTGACAATAGCCTCTGGCTTCTTGAAGGCGACATAACAGGATGATTCCGCACTAGGTAGTAGTCTATCAATTGGAATGGTGAATTGTTCTTCCAGGGTAACATCACCAGATTCTTCTGGAACACAGGAAACAGAAACATTATCCAAGATAACATCGGTCAAAGTGTTCCTGATGTTGAATTGAATGACAACATGGTCGGCAAAGAGATGCTTGATACCAGTGACAACAAACTCGGCTTCTGGTTCTGTTAGTGGTACAGCCTTAGTGGTATTCACTATAGATCCGAAAGCGTTTATCTCTGGGATAGCAGCCATCTCCTCGGCATACTTGGCAGCCAATAGGTCATCCTTACCATCATCGTATTCAGCTTCAGCATTGAAGTTCTCTCCAGCACTGTTGGATGTAGATTCTGTCTTGCTTGAATCTCTAGTCTTGTCACCTTTGTTTTCGAAGATCTTCTCTTGCTTCTTCTTCAATTCCATCGCCTTTAATTCATCTTCAGCATACTTTGGAATACTCTGAGAGTCAAATGGAGTTTGGAAGGAGTCGGTGTTGGAAGATAGGTAAGCAGAAAGCTTAGACTCCAAAGAGGATAGGTCATAAGCGGAACTAGATTGGATAAGATCGTTGGCAACTTTATCATTCTTCTCCTTTGCTGCTTCTATAAACTTCAAAGCAATGGATGCTCTGTCTCTAACTTCGTCATCCTTGTCATGAACAATTCTCTTCAAAAGACTGATAATGGATTCACAAAGAGTAGAATCATTCTTTGTTAGCGCGAACTTTGATAAAGCTACTACAGCGGCAGATCTAATAATGGAGTTTTCTAGAACAACTCTGTTGTAAATGTGTCTAACGTATAGAGATGGGTTGGTGGTACTTGGACCTTCTTTACCCAATAGATGCAGAATTCTGACTAATATTTCGTTATATTCACAGTCTTCAATAAAGTCACACAGATTCTCTAGTGCAAGTTCCTTTGATTGAGGAACGAAGCTTACAATATCAATCAAAGCTTCCACGATACTGTTCTTATACTTGAAACCACCTTCACTATTCTTTAGTACATCAATCAAGAAAGTGACAATGGACTTCCATTCTTGTGGGAAATTCAAAGATAGTGTACGCACGGCATCAACGATAATGATCTTGAAGTCGTCGGAAACATCATGAATAAACCTTGTAATGGTGTGAATCAAAGATGAAATATTCTTAGCTGTACCTGTCTTTAGCAAAGTAGTGATAGCATAAGTAGAGATGTTTCTGTTGGAGTCGTTTACTAGAGATTCTAGCTCTGGGTTACAGATGGCAATCTTTTCTGGAGAAATCATAGAAATTCTGTTTAGGATACGCAAAGTTGCAAATCTTGTAGAAACACGAGGTACACTTAGCAAGGATTGCAAGGCAGAGATAGCGGCAGCATAAAGTTCTGGAGAAACCAATCTTGGGTTGTGAATGGCAAAAGAAGTGATCATCTTAGCAGTTTCTAATTGCACAGATTCAAACTTGTTTGACAGCCAGTTGTTCAACAATGGCTTAAATTGCGTGAATAATTGTGGGTCCTTTTGAATCAATTCGCTGACTATTCTCACCAATTCAACCTTCGCAAGTTGGTTCTTCAAAACATTGCCTTCAGAGAATTGTCTAACCAACTTCAACAAAGCCATTTTGTCATTTTTCTTTAATTGGTATAATAGACCCAGAGCATGGTATTGTGTGATGTAAGTGGAGTTTGGGTAATACTCGCCATTCATGCTTGAGCTTGGGAACTGTTTCAAATCAACAACGGCTTCTTGTGTTTCATTGGTGAATCTCTTGACGGTAACTTCAGAGATTGGCAATAGATGGTAAGAAGTACACAAGGCAGCAGAAGAGATCGATGGATGTTTGCTAACCAAAGCACTTTTCAGTAATCTTTCGGCGGAGAAAGCGGTAGACTCATCTAAGACATTTGTTAATGATCTGATGGCATTTGGCTTAACCAGGTCAGAACCGTTTTGCACATCTTTCATAATGGAAGAAGTAGCCATTAAGACATCCTCTGAAATACCACTGAACTCTTTGATGGCCAAGTAAACCAGTTGTCTCAAGGAATCGTTAGGGTATTGAAACAACTTCGAGATCGAGAAGAATAAGGCGGTAGCTTCGTTCCTTGGGAAAGTTTCACCTTGTGCCAACAGTCTCAAAAGACGAGAAATAAGCAATCTACATCTCTTTGGGTTGACAGGAGTCTCATTGAATGTGTTCATACAATCCTGATAGATAGTCATCTTATCAGGAAGATCGGAGGAGCCCGCCTGCTCGAACTTCTTATATGTTGACGTGGACATCTTTTTTCTTTGATTCGAAATTCTTCTATTCTCAGTTGTAAATTAAGAGTATCTAGTCCTTTTTTATCTTTAGAAAGAAACAACTAGGATACCAGGAAATGGATTAGCTGTTATATCCTTCTTCTCCTGTATTGATTCCTCAAATAATCCAGATGTTGTTACGCGCGTGAGTTCTGTACTATCGTATCTTAACAACAGTATCGAGGAGGCACACAGCAAAAGAACGATTCCCACTTCCAAACAACGAGATCTTGGGGATTGGTCACTTCTTCACCTTGTCATGACTTTCCCATGGGATAGAAACCCGCTGTGTATTATATCAATTGAGTTCAGGAAGGAATCCTTTCCAAACTTCCCTGAGTTTCGCTCTCGGTTTCGCAACTTTCTTTCGAAGGGACCAGTAGTGAAAAGTGATGGGGCCCTTTCGTAGCTTTGTATGTTACGTATGAAGGTATGAATATAACTGTCCTCCACTTAAGTTACTGAATAGGATAAAAGTATTGTAAATATTCGAATTATGTTACAGATTATCTATGATATATATGTTCTTGTGCGTATGTGGGGAAGTATTAGGTCTGTGATGTAGTAATTTGGGTGGAACTCAAGTGCCTGATAATAAAAATGCTTTTTGGTCATGAAAAATAATTGAAATGCTAAAGTGGTGTATGGGGGAGAAGTGGGAGGGGAAAGCTGGAAAGAAATGAAAAGTATTAAAGTAGTTTTGAATAAAATAATAATAATAGTAATAACACGGATCTTTTTTTTTGTGTCGAAAAGAATTGCCTTTTATTCCTTTCTTAGTTTTCTTCGTTTAATGTCAATAGTAATTGAGCCAGACATCTCTTGGTGGCGACATCATCCATCAGAACTTCTGTGAAGGTGTTGTCTCTTAGCTTGTTTGGGAGTACTACTTTCAGTACACGTCTAGCCTCAAGATCGTCGCTCAACCTCAGATAGCATCTTATTATATGTTTCAGCAGCCTGCCGGGAGGTGTGTGGACAGTCAAATGTTCTACCATGTCCTTTAGTACATTAGTGACCGCATAGAATCTCTCTAATGTGGCACAGATGTATTGTAGCCCAACGTCATCCAGCAAGATCTTCTGTAGAATGAAGATAGCCACGGTCTTTGAGAGCTCGGACGAGGATTCCATGATTCTGAGACACAGTGGCACTATGTCGGTTCTCAACAGGAACCCGATAACATCCTTGGAGTCGTTCTTCACAAGAGCACCAATGACACCGAGGGATGTCAGTCTCAAGTACTCAAAGGTTCTCTGTCTCGAAGTTGTGTTTAGGAATGGGAACAGAAACATTGGGAAATGTGCTTGTAAGAATAGATGTTTGGTTTCTGAGTGGGAAGCCACACATTGCAATAGTACCAGCGCGTTGCAGACCCTGTTAGATAACTGGCTGGTAAGGAGTTGTGGTTGAAGCATTGGGTACACGGATATTATTTCGTTCAGCAGTGAGGTCATGACGCCAAAGGAGGACCATAGCACAATCGCCAGGTCGTCGAACTGCTCACGCTTCCTCCCGAGCTCCAGCAACGCTTGCTCCTTCTGTGGACCGTACGTCAACTCGCATATCCAATGGTAAACGTTGGGGTCGTCTAGTGCATGTTGCGCCGTACCTGCAGGAGCATTACCACTCGAAGCGTTATTATTGGCAGAAGCGGCATTAGCATTCGAGCTACCAGCATTACCACCCGCACTCGCGTTTGGATTCTGATTGCCAGCATTGCCAGCATTGCCAGCATTGCCACCGGCACCCATAGGCGGAACACCCATCGGCATATTGCCCATCCCCATCATGTTCGGATTCAACCCAGGAGGAGGTATCACCCCGTCATCCAGAGAAAGAGCACCCACCGTATGCACACCAACATTCATTGTTTTTATCACTTGCTTATAGTTATTTTCTCAGTGTAATCCCTATTGGGTTGGCCCTGAGTCTTGAAGCAACTTAGCTGTTGTGCTTCTGTTATTATTTCTTTTCTTCTATGCGGGAAGAAGTGGACTTGTGCGATTTTTGGCTCTTCGCTTCGTCCTGAGTGTGGGTTTGGGCCATATTACCCGGCTTTTTACACACTATAAAGTAATGCGCAGCTATATGGGCCTTGGGGCATGTATAGAGAGTAGTGTAGTTCTCAGGACATGGAATACTCTACTCTGTACAAGTTCCTCGATCTGCAAGAACTACGGTGTGAAGTTGTATTGTACTTGTTCTACTGTTTTGACTTTTACAAAACGGATTATTCCTATTTGGTAGATGTATCAGAAATTTGGGTATAGTTAGATATACTTCAACGGTTACCGAGTACTGGTATCCTTTCAGACTGGTGCACAGCTATTTTGTCGTCATATCAATCTACCATGTTTTTGGAAAAAGAAATCCATTCTATATTCTCCAACGCCTCCGCCATTCCATAAGAATGATGTTGTCACAATTTGTGTCCACACAAATTGTAAATAACATCTCACCTATGCAACATCAACGGGACCAAGTGAGATACGGTTATCTCCTTTTGGAGTAGATGCGTTGGGGATACTCTCTTTCTTGTATCTGTTACTAGAAGGAAGGAAATATCCGTTGAGACAAACGATTCTTGCGTCGCTTTTTATACTTTTTTTTTTTCGTTCTGGCAACCTTCGATGGGTTGCGCACACGTACAAGGTGCCTGTTAGGGTTTCTTCCAGCTATAACTGCATTAATGATATCTATGGATACTATTTTGTCTATATTCTGTACTTGTGCTATACTAGTTCTAGCTCGAAGCTGCTCTTGATGGCTCCTATCACTGCGCTTGATTGTATCTTGTCGTTGCCTCCCTTTGAGATGGCGTACTCGATGTCGCCGAGCTGTGAGAGGAGACTGATGCGGGTTTCCTCTTTCTTCAACTTGTACTCCTCGAGTATCTTGACGATGGACTCGATCAGGTCTATGAGGGCCAGCCCGTTGCTGCTGCGGATCCTCGTGAGTGTGTCGTACGCGGTAGACCAGTCGTCCTCCAGTATGGACTTGAGTATCGTTTGTATGTCCTGGGGTCTTGGCGCACCACAGCACTCGTAGATGACTTCGTCCGTTATCTCGTCCTCCGGTGACTCCAGCGTGGCTTTGCTTGCCTGGAGCACATTCAACACACGTCTCATGTCACCGTTGGATAACTCCAGAAGGGCCTCTTTGGCCGCTGGCGATATCCGCAAGTGCTCATGGACCAGCACATTGGCCATACGCTTCTCTACCGCGTCGTTAGGCAACGGCTGGAACCGAAACCTCGTACATCTACTCAGCAACGCTGGGGTAATCTTGTGGCTGTAGTTGGCCAGGATGCAGAACCTGGTGTTCTTGGTATACTTCTCAATGATCCTTCTCAGCGCGTTCTGCGCCGCATTCGTCATCGCATCGGCCTCATCCAGTATGATCAGCTTGAAACCCTTGGAGAATATCTGCCTCGTGGATGCGAAATCCTTGATCTGGTTACGGACCACGTCTATACCTCTGTCGTCTGACGCATTCAGCTCGAGAACCATGTTGGAGTAGTTCTTACCATAGATGTCCTTGGCTAACGCAACAATGGTACTCGTCTTACCAGTACCGGGAGGACCATAGAACAGCAGATGTGGCAGCTTGCCCTCTTGAACAAACTTCTTCACCGTGCCAACCACTTCCCTTTGCCCATAGACATCGTCCAGCGTCTGCGGTCTGTACTTTTCAACCCATGGCAGGTTGTCTCTGTCTTCCGTCATCATCAATTTCCCCGCAACGTAACTATCCCAGTCCAGTGGCTTGTCTGTCCCCCAGTAATACAATCGAACATCACTGCTGTTCTTATATGTGAATCAAGTTCCTCTTAAATTTTGGTGTTCTTGGTGCGTAAAATTGAAAAATCCTGAAAAATCGATGAGCTGAGCTGTTGGTGATAAAAGCCATATGCGAATCAAGTACAGCTGGGAAGTGACTGCACTGACATCTCCCTAATTGGCATTCAGATACATTATCAGGGATAAGATGCTGCTGTGGGTATTGTTCTTGTACTTGCTGGCGTCCGGGTCGGCGTTTCGCTTCGGAGGCAATGACAGCTGGTGGAATAGGAGAGACTTAGCTGCCGGTGGTTCAGAAGTGGCTGTGGATATGCAGCTACTGGATATTGTGAACAAGGCCGATGGCGGTAGTACAAGCACTTCATCTGATGTTGGTGCTAGTAGTAGTGCTCAAAGCAATGCTGATGATACCAATGGTGATGGCGACGACGATGATGGTGACGACGACGATGATGATGATGGAGAAGATGAACCACAGATAATAAACTCGAACTTGATCTATGAATGGACACCGATAATATCGAAGATGACACCAGGTAAGGTCGATAACTACATGTTTAATATCAACCCGGAGTCAACCGGGCTTGGTTTTGCTCCAAGTTATGAAATTCTTATCTTTCTAAGCGGAAACATATGTCAGCAGCCGACTAACAGCACTGACTTACAAATAAGGGTATATTATTCGTTTGATGAGAAGATGCTGAGCAACATCTCTCTTGGAAATTTTGAGACATTCTCTAATGGTTATCTAGAGGCGTTACAGATAAGTCCCGTCAATCATACATCTAACGGTACCACGTTAAATAGCAAGAATCTATACGTCTCTGTCCGGCTGTGGGATTTAATTAATGATAAGGAAGTGGACAAGGATGATCCTAATATAAAGAACTTGACTAGTACTGAATGGGATTATAGGTTAAGTATCTCAGAAAATGACTTGGTGTTTCAATGGGATACTCGTTCCTGGATTGATGTCTTGGATACCGATAGTACTTCGGCTCTTATTAGTACCGGTAATGTCACTGATGATGGTCAAATATACTCTAATTATACAATTTACGACCCTACATTGTATGACTTATATCTTTACACATATGATGAGTATCAAAAATTTCTCAATGTTTCTGAACTATCTTTATGCGCAATTAAAAATGGTCCTCACTTAGTGTCATCTGAAGGTGCATCTGCGACAAATCCTCCTCTGGAGATGTTACAAGAAACTGGGCTTAAAATTCAAAAGAGAATTGCGGAATCCAGTTCTGGTATTGCAGAACAATTCTACATCACAGGATTAACACCAAATACAACTTATGCCGCTTTCTTAACAAAAAAAATTGGTAAAGGCCAAAGTTTATCTAATGTTGGTGGTGTGTTGTTTGATGCTGAAATTTTTACTACGCAGACTTCTGATGCTTGCTCTCTGATTTTTGGGATGTCCTTCTGCTCTGATAACGCCTATTCTGTACCGTCCTCCGAGTTCACAAATGGTAACAAAAGTGACTTGGCGATAGAATACGACAATATTGCTTCAGCTTTATACTCTAATTTTAGTAAAGCTTTACAACTTGTACCTTGTGACGCCGATCTAGATGCAAGATATTCGCCAATAAGAACATGTGACGATTGTGCCACATCTTACAGAGATTGGATCTGTGCAGTTTCCATTCCAAGGTGTAGTACTACTGAATCATCTTCATATATTTACAGAAGTAAGACGGATAACCGCAACAGCTATGTGAATAAATTTATTAAACCAACTGAAGACTACTATGAGGTATTACCTTGTATTGATATGTGCTATGCTATTGTAAGGGACTGCCCCAGCGTTTTCAATTTCAAGTGTCCTGATCAAGAGTCCGAACCAGAGTTACTCTTCCAAAGTTACAATATTTTTAAACAGTCATCACCATTTATCACCTGCAATTTCATTGGTAATGCATCTTACCTTAAGATACACAAATAGTTTTCTCTTATGCAGGCCATGAGTATGCTTTTCTTATATAATTTAAAATATTTAATATAAATTTCAATATATTCATAATGACTCCTCGTGTTTTCTCTTCAAATCATTATGCTCTGTTTCTTCAACAACAGGTTGTGCTGTGGAACCTGTTGCTCCAGCTAAGTCTTCAGTTTCTTTCACCTTCAAATCTTTAATTTGCTGCTGATAAAGTGATTCAGCGTTTTTCAATTCTTCTACAATATTAACAGATGAGCCTTTTTCTAACACAATTTCAAGCACTTTCGCCCACACCTGTTCGTCTTTATCTGTAAAGTCTTCCAACTTGAAAACATTATTTTTTTCAAGTGACCATTCTTGCTGTTGGATCCTTATTAGCTTAGTCATATAGCAGGAGGTCCTCATAGCTTTTCCAATATCACTTACTAGTGATCTAATATATGTACCTGATGATACAGAAGCCTTCGCATGTAGAAGTGGTGCCCTGTATTTGTCCTTAAGTTCGCCAATTTCTTGCTTTTCCTCGTCAGTTAGTGGAATTGGTGGTTCAATAGCTGCAACTTCGCTAGGTAAATTCATTTTTTCAACGTACTCTTTGGAGTAATATAATGTATCAAAGAGCATGTTTGCATTTAAGTCCTTCACTATTTGACTATTGCTTTCATCCTCAGTCTCGATTAGTTTATAGTCATGATCTTTACTCAATGTTTTTGGAAGAATTTCTAAATCATATATAGTGACTTGTCTTGGCTCTATAGCTCTAGGAAGCGGTTTGCCCTCTCTCGCATATTCATGCAGTGATTTACCGTTCATCTTTAGCGCTGAGTATATTGGAGGGGTCTGTTTCAAAGAGCCTCTGAATTTTTCTTCAACAGTTTTCACATCTTCCAATTTCAGATGTTTAACGGAATTTCTGGATAGAATTTCACCCTCAGAGTCTCCAGAAGTAGTGGATATACCAAATAGTGCTTCTGTTTCATACACTTTAACAGTACCAGAAAGGTATTGAGAAAGTTGTTTGGTACCTGTTCCAACACCAAGAACTAATACACCAGAAGCCAATGGATCCAACGTGCCACCATGACCCATTTTCACTTTCGATACTTTTCTTAACTTCCTTTTACTAGCTTTCTTCCCAGTTTGTTGTTCAAACTGCTTTCTTCTTTCTGCAGTTGCTCTTTCGATTTCTTTTGAGAATACAGCACTATTATTAAAAATCTTTTGTACCTGCATCATGAACTGATTGGAGCTGATGCCGCTAGGTTTCTCAATTGCAAATATTCCATTCATTTTTCAATAACTATATAACGTAGAGTTTTTTAGATGTCTTTGTTGATGCCATAAACCAGGTATATATGTAATTGCCTCAATGTACCCATAAAACAAACGAATGTTACCTCAAAGCACTAACAACAACACCTCTATGATCCTATAGATATAGTACACCTACATTCCAAATTTTGCGATGAGCTAAAGTCGAATCATGATTTTTTTCAAAAAATTTCAATATGCTCAATCTAATATTGATGGATAGCACACAAATCAGTTAAAATAACTCCATATATATGAGCCTAAGAAACTTAAAAGAATACATTAATGAAAACTAAAATATTGTGGACTATTAGTTATTGATTTGGGGTTGCCACTATAACAGATGTATTATTATTACGTCAAATCGATTTATTATTGTGAACTACCTCTCTACCATGGTTAAGATCAATTTGATGACCAAAACACTAAATAAAACTTTTACTGAAATATTAAATTTTAAATTCAAAATGATAAAATGATAATGCTTATATATTATTATGTATAATTAGTCATCCTTATCTATCTTTTTCCTCATCTGTCTGACTTTCTCCTTTATGCTATTATTCCAATGTACCCCAGTGAGACCTTTCTTAAACCCATAAATCTCGGACGACAATGCTTCATTAATGGTATCACTCGCGATTCTTGTTCCTGATTCTCCTGCAGGTGGTACATCTTCGTTAACACCACTAAACGTAGCATTTTTCCCATTATCGTGGAACTTTTTGTATTTTTGCCTCTGTGTAGCAACATATTTCCTACACCTATCTATTTCCTCTTGATCCAAACGGTTGAAAGACAATCTTTTCTTCAGAATTATTTTATCAAATATATCGTTTGGATCGATTAACGATTTCGGGAAGACCTGAATGATTTGAAAGACTTCCATATCACTTTCATCTTTGCTCATTGATTTATGATTTCCATTCATGTAATTTGGAAGTAATGAACTTCCATTATTTCTTACTTTGCTTAAATCGTTTTCACAAAGCTTGAATATTGCCAGTGAGATCTTGAATAAGAAATGTGATTCTTCATAAAACATACAATCCCAGACCCTTAATGTGGTTTCTACAGGCATAACACCAACAAAACAACCCATAAACCAACTAGCAGTACATAGTGTAATTGGTGGTAATTTATATAAAAATTCGTTTTTAACACCAGTTGAACCTCCATTTTTTATTCCCAACGAGTTGCTTGTCTTATTGATCGTCTTCAACTCCGGATTAATATAAGGCCAAATTTCAGGCAGATATTCTTTGATGCATAACATTAATACCGCTTGATCAATATTCACCCCTTCTAAGTTGACATTATGAACTCCAGGAAGGTACCTAGATGTTATTATCACGAGCATCCAAAACGCACGTTCTTCATCTAAGAACAAAAGCAACATACCTGCCAAGAAATTCATAGATTGACAATAACCGATTTTTGGGTTATATAGCGAAAATGCCACCAAAACCCTTCTAAGAGAACTTATTAAGGGAGGCTCATCTCCATGGTACGAGTTGTGTTGAAAATGCAAGTTATCAGGGAATGTTCTATGTAAATCCCTCTCAATAATATCCAGGTCTTGTATTTTCTTCTTATCAGATGAAAGTAAAATTTCCATTCTTTCCAGCAGTTGGTCATATCTGTCTTTGTTCCTATTTAGTAGGTCCTGACCACGAGCAAAATACCACCAAGCATTTCCTCTCCATTCAGCAGGGATACCCTTTCTTACATACCTTTTCAACTTTTCACTTTTTGATGGAAATCTAGTTGGACTGTCATTATCTACAGGTAGACCACTCTTTTCAAGTAATTGCTTCCATTTATGTTTTCTTCTTATGCAATATTGGGAGTATTCATTCCACCAACTATCATATTTTGCCTCACTGACGTAATTAGTTTGTTTTTTGAACCCATAACGATCGTAGTGGAAAGTGCTCTGGCGCCTATCAGCTTTTATTTGCTGCTCCCTCAGCATTTCTTGAGTCATTGCAGCTTCGGTTGTAGCTTTTTCTGTATTATGTTGTCCAGGATTTTCTGATGTGTTTGATCCAGCATGTGGCGGGACTTCCTCATCTTGACTCTCATCATTGTCAACCTGTGTAGCCTCTGCCGGAACCTGCGGCTTCGAGACTCTCGATTCTACTTCATCCCCATACATATCTATGACGCTAAGATTTCCATCATCTTCATTCATAGATACTCCACCTAGTGTGGCTGTTCTTTTATGCGTTTTCGGCACATGCAACTGTGATTTGACCTCAATCTTAACTTCTTTGGTTTCGATACCACTTGTATCGTCACTCTCATCGATTGGCTGGTCGTCCTTCAATAAGCTGAAATTCAACCTATGCGAATTATGGACAAATTTGGATTCATCTAGTAGTTTAGATAATGTTGGATCACTATTATTTTCATTATCTGACTGAACATTTTCATGAAAGTTAGGCAACGATGGTGACTTCTTTGGAAAACCAAGTACAGGTTTTTTCAAGTCACTCCTACTTGCATGAGTTAATCTCAAACCTGCTGTGCTAAGTACTGCTCTATTACTTTTCGGTACATCGTCTGAGTCCTGTGTACGTGCTGGTGCATCTGTTGATCCATGAACTTCTTGCGGTTGAGTAGTCTCAGAGACAACACCGGCATCATCAATAAGATTCTCAGAAGACATTGTGAACACTAATAATATCCGTCTATTGTAAGGGAGTAGTTTTCTATAACGTTTGTAATAAGTTGAAATATTAAGTTTAACTTAAAATGCAAATTTTGATCTTATGAGCCAAAAGAACTACCAATTGGCTAATTGTATCGAGAAACTATATTATTGTAAAGGGGCGGACCGTGTAATATAGATTATATTACCCACAGCAAATGCAATCAATTCTATCAAAAACGTATAAGCCGAACAGAAGTCCTATTCTATAGCAATAGTCCTTTCGTAATGCCTTCGGACTTCGAGGGGGGGATAGGGACCTTCAATAATGTTCTAATTCTTAAGCACCAACAAAATGCTCCTTCTAAGTTGGGTTGTCAAGTAGAAAGGTATTATCTAGCAAACACTTTATATCCACTAAGAATGAAAACTTTTGTTCACGCTGATCAAGGTAACGACTTGCTTCTTCGTATCCGAACTTCCTTGGAAGCTTTTCTTTTCATTTCTTGAAATTTTGTCAAAAAATTGAGCGATGAGCTTCTTATGCGATGAGTATGAAGTTATAGATCAATAAATAGCACTTTCTGCTTACTATTAATAGGTTTTGAGATATATTGACAGGACTATAAAGCCCTCAGTAAACTGATTTCTTTAAGTTTAAGTTTGTTCTTTTATTGTTCAACTGAGGTGCTAATTTCTGTTCTGCTGTTGCCGATCCTTTGAGCCTTATAGAAGTCATAGGACTGATTGACTTTTTAAGCTACCCGAGAAAGGAGGGTTTATACTAAGCTGCAAATAAGTTGATGGCTGTATCTATATATGATTCCTTGAGGACACCGGGTCCAAAGCACTATAAATACAAGATCTGTGACGGTATCGATTTAGGGGATGGTTTAGTGATTGATCCATTGAATCTGGATTCTCTTGTTGTCTATGCTAAAAATGTCAAATGGAGTAGCTTCTGTGACTATGGGGTTCCTTTATACCTGGCGGCTGATACTATGGATACACCTTATGAATATCCACCCATTATCATGAATGATTGGCGTTGGTTTATATTTAATGACCATTACTTCGGCAAGTACTGGGGCTACGGTCTCTATACTATTCTAATGGTTTATAGTACCATATTTGTTATTACAGTTGCGTTGACAGTATTATCCTTTTTAACTGTTAACAAGGGTCCCTACAAAATCACTTCACTTCTTCTAAAACTTTCGTCGGTGCTGGCATCGACTAGTATAATATACTTTCTAACTTCTGCATTATCTACTATTAGTAGACAACAAGAACACTACGGTGTAGCCAATGGTAATGTTTTTGGAACATTGTTAAATTCAAATTTAGTTATCGCCACCCTTAACCTTCTGTCAATGTTTTTCTACAAACTATGCCAGGTATCAATTGTAGCCAGATTATTCGAAAGAAAACTAGAATGGAGAATAGTTGTATTTGTCGGTGGGATAATGAGCATAGTTTCATTTATAATATCGGCTATTGTCTCCTATACTGATCGTGTTGGAATTAGAAATGACAATCTGGTGACGTTAAGTCCATTCGGGCTGCTGTTCGATATAGCATTGGAAACCTGTTTTGCATTTATTATAGTAACTAACGTTTGGGGGACAAGAAAAACATGGGTAAGTCATTTGCAGATGTGGTACCTTGCCTTATTAACTATTGCAATCGTATTACTAAGTCCTGCAATGTTTTTAGCTGATGTCGGCACAGGGTTATTATCTGCATATGCTGCCACTGTCAGTCCCCTACTATACACAATGAGTACATTTGTTGCCTGGGAGTGGTTAGAACGTATCCATATATTAAAGAAAGCCGCCCAAGTAAAAAGTTTATTAGGACAAAAGATTTATGAGGATGAGCAAGAGGGTTATAACTTTGCTTATTATTCTGTTAATAATGAGAGCAACCTTGACACCAACTCAGACTCACATATATCCTTATACAATGATATGTTCCGTAATTCCGAACAATTCTCAAACGTTGGGAGCAACCTCTCTAGTAAGGAGTCGTCATCACTACCTGCACAGATGAACTCAACCGGTATTTCTTTTCCAACAGCTGTTAATCAAGTAGAATTTCAGAAAAGGAAATCATTCCTGGACCACCTCACTAACTTTACCTATTCAAGACCTTATAAAATTTACAAGAAGTCAAAATCAATTATTCAATTAAGAAAGAGGAATAGCGAGACAGTCAAAAATGAAAGGTCTAATGAAGAGCTATCAATTGAAAAGGTAAGAAGAAGGTTGGGACTAACAAATGAAAGAAGAGAGTATGTGTATAACACTAAAGATATTGTATTCGCTTCTGATGATGATACAGAATCTGAGTGCGAATCAAACAATATACTAAACGAATCCATTGATAGCCATTTTCCAGAAAATGGGGCTGGGTCTGTTTGATATATAGCCTATACTTATCTAGTATACTGTCGGGTATGATGAATGAAATCGAATTTATAGCTTAGAATATTATTAGTTTGCGTGACTATGAATAAGTTTAAAACTATAGAGTAGGTTGCAATTTACATGAATATCAACAATTTAACGACCTTACATTTGATCAGATGTTTCTTCAGGAGATCACATGTTATAATGGTTCCATGCCCTAAATGTTGAGTCATATGTGGTCCAATTAATATATACAGGATATTTCATACGTCTAACCCCACTTCTCGTCAGTGCGAAAGAATTACCAGAAACGTTAAACTCTTTGGAATAGTTTTTGCCCCACATAACATTGTGCCTTTTCGAATATTTCAGCCAGTGCATTCTTTTGAACCCAGATACTGGGCTTTTCATTATGCAACAATCAGCTTCAAGAGCTTCAAATTCGGTCGATGGTAAAATATTGGTGAGATCTCGAATAGTCTCCTCTTGGATATTATATAGTTTTTTTTTGAACCTTTTTATCATACTCTGGTCTGAAATATTACTTGAAAAGTTTAACATTACACTTATGACATCACGATATAATTTCTTTCGTAAGTACCTTTCTAATAGTATTTTTGAGTTCTGTCTCTTATTGACATACAGATGTAAAGGCAAACAAAAATCGCTTCTACCTGGCTTAATGACTAAACCTGTAACTTTTTGGAACTCCTTCTGTGCCAATTTTGACTGTTTGTCAACATATGTTTTATATTGGTCACAATCGCTCTTTATAAAACCGTATCTATGATAATAATACATCAACTCCTTGAAGTGTTCCCTTTTAGCTGATATTTGCTCTTTGGACATGTTGCTATCCAGTTCGGCCGATGCCGCACCCAACTGATGTTTGGCAATATCTCGTTCATGTGGTTTACCAAATATGTCTACCAGATGCAATTCGTCGTTAACCTTATTATTATGAAATTTGAGATTCTTTATCATCGATGCTCTCCTTTGCTTATTTACTATTTTTGGCATCTTCAGTTTGATCAGCTTATAGGGTCTTAATTTACTGAGCACATGCTTAGGTATATTTGAGAAAGATTTGTCCTCGTATTCAATACCACTAATGGATGCCTGCCAAGGTATTACCTTCTTCTGTTCACTATTATCAATATTCCAGTCGTTATCCTTCACCGATTCCAAAAACTCATCCAAGCTTTTCTCGCCGCCATCATCGGAAGCATTGATGACTCTAAAATTTTTCGATAGTAATACACCGTTGTCGAAGAAACTAGGCATAGACTTCATACTTGCTAGCTTCCCCAGGAATAATGGCTTTGAACCGGCAAATAACCCCTCTAAATGAATCTCTTGATCAGTTAAATGATCAGTCGATGAGACGCTCGGCACAAGTGTCGTAGGTTTCTTTGCTGACGAGATATCCTTTTTCAGTTCCCGTTTCCATTTCGTTTCACTTGTCTTATCTCCACCAGATGGTTCTAATAGATCAGCGTCATTAACTACACCATTCAAAGCAGTAGTATTGTCCTGTAACTTTACCTCTGTGTTTTCCTTTTCTTTCAATACAGCACCAGACTTCCTCCTACCTTGTGAGAATTGCCGGTACTGCCTGCAGATCCTCGGCACAAACCTCATAATCCTATACTGTCTACTATTTACCAGGCTCATTAGAACATATCCCGCTTCAAAATAGATTTCGCAAATTCAATGACTCACACAATCTAAAGCACTAATACCAACAGTTAACAGAGAGACTGAGCGCAACAAAATTAAATAAGAGCCCAGGTTGCCTTCAAGCTGGAACACAAATATCTGAACAATAGTATCAACTAGTTCTTGTGAACATTAAATCAAACCTTTTAAGTATCCAGGCCTGATTATTTCTCATATGCATTCTGAAATTTCATGAATTTTCGCAACTCCCCTTGTGAAGTCCCAAGAATCGAAAATTCGAAGGCGAAAACCTATTCGAGCCACAATAAAAACTGATTATGATATGAGAAGAGTTAGAAACTGCGATGTATTTTGTGTATATATTGATCTGGAGACTAGTGGACAGAGTACGAACGGAATTGAGAATATGATGTCCAGAGCAGGTGCCAGTTTTGCTGTTTTCAACAAGCAATTGGACGCTGATCTTCATGCGCTCGTTGCGGAAGCACGCAGGCGTAATTCCGAGGTTAAAGAAGCCAGCCACAAGTCTATAGAGATATTAAAGACCATTAAGACCATCAATGACTTAGAGAACCATCCGGACTTTGTGGTCCCGTTTGCGCTAGCGTGCAAGACCAAGAATGCTAAGATGACCACAATTGCGATGCAATGCCTACAAAACATGGCTTCAACAAGGTGTATTCCAGAGAAAAGGATGGATATGATATTAGATGCGTTTATCGAAGCTACACAACTTGCCATGGATATACAATTGAAAGTGTTGCAATTGGTCCCTATTTTTTTCAAAACATATTCCAGTTATCTGAAAGGTGGACTATGTAAGAAGCTACTGTACTGTTGCACTTCCCTTCTCAGAGTTCCAAATAAGGCTCCTATTGTGGCCGGGACTGCAAGTGCTACTTTACAACAATTAATGGACGAGATTTTTGATAGACTAAGTGACAAAACTTTAGAAAGTAACAACGATGAGGATGAAGACTTCGAAGTTCTAGTAAATAACAATGACTTCATTAAAGTAAATGCCTTTAGATACGATGCAAATTTGGTATTTTCCAATTTATGCTCTATAGTGGACACTAAATCCACCGAGAAAACGGACAACTCATTACTAGATATAACAGACATCTCCACAGATTTAGCGCTAGAAATTTTGGAATCCATATTACAAAATGGCAAGCAATTTTTAATAGAGTACGAGGATTTGCAATTTGTATTGAGGATAAAAACAATTCCATTATTGCTAAGGTGCATGTCTAACTCTAAACAATTCTCTACAGTTCTACGTTGTTTCAGATGTATTCGGCTACTAATCGACAAAGAGTTCTTAATGATCATCGAATTAGAATTAGAGGTCATGCTTTCTATGATTATACATAATTTATCTCTCGATTCCTCAATTTTGCCCTGGCAACGAGTGCTTTCATTAGAAATATTCAATGAAATTTCACAAAACCCTACAATGCTGAATGATCTGTATGATATCTATGACAAGTATGAGGATAAAAAACCAATATTACACAACTTTTTGACTCAGTCTTATCATATCCTCCTCTCAGATGATTTTAAGGACTACATTGGCTATTCTAGTGTAATCGAGAAAATTGAAATGCCATTGATAAGTAATAATTCTTTTCAAACCAAAAACCAGTATATGCAAATGTTAGACAAAAATACTGCACCAAATGTCAATATAACCTATATTATATGGCTGATTGTGAATTGCACTAACTGTTGGTCAGAGAAATTAAGTTCACAAGCTGTGGCACTAACCGAGATTGAAAATAAATCTCTAAGGAACACTACGAAAGACCAACTACATGTTACACTAAATGGATTATTTGAAAATCTATTCAACATACATACTTTACTTTTGCAGTCTTCCACAATTGATACAACTATCTTTCATAATATAGTACGTGCATTCCAAAAATTAACCCATTGCGCTGGTATGCTCGGAGAGGTCTCAAAAGTTGATAGATGTCTAGACTATTTCAGAAAAGCTATCATTACCGTGGAACATGCAAGCAATACAGAAAAAGATTTAAAGGTAAACGCACCTTCACATATAAGAAAGTCATCCGGCTCTGCAATGTTAAGCACACTGAGTGAATCAATTGTTGGTCCAGATTTGAATAAGGATATCCAAAAAGAAAACGACAATATCCAACTTTACCCACAGAGCATAAACAGCAAACAGGTAAGTCTATTTAGAGCTTTAACCTCCTTAGCCATATCATTGGGACCAAACTTCAGTGCTAAGAGCTGGTATTTTCTTTTTACTGCATGGAACTGGGTTTATTATTTTATATATGGACCTTCCAATGATATTTTGAACAGTCTAAACATTGATGAGGAATTCATATCTCACGACCTATCACGAAATGATCTTGCATCTATTGAAAATACGATACATTCTTTCCATGATGCCACTAAGTCTTACCCACTTCAAACATTGATAATTATGCTAACCGAACTAGAAAAGTTATCCGATTTAACTCTTAATCTAAATCCTAAAGATCAAGTAGGGTATCAACCATTTTTTAATAACTCTGAATTTTCGGTGGCTATTTATAATCCAAGTTTTTTCATTTCCGAGATAGCAGAGTTAACATCATCCAATATGTCACGCATACTTGCTAGCACCAAGACGAGCTCATACTGGGATAAATTCATAGATTACATGGTATCTCAAATGGCTGATAGGAAGAGAACTTTTGCGTTGAGATTATACTGTAGCCATGTTATTGCCAGCGTATACAAAACATGCACAAATGAAATATATGAGATTGAAGATACTAATCTAAGAAAAACTTGCTTCACCAAATATGAACAGATTTTTACATCTTCATTGAATAGAATTATGGCATCCATAGAAGTGTTAGAGGTGAACAAATTAAACATTCTGAATGAAAATTTGAATACCGAAGGTGATATCATTTTTCAGGTATTAAACACATTAAAAGAACAACTAAATGAATTTGGCGACATGATATCAGATTCATGGGTTACTGTTTTTAGTATAATCAATAGTCCATTTAGATGGATTGATTCAAATATCAGTACACTACTACAAGATGATTCCGACGATTTATCACTCATAGACGGTATCATAATGAAACAGAAGAATATGATACAAGTTTCATTTGATGTTTTTAAGCTAATTACTGATGACTTTTTGAAGAACCTACATCTTAATGTCATACCCGATGTAATTGATACTATCGTCGCATTCGTTAATCAAGAAAAGATACTGAATGTATCTTTCTCATCAATAAGTCAATTTTGGCTAGTAGGAGATTATTTAAGATCTAACTATTCTGCAGACATAGAAAAGTTCAGAACTGAGTGTGATGATTATTTCACACATCCATCCGAAAACAATGCAGAGTTTATAAGGGCCATAAAATCTCCAGAATCAACCATCTCTCAAAAGTACTATGGTATTTGGCTATACTTATTAAAAAATCTATTATTTTGCTCATTAGATAAGCGAAATGAAGTTAGTGTTGGAGCTATCCAAACATTCTTCAGGATTATTGATTCCCACTCCTCTACCTTTCCTTCCTGGCAGGCCATATTCAATAATGTTCTCTATCCATTTTTGAACACTGAACGTTCTGACGAACAACTACAAACAAACCTAGATTGTTTGAATGTTACCCTAAAGGGCCTCGTACAACTCTTCTCGCAAAAGTTTTCAGATTTTGACGAGTATAATAAAAATGCTGCCGAGTGGTCTGCTCTTTTACAGCTCTTTATAAAGTTATTACAATGCCCATCCACAGGTGTAAGATACGTTACTATCAAAAATTACGGTACCATTGTGACAGAATTATGTACTAAAGAGAACATTCCGACTAATTTGCTAGACTTATGTGCAACAATTTGGACAGATTATAACATTGGCTATAGTGACTTCGGTAATTCTTCACAACTGAGTGAGAAGACAGATTATGATTGTATTTCTGAGCTTCTGTTATCATTTCCCTCATTGTGTACTATGATCGACAGTGTCAAAGATGATAATAATGTATTTTATGAGAAAAGTATGAGCTTGTTGCTGTCTGCTGTTAAATTTCCTCTTCTTCCAGAGCATTCTAGGGATCAAGCAAAACCGTCGACATTGCAGAATGCAGTATTAGAGGGCATGTCCTTGATATACACAAAGCTTAACAAGAACAATATATTTGTTTACTTTGTTCATCTTTCAATGATATCTACCTTATTATTTGATACCAGAGATAAAATTGAGAAAAAATTAGCACCAAAGTTACACGAGAATGCCATTAGTAGAATACCTACCTTCGAAGCACTTTCTTATAAATCGCTTCAAATGTTAGAGAAACAATTATCGGAATTGAAATCTGCTGAACAACCAAGAAATAAGTATGTCCTAAAGATAATAAGAAATTTGAGAGAAATAATAGTTTCTAAAAGCTTAATCGATCTTTCGACTGATGGATCAAGACCACTTTGGGTTTTAGCTTCCTCATGTTATAGGAGTTTTTTAGCATGCATTGATAATGTTAGCGATTGCTTTGCAAATGATAGCGAAGGTCAACAAGAGTTTATTGAGATATTCATGTCCATATTCTTGACACCATTAAGAAGAAGAGACACAAAAGTAGATTCAATGACTGAGAAATCTGACTTATCAGAATTCGACCAATACTCTCAGTTATTCAAAAACAAATCACTGATGCCTTTATTCACTTCTGACCACTATGATCTCTTGGTCAGAAACATTTGGGATGCATCACTCATATATGAATTTGATGATATTCAAAAGGCCATCTTACAGGACTCAGGTGGTCCTAAAAACTGTGAAAAAATTCTGAGTCACTTAAATGACTTAGAGGTCTTTGGTTTAACACGAACACAAGACACACTGAGTAAGGTCTCATGTTCTAAAAGATGTCTCCAGGAGCTAATATCATTTGCTCTGCTTGATGATAAAGATATGAGTGAGCTAAAATACTTGACGTTCCCTTATATTGTGTCAAGGATCTCACTACTTCTAGGGAAGTATATATCTGACGAATTCTTGAGTGGGAGCGCACCAATACCAAAGCTGAGAGGGGAGGAGATGAATATTTTATTGAATGGATTATTAAAATTGCTTGATAATCTTCTGCGTTCTAAAGTCCCCATTTCAAAAGAGGTCGAATCTTTGGCTCACTTGTACCCACTTGTACTAAGAACAATCCCAGTATCGCATAAACTAACCGGACTTCAAAACACAGTGCTTGAATTATCCCTGAGTTTTACGAAGTTAATATCTGCCAGTTCACACCAACCTTGAATAAAAATTACTATAGCATATCTAGTCTAGTTTCGTCAAAGGGAAATTAAAACTTCATTTGTAACTGATAACTTGTATCATTGTTATACTGTAGAACTATAAAAATATAATTAATATAACGGTATCTTAGTTACAAATTAAATGCCATACTATTTAACCAAATGCAATTTAATCATGATTACTTCCAACATGCTTACTTCTTGTTCTCCAAAAGTGATGTTAAGTCCTCAGGCTCACATGCTATATTGAAGAAACTGTGGTGCAACAATTCCTCTGTCGAAGCCCTATACTTTACATCAACACAAAGACAGACACTTAAAAATCTTTTAATCTCAAGTGATAAGGACTGGGGGTGCTTCAATTTTGGTGTACCATTCGTTGCAATTAAGTAAAGAGCTTTTAGAGGATCTTCATTTAAGTAAGGTGGTTCTCCTTCCAGCATCTCAATTGCCATAATACCTAAAGACCAAACATCCACCTTAGCATCATACTCTTTCTGCTTGACAACTTCGGGAGCCATCCAATAAGGAGTTCCAACCATTGTTGCTCTTTTGCTTCTTTGATCGGTAAGCTTTGCACAGAACCCAAAATCAGTAATCTTCACACGAGCTTTGGTGTCCAGTAAAACGTTGTCTGATTTGATGTCTCTATGAATAATATTTTTATCATGCAAAAATTTCAGACCTTTACACGTTTCTCTTACAATATATGCAATCTGAGGTTCAGATAATGGAGAATAAGCGCTGCCATTTGTTGGACTGTTTTCGATTATATCTGTTAATGAGCCACCCTCCATGTATTCCATAACAACCCATAAGTCATCTTCAGTTTTTAGATATGCTTCCAAGAAGTTAACAATATTTTCGTGACGAGAATCATTCATTACCATAATTTCATTCACTATTAATTCTTTTCTGGGTTGCTTGGATAATACCATCTGTTTTATTGCAACCTTATCACCAATTAGAGGATCTTCGTGTTCAGTACCTCCTCTTTGATGTTGAGGACCGTCAGCTTCAATAATTTCTGTTCTCTCTGCTAGATATACGGAACCACTTGCACCTTGCCCAGCCTTTTCAATCATTTTAAATAACGTAGAAGGATCGGCATCAAGTGTTACCTGCTTTAATTTACTCATTATTTCTGCGTTTGACATTGTTGGTTTAGATGTCTTCTTTGCTTTTTCAGCCCCATCCTTTGATACTCCAGCTGGCTTCTTTGGTGCTTGTCTCACCGGCTGTAATGCGGCTGGTGGGTTGTTCTGATTTATTTTATTCTGCTGCTGCTGTTGTTGACGCATAGCCATATTAGCTGCATTAACACTAGTTTGATTTTGGATCACATTCTGATTCGGATATCCTCCTCCTTGTTGTGGCTGCTTTAATACAGGTATCGTGGGATACACTTTCATTGGATAGTTACTTTGCTGTTGTGAACCATTTCTTTGATTGAAAGGTACTTGGTTTTGTATAGTTGTTTGCTGATTGGGCCTTGCATTTAAAGGAGACCCGGGTCCCTTGTTTGCGTATGGATTACTCATATTATGATGTGGTCTGTAGCCATTAATCGGCGAAGGTGGCTGAGAAGAACCTGGAGAAGAACCTGGAGAAGGATACTTATTAACAAAACCTTGTTGTTGATTGTAATTATTATGAGTAGCAAGTTTTGGAAGTGAGTTTTGAATTTTGTTTCCACCTGCTGGAGATGGCGCTTGCATTCTTGGTGCCATGTTGTTCTTCGAGGATATATTGTTTTGGTATGGGGAGCTACCCTGCCTAATTGGGGTATTGGACCTGTTTGGCATATTAATCGCTTGTTGAGAAGAATTTTGACTAGGAACTACATTCACAGAATTAACGGAATTAACTGTAGATGATTGCTTTGGAGGTGAAGGAGCTCTTCTTTGAGGGACCATAGAATTAGCTTGTGATATTGGAGATACCTTATCACTAGAATTAGTAGATGTGTTGGTGTCCTTTAACAAATTGATCTGTGAGCTGTTAGTACTCCCAGAAGAGACCGATGTAGTGCTTCCAGCGCCATACGTGGAACCTTCACCATTATTATATTCTTGATAAAAGTTTAAAACTTGAATAACAGCTGCAGAGTCATTATTCCAGTCCTCGCCGGTGATTCTAGAGTGCTTCAACAGTTTTTCCCAGTTTGTTGGCATACCAACAAAGCTTCCGGTCTCTGGATCAAACCCTACATGCACTTTATGAGTAAAATTTGTTGGAGAAGATACTCCACTTAATAGAGGACATTTAGCGAAGATCGAATCCAACCATGAGATGAGATCGGTCTCTGTTTTCGTTGCGATATATATGGTCTTCTTAGCCATGGAATCGGTATTACCAGATTGGCCACCATTGCTCGAGTTTCTTTCTGATACACGGGTCAGCTCAAAGCAGTACTGTTTCAACTGGTTCTTGCTGACACTGACGATAACAGTCAGAGGAATCTTCAAGACGGGATCCTCAGTAACTTTCTCGTTCTTGTATAATGTTAACGCCGAATCATTTAGCACCATGAATCTTTTTTGCCACAGAAACGACAGCAAACCATCATCTTTGTATGAAACCCAACCCGATTTCCTCCTGACATTGCTATTAGATCGATTTGCGCGTCCGCTATTGAGATCGAGCTGGCTCATGTACCTGGTGATGGGCTGTGTCTTGTTGAAGGCTGCCCCTCCGGCACTCACAGGTGGCCTAGGTGCGGGACCTATACTTTGGAAATCACTGTCTGATATTTTAGCCGCAGCTGCTGATAGAGACATATTGGTTTCTTTGGTTTTTTTATTGTCGATAGGCTATACAATCGTTCTTTTCTTCTCGTTACTTCAAACTAAATGCTTTGCTATTGTACTTTTGATAGGAATATTCTTGCTTTCTAACACGGACTTGTTACAGCGACAGTTTTCAATCTTCTTCCAATAGGCAGAAGATAGAGGTTATCGATGTTATAGTTCTTTAATAGTTGCAAAACCCAACAGAAAGCTCTGATCCAAAAACAAATAATAGTTGAGAGAACTAGTGTATAAATTCAAAGAGGAAAAAAAAAACTTCCCGAGATAGAATATAATGACAATAAAACGTGGGTCCTAATCAGGATGAAGTTATCGCAAGTTTGAAGCTCGCAAAGTGTCACCCAAAGTACTGTTCGATCTCTTATCCCCACTATAACCAAAAAAGGAGAGCCTTTAAAACACCGTAATCACAAAGTATCGCAGACTGTTTGATAGATGTGACAAATTAACCACAGAGCACAAACACGATTCGATCGAAACAAAGGCAGAGCACCAAGTCCCGCAATGATTACTGCAACTGGTTTCACTATTGGAATGTAACCACCAGAACTTCCTGACGCGTCGCATCGCTCACTTTGTGTTTTTTTGCAATTTTTTTTCAGTTGACAATTTGAAAAATTCATTCGATTTTCGAGATTTTTCGCGTTTCGATTTTCTATTCCCGATTGAGTTATAATAACAGCCGACGATTTGCATGTGATAATATGGTGGGGGGTGGTATAAGCCTTAGCTTTGCGAGCTGGTAGTTCCTTCTATATCATCCTATTCTACTCTATATGCTTGGTATTACATTAATGGCGTTATATAGTCTGTGTGGTCTATAGTGCCTGACCCTTGGAGAGCCAGTAGTCCCTCTTGTCCTGCATGCTCAGTGACTTTTTCTCCCTTTCTTGGATCACGGGTGGTTCTTCATCCTCGGGGATGCCCATCAGTTGATCTATGCTGGTGTGGTTTCTTGCCTTGGCCTTGGTCTTGGTCTTGGTCTTGGTATTGGTATCGGCCTTCGCTATCTTTCTCTTCTTTACGACTTTCTCGACTTTCTCGACTTTGTACATCTCCTCAGTTTCTTCCTCGTTTGCACTTATATTGATGAACATGTCATCCTCGTCAGATGTATCTTCATCGTCTGCATGCACTACGCGGGCGCGCTTCCTGTGGTAGTGCTCATTCTCTATGATCGCCCTGTTCTCCACCAGCGCCCTCTCGTCGTTGAAGTCCCTAGGGGCACCGCGGTACTTGATGACGTTTCCCAGGATGCTCTTGCCCACTCTGTTCTTGAACGTTGCGGCATCGAGCTCGAAACATTTGTTGACGAGCAGATCAAAGGCACCAGAGAAGGACTTCTTGATGTCACGGACATTGAACGAGCCCCGACTCAGATTGTTCGTTGGATCGCCAGGATCCTGTATGGCCAGGGTGAAGGAGGTCCTTGCAGGTGGATAGAACCTACAACTGGTCTTCGGCTTGTAAGTGGCACGGGAGTCATCAACACAGATAGCAACATCGTCGTATGCAAAGTTCTTACCGTAGAGTTCAAAGAATTCGATTAAAAGCACACCAAGGTTATCCAAGGGATCGATATCCCCAGTGATAATCCTTGGGTGAAGACGTAAAAACGAGAATACAAGACAGATGATACTGAACCCACCGAGACCTCCAGTATGGACATCGTTTAGTCGCCTAGCATGTAAAAATTGTTTGACTACTAACGTTAGTTCTCTTAGACCAGGAGTATCACCAATCCACTCTCTAATCAATTTTGCGGCTTCCAAACCGTTGGATCTTTCAAACGACACATCTATGTGTATATCAGACTCAGGTTCAACAAATTTTATGATCGGAACCCTTGATTTTGCTATTACCTCCACCCTAGTAGCTAGACCATCGTTCTTTAGATGCCTGGCCAACTCATATAGGTACTGTCTATTTTCTTTATCACCACTTTTACTATTAACCACACAGTCAATATCAGACCCCGGTAAATACATATCTGTTGCATAAGACCCAAACACTTGAAGGTCTGCATCTGTCCATAAACGTTTCACTGACCGCCGTATCTTCGCTATTGTTTTGTTTCTTGTTTCGATTTCCTCTCGGCTAGGTGATATATATGCAACAAAATCTCGAATCTCCGCTGTGAGCCAGTCTGATATTTCCTTCTGCTTCGAGTGATCATGATTTAGCAACCATGGAAAGTCTGCATTTAGTTCTCTCTCAGCATTTCTCCTTCCGGCTAATTCATCATCACTACTTGTGTTCCCACTGGATAAATAATCTTCTGACTCGTTATTTTCAGCGCCGCTGTTTTCATCTTCTGAACTAGAAGAAAACGCAATAAAGTCATCGTTATCTTCAAGCTTCCCACCACTTATTTTTATATCTGATACTATCCCTTCATCACCTGAGTCAATATCTATTACAGGAATTGTATCATAGGAATCATTATGATTATCAGCCTTTGATTCACCATCGCTTTGTGTTAAATCGTCGTTATACTCGGATAATAAGTGAGTGCGATTCTCAGGATCGCTCAAGTCCAATTCCAAATTTTCATACTTGTTGAGAAACTCTTTGTTGTCATTGAAGACTTCAATATTACGTTGCAAAGCGTTAAAGGAAGACCTTCGTAGTCGTTTCACCCTGGCAGATTCCTTTTTTTGATACTTTGCAACCTTCCTCTTAGATCTATCACCTCTCATTGCGTATATATAAGTACCACTCTGTTGGAACAATACCAATTATAAAGATTTTGAGCTGTTTTCCTCCTAACACTGTCTAACCACTTTTCAAAACTGTATCGTACTATTATGGTAGTGCAGTTACAAAAAAAAACACCACACACCTCTCAGTTCTATAATATCAAAATTAATATTACGTTGTTATAACGCTTGTATTATCAATTATATCCTAGATGTGTAGACCCTTTATGTCAAAATCATTATAGGTTTTGCGTTTTTATTATGCGATGAGCATCTGCGATGAGCTGAAATTTTTCAAGAAACTTGCGATGAACTCCGTCATAATACGGTTCATGATCACGTGAATATAGATACATGGCTATTTCACAATGCCATAACGTACCCATATGTTCTGGAATGACTTCCATTGCGGGCTAAGCGGTAGTTCAAGTGGTATAAACTTGTTCCTCAAAGATAATGAATGATTAACTATACAATAATATATAAATTGTTACACTTATTCTATAGGATTTCAGAAGGTAATTTACACTAGACTTGAAAACCTTATTTCTATCAGAATTGTGCTATATGCTGGGTATCATGAAGTTAAAAATAAAGATAAATTGGATAGGAAACTTGTGTTCGCCTGTAAAGTGATCGTTAAAACCGTGACGCTTTTGCGATTTAAGTTTTAGCATCGACGGATAATAAAATAAAAATTTGGGTATCATGGGGTGATTAATATTAAGAATAGACCAGAAGGAAAATGCAGTGCCGCTTTTATTAAATGATTGATAGCATTGCAATTGAGAAATGAAAGTAATGTATTTTTTTTTGAGTTTGTGACTCGAGTGGTTTCAAATGTTGCTCAAACTATACCAGAAGTCCGCGCCTTGTAAGTGCGAAACTTAAAGAAGCATGGCAACAGCAGCTAGAAGGGCAGCACCGAAAGTAGCAGAGTTCTTACCAGCGGCGTTAGTTAGTTGTTGCTGTAGAGTGGAAGCTTGAATTTGACCATCGTGGATTTGAGAAACAACAGCTGGGTTTGTCTTAACAGCAGATGTAGATAGTGTAGAAGACTTTTGTTGTTCAATAGAAGGACTAGCTGGAGCAACAGAGGATGGAGAAGCCTTGGATGATGAGGCTGGGGAGACTGGGGCGGCAGAGCTTGGCTTAGCTGGAGCAGCAGAGCTTGGCTTGGCTGGGGTTGCTGTGGTAGCTTGGATTTGACCGTCACCAATTTGAGAGATGACAGCGGCGTTACCCTTGGCAGCACTAGCAGAGTTAGCAGAACTAGAAACAGAAGCTGGCTTGGTAGAAACAGTGGTAGTGGTGTATGGAGTGGAAGTGGTCTTTACAGTAGAAACTGCAGAAGTGGTAACAACTGGGGTTGTAGTGATGTCAACGTATGTGACACCGTCAGAGACAACGGTACCAGCAGAAGCGACGGAAGCGGCAATGGCTAAGATAGAGGCAGTAGAGAACTTCATTTTTGATATTATTATAGTTGTGTTAGAATGAATGAATTGTAGTTGGTTAGGTAATTCCTGAGGTTTTATCTTTACAGAGAGTATTATTTCAAGCTGACAAAAGGTCGATTGAAGTCTGATTCGAATTGTAAAATGTCAAATAAATCTTTCACTTATATATTAATTTTTTTTTTTTGCAACAGTGAACCAAAATAGTTTCTCGATTGGATAAAACACGCTGCTGTTATCATTGTTATTGATCTAATGTAGAATGGCGATCAATCTTTAAATTGTAGCTTGCAGTACCACTAGAAGTGCTACTTGGAGGTCTAAGAGGTTAGATACTTTCAATGAACTTTTGGTGACGAAAATTTCAATGCTAGTATTGCTAGGTCCAGTTAACAAAGGACACTACTAGTACGTGAACTCAACCCGCGGTTCGTTCTAGCAGTTACCTGTTACCTGCCAGTATAATGTTTTATTTGGGATATATTGATTGAACAGCAACTGCAATGAGGAGCGAAGAGTACTAGCCCGGTAAACACGAAAACACTCAACCTTGGAATTGGAAGAAATTTTGCTGTAAAACTTAACCACGCAATACTATTCTAATAGATCCCTACACAGGTTAAATGCGAAACAAATAGATCAGATTCTAAGATTAAGTTTATCTCAATGTCCCTAGTGTTTCTTTTTGGTGAGGATTGTGCTGCAATTAGCACAGTCGTTATGCATTGTGGATCAGATCAAAAACTCAGAGTCCATTTTGTGCAGCTCTAAGAGGGACATTCTCGACCCTTTTCTCTATACAAGTGACGGTGTTCTGGAACCTAGTCCATAAGACCATTACCTATGATATTTTCGCGTCATAGACAAAGACTCAGATCAAAAGGACTCGACAGTTGAAAGAGATTAGCAATGCCTTACTGATACTAGATGGTTACCAATTACACGTCAAGAACCCATTTCGAAAGTATCTATCAGTGCAATTTGCCAATTAATGCTGATCAATTCAATTTTTTCCTGTCGAAAATGCGACGCGTGAATAATTGAGAAAAACCCGAAAAAATAATAAACAAAAAAAGTAATATAAACACGAAAATAAAAATAAAGACATTGTTTGGGGAACAACGGATTCCATCTAAGTTTATGATGATATTTCGCGAGTTCAAGACAATGGCAGATTCTTTTTTTGCCAATATACCAAGATGATATTTAAGGAGAAACTTCTATTCTAGAAATAAAAACTAAATATACATTAAATTAGAAGATATACATATATGTAATAACAGTGAGTAATCGCGAGCACTTCCATATCTAAATACAAGTACCGACTAGAACACTCTTACCGACTCTTGTAGTCGAGCCCTCTCACCAAAATTCTGGTCCATGAGACTCCTGATTCACATATAGAAATAAGTATACTCAAACTGACTCTTAGTATCCGATTGAGGGAAACAAATGGGAAAAAACAAATTAAGAAATGATTATTAATGTTAAATGCTTTTTAAACGTATACTACGTAAAATTATGATCTGTTATAAGGGTGATATCCATTGCTGCGACGCCCTCCGTTGTAACCGCCACGTTCTCTTCTGTATGAACCATTACTAGAGCCATGGTAACCACCATGACGGGAACCACCAGAACGGTCTCTGTGATATGAACCTCTGTCATTTCTTTCACTGGGTCCTCTAGGCCCTCTTGGTATATTCTTTGGTAACGAGTTTTTCTTCATTCTATTACTGCCGTCCTCATTTCTCTCATTTGATGCTGAATTACTATCATTACTGTCACCACCAATCGTTTGCACATTAGAAGAAGAAGAGTTATCGCTTCCGTTATGGTCGTCACCAGATGGAGTATTTTCAGAACCGGCATTATTTAGAGGAGAACCAGAGCCATCAGCATTCATTGGTGGCATTTGGAATCCTGGCATCATCATTGACATCTGCTGTTGGAACATTTGAGAATAATCCATGCCCGTTTGCTGTTGTAGTTGCTGATAATATTCTTGCATCTTTTGGTAGTAATCTTGCATAGCTTGTGGGTTAAACATAGGGTTGAAACCACCCATCATCGGATTTTGATACATGCCAGCCATTGGGTTGGCCATTGGGTTAGACATTGGATTCATGCCCATGCCGGCCACAGGAGGACTTACAGCTTGCTGTCCAGCCTGCTTCTGCTGGTGTCTTGGCTCTGCTCTTTTTATTTCTATTTGCTTACCTTTGAATTCTCTATACCTTGATTCACATACCTTTTCTGCAGCGTCTGGTGAGTCATATGTAACAAATCCAAAACCTCTGGATCTACCAGTATCCTTATCAAGCATTAATTGTGCATCAATGATGGTACCCCATTGGGAGAAGTATTCTTCGAATTCTTTTGGCCTTACATCTGTACCCAAACCACCTACAAAGATTTTACCTGTCTTATCTTGTTCTTCTCTTGGGATAGCTCTCTTTGGATCTATTACTTTACCGTCAAGAATATGTTGTGTCTTCACGACTTCGTCAACGGAACTTGGTGCATCGAAACTCAAGAAACCAAAACCTCTGGATCTACCAGTGTTTGGATCTTTCATGATTTTAAGTTCTACAACATTACCGTACTTGCTGAAGTATTCACGTAAACCATCTTCGGTAGTTTCCCAATTCAGACCACCAATAAACATTTTACAGTTTTCTCTAGATAGGTCAGCTTTGACTTGTCTTCTGTTAGCTTCCTCAATGCTTTCTCTTTGTTCAGAGTTTTGCGTTTGGTTGCTAACTTGAGGCTCTGAGCTAACATTTGATCCATTTTGCTCTGAGCTAACAGCATTACCATCAGCAGTTGTCTGTGATCCGGAGCTAGTATCTTTATCATTGTTGTTATCAGTGTTATTACTATTATTTAAGTTAGATGATAAAGCTTGCAAAGCAGCCAAGGGATCCATTGGAACGCTGGCTGACTCAGTGCTTGGAGCGGTGGTTGAATCTACTGGTTTACTTTCATTAGAAACTGTCTGTTGTTGATCTTGGTGTTCATCACCATAGATATCGTTAAAGTCTTCCTCGTCTGAACTCATTACTTCTCAATTTTTACTCTTGCTTGATCTCCTTAAAGTCCGTCCTTCAATCGCTGTATAAGCTATTAAAAACAAATTGAAATACTCAAAGTTATAAATGGAACAGTTAATATTAAATAGTTCCAACTAGTTGACTTGAAATAGTTATTATTATAGTAGAGGTATCTTTGCGATATAGTCTACTAGTTTAAAATGCCACTTCGTGTTATCCGTAATTATTTAACCACACTTATAATTTTTGTTATGGTCTCTTTTTTGTTATTATACGTCGCAACTGTTGTAAAAAATCTATCCCAATTTTCTCAGTCAGCAATAGTATAATTCTAAATGAACTAGTTATATCGAAAAAAAATCAGTTATTTTTAATCTACCTAGTAAGTGAGATATAACTGCCTTTCTCAAAATATTATGTTAGCACTCCGATTACTTCTTATTTTTTGACTCTATATCGAGTTTTAAACGTCAAAAAATGAAATATGAATCTAAAAAAGAATTTAAAAGGTAGTGTAGCTTTATATGATAAAAATTGCGTCAACCTTCCTTTGCTATCAGTTCTCCTCCAATCCAATATATATAGCAGAAAAGATAATACAACTTTCTCTGTTCTAAGGGGACTATCCTATCCAAAAATAACGTATAACTACTTATGTAGTATTTCTCCTTTTTCTATTATAAAAAAGCTAAAATATAACCGGATTTATTCTGGTATGCGCTAATTAATACGTAGTACTAATCTCTATTCCAAATCCCACTGACTATTACAAAATATTATCTGTGAGGTGTTCCGGCAGAAACTCCATTCCCTCCCAGAAGCAGGAAAATCGCTCGCCTTTTATACTTTTTCTCCTGAAGGGTCACACCGGTCTTCCGAAGAAAAAAATTTATCTTTCGCCCCCTCTCCCTACGTATCAAGATATGTAACATGTGAATATATAATCTCTATATTCATGCAGAAATTAGTCTTTGGATATATCTTTATATATAAGGATATATATGCGTATTAGAATATTGTGACAGCTCGAGGTTTGTTCCTTGATTTCGATCCGTCAGTATGCACTTATTATTATCTTTTGGCCGGTATGCAGCACCTATGTACAGCAGCTCATCTTATGCGAGGTGTCGAGTATGTTGGGTTGGTTCTTAGGTTTGGATATATCTATTATGCGGGTCTTTGCAGTGGTTCGCTTTCTAATCACGGGCTCTAGGCTTCCGTCCGAGTCTTCTCCACTATCTTCGTCATTGCTGGTACTAACAACCTCGTCGTCGTATTGCTCGTTGAGCGTGGTGGACTCCTTCATCTCTTCATCTTCTTCTAACACTGCAGTGCCTTCTAGTTCTTGCTCGGCCTTCTCCTCATAGCATCCGTTATTGACAAGGTCCACAGTGATGTTGTTCATTGCCTCGTTGAGCGAGTCAAAATTCTTGCATGTGACTTCAAAGTTCCCAGCTATCACTAGACCATATCGGCTCTCGATCTCTTCTATTGCGGCAATTACATCCTCGTGCGTGACTTCTCTCTGCTTGTACAGATCAGTTTTGTTACCAATGAAGTAAAAGCGGGCCTTTTCGTAGTCCCTGGCTGCAAAATGGCCCATAGCCTCCACTAACCAGTGCTCGTAGCTGTTCTTGAAGCTACACTTGTCCGTGATATCATAGCTGAGAATGATTGCATTGGATTTCTTATACAAAGAGGGCATGATAGCATTACGATACCGTTCCTGACCAGCGGTGTCCCACAGAATGCAGTTGAATATTCGGTTATCAATATTTATTATGTTGGTCTTGATATCTACCCCAATGGTTGTCTTCGTATCTACTATGAGCTCCTCTGGGTCGTAGTTGAGACTACTGCTCTCTGATTCGACATCTTTTACAATTTTGAAGTCCCTCTGTGCCATGAAATCGTTTTCCTTATAGTCATCGTAATCCGTCGAACTGTACCTTTTCCTTTGATCTTGCATGATATCCGATTTACGCTCGTAAGCCCTCGCAGTCAGTGACCTTCTAACCATCTGATTGCGTCCCGACCGGTTGCTCGAACCAGCCCTATTTGGGGTGGGGCTCAACCCGATGATGTGCTCCCATTGTGCCCTCGTCGGCAGTTCCCTGCAATAGTTCAGTATCATCGCGGTCTTCCCCACCCCAGCATCGCCTATAAACAGCACTTTTATGTTGGCCGCATTGGATTCTATCGCTGACATCGACAGCGACTCCCGAGAGCACATTACGTCATTCATGTACGCAGACGAGCTCAAACCGAGCCCCACTGAGCTATTCCTGTACACCGACCCACCGCTGAGCGAGTTCGACGAGGACAGCGTCCTGTAAAAAGAATGCCGCGAATTCCTGTTAGACTTGTCAAAATGAAACGATTCCGTAGATCCACCGCCGAACGGCGAGTTCCAAGGCGAGGTCCCACTCGCTTCCGTAAAATCCATTCCAGAGAACCGCCGCTCAGATGGGGACGGCGACACTACCACGTTCAAGGAGTACCGCTTCCTCCTGCCATCAGCCATCACTTGTGTCCTTATTTCTACCTAGTTTCACTCACAGAACTACATCTTCAAGACTAACAGGGCTGACTTCAACTTCTCTTCAACCCATTTGATCTGCACTACCTCGAAGCCCAAGAGGCAGCGCGACTTTGAGAGCCCCGGAAAGCGACATTGGCGAAAGTGCACTCAAAGACGTCACGTGTAAATTATATTGCCGGTTAAAACGCAATAAGGCTCAGCTCATCGCAACAACTCATCGAAAAGGGTTATAGCTATGAATGGCATTTCTTTATCCTGTATGTATGTGTGTGGGGCAGTAGTTAGATTACGTATTGTGCTCTCGGATAAGCCTTTGACACAAATTTTTAAGTGCCATTCGAAGTTGTCATAAGGCACCAAAACGGGTGATTCAAACCGGGCTTAGTTTTAAACTTTTCTTATCAAGAATCTTACTTTGACACATTTTTGTTATATAAGGGTTTCATAACCCCTCATTGATCATTTCAATAATCTGTATTGTCTTGTAGTCTCCAGACCTAAGTCAAAACAAGTAAGAAATAACAGATAAAAATGAGTGTCAATAAGAATTCGTATGTGCCTCTCCCCAACGAGAGCGCTCCGCCACCATACCAGGAAGAGGATCCTGCTCCAAACCTGTACAATGTCCCCGATGACTTCAAGTGGTCGACCAACGTGAGTGCTTGTGAACCACTGGTCAGACAGCAGTTCCTTCATAGAGTGTACTCCATATTGTCAACGCAGCTGCTGGCTACGTTGTCGATGGGCTACTTGACCTACAAATGGGAGCCTTTGCGTGAGTTCACTAACTCCAATACATGGCTGGTGATACTGGCCTCTATAGGTTCCATACTGACTTGCATATGGCTTGCCTTTGCCCCAAGCGTGGATGACTATGTGCCAGAAGATGAGGCTAATTACACCGGTGAAACTGAAACGAACAATGAGCTAAGACCCGCCAAGGCACCATGGTACTACTTGTCAAAGAGAGGCCAGTACGCTGTGCTAAGTGTGTTCACCATTTGTGAAGCATACTCCTTGTCGACCATAACACTTGCCTATGACCCTCAGATTATTTTGAGTGCCGTCCTTATAACCACCGTGGTCATAGTGGGTGTCTCCCTGGTGGCGCTGTCAGAGAGATTCCAGTTTCTAACAGAGTCCGCCACTACTATATACTTCTGGCTGAACTGGGGATTACTTCTACTGTTCGGTATGGTGCTTACCGGTGTATTCTTCGGCTTCAGCTCTAAGATGAACATTTTCTACGCTTGGTTCGGGGCCGCCTTGTTCACCATATACCTACTAATGGACACCCAGATGATCTTCAGAAAAGTACGTCCAGATGAAGAAGTTAAGTGTGCTATGATCCTATACGTCGATATTATCAACTTATTTTTGCATATCCTAAGGATCCTCTCTAGTAGAGAAAATGAATAATCGAAGTCATTCTGACTATCACGCTTTTAAGTTTTTGTACCTGTAACATTGCCTATGTAACTATATAACAATTGACTTTTAATGACATCATGTACTAGTTTTCGTCTACTTCCTCCCACTTCCTACATATAATAATAATCATCTTTTCGGTGTACTAGATTAGACTATGATCCCATTAATTTCAATTTTTGCCTAGATACTTTTGTTTGTTCTATATAATATTAGTGTTTAATAAATGCGCATCATATACAAAAGGGTGCGAAGTAAAATGGTCAGCTTTAAAGACACTGATCATTGCCCCATGCTAAATGATGTGAGAAAGATGGTAATGATGTGAAGAACGTTTAAATTTTTTTTAAAATTACTAGTTAAAAATACAGATTTGAAAAAAATGTTTTATTGCAAAAACTTGTATGACGAATAATATAATATTTTTTTCTAAACCGTTTAGATGTAACCGATTCTGTTGGCAATGTCCAAAGCATCGTAGTCGGCAGTCAATCTAACGAAAGCCTTCTTGTTACCCTTGGCGGTGATCAAAGTGTTGACCTTCATGACATCGACTTCGTATAGCTCCTTAACGGCCTTCTTGATTTGGTGCTTGTTAGCCTTCAAGGAGACTTGGAAAACCAAGATGTTACCGTCTTCAACCTTCTTCATAGCGGTTTCAGAAGTGATTGGGTGTTCGATAACCTTGTAAGAGTCCAATCTGTTGTAGTGTGGAACAGACTTGGAAGCGTACTTTGGAGATCTAGCCAACTTCAAGGTCTTTGGCAATCTGAAGGTGGCAGAAGTTCTGGTCTTCAAAGCCTTCTTACCGTTGGTACCCTTGACAACAGCCTTCTTAGCAGCACTAGCCTTAGCTGTAAATAATGCATTCCCTCTCAACATGATGTTTTCCTTCCTTCCCTCTGTTTTCAATAAATTTATCCTCCTAGCTACTCACCATCAAAATTTCCATGAAACTGAACATTTTAAACTCATATATCAAATCTCCAACTCTATTAATTCAGCAATCCAAAAGTCACCTTATTAAGACATAAAATTTCATCAATATTAGGATAATCCACTAGCCTAGGACTTTATTTTTTTGAAACAGGAATATTCAGATAGGGAAAGGTGTAAAAACAAAACAAATAGTGAGAATATCTATGTTAGTATTTTAATTCATTTAAGATTCTTTAGATGACAGGGAAATTTACCGAGAATGATGCTACAGCAACGCCAGCAACTATTTCATTTTGAAACTCTCAATAATTCACGATTCCTTCTATCGCACTAATCAGCTTACCACACGCTACACGTCTTCCTACTTCTGCCTGCTTCTGACATAGTGTCATTCACTTATTTAGCGTTATTCATAGCGCTTCGCATCGATCTTATAGGTGGGAGATTCTCTATTCATTCTATGCCAATTTCCTCGGTCTTTCTCAATTTCACTGCAATTATTCTAATTTAACATACCAGATGGAGCCATTTTTGTATATTATCGTTCTTGGAGGTCCTGTTAATGAAAGCAATAGCAAGCAAGAAACAAATACTACAGTTCAAGATATATATCAATAGGCCACTATCCTCTCTTGATTTTTTTTTGTGATAACTTTCATCTTTGCAAAATTCCACTGGTGAAACCACAGAGAGATGCCAGACCAGTAGTGGGTACCCAATCCACATTGTGGTCGTGCAACGATTCACAGCGACACCAAATGAGGATTTCTGGTCAGTGATAGTTCCAATGCCGCTTCAGAGCACAGTATCGATGCCACTACACTGTACCACCACCAGCTAGGCTCAACTGGTAGTAGGAAAGGGGGCTGGTCTGGCTTGGACAGAGGGGGGGCCATCCTCCTGGGGTTACTGGGATTAGGCCCAAGGAGCTCACCACTTGCCTGGGAACGGATACCACCAGCCTGGGATCAGTCTCGGTACTGCCTAACCGAGCCCAACCAAACTGTGTTACAAGCAATCCACAACGGGTACAAGCCTTTCCCCGGGGGCCTGGTGGTAGCAAGAGGTGTTCCCTACTGCTGAATCCGCCACCTTGCCACCTTGCCACCTAGGTTCAGTGATGGTCCAGCCTAGTACAGCGCTGAACCCGAACGTATTCTGTGTTGCAAGATCCTCTCTACACAGAATGGTCCCACCTCAGGAGGAACCAATAGCTCTTCTCTCCAAGAGGTTTCGCCTAGTGGCAGGGTCTAGAGAACACATCCTCAACTAGCTACTGTGTGTTCACAATATGCTACCGGAATAGGAAATAATTGGTACCTCACATTGCCTTGGGTTTCCAGGGTGAAAAACAGAAATAGGGTCGTAAACAGGTATACACCCACACACCATCAGAACGTCACAAAATATAGAAGTACTAGTTGTTGAGTCACATGTGTTATACTAAACGAGAAATGTACGTACACAGGCACCGTAAGTACCGTGATCATATTCGTCAACCCCATGCTGCTAGATGAATCACATGATTATATTCAGATTGCAACGAAGAATCAAAAACTGGTTTGACCAAACCAATCTAGTCGGTAATGGGTTGGCAGTATCATAGAGAGGTGCCTTCCATTACATATATACACTTTTATTATAAGACAAAAATTCGTTTGTCTTTTTTTTGAATTATGTGTGTTACTATGAGAATCTCGTCTTGCTGAATGTTTTTTTATTTACTAGAGATGAATGTGTAATAACAAATATTATTTACATGTTGCATAGTAGCCCTTCTACTGAAAGAGGCGGATTATGTCGAGTAGTCTTTTTTCTTGGCTTCCCAGATGACATGGGGAGTTACAATTACGAGAGCTGAGCCCATCATAATCTTCTCATTCTTGGTGACCTCACACCACCGAATTTCAATGCTGTCTTGTCACTGATTCTCGTTACTTTCCTCCTTATCTCATTACCTTCTTTACCGTTTAGAGCCGCAATGAACGCCGTCCTACCTTTACCAAAATCATCCATTATGATCTCTATATCTTTGTCCATCAATCCCTTTTCTTTAATCATCTGGAACACTTTTGTAGTGGTTTGGAACGCTGCTTCGTATTCACCTCTCAGCGCTTTTCTGAACCCAAGACATCCTGTAGAGATGGCAAACTTAACTTTCTGCGGCAACCGCAAGTAATACAGATACTTCTCGTTGTATGACAGTTCCGGGTTGTTCACCAAGTAGTTCTTGTCCTCCACGACAGCAGAGTACGTGAAGTGCGTGTTGTTTTTACGGAAAACACAGTTCAACTTGTACTTCAAAGGAACTTCCAAAGACTTACCCTTCATGGCTCGCTTCTCCCCATACGGATTAGATATATTAGCCACTTCGTCTTTCCTTGTAAGATCCTTCACCGCACCGGCAAACGAAATACGCCCACCATCGGCAACGCTGCTGTTCAACCTCCTACCAGCCAGCAGCCATTTTGAACCCAGCGACCGCAGCATATTTTTTGGTAAAATTTAACTAAATAGAATCCCTCCTTACAGTGCTTACAGGAACTTGATCTATCCCGAGCTCCAACTCACGGAAGCTATGTTAACACCCTTCCATATATACCAATCCGTATAACTTTCCTCATGGAACTTCGGAATTCCCACAGACCCACAATATAGCGATCAACGACTACAAATCATATGATTTCTGTACCCGTACAACATGTCTGGAAAATTTTGAAAAAAAAAATGCGATGAGCCTTTGCGATGAGCCTTTGCGATGAGCATAGCCGACTAATGCAGAGGGCATCGCAGATCAAGGCAGTATATTTGGCAAGTGGAAGCGTACATCCTTGTGTCATTGTAATTAGCTGAGATTTACCGAAAGATAGTAAATAAAGCAATACACATACAACATGCCTAGAAAGAAGTCTGCTGCTAAGAAGGCTAGGGAAGCCGCTGCCAAGACTCAAGGTGAGGTGCCTGAGCAGAAAATCAGTGAGGAAGTTGAAGCCAAGCCCTTGGATGCCAACGATGAACACGAGGATGCTAGTGATGAGAGTTCTAGTGAGGAAGAGGACGACTACGGTGAGCTGCTTACTGAGGAAGTTGAAGATGGTATCAAGAATGTGCTTACCGCGATCAGAAACAATGAAAAGGATAAGTTGCTGAACCCAGAGGTGAAATTCTTTGAGGATCCAGAGAAGGCTGCTGAAAAGATGGAAGTAAGTGAAAAACATAAACCCGTTTACCTGAAGGATTACCACAGAATGAATATTCTTTCTGGTAATGCATTGAAGGATGATGACGAGTTGGATGAAGATGAGCTTGAGACCGTTGATGGGAAACAATCCTTCGTCTCTCAGCAGAGAGAGGAGAGACAACAGCTATTAAATGAAATTAATAATGCTTTTGATGGGGACGACCAGAAATCCGAAGAAGAAAATGATGACGAAGATGACGATGGGTTCCTGAAGAAGAAAGAAAAGAAGATGGAAGTCTCTAAGACCGATCCATTAAGAGAAATTGACCCAAACAAGGACGAGGACAAGTTTCTTGAAGAGTTTGTGAACCAGCATGCTTGGATACCGAAAAAGGGAGACAAAATCATCTCACTAGATGGTGGAATGGACATGGAAGAAGATGACGAAGAATTCGACGACGCAGTGGAACAGTTTGAAAATGCTTATAATTTCAGATATGAGGATCCTAATGCCGCTGAGATTGTATCTTATGCTCGTACACAGGCCACTCTGAGAAGATCGAAGACATCCTCTCGTAGAAGAAAGAGAGAAGAGGAGAAATCTCATAAGGAGGAAGAGAAGAAAGAAAAGGAGGAAAAGATACAAAAGAAGAAGGTGAAGAAAGTAAATAAGGTCACTGACATCTTAACACAGATCAAGAAAGAATATGGGGCTGATATAAGTGAAGAAATGGTTGAAAAGATCACTTCCACACTGATGAATAACGACTACAAGGAAGACGAGTGGGATAATGTGGTTGCTGAATTGTTCAATGAAGAGTTTTACGCTCAAGAAGGTAAGCCTGAATGGGATGAAGATGATGAGATTATGGCTGATTTCTACAAAGAAGGTGAAGAAGTTAATGATGGACAAGAACCACCGGAATTAGACACAAATGACACAACGGAAACCAACGACCAAGATAACGCTGGCCGCTCAAAGAAGAAGAGTAAGATAGAAGAAAAGAAGAGTAAAAAGAAGGAGAAAAAACAACTTCAAGAGATGGTTGAAACAGCAATCGAGAAGAACAAAATGGCTATTATCGATGAAGTTGAGGAAGAAAGAGGTAGAAGCCGCGAAAAGGAAGAACTGAAATTTCGTTACAGAGAAGTTTCGCCAGAAAGTTTTGGCCTTTCAACTCGTGAAATTCTGGCCGCTGATGATACTGATCTAAATGAGTTTATCGGTCTAAAGAAGTTTGCCCCATACAGACCTAAAGAGCTTAGAGCCAAGGATAAGAGAAAGGTTACCAAGTCTAGAAGACTAAGGGAATGGAAGAAAAAGGTGTTCAATAATGAATCTGGGTTAACGGAAGAGCAATTCATTGCACTAATGGAAAAGGAAGGTAGTTCTGAACCACCAATGAAAAAACATAAAAAATCTCATGACAAAGATAAAAAGAACAAAAATTCTCACAAAAAGAACAAGAAATAAGCGATTTGTTTGTTTTTATTTCACATATAAAACGTCATATATTATGTTGTACTTTTATCTTATTAAATATAATGCATTATTTTTTTTCTATATTGATTGCAAATCAATAAGCGGAATTGATAAGAATAAAAAATTTTGATAATAAAAATGTTACCTAAATAAAAGTTCTTTATAAAAATATACCAAGATGAAAATAATAAAGTGTTACCATAGAGAATTGATCTGCCAACAGACGCTTGGCGTAAAAATTAGAAAAGGGATCAATCAGCCTTAAGTCATAATTACCAACTGATATCAGAATATAATTAATACATATCTTAACCGTAATATTGTCCGATTTTAAAAGTTAGAACGATTGCCGTTTCATTTTGGGTTTAATAATACATTCAACTGTAATTACAATGTTTCAAGTAACAAATTCATACAATTCTTTCCAGAAATATATCAATTATCAAGTACAAAGTCTCAAATTTCAATTTCAATTTCCAAACCACCTTAATAGTATATCAAACGTCGCTAGCTATTCTAGTGGGCGATGAGTGTACAGAGCCCCCCTCCACAGGACCGACTGCTAATGCAGATTTGGCTTGCATTTCAGTCATGTGGGAATTTCCAAGGTCATTTAGTGATACTTGAGGGGATGGACTAAATATGTTCTGTAAATAATCACCCATATTGAAATTTGGAGTTTTCAATAAGTTTGTATTGGTTTGGTGGTGAAGTTCACGCGATGGAGTAGAAGGTACTGGCAAGTGAGTGGAGACCGCATGCCCACTACCAGACCCGGGTCCGGGCGAGGCCAATTTCTTCTTATTAGCTGAAGGAGATAAAGCAGATCCTAGATACAGTGATGGGGAGTCCATCAAAATATCAGGGAACCATTGACCATTATTGGCTTGGGAGCCAACAACATGTGGTACTTTAAAAGTAGATTGAGGAGAGTTTAATGAAGCCTTCAATGCGGAGAATCGTACGGCATCGTCATTCATCTCTTGAGTATGTGAATGAGACATGTATAGTGATGTATATGGTGTTGTAGGAACCTTAGTCACGGATGACACTGAGTTCTTTCTATTGTAAGTTGTATTGTGAGCTCTAGCTGAAGAGTACGGACTAGTAGCAAGGTACATCAATAAATCAGCACCAGTGCTATCGTCTGTATTATTCTTGTTAACACCAGCTTGCTTCTTTTGAGAGGAATTACCACGTTTAGGCGTACTAGGTACTTTAGTTAATGTGGCAGTGTCTGCCTTAGTCATTGCATTTTTCTCAGCTGAGTTGAGACTATTTGTGAAAGCCGTGTGTGCGTTAGTTAATTTTGGTGTTGTAGGAGTCCGGTTATCATAGCTTGATTTCTGTGGTATATGTACAGACGCTGGTCTAGAGGCAGTCTTTGGCGGAGTAGAAGGTCTCACAAATCTTCTGGAAACAGGACTTACATTTTCGCTAGACTCACCATCCTTTATGCCATCGAGCAGCACTTTTTTCAGAGGTGAGGCATTCATTATAGCACTCATTTCTCGTGGATCACCAGATTGTCTCTTTCTGGGACTCACCATACTGGCTCTCGATCTTGGTGTAGCACTATAAGCACTCCCTAAAGTGTAGTTATCAGTAGAATCATCTGTTATATCCGCCTTCGTATGGTTCTCTTCATATTGCTCATCATCACGCGTCTCACTAGGCACTTTACTCAGCCCAATTTTCAGCTGTCTCCGCATCTGCGCCAATTGCGCACGCTCCAGTATCTTAGACGCCAACTCATCCTCCTTCTCACGCGATATGTCAGCCATTCTTCAATATTCTATGTTCCTCCTCGCCCGCGCAGAGTATTTTCTGTTCCTTCTTAATATCACGTTCCCTTTGAGCTTCCCTTTCAATCAGCAGCAATCAAAGGCCAAGTAGAACGTATATCACCTCCAGAGAGCTTCCAGGATCGATCTTTGATATACAAAGCACAGTGCCAAATGCAAAAGTTTTGGATTAACGGGACTCGTTCTGTTGCCCACTAATGCTGGGCAAAACTTATAATTCCTAAAAGGGAAAAACATCGAATTTTGACAAATTTTTCAGAAAAGCAATAGTGAAGCTTTGGCATATATGAACAAACTAGTGCAGAAGACTAATGTTGTGATTGTGATCTCAGTATATAAGTATAAACTATACTCTGGTGAGCATCTATTTCAGTGTTGTTCATTGCTTGCAATTTTTTTTTTTCTTCTGGGAGTATTTATTGACTTTTTCCATTTGAAAACAGGCCATTTTTATTGACAATGTTGAGACTTTTGAGAGGAACAGGAGCTGTTAGAGCGCTAAGGTACACCAATGCTAGGAGTTTAAATAGAGCTATGGCAGGTGCTGTAGTTAGCGGCAGACACTTAGGTGGCAGAGCCGCTCCGTTGTGCCGTGCAAGCCAGTTTTCTACCACAGTGGCAAAGCTACAGTCTCAGGACAACGACAAGACCTACCCGCTGGGGTCTTTTAAAGTGGACCAGCCGCAAATTATGATTGCGTTCACATGTAAGAAGTGTGACACCAGGTCTTCTCACACCATGTCCAAGCAGGCTTACACGGGAGGCACTGTGCTGATTACTTGTCCCGGTTGCAAGAACAGACACTTGATTGCTGATCATTTGAAGATATTTAGCGATGACAGAATCACTATTGAAGATATACTGAACGCAAAGGGTGAATCCGTTTCTCAAAGCACAGACGACTTGGTCTTCGAAGATATACCCGAATCCTTGAAGGAAACCATTGGCCACTACGCATCAGACGCACCTGAGTCATACAAGAAACGCCTAGATAACGAGAAAGTACACACACTTCCACACCCTGAGGAGAAGTAAAAAAACTCCGCTTGTTCAACCTGTACATATGTTTTTATAGAGTTATATTTATTTCATGAAATGTTATATTGGCACAGGTTAAGCCGTGCATTCACCAATTCTTAATGAAATGGCATACTTGCCCGTAATATTATGCGGCAACCTCATTAATATTCCTCTATCCATGAATACTGGCATCTCCAAGAAAATATACTTTTCCATAAGTCCAAGTAAGAAGTCCAAACCGAATTCTATGCTCATCGCTGTCGCTTTGCTCATCGCTCTTCCATTTCTGCCACAGTTTTTCTGCATTTTGCTGCTTGAACAAAGCGATGAGTCAAGCAACAGGAAGAATCATACCAATAATTTTGTTTAAAACTTGCATATATAGCACGAATTCTCGAGATAACCAGGTAGTATAAGCTCATCATTTCATTTTGATTATCAGACCAAGTCCCACAAATGAGGAAACTGCAACTCTTTGGAGGCTCCAAGTACTTCTCTTTATCACAGAAGGAGGGAAAACCTGTGCATAAGAACATTAATAATCAAGAAAAGGTAGAAGATGAAGTCGAGGATGAAACTGACGATCAATTGAGTCTGCTTTCATTACCTCCCAAGATTTTACGTCGGATATTGAGCCATTTAGATTCTGCTTCGCTTATTGCATTGACACATGTCCACTCAAAGCTATACAAAATTATCAGTAATGAATTCCTTTTCAGTAATATAGTGTTGGACTCAAAGATATCGCTACTGAAATTTAGCGCAATGATACATTCGGAATTCCATACATCCAATGCGCTGGTTAATGGTACTCGTGGTAGCACATCACCCCAGGAAAATAAGAGTCAAAATGTGCGGTTTCTAGTCCGTTCAGTGGAGTTTGTAAACCCGCAATCTCATGACTCTCTTCTCAAATACAGTAAGTTTCATAAAAAGAATGATACCGGGTCCTTGATAGGGGGATCATACAACTTCAACACATCTAGTGAGATACCGATAAGTAAACTGCCGACATCGCCGAAGGCGGAAGATAGGCCAAAGAGTAGCTCATTAGCACAAACAAGTTTTGGAGGTAAATTAGATACACACGAAAACACAAGATCATCCAGTAGGACAAGAAGTACAAATCACTATAAATGCTATAAACTGATGGAGAAATTCGAACATAAGTTCTCCGGCTACACATACATTGAGTTAATGCTTGATATCATAGATTATTTACCCAACGTGACGCATGTAAAATTGAGTAATGTTGATCCTAGTTTTAAAGTTCCGTTGTGGTATTCTGTATTTAACGATGGATCTAGAGATTTCTTCAAGAAGATTATAAAGGGTCAACAATCCATTACTAATGATGATTTGAGAACATTTGAGCTATCGAAGGAATTTGTTAGGGAGTATGAAAAGAAATTTTATCATTTACCATTGTTGAAATCTTTGGAAATATCAGCTGCAATTGATAAGAAACAGACTAAACCAGTTGTGTTTCGTCCCAATCTCATTTGTTGTTTCGGAGTAATACAAGAATTGACACTGGAAAATATTACCCTTGACAAGGAATCCTTCGAGACACCTATGGAATTTGTCCCATTACATCTTCGTCTAGAAGAAACCAACGATTTGCACGTCAACGGCAAGCCTACATCATTGGAGTTATACAATCTTCATTCGCCCGTATCGTCATTGACATTACGAGCATGCACTATAATCCAAGGAAATGGTATCTTAAGGTTAATACACAATTATTTCAAAGATGTAAAAAATTTACAGTTACTTGAGCTCTCAAGCAAGTATGACTTATTCCTTTGTAATTGTTTCAGCTCACTTTCAAATTTAACTATCGATTGCAACAGCGCTTGCTTCACCAATGAAATGACAGTTAATGACGATTACTACTTGAAAGAAATAACACTGTCTAATGAAGATGAAACGAACTGTGATGACAATATTTCTGTAACGGAAACTCTTCTAGAATCATCCTCTAGGGTCGTCATTCAAGCCCCTCCACCAACATCTGCTGTAGTAGTCTCATTGAATTTGGACTATATCTCAAAGACTAGTGGAAGTAATGCACAAGAAAACCCCTTACCATCAGATAGCAAGAAACCAGCATTGATTACAAAATCTCAGGGTGATTACTTCAGACAGCTTAGAATCCCTACATTCCATTACTTTTATCACTATTATAAATCGATATGGGAAAGAATACCGCATAAAAATGTAAATATTAATATTATTAATATTCCTTTTACAAACGTTTACCCAATGTCTCCGAAAGGATTAGCGGAAAGTATGATAGTTTCTAGTGACGCCAACGACCAAGAAACGTTAATTGCATACCGACCATCCGGCTACAGTGCTCATGATGTTCCCACATCTTCGATAATACATGTTTCAGAAGAAGCTAGAGAATTTAATAGTACACAATATTACTGGGAGAACGGTGTTAGAAGGTGCTATTTGGACGCCATACAAGAATTGAGAGAGTCTTCATCATATTATCAATCAATGACACAGCATGAGATTTTGGATATGATAGATTACGAGGCTATTAATGGTTATCAAAATTTCAAGTTCTATAAAGACATTCCAAATGTAAATCTTTGGTGCTTTTTGAAATCATTATCAAAGTTCAAATCTGTCAAAATCAACCTATTACGAACGTGGTTGTACTGTACGCCGAGATCAAGGTATGATTGGGAGTTGCTTCTAAAACCAGTACTGAATGTCAATGTTCCAGTTATAGTTACTGATAGAGATGGCTACGTTGTTTATTCTTATGGCCAGCATAAAATGCATTAAATATTCTTATATGAACTGTTCAGCATTTTCACTAACATTTATATTTATTACAGGTATCTTAGTACTTACATATTTACGATTGACTTAACCATGCAATTGACGAGTGACAAACCACATCATTCTCATGCATACAGAATAGTAGACTAAGTTTTGATCATGTTTTGTTCTTTTAAAAATAACTAGTATTTCAATAAAACTGTATATATTAAACTAGTTAGTGAAAAGTTCATTACGTTAGCCGCGCTGTGTCTAATCCACAGCAAAGAAATGATTATCATCTAATGTTGGATATATGAAACCTTGCTCTGTTAGCGTTGTACAACAATTTCTGACAGTTGTTTCATCTATATCTAAAGATTGAGAAATCAAAGGGATTGGTACAGCAAAGGTGTTTGCGTCTTTACCAACACATTGTTGCTTGCAGAATTCCAATATTCTCTGCAATGGGTTTTTGTTACCAGCTCCTTCGTCATCTTGAACAAACAAGGATTGTCCTGCACCTTCGTTGTCTCCAGAAGCCAAAGAACTGCCTTGCATTTTACCGTTCGCTATGGCATGGCATTTAATAGCCTCTAGATGATGGGCAATTACGTCGTTGAATGAGTCTACATTCTTGATGACAGCATACTGGATGTTTTTCTTCCCACCAAATTCTTTCAAAGCACCAAATACTTTAACATAAGTTCCTATCTGATATTGCTGTGCAATTTGTGATTCACCGCCTTTCATTTCCCCAAAACCATCATCACCGTCCGTTCCCTGAGCAACATCAGAGCTATCGTCACTCCATTTTCTTACTTCAATCTGCCCCGTACCATCTTCTAATGTCAGATATATATTAGACGTGTGGTCAGTAATATTCCTCACCACACCAACGAAACACACATGGTGTAATTCTTGGTTATGTGTTATAAAGGGCCCATCCTGGATGGCCTGTTGTGAATCCAATATCTGCTTGATAGTAACGGGAGTTAGCGTGTTGGTGTTGGAACCAGTACCAGAGTCCATAGTGTTAGGCCTCGAATCAGAGTTCTCAAACCCTCCACCGGTAACCGATGAGAATTCATTGTAAGGTTGATAAGTCGCCATCGCCTAGTTTTCCAAGTTCTTGTTCTTTGTTCTTTTGCTGCACAGCCTGAATAACTAAGTCACAAACAAAATTATACCCGCCGTGAAGTCTATACACCTGCGCACTAATAATATAACACAACTCTGCAATTGCCACTATTATGCTCAATTCTTCCAGTTTAGTCTGCGAGTGGTGACGCGTCGCTTCCAGCTGAATTTCGTCTGATCATTAGGCTTCGCGAAAACAATGTGTGCTCAAAGTCACGTGCAACAATATAGACTTTATAGAATAATACCAATGTAGCTATCGCGGTTCATGAACAGCAGCATTTCATCATGGGGGATAGTCCATCAACTCTTGCTTATCTTTCTCCTTTCTCTATTTCCGTTGTCTTCTGGGTTTTATAACACATTAGTCGGCGGGGTTTCATGCTCTTTTGCGCAACTTCTACATTCAATGATCAATTCTTTCATGCAGCATTTCGATATGGCAGTATTACCATGACTGATATCCAACAATAAATATATTGATGTGTGCGTATCTTCTGTCCATTAATTTGGACAAATGGAGCACACTTCTATGAATAAATATGTGGTTCTATGCGTGCGATCTATATTGCGTAGTCTCTTGCGGTTGGATACATTGCTAATCATGATTCCTTGGTTGGAGTCTCAAGCAATGAAGTTATAACATTCAGTATTTGCAACTGGATGGCCCGATTTTGTTTCTTGTAACTTAGAAAATCAGCCTGTGTCATGTACTTTTTGCTCAGCTCTGCCTCTTTCATAATCATCAATTGGTCCTCCTGCTTCTGCTGATCCGAGAGCTTCCTGACTAGATCCTGGATAGTATGTACGTCCAAGCTGTTTTTCCTAGTTGGAATCCTAGTGTCTCCATCGAATATAGAAGTGTCAAGGGGAGTGCCCGCCGTCACTGTACTATCCTCCATTGTGGGTTGGCCAGCCAATCCCGTATCTTGTATAGAAGGCTTCTTAGCGTTCTTAGGCATCCCAATACTTATCGTATCCAGGGGAGGAGGTGTGGGCTCGATGATGTTGTTTATAGTGCTCTGCTTCAATAGTTGGCCCCCGAGCATCGGAAGACGGGGCACCAATGCCGGCTCCGGTGGTCGTCCGCCGCTCGCTAGAGCACCCTGGGACATACCATTGTCCCGCACTATGGGATCTTTTACAGACACACCATCTGACTCAGAGATCAACCGCTCCAGCAGAACCAGCTCCGCTTCGCTGTATCCCTTAAACTGCTCGCTGCCCCTGTCCTGCAGATACATATACTTCAACCGCTCAAATTTGTTCTTAATGGTCCTGATCTGCCGGTACTTCGTATGCAGCCGGCTGTTGTAATCAGCAAGCACACGCTCCCAGCTGTGCAACCGGTATGCATACGGCTTCAAGTGCGGCTTGTACTTGTCCATCAGCTCCAAGAGCACTATGGCACTCTGCTGGCTCTCAACCCTCATCTCATAGAGGGGATTCTATCACAAAGTCTACACAATGGTCTCAAACCTCTCCAACGACTGCAAGTCCACCCCAAGTTATGCCTATTCGACAGCTTTCTAGCCTTCCAGTCGATTTTTCCAAAAATTTGGCAAAAAGCTTCAGGCATTAAGCTTAAAAATGGACCTCCGACTCGAAGTATCTTAGCCATTAGTTGTAAGCTCTTGTAACCTAGGAGTGGTCCATTATTCTGAACATATGCTTACTAGATCCCTAGTTCCAGCTTTGAGGAGGCGAATTACGGTAGTCGCTAGACAGTATAGTATCGAGGACAGGTACAAGGAGAAGCTATTGCAGAAGGCCAAGGCTGAAGGAGTTGAGAGCATCGAGGAGTTGAAGAAGCGACTAGCAGACCAGATCGAGGAGAAGAAGAAAGAACTCAACAAGATCGATCCCTTGCGTGAATTAGAGCAGCATTTGAACGCGGGTAGTCGTATTCACACCAATAAAGAGCACAAAACCACAAAGATGTCTAACAAGAGCAACGAAAAGAGTGGCAATGTATTGCCAAAGGACAAGCCTTATAAGACTCTGGATGACTACTTGAAATTGGACAAGATCAAGGATTTATCTAAGCAGGAAGTTGAATTCTTGTGGAGAGCCAAGTGGTCTAATAGGGATGACTCCCTAGTGGCAGTGGTGCCATACGTCAAGACTTTCCAAGGCATGTACAAATATGCGGTCAAGAACCCCTTGTTTGTGTTGCCATTACCTAGAGAAAATGCAGCCGATGGCAATAAAGCTGACAAGGATAGCGTACCAGTGGAACTGCAGTATGTCCAATGGCAGTTTGCTGGGCCAAACACTGTGCATTGCCTGATAACCTCTCTTGCGGAGTACAAGTTACACCAGGATTTTGCCAAGCCACATACTACTATCCAATTCCATTTGGATTTAGCTAACGATAAGGATATGGTGCTCATGAATGGGCAAGTCGAGTCGGACAGTAACGTCTCTTTACAAGATGCACAACTTCTGCTTCTTAATGTGCAAAGATTCTACGGGGCCATGGGTTCCGAGACGAGTATAGCCAAGGAAAGGATACAACTACTGGAGGACTTCAATAAGGGTTCTCAAAACTTTGATATCAATAAGCTTATCCAGCTCGCCCAGTCAATGGAGAACTAGTTTGGGTTCATATAACAACCAAACCGACTGCCTCCATTATTGTTAATCAGTCAACCCGAGAATCGCCGAAGAGACTTTCATTTAAACTTGTACATACTATACATACTTACTGCTGAATAAAAGACATAAATATCATTTGAATTGTTAACCAATTGTGCTTCAGATATGATGCAATATTCTTGCAAATATCTTATCTATTACTCATCGCAAAGTGAAAAAAAATCCGACACTTTAAGAAAAGAGTACTGCTAGCGATGAGCTGACAATATTGCGTTGCCTGAAGGTAAATGGTGTTAATAGCAACTTAATTTGAAGTTAAATTGGATCTAGTTTGCAAGTGGTTATGACGGTGAAAGTTCTTTTCCTGGGTCCTGAGGGTACTTACTCGCATCAGGCAGCTATCCAGCAGTTTAGTCATCTGGTTGATTATAACGTAGTGTATGAAGCTGTGGATTCCATTCCTTCTTGTGTGGATAAGTTAATCGAGCATGACAATGACATAGAAGACGTCGATCTGTATTCGGTGGTGCCATTGGAGAACTCCACAAATGGACAGGTAGTTTTTACTTATGACATTTTAAGAAATCTTATGCAAGGTAGTAACGGCACAAATATGAGGATTCGAGAGAATCAAGTGGTTGCTCCAATTACAATTGTGGGAGAGCAATATGTTTCAATTCTACATTGTTTGATTAGTCCTGATCCGAGCATAGGCATTGAGTCATTACAAAATTACGATACTTTAAAGATATATAGCCATCCCCAAGTGTGGGGACAGGTATCAAAGTATCTGGTCGAACTACAGAAAAGATTTCCAAACTTGAAGCTGGAGAGAATAAATTGTAACTCAACCTCGGAAGCAGTCCTACAAGCAGCTGAGGAACAATCGTCAAGCCAATCTTCTGGTATTTTAAACCTAGCAATTGCGAGTGAGATCGCTGCATCGATTTACCAGTGTTATATTATTCAACACAGCATCAACGATATACTGGGTAATACCACAAGATTTTTGGTATTCAAAAAGAAATCTAATCATAGAAGATTACTGGCACCTCCTTCTGCCACACCACAACGAGTGTCTTTACTGACTTTCACCATAAAGCAAGATGATCCTGGTTCTTTGGTAGAGGTTTTGTCTGTTCTAAAGGACTTTTCTTTAAATATGTGCTCCATAAGTTCAAGACCTTACTTGTTGAGATCTGAACAGATATCGCAACAGGGAGAAAACTTTAGAAGGCGGAATTGGCAATACATATTCTTTATCGAATTCTACATAGAGCAGGATAAAGAATTTGATAAAGACAAATTCTGCGATCGTATTGATGCCTTGTGCGGAGATTGGTGCCATTGGGGAAGATTTCCTAGAGATATATGCTATTATAAGAACACTGCGTGAAAATATTATAAATTATGATATGCCGTATTCGTTTAGGTATAAAAACTATTTATAGACGATATATACTTCTTAACTACTCATGAAATGTAATAATTTTAATAACATCGTGAAAACTCCTAAATTATATACTCAATCCTGGAAGAATAGAAGTCCTTTGTTCCTTATCAGTTGTTGGTGTCGGTTCTTTGATTTCTGGTACTCTGGAGATGTTATTGTTGTACTGAGTTTGTTGTGGGAATGCTGTTGACGCTGGTGGCGGAGCTGCGCCGTATTCAGACTTTTCACGTACAGCATTGATATCATTATTGATACCAAAGAACCAACCAGTCATTTTCTTATTATTATATGTTGGATCATCAAAGGCATTTGGATCGACAGGCCTTGCTCTTGTCCAAAATCGAATGGTTCTATCCTTGGCGGCAGTGGCTAGGATATGGCCCACAGGATTGTATGCAATTGCTGATATGCACTTTTCATGTGCAAACGGTATTATATGAATGGGCTTTTCCGTATCTTGGCCGAGATCAAAATGTTTTAAAGAGCCGTCATAGCATCCAACGGTAAACATCGATTCGTTTATAGTACTCCATTCCAGTTCCATGAAATCAACTTCATCACGAACACACATTAATTCGTTCATGCTTGCACGAAGATCAAATACTCTACAAGACTTATCCTTGGAGATAGCTGCCAGCAAATTGCCCTTTGTCGGTTGAAATCTAGTTTTAAGTACAGTATGTTTGAATTTTAGTAATGTAGATACACACTGGCCAGATCTCGGATCCCAAAGTTTAACTAAATTATCTTTTGATCCTGATACTATCAGTCCTAACTCTGGATGCCAGTCACAACTCCTGACATCCCAATGATGTCCAGATAGTACTCTTTCTTGTTGGCCATTGCTAAAATTCCAAATTTTTAATATATTATCATCAGAACAAGTAACAAACTTGGAATCATTATTACTAAAAGCCACGTCTCTAATACCTTCTGTGTGAATTCGATCTAATTCCTTCACCATATTGAAATTAGGCTGCCATATTTTGATTGTACCATCTGCGTCACCACTAATCATCCAATCTCCAGCATGGGAATATTTCATTGTTGTCACTGAGGTATCATGAGCCTGCATAATAGTCTCAAATGTAAAAGATGAACCATTCCAAAGCGAGAATTCACCACTGAAAGTTGCAACAATTAGTCTTCTCCCCTCAGGAGACCATTGGATTGCTGGAATAACATGCTTAACCTTATTGGAACTCAAATGTGTAAATTTCGTCGGCAGATTAACTATCCTATCATTACGCTTGTACGCATCGGGTGGCATGATATTAGCAGTAAACGAAGTTTCAGGTTCTATAGGCGGGAGTGAGAGCCCATGTTTCTTTAAATAGTACAGTCTATTATACGAAGAACTCACATCAACCGATCTCCTGAGTGTTAGATACTTCTTCTGAGGAACACCTTCCACAGCAGCACTTTGATCCATTTCAATTGAATATCAGTTTACTGTGCCTTTTCTTGATCAATTTTTACTCTTTCTTCACAGTGTTTTCAAGAAGTAAACTTTCCCTGATACCTCCTAATCCAATAATTTCCAAATTGTTACCAAATTGTTACCAAATATTACTTCTTGGATGATATAATTAAAGTATTTTAGACAGCTCAAAGGCCTTTGAAACTACCGATGAGTTGACTAAAGTCTGCTATTATTCCTACAAACCTGAAATTTCAATTTGAAGTTGCTATTTAACGTTAAAAACTATAAGTCACATGATATGTTAAAATATTGTATATATAATGAGCCTGGAGTGATCGCTTAGCAGAGTAATGCAATTAAAATGGTTGGTATATTCGCAAATACAATAAGTTTCTTTTTTAAAAATGCCGATTGCAAATATCAGATCAGCGTTATTCTGCATTTTGGCCTAGTTTGAAATTTATAGTTAGGTGCCGATATTCTGGCAGAACTTATTTAACCTTTTGTGTCATCAAATAAGCTAGAATACTTATGAAATTTTATAACATACTCCCAATAGCTTTAAACTTTATGGCAACTATGCAAACCATGTTTTTGTCTTACCTTTGTAGGAATAGAATAATATATGAAAATTAAAACAATTATATAAACGTAATCCTGGTGACTATAGTTACGACCAAAACAAGAATTTAAACATTCATTTATATAATAATATTCAAGGAAGTGTATTTATTAGCATACAGAGTATGGAGCAAGTCACTATCGGTGTTATATCATTAGATTCATCTCCTACAGAAAATTACACGCTGAACACAGCAGAAACAAGGCAATCATTTCAGCTCTCTGGAAAGAGTGAAGTAAATACCATACCGGGAGAAAAATATGAAGAACTAAAGATGAAGTACATACGCCAGCACACTAAAGCAGTAGTATTATGTTGTTTAATATCATTTGGAGGAATGATACTAGGCTGGGACATCGGTACCGTGGGTGGTGTGTCGATAATGCCAAGTTTCAATAATGCATTCGGTGATCAAACGACGATTGTGTCCTCTGCAAAGGAACTCTCAAATATGAAAAGAGGTCTTTACATTTCCATATTCAACATTGGATGTGCCTTAGGTGGTATTATGTTTTCTAGGTTATCAAATACTGTGGGTCGTAGAGTAGGAATTCTAACCGCTATAGCAAAGTATACTCTTGTCCTGACGGTCCAGTTATTCTCAAATGGAAACTTTATCCTTCTTCTGGCATCTAGATTTGTATTGGGAGTAACTGTTGGCGCAATAAGTGTTTTGGTGCCGATGTTTGTATCAGAAAGTGCGCCAATTAAAATTCGAGGAGCATTAGTGGTAGTCTATCAACTAGCAATAACATTGGGAATACTCTTTGGAAATATACTAAACTACATGACTAACAAGCATTTGTCTATGGTAGATCCCATGAACAATATGGCATGGAAAATTCCGATGCTATTCGGTTACCTTTGGGCTGCCATTGTTGCAGTGGGCGCTTGTATTACCCCGGAATCTGTCCATTTCCTAGCCAAAATTCGTAATGATTATGAAAGTGCCAAAATATCATATTCGATCATGAACAATATTTCAGTATTTGACCATGAAACTATCGATTATGTTAACAACTTGCTAGTAAAGCAAGATGTGTATAATGAGAACGACCTTAGGAACCATAAATTTGAGTTTTTATATGGTAAGCCAAAATATGGAAAACGCCTACTTATTGGCATCATGGTGATGGCCTTTCAACAACTTTCTGGTATAAACTACTTCTTCTATTATGGAACCTCATTATTCAAAAGTGTTGGAATCAAAGATACATACGCCACGGCTATCATACTTTCATCAGTCAATTTTATTAGTACTTTTGCAGGCATCTACTTAGTGGAAAGCCTTGGAAGAAGATCTACACTAATTTATGGCTCATTTGGCATGTTCATATGTATGATATTTTATGCGTCTTTTGGAACTTTAAGTTTGAGAAAGGATCTATTATCATTCGTACTGATCATTGTTACATGCTTATTTATCTCGATCTTCGCCATAACTATCGGCCCAGTATCATTTGTAGTTGTAGCCGAATTGTTCCCAACAAGAACTAGATCCGTTTCAATGTCTATATGCTCTTCCTTTAATTGGCTAGTTAATTTCGCCATTGCTCTGGCAACACCAGTGATAATCAATAGAATAGGCTTCCTTTATGGGTTTTTCTTTGCAGGTTGTCTTCTATTAGCAACTGGATTTGAAGCATTCTTTGTACCAGAAACTAAAAATAAAACAGAAGAAGAAATAGACTATATGTTCCAAAACAACTTGAAATCGTGAGAGCGTAAATGTTTTAATATAGGAGACAAAAAGGATTCAATATCTAGTTAGACACTTATTGTTTAACTAACGGACGATTTGTATATCATATAAAAATACTTCAACTATGCTTATTACTATTTTCATATTACATTGCATTTCATTGATAATCATCTCAGGTTATTGATTAACTCTATTATGCTTATTCATTAAGACATTAAATAACTCCTAGCACTATCATTGAGCTGGCTCAATAAACTTGTTATCTTCTAGAAATTTCCGTACAATTTCCCAGTATCCATCCTGAATAATAGTAGTGTTGTGTGTTCCAAAGGGGAACTCATAAATCTGCTTACTGCCGCTCGGACATATGTCGTATAAGTCCTTCATATGCTCAGGGGGTACTATTTCATCCTCTAACCCGCTTAGAAATAAGTAAGGAATCTCAGAATTGCAATGAGGCATGTCTTCTTCAGAGTTCCATACTTCATGGCACATAAATGCAAACCTTGATATCCATGGAAAGATATAAGGTATAACTTTCCTAATACTGAGGAAAGTATTCTCCAGGATAACTGCATCACACAATTGCGAGAATTTTGATGCAATGTAGATAGCATTGGCACCACCTAGTGATCTTCCATACAGTATAAGTTTCTTTGTTTTATGGAAATCATCAGTAGCCAAGTAGGACATCACACGATCTGCATCTATCTTTAAACCTTCTTCACTAGGTGTACCTTTTGAGTAACCATAGCCCCTGTATGAGTATATAAACACATTGAGGCCAAACTGAGAGTAGAATATGTCTATGATAGGTATAAAATACCCAATATTGCCTGCATTAGGGCATAGTATGAGCACTGTAGATTTAGATTTTGTCTCTTCGTTCCTGATATCCCATGCTTGCAGCTCAATACCATCCTTGGTGGTCAGCGTAACCTCCTTATAAGGGATATTCTTCGAAGCAGGCGTGTCCACGTACTCACGAGCACCTTGGGCCCATGACGGATACACTAGCTTGTTCTGCACCAGATAAACTGCAGTAACAGATATAGTGCCCAGTGCTAGTACACCACCGAATATCATCTTGAATGTTCGATAGAGCATCTCAGTACCAAAAGACTCGAACTTAAAGCCTGGTACTTCTCAAATAGAGTACTTTAATAATTCTATGTGTCCAAATATATAAGACATGCGCAAGAGAAATTGACCTTCTTCCCAATATACTCTTGTAAATCAATTCCAGTAATTCAAGGATCCGATTCCAGCCTGCACAATAGTAGTGAGAATCATCGACTACAAGATCTATCTTCACTGGGTAAAGCCAGTAGTAACGGGATCAAGACATAGTCTCCACATGGAAATGAGAGGGATGAAGCCACTCTTGAAAGAAAAGAGGGCTTATCCATTGAGAACCCAAACAAGAGGACACCATCGCATCGATGTTATCGGAATGTAGAACTGCAACTGAAAAAATCTGTCATTTAAACGAAGGATTGGTTCCTTTTTGAAAGTCTCTCCCTGTGAAAGTCCCTTTCAACAATAAATGATCGACTTGCAATCACCAAGGTGAATGAGAGATCACGGAATGTTGAATTCGTTTAGAATCAGTCTAGTGTGGATGACATATACGTTTTAGTAAAGACAGAGTATGAATCAGTTCGGTGTTTTAGAGTCCAGGAATACTATTAGAGGAACATGATATGCAGATTTATTTAGTATTTATGTAATGATACCCCATTCGGCGATCAGTCCTTGGTAGTAAAAACCCATTATGATGATCACATACAATAGGATAAGTATTGATCCCTTAAAGTAGTTTGACTTACCCTCTGCGTACAGATAGGTAAATACAAATATGCTTGCCATACTTGCAACCAGGTCCCAGGTTGGAAATACTAATGGGAACATTTGATCTCTGATGCTGATTAAAGCTTTATCAACACCGATGGCGGTGATTACTGAGAATAGAACCAGAGCGGGTATTTGTAGTAGACACACTTGTAATGCGTAAGCCGAACCAATTTCCATCGACAGGGCAATGTTTCCATGCATTGCAAATGAAATGGCATTCAAGAATTCCGTGGTATTTGGAACCAAGGCAAATATTGTAAGACCTAAGAATTTGGGACTTAAGGATGGGAAATCTTCCAAGACAGAGTCTACACAAGAAACAAGAATCTCGGCAATGATTGCATATAACAATGTCGCAAGTAGAAGTATTAGTGTAGATTTTGATCTAGACCAATTTGGTGCGTCATGCCCACCACCTTCATCATTATGGTCTTCTTCATGGGATAATATTCCGTCGATACCGTTTGCCTCAGTATTGACAATCTCTCTTGGTGGATCAGCAATTGGAAGTTGCCATATGGTTGCTGCATGTGTTCTCAGAGTAAACCATAAACCAATAGTGTAAGCTAAGAATAGAACGAATGCACATACGATTGACATCGGTTCAATGACATGGGTATACAACTTGTCGAACTTTAGAGGTGGGTGAGAGAAATGGCATTTTGACGTACTCATCACCTTATAGGCAGAATAGAGGTCTAGTGGTAATGTGGCGTCTAAATCATCACAAATGACGTCATAACCACTGTACATCATATATAAAAGTGTTGGAACAAACATCACTATCATTGAAAAGATCAGTAAAGCAGATGAGACACCCGCACTTCTGGGGTTATATCTTTGTGTCTTCCGGTTCAAGGCACCACCACACATGGAAAGACCAGGTAGCAATAACACAGCACCCAATATTGATCCGATCATTGAACCTTCGACCAGCAAACCTTTCTTTTGCTGAAGGGCAACGCAGTATAAGAATATTTCCACAATTGTTGAGAAAAATGCATTGATAACAGCACCAAGACCCATTGAAGTTTGCGCTGAAATAGATGCAACGGCTTGGCCAATATAAAAAGCCAATGGAATAATCGAGGCTAAACATAATATAAAGACTGTTGATTCACTTGTTATCCATAAGTCAATATTAAAGAACTCCTTCAATGCATAGAAATCGAAAATTGTAAAGAAAACCATAGCGATTAAGTTAACAACTATAACATTAGTACCGTCTATTGTAAATTTATAGTAATGCCATCCGGCACATCTGAAAGTGCACAATAAAATATTCTTATCATCATAATGCTCTATGATCTGGTTACTTGAATTTTTTATACTCTTGAAGCCTAACGCCAAGGGATGGCGTCTACAATGGTACATCAAATTCCAAAGTATATTACTCATAGGTATTGTGAATACAGCCAACCAGGTCAATAATGAAAGGAACAAGACAATAGGCTGTAAGACGATGTGGAAAATTGCATAAAACACAATTCTACCAAGTGACCACTTCCCTCTTCCAAACAATCTTCTCTGAGTGGCAGCAGAGTTTTGATGATCATTACTGGGATTCTGGAACGAAGTTGAATGTGGTAATTCCGTATAACCATTATTATCCAACATTGGATTATTACTCTCTGTGTTAGTTTGCTCGCCGACCACCTTCTGTATGGAGCCATACGATGTGTGATGCATATTGTTCCCAAGAGCGTCTGACTCAGTTGGACGAGTTTGTGATTCGTGGAAAAATAGCCTGCTCTTGTATGAAGTCACCCAGTTATAAAACTGCTGAACGCTAATACCCTCATCTCTATCTTCTTCCAAGTATTGTTTGTCCTGTATCAAATACACTACTTTGCCGAAGGGGTACAGTAAATATCTTGCCAGTCTGAGCATTAGTCTAGAGTAGTCCCTCGCTGATTTGGTAAATAGACCCGCTATTAAAACCGTTATAGAGGCGGAAGCGAACACCGTGAACAAGAACAGTCCGCAAGTAGCTACCCAGATCCAATTGGTTGCCTTCACAGCCCAGGTGATCTTTTTCAACTTAGTCTCGTGGATATCCTCATCGGCAGCCTTCTCCACTGATCTTTTCTTCTTGTACAGCGCTGGCTTCCATATTCTGATACCGAAGGGGTGTGTCTCGTTGATCGCGTCCTGTCTCTCTCTCAAGGTGTAGGATTCGATGGACGATGCTCGGGAGGCGTTGTCTGGGTCCAGTCTCTCTGTTTCTCCGAGATTGCTAGCCTCGAGGTCCACGGGCGGTATATCCGTGAGGCTGCTGGTGCCGTTGCCGCCGGCCACACTTCCGGCAGGCAACGCTTGACTGCTGTTCGACCGCTGGGCGGGCAGCTCCTCTATGTACAAGTCATGGTGCGTGGCGCTCTTCTTATCGCCCGGGTGCGTATGTGTGTGGTCATGTATGATGAAGCGCGGCGAGCCGACGTTTCCATGCGCCGCGACGCCGTTGATCCGCGGCGTCACCAGTTTCTGCTGCAAGTTAGTGATAGATTCCATCAGGTCCGGCGTGGACAAGGACCTGAGCGAGTCCACGGGCACCAGCGCCTCATCCCGCAGCCCCTGCGGCACGGGCACCGCGACATTCCCGCCGGTGGAGAGCGCAGCACTGTCCTGGATGTTGTTCTCGGACCCCGGCAGCACTATCTTGACACCGTCTGCGAGGTTCTCGAAGTAGCGTATATCATTCTGGACCTCGTTGGCGTCATCGTCCACACTGAATACGCGCTTCACCAGCACTGGTCTGCTCTTGTCCTTAGAAACAGTGGGTCTGAGGGACATTTTCTGCTGCAGGTAATCGAGGATTGTTTAGTGTGGTTCTTTTGTAAGCAAAGTTATATACAGGTGGCTGGTTTGGTATTCTATCTGGGAAAATACGTATACAATTGGTCAACGGCGGCTAATACTTGTAAGATCTGGAAAGTAAGAACCGCTGGCGCCTGCGAGAGTTCCAACTGGGACCCCCCTTCCCCGGGGCCAGAAGCAAGGGCATACATCGATTACCCGGATTTATATAATTACCCGGACATATGTAACTTACCCGGATTTGTATGATTTACCCGGATTTACGTACTTACCCGGACTTCTAATGTTACCCGGATTTGTATGATTTACCCGGTCTTTCTTTAAAGACTAATTTCGCGTTTTCCCTTCCCAAATGTCTGTTACACACAGAAACACTGCAGCAATTGCAGCACCCGCAGCGATCGCTGTGTGAGAAATGGCGTGACTTCTATTTTTAGTTCTTTTTGGAAAAAGCAGCGAATTTTTGGGGACACCAATGAGGGACCGTATATACGTACAATAAATCAGCTGATATTTTTTTTTAATTTCCATTTACGTGCATAGGGACAACTGCATCCCCATGGCAGGGCAAAAAATTCTGCTGAACTTGCCCCATAAGCCTGGGCAAGTCGGGATTGATTGCGCGTATATAAAGAAAGGATAAGTCAACACCGGGGGCCAATAGGTATCTACTACCAGAATCAACAAGCAAAATGAGGATCTCTAGGCTGCTGCTGATAGCCGGTGTGGCTCAGGCTGCTATTGTTACCGACTTCATTATCACGACGCTCGCTGACGGTACTCTGTCTACCGTGACTTCCATATATGACAATGCGAAACCAAAGACGGACACGGATACTGATACAGATACAGATACGGATACGGATACAAACACTGCCACGGGTACTACGAAGGCTACGACTACAAACACCAACACCAACACCAATACTAATACAGGCACGAACACGGGGGTGAAACTGATCACTACAAGTACTGTTGTCACTGATGCCGCCGGTGTGATCAAGACTGTGCCTACGGTTATCACCTCTGGTGTGAAACAAACAGGTACTACCACAGGTACCACCACGGGTACCACCACGGGTACCACCACGGGTACTACTGGCACTAAGAAGTCTTACGTGTCCACTATAACTACTGTTGACGCTGCTGGTAGGCCTGTCACATTGACTACGACCATTACTGGTACCAACACAAACACTAACACCAACACCAACACTGGTACGGCAAACACACCTTACGTTACCACTATTACCACTACTAACATCAACGGTGTCACCGTCACTCTGACGCAGACCGTCACGCCAACCAAGGCGGCTGTTGACCCTGCAGCCGCAAATGGTGCGCTTACTGCCTTCGTCGTGAAGTCCAAGCCTTCTGACTTGGTTGGCACTGCTCCAGACGGAAGACCAGACCCATCCCTGGTGTCGTTCACCGAGGTGCCGGCTACGCCAGTGACTACCGTGCCAATCGACACTTACATCACCATCACAGAAGGCACCACCAGAACTTACACGACCTTGCGTGTCCCTACCTCTATCTGGGTCACAATCACCAACGCCGCAGGCCAAACAGTCACTTTCCAAACCACATACATGCAGAGATTCTCCTCGCAATACTTGGAAGTGGCGTCCCCATCCTCGGGCTCCATTGGTCTGGGGTCCCTGCAAGGCGAAGTCGGTGTTGTCAAGAGCGTCATGGTGATGTCCCAGTCCGCCAACGCCGCTCACAATAACGCCAGAGCCGGAACACCTGTAACCTCCATCTGTATGTCTCTAGCCATGGCTTTCTTGACTATGTTCACATGGTTTATGTGAAAGGACGCCGTTGCATTCATTATTTAACTCACCACAGAGAGACACACATTTCACTTCCCGCTAAAAACATCCAAATCGTTATACACACTTAGTGGAGCAAGCACACAGCAAGCACGCTATATCGCTGGCTTACTCAATATTATTCTTTGTTTAGTTTTTAACTTCATTTCATTTGGGCTTTATATTCAGTTGGCCGCTGCTACCCTGCTGGTCAAGCATAGAGTATATTATTTTTTTCTATACATTTTATCTTTTAACTACTATTTTTTTATAAAGCTTTTCTTACAGAAAATAAAATAATTGTCATCTATTCCAGCGTATATCAATTGCCACATAGCGCACTATCCCGATAGCAAAGCTGCGTGATACTTTTTGCTAGCAGTTGCTGTGTAACTGTTCCAAGCATCGGAAACAATAAACAAGCTAATGTTTGTTCACTGCTAAAAAACACGCCGATAACAATTAAATTTGATAGTTAAAACTAAATATGCAGAGTATATATGAATAGAAAGATAAAAAAACTGACAGTAATCTACTAATAACTGGTAAGGTAGGAGAAGCGATGAACAAAAAACAATAAGAAATGGAAAACAGGAGCATTTAAAGAACTCCAGCTTTGCTTAATATCAAATGAACAAAGAAATCCTCACCAGGAGCACCGGTTGATGCTATTCCAGGGTGAGAGCCATCTTCAGAATGTTGAAATTTAGATAAATGAAACCAAAAGACCAGCGACGAATAGCAAAGTAGAAGTAAATGATGTTCTTGAAGCATCGTTCTTCTTTTGACTGTCAGATCTAGTAGATGTAGCAGAGGTACGAGAACGGCTTGTAGTTGAGCGAGTAGAGTTCGAATTACCAGTAGCAGTGGCACGACCGGTTCCGGTGTTGGTAGCGGATCCACTTACAGTGGCAGCTGCTTGCACAGTGAAGATGTCACCTTGAGTATTGAAACTTGTAGCTAGAGTACTCCAAGTACTAGAGAAACCAGGGGCACGGACGGCACCTGGCACACTTGAGCTAATAACCTCGATATCCTCTTGGCCGCCGGCATAGTTGGCTTGTGCCATTGAAATTTCGTAGTTTTCCAGGTCGTAGACGACATAGGCAGAATTCAAGAAAGAGTCACCCAAGATAATACCTCCGCCAGATTGTGGCATGATACCCAAGATACAACTGTCACCAGAAGAACCGATGATGAAGTTTGTAATTGGAGCGTTGATGTGGAATCCGCCGAAGTCGAAGACAACTTCAGTGTCATCGGACTGGCTTGGACAGGAGAAGACGTAGTAACCGGCTCTGTTCGAGTAAGTAGCCTGCAACTTTTGAACAATACGGGTGACTAGAGCTTGTGGTAGGTAAGTTAAGGTGGTACCAGAGTCCAATAGGGCGGGGATCTTTGTAGTAGTGATGGTAGTGTTGTCACTAGAGGAAGAGATACCTAGACCATTTAGGGTAACTTCAAATTGGATAGGGTTCTTGTAACCTTGAGATGCGTAAGTGTTAACCATAGGGATTGTGTACAAGTCACCCAAGTACTTGGAGTGGTCGACGGCACCGAATAAAACACTTCCGGTTTCTGCGGATGCATTGTTTAGGAATAGAGAGTACGAGTTCGACTTAATGGCGCCGTTTCTTAGCAGCACCAGTGGAAAGTTGTCATATTGGTATGGCCTTTGACCCGAAACAGCGGTTCTGCCGGAGTATGTAACTTCTAGGGCTGGAAGACCGATACCCAGGACACCGACAGTGGAGTTAGTTCTGTTGGCGACGGCGAAGGACAAACCAGTGACGTTCAAGTCTGACAGGTGCAAGTTGTCCATACCCCATGTACCGGAGGCGAAGGTGGAGTCACCGTATTGAATCATGAAAGCTGTGTCATTAGAGTGCCAAGTGGAAGACTTGGATGTGTCGAAAGTACCGTACTTGGCACAGTTGATGGTAGCTCTTGCGCCATTAGAAGTGCCGGCGGCAGTTGGCTGAGCGGAGTCTGTCAATGTGATGGTGGTACCGCCTTGGCCACCTAGCAAACCGTCTGATCCCGTCAGCCAGCTCAAGAGACCGTCGTTGTGCTCGTCGTCGCGTGGTGCGAGAGTAGTTCTCTCCTTAGCGATATCCCTGGCGTCCTCAAGCGCCCTCTTTAGCTCAGCCTCGAGAAGCATGTTCTTACCACTCGTGCCCGTGGAGCCCCTACAGTAAGGGTTATCTGAGCCGGTGATCCACAGGTCCGAGGAACCAGTATCCACCAGCACAACAACAGACTGTGGTGGCGTACCGACTTCCAAAGTGACCGAGTAGAAACTGTTCTGGTTGGTAATCTGCACTTCCTCGTAGCCGTTAGCACGCTTGTTCACCCTAATATCAGCCTGACTGCGACCACGCTTCGCAGTCTCGAAAGTCTCACCGTAGTACTTGTCAAAATCCAGCTTGACATAGGAGAGATCAGCAACGTTCTTGGCCGCCTTGCTGTGCGCAGCAACAGACGCCAGCATACATAGCGAACTAAACTTCATATTCTGTATGTGTGTTTGTACTTGTAGTTCTAGTTCTAGTTTTACTTGTAGTTCTGGTTCTAGTTCTAGTTCTAGTTCTGGTACTAGAGTAAAGGTATTCAGGAATCACATTTTACAAGCTATATATATGGCAATTATCAAGATCCAAGCCTTGCAGGGGAGCCCCATCAGCAGTTAATGCCCTTGCCCTTCCCCCCCAAGCCATTAGCGTGAAAAAGAAACTTTTCAAGCCCTTTTCAAGCCCTTTTCAGCTTTAATTTGAATTTTCTTCAAATTTGTTTTTTCAAGATGCGCAAATTACGTCATTGTGCTTTGCTTCTTTGCTTCTCTTGTGCGGGATTTCTCTCGGGCTTCATGTTTCATGTACCCGGATCCACTCTGGAAAGTGATTTCCTGCTAAATTTCGCATCTTGCATTAGATGGGGGGGGGCACGCCAAAGTTATTTTAATTACTTACGCGTTACATTGCTACACAATTGAGATAATTTAGATAGTTCATATAGTTCATATCTTGCCGTGGTACAGTTTCCATATGTTTCTTGCTGCGTGGACGCCGTCGTTGTTGCTGTGACATCTTTGGATTGTTTCAGCGTACTCTTCGTCGGAGAGTTGGCCCGTCTGGTGTTTGTGCTGTGTGCTCTTGATGGCCAGCTGGGTGGTGAACTCAGGGTGGCCCTGAAATGTCAGCACGCGCTGCGGCTTGTAGAGGCCCTGGCAGTGGGATTTCTCCGTGTGGCCCCAGTTCTCGTAGCCCGGCGGGACCTCCTCTACGTGGTCTGAGTGCAGTTCGCTGAGGTAGAGGCGGTCCCGGGAGAACAATGTCTTGCCTGTGGCGTTGAGCTGCACGCCGTGCACGCCGGCCTCGAGCCCCTTCGGGTTGCGGCCCACCTGCGCACCGAGACTGCGCGCGAGGACCTGGTGGCCGAAGCATATGCCCACGATGGGCAGTGTGGTCTCATTGACCAGCCGGTACAGCAGCTTGCGCAGATCGACGATCCACTGCGTCTCTGTGTCAAAGGAGTCATAGCGGGACCCAGTGATGTACAGCCCCAGGTAGTCCCCGCTGCTGAGCTCATCCACGGACGGTAGCTCGCCGTTGTACACATCGAACACCCGGTACTCGATACCGCCCTCGGCCCCCACGTACGGCTCGTGCTCCTTGGCCTGCTCCAGCAGCTCAACGGCCATAGTGGCAAAGGTCCCGTCGTCGCGGCTCCACTCGTTGGGGTGGTCGGTGTAGAAGATAGCTACTTTCCTAGCAGCTACAGTCATTTGGTATCAGCGATATAGAGTCTGCGTGAAATCAAATCAAATCAAAACGAAATAAGTAAAGAAAGGGAGAAGCCTCCTTTCAGTTACAATAGGGACTTATACAAACATGATATGTAATGGCTTAGAGAGCAGATATATACTCTTGGGGTCGAAAGGCACTCCTTTTATTGAAGCCTTGTCCGATGAGCAAAGCTCATAGCATTCCACATCATCGCAACTTTTTCCGAAAAAAAAAATATTGATTTAGAACTCCTACGTACTTTTCTGTGCCAGAATGGGGTGTGTATGCATGAAATCATTAGTTTCCCTAGTAGGGTGTGTGAAGCCACAAGGGCGAACTTTGATAGCCATGATAGATAAGGTTTTGAGATTGACAAAAATGGCAAAGTGATGGTGCTTTGATCGCTCCAGTCCTTTGTCCCTTGAAAAGAAAAGGAAACACAAGACCTCTATCTTATCTGAGGCAGCTTGTAACTGTCGTTGCTCGCAGAGGAAAGCACACCTTCTTCGACGAGGGTGTCGAGGTAATCTTGCAGCTGCTTCTGGTTTACCGTGCTATAGTGCGAGTCCTTTGGCATGGCTGATTGTAGTAAAGCGTGAAGCTTGTCTATCTTGAGGGTACCAAGGTTCAAGAGGATGTCTTTAATGTAGGGCAATGCCCTTTCGACATGGTTCTCTTGCTTGTCCTCGTGTTGAGAAGAACGTTCTACTACGGACTCTTCCAGGACATCTGGTATAGCGGCGTATGTAGAGTCACCTTTCCATCTTAGGAACTCTAATGTACGATACTTACCGTCCGAAAAATACAGTACATCTTTGCTTACCCAATATCGTAGAATATCGGCCATCTGCTTAGATTGCATCCCTGATCTTGCACACAATTCACTGATTGTGAGGCCCTCGGTGGGAAAATTAGAGTCATGTTTGGGGCTTTTGAACAATGTGAGTACCGAGTATTGACGCAATGACGCTTTACAGTGCACGGTCCGCCCATCCAAAAAGCTTAAGTTCAAAGAGACAGAACCGTTATCCCTTCTCAGTTCTAATTTTTGGCCGATTTGTTTCTGCGAATAGAAGCGCGAATATAATTCCAATAGATGTTCCAATTCGCCATCCATCTCAAAGTCACCAGCTTTGCTTTGTGTGTCAGAATTATTTGACCAGTATAATGCAGAAACGATCTTCGGGTACACTTTCACGTTGGTATTATGCAAATCAAGTTGCATATCAGTAGCAATTTGCCTACTCTTGTAAATATCTCTTAGCATGATATCAATGGTATTGATGTTATTCAGGTCTTCTTCATCCATCGTTTCCGTGCTTCTATTGTCAAAACGTTTTTTGAGCAGGCTTAGGAATTTGCTCCACTTTTTATCCAATGTGTAGCCTCTTAAATCGAGTAGCTTTTTAGTCAAAAGGTTCTTGAACTCTATAACAAGCGTCTCTTTTGATTCTAGTAGTTCTAATAGAATATCAAATAAGTCTAATTTATGATCAGAAAGGATACCTTTACCGAAGGATGTCGGCACTTCTGGGATCCATTCCATATACCTCTTTATTACCTGCTCTAGCACCATACTATCCTCTTCTTTGGAAAACGATCCTATCATAGGATCTACCACATCATCTGATTCTTCTGTGTATGAACAGATTTCTGTGTCCTTTAACTCGTTTGTCAATGCAGTTAGTTTTTCCTCACTGACTTGGCTAGGCATTGTATTCAGTTGATCAGTTTCATCAAGACCAAGCATTGAAAATAATAATAAATGTACCAGATCTTTCCGCTGTCTAAAATGAGGTTTAACATATGAGGAAATTGTTTGCAAATATCGACCTGAAGGATCCAAAATGCTAAATGTCTTGATTGTACGAATATAAAGAAACAAAGCGTCAGCAGTAACAATACTAGGGTTGATAACCTTTAAATTGAACTTTGACAAAAGTTCAACAACTACACAGTTAAAATCGTTCACAGTGGATATTTCCTTTCTCAACTCTAATAACGTCGGTTGAACACTTGCAGGATTACTTATGCATATATCAAATATTTCATTGGTTCGAATGGAGATAAATTGCTTCTCAAAGTATTTGTAAAGTGTATTTGTAATGGTATGATTATCCTCCTGGCAAAATAGTAAGCTTGACAATTGATCCCAGTATTGTGATATGAACTGATTAAACGTCTCCATGATTAGGTACCTTTTATTCCATTTTCTTGTATAGTGTAATTGGCAAAACTGCTCAATTTTGTCAAGTATTATATCCAATACAATGCTAGTAGAATCAGTCTGGCAATAATCAAAGTAATCTACAATTTCCGTAGCTAGTTCAAAATCATCTTCAAGCATCCGGTTTCGGAGTCTCTCAACCGCCCTTGACATAACCTTCTTGTTAGTTTTTAATAGATAGTTCCCAAACAACCTGACTTCATTTTCAACTCGATTATTACCTTCAAAAATTGGTATATATTTTAAAGGGAATAAAACGTGCCTCTCTATTCTTTTCAACTCATTGAGAGTCTCTATTCGTTTGTACTCATTGTAAAAATAAACTCTGCATTGCCAACAGTAGTAATCCTGAATGTTACTTAGAAGTTGATAGTCGTTACTTCCTAGCAATAATTTCTCGATCATTGTCTTAACTAACAAGTTTGGGGGCTTCAATTGGTGATTCTTCTTACCAGCTGGATCTAACCATTGAAGCAACACATTCCACTCCTCAGCATTGCTATTCTTGTTGCCGTTGACGCCGTACTCTAAAACAGCCCTCTTGAAAGTCTTGGTATCCCCAGTTAATATCATAACTACCTTCTCAAAAGAGTTAGGACGAACAAATTGCTTGTCACCTATGTATCGAGCACTTTTCAACTGTTATAGTACTTCTTCCACTCGCAAAACACAAAGATCATAAAAAAGAGCTTATAGTCTATACGAAAGTGCACAAAACTAAGCCTAGGATTATACAGTCAGATGTGTGAGTCCTAGTTGATTTACTGTTCTATCAGCTTATGTTTAACTTTTCAGTGTTATTAATTATTGGGATCATCGATTATCACTCTGTGTTGCCATACAAAAAGTTGAAGAAGTTCGAACAATAATACACCTAAGGGACCAGAAACAATGGGGTGGAAACTATGCTGAAAATTTCTAGTTAAGCATTGCCAAACTATAATTTATTAGATTTGTTCTGGCTAGAGTAGTCATTTGGTAATTGTGCTGCCATATTAGTCTGAGGTTAAGGGAGAAGAGCAAGCTGGTAGTCATGGTTTCAAGACATGAGAAGGAGTTAATGAAGACGTTTCAATCATTGACTTCATGCACTGACGAGGGAAAAGCCAAGAGATATTTGAGTGCTAACAATTGGAACATCAACTATGCTTTGAATGAATACTATGACAAAGAAGTTGGTGGTTTCACTGAGGATCATATGATAAGACATCAGTTTAAGTACCCTGATGAGCTGGTATCATTATTTGGACACTATGCGGCTTTAATTGAAGAAGATGGGACTCAGAGTATTACACCCGATGGACTTATAGACTATATCCAAGACTTAGGATATAATTTGGAAGATTTGGTCACAATCTCTTTGGCACATTTTTTACAGTGTAAAAACCTAGAGAATCCTATTACTGAAAAGCAGTTCTTGTATTTCTGGTACAATGAGGGCTGTTATACGCTTGAACAAATGCGACATTATCTAGAGGACTGTGAAAGAAAACTATGTAACGATTGGAAGTATTTCACTACAATATACAACTATTCATTTGATTTGAATGCCAGTAAGCAAGGAGTGGTGGAAACAGACATAGCTATTGAGTACTGGAAACTGTTTTTTGAAGAGAACAGAACTAAGTTATCAGGAATAATAAAAGTTGATCAAGCACATTTGGACCTGTGGTGTAAATTTCTCCAGGATGAACACAAGAAACTAATCCATAAAGATACATGGCAGATGTTGTTGTTATTTTTCAAGAAATTTCCCTCCTTAGACGCAATCAAAACTGAATACAACGAGGCAGATGCTTGGCCCTACACCATTGATGAGTTTTACGAATACCTAGAAGAGAGAAATGTCCTCTGATACACAAAACAATACCACCTTATTTAATCACTACCTACTGTACATATCTAGATTAAGATAAACCAAATATATTATAGAGCGAATATCAGGAACAAAATTAAAAACATTTTATCTAATACATGTCAATTGAGATGATCAGGGAATTGAAGCTGTTAGGCATTATTACTTGCAATACCTATATCACATATTACGCCATACTATTCTCAAGTGAAAAATTTCTGAAATTTTTCAAAATTTCTCTGAATCGATGCGATGAGCTCATCTCATCGCCTAAACCTGGTCAATAATAACAGCAGATGAGCTTTATATAGTTATGTAGTTACTGGCTGTAATATATGACAGATTTGAGAGGTTTAGTTTCTGAACTTGGTTGTATCTTGGTGGATATATAAGGCATAAAAATACATCAAGTGAATCATCGGCTAAATAGGATATGGTGAAGTCATATCAGCGTTTTGAGCAAGCTAATGTGTTCGGTGTTATATCATCCAATTCCAACAGTGTTTGGATCGAACCAGAGGCTAGCAAGCGTAAAACCGGTAACTTAGGACAAGTGATTGTGGGAGGTTTAGAAAACATATTAGTTTGGGATATCAAGACAGGCGAACAAATTGCCCAATTAACTGATGGTCTTCCACCCGGTGCATCTGATGCCAAACTGTCAAAACCTGCTGAAACTACATTTTTAAAATATCATCCAGAAACCAATTTATTGGCTGCTGGTTACGCTGATGGTGTGATTAAAATTTGGGATTTAATATCCAAAACTGTTTTAATTTCTTTTAATGGTCATAAATCTGCTATTACTGTTTTAGCTTTTGACACAACTGGTACTAGATTAATTTCGGCATCCAAGGATTCAGATATAATTGTATGGGATTTGGTAGGTGAGTCAGGTTTATACAAGCTTCGTTCACACAAGGATGCCATAACTGGTCTGTGGTGTGAAGATGAAAACTGGCTCATTAGTACATCAAAGGATGGTCTTGTTAAGATATGGGACTTAAAATCTCAGCAATGTGTAGAAACTCATCTAGCACATACCGGAGAATGTTGGTCCCTTGGTATTATTGAAGATATGGCCGTTACTTGCAGTGCGGATAGTCAAGTGAAGCTGTGGAAACTTGATTTACAAGCTGAAAATGGCTCCAAATTAACAGAAAAAGGCATCATAGAAAAACAGAGTAAGCAAAGAGGTGTTGAAATCGATTTTGCTGTTGCACCAGATGGCGTAAAATTCTTTTATATACAAAATGCTGATAAGACTATTGAGATTTACAGGTTAAGAAAGGAAGAAGAAATATCAAGGGCTTTAAAGAAGAGAGAAAAGCGTCTTCAAGACAAAGGTATGTCAGAGGAAGAGATAAAGGAAGCCATGGGAAGTCCAGTATCTCTGATGTATCATTTGTTCCAGGTTGTTCGTTCACCATACAAAATTAAGTCAGCGCAATGGACAGTTTGTTCCAACTCAAAACTAGAGCTTGTCGTAACTACGTCCAACAACTCAATCGAGTATTACTCAATTCCTTACTCTAAAAGAGAGCCAACACAGCCTGCTCCACTAAAACTTCACACTATTGATCTACATGGTCAAAGAACGGATATCAGATCAACAAGTATAAGCGATGATAATAAATTGCTGGCTACTGCTTCTAATGGTTCATTGAAGATTTGGAATATAAAAACGAAGCGTTGCATAAGGTCATTCGAATGTGGATATGCCTTGACATGTAAATTTCTACCAGGTGGCGCATTAGTTGTGGTCGGAACTAGAAATGGTGAATTGCAATTGTTTGACATTGCATCTTCTACTATGCTTGACAATAAGGAAGGGGCACATGATGCTGCTATCTGGTCATTAGATTTAACTAGTGATGGAAGAAAGCTGGTTACAGGGTCAGCAGATAAAACTGTAAGATTCTGGACCTTTGAGGTTTCAGAAGTACCAGTTTCCGATGAGTCCAATAAAACTATGCCAATGTTGCAATTATTCCATGATACCACTTTAGAACTAGATGACGATATTTTAAGTGTGGTGATATCGCCTGATGACAAATTCATTGCTGTATCATTACTCGATAACACAGTCAAGGTATTTTTCTTGGATTCGATGAAGTTTTTCTTGAGCTTATATGGTCATAAGCTGCCTGTATTATCAATGGATATTTCATATGATTCAAAGCTAATAGTTACATGCTCTGCTGATAAGAATATAAAAATTTGGGGTCTAGATTTTGGTGATTGTCATAAGTCATTGTTTGCTCATCAAGATTCTATTATGAATGTTAAATTTCTTCCTGAGTCTTATAACTTTTTCAGCTGTTCCAAAGATGCCACTGTTAAATATTGGGATGGTCAGAAATTTGAATGTATTCAAAAACTTGCAGCACATCAAAGTGAAGTTTGGAGTATTTCAGTTTCAAACGATGGTACATTTGTTATATCTACTGGACATGATCACAGTATAAGAGTATGGGAAGAAACTGAGGACCAAGTTTTTCTGGAAGAAGAGAGAGAGAAGGAAATGGATGAGCAATATGAAGATACCCTACTAACTAGCTTAGAGGGTGGTGCTGGTGATGAAATGTTAAGTGTTAAGAAGGGTGATAACGAGGAATCTGAAGAAGTTGAAGGTGTTCATAAGCAGACAGTAGAATCTTTAAAGGCTGGTGAGAGACTGATGGAAGCGCTTGAGATAGGTGTTAATGATATTATTGCAATGGAAGAATTCAATGAACAGCTCAATGCCTGGAAGAAGTCGAAAAAGGGTATTCAACCTATCAGACCCCAGGAAAATACTCTTTTAGTAGCATTAAAGAAAACTCCAGAGGAATATATAATTGAAACATTGGTTAAAATTAAACCTTCACAAATTGAAGACGCATTAATGGTTATGCCTTTCTCATACATTTTGAAATTTTTGAAGTTCATAGATGTTGTTACAACTAAAGCAGCACTTCTACAAAAGCATATTTCCTTGGTTTGTAAAACATTATTCTTTGTGATAAGATTCAACTACAAGGAGTTAGTTGCGCAAAAAAATGCAAATCTGAAACTGCAAATAACAAGAGTGAAAGATAATCTGAGGAAATCTTTAAAGTCCAATGTCGACGAATTGGGGTTCAATATAGAAGGTATGAAGTTTATAAAACAGCAATGGGAGTTAAATCACCATTTGGAATTTAATGATGAGTACGAGGAGAAGAATTTCGAAGAAAAGCACTCTAAAAAGAGAGTTTTTGGAACTTTAGCATAAAATTATGATAATCTATAATTGGTATTTAAAATTAGAGTATAAATTACACGCACAATTATTATTGCAATTCTGTCAAAGTTAATGCTCTCTCTTTTTATTCATTGATTTATCTAATTAATTTGTAACAGATTTAATTGAAATCTATTCAATAAATAATTTCATATGAAATGTGTAAATATGTCGTGATATATAAATTAGTGGACTATGGAAATATGCTGATGCCTCATTAAGACAATAAATAGTTTTAAAATCGTTAAAATATAAGCGTAACTTAAAATCGTCAAATTCGTAAAACTTCCGAAGAGGAAGATGTATCAAATGGTTGAATGCTAATTATGCTAATCCAGAAAACTAAGACGGTAAACTATGCCCACCTTCCAAGTAATGCCATTAAAGCGGCTCCGCAGCACATAATAAAATATGCTGTTAACATGTTTCTGAGGGAATGTTCTCCTTTAAATTGGTTAGAAAAGATAAATTCATGCGCCATTAATTCAATTAGCCCAGTGTAAATTAAAATTCCAGAAGAGATAGAGTCAAATACCCCATTAGCTATCAATGCCTTTCGTGATCCTGGGACCCAGGAATGTCTCACTCCAATACCAATTGCTATTGCAATTGGTGAGGTAATTGTGAATGCAAAAGCCATAATCCATGGAGTATACCATTTAGAAGGAGGCCATTCGGTTTCGGCGATACGAGTTCCTAAACCTAGGCCTTCAAACATCTGATGAAAAGTGATAACAATAAATAATACTTTGAATTCACTACCAGCAACAGCAAGAGATAAACCAACAAACACAGAATGGAAAATAATACCAAATTCCAGTACACACAGCACGAAAACTTTACTAACGTAATCTGCGGAGAATTTGTGTTCACTATTACCAGTTGTCAGAGTATTTTCATCGATCCAAGTTTCGTCAGTTGATTCTCTCTTGTACTCGTACTGTCCTTCAAATCCAGAGTCATCCACTCTTTTCAAATTAGTAGATACACCAGTTTCGATTTTTTTAGAATCTTGTAGGCTATCTTGATGGCCAGCACAGTTTAGCATACCTTCACTCAAATCATCCGTACTGATTTGAATATCTTTGAGAATAATATCGGGTAATGCATTTGCATTATCAGTTTCTGCATGACTATGGTTAAATTTTTTATCGACAAAATGATGGGCAACTATTTCTGCAAGGAATAGCATGAATAAGGACATCAAACAGATACCAAATGCCCATGGGTAATCTTCGAATGTACCACCTAAGCAATCATCTGTCAATGCTTCTGCAGCTGGTTGTAACAAATGGATAAATGCAGTAGCAATGATCACTCCTGAACCAAAGAATTTAGCAACAAAAAAACACCAGTTGGGTAACCTAATAAAAGAATATTGAGAAGATAGAATTGGGAAATAAGCACCAAGTCCTGAAGATATCATGACAATAAATACAGCTAATATACGCAGATTCTGTTCACCGTTGTAGTCGTTCTCGGTACTGCAGGTATCGACCGAACGTCCCAACAGCTCATTATGCATTTTAACCTAAAAACTCTATGGCCAGAATATGGAGTATTTCAGACCAATTGGCATGCACTCACCGGCTGTGCTTGGTACACTTTGTCTAGTAGCTCACCTGTTAATCTTTTTCAGTACAATATGCCCAATTGATGTGGATCGATAAAGAGGTCGGTCCTTATCTAGATGAGATTTACAAGAGCTAGCCAATCTTAGGTTATGCCACAATGGTATTAATTATGAGTAATCAGAGATCTATTAGATCAAATTATGTAATCACACAACTAAATTCCTTTTTTATTAAGTTCTCGAGCAATTTGTTCGCATTGTTTAGCAAAATTCATTAAATTCGTAAATTTTTCAAGATACTTAAGTGATTCGATACAAAATAGTGACAAATGAGTTCTTGTAAAGAAACCATTGAATTTGTGAGAATAAAGAGAAGTTCATACTCTGTATTACATTAAAAAGATGGCATTACAGATGATGTGTATCATTATTTCAATGTCATAGACGTTATTTTTACCAATGGGTGAATAAATCCCTCCCTAATTATGAGCTATTGAAAGACTAATATAATCTTAAGATTTTTAGGTACCTTGAATTGAATAAATTAAAACATTAAATAGTTACAAATATAAGAGATGAAGAACTTCTAAAAGACAAAAAAAATACAAAATAAAGGTGATAGAAACGAAAGACTTGATAAAAGATTTTTATATTACAATGACGTCTTTTGGCGTTTGTCCCATATGCTATGCATGTGAAGTTTGTACTATATACTACTCCTCAATCGTCCCTAAATCTCTAAAAGGGGAACCCAAATCACTATATCCCGATAGTGGAGATGGAAAAGCCATTGCTTCAGTTCTCTCAACTGGCTTCAATAGCCCCCCATCCTCTAGTGCATTTCTCATTTTAGGATCCATTCTTAATTGATCGATATGTAGGTTGGTATTTTCTTTCAGATAATTTTCCTTTATGGGGCTATTCATTATCGCTGAAGAAAGTTTAGTGGGAGAAGATTGTTTTCTAGGAGACTTGGATACCATTTTGGAATCAGGAACTCTGGCAGGGCCAGTGCAGTTATGCCTATTCTTGTGCTTCATCATTGATTGTTCTGAGCTGAATTTTTTCCCGCAGGGACAAGAAAAATGCTTATCATGAGTCTTCTTGTGTCTAGCAAGGTCATGATTCCTCACAAACGCTTTAGTGCATCCCTCAAAGTCACACTTATATGGTTTATCTTCTAGATGTGTTTGAATATGGGACTTTATATTATACCTTCTCCTAAAAAATTTACCACAGTTAGGAAATAAACATTCAAAATTCTTGTCAGGTAGTTCTTTAACATATCGATCAATATAACCTGGTGGTAATGTAGTAGGCTTTTTCCTTTGCCGGCTTGGACTACTTTCGGTATTAGAAAATTGTAACCTATTGCTCACATTTGAATCATCGCCAGCGGTGGTATTATTATGTGATGTTGATCCTTGCGGTATTTCTGATATATGGTGCAATATATTACTGTCGTCCTCTTCTCTAAAATGCATTCCATTTTGTACGCTCTTATTGAGTGGTGTTCCTGATAGCTCCGGCCGTACCAATGATCTCTCGTTCATGTCCACATTATTTTTCGCTTTCACAGGAGTATGCTGGAAAGTATGTTTCTGAGGCATGAATCCAGACTTATTAGCAGTCATGGGAGTATTATTTTTTGATCCCGGTATAGTTGGCATAATTTCTACTGGTGCACGTAGCATTTTCCCATTGTTCTTTTGTTCATTCTCTAAATTGGCTTCTTCTAAGTTCAACATTTGCGAAGGCGGACTTGCAGTGTTCTGATAGTCATCTTGGGGTTGTAAAATAGTAGAAACTGTTGAGAGAACAGAATCTTTTTTCCTATGAGGTGAAATCATACTGTTTGGTGAGCTATACATTGCCTTTGATGATGATTCTCTAGCAGCATTGGTAGGTCTCAAAAATTCCGATGTTGAAAGCACTGAAGCATGCTCCTTTCCAAATGATGATTCGGGTGTCTTGTGTGATGCATAAGCCTCTGTGAAATCAGCATTTGGTTGCAGGTAATTGAGTGGATCTGAAGATTCCATTTGATCAATATTGCTAAACCTTGAGAATGATAGCGGTGGAGTAACAGCTTCGTTATTTAATGTAACTCGAGGTGGAGGTGGGAAAACATAGCCGCCAGAAGATGAGTTTTTTGTAACTATGATGGCGTCATCTCCTTGATATTTGGTTGGACTTCTTTGTTTTGATGGCGATTCAGTTACGTTTTGAGCTGTTAATTGACTTGTTACAGCTTCCTGATCGTGAAGCACACGCTGTATATGTTCTTGTTGTAATCTATTTTCTCGCAGTTGCCGCTCTAAGTTTCTATTTACTTCTTTCTGTTTTTCTAAAGCTAATCGAAGCTCTTCCTGCTGTTTCAGAAGAACTTGGCTTAATACAAAGCCATTCTGGTTATCTGTGTTTCCTTTTACATTCTCGTTCTCAGCTTCATTGATAATGTCTGTATTCTTGCTAAAACTAGCAATGCTGAGGGTTTTGTTATGATTTTTGAAGCCAAATATTGCGGTACCACTCATTCCTCTCTTATGCGACATCGAAGGTTTATTTGACCTGTGTCCCTGTATATCCTGCATCCAATTGAGACTTTGTTCGGCATTCATATTCAGATCTCTAGGCGAAGGCGCCAATGGTATATCTAAGTCCTTCAACTCCTCCGACAGGAGAGCATCAACATCGTTATAATTGAAGTCAAGCAAGTTGTCCATCATGTTATCGTTGTAATTCGTTAGTTGGTCCTGGGGTGTGAACACTTGGTCCTTTGGCATTTGAGGAATCTCTCCCCAATCCGCCTGGAAAGTATTCATTATTTTAGAACGACGAGGTCTTCACAAGCTAAATATCTTCTTTCGACTGTAGTGAAAAAAAAAAGTTGGTTATCTGTTGTTCTAGCGCTCTATGGAATCTGCTGACCTCCTTCAAATATAAATTGTGTGACTATTCTTATTCCTATTCAGATTGTTAAATAATATTGGCTTGTTTTTCTTATCCGTACTAGAACTTTGCTATACTAAGGCTATTACTCTCTTAAAAAGAGTATTGTCTCCTGTAAATTCCAAATGTTATAACTTAAAAGGATTGAATAAAAAAAAATAAAGTAGGTGGGGAGTTATGAGGGATGTTAAAAAAAATAAGATCGACAGGTGGTCAGTTAGTCTATTGTTTACTTTTCGTCCCTAGTGGTTGATTATGCAAACCAAATACCGTTTCTATACTTTGGAAGTATGTGCTTAATGGTGCAGAAAGGGAAAATAATAAAAAAATCGGTTTCTGAGAGATATTATTTGTCCTGTTAAGGCATATAATTAATCTTATACCCTCCTAAGGGACTATCAAACGACTTTATCTAGGAACAGCGCAGCAATAACAACTCAATACTTGCTGAAAATTGTAATCATATCCAGATCAATGTTAGAAAGGAGATTCTAGTTGTAAAATACCATATGCAACAACAGAATACAACCTAGCGTAACAACCCTAACACTTGAACGTACTTAAATTCTATGCCAAAACAAATATCCCTTTTCTCACCAGAAAGATGTAATGTCTATCACATACAAGCTTGAACACCTTCCACTCCCAGTGTTTCAAACCTCTATGTTGGAAGTTGGAAGATCAATATAACTAAAACTCTTCACAATACATGTTTACCACTGCACATAGTAAACAAAAGCTCTGTCATTATGGGCAAGAATGGGCTATATCCAGAGGAAAGAATTCAGCCGATGCCCTCGTTCCTAATTGGGAAATATGAAAACATATAACAGACGATAAACGGATAGCACCCAGAGACAACTGCGTACAGAAGTCCAAATTTCTTTGCAATTCCTAAAACGAAAGAAAATTTTTCAATTTGATCCTGCCCCCCCCGCCATGTAATTATCCCAATCTGGCAATCCATAAACATGTTACCCGATTGGGTCAACTTTAAGTTTTATTAACAGGAAAACCTAGTCTTACACGGACAGCGGTCAATTCTTATCACATGTTATCGTTTGGCATTATCATAGAATTGCAAAATCACATGATGTTGATATAATATGATACGCAGGAATCATGTGAATAAGATTTCGTGCTCAGGCATGTTCTGCTATCCTCCTCCCTTCTAACATTGTATTCCTTCTGAGTTGCCGCCGACGGTGCGCGCATACACACACACACATATATATACACAAACTTAGATTGCAGGGTGGAAACAAATGGCTTGGAATACACCTATGACCATATAAGTATAAGTAATATATCTCGCATCAATAGAAATCTCTCCATCATGGTGTTGCAAATGGGATGGTGAGGAGTTCTCTGTTTTTGTTCATTTTAATAGAGGATACGTAGAAGACCGGTTGCTGGTTTGGTGATATCTCTACGTAATCTTGAATTTGTTTTGCCATCTGGTTGGAATCTGCATAGCCAACTTTGTCCAGTATATCTTTAGGCGCATTGGACAGTTTGGCTATTGACATATGACTGAATGATGGCACAGTGACCATCTTATCTGACTCACTGAGGCCACTATCAATTAGTGCACTTTCAATGTTGTCTGTTATGTCCTTGATTATATTGTCCTTAACAGACTGGGCAACATTATATCCGAGAAACACACTCGTGGTCTGTGGTGAGCCATAGAACCTTAACGTGTCTTCGAACTGAACTAAATGCTGGCGTAACTGAGCAACTTTTGGGACCAGGATGTTATAAAATCTGTCTCTTTGAGTTTCAGAGTCAAATGGTATGTTCTTTGTCAACGATATGTGTAAGGGGACAGGGACACCCAACGTTGTGTAGTGCAACGGTTCAAAAATGTCTGTCCCAGGGAATTTCTTTTGCCAGCTCTGATTGAACTGACTTAATGTCTTGCTAATCATTTCTCGCTCTGTACTAGAAGGTCGGTACTCTATGTACAGGAAACAGGACCATTTACCGATATTTCTTTTAAACACATCGCTGCCTTTAATTGCACCAAGACTCATCCCGTTATCTGTACGCTCAATGTATTTATCTGTGTTCGGTGGAATTTGGTACTTGTCGTAAACACTGCTAGGTATCGGAGGTAGTTTTATTACAGTATCGATATCGTCTCTATGAGTCCTCTGCCACTCTTCAAGATTACTTACTTCTCCGGATTTTTCCCAATTCTCGATCGGCGGTATTACTTCTTCCGAGTTCTGGCTCTTTAAGTTCTCTTCACTCTCAAATTCACTTTCAGAACTATATTCCGCTAATATATTCATCAAGATTGTATGTGTTTTAATCCAGGTGTATATTGACAGTTAGTTTGGAACATGTAGCAATGCCTAGGTGAAAAATATAAATAAAAAAAGATGGTTTAATAAATTAGAAATGTGGCAGCTGTGAATGAGTCGATTGGATCTGTAATTAGGGCATTTTGTATCGGAATAACTTGAACAACCCTTCAGTTTTAAGTCTATCTCATCGAATTCTGAGCTTATATTTTTATTTTTTTTCACATGTTGGAAAATTTCAGAATTTTAGGAAACTCTAAAGGCCCTTTTTTTTAAAAAATTGGTTGTTCAACAGAATAAAAATGTCAATTTGACAGCATTTGGACACTAAACTGATCTGTTATTCTACTTGTACGATAAAGGACTATCTAACTCTTCGGAAATTTATATTTTGAAACTGTTTCTGTTAAGATTGCCATCAGAGTGTTAATATAACTCAAAACAAGGGAACTATTACGCACTCTGAAAGTTTAGCATAGGTCTTGGTTGTTGAGTTTTTAAACTTCATTGCAGTAGAGTTTGTTTGACAATTGGTCTTTGGAAAGTAATAAATAATGCCATTAAGTGAAATCGAGCCCCATAGCCCTTCTGCCAAGAAGGCATCTGGCCACCGCAGATCTAGAAGGCATTCGAGTATAGGGTCGTCTTCTAGGAAGCCTTCGTTAACAAGAAACAGATCAACACTTAGGTTGATGCGTACAATTAGTATTGAGTCGTTGAACAACGACACTTTTTCAGCTAGTGGGGGTGAGGATGAAGATAATTCTAACTCGGATTACAATGATGTATCAGGAACAAATCAAGATCTGGAAGACAAGATAGGTAACTTGAGCATCAAGAGCGGTATCTCCCAAAGCTCGTCGGATATTAAGACTACACCTGCCAAGAAGGGTTCTGGTGGTGTGTCAGCATCGAGTACTGACAATTCTATCGAAGTCCCTTTTGTTAAAGTAGCATTAGACATTACATTGCCTCAGGACTACTTCAAGAAGGATGTTGCCAATATGATTCAAAGTCTAAAAGTTCCAAGATGGTATGCTAGGGGACTCGTCGAATCGCCTCTGAAGATGGAGTCCTTGAGACTTACAAAAATTGCTGGAGCAATGACAAACGCTATCTTTAAAGTCGAGTATCCCGCCCTGCCTTCTCTATTATTAAGGGTTTATGGTTCTAACAATGATATGATTATTGACAGAGAGTACGAGTTACAGGTCTTGGCAAGGTTATCAGTTCAACATATTGGACCCTCGTTATATGGTTGTTTTCTAAATGGGCGCTTTGAGCAATTTTTGGAAAACGCAACAACACTCACAAAGGATGATATCAGAGATTGGAAAACCTCTCAAAGAATAGCTAGAAGAATGAAGGAACTACACACTGGTGTGCCTTTATTAAGGTTTGAAAAGGAACAAGGATCTATGGCGTGGAACAAAATTGACCAATGGTTAAAGGAAATTGAAATGAATGGCGGGGATTGGATTTCGAACGATGATAATGTGCAACAGGTGTTTGGAGCTCCAAACTGGAAAGAGTTTAAAGAGTCCATAAGAAAATACAGGGAATGGTTGTTTGAAAATAGTAAGAGTCCATATGTATTTTGTCATAATGATGCACAGTATGGTAATTTATTATTTAGTGCACCAGTGATCAACAGCGAGAAAAACGATCTAAAGAAAAGTCTCGATGAATCAAATCTATCCACATCTTCGTTGTTTCCATCTGATTCTAGAGTATCTTTGAAGGAAATCATTAATCCAACGAAACAAGAGCAGAGTCAGGACTCAAAACTTGTTGTTATTGATTTTGAGTATGCTGGTGCTAATGTTGCTGCATATGATCTTTCAAATCACTTTTCAGAATGGATGTATGATTATAATAGTTCCACCCCTCATAAGTGTTTTTCAGACCAGTATCCTACTACTGAGCAGATGTTAAATTTTGTCTACTCATATGTTTCACATCTAAGAGGTGGTGTTAAGACTGATATAGACGATGATGCAAGATTACTCTACAATGATATTAAAAAATGGAGAGGTACAGTCCAACTGTTTTGGAGTTTGTGGGCACTAATTCAAAGTGGGAAGATTCAATTCCAAGAGCAGGAATCTACTAAGGTTGATGAAGGGTTGGTAGGTGAGAAATATATAATCAAGACCGAAGACACTGCGATAGACGAATTGGTAGATGACATAGATACAAACGATGTAATTGAGGCACCTGAAGGTGTAAGTATCGATACTTTTGACTATCTGGGTTATTGTACTGACAAGATTTCTGTGTTCTGGGGAGATATTATAGGATTCAACATCATAACAAAATCAGAATGTATTGAGAATAAGGTGAAATACCTAAGCACAGATTTATTGTGAATAGAGTTTATGATCGGTTAGTTGGTGTCGTTTTAACACTGTTTTGTTAATGGAGTTCTCTGATTTATTTGACTAGTTCTCTGATTTATATGACTAGTTCTTTCATTGTTCGCCCTTAGAATAATCGCAAAAGCGTATAACAGAAACTCATTATATAACAGTCATTTAAGATAGTTCTACATAATATTTGCATATATTTAAATTCGTAATCAAAAGTAATAAAAGCATTCATTTTTAATAGTTTTTTTTTTATTTTTCGGTTACAGAAAGTTATATTGATAAGTGGATAATTTGAGGTATGATTACACGGCCTCTAGCGCATCTCTTTTTTAATCAAATTTCAAAGATAATAGCATAACAATGTCAGGAAATTCACTCGCTCATTTCACAACAGTGACTGTATATAGCATTCAGTTAAGTGATTAAGGTGTAAATCGTGGATATGTTATGGATTTTGAGCGGGCTCAAAAGAACTTTGATGCATTTGTGATTAATGGAGAAACAGATGAAACACCCAATGATGAGTTAAGGCATGAAAGTCAGCATTCAGATTTTGATACCTGTGGGACACAGGTTCCTGAAATGAACTTCTCTGATGATGATAATTCTGATTGCGGTAATAATGAGATTGACAGGCTCGCACATAATGCCACAGAAACTACAGATAAGGAAGGTGATGATAGCATTATTGTTACACAGGAACGAATTGCGGAAAACAGAAACAATTCGGTAATAGAAATAGAAGATGAGGACCAAATTGATCTAAGTGTGGTGAATAGTAAGGAGGAGGATAATATATTTCTCAACACTCAAATTCAAAGTCGATTAGATGACCATGAGAAGGATCTTCAACAAAAGGCTGTCTTGAAAAGCTTCAATTTTGAGTATGTTGATAAGGATGAGAGTCCCAATATGATGGGAAGTAGATATATAAGGAAAAAATCTCCAAAGAAGAGAAATTCAAGGAAAAATACTGAAGAGGCTATTCAAGCTAGTAAGTCGATCTCGAAAAGACAGAATAATGCGAACTCATTGTTACAGATATTGTCAGGAAAGAAATCTAAAGTTAATGCAATAATCAAGAATCAAAGATTCAAATATGAATCAAAAACTGGAGTATTGAAAAGGGCATCTCAGGTATCCAATTCAACAAGTACCACTTACGGAAAAGAAGAGTGGAAACAAATAAAAAATGTCTTGAGAACCCGATATTCAAAACTAGAAAATTCTGATGATAGGGAACTGGAGAATTTTATTAATTACCTTTCGGAGCAACTAGAAAAAGAGCCTAATCTATGGACCAGCTCACAGATTGCTATATCTACAAATGAGAACAATGAGTCATATAGGCAAGACAGTATAGGTAGTTTATTGACTCTTTCTCAAGTAATGGGAGATAAATCAGCTATACTAGAGTCTGATGATGAATATCCAGATGTTAGACCAAATGGAGAAAGTTTCTTCAAGTGTGCTGATGATTCTCAGCAATTAAAAGATGATCTCAATATTGTGTCTCAAACGAATTCTAATACAAATGTATCAGGAGTGGAATCAGTCCATGGCTTAGAAGGAAAGAATCTTTACAGTATGGGTGAAAAAGAAGAGGTGACGAATAAGATGACGGACTTTGTTAGTAAAGAAGTTGAGCAGTCTCAAGTGCCACTATTAAGTATTCACCGTCGGGGCCGAAACAATGGATCTTATTTTATATTCGATAGTTCTGATGAGTATAAGACTATAATCGAAATCGATAGTTCAATCAGACAGCCCATGGATAATAGTAATGAGCCCTCTATTACTAATCATCGTCGAACTCCAGTATTTTCTAAATCCCAGTCCATACTAGATCAGGAATGTGACTCCATTGAAGATATTAGCCTTTCTCAAGGTTCATTCAAGGCTGTTACCACGCTGATATCTCCTGTTAAAGACGGTTCTACGGCACAAAACTCGCAAGCTATGGATATTCCGACACAGTTCTCTGGAATTCCTAGGTTATTGGATTTGAAGACAGTTCCAAAATTACCTTTCGAAAGCTTCAACGAGAACTCAAAAGATTATCGAATCATTATTTCAAAAAAAAAGCTTCTTGAGCTAAAACAAGCTATCAAACGACTAGCTAATATTGAATTGACAGAGGAACATGAAGTTCTTGGCAACATTGATGGTCAACCCGGTGAGGAATTATTTGCTGTTGTTCTCTCCATCAGCAACAACTTAGAGTTACTGAGCTCACCGGGTGTTGATACGCATACGAAGGAAAAATCTCCAAGCTTAGCCGAACTGCGGAAAGATCTCGATAAAATTGGACTTAAGCCAGTTCGGCTAAAGTCACAAATAATAGAAAATCTGGCGTCAGCTTCACAGGTTGTAACAGTTGATGAAAGTAACCAGAAGAAGGTTGGTGTTACATCGAAATCAGAAGTATTTGAATTCTTGACGCATCTAGTCAAGCAAGAACCTGATTTATTGACTAGAATATACTGTTTTCAACCAATTACTATGAACGATCTTATTAATAAACTACGGAATAAAGACTCTTTTGTTGACTTAATCGATGATGGAACTATTCGAGAATGGACAGATAAACTGGGTATTTGTATTCGGAGTAACAATTTGAAAGACTGAATTGTTTTGTGTTCTGTTTAAGAATGCATGTAATTTAATATATTATGTAATTCATAAGTTCTTTTTGCTTTTCATGTTTTGGCCGTAAAAATCGAACTGTCTGATGCTCAAAAAAAATATATAGGATTTTTAAAGTATAAAGATTCTTCATAAGTAGAACGATAATATTTCACATACTTGCGGTTGTTATTGATGTTTTAGTGCCACATGAAGAACAAAGAGATCTCAACAACACCTTAACATCAAAATTATACCTATATTAAATATTCATGCCATTCAGTTTAGTCAGAATCGATGAAGATGATGTGTTAGAATACGTTTTTGAAAGATATACTGCGATCAATTCAGACGCCGATTCTATACGCCAGGACCTGGGGATTCAAGATTCTAAATCAACTACTCTAAATATTGAAATTGCTCCACCAAAATCTTTAATCAATGATACCAATATAACTAAAAAAGGCAAAAAAAAGAAAGGTAATAAGAGCTCATCGGATTATGATTTTTATTCATTTGAAATAAAACAAAATGTTACCAGTTTGCATTCAACTCGTGATAACGACAATTCAACTACCGGCTATGTCTTATGGTCTCTAACACCTGTATTTTGCGAATGGCTACTATATAACGAACAGGCATCACCTTTACACCGTGCTCAAATGGTTAACATATGCTCATTAGAGAAGAAAATTATACATGATATTGAGTTTCCATCCTTATTGAATGAGGACACAACGGTAATTGAACTCGGATCTGGTATTTCTTCAGTTTTACCCATTCTCTGCAGTAACTTTGTTGGAACTTATATATGTACAGACCAAAGAGGAATTCTGAATGGGTTGAAACAGAACATTGCGAATAACCTTGACCTAGTGAATAAGCGCACTATAGTATCTGAAACTTTAGACATTTCTAATATCCAAGAACAACCAACAAACTCTGACGACGAAACAATACCTATTAAACCCACTACTCAACTAGAAGTAGCAATTTTGGACTGGGAAACTTTTCCCAAATCTATCAAGAGTGGATCATCAAATATATTGACAGATTTTGTGAAACCACACGGGACGATATTTCTATTGGCATTGGATGTAATCTACAATGAATATCTGATCAACCCATTTTTGCACACATTACACTCGATAATGTTCTACTACAAGAACCAAAGGGAGATCGTTGCTCTTGTTGGGATACATCTCAGATCAGATGACATTGTACAGGAATTTTTGGAGAAAGTAACTACAGAATTTCCTTTCAAATTACATGTCGTTGATGACCCACAATGGTCTCATTCCCGCTATGACATATACTACATCACTCTCTAAATTACAAATACATTTGGCCACCATTTTCACAACCAAAAGTATTTGAGAAACCCTCCCAGTTGCCAGATTTGAGTGCAGTTACTTCGCATTAAAACAAGAAGCAAATATATAGCAGATAGCAATTCACAGTATAGCCTTCGGAGTTATAAACACTTAAAACTGCAAATCACGGCATTATAACGTCAGGGTGTACGTGATTTCTATGCCACACAGCAGCGATGCAGTGCAAAAGTCGTAGGGGCTGAATTTGTCCTCTTTATCCCCAACGAAGAGGCACGAGTTTTTCAGCCTGGAAGTGAAATTTCAAAAAGAAAATCCAAAGGAAAAAAAAATCTGCATAACAAGAGTTTCAGTGATAAGTAGATGAGATGGGGGGAATATTGACCAGATAGTCATTCTGCGCTTAAAACGACTAGCGATCTCAACAGAATCTGGTAGATCCAAACTAACGCTATAACTGTTCTTGCTGGGAAAAGAATATCTTTCCAAGAAAATTAGCAACTTAGTCTGAACTTTTGTGACGGCATTACTCCAAGGGTCCTTGCATTCATTTTAGTTCTGGCAACACTAGAGAGACCCTATAGAGGTTCATTTTTATTTTCAAACGCACAGGTAGTTGAATTTATTGGTGTTGAAAAAAAGCGGTGCTGTTGACTATTTGGTATAAGTCCACGCCACTGCCATAACAACCATAGCTATAACAACTAAGGAATTTTTTTTTGCTGCATTTACTTTTATTTGTTGTTGCCCTAAGAAAGGCTTATTTTGCATTCATTATAGATTAATAATACTCCCAAAATAATCTCCGTTTGATTTTTAATTAATTTCTCTTTATTGACCTGATTATATGAAAAAACAATAAAGATCTAAGATACTACTGAACTGATAGGAACTACTAATACATAATGGCTGTATGGGAGCAATTAGAAGTTTCAAAAGCTCACGTAGCTTACGCATGTGTGGGTGTTTTCTCATCTATCTTCTCATTAGTATCACTTTTCGTGAAGGAGAAACTGTATATTGGTGAATCCACCGTGGCGGGTATATTCGGACTTATAGTGGGGCCCGTTTGTCTAGATTGGTTTAACCCATTAGAGTGGGGTAACTCTGATGTTATTACATTAGAGATTACTAGAATAGTTTTATGTTTACAGATTTTTGCTGTTGCCGTTGAACTACCACGAAAGTACATGAAGAAGCATTGGCTTTCAGTTACCATGCTACTAGTACCGGTAATGACTGCTGGTTGGTTAATTATTGGTCTGTTTGTATGGATTATCATTCCACACATCAACTTTCCAGCAGCTTTGTTAGTAAGTGCTTGTATCACTGCCACAGATCCTATTCTGGCACAGTCAGTGGTTTCAGGTAAGTTTGCCAAAAAGGTGCCGGGGCATTTAAGAAATTTACTATCAGCTGAATCAGGTTGTAATGATGGTATGGCATTTCCATTCATTTATTTATCCCTTAATTTAGTTCTTCACCCAGGAAGAGGAGGACTTATTGTTAAAGATTGGATTTGTATAACAATCCTCTATGAATGTCTGTTTGGATGCATATTAGGTGTTGTGATAGGATACGTTGGTAGAATATCTATAAGATTTGCTGAAGAAAAGAACATTATAGACAGAGAATCATTTTTGGCTTTCTATGTGGTATTAGCTTTTATATGTGCTGGTTTTGGTTCTTTATTAGGTGTTGATGACCTTCTTGTATCGTTTGCAGCCGGTGCTGCATTTGCATGGGATGGTTGGTTTTCTCAGAAAACTGAAGAATCCAATGTGTCTACTGTTATTGATGTCTTGCTAAATTACGCCTATTTTATCTACTTTGGTGCCATTATCCCATGGGATCAATTTAACAATGGTGATATTGGTCTAAATGTCTGGAGACTGATCGTATTAGCAATTATTGTTATCTTCTTGCGTAGAATTCCAGCAGTTATGATTCTAAAACCTGTTATACCCGATATCAAATCATGGCGTGAGGCGTTATTTGTGGGCCATTTTGGGCCTATTGGTGTAGGCGCAATCTTTGCTGCTATTCTGGCTAGAGGTGAGCTTGAACATGAATTTCTGGAAGAACCCACTCCGTTAAATGTTGTTCCTCCAGAGGTGGAAACTGAACATTGGCAATTGATTGCCATTTTATGGCCAACGATTTGTTTCTTTATCATCACATCTATCATTGTTCATGGTTCATCCGTTGCTGTGATAACACTAGGAAGACATTTGAATACTGTGACTTTGACTAAAACTTTTACCACCCATACTACAAATGGGAATGGGAAATCATCTTGGATGCAAAGATTACCCTCACTTGATAAGAGTGGTAGATCATTTTCATTACACCGTGTGGATACGAGTGCCACAAATGAAACTATACACCATGAAACTGAACCTGATGAATTGAAACAGAATGATACCATGGAAGATTACAGTGGCGTCACAACTAGTGGCAAACCTGTAAGAGCAGCTGGTGGAATGCGGAGAAGGGTTACTAGGAAGAAGAAAAAGAGTAGAGGTAGAAAGCATGCCGAAAGACTGATGAGGAAGACTGAAAAACTAAACCCTATGTTCGGAGGCTATGATGATGAGCTAAATGATTTGGGTAGAGAAAAACTTCAATTAGAAAAGGAAGCTGAAGCTGGCACATTTGCACTAGGACGTAAAAACTGGCCAAATGCTGACAACGATGACGATGCCGATGGTTCACCACATACTGTGATTGGTACTAGTATAAGTGGCTCTGATCAATATGATGAGGAGAAAGTGGATTCTCGCCATTCTCTTGAAAGTACGCAATCTGAAAAAGAAAGGAAACTTGCTGAACTTAAAGAGCAAGAAGAAACTCCTCATGTTGCTTATGCAGAAGGGAACAAGATTATTTTTGAGAATAAACAAGGTGAAATTATTGATGAAGCTAAGCTAAATAGTCCATCTGATGAGGAGGCCCAGCAATCGTTCCGAAGCCCAAGTTCATTAAAGAAAACTAGAAGCAATGATTCTACAAGTAGAAGTATGACTAGTATGAATAGTCTGAAGAGAATTATTACTCCTCCATCTGTGAAAAAGGTACATTCACTAATTGATCGTAGTCATCCAAAGTATATTGCATACAAAATAGACAACCAATTAATTATTGAAGATGACGAAGGTGAAGTTTTGAGACGTTACAAGATCAATACCCATGATAAAGAAGAATCTAAAACATCTCCCAAAGTTCAAACTAGAAATGAAAGGAGCTCAAGTATTGTCTCTAGAGCTTTGTCTGCTGTTGGATTAAGAAATGGATCTAAAACTACTTTAGCATCTGATGAAGTAACTGGAGTAGCAGAAGGGGAAAGACAGTTCGTACTAACTCCAGTACCTACACATATGTATGATCAGAATGAAAACCAAATCAACGAAGAAGATGAGGAAGGAACTAGTTATAGTGGGTCTGAAAATGATAATGAAGAAGAAAATTCTCAATCTGATGACTCATATGAGTATGATAGCAATCAATTATCAGGTGAGGAGTCCAATGAAAGATCTGAGGATGAGGAAAGTGAAGATTATGATGAAGATAGTGATAATTATTCTGAAACTCAAATAGAAAGAGATCGTCGTCTAAATGCCCTTGGCCATATATCTTTACCTGCAGAAGCTGATGATGAGGAACCAGCTCCTTATATTCCACAACTAGATCAAAATAATTCTAGAAATAAAATGAAATCCACATTCGCGAGGTTCAAGAAATAATCCAGTCATCTCCTCTATTGCCAACAAGAAACTACCTACCTCAGCAATAACAATCCATTTCATATTCAATTTGAGCATTCAATCATTTAATATAATATAATACATAACCTTAATTTAAGCATCAAAAAATATTTAGTGATAAAACCATTTTTTGCCCTAAATGTTTATCAGTTTTCTGATTATACTAAAAATTTAAATCATAAATTTATAATGCATTTTTATTTACAGATATTGAACTACTAATATTTACTAATCATAGTTTTGAAACGAAGTCTCATATCTTTTTTTTTCCAAATTCTAATGACTGCTGTATAAAATTGGAGAAATCGTTGTAATCAGGATTATCATCACATATCAAGTCAATTCTATTTGTCTGGCCACCACGAGCACCTCCGTTAATGTTTGAGTATTGCACCAGAAATCTGTCCCGAAATTTAAGCCTTGTAATGCGATGTCGATAAGTGTTCACAAAATCATAGCGGACTTGCACGGTGCCCTCTTCTTCCGTTGGGATATTAACACAAACGCTGTTACCTAACAACATCTTGTTACCTTGACCAAAATCTAATTTAGCTTGATCAACATAGTGTTTTAATTCATCTTGTCCTTCAAGCCATTGTCCTGGATCGTCATTTTCCAACGACGGATTGAGGGAAACTACTGCATCACTTACAATTTTGAAATCAAAGGGATGCTGAGGTGCTTCTAACATAACTGCCTTCTCAGAAACTGAGAAAATACAGTCCATCGAGGCCTTAATTGCATTATCTCGGTCATCAAGTTCAAACCATAATTCCATGTTAGGTGGATAACTCTTAATCCCGGGTGGTATTGATGATAAATCTGGTTTGAATTTCAACTGAACATAATAATCATCGTTTTCTCCAAGAACAGATAGATCCCCCTCATGTGTTTCTTCAAAATATGGTAGATCCATTAGAAAATTAGAAATTGTTGGTATACGTGGTAAAAATGTTCTTATCATTGAGTTTCCAGCTTTCAAAAGCTGTCCCATGGTAACACTAATTACATGTTGCCTAGTTCCCTTCACAGGCAAGAGTTTTTGCTTCAAGGAAATATTCTTATCAGTTAGGAAGTCATAAATCCTTTTGACATCCAGCATTTCAATTGTGGGAGGATACTCGAGTTTATCAGTTTTGCCTAACAATTTATTTTCTGGCAACTGTAATCTATACCACAGTTTATTTTTGTCTAACCAATTGAACGAATCCATGTCTGTGTATGGATATTCCTTACACTTTTCCTTCATACATTTATCACCTGTGGTGATATATTCTTCTTGTACATGTGGCGTGTACTTACTTGCCCAAGTCAGATATAGCTTTGCTGTATCAATTCTCTTTTTTCCAAAAGCAGAGATGTTGTACTGTTTTTCTTCAGAACTATCGGAGATTAAATCAATATAAACACTAGCTTGTTTTTGCACCAAATCGATTATTTGTTCAACATTCATATCTCCGTCCAGTTTACCGTCTATAGAATGATCTCTAATCAACTTTTCAATTGGCACTATTTCAGTTTTCACATTCTCTAAAATTCTATTGAGAGAAATTTCCACATACCTAATAACATTCGCCGATGCCCTGATTATGATTTTGTTTTCTTCTGGAGCTACTGCCAAAATTGCACCTATCCTAGCTAAATTATGTAGTATTTTACCATTGTCTGTGAGCAAAAGAAGGTAAGTATCTCTAGTCTTGATATCCAGCTCGCGCTCTATAATTAGATCATCTTTTTCATTTATGTTTTCATCCACCTGACATTGCCAGTATTCATTCATAATCTTTTTTATAATAAATGCCTTTGACTTCTTGAAAAGAGACGGGCCGAACATCTTCTTGGAATATGCCCTCAATTGGTTGACAGTGTAAGCTGATTTCAGCAAATTCTCCAGCTGTTCATATCTTTTTTGAGACATGATAGGTTTTACAGGCTTTTGATAACCAATAGCTTTCACAGCTTGTTCTTCAGATACGGTACTTCTGAATACCATCAACTTCCGACGTTTCTGGTCTATTTCCTCTAAGACAGTGTCAGTCAGTTTTTCTTTATCTTCCTCTTTGCTACCATTTGTACTAATTCCGAGATCAACACCTTCCAGTATAGATAACTTGGTCCTAGGGGCACTTATTGGTCTATTATGTCGTGTAATTAAACTATCAGTTGTTGTATGTGTATTTGCATGATCTGTTACAGGGCCTCTTCGCCTTCTCTTAAAAGAGGTAACTTGTCCAGGGTTTAGCACCACAATCTTTTGTTTCTCAGGCATCTTCTTCTTACCCCTAGTCGATAATAGCTTCTCTTTCAGCGAATCATCGCTGTAGAGTCTTATCCTCGTCCTAAACGCCGGCAGTATCCGCTTTCGCAGTAATGGCAAAGCTCTCAGCATTGTGAGACAACTTGCTAGTAGATATGAACCAACTGTTTGATGGAGAGTGCTATTTGAGTCACTGAGTAATACTTAAAGCAATGTCAAAACTGGGTCTAAGGAACCGTGAAGAAAATGTGTGGGAAAGCCTGACGCAGTAAAGTAGTGAACAGCAGGTAAACGCTATTGCTAGGTAGCAACAAGGATGTTTAATAATGTGAATTGGCTGTTAGATGTGGGTTATTATGAAACCTTTGAAGCTAGACTATTAGTTTGACTATCTCCTGCCTCTCTTTTGCAAAAAAATTACATCAAAAAATTTAAAGCTGAATTGAAATCGCAGATGCGATGTGATGCGATGAGATGAGACGGGTTAGTCCTTGAACCATTATAAGTCATTGATCTAGCAATTATAGAACCCTAGGATTTCAGCAGACACAGCACGCCATTGGATATATGATACTGTAGTAGTACGATGAGTGACGACAGGACGCATAAGAAGCAGAAGAGGATACGAGTACGAACGGATGTGGTAGCTGATTATTTTGATCTGTACAACAGGGAGGTGCGGCGTGTGCTGATGCCTGAGTTTGGGCTCACGGAGGAGCTAACGCGGTCGAAGGTGCATGTGAACTCAAGAGTACGATGTCTTGAGCCGGATCATTTTAGCGGGCAAGTACTACGCCGTGATGATTACGATGATTATGATGATGACAACGACGAGGAGCATGATGACAGTGAATCGGACGGTGATTATACAACAGATGATGAAGTAGAGCCAGCTGAGGATGACGACATGGGGACTGAGTGGACTCGTTATGAGAAGGAGCAGTTCTTCTACTGCATGTCGCGGTACAGCATACATCGAGTCGATGAGTGGTGTCAGACGTTTACGAACAAGAGCAAGTACGAAATATTGGTATACTACCAAGTGCTGCGGTCCAACCTCGAGCAATTGAAGACCACGCGGTACAAGCGTCTTCTTCCGCGGTCTCGATTTCCGATAGCCTATGAGATGAGTCCGGAGTTTATCAGGCTGGAAGAAATGCTGTGTGAGCAAGTGAACGATGTTGTGCTACATAAAGCTGGAAGTGACGAAGGTAGCGTCGAAGATAACGAGGATAGCATAATAGACATCGAGAAGTGGAACGCACGGTGGGAGCCTCTCTATGCCAACACCCATATCGAGGAGCTGCGGCCCATCAGCATAGAGCCGCTGCCGATAGCACCAGAGGCGATCCGATATCTCACGGAGCTAGTCAAACGACACACAAGGAAGCTACTGTGGCACAGTGTCCTGCCCTCTCTCGAGTCGGCACGGATATCCAAAGCTGCTCTCCTGGGGAGACAGGCTGAAAAGAGACAAGCTGAGAAGAGACCTCTGGCAGAAGAAGACATTATTGAGATACAGGCACACCCTAGGAAGAAGCACCACAGGGACTACTACCCGCACGAGATAACTCGGGAGGATGTTTTGCAAGCGGTGATCACGTTGAAACAAGAGGGCAGCACACAGACATACCCGCTTACGCTAGGCGAGTGTGTGCTGGACACAATAAAGAAGTACGAGATAGAGACGAGCACCCAGGGCCGTCTGTTCCACAGCAAGGACATCGCCAAGCAGAGCGTGCTGTCGAACCTAGTGAGCTCACACCAGAGACACCACAACGCAGAGGACGACTCAGCGCTGGCACTGACAGGGGAGCTGGCGACCCGCTACTACGACGGCATCAGCTACATGGACCGCAAGTACATGAGCCGCATGAACCGCCTGCTCACATCCACATATGCGGACTCAGAACTCTGGCACGTGACCGAATCTACAACCGCATCGCAAGGCCCACCTGACTTGTTCGTACAATACTACTCACACAGCGTCCCCACCCCGCACGAAAACAACGTGACGGAGAAGCTTGCCCTTCAGCTCCACGACACGCAGCTGGCGAACGCGGTGCTGGACAACCCTTGCGAAGTGGCGCTGGCGTGCGAGGAGTCCCGCAGGTTGGACCTGGAGGACCTCGCCCGGTCACGTAAGCACGAGAACATGCTGCTGCGGTACCTGGTCGGTGTCAGCGAGCGGGCCCAACCTATGCGCGTCATCACAGACCAAACGCGGTCCACCGCCGTCTCAAACAAACTCCTACAATGGTTCCAGGTATCCCCCTAGATATGGGGAAAGCAAAGATTAGATACGTGAGATACAGGGAATCTAGCACCCACTGCCTTCAGTTATCTCAATTCGAGTTATCTCAATTTTGAGTTATCTCAATTTGAATTGTCTCAATGACACTCAGTTCTCTTTCTACAACTGATTACATCCCCCCCTACCCATCTCCAGCCTCCAGCCTAATACACCTCGAGATATACGGGAGTCGACCTCCGAATAGTCCTCGAGAAACTGCTAAACTCGGAGATCGCTATCCGAGGTGCGCATAATAGAGTGTGTGCACTGGGTACGCCCTTAGATCGCCTGCAGAGATGTTAGAAATCCCCCCCATTCCCCTAATATAAGCAAGACTACTTAGACGAACCTGCAGCAATACGGAGTAAGAGCAGTAGAAGCAGTACAACGCAGTAGAAGCAGTAAACGCAGGCAGGACAATAAAAGAACAATGCAGACCACAGAATGTGCCGTAGGTGAGATAAGTGATTTGAGATTTCCTGCGGTGATAACTAGGGGAGTGAGGGGCGGCCCAGTTGTTACTGGATTTCTCGGGGTGGGAGATCCGAATTTGGCTCAGATAGCAGCGCACGGGGGAGATCGGATGGGATTGCTGATAGCGAACAGTAGATAAACAAAGCTGCTGCGGCGATAATGTGCAGGTGCTACAGCCCTCAAGTTCGCTTTCCATCTTTGCTAAAAATCGCTCTCGGGGGTCGATCCCCGGGCCCGGCGATGACTATCCTGGGCATCCCCCCCATACATATAAAAGGGCAGTAGTCTGAGAACCAACAAAGGTATCACAAGCGTCACAAGTATCACAAGTATTACACAAATACCACTAAGAACAACTAACAACTAACAACTAACAAAAATATATGCTAAGAATCTACCGTCCCAGAGTTATGGCTATTGCCAGAAGATATGTCTCGCAGACTGCGCAGACCAGCAACGCTATGGTCGCTGATACCACTGATCCCATGATGAACCCTATGCAGCCCAAGTTGAGTAGCCACTCGCAGCTGCCACCCAGCAGTGTCGCTTACTTGAAGACGCTGTCTCGTGCTGAGGTTTTCTCGCTGGGGATGATAGGGCTGGCCACCACCAGCAAGCCTGTGCTAAACCTTGTGATCAAGCTGTTCCCATATGTGCCTATGCCTTTGATCAAGATGTTTGTGTCCCGTCTGTACTGTGGTGGTGACAACATCAACGAGGTCAAGACCTTCGGCGAGAAATTGCAGAAAAGAGGCATCTCGAACATGATGCTGTCCCTAACCATAGAGGATTCCGAAGGTACAAAGAACATCGATATCAACTACATTGTCGAGGAGACTATCAAGTCCGTGCACGGCGTGCTAAAACCAAACCTGGTCAACCAGCTGGAGAAGTGCGGCAACGACGCGAAGAAGATCAACGAGATCGCCCCGGGTTACATCGCTTTGAAACCTTCTGCACTGGTGTCTAACCCACATGACGTGCTAATGAACTTCAACAACCCAGACCCTCACTGGGTCGCACAACGCGAGAAGCTGATCGACAACTGCTCTAGAATCGCCCAGGAGATTTACGACTTGAACAACGACTTGCTTAAGAAGTACCCTTCTAGAACAGCTCCATTCTGCGTCGCTACCATCGACGCTGAGAAGTACGACCTGCAAAACAGCGGGGTCTACGAACTACAAAGAATTCTGTTCCAGAAATTCAACAAGCTAAGCTCCCCAATGGTTTCCGTGATTGGTACTTGGCAACTATACTTGGTCGACTCCGCAGCACAACTTGCTCGCGAACACGCAAGAGCTATGAAGGAAGGTTACAAGTTGGGTGTCAAATTAGTTAGAGGCGCTTATATCCACTCTGAGACAAAGCGCGACTCTATCATCTTCAAAACTAAAGAAGGCACAGACGAAAACTACGATGCGGTCATGACCACTGTTATCCAAGACCTTTTAAAGAATGGTACCAAATCCTACTATGGTCACTTGGTCGTCGCATCTCACAATTATGGGTCTCAGATGCTGGCTACCAAAATCTTGAAAGATGCTCCAGAAAATGTCGGTAAGGCCAATATCGTCCTTGGACAATTGCTAGGTATGTCAGACAACGTCACTCACGATTTGATCACCAAGCATGGCGCAAAGAACATTATTAAGTACGTCCCATGGGGTCCTCCATTGGAAACTAAGGACTATCTATTGAGAAGATTACAAGAAAACGGTGATGCAGTTAAGTCAGACAATGGTTTCCCACTAGTGAAGGCAGTAATTAAATCACTCTTCTCTAGGGCTTGAGAGCTGATGTCAAGACTCTTTACGCACTTCATTTCGAAATTCCATTGTGTTTTTCTATGGTTGTTAAATTCTAACTACCAATTGTATTCTGAAAAGTTATTTTAACCATGCATTGAGTGCTTCTATTCAGGACACTCACCTTGTGATACGACTGTAAGTACCAAGGCAATCACTTTTTTTTTTTATAAAGCATTAATGTTTGCTCTTATTATACCACATTTGTTTTCTTTATCCCTTACCTTATACTGTAAACTCATTTTTACAGTAGGCTTTACCTTTATATACACTCCCGAACTTAAAGAAATTTTGATAATTTATATATAGAACTATTTATATCCTTATAACCATTAATATTTTATTCATGAAACTTACACAAACTTTCAACTTCTTTTTAGTAAAAAGATCAGAGGCCATCTCTTGGAAGCTCTTTTTTCAAGTATCAAAAGAAAATGAGATGAGTTCCGTTATACATACCTATAAATGCACAATAATAACTACTAGACTCTACTCAAAACCAAGCATAAAAAAACACAAGCGTGTGATAGATGAAGTTCGTTGCATTGATATCGGGTGGGAAGGACTCGTGCTATAATATTCTTCACTGCCAAAGACAAGGTCATGAACTTGTCGCGCTGGCTAATTTGCGGCCTATAGACACAGACAAACAGGAGCTAGATAGCTTCATGTTTCAAACTGTTGGCCATGATATTGTCTCTCTCTATGAAAACTGTACAGGTCTTCCGTTGTTTAGAAAGGAGATTCATCCAAAAACGTCCAAGAACGTTGAATTGAACTATACACCCACAAAGGACGACGAAATTGAGGTACTGTACCAATTATTATCAGAAGTTAAACAATCGATTCCGGATTTACAAGCTGTAAGTGTTGGAGCCATCTTATCTTCATACCAAAGAACCAGAGTTGAAGATGTGTGTGGAAGGTTGGGACTTGTAGTTTTAAGCTACTTATGGCAGAGAAGTCAACTTGAGCTGATGACCGAGATGTGTTCAATGTCTAAGCAGGAGGATGAATTAAATACATCTGAGAGTTGTAAACTTGATGCTAGGATTATCAAAGTAGCAGCGATCGGCTTGGACAACACAGATTTAGGGAAATCGTTACCACAGTTATTTCCAAAGATGCTAAAATTGAACACCCGATATGAGGTTCATATTTGCGGTGAAGGTGGTGAATTTGAGTCTATGGTGTTGGATGCGCCATTTTTTCGTAAAGGATTTCTAAAACTAGAAGAGGTTATTGATACAACTGACAATGAAAATGACGGTGTATATAACGCACAATTGATAGTGAAATTTCAGAAAAGAGAACTACCAGATGATATATTTCAATCAGAGTTGTCGAGATTGCCTGTTCCACCATTATTTGACCCGGCATGGAACGAATTGTATGAGCTTATCGATAATGAAAACTTCGAAGATACCAAAACGATCAACACTATGAATATAAGACTTCCCTCAGTTAAAACACATACAAACCGCATTGGAAACTTACTATATATTTCCAATATACAACCACAGTACAAAGATGGCACTGTACAAGAGCAAGTCAAGGATGTACTACAGCAACTGGATAATATACTAAAAGATAATCATCTCACAGCCAAAAACGTACTCTATTCTTCTCTGTTGTTGACAGATATGTCCCTTTTTGCCTCTGTAAATCAAGAGTACAGTAAGTTCTTTGATATATGGAAAAATGGTCCCCTACCACCAGCAAGGGCGTGTATCGAATCCAATATAATTAATGATGGTAGTGCTTTGCAACTCTCAGTAGTTGTTAAATATGCGGATCAAACTCTTGGAAATGATATAGAGAAGTGTGAAAAAAGTGGCTTACATGTCCAAGGAAGATCATATTGGGCACCATGCAATATTGGTCCGTATTCTCAATCTATTTGGCTATCTAATGATTTGAATCAACTTTCATATTTAAGCGGTCAAATTGCTTTAGAACCCTCACAAATGGAGATGATCGACACCAATGATGCTAAACAACAGGCAGTTTTATCATTAAAGCATCTAGATAGTATCAAACAAGTGATAAATGCAAGAAATCAAGTACAGCTAACCTGTTTCATTAGCAATAACTCAATAGTACCACTACTGACTCAAACTTGGGCTCAATATTCTGAAGATATAATATATAGTTCAGAAATGGAAGAATGGTGTGGTAAACCTAGTGAGTCTCAAGATTGCTTAATTATTGTGAAGGTATCCAATTTGCCTAGGAACGCTCTTTGTGAATGGGGAGGGATAGCGGCTAAATCACTAGAAGTGGAACATGACGATCATGATTTAACAGCAGAATTACGTAAACTTAACCTAGATGGTGGCATCAATATAATAAATCATCATGACCTAACATTAAGACGGTTCAAGACTACCTTTGCTAATACAGCAGAGCAACTAATTACACAAATAAGAGGTGTAACTTCCAAGAATACGCATTGCATTATTTTTTTCTCTGAATACTTATGTGTAGATAAACTTCAAGACACTAGTGCCGAGTTCATTCCAGTTGAAAAGGTTTATAATTACAAAGGTGAAGAAGTAAAATTCGCGGCACACATTGTTAATCACACTAAATTTTAAGTAATACACCACATATATATGCATCATATACTAGCACTAATATAATATCTACATCATTGGCACGTTGCAACTTTAGAGCAACTTTATCTGTTTTGACTGTTTGGAGCACCTTTATCCATTTAAATTTTCCAGTTAAGTTTAAATGACAAAAAAATCGATGAGCTTGTACAATACTAGCTGTATATGTATGATTAAGAAGAATAGCAAATATTGAACTAGCCTTGGTAACGAAAGAATTTCAGATAGTTCTCTTCCAACATCTATCCCTATCGTCCAAGGCTTTTACATTAGTACTATCAGCTACACCTGATCGAACATTTTTGAATCAGGGAAACTTATATGGAAGCATATACACTACACTTGCGATGATATGAATACCTTAAATCAAATAAGAAAAACATTATCATAACTGGCCAATTGTAAAGAGCAATTACTACCGTCACTAAATTATATTTTGGAGTTTTGTAATGGATTTTACAAGCCAAGCTAGAAGGATTATCAAATTTGCAGAGAAAGCTCTACAAGATGAAACCTTGGATTCAGATACTGTACAGAGAGCGATCATAGAAAGAAACCTTCGAATTGAGTTTCGAAGACAAAACATTGTTTCTAATGCATTGAAAGATTGTCATTATCATCAAATCACTGATGAGGAATTACAAAGTAACTTGACTAATTATCCTTTTATGGCTTCCATCCAAGCTAGAGTTGCATGGAGATCAATTCTTTCTTCACCTACAGATCCTGATAAAGATTATCATAATCAGACTAGTACATCTATTAACAGGAAGAGAAGTATTTATAACAGCGGGCATATACCTAATAAGAGACTTCGCAATGAAAAAGATAGAGTAGATAAACTTAATCAAATGGTGAGAGACATCGAGAATAATACGAAAGTCGTGGAGACATTACTAAATGAATCTGATATAACCACATCTGTTGATAGACCGGCTATAAATGTCCATCCATTTGTAGAGGATGAAGCTCCACCACCAACCATTACAATGGATGACCTTGAGATAGTCAGTAATGCCACTAAAAATATTTCTAATACAAATACAGTCGAAAAGCCTTACGTATCAGTGAGTTCAAACTCTAGAAATGAATACGAAACACGTCATTTAAAATATGACAGCACGATTAGTAGGTTCGGTAAAATTGATCACAGGCGCCATTCTAAAGAGAATATCTTAATCAGGAACGATAATGAAACTCATACAATAAGAAGAAATAGCAAAAGTAACAAAAATCCTAAATCAATCAGAAAGATGAGAGCTGTTGCGAAGAAATACCATTTAGAAGAATGAATATAAAATGAAATTTATTATAATTTTCTACATATTATCTACTTAAAGAAATAATAAAAAAGGTGGGATAAAATGCAAGACATGTCAAATGAACGCACCTGAATAAGCAAGGGACCATGTCAAACTCTGACCATTATCAAGGAAATTACCGGAGAAATTGGGAGATGAAAAAAATTCAAATGATGCTCGAGGATTGAACAAAGCCAAATTTAGCATCATTATTCCTTTCCAACCGTCATTAACATCATTAACTATGCCTTGAAGTTTTTGAATCCACTCTTGCTCAACATATGATGGGTGTCTGATAAATGACGACATGGGAGTTATTGGTATAGCATGAATCATTTGGATGTATTGAAGATAATTCCCAAAATAAGTTGTATGATCAATCTTGTTCTCAAATAATATACCACTTACTTTATTACCAATAAATTGTGGTGGTTCAGTTTTGTTAGCATCATCATAAAGGAAATATTGATTAAGTGATGTGTTTAGAATTCCAAGTTGGACATTCGATCTGTTGACCAATGCAACATTTCCAGAAACCATACCCCATAGTTTCAAAGCGTAACAAGAATTGACATCTTCAGAACTTGACTCTTCATCTTTACCATCACCACTCTCAAAGAGACCTTTTGCCCACGAGTGTCCAGTGAACCAGTCAAATGACCTATACATGGGGAAATAGGGATCGTTTTCTGAAGGATTAGCATAATCCCTTATTAGGGTTTCAACCCATTCTCGATTTTCAGTAAACCAGCTACCATTACCAATGTCTCTGTCAACTTTCGTCAAAATTGCAGCGGCAATAATATGGTAGGAATAATGGAAATGATGATCGTTATAGTAAGAATTTCCAAAATCGTCACCACTAGTTCCTGAAGATATAACACCACCCCATGTAGTGTCATATCTTAGCGGTAATTGTTGCTGGTTTTGTGAAAAGCGTGCAAATGCTTCCTTCAACTTTGGTAATAGAATATCCACCAATCCTCTGTCATTAACGATATATTGACAGCAAAATAGTATCCATGCATATTTGGCCAATACTTTACCTGAAAAATACATTGAGTTAACATTAGATTCATTGATTACGTCTCCATTCACTTCTTTTCTAGCTGCATCTCTTACTTTTTCCAACACTTCATGCGAGTATAAAACTCTCCTTCCTGGAATTGTTGTAGCTGGGATAAAATCAACATTAGCTGGAATCTGAACCTGCATTTCCAGCGTATTTGTGATGAAGCCCCTCATAACACCCATCACAGTAGAGTCTAACTCTGAATTAATACTGGTCAACGCAGTTGGGATAGTCATTGATACCATATGGTGTCTCAATCCATACAAGAGGGTCGTACCTTTGTTTGAATAGCCTTCTGTTTTATAAGCCAGTCTATAGATACCTTTGTCCTTATTAACTGCATTTACAACATCGCAATTCACCGGATAACAACCAGCTGCCTGGTCTATAGCCTCAACAGTATCTGCAACAACTTGGATTGTGGCCGAACTGACACGTTGGTTAGCTTGGATTGTATTTCCATTCGCAATGAATAACTGGAAGTTGTTGCATTTTGAATCTAGTTTCACGTAAATGGTCCATTTCACATCGTTTTCCAGTAAGACTTGATACTTTTGCATATCTGTCCTGGGTGATGCCATACTGTTCAGATTTCTAAAGCCGACAGCAGATTGTAATCTGGGTGTCAGATTGCTATAGTTAGCGGTAATAAAGCCCATACCTTGAACGATAGGAAATCTGATATGCTCCGACTCGGATTTCTTTAGCCATACATGGATTGACATGTGCGATAAGTCAGTAAAACGCAAAGACATACTTTCAAAAGATGGTAACTCATTCGCACCAAAGACAAATGATCTAATTCCAATTGGACTAAAGAAGAATGGTGCTGGATTGCCATCACCAAATACTCTTTGTGAAGCACGTACATGATTTGCGGCAAATCCTGGGAACGCATTATCCTTGGAAATCCAGACTGAGTAAGGGTGAGTCCATGTTGCGCATGTTTGACTACCTAGCAAAAAGTTTCCATAGAATTTGTTGGTAGCAACAGGTCTTCCATTCCTCTCCACACCATCGGGGATAGGTATCTCGTGCCCAGTTCTTGTGAACATGGCAGGTGGGGCACTAGTGTTTATTGGAAGATCATTAACGGTGACATACTCAGCCTCTTGAACCATATCATTGGTAATATTGATGCTGTTCATGGCATCTATTGTAGGAGTGGCGGTATCGAGAACTAATGATGATATCATAGAGTCCGGTTCTTCATTTCTAGGAGGCATTATGGGCTCATTAGGGTAAAACAACCCAGAAGTGGACCGATTGGGGTTCGCATCCTTCGGTAAAGGCATGGGAGGGCGGTTGTATGACATAGAAAACTAAACTGATCAACCGGATTCGATGCGTACTATAGCTATAAGTGCTTCTTTTCCTATTATTTCTGAATTGATATTGTTATATGATATTAAAATAGAGTTTAATGTTATTTGGGTAGAGCAGCAGTTGCGCAGTTTGACACTACAGGGCTCGCTCTAAAGATATCTTATTGTGGCTCTTTTTGTATTGCTCCTAATGTAAATAAGTCTAGAGAAACAGTTAGAAGTAAGAAGACCTTAAATGAAGACTATTGTACAGCTTCTGAGCACTGGACAGTTCCTGAATTCTATTATTGTGTCCATTGTTCACAAAATCCCAGTTCTGTGCGATGACTCCTTAGAAACTACCGTACAGAGAAGGACCTCACATGGAAATGTCCAATCTCTAAAGGGTTCGATCCTGTGAAGTGAAAAATTTCAGATTTTTGCAAAAATAAAAATCGTTGCGATGCGATGCGATGATGCGATGAGCACATCGCATGAGTCCTCCAATCGAGCTTTATATGGTAATCAAGACAACTTAGGAGTAAATCCTGGATTGGTAAGGGGTCGATTGTTAGTTCTGGCCTTCGCTTGTTTGTTTGTATTTCTGATTCCAAGATTAGTTGGTGAACATTGAAGACTGAAGATAGGATGTCTTTGGTGGTAGACAAATATATACAGTTGCATCAGGAGTATCGAATACTTCATCTTTTGAATCATAGGAATAAGAATCAGCATAGGGTAGCAACATGGTGGAAATGGTTTAACATGCTTAGGAGGAGTGTAGGTGATGTGGTTGAGATTCTGCAACCACTCGGGAGGAGAAAAAACCAGAAGCTTAAGGACAAGAAGGATGGTAGGTTTCTGTACCGCACGCTACACAAGTTCTTTCAAATGGAGAGCAAGTTATATTATAGTTTTAATAATATTATTAAACTAGGCCAGTTTATAACACTCGGAGTTGTCCTTGTCGGAATATTGGGACGGGTTCATTCTATTTATCATGAGATTTTTGAACTATACAAAGAACAATTCATCAGCATGGGCTGTCTCAGGGTACCTAAGAAAAACGCTCAAATTGAAGAAGCACATGTCACTAATAATGATAACGAAGAACTAGGCGAACTTATAAATGATGCCGATGTGCTCATAGAGCCGTCTGCTCTACTGAAACAAGATGTAATTCTGAGCAAAAACATTAAGAATGAGAGCAAATCTAGTAAGGACAAAAAGAAGAAGAAGAAAAAGAAGAAAGGCTCAGCTATCGACGATTTGTTTGGTTAGATCTATTCAAACCCATTGGGGTCGGCAACTGTATAACATAGTTCTTTATAAACGGTGTATTACTTTAATTAATATAGATATGTGCGGGTCATAATTACATGGTAGAAAACAAAAATCAATGGGAATATTCAATTTAAAATAGGTACTCCAAATTTGTCCTCTTGTAAGGAAGTCGTTCATGCATTGAAAATAGCATTAACAAAAATATTAGTGTATTAACATAAACAATATTGCAAAGACATGGCGAAAAAATACAATTAACTGTACACTATGAGTGCAAACTGCATCGAGAAGAATCAAAACAGGCGCATGGGCCGGCTGAGTATAGCATAGTAAGCACTACAAATAGCATGGATATCTGTGAGGATTTCTATCAATAATTAACCATTATTCTGTACTTACTAGCATAAAGCATGCCATATTTTATGGGAAGTTAGCAGATCATTTCTTATCATAGATAAGCATGTCAGCCCAGTTTGGTAGAACGAATGATGCTGAATGTATCTGGCTATTATAATATCTTAATTGATTTTGCTCTGATACTGAAGGTTGTCTTTGTGGAGTTGTCAAATCGTAATCATTAGAATTAGTACATACAATCAAACCTAACTGGCCTGACGTATAAGTTGGAACGGTAGTGTACGATATCATCGTATTTGTAAACACCTCGTTGGCAGTTTTTCTAAGGCTAGCCAAGTAATTAATGTCTAACCAAACATTCTCTGATGCCTGTGCAATGACAATGCCATCTGGTTTTAATGCATTTTGCAATAATTCAAAATACTCCTTCTGGAAAAATGCCTCAGCAGGTCCATCTGGATCTGAGCTGTCAGTGATGATAACATCATATTTGTCATCATTAGATAACATAGATGCTTCCTTAAGAAACTTAAACCCATCGCATAAATTCAACTTCAGCTTTGGGTGGTCCATTGCACAGGACATTCCAGGTAAATATTTTTTGGCCAACTCAATAACTGTCTTGTCAATCTCCACCATTGTAACAGACTCTACCTTGTCATGCTTGACTACCTCTCTGACAACACCACCATCACCTCCACCAATGACCAAAACTTTCTTAGGATTCGCATGGCAATACAATGGGATATGGGCTATCATTTCCTGGTAGGCAAATTCATCCCTCTCCGAGCACTGGATAATCCCATCTAACACAAGACAAACTCCATGATTTGTACTCTCAAACACCAAGATATCTTGAAACTCACTCTTGGACTGGTATAACACTTGCTTAACTTTCAAAGCCAACGCTTGTCCGGGGAAATGCTCATCGCTCATCTCATAGAACCACCCATCCTTAATATATTTCTGTTCTGCCATTGCTGCTATCAAACTGCTTCTCTCTTCCCTTATACAAAGTAAATCCAGATATTTAACAGACTATGTCATTAGCATTCCAATTCCTATGAGGGTTGACCAGTTAACCATCATAGATATAACAGTTTTCATCGACTTGTGTTGCGCAAAGTTGACTTTTCTCATCAATTTTTGTCACTTTTTAGAAAGTTTTGACCATTCTCTAAGCCAAAACATCAGACGATTAGGTTTACCAGGTCTGTATTTTTTGGGTTAAACCATGATTATAGAGATTGTTTTGATGACGAATTATAGTATTACATATGCGATATTTAATAAAGATTTTATAATCAAAAAAATATTAGCTGCAAATCGAATTGGACGTTAAGCCGAATCACGCACAGAGTAGTTCGTTTCCAGTTGTTCCTGACTAAAAGAACAAACGTACCTGAAATAATAAGATGAGTGATGATAGAAGTGAGCTATTGAAGCAGTCTTTACAACTCCAGGAAGAAATCAACAATATATTCCATGAGTTGAGCAGTCTTAATCGACAAGTGCGAATAGACATCGATGACTTCTGCAATATATATGAGAACAGCATAATGAATGTGAACGAGTCAGCAATCAACAGAGAAACCCATAACGGTGGTAAGACAGATACCAGACGCTCTCCTAAATAGCCCCTTTAGTTTAATACAAAGTCTATAGAGCACACTTGTAATATTATTAATTCACTTGATATTCATAACTCGTTCGACTAGGCGTTGTAAATGCCTTATTAGCTTCATCTTCTCCTTGGTCCTCTGACTGGTGGTGGTTGTCTAGATTGGTTTTTCTTGAATAGCGGTGCGTTCTTCAACATATCTGGCACAACAAAGAACCGTATGTGAGACCCTCTTACAAATACATGGTCCATCCTGGATAGCTTCTGAGTGCTACTCGTTACCATAACATCTCGCAGTTGTACATTCATATTATCCTCACTCTCCACAAGCTTACCTCTATATGTATCACCGTTATTCAGTTCAATAGTAACCACATGCCCCTGTGCTTCACTCAATAATTTAACCGGTATATTACTCATAATTTACACTGATATTGTTCTTGGTTACAACTAATTATGCTCGTTGTTTCGCCTATGAATAGATTGTTTAAATAGAGATAACAGTATTGTAGTATGGATCCCTGAGCAATGTCTTGATGATGAACCTAAACAAACTTCTATGTACAACCAATACATCTCATCGAGAACTTCTTTATGTTTCACCGTTTCTGAAAAATTCTCGTTTTAAGGATTGTAAGGTGATAGACAATAAAAGGACTTCGCAGAACCAAACAAGGGTAGACAAGCAAGTACATCGACTTGATCTGTGATCAGCCAATAATAGGAAAGCCAAATTAGAGTATTACTAGGAAGTTCTTAAATAGTTAAGAAATCCCCGGTGAAACTATAACAGAACGGGCAATGGAAGTCGAGATCGAGCATGTTGAGCTCGGGTTCATCAATGAGCTGAACAAGAACATATGTGGGCTGCAAGTTGAGGGCAATCTGATGTGCTTTGCGCTGCGGACTGGTTCGCTGTTTCTCATTGACCTCGATACTCCTTCAAATGTGATACGATGTCAGATACCGCTGGTTCGGGATGGCGGCGTTAACGCTGAGAAAGTGCTTAAGATATGGCTCAATCCTTCCCGGAGTTTGATTCTGGTAAAGACCAATTTTGCCAAATACTACCTCTGTGATGTGGATGTAATTGTAAAGACAAATGGTGAAAGTATGACTCAGAATGCTATTGCTAGTGTGAAACAGCTAAGCAAGAAAAACTGTGACGTTAGATCTGTTGCATGGGTTCGCAATGCTAAGGCAACTGGTATGCACGATAAGTTTAATCTGCTTATAGGAACAGCTCGAGGACAAGTTTACTACATAGAGATCAACTCCAAATTATCAGAACAGAATGCTACATTGCTATATGAATCCCCTGACTCAATAGATGGTATATATTGGAATGATGCAAACGGTGATATAATTATAGCATCAAAGAATAAACTCATCTACTGGGATGGTCTTCAAAGTTCCAGCAACAACAACAAAAACGATCGAGAGATTAGTCCCAAAATAACACTATCGAAGAAGCGCAAATCGAACGAAGTAGAAGAGTATGAACACATGCATATGGAATACACAAATAAGTTTGCCGTATATAAAAATTCATTTGCTTGGGTAACGGAAAGTGGCATAGTGTTTTCTAATGTAGAGCAAGTCAAGAAATCGAATAAGAAAGTCCTGGGTTCATCAAAGGTTATCCTCAATGTAGAGCTTCCTAATTCAAAGAAACCTATCAGGGATATAATACTTTCTGACTATCATATCTTGATCTTAAGAGAATCATCCATTACAATAGTAAATCAATTGGATAACAGTGTTATTTATAACCAATCGATATGGAGTAATGATAATGAGCATATATTAGGATTTGCATCTGACGTACACTATAAACAGGCCACATTTTGGTGTTTCTCAGCCTCAAATATTTTCGAAATTATATTGAAGAAAGAATCTAATTCCGTGTGGAGATTGTTATGTGATCAACAGAGATATGATGATGCCCTCAATCTTCAAGATTTATCATTGTTTGAACAAAGTTCAATTCAATATCTAAAGGGGATGCACTTGCTGGAAGAAAATGTTTACTCTGATGCTGCAAAGTGTTTTGGCAAATCTGATACGGTTTCCATTCCTGAAATAGCATTAAAATTATTAGATGGTGATGATGGCATGTTGAAAATCGGGGAGCAGAAGCTAAATGCATTGCAGTTTTTTCTAAGTGAAAAACTACTGAATTACCGTCATAAGGACTCCTTAAAATACACAATAATACTTGATTGGATTATGTGGAACTATGTTAGATTATTTTGTTTGATAGACGAGAAAGCTTGTTCAGAAAGGGAACCAGATAGACTAAAATATTGGGACCAAAGGAAAGAAGAAATTTCAGCCAGCGTAAAGAAACTCATTGATGATAATATTAACCTTTTGGAAAGAGGGACTTTTTATCAACTGTTGGAAAAGTCAGGTAGGAGAATAGAACTGCTTTACTTGGCTGAGAAACTAAATGATCATCAATATTTGATGAATTACTGGATTAGAAATGAAAATTGGTACGAATCTTTGAAAGTTCTTCAAAAGGCAAAAGATCCTCAATTGGCTTACAAGCACGCAAATATACTTTTAGTCAACTGTTCACAGTCTACTATAAATACATGGATGACTATGGAGAATCTAAACCCAGTCTTTCTTATAGATGCAATACTGACTTATTTTTCAATTTACCAGAAATCCACAAAAGGGTCAAAAGTCTTACAAGAAAATTACGCTTTGACATATTTGAAATGGTATGTTGGTAATAATGACGTGAATGACAAGATCATTTACAACACAATAGTATATATGATGATAACAACGCCCATAATCCAAGAGGGAAATGACGCTATGCAAACTGATCATAATAATGATAATGACGTGATAGAATTCATGGAAAACTACAGTAGTAAGTCTCATCTGGAGTTTGTCCTCAGATTGAGCTTGAAGTTTGAGAGAATAAAAGTAGCAATATATTTATTGAAATTATCAGATCAGTATGAAGATGCAGTAGATTTAGCATTATCAAATGGATTAGTAGATGAAGCAAAGGAAATTGCCAATATGGAATCTCTTGCCAAGGACTTCACAATCAAAAGAAAACATTGGATAAAAATTGCACAAGTTGTACTATCTCAACACTTAGAGAAGCCGGATATAAAGCAGAACATCAGGAGTATTATAAGAGAATCAGAAGGTACTGTCAAGATAAATGATTTGTTGCCGTTTTTCAATGAATTTACTACGGTGGCTAATCTGAAAGATGAGCTTGTCCGGAGTCTAGAAGAGCACAACCATGAAATTATTACAATTCGCGATAAGATTAAGCACTCGTTAGAGCTTAAGAAGGACATTATCCATGAGACAGAAAAGTTTAAGGAGAGGTATAGAATATTAGAACCTGGTAAATCTTGTGATCAATGTCAAAAAATGCTACAAACACGTAAGTTCTTGGTATTTCCATGTGGTCATTGTTTCCACACAGACTGTCTAATAAGAGCCATTCTAAGCTCAAACGACTACAATTTGAAAGGAAAAATTGAAAATTTCCAGAAGAGATTGAATAAAGACCGTAAATCTGTGAATCCAAAGGAATTAGAAGAACTAATGGCAACCAAATGCTGTTTATGTAGTGACATTGCCATCAACAAGATAGATGAGGCAACAATAGATGACAAGGAACGCTCTCAATGGGTTATATAGATACCTCTTTCTTTATTCCACTTCATGGTTGTCGTCCTTACAAAAATAGTAGCAAAAGTAATGACCAAGAGCATATACATGAGTACAAAACTTGTCTCAAAATGTGGGTCAATATATATAAATGATAAAAGGCTATGACTATCCATAATTGATTTGACATTTGTCATAATCATTTTAGTCATTACGTTATTGAGCATCATCAGCAACGTTTGATCACTAATCATCCATCTCAATCATTACGCAATTTGAACTCTTCAAAATGCCCAACATTCGAGGATAGGGAGCTACTCATCAGCAACCCTTAAATTATGCTGGTAATTTGGTTTTTCAATATGTAATTAATTACAGGCAATGTTGATGGATTGGTAATTAAATTATTTGTTGGTTGAGATATGAATTTTAAGGTAAAGTTATAAAAGGAGGTCTTATCTTCTTGAAAAGTTGGCAATCGAAACTAGTTACTATAGTTGTTAATCCCATTGAAAAGAGTATATATATTAGGCTGATATAATAATAGAAGAATGTGGAAAAGAATTGTTGATGCATGGAACGGAAACGCTACTAGTCCAAGCACTCCTGGTGTAAACACATATGACTTTGAAGGTATGAAAAAAGTTGCTATGCAACATGATCCAAGCACTGTCTTAGTTGATGTTAGGGAACCTTCAGAATTCAGTGTGGTACATATTCCGGGCTCCATCAATGTCCCATACAGATCACATCCAGAAGGTTTCAGTTTGGACCCAGTGACATTTAAGCAAACATTTGGTTACGAGAAGCCACCAGTTTCTAATCACTTAATCTTTTACTGTGCCAGTGGTCGCCGTGGTAGCATGGCTCGTGAGGTTGCTGCTAAGAATGGCTACACTAACTTGTCTGAGTACCCAGGTTCTATGAATGACTGGGTTGCTAAAGGTGGTGATAGATTAGCATTGTAATTAAGCAGGTGGATGTATAGCGATACTCTTTTAGATTATTAGAAATTTGATGAATCATATCAAAAATTTGGGAATTTTTGACAAACTTTTTTTGTCAGATACTTGACACATACTATGTAAGTAAGATCAAGTAAAAACCCTTATAAATAAAAAGCTACATAAATGCATCTGAATAATTAATTCAGATGGAATACATTTTTCTACCAAATGTCTTGTTGTCTTAATTAATGTCATGATAACCTTGGGCTCATCGGTGCCTATTTTTCTTGTGTCAATTTTTAAATGATATGAAAGGCAAAATTACTGGGAATATAAAAGTATAGTGTATTAAACTATCGAAAAGGCGTCCTACATTATAGGATAGTAAACCCAAAAGATATCAACAACCAACTATTCTTAACAAATGTTCAAAAGAGTTGTTTCTATTTCAAGAGGTAGAGTATCACCGATCAGGTTGGTTGGCCTGAACAGAAGTGCCAATATGATCAGATACCTCAGCACAAATGGACCAAAAGCGTATAACTTCGAGGACATCAAACAGCTAGTTCAACATCCTGATCCCAAAAAGGTGCTTGTGGATGTAAGAGAGCCTGAAGAATTGAAAGAGTGCAAGTTGCCTAACTCTATTAATATTCCTTTGAAGAGTGCACCGGGTGCATTGGGGCTACCTGAAGAGGAGTTCCAAGAATTATTTCATATTGAGAAACCTCCTAAAGATAAAGAGTTGATTTTCTTCTGTGCGCTTGGTGTGAGAGCCAAGACTTCCGAAGAACTAGCTAGGTCTTATGGTTACGAATCAACAGGTGTTTGGGAAGGATCTATGAAGGAATGGAAAGAGAAGGGTGGTGATAAGATTAAAGTCTGAATAGTCGATGCAAGTGTTTTAATAGATTGCAGTCTATTTCTTTATTACCACCGCCTTTTGATTTGATGCCATTTCTCCCGGTTTTTCCTTTGCGATACATGAATTTAAGTTTGACTATAGCATATTCCTACAATAATTAATACTCTTGTATATTACTAACTTTAAAAAGAATACAATCATTGTTCTAAATTCATTGTTGACCTATAGCATAAGTTTCTGATAAATTCGCGGTCAATTACATTTATATAAGAATACTTTAGCGATTATGAAACTCAAATTGCTTAAACTCTTTACCAAGCTTCTTCTTCCTCTTTCTCTCCATGACCTTCTCACGTTGCTTAGCCTTCATGTGATCAAATTTCCATTTTTGAATAACCTTACGTTTCTCTGCTTTCTTCAAGTGGAATCTGTTCTTATTACCTTCATTCAGCTTACCTTCATAATCTTTGACAATCTGTTGCTCGAGTTCTCTGTTCTTGACAGATTGTAAGCGAGATTTCATACTACGTACTTTTTCCTTCATGTTTTCAATTTCTCTGCTCTCAGCTTTATTTACAAACTTCTTATCATTCAATAATCTCTCCATCTCTTCAATCTCTTTCTCTCTATACTCATCCAGAAATTTATATCTTCTTCTAATAACTGAGAAGTCTGTAGCTTCACCAGTAGCTTTTGTGAACCTAACATCCTGATATATACCTGATTTGGCTTGCCTAGCAATTTCTAAGCCAGGTATGTCTCGTATCTTTGAAACACGTTTCTTAGATGAGTGTTCCGTTGGAGCATGCTTCCGCTTTTTACTATTCTTATTTTTTGGCCTGCTATGATTATCTCTTTCATCTTCTTCAAAGAATGCACCATCATCGGACCCCGATTCACTGTCTGATTCCTCTTGTTCTTCCTCTTTATAAACCTTGTGCCTTACCTCAGGTTCATCATTTATAGGCTTGCTGTGTTGCGGCTTGCGTTTCTTTCGCAGTTCACCGCGTTCCTCTTCTTCTAGCTGATCTTCAGCCTTCTTCAATGAACCAAAAGAAAGTTTGCTCAACCCATCATCTTCTTCTTCGCTACTCTCATCATCACTCTCGGCCCTACCTCTCATCTTGCTCGCCAGAATGGCATCTAAGTCTTGCTCATCGGAAACTTCATCGCTGTCATCATCATAACTGGGTTTGATATTCTTAAAATAGTATGACATTATTCGCACTCTTTACCCTTGTGATTTGTTGCCTCGTCTAGAAGTTTAATAGCTACAGTCAACTATCTCTTCGGTTATAAGATGAACAATATATTTCTATTAGAATTGCGATGAGCTATAGGCTTTTGCGATGAGCTTGAAATTTTTTTTCAATTTGATCTGTGCGATATTTTCTGAGAAGATAAAATACACCGTTCTATATGCATAAAAATTGAAGTTCTGTTAGCATTGTCATATAGTAACAGAAGTATCCATAATTTGTTGGATCTATATCATTGATATTCGGTTAATATAAATAATATATAATAACTGATGATAATGTTAAATATGAGGATGCTAATGGGCAATGACTCCAAGTGTAGTTATTCACAATTCATCGTTTTGGACCTGGGTTTTCTTCTTCTTGTTCAGTTTCAACTTGGCTAAATAGTCATCTCGCTTACTGTATGGGCCTTCCTTTGGTTTCAGAGAAGTGTTGTCTATTATAAACTTGGCAACATTGGATTTGGTTATCTTATCCTCCAGCACACTGATTTTCTGGTTTTCTTTGTCGATTAAAACAAGCAGGCTTTTATCCTTACCAGCGGATAACTTGCCGATGCGATCAACCAAGGGTCCAATAATCTCAGCGGATTCACTTTCGAAAGACTTTAGAGATTCCACTAGGGTCTTCTTTGTGTTCAAGTAGCAATAAAACTTAACTCTGTCCAGCCAATCAATTGCAATTGACTTGTAAGTTACAGGAATACTGCTTTGCTTCGAAAACAAAACGACAGCGTATTTATTACTAGATTGAGAATTGACCAATTTACTCACCATATCAGCACTGGTTAACTTCTTCACATGGTTCTTGATCTTGGCTTTGATAAAATTTATCAGCGGTGCAAGTTTCCTCTCACCCATATAGGTCTCGCTTGCATGTTTCTTAACTGCAGTTTTGCCAGCTTTACCAGGCTTAAACACTTTCAAAGTGGGGAACCCTTCAACACCGTATTCACCACATAGCTGTTTATTACTAGCTTTGTCACAATTCACTGCAGCCACTTGGAAAATGCTGTCAGATGCTTTCCCAAGGCTATGTATAGTGTTCTTCAATTGCTTGCAGTAACCACACCAAGGAGCATAGAACTCAACTAGTGTAGTATAATTGGTGTTGTGGACCACCCGATCAAAATTAGAAGGGGTCAGTTCAATGATATTAGGATCATCTTTGTAAAAACTTTGATCCTGAGCAAAAACTGAAGCAATATACACCAGCAGTGTTAACAGGTACACTTTCATCGGAAATAAAAACTCAAATTTGATTTACCTAGAATATATGCCCCTCGAAAAGATCGAAATCTCCTCTGAAATATTGCCAAACTTAACTGATAGGTTTGCCAATTAATAACTATGATTTCTATTCCAGACTGTACGGCACAGTTGGTTACAATCCCACAGTATTTTGTAATTTAACGATTACTATTACTATTCGTGAAAGCCGTAAATCGCAGTCTCGATGAAGGGCCTCTAGTGATCATGTGACTTAGGGGAAACCACATAAAGTGGTCCAACCAGGGTGACAGCAGAAACTGTATAAATAGCCATCCTGGCGATTTCTCATTGCAATAAGAATAAGAATTAAGACTCAAGGTCTTTCAACATCAAAGAAAGTTCCTAACATATTAAGGCGAAATTGCTGGCTCCAATACAATGGTTGGCAAGAACAATGAACTGTATGCGTTCTACGCATTTCTGCAGTTATATAAGCATATGGGGCATGTGCAGAGGGATTACAGTCTGAGACAGGTAGCCGAAGCGTTGTATGATACCACACTGATAATCAAAGAGGATACTTCACTCTTTATAACTTGGAAGAGGCTTGATAGTCAAAAGACATCTATTGATAGTGATGACGACGATGGCTATGCTCTAAGGGGTTGCATTGGTACTTTTGCAAAATTGCCTATTGAAGCTGGTATTCAGAGGTATTCTTTAATTGCTGCACTCGAAGATAGCAGATTCACTCCAATTTCTGAAAGAGAACTGAAAACACTTAAGTGTAGCTGCAACATATTAAGGCATTTCGAGAAAATCTATTCGAGCGGGGACGACCACGGGGACATCGACAATTGGGAAATAGGAAAAAATGGTATCGAATTACTGTTTAAGCATCCAAAGTCAGGAAAAACTTGTAGTGCTACTTTTTTACCTGATGTAATGGTAGAACAAGGTTGGGATAAAAAGGAAACGTTCTTGAATTTAATTCAGAAAGCTGGTTGTTGGAATGAAGCAGGGCAAATATTAAACGATTACGAAAAATATTTTTTGGAAGTAATTAAATATGAAGGTAAGAAAAGTGAAATCACGTATGATGCTTTTATCAGTGGTTTTGAGAAGTTAGAGACTTTGGTTTAAATTCAGAAAACCCATATATTATGAATTTGATGGTTCGGGGTACTACGTCGGTAATTTTTATGAGGTTGTTTGTTTTTCCACAGATACCTACAAATATATAATAAAGAGGTTAAACACAGACGTTCAATGGCTCGTTACATATAATATATAATCAAAATAGCTAACACTGAAAGATTTATATACAAAGCAGTTTATTTGTGGCCTTATTTATGGCCTATTGTAGTTTGATAAAATAAAAAAAAGGTGATGATGTGGTAATAAACTCTCACAATTAATCTTTTCACTGAGGGCTGAAACAAAAAGAGTGGTCTAATTGACCTTAAAAAAAGTTGGACGCAACCGGAATCGAACCGATGACCTCTTCCTTGCAAGGGAAGCGCGCTACCAACTGCGCCATGTGCCCAATTAAATTCTGTACTTCTAAATCTTTATGCTGGTACACGAATGTAACCATCATATTCTATTTGTAAATATTTATTGAACGTCTTTTACACATATATTATTGTACTTTGTGTTTATTGTCACTATTATGATTGTATAGTTTATGCTATTCAGTTTATCTATATTAGTAGTTTATGAAATATATATTATATTATATCTTTTGATGAGTCTTGAGGGGTGTTTTCGTTAGTGGAATGAGTTTCTGGTTCCTGTATATGCAATGGTTTAGTCCCATACTTCGCATCAAATTCAGTGAAATCAAGAGTAGCAGTATCGTTTGTAATTTCCACATACTTTTGTAGCATGGCATCTTCCAGTTCTATGGCGTCTTCGTAAATAATAGAACCTTCTGTATTGTAAACACGCGCATTTGCAAACATTAGGTGGAAATCCTCCATCACCTCCGTTATTGAGTTATACTGTAGTCTGTCTATTGCATCCTTTATTGTGTCAAATGCAATAGGGTATTTTATGATTAAATAATAATCAGGATACAAGTGCTTAGAAGGTTTAACCAAAAATATGTCAGATAGTCTTCTTTCATCACTATTGACATAATTCAAGGCAAAATCGTATAGTTTCGTAGCTTGTTCTGCAATACCCTTACGCTCCTCTTCAGAGACTGGATCTTCGGGTAGCATACGAACGTAAACCATTCCGTTTTTTGATTTGGGCGGTCTACCACGTCCACGCATACCGGCACGTCCTCTAGGCTTCCCTCTACCACGGCCTCGGCCACGACCCCTGGATGAAGTGTTTGCAGACTTTATTGAAGTCTTACCAGCCCTTTTAACAACATCCTCGGTATTATCACCAACGTCACCTGTAATGGACTCTGTAGGATTATTTTCTCCATCATCCGTCTTTATTTTCTTTGGACGACCACGCGGTCTAGTGGATGGAGCCTTTCTCTTCTTCGCGTATTCCCCACTGTCCGAATCCAAATCATTTGTTTCTGGTGTATTGTTCATAGTTTGTGTCGGACTGCTAGGGATAGATATACTGCTTGATCGTATTGCCTCATTGGATTCAGTTTTGATGGTATTGGAGTTTACATCTGTTTCGTCATCTTTTAATTCCATTATTTTGTTTGGATCTTTATCCTCAGAGTCACTAACCTCAAATTGTTTTAACCACTGTTCTTCAGACATATTATCAGAATAAATCATTTGTTTGCGTTCTCTAGTCCCTCTACCATAAGTTTCTGCAGATTCAGATTCTTCTTTCTTTAATTCTTCGTCAATATTTCTGTGATATATCTCTGGTAGTTCGTCAAGGGTCATCAATCTACTGTTAATATGCATAGCCTTATCAGCTTCTTCCCTCTCAGTGTCTAACTTAGAGAATAGAGCTAGATCATCTTCACTTCTAGCCAAAATCTCGTTGATCTCATTGTCTCGCAGTTCTTCTTCTTCTTCTATACCAGCTTCTCTCCTTCTCCTACGTCCTTCTTCAGCTTCTAATAGGGATCTCAGTAAAGCCTCTTGTTCTTCAGCTGTTGATTTGTTATCAAATTTACCAGCTTGAATAACTTTACCGTCAATATCCAGTTTCTTATAGGCCCTTTCAAGAATGACCTCTTCTACAGAGTTTGTCGTGATCAAACGAATGATACGCACCTCGTTTTTCTGACCAATTCTATGGGCTCTATCTTGAGCTTGCAAATCTTGATGCGGATTCCAATCTGTATCAAAAATGATAACTGTGTCTGCAGTTTGAAGATTCAAACCCAACCCACCAGCTCTAGTAGACAGGATGAAACAAAAGTACTCAGAATTTGGATCGTTAAAAAGCTTCAAAAGTTCACCACGTTCGTCTGATCTTGTATGACCATCCAATCTTAAATATTTGATGTCAATATATCTCAAAAAGTCTTCCATAATATCCATAATCTGTGTCATTTGGAAAAAAATCAGTACTCTATGGCGGGAGGCTTTCAACTTGGGCAAAATTCTTTCTAGAAGTTCAAACTTACCAGCAACACGCCAAATGTTCATATTTGTATCTCTAGTTGGGTTAATATGGTCCTCAACTTCTTCAAAAACAAACGGATGGTTACATATCTTCTTTAATTGCATCAATTGGTTATTGAAGCCTCTCAAGCCTACCAACTTGTTCTTCTTTTGATCGCCAATAAACAACTGTTTGTGTTTTAGCATTTGTTGATACATTGCATGCTGCAATGCACTCATCTTACACTTGATAACTTTTTCAACTTTATCTGGTAACTCCTTCTCGACATCCTTCTTCAAACGACGTAATAAGAAAGGACGTAGGACCTTATGCAGTCTTCTAATAATCAATAGTGTTTCTTCTTCGCTTAATTCGATTTTATCTTGGCCACCAGTATTAGCAAAAGGTGTATTAAACCATTCATCAAAAGACTTTGCTGAATTAAAGATTTTGGGTAAAACAAAGTTTAATAAAGCCCACAATTCTGGAAGGTTGTTCTGTAAAGGAGTACCTGTCAAAATTAAACGATAATCAGAGTGGTAGAAGGTGTTTAATGTAAGGGACAGCTTTGATTGTGCATTTTTCATTCTGTGACCCTCATCAATAATCATATGAACCCACTTAACCTTGGACAAAATTGCCCTCTCTTTAATAATATATTCAAACGTTGTGATAACAGCATCGAACTCACCAGATTTTATTTGTGCTTGCTTCATCTTTCTTTCATTAGGAGAGCCCTTATAAGAAATCGTACGTAATTTCGGTGCCCATTTTGCAAATTCAGAGCTCCAATTTGGTAAGGTAGATAAAGGAACAATGATTAAGAAAGGTCCCTTTATATTTTTCATTTCATAAAGATAAGTCAGTAGGGAAATTGTTTGAATTGTCTTACCTAGACCCATTTCATCAGCCAAAATACCATTTAAATGGTTGTTGAAAAGTGAGACCATCCATTGTAAACCCTTGATTTGGTATTCTTTTAACGTACCACCAACTAATATCGATGGTTGTTGTCTGACTTCTTCCTTGATCCTATGGGCAACGTTATAATAGTCTATATTTTCCTCATCATCATCATCATCGTTCATACTCATCGTTAACATTTGATCATCGTTATATACCACAGGCTCAGCAGATTCTTCCTTTTTCTCCATAAGATGTTGGTTTAGCATATCTTTGGTGTACTTCTGTTGGTCCTTGACAGCTTTTGTTAAGGAATCCAAAAAGGCGTTGGTTTGTTTTAGAAGATGTGTAATTCTAGTATCTTTTGTTTGGTCCAATAGTTTGATATAAGCTTCCTCATCATTAGCCTTCAATGCTTGTAAACGCTCCTTCGCCTTTCTTTCGGCTCTTTTCTGTTCTTCCTTTTCAATGTTTGCATGTGTGGCAACTAATTTATGCCCCAATTTTATTCTTTTATTTCTTCTGTGAACCTTGTGGTTAAATGTATTGACTACGGAATTTCTGATTCTGGTCAGTTTTTGTTGATACCTCTTGCTTTCTTCTTCTTGTCTAATTACTTCACGTTTGCGATACAGTTCTATAGTTAATAAGACATCATTGAAATTAATATTTCTGATCTTCGATAAAAAGTTAGGATGAGCATTCGTTAATAAGGAATTCTGATACCATTCATATTGTAGTACATGGCCACGGACAGCTTTCTGTAGAGGTAATAACTGCAAGGCAAAATAATCATATAAAGTTTCCTCTTTGGTATTTTCATCCTTACTATCGTCGAGCATGTCAGAAATGCATTCATTAACTGATGTATCAAGATTGAGAGCTATTAAGGTTTGATAAATATCTGTTGCTGTATGAATGTCAACGCCAGCAGGCAACATGCCTGGCTCCATTACCAGTTTAGGATTGGCAGTATTCGGGAATAAGGAATAATAATCAACAGGTTCCTCAGGGATAGTTGGAATAGAAAACGTATCAACCATTAAGTCCGGATCTTCAATCGATACAACATTCTTAACATATGGGTATTTTTCAACAAACTTTTGAATGGGTACTGGAGGTAGTTGTTGAGCAGGTTTTAGCTCACCATCTACCAATGGGTCTGGCACTCTTTCTGTTGGCGGTTTCAAAGCATACTGATTTTGTGTTTCAGGGTTCTGATTCTCTTGTTTGTTCAAATTTGGTGTTGCAATTTGATGGGTAACAGATCCTGGTATGGTTCTTGGAGATGGGGTATCTGTTTTATGTGTTTCTTCTCTGAGTGTATTAGAGCTAGTCCCTTGTACACCAACAGGTGGTATTTGTTCGTGAGTGACATTCGGTGTATTTGTCCCTGTTTTAATTATTGGTTTTTCTTCCGTCATTGATGTGTTAGCTGAGGCTGTATTGGTATCAATTTTGGCGTTATCTGAGGTGCTATTTTTATCCTGTTGCTGTGATTGTGCATGTGGTTGCGATTGCGCCTGTGGTGTCGCCTGTGGTTGCACTTGCGGTTCAGTTGGTGGTTGCACCGGTGGTTGCGCTTGTGGTTGTGGTTCTGGAATTTCAGAAGCTGGGCTGCCACTCTGTTGATTAAGCTGCTTTTTCTTGACAAAATCGCTCAAGGAGAGTAGCATGCGCTTGAAATCAGGTGGATTGTTAATTGATTGTTGAATGACTTTTTGATATTCTTGTGGGACAGGTTGGTTATTGACAAGGCTTTTGAGAGCCGAAATCTGAGCTCTTAGCAATTCTGATTGTTGTGGCGTAAATATTGAGTTTTGGGGAACCGGTCTCTGTTGTGTTGGATTTAGAGGTGCTGGCTGCGTTTGTCTATCATTAGGTTTGTTAATTGTATGTGGGGAGTTAATTGATTTATTAGGTTGACTATTATTACGCACAGGCATATTTTGTGTAACTACTTGAGACTTAGGTGATGTGGCAGGCGAGTTTGAATTGTCAGAAATGGTCCTCGATTGAAAATTGTCTCTTTGGGAAGCACCATTGTTACTATTTTCTTTTTTATAAAATTGTACTTGTGGGTTAGTTGCGGGAGATGCTGAAGACGCACTTCCCTCGGTACCATTCATTGTGAAGTTTGGTGGCCTTTGGTCTGTTGACGTCTCCAGTTGTTCCTTATTATGAGAGAATGTAGACCCATTTGGGTTATCAACACGCCAAGGTTCGCTGTTGTTCTTATTGTCGTTTTGTGGTGTACCTACGTGTACCTGCTGTTGTTGCTGTTGTTGCTGTTGTTGCTGTTGCAACTTTTGCTTCTGTTCTTGTTGTTGTTTGGCAGCCACATGAAGAATTTTAGTTAGATGGATAAATTCGGGTACATTGGCAGCGTTCTTACCGTGTTCATTTCGAAGTTGCTGCCACTTTAGATAGCATCTATTTATTTCTTCCTTCGTTAGTTGGCGTTGTGGCATGGGAACGTCCATTTTTGTTAGGATATGTTGTTTACTTATAGTATAATTCCTGCCTTCTTTGCTATTCAGTCTATCTGATCCTTTTTAATAGATTTCGTTGTTGATAGAACTTTTGCTGTCTTCGATACTCCACGTTGTGGATAGATATTTACCAGGTATAGTTTTGTATCTTTTCCTTGGATACCTAGTGTCAAAAAAGTTTAGTTCACAAAATTTTTTGGCAAGCTATCAATGAAGAGTGGTAGTGGTAAAGTATTTGACCTTTTTATAGCTTCAATGAAGAGCAGATGAAATTGATAAAAAAAGGTGGCTTGCGAACTTATGGTCAACCAAAACTAAGTCCTTTATTGTTATCTTATTGACTTAATTGCTGCTTCTATTGGTTCTTTCCTTATCGAGATCTTTCCTCTAATCTTAGCGTTCAACTAAAGCTATATCGCAAAGCAAAGTTAAAACGCGAAAGAACAGTAGAAAAATTATTAGCTTACGTTGTATGAAAACGGGATACTAATAAAAATGGAAAGAAGTAGAAAAACAAGCTGAATATTTTTTAATATGGAATGCCAGTCCACTTTCTTTATTCCTTAATACCTTGTTTCTTCACAGTTAATGTACCTTTGAGCCATATAAGCTATGGACATTTCGCTTGTCTTTTTTTTTTGTTGTTTGCTGATGGGTCTTTGGACTTTAATTTTTTTCCTGTCTCACCCATCTCACTCCGTACCCTCACACTTTATTTTTTTTCTCTCCTTCTTTGCTTGTTTATTATATGAACGGAGCTCTTTCCTAGCTCAACACGTTCGCATACAATGACAAGCATAGTCAACATACACCACATGATATAATATAATACGGAAATTCCCACTATCACAAACAAGCAGGTAAAAACTCAATTTTGTAATCGTGTGAGGTAATATGCAAATGATTTGAGATCATGTGACTTTGAATTCCACCACTATCAGTAGTACCAGAACACTACACGTTGTTGTCGATATGAGAGACCCAAACTAGTTATAACCCTTTCTGTGTTCTCTAGCATGACAATACAAAGCGCCATTACTAGAGTCACTGTATAGAGCATAAAATATCCCATAAGGCGTATCATTTGTGAGATGTTATATTGGTACCATATTTGTCTGGTCAATATATCAAAAACTTAGTAGCGATTCCACTCTAATGAAGTTTGCGAGTATATAGGGTACTCGGTACGTTTTAAAATTGTTAGTAGTATCATAAAGCAGAAACTCATAAATAGAAGTAAAGTAAACACTTTTCAAAGACACTGAAACGTTGATGGATGACTTACTCTTGGTAACAAGAATTCACTAGTCTTGTTGACTAATTCTTTTGCCGCAACATCAGAACAAAATTCAAGCATTATCCACTCTGAGTTCTGTAAACTCCCTTAAAGTTAATAGGAAGACATAGCTCTTAACTTTAGCCTTAGCCGCCAACTACGATTAAGAACATATCAAGCCCTTGCCGCCGACCGGAGAAAGTCCTTGTAACAAATAACTCACGTAAACTGTGATAATACGAGGACCCGCAGAAAGAAAAAAAAATGATTTTCGGTTTTTCTAGCTTGTTTTTTGTCGTGTAAGTATTCTAGCGTTACGGCTTTTTTCTTCCCTGGCCGATGGTTTGAATAATGGATTGAAGAGGGACCGCGGGGAGGGTGCACAGAACTGGCGCAGGGGAAAATAGGGAAGGGGAAGTATTGGAAACTCAGTAGAAACAAAAGAAAGAATTCTTCAATCGTGAGATGTATTGTGACGTAATACATGGGAATCGGTAATCTTATCGAGAGTTGTATGTTTGTTTAGCTGATGGGTTCAAAGTCGGGAATGGTTAGGATTGAATAGTGTCTATCTGTTCATTGTGCCATGAGTTGATATCCTGGTATAGAAAAGACCGAAATAGCTGTGCTGTTAAGGCTTTTTTTTTGTTATATTCTATCTTAGGCACACAACTTCTGCCATATTGTGATGAGCGCTCACTAGGGAGAGTTTAAAAATGAAGGTGCGGACTATTCTATATGTAGCCCTTACTGTTCATGATATTGCTATGTAACCGGTTATGTACTTTCAAGAGTCGACAAGAGATGGAGAGAGGGGAGGCAAGGAAAAGATAGATGAATAGCAGATCTTTTATATATATTTATATATAGCTGTGATTGAAACAATGAGGTGTTTTGATGCTATTGCTACAGAACCGAATTCACACTACAAGGCAGACAAAAAAGGAGGAATGGGTAGCTTTTAAGTGGGGACTTCTTGAAAACACAATAGCTAATGGCATATGTATTTAATTGGAATTTTCCTTTTTCTTTTTTTCCTTTTTTTTTCCCTCTTCTTTGGCTTCTACAGTATATCTATCTGTTTAGTCTCCAGTTACCATGAAAATGCATAAGCAATGACTTTAGGTACAACTCATCCGCACTTCTTCTGTTTTTCTTCCTTCACTTAAATTGTGCTTCTTTTTATGCGTCCTTGATTTTATCTTCTTTTTGCTTGTGTGTTTCTGTGTGTGTCTGTGTCGGCGATGTAAAAGTAAGATGTCGAGATCCGGGATCAGAGATACTGAAATGCTGTACTGGAAATGGATAGAAACGAATAAAGGGAAGCACAATACACACGCAACTTACCTGTAAACGGATGTGGGTCTTACAGCTTCTTCTGTGGCTCTTTCTCAAGGCAATTGAGATGTAGAACTATTTCTCACAGATTGAAATGTTGGAAGTATACATGAAAAGTTGAGCTCCCTGTGTTTTTTACTTGGAGGGAGAGGAGTAGGGGCGAAAAGAAATGAGAAAAGCTTAAAAAATTAAAGAAAAACAGGTCCATGGCCATCCATGGCACTGATTGTTGCACTTTTTTGGTGTTTGTTCTTTAACCAACTCCCACCTTTTTTTTTTGTAGGTCGATGGGATGAAAATCTGAAAGAGAAATGATAAAAAAAGGAAGTAAATAGGAATACATATTAGTGGAAGAACCTTGACGACACAGAAGAGCTCCAGTATCTAAAGGATCAGAACGCTAATTTCAAATGTCATGATGTATAATATCCTCAAAAAAAAAGAATAATGAAGTATAGCAGTCCATCATAGCCTATCGTAGTAGTGAAAGATTCCAATAATGAAATAGAGTAATAGGATAGCACCATTGTGCCCTATAGCTAGCCCAGGTTAACCGGTATACTTTTCCCAAATTCTTACCCTTTCATAAGACAAGCATAGAGTCCTGTTGTAGTGGAGAATCGTCTACTAAAGAGTTGTAGAAAGAGCCAGAATAACAACAAAAAAAAGAAAGAAAGAAAGCATCTAGTTGCTGCGGGGATGCACTGGGATAACACAAAAAATACAAAAAAAGAAAGGAGACCCCCTTCCCCCCGAAGGTCCAACCGAACGATGTAGGGGAGCCCATTTCGGCCTTCTCTAACACTTTCTCCCGGTGATTCATCCTTCGATGTAGGCGATAGCACTAGAACAAGAACAGTGACTAAAATGCCAATATAGGCGTACATAACTTGTAAAAGAGTAATGTGGACAGCTTTTCACTAGACAAAAGGCTGTTAAATTAAATCAAGTCCTTTAGTACCATCTATCGTGAACTTGGGAAATTTGAGAGAGTATTATTTATCCAATAAATACTGGTTTTCATATCCACTTCATCTAAGTGCATTTAAACGCCAACTAAGAATTCTTGCTACAATTTACACTTTCTCAAAGTAAATGTTAGATGTACTATATTATTGTTAAAACTATCCTTTGTTAAAGTTCTTGTTGGCTATAAAGAAGGGAGGTCCATTGGATAATTGAAATTCCGTGAGAGTTCTTTTCAGCGAAATAAAAAGAGCTCTAAATCAGCTTCACTAAGTTTGCGCCATTATTTAGCTAGGTACATTTTCTATAATTATTTCTACTCTATAATGATTTTTTTCTTTCAAGGTTTTCCCTCCTTTGCTCTTAGATTTTTTAGCCTCTTTGTAGAATTCTGGCTTTAAAATGTTGATTTTGTATTCTTGGCCAAAGAAGTTCGAGAATGGGGATATCTAATGAGTCAATACCTTTAGCGATAAATTTATAATATTCATTCTTCAATTTAGTTTGTATTTATAAGAGAAACTGTTATAATCTAATATCCGCATCATAAGAATTACCCAGAGTTTCCAGCCCACGGAAATGGATCAAAAGGCCTGCGTTACGTAATCTAAATCTAGTTTTGTGAAGCTCGATATTAAATTTCTTCTTCTCTATTTCGTACTTTCAAGAAGGAAGTTATTTTAAAAATTAATGTAAACATATCATTTGGATTGGCATTGTACATATTTTATATTATATGTTTTGGCAACATTTATAGGTGGCATGCCTACTATTCGACACGGATGGCAAAAAAAGGTGTGGCCAAATAACAACCACAAAAGAATGTTAGTTAAGCTAAATCCTTAAGTGATTTCTATTAACTGTCTAGTAGTATTCGTAAAGTAAAAGTTTTAAACCGTTTTATAATATACATAATTAAAAAATGCCAAGATAGTTGGTACTGTACATGTCTGTAATTGAAATAGTGCGTATGTATCGTTCTATGACGATATAATTTAATCATTAGGTCAGGTCCGTTTCAAAAAGATGTTCTGTATGTTAGAGATGCTCAAGCAATTATTGTTCATCTTTTTGGGTATGCTTTTCAACATACTCAGATGCTTTCGCCTTGACGTAGTCAGTCATCTTTTCATCATTGTTGGATTCTTCAAATTGTAACCACTTATTGAAGAAAAATTTGGCCTGCTTTCTGGTTATCTTCATTTTAATAACACGTTCAAATAACTCTTCCACCCTAGACTTGTTATCTTTTTGTTTGATTTCTTGATCTAAATAAACATTCCAGATATCAATTCTTTTCGGAGCATCGGCAAGAAGACCTTCAAATAAGGATCTACCTCTCTCTGGGTTACCTTCAGAAAATTCTAGTTGTGCAAACTTTCTGACAACCTCAATATGGTTACGCTTTGGTAGGGATTTCAATGCTGAAGATAGAATTGTGCCGACTTGGTCTGGTTCATTCTGTGAAAGAACAAAAGAGGCCCAAGAGACCCAGATTGAAGTCTTTTCAGAGCCAAACTTCTTTGTTGTAATCTTGAAAAGTTCGCTAGCCTTGTCAAACTTTTCACTCAATTGATAGATACCGATGAGTTTGGAATGCATAGTAAATGAATCCATATATTGACAAGATCTTGTAAATACATCTTCTAGAGTTTCCTCAGAACCAAAAGTATTTTCCAAGTTCAACATGGCTATCCAAATATTTAGTTTTTCAGCTTCTTCTCTGTAGTTGATTGTCTTCAAGGCACGTTCCGCAAGCTCACGAGCCTTGTCAATTTCACTCAGCTGCAATTGGAAGGCCATGTAATTCATCCATATGACGGAGGAATTTGGATTACCAATTATTAGCCTTTCAAAATCAGCAACGGATTCTGGAGCACGAGTGTTGATATCAATTGTTTTGTCTTCAACCAAGTTCTTCGACTTTTTCTTTTTGTTCTTGGATCTTTTCGATTCCATGAAATCTTCCTCATCTGATTCTGAATCTGAAGAAGCATTAGCTTGATCGAGAATAGATGTAGTCCAATCGAAGCCAGCACTTAGACTCAAACCACCGTCATTTGAAATAACAGTAGTCGACTTGGAGGAATGAGCTTCTTCATCATCACTTGCTTCGCTTTCAGAATTGTAAACAACTTCATCGTCCATCAATTCATCCTGATCTTCATCGATCTTTCTTGGTTGTGGTTGTGATTCAGCCTTCTCAGTAATTGTTTCATTAGTATTGAAGTGAGACGCCTTCAAGGACAAAGATAGTTGCTTCTTTTCAGGGTTGGATTTCAAAACGTAAGCTTTAACTCTGTCACCCACGCCAAATATGGATTGAATATCCTCTGGTACTTCATCTGCAATTTCAGTAATGTGAGCTAGACCAGTCACATTAGCCGTGTTATCAAGCTTGACAAAAACACCAAAATCGGTCACATTTCTGACAGTACCGTTGAAAATGTCTCCTGGCTTTATATCAGAGTAATTCTTTAACACCTTCAAATCACCGTTCACTTCAGTTTCTCTCAGAGTCAGAAGGATACGATCATCTTCATTACAAGACACAATTTTACCTACAACTGGTTGCATTGGCTTGTAGAACTTTTTCCATTCCTTTAAGTAAGAGTCAGAAAGTTTACTCACTGGTACAAAAGCTTCAACTGATTTTCCTAAGAATACGAAAAGACCTTTATCAGTTACAGTTTTCACTAGACCGTTCACAACCTCGCCAACCTTCAAATCAGAATGAGAAGTGATCTTCTGAACTGTGGATTCATCTTCGGCAAGTTGTAGTTGAACTTTCTTCTCATCGGCAATAACAGAAGTTATTTTTGCCTTTACAAACTCGTTCTCCTTACCAGCAAAAACTTGATCTAGAGGTTCAGTAAAGTCATTAAGAGCTTCCAATGCGGTTGAGATACCGGTAATTTTGTTTTCAAGTTCAATTAGCAAGTACTTTGGAGTAACCTTTACAATCTTACCGATAGTATGGCCACCAACCTTCAAGTCATCAATACTATTAATTTTACCATTTCTTTGAGTAACTTGCAAAATGCTCTTATTTTGGTCCTTACCGGTTACATTAACCTTTAAAACAGAGCCCAGAGGGAAATCATCCTCAACGTTTTTGATATTCATTAAAGTTTCTTCTGATAAATCAAAAATGGATAACTTAGCTTTAATTGTTGGTGTAACTGTTAACCACAAGGTTGAATTCTGATAGTTGTTCACAAAAGCGATAATTTCATCGCCTACAGTGATATCTCTAATATCTAGTTCCTTTACATCCTTTGATTTCAATTGTGATGGTTTCATTGTCAACTCAAACACCGTACCTTTCACAAAGTTGTGTGTAATTGGAAGAGACTTGTGACTCTTAAGGTCATGGTGGCCAATGATTTTAACACGGACTTTGTCATTTGCCTTATAATGTGATAAAGGATGCTTTTTATCTTTTATATCATTATAATTGTCGAAGACTTCAGAGATGTCCACTCTACCATGGACATTATCAGCCAAAATGATATTCAGTTGATTCTTCTTAACACCCTTGATTTTGGCATCCAAAATTTTTCCCAGCTTAATATCCTTAACACTCTTGATACTTGTGTCAATGATATTTTCAGCTGAAATAGTTTCGGCGGCCTTCTCAACTTTTGGAGCCTTCAAAGTCAGCAAGAATCTTTCATTATCATCATCGGTCCTCAAAAGGTAGGCTGTAACAGACTGGTTTGAATAAAACGCTTTCTCAATGTCGACTTGTCTACTTTCAACAGCGTAGCTAGGCAATACCAAACCAACGAATTTACCAGTAAATGCAACAAAAACACCTGTACTTGAGATGGATTTAACATAGCCGTGCAAGGGGTCTGTCTTTTTAAACTTTGTAATTTCAGCAAAGGTAGTTGGTAGTCTCTTATTTTGAGCGTCTTTCATCAAGGATTTCTTTAAGGATAAGTTGAAAATCTGAGTCCTAGAATCCTTATCGATAACGAGACCAGTAAGTTTACTACCGATACGAATTTTTTTGATCTCCGCTCTACATTGTTCAATACGCTCATCAGAGATATGGCCAACGTAAATAACACCACGGATACCAACATCTGGAATTTCTACAATGACAGAGTCCTTTGTTTTTTCAACGACAACGGTTTCTATAATGCTTTGACCTATCTTTAGTGATTCGATTATACTTTTTTGTTGCTGAGCTTCTTCATTTGAAACTTTACATGTAACAATTATTCTTCTTCTTTCTTCATCCACTTCTAAAACTTTAACTTGTACAGTTTGGCCCAATCTTAAGTGATCCTCAGCTCTCTTAACAAAAACTTCGGAAACTTCAGATTTGGGCAGGAACCCTGTAACTCCACCAAAGAACATGATTACACAACCATGGCCATTGAATGATTGAACGGTACCAACAGTTTTTTCATTCTTGTTCTTGATTGACTTAGCAGTTTCAAAACTCTCTATAACAGGCTTTTCTAACTCTTCATCATTGACAAGAGACTTTTTCATAGTGGCAATTATATGGCCATGGTTATCAACGTTTAGAATCCTACATTTAGTCTTTGATGCAATTTTAAATTTTCTCTCTGGATAAATTAGACGAATATCAGAAATATGCAAAGGAGGGACAAATGCTGTGAATTGTCCTCCGAGTAGTTTTAATTCAACACCTGAGCTACTAGCCTTTAAAATTTCACAATTATTGAACACTTCACCTACTGGGATATCCTTAGATCTTATGTACTTTAGCTTCAACTTTTCTGGATCTGTGGTCAATTCAAAAATGCAGTCTGCTACATCGTAACCAATAACTCTAGATTTTAACTTATCCTGCTTTATGATCTCACCGAGATTGGATTGATGAACTCTACCAATAAACTTATCACTGATTGCAAGGTAAAGATAGCTTGAGTCACGACCTTTAACTACACTTTCATCGATGATGAATCCTATTGGGAAAGCTTCCAAACTTTCAATACTTCCTAATGTGTTATTGAGAGAGATGACATGAGGTAAAGTAGAAAGAATGAGTACTCTGTCTCCTGACTTGTTGATGACGGAAGCTAGAATTCTACAAGGTATATTACTACCTAGGGAAAATTTGTGTTTTATATCTTCTTCGCTAAAGGTTTGAAGATGTGGCTTACCGATGAACGCAGAAATTGAACCAAAAACTTTACCAACAATACCTGAGTCAGTTATCTCTTCGCACAAAAGGTCAACTACTTGACCTGGTAGTACTGAATCGATTGATGAAATAGATGTCATCTTGTTCTTCTTTACACTGAAATCTTGGGATACTACAATAGATCTGTCAGTTTTCTTGGTGATGCAACTTATGAACACAGAGCCAGGTTTTAATTCATCAAAATTTGTACAATCTTTCTTTGCAATGAAACCTGTTAGAGAAGGAACACCTAGATCTAGAGTTGCACCGTGATCTTCGATACTTTCAACAGAGCATTGTATTATGGTGTTTTTATTGATATCCTCTACATCGAAATTATTGACTACAGATGGTTCAATTGTCAATTCTATTCTCTTCTTTTGTTTTGCATTTTTTGGTTTCAATGCGGTGTTCTTGGTAACAGCACACCTCAACCATTGACCAACTTTGAAATAATGCCTTAGATTTGGAAGAGATTTCTGTTCAGATTCATCATCAGACGATTCGTATTCTGCGTCATCTTCTTTAGAATCAGAGTCCATGTCTTCATCAATATCTTCAAGCAATGACGTCAATTGTTCAGAAATATGTGTCAAATCAACAAAACCTGATAGGCCATCTGTAAAGGTGATACGAAGATCATTTTTTGTTATAGAATCAATTTGACCCAATAGAATAGTACCTTCTTTCACGTTGTTGAAGTTTAGATGTTCTATTATAGCACTCCTCTGTTCAGTAGTATCGTCGGTAACAGTTTCAGTATCTTTCTTGGAAGATCTCTTCTTTTTCTTCTTCGGTTTACCAGCATCATCTTCTGTTAATGGTCTCTTTTCGTTACCGAATAACACATCGTGAGCGGCTTCGTTAGCAACATGTTTCAACTCTAGTGGAGTCAAAGCAGAGGAGCCACCTCTTGGAAAGGAGATTTCTTCAGTGGTCCTTACCAAAGTTGACTTTTCTGGTTGTCTTGTTCCATCTTCTTTAGATAATGGGAAGTCACTTGATGTACTCATTGTATATTTCCACTCTTGTTTATTTTGTTTATATCGTCTCTCAATTGTGTCAAAATAATAATAAGTGCAATAATGAAGTGCTGATTAAGAAAGGAACTGGAAAATAAATATATATATTTTTTGAATATATTCGAAAGTGATTAGACCGGTTTTAACCTGCTATACTAATTCTCTCGGTTTTCTCTAGAATAAAAATAGTCGGGCAAATGTTAATGACTATTTCTGTTAATCCTTCTTTTATAAAGACCTGGTGATTTTGGGTGATATTTCAAAAGTGTAGTCTGCTTTTGATTACCACGACTTTCTTGAATAGAGTTCTCACTAAATCAATATATTGCACTTGAATCTTTGTGATTATAACAAAAACAGACCAGAACCTATTAGCAGAAATGCAGTTGAAACAATGTGTTATCTTTTTTTTTACAATAACAAATAAAATAACAAAACTATTTCGGTATAATATCAGTAGCTCATCGCATTATTTTTGTTAGGTATTTATTGCAATAGATCCAGCACTGAAAATTTTCGATGCTCATCGCAAATTTTTTTTTTTTTTTTGCTTCAACGGCCAGTTTAGTGTACGATGAGAATATAGTGACCGTCAAATATAAGTTGAAAAAGGAAAACTAAAGGAGCACATGACTTCTTTGATATCTTTTTTTGTGATTGTGTGTGTTCACTGATTTAAATTTTGTGCAGTATTGGGTCGAATGCTATTTGTCACAATTAGAGTAACTTGTCGTTAATGTAATAATCGGTTTATTATATTGCAATCTATGATATGTTTTATCCCTTCTGTAAAGTGTTGGCAGTTCAATTCATTTTGATATAAATAACGACAAGTAATCAAAGCTTTGTCAAGACGAAATGAAGAGACCCGTATAATAACAAATTTTGTAAAATGTTAGTAGTAATTATTGAAAAATATGAGTTTTATGGTTTGAAATAATCGCATAGCACTCAAAAAAAAAAGACACAAGTTTTCTAGTTCTACTTCAATGTCATTCGGCTAAAATGAAGTCAACGTATGTGCATGTTAAAAAATAAAAAAAAAGGCAAAGGATCAGGAAATAACTTTGAAAGGTCTCTTATCTTAATATAACGGGACTTGTACAATCATTACAACATTATATACTGTAAGCTTTATCGTAGAAGACCTACGCTTATTTTCTTACAACTTTGGCGGCTAATATTGCTATCATTTTATAGAGACAAGATCCCAGTTACGGATGTCAGATCTTTTTGTGGCATACGCGCTTATTACCGTGGATAACGATGATAAGGGTGTATAAAATATGGTTTAGCGAAGTGAAGGGTAAAGTGTAGTTTATTTTTTGGTATAACACGTACACTTAGTATTAAAACGTTACAAAGAGGTATCGTTGGCCTACATTACTGTCCATAATTCCCTCCGTTCCTGCATTGACCCATTCAAGAGTAAAAGAAAAGGAAGTTAACAAGTGCAAGTTCAAGGGTTATTAGTATCTCTTCCATTATATCGCAGATATATCTAGAAAGGATCTGAATATCTCCTCGGATGTTAGTTGAAAGAACTAGACATGTTAAAATTGAAGATAAGATACTTCGCCGGATGAGGAAGTGTGATGTTCTTCAACAACTTGTAATGTGATCATGATCTAGTATTGTCTGTACTAACGAACTAAGTCTACCTCAGAGTGTTTATGCATCGATTGAGAAATCGCATTACTCCAAACAAGACATGTGACTATATCTCACCCCCTTTTCCAACTTACATCTTCCCTACCTACAAGCTTCGCGCACTGCACATTCGAAAAACCAGTAATTTGTGACTGCTCTGTCTGGCTATATAGCGATTTTTGGAAAGGACATGCACCTGTACACCACGTATACTAAGGAACTGCTCCCCAGAACGACCCTGAGCTGACTGGCAAATAGTTACACGTAACGCATGATAATTCAGTGATAAATTTCCAAATTCGGTAATTTTCTCGTGCACATGTATTGGAAAAATGATGAAAAATCATTGTTTTTTTTTGCAAGTTGGCGAAATATGAAAAAGCGAAGACCACGAAAGCACTCATAGTGACGACTCTACAAGAAAGACGTGTACCAGAGAGATACTCGCAGCAGCGACTACAATATGAAAAGAAGACAGAAAAAAATTGCTCCAAAGCTGTAGTGTCTGCACACTTTTCTGAGGGCAGCTGCTCTTTGTAGAGGTTCAAGTAGTACCAACTGACAACCCAAAACCTCAATCTGTAGCTCCCCTTCTTTTGAGAGGCATTTCATGTCAACTCTAAGAAACCCTTGTAGAGAACTACCCCAAAGAAAAGCTACAAATGGGTCTCAGAAGGAACAAAACCTTGGTACTGGAGTATAAGAGAAACAGCTGTACAGCGCTTTCACAGTCCACATATTGTACAGCAGGTTTTCACACAAACTCGCAAAACTACGACAATTTCTCTGAGAACTACCGTAGAGTCCAAGATTATAAGATACTCGTGCTACACTATTTTTGCAAACAGAGATAGCTACGTAGAACTAGTAGAAGACAGCAACCATAAAAGATTACTCTTGTGCTTCATTGAACTTGTACGCCGGGTTTTACTGCCCGACAAAAGGAAAGCAGCTCTACTGGCTTTACCCGGTTGCAAATTGTATTCCTTAGTTGCACGCTTCTCATACCCAATTGTGAGACAACTGCAGAAGCAAGTGCACTAACGGGATGGCATTGTACGTACATAGTTATAAAGCACAATTTTCAAAAATTTTTTTTTTTTTTTTTTTCAAAAAATTTTCCAATTTTCATTTTGTGCAATCCGTGTTTGATTTGTACGCTTGAGGAAGTGAAAGCTGGAAAAAAAAAAAATTTCACTGATTTTTTTTTTCATCGACAACTCTCACCAAAAATTTTTTTTGCAATAGTTAGTAGTGAAAAAAACTCTTGGATAATAGATTTTTTTCTCTTTTGAACTGGATATTATATTATCTTTCATTGAAATTTCAATTACTATTTATTGAGTTTTGTTTCTAGGACTTAAGGAAGACGATAACAAAGTACTATAAAAGGATAACTAGCCCAAGATGTTGATGCCAAAGGAAGAAAGAACCAAGATCCACAGACACTTGTTCCAAGAAGGTGTTGTTGTTGCTAAGAAGGACTTCAACCAACCAAAGCACGATGAAATTGACACCAAGAACTTGTACGTTATCAAGGCTTTGCAATCCTTGACCTCCAAGGGTTACGTCAAGACTCAATTCTCTTGGCAATACTACTACTACACCTTGACTGAAGAAGGTGTTGAATACTTGAGAGAATACTTGAACTTGCCAGAACACATTGTTCCAGGTACTTACATTCAAAACGCTCAACAAGCTCAAAGACCAAACAGAAGATACTAAGTCAGTTAACGCTAAGATGAGAAGTGCATTGAATTTAAGGTTGTGATTTACTCATCTAACCTTTTATCTTTTTTTGCTCTATCTCTTTTTTTTAAACTGTTACTATATTATCTTTTATCCTTTTTTAATTAAAACTTAAAAAATTTACCCAAAAAATCCTCATTTTTCAGTTCTCCATTCTGCTACTAGATTGACTTAAAAGAAAAGAAATAAAATAAATTGAAAAGAAGCAATATCTTTTATCCTTTTTAAAGTGGTTCTCCTAATTGGAATGTGATTAAATGTGTTTCCATCTCTCTCAAGGTTCCTATATTTTTGGTTCACATTCTGATGTGTGAATTAATTTTCATATGTTTTGTTTAATAATGGCGTTTCTTCATGGAATTAGTTATTCGCATTGTTTACTTTGCATCTAAGTCCATTGAAAGAAATGCGTTTCGCAAGATATACTATGAGTTAATTCATAGGGAACATAACTTGGTTATTTTTTTTTATTCTTCTCTACTTTGTTAATCGATTGAGAAGGGAGATATGAAATCGCATTTTGTTTGCAAATTCTAAATTTACATGACCATAAGATATGGATATTCTCTTTTTTGTATATTGTATTTAATCAATAACACTAATATAGAAAAAAAGATTCTATCAAAATTAGCCTCCAGAGTATGCTTTTATTATTATTTCCACCATTGATAACTATAGAATAGATATATACGCCATGTAGTGTTGTGTATATATGCTAGACATACTTCGACGACATGCCTGTGTAGCTGGCATGCTAGTCACGTGAACAGCTTTGGGTGGTCCAAGGGTACTTTCTCTGGATCAGTTTGGCCTTACTCCACGGTAGCATGATAATAAAGATACTCTACTGAAATTGTATAGCCCATGGATGCTCAGGGTTGGTAAGTCAATCAGTTTAAAATTAATTGTACAATCGCATTCTGACTTGGTTTTGGTTTCTTCGGTTTTAGTCTAATTAAAAGTTATAAGAGAAAAGCAATCCCTTCCTCGTTTTTGTCATTGAATTGTGCGATAAGTGTTTAATAGTGTTGTATAGTAATGAGTTTAGAATCATGGAGGCATTTCCAATTCTATGATAATTTGCCAATACCAGATCCGTTGCTAGGTAATGATATCCGCTTATATTCTGATCCGACTTTATCAGCTGCAGCGACGGTTAATGAAGACCTATTCTTTATTGCTGTAAGATCAAATTACATTAGACACTTCAGCCTTAAGAAGGCAGAGATCATAAAAGAGTTTAAAGCATTTGCTGATGGCTTCCAGATATCGTATTTAATGGTGGTAGGACAGTCATTTCTATTGGCAGTAGGTGAGAAAGTGAATTATCCATCCCAGTTGAAATTATTTAAGATTAATGACCTACCGACAAATGAGTTCCATTATCACTCCCTGGTGGAAATAAAAAACTCTGACAACGCTTTTCCAATATCATCTGTGTCTGTTTCTAATGAGCTTAACTGTATTGTGGTAGGGTTCGTTAATGGCAAAATATTGCTTATAAAAGGAGATTTATCAAGAGACCGTGGATCACAGCAACGGATACTGTATGAGGATTCCACGGGTGACCCAATTACTTCATTATTTCTAAACTCAGATGCAAGTTCATGTTTCGCAACCACCACATCCAGGATTATGATGTTCAATCTAATGCGGAAAAGTAAGTCAATTCCGGAACAAGTACTATCCTCTAAGGAGGGAGTAGCTCTTAACTGTGCATCTTTCTCCAAATTTACAAACGAAAACATATGCTGCATGAATGATTGTATCCAGTTTTATCATGGGAATGGAGAGAGGCATGATATACCCATTAAAATTTCGAACCCAAAAAAATTGATGCCCATCAATAAAACAGAGCTTTTGATTATTTTTGAAGAAGAAAGGCAAAAAACAACAAGTATTGAATATGAATCAGGAGCTTCCAACAATATTTGCAAAGCGATAGTAATTGACTTAGAAAACAGTATACTATCATTTTCATTTTATACTACAAGCAATATTGTCGATGTATTACCAGTAAGAAGCAAAGATGATTCGATACTTTATTTAGTCACAGCAGAAGGTCTTATGTACAAGGTTTCGAAAAAGTCACTTGATGAAAGATTATCTATTGTAATGAATAAGGAGATGTTTCCGTTTGCTTTACAATTGGCATCAGATTGTAATTTACCGGATAACAAGATTCAGAAAATCAATAAGCTTTACGGAGACTATCTTTATAGTAAAGGATTGCATACTGAAGCAGCCCAACAGTACATGAAATGTATCGATATTTTGGATATTAGTGACATAATCACTAAATTAGGTGCTAATGATGTTTTTGATGTAAAAGCTATGAGGAATTTGGCTGATTTTGTTTGGGAACTAATTAGAAAGGGCAGAGCTGATCACGATACTGTAACACTATTATTATCAGTCTTAATAAAATTGAAAGATGAAGATGGGTTGAAAAGGTTTGTCAGTTATTTTAGAAGAAGTGGGAAATATATTGAGACAGAGAATTACAAGGATCTTGATGATGAATCTTACTTTTTTAGTGACTTGAGATTATTTGATCTCGAGCTTATAAGATCACTATTGATTGACTCCAAACTTAATCAATTGTGTTACCAATTTGTTTTTAAGTTTTCAAAGGATCCTATAATGATAACTGACGTACTGTTAAATGTTTTAAAAGAAACAGAGGCAACTTTAAAATACGTAAAAAGTTTATCAGTAGATGATATTCTGCGAGTTCTTGTACGTTTTTCGAAGCAGCTTTTATATTTATCTCCAAATGAAACCAATTTGTTATTGATTGAGGTTTTTACAGGAAAATATAGGCCTAGCAGTTATGTGAGTGATATTAATAATGTTGTTAACACTAAAACGGGTACTAAATCAGAGAAAAATCCAGTTTTCTACAGCTATACCGCCTTTTTAAAATACATGAATCCTTTGGCCGATGCTAGTGTATTGGACGCTTCAGAAAACGGTGATAGGTTAGACGTAGATCGCCCTACTTATCATCCACCGAAGCCATCACTAGTTTTTAATGCATTTTTATCTCGTCCTTTTGAGTTCGTGGTTTTCCTAGAAGCATGCCTTGAAAGCTACAAACAATTTGATGGGTTTAAAAATGATAGACAAGAAATATTAACGACATTATATGATTTGTATCTTACTCTTTCCAAGCAGGATGTGGGAGAAAGAAAATCTGAGTGGACTGAAAAAGCTAATCTGGTTCTCAACGAAAGTAACGAGTTGGCCAATGAGCTAGATCAAAATTCTAACAATAACCTCAACAAAGTTGATAACAGCTTAATGAAGTTAATAGCACATATGAATGGTCTTAATGTAGCTGACATTTCTAGCCCTATAAATGAGAACAAGGAATTCTCAAATGATGTAACGGACAATGCAAGGATTATTAACGGATTCAGGAACCTAACGTACATGGGTGAAGTTTCAGAGTGCATGAAATTTTTTGAAGAACACTCTAAAAATAACATTGATTTGTTTCCAATGGCTTTATCATATTTCATCTCCAAAAAGGAAATATTAGAATTCATTGGAGGTGAGGATCAACTGGTGAAGAAGATAATTAAACCTATTATTGAAAATAACATAATGTCAATATTGGACTTGCTACAGATTCTAAGTTCACGCGATTTCATAACATATGGATGTGTTAAAGACATACTTCTCGATCGAATGAAGGAAGAGGATGCAGTGGCCAAACGTACAAAAAAATTAATTGCATCATATAGTGAAGAATTGCAGGACAAAAAGACTCAGTTGAGGACGTACTTATCTCCTGATCACGAACAACATATAGCAATAAAGGACAAAAAATGTGATCTCTGTCATATCACATTAGAGCTTCCAGTAATATATTTCAAATGTGAGCATATCTATCATCAAAAATGTCTCAATGAAGAGGCTGACTTAAAGAATGAAGGTGATCTGCTCTATAAATGTCCAAAATGTGTCATCGATATTGAGACCAGCTCAAAAAGGATAAGCAAAGAAAGGGAGCTTGCCTCTCGTAAGGAGCTCCTCGATTTAGCTTTCAAGGAAGAAGGTAATAACTCTGACAGGTTCAGAATTGTTTCAGATTTTATAGGTAGAGGAGCGCTGGAAAACTCGTACATCACTATTGAATCATGAAATTATATGTATTAAGTAGCTCTCAATAGTATAGACAAAATCATATGTGTGATCAAGGAACGGCGAATAACAGCATTCATGCATCTATTTTTATCTTTATTTATTGACGACTGTTCGTTACAATTATAATTTGATATACATGCTTATCATCTCTATGTTTGCAACATCGACTATTTGTCATAAATCTGAAACACATGTTTGCTTCTTGATGAACTTACTCATCTTTTCATTTTGTTTTAGTTTTGTCCAGTTAAATACAGGCCACATAATTATATAAGCTACCGTTAATTATCAATTCCTAATCTAATATTTGAAGATATCTTTCATTGTGACTTGAAAATTAAGAATAAAAATATACAAAAATAGTTGAAAGCTATTAATTGATTAGTTAACAAGGATGTATGAACAATTTCAGATGATATCAAAAAATTCTCTCACACCTATAAGAGATTATAATAACGATTTTTTCCATGCAAATGATTCAAAACTTCCAAATCTGACTCGTGTTAAGGATGGGTATGGTGGCGCGCGTGCAAGTTACTCTGATTCAATTGGAGGTGACCTAGATACGATGGACAATAAAATAGATGACAGGGTGAAGAAAAGTTCAAATTCTTCTGTATTAACTGACATGAAGAATATTAATCTAAGAGAAATGCTTAAGAAATTTATTTTTAGTGAGGAAAAATACATAGAGATGACAGAGAAGGCGCTTACATCATATCGGTTTAATATGCAAAATAAGAAAATGAGAAGCAAGAAAATCTTTGATCCTAATTCAAAGGAAGATGTTATACTTTTTGGTAATCTGGAAACAATATGTGCTGTTAGCTATTTATATTTGAACTCGTTGAGTAAAATTGTTACAAAGCTGGAGCTTAATCCTTCAAGTATTGATGTCATATATGATGAGCTAGTAGAGCTGCATGTGACCTTATTTAATAGAATGAAACAACCATATACTAGCTATATTATTGCTTATCAGAATCAAACACACCTTGTTAAAATATTGGAGAATTCGACTTCAAAGATAGTAGCATCATGGTATCATCGGAGTTATGATGATGCTCGTCAAATCAAATTAAGTGAAATATTGCAATGCCCATATAAGCATGTTCATGATTGGTTGGAGAATATAAAAATTTTGAAAGAATGGCTAGTTGTGGGTACATCAGTGGAAGAGTTTCAAAAACTGATTGAGACTTTCACGGACTATATTAGTCATCTCAATATTGATAATGAGGATAATGTCCGTTCTTCTCAGCATCGTCATCCAATATCGAGCATACAAATCTCTAAATCATCAGATTTAAATCCAGAAAGCAGTGGACCTTCAGATGATGGTAATTTTGTTGCCTATATTCCCAGTGTAGCATCTAGTGTATATACAGAAGTTATCAAGCCCAGAATGAGTCCTAAGATATCTCTAGATGAGAAACCTTGTAATGCTGACTCTAATCATGCATTAATGTTACTAGTCCGACTGTTTAAAGAAAAATTATATCACCTTACTCAGCTGAGGAAATTGTTGGTTAAGCATGATATTACAAATCTGGCGGATAATTTTATCATGCAAATACATAGTTGGACCTCACTACTGAGTATTGAAAAAGACTCTGTATTTCAGAATATCCATGAACAATTGAATAATAAAATTAATCTTTGTGTAAAGCTTTACAAAGAGAAGAAAGAAGAACTTGGTGCGTTTAAATTTCTCAAGTTAGAGTCATTTATAATCAAGAAGTTAGAGACCGTTCTAGCGTTGATGAAAACTGTTAAAGGTTATATTAATGATTTAAAAGTGCTGCATAAGGACTATTTAATATTCAAAAAAGAGAAACAGATGAAATTGCAGGACATTAAACGTACATTACTTGGAACACATTATGAACAAATACAAAATAAATTAGTCGAGCAGCTACCTCGATTCCTGACTTATATTAATCAGTTCATGGTGTTGTTCCTTTTGAGTTTCAATGCATACTTGAGAGATGCACTTGATATACTGATATCAGTTCAGGCAGATTTACTCCATACTGAAGAAGGAGTAAATGAAATTGAAAAGGATTACGACAAAAGAAGAAATGTCATGAAAAAAACTGTAAACAGTCACTATGAAAAATCAAACAACAATATTGTACTGAGGAGACTATTTTAATTTACAAGAATTAAATGCAGCACCTGAAAAAATCGAGGTTAATAGTGAAGTCATATGTAAACGATACAAAGTCTAGATGAAAATCTGTCTACTAACAACTAGCATTACAATTTTTAATTAATAAAAGACATATTTGTTATTATCACATTTTTGTCACATTTCTCTAGCTTACGCAGAATATGCAGGTTAGTGGAGGGTTGGAAGATAGTGATGTCAAAGGGAAAATTAAAATTTCATGCAATGTAAATCTTTAATGGTACAACCAAAGCAAAAAGCAACAAGTTATTTATAGATATTTCAGCTGAGATTGCTAATATATATCTTTGGCAGTATTAATAAAGCAAGAGTAGAATACAGTGATACTTGACAGCATTCAATTGGAATTTTTTTCTTTCCTTTATAAAACTTCCTGGTTAAGTTATTTATTTTTAGAGAAGGTTGAAGAATTACTTGTACATTTTTACAATATGGACCAAAATATCGATTTGAATAACTATGTGTCGATGTTAGACGCTATAATTAGTGTATCTGATCCTGATAAGGTTAGTCCCAAAAAAATACGTAAGGCTTTGGAACAACTGTTCTCTGTATCATTAGAGAATAAAAAGAAAGAAGTCAATGAGCTTATTGTGGCGAGGTTCCAGATTTTGCAAGCTGACCCTCATATATTGGTAAGTAATGAAGAATTTCAAAACCTAAAGATGATAAGGGGAAACTATGATGCACTTCTGTCATCCAAGTCAATGGAAAAGAAGCACAAGTTAACTGAATCTTCGAAAAAGACACGTATACAAGTTAAGAAGAAAAAAAGCAAGAAAAGCTCTAAGGATGGTGAGAAAAAAGTAGCCAATCCTAATTCAAATGCCATCAATTCTATGAAATTGAGATTATCAGATGATCTCTACAAATTCTTAGGAGAACGGGAACTCCCAAGAACTCAGGTTGTCAAGCAAGTTTGGGATTATATTAAGGAACATAACCTTCAAAGCCCCGAAGACCGTAGAGAAATAATATGTGATGATAGGATGAGGCCTATATTCGGTGACAAGATGACGATGTTCGCGCTGAATAAGATACTGTCAAAGCATCTGACAAAAATAGAGCCTAAGAGTGAGGAAGCTGATAATAGTAGACTATCAGTAAAGCTAGAGGATGGTACTCAAGCATGAAATTCCGTTAGTAATAATAATTTGGTCTATTTTCTTGCTGTAGAACATTATTTTTTAGATTCATGGCTCTAAAATGTAGCTGTGTAATTTGCATATCAATTTAAATCAATTCATAATTCTTGTATTATTAATAAATTAGCATCTTTGAGAACAAAATCTTCAACTTATCTGAATTGAGTATCTAATTAGTTTATTATTATTTTTTACCTTTATATTAATTACTAATAAGATAATAAACTACAATCTATACATTCAATAGTTCAAATGCTAGCCTTAGATAGTTCTTGTGCCAGGTTATCTATCTGTAATTCTATTAGTTCATTTTCAATCTTTGAGGTTTCAATTTCTTCCATTTTCTCCTCTTCCTCCTCTTCCTCTTCTTCTTCTTCACTGTCAGGTTCTTCAAGGTCATCCAATTCCAAATCTTCGAAGTGATCCATCAAAGCGTTAACTGGATCAGAATCCTCTTCAAATCTGTTACCATTAATTTCTAAATTCTTTAGTTTAGGGAATTTATTATCTTCGATAGCTGGCAAAAAGACAGTTTCTAAAGTGTCTTGTTCCATTTCATTATATTCAAATCTCAGGGTTTCCAGATTTTCAAATGTGTTATCTTCAAAGACTTTGAACACTTCTTTAGAGCCCTTTGCCTTGAGCAGACAGTCGTTCAAGTTCAATTCAACCAGGGTGTTCTTCCATAGTGGTAAATTCTTAGCCAAGACTAGAGAAGCAGCAGTTGTAAAAGTGTTGTCCTGCAAGTCTATGATTTCCAATTTGGTGTTATATTTTAAACCGTAGTGTATCAACGTAGCAACACCCTTTGGTCTGATACCATTTTGGTACAGTTTGACAACTTTCAAACCATCACCATGGCTTTTCAAACCTAGGGCGAGGTATAAAGCAGAGCCATTTTCTAATCTATTTCTGCCACAGATGAAGGTTTCCAACATCGATTCCTTGGCCTTGGTTTTGTTTTGGGCCAAATAGAACAAAGCTTTACCAATTCTTTCACCTGCAAATGGGCCCATACCATTGTTACTCAAGATCAAGTGCTTCAAGTGAACGGCGTTGGCGATGTAATTCTCCAAGTAGTCGATGGTTCTCAAGCCGAAAGCGTTATCAGACAAGTTCAATATTGTCAACTTGTTACATTTCAAAAGCACAGGAAGCAATGCTTTCAAACTATCGACCACTTCATCGACTAACCTCGAAGTGTACATGTCTGCAAAGTTTATCTCTTCAACAACATCCCTGACTGACTCTGTGGATCCCAAGAAATCAGCCAACGCTTTAGAAGCTTCAGTACCAATGGTGTTACCTGAGAAATCTAGTTTCTTGCACTTCTTCAGCTTTGCCAAGTCATCCAAGTGGGGCTGGATGTCTTCCTTTGTGGTCAACTTCAAGGCCTTACCAGCAATGGAAAAGACCTCGTCGTCCTCATATTTTGGTGTAAAGTGTAGTGTAGCCATAACGTGTGTGTTCTAAAGTTCTTGATTTGTTAGCCAATAGAGCTACTTTGATATATTACTGTCTTCTGTACTGTTACTGGCTATTGATATACTTTTTTTGTTTTTTCAGGCATCGATGGATTTTTTTTCACTTTGATCAGAATAGTGTGGGACACAGTGAAAATGCCTGTCTTATAAGCAAGTAGTTTATAGTACAAGACGCAAATATACTAGTCGGTTTGCTATTTCGTTGTTAGCAAGTTTGTGAATACAATACTGTCCGCTGGTAATGTGTTAAACTAAAATTTGAGAGGATATCCTGATGAAAAAAAAGTGCTTAGAAGTTATTTATTTCGTTATATAGAGGGGCGGAAACACATTATGTAGATGTTAATTAGAAAATTTAGAAAATCAGACGTCTTCCTTATTTCTTCTTTGGGCCACCTAGAGGCTCACCAATGGCTTTACCTCTCAGCTTGACACCGAGAGCTCTTTCCATCTTACCGAGCACTTGTTGGTTAGGGATGGCTCTGCCGGCCTCGTAGTCGTTAATAACTGTTGGCTTCTCGTTGATCTTGGTGGCCAGGTCCTTTTGAGACATCTTCTTTTCGGTTCTAACACGGGCAATGGTCTTACCAACATTGGCATCCAGCTTCTTTGGCTTGACAATGTCGGTCTCACGGTCAACCTTGGTCAACCTCTGGCCTTCGGCGTCACCCTTGGTGTTGGCAGTACCGTACTTCTTATCCACAGAAAGGACAAGGCCTTGTCTTCTGGCAGCATTGATCTGCCCTTGTGTTCTAGCGACGTTGGCTCTTGGACCAGAACCACCAGCTCTAGCCTTTTGACCAATAACAGTATGAGATTCCCAATCAGACATATTTTGTAGTAGTTGTTGTAGTTGTGTTTATTGTTGTGTTAGTTGCAACTCACAACTCACAACTCACAACTCACAATTGCAGTTGCAGTTGCAAAAGTATGGGACGTCTTATATTCGTTGCCACTTTTCCATCAACGTGTTCAGCGATGGTGCGATGCAGGATTTAAAGAAGAAAGCACACTTAAAGAGCTAGTTACAAGCAATAGAAGGTTTCTGTAGCATAGAGTTTCGAGTAAAGGCCCATAAGCAGTGATATTTTAGACATGGAGGAAGTAGATTCGCAAGGAGATTTGCCCAGGGATGTGCGGTTGTTGCACTTGCTTCTTGCGTCGCAGTCGATACAGCAGTATGAGGACCGTGTGCCTCTGCAACTGATGGATTTTGCACACCGGTACACTCGTGGGGTACTGATGGATGCGATGGTGTACAATGACTATGCCAGCGAGAACGCGCCTGGTGGGAGCAACGCTGCTGCCAATGCGACGAATGCCAAAAACGCGCCCAAGGCCAATACTCTGGGGAGTGGTATGACGAGCAATGGTGGGAAGAATATTAATGTTGAAGACGTACGGCTGGCGATTGCAGCACGTACACAGTACATGTTCAAGCCCACTGCGCCCAAGGAGCTGTTGCTACAACTGGCTGCGGAGAGGAATAAGAAAGCGCTGCCGCAAGTCATGGGTTCTTGGGGTGTGAGACTACCTCCAGAGAAGTACTGTCTCACTGCAAAGAGCTGGGACCTGGATGAAAAGGAAGAAAAATGAGATATATGGGAGGGAATCTTCAATACAAATATCAAAAACGAATTCATGGAATCTAACTAATTATGTACATTAAGCTGTGGTACCATTGTAAAAAGGATGGGGGAATGGGAGAACCCCCTGTACTAAATGATTTTTTAGGGAGAAATACTCTGGACAGGGTACAGATAGGACAAAGCAGTCCTCAGAATAGAGTAGTGAAGCTTCATAACCAGCCTTTATAGCAAGTCCTTATGTTAAGTAAACTGTCGTCATATAAAACGACTAAGTAATTTTTCAATTTGCCCTTGTTCTTAATCCAAGTTTTGCGAAATCCGGCAATTTCACATCGAATGGCTTGGCAAAGCACCCAATAGTATAAGCCATCAATGCAATTCATCGGCTTCTGTTAGTGCAATTGGAAGAGTTAAAGCAGTAGAGTTGTGAGAAGTCGTGTTAGTGAAGGTTTATTTCTTGGTAGTTGTCTGCTCGAGCTATTATTCAAAGATATAAAGGAAAACCTAGAGGGAACGCACGAAATAAAGGGAAGGAAGCACTGTTTTGTTATCAATATTAAGTCATAACTTTAGTATTACGTTTCAAAGATTTAGCACTTGCATTAGACAGGATACTGACATTGAATTGGGGTTCTGATAAATAGTGAAAAAAAAGAGAGATTAAAAAAGAAAAATGATTACACAGGCGTCGATTCCTGAAGTGAGGGAGGATGTTATTGGGTTTGCGCTAGGTGAGAGAAAGGCCATTCTTCCACAATGTCAGGATCTGGGACCTCCGGACTTGATTACCATGGTTAAATACGTGCCAACACCAAACTCAAATGCTACTGCAGGCACCACCTCAGGTAATGGAGCTGGTGGTGCAAATAATGGCACTGCTGGAGCAGCTAATGGAAATAATTCCTTGTCTACTGCTGATCCAGCCGCCCTGTTGGCAGAGATTCACTCCCATGACAAACTAAAGGGGGCAATTGGCACCTTCTTTTACACACTAGGTATTGATACATCTGATCCAACTTCTATTTCTATCTCTTTAAAACAAATTGCTGACGCGATTGCTGAGAAGCCTCAAAAATGGTTTGGCAAGTTTAAGAATTTCAGTATCGCCAGGATTTCCCTGTCGACATACAATATCTTCAGAAGATGTGATGTTAATGTGATTGTACACATACCAGGTGCAGTACAAACCTATGTACTAGATTCAAATGGTGAGCATTTGCCTGTCTCAGGTAATCAAACTACACCAACCGTCGCTTCCACGGCTAGCGCCAATCCAATTGATCAGGCAAGTGAGATGGATGTCATTTGGGCGGAGACTTTCATCAGTGGAGTAATTCGTTCAATTATGTTTATGAAGGATAACGCCGATGATGGTGAGGCCCAACCCTTGGTCGAAACTTTAATTTTGAATCCATTGACAGCAGGTAAACTAGACGACGTTGCAAATACATTTATAAAGCTCTTCCCAACGGTCTATGAAAGAGGTGTGTTGACTGAAGCACCTTGTCACGTTTTGGTGCCAACTAGAACAAACAACTACCTAGTTGATACTTTGGTAGAACTGGTTAGGCTAACGAAATCGGTCGACATCTGTAGACCTATGCTTGAAGAGCTCATTAAAAGTTATCCAGATGCTAGCATAGTCCTTGCGCGTGTCTTGATGGCTTGTGATTATGAGATTGATGCTATTGATATCATAAACAGAGAATTACTACCTCATGGAGAAGAAGATGATACTATATCACCTATATTTAGAGCAGAATTGTTATGCCTACAAACACAGTTTTTAATGAATGTTAAAAATGACTATAAGCTGGCGCTGGAAGTGGCTCTATCCGCAGTTAAATTTTCTCCCAGTGAGTTCATTCCATGGTTTCTGCTAACTAAGATATACATCAAGCTAAATGATATTGAAAATGCCCTTTTGGCTTTGAATTCATGCCCTATGGCTCAATCACACGAAAGATATGTCCTAAAGAGAGCGGTACCTATTGGATCAGAGGATAATCTCCACCTACCATTGCCAGAAAACATAGGAGTTGATGAAATTTTACAATTAAATCCTAGCGATGTTAACAAGGAACAATTAAATTCTGATCCATCTTTAACTAGATCCGCTGCTTTAAATTTGAAGTCTACATATCTATTGGCATATAGGTTATTGACAGAAATTGTACAAATCACAGGCTGGGAGACCCTATTGAAGTGTAGATCTAAGATATTTGTTATGGAGGATGAATATCAAATATCCACGGATGAGGTATCATTGACAAACCAGAGTAATAGAAATGAGGACACACCAAGTGAGTTAAATATGAGAACTAAGAGACTTTGTGATAGGTGGTTAGATAACCTTTTCATGCTTCTATATGAAGACTTGAAGATATACACATTATGGCAGACAGAACAGTTATATTTCGAAGCACAAAATAGTAAATACAAGAAGCTGACATATGAATGGGAAGCATTTGGGCTTTGTGCACAGAGACTAGGACATCTTCCTGAAGCTGCTAGCGCATTCCAAAGAGGTCTTTCCCAAAGATTTGCTCCAATGAGTGCGCGGATGTTATTGAATTATTATATTCAGGAACATCACCGCGTGAGAAACCAATCCTTATCACCAAACTCTGAACTCACATCATCGCAAATAATATCACGTATCAATGACTTAGATTCTCGAATTATAGATTTATGTGTCAAGCTATGTTGCTGGAACCACCGTTGGTACATTGAGTTTTCGATACAACTTATCGACGCGCTGAGTGTCGCAGTTCAAGATATGGGTATCATGAAGGTAATCAACGAAATAGCGTCTCGTTATCCGGATGCCGTTGTATCTATAATGAAAGAAAACTTCTTAGACTTCTTGGAAAACTATACTAACGGATTCTTTGATGCTTGAGTAATACTAGGAGGCAAGACATGCGATATGCTGATCTACTCACGGAGATTTGTCATTGATTTACAGTCACGAAAAATTACAATACATAATCAAAATTCTACCAGATACAATTATTACTACATCTTAATATAATTATTATTTTCCTTTTATAAGTATAATTGCATTCCTTTAACAGAAGTCAATTTTATTCCGAAATAATAGCCATTCCGAATTTAGCTGATCTAAATCAGCAATAACTATTTTTGGCAGCCTATACTTTTTTTTTAGTGTTTCACTTAGCAGAGTATATATATTTTTTTGCTGGGATTATCAGTCAAAATAGGAATCTTACAGTATTAATCCAGTTAATGAAATAATGCATTGTATAATAACTTGCGTTTATAATATTATAGCTCCGTTTTTCTTACTCTTCTATAATGTCTTATTGACGAAGCCCATTTTCATCATTTTATGATAACTAAAGTTAATATCATTCTGAATAATTTTTAGAAGAAATCCGCAAAAAAATTCGTGAAATCACTGCGAAAGCGATGGGGGAAATGATAACCAAGAAATGTAGGCTTTGATAGTCAAAATGAATGCAACCCATGAGTAACCAACTTAATAGTACAACTTCTAAAGGTAGTCTTTCAACTCTATTTCTTTCTGTTAATTTCTTGCGTGTACAAAAGCATATATATTCTTGATCAAGAAAGGGTTTCTCTTGAATTATAATATTTGAATAACTTTGCTTGAAAAGGACTAGAGACAATACTTTAAGAACGGCGTTGTACTGATTGTGAAGATATAAGGAGATTTTGACGCATGGTAATATGAAATTACTGTTTTCGCTTCAATTATGGGTCCTCATAGGGACTCTTTTTCCAGACGCTGGTGCGATCAATTTGCAAGACAATAAGGACTCTATATGTGCAGCCACTGCTTTGATTCAAGGTGGTATGCTTGATTATTATGAAGGTACTCGTTACGGTGGTACTGTAGGTATGTTTCAGCCTCCATACTATTGGTGGCAAGCTGGTGTTGCGTTTGGTGGTATGTTAGAAAATTGGTTTCTATGTCAGAACGACACATACAAGGATTTGTTAATGAATGCTTTGGTAGCGCAAACTGGTCCAAATTATGATTATATTCCAGCCAATCAGACTACAGTGGAAGGTAATGATGACCAAGGTGTTTGGGGTCTTACAATTCTAGATGCAGTTGAGCGTAACTTCTCCGCTCCAATTGATGGTAAACCAGGTTGGTTAGCCATGAGTCAAGGTATCTTTAATACTATGTACGCAAGATGGGACATGCAAAGTTGTAATGGTGGTCTAAGATGGCAAATTTTCACTTGGAATAGTGGCTACAATTATAAAAACACTATTTCAAATGCATGTCTATTCCAGATCGCTGCTAGATTGGGTAGGTACACCGGTAACACCACTTATTTAGATGTTGCAGAAAGAGTCTTTGATTGGCTTGTTGGTGTTGGTTACATTGTATTGTCTGAGAAAGGTAATGTTTATGATGGTGCCAAGGTTGAGGATAACTGTACTGACATCACCGCTATTGAATGGACTTATAACCACGGTGTTGTTTTGGGTGGGTTAGCTTATATGTACAATGCAACCAATGGTTCCTCTGTATGGCAGTCTAGATTGACTTCAGTTCTTGGCGGTGCTACTGCATATTTCTTCCAAGATGATATTATGTATGAGAGTGCCTGTCAACCATATAAGACATGTAACAACGATCAAAGATGTTTCAAGAGTATTTTCTCAAGAATGTTAGGTTTCACTAGTGTGTTAGCGCCATTTACTAGTGACACAATCGATCCATTGTTAAAAGCTAGTGCTATGGCAGCTGCAGGTTCCTGTGATGGTGGTACAGATGGTCATACTTGTGGTCTAGATTGGCAATTAAAGACAAATGATGGTTACTATGGTCTTGGAGAACAGATGAGTGCACTCGAAGTAATACAGCAACTGCTTATCCATGAGAGACCTGCCCCATACCGGGCTGATAATGGTGGAACTTCAGTTGGTGATGCAGCTGCTGGTTTAAACTCAACAACAACAAATGTTCTAAAGAATAACTTGAAAATCACTGGTGGTGACCGTGCTGGTGCGGCAATTGTAACAACCATTGTGTTAGGTATAATAATTGGAGGTGCTGCCTGGATGATGTTTTAACATATTTACACCTAACGCCATTTATTCTAAAAAAAAAATATAAACAAATTTTAAATTAATGTACATTATATTAAGTTTTTATTTCTAACGCTAACTTTGGTAAGACTATATCACTAACTCAAAAATATTTATATTATTTGACAGATTATTCCAAATTTCAACATATCTACTGCTTGCCATAACATTCAGATTTACCAACAAAATATAAACTCGAAAAATTAAAAAACTGAAAAAAATAAATCTCCGCGACGGGGAATTGAACCCCGATCTGGCACGCGACAAGCGCCCATTCTGACCATTAAACTATCGCGGATTAATGATTTGTTGAGATAAGAAATAAATTTGGCCTTTATATTCATATACATGACAAACCAAAAATGGCGAGTGAGTCGCTTAACATCTAGATTAATAGATGTATATCCTTTGCAGTCAAAAGTCTCTAATACAACAATCCATGAAGTATAACAAACTTGTTGGAGTTGCCACATAATAATTGAGTACGCCTACAATTTCGAATTAGTACGCTGTCACATAAAAAAATACCTCATACAATGACAGTATCTCTCTAAATAAAGTAAAGTAAACCACTTATCCTGAACACAATAATCAATTGAATCATTAATTGCAACTTTAACTTGCCATTTACCTCAGAGTAAAATGAACCAAAAAAAAAGCACTCACGATGGGGGTCGAACCCATAATCTTCTGATTAGAAGTCAGACGCGTTGCCATTACGCCACGCGAGCATCTTAACTTGTTGTGACTGAAAAAAATTTGTTGATCATAGATTACTTATTGCCTATGTAAGTGATAATAGGTCTCACGTGACTCATGGTAATGAATATATATGAAATTGGAGAATGTAGAGATACTTTTGAGGATACACTTTTAAGTTGTGGTGTACTCTTCTGAAATTAAGACACAATCCCAAAAGTATATAACGGAGATTATTCTTTAAGTAACTATCTAGATCATATTACTCTCTCTGAACATTGTTGTATTTGCTATTAAAATTTCATAAGAGAGGAACCAACAATTATTTAAATACCCTTACTTAATTTTATTTCTTATAGTATATTTGCTAGATAATTCACCATGGAACTTGTTTATCCTTTGTTGTGTCAAACTATAGCTAATGGTGAATTGGCTTCCCTAAAGCAACAGGTTATGAGCCTTGCCGCAAACACCTATGATGCAAGCACAACTATTAAACTAACTGAAGTTGGGGACTATAAAAAATGGATACAAATGTTAGAATCCACTTTAACCATGGCTCATTCAGCATGGTCTGAATTCTATCATGCAGGACCTTATGATGTGAAGACTATAAGTGATCCTACAGTTAAAATCCAACTTTCATTCCTGAACGATGCATTGGTTTGCTTAATTAAGAAAAGGGTATCTGACGATGCGGTTAAAAATATTAATAAAATAATATTATCCCTCACTAATTTCTCGAACTCAGCCTTCAAGATACTAGATTACCTTAAAGGAAGATATGACAGAAATAACAGCAGAACATCATTTAAACAGAATTATGGGTGGATTACAAACTACCAATCAATGACCCATGAAGATTTATTTCGTGAGATCACTTCAATGATGGAAGCTCTGTTAAATTACGATGAGTATGAACTAGCATTGTTAAACACCATACCCAAAGATGATCAAGCCAAATTCATAGTAAGAAAAGAGAATCTAATCAAACAATCTGCAGCAGGTATGATGCTCGGATATTTACCAGAACATCTCAGAGAAGGATATTTTAAACAATGGGGACATACAGCAGAGTTTCAGACTTACGAAATTGTAGACATTGTAGTTGGTTCCAATGTCAACAATTCTCAGTCGGTTAACCATGGTTCCTTAGCAAATGCAGAAAATAAAAACTATAAGAAACAAAACAGAGACAAAAAACCACATTTCCGCAAACAAAAAACTAAGCCCAAGTGCCTATACTGCGGAAAACCGCATAAGCTCAGTGAGTGTAAAATACTATTCCAAGATAATCCTGATGCCGAAGTATTCAAAACTTTCGGTCCTCCAAGCATCGATGAGGAGCTATCCGGTGCGTATGAATACACGATCCAAGAGAAACCTGAGACATTGATATGGAATTCTGGGGCCAGTACTCACATGTGCTGCAATAAACAATTCTTCATTGAATATAAGGATTTGAAAGCACATACAAGTGAAATATCACAATATCCGACAACAAGTTGCCGCGAAGCACGTGAGGCTTCAATACATGCCTACAAAGAACCAGCTAGCCGACATCATGACCAAGACCATACCCAGAACCCAGCACGAGGCCTTAAGGAACTCGATTCTGTAGCCATTATAAAGTCTGGGGGGAGTACCACTTACTCAGTTCAAGCGGTATGGAGGGGATGTTGAACATAGATTACTTATTGCCTATGTAAGTGATAATAGGTCTCACGTGACTCATGGTAATGAATATATATGATATTGGAGAATATAGAGATACTTTTGAGGATACACTTTTAAGTTGTGGTGCACTCTAATATAAAATGAAGACACAATCCCAAAAGTATATAACGGAGATTCTTCTTCAAGTAACTAGCTATCTCATATTACTCTCTCTGAACATTGTTGTATTTGCTATTAAAATTTCATAAGAGAGGAACCAACAATTATTTAAATACCCTTACTTAATTTTATTTCTTATAGTATATTTGCTAGATAATTCACCATGGAACTTGTTTATCCTTTGTTGTGTCAAACTATAGCTAATGGTGAATTAGCTTCCCTAAAGCAACATAATTAGCTTCTTATTACGGAGAGGGAGAGAAAGAGATATGATCTATTCAATAGCGTTAAGATATGAAATTGCATAGCTACATAGCATTAATAAATGAGAGTGAAAAATGTTATCTTAGCAAGCTCTTTATTTAAAAACTATGCTGCAAGAGCTAACCACTAAAGTACAATTTAATGCGCTGGTGCCTGTAATTCGCTTCAATTTAGACACATCATAGAGAACGTGCTTGAAATACCCAAAATGACAACAGTAGCAACTATTAATTATAACTTTAATGTTGGGATATCAAAAGTACATAAGAACACTACACATTGTTTTTGATCTGTTACACGTAACAAACATACTTTTAATGGTAAGGCTTACTTCCTTCACATTTTCCTCATTGACTTATGAAATTAATACTTTAAAAATTGCCACGTTCATCCATTATTATAGGACCATAAAATCAGCTAGGTACTGACCGTATAAGTTAGATAGAACTTACCTAACAATATTTTGATACATGAATCTAAATATTTCCCATCATTATGCCAAAAAGCTACAATGAAAATGATATATGGAAGATAAGAGATGTATTTGGTAGAGATCTATCATATATTTCAAGTTGCCTCCCATCATTGGAGGATTATAAGCAAATCAATTTGAATAGCAGCGATTTAGAAAGCGGATATTCCCCTTTACATGTAACTCTGAGAGAAAGATTATTACAGAAGAGTTTTCTGCTCTACAAGAGGTGGGTTGACGATGAGAAACAGATGAGTTATAAAATTGGACAGCACATTTTGGCTCGAAAGGATAGAGAGGGTCTTACACCTATGGATCTATACAATATCGAATTCCAAAGAGCCCTGAAAGTTAAACCACAATTATTAGAATACACAATTGATAATGGGAATTTAAAGCCAAAGGTTATTTTTGAAAAAGTTAATCATTTGGATAGTGAAGGTATAGCCACTACTAAAAGTTGTAGCAATAATGAGCTGCTAAGAAGTACATCTTTTCTAGAAATACCTCAAAATTATAGTGACATGGCCAAAATACGAAATTTAGGTGGATCTCATTTATTAACTTTCGGCTCAAATGTTAACGCCCAATTAGGTACAGGAAATAAAGATGATAGACAGCATTTTCACGAAACAGACTACCAACAACTTGGCGGAGATTTACCACTAGACCCGAAAAAATTTTCTATAAAAGAGGTCCTTATGTCAAGATACCATTGTTTAGTAATTAATTCTTTTGGAGAAGTTTTCACGTGTGGGAATAGTAATAGAGGTAGACTTGGTAACGGTGAAACTAACACAACAGTATCTGTTTTTACAAAAATTGCAACGTTTGAGACGGGTGTCAGACATGTTTCCATAAGCAATCATCATAACCTTTTAGTAGATGGGAATGGCTATATTTATTCTTGGGGGTGGAACCAATATTATCAATTAGGCTATACATCTAGTAATAAACAGGGCGATTCAAAACATACGCTATGTAAATCATCACCAAAAAGAATTCCATATTTTGATAATATTAATATCAAGTATGTGGCGTGTTCAAAAGTACATTCATGTGCTCTAAGTCAGGATAATAAATTGTATTTATGGGGACTAAATCTTGGTCAGATGGGAAATAAAAAGCCATTACATGTTAATCTTGATATTTCTCATGACCATAACAATGGATACATTATTGAAAGTCCACTAGTAATTGATTTGTCACATCTACAGGTTGAACAGGTCTTAGCTCTAGAGCTTGTGACTTTTATAAGATGTTCCGGAAACACGCTAATTGTTCTCACTGATTTTTGTATGAGGACTTTTAAGATATCTACCCCAAAACCTAAAAATCCTACTAGAATTGATATATTCTCACATTATACACCAAAAACGATATCGGCTGACGTTGTTGACATGAAGTGCTCTAATAAGGTTGGAAATCATCTTTTTTTCAAATATGCTTCTGGCAGAGTCGGATACTTGTCCCTCAAAAAGGAGAACGTGGAGTCGTGGTCAAAATTATCGAATGAGCTGCCAATATCATTTTCTTGGAAGCCAAATTTTGCAAGAAACAATTGTACAGATTTTGCAGTTGGCTACAATGGAGATATCATAATTTGCACCTATGGAGGGGAAATATTTATATCTAGAAACCATGCGGAATTTGAAAGAATTTACAGTAACAAATTAATCACCGGTAGGGCTGTTAAGATTTCGAGTGATACATCACTCGGCTCCGTTGCAATTATAAAACAGGATTATCTATTTATGCCCGCCAAATATTTAAAAGATACGTTTGATTTTGATCTGGCTATTTATTCACCAATTTACCAAAACGTCGGTGACACATTATCTTTAGGATCATTAGGTCTCCAATGTCATGTTAAGGAAACTGACAGTCAACTCTTCCTGTCTTCAAAGTCTAATATATCTAACTTGCGCTACTCAGAAATTAATGGGTCTAGTGTAAATGAAAACCAAATCAAATGCTCCTCATATGACGTTATTTTGAATAATGATAGGGGCATTATAGAATGCTATTCGTTCAAATCACTATTTTCTCTTCGTTGTTCCAAGTTCCTTAATGCTATTTTAAATGATGGTAAATTTACAGTAAATAATGAACTTTTTTTTACCGCTAATGAAACAGCAAATGGCATATTACAGATAAAAACCCATGATTTAACCACATCAGCTGTCTACTATAAAATTTCAGTTGATCTTGTTCATTTTCTACTAACTGATGTTAAACCTGCAAACCAACAGAGGTCAATAGCCATATTATCCATAACAGACAATTATGCACATGGTACTACATTGAGAAATGCACTCAGTTCGTACTTACTGGGTATGCTAACAAATGATACTGATGAAAATAGAATAAAATCGCCCGGTAACCATCTGCTGGGAGATACCATACTAAGACTTAAAGATAAAACTCTAATCGTCGACTCATTCCTACTGTCAGCAAGAAGCAATTACTTCAAAGGGTTACTTTCAAATAGTGTTTTTTGTGAAAAAGATAATGACGGAAAGTATTTGATTAATTTGGAAATTTATTCCTATAAACAGTTTGATATTATATTAAAGTACTTATACGGTGTTGATTTTTCTGATCTGCACCCTCACTATGAGAGTGAAGATGGCGGACTCACTAATTTTCTTGAAAGTCTAGTTCTGGCCGATGAGCTATGTCTAGAACCATTAAAATGCTATATGCAGGTGCTTTTAAGCCAATTTATTGACGGAAATTCAATTATTCCATTATTTATATATTCCGTGAGGAGTAATGCAGAAATGCTATGTCTATTATGCTCCACATTCATTGCTATACATATCGGCGTTTTGTTTGTCAAGGATAACGTACAACTCATATCACAGAATTTTGATGATTCTCATTGGAAAATACTACAAAACAATATATCGTATATTACTTCTGAGCAATTGAATCACGAGCTGTGGTATAACAACTCAACTGATAACTGGAGATCTTTGTTCAAGAATGATATCAATAAATTCAATAGCAAGTTCATTTCCCCCAAAGATAAATTTAGTCCTATTTTTGATATTAAAGATACTTTGGAAGTTTCAAGCAAAAAGACTTCTACTGATAGGAGGAGGTCATCCACATCGACTAGACCAATTAAATTTAAAAACACAACAATGAATAATACTTCTGACAACCCGCATAGAAGACAAAGTAATGGCTCTGTCAGTATAGCTGAAAAGCTGTCAGCATCTAATTCATCTGATGAGGACTCACAATTTATAGAAGTTACAAGAAAACCGAAGAGGAAGAGTGTTTCTAATATACAGGAATCGCAGACTCCGGTGCCCAAGCTACATCCTCCAAAACCAAATATTCTTATCCATAGGAAACTTTCTGGTGACGAGAAACTACTACCATCCTTGATATCGAATGAACCAATTGTGGAAATACCTAATCAGAAAAAAAACCAATCAGAAATAGGCCCAAAAAAACCTATTTCATTTAAAAAAACCTCTCAAAAGGAAAGAATTAAAACTACAACACAAGCAGATAAGCAGAAAGAGAACAAAACGAAAGAATCTGCTTGGACTAATCAGAAACAAAACAGTAGTTTATCAAACCCAAAAGACAATCAAACCTCGAAATTAGCTGCATTGCCATCTTTAAACGATAGCAAATTACAGAAACAGGACTTGAAACCAAACAAAAAGAGCAAAAAGAAAGCGAACAACAAACAATCAGCCGAATTCATTAGCAGCGGTAATTTTGCCGGTTTAACTCCCTACCTAAGCACAGTACACAAAGAGAGCGTCACTACTGATACCACACCCTCATGGACAGCCTCTACTGTATCCGATTTCAAACAAAAAGTTGAAGCACAAGAATTTGAAAAGTGGTTTCAAGAAGAGAGCAAAAGAGTTCAATTGGAATTGGAAAGAAGGGGGTCTTCTCATCATGACGAATTAAAGGTTCTCTATGATAGTTCACAAAACATACCGGGCTTTGTCATAGATTCTAATGTTAAGAAAGCAGGTAGAAAAATCAAAGGAAAGTTCAAAGCAAAATTAAAAAATAAAGACGAGAATATAAATAGTATACAGTAAGTACAATTGTATCATATAAGTTCATAACGTACGTGAAAGAGATGCCTAAAAATCGAACAAAAAGACCAAGGTAAAACAAGTAAAAACGAGAATATTATTTATTTATGCTGGATTCTAAGATCAACTCACGTCTAACCCGATAGCTCGCATATATCCTTTTCTCCTTGCTCTTTATTTGTCGTTCTGGGCTGCTCGTTTTTGGAAACTGATTGCTCTCTGGGAATGGATGCACGAAGTTTAGCATATTTCTCTATAACATCTTCCTTTCTCAGAACATCCTCAGCAGCCTTCACACCGGCCAGTTTAATATTTCTCGCCTTACCAACCCCAAGTATAGTACCATCTCCAGTTCTGCATTGTACAATTGTCACTGGATTTTCATTAGTGGGTCTCTGTACTGTATGATAATGTAGTTTTAAAGCTGCATAACCAATCAATGAATATAGCTTTCTCTTGGCATTCATGTCTAAATTGTTTGTTGGCTCGAGTTGAATACTTGTTTTCATTGCTTCTTCGATCTTCGGCTTCGCAAGCTTCTTTAGCCACTTTCTTATTTTGACTAAGTTGGTCTTTGGATCGTCCTCCATTAATCCTCCAATATAGGCCTCAAAAATATCGGCGGACGTCTTGGAAGTACTTAGATCGACATCGGGAGACAAGTTACTTTTCAGCTGTTTTGGAAGCTCGTACAATTCCGACCACTCTCTCAAGGTCTCATTTTTAACAAGTTTTTTCCTCAATTCTGTCAAGTTACCTTCATTTAATGACGGGAACTTGTTATAGATAATCATAGTCATTACTGTGTTTAGGATAGAGTCACCCAAAAACTCCAATCTTTCGTTATTAGATTTGATAATATCACTTTCATTCAAATATACCTTATCATTCACCAGTGACTTGTGCATGAAAACTCTGGCTCTAATTACATGGTCCTTGATCTCTGGCATCTCCGGTGGCCATTTCGAGGATTTCTCCTTTGAAGTGATACACTCAGAGGATTCGCTACTCTTGGCCACAGACAAATCCAGGTCTAGCCGTCCGATATCGTCATCCTCCAAATCTTGTAAATCACTGAGTTCCAAATCACCCAGCACCGGCTCCCTATTAGAAGCATCGAACTTCGCCTCATACCCACTAATATCGTCCAGCAGAGTGGACTTGTTGAGATCATGTAGTGTCTTAATCTCAGCGGCCAACTTCAATGGATACCTGGTAAACAAAGAGATTAGCTGCGGTGGCACTTTCTCAGGGTCAGACAGCGAGTTCAAAGTCTCATAATACTGGACTATATTCGGGGACAGCTTCAGAATACGCTGGTAAGCCTCCACCAATTTATGCACCGCATGCTCTATCTGGATAGCATTAGAGTATTGGTAAGTACCAACTTGCTCAGTCGAATTCTTCTCATACAAGTCAACCAACTCAGACGTTAATCGGGATTTCTTCTTGGAAGCTTTCCCAACTTTCCCAATTTTACCCATCGCTCGCTAATACAACTCCTAGTAGTATACAATTTTGCCCTTATGTAACTGATAAAAACAACAAGCGTTCTTATACTCCCAATAGAAGCGATGAGCTGAGCTTTATTTTTTTTTTTTTTCACTGCAGAATTTTATTTTTTTTTTTTTCGTTCAGTTTTTCAGTTCTTTTTTTTCTTCCCACAGCTTGTTCCCTCCCTGTCACGCAGAAGGAAAAGAAAGGGCTTAGATAATGGTAATGATTGCGCCAGAGATATACTTCTTGTCCTTGACATACAATCTATTTAATCCTGGGGTTTGGGTTTGTCCTTTACATACCTCCATCTGCCATTTCCATCTTTTGCTAGTTGCAAAGTGTAAAAAATTCCATAACACCGAATCACTTTCCTAATCGGGAAAATCGAAGCTTTTCCCATTTCATCCCAAAAATCTATTTGGAACCTTCGCTTCGGTCCAACCTTAATTCACCTCCTTTAGAAAAGCCCGCATAGAGGATCAGCTATTTCCCCATTTGATATTCTATGCTCTCTCTGAAGCACAGAAACATTCGATTGTTGGATCTCGCATCTCGTGCTTTTGTACGTACATCTCTGTGTGTCTGTGTGTCTCTGTGTTTCTCTGAATGTTTACTGTGTCTCTCCGTGTGTTTCTCTGTGAGTGCGGGGGAGGGGCGGGAAGCCAGAGAAGAGTGGGAAGCATACACATTGTTAAATGAAAGGCTTTCTATTAGAATCAGAACTTGTAATTGGCCAACTCATCCTGTGCAGACTCGACATTGTCCTGAATTCCCCCGTGTTCGACAGATCCACGGATGGTGTTGACTGGCTTCGCACTATGTGATTCTGGTATAGACGTCACTGGCTCTGGCTTCTTTACTTCTTCTGGTACTGGTACTTCTGGTACTGGTACTTCTACTTCAACTTCTACTTCTGGTACTTCTACTTCTGGTGCCTGTTGATGGTCGTCAAATTGGAGAATCGCGCCAAACAGTGGGGTGTTTGTCCAGTTGCTCTTGCTCACCTTTCCGTACTTGTTGTCCTTGAAGTTGCTTATATCCCAATTTAGACCAGCTATTTTCATGTTTGGGTAGCTCGGAGGCATGCCAAGATCCTTCATCCTTAGACACCACGGTGGTAACTGACCCGGCTGCAGGCCTAGCGCATGCCTCAAGTCATCGCTGAGCCTGCCTGGTATCCTGTCCTTGACTAGCTTGCGCCATCTGGCTTCACCTTGCAGGTTTCTGTTCTCATAGTATACATCACCGTACGGTAACATCGTGTCAGGCTTCCACTTCTTTCCTAGCTTGAAAAACACATCGTAAAGCTTCTTGTAATCCAGATCTAGCTTTCCAAGCTTGGGTCGTACCGCGTTTCTCGTTTGCTCCTTCAGTTTCTCTTGCTCTTCATCCTCAGGGAGCGTATTCCTCATGGAGTCCACACCTGTCTGCTTGATCAGGTCTGGCAGCTCAAACGGCTTCTTCTCCAGCAGCGACCGCCCAGATAGATAGTCCCGCTTCGATTGCCAATGGCTCGGCACTTGTACAACGTTAAACGACGTCTTTACAGAAGCCAAAAAATAAGGCTCCTTGGCATCACAGTCGTGCTTCTCTATCAGCTGTGGTGTCAGCACAGAGCTTTTCAACTCAGCAAGCGTCGGTTTGTTCATTAACCTTGCCTTTCTGTTTGAAAGCGGCTGTGGGATGGCATCTGCACTTTTAGCATCTGCACTTTTAGCATCTGCACTTTTAGCATCTGCAACATGATCATCGCGTAAAGTAGGTTCATGGCTCGCTACCTTAGGATTCCTGTCTTCTTCCACATCCCGTTCTTCAACGCCATTGAACTTCTTGAATAACTCCCGGTACTCTGACTCGAGGTTAGGTGTCGCATTCACACGCTTCTTCTTCTTGGCAGGCTGCTTATGCGTGGTCTCTATCGCGTCTATTATACTGGCCTTAACATCCGACACACCCGATCTCTTACGCTTGCTTCTGGCCATCCTTGTTGCAACGCCCTATCGGTATGATACACACTGCCTTTACACACTGAATACTATATACGCTCCGGTTGCAGTTTTTATTACTTTGCAGCTAAGCTCATCGCAACTTATCCACTGCGCATGTGCAAAGTGATAACAGTTACCTGGTTTCATCAAACTTGGATATACTCATTGGCAGAACAATTGAAGAAGTTATGCCAGGATTTGATACCTACATGCTGATAGTAAACTGAGGCAAATATGTGGGAACTTGGGTGTCCCCAAAAGCAATACTGCAAAAGGTTATACAACCTTCCCATGCAATACTCTTGTTATCACGTTGTATATCACCTAAAATGTACTCTGTACTTCACATCCCACAATTTCCACATTGTCTTTCCTTAAAGGAATTTCAATTGTTTGAATTGAAGGGGGTGATGCTCATCGCTTTTAAATTTTTCAAAAATTTTCAGCTTTTTTTTTTTTGAAATTTTTCAGTTTATATAATATTATTAAGTAAAGATAGTTTCAACAGTGTGATATCTGAGCGGTCCTGCAGCTGGTGAGATAATATCGTTGATATCAAGTTAGTGGACACTGGTGTTGCTTTTCGGGTTTACGTTTGGCAATCTATTAGTGAACGTGGAAAGATGATGGTGTTTGAAAGCAATAACAAACGTCCTGCTACTGAGGAACTACCGGATATAGAATCGAAGAAACCCAGGGTTGATATCGTGGGTTCTACAGAGATATACGTGGAAGCTGGTAATGATGCTCATTTCTCAGATGAAATGTATAGAAAATTTATAAAAAATGCTCTTGATGAACTAGAAAAGGTATGTTATAGCCCTCAAAGACAGAATTGAAAAAAAAATATAAAGTGTTACTGGATAGAAGCTTGTCAATTTTAACTTTGATGTAGCTTGTCCAGATACACTTTGTGGATTTCTAATTTAACCGGATATTTGTTTTTACTAACATTGCTCTCCATTACACAAACATCAACAATAAAAATTATTAGAAATAACAACAGAACGAAGAATATAGAGACAACTTAAATGAAAAAAATGAAACTACCTATGGTCAACATTTCTTACAATATTTCTCTGTTTCAGTTTTATTGCTGTTTCTTCTAATTTTGAGTGATATTTGATGGGTATATTCCACACAGAATGATCCAATGCAAATAAATGCCATAACGAGTCAGATATCCCTGTCAGCGAAGAATCCTGATAGAATTAGTACAAAGAATTTTACTATCCTTCTGGAAGTACTTTCAAACAATATAAACAAAGTGGATTCTTCCAAGGGTTTGCCTCTGATTCAATGTATCATAAATTTCGAAAAATGGTGGGAACTTCCTGATCCTGCCTTAGGTAAATATATATTTTTCATTAAGGTACTTTGTTCAAGTATACCTAAATGGTGGCAAGATGTGGCTATGATAATGATATCCAGCTTCATCTTGAGTTCTGAAAAGACTACACAACACCATGAATTACTGAAGTACTTCTTACGCATGATACCTTCCTCTATGAGTTATATCGACTCATACCTGATAAGGTATTTCCCTAACAAAAATGACTCCAAGAAGAACATAGTCAACTACATATCGAATGTCTTGATGCTGACTAGCTATTGTCAAGAACTGAAGTTTCAAGCTTGGTCCTTGATCATGGAAAGAGTCATCTCAATTGATGTTGAGCTACAAAATGAACTAGACGAGTTGGATGATGATATAGATGATGAAATGGTAGACGATGATGGCGACGACAGTGATGAAGATGAAGATGATGAGGATGAAGATCATAGTGGCGCTGAAGATGATGCGGAAGATGATGAGGATGAAGATGACGGTGATGATTTCGATGACGCCGATGGCCAAGAAGAGTACAATATTGATCTCACTCAAGGTATCAAGGAACTGTCAAATAAGCTTGATGCCATTCTATCTTTATTGAGTTCGGAGATTATCAAAGACATGACACCAGAGAAGCTTGAGAGTGGTGAAGGTATTGGAACATTCAATACTCTGACCACTTTGTTCAAAACTCACATTCTACCAACATACTATACCCGTTCAGTGCAATATATCATGTTCCATCTCTCACAACAACAACTCGAATTGATGGATTCATATCTCGTCACATTGATAGATATTTCTTTTGCTGCAAACGAGACATCAGAAAAGAGGATCAAATCTTTACAATACCTGGGATCATATATTGCTAGAGCCAAGAAGTTGTCAAGAACACAAATAGTCTTTGTTGCAAGCTACTTGACATCTTGGTTAAACCGTTACGTGATAGAAAGAGAAGAGGAAGTTAACCAACCTGGAGGTATGGACAGGTTCAAGCATTTTTATGCAGCTTTCCAAGCTCTATGTTACATCTTTTGTTTCAGACATAAAGATTTGCGGGATGTGGACGGTAGCTGGGAATGTGAACTGGACAAGTTCTTCACGAGAATGGTTATTTCCAAATTCAATCCGTTGAAGTACTGCAATGAGAACGTTATGCTAATGTTTGCAAGAATTGCCCAAGAGGAAGACGTCGCATATTGTTTCAGCATCATTGAAAACAACAACAACGAATTGCTAAGAGGTATTATGGGTAAAGCGGACTCCTCTAGAGGTGGTACTCCTACACCAATGGGACCAGCAACATCTTGGTCCTTGGCCACTAGGCAACAATTTATAGATTTACAAAGCTACTTCCCATATGATCCATTGTTCCTAAAGAATTACAAGAACATGATGAAGGAGTATTACATCGAGTGGAGCGAAGCAGGCGGAGAATATGAAAGCGATGGATCAGACGAGTGATTGTTTGACTTTTTATCAATATTCACACAAATCTCCCAGAAGCATATCAATACCAATGGCATTATTTTATTCTACAATTTTTTTTCTCTACATTATTGATTTTTTTACTACATTATATTTTCTTTCTTCTGCAAAATGGAGAAAGAGCGGTGCATTATAGATTTTTCATCCTTAAGTTTCTTTATCTTAAATCCAAACCTCATATTAATACCAAAAGTACATCTCTCAAGAGACATACTCTATATTATTTCTCTGTATTTAATATATACAATCCCCAGCAAATACATTCTAAACTTCGCAATATAGTTGCTTACGTTAACTGCAATGGCTCTGCCAAAATTTTCTCTGACAAAAATTGCCAAAATAACGTCTTTCCTGAAGAACATCCTGCAGTAAAACATTGAACAAAATTCAATGTCAAAGTCATGGTTTGCCAGGTTTTTGACATAGACTGGCATTCCAAGGAAGGTTACAGTAAATTGTTATTGATCTGAATCCCAAAGTCAAATCTTGACATTGCAAGCAGTGAAAGGCTTGCAGATATATTCCTGACTTGGAGGTGGACAGTAACCAGCAAAGATATTGATCAATAAAGGACGGCTAAGTACTGCCAACGTAATCAAATTAATATACACAGGAGGACAGCAATTGATAGAGGAAGTACTAAGATGCCTAAGCGGACTTTGGAAGAATGGGAAGAGGATGCTATGGAGTCGGTGCCGTACCTGGCCAGTGATGAGAAAGGGTCAAACTACAGAGAGGCTACTCAACCGGTGATTCTTGAGGATTCTAAAATTGTTCAACCTAAATTGGAAGTTCATAAAACAGTGAAGCCATGGGTACATTTTTTAGCTGGTGGTATAGGTGGTATGGCAGGAGCTGTAGTGACGTGCCCATTTGATTTAGTGAAAACTAGGCTGCAAAGTGACATATACCAGAACATGTACAAGAGTCAAGCTGAAGCTTTGATGATGAATACCACAAGACCTAGAATTGTGAATTTGACCTTACAAGCTGCAACACATTTCAAAGAGACAGTTAGCATTATTGGAAATGTGTATCGCCAAGAAGGTTTTAGAAGTTTGTTTAAAGGTTTAGGTCCCAACTTAGTTGGCGTAATTCCGGCAAGAAGTATTAATTTTTTCACCTATGGTACTACAAAGGACATATACTCCAAGGCCTTCAACAATGGACAAGAAGCACCTTGGATCCATTTGATGGCTGCTGCCACAGCAGGCTGGGCAACTGCAACAGCTACCAATCCTATATGGATGGTGAAGACCAGAGTTCAACTTGATAAAGCTGGGAAAACAAGGACATACAAAAATTCATATGACTGTTTGAAAAGTATTTTGAGAAATGAGGGTATATATGGACTTTACAGAGGTTTGAGTGCGTCATATCTTGGCTCAGTCGAAGGTATCTTACAGTGGCTACTATACGAGCAACTAAAACATTTAATAAAGAAAAGATCCATAGAGAAATTTGGAGCTCATGATGAAAGCACCATGACTACAACAGATAAGATAAAACAATGGTGCCAGAGATCGGGGGGTGCAGGCCTTGCAAAATTTATGGCTAGTATAGTAACTTATCCCCACGAAGTTGTGAGAACCAGATTAAGACAATCGCCATTAGAGAATGGTAAAGTAAAATATACTGGACTTGTACAAAGCTTCAGAGTTATCATCAAGGAGGAAGGCTTAGCATCCATGTATAGTGGTCTGACTCCTCATTTAATGAGAACTGTTCCAAATAGTATTATTATGTTTGGTACTTGGGAGGTTGTGATAAAATTGCTTTCTGATATTTGAATACCTTAATGCGATCATGTGAGCACACACTTGAGTGTTGAAAGCTATATCTGATGTTTTGATGACCTTCTTAACGATAAATACCCAAATTTGCTTCGGGAATAATTCAAATACCATAGTTCATGCGATCGAATATACGAGGCACCTAAGTTCCCGTTAACTAATATTTATTGTTTCACGATTTTTGTTCCATTTTCATTGTTATTAATTTATGTTTTTGTTTCGTGATTTCATCCTCTAAAACTGTCCATATAAGCAGCGAAGAATAACGCAATCATTGTCTTGTGAATATCAAACCTACATAATACACCTAATAGAATATTTTGAAATTAAATTGCATCATTAAAAATGTATATATGTTATTGCTAATCAGAGGTAAACTAACCACATTCAACTAAGATAGTTCAACTATTTCATCATGAAATATAATTACTTAAAGTATCACTGTATAGTAACTTGGCATGAAATTGATTAATCTGCCATAATGATGTCTTTGTCACCAGATTGTTCGTTATTTGTAGAAAGTCCTTCCTGCGAACTGCTACCACGATCAACTTCTCCTCTTGACATATATTTTAGGACATCTTCGACTTGGAATGGACTCTGTGCTCTTTGTCGTACTGACGTCTTCACAGGTTTTAATGCATTCCCCAACACGTCTAAGTCGTCAGCGGTATCCCCATTAGATTCACGCTTTTCAAACTCCTTGGCAAATACTTCTAAAGCCCATTTAGAGTCCTCGTTGTTCTTTTCCAGTATTTTCTCAATTTCATCATCACGCATCATATTCGTATCCACACCTGAAGCTTCAATGGCATCTTTAATCCATTCCTCTACTTCAGGTATGTTCTTTTTTCTTAGTAATGTAGTCAGTAGACTTTCATGAGATGTAGTAGGGAACTTTGGTAAAGGGTATACTATTGTTGAGTCCAGTGTATCTTCGAAATGTTGTAATGTAGATGTCACAGACATAAGCTGCGATAATGTCACATTGATCTGAGACTGCAGAGAATACCACTGAGTCAAATCAGCTCTTGAAAGATCGTCTCGGATACGACGCAACGAGTGTGTCAACTGGGCGAGTCTCATCCTCACCGAGTCCAATGCAGGACCGGGTACTCCACTATAATCGGGCTTTATATCTTCCACTAATGCTCCATTTATTCCAGACATGGTCCCCACTAGTTATGCAATTAATCTATGTTAACCACCGTCAAAGTACTGTAGTGTAATTTTCAAAGAGGTTGCTCTATTATATGTTACCGTTGTGCTAAGAGTTGTCCAAGAATTCGCAGTTTCAATTTAACTCGCCTTTTTCTCACTGAAGCTTTATGAAAAATAGTTGCGATGAGCTCATCGCATAATAAAGGCTAGAAATAGTTTCAATTGATTCAACCCATTGATACTCTAGATACTATCAATAAGCAACTGAAAGATAATTTTAATTAGCTTTTGACTAATAAATGGTGCATTCTGATAATAATATCATTAAGGACCCGAAGAGGAATGGCGAGAAACCGGTGGAGATGATTCTGAATGGTAACAGGAAAGAATCAAAACGCTACAATGAACAGCTGTCGTCATTAGAAGAAAGAAAGCAAAAGAAGAAACTAAAAGTAGTCCAGGAAGACTCAGCTTATATGGACCAGAGTGCCAATCAAACTAGCTCTGCCGGTTTAGACAAAGATACCAATGAATTAGGACCGAAGAGTATATTTTATGACCCTGACTGGAATCCCAAAGGAGAAGCACCTGATGGTTTCAGAAACGTACCTTATAATCCCAAGACATTCAAAAGGCTGCATAATCAAATAGAGGAGGATTTAGGTTCTTTATCAGGTAAGTTAAAGTATCCTGAGTAACGAAGTGTGATGAAACACTCCCTACATGCAAATTATTAAATGACTATATCTATATATGTCCCATAATGGTAACCAAGCTTTAAGATGGTTTAGAAACAATATTCTTAGCAGGCCTCCATATTTGTATGGTGTTATCATTACTTACACTTGCCATTAGCCAAGGATCGTGCATATCCCATGATATATCGTTCACGCCTAACATATGACCTCCATGTACAAATATTTCCTTCCCAACAGATGCATCCCATAATTTAACAAGGCCATCTTCTTGACCGGCGGATGCGAAAACAACTCCAATGTTGGGGTTCCATTCTATTGTGGAGATTGATGAGCCATGCTGCATGGTGCTGATCGGTTCCTGATCAAGTTTCCGTATATCCCAAAGGTTTATTCTCCCACAAGTATCAGCTGATGCCACCAATAAACTATTCCCCGGATTAAACTTACAAGTATTTATCCCATCTTCATGTTTATAATTAGATATACTGTTCACCTCTTTCTCTCCATTTAATCTCATATCAAATAAACCAAGTTTGTTGCTCTCACCACATGCAATAAACATTGAGTCATGCATTGGCATCCAATCCAAATCATTACATCCGTTAGAATCAAAAGTGACTGTGAGTTCAGGTTGAGAAATTAGAATATTTGACCTAGAAAACTTCTTGACGTCCCATATGTTGCATTGCCCTTGTGAATAGCTTACTCCTAAAATGCCTTCTTTATGTTTGTTCCAAGATAGAGATACGGCTTCATTAAAATTGTCGAGGTTTTGTGCATCGTGGCTCCCTGAAAATAAACGGGCTTGGAAATCATCAGAAGACTTCGATCTTAGAACTGAATTACCATGCTTAGTCTTGTTAAAAATATAGACAGAACCATCAGAAGATGCTGCTGCTATCAAATCGGGATTCTGAGGTAAATATCTAGATCTATTACAGTCTCCGTTAGGAAATCGAATTGAAACTTCTGTAGTTAAGTTTTTTGGCGGGAGTTTAACCGATGGATCAGGCTTGAACTCCATCTCATCCATATCGAAATTATTTAAAGAGGACCAGTTCAGGTGCTTCAGGGTAGATATCTTGGAAATGTACACTGATTCATCCTCTGGTAATTGAGATGATGTAAATGATGAGAGTAACAGTCTATGTTGATCTGAACTAGTATCCAAATCAGGAAAAAACTGACATGTTAAGGAGGGCCATTTGGTGGAATTTGTGTTCAGATAATCATACAGTAATTTAGTATTCTTTTTCCAGTGTATATATCTCGTTTGAACATCCTCTGGAATTGTACTAACTGGCTGTTCCTCAATGTCTTCTATATTATCAGCGTCCATTCTTCAGACCAGCTATCTATCACCTGCGTATTTGCTCAATTCACTTGGAAGTTCACTTATGACCTAACTGAATTTGTCTACTAGCCAAAGATATGCTAATAAAGTTTCAAGAACTTCTATATGACTTCATCCATTGATACCAATGTATTCATGCATCACTTATGGCTATGATATGACAATGACAATGCCAATATTCAACCGAATTGGCTTTCGCGTCGTCTCTTCGAAGCCCATCGCGATGCGATGGGAACTTAAAGCGAAAATCACGTGACACATAAATCAGTAGAAATGCAACGTAAGAGTTACCTAATGATACCCATATTTCAGTTGACTGTACCTCGAAATGAAGGTGAAGCAACTATTTGGCAAGTCTATCTAACGCATTTCTGATGTTGTCTATCTTAAACTACTAATAGTATCAATTATCTCTTTGACATACGCCTTCTCTTCCTGCTTGGTACTTTCCAGCTCATCTTGATCGAACGGTTCCATACCCTCATCCTCCACATGTGACTGACTTCTAGTATCTACATGGGATGCACGTATTGTCCTTCTCTTAGTCTTGGCGAGTTTTTCATTACGATCTCTCATGATTTGAAACAGTTTCGCTTGGGACATCCTATTCTTAGTTAGATTTTCTTCAAATTCCTCAGGGAAACCACCCTCAAAGAATTTATCTTTGGCCATTCTTCTAACATCATCCAACATATCTATCTCTGTCCATTTTGAATCCGGCTTATGCGATTGTCTAGATTGTAAATCTCCGCGACTACTTAATGAGTTATTAAAAAATGGTGGACTACCGCTACGATGACTGGAAGTCTGATCCTCCATGTTACCTCTTCTGTTTGAAAACCCATGTATTGTTGAGTAGGAAGTAGCAGTACTCAGCGTTGGCTGGTCTATTCGCTTCGCTCTATCCTTATCTTTATGTTTCAATTTCTTGGTCTTCCCTTTGAGCTTTTTCTTTAGATCAGCAACCATAGCAGCATCTGCTTCAGCTGCTATATTCTTTAAGTCAGGAAAACTTTTCACTGGCGCATGGAACTCGTTCTTTACATCTTCCGGTTGTTTTGCAGCCCTCTCTAAATCCTCCGATTTACTTGGCTTCAACGGACTACCAAATTCAATGTCCATAATTGGTGGTAGACCCTAAAATCAGTTGCCCTATTAATCAGTATTAACAATTCATATATTTAGGTAGGACCCGTCTTTAATACTAAGTCCCAATCTTGCAATGACTACTATGCCTCTATATCATGTTCATATTCCTGCTTTGTCGGGTAAAAGTTTAGAAGCCGATCACCTGACTTTATAAAATACATAATGATTAAAATTAAATGCTGGCGATTTCAATCATTAAATACATGATTTTAAGTTTTAACTAATTATTTAAATACTGTATCTGAGTATTCAGCCCGTATTTTTATTAGCCTGAGTTATTTATCATATGGCAGTGTTAATAAAGACACTTTAATCGTCTTTGGAAAAGATGCAATGGCTTTATCCGTATGATTTGCAATTAAACAAGAAGAGAGAAAAATCATGGCAATATACTTCTTCTTTGTTTAACAAAAAAACAACACGGAATAATATTGTTACAAAATTAGTGTTCCTCCAAATCACTCTCTGATTGCACCACCAGCTAAAGCCAAGTTACTTCTAGTGAACTTTACTTTGAATACTGGACTTCTCTTAGTGTAGAAAGAAGCAACCAAGTCATTTGTGGGTATTATTGTTCTTCTTCTTCCGTAATCTTTGATATCTTGATTAATTGATGCTGTTATGTCGCCTACGTGTGCGTTAAATGGCTGTTCTGGTTCTGGCCCTTGTTCAGTGGTACCGTGTTTGACATCCCAAACACGTACTGAGTGGTCTGCACCTCCACTTATCAAAACATTTCCCTCTTTATTAAAGGATAACGAATGAACTGCATTCTTACCGTGTCCACGCATTTGCTTGATTCTCTTACCAGTACCGATATCCCATAGACATATCACACCATCTTCACTACCAGTAGCCAACCATCTACCATCTGGAGATACTTGTGTGGATAATACAGGAGCAGTGTGGCCTAAGAATAATCTCACGGAATCACCAGTACTTACATCCCACATTCTACATGTCTTGTCACTGGAACCTGTAAATACGTAGCAACCGTTTGGATGGAAGGAAACTGTATCAACATCATTTGTATGCCCTGCAAAGATTCTTAATGGATAGATATGATCACAGGCCCATAGTCTGGCCGTTTGATCGTGTGAGGCAGATGCAAAATAATGGCCTAAAGGTGAGAATTTAACATCCCAAACTGGGTGATTATGTCCTTTATAATTCACTAACGCAGTATGCGTATCCATAGACCATAATTTCACCGTCTTATCCTCTGAACCGGAAACTAAATACATGTTATCAGGGCTGAAACTAGTTGAGTAAACTGTACCACTATGGCCAACTAATGTTGAACAAGTGTTATCCTGAGAAAATCTATCAAATTGAGAGGAACTATACTTCGGATTTATCAATGAGGACCCATCTAAGGACCAGATTTTAATATAGCTATCTTGGAACCCAGCAGCAGCCAACCTACAATCATCACTGAATTCCAAAGATGTCATATCCCTATTGGTGTTGTGAAATGTGTACATACAAACACTGGGTAGTGCTGCTTGTAGATTGTCCAGTTTAATAGCGTCTCTAGATTCCTTGACCTTTTGAATCTCAATTTTGATATCAAGAGCCGTCTTAGGAGGTAAAGGTAAAGTATCCTTCGAAGGAGAACTCATCATGGCTGCTACTTCCTCAGTTTTTACCACAGCAACAGCTGTTTTCTTATCTTCTGACTTGACCTTAGTGGAGTCTCCGCTTTTTCCATCCTGTTTATCAGCTGCAGCATCAGATTCCTCCTGAGGAGTTGCTGAAGATTCATCACCGTTCATTTTTCTATATTCTTGGAGTAGAGTTGGTCTATCGTTTGTATCATCAAGGTCTGCGGTCGGTTCTTTGGCGACGTCTTCTGATGCTACGGAGCCTTCCTTTGAGCCGTCCCCTTTCTTCGATTGTTCTATTTGTTTCTTCTCTTGGTCATCTTTGATCTTCAACTCAGTCTCTATTTCCTTTACGAATTCCTCATCCTTTGGGAATGGTCCCAATGTCACAGGTGCGTTATTTATCTCAGCCAGACCGTCTGTACCAGCTGTGTCGGCTGCAATCTCTACACCGTCCGAGATTCTGTCCTTGGACCTCACTGTGTCCATTACGTTAGGCTGTATGTGATCGTTTATTATACCTATTATCAATGAGCCCCCTACGCCTTCATTGTCTGTGAGGAAGTATAGCATTAAGTAAAAGGCCGCGCGGCTGATGGTCACTCTATACCGGTTGCCGTTGAACGCCTTTGCGACTTCATTTTCCTTTATATGATCGACGGAGTTTACACTGAACAACCTGTTAATCTCAGAGCCGTGCTTGACTCTAAAGTCCGAGGAGAATTTGTCAAAGAATCTCCTTGCGTATATCGGGTCCTTAGAGACCAAGTACAGGAATAGGTATATGAACACCGGGTACATGATATAGCTCAGCTCGGAGCGGTATATATCCAGGGAGGAGTCCACCCAGTTCTTCAGCATTGTGTAGGCCCTTATGTAGTGTTCGGGAGACATGTCCTGCCTGACCTTGTCCTTCAGCACCACTTCACCCGATGCGTCACGCTTCGCACTCGCAGAGTCCACAGGATTGCTCACGGGCTTAGCGTTCGCATCCTGTGCAGGCGGCACTGTGGAAGGCTCAGGCAAGCTCCCGTCCTTGGTGTTCGCAGGCGAGTTCTTGTTCACCGGCGTAGCGGTCCGCGAACTCTCAGCCCTCAGCATCGCCTCGGTACGGTGGTACCCTTTCTTGTTCAAGTACTCCAGCACAATCCTGTTCAGATCAGACGCGGAGAACTGCCCGCTCGGCCTAGAACCATTGGCAGGCGCCTTCGCACCACTCTTAGCACCCGCAGCTGCACCTTTCACATTCTTCTGATCTTTCTCTTTACCAGACATAACCGCAAGAAGATTTTATAATCCAAAACAAACCCCAGTTTACTTACCAGATGAGTAATTGAGTCGCTAGCCAATGTCACAGCCAAATTACCAACTTCTGAGCGCCTAGTCCTTGTATATCCAATATAAATCAAGGTGGGTGGCTTCAGCATTGGTAGTTAGAAACCACTTCATCGAAACTGTCTCTTGCAGAAATGCGATTGTTAGGCCAGAGAGTAATGAGAGTATCGACAGATTGAGAGAGACGAAATTGAGATGAAAGAAAATACAGATTAGGGCCGGGTAACATCACGTTCACAAGAATTTAATTTCGTGAAACATGCTCACTACATATACCTGAATACGTACATCATATGACTAGTACGTATATAGTGTTATAATATCATATATAACGTGAAACAACACATGATGTACGTCTAAATGTACAATGTTAGATATACCGTATACTATTACAATTTTGTTGTGTCTCTCTTGTTCTTGCTGTCTCTCTGTCACTTGGAATGGCATAAGCCAGAAGGTTGCGAGCGGGCTTATATATGTCAGACAGAGCCTTGCACAGGATACTTACCTATCTTAGACCAGGTTCCTGACATACAACCTGGAGAGATATATTGAAAGAGTGGGAGTTATATATACACACACAGACACAGACAGACAGACACAGACAGACACACACACACACAGATTGAGTGATAGTAGAAACTTAAGAGAGCGTGAAGAAGAGACTCGGAGTTATTTTGGATTTGTGCTAAAACAATGTTAAAGAACTTCAAGCTGGGGAAGGAGAAGCACAGTAGGATTACGTCTGCGGATATATCTACGCCGCGCCAGGACGGTAACAATGTCATCAAGCATGTGAAGACGGTGCCAGTGCAGGTGTTGAACCAGCGGTCGACACCGTCGAGACACGCCAGCAACAGCAGCAGGCCACAGATGCAGTCGCCGGAGAAAGTTATCAAAGCCAGAGATAGTTACAAGGCCAAGCGCGCCAATGAGCTGTCCTTTAACAAAGGCGAGTTCTTCTACGTTACGGGCGAAGACACCTCGTACTACAAAGCCTCGGACCCTTCCGCTGGAAAGAACGGTGTGGTGCCTAAATCCCATTTTGACGTGATCGATAGGACTAGACCTTCCTCTAGCGATGCACTTGGCAGATCGGTGTCCACTTCAAGTCGTAACGGGGAAAAAATGGGCACTTTGTATGCCATTGTGCTCTATGATTTCAAAGCTGAGAAATCCGATGAGTTGGACACATTTGTTGGGGAAAATCTGTTCATCTGCGCTCACCACAACTACGAATGGTTTATCGCAAAACCAATTGGAAGACTTGGTGGTCCAGGGCTGGTTCCCGTCGGGTTTGTTAGTATAATTGACATTGGAACAGGCTACGCTACTGGAAATGATGTCAAGGAAGACATTGCATCAGTAAACTTGCCCACAGTTCAGGAATGGAAGAGCAATATAGCTAAGTACAAGGCAAGTAATATCAATTTGGGTGCTGTCGAAGTCCCACCAAATGGAGAATTTGGAACACGACAGAAGATCCAGCAACAGATAATGGAAGAAGAGAGATTGAGGCAACAACAAATAGAGGCTCAAATGACTCCCAAGGTTCCTGAACCACCAGAGATTATTTACGCCTCTGTGGATGCATATGGCTTAGAAAACGAGAAGTATTGGTACACAGTTTCATGTATATTGGACAATGGCAGAGCTAGAAGACTAAAAAGATATTATCAAGACTTCTATGATCTACAAGTGCAACTACTAGACGCTTTCCCTGCAGAATCTGGAAAATTGAGAGATGCCAATGGTAATTGGACTAGACGTATTATGCCTTACATTCCGGGTCCTGTTCCGTATGTGACCGACACTATTACTAAGAAGAGAAGAGAAGACTTGAACATTTATGTTGCAGACTTAATCAGGTTGCCTAAATATATCACATCATCCAGAATGATTCAAAACATCTTCAGAGTCAAGAATAACGGATATGATACTGAGTTTGACAAGAAGGATGCCTCAATACACACCGATAACTCATCGACACATTCGAAATCTAGGACAAGTAAGATTCATGATAAGGATAGCACATTGACGGGAGAAGAATTAAATCTTTACGAAAAGATGTCTGAACTATCTGTATCCACTCCAGGCTCAAGACCACACTCAAGACCACCAAGTTCTTTACCCCCTCAACTAAAATCAATCAAAGTGAAATTTTATTACAAGGACGATATTTTTGCATTAATGTTACCTCAGCATATATCCTTAGATGAACTCAAAAATAAGATAGGTCCTAGAATTGATACAGAGGATTTCATACTGAACATTAAGCTAAAGGATGGCTTAGGAGAAGAGATAAAGACCGATGACCAAGTTAGCTATATTATTCAATCAAAACAAAAAATTGCTGTCACTGACGCTTAGAAGTTTGAACTCAACCAATAAATACGATATTCATAAAACTGGCATTTTTGTATCACCCACACACAATCGCATTAATTTGGCTTTCCTAATTTGGGTCAAAGAGAGTACTTTAATTCATCTCTGGTATATTCCAACATTCTATTTTATTCCTTTTTTGCAGTTACATGTCCAACTCGATGCCTGCATATATTAACTATCCAAACAACATTGATATTTTGCATTCTCTCTGCCCCAAATAAAGCTTTTTAACCTTTACATGCATTCACCACTCCTTTTGAGTGCATGGTTGTATCCATTTACATTTACACTATTGAATTTTTTTTTACTATATACTTTCTAGTACTACAACTTTACCATGGGAGCATCATATCATTATGATCTATATTACATTAACCTATATACTGGTAAATCGTAAGAATATGTTCCTTTTCAACAACTATGCATATATTGCTCACTAAATAATATAGTAGTCGACCGATCTCTGCAATGACGTAATTTGTGAGAAAGGTGATCGACGCAGGGACAAACTGGACTTTCCCTTAACGACTGAAATTTGAAGTTACTATAATAGAGCTTCAGGACAAACTTAAAAGATGTCCACTCCATTTTGTTCAATAGTGTTCAAGCTAGAGAAGCAAGAATTTCAAATTGGTGTGTAACGGTTTAGATAGATAGCTCGCCAATTTTCTGCGTTATATTTTGGTTAGTATCTTTTGAGAGGGCAAGTGTGGTTATATATTCAGAAGCACAGGATTTTACATTGAAAGTGATGGATGCGGTATTATTGAACATAGTCAATGATGTTCCAGTGGTGACGCGGTATTGGACGATGGGCTGCATAGCTGTGTCGGCCCTGGTACGATTTAACATGATAAACTCCATCAAGATGCTGTACTCGTATGAGATAGTGTTTCAGAAGGGCCATTACGAGCGGATACTGTACTCACTGTTTGACTACGGTTTATTTAATTGGATGTCGCTGATGAATATAGTGATAGCGGCGAACCATTTGAGTTTCTTGGAGAACTCATTCAGCCTCAAGAGGCGGTATGTGTGGATATTGTTCCTGACGTTGTGCTCTTTGCTCGGGATGTCGTATTTTGGCCAACCGGTGGCCTCATTGGGTGTGCTGCTGCAGGAGAACCTGTCGTACTACTATCTGAAGAAGAACAATGAACAGATGAACATAAGGTTATTTGGAAACATCGCGGTGTCGCCACTGCTTGTTCCGTTTTACTTGAATTGCCTTTTGCTGTTTGTGTACCACATGGACGTAGTCGAAGTAGCGATGTTTTTCCTGCCAGGACACATAATGTTCTACATGGATGACATGCTGAAGAGGATATACGGCGTCGATCTCACGAAGACGCCATACGATTGGTGGCTGGGCCTCAAGGAGACGCAGTAGTCTGACGGTGGCGGCATATCGAGCAAAAAGCAATGAGAAAAGCATAAAGACGAAAAAAACCATGATACGAATCTATTAAAAATATTCTAAATAAGTAAACTTTGACATTATAGAAGGGCGAGTCCTGTTCCAATCAATGGAGTACTAGAATCCGCGGTGTGCGAAATTGTTGCGTTTCTGTGATGTAAGGGTCGTGCATACATGTGGGGATGTATATAAGAAAATGTGCAAACCATATAGATATATAAGGGACATTCTTTTTTTCTTTCTTTCATTCCTGTAACGATATAGCGAAAGCCGCTAGTCTAGACGTTGAACCGGTGGGTCAATTGATGCTGGGCATGCTCATTTACCGAAAATAAGCTCTTGGGTGTCTTTTCCCTTTCACCAACGAGTGGGAATTCATGTGGTCTTCGCTAAGCAGTGATTTACTCAGAGCCAGGAACCCAGTGTTGGCCTGCTTGGCAGGCATCATGAAGGGACCCACGAGACATAGGCCGAGGTATGTGAATTGTAGCGCTGTTTGGAGTTTTTGGTTTGCGGAGAATTTCAGTAGGCTCATTATGGGAATATATAATTGTGTAATTGTTAGTGGATGAATTGTTGTGGCTATGTTATGGGACAAGAACTGGGACAAGAAGCAGGTCAGAGATGTTCAAGAGACTTTACGACCTCTTTATATATGTTTTGTAATGTAGTCAATTACAATTTAATTAATTGTGCTATTAGCATTAGATAACTATATTAGGGGAAAATTTGCATAGCTTCTCAAATGCTATTATAATTCGCAATTGAATAGGAAAAAACGATCTACTTGTGGGCAATGTGGAGTAGCAAAAGACACAATCTAGGCAAAGGGCTCATGTGGAGAGAAGAGGATAAGGCTAGGGTGCAAGGTTGGTAGAGAAAAGCCATCTTGCCCAAAAATATACAATATACATTACAACCATTGTGTTGAGCACATGAAGCATGGAAGAAAAATGCACCTGCTCCATCCTCAGGACAGGCCAGAACTCCCCTGGGGCTTGTCCTCCATTGTTTATATATTTCGCAATTTGCCAAAAAACGCGTAAACAATAATACAAGAGAGAAAGAGGAGGAGAGAAGCAAACGCGTGAATAGTGGAATCCCAAGCAAACAATGGCAACATTCCATATCGAAGTTTTCCGTCTTGCAAATTACGTAAAATGTAAAATTGTAATATCGCATTCGTATACTTGACATCTAAACGAGTTCCATATTGGGTGCAGTAGGGTCCATGGTACAAGTACATGGGACACATAGAAAAATGGAGCATTTAGAGGTAGATGGACACTCTTTTGACAAGATAAGACCTTGTCCAAACCAGCCATTAGAGAACCGGAGACACAGACACACACATGCTAGAGCTCACCACTATCACAGTGCTACCACCCATAGCAGAGACATGCTGGGAGGAAAGCTAGGAGAGGTCACATGACCCAAACCCCAAAGAGACGGCAATTATATTTCCTAAACGGGTAATTGACACAACAATCGCGTGGTACGGCAGTGTCAAAGGACCAAAAAAATAGTTGGCGAACTGCTGGAAAAAGTTCACTTCCTGGCGGGAACACATAGTGTGAAGTATAAAGATGGGCAGGAGAGAGAAAGATAAAGAGAGAGAGAGACCAGGAACAGGCTCTGGACGAAGGAGTGTGACTATACTGAAGAGGAATCAATAAGAAATGAGCACTGCGTTGCCTTCTATACAATTGTCTGTGGATTACCAGACGCTGCTGAGCGAGATCAGCGATTTCTTGCAGCACTTCAAAGTGGACGAGGTTGGTGCCGCCGATGACTCTGCCACTATTGACGCGGATGTGAACATTGACGATGCGGAGGAACTGATGAAGCGCGGGCCCAAGTACATGTACCTGCTGCAGCAGATCGCGAACAGGGAGCGGGATACCATAGAGATCGAGCTGAATGACGTGCTGAGGTTCCAGAACGAGAAGTTCTTGGAGGGCGGGGTTGCGCAGGATCTTGTGGCGCTGATCCAGAAGAATGCGAACCACTTCATTGACCTATTTTCGCGCTGTATTGACAGTGTGATGCCTCTGCCCACCAAGGAGATAAGCTACAAAGACGATGTCCTGGACGTGATACTGAACCAGAGGCGATTGAGGAATGAAAGAATGCTTTCGGACAGAACTAACGAGATCAGAAGCGAGATGGACACTGACACCACGTCAAACGATATCATGAGAGAGTTGGCGCAGGACGAAACAGAGACTTTCCCCGCAAACTTGACCAGAAGATACACTGTGTACTTCAGACCGCTGACCAGATCCTACGCAGTACGTTACAATAGCAAGAAATATCTGACAGGGTCAATCCCACTCTCAGTTAGACAGATCAAAGGTGAACTCCTTGGTGAATTAATAACAGTAAGAGGTATCATCACAAGAGTCTCAGATGTCAAACCGGCAGTAACAGTTATAGCTTACACTTGTGACCAATGTGGTTACGAAATTTTCCAAGAAGTGAACTCAAAGACGTTCACACCTTTAGTCGAGTGTACTTCAAGAGAGTGTTCCCAAAATCAAACCAAGGGTCAATTATTTATGAGTACGAGAGCTTCCAAGTTTAATGCTTTCCAAGAATGTAAGATTCAGGAACTATCACAACAAGTGCCAGTAGGCCATATCCCAAGATCATTAACAATACACGTCAACGGTCCACTGGTGAGAAGCGTTACGCCCGGTGATATTGTTGACATAGCTGGTATCTTTTTACCTTCTCCATACACAGGTTTCAAAGCATTAAAAGCAGGTCTATTAACTGAAACCTACCTGGAAGCACACCATGTTCGTCAACACAAGAAGAAATTTGCATCTTTCCAAATGACTCCTCAGGTTCGTTCCAACGTCGACGCCCTTGCCCAATCTGGAAATGTCTATGAGAGACTGGCAAAGTCCATTGCACCAGAAATTTACGGTAATTTAGATGTCAAGAAAGCTCTACTGCTTCTACTGGTTGGTGGTGTCGATAAAAGAGTCGGAGATGGTATGAAAATCAGAGGTGACATTAACATCTGTTTGATGGGTGATCCGGGTGTTGCTAAATCCCAACTTCTAAAGGCAATTTGTAAAATTACCCCAAGAGGTGTCTACACTACTGGTAAGGGTTCCTCAGGTGTTGGTTTAACTGCAGCTGTCATGAAAGATCCTGTAACAGACGAAATGATCCTAGAAGGTGGTGCTTTAGTTCTAGCAGATAACGGTATCTGTTGTATTGATGAGTTCGACAAGATGGACGAAAGTGATAGGACAGCAATCCATGAAGTCATGGAACAACAAACCATCTCCATTTCGAAAGCAGGTATTAACACCACTTTGAATGCCAGAACCTCCATCTTGGCCGCTGCCAATCCACTTTATGGTAGATACAATCCAAGACTATCGCCACTAGAGAATATTAATCTGCCTGCTGCACTATTGTCTAGATTCGATGTTATGTTTTTGCTACTAGATACTCCAAACAGAGAGAACGACGAACAACTGGCGAACCACGTCGCCTATGTGCACATGTATAATAAACAACCGGACTTGGACTTCGAACCAATTGAACCAACTATGATGAGAGAATTCATCGCTTATGCTAGAACCATGAGACCGGTAATGACTGCTGAGATCAACGATCATGTTGTATCCGCATACATTCGTCTGAGACAAGACTCAAAGAGAGAAATGGACTCTAAGTTTTCTTTTGGGCAAGCTACTCCCAGAACATTACTTGCCATTATTAGATTATCACAAGCCCTTGCTAAATTAAGATTGTCGGAAACTGTAGATATTGATGATGTTGAAGAAGCATTGAGACTAATCAGAGTATCAAAGGAATCTCTATATCAAGAGAATCGTAAAAGGGACGAGGACTCCAACCCTACCACTAAAATTTTCACCATCATTAAGAAAATGTCTCAAGAAGGTGACTACAAGGGCTCTCTTCCTTATGATAGCATTGTAAAGACCGTTAGATCAAGAGGTTTCACAATGTTACAATTGAACAACTGTATCCAGGAATACTCTTTCCTAAATGTTTGGCATTTAATTAATGAAGGTAACACATTGAAATTTGTTGACGACGAGGATCAATCTTCGCAGGACATCGAAATGGCATAGAGATAAAATTTCCCAAAACATCGACCCCCCAATTTCATTTGAAACTAATTTTTTCTTCCATCTAATCCCTTCTTTAGCTTTACTTTTTTATTGACCGTCTTTTCTTATTTCCCTAATTGCTAAAAGTAAAGAGCAACTCCGGAACTTCATAATCTTGTTCACAGAACAACATGTAACATTACTACAAGACCTCTATATAGCACCCAAGAATATAATATTATATTATTACATTCACTTATCTTTTCGGATGAAAACTCACCCAATCAGTTTCGTAATTACTATGTTCTAGAATCCATCCTTCGGAATATAAGGGATTTCAATCCCCTCATTCTCATTGAACAGTAATAGTTTTGAGAATCATACCTCACCCCAAAAAACGTTAAAAACACAAATCAGAGGTATAGTCCCCCGGACCAAGAGAGAAATTCTCCCTTATCACTCTAATATCCCTCTAATATCACTTTAATTTCCATATATCCCTTAACATAGAATACAGTTTCTCGGGTATAGTAAATTAACCCAACAGAACAGAAACTCGAGAAGTGCAGAAAGCAATGAAGCACAGCTGAGAAAGTATAGAATCCTCTTGAAAATAGCAGATTCGAAGCAAAGATCATAGCTGCATCACTACTAGCAGACACTACACCCCACTCTTATTTTATTTTTTTTTTCACTATTATCCAGTCTAAGAAACGATCCATCGCCCTGCGATACTTTCACTACCCCTCACTTTTTTCTAAAGCATTGTCAAAAAGTGGATCAAGATGACTTCTTGGAAACTGACTGAGCTATCCTAAATGGTAATAGAAACCGTCTACCCCAGTAACGAACTCAGTATGTTGAAGCTGTCTTCTTTTGGCAATTTAGGGATTATCAGTAGGAAGTACCTCTGCTTTTCATCCCCCCATTCTCTTTCTTTCTTTTCTTTTCAGCATCTCTTGTTTGTAAAATCTTGCATATTATCCAATCTCCCTGTCAGGCATCTCTCATTACCATATCATAGACATACTCATATATATTCACATATATATGTGCCTGTTAAAAGGATATCGGATGCTTAGATTAGTTTCTGTCGATCTAGCCCGAGAACTGGTAACCAAATACTTCGAATAATGCAGAGTGTTAACATTGTGAGCACTAACTATTCCAGATATGGGGTTTCTGTCTATGACAGATTATACCGGAAGGATAAGAACGTTTCTGCTAAACATAGGCCTTCCTCTACTGGTGTTTATGGGCACGATGCAAGTACTGTGGATCATGCCAGTAGGTCTAACAATAATTTGAACTTGACAAGGTCCACTTCTGCCATTTCAGAATCCGATGACGTTGCTACTATTTCTACGAATAACTCCAGAAGGTCAGTGATCAAGCGGAAATATAAGTCGCTGATAACTGCATCCTCAAAGAAATTAATCACGAAGCTATATGAACATGGTTCCAACAGTGATTCCTTTTCCATATTCTCGCATAAGACTTCGCAATCACACCATCCGGCCCAACGATTGGGAACAGAGGAAGATTTAATCATAAATGACTTATTCAAACGGAAGGAAATATCAGACTTGCCTGATGAAGTCCTGAGGAATATCTTGAGTAATGTTAAAGACGACCAAAGAACCTTGGTCAACTGCCTTTATGTGAATAAAGCGTTCTATAATGCTACAAAACCAACTCTATATGAGCGTCCTAAGTTTACTTCAACATATCGAGTTGCTCAGTTTGTTACCTCCATTAGAACTAATCCACAGAATGGTCTCTATGTGAGGGAATTAGATTTATCTAAACTGAAAAACGGATCCCTAAATGGGAAAAGCACCTCCAATACTGGTGTAGTAGCAGATTCTCCGGATGTGGATGAATACAATCCTATGCGTACTAGGACGGGCTCGGTGACAAGTTTTACCTCTGTTACCTCCACTGCTAATTCAAACACTGCTCTATCGATCACGACCAATAATAAGGATGTCGCATTAGCTGGATGGAGAGATTGGAGATACAGACACGATCCATTGTACTCGTCACCAGTACTTAACAGCTACAACGCCAAGAGAACTGTGTCTAGAGCACCTTCTATAAAGTCTTCACACTCAAGCTCATCATTAACTCTATTTCCGGGCTTGAAGTCTAAGGAAAGCTTCGCACAACTTTCCGAAGGTAAAAGTTCTGACAATGGGAACAATGGCAAAAGACAACGCTCTAACAGCTCTGTATCATCGATTACAAACAGTTTAATGTCCTCTTTGTACAATGGGTCACATATCTCTTTAAATACCACTCTCTCAGGCTCCGACAACAATAGCAGCAAAACACAATCAAAAGGGAAATCCTCATCATCACCTGGAAATCCTAATGATTCCTCTGGGGAGCAAGATAGTATTATATCAAGCAGTTCTCAAATTGATACTAACACCTTTGGCATGACTTCTAGCAAAAGTACAAGTTCAACTTCAAACTGGTTCAGAATGAAATTACATGGCAACGGTACCAGAAAGTTGAGATTGAGAAGCAACAAGGCAATAAGCTCTAAGAAAGATGAACAACAAAACGAAGAATCTGCTCAGACAGCACAAAAAATTGAGACTCCAATTATAAAGAGAACAGAACCCTTCTCAACGCCACATCCGTACACAAATAAGTTCCTGCTGAAATATGCACAATACAAAGATTTACCACTTGGGTATATTTTACATATTTTAGATCACTGCCCATACCTATACATACTGGACCTTTCAAATTTGACGTTGTGCACAGATTTTGAGATAATTGAAGGACGCCGTTATAAGGGAAGGAAACAGAGGTTTGGTTCATCCAGAGCTCTTCCTGTTGTTCAAGAATCAGTGATTTCTACCGATGTCCCTAATGATCTCGACGTTATCTACTTGACCGATTCGAGCAAAACATACGAGTATTATGACCGCCTTAGAAATACAAACAAACATAAGCGCTCATCTAGCTCAAATAATCTATGGTCGATACCCAATCAAGGATGGTCTGATGCTCCAGCCCCTATAGGATCCCATAAAAATGATCTAAGAAGAACACATTCGCAAACAATTGGCAGATCAAATGTAGAGCTACGAAAGCTAAATGCCTCAGAAATTTTTGAGCATATCGCAACAAATCAAAAATCGGCGTACAACACACATTTGCGTGTATATATGAAAAACGTTTTGTGGTGCACCCAAGATATGGTAAAGAGCTTTGTATTAGAAAACTTTGATCAACAAGCTGAAAATTTAGGTGAAGACAAATCATCTGAAATGTTCATTCATGACATGAATTTCAGTTTTGAAAACTCTGGTTTAAATAGGAATTTTGTTTGGACCTGTGAAGGTAATCTTCAAGAATTTATCGCAATGGTGGTGCTGGATGAAGTAAATAGAAAAGATGATCTTGAGATAGAAAATTTATTCAATATAAAAGCTGAACGAATTTTGACTCCTACCAATGGACCAGAGAGAGCTCCCGAAGTTCATTATATCTCAAATGTATTTACTGTTTCATATGGATTTCAAAGTAATAAGAAAAGGGAAATGAAGTTCAGGGTCACTATTCTGAAGACAGATACTCCGATGTATTTTAGTATCAAGAAACTCGCTGACGATTATACTTCTGTTGTGATCAAGCTTCAGACAAATAAAAATGTTGCACTACATGGATCTGAAACTGCAGATATAATTACTACAGATCAGGGCAGTGTTCTACCAGAAGATGTACCAGAGGATAACAATGCGGATGATACAAATAATGGTGAAAACACAATTGCCCAACCCTTTTCCAACGATCCCAAAGAAAGGATTGAAAGAATCACACAAGAAATTGTTGCTAGGCTGAAGGATTTAAGAGGATCGGACTTGAGAAGGAATATAGGTGAGAACAATTATGTGAGAGAGAGATTTCTCTTGTAGTATTTCTCCCCACCAATAAATTTTGCATGATATAAAATACTATTATATCAATATTTGTAATTGCCGGATTTTAGTACAATTATATAATTGATACTACATTTATCCATTTTGATGACTATAACGATTTTATTCAATTATTTGTACTGTATAATACTACTTAAACAGGATATATAATCTCTAAATATTATGTATATCAGGAAATTTTCTACAGTATCAACTCAGCAAATTGATTAGTCATGATTGAATCACATATATAATAAACGATAAATTAGCATTTAAAACACTTGTTCCTGAAATAATTTGCAAGCCTTCTCAGGACAATTGAAAAAAATATTATGACCACAGTTAGTAATCTCCAGAAGTTTCTTTTTAGTAGCGGCAACATTTTTAAAAGCGTCAAAGATCAGCTGTGCGTCCTGTTTTGGAGTGATCTTATCGTGCTCGGCATATATCACCACCAATTCTACATTATTCGTATTAATGATATTATCCAAATCCTCCCAATCCGGGAATTTCCAACCCAAAAAGTAGGAGAAAATTGTAGAAGTATCAATTTTTATATTGTTGGAGAATTGCCAGAGCTTTCTGAACTTCAAATTCTTGTTCTCCGTTTCTTCGTCCTGGAAAGTTTCTGTATTGGCACTGAAGAAATTCATAATTCCAGAACTGTTCAGACCCTTGCTTTGATCAAACCACACTCTATATATGTTGAAGATAAAAGGTGCCCACATAAGCCCTCTCATTGCCATCTTCATAATATAGTTGTCCTGTCTTAGTGTGCTGATGCTAGGAGGTGGGGGGCATGTTAGAACCAGTTTATCAATATTGTATTCCTCGTGGTACATCTGCACAAAATGAGAAGCTATATAACATCCCATGGAATGACCCACAACTTTAAAATCAATATCTGTCTTGTTCTCTATGTTATTGTCTACAACTTTCTTAACCACCGAAGTAACATATAACATGTCATAACCGTTAGTACTTGAACCACTTTGACCAAAACCAGGCAAATCAAGAGCAATCACTCTATATTTCAACAAAGTCAACAGTTTCATCAAGGGTTGGAACTGGTCCATAGATCCTCCCAGCCCATGTATGAGGAGAAATACCGAATCTCTGCGTTCCCCATCCCTAATATTATCAAAACATCTCATATCAATACCATCAAGTGTAACCACTCGCGTTCTTTCTTTCAGGAACCGCACTTCAAAATCCCTACTGTCAATTACCCGTGAAAGCTCCCGCTGTGGAACTTGCTCATACTTGGCAAGTATGTCATCCACCCGACCATTAACAAGTTCACCTTCCAAGGAGCACGCCTCTCTCAAAACTTCCATGGCCGACTAAGTTATTCCAATGCCCTATAAACAGCAACAAATGAGAATTGAGCGCTGCATGGGAAACGTTTCAACCAACCGACTCCAACTTGCGGCCAGTAGTCATACCATACCTGCAATTTATTGCTGCAAGAAGGTAGCTGATGTCCTGGCTCATCAACCTTAAAACTTGGAAATTTGAGATTTTTCCTAAACAGGAAATGTAATGGAAGAGTCACGTGAACATTCGATTTATGAAGAAATTGTTTTAATGTTCCTATAGTTGAGATGTCCAAAGTATTTAGACCTGTAACTATCCAAAAGTTAGATATAATCTAATATTTGCCCAGGACACCTTTCAATTACCATGATAGTATGCATAGGGAATATCTATGTTCGTGGCTTCTTCAACTATCCTGCAGGGATTTCTGTGTATTTATCTTATTTCTAAGTGATTTTCGCAAAAGAAAAATTTCTTCGAAACTTGACAGCTTGGTGGACCTACGAAAGCGAAGAAACACACTTATAATAGCAATTGAGAAGAATGAGCGCTATATTACAGAAAAGCTAAGTAGTCTTCAATTGAGTTTGTGCAGTTAATAGGGCAATAGAAAGGCGAACTCACGATGGGAGCTGTTAAGAAGAAGCTTATGCCGAAGTCGGCGATGTTTGTAAGGAAGTATGAAAAGACCATTCGTGTTGGGTTTGCATCTTTCCTTATGGCGCTGACTGTTCTATTTCTGATGCACAAGCCCGATGCGGGCACTACTGCGATGGCACCCCAGCAGACAATGGCTGGTTTCACTAGCGTTGTTAAGAATGGCCAGCCTGGGTATGTGATTCCTGCCTCTGATCTACTGCAGGACGTCAAGGAACATCCTCTGGATGATGGTGTCAAGGAAAAGGCTGCATTTATCACTCTGGCTAGAAATGGTGACTTGTGGTCTTTGGTAAATACAATAAGACATGTCGAGGACAGATTGAACCATCGTTATCACTATGATTGGGTATTCCTGAATGACAAAGGTTTCACCGATGAGTTTATCCGCTTGACATCTGCATTGGTCTCTGGTAAAGCTAAGTACGGTAAAGTTCCTAAAGAACATTGGGAAGTTCCATCTCACATTGACAAGGAGAAATATGAAATCTCTAGGCGTAAAATGGTCCTAGACAAAGTTCCATACGGTGATTCGACACCATACAGACACATGTGCCGTTACCAATCAGGTCTTTTCTATAGACATGAACTTGTGCAAGAGTACGACTATTACTGGAGAGTTGACACAGACATCACTGTTTTTTGTAATTTCCAATACGACATCTTCAAGTTCTTGAGACAGAACAAGAAGAAGTACGGGTTCGTAATTTCATTGACAGAATACGAGGAGACCATTCCAACGTTGTGGGCTACTGTGAAGGAATTCATGAAGAAATACCCACAACACATTCATAAGAATAACTTCTTGAACTTTATCAGTGACGATGGCGGTGAGACATACAATGGCTGCCATTTCTGGACAAATTTCGAAGTCGGTGACTTGAACTTCTGGAGGTCACAAGCTTACACGGATTTCTTCAATTTCTTGGATCAGAAGGGTGGTTTCTATTACGAAAGATGGGGTGATGCGCCTGTTCATTCCATTGCTGCAGCACTGCTGTTAGACAAGGATGAGATTCATTTCTTTGACGGTTTCGGTTACCACCACCCAGATTTCCAATCTTGTCCACATGAAGAAGAAGTCAGACTACAGAACAAATGTACCTGTAATTTTAGCAAGGATAAGATTTGGATGACGTACTACTTCTGCAATCTGCGTTACTTTGAAGCTAAAGAAATCGGTCTACCACCAAAAATTGAAGCCAACTTAGACGAAGAATACAAGAAGAAATTGAAGGTTTCTAGCTAAACTCAATGAACTGTCCTGTAAATGTTACCTTATACTAAACGCTTGGTTCTAATTTTATTCATTTAATTATTTTCCATATCACCATTTTTTTTCTACGTTATAAACCCGCTTAATATTAAGTGGATAATGAAAAGCCAGTAATACTAATCTATACAAGCAATACTTGTGTAACATGTAAAGATCATAGGTTATGATTGTACTCTTCGTTGGTGCTTAATATTCATTAGCATTTTGTAGAAATCCATATTAGCATTAGTCACATGAATCTCGCAGGAAGTGAGTCTAATTTACACCCACTTTCATGCGGAAACACAACACAAAAAGTAGTATTGGTAACGTCAAAACTTGATAAGAATCACATTTGCTATAAGATGGGTATATATATTGCAGACATTACTGTGAAATAATCTAATTATATTGCAACTATAGGATCCGTGCGCACAAGTGTTTATCCAAGAAGCTGTTCTATAAGTAACTTTCAAAGACAAACTTAAGGGAAGGTCATCGCAAATCGAAAGCAATAAACAACATGGCTTTCGAAGACTATTTCTCATTCCAAGTGTTTTTCATATTCCTCCGGGAGTCTCTAGAGATTGCCGTTATTATTTCTATTCTTTTAACCATTGTCAAGCAAGGTTTATCTGTCGGTGATGACTCTGAAGATACAGGGAATCAAATCAGCCATGGTATCGATGATGGCATTCCAATAAATGATGTAAATGCAGAACGTATACCTTTAACAGTTGAAGAAGAGGAAGAAGCATTCAATATTGAGGGTGAATCAATGGTTCCATCAACTGACGAATCACTTTCATATGCAGATAACTTAAAACTTTACAAAAAACTAAAAATTCAAATTGTATCCGGGGGTGCTCTGGGTCTAATAATATGTGCCTTTATTGGTGGTGCTTTTATTGCGGTCTTTTATCATATCGGTACCGATCTTTGGACTATGAGTGAGCACTATTACGAAGGTATATTGAGTCTTGTGGCCTCGGTGATCATTTCGGTAATGGGCTTGTTCTTCTTAAGAATGGGTAAATTAAGAGAGAAATTCAGGGTCAAACTTGCGTCTATCATATATTCTGACCGTGGTGGAATGATCTCTAAAGTAAATTCGAGTAAAGCAGTGAGCTTTAGTGAGAAATATGCATTTTTTATCTTACCGTTTGTTACATCATTACGTGAAGGTTTGGAAGCTGTTGTGTTTATTGGTGGTGTAGGCCTCGATCAACCAATGAGCGCTATTATGGTTTCTATGGCTTGTGCAGTCTGTATTAGTGGCGTGTTTGGTGTATTTTTCTTCCGCTACTCTAGTTCGCTATCTCTTAAAATCTGTCTTGTTGTTACTACCTGCTTCATGTACCTGATTGCATCAGGATTATTCTCAAAAGGTGTATGGCAACTGGAGTTACAAGATTATGTTAATAAATGTAATGGACAAGATATGAGTGAAGTTGGAAGTGGACCTGGATCCTACGATATCTCACGCTCAGTCTGGCATGTAAACTGTTGTAATGGCGAAACTGATGGTGGATGGATGATTCTAACAGCTATCTTTGGATGGACAAATAGTGCCACATATGGCTCTGTTTTAAGTTACATTATATACTGGCTAATTTTAATTGGCTGCCTGAAATTACTTACTCTGGAAGAGCAATACGGTTACATTCCTGGGTTGCCAGTTTCATGGCAAAAGAAGAGGATAATAAAAAGGCTGAAAATTGCCCATGCTTCACTAAAACTAAAACAAAATATTGGTTCTACCTCTATGAGTAATGGTGTTCAATCACAGCGTGTTTCAAAGGATAGCACTACCCCACTAATAAGTCACTGAAACATCAGAAAGCTAATGTCATTTCCATGTAAGTAATTTATGTTATCATGCTTTTATATTAATAAAAATTCTTCTCCATTGTTGTTATGTTAATTGAGATTTTCATTTTATTTCTTTTATAAAAATAAGCTATACTATAGAATTATATCCGATTCTTTTACAAGCATTGAATTATTGCCACAGGATCACCGGCATCAACCATGTCTCCATTTTTGAATAAGAATTTTTTCAGTTTTCCAACCACAGATGATGAAACTATCATCTCCGTTTTCATAGCCTCAATCACAGCAACACCTTGGTCTTTCTCTATGCTTGCTCCAATCTCTACTATAGGTTTCCAGAATCTGCCTGCATATTCAGAGAAAATATATTCGCAGTCATCTTCTAATATGTTTTGTTCAATAACTTCAGTTGTGGTTTGTTTCAAATCTGCATTCGCCTCTTGTATTTTTTGGGCAAATTTTGAATAGTTGTCCCCTCTTTGGGCCCTCTGATGCTCCTCTATAGCTTCGATATTATCTTGAACCCATTTCAAGTAACTACCATGATCAAAAACAACATCATCTACATCGATTTTGTAATTACCATTGTCCCACTCATCGGTATATTCATCAATTTGTTCCTCTGAGACAGGGTAAAATTCAATTTGATCAAATGGGGACAATAACCATGGCTCATCTTTCTTTGATTGTAACATCAATCTATCCCAAATAGGGATTGTTCTGCCAACCAATTGATACCCGCCGGGACTATCCGCGGCATAAATACACATATAGGATCCACCTATTCCAACTACTCCTCTTTTAGTAAAAGTTCTAGAAGGGTTGTACTTGCTACCTAGTAATCTATTCCGTGGATCCAAGGGTATGGCACACGGTGATCCTAAAAATACATCTCCAACACCAAGTACCATGTATCTCGTTGTGTATATTAGCTGACGGATATCATCATGTGTCAAGTTGTTAACTTCGGCAACAAAGTCTACATTATTTGGTAGCCATGGTGCTTTAGAGCGTATTGTCTCTTGGTATCTCTTCACACATGCAAGAGTTTCTTTATCTTCAAAAGCCATTGGTAGTCTGAATATTCTTGATTTCACCGACCAGTTTTTTTCTTGGGGTAATTGCTCTTCATATGCGATTAACGTCTTAAGTAATTCTTTCTGCGAAATTTCATAGCCGTCATATTCAACCAATACTGATCTAACACCCTGTGACATCTCCTTGATCCCTTTTGTATTTCTTTGGGATATAATATCTATCAAAGATTTTATTCTGTAGCACAAGTTCAATTCAAAAATGTCATCTCCATATTCAATCAGGATGTATCTGTCCCCAGCTTGTCTGTAAACTACTTTAGGCGATTGCAATTCTTGACCATCTTTTTGGAAAAGTATCGGGTCTTCTGGTGATTTAAGTAGTGGTTGATCACTTAGCTTCTGAAGCGCACACGAGGACATATCATTGATAATAACATCTTGATTTTCTTTCAAGTTTCTAGCGCTTTGCCAATCTATTGGGGTAAAATTAATTGTATCACCTGGCTTCAATTGTCCAACCTTCCACATCTCTGCTTCACTGACGACAGCTTGGCATACAAATCCACCGAGAGAAGGTCCATCACAAGTAATTATAACAGGTTCATCTCCAGTAAAATTGATAGCACCAAGCGAGTAAACGTAATCATGAGTATTAGAAGGATGAAGACCTCCTTCACCACCGTCAGTACGGGACCATTTAGGCTTTGGTCCAATCAGTCTTACACCAAATCTATTAGAATTGTAATGAACTTTCCACTCGGATTTGAAGAACTCCATCATACCTTCGGATTCGAAAATATCAGGTGCGCCATGAGGACCAGCTAGAACACCAATAGTCCAGACGCCATCATTTGGTATATCAGGTCTAACATATATAGGAGCTTTTTCTGGTGAAAAGCATGGTGATGGAATACCGTGTTCAGAGTCAAACTGCTGAGGAAGAGACAAGACATCACCTCTTTTCAATGCTCGACCATTAAATCCTCCTAAATTACCCATAGTGAAGGTGGAAAACGATCCCATGTATTTGGGTACATCGATACCTCCCCTAATGGCTAGGTATGCTCGACTGCCTTTTACAATTTTACCAATTGAAAGAACGGACCCAGTTTTGACAGATATAGGCTCAAACATTGGTATTTTCTTTTCATCCAATTTACAACATACCTCACCACCTGCTATGGATACTAAACTATCAGAGTAAAACTTTATAGTAGGACCTGTTAAAGTTATTTCGATGCCTGGTGTTCTTTCATCATTACCTACAATTCTATTAGCCAATCTGAATGAATAATTGTCCATAGGACCACATGGAGGAACGCCAATTCTCCAATAGTTGACCCTGCCAGGGTAGTCCTGAATAGTGGTTAGCGCGCCAGGTTCAATTATCTCGACTGCTGATGGACTATATTCATAGGTGTTAAGATAGTTGGTTGATAACTGCGCATTCCTGAACATCTCTGAAGAGATCAGACTTTTTAAGTAGTCGACATTTGTAACACATCCATATATTTTGGTTTCATTCAATGCTTTCTTCATTTTTAAAATAGCCTCATTTCTATCTTTGCCATGAACAATTATTTTAGCCAATGTAGGATCAAACTCAGGGGAGATTTTGGTTCCCTTCTTAACCCAAGTATCCACTCGGCAGTCGTTTGGAAACTGTACATCGACAAGCTCTCCTGGAGATGGTCTAAAATCTTTTAAAGGATTTTCTGCATATACACGTACTTCTATTGAAGCTCCATTTTGTGAAATGTTAAATTCATCGAGAGAAGGCATTACACCGGCAGATATTTTAATCATCCATTCAACCAAATCAAGGCCTGTTACCATTTCAGTGATAGGATGTTCGACTTGCAATCTGGTGTTGACTTCTAAGAAGTAAAATTGATCTCTCTGTTCGTCGTAAATAAACTCAACAGTTCCTGCACCTCTATAATTTAGGTATGCTCCTAATCGCTCTGCAGCTGTTAGCATTTTTTGTCTAGTCTCTCTAGGAAGGTTAGGAGCCGGTGTTTCTTCTATTACTTTTTGATTCCTACGCTGTAATGAGCAATCACGTTCACCTAGAGCAAGTGTCTTGCCCTTACCATCCCCCATAATTTGGACCTCAACATGTCTTGCGTTATCAATGAATTTTTCCATAAAAACTCCTGAGTCACCGAAATAGGATGATCCCTGATGCTTAACAGTCTCAAATGCTTTTCTCATGTCTTGCTCATTATCAACTTTTTGTAACCCAATTCCACCTCCACCAGCGGTTGATTTCACCATAACTGGGTATCCAATGTTTTTTGCAATCGTAAAGGCCTCATCAGCGTTCTTGACTAGTGGAGAACCAGGCACTAGCGGTACTCCAGCACTTTTAGCAACTTCTCTTGCGGAATGCTTTAGACCTAATTTTCTAATTGTTTCACCCCTAGGCCCAATAAATTGTATACCTTCTTGTTCACATCTATCGGCAAAGGATGCATTCTCAGATAAGAAACCATAGCCGGGAATTATAGCATCGACGTCATATTTCTTTGCTATCGAAATAATCTTTTCAACATGCAAATATGTTTCTTCCACTGTATGTCCATCAAGAGCTTGAGCCATATCGACATCAAGAACATGTTGAGAGTATTTATCTGTCGCAGAGTAAATGGCTAGTGATTTGATTTGCATTGATTTCAGTGTTTTTATAATACGCACAGCTATTTCTCCTCTATTTGCAACTAATACTGTCTTGAAGTGTCCTTTTTTTGATTCATTAGATGGTATTATACTCTCAATGTAAGCCCTAAAGCCGCCGTAATGAGAAATGTCTATAGAACCTGTACTGTTATAACCACTTTCTTCACATATAAAAGACTTAACCCATTTTCCATTTTCCAGTTCCACCGACCCTATTCCTAGTGGTTCTGGAACAAAAGAAATAAATTCACCAAACTTTTCTTTAGGAACACTATATAATTCAAGTTCGATTTGAGAACCTGTTCCACTTGTAATTCTTCTCAAACCTGGTTTCAAAACAGGGCCGTTTTTTGGCAATGCGTATAGTTCATATTTTTTGGCTGTTTTTGTCGAGCAAATAAATGTAGCATTAACTTTCTCCAATTGCCAATGAAGTGGTAATCCTCTTAAATGGGCACCCACAACAGCTAAAACTATAGAATCATCAGAGCTTACAATTGGTCCTTCTAAAGAGTCATCTTTCAATCCGACATATCTGTCTAAAAACATTCCATATGGTCTGGTACCACTTGGATATAGCTGAGCTAAAAACCGTTTTGCCAGTTGAAGTAAAGCATAGTCCTCAAATTTTTTGGCTATTAGTGTTACACCATTAGGCAATCCATCAGAACGGAATCCTACGGGTATTGCTAAAGCTGATAGATCAGCTAAGTTAACAAAATTAGTCCATGTTCCTTGCCTTGAGTTGACTAGTATTGGCTCTTTGTCAACTTCTTCAAAGGATGGGTTTAGTGGGCAGGTCGGTACACATAGGACATCGATATCTTGCAGTAAGACCTCCACTTTTCTCAGTATACCTTGGCGTTTGTATTCGTATTCAAAAGCATCTGCAGCATCAAATTTAGTTGCACTTTTGATGATACCATAAACAACTGGATCAAGAGTACTCTGTTGGGGGGATGTTTCTAGAAACTTCCTTGTAGCAGCATATCTTTCTGCTACCCAAGTTCCCTCATAAAGACAACGGGCAAGTTCTAAAAGTGGCTCGAAATCAATAATTTTTATCTGTGCTCCTAATTGCTTGAAATTATCGATGGCCCTATCATATAAGAGTGGGTTCTCTTTTTCACCATACCACATAACATTCTTAGGAATAGCGACAGTGAGATTCTTGTTAAAGCTTTGAAGAGGATTAGCTGGAAATGATCTTGAATATTCATCATTTTCAATATCAAGTTTGGTCATGATTTTAAGACATTTCTCAGCATCTGAAAGATTCATTGAAAAGACAGAAACACAATCCAATGATTTACAGGCTGGGACAACACCGCTACAAGAGAATATTCCTCTTGTAGGCTTTAAGCCAATAATATTATTAAGTGCCGCAGGAACTCTTCCCGAGCCTGCAGTATCTGTCCCTAATGCGATGGGAACAATTCCTCTAGCTACAACAGACGCAGAACCCGCTGAAGAGCCCCCAGAAACATGCTTATCACTGAAAACACAAGGAGTGCGGCCATATGGCGATCTAGTTCCGACAAGACCTGTAGCAAATTGATCTAAATTAGTCTTACCAATAATGATAGCTCCAGCCTGCTTCAACAATTCTACAACAGTACTGTCTCTTGTTGGCATATAAGAGAAGGATGGGCAAGCTGCTGTTGTAGGGAAACCCTTTGCATCGATGTTATCCTTTACTGCAATAGGAACACCGTAAAGTGGTAATTTCTCTTTCTCGTGTCTACTTTGCAACAACTGCCATTGTTGCTCTAGCAATGATTCGGTTGCCACACTGATCCATGCTGGGTCCTCTGGTGCAATTCTTTGATTCTTCACTAACTCAAGAAGAGATTCATATGAATCCTTAGGGGTGGATTTGAAGTGAAAGTCTATCCAATCCTGGATAGACCAGCCTATTGAAGGGCAAATATTAGTAGCAGTCATTATAATCTTTTAATGAATGCCTGAACTTGTTTGATTAAGTTTTATCCTACTAGTAAAAAAAATATGAAGGAGAGTGTCATATAAGAACCTCTTTAAAAACGTATAATGTTTCAACTGGTTTCGATGTATTCCTCAAACTTCCAGCCTTTTTATATGTAGCAGTCCTCATTTTTGTATTAGACAGCACAAAAGTGAAATATAATAACCTTTGGACCTAGGTTTACTGTTAAAGATTGACAATAATCTAATATAGACGAATTCTAAAACGCAATTTCTTGATCCGCAATACTGGAATTAATCTATGGAGAGCGCAAATTTCAATTTCAACTGCATAGGAAATTGTATATGTGCATACATAGACTAGGATGCACAATTAAAGTTTTCCAAACAAAATTATTGTGAATTTCCCTTATCTCGACGCAATTTCCAGCCAAAATACGCTTGATGTCAAGGATTTTCCAAATGTATAACTTTCAGATGTTGTTGATCAGATCGAAAACTATCCGAATACCAAAAAATAAAAAAAAAAAGCAGGGGTTCCATACAAATAACTATTACCTGTCGATTATAGTTACTTGTTGTTTCTCATTGTTAGTTAGCCATGAACAAAAAACCATTGGAAGATTCAAAAAGATAAGTCTATCTTATCTTATCGGTGACTAAGATAGCCAAATAGGGTAACTCTTATCGGCTGATAAAAGCAGATATGTCAATAGATAAACACCTATTCGTGATCAATGCTATGTATTTCAAATGATGAGGACTTTTTACCATCACGTGATTCTACACCAGTGTTTTCCCACACAGAAGATGTGAAATATGAATTTCACTACGGAAAGCAAAAACGCATTTTTGTGTATGGGATTGGAACAGATGATGTAAATACTCAAGCGTGGGACAGCACAAATTTGCGTTTTTGTTTTCTATCGTGGAATACAGTACAGAGTTTTATGATTTTAAGTAGCTAACATAGGTAAAGAGCTCTTACAAATTTGCGTTATTTTTTTTTTCCAATATCTATTTGATTTTTATAGTAGTAATTATAACTGGAGTTTATTGTTCACACCAAATATTATGGTATTGGTGTTGTTGTTTTCACTAGACTAACCTGAATTTACCGCTAGAAAGTTAAACCCATCGTTCCTTTACCAGCCGATTTGTATTGATTTGTATTGATTTGTATCTTTTTGAAATTGGCGATATTGGGGAGAATGTAGATGACCATTATGCGTTATGTAGTGCAATAATTTAATGAAAAGCTCAAGTATAAGTGCGATTTGTTGTTAGTAACAATAACAATAACAAAAAAACTACCAATGGCAATTATACTGAATCTTTATTTTAGTGCTCGAATGAAGACAGTGTCAACTAGTTCTGATATTGGAACTCTTTGGTTAGTTACCATTACGATAGCTAGGTATTTAAGTAACGTAATTAGTGCATATGTTGACCAAAACGTAAAAACTATGAAACTTGCATAATAGAGCATAAACAAAAAAAATAAGAGCTCGCACTCAGGTTCGAACTAAGGACCAACAGATTTGCAATCTGCTGCGCTACCACTGCGCCATACGAGCATCTTAAAACTTGTTGATACTGAATTAACCGCTATGTGTTTTATGCTCTGTATATATACTTTTACCCCAATACAACAAACACCTCAAGGAAGCTCCAATATCAAATAGTGAATGCGATCATATGAAACATTCACTGTGAAATTAATCATTGTAGCCCCTAACACTGATAAAAATTCCACATGGGTTTATAGTTTGCTTTCATCGCAAGCAAACTAAGTGAAATCTCTAATGACATTCGGGCAGTTTTCACACATTTTGTATTGCCAGTTTATTATTAGGTTGTGTTCGATGCTCGTGGGTGGAAAATATTCAGCTACTATAACTGATGCCATACACAAGGATATTAACAATGAATAACCCGGATTAGGTATTCGTCAACCTGTTTAGTGATCATAAAATAAAACTCCTTTTGAATGAGATATGCAATATTGAGGTGCTCTACATTAATTAAATATTATGGATTCTTCTAGCAATCTGAGTCAACTCATCTCCAAGCTTAGTACTTTTAGCAAGGCTATCTTTTATCCATGCACAATGATCTCGATAGTCGCAGTGCTTACAATACTGATTGTAATTGAAAGTTGTAGCTTCTACGGGTTCAATGGCCCTTTTGCCAAACCAAAAACTACTTGCACTCCTGCAACTTTCACCTAAGCTTTTCTTATCATTAACGAACTCAACTTCCTGGAAACACTCGTTATTATGATAGTATTCTACCTTTAGTTTTTCTGAGATCAATGGAGTCAACATACTGTACATTTGTGCAAGTCTCATGGCAAAATACCTTAACGTAATAGGCTTAGCAAAAGTACCGTTCAAGAGTTGACCAGCCAGTTCATGAGAGTTTATATTTTGGAGGAATTGATGATGCTTGGCATCCGCTAGTGTGAACGAATGAGATATTGGAGCGTTATCAAATTTAGGAAATTGAAACCCATCACCGTTTTGCAATTTGACAAAGTCTCCAACAAATCCGTCCATCTGTATCATTATTAACAAACAGTTAGCAGGGTTTAATGGCTGATCTACATCCACACCTCGTATTCTTGCATTGTACAACAACATCTCATAAGTATTGTCTGAGTCGGTGCCTAGACTTAGTAAAAAATGTCTATAGTACATCAATTGTAATTTAGTGGCATTTTGAACCGATTCCTGAGGCGGTATAAATTTCCTTGTCCTTGTTTTGACATCACTTATTTGAATAGTCAAGCCGTTTTTAGCAAATTCATTACGAGTATTCTTAAGTTTGGCAATGGAGTCGTCGATTGATCTATGGTGATTGTTTAATGGAAGATTTCCGTTTTTTGAGGTGAGCGTCAAATGATCGATAATGCCGCTAATCAAGATATGTTGTGATGGGTCCCAAACTTCTGTTTCCATAGGATCATAGAGTTGGTTTGTTTCTTTATTCAGGTACCCATGACACAGTATTTCTCTTGCGTCTCCACTTGAGAAAAGGTGTATAAGCCTAGTGATAGTTTCTGCCCAGGAGGCCGCCAACACATGCAAGTCATCCTCTACTATTTCCACTGTTTCTGAGAATTGCGGTATGTCCTGAGGTCTGATCACTGGAGTATGCTCGGAGTTCTCCAATTTTTGGTGTGTGCGTTCACCGGCGGCCAAGTGTGCTTCTCTAAACAGAGGTAGCCTTGAGTATAGATCGTAAGCGAAGCGCAACTCGCACCACGATTTGGTCAAAAGCTTAGTAACCGACAATCTATGGGTCTTTAAGTCTCCGGGGTCGTACAGATCGTGGTATGGATTCATTCCATCACGCTGCCACAAGAGATCGCCTTTGCCATCTGTGCCGAACTGTGATTTGACATTGTCGATCTTCTGAAACAAGTACTGGGTTTTTCTACTGGCGTGGGGAGGTTTCGCACGGAGAATGGGTTGCTGGTTTCGGAATATCTTTAACCGCCATAGCCTCAGCTTCTCAACATCCCGAAGAGTCATATGCGAGTTACAGGATTGTTTCTGTGATATATGAGCTGTTCTTTTCCAAGATGTTTTGTAATTTTTTTCAATCTGTCTTTGCAAGTTTCTAGCTCGGGTAATAATTATTTTTTTTTAAGGGAAATTGAAATAGTAACATTAATTTATTAGAATATTTTTCATCGAAATAGATATACAGATGGCAGTAAATATTAGTTTTTCCTTTCTCTATGGAGAAAAAAAAATTATGTACAATCAGTGCTATTTTGAGAATAGACAAAGATATCTCTCTAATGGTGGAGAGTTCATTAGTCTATTGCTCTAGAACAGACTAAGCAATTTTTTTTTAGAACAACAGACTAAACAGCTCTAGAACACCACCACCAATCAACAGGAACAGGATGAAATAGACCCAGGACTTGGAGATAGGTAGTTCAGTCTTTTGCTTGTCTTGCTTCTTCTTACCGAACTTCCTCTGCTTCTCCACGTTCTTGTTAAACTTCTCGTTAGCCAATCTTTGCTTAGGTGTCTGAACAGCCATTATTAATTAGTTTTGCTATTTTTTTGGTTCCTTTGTAGTCGTACCTCTAAAACATTTTTATGACAAACTATATTAGGTAGTTTTATATATTGTCAAGGGAAAAAGATTGACACATCATCCGAGTAGACAAGCTTCCAGCACTCGTTTCATCTACTTTTCTCGAAAGGAGGTAAATCATACCGTGTACAGTTATCTATCACTTGACCTGTACAATCCATGAATACGAAATGCATGTGATTACACGTATAACGCGTACAGCACGTTGTGGTAGTTACGAAATGTCGGCTTTTAACGCGATGGCCGCGAACTTCTGTGCGTGGGCGTGGGGTGGGGGCCCTGTGCCCTTCAGTGTTTGTGTGGTACTGAAACGGCGAAAGAGCAAGCTGCCCCGGTTTTGTGCTGGGAGGATTTCTCTGTGCGAGCATAGACAGAACCGCGAAAAACTGGAAACGTCCATTTCTGTGTAGGAACGGGAAAAGGATTTTCGCGTTTGAGAATGTCCACTGCCACTAAGACACACGCAGGAGAGTGTGCAACGGCTTACCGTGTACATGCACCCGATAGAGAAGTCGATGGGCCAGAGAGACCCCGCACGGGTCCGGGAGTTTCGGTTGGGAAGAGAGAAAAAAGGAAGGCATCGCAACGAACAGAGAAGGGGAGAAAAAAAAAGTGCTGGTGTTTACCTTGGCGTAGAACATAGCGCAGGTTCAAGTGCAAATGGAAGCTTCTCATTTTCGCGCTGGGCCTCTTGGCTTCCACGATACCTCTCGTAACACTAAACACTTGTGCACTGGGGTAACAGAAAAATACACCTGCAAAAAATCAAAGAACGAAATTTGGGATTTTCCCGTTCTTGCTAGCCCCCTCCACCTAGAAAAAGCCGTGGGTCCAGTCTTTTAAGCAGAACCCAACTGTAAAGTGTAAACAACTTGTAAACACCAATCCTCGAAGCCCAAAAAGTTTCAAGTTTAATCCAAACTATACTGCATTATAATGGGTTCCACGCAAATGCCAAATAACAAATATCAAAATAAATGAAAGCAAGAAAGAAAAAAAAATGCTGGAATTAGTAGAGTAAATCACCAATTGGAATAGCTTTGCTGGGATTCTTCAAAAAAAAAAAACAGGAACAAAAGAAAGAACTGGATAGATATAGAAAAAGTATATAAAGTAAATACTTGGTAAAAAAACATACTATACTTTGAACAAAGCCCAGAAAAAAAAAAAAGGATTCTTTGAAAACTACAAAACACACATCAAACCACTCTAATAAAAGGCAAAAAAAGAATACAATGTTTCAGTTGTTGACGTTGTTACTACCGTTGGTCAGCAAAGTTAGTGCTGACTGCCAGATGATTGCTGGTAATTACTACTGTTCCAAGACAGATGCTGCCATTTACTCGAATGTCGGTTTCTCTGGTTCTTACCAGGATGTGACGTCGATGGATGAACAGAGCTGTGTTTGTTCACAGCAACCTTTCTCCTTTGGTGGTGCTTTGGCTCCATTCGATGAAGAGCTCTCTGTTCATTTCAGAGGTCCTCTAAAACTATCACAATTCGCAGTGTACTACCCTGCTTCTTCTAACTCAAAGAGAGCTGTCGCAGAAGAGGACTGTGACTCCGTGGTCGCTAAACCTGTCCACAAACACAAGCGTGACGTCGCAGTTGAAGTCATCGAAGTCACCGAAACAGTATTCATCGATGAAAACGGTAACACTGTCACCGCTTCCGGAACTTCCACTTCCATGTCTACTCCAACTCCATCTAACCCTTCCCAAGTACAATCTTCCCAAGCTCCTTCCCAAGCTCCTGTTTCTTCCTCCAACAAAGGTACTACAACTCTATCCTCCACTTCAAAGAACACTCCTTCCTCTTCCTCCTCCTTTCAAGCCGCTTCTTCTTCCGCTGCTCCTATCCAAGACGGTGGTGACTGGAGCCGTGTCGCTTACTTCTCCCCAGGTACTGCCTCTGGCTGTACTTTCATGAACCACCAAGGTGGTACTGCAGGCTCTGGTGTCTGGTCCTCTTGTTTCGGTAACTCCATCTCTTTCGCCAACTCTGACGGTGTCACTGGTGCAGGCTCCCCACAACCTCTAGGTGACGTTACCATCAAGTCCGGCCAAGAGTACATGATCTTCTCCTCTACCCAATGTTCCGCAAACAACGCCGAGTGTGGTTACTACAGAGAAGGTATCCCAGCTTACAAGGGTTTCGGTGGCAACAGAAAGATTTTCTACTTCGAATTCTCCATGCCAAGTGACACTAACGGCAACGGTTACAACCAAGACATGCCAGCTATTTGGTTACTAAACGCCAAGATTCCAAGAACTTTGCAATATGGTCTATCAACCTGTTCCTGTTGGGCTACCGGCTGTGGTGAATTGGATCTATTCGAAGTGCTAAGCCCAGGTTCAGACAAGATGATCACTCACATCCACGACGGCCAAGGTGGTGGTACCCAAGATTTCTTCCAAAGACCAACTGATGGTATCTTCAGAGCTGTTGTTATCTTCAACGCTTCTGACAAGACCATCCACTTGGTTCAAGTCGACAGCGCCCCAGCTGGTGGTCTATCCAACGACCAAGTCCAACAATGGTTGAACAAGGCCGGCTCCGCTGCTGCTTTGCCATAGACTTATCGATTAAGCATTAATAAGTCTTTTTTTATCAAATTTCAACCTTTACCCAACTTTTGCATTTTGTTTCATGAAGAGCATTTATAAAAAGGACTACATCTCTAGTCTTTTTTTACAGGTCTTTTAACCAACTTTCCGCCTAACAATCTAACAAACTTGCCAATAACAAATTTTTTCACAACCAAAACTATTTTTTATTTTGTTTCTTGGATAACTTACTTTCCTTAGCTATTGCCTGGTTTTTTTCTTTAACTTTTATTTTCCCAACGTTCTCATCCTTTTCTCCCATTTCTGTTTTATGTCATCTATCACCTAAGCATTTCTAGATCAACTATTTGGAGCCATTTTGAATATTCTTTTTGAACTGCAACATTCTATAAGTGGGAGTTTGCTTCCAAATCAATACCTTCATTTCTGATCTTTTCTTTTGATTATTACTAACAACTTGGAAGAATTAAATGAAACGTTGCTGTATTATTAGTCAACTTTTACTTTTATATTACTCTATTTATGTGTAATTTTTAATTAAATTCATATTTTCATCACAATTTATCTCACGGTAACAATAACCTTACGTTCATATTAATGATGGAAGAAAAATAGTGTTATGTGTTACATATCCTGCACGTTAGACGTCTAGACGCCCTAGCAGATATTGAAAAAAATTCGTAATTATACAAAAACTCATGGAAAAAATTAAATATGTTAAGTTTATAACTTAATGACTGAAGTATATTAAATGCATGAATGTGTTCTAGCTATAATGCGTCACGTTTATTTAGGATGCCAACTGTCATGAAAACGATTTACTCTCTCTCACTTAATCAATTGATGAATTAAGGAACGAAATATCCTTTGAAAGAATATGTTATGGAATTCAATCTGCTTTATCACAACCAATGGCCCGCTACATGTGCAACACAGCATACCAGAACTGAAGTAGAAAATAAATAAACGAAAATGGCACATTAGTATTGGCCATCTTTGTATGCAAAGTGGTTTATATTGTTTTTCGTTTCTTTTTTTTATTATTTTTGTTTTACAATATTGTCTATCAACTGTCAAGTACCCGCTTGTCTAATTCGTTAGGTCCTCCACATTAGGATCAAGTTTCTCTATGTCGGAAAGCAGGAAATTGGTAAAACGGACGTTAGAGTCCTTACGACTTCTTTTACCCTTAGGCGTGGGGCTGTTAAAATGTACACTGTTCTCCTTTCTTAAGGAATAGTACTCAGCTACTGATCTGCTTAGTTTCGGAGTAGAGTATTTCTCTGAAACTGAACAGGCCGATGCCGAAGAAGATGACGATGACGGTACCAGCTTTGTGTATAATGTTGAGAATAGACTTTTATTTAGTTTTCTCAAAGGGCTAATACTTGTGCCCAAAAAGATTGAGCCGTGACCTTGCTGGTAATATTGACTTCCTTTGTTGTAAATGAAATCGTCTTCATCATCTTGACTTTCTGCTTCTGGATCATTCGAGGAACCCAACCAAGAGGCACATAACCAACAGTAGAAAACATATTCACCATACAGGATGATGAACCCAACAATGAAGCCAGCAACAACACATGACAATATATGGTTCTCCAGAGATTTCATGAAAACTGCGTCATCCATATGCCATGAAGAACCCTTTGAGATAGAAAAGAATGAGTATGTGTGCTTCTTATAGTCTGCTGGTTGCATTATCCTCACCACACCGTTCTCGGGCACACCCCATCTCTTGTACTGTTTCCATATGACACTTACGAAAAGTGGGCCAGTTGAGCCCATGATGGTCAGGTATGGTATAAACCAGTACTTGTCGTAATGTTTTAAAGAGTTGAGCAATTTCAAATAGAAAGGATGTCTAGGGACAGAGCCCATCACATTATTCGAGACACCCAACGGCGAGGTCTTTCTAACAAACGCGGGCACTTTCAATAGTGGGTCGAGCCTTCTTTCACAACCGTCATCCAGGTCAATGTATATACCACCGTAGTGTGACAATATGAAGTATCTGATGGCATCGGCACGCTGTATAGGATACTTGTAGTTCTCAAATGTGTCAAGGAACCAAGCGTACTCCTCCTTGATGAATTTTAGAGCCATCTCATCTGTCCACAGGATATACTCATAATCTGGATGCAGGTCTATACATTTCTTCTGTGATTCTTTCCATTGCTCGGGTATATCCTCTGTTTTGTAAGTCTGGTGGATAATCTTTGGAATCAACTCAGGTTTCCCATCGTGCACTTCTAGACCAGTGACCCTGTCTCTAGGTGGATTCAGCTCAAAGTCCAACAGCGCATCTTGGAAAGTATCATCTATACACAACATCAGCAGATCAAACGTATAGTACAGGATAAACACCACCAACATAAAGTTGGCGTATATAAGCAACTTTAACTCCTTTTTCATCCTTAAAAAAAAAAGAGAGCAACGCGGTTGTGTATGTATTACTGGTCAATTAATCCAATTGGCCAATGAATCAACTAATTTAATAGCCAGGATAAAAAATTATCAAAAACTGTTAATACCATTAAAAAAATATTATTCAAAACTACATGCAAACTAACCCTATTTTCATAGTATATTTAGTGATGAGCCAAAATGGCTTGTTGTTGTTTGGCAGCGAAATTTTGAAAAATTTCAGGAATTCTGTCAGGTATGGTAAACAACAACGTGATGTATACTAGTTAACGGAACGCGAACGCGAAATGTTGCAAAGATGCAGAGTCACATGATATCAATGTAGCAAGTGACTCAATATTAATCAGAATCTACGAGTTATTCATGTGATTGTAGTCGTACTATACAACAAGATGCTGACAAATATAGGGCCGTTCAGTCAACCAACATCGCACACACAGAGACTAGAGACATACACAGACAAGCAAACACCGTGCTTGACAGATGGGTGACTTTCTAGAAGCGGAGGGCCACAGCTGTTTGTATGTGTAACTGTGGTAGTTACAGGCGATTAGCAAACATTTTATAGGTATATAACAGACACATGGCTCTTTGTATCACTACATAAGCCAAATCAAAGACTTTACAACAGTAAAGAACAATGATCAGGAATATTTTACGCAGAAGCGCTGCCAGAGTCAGGATACCGGTGACTAGTGCAACTTGTGCTAGTCGACTAGTGATGTCAATAAGATTAGCGACCAGTACAAGGTACTATAGTAATGGTAACGAAGGTGGCCCTGCAATGACGAATGGTGTACAGATTCCCAAGGAAGTGCTAGAGTTGCCTTTACAGCAGTACCACCAGCATTCTGAGTCATTCCTGGAAGGGCTGTTTGATAACCTGGAGGAACTGAGCGAGAATTACCCTCAACATATTCCCGAAGTGGAATACAGTCACGGTGTTATGAGCCTTACAGTAGCCGGTGTGGGCACGTATGTGATAAACAAACAGCCACCAAATAAACAGATATGGCTCTCTTCACCAAACTCCGGCCCAAACAGATTTGATCTGTATAAGGGAGAATGGATATCCCTACGTAATAACGAGACTTTGCTTTCAGTACTAGACAAAGAGCTACATGACGCACTTCCTAATGATGCTGAGTTCAAAGTGGAATCAGATCAGTGAGATATTGGTTTCACGCACTTGTATATATTAAAACAATGTGAAGTAATCATCACACGTCTATTCTCCTCCAACTACAAACTATCTATTACTTTATTTCTATATTGCATGAGAAAACGAAGCCATTTTTAATAATTTATTTAGGTCTAATCGATTAAATACACCTTACTTTGTACTCAGGATAATAAATATAAATTCTTGATTGAAGAAGGATCATGTGACTTCAATATATGCATATGCATAGTAAAGCATCCCAGGAGTGATGAAACATGTATCTACTCCGTAAGAATGAAATGGATGGCATGCAACTTTGTCATTTTGCATCGCACATCAAAAGGAAATAGTGTGGTGCACCTCTGTGCAAATGACGTACTCCTTAATATCACTCCTATCCACAAGTCTACCTACTCTAACTTGCTGTCACTTTGTAATACAGAACTAATATAAATACAAGGATTGTGCTCTACAGAGGAATATAAGCTACTCAGCACCCCAGAATACCAAGATATACATATTCTAAAAAACACAAATATACGCATAATGGCCAATTCTTTTATCGTTACTTTAAAGAAGTCTGTACCAGAGAGAGAGGTCAAGGAATTTATCGATTCTGTGAACGGAGTTGGTGGCCAAATAGTCCATGAGTTCTCCTTGATCAAAGGTTACACCATCAAGATGCCAGAGAAGGTCTCCCTATCAAGCTTCAAAGATAAGCACAACAACGTCATCGAGTCTGTTGAGGAAGACAAGGAGGTTAAAATTGCCAAATAAGAATTGCATGAGCAATACTATGTGCGATGCTCTTGATCTACTGCAGCTGGAACTGACACTCAATACTTTTTTATTAAATATTCGACTTTATCTTTTGCTTTTTTATTGTATTATTGCAATTGTCTATAGCACTCTCTAATATCATAAAATTCAATTTACTACATAGCTCTTACTGGCCCCGCTATCTATGCGATGTGCTGATTCGGGCCCGATCAGATGATTAAAGCGATGAGCAATTGCTATAAAGTGGCAAAATATACAAATTAACATTTATAGATCACAAACATCGCAATTACAGTACAAAAAGCATATATAGACAGAAATGAGTACCTTTTTTGGTGATGTGGGTTTGAACAGGGTTTCATTCCTTAGAGAGGACACGGAATTCATAAAACTAGCATTTACCTCATCTGAAGCCAAATTCATTGTATTTGTCAATGGCGAAGCCTTTTATGACATCAGTTCAGATGGTAAACCACAGCTGCATATAGAGACCTCTACTAGCTTAAAAGGAATCATAACGACCTTGAGCCCATTGTTAGAAACGAAGGACTTAAGAGTGGATGTCTCGGGTGTGAGTATTACATTCTTGGGTTTAGATGACCGTATTGATGGGTTCTCATACAAGGGTAAGTACAAAGGTGCCCCATACTTTGGACTTGAGTTTAAAGTAGATGATAAAACGTTGCTCACGCCAAAGGACATTGAGTTTACCACATCCTTACAAAGAATGGATCGTGAGAGCTTGTTCATGATCGATAATCACAGCGCAACTCTTTATTCTCATGCAAAAATGTACTTGGATTGGTTGAACAAATATAAATTTTGTCCTGGTTGTGGTTCTGTTATTTACCCTGTTCATGGTGGTACCAAGCTGCAATGCAGTTCAGCTCCGGAAGTCAATTGTAATGTAAGAAATGCTAGAGTTAACAATGTATGCTTCCCAAGAAGCGATCCAGTTATTATTATAGCTATGGCAAATGAAGATTACTCGAAGATATGCCTAGCAAGATCTTTCCGTAAACATGGTAACTTTGTGATGTATTCTACCATCGCCGGCTTTATGGAACCTGGTGAATCGATCGAGAATGCATGTGCCAGAGAGATTTGGGAAGAAACCGGAGTTCATTGTGATGTGGACAATGTCAAGATAATATCTTCTCAACCATGGCCATACCCAGCCAACCTCATGATTGGTTGTCTAGGGATTGTAAAATTCAATAATAAGGATGAGATTATTGATCTTGGTAATGACCCCGAACTAATGGACGCTCAGTGGTTTGATACTAACGAGGTGAGAGCTGCAATGGATAGCTACAAGACTGGCTGGCTCGTTCCCTTTAAGGATGAGATTAACTTCCCTGGAGAAACAGCAATAGCCCACCACTTGATCAGACACGTCTGCAAACAGCATCAACGCTTGCAGAAATTATGAACTGCACGACAAGCTTTCCACATTATTTGCATGAATACGCAGCAACATTAAATCATATACGCTGTCATATTTATTTATTGTATAGCATAGAATGAAATCATATGTACTGATTACATACTTCAAGCGAGTAGAATATTCTATTTGATAATAGTACGCATAAAATCATGCTAGTTGAGTTTGAATTGTATTGATCACATGATCACATCATATATAACGTTATGTGTATTTACTGGGAAACTGAAATTCGCAAGATGGGCACATCCTGGCCAAACGAAACAGGAACAGGAAATAACCGATGACTATGGCGACTGAAGACAATAGGAATATTACTCATTTAGCCGCCGGTGGTTTGCGTACCTGGGAAGCTTTTGGAATTTTTTTATTGTTTAGGATTTGATAGGTAGCTGTACTTTTCATAGTGGTGATCAGTGAGTTTTTAGAACAGACAATAGCCTCAATTCTCCTGGCTTTTGAACCAAGTCAAATATTCAATTTCAAGTACGGATATAGCAATTCTACGATAAACTGCTAATAAATTTTGATGGAATCTTTTAAACTTCTAATTTAAAGAGCAGATTTATATTTTGTGTTTTGTCCCAAGAAGAAAGGTAGAAAGTAATTTGATATTGGATATCTGGTGTCGAAGTATACAACGGAAGAGTATCAGTAGTGACAATATCGATATACTTCAGTTTAGAACATACTGGAACATAATATGGAAGTACAAGCACAAATTAAGGGTATTAAGGAATCATATATTCGTGACCTCAACAGTGGTACATCCTGGAAAGATCTTATTGACGTTGCCAAGAACAATCCGCAAGAATATTCAAGTGATATAAACTCAGAGACTGTATCTAAGTATTTCGAACCAAATACTCGTATTATTATCGACGCACTGGATAAACAAACAAATTTTAGAGTTTGTAAAGGCTGTGGTAAACCTATCCTATTGGAGGCTATTGTAGATCATATTGAGAATCACTGCTCGAATTCGAGAGACCAAAAGGAAGGAACAGTTGGAGATATGGATTCCTTCTCAGAATCCTTAATCAATTCACCGACAAACGGATCTATTGATGGTAGTTTACAGACAAAAGAAAATTTAAAGAGATCTTTAGATAATGAAAGTAGTGATATCATGAGCTCTCCTGGCAAACAGGATGCAAAGAAGATGAAGAGTGAGACTCCTGGAAACTCGAATAGGAAACCAAAGAAGGTGAAACAAAGAAACCCCACCGATAAACATTTGATTGACTTTGACAAACAATGTGGTGTGAAGTTGCCAGAAGGTGGATATTGTGCGAGATCTCTTACATGTAAATCACACTCAATGGGTGATAAGAGATCTGTGGTAGGCCGTACTGAACCATTTGACACATTACTAGCCGAATATCATAGAAAACATCAAACCAAGATTGGTGCAGCTGCAGAGAAAAGGGCTAAACAACAAGAAATGCAAAAAATGCAGAAGCAAACACAAAGGGATCATAAAGACCAAAAGAAAACAACTCAAACGAAAACTGATAAAAGAAAGAAGGCCTCCACAACAACCAATAAAACTGTTAGAGGTACTGGCTCTAATCGTGGAAAGAATTCTTCTACTCAAAATACTATGAATTATCCAGTTTTGACACCGGAAGAAGAAACTACCCAGGTATTGAATGGTGTTTCGAGATCATTTCCACTACCATTGGAATCTAGAGTGTTATCTTCCGTCAGGTACAGAACAAAGTACGTTAGAATGAGAGAAATGTTTGCATCTGCTTTTTCTGTTAAGCCTGGTTTTTCAAATCCAGGCTATGGTGCAATACATTCCAGAGTTGGTTGCATTGATATCGATAGAACTACAGATTATAAGTATAGAATACGAACTCCTCAACCCGTGAACCAACAAGGAACTCAAAATCTAACACCTCAACAAATACAGAAAATGCAGCAACAACGGATGATACAAAACCAAATGCTCCAGCAAAAGCAGGCACAGAATGCTCAACAAATGGGTTTTAACAATAACAACAATAATAATCAAAATATAGGATCCCCAGGTGCGAACATGGTAAATTCGCCATCAATCAATAACCAGGACCAACTACTTCGGCAGACGAAGCAAACTAACTCGAATGATCTCAACCATATAGGAGGACAACATCCTATACCGAATGTCCAAGGGCCGAGTTCCCCAGAAAATAATTTAATAAACGGTGTTGGTGTGGGAAGCCCTGTGAATAATCCTCAATCTCCAGGAATGGGTAATCTTCAAATGGGTACTCAAATGGTAGGGAAAGATTCCTCACCATCACAATTCGGAGGAAGAGTAAATTAGACGAGCTTTATTAACTAACTGCCATTTTTCAAATTGTAATATTTACGTAATTTTAATGCTTAAGTCATTATGAAGTAAAATAATTGGACTTTTTATAGTCACAACATGGGAGACATTTAAGATGCATAGTGATTAGCTATATATGTAATATCTATATCTTAATTTATGATGTACTGCTCCATTAGAAAACAAATACTTTGAGCAGTACTGCAAATATTATGGATACAACATATATGATACTTATATTGGAAGTATGCCTTAGCGCTAACTTGATGTTAGTTTCAAATTCTTGCGTCATAGCTTTTCTTGAGAATAGTTCAATAACCCTTTTAGGGCCATTATTTTTGAAAAGTTCCGGATTTTGATTCAAAACTTCTTTACTTTCAATCAAAGCCGATGCCCACTCATCAGCGTCAGCTGACCTCAACCAACCAGTGGTTGATTTCTCATTATCTTCTTTTTGATAGCTTACAACAGTTTCAACTGGTCCACCATTGTTGACAGCTAACACTGGTTTGCCGTATTTCATAGCTTCCAATGGTACTATTCCAAAATGTTCATATGAAGGTGTATACAATAATAGTTGCATGTTTTGAATTAGAAATTCCTTCAAAGAAGAAGAAATTGATGTCAAAAATATAACCTTTGCACCAAACAACTTTTCAATTTCATTCACAGAATAACTATCCTCAATAAAGTCAGAATAGTGATTAACAGTATAAGAAAGATCCAATTCTTTGCAAAGGCATGTCAATTCTTGCAAATACTGTACATTTTCGTGTATCCTTGGATCATAACCACCACATACAACCAAATTTGTGTTTTCAACTGATGCTTTGGCAAACGCTTGTATTGCTAGTTCTATATTCTTTTTCCTCTCATACCTATTGATACTCAAGTAGAAATTTGGACATTTTCCAACCAAAAGGTTTCCTATTTGCATATCCCTATCGTTAATCAGAGTCTCAGTATCGGTATCAACACATGGATAAATGACGTTTGGGTTTTTCTGTAGGTATTTGAAGGTTTTTTTATACATGGATTTTGTAAAGTTAGAGTTAACAACAACCTCATCCGAACAGTACATCGTGAATTGCTCTAGTAGATCGAATGGTATACGATATAAGCTTTTAATCCAGTTCGTTCTTATAGCTAACAATTGATCTGGAAAATGGCAATAAAACAAAACTTTATTATTTGCTAACTTAAAAAATGGGACACAAGTTGATAACTGATCAATGATAAACACATCTTTGTCTTTTGATCTTCCTGACAACACCACTTTAGCTGTCAGATACAACTGTCTCAAATTAGCAAAGACAATGAAGAATCGTTTACCCAAATCAGTCGGTAGAAAATCACCAAACACTTCAACTTTCAAAGTACCATTTTTGACCTCTTCGAAACAATGTGTCTTGTCACAATGACTTGTATATATGATAACTTCATGACCTGCTTCTTGTAAACCAAGTGCTGCATCAACCACTAGTCTTTCTGCTCCACCAATTCCTAAATCGGGATGCACAAATGCTATCTTTAACTTCTTCGCAGGCACCATCTCTATCGGTTACTTGTTTGGCTATCCTACCAGAATGCTTATGTTTTATCAACCTATTGGATTAACTTAGTCCACTTGCTATGCTTGGATTGTACATATGTACTATTAATGTTATGTTTTTGTACATGTTATTATCTTGTAAAACCTCCACTTACCCGAATTGAGTGATTCGTAGCTATTCGCGATGCCTTTTAGTGATCAGAATTTAAACATATGGAATAATTTCTATAATGGTCATAAACATATCTCTATTCATATATACAAGTTTGAATGGGTAAAGTTTATATACTGTAAAGTGCATTAAGTAAGGGCTTTGTTCTTTTTTAAGATAGTTGGTACTGCTTTAGCCCAGGATTGTGTCTTTTTATCAATTATCATGAAAACTCTTCCAGATTGCCTCATTCTAGCAGTTCTCCCTGCTCTATGGACCAGATCAATGGCTGTAATTGGCACGTCATATAGTATAACATTTCTCACACCTTTGAAATTTAGACCTCTTGCTAGAAGATCAGTAGTAACTAGCACTCGAAGTTTTGGGATGAAGTTAGATGCCTTGTTACTATTTTCGATGTTACCGATCGATATGTTTGAACCACTGATGTTTACAGTCTCTTGGTCATTAAGATCTTTATCAATTTGTTTTTCTTGTTCAGTTAATTTCTCTGGTGGAGAGATAAATGGCCTTATTAGTTCCAATCTAGTCCTACCTTCCATATCACCAGTTAAACCAACCACATCATGCCCATATTCATTTCTTAATTTCTGCACTACATTATCAACGTTCTTCTTTTCATTAATAAATACAATACAACGCTTCTCAAAGCCTGGGTCTGTACCGTCATATGCAATGGCATACAAGGTCTGAGCTAATGCTTTAATCTTAGAGCCCTTGTAGGGGCTAACTGCCGCATTAATAATCCTAAAATTAATGCCTTTTGGAAGTTTATGCAATCTAGGTGTAGTTAATGGAATAGCATTTGGAAACATCTTAGTCATAGTTCTATCAAACTCATTCGGTATAGTAGCAGAACAGAGAACTAAATGATTGACATCTGACATTGCTTTTAGGGCCTTATGAGTATCTTCAAGCCAGGATTTATCCAATAACGTATCTGCTTCATCTAAAACCACAAATTCTATCCTTTTCAATATTAAATCCGCTCTACTTATCATTCGAACTCTTTGTAAGCTCAAAAGTTTTGAAGGAGTTGTAATCAAAATGTCTGTTCTTGATTTTAAGTTCTCCAGAAGCTGTTGGTAATCGACTCCAGTAGTCCACTTATGCACATGAATGCCTAGAGTATCTGGAATACATGTCAATGTAGTATATATCTGATCAACAAGCTCTAAAGTTGGGACTAGTATAACAGATCTTATTATCGCTTTGTCTTTTATGGATTCCCATTTCTCTGGTGTTTCGATTTCCTGTCTCTTCAAATAGTCCAATAAAGGTGCACAATAAGCCATCGTTTTACCAGATCCTGTTTCAGCAGCTATTGCATGAACTTGAAGTTTGGGTTCCATTAAGTTCTTTGATAATCTTTTTATTGCGATTGTTTGAATAGGCGAAGGATGGATTTCCTCGGTAGTATTCAATGAATCCTTTTTGATGAGATTAATTACATGTTTACGAACTTCTGGAAGTAGTTTTAGTTCTTCAAATTCTGTAATCTTCTCAACTAAATTTGCGTTAGTCTCTAAAAACTTGTTTTCATTCTCTTTCAGACCACCATATAGACCATACTTGAACTGCTTCTGAGACTTAAATTTATCTGCTTTTTGCGATTTATTAGCATTTTGTTTAAATCTAGCAGATAGTTGTAACTTCGATTTACCAGCTTTATTCTTCTTTGAACTGGCTCTAGTAGTATCATTCTTTGAACCAGCCCTAACAGAACTACTCTTTGAACCAGCTCTAACACTGTTGATCGCGTACGCTCGCACACATTGGGTAGATACAAAATGCCCTAGCGGGTTAAATGTCCTAATAGCCAGTATGGAGACCATTTATATTTCACACTAGTTTGCTAGATTTCTATATCCTGTATTCTTCTGATCTTAAATTGATATCTTCTATTTAAAGCATTCCCAATTTTTGCTTTTCATAATACTCAAAAAGTCATATAAGTAACCTCAGGTAAATCAATGGGGCGATCAAATATTGATAAATAATGTACATAAAGGAATTAATAAGTGCAAGAAGGATGCGTTATATAGTATTTAAAATCTTATTGTAGTATGCTTTTGAATTTGTTGTTCGATTCTAAGGCCTTTTTCAATGCCAAATCATAATCGAGTGTTCAAACTGTTCAAGTGAACAAAGTATCTTCATCTCTCAAGTATTCACCGATATCGGCTTGTCTGAATGCAACGATGGCGGTTGGTTGCAAGTTTTTAGACTCTAATGTACTCTTGGCACTAACACCAAACCCAAGTGGCATATCGTTCATGGAGAACACTATCAGACCAGCATGTTCTGGAATATCGTCAGTCATCTTACCAACATGTGCTTTCAACACATGGTTACCATATAGAAAAGGCATTTCACCATTTGGCTTAATCCATATCTTGTACTTGGCGTGCTTGGCCAATACTGACAGAGCAGTGATATGCAGTCTGAATTTACCAGTCTTTGTAAACTTCCCGAGACATATACCCACAGACATTAGGTTCTGTCTAGCTACACTTGTAGCTAGCTTGGCAATATATTCTGGAACGTAGTAAACTCTGTCCTTCTGCAAACGGAACACATGGGGCACCTCCTTGTTGTCCACAAGGTAGGCTATGTTTCTACCAATGTAACCCGCTAGTTTCTCAAAAACAACCTTAGTTTCTTCCTCAGTTAGCTGTCTCATCTTTCGTTAACCTATTCAATTCGACCTCTTTGTAGTAACAGTTGACCAATGTTTTTGTAACAAGTGTTTAAAAAACCTCAATATAAATTGTTTTTGAAATGTTACACTTTTGCAGTATGAGCGATGAGCTCAGCTCATCGCTTCAATGCTAATTATTTTGTCAAAGATGCTCTTCGCAGTGGAAAACTGCAATTCTCAAAAAAATTTTCAGCGGACGTTATTGGTGATGTTGTGTGATCTATACTGTATAAAGCCAAAGTAGACAGACATGAGTATAGTGGTGGGCTGTATCACTAGCCATATTCAGATGTTTCGAACAAGAAGTTGTCAGACATTTTGCTTAAGTTAGATACTGAGTGGCCATATGGATACAATTGTGGGCCGTCTAGCTAAAAGTAGACTTCCCAAGCGGAAGATGGCACTTGTGCTCGGATATTTGGGTACTGGGTACCAAGGTATACAATACAACCCGCCTGCCCATACTATCGACAACGAGCTATTTAAAGCGTTAGTGGCTACTAATTGTATATCACAATCCAACTCTGACGACTTTTCAAAGAGCTCATTCTCCCGAGCCACGCGGACCGATAAGGGTGTACATGCGCTCACCAACTTGGTTGCGTTAAAGATGCAAAGGTATGAGGTGCCGCAGCAAGTTAAGGCAGAATTGAACGAGATTCTACCCGATGATATACGCATATGGGATGTCGTGCCAGTAAAGAAAAAATTCAATGCTAGGGTCATGGCGGGAACAAGACACTACCGGTATGTGATCCCAACATTTTTGCTCCAATGCGGTCCCCATAGCGATCTCTCGACCTCTCAGCTTGCCAGGTTCAAAAACATCTGGAATATGTTTCTTGGTACGCACAACTACTACAACTTCACACCAAGAAGAAAAGACACAAACGCCGACTCCCCACAGAACATGAGACATATGTACTCGATCCAGGTCTCTGACCCATTCACCATAGCCGGTTCCACTCAGTGGCTGTCCATTGCCATACACGGCCAGTCGTTCCTGTTACACCAGATCAGAAAGATGGTGCACTATGCGCTATCAGAGTACCATAGGAGCTCGAGCGATACCAAAAGCATGGAACTCTTAGAAACTGTAGATCCCGATCTTACATCAGCGACTGCCTTAGACACACCCACGGAGCAATACATACCGCTAGCGCCAGCCGCAGGGTTGTACTTGCACCACCCAACGTTCGAAGGCTACAATAACCAGCCAGCTGCTCGACGGCTACAGGTTCTAGACCTCAGCGGATACCCCGCATGCGCGACTTTCGAAGATCGCATACACACAGAGATAGCCCGCAGCGAACATGTCTTCCACGAATACATGGCTGTGATACGCCAATAGGAGAGATGTATTACCGCTTTGGGAAGGAGAGAAGGCTCCTTTATTGTTCTCTTATCTAATCACACCATGCCCTCACGCAGCTAAACAAGAACGCACGCGCTGTCTTCTGTTTCTGTTTGCGCGCAGAGACACTGAACATGCATCAATTGACTAATAAGCTTTTGCTGGTGCTGCACCATATTCTACCACAGTCACATTTTTTCCCACGGATAACGCCTTGTGTTCCAAGGCAGTGCTCGGAGGCGTGGTGAAACCTGATTTTCTATAAATACTACAGAAAACGACCAGACACCAATGAAATCAAAAAGCTGTCCCAATCCCCATTCCCATGCCCAGAAACAGCTGCACAGAATAGCAACAGCTGCTCCACTGACGGATATTAAAGGCGGTTCCTGAAATTTCCTAATTTAGCTATACAAGATAAGATCTTGTTTCTTTCTATTTTTTCTTGGCTTCCTGGGAATAAGTGGGGCACAGACACCCCCGCAAGCTCCTAATCCCAAAAAATGTTTAAGAGAACGCTCAATATGTTTTATATATATTTCTATTCTTGGCCTTTCAAACCACAGAATGTCCTGTAGCTCTTTATTTTTTTGCTTTCTGTCCGCAATCCCTTAGTCTGTACATACGTTTCGCATCTATGTATTAGTGTTCTTGCTACTTCACTTTCACCCATGCAATGCCAATTAGAAAGGGAGCGGGACTTTTTCCATGCTTTTATGGAGTATTTGTACGCCTCTTTGTCTGCTAATATCCCTATTGCCTGGGATCTGGAAATGTATTGGGCAATGAAGTGTAGAAGATTAGTGCGCACCATTCTGTGGATCAACGGATCAGAATTGGACACAGAAGCAATATTTCTAGACTTGGCGTAGATCATAACGCAGAGAACAAATCCTTCGAGTATTAGTGTTGGAAGGTGGAAAAAAAAAAACTGAAAAAGTTTTGAAAAAAATACAGCAGAGGAAATTAAAGACTTGCATTATCTGCTACACATGGGGTGAGAAAGGGACAGGGAAGGCGCAATCAGGCAGGCAAGGGCCTGCAAAGAGGCTTTCCACAATAAAAATAGTATTGCATAAAGGTAAAGACTTATATATAGCTTCGTTCTTCGATAGTCCTGATATATAAAGGAAGCGTTCCAGACAAAACAAAAAGTAACTAAACATCCATTGAATTCTTATTCTAGAGGAGACCACCTTTGGAATAGGATGAAGGAGTGGCTTATTTGGGTAGTAGAGGTGTTTATATGGTGGGGACAGCTATGGTTCTGCGGTGATATTGATCGCAACTATTTTGAGAGAAGTGTGGCAGTGAAGACAAAGTACGATGGGGTTAGGCGACGTGAGTATTTTGTGCCATTGAAGCTGGCCACGAATAGTTATGACGACATGGCTGTTTTCACCGAACTAGAGTATTCTCCCAAAAGGGAGAACGCAACGTTGTTGATGCTTGTTAGAAATTGGGAATTGAGTGGAGCCCTGGCGTCCATGCGGTCGTTGGAGGATAGATTCAACAGGAAGTATAATTATGATTGGGTCTTCTTGAATGATGTGCCGTTTGATGAGGATTTCATGCTGGCAACATCTGCTATGGCTAGTGGTATGACTTACTATGGTATGGTGCCGCCCCATGAATGGTCTACTCCAACTTGGATTAATGAGGACCAGTACGCACAGTGCCTGAGAGACATGGAAGGCAGCGGTGTCATATATGGTGGTTCAAGATCATACAGAAATATGTGCAGGTTCTACTCTGGGTTTTTCTACAAGCAGGATCTTTTGAAAAACTATGATTACTACATGAGAGTAGAACCCAACGTTGAGTATTTCTGTGACTTCCCATATGACCCATTTAAAGTCATGCGTGCAAATAAATACAAATATGGCTTCTTAATGTCATTATATGAGTACGAAAACACTATTCCACACTTGTGGCATGCAGTTGAGGATTACATTAACGAATATGGTCACAAACTCAATTTTGAAAACAATTCCTACAGTTTTTTAGTGGATAAAGACCATTTCAGCCCAAATACCATGGGTATCATAGAGTCACACACCGATTACAACCTATGCCATTTCTGGTCCAATTTTGAAGTTGGAGATTTAAGTTTCTTCAGAAGTAAAGAGTACGAAGAGTTCTTCGATTTCATGGATCAAAAGGGAGGATTTTATTATGAAAGATGGGGTGATGCACCAATACATACAATTGCTGCATCTCTACTATTGAACACTAGTGAAGTGATACATTTCGATGAATTGGGCTACAGACATGAACCATATCTCTCCTGCCCGAGATCTCTGGGTATACAATTACAACAAAGATGCCTGTGTGATGTAAACTCCGATGTCAATTTGGACATTTCATTGGCAAGTTGTCTACCTAGATGGTGGAGGAACGGGTCTGGCAAAACGTTTGTTAAACCCAAACAATTTACAGATTAATCGCATTTTTTTTACCTTTAAGATTTACAAGTGATATATAGAGTAAGCATTTTCTTTTTTTTACCACAGCATATTATGCTCCCGGACTACAATGACAGAGGATAAGCAATATATAAATAAATGTTCCAAGCCTCAGGTCATCACCATTTCATGGATCGCTTAACCAAGGTCAGACCTCAGAAGTAACCTCAAACAGCAATGGTTTTAAAGTTGGAGACTGGCCGATGAGACGTATCCCAACGGTCCAGATAAAGTTCTATCTTTGAAAACACATAAAAAAAGAACTCACATCAATTCTAATGAGGAAAGAAACAAAAATACTTGCTAATTATTTTGTGTAGGTGACCAGGTCGGATAAACAGGGTAGAATTGAAAATAAATGTTCTATCTGCATTGAAATCCAGTGTCTTCAATGATAAATAAGTCAAGCCTGCACATAATAACTAACTCAAAGCGCATCCTTATCTCTAACATCCACACTGGAAAAGACATGAATCCTTGGTAATTTTAGATAGACATGACAAGAACTAAAACCGAAAATAAAGTAGGAAATTATAACTTGTTGACTTTGCAACGAGCTCTATTTATACAAATTTTTTCTCTTCAGGAAGAAACATATAACGTAATATATGATATATTATTTTCAAGTGAATAAAAATGCAAAGAATAGGCAAGCAAAAGTATAAGCTGTATTTTATGTTGGAGCAAATATACTGAGGGATAATAAGCTGGGATATATATAAATTAAACAAAGATATTACCCTTCCAAGCCCTATCCGAACAATCAAAATGAGCAAAAGCAATCCGTTGCTTGCTAACTTGAAGGCTTTTAAGAGCAAGGTCAAATCAGCTCCTGTGCTCGGAGTACCAAGGTCCAACAGCAATAGTCGAGCCAACAGTAACACTAGTGTTAACAACAGTGACAATATAGTTGAGATCAAGGATGAGGATGATACTAGCGCCACACCCAAGAAAAGAAACAGAGCTGCCACTGAGGATGAAGTTGATCTAATTGATGATGATAGTGATTATGACAGTTCACCATCAAAACGTGTAAAACCTGGTTCTTTAGCTGCTGCTGCCTTGCAAGCCAGTCAGGCTGATATATCTAAGAGTCATGATTCATCTAAACTTTTATGGGCCACAGAGTACATTCAAAAGAAGGGTAAACCTGTACCGTTAACTGAACTTATGGACTATCTCTCCATGAAGAGAGACGATAAGGTGATAGGCCTTCTGAAAAAACTAGAGCGGATAGAGTTTGATGAGAAGAAGAGCACATTCAAATATCTATCGACTTATGACGTACATTCTGCGCAGGAGTTATTGACACTGCTAAAGAACCAAGTCACATTCAAAGGTATTTCATTCAAGGATTTGAAAGATGGTTGGCCGCAGTGTGAAGAGACCATCAATGATCTAGAGGAAGAGAGCCAAATACTGGTCTTGAGAACCAAAAAGGACAAGACACCACGTTATGTCTGGTACAACCGTGGTGGTAATCTAAATTGCATCGACGAAGAATTCGTGAAAGTCTGGGAGAATGTCCAACTGCCACAGTTCACCGAGCTGCCAAGAAAGCTGCAAGAACTAGGTTTAAAACCTGCTAGCATCGACCCATCCTCTGTCAAGAGACAAACTACAAGAGTTGAAGTCAAGAAGAAGAGAAACAGAAGAGGTAAGATCACGAACACACACATGGCTGGTATCCTAAAGGACTACTCGAACAAAGCATAAAATAGAAACACTATTATCTTAAATAATTACATATCATTGCGCAATGAAACGACTAGTATATTGATCCATATGCTTTACCATTATAGGTAATGACGAGGAAACCCTAATCATCAATGACCTAAGACGTTCATATGGTGCGATACCCAAATCACTATGTACACACAGCACTTTTCCACGAGGTTCTGCAGATACAGTTTACACAACCCTAAACGTATACAGTGACACAAATGTATCTTTTTCATGCTTTTCAGAAGCCATTGGCTGTGAAATTGCGCAGAGAGAAACTCGAGTTTTTCTATGTGCTTCTAGCTGAGAAGAGAAAATTTTTTTTTCTTCAGTCGTTTTGCGATGCCCTCTAGTATTTGGAAAAGTATAAAAGGGCATCGGTACTTCAATTTATGTAGTATATTGTTAAAGTATAGTTATTTTATCTTGCAGTGTTTTACATATGTTAAATTACAAGATAAGTAAGGACTTTGATTTATGAGCTATCATGGATCAAGTTCTTCTGTTCTTAACAGATGCATAGCGTGTATGCTGTGTGAATAGGGAATTTTGTTTTTGACTTTTAAATACTTCTCAAGGTTGAGAAGTGTCCGGGGAATTACTTCCCATGATATTTTTTTTTCTAGTTGCTTTGATGAAAACGGTAATCTTCTTTCCCAGTCCGATTCGACCATGACGATCAGGGTTTCTACCACGTCCATCTTTCTCTGACTTGACTCTCTCTTCTCTTCGGAGGATTGGGAGGATAGGATGGGATTGTGAGGACTTTTCTTGCCAGTGTATTACGTATACACAACAAAGACTCTGAGCATTCTAACTAGAAAAAAGAATATAACTTTTCCCAGGACAAAGTTGAAAATAGAACTCTAACACACAGATCTATTGTCTGCTAAGAACAAACAAATTATAGATTACGATGATGAAAATTCGGTTCCTTACATTCGCAGTTTCCACGGTAGGAGTACGCCTTACGAACCCATCGTTAGTACTTTTCGGTGACCGCCTCTTTACGAGACCTTCCTAGGATGTCTGAGTAATCTATAAAAAATCTTGGTTTTGTAAAAAAAATTGTAGAAATGCTATTGAATCATTAATATCTAGTCAGGATAACATACTATTTATAATATTCCAAATGGCTTTGGTTGCCAATCGTCATGACTATCCCAATTAAACGTCTCAATGGATGGGGGTTTGACACTTTCCTTTGATTTTAAATTCAACAATCTCTGCTTAAGTTTCTGTAGGTCATCGCTAAGCTCATTGTTATGCACCGATGCTTCTTTTGCTTTCTTTACTACAGCTTTTGCTTTAGCACCATACATGCTGAACTGTTTTTCCTCCTCTAACATCACATGCGATTTAAGATAATCCGCCACTAATTGATTCCATTGTCTCTGTGTATCATTTAACTTGGCTGTTGTATCGTTGTTATCTTTCCTTCTTTTCTTTCTCCTCCAGTTATGATTGCCAATATCTTCTTCAAGCTTTTTGACGAGCAGCGATAGTAACTTGAATTGCATAAATGTCATATCTGGATTGAATAGCTCCGATAGTTCAGAGATTCTGGATCTGATATTTAGCAGGGAAACAAGTGGTGACAATAATTCCTTCTCTAATACTATCCATTTACTAAATCTTGATCTGATCGCATACAAATCTTGTTTCAGTTCTAAATTACCATCTTGGTACAGAACCGTATACGCTGAAAACATCCATTTAATTAATTCCAAGTCAAAGCCAGGCAACTTACGTACTAACAAGCTCAAAAATAGGTCATCATAAAATTTAAGAAAAGTCCTCATGAATAGATTCTTATCACGTATAACTTTCCAGAGATATTTTACTTCCGTTATCGTTTCATCAATAAATTTTACCAGTTGATCAGCTTTACTGGAATTAGTTTTTCCACCATCATCAACTACAAAATTATCACTGCTAATAATACTATTTTTCTCTTCGAGCCAAATATTACAGTTATCTCTTAGCTCGGTATTGTTATTTTTCCATAGCTCAATTTTTAATCTCAACCGATCCAAATATTCTTGCTGTCTTATCGTCTCTTCATCCAGAGCATCATCCTCATTCAGTGAGTCATCAAGCTCATCGTTATCCCAATAATTTTTCCACAACCACTGCAGAGCATCCTTTGCTGCCATGCGAAGCATATCAATGTTTGGCAGATCTCTCTCATGCGTACCCCAATGCCTTAGGTCAACAAACCAAGACGGCAGACCCACATTTCTTGCTATGGTATGCAATGGAATGGCAAATTGTGTCTGTTGCGAAGGATCTAACACACCATTCACAAACCGGATCATTGCCATTGTGTACGTCATACGTATATTCATCTTGTCAAATAAGTCATCAGAGCCACCATGCTTCTCATCTGCAAGAATAGCACTTGTCAATTGCGCGGTCGAGTCAATAACATGTGGCAAGTACTGAGAACCTTTCAATTTATAACTCTTCACTCGGCTAATAGCCTTCAACCTGAGATCATTACCGTCACTGACACTATAAAACCATTGCTTCAATTCGTCCAACTCTTTCTCATCCTTCCACGGCACAACTCTTCCATGCGACATATTCACTATGCAACCAATTCCACTTTATAGTATGATTACTAGAATCAAAAAAAACAATGCAGTGCCACACCAAGCTAGCAATACTAGTTGTTATTTCGATTCAATGTTGTTTCTTTTTCTAGAGCTCATCGCTAGCTCATCGCATTTCTGAAATTTTTCACTTTTTCCCCAGGGCCCTGAGTCTTTCTCACACCTCTTTTCTTGATATAAGGCAAAACCTATAAAATGCTTGATCATTCATAAATTGGTACTTTCATAAACACTTTCTGATCCGCCGATAAGTTGCTGTGGATTAGCTTATTATAAATTATAGAAGCAATACACTGTGCTTAAATATCCCAAAAAGTTATACTGAGCTGGATCAGATATTCTGGTAAATACATAGGGTGTCTGATAGATATTGCCAGGGCAACCAGAATATTTTAGCTAGACTTCGTGAAGACGGTAAGATATAAATTTATTCTTGAATCAGCTGTTAGTTTTATAATTCAAGATGGAAGAACCCAAGAAGGTCACAAAGTCTAGGCGCCGTCCTATGCTAGTATGTGTGAACTGCCGAAAACGGAAGTCTAAATGTGACCGCCAGTTACCATGCAGTAAGTGTATACAACACGGTGACACAGATACATGTACATACTTGAATGATGTTCCCATAGGCAAGAAGAATAATGTTCCTAATACTCAAGTGACTCCTAACAGTTCAAGTCCCAGTATCGTGATTAATTTACATCAGAATGGCAATGACTATAAAACAAAAAATTTGAATGGTCAGGATAACACCCTTCTGAAAGAAATAAATAATAATATATGGGGTAGAAATAGCCCCATATTTCCAGACAGTTCAGATCATTCACCTCCAACACAAGTTTTTGGGGATGGCCCTAATTTAAAACCCAAAGTAATTGGCCATTGCAGATACTCTGGCGAAAATCAATATATTAATATGGTACCCAAGGGTTATTTAATCGAAGTAAAAAGATCATCCGTAACTCGTTATGCAATGTGGACAAGCACATCGGTAGAGTACAGAGATCCTTACTTAAGTTGCATGCTAATGTTCAAAAAAGGTGCTGTTAAAGCCACTACTGAACAAATGAAGAAAAAGATGAAATTTAAGAATTTACCTAATTCATTCGCCCTATTCACAGCATTTGACAATGCTGATGATGGTAAAGATAAGCCTAACTTGAACCATGCGAAAATATTTAATAAGTTTGCTGAATATAGGCAGCAAAAATCAATTGGAGATCTGTCTGAGGATCATATTCTGGATACAAAGGATTTACCTCGTAGACAAGCTGTTGAAAACTGCGTACTTATGTTTGCAAAATTCCATCTTTGCCCATTATTACCGTTATTTAATCTTCCTCATTTGATGGAAGAGGTAAAGATATTTTATGACAATGTTGAAAAAACAGGTAAAGTATCAACAAAAAATGGCGACAATTGGATATACTGTATTATTTTGCTTCTAACCAAAATTTGTAAGTTAGCCATATGTATGTCTAACATACCAGGTGATGATGTTAGCCCTATCGCTCAATTGGATACCACCAGATTTATTCCTCTGGTACATAAATATATTATGAATCATAATTTATTTCGCAAATGCACATTACACCAGTTGCAAGTCTTACTTTTGTTAAGATTTTATAATTGGTGTGCACCAGAAGATGGCGATGGACAACAAGGACAACAGAATAGTATTCTAATGGGCATGATCATTTCCAGTGCAAAAGAACTCGGTATAGGATGGGATCTATTTACCCCCGGATTTCCTGTTGGCATCGATATATCAGATGGTTCTAGACCTTCTGCACAACATATGAATGCTGAGGAGTATACTACATTATATCAAAAAATATGGTGTTATATTTTATTTTGGGATAGAAAAATGCTATTGGTAAATGGTCAAAACTGCATAATACAAAGAAGTAGAGATACTGATTATTCACTACTCGAGGCAACTTTTAGTAAGGAAGATGGTAGTGAGTTTTTTCGATACTTTATTCATCTAGATTCGCTACTTCTGGAAATTAATGACCTCATATCTTCAAATCCCACTAAAGTAAATATAACAGCTCTTAATAACTGTATGACATCTCTTGAAGAGGAATTTCGCAATATCCATACAATCGTTAATTCAAGAGAAATACTGCAAAGCAATGATGATCCAAGATTTTTTGAAGTTAGTTGGAATATCAAGATAGCCCGTGCTTGTATTTTGCATGCTGAGGTGGTATCATATGAAAAGGAATGTGATTTTGTAAGATGCCATTATGCAATTCAAAAATTGTGGGAAATTGTCCTATCGATGTGTTCCGACTGTATGGAATACTGGAGCCAGAGATCAGAAGCATTCCTTGGTAGTTTGAATAACTTTTATACCAATCGTATTGTCGAGATTGCTGCTGACAGGCTCGTACATTTTGTGAAGGCAATCATTTTGCGGCTCCATAGATTTCATAATGTAAAGGCTGAAGATAAGCAGATACTAGTTCAGTTCATGCATAAGTTCTGTTCCTTATATTTTACAAACTTTGGTAGGGAATATTTCAGATGTTTCAAAAGTTTGTTCAATTTGAAGATGGATTATAGAGTTCTTTCATATTCAAGTGTAAAAGACCCATGGACTGTCATGCTGACATTCATTTTACATGAAATGTCCTACGGTGAACAGCCGGAAGGTAAGTTATCATTAAGAGACAGACTACCATTGATTGCCAAATTACATGATAAGTTAAGCTATATGCCCAGCTCTTTTAAAAACCATGACCTTATCTTAGATGCTTGGCAGACGTCTATTTATCCAATTTGCCGGTATGATGAGCACTTCCAACTTAACCTATACATTAGTGAAATTAAAAAGCTAGACGAACATTACAAAATAGATAAGGATAAAAATTTATTTGAGTCGTTCTACAACAACGAAGTAAAACTATTTGGTGAGGAATTTGGAACTCAAGAAAGCTGTAATTCTGCTTTTCAAAAAGATTCATCTGAACCTCCTCAAGAAACTATTACACTAGATGAATGGGGTACCCTTTCGGGACCTTATGAAGGTAATGATATATTGTTGGCATCAGAAACTGATTCAAAGGCGTTAAGATATAATGATCAGCTAATCCAAGAAATATTCAATCCAAAAGACTTTCTTCCATTCCTATGATACTGATAGATATACAGAATGGACAAAAATTAACGATATAAAAGTTTCAAATTTTAGAACTTAATACATATATACTATTATATACACGGTGAAATGACAGGTAGAATAATTGCTAGTTTGTTTTTACTGCAGACACTTCGACAGAACCGAGCAGTCGGTTTTGAAATAAACTTCATCTTGACCATATACGCTTTATTATGTTGACAGTTCGTAGGTAAAGTGTTAGAGCTAACACTTATCCACAGTTGCAGCAATGGTAAATTAGATAAGACAGGTTATGAATTCATTTGAATTACAAAAACTCCTTGGCTTTTTTAGCATATGCATGACAGTCTCTCAACCATTGCCTGTACTCTTTTACTGAACCAATTTTCTCACCATAATAGTCTGGTACCGGATTACTGAAACTTTGTGAGGAAGCATCTACTCTGTTTTGAATAACGTGTTTCAAAAATTCCTTGTTCTTCAAGTTATATTGTGCTAGTTTGTTACCCTTAGTTAGCTTGAACACCTGTGATCCCACAGCTGGGCCCATTAGGTAACCCAAGGCACCTGAGGCCATAAGACCGGCAGTAACCACAACTAATGGATCAAAACCGAATATCATCTGCGTGGGGTCAATCTCCATAGTAGATAGGTATGCCCAAGACACATTAGCACCCACTAAAGCAGTGAACACAGAGGAGCCAACATTGATTCTGCGCTCCTGCTTTCTCAACTGGAAGAAATCAGTCCATGTAAGACTGTCTTCAGGCTTGTCACTGTAATATCTAGCATTACATTTAACCAATGGCCTTATCAAACCAGGTCTAGCCACACTTCTTCTAACAATACCTTGCGTAATTGATAGCATCACAAACTTTTATTTATTGTATGAATCAAAAATTCCAAATTTAGGTTTCTATGTTAATAATACTTGCTGAAACTCCCAAAACTAGTGGAGTGAAATCCAAAACTAGAACTGCTCTGAAGTAAATAATGTAATACATGCAAAACAATGACTCTCTGAAACATCTTCCCTAACAATAATTGTCATTGAATTCACAGCTTGAGAAGGGCCTGAAACCCTTCAACATCGGCATTTTACAGAGAGAGAAGTCTTTAGGAGTTACTATGAAAGTCACGTGGTAGAAATATTATTCATATATAATTGCATAGACTATAAGACTAACAAGTCTTGTGTCTTTCCCAATACTCAGATTCCATGTCTGAACGTTTATTTCGTGAACAGCTTCCTATTTCTTATCAAATGGGTTTGTGTTTAGCCGATTTATATAGTTTGTCAAGTGTTCATTTTGAATTGGACAGTAGAAACTGATCCGATGAACAAGGTAGCTATTGAGAGCTTATTTCTTGAAGTTACATACAGTTATTTAGCAGAGAGTATGTATTGGTATTATTGTAGCAAGAACAGTGGCTCTCGATGTATATATATTCGAGTTCAGTATATCAATATCTAGTCACCAGTGCACTTGGCCATCTGTGTGATTGGAGACGATTTAAGGTGTGAAGGGGTAAGGATTAGATGAGAAGAAGGTTTGAAGACCTTATATCTTCAATTACTGCTTGCGATACCGATTTTATTTGCAAGTATTTTAACAACAACAAGCGAAAAACTAGGAACCATGTCTATGTTTAGAACTTTGCAAAGGCAGCCCCGTACCATATCCCTATTCACACATGATTTGGAGAACAGCAGACCATGTCTCAGTATTCTCGAGTATTTAAAGAGTCACACGACCAATCGCTTTGACTTAGAGTTGAGCACCAAGTTTCCAACTTTGGACCAGGTACACTACATGAACGCCATCAACCCGATGATCCTGCGCGCACAGATTCCGCATCTCACCAAGATCATGAAATTGAAGTCCTATGACCCACTATTTGGGTCACAACTATCTGACTGTGTCACTAAGGGGTTCTGGAACAAAGAAGCACCATTGTGGGTAGACTGGGAGAAGAAAGCACTGGGAACTGACCTACAGAGCATAAAGGAACTATTAGAAAAGGACTGAGAATGTCAGAACGTGTACATATATTCCATCTTCATATTCATTTATAGGCCACATAATATCCATTTTTATTTCTAATGAGTTAAAGAATAGTAGCAAGTATAGTGTCGAAATTACAGGTTGCATAGAGTACTTTTATTGCCGTTGTCGACTTCACAAGGTAAAACCTCCTTGTAATCATATTAATCTATTAGCGTTACAAGATAGTAAGAACGGATTAGTGGAGATAAACTCTATAATAGTTATTGATTGATAAAAAAAAACCCAATAGATTCACACGATCGACTGCCATAAATACGCCCATATATATACTAGATTGGCTAATATCTAGCTATATAAATATGTAAATCATGTGATATATTAGCTACGTATACAGCTAGCGACTGTGAAAAAAAAAAGTGCTCAGAAGCATCGAATTTTGGCAAAACGCTTTGGGAAGCACAATGAGCATCCGAAACTCTTGATGGACACTTGGGTTGCTACTATTTGATCTTTAAACATATAGGCTCTTGTCTCAATAGTTGTGATTTGCATCACTGACAAAGAGGTCAAGCTGAACAGAAAAAAGCATTATGTCGGCACCAATTAAGACTAAGCCAAAGTCTTCTATGAAGATAGACAATGCTCCTACACCACACAACACACCTGCCAGTGTGCTGAATAACAGCTACTTGAAGAACGGCAATCCAGTGGGCAAGAGCAAGCCTCCACCAACGATTAGCGAGGAAGATATTCAAACTGCGTTGAGTTCGCAGCAGCCACTATTGCTCGGTGCAATCCAGGAAAAGCTGGGGTCTCTTGTAGGCCAGGATAGTGGATACGTTGATTCTTTGCCACAGGTAGTTAGAAATAGAATATTTGCTCTAAAGAAGCTGCAATCCGATCTGTTTGGTATTGAGAAGGACTTCCAAGTGGAATTATTCGAGTTGGAGCACAAGTACTTACAAAAATACGCGCCTCTACATGCCCGTCGTAGCGAGATCATTAGTGGTAAGCAAGAACCAACCTCTGAAGAAGTTGCTGCAGGTAAAGAAATTCAAGAAAAGGAAGAAGGTGAAGAAGAAGAAGGTGAAAAGCCAACTGACATTCAACTAACGGAGGAAGACATCAAGGGCATTCCATCATTCTGGCTCACTGCTCTGGAAAACTTGCCAATTGTCTCAGACACAATCACTGATCGTGATGCTGAAGTGCTTGAATATTTGCAAGATGTCAGCATCGAATATCTAACTGAAGGCAAGCCAGGTTTCCTTCTGAAGTTCAAATTCAGTGAGGAAAACCCATACTTCAAGACCCCAGAACTAACTAAGACATACTACTACCAAAGTGAGCTTGGTTACTCTGGTGATTTCATCTATGATCATGCAGATGGCTGTTCTATTGACTGGGTAGACAACGACTCCAATGTTACCATTGCCGTTGAGATGCGCAAACAGAGAAACAAGACCACAAAGCAAGTGCGTACGATAGAGAAGATCACGCCGATTGAATCATTCTTCAACTTCTTCGACCCACCAAAGATGGCCGGCGATGAAGAAGACGAAGAAGACCTGGAAGACCTGGAAGAAAGACTAGCGCTAGACTATTCCATCGGTGAACAAATAAAGGACAAACTAATTCCTCGTGCTGTAGATTGGTTTACTGGTGCAGCATTGGAATTTGAGTTCAACGACGCACCAGAAGATGAATTCGATGAATTCGAAGATGAGGACGAGGACGAGGATGAAGATGAAGAAGAAGACGAGGATGAAAGAGACGACTTCGCAAATAAGAAAGAAGAACCTCCTGAGTGCAAACAATCTTAAAAAGCAAAAAGATTACAAGCAATCAGATTTGCGTTGCTCCATCTCATCGCATAAGTAAGCTCATTTAAGGGGCCGAGTGCGTCTACGTCTGTGTGTGTTTTTATCTATAGTAAAATAATTTGTCTTCTATATAATACATTTTCATATAAAAATCTGTTTTCATTATTATAAGAATGTCTATTTTTTTTTCTTTTTTTCATTTTGTAGTAATAATATCTTGCAACTTTCCACTAAAACTATATTACTTGTAGTTATTATAGATAGTAGATCTTCTATAATCTGTGAAAGAGTCATATGAGCACTTCAAAACGGCAGCCCTCCCATTTGTCCTAAACATTCATCGAAGCAGCACTGTTATCTGCAAGGGACTACATATTAATTGTCACTTCGTTGGCAAGTAGGGCATGTCTTCAGACTGAACTCTGTTTGTGTGTCTGCCCTTCCCTCCTTTCGAAGATAAGTGATAAAATTGTCCCACTTAAGACCTTACTGCTCGCAACAACTAAAAGCAGCAGAAAGGCATTTTTACGTTAAACTTTTGCCTTGATGTGATGGGTAAGGAAAGGGTGTGGCTCATTTCCTTTAACCTCATCGCATCGCTTCTTGTGTTATCTTGACTTTAAAACCTTCGAGGGTGGGCCATCACAACTAAACACCGACGACTGAAGACACTGTAGCAATATGTACCCTTCATTACCTTATTTGTTAACTCTCTAGAGCAACCCTTGCATTGTGTCCTATAAGGACATTAACAAATTACACATAGATATATATGTATATATATAAATCAAGCATTTTCAAAGGTCTTCAAGGAGTCGGAAAGTATCGAATAATTCTCAGCTTCTCTTTTTAAAGTTAGAGATCGATTTTTCTATTTTCTTGCTTATTCAGTAGGTGTTTCATTAAGATCAGTATATACATTTATTTGCAGATGACTGAAGGTAATTACGCTGAAGTTGCCAGTAATGGCCAAGAGAAGAAAGTAGCCAAGGAGGAATTGCACTCCTCATTGGTGACATACAGCTCTCCAACTTTGCAGCACTTGCATCGTTACCCAGTGGTTGACAAGCTTATCAAGCGTGCTGTTAGTGTGCCAGTGGTGAGCAAAGCCATCGCTGTGTCTTTGCTGGCTGTAACGGGTCTTAAGCACAAAGTTTGGGACTCCGGCAAGTTCCCTGCAGTTGCTAAGCCTGTGGTTTCAAGCAGTTTCAAACTCTTGCACAAATTTGATGAATTAGTGAACCTGTTGGTGTTTAGCGAAGGTATCGACGCTTTGTTCTACGCTGCCAAGGAACACAAGAATAGACCTGGTGTGTGGTTAGTATGGTTCCTACTTGACTATTTTGCCAATGTTTTCAACATAATCTTAAAAGAGTTTGTGCTGAAACCATTCAAATTGGGTAATGTAGCTATAAAAGATGCTTCTGATGCAACACACAAAGTCACAGATGTGAAGGAACTGCCTCATGTTTCTGAGCTAAGCGATACCACCAAGCGTTTGTCACAAGATCTACAAAGCAAAGTTTCCGAATCTTATATTCAGCCTACCAAAGAGTCTGCGATGCAGAAATATGACACTTACATCAAGCCAACTGCTGAGAAGTTGCACAACGTATATGCAGGCAATGCCAAGGAAAAGATCGATACTTATGTTAAGCCAAAGTATGACTCCTACGTAAAGCCAGGCTACGATACTGCTAAGGAGACTTATAAGACTATTACTGCCACTTACGAGCAGAAGTTGAACAAGACTGAAAGTATTCCTCGTGCCATCGTTGACACAGGTTATGAGGTTGGTGTCACCACTATAGGAAAATTGAGAGGATCTACCCCACCAAAGGAGCAACAACGTCCACAAACTACTGAGGTGTCCTCCTAATTTCAATTCTGAAACATATCGCTTAAAGTTTATGCTTTGCAAATAAATTTAATATTCTAAGTTACATCTCGGCCTGTTTTTATTTAGTTATTTAGAGTCAATTATTAGAGATGAGACCTTTTTATTTGATATTTAAAGTAATTCAACCTATACAAAGCTATCATTTTATTCTAAGATCTTAATATTAATAAATCAAAATTTTACTCAGCAAAAAATATTGTTATAAGCATAGATAGATTTATAAGATGCATACTAAATATATAGTGCCATCAAGCCTCTTTAGAGTCCTGAGAGTGCATTAAGATTGTTTTGATCATTTCGTTACCTATTTGGTTAGCTTCAGGAAGCATCGGTTCAAAGAATTTTTGAACATCTTCAAATTGTCTTTTATATAAGTCAAAATTTCCGAATGTTACAATTGAACTCCATTCTCTAGCGGCTACTACAAACTCAAGGTCATCCCTTCTAAATGAGTGGTCATCAATGGCAGCATCAATGGTTTTTTCTAATAGGTCTGGTGATAGGAATAGGAATTCGGAAACACCAAGAAATATTCTAAATAGTGGTGTGGAACAGATCATATGATCATATGGATTGATTCCCAGCTGATGCCACGAGTCAACAATAGCCAGCAATGACAGATGTGAATTTGGCAAAGAAGTACTTTCTTTGCTATCAGAAGATGCAGAATCTTTGGATAATGAATATTTCTCAAAGATCGTATCGTCAAGAAGTAATAAACCAGTATGATTTCCAAACACAAATTCTTTTGCTTTGTTTAATCTCTCTGTAAGTTCATCCTTTTTCTTATCTAAAAATAATGTAAACAGTTCTGTAGCACTTGTTGCGTATTGCAGAATTTGTTTGTGGGCCATTGGGTTTGTAAGTGCTAAACCAGCATAAACATGCCACTTATTTGAATAGATTCTCAAGGAAATATTAACTTTGACATTCTCCAAGCCACCATACCATTTGTTAACACCCAATGTCCATGGATAAACTTTTAGTTTTGCCCATGCCCTACCCATACTTAAGAAGGCAGCATGTGTCACTGCTTGAGTATCAGCTGTAATTCTATCGTGTTCTTCATAGGTCAAATAGACCTGTTTACTTTTGAGACAAGACACCAGAGACTCGATAAACTTCATAGATTCGTCTGTCTTGCTCCTGTGATTAATCAAGACCAGTGGCTGACCCTCTGTATTCACTTTTGGCCCATGTAAGGAGTGCAAAGTTATAATTTCAACATCTTCAGGTAGGTATTTCTCGAAAGCTTTGATTTCAGGAGTCTTACAACTTGTTTGACCACCTACAATGGCACCAACTTTAGTCGATGGCCCATACAATTTCACCAATTTATCAATGTTCTCGGCTTCGACACTGTAAATAATATAATCACTGATTCTTGAAACATAATGACCATTTTTCACAATATCAAATTTCCAGGCATTTTGTCTTTTCCTTTCCGAAAGCGAATCAAATAACTCTTCTCTATCACAAGCAACCACTTTCCAACCAGCACTGGAAAACTTGGTTGCATATAGCAGACCCATATCACCCAGCCCAATAATACCAATTACCTTATTGGCCTGCCATTGTTCTTCCATCATTTTTTATACTCTATTTAGCACCAACCTCTAGGTAGAGAATTATCAGTTATTCAGTTTGTAAAGACTAAGATATAATTATGCAATTTGTATGGTTTAATTCTACAGAATATTATATTAATGAAAGATAACTAACCTTGTAGTTAACAAATAATATCATTTGTGATTTGGGTTTTTAACTTTACAGTTGCGAAGCGTGCGCGACTTTTACTGTGTGACTGAAAAAAAATGGCACTGGATTGACAAAATAATAATGCGATGAGTTAGCTCATCTATCATATATGACAGTTCTTAGAGATTGTTTGTAAATGAACTAATAATAGTTATAATGCTATATTGGTAATCTTAGAGGAGTGAAGTATAATAGTTCTCGATTCTGATCCAATCTTTCTGGTTTTCGGCTTATTCACTAAATGTCTTGATCATACTTTAAATATCCTCACTTCTACACCGCTCAATAATCGCTTCTTGAGTTTAGTTTCTATATCACTATCACTATCATCTATGCTTTCTGTGTCTTCTACTACCTCATCTAATACTTCAATAGTCTTGGTCATTACCTGTACCTTGTGCAGCTTTTCCTGATATGTGGTTGCAATGGCAAGAGTTTTGGTAACACTGTGACCCATTCCTAGTACAGTAACATATCGTTGACACTGGTTTAAAAGCTTGTCTATCCTCTTTGTAGCACTTTTGAAGGGCGTTCCACTCTTCACATACATTGTTGATTTAATCTTTTTGTGTGACATGGTCTTTACCGTCGGTAGCTTTCTAACTAATTTCTCTGCCATGATTATGCTCTTTAGTCTCTATATGCAAGTATTTTATAGCAGTTCAAATATAATGCAACGCCGTCAAAGTTTTCTATAGCTTCCAGATGGTTATATTTGTATATATCTCATCGATTCTTAAATCAGAATGCTTCTTTTTTCAAGCTTTTCAATGGAAATTCGGGCAGGCTTTAAGTTACAGTGGAATATATTGGCAAGTGAAATACCAAGATGTTTTGGCACTGCTTAAAAGTTCTAAATTGCACCTATTGATGAACAATTGGTTAAGCCCATCACTGGACTTATTATTCTATCAGCTTTAGCGGTTCTATTTTTTCACTGCTTTGAGTATAACATTCCTTTGGAGGGGTTTATTATCTTATACCCGAAACTCCGATCACTAACACAGGCAAACCCTTATTCACCATCAAAATAGTCCCAGCAAGTATAAATATAAGTCAAAGCCATTCAATAAAGTTCTAATTATTTTTCAAATAGAATAAAATTAAACAACTGGCACAGATTTAGTTCTTCACAACACTAATAATGGCTTACCATGCGAAATTTATCAATAGCCATGGTCAGAAACCTTCACTAACGCTAGTCACGCCTGTCATGCTTTCCATGAGCTTGGCAAAGATATACCCGTTACTGATCATTGCAGATGCAGCTTTAGATAACTTAATGTGGATATGTGAGGATCCTAACCTCCCGTTTTTATATGTGGTATTGACTTATCTTTCGTTGAGTTTGTACTCTTGGTCATGGGAGTACCCAGTAGCAGGCTCTCAGATGGCTAATATTATTCTTCTGTGGTTGGAGCTCAGCAGTGGAGTTTTTTTATTATTTGCAGCCTCGTACTTCATAAGTTCGGTTTATTATAATATCTCAACATCAGAACCACCAACAGTTGATGATATAATACTTAATTTAGAGTCGTTGTTAGACAAATTAGAGACTTTACGAAATGAGATCATGTTCAGGCGATGGTTCAAGAAACCCATATCCAAAGTGAAAATGTTACAGATATTTGTTAGATTGGTACTGGTATTAACGCCTGTCCATTATGTTCTTATGAAAGTTATTACTGTGCATAATTATTCAAAGCTTCTTATTCTCTTTGCGTTGTTTTATCACTCAGATTGGATGCAAGTAGTCTTGCGACTATGTTGGAGATTGCTAATTGTAAGAAGGTTTTATTTCAGAGTGTTCAACTATATATTTGGAGATGAGTATACGTTGCTGGGCAACAATTCGAAATTCGGTCTCAAGACATTAAATTTACAGCATATTATGCATTTAACTTCTAACTGTTATTTACAAATTCCACTACCCTTGAATGCAGTAACTAAAATGAAAGAGAATCATTTGTTAGAGATATTACTACTGCGATACTTGAATAAAAATTCTAAGGCGCTAGAAAACGACGATAATATCATTAAAGAGTTTGATTCAAAAACCACTGCTGACGTCGTTCCTAAAGAGAATACTACTGATGAGTCTGCAACGACCTCATATAATTCCTCAAAAGTAAAAATTAAGGAAATTGTTGTATTCGAGAATCAAAGAAAATGGAAGTATAAAGGCTGGATTTCTAAGATGCTACCTTATGAACGTCCTCAATTTACGACGAATTGTAATAATAAATATAATGATCCTGGAGCATATATAACAGAGTCCCCTGAGCAGCTGGATTTACAGGTACCCCCAGATTGGTCCTGGATTGAAAAGGAGTGGACTGTATCGTCTTGGGTTTATTCTGACACAGATTGGAATGTTACTGGTACGATGGATTCATTAGAAGGATACACCAGATCAAGAATTTGGAAGAGAAAGATGTTCACTCTTTGATTTTCGGCAAGTATTACATATACTACATTTATTTATATTCTTTAATGAATTGTGTATTTTTTTTCATCTTTCGAAATTGGAAAGCAATTCTCATTAGTTGTTTCTATATTTTACTTGTGTAATATTCGCTCCATAACGAGTGACAAAATAGAAATTTATAAAAGGGTGTTTATCAGGTATAAAGAATACTTATTAAATGACATAATGATAAAGACAAAAGTAGACATTAAAATTTATCAATCACCTTACCAATAATAACCAGTAAAAATGGGGGAAAAAATAAGTGAAGAAATAATTTACATAATGATCGTTTGCAATGTTGGCTTTAAATGATTTAATCCAAATCCATTTGAGCATCGCCTTCTGGAGTAGCATCCTTCTTGGCTTCGGAGTCAGCAGATCTTTGAGCAGCCAACTTTTCACTCAAAGCAGCTAGGTTAGCAGCTTCTTGCTTGGCTCTAAGAGCTTGCTTCTTTTCTTCTTCCTTGGCCAAGTATCTACCTCTAATGACGTTACCGATGGCAGCCAATTCTTCGTACTTAGCAATGTACTTAGCCTTGATAGTGTCGAAACCATCTTCGTACAACCATTCTTCAGCCTTGGCAAGCATGTCCTTTAGCTTAGTCTTTTCAGCATCGGAAGCGAAGTCTGAGTATTCTTCATCAAGCTTACCACGAAGAGTGTAGATGTATTCTTCTAGGTTGTTCTTACGGTCTTCGGTTTCAGCAACCAATCTGTCCTGAGCAGTCATGTCGTTTTCCTTTTCGATCAAAGTGTTCAATTTGTCATCAGCCAAGGTGAAAGTGTGGGCGGTGATTTCCAAAGTGTCCTTCTTGACAGTCTTGGTAACTTCCTTAACTTCTGGAACGGCATCCTCTGGAGCATCTTCTGGAAGTGGAACTTCTTCCTTGACGACAATGTCTTCCAAGGAGTAAGCTTCTTCAATGATGTGCAAACCGGATGGGTCACATCTCAACTTTAACTTGACTGGAACAGAGGTTTCGCCTTCTGGGATTTGGACACCGGTGATGTCCCACTTAGCAATGTTGGCATCTAGATGTGGTGGCAGTTCTTCCTTGTTGGTGTAGTTAGCCTCCATGGAGAAGTCACCAGAACGGTGCAAAGTAATCAACTTAGTTGATGGGAAGTTAGAGTTGGCTGGGAAGACTTCTAGGTGGTCTTCATCTTCAACTTGCTTGTCCCACTTGTAAGAAACGGAGAATTGGTGAATGTCTTCGAACTTGAAAGGTCTAACTCTCAAAGTTGGGGAGTGGATGGCACAGATGAAAGCAGCACCCTTGGCGATAGCTTCGTCTTGGTTTAGAGTGGTAGACAATGGCTTGCCAAAAGCTTCGGAGATGGAGTTCTTCAAAGTTGGGATACGGGTAGTACCACCGATGATTTCAACGAAGTCAACGTCATCCTTGGTTAGACCAGCTTGAGCCAAAGCTTTGGTGACAGGTTCAGTGACACGTTCCAACATTGGCTTGACAAGTTCTTCCAATTCTTCACGGGACAATTGGGAACTAGCGTCAACATCGTTCATGACATTTTCGACACTGAATGGAGCAGCGGTGTTAGCAGACAAGACCTTCTTTAATCTTTCGGCACTGGTCATAACTCTGTTGTAAGCCTTTGGGTTCTCTCTGATGTCGATCTTGTACTTGGTCTTGAACTCGTCAGCGAAGTGTTCGGTGATGGCACGGTCGAAGTTTCTACCACCAAAGTTCTTATCCCAGGCGGTACCCAAAACCTTCAGTTCACCCTTCTTGAAAGCCATGATGGAACAGGTGTAAGAAGAGTGACCAATGTCGATGAAGGCGACGATTCTTGGCTTTTCTTCACCTTCTGGCAAATCGGTCTTGAAGACACCGTAAGAGACACCAGCGGCGGTGATGTCGTTGACGATTCTGACTGGGTTCAAACCAGCGATTCTAGCGGCATCAGCAGCAGCGTAACGTTGTTCCTCGGTGTACCAGGTTGGGACAGCGATACAGACGTCGGTGATGTTAGCCTTGGTCTCAGTCTCAACAGTTTGCTTGACCTTGTTGATGAACATAGCGTTCAATTGGGTGGCAGAGAAAGTAGTACTCTCACCAGCAAATCTGACTTGGGTACCGATCTTACCGTCTTCAAGCTTGACCAACTTGGAAGTGAAGAACTTGGACTCCTCTTGGAAGTCAGGGTGGTCGTAGTCCAAACCCAAAATTCTCTTCAAGTTACCGACAGTGTTCTTAATGTTAGAAGTCTGCTTGGTCTTGGCAGATTCACCCAAAAATCTGTTCTTTTGACCGAAACCAACCATGCTTGGGGTGGAACGGTTGGAAACTTCATTGACAACGATGTCAATACCTCTGTTACGGGCAACAGCCAACACAGAGTTGTCGTTACCGAAATCCAAACCAAATGGAGTACTCATAATGATATTCTTATTATTTTTACTTAGTTTCTCTTCTCCTGCATGAATTCAGAACACTATTTTACACTAGACTCACAACCGTTCTTATATACAAAGCCGGGCGATGAGATGGGGGACCTGTGAAGTGAAATTTTTCACTTCGATGGTCTCGAGGCTCGCCGTGAAAAATTTAATTTCTACGGCACAGAAGGAAAACAGCAAGAGTTCTACGGTGGTTTCTAAGAAGCTTCTAGAAGCTTCTCAATGGATGAGCAGTTTATTACTTGTGTCACATGCCTGCTACGTTCTCTGTGCTATAGAATAGCCAGGCTCATAGCCGGGATCAATAGCCAAGTGCATCAGCTCAATAGCATCCCTCCTGCTTTTAGATACTATAGTGGAATATACTTTTACGGGGTGTATATATACTGCAGATGTACGTATTATACTTCTCATGCCGACTCTATGATCATCAGTAGGGTCTGCCAGCCCGGGGAGGCGGACAGTTTGTACAGGGGCTCTTGGTAGTCCTGGGACAAGGCGCCCTTTACGAGCAATTCCCATTCCTCTTGTGAGAGAATCTGTAGTGAGTGGATGTAGAGCAGCAGGTGGAAGTTTGCTAGCTTGTCGTGCAAGTCGTTGAAGTTTCCCGAGGCTGCTGTGGAGTGCAGGTATCTCTTCAGCTCGTGGTAGTCCTGGGAGTAGCCCATGGCCTGTCTGTTGCTCCATGGGAACCCCGTGACGGAGTTGAACAGCTGGGTAGTGGTGTCCTCGTCCTTCGGGAACCCGTGTGTCAATGACACGATCAAGTAATCGACTGGGAATGCGGGCTTGGCGTTCTCCTTCACCGTCAGACCGTACTCGTTCTTCTTCATGTAGAATATCTCTGGCACGTACCTGTCCTCTGTGGTGTCGTTGATGTATGCCATGGAAGGGTGGGTAGAGCCCCCAATCATGTCTGCCGATACTAGCGCTTCGGCATCGATCGAGACCTGATAGCTGGCTATGTCTATCTCCTCCTTTAGGTTACCTGAAACCACGCATGTAACAAACTTCGACGAAAATATGCCTTGTTCACTGAACTTACTGACATTGGGGTGTCTTGTTTGATGTTGTGCAGCCATTATTGTCTCCAATGAGCTCAAGAAAAAGGAGTCCTTGTGTCTCTTACATAAGACAGTACCGTCTCCATTGCCAGCATCTGTTAAATCTGAAAATATCATACCAACTCGTAACAATCCCATCTCCTTCGCCAGCAGATCGATAGTGTTTAGTTCCTGGGTCACTTGTTCCATATCCATCGTAATACCATCTTGTTCATCATGCTGTGGGGGTTCATATATCGCATGTACACATGCCTTAATTCCCAAGGGAGTCGCATCGTACTTCTCATATTTACCATACAAATATGCAAATCTCTGTGTGCCGCTGGCTCTCCAAAACTCAATAAACTGGTTTATTAGTTCACTGCTCTGAAATTCAACATGATCAACCATTCTAAACTCCTGTTGTTGTAAAGTGATCGCTGATGGCTGACATTTAGAGCATATTCCCTTTGGCCATGGTTCATGACCATTAGTACAGTGCTTATTTATCTTGAAATTGGGCTGTGATAGCGGGGCGATATAGGAACTTCCGCTTTCACGTTTATTTGTACTTTCGTTAAGTTTCTTCAAGTATGCATGAAAAGAAATGTGTTTGATGTTGTTTTCGTTAGCATAGTTGGCGTCCCAAGGTGGTAATGGGGAGCAATATTCACACATCCCCCGATCACCATGCTTACACAGCTTGGTCTTTTGTCTTGGAATTAGTCCATCTAGCTTTTCCAATTCCTTATCTACTTCTAATTCATCAGCTTTTTGAGACTTCCCAGGAACTAGATTGTTTGGAATATTAACTGCCACCGAGCCATTGTTGTCGTTAGCAGACCCCTTAGTTTCGCTAGAGTCCACTTGATAGTGCACATAGACAATATCACCGTGCCTGAACCCCAATGCCTCTATAGTTTTCTCTAGCAAACTTTCTACATTAGTTTTGTCCTTGCCATTTGCCTCTTTACCTAGTTCAATGGCCCTTGGCGTAATACCATGCTCGTTGAGTATCGTCTGTAGCTGTGGCAAAACTTGGCCTAACGTCTCTGACCCTTCACAGCGCACACGGTGCATACCAACTGGACTTCTGAATCTGATAATCATCTTTACTAGCAATCAATTTTGCGTCGGCTTGCTAGGTCTATATACTTGAGAGGCCTATGTCTGTGAATACACTTCTATTTCTATTCGGCTCGCTCTCGCTTTATAAGAAAGCTTTTCCCTTTTTTATGCAGTAAAGCAGGCAAAAATGAATTCTTATCAGAGGGATGGTTGAGTAATGTATCTATGAGACATATAATATCACGATAGCAATATTATTGAGTCGACAAATGTATATTTATTTATTTTTTCTAAGCATTTCTCAGTGAGGAGCATTACTAATTGCTATTCAGAGGGATGCGAATTAATATTTGTATATTTTATAGCACACTCGCATAAGAGATATTTTTAAATGACAACAGCTTGAAAATAATTGATAAAACCGGCAATACAATAGTGCACATTACACTTCCTAAGCATTATGTCTATTTTGCATATTAAAGACTGCTGACTAGTGTAGAAATTACTAAAAAAAATTAAAAACTCATAGCACCAGGTAAAATGAGCCCAAGAGAAGACGAAAAAATCAAGCAACTATATACTGCTATATAGTACGCTAATGAATATGTATATGCAACATACTTTATTGTTTCTATCTGCCAAAGAATAATATACTTATGCGGGCTGGACATATATACTGTTTCATGTGACCCAGTACGTATGTCAGTACTGAAAAAAAATCGCATAGAAATCTCAAATTCCTCGAATTGACAGCAGGAAGTACATATTATTAGTATTAGTAGTTATTATCTCAATTAGCTTTGCGCACATTCAGATAATACTGTAAGAATAGCTGGTTGGGCAACTTGGCAATTATATATCTTTGGAAGCGGGCAAGATGGATCAAGAGTTTTTCAACGCCACGGATTTCAATGGCACCAATGGCACTCAATTTGAGAATAATGGTACGCGTTTTGACAACGGAACCCATGGTAATGGTACCTTTTTTGAAGAGCCACAAGTTGAGATGAAGGCAGTTTCCTTTTACACACCTTTGTTGTACGTGTCGCTTCTGGTTATCTCGCTATTTATATTTGCATCACAATACAGGAAAAATAAGATTAAGAAGATCAGTGAACTACCATCTATATTTGACGAGAGTGACGCCAAGGATCTGTATATGGATCTGCTGAAGTTACAAAAATCTGGTGACAAGAAGATTCACGAAAAGGTTCTGAAGGCTGGTCTACTGAACCGTTGTGCTGAGGCTATCAGAAGATCCTTAAAACTAAAAGAAATGGCTCCACAAGTTGAAATTCTTTATAAAAACGGGTCCATTGGTGATGACTACTGGCAGCGTTACCAAACTGAGGTTAAACTGGTAGATGTTGAATTCAAAGAATGTATACAGGAATCGGAAAGGCTGCAGCCTGGCTGGGTTCCAACATTCGTGCCATTGGCAAGAGAAATCTGCTTGAATCAAGCGCTATCCAGACGTTACAATGCTATTGCCACTAGAAGAGAGGTCTGTATCGAGGAATGGGGTCTCAAGCTTGACAAGGATGGTAAACTAATATCATCAAAAAACTAGGGTCGTAATGGCATTCTTTGCAAATAATACACGCTTCTTTTAGTAACGTTGATTTCCACTTGGAATCAATTGTTACATTATATTGCATTAAATTTATGTACGCTTATAATAGAAACATCGATACACATGTTTTAGAACAGTTGTGTTAAAAACAAATAAATACGTATTGAAGGAGGGACCAACCTCATAATTCTGATAAAGACAGCATCAAATTTCAATTTTTCTTGCCTTTTCTATTCACCACCTGAAAATCCCAGTCATCTTCATCTGTGATGTAGCTAGACACCAATTCAGTTAGTTGGATCCCGCTGTTACTTTTTTCACACTCTCTGCGCTTCTGATTAAATTCTTTTGTAAATCTCCTACCGTCCATTGTGTCACTACTAGCATAAATAGTCTCTGAAATAATACTTTCAGATTCAGAGTCGGTTGGAAGACTGAGTATTAATTCAAGTACATCCTTTAATGAGTGACCATCATTCAGTTTAATTTGCTTTCGGCACCAGAAGAAGAATTCATCAACGCTAAGTTGTGGGTCCTCATTAACAATAGATATCGGTTCCGTTGCTGATAATAAAGTTTTTTTCTCATCTATTTCGGTGGATTTGGCGGTAGTTAAACTAGTTTTTTGAACAGCTATTGTTTTCTTTTGCACTGGAGCAACTGGGTTATTTTGAGGAGCGTTTTTCTTAGCAATTTCACTCCATTTGTTGGAAGAGTTTCTGGTTGTGTTCTCGCCATTGTATTTTTCGTCATTTCTCAGTTGAGATTGGTTTGATGAAGTGAAGGATTTCTGCTTGTTTAAATTACTACCACCAATGGATATAGTGGTCGAAGACTCCTTGGTAGTGTTGTTCAAGTTATTAATTGAATTGGTATGGCTTTCCATTAATGAGGGCAACTTTGGTTTTTCGAGAGTTGTATTCTCAATTGCATTGTGTTTACTAGCTATGGCCTGGACATCTTCCTTTTGAATTGAACTCTCGACAATTTGGGACTCTATGTTGACGTCTTTATTGCTACATTCCTCCGCTAAAGTTACGGCATTGTTGTTAATGTGATTCGGAATAGGGTTGACCATTTCTGTCACAGGCGTCTTCGTCATGAGCATCTCGTCAAACTTATTGAACGGGTCCTGGTAATTTTGTGTATGGTTCAAAATGTCCATTAATGTAATGAGCTGGTTGCACATCTGGCTAGTACTATTTGAGTTATCGTGGCTTGTAGAATCCCTGAACAATTGCAACGTTGGTTGAAAATATCCTTGAAGATACCACCCGGTCATGTCACTGCTTGAAAAAGGACCTTGTGTGTTGCCTTGAATGTCAATATATCTCCAGACTGGTGGTGAGAGAAAAGTGTTAACAAACCCGTATGTTTCCATTACTTTAGAGTTCTTGTTAGTTGGTGTGGGGGTGCCAACATCTTGATGTATAGACAATGGCGTCTTCGATACATGTGAGTGTGAATCGAACATATCGGTAGTGTTTTGAATTGTTGGAATATTGTAAAAGGGAGAGCTTAATTCTGCATGAAGATCATTTAAATTACCACTAGAATGCGCACTAAAATCTGGGAGTATTCCAGTATTGTCAATGTATCTTGTATGATTTTTGTTATTTGCTTTAAATATCATATCTGTGTTCAACAGCGGTTGTGAGCCATCTACATCCGATGCAGCATTCTTCGCATACGTTAAATTGTTTTTAGAGCCCTCTCTGTCCTGCACATGTAAATTTTGTAACCCATTGATGTTATCCAGTAGCGTTTGTGTCTGGATATATTTTTGTGATGAAGAAAAATCCATTTCACTGTGCTGTCAGTTACCACAAATATGAATAGAATTAAAAGAGTAATTTCTGTAAGTCACAGACACTTTTTCAATTTGGATTGTACTAGTAAATTATTTTCTATCCGATGAAAAGAATGTCCAATTGCAAGTCATGTATCTGATGTCAAGCACTGGCTATAACTCTAATTATGCTTACGATGCGATGCGATGAGCTACGCAAGCAAAAAAAGCGTACATCACTGCATAGACAATCGCAAAGAAAATTTTGAAAATGAAAAATTTGGCACCAAAATTTTTCAAATTCCAAGAGTCCCATTGCCAATAACTGTGTAGAGCATCTGTCACTGAAATGGGGATCACTAGCATTGGATTGGGCAAAGTCTAGAAATATTCTATGACGTCAATTTATGTCTGGTATTGGTACCGAACAATAACGGGATTTAAGAGCATTTAATTCAATTGAACCTTTTCAATTTTTAAGTATATTTTATTATTTTTACCTATTACACAGATACATATGGTGGGTTGTTTAAAAGATTTTTTTATCTATTGGAATCTCTTTATATACCAACCTTGCGTTCTATCTGTGTATGCACGTCATCACCGACCATGTTACCTGATAGCAGTCCGTTGTTTTCAGGGTAAATGTCCTCCCAGTCCACACTGGTCTCTTTGTTCATAAGTATATCGCGGTGAATTGAGCTCTGGCCCTGGGAGACAGGGTTGAAGTCGGTAGCATCCACTATCCCGATCTCCATCATACGTCTCATAGGCTCGGCAAGACCAAATATGTTTCTATATTGCTCCAGCTGTCTCCTATGCTGTGTCTCTTCCCAATTCTGTACACGGTGCATCAGAGGATGTCTATCGTTCAATTGCGATGACAATGGCACAGCACCACCTTCTTGCATTCTCAGCGTGTCCGGCAAACTGGCCGCATTAGACGTCACCCCTTGGCTCGTCGACACTCTATCCTGATGACCCTTTGGAACAATACTCATTCTATGCTCTTCTTCTTTTATACCTTTATGTAATCTTGCACTTACTAACTCTCTGACAAACCGATAGTATTATAATGGCCCAAATCAACGTTTCCAATATATACCAACTAGCATGTTACACCTGCCAGGCTCTATAACTTTCGGAAATTTGTGCGGGAAAGCCCAATCGCCACCAAAAATCAGCAAAAGTAATAATGTACGTAACATAATGTATGATCTACGTTATCTATGATATCATCGGATCCAGAGTAATAAAGAATCTGAAGAACTGAATATTTAGACGGTTACCTTCAAAAGTGTATTTGGCCGGCAACTGTTGTCGTGCTTAGAGTTGAAATTATTTAGCGTTGATATTACCCCCAGTGACCCAAGAAATGATGGAAGTGTTGAAGCAGATAGAGATCCCAGGCGGTGGGCCGAGCACCTGTGGTGTTTTCAGTCGCGATGGACAATGGCTGGCGGTCGTGAGAGGTATAGAGGTGTATATTTATGAGACCTCGGGGTATCAATTGCGTGAGACATTGGTCTTGGAACACGCTGCTGGTGTGTCACAGATCTGCTGGTCGCCTGATGGCAAGTGCATTGCGTCTTGCTCCGATGACTTCACTGTTGTTGTGACACATAGACAGCTTGGGTTGTTACATAGACTAGTGGGCCATACAGCACCAGTTATATCTCTATGCTATAACAATAAAGGAAACTTGCTCTTTACTTCGTCAATGGATGAGAGTATCAAAGTTTGGGATGTGCTCACGGGCACTGTGATGAAGACAATGTCAGCACACTCAGAGCCCGTGGTATCCATTGATCTATCTGATAATGACGGGAGTATATTGAGCTCGGGCTCACACGATGGTCTTATTAGAATTTTTGACACAGCTACCGGCCATTGTTTGAAGACGTTGACTTACGATAAGGATTGGCAAAGTGAAACTGGTGTGGTGCCAATCGCTAAGGTGAAATTCTCCGCCAATACTAAGTATCTACTGGTTAAATCGTATGATGGTGTTGTGAAAATATGGGACTCAGTCTCGGGTGATGTTGTCCGAACGTTTAAACCATCTAATAAGAAGTATAACTTGACCCATTGCTGCGGTATGGACTTCATGTATCCACAGAGCACGCAATCTCCGTTGATCCTCAGCGGTTACGAGAAAGGAGAGATCTACTGTTGGGACTCAAACACAAAGGCTGAATTGCAAGTGTTGAAGATTGAAGAGTGTGACTCTGCGATTATAAGCATTGATTGCCACAACAACCTAATGTGCTCATTGTCTCTGGCAGGTAATTGCACGATCTGGAAATACGTTACTGAAACAACATAATGTTGTGTTTAGAGATTGAACTAAGTCCCATATCCTAATGGCTATTACTCATCTAATGTTCATCACTAAGCTGATTTCGGTGTTTATCTTCTCCATGTGCAAAAAGCCGAACCCGATGCCCTTGAAAAAAAACAAAAACTAATACCAAAATAGCTGGAAATTACAAGGATGAAAGGTAATAATGCCAAACTAAAGGTGACTACTAATTGAACTAAAATTTACTAGGTCGATTAAGATAACTATCTATTGTTCTATCTCATAACATTGATAGTCTATTGAAAAGTTTGTTCTGAGTGGTGGGTTGGTATGATTAACAAAGACAGGTGAAAGTTATGATGATGCTAAATAGATTGAAATGTTTGGGAAAAGGGCCGTTGAGGTTTTATTCAGTTCATTCAGATACGGCAGGAGCTACTAAGACTATTTTGGACTTGCAGCGGAAGTATGTGGAAAGGAAACCACTTACTATGTGTACAGCATATGATTTCATTACTGCAAGTTGGGTTCAGAAAGCGGATACAGATATTCTTTTGATTGGTGATTCCATGGGCATGACTTCCCTAGGGTATGATTCAACTTCATCGTTAACTTTAGATGAATTTAAATATCATGTCAAATCTGTCTGTAGAGCAGAAGGTCCGTCTTTTATTGTCAGTGATATGCCATTCGGAAGTTTTGAAACTAGCATAAGCCAAGGTATTCAAACGGCAATTGATCTAATGAGATCCAGCAGTAAAGTAAAATCAATGAAAATTGAGTCCGGTTCCTGTCATAGTGACCATCATACCTACAAGTTAATTGGCGAACTTTGTTCAAGAGGTATACCTGTGATGGGCCATATAGGTTTAACACCACAGCGACAACACTCATTGGGTGGTTTCAAAGTCCAAGCCAACAAGAGTGTGCAGGAAATACATGATCTTTTGGCATCTGCAAAGAAATTAGAAGAACTTGGATGCTGGGGCATCGTATTGGAATGCATACCTCAGAGAGTGGCTGGATTTATCACGAAAGCATTATCCATACCAACAATTGGTATAGGTGCTGGTAACCAGACTAGTGGCCAAGTCCTTGTTGTATCAGATTTGTTGGGCTTCCTGGATAGCACACCGCCAAAATTTGTAAAAGAATATGACAACTTGGGGCAACGAGCAATTGATAGCATTAAAGCATACAACTCAGACGTTACTACAAAGGCTTTCCCAGAAACTGGAAAACATAATTTCAAAATTAAAGAGGATATATGGAACCAATTCTTGTCGGAAGTAAAAGTTGATAAAACATAATGGTCAGTGGTTGTTCATTTGTACTAGCATTCATATACAGCATATCGTGGTAAAGGTTGTTGTTTTTCATGACCGGGATGACACTTTCTTCATTTACATGTAATAAAAAAAGGCATCGAGTAAAAATGTAAATAATTATTGTATCTATTTATCATGACAATTGATCTTAAAAGTATTTAGAACGTATGTACATAGGCAAATATTACTTGAAGCCTAATATGTGGTGGAATTTTTTGAACCTGAGCTGTGTTTAAAGTGATTACTCGACGTGATCATCAAATACATTGAAGTATTGTGCAATCTCTTTGGTAACCCAAGGCTTCCATTCTAAATCCAAGTATGCAAGATGTCCACCAATGTCGGTTTCACAGTGAACCACGTGTGGATTCTGCTTCATTAAATCGAATGGAACACCTTCAGGGCCAACCACTGGGTCATCTCTAGCATTTATACTTAATAGTGGGATCTTAATGTTTGGCAGTCTGTTTATGGAGCTAGCAGACTTGTAGTAGTCCATTGCACTCTTGAAACCTAAGCAAGGTGCTGTGTAAGTGCTATCGAAATCGGCGATTGTCTTAAACTTGAATGCCTTTTGCAAGTTGGACTTGGTGAAGTTATAATACGATGGGTTTTTGACAGTTGGAGGGTGATCTGGTTCAGTACCTTCTGGGACTTCTAGTTCACCCATATTGACCTTGACCAATCTTACTAAGAATTGTGTAATGTTCGCTGAGAACAAGTTCTTTGACCACCAGTCATTTGAAGTCTTAACAGAAGACATGACCATATCCCAAGGGTTACTTAGAGTACATGCTGCTGACAATGGTGTGTTTTCACCTTCTTCACCTAGATAGTTTGCCAGCATGGTGGCACCGAAGGAGAAACCCACAGCGTATATCTTCTTGTTTGGGTGGTGGTTTCTTACCCTTTGCAAAAATTCACGCGTATCCCCAGTATGGAACGCAGTAAACAAGCTTCTAGTGGTAATCTTAGAACGAGCACAGCCTCTACTGTTCAAAACCGCAACTTGGAATTTACCACCGCCGATTCTAGACAGTTGTTGGGTTAGGGATCTGATAACCGGCTCATGAGAGCCACCAGCCAAGCCATGCAGAACTAGCACCAATGGTCTGTCATCGCTGTGAACTTCTTGCAGTTCATTGTCTCTTAGGTATCTGGTACGTGGTTGCAAGCGCGGCCACCCTTCCGCGTGAGTATCGGCCTCGTCCTGCTTGAATTTCTCAACATCGAACTTCTTCGTGGTCTCGTTCAACTTATACTCATTTTCCCAGTCTTTCATCACGTAGTCCACGGTGCAAACACCTCCATCGGAGAACTTAACTATCTCTCTACCATAGAACACTTGAAACTCGCGGGAATAATCAGCGGATCCAAGGTACATGGTCTGCAAAATACCCGTAAACAGCGCAGGATTCAGCTTAAACTTAGCGTCGTTCTTCAACTCAGGAACATACTTGTTCAAAAACTCTTCGAATTGTAAGGGCTCCTCACCATTCTTCAACTGCAACTTGACAGTACCTTCATCATGCGTAACATGCTTGATAGTACCGTTATAACCCCAATTGAAAGGGTTGATCAATGGCCACGTATTCACCGACATACTGTTAATGCTCAATGTCCTGCGCCAAGGGAAAGACACGATCCTGAATGGCAAAAGGCCCCACTATTTATACTCGCTGCCTCGAGAAACAAAAAACGCTCATTGCATTTGCCAGCAGAGTTTGGCAGAGTTTGGCGTCATTTAGCTCCGCTGGTTCTCACCCCCTCCCCCTTTCTGCGTTGATTCCTCTGTGGTGATCATCACATCTCCCACAGACACAGAACACCCCGCAGCGCTAGTGTCCTCTGGACTCAGAAAAGCTACATTGCGATCTGGCATTGAGGATTCTGTGCGCAGGTTTCTCTGGCAAGTACTGCGACTCAGCCTCTGCTGGCCTTTCTATGCTTACTGCCTGCGGTGATTGTCTGGGTGCATGTGCTGCAGGTAGTCTGTTGACTAAAATTGTAAATACACCACCTGCAATTGTCAGAGAAACAAGCGCAGAGATTTCGTGCTACACAAACGGATCCGTCTGCTTCTTCTTTTTGGCCCTTTCGCTGCGTGTTGTCGTGTAGCCGAGACTACTTTTCGGGATGCATGGTGTGGGATTGGTACGGTACTCTCTGAGCTCGGATTTTAGGAATCTGCATCCGATGCGGGTGTTTCTGTGGTGGGGCCGTGGGCTTTTTCCCTCCCGAATCCCTTTTTTGCCAAGTCCGTAACTCTTTCGTTGGCTGGTATGTATCACGTTCGGGTACATATGACCATAGACTCTGCCTGTGAACCATACCTTGATGGCTATGTTGGCAGGATTGTGAATGGATGTATGCATAATGCAGAACACAACTGTAAGTATAACTCGTTCTGGTATATTTTCTTTTCAGTTTCTCACCATATTTACTACATGGTTTTCTATGTACACAGGTTTTACAGGAATATTATTTTGTATGTTACGTTATCGGTTATGCTCTTACCTAGTCGATATCAAGGTTGATGTTCTGCACAATGGTGAGCTGGGTCTGTGATTTCGCCAGGAGCCTGTTGAAGAACGTCATGGACAGCGCGTTGCTGGCTCTCTTATCTTCGATTTCTCTCTTGATAGCACGCTTCTTCTCGACCACGGCCTCGCAAGAGGTGTATATCTCGCGGATGGGCACCTTCAGCACGACACGCACTTCCCGCGATATTCTCTCCGCGTTCTGGTGCACAAAGTCAAGCTCTTTCAATTTACGCTTGTACTTGCGCAACAGGTTGAGCGGAAGGGCTCTGGGCAGGTCGTGGATCAGGTACGCAACACCTAGCAAAGACGCCAGAATCAACAGGGGACTAGCAATTTTCTTCAGCGAGTTCACAGAGGTCAACCTCAGCCCATTATAGGCTATATTACTCATTAGCTTGCTACCACCAACGGAATAGATGGCCATGGTAGGTAATCTAGATGTGAACAGTAGTGATGGACGAGAAAAGTATTGCACCAAAGGGTACTCTTTCAACCCCAGTATGCCAGGAACCGTCTTTTTGACTACAGCACCAGTTTTATCGGCAGTATTTTGGCTCTCTCCAGATGTCAGAAGTGGAACTGACAAACTCCATCCAATGTAGCTCACAAAGCTGGACCATGATGGTGCAAAGAAATCCATTATCGACATGCGCACGTTGATCTTCTTGCTTACTGTATGAATTCGTTTAGTAAACATGAGGTCGCTTTGGAAAGACCTCTCCTTCATAAATTCATCGCCAAGCTCTTGCTTCCCAAGGGACTCAAGTTCATTTACAGTTTTCTCAGTTTGCATCCTTGCAAATTGCTCGCTACTAATAACATTTGATTTGATCTTGTCCCTAATGCATTGCTCAGTAGAGAAAACAAAGTCGTGTATGCGTGATACACCTTGGTATGAAGGCAGTTCGTCATAAGTCAGTTCTAGAGAGCTATTTATCTGACTCTTTGTAAATTCGTAGCACGAGTAAATGGCATTTTCTGCAATGTGTTCTATTTTCATTGTTAGGTATCCAGTCTTATTTTGAGCTTCATTCAACACCGGTTCTAGCTCTTGAAGTTCCTTATCCAACTGTTTGTCCTCTTCTTCAAATAGCTTCAGGTTTGCTTTCGATATTATTTCAGCATCGGTCAACAACTTGGCAATATAAGTCTTCACAGGTAGCAACTTGGAAAGTGATCTTTTCTTCAAGACAAAGTTTCTTATGGAACTTTGTAAATGGTCAAAATCCGGGTCAGCTGAGTTGTATTCACCTCCATCATCACCTGGATCTGGATCTCCATCTGGTCCATTGCCTGCTCTAGGAGAATTTATGTCAGATTCAGGACTAGAAATAAAATGCACAAACTCATTCGCCCTTTTGTGACTTTCGGGAGAAAGATCTTTAATTTGTTTTAATATTAAATCCTTGCATCTTTGTTTGTCTCTTATCTTATCAAACTTCTTAACAACAAAAAACATGAACTTCTTTTCAGTTGAAGCGAGTGAAATGAATTCTTTAGCGGATAAAGTCAACTGGTTTTCGGCATTTACGACAAATATTACAAGGTCAATCTCTTCTTGTTTTGCCATAACCTCAGCTGTTTGAAGTGAGTCGATATTTAATCCTGGGGAATCCATTAACGAAATATCAACAATACCATTACGTAGCAAGCTCTTCTCTGGGGACACTTTGTCATCTTTAATGTATATCTTGAGTAAAACATATTTGTCATTTCTCTGTACTAATTCTGGTAGAGAGGACAGAGGAAATATGTCATATGTGGTTCGATTATGAATGTCATAAATAGCGGGTACATCTTTGACTGTTGTAGCTAAGCGAAGTGGTATTGCATGGACTTCTTCGAGATTATTGTTATCACGGGATTCTAGAATTTCACAAAAGACATTTGTACATGGTAGTTGATCTTCCGGTAATAATCTTCTCCTCAGCAGAGAGTTACAAAACGCAGATTTTCCGGTATTGACATCGCCTGTAATAAACACCTTTGAGGACATATCATCAAGCCTTATTTTCAATGAGCTTAAATGTTTCTTCGCTACCTGAACTTGCGAATGAAATAATTTAGCCAATGCCGCTTTGTCCAAATTGAAAGATTTGTCATGTTTAACTGTATAAGTACCTTCCAGTTTCAAGTGTGGTTGTAATACATTTAATTTATTCACATCATCTTCTTGGATTAAAAACATGGGTCTCTCTTCATTCTCCTGATCTATCTTATCAAGTAGATCGGAAACATGCGAGATGGCCTTTTGAAGAGTGGCTCTATTGTTATTATATGTCCATTGGCTTAACTGAGCTGAAAGCATGTTCTCGTTTGATGCCCTTCTATGGTGACTAGCAGACAAATCTTGATCCTGTTCATCTAGGATTAATTGGCCATCATTTCTTGAATAAGTGAGTTGAGAAGGTGGTGGTGTGACAAATGAATCATATGAATCGTCATTGTTTAAGCTTTCTAAAATCTCTTTTGCCGGGTCTTCTTCTTCTTCTTTGTTGCCATTCCCCTTGAAATTAATCTGTTTGGACATTATTAGCAGATGAGGCTGTCCAGTATTTATTATCCAAAACCACACACACGTTTGCTAATGTCACCTATTGAGGAAGAAAATGGTTGTAATCTGCTTTGTTGGTCTTAAATAAAGGAAGTAACTAGCAAGCCAAGCACTTAGAATAAATTTATTGGACTTGGTAGCACATAGAAATCATCCCAAAGTGTCATATTAATGCAACTTTCCCATACAAAGTTAAACTGTACAGGGCTATTTAGGGAACTGCCCCGAATTCATTAACTTTCTACTGGCTAATTAACGGTATATCCGATTGAGGTCACATGATCAAAACTTCAAATTATTTAACAATTAGCAAACACAAAGAGGCATGCACAATCAAATAATATTTGAACTTATATAGGCAACTAACGAGTTTATATGGTACAGATATACTACCTTTTCGAGTCATTGTTACAGTTTTGTGGTGGAATTAATTAGTAATGAGCTGAATAGCAAATTTGCGGCAGCAGGGAAAATACACATAAAGGTAGTTTGATTTAAATATGCTGAACTGATCAAAACGTAGATTAAAATTCATATTAATCCAATAGGAGTTGTAAATAAATATATTAGATATTCAGGTATTGCGATAGCCTAGTTTTGAGGAAAGTTTTGATTTTTTTACCATAATTTGTTTAAGATTATTTACCATAATAGCAGTAACGGATGAGCACCTCCAGCAACACTAGCGGTGAGTGTTCGCCCTTTTCCATTACAGACAGTATTGTAGTACAAGCTACAGATGATAATGCTGATAAGATTTTACAAGAGGTGGATTTAAGTGATCCGAATATTGATAAGAACGACACTTTCGAACTAAGACAACAAGTATCAATTAAAGAGAGCCCCCTTTATTATTTAAGAGATATACCATACTCGGCTTACACAAGTTTTCAGGTCTCTCTAATTTTCCTTATTGTCATTTATAATGGCTTCTTAGGACCATTGGCAGGTAACGTCTTTATACCTGCTCTGCCGCTGCTGCAAAAGGAATTTAACGTTTCTGAAACAACCATAAATGCTACGGTATCAGTATTCATGGCAACATTCTCCATCTCACCATTATTTTGGGGTGCCCTCGCAGATAAAGGAGGCAGAAAGATATTATATATTATTTCAATTTCTTTAATGGTCATAATAAATATTCTATTGGCAAGTGTCCCAAAAAAAATAGGATCTTTGATATTCCTAAGAATTATTCAAGCTTTTGCATCAAGTTCCGTAATTTCACTAGGAGCGGGGACAGTGGCTGACTTGACACCACCAAAAGATAGAGGTAAAGCCATGGCATATTTTATGTTGGGTCCCAATTTGGGACCTATTTTGGCGCCTATAATTGCGGGGTTGATATTATTGGATAACAATAACTGGAGATGGTTATTTGGATTCCTTTGTATAGTGAGCGGATTAGGTTTGATAATGGTGATTCTCTTATTACCTGAAACACTGAGATGTATAGTTGGTAATGGAGATCGACAATGGGAGAATTGGAGCCAAAATGAGAATGATATGTCGACACAACCTGTAGACTTCTCATCACCGATTTCAAGGTGGTCATTTGTGTCAGATATTGGATTCCTGAATCCAATAACTCAAGATTCAATTTTTAAAGGTCTTTATCCACACCCACCAAAGTTTTCTGTTTGGACATATCTTCGTATTATGACCTTCCCGCCCGTAATATTAACATCCATCGCGAATGCATTGTTATTTTGCACATACTATAGTATAAGTGTAACATTGTCTCATTTTCTTGCAACTGAATACTCTTATTCTAATCTTAAAATAGGTGCATGTTATGTGTGTCCTGGTGTCTGTATGTTGTTAGGATCACAAATTGGTGGGCATTTATCTGATTCTATGAGAAAGAGTTGGAAGAAAGAGAACTATAATACAGAGTATCCTTTGGAATTCCGTTTAATATTGACTGTTTGCGGAGTTCTGTTAGCAATTGGCGGGTCAATTGGGTACGGCTGGTGTATTCAATTTCACTACCATATCTCGGCGGTACTTGTCTTTGCTGGTCTAATGGCATTCGGACTAACATGGTGCAATAATACAATTATGACATATCTGTCTGAGTTACTCTCCTTAAGAGTATCTAGTGCCATTGCAGTTAGTAGCTTTTTTAGAAATATTGCAGCAGCAATAAGTTCAGCACTAATTGCAAAACTGTGCCAAAAAATGGGTATTGGATTTTGTTTCTTAGGTTTGGGTTTGATTAACCTTGTCTCTTTGTTTTCGATATTGGTATTGATTAATAACAGAAATAAATGGGTTAAAGACAGTTTCTGAAACTTATAATTTCTAAGGGGCCTTCAATGAATTCTAAGTTTAAAATTTAGTGTCAATCTATTGCATTTTTCCTTGCAAGTTTATTAAGGATATATAGAGATCAAATAATTAAAAATTATACATAATTATAATATGGTGATCAAAAAATCAAGTAATACTTCTGAATAACATCTTCAGTTTAGGTTATTTATCAACATTCCGTTACGAACTAGATGTTTTAGATCATTCACTAATGATATGGCACCTATCTTCTTAGTTTTATATGAAGTATATCAGTATTATACTGAAATATATATACTCACGGTCGTGATAGGATTTATGTATAGAAAAGTGGTTGATAATTTAATTGGGATGCTTTAAAGATATTAAGATTATTGAATACTAAGTCAAACAAAAACAAAAATAAATTCTTTCAAGAATTTATTGATATATGTAGACATTTACTTTAAGCCTTCAAAGAAGAAGCTCTTCTCTTTCTGGTTTCAGCCTTTTCAGCCTTTCTCTCAGCCAATCTCTTAGCCAACAATTGAGCGTATTCAGCAGCAGCTTCTCTTTGAGCTTGAGCGTTTCTGACCTTCAAGTTTCTTTGGTATCTCTTTCTTTGCAATCTTTGTGGAGTAACCAATCTTTGGATCTTTGGAGCCTTAGTGTAGGTCTTTTCACCCTTGGTAACTTCTCTTCTGATAACGAAGTCACGGACATCATCTTCCTTAGTCAAACCGAAGAACTTTCTGATGTGGTTAGCTCTCTTTGGACCCAATCTCTTTGGAACAGTAGCATCAGTGACACCTTCTAGTTCTTGTTCACCCTTCTTGACGATGACCAAAGACAAGACAGCCAAATCTGGACCAACAATGGCACCTCTGACAGACTTTCTCTTTCTTTCACCAGAACGTCTTGGTCTGTAACAGGAGTGACCCTTAGCCAACAAAAGCTTAACTCTGGTTGGCAACAAGACACCTTGCTTCATTGGGAAACCTTGCTTGTCGTTACCACCGGTAATCTTGAAGGTGTAACCCTTGAATTCATCACCGACAGCTTCACCTTCGATTTCTTGACCGATTCTCTTGTCGTAGAAGACACGGACACGGTGTTCGTCATCGACTTCGACGGTCTTTTGAGTACCATTAACTGGGTAAGCAATGTTCAACTATTTCAAACAGATGTACTCTTTTACAATTTTCAAACTAAAACTTAATGAAAAACCACTGTCGACCTTAATCCAAATGATAACTTTTTCACATATCATGTATATTCCTGTTAATTCTATAATTATTGGTCAATTCCAAATGAAGTTTTTAATACAATTGTGGTTCGCATTCTTCCTATATTTTCCAAGTCATTAGCGGAAAGGTTCAAGTTTAAGTTTTGTGAAAATAAATAAAAGACAAAAACAAGGATAGTTAGTAATCTAAAAAATTCACTGATTCATGTTGGTGCTTTGTGAATAGCTAGTGATGAGTGAATGGACTGCCGTAGAACAAAATTCTTGAGTGTCAAATCCTCAATATGCAGTAAAATCAATTCTGGTATAAATAACTAGTTCTTATCAGTTGTCCTCGTGCATACAATGTAGATCGCCTATCTCAAATATGGGGAATAATTTCAAAGACATTAGTGTTCTCTTAAATGATCATTCTTTTTTGATTGCTTGTATTCATCACTCTTAATATCACGCATTGCCATAGTTCTCTTTTGATATATTCTCATTCAAATACATTCAGCCAATTTCTTTACACTTAATGCGGTTTCAAAATGTTTCAAGTTTAAATATTCGGTTTTCTTGTATCTGGTTCTTGCAATCCGGTGAATCTTGACATACTCTCGTTACCCAACTTCAATATAGTCCTGGCCTAGCTCCCATTCAGTACTATCACTCATTAGTTTTGTCTATTCGCTACTCTCATTCGCACTATTAATATATCGTCATCGTAACATACCTTCATTGTCGGTCGTCTGGTCTATTTAATGCTCGGCTAACTAAAAATATCAAATAGACTACGACTAAAAGAGACTACTGATAAATCCACATATATGTTATACAATATTAGCTATGGTAATCAGCATGAGCGGCACATACACTCACACTCACACGTTTCGGTCTGACTACGAACGCTCTGGGGCCAATACCACCAGGAGCTACAATGCCGCCTGGCACAAAGCAAAGTGTTTGAACGGGCAAAAGCCTGGGATGGGAAGTTCCAACGTTGGAAGAAAGCACTCTCTGTGGATTATCTGACGCACATAGGGTAGCCCGGTACCACTAACTATCTTGCTCTGGTTCACTCTGTTTCTCTCAGCCCAAGCTAGTCGTTCGATGAGGTTTCTGACAAAATTTGAGATTTTTGTTGTTTTTTTTCAGATTTTCGTTAGTGATTATCTCTGTTGTTCGACGGGCAGATATCTTAGAGAGGACAGGAGCAAGGGGGTTGTTCTGTCTGTGGTGAGCTTAGCCAGGTGTGGGGGGGACATCGTACCTACCTCCTAATTGAGCCTGGATGGAAACGCTAGGCTCGGTGACTTGAGTTCCGGTGCTTGGGGTGTTGACAGCTAGAAGGAAAATCATGTGACTCCAGGCAGAGTGGTTGACCAGATTGCTCAGAAAGCTACAATTCAGGTGTGTTGGAAGTGCTGACAGTCAAGAGTATAAGTCACCCAGGTGGTGGCAGATGGTAAGTAGCTGTTTTCTGTAGGTCTACTTCTGAAAATAACCACAAATCCTGATGTATAATACTTACCTAAATAGGAAACTTCTCAAACTGTCCAAGAGAAAATGAGTTTACAAAGTGTTGGTGTATGGGTTTGAAGATTTTTCCATTTTAGGAAATGGTGAGACTGTTAGCAGTCATAAGCAAGCCGTTTGCTGTGAAAATTATGATCTTCTCCTGTTGTAAGAAGCTACCCTAATTTTCTCGAGAAGCTTATCGTGTTGGAGGTTTCAAATACGCCATGCAATGCGGGCGCCAGCACAATCACGGCAGTAAAGGTATAGTATTTTCTGTTTGAAAATAACTTTTTGTATTCCGTTGCTGTTGGTTGGTCATAATCACTATGATACCTCTATTTTGAAATAATGTAATGTATGTGTTTTGTGTAATCATAATAATGTAGATAAATATATATTAGTGAGCTAAGGAATGTGAAGGATGTTAGTGAGGTACTAACATTAATACTACAGTTAATTTCAGGATACGATTGTATTGTAAATGCAAAAAAAAAATTAATGTGAGAAAATTAATAAAAAGGGAAACAAATGCAAGTAATTTTGAAATAAATTGAAATAATAGTCTTCTCTAGAAGATATTTTGAATGTATTGCGAAAACATTAAATCTTTAAAATGGGGCAGGTAAGTAAAATATCTACTACCCCCCATCATTTGGTACTGGTACAATATGTACAGTAACATCTCAAATTCAATTATAACTATAATGGAATGTGAAACAACAGGAAAAGGAACGAAAGAAAATAAAAAAATTCAAAAGCAGATGGTTATGTTTAACAGGAATTGAATGTGTGCCACAAAATTTAGTTTTAGGTTTTACTATGAATGGGAACGAAATTCGATCAAAAAGAAATATAATAATCTTAAATTGTATGCAAATAACTGTTAATCACAAAAATATAAAATATTTTTGAGCCATGCAATTTTGAGTAAATCAATGTGTTTAGGAACATCAGTAACATTTGTAATAGCAAATTGAACGGCTAAACAAGTTAATGAAAAGATTTCATTTTGAAGCCTGGTAACTTTCATTTGTATCATTGTTATTGAACTGGAAAATTTTACCTGGATAAGGGGTATGTAGGTGTGGAAGATACGGACTTAATTCTGAACCAGAAATTTTTGAAGGGTTTCCTCCATTAATACTTTGGTTGTTGCTGTTGCTGTTAGTGTTGTTACCGTTGTTGTTGTTGTTGTTGTTACTATTATTGCTACTGTTTCCGTATCCTGTACCCACAAAAGGATAATTAGCCAAAGGTGGGAATCCGAATATATTACCAGATTTTGGGCCGGCACTGTTCAAGAAATTCTGTCCGCTAAAATTCGTACCTGTCGCAGACAAATTCCAATCTGGAAATAGCATTGTAGAAGTATTTGGAGAGTTAGTACTACCCAAGAAATCCGGTCCCATTTTCAGTGGCTGCGAACTTGATTCAGGACCTATAGGGGTTGTGGCAGGCATAATGTTACGGTTCATTGCCATACTTGTATTCTCACTTCTGGTTTCTTGACCTACATCATCTTGACCCTCAACATCATCATTTTCATCTCCTTGGTTATTACTAAACATATTAGGCTTGTCATTCTTATGAAGCTTTCCAGAGTCGGCCCCTGAGGAGTAGAATGCTCCAAACAACTGTCTTTGTGAAGCAGTATTTCCATTTGCAGTATTAGGTGTGCTAACTTCTCCATTCATGTTTAGTGAGGTTGATAAAGAAGAGCCACTATTAGTTGTTGCTGCACCTTTATATAAGGGCACTCTATTTGGATTCATTTGTTGCAATGGTGTTATCAGGTACTGGTTTGTTGGTGATCCAGCGATGTTATTGCTACCTCCGGCACTGTTATTGCCTTTCATTGAGCCGAAGAACGGAGGCCTAAATTGATTCTTAATGTTCTTATCGTTGCCATATGAAAATGTGAGTTTTGAATTACCGTTTTCACTGTCAATAATGTTTTCATTCTTGAAATAGCTACCTTCATGCTTTACGTTAGGTGAAACACGGAAGTTAGAACCCTGGAAGGGTGTCCTTATGATATGTTTAGGTAGGTCATTCTCGGCGCTGTTGGAGGCATGTTGGTTTGAGTAATTTCTAACACCGTTTGCTGCATTAGTGTTATCTATGGGAATATTAAGTTTTAGTATTGGTTTTAGTTTTTTGGAAGTGGACCCATTGGTTGATGATCTACCCATGTTAAAATTAGTTGCTGGTCTCATATAGTTTGAATGTGATGATTCTCTATTTAAAGAGCCGGGAGGTGAATTCACTATGAATTTTGGAGCTGCTTTTTCCAGTTGCTCATTGGTCTGTGTAACCTTTTCGGTTGATATGTCACCTACAAATGGGAAGCTTCTGGTTCTTGTCAGTTTCAAGTCTGAATCACGTTCGTGAGAGTCAAAAGCCAGACTACCGAGTTTCACATTGCTATCCATTTGTGGTAGCAATGAGTTTCCGGTACTGTGATGCCTTGCGTGAGTCAGCTTTCTCAACTTGACCGCGGCGTTATTTAGGTCGTCATCCACACCGTTTCCTTCTTCGTCCTTGATCTGGCGTTTCTTGTTCGTTTCTGAGCTGGCATTCACAGTAGAGTTGTCTGGGGCACCCACTGAAGCTCTTCTAATCTGGTTCAAGTCCACACTCTTGGTCTTGGCCAGCCTACGACCACGTTTCAGGTGTCTTGTGCCTTGGTACTTCACCGTAGGCGTCTTCTTGTACCCGTCACCGTAAGCAGAAGGCTCGGTCTTTATATGAAGCAGGCCCATCCCGTTCTGATCCGTGTAGTACCGCAGGAGCTCGTCCATCTCGACACTGCTGAACTCGTAGAACGTCCCGTTGGCACCCAGCACCACCACCGCCACATCCACATTGCACAGCACGCTCAGCTCATGTGCCTTCTTAAATATACCCGCTTTACGCTTCAAGAAGGTTATGCCTCTAGTCTTCGAGTCCGTAATCGGCTCGATCTCTATCTTCCTGCGCCCCATTACTTAATTTTTTGGTCTTGTTTGATTAGAAGTTTATCTATGTTTTATATTAAAGAAAACGCTCTCTGTTTTGTGTTCTTTCTAATCTCTGTGACTTTGTTTAACTCACCCACTATAGGTTTTATAGAATACAAGTACCATAAGAAAATTTTATGTTTAAAAATAGATTGAACAGTTGTGACAATTACATACACATACTGGCGATGGCTTTCCCTTCTCCCCCCCCCTCAACCCAAAGAGTAGATCATCCGATGTGCATTTACTTTTGCAAAGAACGAAGGTCCATTGCCAGTGTTCGGATTACGTCATTTCGTGCGAGTATCTGTGTGATTCCTGATTCTAATCCCCACTACGTCATATTCATACAGACGTACACACAGACGTACACACAGACGTACACACAGACGTACATGCATTCACACTTTGGGATCAATCGACGCATCGCACTGAACTTTGAAAATGCTTCCTCCCCCCCCCACCGGGAGACTTCTATTTTTGTATTCGAGATTTTTCCTATTTGGGAACATGTGTGCACCACCAAACCCCTTTAGCTCGTCATATAACACGTACAGTCATGCCACCTGTTAACATCGGTGATCAAACCCCCGTGAGTGTGTGTGCGTATATACGTACAACAGTAACTCCTATCCCCCCTCTCCTTTGTCCTGTCTGACACTTGTCTCGGTATTTGCGGAGTTTGTCTAAGCCCAGGGGTAGGCTTTTCATAAGCTGTACCTGCACCTGCACTCTGTACTCTCATACAGCATAGAACATACTACATACAACTTAGACCTTAGAACTTACAATTAATACCTAATCTTTACGAATGGTTCTGAAAACCCTTTTACGACTCATTAGGATTGTGAAGATCTTCATTACACATAGCACATGAGGGAATTTTACATAATAGTGGCCCATTGTTAAATTTACTCAAAAAAAAAAGGATATATATTGGCAAGGTTCTCGATCCAATAGCATACATTGTATATAGATATACCCTTAAAGGTAAATAAGTAAAATGATTCGTTGGGAATATCCGCAAGCGCAGGATGGTTACTGGGGGGAGATAACCTCCACTATAGACTGGTGCGAGGAGAACTACGTGGTCTCGCACTATGTAGCAGAATGGTCTAACACTTTCACAAACTCCATTTTCATCAGCACCGCCCTGTACACAATCTACTGCACGCGACGTAACAAGCTCGAGTTGAGGTTCTTGCTCATAGGGCTCGCGTACTGCCTCGTGGGTGTCGGGTCCTGGCTGTTTCACATGACGTTGAAATACCACTTCCAGTTGCTCGACGAGTTGCCCATGATATACGCCATGTGTGTGCCGTGCTGGTCCCTGATCACAGAACTGATCGCGACCTTCACGGGCCCCACCAAGAACAAGCACAGCAATGGCAAAACCAATACTTTGTCCAGTGTGAAGCAGGTGGTCATCGCATCCTTGATCCTGTTGACTGCATCAACGGTCACTGTGGTGTACCTGATAGTCAAGAACGCCACCATTCACCAGGCTTTCTTCGGGTGCCTGATCGGCGTGGTGGCATTCTCCTCGGCCTACATGGTAATGACTTTCGTCAAGGACCCCCAACACAAGAAAAACTTGCACAACAGCATGATGATGGGCGCCATATTCTTCATGTCGGGTTACGCAGTATGGCTAATGGATATCCACTTGTGTAAGCTGTGGAGGTTCATTAGGCGCGAGTACCTGCTGCTGCCCCTGGGCTTGCTCCTGGAGCTGCACGGATGGTGGCACGTCCTCACGGGACTCGGCATCTACTACTACATCGTATGCCTGCAATACCTAAGACTGATCACCACTGATCGCTTACAGCATTACAAACTCATCTGGAGATGGGGCCTTCTACCGGAATTGGTCCCCGCCGACTATAACATCGGCACCCCATACTCTCTCACATTCAGAGGCCCACGTGAGAAAGCTAAGCCGGAGTGAAGCCGATTGCCCTTGGTACACTATCGATACCAGCGAACGAGATATAGACAACCAACCTCTTGTGATTAGAATGCCTCCCCCAATAAGGACTTTTGGCATTGAAGTGAAGCGTATAGAGAAGAGATGACTCAGTATGAGGTTGCATTAATTTAATGTATATAAATAACTTATTTCTCGAAAACTAATATAACGATAAACAATAATTGTCATTAAAATAAATAACTCTTGTACCCTCTTGCAGAGCCCATAAATCAGAAACGAGTGATCACCTACCTTTGTGTTTTGCCTCCCATATCATAACTGTCCGGTGGTATTTAAATTTTCTTAGACATGTATGGACCGTCCAACTCGTAACCTAGCTTGGCATAGTAATTTCTTACACCAACACCTGAAATAACAGATATCTTACTGGATCCATGCTCTTCCTTGGCAATTCTCTCTGCTTCTTCCATCAACAACGTACCAAACCCTTGATGTTGGAATTTCTTAGGGTCTCTGGAATGCAGTGGCACCACACTACCATAGACGTGAAGTTCTCTGACAATAGATGTCCTCTGACTTGTGAACTCCTTTCTGTATGTGTACTTCTTAGATGCTTTACGGAGTCTTAGTAGACCAATCAGAATGTCCTGCTTTGGATCTTCGTAAGATAGGAAAGTTTCCCAGCCACCATTGGCATAGTAGTCTCTTCTAATTAACTCAACTTGATCGGGTTGGACCTTGTGATGCACTTCTTGAATACCAACTTCTCTCGTCCTCACGTCTCTGGAGGTGACACCTAAATCCTTCATTCTGGCTAATGCCAATTCTCTTAGATTACCATTGTCCACACCTGATGTAACCAGCGGCATAGGAATATCTCTTTGAACACGATAAATTCTTGTCCAAGGTGGAACCATCGCCATGATACGGGCCACCAAATCTACTAAAGCGTTGGCATTGTATGACTTATATCTGCCGGTTTTCCATAGTTCGTACAGACCTGTACCTCTGATGACTAATGTTGGATAAATCTTCAAACCGTCTGTTCTAAAGGCTGGATTCTCAAAATACTCTTTGAATTGCTGTAGATCTCTTTCCATTCCCACGTTTGGCAGATCAGGCATCATGTGAGAAACAACTTTATAACCAGCATCCTTGGCAATGGCAAACGTTTCCGTCACTGCCTTCACAGTATGGCCTCTGTTTGTATCACGAGCCACATCTTCATATAGCGACTGGACACCGATTTCCAGTCTTGTACAACCATACTTCAACATATCATCCAGGTGGGTCTCTGTACAATAATCTGGTCTTGTTTCGATTGTAATACCGACACACTTTGTCAAACTCTGTTGAGAATATCTTATAGCTTCATCTATGTCATTACCATTATAGCCGGACAAGGCATTGTGTAACTTCACTATAAAGTCCTCCCTGTAATCCTTTGGCAAAGACATGAAAGTACCACCCATAACCACATATTCGACTTTGTCAATAGAGTGACCTAATTGCTTCAACTGTTCAACTCTACCACGAGCCTGCTCGTAAGGATCATAACGAGCCCTGATGGCTCTCATTGATGTTGGCTCATAACCTGTATATGATTGTGTTGAATATTCAAAATCCGAATCCGGACCACCAGGACAATAGACACAGATGTTACCGGTATATGCAATGTGAGGACAACGATGAGGCTTACACATAACTGCAACAACAGCTATACCTGAAGCAGTCCTCACTGGTTTGGCCTTCAACTTAGGCAATAAATATTTCTTATATTGATCTGGAATGGAGTTGATGATATCCGTCAATCTAGGCTGTTGCTTTAGCTTATACTTCTTGGAATACTTGGTAATAAGACCATTCAGATTAATCTCTCTAGTGGTACCTGAGGTCAGAGAGTTGGTCAGCTCTAATGTAATATCAGTACAACATTGCAAAAATCTCTCCTTCTCTGGAGCAAGCTTCTGCTTATTGGTCTTGGGACCCTTTCCGTGACGACCCATTTATAAATATTGGTATTCAACTGTGTCTGTGTGGTATTTGTAAAGAGAATGGAACCTATCTAGTATACGGGTTCCTATTACTATACTTTCTATACTTGTTTGCAATGCTCATCTCATCGCAAAATCCATAACTTTTTCAAAATTTTTTTTTTCATTCTAAGGGCATAGTACTACAAGTTCTACGCTACTTTCTGAGAAAACCGGTAGTTATATATCATCAGGGCCCAATATGGCAGAGCGATGAGATTAACAACTGATAGAAATTAGTAATCATCACTTTAGTAGTGTTATTATTTATTTACAGAATGCATCCTTAAGTGAATGGCAATGTAATTATAGAGTGTTGGTAATGACTTCAATATTTACAGTGATACATGTCTATGCGTCTTTCTCCAATTGAATTATTTGAATATTTCATTTTTTTTGGATTTTAGTCACATTAATTAGTTATCTGTGGGTTTTCTGAAGAAGATGGTACTCTGTAGATATCTCCACACTCTTTCATTCTTCTAACAGCTTTCTCAGTGTTGTCATCGTAGTTTTTAGGTAATTTAGCATCGGGTTTGGATTCAAACACTGATCCCATTAAGATAAGGTCATTTGTGGTGGCGTCACAAAGGAACACCATGTAGTCAACAACATCTCTATCCAATTTCTCCACTTTATTATTAGTCTTGTTCAGTTTTACCAGTCTTTGTTTGGTGTTGAACCTGTACAACAGTTGAATATGTTCTAGTGGTCTTCCAGGGATCATCATTGGTTGTATTGATATCAGTTTTGGCACATCATTGAACTTCAATAGTTGCCAATCTAGTTTTACATTATCTGGTATTTGCTTGGAGCGCGCATTCAATGCTTCTTCCACCCAGACAGATACTTCGGGTTTCAATTTCTCAACGGATTTGCTGGCAAAATTGGCATTTACCTGGACGTACGTTTCAATGGCTTTATTCTTCCACAGTAAAAACGCAGGTTTGATACCGGTTTGAAATCTAAAGATACCTATCTGAACAGTGTTTAAACCGAGCATATATATCCTTCTAATAACGTTGTCAAACCATAGTTTGGGGCTTGTTATCACACTGGGCAAACGGCTCAGCGAAGCTGGCACGTACAGTTCTGAAGCGACGCCCAGATGTCTAGGGTTAAAATCCTGGATCTTCTTAGTGTCTTGTTTCTGCTCAGCTTCATCCAATAACTTGACACCGCTGCTAAACAACCTTGTATTATAAACATTTGCCAATCGGCTGACTCCCACACGCCTTACTACAACACCCCTATAGCCAACAATCATTTTCTAGTTCTAGTTCAACACTAACAGATGAACACAGATCACTTCCTGTAGCCTGTCTTGTACTCTATTTGTGATAGTAATCCCATTTAGTTATTGATAGCTTGAACCACTTTTGAGCTTTTTCTTCGTTTTCGAGCCTTTTCAAACCTCGGAAGGAGAGAAGGCATTTAAAGGGAAAAAGGACTAGCTCAGCCTATAGAGTCCCTTTAAATCTACAATTTGCTAGATCAGAACTCAGGTTAAATAAAGTACTTCCGAGTTTCAATTTGCAGCTATATTGTCATTTTGAACTCTGATTAGTTACATCAGGTATAGAGCAAACTTCTCGGTAAAAGGATGAAGCCATCAGTGATTGGTTTGAAGTGTAAGGATACCGATAAGGTAGATTGGAAGCGGGGATTGTCTAGTTATTTGAAGAGGATTTATGGTTCGAGACAGTGGAAGGAGTTCTATGATGAGCAACTATGTGTGGAGATGGACCATGTGCGCAACAATGCTAATGGCGAGTTAGGGGCAGTCACATTGGTGGAACAGAACTACAAGTATTATGCTTACTTGGAACAGTTATATTTGAGATTGGGAAACAATATTGGTCAGTTTAAGCTGGAGTTTACGTGGTATGACGCTGAGTATGGTCTTGTTTCAAGTCCTACAAAGCATACCCAAAAAACATTGGTGTTCGAAAAATCATGTACGTTGTACAATTTGGGTGTAGCGTTAACAGAAGTGGCAAATGAGAAAATTAATGAGGATTTTAAAACCGCCATGGTACATATGGCAAAGGCCATGGAATGTTTTAGGTATCTCTCTGAAAATTTCTTTAATTCCCCCTCAGCAGATCTTCAAACTGAAAACACCAAATTCCTTTCAGATTTGTCACATGCTGAAGCTCAGGAGATGTTCTTGATCAATGCGATCAATAACGGAACATCTGAGAAACAAGCTTCTCTAATTAGTAAACTTGCATACTCCGGGTCAAATCTATATGAGAATTGTTGGGAGTTTTTAAGAACAGAGGAAGGTGGGTTAACACCTTATGGTGAGGCAAGATGGAACAGTATCGTCTCCGGTAAACACCATTTTTTTCGCTCGTTGGCTGCCTATTATAATGCATTAGCACTAGAGCAAAATAACAAATACGGTGAAGCAATAGCGTTTTTGAAATTGGCTACTCAATGTCTGTCTTCCTCACTTCCATATAAATATGCTCTGAATGATAATTTTGATTTTGATGGCTTTGGTGAAACAATAAAGGATAAAACCAAGCAATTAATAAAGGATAACGATTATATTTTCCACGATAGTATACCCCAATCAGTATCGTTGTCTTCAATTAAAGCATTAGATGCCATAAAAGCACCTAAATGGGAAGAACAACTCAAACCGTTCATGGAAGCTATCGCACACAAATGTGAAAAGTTATATAGAGGAATTGTGCCAATGGAGGTATTTGAAAAGGAGAGTATATACTCTGAGAAAAAGGCTTCTATGCTCAGGCAGTGTATCAATGATTCAGAAACGGCAGACATGGAGTATTCTTCATTCATTGAGTTCACTCATTTGCCAAATCTACTTAGCGACCTCAAGAGAAGGTATAAGAGTCAGAATTTTTCAGGTACCACAGATCCTCAAGGTGACATGATGAGAGATCAAATACAATCTTGGATTAAAAGCATTAGTCAAAGTAAGTATAAAGATCCTGATGAACAATTGAAATTAATAAGTTCAAAAAAACAAGAAATTTTAACGCTACTAGCAGGTTTGCCCTCAGAACAAAAGGAAAATGTGGTCAAACTCAAAATGGCACTTGTTGAAGCTGCTGCTTCAGATGAAAAATTATTTTCACTAGTTCAGCCGTATGCAGCTCAATTAAGACTTCTGAAACAACCTGATGAACTATGGAAAATATTCAATATGTTTTCAATTGATGAATCTAATAAACAGAGTCTCTTAGATATTGATGATAGCAAGAATCAAGAAATTCTAGCAAAAATATCTGATATTGAGCAAATGGCAGAAGATTTGAGACTTCTAAAGGAAGAAAGAGGGCGTACACTCAAGGAACTAAAGAGTCAAACTAATGATGATGATATTACCAATACTTTACTGGTTAACTCAAAGGCGGAAAGTGAAGAGCTAGAAGTCATCTTTAAGAAGGAGCTAGACAAATTTAAACCTTTGACTACGAGGATTGAGGCAACCATATTTAAACAGGAATCTGTTGTTAATGAAGTCAAGAATGAGCTTGATAATGTTTTCAGTCTTTCTGGCTTAGAAAATAAGACATCAGAAGAGGAAGAGAAACAGAAGAAGAGGAAGGAATTCTTCATGCAAATTGAAGAGGCGGCTACAAAGTTTTTAATTTTTAATAATGATTTGCCAAAGGGTCTCGAGTTTTATGATTCGCTTTTGAAAATGAGTAAAGACCTAGCAGTATCTGTAAAAGTCCAAAATAATGCTAGTGGAAGTGACAATAATAGCAACAATGGGTATGTAAGTGGGAATGTTATTCCACCATCACTACCACCGCAGCCAAGAAACGTAGGTTCCAGCATTGATTCGCAATTTCAGTCCATGAATCTAGGAAGTGTACCTACGCCACAACGTTTTCCTCAACCGCCAGCTCCTAATTCTCGACCAATCGTTTCTATGGAAAATTATACCTCTCAGTTCTCTGTGCCACCTGCACATGGTGATTTACCGCCTGCTTACAATCAGGTTCCGCTGGTTCCAACAAGAAACTATGACCAGCCCCATGGTTCAGGGAATTATCCAGGAAATGTCTCAAGCCAACATCCAGTTTCATCTTCTCCAATACCTGGAGCTTATGATCAAGTGCCAATGGTCCCTCCAAAGCAACCGCCTGCAGAAGGTAGAAGTCAGATATCCAGACAAGAACAAATGGAAAGAGAAGAACGTGAATTACAAAGAGATCCTACAGCATTTTATAAGAAATCTTCGGTCTTTGATGAAAGTTTGTATTCAAGATATAGTGGTAAATAAACTAGTTACTATAAATATTGATGAAAATGATTTTCTGTTGTTAATTTGGTAAAACAATTTACCGTCTTCAATGAATCCTCGTAGTGCATTTAAGTCAATAGTTGATAACTTAAACATAAAATGAATAATTTTAAGAAGTGGATAAAATTACCAATCTCCTTACATAATTATATGCATTGTCAAGATAGGTGTACTGACCACCACAAAACAAGGCTTTGAGATCTCTCAGTAACAATGCAAGTCATATAAAAAATGAGCCAGCATCATGCTGCTAATTCCTTATCAGTTCATAGTAAATGCGGTATTTTGATAATAATACGTTACCTTGTTTTATAACTAACCGATCTTATTCTTGGAAGTCATAAATTGTGGTAACTCTGTATTTGAATTTTATAATACTGATGTGCTATCCAGGTCATTCACCAGAGCCCATGTTTTGTTCAAATCGCATACCACGAATATTTAGGCGGCTACCAGAATTTTAACGTTTTCAATCTCTCAATTCTATTATAGCACTACATTAAACAGGAAGTATTACAAATTTTAGTTGTTTATAGATTAATATTATCAGTTTAGATGCTATTAACTATCTACAGCTATCCTCACTAATGTTAGTCACAGTTGATGCATGCTTGCGTCAGAGTAGTATAAATCTGGTGAGGCAATATATGAAAAATGAAGAAATAAGATGCAACGGCAATAAGTATAGTACAGAAGACATATTTGAAACAGTTATTAAAGCAATTCGTAATGCTATTCAACGCCGTGTTGGTGCATCACAGAATTGTAATGGCGTGCTCACTTTTGAGGATATTTTTAGAGATGGAAAGGGCTCGATTTCTATTCAGGACCCACCCACACAGGCTCAGGAAAATATAATTTTGAGCTTAATTAAGGTTATTTTTCACTCGACTTCTACAGACCCACAATTCTTTTTAAAAATATCCACACATGACAACATGATTCTTAGTCTATTTGTAAAGGTTGTATATCTTAACAAACATGATGAGCTAGACGACTTAAAGTTAGATAACGTGGGATTACATGAGATAAACCATATGGTAAACCAAATATTAACCAATCAAGTATTGAAACACACTCAACCAATAGATAAAGTGAACGATAATGATAGATTCGAAATTTATTTCTATATTTTAGCGGCTGAGAATCATAATGAGCAAGAAAAATTGCTCACAACGGAATTCGATAAATTTAGTATCGTAGATTCCTATTCTAACGATGACGAATCAACCTATAATGAATTTTCCTTAGATCAAAATTCTTCTTATGAAAAAAATGCTCGACAAACTCAATCCATCGCGCATAAAGTTATTCTACCTTGCCCAGAACTAGAAGGTGTTTGGGAGAATTTATATTATAACAAAGATATCAAAATAAAGTTATTGAATTACTCTACTGCATCACTCAGATTAGCCTGGTATCTTGAGACCACCTCATCAAGTACTGATGTTGTTAATGAGATGATAAGTGCCAACAATAAAATGATACTACTTCATGGTCCTCCGGGTACGGGAAAAACTACCCTGTGTAAGGCGTTATGTAACAAACTTGCTATTCGAATGGCTAAAACAAAGAACTGTGTTGTTATAGACCAAGGATCATTACTGTACGAGTTATCTTGTAGTCGTGTGTTTTCACGTTGGTTTGGGGAGTCCTCTAAAAATATAACGCAGCTTTTCCGAGACATCGAGGCTGATATAATAACGGCTAACAAACATAATAATTTTGTGTTTCTTTTAATTGATGAAGTAGAAACAATCGCAACTTCAAGGATCAATTTATCCAATAAAAACGAAGCTTCTGATTCTGTAAGGGTAGTTAACAGTTTATTGACACATCTGGATAAACTTAAACGCTACCCCAATTTTTTAGTCTTGGCCACTTCCAACTTACTCGAGACTCTTGACACTGCCTTTGTAGACAGGGCTGATGGAGTTTTTTTCATAGGAAATCCAACATCAAAGGAGCTAAAATATATGATAAATTCCTCAATTGATAAGTTAATAAAAACAGGAGTTATAGTGGATCAAGATTCCTACAATTTGAGAAAATACGATGATGTTTTACAATTATTGGCAACTTTTTGTGAAGTATGTATAAAGAAGACAACACATCCCACCTACCTGAGCAATTATTGTTGTTCATATATCTGAGTATTTTACTAACAATTAACTTACCGTCCATTAACTCAAAATGGTAAATAAAAATAGAAACACAAATTTAATGGCCGAACGCTCAAGAAAATGCCAATATTATGCTTATCAGAGTATGCACATACATTTCCTGTGACAATGTGTACGTTTATTCTTGCATTTGCATCGATCATAGTTAAATGCTCTTCCAAATCCACCCAGTGAGTATAATTAAGGTGAAGGCTTATGCTTGACGCGAAAAGCATTATTTGAAGTCACTTCCAGGGAAAATGACTTACTCCGTAGTTTCTTCAGAGTGGTATTTTGTCCATATTAAATTTGTTAAAGCAGTATGAAATTTAATATAGTGGGGGTCTGAGGGGTCCCACGCAATGCCATTAACACCTTTAAATCACTCATTCAATGGCTAACTTTCCTTTCTTTTTTGTTCTTCTACTCTTTACCTCAATGCTGCAGTCATTTGCTGCACAAGGCTGACTTTATAACGATTTGAAAAAAAATTTTAGTTCAAATGTCAAAGTTCTAAGGCTGATGATGTGCGCAAGCTGTGCTGCCCTCATTTCATTTATAAACGACATAACTTACCTTACTACTCGGGGATCAATAACTGCAATCCTTATATAAAATTCTAGAATTGTATAATATTGGATCAAAAAATAGAGGAACTTTCACTTTAAAAAGCAAGGTATTACAATTGCCATACTGGAGGTCCTGCGGCATATTAAAGGATAAGATAAGTTTGGGTTACTGATTTGTAATCCTATAAGCTATTATTTAATACACCAACACATATGACTACAATTATAGCAGCGTTGGCACTCCTGCCATATGTCAGCGCGACAACAACTACCACTACCAACACTACGAATGATATTCCAGCTTCACATTTCGGATCTTTTGCCATGGCTGTCGCCATGATCGGTCTATCTGAAATAGGTGACAAGACTTTCTTAATTGCAGCCCTAATGGCTATGCGCCATGCTCGTCTGCTGGTGTTTACTGCCGCAGCTATTTCATTAACCATCATGACAGTTTTGTCAGGATTCTTGGGGCACACATTTGTATCTCTAATCCCAGAGAGCTATACAACATTTCTAGCTGGTATTTTGTTCCTAGTCTTTGCTTATAAACTATTGATAGAAGGTCTAGAAATGTCAAAAGATGCTGGTGTTGAAGAAGAAATGACAGAAGTTGAAGAAGAAATTGCTATCTCAACAATGAATGAAAAGATGGATGATATCGAAGGCGGTTCAGGAAAGGGTAAATATACTGATGCCGCATCTGGCCCAGTCAATCAAGTGAAGCAACTATTTTCAAAAGTATTTTCTCCAATTTGGGTTTCTATATTTTTAATGGTATTCCTTGGTGAGCTAGGTGACCGTTCTCAAATCAGTATCATCGCAATGGCCACTGATAACGACTACTGGTATGTTATCGCTGGTGGTGTCATGGGTCATTGTATCTGTACCGGTATTGCCGTCCTCGGAGGAAAACTACTAGCGACAAAGATCAGTATGAGAACTATCACCTTGAGCAGTGCTGTTCTTTTCCTGATCTTTGGTATTATGTACATCTACCATGCTTTCCACTACTAAAACAATCCTTCATATTTCCGATAATTGCTACGAACAGCATCCTAATGTCCGACATCGTTCCAAAGACCATCTAGTTCATTTTTTTATTGTAATATAAGTTTATAGACAAAACCCATTTCAATCACTTATTCATACAGCAATATTTTATATCCAAATATCATGGTTCATCTCAGGTAAGAAAATAATCAATCGTCCAACTTGTCCTGCATTATCTTCCGTCTCAGTATTCTCTTAATAGCTTCATCGGTTTTCTTCTTCAACAAATCCAACTGCGGTTGCAATTGAGCTTTGAAATCCGCGGTTTCTGATCCATTCTGTTCTAATATATGCTGCTCATCGTCAGCTAGCTCTTCCTGTTCAGAATTCACTTCCTCTACTAGTTGGCCTTCGTCTTTCACCTGCGAATCTTCCACATTTTGTTCGATGACCTCATCTCTGGGTAGAATGCTATTAGAAGTAGCAATATTACGCAATTGATCCAATCTCCTCTGTCTTTCCTCAGCCTGCTGTTTTAACAGAGACATTGCCACTATAGAATGTTATATATATAATTTTGTTCAGAGATGGACTAACCAGAAGGGAAAAAAATCCGTCGCAACATTACTGCACCCTAATAGTGTTAAAACCCACTAAACAATGGAAATATTTCACTCCACAACTAAGCTCAAAGTCAATTCCCCCAGTCAATAACCAGATTGGTAGAAATTCCCAGTACTTTGATGATAATGACATTTGCTGATGACAATTACAAGAGCAGAGAATGATCTCTTCCACCCGATATAGTAGTTTGTGATAACAGGAGCAGTAGAATACTAGATACAATTACTTCTGTATATTAGATAGCGGGGCAAGCAATTACACATGGCTCATTGATTGCTTGATATGAAGTGTGCACCATATACTAGGTTATATAGTACTATGTGAGCTGACTATCCCAATATATGATGGCCCACTATACACTCTTTACATCATGTGACTTATGAATCATGAGATACATCCTCACAACCGTCAAGTATTACAAATTAATATGTGACTGTCTCCATTTAGACACCCGTACACCCACAAAATTAAATACCTCAATGTTTCTGTTGTGTTTGTCCATTTTGCAGTGGACAGGTGGATATTTTCAATAAATTTCCTATTAAAGTAATTAATGTCTATATAGTTTTCCACATTTCACGGATAGACCATAACACGCTCTAGTTTTTTGAAAAATTTCAACGGCAAGCTGTAACTACTCCAATGGTTGGGTGCCAATGAGCAGCATTCATGCTACGATGTGCGCGATTCTGCGATGCCCTTTGGTCTCTCAACTTTCTACAGGTAGTGGGCGGTTATTCTATCTCAATATATCTTGATTGTGTTCAGTTTGTATAATTTGGTATAGTACAAGTCTTAACCTCTCTTCTTTTTAACTCATTCTTAGTTGTAACGACAAGAAAAGTACTGATCAAAGATGCCAAGTATGTGCTAATATGGACACCACTCTAAAGTGGAATAACTGAAAATGAGAATTGCACTTATATGAGGAAATGAATTGAGAAATTGAAAAATTGAATAAATGAGAAATTGAAATGAAATATAGAGGTGCTCGGGTCCCTCTCATGAAACGATTTGATTTGATATGAATACCATTGAGGAATATGAATATACTATCCGCAATATAGCTTACACCTTCACTAAGAGACTTGTTTCTAGAAGAATGTTTCTGATTACACACTACTGTACACAGTACGCTAAATTCCCGACACTTTAGTCGTACTATCATCTTAATAGCATGGGCCTATTTTTCTTCTCGGGAGAATTGAGGTTCTTTTAGCTTCCAAGATGACTATGGTAGTGTAATCTGCCTCTGTATGTTACCACTTTTGGTTATGTACATAGTACTGAATGTTCACTTGAAAAATTTAGAATCATAGTGTAAAGGTGATACTAGCTGTTTTGCGATTTGTAATTTGTTTCCTAGTATATGGTATTTAATCGTCTTAGTCTTTCATGGGTGTAGAAATCGTTTTGGATCCGTAGTATATGAATTCATGATATATGGTTATAAATCCATAGCAAGTTGAAATTCATCACTTCTGTAGTCATCGTTGAAGCTATTTCTTGGAGATTTCGAACCTCAATCACGACACACATATTTTACTGTGCAGTTATTACTCATTTTCCTGAGATATATTTCCATGGATCAAGTTTACTAACAGTTAATGCCTTTTCGAAAATAAAGCTATGTTTTATGAGGTACATTGGTTGATTTGTAACGTTTGTTGCGGATACGATCTACACTACACATTTAGCATAAAAGAAGTTAATTTTTGAAAACTGAAATAAATACAGGAGCCCCAAGAACTTACTCTAAGACCTACTCTACCCCAAAGAGACCTTACGAATCTTCTCGTTTGGACGCTGAATTGAAGCTTGCTGGTGAATTCGGTTTGAAGAACAAGAGAGAAATTTACAGAATTTCTTTCCAATTGTCCAAGATCAGAAGAGCTGCTAGAGATCTTTTGACCAGAGACGAAAAGGACCCAAAGAGATTGTTCGAAGGTAATGCTTTGATCAGAAGATTGGTGAGAATCGGTGTCTTGTCCGAAGACAAGAAGAAGTTGGATTATGTCTTGGCTTTGAAGATTGAAGATTTCTTGGAAAGAAGATTGCAAACTCAAGTTTACAAGCTAGGTTTGGCCAAGTCTGTTCACCACGCTAGAGTCTTGATCACTCAAAGACACATTGCTGTTGGTAAGCAAATCGTCAACATCCCATCTTTCATGGTCAGATTGGACTCTGAGAAGCACATTGACTTCGCTCCAACTTCTCCATTCGGTGGTGCCAGACCAGGTAGAGTTGCTAGAAAGAACTCCGGTAAGGCCTCCGAAGGTGGTGACGATGCCGCTGAAGAAGCTGACGAAGAGTAAATTAATTGAAAAGAACAATCTGATATAGACGATTTTTTTTATCTTATCTTATATATGATATCTAACTAGCGTCTCTACGCTATTCTTTTTTAATTTAATTGTACACTTCATCCCCATATCTAAAAAAATCGCATAGTCAATTATAAAATCATTAAATATAAACATGAGCACCAAAAATAGTAACAGCTAGTGTATTGGAAAATAAATCCCAAGCAAACGAGTAGTATTTTCGTATTTACAATAAATTTTACTATACTATGAACCTCTATATTGTGATATGACTTGGTAACTACATAGACTCTTCTCTGGTACTCATGTGGTAATCGTCTATAGATATATCTCTATATCTTTTTGAAATTATGATTGAAGGTTAGTTTTGTGACTACTTGAAGTGTACACCCATACACCAAAGAAATTGGCTGCTATTTTCTAGTTTTTTCCTTCTTCTTGGGGGGAGCAAGGTATTGCAGATTAACATTGTTTTGTGATTCCTGTCAAACGCACCTCGCTGTGCTCTAGGATCGTTAGGCTCAAACAGCCCCCACTGGATACCACGAGCCATACCAGACTTTTAGGAAGAGAAGTAAGCTCTGTTCCCGAGCCAAAACCTGGCGATGTTGTAATTGTTCGAAGGGGCCCCCTCCTAGTGTCTTCCTGCAAAATGATCCAACTGTATGCTAGGTTCTCGAAAGACTAGGCTGGGGTACTCTTACCGGAAGTTGGACAGAGAGTGTCATTGCTTCTCTTGGGCGATCGGGAACTCAGCCTGGTGGGCTCATAGGGGGAGCACAGGTTCTAGGAAGGGACGCATCAAGTGTGCTCTCACACACTGGGAAGAGCTGAAACTCATCGAAACACGCAACTTTCACACTGAGATTGAATCCGTCAGGATGTTCTGTCAGTAGGCAATGGCTGTGCTTAATGGCGGTTAAAGATAACTGGTATTTGAGAACTTGTAGTCATAGTAGGGGTATTGGTACATTACTAGTAGCAGAACCGACCAAGACAAACGATATCAAGCAAAAATGGGTAAATCGTATGTTTAACTAGCAACAATTTGAATAGACTACAGGACAATAATAGTCTCTATGGTCAGATAACCAGAGTGGTAGAATTATAGCTATAACTGAGTTCCATATATGGATAATTTCTCAAAGACACATTTGACAACCCGTGATAGCACATATCAGGTACTATAACCCTCCATAATGTGGTTATTACTGCGATAGTCAGTTCGCTTATTGAAGGATAAAGTCTCAATGGATCAAACAAAATACACTATCAATTATAGAGATCCCATGCTTATAACTGTCATCACACTATGAATTCTCTGTACAATTATTATGGCAATCATAAAGTTATTAGTGGATATGTGGATTTTATATGTGTCCAGGACATGTTACAACAATTAAATGGGTTTTATATGTTAATGCTATAGCTTGTTCTGAAAACTACTGAAATTACAATCATTAAGAAACATCTACTAACATTTTGTTAATCAAATTTTTTTTCAAACCATACTCTCTAGACTTCCAGTGGATAAAAAAGTAAGCGAGCTACACCACATATTGTTCAAACGGGATTCTACTACAATGTGAATATCAAAAAATGAAGATCTACAAAGTAACTAATAGTTGCAAATGCTAATGGATACTAGAGGAACTATTTTTTTGGTGCTGTAGAAGATGAATATGTTTTTACACATAATATATGGTAGTGTTCAAGGTCTTTGAATGTAAACTGGAATGAATGTATGAGAGGAAATTTGGGGGTTAAAAAAATTGATGATTTCGCATATTATTACAGTCACGGTTACAGATCTCGTACTCGTTACATGTTCCAACGTGACTTCCGTAAGCACGGTGCTATTGCATTGTCCACTTACTTGAAGGTCTACAAGGTTGGTGACATTGTCGATATCAAGGCTAACGGTTCCATCCAAAAGGGTATGCCACACAAGTTCTACCAAGGTAAGACCGGTGTTGTCTACAACGTCACCAAGTCTTCCGTTGGTGTCATCGTTAACAAGATGGTTGGTAACAGATACTTGGAAAAGAGATTGAACTTGAGAGTCGAACACGTCAAGCACTCCAAGTGTAGACAAGAATTTTTGGACAGAGTTAAGTCTAACGCTGCCAAGAGAGCTGAAGCCAAGGCCCAAGGTAAGGCTGTCCAATTGAAGAGACAACCAGCTCAACCAAGAGAAGCCCGTGTCGTCTCCACTGAAGGTAACGTTCCTCAAACTTTGGCCCCAGTCGCTTACGAAACCTTCATCTAATCGTGTTTGTCTTCAAAGGAATACGTATCTCTACTTTTTAAACAGTATCATTTTTTACATTTTTTTTAAAATAAAAAATATAACAAACCACATAATCATAAGATATATTATTACTATTAGTATTATTATTTCCTGTTCTCTTATCTCACGTATATCTCACCGAGAAGGATAGGCTCAAAGGCAACCCAAACACCGTTTATTGCTCGAATAAATCAATTAGCAATGCGGTGATACCACATAAGTTATGAAGTTGTTTCGTCTATTTTTAAGCTATCACATTTAGAGCACAATGTACTACCATGCGATAAAGATTTAGCAAAATTCAGCCTCTGTATTGCTATTATGTATTCTTATTGCTTCTGACGAGCTTTTATCAACCTTAGCTCATCGCATCGAAAGAAAAAGCCCCGGGCCTATCAACCACCCCCACTATAAAAAGTGCAAATGTCCGATGTCAACACTCGAACATAACACTGATTAACTCACACCACTAACCGCCAAAAGAATAGACAATAGCATACTAAGATTACATTTATCTGCAAAGGTTACATCGTGATATTGCCACTTTGAAAGAATAGGCTAGGATACAACGACGTTGCTAAAGCAAGGGGAGTTTCAAACATACCGCCTCAAGATTTCAGGAACCCCATTAAAAACATCTTTAAGGAGCATAAAATAACATACCCGAAGGTTATCATTGGAACTAAAGCTACAAAAGGAGTATTTTTCAGTTAAAGTTGAAAGTTTTAAATTAAGAGATGCCGTTAATACCTGACTCTATACAGTCGATAGGGGTTTTTCATGTGGATGACCCTTTCAACCCTATGCCAGATCCAGGTGATGCTGATCCTGAGACTGTCGCTTTTGCATTTTTTATAGGAATTGCGGTTGTATTTTCACTGTTATTGATTACATTAGTATGTACTGCTGCTTATCTAGTTTGTACCAGCTCTTACGAAGGTGAATACGATGAAGAATTAGCTAATAATGGAGATGGTAGTAGACGTGGTATCTTGAATTTCCGACCATTGTTTGGTAAGAAGAACTCAAATGGTTTGCTATTAGATTCTAATTTTACTAATCCAGGCGAATTTGATGACAACGAGGAGTTTATCGAGCGGGAACGTGAAGCGCTAATAAAGATGTCACCATTTGAAGTAGATTCTTATATGAGAGCCAAAGAATTTCAGATAGTGTCGCCACCTGCTGTCCAAGAGTTTGGTACGTACCTTGACTCAAAAGATTTGCAGATGATTAAAGATAGAGGCATACAGAGCTACTATTTCATTCCTAGTATTAATGACAATGTCGATAAAAGTGGCCATTTTTTGCCAAGCTTTTTAGTACAAGATAAATTAGAGGTAGAATTTACCAGATGGAATAAAAGTTCTTCAGCAGTGCTCAACTATCCATTACCATACAACAAAAAGGATGCTGTTTATTTTGAAGTAAAAGTTTACAATCATAAACCCAACTCCAATTCTATATTCAGTATTGGTTTGGTGACTGTTCCTTACCCATATTTCAGGATTCCCGGAATGTGTAAATTTTCTATTGCTTATGAGTCAACTGGTAAGCTAAGGATTAATGACCCATTCTTTCCTAGCACCTTGCTACCTAAATTAGTTGAAGGAGATGTAGTTGGTTTTGGGTATAGGTTCAAGACAGGTACTATATTCATTACGCACAATGGTAAGAAATTGATGGATGTTACACAAAATGTCAGTGTTGAGCTTTTCATAGCACTAGGCGCAATGAATGCTTCATATACCCGAACGTACACAAAAGATGGCTTACTCGAGGATCCAGACAACATTGAACTAAGAAATGCTCTAGCAGAAGGGAGGGAACTCAAACTCAGCAAAGATATTCAAAATCCTCATAACCCAATGGATGAGACAAAATGGGACATAATTGACTCAGATGAGATCGAGCTTCATGTAAATTTAGGACAAACAGGATTTGTTTTCATAGAAGCAAATGTCAAGAAGTATGGTTTTGGGAGTGTTTTCGGGGAAATAGGAATACCTCCAGCTTATAATCCCAATGATATACAAAAAGACAAACTGATACAAAAAGGGGAAGAACTACCTCCCCAATATCCTGAGGATACAGAGAATTTTGGGTTATTTGGTAATCTAAAAATTAAGAGTCACATAAAAAACCCATTGAAAGAAGTTAGTAGTAATCCTTCTGCTCCAGAATTAATCCAAAAAAAGCTCAAGACACCTATCGTGAAGACTCCAAAAGTCGGAATATATGAATTTACCACCCCAATTGACAGAAAGAGGGAAACGAATATGCAGCCATCAATAAACCCTCCTGTTTATGAAATTAACGATACTAGACAATCTTCTCCGGAAATTACGAATGAAACGATATCAAATGAAGAAACAGTATCAAGCTCCTCTAAGGCAGAGCCGGCTTTGCAACATGGGCAATCAAATAAAACACCAAATAAACGGCAAAATAAGAAGACGAAGCAAAGAAAAAACAAAAAGAAAGGAAAGAAAAATAAATAAAATCAGTGCATCGTTATCCCTTCAGAGGGCAAAATAACATTATAAAAACTATATGAAAAATACCCCAATTTATCACTTAACTTGCATAAGACTTTATAATTTTTTATGACCATTTATATACTACCTAGGAAAGTTCTGATAAGTCAGCTGGCATTGGCTTAACTTTAATCTTATAATATTTCTCTATCTCCTTCATACGCGAGGCATCAATTTTTGTTAGGAAATTAATTGCCACACCTTTTCTTCCAAATCTTCCACTTCTACCAATTCTATGAACATAGTTTTCTGTGATTTCCGGTAAATCATAATTTATTACCAATGATACTTGCTGTACATCAATACCCCTCGCCCATACATCGGTCGAAATCAGTACCCGGGATTGGCCTGTTCTAAATTCATTCATAACTCTATCTCTCTCATCTTGCTTCATATCACCATGCATGGAGATAACTGCAAAATTGGATTGTTTTAGCTTGTGCGCTAACCAGTCTACCTTTTTTTTACTATTACAAAATATAACACACTGAGTAATTGTTAGGGAGTCGTAAATATCACACAATGTATCAAATTTCCATTCTTCTTTTTCGACATTAACGTAGTATTGCTTAATGCCTTCCAGTGTTATCTCATCTCTTTTAACCAAAATTTTGACAGGATCATTCATAAATTTCTTAGTTATTTCAAGAATTTCAGGACTCATGGTGGCACTAACAACCACCACTTGTGAAGTTCTTGGCAATTTAGTGAAGATATCATAAATTTGGTGTTTGAAACCCAGTGTATCGCTGAGAAGTTCATCAGCTTCATCCAAAACTAAAATCTGGACATGTCTAGTCTCTATCAATCGTCTTTTTATCATATCTAGAACTCTTCCTGGTGTACCACTAATGACTTGGCAACCATGCTTTTGAATTTTCTTCAAATCATCTTTCATAGTTTTACCTCCAGTCATTGCATAGGCCTTGACGTTCATGTAGTCACCCAAGTTTGTGACAACTTTACCAATCTGAGCAGCCAATTCTCTAGTTGGAGATAAAACTAGTGCTTGCAAATCATGTTTCTTTAGATCAATAGCTTGCAACATACCAATCGTGAATGTTGCAGTCTTACCAGTACCGGACTGTGCTTGTGCAATAACATCTTTGCCGGAAATAATTTGTGTTATAGCTCTAGACTGAATAGCAGATGGTGCTTCAAAGCCATACGAATATATGCCTCGCAATAAACCCTCTTTCAGATCCATAGACTCGAAGGTGGCAGATATTTTTAGTTTCTTAGAAGACTTAAACTTTAATTTTAAGTCATGTTCTCGGTTGAAAGACATAGTTGTTTGTGTAATTTTCTGTGGTTCTCAAGTTTTCGATTATACAAGCACTTTGATTCAACAAATAATAGTAAATTGTAAAATATTTTTGAAATGTGACTAAGTTAGCTCTCATTTGATCGACTATATTGAATGAGCTCATCGCAGCCTTGTGCTGCTCATCGAATTTTTTTCAAGTTAAAAATCGGCGATGAGCTGCAGTGGATGAAAATCAAATAATAAACCTACATACTTTAAATTGCTATTTGATCTGCAGAAATAGAATGACTTCATATTACCTTTGAACAATCAATTTTCTAAAGTGACTAGAGTTATTTTAGAAGAATAAACTTTAAATACTCAAATTATAAGTATGGATAAGCGTATACTTCTACTAATTGGTGGAGGACATGATACTGGTGTCAAGTCGATGAGCAATGAGCTGAAGACGAAATTTGACAGCCTGTTTCCTGAGTCGAATATCAAAGTTATTGATATAGACTATGAACAGGAATATATGATATCACCAGCACGGATTAAGAGAAGCTATTCTAACGAAGATTACGATTTTGATGTTCTCTACAATACATTAACACATCAATCGGAACATAAAGCAGAAGGGGAGGTTGATATAATAATTGTATGTGGTTGTTATGCACTTTACAATCAAAAAATCAATGAATTGGCAAATTTGAGAGTATTTGTTGAAAGTGATGGCGATGTTAGGTTGATTAATAAAATTAGGTCAGAAAATATTGACAACTCAGAACAACTAGCAACCACTCTTCAGGAGTATCTACAGAACCTACGACCTGAGATGGAGAATTATATCGAACCAACTAGAGTGCATGCTCATTTAATAATCCCATACGCAAATAAGGACTCTGGTGTGGCTATTATTGTCGATGGTATGGTCAAAATTGTTAATGAGGTCTCAAATTCTAGATCACCAGACAGACAAAATTCGAAAGAAATAGCTAGAAATCAATTATACGACTTCTTGGGTGAAAGCATGGATAATGAACGCAGCAGATATTACGATTTGGCTTAAAGATGTTCTCGCATTGCATTTGCATATAAATATTTAATTATACCTTTACAATCTAAGCATTAATGCAAGCATATAATTCCTTCAGTATGTAAGTATTTACTTTCAATGGAGATAGTTTGTGAATTTCCAAGATTTTTATCTTTGTTCTTCAAGCAAATGTTCAAACCACTATTATCACCAAAATATTAAACACCTGCGAAATAATTAAAGCGCCAGGGATGGAATAATAATATGCTACATCACTATCATCAGTTCATGGTTTTTAATAAAGAAAAACGAATATATATTTTAAATGCTATAATTTAATGCTGCAATATTATATAGCAATCAAAGGTCTTCATTGCTGATACTTCAAGGTGACATATAATGACAGGAACATTACGGCAAAACCGAAATATATCAACAGTAAGCTCAACCTTCTGTATAACCTGTCCTCCTTAGTCATAGTATGTCCAATAGCCAAGGCATCTGTACCAATCAGCTTATAACCAAATAAACCCGGAAGAATAAATGAAATTGATGTCGATCCTGTTGCACCAACTAATGAAAGAACTAAAGCAAATGACTTTACATTCAGAGCCATTGCATACATACTTACCAAAAGCAATGCTGTAATTATATAAAACCTTGTCTCCGGGAAAGGGACGTCATGCTCAACGCCATTCAGCCCACCTTTGGGCGGTTCTTCCTCATGACCATGCTCCTGATATATAACGTTATTACTGTCCAAGAGATCTTCATTTAATTCCTCACAATCATTAACTTCATCATCATTAATAATTAAGTTAATGGGTCTGGAGGTATGTGTTTCAGCTGTGACATAATTAGAAGCTTCAGAATCCCTTGCTGAAATTTCGGGCGTAAGACTCGACTTCTCAAATTTGATGATAAACCAGACAACTATGTTATTAATCGCAGTTCTCAATGGATGAAATAAAAGTGGAAATGTGAGAATCAACATCATAGCTAGACAGAATTTACCTATTCCGATAGCTAATGAATCGGAGTCGTAATTCAAAAGAATATTTCCCATTGTTAGACTACCAAAAGTCAGATAACCAAACAAACCAACAAATAAAAATAAAATGGTTGATATTAAAATAGAGCTATCCACTACCTTTCTGACGTTAGTCATGGAATTATCCTGCAGCTCATTAACGATTGTGAATATGTTCATAGCGCCGACATAAGCGAAGATAATAATGGAAAACGTTGACAATAATCCCTTATAATCATAAACTTTAAACCATGAGATTTCTCCTCTTTCGAAACTAATCTCAGGTGCGAATGCAACATCTGTTAGATACCTGAACCCAATTAATAGCGATAAATATAGAAGTGCTATCACTCCCACAATACTAGAATATTTCAAGTTGTCTAGTTTCTTTAAACAGCATAGAGGAACAACAAGTATAGCAGATAACAATATCCAGTATTTCCTCTCACCACCAAATAAATCAGGGAAAAAGTCTCCCACGAGCACTAGATAGCTTAGTCCTACCCCAAAACATTGTACAACCATAGCCAAATCAAAAAGTGGAGCCAAAGATGGGTACGTAAGCATACATATAGTGAAGAATGAAGAGTTCCTGGGGTTTATCAGTGTCTTTGAGCATTTGGCAAGTAATATTAATCCAAAGCTAGATGTGACTGCTGCCAAGAAGATCAATAACAACCCGACTGCAACACCATCATTCTTGAAAGCAAAGGGTATAGCAAATAAGCCAGCACCAACAATGGTCTTCACTAAATTTGTAATCGACGATCCAACTGTAGCAGTAGGGTTGTCTATCATAGCTGTGAATACAACAGGGTTTTGGTGAGTATTTGAAGTCTTTCGGAGTAAACACCGCTCCCTATAAATGTAATCAATTTATAGAATAGTTCAAAAAAAGCACACCCTCAACAAAGCAGTGCAAACTTTAGTTCAGTAAGCCACAGTAATTAGATAAGGCTAACTAGCTCTTGATCTCCTGATCTATATGGATTCTACTTGATGAGGTGATTCATCAGTATTTTGCTTTGTTGTCATCGATTTTTGTTATGATCCGGATTTGTTACAAGAAGCAATAAACAGGAGTATCAAACAAATACCAAATAATTTAAATAGGAGATCAGATACAATAAGCGTTACATGCTTGTATTACCTACTGTTACATACTCTGTGTGGATTATTCTGAGAAAGTTACTGATAATGTTTTAGATTTATTTCTTCTTGTCCCATTTAATATTTAAGTTGAATATGTAAGGTTATAGTTTTAGTCATTAGGGAAGTATTCCTGCCATAGATTCCAAGCGATATAATTATTTAAAGTCACTGAACAAGAACCTTCTACCGTATAGTACTGTGTTACCTAACGCCAATGTAGACAATGCTAATGGCCACACTCTTCCGTATCTCAGAGCTTTAACGGATCCTTTACCACTCACTATCATATACAGAGCTGACCATGCAGTAACAAACCCTGCACCATTCTCTAAGTCACCATCATTTATAATGTATGCTCCCAGCAACTGAGCACCACCGAAAAGCATCGCTGCTTTATTGGATGGGCCTATCGTTCTAGTAGAATTTCTCGATGAAGGCATCGAGAGTACATTCTTCATAACACCTTTTGCAGACGATGCTGGCGATGTCATCCCTGCAGTAGCACTCATCTGTGGTGATACCATAGGTGTAGCCAAAAGGGCTAACCCATTCACCACCGCCGGATAAGGTGTAGCGGTCAACTGATATGCCTGTGCGCTCAACGATTCGTTCTTACCAACACTCGCCATTTCTAATAATGTAACTATGGTTGTATTACACTTGATGAATTGATAGATAAACTCAATTGCCTATACCTAATATACTATTTTATTTTCATTATATATTAAATTGCGATGAGGGATGCCGAATAATCTAATTCCAATGAATTTAATGAGCTTCTGTCAGAGAAAGTGCCGTACAAGGAAAGCAAATGGGTAACTTTTCAAGACCCTTAAAATGCTTTATTATCTGGTCATGGAAGAGTCACATGATTATTCCATGAAAGCCGTAGCATATAGAGCTCAACAGTCTCACAAGTACCTATTTGTAATCATTTCGGATATTGTAATATTTAATAGAGCTAATAATAGTACTTCTTTATTCTTTTATATTGGTATTTGAAAATAATATATTATACATTAATTTTACAATTTTGGCATCCTTTTGACCAAAAAAAATATTAATAATATTTACTGCATTTTTTAATTTCGAAAGGAGTATCTATGATCTTTCACCTCTCAATCTTCTGGCCAACTTGATATCCTTCTTTTGAATGGTAACACGCTTGGCATGGATGGCAGCCAAGTTGGTATCTTCGAACAAGGAGACCAAGTAGGCTTCGACGGATTCCTGTAGAGCACCAATGGCAGAGGATTGGAATCTTAGATCGGTCTTGAAATCTTGAGCAATTTCTCTAACTAATCTTTGGAATGGCAACTTTCTGATCAATAGTTCAGTAGACTTTTGGAATCTTCTGATTTCTCTCAAAGCGACAGTACCTGGCTTATATCTGTGAGGCTTCTTGACACCACCGGTAGATGGAGCGGACTTTCTGGCAGCCTTGGAGGCCAATTGCTTTCTTGGTGCTTTACCACCAGTAGACTTTCTTGCGGTTTGCTTTGTTCTAGCCATAATGGATGTATTTGTTTGTCTGTTCTAATTTGTAGTGAATAAAGGAATATTGAAATAATACTTGAAAGAACTTTCTGAAAGGGTACTCTACGAATCTACAAAATGTCACCAACTTATATACAACCTTTCAAGACAACAAATGGGTAAACAACCTAGTAAACAACCATTGAAGCAAAATTCAAATAACGTGTTTGGTGTTTCAGCAATTCTATAATATGTATACGATTTATTGCTACACCAAAGAACACGTATGAATTTTTAGAAGTTTTGCAGGAAATTCACCAACCATTCTTCAGCTTCGTGTTCACTACTATATGTTAACTGCGTTCCATAACGCCAGTCAGTAACATGCTACTATTATCACAAACCTGCTATACTTCATTATGGTATGTTACAATTCCAACTATTTCGCGTCCCAGAAGCTTTGATTTTTTCAAATAGTGTGGTACTGCATTTTCTGAGCACAAATAACCTAAATTTCGCGTTTGTTTACACTTTCTCGAGAACAATAGTAAAAACTTCAAATAACTAGCTCAAGGCAATACTAGGTGTGTTTTCAATAGCAGTAACTAACTCGAGTGTCACGACTTCGAATGGCATTCAAATTTGGCTGGTGACACTATTAGGTCAGTTTAACATATATATAAAAGCGGCCTATCTTCAAGAGTAAATTTATTTCTCAATTGCGTTTTATTCAGAATTATTCTTTACTTCCAAACACTACAACAATAAATATAGTAAATAATGTCCGGTAGAGGTAAAGGTGGTAAAGGTTTGGGTAAAGGTGGTGCTAAGCGTCACAGAAAGATCCTAAGAGATAACATTCAAGGTATTACCAAGCCAGCTATTAGAAGACTAGCAAGAAGAGGTGGTGTTAAGCGTATTTCTGGTTTGATTTACGAAGAAGTTAGAGCTGTTCTAAAGTCCTTTTTGGAATCTGTCATCAGAGACGCCGTCACTTACACTGAACACGCCAAGAGAAAGACTGTCACTTCTCTAGATGTTGTCTACGCTTTGAAGAGACAAGGTAGAACCCTTTACGGTTTCGGTGGTTAAACGTTGTTTCAACTGTACAAAGCAGTTTTGTATATATCACAATATTCATCAATACTGGGTTAGAAGCAAGTAAGGCTTTTTTTCAATTACATTAACGCATAGACGTATAATTAGTATGGTCAGGTAGTTGTATTTTATATTTCTTATAATTTAAGTATCGTTTTAATTTAACCTGTTTACCATTAAACACACAATTCGACAATGCCCAATTGATTTAGGGACTCATAAATTTTATGTTAGCATTTTAAAACACCTCCTAAGTTAGACTGCGTAAAAATGGAAGATTGTTATTAAAATAAGTTATAGAATTGAACGTTTCTTATATACTGTTAAAAGTCATTACAGGAATTGAAAAATTTGTTGATAAATTGGGAATACTTGACTTATCAATTTTTATTGCTTATCAACCTTAAAGGGTGCAGGTGGTTGGCCCGTCAACTCTCTTATTAGAGCAATGTCTTCGGAGACCTCCTCTGTTTTCAATGATTGAAGCGGTGGTGCAGTTTTCATAGAATATCGCTGCGTTCCCCTTGGCTTCTTCTTATCCGAGCTTGACTTGTTACCATCTTTACCTCCAACGTTCTTGTCCCCAAATAACAGGTTGTATAACTCTGAACTATCGCCAATACTTTGTAAAAATTCAGTATCTGAATTCATATCGGTTCTGTACCCCCCACTATTATTCTGTCTTTGGGAACCCCTACCAGAAGGACTAGCGTAAGGATTGGCACCATATCGACCACCATCTGAGTCCTCTGTATTATAACTTTTACCATAGTTATAACCATCGCCGTTAATACCACCACTAGTATATCCACTAGTGGCATTTCCACCGTTTCCACCTTCCAGACCGGAACCTTCTCTTCCAAGAACAACTCTTCTTCTCAATGACCTCCTCTCATTGCCGAACCCCGATAAACCAGTATCAGTGGCACTCTCATTTGCAGTATCTCTCCCAAAATCATTGGAAGAGGATTCCCACCCGCTTGCGGTGTGACTCCTTGTGTTTTTTTGATAGTGCGGCCTGTCGTAGTCCATAGAATAAGTATGAATATTTGCAACATCCATAAGAAGCCTTTCTTCTTGTAGTTTTTTAGTTTTCATCTCGATGTTTTGATAGAGTCTCTCTTTACATATTTTGACCAACCTCTCATGATCTTCTTTAGTTTTCTCAATCTCCTCTTGAAACTCTATTCCCGATCTGTATACCCTATACTCTTCATAAAGTCGCAGTCTCACAAGTTCAAGATCTCTTGCCTCTTCCAAGTCCCTCAGTTTCCGCATAAATAACTCATTATTACCTTGATGCAAAGAAGTCAGATCGGTTTGCAAGGAGGTCAACCTGTCTCTGTAGTAAGAATCTCTCTCCAATATAAAACTTTGCTGAATTTTACCAACCCGGTTCTCAAGATTAACTCGACGCTTGTCCTTCCTTGGAACATCCTTGGAAGTAAGCCTTTTCTGTACTTCCATCTCTTCCATTACTGCTATTATCCGCTCGTTTATTTACCTTCTAGTGCCTAAAAATACTATTAAAACCGAAGGAAAAAACACACCGATAGCTAAATTAGTAATGCCAGTGTAACGAGAAACTATATACTTGTTTAAAACCCACCAAACCTGCTATTAATTACATGCAAAAGTTCCTGAAATGTTTGACTTTTCTGAACTTTTTTTTCTTCACTCTGTTGCGCTTTTGAAGGGTTTCCCGGTTTTTTCGATGATGCCCTTAGAAAGATATTGCATGTTAACAAAGCCAAATTAAATAAACTAATGCTATGAAAATGATTTTGATTAAATATGTTAAAACTTAGTTTAAATATATACATTTATGTGTTTTTGGCTACCCAAGCATCGTGACGCTTGATTACTTCTGGTACTATCAGCTCTTCTATTGTCTTCACGGAGTTATCCAATCTAATCCAATCACCATCACGGTTTGTCGAAGACACAAACACTACCTCTTTGTTTCTTGTCTGTAGTAAGTTACCTATCACCAGTTGGTGGTTGTATCTATCTAGTGCAGTAATTGCCTTGTGGATCAGTATGCGTTCATCGGTCTCTAGCTTGAAAGACACTATCATGGCTTGCGATGCCCAAGATTCAACTAATCTTCTTAGGAATTTAGGAACAGGGTCTAAGTTGACTATTAGTTTCCCGTCTGCTGTTGTCGTAGTGGTATCATCACTGCTGCTATCTCCGTCAAGCTTGTAGTCTCGGGACTGGATCTTGTGCTGAGGCATACGTGAGTGTGGAACGAAGAAGTCGCTCACTGCTGCTGCCAGGTAGAACAGACTACCACGAGAGTCCAGCAGCTTTGCTACGCTTTTCAACGACCACAGATATTGATTAACAGTGGTAAAGGGTAGTAGGAGCAGCTTCTTCTCCTCAGAGACGTATAAGTCGTAAAGCCTCTTATTCTCGAGCACTTGCTCCTTGAACTCGGGCTTCACAACCCCATCTTTGTCAATGAAGTCCAGGAACGAGTTCTTCAAGTTATGCGTAAACTTCCTGTTGTAAGGTGTCAACGAGAACTCTCTATGCAAGAATATGACGCTGTAACCGTTCTTGAGGAACTGCTCAGCACTTGCAGCACCACGCGTACCAGCAGAGAAGTTGTCAATGAACCTCACTGTGTTGTTCTCCAAGGGCACTGTGGTACCACCAGAAGTCACTAACACTATCTTGTCCCGGCCTTGCTCGTGCTGGTACTCGATAAACTCACGGGTATCCTGTATTAGCTCATCCATATACGCTGGCCTAGGATTATTGTGGAAGAAACTAGCCTCTTCAGAAGTCTGTGCCACTGGGAACACATTCTCACTGATACTCCGGTCGATGGCATGCTCGACCTCAGTGATAGAGGTATGAATGTTCGGCCTCCCGTTGCTATATGGTGGGACCATGATGAAGTGTATCTACTAGTCTATTCCGAGTATCTTTCACAAGCTTTTAGAGCCTACAGGAAACGGATAAAAACTCTGTTTAGCTTTTATAATTAATCCAATAGCAATCGTTTAAATTACAAGACACAATGGGGGAGAATTACGGGAAATGACCGACATTTATTTCACAGAAATTGCCGTACAAAGCATCACTCATGCCCTCGGAAGCTAGCCCTGTTGACATAGCCAAACAAATGATAGAGTATACATCAGCATAGGACTGCATTGACTAGAGATCCACTATATTATGGCTAAAATTTATCATATAATATTGTTGAAAGTGTAGGCAATATGGGTAATATGGATGTTCTGCAATTGTTGCAAAAAAAATGAAATTTGCGAATAGGTGAAAAAAATAAAATAAAATGGTCTCTAGCGGGATCGAACCGCTGATCCCCGCGTTATTAGCACGGTGCCTTAACCAACTGGGCCAAGAGACCATTATGATTTGTTGACAGTTGAATTTGCAAAATGAGGTTTTGAGAGTTTGAGTAGAATTCAGGTTGTGACAGTCAGTCCTTTAATATAGAACCGCAAGGAGTCAATAAGGCTATTGGACTTACTTGGTAACAATTTATTTCACATGTATGTACTCATTGTGATGTGCCAGAATACTGTTTGTGCCTATGTGGTAAACCCTGAGTGGATTATGTCGATAAACCCGGTAATTTTAGCTATTTTCGATTAAGGCAAAGTTGGCTGGGTGCAAGAATCAAATAGAAGACAGGAAATAGGAAGTAGCTATAATGAGATTATCCTGAATTTAAATACCGCTTATATTTGTAAAATCCCGCTTCAATACTCGCTGTTATTTCCTCACTTGTTTCAACACACTCACATTTTTTATCATGCCCATTGTGCAAAACAGAAAAACAGCTCAAAACTGTACAAGATAAAAGTATTCTAGTAAACATCTAAATGAATCAGAATATAAATAGTCTTGAAATCGGATAATTTTCAGGCTAAGCTCTTGCCAAGAAACACATACGATTATATACTTCTAAGATTGCTGTGCTGAATGTCTCCAGGTAGTGGTGAAGAGAGTCCGTTGCGAGACATTGTGAGGTCGACCAGCAGTTTGAAGATAGATGATTTGATCAAGAATGAGTCAGATATAATACGGATTTTAAACCAGCAAGAAGACTTGCTTATGGACAATGGTCGGGTACGAAATGTGCACCATTTAGTTGATGAAGACAACCTATTACGAGAAGAATTCGACAAAGTGCTGAAGCAATTTCATGGTAATGAAGATAACGAGCTCAAGATTAAAGGTAACGAGGAAGATATTGACGATTTATTCGATGAAGAAGAGCATAAAAAATCATCAACTGGGCTTCTACTGAGCTGTGATAGCGAGGTAACGCCACCAGAGAACTTCAGTCATGTTGTTGGCGAAATATATAGAAGTAGCTTCCCTAGAACCGAAAACTTTGCCTTTTTGCAAAAACGTCTAAAACTCAAATCTATTTTGGTTCTTATACCGGAAGAGTATCCTCAGGAGAATTTAGATTTTATGGAAAAGGCTAACATCAAGTTATTCCAGGTCGGCATGAGCGGTAATAAAGAGCCCTTCGTCAATATCCCATCCGATCTACTAACGAAAGCATTAGAAGTAGTGCTTAATCCAGAAAACCAACCAATTCTTATACACTGTAATCGTGGAAAACATAGAACTGGATGTCTAATCGGATGCATAAGGAAGTTACAAAGTTGGTCCTTAACAATGATTTTCGATGAATACAGAAGATTTGCTTTTCCCAAAGCAAGAGCCTTAGATCAGCAATTTATCGAGATGTATGATGACGACAAAATCAAAAGTATAGCAACACAAAACAAATGGCTCCCGTTACAATGGTAATACGCATATGCCATTGGATATAATAAAATTCAATAAGTACTCACTCGTATATACTTTTTTCCGGATAAAGTAAATAAAAATATGTTTCATTAAATTCTTTTAAACTTCTATAATTCAGCAATTGTCTAACATATATTTAACCTAACGCCACATAAATTTCATGCAATAGAGAAAAAAAGTAAATATAACACATACAGATGCAGTTACATGGAGTAAACTTTTCAGTTATGCTTGCATCATACCATAAATGTTAACAATGCGATTTGTTGACACAATTAGAGATGATACGCTAATGTGGTTAATCTATTGGCAAAATATGCATTTTAGATCCGTGAAGTCATGCAAATCACAGTTGTTAGATACTGGTCTATCAAAATAGAGTGCCCTAATGATTTGCCTTACATTGTATAAGCCAACCATTCCAAGAATATTCAACCACCTACGTTGGTATAAAACCAAAAAACAATAAATATTACTTGAATTTAATAAGTCCTAATGATATAGGAATATATTCAACATTTACTGATTCTGCTGTTGATGGTGCCTTTCAAAATCATTTCTCACCATTTCCTCTTTCTCTTCAATGTTGAATAGTTGGTATAGCTCTACCTCTCCCTTCTTCAAATGTGTCACATCCATCCATTTTTCAAAACAAAATGTGATAGTATCTTCTACCTCAGCCGGTTTACTAGGACATCTACAACGACAACCGCTACCCCCTTCAATTGGAGTATCATATCTAGTCCAGGAGCTCCTCTTGTATTTCTTATTAGCGGGCTTGTATTGGAATTCGTTTAAATCAGGTGAGTTCTTTGGACAATGTTTCAAAATGGAATGCATATACCCAATATCTCTAAAATAATGTATATCGTCTACGTCTAGAGTCAATGCTAATCCAATAGAATGTACTGGTGCATCCCCCCAACGTTCTTTCCAAAAACCACCACTAGCTTCTAAATATTGGAAATAACTGTTGTAGACTTCGTTATCAAAAACATCCAATCTTGCTATCTCGAAGTTTGACCAGAAATGACATAAATTATATTCTTCTCCCTCAAATTCATCTTCGATTAGTGGTACCTTTGACCTAGCCCTGTTCACCAAGAACATCAACCCTACGTCATCGTCTGCAGTTTCCGATTCAAGTAAATGGTCGATAGCTACCTTCTCTGATAACTTGGGTTCCACATCACCACCAAATTTTACCCACTGATGAAGATCATCTCTAACCATATTTTCATAGTCAGTAAATTCATCTCTTCCTTTATCGGTCTTCAGAATATCATAATTTGTTGCGAAAAGCTTCCAAAGTGTCCCCACTTTTACGCCATACTCTCTAATAAATGCCTTTGTGTACCTAAACAAGTTCGGCACAGTCCAGTAAATTTCAGGTATAATCATGGTGAATGCATACTTTTTATTTCTTCTATGCATTTCAAAAAATGGATCATATGTCAAATCACAGAAAAACTCCACATCAGGTTCTAACCTCCAATACCATTCATATTTCTGCATCAATGGATGTTTGTAAAATATGCCCGAATAGAACCGACACATCTTATGGTATGATTCCATATTACCATACAAGATACCTCTGTCTCCCTGATCGGTTATGGCATTCTGATATTCGAATGTGTTTCTTACTTCTTCTGGAAACTCCCATTGACTTTCATCTAGTGTACCAAATTCGATATCAGCATCTGTAGCTTCACGTATTGATTTCTTAAATTCTTCGCTGAACGGTTCGTCATTCAGGAACACGTATGGGTATTTAAACCATTGATTGAAATGCGCTTCAATGCTATTCATTGAAGACAATACATCCTTCAATTCGTTATTCCGCGTAAGCATGACAAAGGCTGCATTCATCTTCTTATATTCTGGTGCTTGTAAATATCCCTCTGTGTTCACACAACCATAGTAGAATGGTGCATCTCTTTCGGTACCCAAATCCTGCTCGGAGTAAAATCGTATATCAGTTCGAGAAGGGTAAGTAAAATATAAGAATGTCCCACAAATAATGGCTGTAATATACATATATATCGCAATGGTTGACAATAGCCAATCTAATACTTCCTCTACTGCATCATTTACCCACCTTTTGACCTTTACCCTCATCCTTGACTTGGTATTAATACAACTGCTTCGAAGTTTGATAGATAGTTTAAATAACCATCAGTTGGCAAACGGTATAATCCCCACTAGTTACAATAGATTTAATATCCAAACACATATAGCTAGTCCTAAGTCCAAACTTCTTATCTTTTATCATAGTAGTCATTATCTGGATCAATTTTATAATTTTTTTTTTCACTCTATTTAGAGCTCATCGCGATGAGCTTTCCAGCTTTTTTTTCACTCACAGTATAATAGACTTTAATAAAGGCTGTGTATTGTAAAACAGCGATACAAATGGTGTGACATAACAGACTACAAAACAAAGGAATAATCTATATTATCAATAAGTGCTTGCTACTATGGTGTTGGAGTTAGTTGTACGAGATTTGAAACTGCTCAAACCAATAAAGACTATATTAGAAAATGAAGGCTTGTTTGTTAAGCCTATATATTCTGAAGGTGAAGACAAGATCATTAGAACACGGATCAGTGATTCAAACCATCAATTGCTAGAGAGTCTCGGTACTGGAGTTCTGATACGTGAAATCGATGGCCCGGTTATACAATCTCATACCAAGAATGACATAACGGAGTTCACAAGACACTTTTTCGAGGGAAAATTGGAAAATGCAACTGTAATTAAATTACTTGAGGTATTGCCTGTTAAATATACAGTATTTCCACCATTACTATTGTTCAATTACTCCAAACAGAGATCTTTTTTGAATGAACTTTGGCAGCAGACGGTACCGTCTGAGCTTATGGATCAATTCTACCAGGCGATGCTATCAGCGCCATTCCTAGCCAACAAGAAAGTTTCACATATAGCTACAAATATGCCCATAATAGAGTCAGATGTAATGCGGAGGCCCTTTAACATAGTACCATTGTATGGTTTTAAAAATAGTATACCGAACGAGGACAAGATATGGGACTCACCTAGCGCTCAGGATTTCCAAGATGCATTGTGGTGCCAAGTGAATCAAAATGGGATAGAGCAAGTGTGGGCTCCCCAATTTACCATGTTCAGTAGAGGAAATATAAAAGAGAAGAAACGTATCTTAGATACTTTTACTGACATTGAAGGAAATGATGTGGTGGACATGTACTCCGGAATAGGCTATTTCACTTTAAGTTACCTCACTAGGAATGCCCGTACTGTATTTGCATTCGAATTAAACCCATGGAGTGTGGAAGGTCTCAAACGAGGTCTCAAGGCTAACAGGATCGACCAGAATAGATGTCATATATTTAATGAAAGCAATGCCAACTGTTTGACAAGAATAAAAGAGTATGCAAGCATACACGGACCACCACACATAAGACACATTAACCTGGGACTGCTCCCAAGCTCAAGAGATGGCTGGCCATTGGCTGTACAACTCTACAGATACCAATTACAGTTCAGTACGGACAGGATAACGATACATATCCATGAAAACGTCCACATAGACCATATACGTGATAATAGCTTCATCGCAAACACAGTAGCCCAATTACAGGAAATCGACTCGGAACTAACATACACACCAACTCACTTGGAGCAGATAAAGACATTTGCTCCAGATGTTTGGCACATATGCCTCGATGTAGATATAGACCACTAGCTATTCATAGGTTACATACGTATATGCCCATATCCATATAGCAATTCATCAACCTTTGCAGCCAGAGGGACCCTTCCCCCATCCAGTGATCCCACTTTTGCCGAACTTGGTCACTTTTCTTGCAGGAAAAATTATCCCGGTGAGTCCTCCGAAAAGCTCAGTTTCCTTGTAATTACTTGTACAGCACAATGAAGGCTTATAATAGCAAAAAACTTCAAAATTAGTAGCGATAACGAGTTGGACGCCCTCTTTTGGAAGTCTGTTCTGGTTGCAGATGCTTATAGACCCTGGATCAAGCACTTCATTTCATTGGGATTACAGCTTTTCGTTGTAGAAGAAGGCTTTTAACTAACTTGCAAGAGCAACAACTCCACTTGGGAAGGGTTTTCTGTCAAAACCACTGCTAACCTGGTTTCTTTTTTTGTAAGCAAACTGGAAATAACATTTGCTGAGTTGCACAAACTTCACATTAAGTTTTAGAGTTTGATAGACAGTTTTCTTTTTAATCTTTTTTTTCACATTGGGAGCATACTATACAAGATTTTGCAATATTCAGCAATGGGCGATAACGAAGAGGATAGGAGGAAAAAGTTCCTTAATGGATTACAACTGCAGCCGGACCAGGATAATATGTTTTTAGACCAGTATCTAGATCAAGCTGCCGAGTTACAAAGACATCTTCAGGGCAACAACAGCATGAATGGCGATGTATATGAACAAGATAACAATAACCATAATTTCTCGACCGGGCAGAATATACTGAGTGAGTCTACATTTTCACCATCCAGCGACATGTCAAATCCAGTATCTAATCTATTCAACTCCAAGTCTATAAATTTCTCAGATATGCCCTATGAAATGGGTGTGGGCGAGGAGACACCCAATGACGATAGGGATAGACAAGATAGCAATCAGAATAATAACAATAATCTCATGAATACACCTACTTTAAAGATTGAATGCTTTGATGAGGACGGCGTGTTTCTTCCCGGAGATACAACAAATGACCCTTTTACTCAGGATAGTGGACCCAAATATGATAGCTCGCAAAATATCAACGCTGGTATTGTCAGTGATATGAATAATTTTGAGAATATGGATAGCAATTTTTTGGATTTTGGCGGAGATAATCAGGTCTCAAAAGAAGATGGGACTTATCTAGACCTTTATGACAATAACCTAAAGAATGCAAGCACAGAGAAGATTGCATCTTCAAATAACTTGAGTGTGAGTAGAAATTCCGAGGATAACCTCTCCAGAGTTTCATCCACATTGAATAGCCCCTTTATGCAGCCTACAGATAGAAGCGTATCGCCTATACTTTCCCCACCTGTAATGTACCTGGGAGACCATTCCCACACTGATGATAATGATGACGTTGTAAGCATTCTGTCGAATAACTCTAATATACTATTACCGGTAAATTCGCATGGTTACAAGTACGTGACTGACTTCAATCAGCTAGGGCAATTAATTGGAGGAGATCCATTTGAACTTGACTTCAATGGAGATAACGACATTATAAATTCTAATGACTTGAAAGTTGATGCTGAAACGCTACTAAATTCAGAGAACGTTCACCTACAGGCTCCTCAACCCAATAACAATAGTAGTAATAATAATAACGTTTCGTCACCATCGGGCTCAAATAAGATGCCTACAACCCCAATAATTTCAATTGAGGAATATGATGATAATAATAAAAACTCTAACGATGATGAGTATGCGATTGATATGGACTCTTCAAATGCTCTCCAAGAGAATAGAGGTTTCCTCGGTATATCATTACTACCGGCGGAGGACTCGGACGCAACACATGACGAAATATTACAAGGAAGGAAACAAAAGCTGAAAAATAGAAGGGTATCTCAAAGTAGTTCCCGTAGGTCTTCTCGATCATCCATGCGCAGCTTAACACCTGAAGAAAAAGCCCGTTCATTGAGTTCGAACAGGAATAAATTATTGGAAATGGCTGACTTATTACCAAAATCGCCTTCATCGAACAACGGTTCGAATAATAACTCTAGAAGATCTTCCTTCTATGAGGAAAGTGAAGATATTTCCATGGATACCAACATATCCGAAAATAACAATACCAACAATAATACTGGCACCGATTATGTATGTGAAGTTTGTGGGAAAGTTTTCTCTCGACCATATAACCTGAAGTCACATTTGAGAACACATACAGATGAAAAGCCATACCAATGCTCTATATGTGGGAAGGCATTTGCAAGACAGCACGATAAAAAGAGGCACGAGGATTTGCATACTGGTAAAAAACGGTATGTATGTGGTGGTAAATTGAAGGATGGTACTTTTTGGGGGTGTGGTAAGAAGTTTGCAAGAAGTGATGCCTTAGGTAGACATTTTAAGACGAGTAGCGGGAGGAAATGTATCACCCCACTATACGAAGAGACCGCAAGAGAGAGGAATCTCCCTAGTATAGACGATACGAATATTCAAGCAACTGAGATGGGTGTTACTTTGGAATAAATTAACACAAACCTCCAGTATTTTTAATGATAAATTTTTTTCTTCAGAATCAAGATTGTGATGAGATATAAGCATAAAGATCATAAGATAGTTGGTAATTACAAGGAGATTAACATCCTGATATAAGGCAGTTTTAAATACAAAAGTCTATATAAACTACTTAAATAGAGTTGTAACAATATTGGGCACTATTACTATAGCAATAGTTATTTATTTTCGAATATTTTTATGTACGGAAAAGATAGGGACTCTAAATATTTTCAAACAAATGAAATTTAGTCAAAGCAAGACATGCATAAGGGCATCGATCACAGTGGCTAGCACGTATGGGTCCTAAATTTATTTCAAAATTGTCAAAAGGTTTAGGAATTAACCACTGAACTGTTGAAAATAATCTAGTCTGTTCCTAAAGTCAGTTCAATTAGCACTTCCAGTTGTTTGAATCTAAGGAAATAAGGGGTTGCCAACGCATTTAAGACAAATTAAGTAACTATCAGTTAAACAAAATATAGTTCATGATGTCAGCATCTGATGATCAGTTGCAAGCAGAACTACAAGCCGAATTACAAAGGTTTCAAAACTTTCAGAATGGTTTGTTGAATAGGAATTTAAACACACCTGTAAGTGTTACCAAAGTGATAACGAATGGCACAGAGACAATAAAGCCACAAACTTTACAGACATATTTAGATAATACTATCTTGCAGGCAACTACTCTGAAGCAATTGGTTAAAAATGCTGATTTCCTGAGTGCAAAGCTCGTTCAGCATGGATTGGCCCAGGACGTGTACCAAAATTTTAGCACTAATGAAAAGGTCATGAGTCCTAGCGCAGAGAATCCAATTCCTATAATAGATGTTATATCACAATTGAATATTTTACCAGTCAAGAAATTTGTTGCTAAAACAGGTACTAATGTAGGCAATAACGAGGGTGAAGGTTACTTAGAATTTCAGTTGAGAAACGTTTTTGGTAATGGTGAATCTCTAAGACTTGATATGTTAAGAGGTACTGCAAAAAACTCCTCGATGCTGGCGTCTTTTGTGAAGCCCATAAACCCCTATCATGTACTGGATCTTAACATATATAAGCATTCCAAAAATTTGGGTAATATATGCCCTTTAGATTTGCATTTTAATGGTGGGAAAATGAGCATAAAAAGTGAATTAGGCAACACCCAAAAGAGGATCAATCAAGAGTGGTTTTATGAAGGCGTTACAAGGACTACAAAGGTTACCTCTGATCATGCATCAGATACATTACTATTTCAGGCAGGTACTGATTTCAAAAGTTCAATTGGACATACTTACGCAATTGACACCAGAGATAGCGTTATGGCACCAAATAGAGGTAATCTATTCAAACTAAATAATGAAGTGGCACTTGGGAAATACTGGAAGAGTCAATTTGAGCTTTCGAAAGTGCAAAGTTGGTTTAAAAATGATTTCATAACTACAACAACAACTTTGAAGGGTGGTTATTTGGGCAACTTTCATCCAGACAAAAAAACACTCCATATCAATGACAAGTTTATGAGTGGGGGACCAAATGACATCAGAAGTTTTCAAAGCTTTGGTGTGGGTCCAAAGGACTTACAGGATGCCATCGGTGGCGACACCTTCTTGAGTTATGGTGTTAGTATATTCTCTAAATTACCAATAAAAAAATTCGAAGATTCACATTTCAGGTTGCATTGGTTTTTTAATGGTGGAAAATTAATAAACCATCAAAACAAGCCTGTAATTGACACTTTACATGATCTGAGTCGTCAACACTCTACGTCTGTTGGTTGCGGTATAGTTCTAAGACACCCGGTTGCCCGTTTTGAACTCAACTTCTCATTACCGTTGACGGTATCCACCGAGGACTCGTTAAGAAAAGGATTTCAATTTGGTTTGGGTATGTCATTTTTATGACTTCTTCAATAAGAATGATAAGGCATTCTTTTTTAGTTGGTAAGAAATAGTCATTCCTAACCATCGATTCTCGATTTACGACTAAATGTAAACAAAATCAATCGAATAATTATAAAAAATACCTCCATATTTAAAACATTGTATTTTATTCATGCATTAAATAATCTATTGTCGTTAAATGAATATCTAATCAAAGTAAATCGTAAATGTGACCTGTGGTTATTTGGATATCCCTTAATATCGTTCAGGCAGATAGTGGTCTTAGGTAAAGTGTATGTAGGAGATACTTAATCCATGGCTCATGGTAACGATCCCAATGGTCATAAAGAATGATCTGTTGTTGGATGGTATCCATTACTTCTTCTAGGTCAACGTGTGATTCAGCCAAAAATCTGAAAAAAGTTTGTTGTTGAGGGGTCAAGGAGGACTGAGACGTTAAAGTCTCAGTTACCGCAGAAGTCAATGACAATTCCTTAGTATTTGAACCCTGTATGGAGACGGTAATGAATAGACATGCCATAGCAATGATGTGAGGTGCGTAAGTTAAATGTACGTCATTGATAAAGCTATCATTTATAAGTGACCAGCAGTTTTGTAGCTCATCTGACGTAAAAGTTAGTTTGAAAGGCTCTTCTTTCAAAGCTTCCACTATCTGTTCCATAGACTTATAAGGGTGGTGTACAATTAAGTAGCATTGTAGTTCTTCTATCAGGTAAAATTCGAATTCTGTTACCTTTGTAGGATCAGGAGGTATAAACTCCGGCCATAATGATCTTGCCTCGCTTACTAATGTCCTGATATATTGTGGACACTCTTCCACTTTACAAGCCAAATAAACGCATGTAGTGACCAATAGATATAAATTGACCTCTCTGACGGAAGCTTTTAATAGAAATCGTGAAAGATATATATGTGCAGTAGCCAAGGCATATTGCCGTATGTTTAACCGTCTGCCCAGTTTCATTATGAGGAAATAACAGTAAATCCTCAAATTATAATCCTTATCGTAATGCAAATCTCTATGTGTTATAGGGATATTCTTAGTCGTGGCTACCAATTGTGACCTACCATTGCCACCTCCATTATTAGCAGCATTTCCGTTGGAACTATCTGCGGAGTTGGGCTTGGAATCCACTATAATATTCAGACCTTGTGGAAATAACTGGCACTCCATAACCCACAGCCTCTGTCGCTCGCGCGCCAAGCTAGGCTTGGTGTGCTGCCACTTTTGCCGCTGCATAGAAGTCCAGTAACTCCCAGACATCCGGTACTTATACTAATTAACCCAATTGAAGCCAATCAAAATTAAGGCCGTGAGGGCTGTCGTCCTAAAATTAGTTATCTATTAATAAAATGTGGTAATTAGAGATACTAAACTGAAAAATGTATGGATCCCATAAACTGTTGCCAAACAATTCATAGTTACTCTAACTTCTTAAACTACTATGTGCTCAGAAATCACAAGCTATTGGTACGATGAGTATTAAAGCCCTAAACATACCACACTACGGAACTGCAAAATCATAAAGCCCTAATTCTCAACCCTAACCCTACACTATTACTTTTGGTAAAAAAATTTTCAGCTGGAAATTCATATAAATAGAGCTGATGAGTTTGCGATGAGCTCGTTCTTCTTTCTATCCGTCTGTTTTGGTACACCTGTTGTTTACTTTCTTTTACTTACAATACTCCAATCCATGGTCGAAGAATCGTCTGTCATCGAAGCTTGCACAAGGAGTCCAACAGATTTTTAATGATGTGTCGGATTCACAAAAGCTTTGGGTCGAAAGTCTCCCACCTGATCGTATGCGGAAAACGTAATGAGATTTAAAAATTTGTTAAAATGTTTAAATCAACTCATTTAAGGTATTCTTCGGAATATTTTACCATGTCCTGGGGTTTTGTTAAAATCCTGGTTGTATCTTTTCGGTACTGAAATCCTTTGTATAGGTTTCAAACCATAGTTATGACGATTGCGTTATCTTTATTTATTATTGGTAACGTAACCCAATGGAGCTTACTCTCTCGACCAATGGATTCAATTTTTTTTTTCAATTTATTTTTTCAACAGTTTGGAAAGATTCGAGTAGTTATATGCTCTTGATAGCACATAGCTGATTGAAGTCTTTGCCGCATAGTCAAATATGCCAAACTGCCCTTGCGACAATTATGTTGCAATAGATACTGGCAAGAGAAGAAGATAGCAGCTGAACTCAGATGAGTTCCTTCTTCTTTTCCTCTTTGACCATAGTAGAACACTTCCCTTTTTTTTTTAATATGATGAAATACCAATGCAACATAGAGTCAAGCTCTGAGCTATACAAATAGATAGAATAGCACGGAAGAGACTTGCTACTTATTATCTGATCCCATAAAAAAAAGAGAGAAAGTAAAAGTACGTTTCAAAAAAATCAAATGAATTATTATTGTTAAGTCTTAGTAAAAACTATTGTACATATATCTTATAAATATTGGGTAGGGGAGAGAACGCCATGATCTTTTGCGCATAACCTTCTTAGACCTCGAGATTCTTAACTGTTGAATTGATTGATGGCCATCAAAATGCAAGCGACACTGACATAAGGACTGGCTCTCTCGCCAATACGTGCCATTTTCCAAAAAGCACCTAATATGTCATGGTTCTTATATCTGTCCAGCAGAGATGGCCATTGTGTATGAATATATGTGCATGAGCATATCAACAGGAGTATCACCTGTAATAGAGAAGCAAAATTGAATAAAGCAGACATCCTCCTTGGTTTCTATGTTCTCTGATTGTATGTTCTGATAAATATCTCTTGGTCTTGATTAGCAAAAACTATACAATTCTCGTCTTAATATGAGAACCGATTTAAATTTAGATTGAATTTCAGTTATTCTACTTTATTTTTGGTTTTCTGGTGTATATATGTGTTGTATTAAGTGATATAACTCTCTCATTCATATACTGAGGAAACAGTAGAAAGAAGCTCAAATTGCTGAAATATAATAACGAAATTTTTATAAAATGGATATCTAAGTTATTCTATAAAATGCGTAACCTTTCCAGTAATTGGTGTTTTTTTTTGGGCAAAAAATTCAAATGAATATGCAGATTATATGGAGTTTTTGTGCTGTTCTTGAAGATCATATCGTAACATATCAGATAAACTAGTCATAAGCATGGGTATTTCATGCAGTAGAAGCACTTTTCTTCTATTTACGAACCAATTGGAACAGATGTGTTCTTTGTTTCAGATATTGGTCGTAGTTTTTAAAATCATTGATGACTATAACATTAAAGTTCTTTCTGATCTTTTGAAAGAAATGCTTATCAGCTTTTCTTCTTTTCCTGTAAGCCATTAGGATCACTGGTGGGTTATCACACTCTGTCAAGTCAAGTAATGTTTTTTCTAGTAGAGGGAAGGCTTTCTCCAAGTACACACAATCAGCAGCAAGGACCAAATCAAGAGAACTAGTGGTCGCATGTCCAGTTTTTACTGGGGCAAATTCAATTGGCAATGCTTCTCCCCATAACAATTCTTTTGCAAAAACTTGTTGATCGATTAGATTTAACTCGACATTCTTCTCCATCAACGGTACCAACTGGTCAATGTCGGTGATGTAGGTTTTCACCATTCGCTGGCTTTGTTTTTTCGTCACCAAACCGACACACAGTCCAACTAGTCCAGTTCCGCTACCAAGCTCCAAGACATTACCAAATGATACTGAGTCATCGTTTATCCAGTCCTTCAGTAGTTCACCGTCTCTGGACTTTTCCAGTATAAATTCACAAAGAAGCTCACCGGCAATCCAGACTTTACCTCCACAGCCACTTTCACCACCATCCTCGTAGATTTTTAACCCTGGTACAAGCATTCCATTGAATGTCAAGTCGCTTTGACCCATATGCTCTACTGGCCTGCTCTCGATCAAATCACCAAATCCCAAAATATCTTCCATTAGACTATAGATTCCTTACTTAAGATGTAAATTCCACAATTTTATATGCACTAAGCCAACAACATAGTGCCATAAGGAATAATCATTAATGCATTATATATCAATTGGAGACAACAGAGACTTGGACATTTTGAGAAGCAAATTTGCGTCGAGCAGACGAACTTCCGAGCAGACTTTATTCATATGATTTACACTCCGCCTCCATTGTCTTTGCCATTCTGCACTGAAAACTTTGCAGCGTGGAGGGGGCATCTGGGAATCTCGAAGATTGCATATGGAACTGGGTAACTGCGCAGAAACCACCGTACCACTGTAAAGCAGAGCTCGAGAACTAGCATCGATTTTCAAAATTTTGAAGTAAAAAACCGCGGGATGATTGCGTAAGATCTAAGAAATCCTCGTACAAGTGGCGAGTGTGGTGGGGTCTTGTCAAATTCTCAAATGTGTTAAACGGTAAACCAGCACTAATGGCACTATGGGAGCTTACAAATGCTTAACCATACAATAATGGTGTATGGGGTACTTTGTAATTTGAGCCACAAGTAAAATAATGGTGACACCAATTACAAGAAAGATTTCTCTCCTGTGCCTTTGAAATGTAGTGAGGATTCAAAAATAGATAATACGTAAAGTAAAGCCTTCGCTCATCGAAATGATAATAAATAAATGCTAAGCTGATCGTTAATAGTCTAATAGGTATTAGGTAGGTAATATTTGATGTTCGAATATCAGAACAAGAGTGGTTTATTCCGCTAATACATTCTCTATGTTGCAGAGTTCAACACCTCCCGCTAGTAAGCTCTCCTTTATCAAAAAATCAAAATGCTGTACTAAAGTTTCCATATCTCTTTCTACATTGATAGATATCTCCTTGTATTTATTTGGATAGATAACTGCTTGTTTTCTCTCTGGTAGAATTTGGAACTGAGGTTCCACCACGAGTGTAGATTTCAGATACGGGGCAAATAAATTCTGCAAGTCATCTGTGGATGTGAATTCGCCTACATTAGTAACCAAAAAACCATTGAATCTGGCAGCAGATTCTAACTCAGGTGACATCTCAGGTGTGAAATTAATTAATCTAGTTGTCGTCATGGACTCAAAGTTGGCCTGCTTCTTCTCCTTTTCTAATTTCTTATAAGATTGGTATAAAGGAGCTGCCTCGGATATTGAAAGTATAGGTTTGGTACTACTACCATCCAAATTTTTCTTTACAAATACAGACCTATTAGGTTCCGGATCCTGTGATTCAGAATACAGGTTGTATGCCTTAGCAAGTTCTCTAATGAAATAACGCTGAGGGGGTCTCATTGGTTTGAAATGTAAACTAGTCCTGTTATTGTCATCAATCAATTTGTTCAGGGTGTTCTCGATATCAGTACACCAATTCTCATGTCGAATATATGTAGTTATAACTGGTTCCGTAAACGGCAGATCTAAATCTGCAAAAGTAGAAGCTGTGGAAATAACCTGTTCCAATCTGGCCATTTCTTCGTTATGAGTATTTTGCGGTTTGTCCACTATACCGAATGCTTCTTTCAATTGCATGTGTCTTTGCAATACCGCACATTCTTCATCACATACAATTCTCGTTGAGTCCTGTGCTTCTTTATTCTTCGAATATACACCGCAAGTCACTTCTTTCTCTATCCGACCACAAGGACAGGTAATTTTGACCAATGCTGTGCATGGAATATCTGGGCATTCCTCAAACTTGTGACAAGGTTTAGGACATCTGTGGTTACAATATAGCCTAGGCATATTGCAAGTCTGCTTACAAACAGTCTGGCATGCCCCTGGTTCGTGACATTTCTTTTGACATTTATGGTAGCAAGTTTGTAGGCGCTCACCACATACTTTACCACATGAAACGTCTTTCATAAAGCATACTGTCCTTACTCTTTGCTCTTTGCCACATTTGCATGGTTTAAAGACAGTCGCCGTACAATCAGGACATGGAATGTCAGGAGGATGGCATTCATGCGGCATAGGCGAATGGCCACAATCTGTTTCTCCTCTAACAACTCTAATACATGGATATGGACAATTTGGCAACTTAGTTCCACATCTAACAGGTGCCTCCACAATTGTTTTGCCGCAAGGACAAACAAGGTCATTTGAGTCACTTTCAAGGCAAGGAGGGCATTTTCCTGCGTGGCACTTTCTATTACACTTGTGTATTCCACATGAAAGTGTTAGATTACAGTCTTTTAAACAGATGTGGATTGGTTCTATCGTTGATTCATCGGCTAAATCTCTAACATTGATCTTCATAGTTTTACGTCTCCTTTCAGCTAAAGGTCTCCCTGCACAACACCTCTCAGTACATCTGTGTCTTCTACAAGACATTAGAGATTCACATTTGAGATTACATCTCGCATGATCATTGAAACCACACGGAATTGTGAATTGTTTTTGTTCACAAGCGCATCTTACTTTCTCAATCTGAGTGCAAGGGTCCATACAATCTCCCAAATGGCATGCGAACGGGCATTTGTGTTTTCCGCATTTTAGCATTTTACCACATACTTGACCACAAGTAGGTATAGCATCTGTACATTTTGACCTAGGTTTTGAAAGATCAGTTAATTCATTCTTACCGCATGGGCATGTCTTCAGCTTTTTGGGCGAGAACTCACAGATCAATCTTCCAGAAATGGATGGTGGAGCTTTACATTTCTCATAAAATGAGTGCTCGCCACATTCATATGGAACTTTTCTTATCTTATCGCACATAAACACTCCTATCCATCGTTGACCTTTGTCATCTTTGGAGTATGCAGCATTGGCAGGAAATCTGACGTCCTTGCACTTTATTTTGTCTTTACTTGTTTGACCACAATAGCATCTTATCTTCATATTAGTGTTTTTTGATATAATAGTTTCGGGACAACTGCCGCACAAACCTGTGTGGCATTTTCTGTTACATTTATGGATTCCACAAGGCAGTAATTTGTCACAAACAGTTTCACAATTAAACCCTTTTGAGTATAATCTTCTCTGAAAACATACAATGTCTTTAGTTACTTTCCCACATGAACATTTTATACTCATCATCCGAGTACATTCCTGATGAGGGCCTAGATGACATATCTGAGAACAACCGTGGCTACAAATTTTGGCGTTACATGTTTGGCCACATGAATTTGGATTTAACGGATTTGGTTCTGGATTAACTTGTTCTCCACACCAGCATGTAGGTCTATTCTTCTTAGGAATTGCTTTCTTTGTATAGAAACAGTTAGGACATGCCCATAACTTATCTGTTCTCTTGGATGTAGATTTTTCAGCCCATTCTCTTATGCATTCATAATCATACACACGATAACACTTTTCACACGCATAAAGCTTACAAGTGTAATCCAATTCAACAGTACAGATCAAACAACTATAGCTGTCACCTTTTACAATTTCTTGTACTGCCTTTTCATAATATGCCATATCTTTCTCGTCACCTTCATCAAGATCGCTTAACTCTTCAGATAGTTCTGCTCCCATGTTTGTTTCAATTTCACTTTCATCTTCTGACAATCCGATAACTAAGGAACTATTATCAGGATGATCATCATAATGTCTATATTCATCCTGAGTTACCTCTGTTCGACCATCTTGCATCTTCTTTTCAGTATATATTGCAACTTAACAATTAGAATGTAAAAACAATATACGGTCTTCAATATTTCGATTATATTACTGATGAGCTTGGTACTTTGACATAAAACACTCCAACCAATACTCTAAAATATTTGTATATACTTTTTTTTTCATCAGCCAGCTCATCGCCACTTTTTTGAAAAATTCTGATTTAGCGATGACGTTTTGATTCGAATATACTTTTGAATGCGAGTTATATATATATAAGAGAGAGAGCTTACTATCTAGTATAATGGATTTGAAAAATATTACAGAGTACTGACTACTCAGTCCCTAACAAAACATACAGCAAAAAAACCGATTCCACCGTCCTCTTTTGGTAAAGCCCTAACACAACCATCTGCCAATTCCTGACATTCTTGTTCTGTTTTGTCAGTGAATACCTCTTGGAATTCTTCTTTAAACCCTCTTCTGTACCACGTTGGTAATACTAATTCCTTTTTCGCTACTCTCCAGCCCCAAGATTGCACTTTCTTATCCAGAAGCAAATCAATAACAACTCTTTCGTTTTCCTCTGCATGGATAGAACAGGTGCTGTATACAATTTTCTTGGCATTTGGGAAACTCATAGCATGTCTGACAATTTGAAATTGGAATGAAGCTAATTTACTTAGTCTTTCCTTCAATTGTTCGTTTTTAGAGTCAGTAGTCTCCTCGGCATCGTTCTCGTCAGGTACTTCATCGTTGGACTTCTTGCCGTGATTATTAAGTATGTCCACAGATTTTCTACCAAATATACCACTTCCAGAACAACTAGGATCCAATATGAACCCAGTGACATCAGAATATTTAGAAGGAGTCGCAATTTGAGTGAAGTCTCCAACATTCACATCAATATTCTTGTGACAACCAGCAGTTTTAATCATTTTTTGTAGAATTTGGGCCCTTTCCGGATCCTTCTCAAACGCATAAATCTGTACATTATCATTCCTTGGGTTCTCAGGATCGCCGAATATGTGTGCGGCAACATGAGTAGTCTTGTTACCTGGAGCAGAACAAGCATCGATAACAACGTCATCAGCAGAAGGATTTAATATATGTGCTGGGAAGCAGGATGCTCTATCTTGAATAATAATTTTACCCTGTTTGTATAGTTCATGAGACGTAATTTTATCACTGATATGTATACCATATAAATTTGGGATAAATTCGTCGTAGTATATAGACCCTGGTATAATATCCTTCCAAGTGTTTACTCTGGTAGGAAATTTTTTCTTCAGTTCGTTGAGAACCTGATCAGTATCATGGTTGCTTATTCTTAGTGGATTTATTCTAATCCAACGAACTGGGGTCATATCATCTGCGGCATCATCTTTGTCAACTACTTGACTTAGATCTGTGATCTTTAATTTAATTTTTAGTTTCACAAATTCTGCATTAAGTGCATTTTTGTACTTCAGCACATAATTCTTAATCGGGTGTTTACCCATCTGAATTCTTTTAGCTTTAGACAGCAAAAGATCATGGCATAGTAGGAGTAAAGTTAGTTTCGAGAATGCAGGCTTACCTTTCTTCCTAGGAATAGCATCCAAGAGACCAGACTTTTTCATTATCTTATCCAAATAAGGCTTGTACTTCCAACATGATGATACAATCGCATATATGTGTTTTGGGTTGGTCTTTATCCTGTACTGCTTACAGCATCGCAGCACAATCGTTTGTAAAGAACCTGACACTCTACCTGTCTTTTCTATCTGGCCTTCCAAGTACTCAAGAACCCAGGTGCTATCCCTATAAAATTCCATGCTTGCTATTCTTGGCTCTGATTAAGATTATGGTCTACACATAAAAAAACGTATGATTATCTTCAATTTTTACTACTGGTGCAAGTCTAGCTCATCGCAAATTTTAATATTTTCTTCAATTCATGAGCTCTCAAAAATTTTCTGAAGTTCCTAAGAAGAAGCCGCAGCAGCAAATCATGTTACTACGTTATAGATATAAATATAAAAATAAGCTCAAGTCAAAGCAAGCATATTCTAGCACTCATGTTTCTGCGATATAAAACAGGCTGATATCGATGGTTGTTCACGGTTAGCATGCTTGTAGTAGGCGTATGAGTTCTTTCTCTTCATTGACCACAATCGGATTTCCACATGTTTCAACATAAATTCAGGCTTTAATCCTACAGTTCCATGAACCATTGACATCAAGTCAAAGTAAAAAATATAGATCAGTTAATCAATTGGGCCTGGGTCCAACAATTGCCTCTTATCTAAAGTGCTAACTGTCACTCATACATAGCCTGAAAATGACGTAATTGACGTAATCAACAATGCGCTTACAAAGAAAACTCCGTAGTGAAAGTAATGTAATCGCCATTTCTTTTTCATACTAGCAGTGAGCTGATATAGTCCAGCAATAGCAATAATTGTTTAGTATTAGCAGTCAGTTGAATTACGAACAGAATTACGAGCAGCTATGATGGTTTTGAATTGAGTAGAAGGTTGTCTGGGAGTCTTTTAGATTGTTGATTTTCCTTTGGTGTCTCAATCGCTGCAGCGGCGCATCTTGTTTGTGATGACAATTAAACGTCATAAATTTTGCCTTGCAAGGAGGGATTCAATTATAAAGAATGTAGATGTCAAAGGGGGGTTCAATGGAATATATCAGAATGTGATATTTTAGTTGTGTAGGTGTTATTGTAAATAAGTAAATATGTGGGATGAGTAACCCCCGCGTTGTCGTTGATTGAAAGGAGCTATTCTCAAGAGAATCCGATAGAACGCATTACACCCAACAGAAATGTTCGTAATCTAGATGATTCTATGGATCATCGATCAATTAGTATGATTAATATATATACATGTAGTGGTTTCCTATAAATTATTGTCTGTGAGTAATTTTTGAATTGTGTTGTTCCTAATATTGCATTAGTAAACGAGTGTCTATCTACATAAAACGCCTGGGACCCATAGTGTGTTTAAACAATATGACTACTGCAGCTCCAAAATTGATTCAGTTTGATGATGAAAGAGAAGTTGCTTGTGCTACCACCGAGCAAATCATAAAAAGTCAAAATTCTAAACTTCGTCAACCAGTGAAGAAAAGAACAAGAAGAGAGAATAGGTTTAGGCTGGCAATATCGGGTGGACAATTGATGCAGACGCTTTTAAAGGCACTGCTATATAGGAAAGAAGAAATTGAATGGGAAAAATGGGATATTTTCTTTGTCGATGAGAGATTGGTCCCATTCAACTCCAATGAAAGTAATTATGGTCAACTAAAAAGAGGATTACTTGATCCACTAAAATCAATAAATTATCCACAACCGAATGTATACCATATTGAAGAGACAGAAATAGATGATGCTAACGTAGTAGCACAAACGTATGAAAAACAATTGATTAATATTTTTGCTTCTAGAGATTCTGTAAGGCTACCTACCTTTGACATGATATTACTGGGTTGTGCCCCTGATGGTCATATCGCATCTTTGTTTCCCCAATGTCATCACAATTTAAGAGAGGAAATGGCATGGGTTATTCCAATTACAGATGCACCTTTGGAACCAACAAAGAGAATATCCATGTCCGTACCAGTAATTTCAAACTCGAATCAGATAATATTTATGGTTACTGGTAGTAATAATGCGGAACTAATGAAAATGATAATTGAGAAACCTTCTTGCGAATTGCCAAGTGCATTAATTAGTACATGTGCACCTGGTAGGGTATCTTGGTATGTTGAGAATGAAGCTTTGAAGGAAGTAATGCTACTTGATTGATTTTTCAGAGTTTCATTTATGAATCGTATTTAAACTGTTCCAGTTGCTAAAATATTCAGTTGGGCCAATGATATCTTCATATTTCAGTTGTAAAGCGTCTTAGGGACTAAGAGAGAAGCTATTTATCGAAACATGGGGCCCCATAAGTTAGCTAAAAATCTCTATTTCCTCTTGGCTAATAGGCATTTTTACTTCAAAAATTTATAGACTTTCTAGCTGTATTGTTGCCTGCACTTCTAGTTCAATATTAATTGTTATTGTTTTTTCCTCAAGATGGGGTTAGTTATACTTTCTTTTCATATAGTAACCATTGTGATATAAATATAGTATTAAATATCAATGTTACCATTGCAAGACCTATTTTACCAAAATTCGATATAAGAATTGATAGGTTTATTTCAGATTCCTTTAGAATTTGAAAAATCAATTGTACAATTGAAGCTATCCCACCAGTCATATCTAAAAAAACACCAGAAATTGCAAAGCCTTGCATTGACTTTCTTTCAAAGTTATGTAGTACTTGAGGGATATATTTTATAAGAGACATGCTGATTTTCAATAAGAATAGGTTATTGCAATAAGCCAATGTCCTTTCATTATCCCAACCCGATTGCATATTATGGTAGGTAAATTGTAACGTTAAAACTCCGAACAAGAATATAGATAGTAGTAGCACTTTTTTGTAGACCGGTTTCATTCTAAATTGATGAGTATCGGGGAAACGCCAAACACTTCTGCTCATGAATAGTTGTGAAGCGATCAGCACAGTTAAAATAAACCCGTGAAGGCAGTAGCAATAGTCAAACCCTGTCAATTTTGGCCGTTCAATGTTCGATTGTAAATGGGGTATCCATTTGTACATTTGTAAAGTTAAGGAACAAACGAGGTAGAAATAACCTGTAAGATTTAGAAGTACAAAATCTGGAGAAATTGCTCTGGCAGATTTCCGCTTCCAATTGATGTATAATGGTGGGTACATAGAAATGGACCACGCTGTGACGTATATCACCCCCAAAATATCTTCGAACTCCATACAGTGCTGTTTTCTGGTTATGATATATTATATTTTGCTATCTTTAGTTGTTCTTTAATTCCTATCAACGCTCAAACTAATACGTCAACAAGCTACCATTATTTTAGAGTTGTACCTTGTTTTTTAGTAAGTAAGTTATGTTATGGTAATTCCTGATAATACCTGGACCCAACTTTTAAGTTATTCAAGCACTGCAAGATCACATTCCTTTATCATTCATTGAAGCCAGTGTCCATCATTCCTGTATTATTGAGCAACCGGACTTTGGCTGACAAAACATTAATTTGTGCAAAAAGATATCAAAGTTTAAAGAAAATAAGAGCATCTAATGGCTTCCTGAGTTATAGCTATTGTAAAAGAGTGGGACTCTATCTGATATATAACCAATTGATACAGAATCAATAGTTCGACTAAATATTAATATGCTAAGCTCAAAGTTACAAGAACTACTGCCGGGCTCAGTAGGAGTTATGACCTTTGATTCCAATAACAATCTGGTATTGGCCGATGGTGTTGCTAAGGATAAAGTGAACGATATACCGGAACTATCAGAGGTACAGTGCAATGCAGAAGGAGTTGCTGTACTCGAAAATGGTGATTATATAGTTCATGTGTGCAAAAAGGATGGAAATACACTTGTTGTGTACACAGGCAAATAATCACTTGCACAAAGACAAAACTCTGTGTGACTATTCGAGAAGAACTGACAGTATTAAGAGCACGAACTCAAGGAAATTACTAAACAGATTGTGGCCATGTAGCCTTTTATTCGTACATTTTAAGTACAATGCAATTCCGGCAATTGCGATTTAATGAAGTTTTATGTAACGCTAATGAATTTATATAATAATATAAACACAAACACAAATGAATTACTATCCAACGATTTACTGAAATTAAATAAATCCGTTAGAGCCAAAACCGCCAGAGCCAAAACCACCAGGGCCACTGCTGGGGCCACCAGGGAAACCAGATGGCGGTCTACCATATGGATCATCAAATTTAGCACCAGGTATCCAACCGGGAGGCATATCTCTTGGGTTTCTGACATGATTCCTGTCACCAAAAGGATCAAATACCATACCACCTTGATTATTGGGCAAATGTGGCATAACATTTGGATTATTTAGATTGGGGTACTTCTGACCTGTCGGATATAAATCGCGATCGCCATAACCACCTGGAGGTTCCAAGCAGTTAGGATCAGTTCTCCTGCTGTTAATTTCATATTCATCTTCAAACTTGGGTATATCATCTCGATTGCTCGTCCTTTCTACTCTTTGTGGGTATCTTTCCAGAGGATTATTGTGCATATCATGTGGATGTGCTCTTTCATTTTGATCCTGAGCAGAGTCTTCTCTTAATTTGTTAACATAATTCTTCAAGTTTAACTTTACGCCAATACCCTCCAGAACTTCATTGATCTTAGAGGAGTATCTATCCTTATACTCCTCAAAGTCAAGGGGTAATTTTATTGCATCAACAACCTGCATATCATCTGCATACTGAAACAATGATTGTGATAGAATTTCATCTCCAGAATATATACTAATCATACATTGCTTGTCCTTGATAGTCTCAAAAGCAGCCAGCTTCAATATTTGCTGTTCTTCGCACTTCTTGCAGACAATCTCTACTTTCACAACCTCATTACTGAACCAGTTATCAAAAGATACAGAAGCAGTGGCGTATTCTGTAAAATATTCCTGAACTAGCTTGACAGCTAACTCTAGTTTGGTATTTACCAACATCATAGCTACCTTTGATTTAATTCGTATAAATTCAAATAATAATTTCTTTTCTGAACATCAATAAACATTTCATTATACTCTCAAGTATACTATTTGAAGGCGATGAGCTAGTCAATTTAGAATCCCACTGTACCTTAATTTATCGGCATCGCCTACCTTTTTTGGAATCACAAATTACGCAGCTGAACCTTACTTGTCAATGATAACCAATGCATTTTGACAAACTACTCTAATTTGTTTAACTAATTAAAAGATCAATATCAAAAGTATGATGTTGATTATTAGTTACAGTAAATAATGTTTTTTTTGTATTTTTTGCTAATGTATAATATATAAAGTTTTTATATGATAAAAAAAAAATCAAAAGATAGAAAGCATTATCTTTGAATCTTTAACAGAAAAACAAAAAGGAAATTAACAATGTTACATGATATATTATAATCCGTTTCTTCGTTGCAGATCAAGAAATCTAGGATAAATTATCTTCTGCTACCTGTCAGAAATTTAGTTATTCTTAATTTATTTGAGATTTTCACTATTTTAATTCCATGATCTCACCATCCCTTGATACCAAGCCCATAACGTTCAAGAATAAATTTAGGTCCTGGTACAGCTTTTCTCGTCTGTACAACGAGCCATTTTGATCTTCAGTAGGTAGCTTCTTCAATTGCTCAGCGGTATTAATAGTGCCAAATATCTCATCTCTGACCTCATCTATTATTATACGCTGGTGATTTAGCTTACCACTTAATGCCAGAGAAGCCAAAAATTGCCATATATATGCTTGATCATAGAACTTGTTACTAACAGGGTTAGCTGCTAGTGAAAGACCAGCATTTGCAGTTTGAATCTTAACGACTTTATCACAATATTCTTTAGGTGGGAAAACTGCAGATAGCTTACTTTCCAAAGCTGTGAATAGTTTGTCGTAAATTTCATTCCATGTAGAAATTTCTGGAGATGACAAAACATTACTTCTGTTAGAGTCTTGTCTAATCAAAGCTGCTCTTGATATTAACACAGTTATTAAGTTTAGACCAATCTTTGATGTAGAAATGAATGAGACGTTGTTATTCTTAATCAAATACAACAATAAACCCATAATTTCAATAAAGCTGGAGCTGGAGGATAAGAAGGAAACTATAATCTTTAGGAAAACAGTTTGGAATAAATCCATTTTCTTTAGTTGAGACTCAGTAGGGTCTGGATTGGTCTTATATGAACTCAAGATAATGATGTTTAAATGAGATAATTCACTGAAGAACTTTTGGAGTAGCTTCAATTTTTGTTGCTTACTCAAAAAGTTGAAAATACGTGGAATAATTTTCACACCTTTGTCAAAGGATAGCATTGAAATGAATGGACAAACCTCATAGACTTCATCATCAATATGAAGAGTCTCCCACAATGCAGTGCTATCTGTTTCCTTATCATTTCTCAAGTTAGCTTCCAAGTCCAAAACCTCTTCATAAACAGTTTCGATTAAAGAAAGAACAAACTTTCTACCACCTGAACGGCTTAGGACTGAGTTGTGGTCGATAGAGGAGAAGGCATATGATGATCTTCTTCTAGTTCTCGAGTGGGCGTTCAAATCAACACTGTCTAGGTTCCTAGTAACTTCTTCAAGGGCTGGAGTTGAATCACGAGAAAGCTTACCATCATCAGAGAATGCAATATCTTCGTTTGATTTATGGGATGGAATGGCCAATTGTCTTCTTGGTGCTTTACTGTTCATAGTTGTGGAAATCTTACCCAAGACACCTTCACGGACGCTGTCAACGTCCTTATTTTTTTGAGGTCTTTCCTTGGCAACAGTAACCGCCTTTTCAACTTGACTTTGCATTCTCTGCAAAGCAATATCAGCACGCTTGTATCTACCACCTAATCTATGACCGGAATGCTCTAAGTAAGCTCTGGCAATTAGACCTTTGTTGCTTTCAGCAGCAACACCTCCTCTTTGAATTAACTTATAAACCTGGAAATAGAAGTCCTCGTTGTACGGATCCTCAGTGACAATTTGGGATAGTTGATAACGTGTAATGAAATCCTTGTCCCTTGGAGTCATCAAACCAGCATGCTTCAAAATCTTTTCAACCTTGGCGTGGCGAATTTGCAATCTCATTTTCTCTTCAGGAGACAATGGCTCTCTTCTTTGATTTCCTCTGTTGTTGTTTTGATTATTGAATCTATTACGTTGGTAGTATTGCTGTTGTTGTTGATGTTGCTGGCTTTGTTCATCTTGTTGGAAAGCTAGGTTTTGCTGGCCTTGTTCTTGATGCAGAGCTGCTTGATTACTATTAGCTGGTGATGCCGAACTAGAGATCACTGACTGTTGAGGAGTTGAAACACCGGAGGATTGTTGAACAGCTGACATAGGAGACTGAACAGGTGGCTCAGGTTGGTGAGGCATTGGCATCCTCTGAGGTGGTTGCATAGGCTGACCACCTTGACCAGGCTGCATAGGCTGACCACCTTGACTAGGCTGCATAGGAGGCATAGCCATATTTGGAGGTGGTGGGCCTTGGAACATGCTAGGATTGACATTCATTGGATATTGATAACCTGGCATAGGACCATAACCTGGAGGAGGCATGGCCATGTTTGGAGGAGGCATGTTTGGGGGCATCATGGGCATTGGAGGCATTGGGCCATGTGGACCTTGATGCTGCTGTTGTTGCATCTGACGTTGCTGTCTCTCAATTTCCTCCATTGACAATACAGGCTCTTCCGGTCTTGCTTCAGTTTGTCCACCCCACAATGACTCCATTGGCTTCAAATCCATTGAGGCATCAACATTTTGTTGACCTGGCTTATTAATACCGGATGATGCCGCGGTAACATAGGATCTTTGAGGCATGACACTTGCTTGTGCAGGAACATTATTGTTAGTGGCAGCCTTGCCAGGGTGGCCGAAATCAAAATCGGTACCAACTTCAATGTCTGCACCGAAGGTCTCGTCATTCAAGTAATCGTTCTCTTCCAGCTCATGTTCTCCAAAACCATTATAGGTTTCTTCAAAATTTAGAGCACTCTCTCTTCTTCTCTGACTCATGTCAATTAATCAGAAGAATATTTATATCACTTAGTTTCCCAATGGAATAGAATTGTGCGGTAAGGTAAAATCCACAAACAATCCAGCAAATCTAAACAATCTTAACCTTAGGTAAAAAAGGGCAAGTAGATTATACGGCGTCCTCTATATTGTTTATAATTTCTTACTCGGAAAGTAGAATTTCAGACGTTGCTTTTATACCAAAACCTTGCTCAATTTCTTCGGAAAAACACGGTGATAAAAAAAACCTTTCTTGCCTGTTGCTATCCACCAGTAAAAAGACTAAGTCTCTAGGCGTCTGTAATTGGGATTTACAAGTAAATAAGGCAAGAATATTGCTCAATCAATAGCTATGTTTCTTGCTATTTTCAATTTTTGAGGGAGGCGGACGACGTCAAAAATTTTTTTTCAAAGAAATTTTGGCAAATTACAATTTACCCGGTTTCATTGGTAGCTAAGCATTATAGCGATGGCCGATGACCAAATATTGTTGATTCTGCACACATACTATAAACTATCCGAAACAAGCAGAAGAATGCTATGCAATGTATATTAAAGTTTTGATTGCTATCTTCAATTTTAAATATATATGCTATGCTATCATTTCCTATTTACATGGGTGAGCGTTAGTATACCATCCAAAGGATGTATGGATTCGACTTTGCAATGTCTGATGGTGTCACCAATTCTGGGAATCTTCTTCATTGCAGGATCGAGTTTGAGGGTACCTCTTGCGTAAGAGTATTCTGGGAACAAACAATTGACTGTACCATTTTGTGGAACTGATGTGACTATAACATCGTGTGTTTTGGTTCCTGATTGTTCAAGATGTTTCAATGTCCAATACGTTGACGAGTGACGTTGAAATATCTTCAAGATATCTGCTCTAGCTTGGAAACTCCACACATATTGGTCCAGATATTCCTGTTTAAAACACAGAGGCAACTTCTTCAGAAATCTATGCAATTGCAAATGGTTTATCAGATCCGGACCACGTCTCATTGGTGATGTAACTGTTAAGTAAGCCGTATTTCCAATCATCTTATGTGGGAGTGGAAATGGTGAGTAGAAACTAGATGATAATTGTGATGATATCTTGGTAATATCTTTCAATGAGGGAAGTTTACCTAACTTGATGTTTTCTTTTAACAGTTCGAACTGGGCTTTGGCTTGGTTGCCTAAATTCAATCCATTGTAACATCTATAAACACCAGGGATCTTGTTTTCTTGGAAAAAAGCTGCACAAAGCTTATTAGTCAATATCATGAACTCTGACACCAATAATGTTGATTTGGTCTGCGATTGGTCATAAAATGTTGGTATACAGAGCTCTCCATCATCATCCGGGGATAAACTAACGAGCCCTTTATTAAATCCATCACCAAATACAACCGCATTATCATCATGTATTCGTTTATGTAATAATTTAGTAGCCAATGTATGCAATAATTCCAGCTGCTTCTTTTGTTTCGATGGCAGACTATTGTCATCACCATTTAAAATTGAATCAACCTTGTCGTAAGTAACTTTTGGGAAATTAGAGACTATGCCCAGCCTGACTTGAAACGTATCGTAGTCAACATGTAAACCACCATCTTCTTTATTTACCAACTCAAATGAAAATGATATCGTTTCAGTCTTTCTATCATGCTTTCCTAAATCAGCCCTATTGCAAAACGATTTCGGTAACATCGGTACGACCAAATCCGGCAGATATGTAGTAAAAGCACGTTTTAGAGATACCCTTAATACATCATCGCTAATACCAGACTTGGTATAATCAAATGACTCAGGAAATAAACCAGCAGGATCAGCAATATGAATATGAATTCTACTCCTTACACCGTCTAACTCCTCAATTGAAATGCCATCATCTATTTCGTGAGCATCTTCGGAGTCAATACAAAAAACTGGCATATCCCCAAAATCATAACGATCAGTATCACTGACTATAGTTGGCATCGCCGTGTCGTACAATTTTTGTTCAACACTTGAGATACCGGAAGATTTAGGAATATTGAGATCCCAATTTCCTAAAATAAAATTGCTGCTATTACTCTGGGGGGATATTTCAACAAGCAGTTTTCCACAAAGAGACCTAGTGACATCTTGATCTCGATACATGTCGATATGCCTGAATATTTTACTTATTATTGTTGTTAAGACAGCGTTCTCTTCAATGTTACCCGCAGCATAATCGTTAAGAAGTGTTCTAATATAATCATACCTCTTGGCAATACTATGATAATCTTTATCGTTAACTAATTTAGCAAATGCTTTTATCTCCTGATAGTCATTGCTCTCGAGTCGCGTAATCACTTCCTGGTAAAATAAATGTGCTTTCTTCAATGGCAACACTGCAACTGTTGTTGGTGATAGTAGTGCAGTGTTAGTATATACTGAACCCCACAAATTATTCTGTTGTTGTTCTCTGACACCCCAATATGTTGCAAGTAATGTTGTTGGATCAATGGATTTATTAACAACTGACATACTTTCATCGATTACTTTCCTTACGTAGGCGTCGCCGTTAATTGCATCAGTAGCCTCTTTGATATTAAGATTTTTTATAATCCTTACTAATGACATGAAGTTAACATGCTTGGAGCCTCTAGAATCCTGCAAGTATCTGTGTATAAGTTCTAACTTCTTTAGAACAATCGGTAATTGAGTCCAAGCAAATTTTGTAAAAGTTGCCAATGTGAAACTCACAATTAGCTGTCTTGTTAATACAGGCAGTATTTCTGTTTCATTAGAAGAGTTCTTTATGGTGCCAATTTTCTGATATGGATGATTACTTTCCCGTTTCAATAATTGATTCACTTCTTCTGGCAAGTCTTTAGGTATTCTTAATATCACAGAGTTCTTCATGGCATAGACGAGAGTACCGTCCTTCTTCGCAAAAGTGTATCGAGGATCGGTTGTAGATTGCGGAAGATTTACACACATAGTGAGTTCTGAGGTGCATTGCTTCAACAATACAATATCGCCCACGTTTAGCGATGTCCGCAGTAATTCAGCTGGGTCAAATGATAGCTTCTGAGCCTTCTGGTACTGCTCCATGTTACCTCGATGAAAGTCCGAGTTGATAATAAATTTGTCAAACACTTCCGGTCTCAGCAAGCGTGTAGCCTTGTCTTCCCCATGGTCACTGGCTTTCCAGTCAGCCTTGAACCATCGCTGACTGGGCTCTAGGTACCGGGCTCTATACCTCTTATTAAATCCAGATATAATCTGTGGCAACTGCCTTATCTCAAAGTCTGGCTCAAGGCCTTTTGTCCTGGCCAGATAGTTCTTCACACTATTCTCCAATGGCGCATTATCCAGTCTTCGACAGCAATGAAACCATCGCCTCTGCACACGTACCTTCATAAACTCTTCTGAACTACAGCTTTATGAATGTCGTTTGTACTAACCACTGTGTATATACATACAACTTCCTCAAAGTGTACTCACTGCTCAGAAGCTTTCAAGGCCTGTATATCCTCTTTTAAACTTTAGAATTTCAGCAAAGCTAAATCTTTTCACAAGAAATGACTTCCTTATTAGAGTGAATGAAACTCGAGAAAAGTATCAAGTACGGAAGGGCAATGAATAAAGCTAGACACTTGTGCCTCACTGGCATTGGCAACCCTGAGCCAAGTTACAAGGGCACCCGCCATAACGTGGGCCTCACCGTGTTGGACCTATTGATCAAGCAATTGGTACCGAGAGATCAGCATGTATTCCGCAGAGAGGGTAAAGTTCATGTACTCAGGACACCTACGATAACATTCATAAGATCAGATATCGGTTTCATGAACCTCAGTGGTCGCAGTGTGGTGCCTATGTGGCAGAAATTGTACACTGATCACACCGATTACGCTGTGATCCACGATGAGCTCAGCTTGAGGACAGGTGCCCTGCAACTAAGACAACCTCAGGCCAGTCTCCGAGGCCACAATGGACTCCGGGATATATCAGCACACTGGCGCCACCAGTACTACAAGCTGGCCATTGGCATCGACAGACCTGAGTCGCGAGACCCGCAGGCGGTGGCCGACTACGTACTCAGTAAAGTACCCCAGCGCGATGCCACTTACATAGAGAACACTACAACGTCTAAGGCACTCGAGCTGCTGCAAAGACAGTTCCCATATATATAATTGTACATAGTCTGAACAGCTAACCATCAATAAGCCTTCCATCACATACTATTATATCCGATAAACTCTTATAATCCACTAAACGAAAGTGGGTCCCGAAGAGCCAAATTTTTCATACGAGGGAAGTCTGAGCATAAACTTCGAAGTCCATATATTGCTGTTATAAGAGCAGTGGATAACGGTTGCTAGAGTCAATTGATCTTTCTGTTGTAGGGTATACAGGAGGAACAAGCTGTTTAATAGAGATCAAGAATCGGTATCAATATTACAAAAAAAAAAATACCAGATAAACAATGGGTAAAGTACTTGACTTGGCGCTGCATCCGCTTGAATTGAGAGCTGCTTTGAAGCTTAAGTTTATCAGACAGCCATTGTTCAGCACCAATGACACCAGAGCTACTCCACAGCTGGAGAGATGTTACGAGCTGTTGAATCTGACCTCCAGATCCTTTGCTGCGGTTATTATGGAGTTGCACCCTGAGTTGCGTAATGTGATCATGGTCTTCTATCTGATTCTGAGGGCTTTGGACACTGTCGAGGACGATATGACCATTGATCCTCAATTGAAGGTCAAAGTGTTGCGTGAATTCGACTCCAAGTTGGACACCACCGATTGGTCCTTTGATGGCAATGATCTAAAGGAGAAAGACCGTGTTGTATTGACCGAGTTCCCATGCATCCTTGGTGAATATCACAAGTTGAAACCAGAGTATCAGAAGGTTATCAAGAGAATTACCGGTCTTATGGGTAACGGTATGGCCGACTACATCTTGGATGAGAACTTTAACTTGAACGGTGTGCAAACTGTTAAGGACTACGACAAATACTGCCACTATGTTGCTGGCCTAGTCGGTGATGGTTTGACTGAATTGATTGTCCTTGCAGGTTTTGGTTCTGACGATTTATACCATGGTAAAAACAGCTTCCAATTGTACGAGAGCATGGGATTATTTTTGCAGAAGACCAACATTATCAGAGACTACGCCGAGGATTTGGATGACGGTCGTTCTTTCTGGCCTAAAGAAATCTGGTCTGAATATGCTACGAAGCTAACCGACTTCAGAGACCCAAAGAACACCCAAAAGGGTGTCGATTGTATTAACCACTTGGTATTGAACGCCTTGACCCATGTCATCGATGTCTTGACTTACCTAAGTTCAATCCACGAGCAATCCTCATTCCAATTCTGTGCCATTCCTCAAGTTATGGCCATCGCCACTTTGGCCAAAGTCTTCAACAACCCTGAAGTGCTAAGAAAGAATGTTAAGATCAGAAAGGGAACCACCTGCGACTTAATTTTGAACTCTAGAACTTTGAAAGGCTGTGTTGACATCTTCCAATACTACTTACGTGACATGAAGCAACGTTTGCCTGTTGAAGATCCAAACTACTTGAAGTTTAACATTCAAGTTGCTAAGATTGAACAATTCATTGAAGAAATGTTCCAGGACAACTTACCAGCCGGTGTTGAACCAAGAGAAACCATGATCTACTTGAAGGTCCAAGAAAGATTAAAATGGGACACCCAAGTTATTCCAAGAGTGCAAGAAGAAGATTACAAATTCAACATGGCTTTGAGTGTTGTCTTCTGTGTATTGTTAAGTTTCTATTTCTTCACTAAGTGAAGAGTAAGTGTAACGGAATGCTAATAACGATTTTCATGAGTCTCTTTAATGCTTTATAAGTCAATATCCCCAAAAAATCATAAAAGATGAAAACAAAACATCAAAAGATTAAATTCATTAACAAATTAAATACTATGTAAAACTTCTATAGAAATAAAAATTCATACACCTGTAGTCTACTACACTAACAGAATGCCAAAAACTGATGATTACTCACAGATATAGCATTTTACATGATCGGGAGGGGCCTATCAGAGAATATTACTTTGTATTCAATGATGTCCAGCATCTCTACATTTTTACCTTCGTTAAATTTCAGTATTCCCAGTGGTGTACTAAGTTTTACAACTTTCCCAAGAAGCCTCTGTTTCTTACCCACATACAGTACCGCTTTCTTGTCCTCTATATTCAAACTCCCAAACTTCACTGCATCTACCCCGTCAAACTTCTTGCTGAGCTCGCTATCTTCGTCTATACTTGTAGGAAGTTCCAAAGATCCCTGTATCTCGACCATAATTGTACCCAACGGTGTCTCAATTGTGTTCGCCGGAGTTGCTGATCCGCCATCTGTACTGGAGTCCTTGGAAAGCAACTCTTTCAGCTTGTCATAATTGATATCCACAGAAGGCATTATACGTATTGTTAACCAGCGGGTGGTTTAGTCTGCTCCTGAAGAGTTTCTAGTCCCAAATACTTTGAACTCATCGAGCTTTTTCCAGCTTTTTCAGTGAAATTTCATTTTTAAAGGTCCTAAAAGCATGCCAAATTTTGAAAAATATAATAAAGAGTATACTAACCAGCAATTCAGGCTTTGTGACGGTGCAACAACTATACCATAGTACATTTGTAATTTTAACAAACAATCAGGACATAGTGTGAGTTCAAATGTTTTGGTTTAGGGACAAGAGGACGCTTGTGCAGAGGTACACCGCTGATCTAGCGCAGATTACCACACAGATACATGACTTAGACAAGTCGATCAAGCATGGCAGCAAGCGGGTGGCGAGGCTGCAGAGGCAAGTCACTTATTTTGGACTTTCTGCCATCACTCTTCTGGGGTCATACATGTTTCTGAACTACACGCCGGCGATCACAGTGATTGCCATGGCTGGTGCAGTGGCGATCGTCGTTATAGTAAAACTGCTTCTATCAAGGATGTACCAAGTATATCACCAGTACAGGATCAAGAAATTGAGCCAGCTACGTGGCCTACACCAGAAGAAGCTTGATAAGCTGAAAGAGGAGACGAATTACAATGCCACAAGTTCTATCATACAGCGGTTCTCATCAGGGGAGACTCAGTCCGAGGATGCTGTTATACTTATGGATGAGGAGATCAGCAAGAAGTACAACGAACTGACGGAATTGCAAAAGCAATTGACAGAGCTGAAGCAGAATGAGAAGAAATTGATGGACCCCAAGGAAAGAGATGTGTGGTTTGACAAGGTTCTTGGTGTGCTCTCTGGAGGGGATGAGATGGCTCCAAAACCCATCATATGTACCAACTGTAACGAGCACTGTGGGGCGTACAGATTACTGAACAGACCATTGAAGTATGTGTGTCCTAATTGTGGCATCAAGATAGATGAGACTGCCAAGATGGAACAGGCAGTTAACGAAGAGGTGAACGAAGACAAGACGAAATAAATTAAGAGGAAGAACTCCCAAAATAACAATTACGAATTAGTTATAATGTCCTTTTAAATTCATGATATTAAACTATTTATTTCATTAAAAGATATGTATATACTTGAAATACTTTTAGTTATTCTTGGAAGGAACAAAAGAAAAAGGATATTCAGCATTTTTATTTATTCAAATGAAAAAAATCACTTAGACAAGGACATGATAGCGTTGACGATATCACCGTTGTGTTCCTTCAGCGCTTTGATGGCCTGGCCCTTGGTGGCGTTAGTCTGTTGGACGACCAAGTCTATGTCGTCATTGGACAAGTCACCAGCGTCGACGTCTTCCTCGGCAGCGTCACCCTCAGTCTTGTTCTCGTTGGCAACAGCAGCGGCTTGCATGTCAGCTTGGATATCCTCTGGGGTCTTGGTGGCAGTTTGGGATTGAGCTTGTTGTTGAGCAGCAGCCAATCTCTGGGTGAAGTTGTCAACCTTGGCTTCACCGAAGACAACGTAGTTACCACCAACAGAACGGAAGACTTCTGGCTTCTCAATGGCAAAGATTTGGTTGTCCTTCTTTCTGAATGTAACTCTGATGATACCTGGAACCTTCTTCAAACCAAGCTTGGAGATCAACTCTCTAGCCTTCTTCTCGTTTCTGTTCAAAATAGTAACGTTAGCACCTTCTGGAATCTCAGCCATCTTTGTATATCTGTATTATTGACGTGTTTTTGATTTGTCCCTATTGCAACAGCTACTCAATTGACCAAAATTGTGTAGCAATAACAACTTATATGTGCTATGAGACCCTCCAAAGCTCTTCGATGAAAGAAATTTTGAAAAAAAAAAGCGTCGACGAGAAATGTAGCGTTGTACGTGTTTCTTGCCACGGGGGTAATGTACGTACAGCATTACCATAATAAGCTCATCATCATCTTTCAGTTTGAGTATCCCATATATTTGGAGTGGGTTCGGCCATCTCGGTAGCCACAGCGTATATAAGGGATGGTGACTGGGCAACTTATTACTGGTGAGTGAAGTGGACAATGATGCTGCGACGTTGGGTTTGCAATGCGAGCAATGCGAGCAGTGCGAGGTTGCGACTACCAACAAGGGTACCAGTCTGGTTGCCGGATGGTAGTCCAGCTCGATTGGCACATAGAGCACCAAACCAGCTGGTACCTGGTATGTCATCGTTTCAAATATGGTCAATACAGGTGCGATGGGCTAGCGATAAGAATGCAGTGAGGAAGAGCATCAAGGAGAAGATTGCACAGTACAAGTTTATCACAGAGCGTGACAGGACTCTGGCGCAGACGTCTGGTTTGTTTGCCAAGCTGAGGATCAACACACGGTGGTTTCTGAAACGGTCCCTGAACAGGCCGTTCAATACCGATGATATCGGTGCTTTCATATCTTGGATTCTAGTGAGCAACTTCATCATCCTGCTGCTGTGGACTACGTCTTTCGTCTCTGTGATAATATATCTCCTGAATACTGTGTACGCACAGGAGTACGTAGCAGAGAAGATTGGTAACTACCTGACCAGGAACACCGCATTGTCTGTGGTTTTTGAGAGCGCTGTGGTGCCAGACTGGTCCTCGGGGAAGATCAGCTTCAAGAATGTTTTTATATCACGGAGGCCCAAAACCTCGCATAGTTTCACCAAAGGTTCCCAGAAGGAAGCGGCTCAGAGGGCGAAATTAGCACTGAGCGAAAGCCTGCTGGTGAACCGTGAGGATTTCGACCACGGAAACTACACACAGTTCGATCTGACTCTTGACCAGCTGGATATCTCTCTTAACTTGAGGAAATGGATCAATGGTAAAGGGTTTATAGACGAAGTGATTATCAATGGGCTTAGGGGTATTGTAGATAGAACGCATGTGGTATGGAAAGCCAACGATGATCCCCGGAATTACAAGAATATAGCACAGCCCGGTGATTTTGAGATTTCTAATTTTAAGATGAACGATGTACTGTTCACACTCTATCAACCTCAGGGGTTCAGGCCGTTCCAAGTCAGTATATTCAACTGTGAACTGCCACAATTGCGCAAACATTGGCTGTTCTACGATATATTGAATGCAAACAGCATGAGTGGCACATATGACAACTCGATGTTCACGATTCATAGGAAATATAACACACTTGGCGACGGATCTTCAGAGTCGCCTGTGTCTCCCTGGAGGAAAGTGACACGATTCAGGGTGGATTCCCTGGATGTAGACCATCTCAATGCGGGCATTGAGGGGCCATTCGGATGGATCACGGAAGGCAAAGTTAACATGATCGGTGATGTTCTTTTACCAGACAAGAATGCCGATTCTTTACAACTCACAGAACTTTTAACGGAGATCAGTAACAGACTTATCAAACAGGCAAAGATGTATAATATCATCCCACAAAATAAAAGCGAGACACCGGACATAGACCCAGACGATTACTTCATCATGGACTTCTCTCTAAAGTTAAACCACGTCAAGGCCACAGTGCCTTTGTTTGCTCCGGGGATGACGTACATCAACAACGCCTTGATCAGACCCATCGTCGGGTATATAAACTCCCACAGAACCTATATCCCAATTAAGTGCCGTGTAGTGAAGAAGATCGACGACTTTGAAGGATCTTGGACCGTCTACGACTCATACCTGATGCAAGACCTCAGTGCGGAAGTGTACGATGCATTCGCAGTCTATGTAGCTGACGACCAACAACGCTCACAACGTATCAAGAAAGTGGGCTTCTGGTCTTTGCAAGTACTGTTACAGCTGATACTACTTAGCCTGGGGTCCATTGCATAACTGTAAATAGCAACAACACAAATATAAGCAGAGCTAACTATATACATGACTATATCGATGACTATCGACGGGGTTGTCACCGACGAAGAAGGGACAGCCATAATAAATTGAAGAAAGTTTCATTAATTAAACCATTATAACAAGGTAGTATAAAAGGGGCATTGTAGTTCTAGTTTTAAGAGTCAGTATAACTCTGATCACAGGACGATATATCCATTAATTGCTTGATACTTTGACACTCTATTTTTTTTGGTAGCTGCTAGGGAGACTATCACTACAGGCCCGGTGAATTAAAGAAGAAGTTATTGGTAGTAGAAAGGACAAGAAACCTCAACTACTCATTTGTTGATATGACTAGACCACCAGTTTTGCAGTACGGTATACCATTTGGTGTAACGGTGGGGGCGTGGAAGAGTCTCCGGAAGTATCTTGGGCATCGGATGCCTTACTCCTCTTTGCATGAACCAAGCCAGTTTGAACAATGGGCAGATGACTTTTTTGTTCCCGAGACGTTGCAGGAGAAGATAATCGAGCACATACCGGAACCAGTGAAGCACAACAAATTGAGTGAGTTGTTTGAACAGGTGACACAGCGCTTTTTTGATATGGACACTAGATTATCAATTATTATGCTTATAGTGATTGTGCTCGCGCCGTTACTAAGTCCGAGCAGAAAGGAGACACATGAAAATTGCAATGACAATGAAAATGAATTACAACAGAGCACAGCGGAGGAGCGGCTAAAGTCAGCAGAGACAACAGCTGTTGATTTGGACGAGCAAGAAAAAGAGATACATATGGAAGAGATTGAAGACTCCACGGTCGTGGCTGTCAAACTGCCAGTTGCAACAGCAGAAGAGGTAGAACTAATGCATGAGACCTTTGGCGCAGTGCCGGCACTCAAGAGAGAACCAAACCCGTCTCATACAGCCTCTTCCAGCTCACTCGACTCTGCTAATTCAAAACTGTCGAGAGAAAGCCCCCGAGTACCACTACAAGTATCGCCTGCTAAGGCCTGCAACTCCAATGCACAGATAAATAATTTCCAAGCATACTCACAACCTTTCACCTACTAAAAAATGTATACTACCACAGAAATACCCATGTGCATAGAGCAGAACATCTTTCTAACTCGTTTTATAATATTCCTAATTAGACTAAACTTGAAATATAAAAGTGACGCCAAAAGTAGTTTTTGCTTAATTTCTCTGTAAACTTTTTATAATTATATGTAAAGGAAACGCCCAAGTTAGAAAAAAGACCATATACTAACGATTAAATCCAATTTCTATGACAAACTTATAATATGTTCCCGGGAAATATCAATATCTTCCATTGAGTGCATCCTATTATCATACTTTTGTACGCAAAATGCATATGCTGTACGTACTACACTATCTGAAAAATTTTCGATGAGCTCTGCGATGCCCAAGTAGCATGATGAGCACTATAATGTATGCGATGAGGTGAGATAATAGTGCTCTGGGCTTCTGGTTGTTACCGATATTGGATAGTTACTCTGCTCTGTATGGTGTGGTGCCAGTTCTTCATATAACATATTTGCGCTGGTCTAGCTAGTTTCTAATTTTTTAATAGATTGAGCTTTTAGCAACTTGTACTGGTAGCACACAATTGCATACTTTTTAACAGGATAGGCCACGTCTGAATATATAGCAGCATTAGCCTATATTAGCTAGGAATATTTGCAAATCTTACCAGATAATGTCTCAAATTGCATGCTTTTCAAAGGATGGTCTGACTTTTGCCTATCAGGCTGACAGGTCTAAGAAGAATACTATAGATCTGTACCCATTGGATCCAGAAAACAACTACATGATCAACAGTTCTCTTGTGAACAATATCGACTGTGAGTCCAACGACCTAAAGATAAGTGAGCTGAACTTTTATGGATGGTGCTACAACGAAATAGCTAATGGTTCGACAAAAACGAAGAGGAGGAATAGTGATGATGCTGGGGTTATTTCTACTACCTCACATGAGAACTATTTTGTCAATGTATATGGTACTTCTAAGATAGTGGTTTACACACAAACAGGTAAGGACATTGTAAATATACTCAAAAGCAAAGACAGTATAATCGGCATGGCTACTGATGGTCCATTTATTTGGGTCCTTGATGAAAATATGGTAGCAAAGAAATTTCATTACAACCAAAGCAAACAGCAGAAATCATTCACGTTCAGCGAAGGTAGAGATTCCAATGTCAAGAACTTCGAGGTCCTGTATCGGGATGAAAAAACATTTTACATAGTGATATTCACCGAAGATAAGGTTTACCTAATTGACCCAAGCAAGAGAAGAGCTGTTACCAAACTGGTGTTAGAAATAGGCTACTATAGCCATGCAGAATTTCTAAACAATGGTGAATATCTTGTCTTGAGTAACTCAGAAAATCTTCTAGTTGTTGATTTTGAATCAGGCAAGGAAGTCTTTAGGTGGGAAACAGAAGCTGCCTTTAAATTTAAAGTTATTAAGGACTTTGTTTTCGTGTTGACAGGTAATGATAATAGTATAGACGTGTTCAAATTTGGAGAGAAACAACCTACACGCAAGATAGTTGCAAGTTCCTCTACAATTATAGACTTTGAGCATACTTCAGGGGATAACTTACTGGTTGCTTGGCTAAATGTAAACGAACCTAATTTTAAGAAACTTTCACTTGGCGACATCAACTCTGCAGGCTCCATAATCGATGTCAATACTTCTCAACACGATGGTACTGATTTGTCTGAAGATAATATCAGCGTCGCAGGTAATGAAGACAGTTCTGAAAAGGAAATAACTCAAAGACAGAAAATAACAAAAGCAGGTCAGGATAAGATCAGTCAAGAACTACTAACTGCACTAATTGAAGGTGAGGATAAAGAAATTATTGAAATTCTAAACCTACCAACCTGGTCAAGTGATCGTATATCCAACTTCTTGAACAACAAAATTGAAGAAAATGACCAAGCGGTGAGATTATATCAATTAGTAGCAGATGAGATAGAAAAGGATCCATGGTCTGACAACGCAACGCTTCCTGTATGGCTAAAATGGATTTTATTGATCAAAGGCAAGGATATGAACATTTCCAATGATAAGAAGACAAGAAAGCAAACAAGACACTTAAAGTCAGCATTAAGAACTTCATCCACCACATTGCCAATATTATTAGGTATACAAGGTAGATTGGAGATGTTGAAGACACAAGCTAAGTTAAGGAAGGAATTGGCGGGGATTCAATTAGAACAAGACGATTCGACAACAACAGAAAACAACATTACTTATGCAGATGGTGAAAGTGATAGCTTTGTTGACGCAGCAGAATATGTGGAGGCTAAACAATAAAGCAAATGGGTATATAATAATTTTACAAATTACCCTAGTAAATGGCATTTATACTATTTCTTAGTAGACAGTATCTTTAATTTTATTTAACAAAAACATATTAGTATTTGCATTTTAAAATTCCTTATAGCTTATAGAAACTTATTGTTCAGCACACCAATATTGTCATCACTTGTGAGCTCGAAATTCAAATTTGTGAATGGCATCACCTAAAAGAATGCAATAACAAGCGATGTGACAATACTAATGAATCATCGATAGAAAAGCCATCTGAAAGCAAACTACTAAAACTAACAATTTGCGTTTTGTCAGAATAAATGCTGCTAGTGAACCGGGCTATTACACTCAACCTTGTTAAAAGATGTTGTTGGCGAAGCACAATGTTTATGACACCTAAAAGGTTTTTGGGAACATCAGAGGAAGAGAGTACCGCAGCATTACTATTACAGAAGAACCTTATCCAAAGGAATAATATGCTTTACGGCCATGGTTCAGGAACTATTAGGTGTACGGTGTTTGATGCTGGTGGTAACATAGTCTCTCCTGCATTAGATATAAAGAGAGAAGAATTGGTTGCAAAGCATGGTCTTCTGCCGAGAGACCTTAGAAAGATAGAGAAATCTAGGAAGAATGACTTGGTTCCAAGTTTTTTGGTGAGGAAGAACGGAATCCTAGTCAGCTTGGCCACTATCAAAACGCTAATCAAACCAGATATGGTAATTGTATTTGACTCATTTGGCTCATTAAATTCTACTTCACATAAGGCATTCCTGAATAGCCTAAAGCTGAGGCTACAGAACTTAGATATGGTAGAGCTGAAGAAAGATCCGTTACCTTATGAGTTCAGAGCCCTAGAATCCATTTTCATTTCTGCACTTTCAAACTTAACAAGTGAGATGAACGTTCAAGTTACTATTTGCAAAGGAATATTACAGGATCTTGAATACAGTATAACTAGAGATAAGTTAAAGTTTCTTCTTGGTCAAAACAAGAAACTAAGTAACTTTTACAAAAAGACTGTACTAATAAGGGATATGCTAGATGATCTGCTTGAACAAAGCGATGTGCTATGCTCAATGTATTTAAGCGATTTAAAAAACGGTGTAGAACACAAAGATGATGACCACTCGGAGATAGAGATGCTCCTAGAGACATATCATAACCATCTCGATGAAATTGTACAAATCACAGAGAATATCATTTCTAATGTCAAGACTACAGAAGAAATTATAAACATTATCCTGGATTCAAACAGAAATCAGCTGATGCTTTTGGGTATACGGTTCAGCATAGGTATGCTATCTCTTGGAGGACCGATTTTTATAGGATCATTATACGGTATGAACCTGGAGAATTTTATAGAAGAAACCGACTATGGTTTCATTGCAGCCTCCGCCATTGGTATGATCTCATTGGGAGCACTGTACTTCTACAGCATAAAGCACCTACACAAATTGCAAAAAATGTCCTTGTTCAACTACACAAATTATGCTAGAGACGTCAAGAAGTAAATTGTTAAAATGAAACAGTATGTTGGATTTAGTCTTTTGGTTCAGTCTAAAGAAGGTGTTGAAAATTCAGTTAAACACAATAAAATGTTAGTTAATATTCTAAATTCTTACAAATTTATATATATCATAAATAAATAAAAATTGCATTCCCGTTCACCATAGTTTTAACCATTTATCATCGATATTGTTCATTATCAGTGAAGTCATCGGAAGTCACCGCAAAGTCATCGGATTTCTGAAATTTCATTATTAATCAAACAACGAGTTTACACATAAAAGAACAATATTATTCAGAAAGGCTAGTCGACATCATTATTAAAGCTTTATCAGCCAGGGATAATAATACTTTGGGGATCCACGAGTTGATAAGAGTTTTATTTGGAAAAGGGCAATGTTCGCTACAAGATTATTAGGAAAGAGTGCTTTATTGGGCACCACCAGTACTAGGATGGTGTTCAGGTCACAAATGGCACGTTACATGAGTACTGAGACCAAGAAAGCTATTGAAGGTGCTATTGCATCTGCTCCTGTTGTTCTATTCATGAAAGGTACACCTGAGTTTCCACAATGTGGGTTTTCTAGGGCCACCATCTCGATGCTTGGTCAGCAAGGTGTTGATCCAGAGAAGTTTGCCGCATATAATGTCTTGGAAGACCCAGAGTTACGTGAAGGTATCAAGGAGTTTAGCAACTGGCCAACCATTCCACAGCTGTATGTTAACAAAGAATTTATCGGTGGTTGCGATGTTATCACTAGTATGGCCCGTTCTGGTGAATTAGCAGATGTACTGGAAGAGGCAAATGCATTAGTACCAGAAGAGAAAGAGGAAGGAACTGACTAATTGACATTCATGTAACACACTTACTCTACCTTTTCCGCTAACTGTTTGTTCTGATAAGGGTATAAGAGTTCGAATTTTGTTTTAGCCGATGGATCTTTTCAGCTTTAATACATCAAGGATTTCATTTTGAAAGATAACCACACCTTATTCTTACTGTACCTGGCCCAGCGATAAGGTATACTGACTAATAGTTTTTTTTTGCTGCTGTATTCTCATGCCTTTAGTCTTGTAAATAATTGAGATCTCTATTTACAAACTCCGCTCTTTGACTTTCAGGTGTTTTTAATTGCATAGTCCCTTGAAAAGTCACAGAGTTGAGAACATATTTATTTTATTTTATTTTTGTTTAATAATCAAGTAATTAAACTAAGAGCCACTGCTCATTTGATCGAATCGCGATGATAAACAATCACTTTATTTTAGGAAGTGCCATCTATCTTGTTGTTAAACAAGATAGCTGTAACTCAACCTCAACAAATATAATTGAACGCAATAAACCAAGATAAGACTTATGATAGCTCTTGACTACTTAAGGGACAAACTATTGTGAATAAATCAACGATAATACCTTTATATTTTACTTGTGCTTCCTAGCAACGGATGAGATGCAAAAGTAGTAAAAAAATAGCGAATAATACGTCCCAAAGTCACATGATAAGTTTTTGTTTGGAATCAAAATATTGTGTATCAAACAGGGTATTATTTATTGGAATATAATTTATAATCATGTAAAAAAGGATTTAAAATTTATTAGTAAATTGGAATCTATAACAATTATTGTATTGAATTTATAAAATATATCTAGTGAAAAATATCCTTGTTATTAAGCATTATTCGATGCATTCAAAGCAAATGAAATAAAAAAAAAGTCAAATTGTTGCTGCCTTCTGGGCGCATTGAAGAAGACTGCAAGCAATTATAGGTATTTTCTTTTGAATTAAAATATAATCATGATTTCTATTTTTAAAAGTCATTAGTTAGGTGAAAGAAAGAGTTTAAAATTTTTGCTTCACTTTTTCTTCATCACCTGGTTTCTTCTCAAAGATAGACTTGTCTTTTTCATGTCTATCCTTTCTTGGTCCGTTGAACCATTTCTTAAAGTCAAGGACAGATTTCAAGCTCCAAACCTTAACTCTCATGATGTAATAACAAGACAACATGGCAAAAATGTTGAAGCAGATGTAGACCCACATAAAACCAAAGTTTCTCCATCTGTAACTCCATTTCACGTTGAACCGGGCAACAACTTCATCTTGAACACTATATGGGCAGTAGTTACAATTGCTCGTAGCTTGAGGATTAACTAAGTAACCTGAGTTGTTACCAATATAAGTTCTTAGATACTCGCCACATGTTTGCCCTGCAGGTGGATCCATGATTGCAAACTCATTCTTGTTACATACAACCTTCTTATCGTGTACCAATGGGCCAACTAATGCTTGAACAACATATGTGAATGGAGAAACGTTGTACATCAAACCTCTCCAGAATCCTGGCATTTTTTCCTTTGGTTGTAAGATACCACAGAAAAGTAACATGGCTGCAAATAAGTTTGAATTGATCATAGAAGCTGAAGGCACATCGGGAGACATGTACAAAATCCACAGACCATATGAAACAAAATACATTGGGAAAATCAAAACATAGAAGAAGAAGAAGAATCCTGCATGCGAAGCACGTCCACTATATCCGGCAGGCCAGTAGTAACAAATGAAACACATAAATTGGCATAGTGTAGACCAACCTGTCTCAACAACGTAGTGACATAACAATAGAACACTCCAATGGAAAGTGTTAGACGCAGCTTCTCTAACCTCATATAATTCCCTACTGTCATAAGCAAAGACATGTAATTGATTGATCATTGCTAGGGCAATCAACAATAACATAAAGATAGATGAAAAGGCTTCAGTTGCACCACCAACAGAGTGGTTGACAGCGATATACGACAAACCAACAAACAAAGCACATGACACACATTCCAAGAACTTAGCCCTAATATACACTGGTGATCTCCAGAACTGTATCATGGTTCTTCTTAAAACACATTTCATTTGGGTCGTGTATGAGGCCGCAAATTTTGTTACAAGTTCAGGATCTTCGGTAACAGGTCTTGACAAAAGGTTTTTATGAAGTTCATCCAATTCAGCCCTGGCTGCTGCACATTCAGGTGACTGCTGCCATAGATCGTGCCAGTCAGCAGATGCACTAGCAGTAGCACCTGCACCGATACAGTTTAGAATATACTCTGCAGGATTCTCTGAAATACCACACTTCACACCGGATTGGCGCTCAAAATAGTTTAACAAAGTAGATGAATTTTCACCAATATCACCAAAGTAAACCATCTTACCACCTTTTTTCAGCAACAGTAATCTGTCGAATTGTTCAAACAAAGTTGCAGAAGGTTGATGAATAGTACACAAAATAGATTGACCAGAGTCAGCCAATGCTCTCATAAATTGGACAATGGACCAAGCTGATTGAGAATCCAAACCAGACGTTGGTTCATCCAAGAATAGTAATAAGGAAGGCTTGGCAACTAATTCCACACCAATTGACAACTTCTTTCTTTGTTCCACATTTAGACCTCTACCTGTTTTACCAACTAAAGCTTCGGCATAATTTTGCATACCCAACAAGGCGATAATCTTTTCAACATACTCATATTTTTCCTCTAATGGAACAGATCTAGGTTGTCTTAATTCAGCAGCAAATCTCAAAGACTCTCTAACCGACAATTCAGCCATATGATTGTCCGCTTGAGCAACATAACCACACGATCTATTAAAAGATGCAGGTAGTGACTGAGAATTAACTAACATATCACCAGTAATAACACCCATATTAATTCTTTGGGCCAAAACGTTTAGTAAAGTGGTTTTACCAGCACCTGACTCACCCATTAGTGCTGTCATCTTACCAGGCTTAACGTAACCAAAAACATCTGATAATAATTGTCTGGTGGCACCATCATAAGGAATAGTATAATTCAAGTGGTTCCATGTAAAGACATCCTTAGCAGCGATAACCTTTGGCAAATCAACATCTGGACCATTTAAAGTTTCCATCATTTCTTCTCTACTAGCAACTCTAGCATCAGCATTTTCAGTACCAAACTCTGGCATGTGGCCTCTCTTGTACAATAACAAATCACCACCACCAGATACTGGTTTGATAAACTCCGAAAGAATAACATTGAAAACAATATAACCAAATGTCCAAACAATATTGACACCCCAACTTCTCCAGGCATGGCGGTATGCAAAATGGTACTGTCTATCAATATACGTATCACCATTCACAAACATATGCCCCTTTATAGCACCAGCAGCATTACAAATTTGATTAGCAACGGAAACATTTTCATACCCTGGACCACTTGGAATCAATTGACTACAAAGCATTTCTCTATGGTGGAATTCGGTCGATACTAAACTCTCAAATGCATATGTTAGTGGATTTAGGAAATGCAGCCATTTAATCCAATGATGCATTTCACCTAATGGTAACACAAAACCGGCATAAACACATAACATCAAAACCCATAGACCACCAATAGCGTGTGCAGTAACACCATCTTTTGTAATTGTAGCGACAAATTTAAAGATAAATGAAGTACATTGTTGTACAGTGAATAAATACAAGATGTATTGGAAAAATGCACCAGCTTCAAATTTCAGGTATGGTATCCAGTATGTCACTAAAGATAAAACAATAATTGCAACAAATTTGGTTGGCAACTCTGTGATAATTTCTTGGAGAGACTCTGCAGAAATGTGGTACATCGAGTATGATTTATGTTTCACAATAATGGGTCTAGTAGAGAAAGAGTTAGCAATTTCAGCAAGAGAAGTAACGGAGGCAAACAATAGAACATAAAATAGCAAACCACCACGTGAATAAGCGCCCGCTGTGGTGGATTGACTTTTATTATCAATTTTATGAAACATTGAACCAACAATCAAACCTTTGATTAAAAAGGAACTTAGGTAGACTTTTGTATAAGTAGAGTCACCTTTAACTCTTTGGAAACCACGGATCATACAGTACCAAACCTGAGACCAGTAATTGACAACATAACGGGAGCTTTCACGTTGACCTGATTGAAGCATTTGCTTCTTTGCAGTGTCAAATCTTTCTCTAGTTTCTTCAGCAGGGTGTCTGGCATGGTAATCATCGTAGTGTCTCAATAGTTCTTGGTATTCAGGAGAGTTCAACCAATATTCTTCAAACTCAAAACCAGATTTAGGAATTGTATCTTCATAACCGGGTTTGATATCTAAAGTTCTATTTTCAAAGTCAACAGTAACAGAGGTTAAAAACTCAGCAGATGTCATTCTAGGTGGTTTTATCCAACCCATATTCTCAAAATATTGCACAGCTTTCTTAGCTGGACCGAAGTAAATTTGTTTACCATTATACAAAACCGTGGTTTTATCAAATAGTTCATAGATGTTTTCACCCGCTTGGTAAATAGCAACAATAGCTGAATTATTCATCATGTTGGTAGCTGTTCTAATAGCTTGTGCAAATTCTAAAGCTGTAGAAGCATCTAAACCTCTGGTTGCGTTATCCCAGGAGTAAATAGAAGCATTCATCGCTTGAGCTTCTACTAAAGACACACGCTTTCTTTCACCACCAGAGACACCTCTAACAAAATCATTACCGACTTTAGTAGCGTATGTATGTCTTAAACCAAAAACAGTACACCACATATCTCTAATATTATCGACATACTGTTTTCTGGTCATTCTGTCAATTCTAACTCTAGGAGTTTTACATTTTAGTGCAAAATCAATGGTTTCTTTCACTGTGATTTTAGGGAAGTGGAAGTCAAGTTCTGGACAGTAAATGACATAGCCTTTGTAGTTCTTCATCATTTCCTCTTGATCTAAACCATCATAGGAAAATTCACCATCAACGCTAACTAATTCTGAGGTTTCACCAGAGATACATTTTAGCAATGTTGAGCAACCAGCACCTGGTCTACCAACCACAAATAACATTTCACCAGATTCAACAACACCAGTACAGTTTTGGATAATGTTTCTCAAAGGAACACTATCTTTCTTTCTTCTTAGCTTGTTGATCAGTGTAAGTGGTAGTTTACCGGTATCTCTTAACATTTCCTCCACACTTGGACCATAGGCAGCGGAAGCATCTATACCAACTGCGGTTAGATTTTTAAAAGCAACACCGGAGTCACCTGGTTCGATACCTTGTTCAAGCTGTCTATTTCTTAGGTAATTCAACAGCATTCTCAAGTCGAAGTCCATGTCATTGACTTCAAATTTGTCCATTTCAGCCTTTGTCTTGGTGGAGATAACTCTGGCCATGGACTCCAATCTTTCTTTACCACCTTCTTCTGAGAGAATTTGGGTTAAGTGACGAGATAATTGTGTTGAAACAGGTTGCTGTTCATTATCGTCACGATTTATGTTTTCATAACTATGCACAGAATCAGCATATGAATTTGATGTAGTATCTGCATCATCCTTCCTTTCCTTCGATATTATCGAAGAGGATATTGAAGCAGGCATTCTAAGTCAGATTCTTTACTTATTATTTTAGTGATGATCTTGTAATTGATAATAGAAAAACACAATTGAATAGAATGAGGAACTGCTTGTTAAGTTTTGGTCAATTGATCAAATTGAACTGTCCTTATATATGTTTTCATATCTAATCTTCTAACTTGTCAAAAGTGCATTATTTCATAGAGAAATTAAATATCTCAAAGTGATAGAATAGGTTAGTTGCTTCGGTGCGGTTTGACGCTGACATGCCACAAATCATTGAAAAGTGTTCCTAGATAATGTAGTAGTAGTGAACTTAACCATTTGCTCAATCTCAAAACTATCCTGAAGGAAAGATTATCTTTTACCAGCCTTGATGAAACTTACCAGCCGACATTTTTTAAAAGACCGAATATACTCATTTTGCTTTATGAGGTTACAATGTTTGAGTAGGCACTTTCTGATCCACAGAGTTTTGAGTTTTGTTGTTGTGTTGTTGAAGCCAAGGAAAGGACGCCAAAAATAGGTATTGCAATCTGCATCATTATCAGTCATAGAAGGGGATTCACGACTTTCACCTTCAAAAGAAACATAGGAAAAGCTGTTTCCTGAATATTTTAAGAGCCGAACATTATATCCCAACAATATAAAAGGAATTATCTCATTTTCAATAGCACGTTAGTTACCGTGAAACTCCATGAAAAAAATGAAAACAAAAGGTACCAGCCGAGATTGAAAATCAAAATATATTGACATCGAAAATGGACTTTCTGATCTAGGAAATTCAGGCCTTTCAACGTTGCGCTTTGATGAGATCAGAACTTATATCAGAGAAACTCTTGAATCTTCTCGGACAGTATCTTACTTCCCACATTATCTTCGTGGAGTTTGAACATCGGGTCAAGTAACGGTATATAATATCAAAATCAATCTATCCACAGCAATAAACTGCAACAAACCAGCTCTACTTGGTCTTAATCGCTACTTGGATCGTCAGTGGTAAAGCTCCGATTGTATATAGGATAGAACAACCTTAACTGCGACCAGGACCTTCACAGGACCGCCTTTTGGCACCGGTGTAACTAAGCATCATGTTAAGTTCTAATAGCAGAACAGTGGTTTCAATCTAATCGCAGCAGATTGAGGTGATACAACCTTAGATAGTACAAGGTGTGTTGTCCGGCTTGTATATTTTTCTTTTTTGCTTCCCACCTAGATTAATTAATAGTCCCTCCCTTCCTCGAGCTTTTATTGTTTCTTTTTTTTCTGGAGAAGGATAATGCTGTAGAGAAAAGCAGCACAAGATTACGAAAACCACATAAAGCCACAATAATTCAGTAAGGAGGTGCCAATTTTTCATGAAAAAGCAATGTTTAAGAATAAGTCTAGGAGAAATATGTGCAGAAAGAATAATTACTCTTTTCTACGTGCTTTTTACACCAGAGGGATTTAAGGTTGATATAATAGCAATTTTTACTGCACAGCTGCATGTGTGGTGAGATGAAGAAATGACTGTACACCAGCTGAATCTTGGAATGGCTTATATAATCATGTCTAAAAACGTTACTGCCTATGTTCATGAGCCTGCTCGGTCAGATTTAGAGACCAAAAACTACGAAAAAACAATTTTTAGAAGCAATTTCACCTCCTTACTGGCCTAGTAAATTTAAGAGCACCTTTTGACAAAAGAAACAAAAGCAAAGTCTGTAGTTCATCACCTTGATTGTGGTGTGCAAAGATGGCCTTGATATCTCTAGTGTTTGATATATGCGTGTCTAGAGATTAGATTTGTGAGTTTATATGTACACTTTGATAGAATTGAGAAACCTTTTAAATATTGAGGAATTAAATAACTCGGAATGAATTCAAATCTCTTAAGAACCGACACCGGTGTCGGTTCTTATTTCTCCTGTTAAATGAAGGTCCTTTCTTGTTGTGTATTCACATAATCTCTTATAAACTGTAGCAAGATCGTACTTTGGCCGATCTATCCAGCAGACACTATTCGAGTATAACGGCACTAGATCAGATATAGTTTTACCACTAAGACGCAAATACACATATAATAATTTCTAAGTTTAAATGACGTTTAAGATACTTTTATAGTACAATATCGGGATTATCATTTCCTTGTAAAAGTGGCCAATCACAACACTAAGTTGTTCCTTTTCTATATATAATAAGGGTGATGGTGGTAAACAAAAATAGGATAATATGAAAAAGGATAATAATAGTAATGCATAACTTTATAAAAGTGAAGTAAAAATAAAAAGTAAACTGAGACAGCGATATATAAACAAAAATGAGATACTAGAGTTCAAAAAAAAAAGCACAACGCTAGTAATCATATTCAACTATCTCTGTTTTGCGACTGTTACTTTTGGAAATATAAAAACATGAAGTAAAGGTAATGAAGTTCACAATTTGAATAGGAAAAAAGGTGCAAATGCAAGAATTGAAAGTAAAAAAAAACATAACAAAAAAAAATATCAAATAGGGAAGCATAACAACATCAAGACTAATCAGTTAGAATAATTGGAAATGCAATACCATTTTGATAAAATAGTAAAAATAACTTTGTTGGAATGTGAATTTTGTAAAATAGAAAAATACGCTAGCATTCTAAAGTTTCATTTTGCTAGGTACTAAAATCATCCCTATTTTGGCTCTGACTTCTCAGAGGCAGATAAATAGGAGGATTTTTTAGTGTCATTAGTTGAATGGAAATGGTGTTGATTGAATAATCCCATTCTTCAAAAAATTTCTAAAGTTATAATGCAGGGGCATGGGGGTATAGTGTTTTAAATCATAGAACATCAAAATGAGAGGGAAAATATGCATAAACTAGTTAATTGGGAGGATCAGTATAGGTCTCAAACGTTCACGGTTCTCTTCTCGATGTCAAAAACGGCGTTTGAGTCCTTCCTAGATCTCTTTGGGCTAGTTGTTGGTGTAGTGGGGTAAGTAGTTGTGTAACTTGATGATCTGAACTTGATCCTGTTCCAAACCCATAGTAATTTCGAGCTCCATGAGTTTTTACTCCCACTGTCTGAATTAGTTAGTGTGATTGGTTTCTTATAACATAACCAGCAGTAGAAGATGTACTCCCCGTATAGGATGAAGAAGGCAAATATGAATCCTGCAACCACACAAGATAGGATGTGGTTTTCCAGAGACTTCATCCACTTGGCATCATCTGTGTGCCAGGAGGACCCCTTAACTATAGAAAAAAAGGAGGAGGATGACCCCTTGTAGTCCTGTGGTTGTATGATCTTCACGGGTACGTAGTTCTTGGTAAAGATCTTCCATCTACGGTAATGTTTCCACACGATGGAGATGAACAAAGGCCCCGTACTGGACATAATCGTCAAATATGGCACGTACCAGTTTTTGTTGTAATGGTTCAAATTGTGGATGGCTTTCCAGAAGAATGGGTGACCCGGCATTGAGCCCATCACGTCGTTAGAGATACCCAGAGGGGATGTTTTTCTCACGAACGCTGGCAACTTTAATAAGTTGTCCAAAGGTCTCTCACATTTGTCGTCGAGGTCGATGTAGATACCTCCGTAGTGGTAAAGAATAAAGTATCTAATTGCATCTGCTCGCTGGATTGGTCTCTTGTAGCCCACAAAGGTGGGTAAGAACCAGCTGTAATGCTCGGTTATAAAGTCTAGAGCCATCTGGTCAGTCCACATGATATACTGATAATCAGAATGTAGCTCCTGGCATCTGTGCTGTCCCTCAATCCAGTGTTTTGGGATATCCTCTGTCTTGTAGGTCTGGTGGATAATTCTAGGTATTAGCTCATCCTCCCTAGGCACACTGGAGTTCAGGTCAGATGCGGTTAGAGTATCATGAATAGTGTCATCTATACACAGTGTAAGCAAATCAAATGTGTAGAACAATATGAAGAAAACTAAGAAGGCATTCGTGATAGCCAAGTATGCAACTTCTCGTTTCATTGTTTGTTTTGTTCAGGTTGTTCGTTTCTAGTTCTTTGTTTTGTCTATTGAAACTATAGTGTCGTATGGGCGCGGGTTGAGAACAAGTACTTGTGTATCAGATACGTTTTCAACCCCAGATGCACTCTTAACCTTTATCTGTTATATACATTTGTTATATATATAATTTGCTGTAATATTCCAATATTATAGTGTATAATTTCATGGAGGGCTCAGCTACTCATTTCTTTTTTTTTTCACTCACATACATTGTTTCTTTTTCCTTGTTGACAAGCAGCGGACACGAAAAACATTCAAAGATCGGGGGGCAGGGAGGGCCCAGCCTTCCCACAGTCCCACGTAGGGGGCATATGATAAGAGAGCAGTGCTCGCCGTGGTGTCTTTCCTCCATCCGAGGGCGATTCTGTTGACCTTTTTTTCGCTTTGCTCAAAACTACGGTCCTGCAGCAATCCTTCTCTATGTCTAAGTTGCGTTGCGTGTGTACTCTCTTGTCTTGTCTCTCTTATCTGGAATTTGGTGGGGGGGAGAAGAAATGAGGGACAAGAGATTAGCAGGGGGGCCTCTGCCAGAGAGGGTGGAGCTATGTCCAAGTGATATGCACAGTAGAGCCCGTACTTCGGGGTGGGATCGTGTTTTTATCTGTTCTCAACACAAGGGATATTCCCGACGCGATGGCTGCCCTTTTTCAGCACCACTTTCCCACTTTTGTGTGGGTTTGTTGTGCGTCTTTTGAGCAGATTTTGCGCAGGTCTTTCACATGGGGAGGGTGTCGCAGACATTTTGTTTTTTGTTTTTTGCTCTTCTCTACAATTAATTGCGGGGGGGGAAGGGAACTAACACCAGCTTATTCTACCCTTGTTCTCTCTACTGCATCTCTCTGCAAAGCCTCGTTTTTCTTTCGTTTTTCTTTCGTTTCAGCTATTTCAGCTTGTCTGCGTTCCCTCTGTGTCTGAACTTCACAACTTCCCCCCCCCCCGTTCTACCATTCTGGGAAATGTAGGGGAGAGGTAGTACGTAGTGAGCGATAGTAATCGACATTCAAGACGTCATATGTGTGTAACTTCTCGATCTCTCTGCGGGTGTTGCACTACCCCACTTCCCCCCCCCCAGCAGAATTGAAGGTTCTTTAAGCATTGTAGCCGGGTAATACTTCTTTCCCATTTCAAGTTTGGAAATACTGTCATTATCACCGAAATATTCAGAGTATCCAGCGAGCTTGCTCTTCTTTGGACAGATCGGGAAGTCGCGGAGTGGTAACCAACGGGTCCGTAACTTAAACAGAAGTTTCTTGACTATAAGCTGTAACACACTCACTGATGCATACAACGAGAATCAAAGGATAATATTAAGGACAATGGAGGAAACAATGGGACGGGAAGCGATGATATTTTACGGTTCCGTCTATTGAAAAAATATTTAGTGTTTAGCAATTGTATATCTACTATAAACAGTATAATTTCTTTAGCTGAGTAATAATGTGTCTAGCTTCTCCTGCGTAAGTTGGACATTCAAAGTGTCGCGTGTGTATTGATTCTCTACTAAGGCCAGTTCACACATTGTCCGAAACACTTGGCTGTTCATCTCACGTAATTTTTCATCTAACTCTATCTCAGTTTGTGTAACGCTTGTGGTACTGCTACTATTCTGATCCATGATCTCCAGATAGCCTTGGGCCATGTTACTTATACCATATTTCTTTAGTTGCTCTTCTCTTTTGTCCCTGCCATTATTCTGAGCTGTAGTCTCTCTTCTGGGAGCTGTCGGTACTTCTCCTGAGCTGGCATTGCCTTGGGCTACTCCATTGCCGTTACTACCACTACGTTGTATTGTTATTGGTGGGTGTGCTGGGTGTGTCACGTGAGTGGTACGATGTGATGATGTATACTTCATGCCACCACTAGTGGCACTATCACCGCTGACACTCTTCTGTCTCTCCGTGTAGCTGCTATTATAGTTGTTGTTGCGATGATAGTAGCCACCGTTATTATACTGGTGTGAAGCGTGGTATCCGCCGCGGTTATATGAAGAGTAGCCCCCACGTCCACTTGAATTCCCACCTCGAGAATAATATGAGCCTGTATAACTCGTGTTGCCTGTCGCTGGGGCCCTCGAATATGCATTAGGATTATTGTGTGGTGCACTAGTAATATGTGTATTGTGTCCACCATAGTACCCTCTGCCTGAACTTGCAGCCCTACCGTTCATTGAGCCGTGCCTATTGTAATACCCGTGGTAATAGCCACCACTGTTACCATTACCGTTGCTGGGCCCATGCGTATTTGTATTGGGCCCGTCGTTTGATCTGTGGTGGCTAGAATTCTGGTAATTAGAGTAATACCCGCTTCTACCACCTCTACCACTATCGTACCTACCGTACCTGCTCTGATACCTTTCGTCACTCATTCTCTATTGCCAAAAAGAATACCGCTACTAAAAAGGATGTAATATGTACTAACAGTGAAAGTTGCTCCCGCCAGATTCGAGCCCAGATATAGCAACAGGTCCCGCGATGCCACCTTATTATCTGTGTAAAGACTATGTATTCTTTTTTTTTTTTTTTGGACTTTGTGATGCGCTTCTCGCTCTTAGTGTTTTTAGTGCCTCGGACAAAGCGATAGACTTCTGTTAAGTAATATAAGCAAAGGTAGTCAAAATTGCTCTCAAATGTATATATTTTAGCAAGTGTATATATTTTTAGCAAGTATATAAAATTCTCCTGATTGCTATAAATGCCTTCCAAATTTTATCCAACGTCAATTACCAAGCGTATATAAATGATGAAGGGACAAAGGGATGTGGTTAAATAATTTAATATTAGAAGCTTTCTTTGGTTCGACAGCGGTATCAAAGCTTTATCGTTACATAATTAAATATCGTCTACTGAATTATACTCTTCTTTTCCATGACTAATGTTGATTTGAGTAAATTTAGTGCAAAGCAGCAGCAACTGATACTGCAATGTTTGGCTATCACCAACCAAGTTAACCAGAGCAAGAATATCGGTAGCGGCTCACAAAATAAATACTCGAGGAGAAAGGATTGTTCTCATATACCATGCAAATTTTACATGGTGGGTTCCTGCCAAGCTGGGCAGTCGTGTCCATTCTCTCACCAGACACAGACAATTGAAAGGGCCTATAGCACGCCATGCAAATATTATCAAAAAGGGTATTGTAAATTTGGTGATAGGTGTATTAATCTCCATATCCATGAGGATCAAAATGAAAAGTAAGCCAGCATCAAAAAGTATCTCATAGTTTAGTTTATGAAAAGCAAAGCTTATTAGGCATAACTTGACATTTGGCACTTGGCAAAGGTTGTAAGTAGTCTTTGATTGATGTACCTATATATCACTTATAATATATCAAAGTTTGAGTATTGGATAGTTATAAATTCAAAGCTTCAGAACACTATAAAATGAATATAGCTGTATGAAGAAAGGAGTATATGACAAAATAGTGCTCTAACCTAGTTTTAAAAATAATATTCCAATGAGATGTAATAATATGTGAAGCTATTCAAAACATTCCTTGAGTGTCTTTGTATCTCTGCGTGCAAGTTAAGTCACGGTTAAAGGAAATATCACTACCTTGATCACATTCACATTTATATTCCCTCCACATTATATCATCTGCAGGGCACACTACTGTCTCTTTATTCTGGTATCCCATTGGGCTGATATGTTGAATCATTTTAGCTGGTACCATAGTTGAATATGCCATTGACTGGATAATGCTATCGGACCATCTCTCATAGAATATGCCTCCTGCTTTGTCCATGTACTCAAAATATTTTGTGTATACTGGTGATCTCAAGAAGTTCAGATTCACAATTTGCAAATCGGTAGAGAAGGAACAATAATTGTATGTATCTCTTCCAACTTGGATGTAAGATCTTAAACTTGACTTTTCAATGGGGTTGTAGAATTCTCGGTTGTGTGCAGTGAAATTCAAGTTATGGCCCCATATTTTCTTTGCAGAACGTTCAATTTCTTTGATTGATAAAGTGAATCCAAATATTTTACGGTTATCCTGCATCCACCTCATTATGTCGTATTCCATCTCACAATTCAACCGTATGCCGGGGCTCACACGCATGTACCAATCATACTTTTTCAGCAATGTGTGATGAGCTGCCAGGCCAGCGTTGTATCTATTGATTAATCTGAATAATTGCGAGTCACCGTTGGGAATATCGAACAGATCAATTCTGGCGTTTGAAGCCACGGTTGAGTCGATAAAATCAGGGAACCCCCAATGTTCAGGCGGCACGGTTCCAAACTCCACCTCAGTCTTGACATCGTCTATAGCAGATGTGAACTCTTCTAGTTTCTTTTCAACGTCGGCATGGAACTTCTCTGACAAGGGCTCGGGACTGATGATCACCCAGGGGTAACCGAACTTGTGATTGAACTTCTTCTGTACAGACTCTATAGTTCTTAGTAGCTTCCTCAATTCTGAGTTGCCCGTGACAAAAGAATATATGCATGCTGAGGGTTTCAGCCCTTCGTTAGCCAAAGACTTGAAGAGGAACCCCATTGTGCTGTTCTCCGTGGCCTTGTGATCCTTCAACAGCTTGGCGTAACGAATACTCTTCTGCTCCTCGATCGTCTCTGCATCGATTGGCAGCTCGCCCATCTCGGCAAGGGACATGTTTTGAGTCCCCAGTATGTTGTCGAGCTTCACTTGCAAAGAAGCACTTAGGTCCTTCTTGAACTTGTCCCCATCGTCCTCCTGGTTCCAGTTCGCCCTGATGTTCGCCTTCACAGCGTGTAAGCTCTTGACGTTCTCCTCGCCAGCAAACGTAACCAGTTTATCAGTGATGTCTGAGTTACGCACGTAGTATATGAACAGCACAAAGCTCAGAAGCACAGCGACCGCTTTCAGAGTCCTGTTCCGGTGAAAGACTTTGTAGTAGTACCGCAACCAGTGTATCAACCCCCTGGTCTCCATCGGTTTGTTGTGTTGTGGATGTGTGTTTGTTGTGATACTGTACAGAATCAAAATATCAGGTGTCAATGCAGAAAGGTTTATATATAAGTAAGCTAAATATTTATTTATAGATGCATCGGGGGGGGGGGAGGAGAGGATGAGCCTAGAAAGCAGTGAAGGAACCGTTATGTCAAACGTAGATCACCGGGATCCCATTACCAAGATAGAAATTTTAGAAATTTTCTGAGATTTTAGAAATTTTCTTTACCCACAGAGAACGTTGCTTACTGTATATGTGCATACCATGTAGATATTAAAATCTGTCAATGGGTGACAAAGAATTTTTGGCAAATTGCGTATTACACTTCTACTTAAAATGCTAGAGTTCCAAATTTACTTCCACCTCTACAAATAAATCCCTTTACATTGGGGGGATAATAAGAAATCCCAAATGCATCTACACAATGCATAAGCCTACATCTTTCACTTGTATTGTTGATACCTACATAGAAAGGAAGTATATAGGAATAGACTTGCATAAACCAGTTATAAATAAGACACCCGGATGTAGGTGCTATAACATACGCACACTCACAACGTACCATGTGAATTAACGAACGTCCCTTTCAAAGCCAAACTGCCGATCCAGGATGTAACTTGCAACGAACCTTCTAAACATGAAGACAGTCTCTGGGTGTGTGGGTGTGTGTTATTAGAACACAAATAATTGCGATTGGGAAACAGCAGTGGTGTGTGGGTGTAGGTGCTGGTATCTAACTAAAATCCGTTTCGTTCAACCAGATCAATGCTCTAGTGTACCTTCTAACGACCTACATACACCACACTAATACACACACACTGATACACACATACTGATATACACTGGAATGCCACACCACGACGAGAAGGGAAAGCCACAATTGTTTCTGTGATGGTGGGGGTACCCAGCGTTGATCCCTTCACACTAAGGAAAAATATTAAGCCTTGCAGGAATGCGATGAGCTGGTAATATATAATACCATATGAATATTCAATACCAAATCTAACAATTCCCCGAATACAACTGTGATACGAAAGACATACAATTAAAAAAAACATAAACATTCTCAGTAATATCTAATACAATTCATACTTGCAAAAATGGAGAAGAAAGTATCGCATGTTATTGACTTCTTGTCCAATGATGAAGTGCAAAGGCAACTGGGCGATCCGAGTATATCAGGGATATCGTTCAGTTTTGATATAAGGACGCTGTTGAAAAAGCATAGCGGTGGGAATCCACAGTTCTTCAATTACTCTATGCGGGATTCCTTCCATGAGTGGTGCGCGTGACATCGAATTGGGGGCTAATACAAACGAGCTGGTCACCGAGTTGCTATGGGATATCATATACCTCACAGAGCACCAGTTCCTGCTGCCATACTACCACGGTGAACACAAGAAGTTTCAAAAGAAGCTGGTGAAACGGGTAGGAAATCACTTGAACAGCCTGGTTAACAACTCAGCTTCAAAACCAACAGGCTCGATGACTGTGAATGTACGACATGTATGGAGAAATGTGGGCGATAGATATACGCTGCTCTATTTACCACTTTACTTCAAAGAACTCATATGGTGTAAAGCCAATGGTTCGATATTCCACGTGATAATACCGCATACAAAGGAACATGTAATACATGAGCACAAGGAATGGTTACTCGCCATACTGGAGATGGCTGGGTACTGGAACTTATCACACGTAAGGTTATACTTACCTAGAGACGACCTCACGAATATACAAACGTTACTGAAAAATCTACACTGGATAGGTGCCAATTTACTACCTAATGAGAACAGAAACGAGTGTAATGAAAATGACGATATCACTTTAAGTGATGAAACTTATATAATACTAGAATGCGAATGTTAATGTTACTATCTACATACGTATATGACCTCGACAACAAGAAATGATTAATAGCAGACACACACTTTTTTTTTTCTCTCAGATTATTCAAATGCTCTAAGATTTTGTTTAACCTCTGTTCATAGTGTTACCGCTACCTTTAGGATTCTCCTCCTTGAACTCGTCCCACTCTCTTGCCTTGTATGTCTCCTTGTCTTGCCACTCCATATTGTCCTCGTTAAGAGCTTCTATCTCTTCCTTCGTGGGTTCTTCACCACCTTGCAAAACTCTACCTTGTTCCCATTCTTGTTCTAGGAACTCTTCCACTGACATGGTCGGACCATATTGACCATAGCCCTTAACTTTGCTTTTTAACTCAGACCTCTTATCTACCAGAGTGAAATTACGCAGTACTTTACCATGCTTGGATAATAATGGTTTGTTCAGTGTCTCTAACTTGTCGGTGTATCCAGTAGGGTCGTCATTGCTGCTTTTACTTTGATCATTACCCGCCAAGTGTGGCTCGTTGTCGCTCTGTGGTGCCATCCTGACAAAGTTTGACAGAAGCTCCTTCTCATAAAGAATTTTTTCTATCTCATCAAAGGTTTCGTAACTTAAAAGCTTTAGTTTTTGTAGGTATAACTTCCGTAAGAGCTCGTCGTCATCGTTTTCTTGGTCCTCACTAACTTTCCCTTCTAATATTCTAAGCTGCTGAGCAACAGCAGTGTTCTGTTTATGCATTTCAATCTTCTCCTGACGTCTCAACTGTGCGCCAGACAAGTCTTCCTTGTGCTTTGGCACCGCGTATAATTCATCCATGGTTGGCATGAAGGTGTTCTCAAAACCGTCGATTTTCTTACTAATGCTCTCATCGAGGATTTCATTGTCCTGTAAAGTGCTCAGATATTGCATAAATAATTGGATTGCTTTGTCCAAAAACATTATCCTCATCTTGTTTTTGTCCATTGGGTTTGCTAATTGGTTAGATGTTGCTTGCTTACGTGAGCATAGCAGCCCAAGATAATAGTCTAAGGAAAGGTATAGCAACGAGCTCGTAGCAATGTCTTCAACAGTTTCATTGGAGCTGAATAATGATAATTTATGGTAAACTTTGGACTTCAAATCAAGGAGCTCTTGTATTGTCCCGGTCAGCAACTTTTGGTACTCTTCCGAATCCTGTCTTAGCTGTGTATGGAGAAGTTTTCTATCTATGGTGCCTTGTATGCCTCTAAACTGCTCTAAAATGGTGCCAGACATAATATTTAACTTAACTTTATGTTATCCTATTAGAGATATATACGAAGTTATCATAGCCAGAATTAAATTTCTATTCAATTATCATACTTTATATGTGTATTTGGACTGTTTTTGTCAAAATCATCGGTGCGAGTTTGGTCCCGATGAGCTAAGGGTGGCACAACAAAACAGTAGTAGGATATGTTAAAGGTGAAAAATCAACAGAAAGATACTCGTGCTAGCATTGGTATGTCTCATTTTGTTTTCTTTATCAGGATATATATTTATTTAAACTCATATACTATACACAGATGTGGGTCTACTAAATTTTTGTTATAACAAATGTGTAAATGTTCGGAGTGAGATAATTTACTTTCCGTCTGAGAAACAGATGACAGCCCATTTACCGCTACAACACCACCAAGAACCTTGCCCTGGGTGATCTTTTTCCCATACTGCAGATAGCTCTTCGTCCTTGCCTTCTGGCAGCGCAACTTGGACAGTAGCCTTACAAGTTCTCAGACTTAAAGTTGGAACACCGTTATGTGCTAGAGGGCCAATTGCGGCTTCCCACGATGTTGTGCGTGGCCATGTCCTATCACCGGTTAACTTTCTGTAATTCAAATCACCTTTGAAGATCACCAAGTTGGATTTAGTGAAGTCGTTATGTATTTCAGCGCCGTGGTACTTTTTCTCAGATGGGTCAATATTCCAGTAATCTAGTTCGGTAGTCCAAAAGCTGTCAGTACGGAATTCAAATGAGCCCTCTTTGATGAAATCTCTGATATCAGTAGCCAAGTCATTTAGAGCCAAGTCATCCTCTGAACCGCTGGTAACTGGGAAAAAGTCACGATCTTCCAGATCCTTCAGTAAAGTTTCAAAGTCTTTCATCATTACGTCACTTACCATGTATGGCATATCCTTAGCATGGAAAATACACTTTGAGGCCAACTTTGATCTCAGAAGGAAAGCTCCCATTAAGAAGTCAGCATATAGCTCGAAGCCAGAGTTATCTAGCACAAAATCAACTCTTCTGTTGCCTGGCTTGGACGAAATCAATGCATCCCAAGCTTTGTCGGTATCATTAACCACAATTTTACTTTCGGAGGCTTCTCTAGCCTTGGCTCCTTGAATAGATTTGATGTCCTCTAGAGAGATGCTTGTCAACAAAGAAAGATCTGTGGCATTACCCCATAGAGAAACTTCGGTGAATTCCTTAAAAAGAATCTTCAGAACTTCTTGAGATTCCCCAGAAGAAAGATCTAAGGATTGCAATTCATGGCTTAACTTTTTGTATCTGATAGCTAGTTCTACTACACCATGAAGGGAAGCCTTGAAAGTAGACTGTTTCAATCTGTCAAAGATATCGAATTCCTGCCAGAATGGGCTCTTCTTGGACTTGAATAAAACGTTAATGCGTCTGTACATGTAAACTTCGGTGAATAGCCACTCAGATGATATCCAGGACTTGTTAATATCAGCAGTTTCATCCAACGTTTCGTTGAAAGACAAAGGAATGTTTGCAATGGCAATCTCTTGCTCGGTAAATTTACGCAATGGCGTGTTTGCCAAAATTTCCTCACGGAACTCAATCAATTGTTTCTTAAGCAACTCACCGTCTTCTAAAATCTGCTCAGAATCATCACCACGATCCTTGATATCTTTCAACTCAGCGTCAACATCATCTATGGCGTTTTGAACAATAATTGGCCAACGTTCCTCTGCAGTATAGGCACCAAAGGTACCTTTGTCAGAGGTCATACATCTTCTTGGCAATGACATGGTTTTTTTAGGTGTTCTGGTGGTTTTCACAATAGCTAATGTTGCCTAATGTCAGTAGCACACTGACTCAAAAGCAGTACTAAATCTTCTTTCAGCCAATTTACTAAGACTATTCTATCCTTATAAGCTTGTGCCTTTGTCATTTCCTCGACAAAAATCACTCGCCCAAGCGTGGATGATGAACAATGGAGATACAGACATTACGTCATTATATATATATTATAATAGTATATAGTACGTTATGCTGGGCTCGTTTCCATGCTAACTGTGAGTTCTAGTTCACTGCATTGATGTTTATAGCGGTAATAATGCACTACAAATCAAATTTGTAATCACTAGATAGACACTTATAGTTAAGTTAATAGGTCAGGAGGCTAACTTGAGCATGAAAGCACTGATACTGCTTCGATCAAGATAGCCATTGCTCTATAATCTATCATAATTTAATCCCAGAGACAGTAGACTACTCATATTTTCAATGTACAGTGACAATATTAATTCATGTTATATGTTGATCTTAGCAAGATTGCTGCGAAATGACGAAAAGCAGCTAGGTCTTCGCGAAGGGAAAGTGACTAAGACCGATGATAAGTTTCTAAATTGGCTTCAACACGCACAAACTAGTGGCATATATAATAACATCAATAGGTTTTTTTAAATTGCTCTCATTGCTTTAAGAAGAACGATAGAGGCCAACAAAAATTAATGAGTTTCTTCTCTAATCTGCCGGCAACGGCTACCTCTAACAGTGGGGAGGGAGTATCCTCGTTATTCCCGACTATATTTGAAATAGTTTCCTCACAAGAGATAGATGAGCTCTTGCCAGCATCAATACGTTACATACTCACGAATTACTGGATCTCCAGATACCCCAGTTGGACAACATTGCAAGTGAATAACTACTTTGAAGAATGGTTTGGCGTCGGAGTACAAGGTCTTGTTGAATGGTACCATATCGACAAGTATAACTCCACATTTGTAGACAAATTTTATGGTTTGCAACGGTTTAACAATAGTGACCCAGTATTAACGCAGGCACAAGCTATAAGGCAGGCACGAGAGGCAGGTAACCCAAATTTACAATGGCCTAAATCCTTACAGCTGACTAATGGACAGAAAAGAGTGGTGTTTTTACAGAAGATAATTTTACCATATATCAGTCACAGACTTTCTGAAGTCTATAATAAACTAAAGTCTAGAATTGCCATGTTATCCACCGAGTTAGATGATGAGACTGGTGGGGCAGATAAAAAGACCAAGTTAAAGAGATTTGTTATAAAATGGTTTGTCAGACTTTACCCTTTGTGGAACAGCTTAACATCTTTGTTAAACATGGTTGTTAAATTAGCATTTTTGACCGGTAGAACTGGTTCTATGACTTTCTTAGAATACTTATTCAAGATAGAATATACAAGAATGACACTACCACTGGAGAATGGTAGTATTTCACCTTCTAAAACGCTCAAAAATAATGAAAGGCCAACTAGAACAAATATGTCCTCTATCAGAGGCATTTTTGAGTCCGCTATTGGTTCATTAGGAGGTATGGCGGGACTTACAGGTTCTCAGTTATTCCCTGCATTCATATTTATGTTACGAGTTTACCAATGGTGGAACACTGAAGACCTTACGACAAAATTACAGAAAAAACTTAACGACATAGATAAAGACATACCAAGACCACCAAACGCGCACATATCAGAAGAAGCATCTAATGATAGTTTTGAAGACTCTGAAATGAGTCAGATCTCTGAAAAAATAGGCACTAAAAAGAGTGATATTTGTCCAATATGTAAAGACTCCATCGAGAATCCTTGTGTCCTTGAGACTGGTTACGTTACGTGTTATGCATGTGCATTAGATTATATCCCCAAACATGAAGGTCGCTGCCCTGTGACTGGTAAGCGTCTTCTTGGGTGCCAATTTGATTCTGAAAGTGGAGAATGGAAAGTTGTTACAGGTATCAGAAGACTTCTAGTATAATCATCATTAGTTACAATAATAATATATTCATGCATAATGTTACAATATATCCTAGGGTGCCCAGCACCCTAAATATGTAATGCTAATCTAAATAGACGAAAATAAGGTTACGGGGATACATTATGATGGATTATCTTTCATATTGACAATTTCCCATTGCTCTAAAGTAGTCTGGAGAAGCCTAATTTCATTTTCCATATTTGAAATGGCAGTTTCTATATCGTTAGTAGGGTTTCTATTCAGTAGATGTGTAATAATTGCTGCTCTGTTTAAGATAGCCGCGTTTAATGGTTGTTCAACACTTGAAGCATTGCCTAAATATGATATTACCCTACTCAATTCCTGTTTAATATGTTTTTTCCTGTCGTGGTAATAATTTATCTCATCCTGCAGTGGCATTTCGTCTAGTTCTAATTCGCTCTTAGATCCCGACACAACAGGAATTTCGATATTATTGTACTCAATCTGAAATTTGAGATCGCAAGTGTCGATATTATAATTTTCAATAAGCTGGCATGACAAATCGAGATGGCTTGTATTCTTTTGTTGGGTTTTATTTTCACTTGACGATTCATTAGGTGTATACGAGAATATTATTGCAGAGCCGACAAATTGTGGCATAAAATCAATCAAGATCATGCGGATAGTTTCTTCGTAGTTGTAGTATTTACTATTAATAGTCAGAAAGCCGATTAGCTCATCTTGTTTGTGTGTTACTTTCATGAGTTCGATACGCGTAGCCAATTGCTCCTTATCAAAGCTGAAATGACCGGTTCTAGAATCGACATTCAGGACCACGGATAGTGCTTCTGATGCAGAGGCAACTCCATCATCATTAATTGTCCCAAGTAAAAGAAAGAGCATCGGTTGCTTACCATTATACAAGCCATTGACCATTGTAAGCTTCTCATAGTGGAAATTGGCTTCCAATATTATGTTTGAATTCAGCAGTACTTCATTGACTCTATTATCCATTGCTCATGTTCCTTTAGATGAGGTTGATTAAATTTAATATTCAATCTTTTTGTTTCAAATACGCTCTTGACAACTGTTTTAGAATATCCAATATTGTGGATTTCACTATTATAGAGTGTTTGCGATTCAGGCAAAAATAAGTTGGTTCTTCTGATTTTTATTCAAGAAAGGGAAAAAAATGAGGTTGAATTTCAAAACTATCTACATGGATTTATGAAAAATTATATAGGTACAAAAAGTACAGAATGTTTGTTACAGGATAGACCTAGCCCAATTGTGATTGGAATGGCAATTGTTCGTCCCAAAAATGGGCTAATGTCTCTTGTATTATATCTTATGCAACTTTAATGGCATGATTAAAACTCAGTTTTAAAGTAAATCAACGGTCTACCAGTTAGAGAAAATAGGGCCACAATGTTGAAACATAAAAATTATGAATATGAAACATCAATCTTCTAGGTCATTGTTCTTTGATGCGATTTATTGTCTAAACTATCACAGCGCCATGGTCTATCACAGCAGCTTGTTCTTCTGTTGGTTCGTAACAGTACCATTTAAGTAATGCATCTGATGCAGCTCTGGCCTTGGCTTCCTTCAATGAAGATCCATAACCTTCGCCGAGTTTTTCCTCGCCAGAGAATACACCAACAATAAATACAGGAGCTTTACTCAATCTACCTGACTCGGCTATCAGTTTCGAGACTGGTAAGTCTAAGTTCTCTCTACGGCACAGGACAGCGAGTTCTCTTGTTGGGTTTTCAAATTGGAATATCTTTGTGACATCAAGCTTTCTTGACAATATATGGTCTTTGATGAAATGGATGGCACTATCGGGCTTGGCCGTGTTCTGAGTTGAAGCCCACAGGGCAGCTATGATGCTTCTCACGGCCAATGCATATGCAGCTTCCTCTGAGAAGTTTTTAGAAGTAATCAGTTGTAAGCCATCCTCCCTTTTCAATGTGTTGTTAAAGAATCGTAGTTTGCCTAAAGTGATTTCGTATGGCTCATTGGCGAGGTATCTATTCACCACAGGGCTGTCCTCGCTCTCGATACCCCAGGATTTACCGATAGAAGCAAGCACACGCTGAGACAAATACGAGTCAACGGCAGCATTCAACACCACCACAGGTAACCTCGGATATCTCTTGACCAAGTACTGCGTAACGTGGTATGTCAACAGATTCTTACCAAAGATGTTCAGTCCGTGATTATCCAGCTTCTTGCTTGCCGGTACCACATTGGCCGTGCCTGCCAAGTACCTCGCAGAAGCCTCAGTAACAAACGGGTTCTTAATCTTTGCAGGCAGATCGGAAGTTCTGCATGTGAGACACCTTGCCAGCGTAGAGTAAGTGAATTCACGGGGTAGACCTAGTCTCCTGTGTAGCGCCACCAAAGATGGTGACCTCTGTGCTACCTCCTCAGGAACTTTCCCAATGACATCCTTCAACCCGAGGTAGTAACTTCGATACTGATCCAGCTCAGCGGTATCTACAGCCTGCTGCAACCTCCCAAACGTCGCAAACCCTCTAAATGTAATGGGCCTAGTCACCCTACACAGCATCATTATTGTATTTGGGGTTCTTGAACTGCTTCCTCTGCTACTAAATGTTCATTCTTAATGTAACAAAAGCTCACACTACTATACCAAGTTGGTCCTAGAAGCTTTTTTCACTCCTTCAATGAAGAGCCCATCTTGAGTCGACACTGAACATTGTCTCTAAGTATGTCGTCATTTATGATATATGCTGATCTTTCATGTATGCACTTTACATTTTTAATGTTCGTCAATTACCATGGGCGTGTGGCGTAGTTGGTAGCGCGCTCCCTTAGCATGGGAGAGGTCTTGGGTTCGATTCCCAACTCGTCCAGTATTTTTTTTTGGTTTTATATTTTGGGTTGGATAATAGGTTCCTTCTGTTCGTTTCCTTGCCAGTTTCCTTGCCAGTTTCCAACAAAAATTACAACAATAGTCCCAGAACAGGGTCTGCTACTTTGAAACATAGTAACAGTGGATTTGAAAATACTGTGTCTTGTGTATATATATCTTATGAGGAGTATAGTCGCTCCTTTGCAACTGCCCCATACCAGCTACCAATCTGGAAGGAAATGGTCGGTATCAGGTTTTTGTCACACACAAGGCAACGGTTGCCAACAATATACTCGATGGTGACACCGCGCGCCAAATCGGCCGTCTCTGTGATCAGGGTCTCTGGAGACAAGGCACAGTATGTGTATAGGAAACTTACGAGACGTGACGACGTGCCGCGAAGCAGGCAGGCCTGTTTGCGTGGGTTGTACAACGGGGACAACGAGCTGATAGACCGGGCGTTGGTGCTATACTTCAAGTCGCCGGGTTCTTTCACTGGGGAAGATGTGGTTGAGTTTCAAGTGCATGGTGGGAGAGCGGTCTCAGAGAGTGTGTTAAGTGCCATTGGGTCATTGAATAATAGAGATCAGGACGTGGAAATACGGATGGCTGATAGAGGTGAGTTCTCTCGCAGATCGTTCCTCAATGGCAAAGCAGATCTGACTGGCTTGGAAGGTATCAACACATTGATTAATGCCGATACGGAGGCGCAACGCAGAGCTGCCATGGGCTCCTTCACAGGTAAGAATAAAGCATTGTTTAACCGCTGGCGGGATATAGCCATTCAAAACTCAGCCCAACTCACTGCCATCATTGACTTCTCCGAAGATTCTGATTTTGCTGATGAGTATACAGCTGTTATGGCGGAGGTCCGGCAAGAGTTGATGGGGCTAAGAACCGAGATAGGCAATTTTATTGCCAGAGTCACTAAGGCATCAATTGTGGAAAATGGTATTAATATGACATTGCTCGGCGCACCTAATGTGGGGAAGTCGTCTCTGCTGAACCAAATAGCAAGCGATGATATCTCTATTGTGAGTGATATACCAGGTACTACGAGAGACATAGTATCTTCAATTGTAAATATTAACGGATACAAGGTCAATCTATTTGACACTGCGGGCATACGAGTGGACACAACAGATCCAATCGAGAAAATGGGCATAGAAAAGGCATTCAAAAGAATTGGTTCTAGCGATATTTGCATCTGTGTTATAGACGGGACCCAACCTCTACCCTTAAATGTATTAGATCTGCTCAAATCGAGCGATTTGTCGGGGTCAGAGATAATATTTGTTGTTAACAAGATAGATATTGTGGATGATAGTTGCAAACTTAGTAAGATACAACAATATATTGGTAACAATCTGACTGGTTGCAAGATTTGTTTTGTATCTTGTTTGAAATCCACCGGGATAGATGAACTAGTGACTGTACTTACGGGAAAGTTCAAAACTTTGACTCAGAATGAAGAGAATGAGGATCCTATCATAGTTTCTGATAGAGTGAAAGAAATACTCGAGAAAGATGTGTTATATGGCATCGATCAGTTCCTACAAATACAGGATGATATGCACGATATAGTGATAGCAACTGAGCATTTGAGATATGTTATAGACGGTATCGGCAAGATAACCGGTGAAGTAATAGGACTCGAAGAAGTGCTTGACGTCGTATTTTCTAAGTTCTGTGTCGGAAAATGAGTGTGTAAGCAGACTATGTTTAAATTGTTATTACTTTTATTTAGAGTTGAGATAAAAGCTTTTCTTATGTAAACATTCTAATAATTTTTTTGGTATAAGTAGTCGTTATGTAAGCATATTTTATGTTAAAAAGAAGTTGGATCATTAATGAATATTCATGACAGAGATCTATAGAGGGGAAGTTGACATTTAGAAACCCAGTGATTTGAGTATAGACAACTTGACTTGTTTTTCGAACTCTGCTCTGTTATCCCTCCACAAAATGCAGGCATCAATATTGGCACCACTCTCAATGTTAGGTTCACTCAGCATACTCATCACGCTCAACAGGATCTTTTCCACACTCTGCACTGGAGACCATCTCTCCTCTGCAGACTCATACATATTGGGATCATCACCTGGGGAGTGCAGGATCGATATGCACACTTCACCATTCGGGTAGATATTAGGGTGTAGAATACTAGGCGTGAAGGTCAACTTCGGTGGAGATAGCGGGTAGTCCTTAGGAAACTCCAACTGCGCATTGAATACACCGCCAGCATAAGGTGTATCTGGAGGGCCCTGTATCAAACAGTCCCACACAAACAGATTGTCGTCGGACTTGGGTCCTGCGACTATCCCCGGTGGAGAGTCCTTGATCAACTGTTGTAACTCCTTGTAAAGTCTCTTCTGAGCAGTCTTTGACATATCTATAATGCAGCTACACGCTAGTCCAGTCTGTATAGTTTGTAAATCCTGTTCTTTATTGATGTACAACGTCAATTACACCTGTCGATCCTTTTTGAAATGTTAATTATAGGGCAGGGCAAATTACGTATTTCTATCAATTTTCATTTTTTTGGGTTTTGGCAGAATAGAAAGCAGTTGGGCTGCGATAAAAGCTACAACGAGCCAAGAAGGTATTCTCGAAAGATCAAAGAGTTGAGGTTTGTACTTGCAGCTGGGCGTTGATCAAAGGTGGGAGTTAGGATCTGTTCTTGAGCCTGAGTTAATGTGGTAGAATAGCAGGACGCTTAACGATGATCATATTCAAGAACGATAAGTATGCGTGCGTGAAGTGCATACGTGGACACAGGTCCTCGCTGTGTGTACACACAGGCAGGATGCTTGTTAAAGTGAGGAACCGTGGTCGGAAGAAAGGTATTGATGTTAGAGATGCGATAGTTGTTGGGGATATTCATCGTAAGAGGAGTTGTGAGTGTGCTAGTGGGCATGCTGGCGATGATAGCAAGCAGTATGGTGCTCCTAATGCGGATGTTAGTCGCCCACATGAGTCAGGTTTGAATAGTACATGTGTTGGTATGAATAAGCAGCCGATTTTATTTGTTAGAGCTAAGAAAGTCTTGAAGGCACAACTTATCGGAGGTGAGTTGAAGGAGATGAGTGAGGTTGATATGTCTCGATTAGAGGTTGATACTTCCGATGACGAGACTGTAGCCACTACCACCACAGTACCAAAAGTAGAAATATTAGATAATAATGTACTTAATGTCACGCAAGGTAATATCGATGATGATATGGTTCTGGTTGATGATACAAAGAATTTTGCAGGGGCATCCATCGGTGAGCTAATAGATGAGCAATTGAGTTCGATAAACGTAGAGCCTACGGGCTCGCATTGCTGTGGTTCACAACCACACGGTATCGATCCCATGAAGACTACGACGGTGACTGCAGCAGCAACAGAGACAGAAAAGTATCCATTCTTCCAGTTGCTCACTAAGCGTGGTGTCTATCTGAGCACACAATGTTCTTGCTCCGCAGCTAACTGTGCATGCAGCAACTGTCTGATACATAGGACTGAAGAAGAGATCAATAATTATATTGAGGCTAGTGGGGTACCGTTGACCAATTTAGATAGCTCCACGAGTCTTCAAGCTACGCCGGAGATAGAGAGCCCTAGACCTTCATGCATGTGCAAACCTGAAGAGTGTACGTGTGATGGTTGTGATATACATACGATAGAAGTTGTACCGTTCCAGAGGATAGTTATACATGGTTTAATAAACACAAGACTCACAAAGAAAACTCTAATACAATATAGGAAGAAGTTGATAGGTCAGAAGTATTGGTGGGATTATTGTATGGTGTATATACCGTGTCTACGGTGTAACAATTTTGATGGGTTAGATATCGTTGGATTTTTTGATAATATTATTAAGGAGCATGGTCATGAGCTTGAAGATGCGAAGGAAAAAGTGGATGCAGGTTCAATACAGAACTTGACTAGTCAAGCTGAGAATTTTATAATGAATATGAACAACAGCATTGACAATGGTGTATCTAGCAATACCACGAACAATATGAACAACATTAATGATACACGATTACAATCACACTATGCAAATCTAGTTAAGACGGAGGGAACAATTTCTCCGATGTTCATGTAGTTTGGAATGGGTGAGTAAAGAATTTGACTCTGATGTGAGTATTGGGGAGGAAGTAGACTTTGTAAATAATGGAAAGAGTTGTAAGACTAAACTCATTTCTTCTCCAAGGACAGTATTTTTCACGATGTTTTAATAAGCTTAATTTTCTGATCTTTATATGTGGCCAAGGTAATTTTCATATGATTATATATTTTATAGTATTTAAAGTTCTTTTTTTGTTAATAAATATTCCGACCAAAAATAGCACGCAACGCCATTGTGCATATTTTAAATACAGAAAAAGGAATACGTACAAGAGATCATTTCATTTGCTTTAGAATGTAGTTTGCTTCTCTTTCACCACTTTCCCAAGCACCATAGGCACACCCAGCACCATCTAGAATCGTGTGCTCACCAGCGAACCTCACCCGAGAGCTTTGTCCATTACTCATGGCCAAAAACATGTCTAGGGCGTCATCACCTGCATAACAAGCAGAATAAGCACCTTTAGAGTACGGATCATTGGTCCAGTCCGTGACTATCACGTTACGTAGGATAGGACCCTTGTCCGAAACGTTGGCGTCATCACCAGCGACACCACCAGCGATATCAAGACCATTGATTATATGACCAGGTGCGTTACATACACTCATAATCTGTGACAACACCGGTTTGAAGAACTCGTATACTTGGTGAGAGTCATGCAGAGACTCGATATAGTGAGTCAGCGGTGGTGCCATCAACATCATCAAGGATGGAACGCCGGTGGTCTTGGCCATGTTCACAAACAGCAGCGGCTGGTTCCAGCAGTCGTGCCTGACGGCATCATCACCCAAAAGCTGCTTAACATCCTGCACGAGAGCCTGCAACCGCTGAGCCGTGTAGTTCTTCTCTCTGCTCTCCTTTCTGAGCAATGCGGTAAATTCGGCCCGGGTGTCGGCTGCTGCGTGTGCCACGGCAACGATCTTCGCAGTGTGCAGATCCCAGCAGCACTCCTCGAACTCGAACACTACTTTCCCCAAGGAGCCGAAGTGCATCTTCTGCAAAGCGGCAGAGATCTGAGGCACCAGCGGCGGCTTAAACTCCACTGCTCCTTCGCTCAGAAGACTCTGGGGAATTGTTACTATCACGTAACTGCACTGCACGGTGTGCTGCTGTCCTGCAGCTCCGTGTTGGCCGTGTTGTGTGTCTTCTGCGCCGCTGGCGCTGGAAGTGGTGTAAGATACTGTGGTGTGTGCTCCTGCATTCTCGATCTTGGTTACAGTTGAGTTTAATTGCACTGTGCCAAGCTCCGTGCGGATCTGCCCGTGTATTCTGTTGTATATGGTGTCATAGTTCATGACAAATGCATTCCGGCCTTGGTGGCCGAAGAAACTGTCGCGGCTGCTCAGTTGGTACCAGGACACGCCGTGCCACAGCTCCATGTAACGCGCATACTGTATGCCGTACCACATCTGGTCGTCGGTGAGAAATGGCGCACGTTGCTGCAGGTACATGAGTAGCATGTCGAACAGCGGCATATCCGCCCGCGGGAACCCCTCGTGGGAGTGTTGTGAGTCATTATCGTCACTGAGCTCTGCAGTGTACTCAGAGTGGAAGTACAGTTCGATGAACTTCTCTATTTCGTCCGCAATTAGTCTTATCGTTACGTCGCCAAGGGATCCGCGGATCTTGTCCACAATCAACGGATCGTCATCGTCGAACACAAATGGTGCATACACACCTGCACTGTTGCCTCCGGTGCTTGCAGAGCTTGCAGAGCTTGCAGAGCTTGCAGAGCAGTGAGTTGCTCCACCGCTAAACATCTGCGGAGTACTGTCGGCACCGTCCACAGCGGCTAGCTGCACTTCCTCCGCAAAGAGACGGTTCGTGAGCGTGTCGTGGTGCCAGGACGCGCCCAGATCATACCGGGCGCCGTTGTACCCAGTAACGGTACAGAGTCTGCCTCCAATACGGTCCCGTGACTCAATTACCAGGCAACTCTTACCACTCTGTGTCAGCACTGAAGCTGCTTTCAAACCGGCAATACCAGCACCTACCACCACCACGTCATATGTCCTATCCATTCTTATATAAACTTTCTTTTATATTTGGTGCCTTTTTTTACAAATGATTTCACCCTTCCAGTTGATGGGTGGCGGGTGTATATTCCCTTCGTTGCCTCTTAATTTGTTCTCGATGTTCGATGGCAGTTATATAACGATAAGAAAAATAAGCCTCCTTCCTTGCACTGCTCTGATTGCTCGTTCAAATAAACGCGGAACAGTAGTCTCGCACATTGGTCTCCGCAGAATAGAATAACTTTCTTTTTTTTCTCACTGTTTGGGTTTCCACCTTCCCTCCATTTAGTTTTGCCTCGATCCGTTGTTCACAACTCGGTGGATCGCTTACCAAGAATTCCTTGCATATTCTATTTAGGAGAGAGAGAGAGTTCGTAACTTCTCCCAACCCAGCCTGCACTGTTGTCTTAGTGATTTCTTTCCCCTGTGGGCCTGTTTCTTCCCCTTGTAATTAGATTCGGTGGTAAAAGATTAATTTCCTGTTTAATTTAATTTTCTTTGTGATTCTTTCCGTTTGACACATTTTTCCCTTGTCCTATTTTTCCACAGAAACACACGTACAATGGGAAGATGGTTTGTCCCTTATACCCTCCCCCTTTGGTGGTATCGTTATGTTAACCCACAATGATTCTTTTTGCTGTAAATTGTTTTCTTACCCGCTACGTATCTGCACCGCACTCTAACTTGCGTCCCCTTACAACAACATAAGGTGATACCACTACACAGAACTGTCCCCAGAGAAGGTAAAGCGGTGATCGCCCATCGTTCTCCGATTTGCTTGGCACATGAAGAACTTCCATGCATTTGGCAGGCAAGATCCCTCCTGCATCGCGTTGCAGCTACAAAACCCCCAGCCGCACTCCCTCTCCTCTATGAAACCACTGCAGGCCATCTACCGCCATCGCACTCCCCTTACTCCCCTCAGTGTAATCGAGTAGAGTCCCCCCCCCCCATTGAAACGTGCTTCCTAGAGGTACCAGAAGAACACCAGTACCCACAACCCCATACACACATACACACAAGAACAACCGCACCGCCTATAAATAGACTTGTATCTTCTCACAGGCACCGAACACACAGAGCCTGGCGTAGTGTGCATAGTCTCGGACGCAAGACGCAAGACACAGGATGCAAGACGCAAGACGCAGGACGCAGGACGCAGGGCGCACCAAGCTTATAATACACAAGAACTGGACAAAATGGGACAAACGGTTAACGACTAACGTCCAACGGACAACAGACAACGGCTAAAATTCCAGGGACAAATGCTAATGCCCCGGAAGTGGGAGTATAGAATCAGATGAGCAGGACAAAAAAAAAGAAAGAAAACCCTCGAATGGATAAGCAATGGCCCCATTGTGAGATGAGCCTTGTGAGCAGAGAGGATTAGATCAGCTGTTTATCTTGCATTGCATACTGCTTATCGCCATACTTGGGTGCTCTTCCATCAAAGGTACTACTTCTCCACTTCTAAAGAGATAAAGAATAAAAAATTATATATATGTAGCTTGTTTTCGTTGGTGGGAGCAGGGAGTTACTGGTTAATGAGCGTAGACTTGAACTGAAAAGAAAATGTGCGATGTCTGAAAGAGAATTGCCTGGATACACATACTTACCCCCACCAAGGCTGTCATACCAGCCTTCTATAGCTCTAGTACCTGGAGTCATGCAGGTGCGTCCTCCTGCTAGTCCTGCCAGTCCCGTTGGTACTGGTGCTGGCACTCCAGGTGCTGCTGGTACTACTGGTATTACTGGTATTTCTAGTACTACTGGTACTACTGGTACTGGCGGTACTGCGCTCGGTACCGTGCCCACTAGTGCACTTACCAATAACAACAACAACAACAACAGCAGCAGCAGCGGCAATGCGTACATGACGTCTGCACTTGCGTCCTGGAACCAGTACCAGTACCCGTGGTTGCAACACCCGCTGCTGAGCCGCGTGATAACCACGTACTGGGAGGACGAGCACACGATATGCCACGGAGTGAACCACAACGGAGTTACTGTTGTGAGGCGTGCGGACAACGACATGGTCAACGGCACGAAGCTGCTGAATGTCACTGGGATGACCCGTGGCAGACGGGATGGTATTCTTAAGAATGAGCCTGTGCGTGATGTAGTGAAGGGCGGTCCTATGACGCTGAAGGGTGTGTGGATACCAATAGACCGGGCCCGCGCCATCGCGAGACAGGAAGGCATAGAGCAATGGCTGTACCCATTGTTCATCGACGACCTGCACCAGGCCATCACGTTGTTGAGACAGCAGGTGCAGCCCCAGGTCCAAATGCCCGCCCCACAGCTGCCCGTCCAGTCACAACAACTCATCCCCCAAATACATCACCACATGTAACTTAATATTCGTAATGAATCGCTATGTACCATTGTATAACATAATGAATTGTTCAAAAACATAATATAATATAGTGTAGTATAGCACAAGAAAATATATTACAATATAATATAGTACAATATAGCACAGTATAGTATAGTACAATATAATATAGTACAATATAGTACAGTATAGTATAGTACAGTATAGTATAGTACAATATAGTATAGTATAGTATAGTACAATATAGTATAGTACAATATAGTATAGTATAGTATAGTACAATATAATATAGTACAATATAGTACAGTATAGTATAGTACAGTATAGTATAGTACAATATAGTATAGTATAGTATAGTACAATATAGTATAGTACAATATAGTATAGTATAGTATAGTACAATATAGTATATTACAATATAATATATTACAATATAATATAGCACAATATAGTATAGCACAATATAATATAGCACAATATAATATAGCACAATATAGTATAGCACAATATAATATAGCACAATATAATATAGCACAATATAGTATAGCACAATATAATATAGCACAATATAGTATAGCACAATATAGTATAGCACAATATAATATAGCACAATATAGTATAGCACAATATAATATAGCACAATATAGTATAGGGATTTGGCATGGGCTTGACTACCGTATCGGGGATTAGAGTCACATGACGTATTCACACACGGACCACGGAAAACCCGATGCGTCCATCGCTACTTGAGCAGAAACACAGATAATCCCGCAGACCAGCAAGCAGCTCTCTCTTCGCAAGTTTTATCGCTGTTAAGCTGCAGGGAGGGCGAGTCTCAGTGTCTTTTCTCTCTTGTCTCCGCGGATTTCTGAGAGAGAGGAAGTAGCTTACTGGCTTCTGCTAAACGAGCGATTGTTCGTCCTCGTAATCTCGTAATCTCGTAATGCGGTTCTTCCGGTGAACCCGGTCGCTAACGCAAATTTTCTGAATAATATAAATACGGCTAGTGCAATTGGGATACCCGATTCCCTTCTCTTACAGGAAAAGCAAACTTCACCCCCAACAAAACAACAAAGACATTTCACAAATGGCTTCTGTAGTAGATCAGGTGCATATGAGCATGAATGCCACTGCGCATGCAGCTGGCGCTGCAAGCGCAGGCGCTGTCATGGCTGCCCCATCGCTTCTAGACAAGTTGCAAGGCATGTCCTACTTGCAAATGTTTGTTACATTGATTTGTGGTGTGCTGGTGTGGGACCAGGTCTCCTACCAGATGAAGAAAGGTAACATCGCTGGTCCTCGTTTCAAAGTCTACCCTATCATCGGTCCTTTCTTGGAGTCCCTAGACCCCAAGTTCGAAGAGTACAAGGCCAAGTGGGACAGCGGTCCATTGTCCTGTGTCTCCATCTTCCACAAGTTCGTCATCATCGCCTCCACCAGAGACCTGGCTAGAAAAGTGTTGCAAGCTCCAAAGTACGTCAAGCCATGTGTTGTCGACGTGGCCGTCAAGATCCTGAGACCAAGCAACTGGGTGTTCCTGGACGGTAAAGCCCACACCGACTATAGAAAGTCCCTGAACGGTTTGTTCACTAAGACCGCCTTGGCCCAGTACTTGCCTCCTTTGGAAGAATTGATGGACAAGTACATCGAGAAGTTCGTCGAATTGTCCAAGGAAAACAACTACGAGCCACAGATCTTCTTCCATGAAATGAGAGAGATCCTGTGTGCTTTGTCCCTAAGATCCTTCTGTGGTGACTACATCAGCGAGGACCAGATCAGAAAGATCGCTGACGACTACTACTTGGTCACCGCCGCTTTGGAATTGGTCAACTTCCCAATCATCCTGCCTTTCACCAAGACCTGGTACGGTAAGAGAACTGCAGACATGGCTATGAAGATTTTCGAGTCCTGTGCCCAAAGAGCTAAGGACCACATCGCCGCCGGTGGTAAGCCAATCTGTGTTATGGACAACTGGTGTAAATTGATGCACGATGCTAAGAACCGTACCGACGATGACTCTAGACTACTGCACAGAGAATTCACTAACAGAGAAATCTCCGAGGCCGTCTTCACTTTCTTGTTCGCTTCTCAAGATGCTTCCTCTTCTTTGGCTTGTTGGTTGTTCCAAATCGTCGCTGACAGACCAGATGTCTTGGCTAAGATCAGAGAAGAACAATTGCGTGTCCGTGAAGGTGACATTAACAAAAGATTGGACATTGACTTGGTAGACAAGATGGAATACACTCACATGGTCGTTAAGGAAACTTTGCGTTACAGACCTCCAGTCTTGATGGTCCCATATGTCGTCAAGAACAAGTTCCCAGTTGTACCAGACTACCAAGCTCCAAAGGGTTCCATGCTTATCGCCACTTTGTACCCAGCCCTACACGACCCAGAAGTTTATGAAAACCCAGATGATTTTATCCCAGAAAGATGGGTCGAAGGTTCTCCAGCTAACGAAGCTAAGAAGAACTGGTTGGTCTTCGGCTGTGGTCCACACGTTTGTCTAGGTCAAACCTATGTCATGATTACCATGACTGCTTTGATCGGTAAGTTCGCTCTATTCACTGACTTCAAGCACAAGGTCACTCCATTGAGTGAAAAGATTAAAGTCTTCGCTACTATCTTCCCTAAGGATGATCTATTGCTAAGCTTCAAGAAGAGGGATCCAGTTACTGGAGAAATCAAGGAATAAATCTAAACATTTTTGCTTGGTATATGTGGGACTGTAGTCTTCACTTATTTCCGTCAAAATTTCTTATGATATTGAAATTTTACCTGAAAATATTGAAAAAAAAAAAAAAAAGACAAAAAAAAGCTTCATTCCTATTGCAAATCTTTCCCAGTTACATTACTTATTATGATATTATAGTATCTCAAATTCTTCTTCTCATGAATTTACGATCTTTGTAACTGATCTGGGTCATGTATTTGTATTGATGGTCTCTATTGATTTGTATTTTCTTATTTTATATTATGTTAGTTTTCTATAGAGTATTTATTCTTAAATGACAATTTTATGTGGTTGAAACGGAACTGTGTTTGTGATATAATAGTGGTTAAATTTCTTGCAGAAATATAGGCTTGAAGACTTGTTCAGATGCAGTTTAATTGATAAATTCCAATACTATATTTATACAATACTTATCATAACAAACTTATAAAGCGACTATCAGTCAAATGTGATCTTCTTACCAGCAAATTTAGCATTTTTCTCTTTATCCTCAGCCATCTTCTTTGCAACCCAGGAAGGATGATCTTCAATTTTCTCAAGCTTCTTTCTATGCTCTTCTTTCTCCCTTTTAATTTCAGCTTTCTTGGCTTGATATTCTTCGTTTTGCTCGGCTCTAGCAGCTCTCTTTGCAACACGTTCTTCGTATTCGGCTTGCCTTTTCCTCTTTTTCTCCATTTCCTTTTCAATTTCCCTTTGGACATGCTTAGCTTTGGAACCATACTTTTGTTCCCATATCTTTCTTCTAGCTCTTTGACCTCTTCTATTCTTCTTTTGAGGTTTGATTTCAATTTGCTCCTTAGCAATATCGTCAACCTCTATCTCTTCATCACTACCTCCACTGACGTAGCCAACCATAAGTTCTGGTAATTTTGCCTTTTCTTTCTTCTTCAGTTTAGGCACTGGTTCTTGCTTTCCAATACGTTCTGAAGTTTCATCTTCTGAAGCAGAAGATTTCGCAGAATCTTCCTCTTCATCACTTTCATCATCTGAACCGACAAGCATTCCGTCATATTGCTTCAGTAGCTCATCCTCATCAATATTTTCATTATACCTTGGATCATCATTGTCTGAATAACCAAAATCATCACCAGAAGCATCTTCATTCTCTTCTTCGTGTTGTTTTGAAGATGTTTTAGTAGATTTTTTCTTCTCTTGTTGTTTTTGTAGTCTTTTCTGTTTGTTGATATTCAAAAATAAATCTAGACTATCGTCGAATTGATCCATCATCTGTTTGTATTTCTTTCCATTCATGACACGACTAATTAGTGCATCGCATGATTTTATCTTAGTAACATCCTCATTCCATACCTTACTTGGGTTATATTTATTATTCTTGTCTGTCCACATCTTTACGTATTCATGGTCAGCAGCCCATTTAGGAATTCTTTTGTCAGATACCTCTTCGTTTGCACTTGCGATGTTAGCCGATGACTTTTGAAGTTTCGATATTATAAATTTGATTGCTTTCGACTTTGTCACAATTTCACAGAAGTCATGCAAACCTGCATCTCCAGCACCATATTTGGCTTCAACTGCTTCTAGCACTGGTTGAAATACTGATTTATCATTGCTAACAATGCTCTTTATAGTCTTGAAAAGATAATTATTGACATGCTTCTCCACATTGTGTATTTTACGATTCAATATCTCTACTCTGACTTCTTTCAAATCTGAACGAACCTTTTCTTTATCAGAAGATTCCAAAATCTTTGTTACTTTCTTATTATTCTTCTTACCTTTTGCGTTGAAAAACCTTTGGGTAAATGGGAATCTCGGTTCAAATTTTTCATGTGTCTCTTGTAGGTAATGCCATTGGTATTCCAATCTATCTAATTTCAGTAACAGATTCTCTTTAGACATCTCTTGCCGATTTTAAGTCTAGGTATCTCTTCGGTTGCTGGTACACAAATAAATTTCAAGTTGAGCTGAACTTTATTCTATCTATCGCTGTAACTTAACGGGAAGTTCCTAAGATATTGTCTTTTTATTGTACATATTGATATAGTAGAATTCTCAAATAATTAAAGAGTTTTAACAATACTGGATTCCAGTCGATGAGATCAACTTTTCTCGATGCTCTGCGAATTTTTTCAGAAATTTTTTTTTCATCTGAACGTTAGGCCAAATATGCGATGAGCCGTGTATAGTTATAAGAATATAAGGGCTATACAAATTTACCATGCATAGATTTTACACAAGATTACTTTCTGGAACTATTTTGTCAATTGTTGGAATCTTAAGACTCTGAATTCTGGTTAGGGCTTTTACTCATAGATACTACAACTACAAATTTTAAAGAATCAGACTGACGTGCAAATCGAATTTTTTGAGTTATTATCTTCAACGGTGTCCGTAGAAACCTCAGGAAGATATGTAAACCGTATGGTCATCATATTAGATATACTACAATGAGAAGAGACAATTGAATGCTCTCGGTTAATTGAGGATTTTTAATGATCCTGTTTCTAGCGTGATTGGACTCAACCACGCTGGCAATGAAATACTAGCTGTCCACTGACAGTCTTTAACAGCTTGGTTACTCATTGCGACCAATAAAATAATGAAAATCATAAAAAATGCACCACGGGGTATGATAATTGGTAACTATTCACTTAGTATTATTTTTTAAGAATCAGTTCCACGCCCTGTCACAGGCAGAATATCATCAAAGTTCTAAGATAAACAATCGAAGAACGCAGTTGACCGTCGTGATAATAAGTGGTAATCATCATAAACAAAATAAATAATACGGCGATGAAATGTAACCTCCACCGATATGGTGACATTTTTGATATAATATTTCATCGATAGAGATCTCTCTATCTATGATATGGTCTCACCGAGTATAAAGTGCCAAGTTATTAGTATATCATCAACAGGAAATAGAAAAGTATAGTTAGTAGCATTACTTACATCAGACACATATTTCTCGTTTCAATCATAAAAGAATAAATTCTTATCAGACATATGCTTGTCTATAATTTGAGTAAATGGTTTCATCTTCTGTAAGTGCTACCATAACAGAATTTGGATGTAACTATTTTAATGATGTGCCACTATTTAGTAGTAGAAACTACGCTCACATTTGGCATACAAGAGCAAAAATGGTTACAGGATCATCTACTGATGATTACCTGAAGGTCTCCCCATTATCTTTATCAAAATGAAGTTCTTGCTTTACAGCTTATACTGACTGCTTAGCATTTTTCTTGTTGTACTCAGAAATGCATGAATGGTATAATTTATAGATGTGTCTTCATAATAAAAAACTATTCAGACTCGTCATCTAAAAGGGTTCATCATAGAAAAACTGATGCTCATTTCAAAAGTATACAGGAGAAACCTTATACCAAGTAGTTTTGACTCTTTGTTACCGTAAATGTGGCAATTTCTACCATTTAAAAATGGCAAACTAAAACAAATTACATCTCAAACAGTCCAAATGTTATAGTTATTAAAATCAGTTAGTGCCGTGAGTATCATTAACAAAGATATGTTACGGATCAGTTGCGTAGGTTTTCTAGGCCTACTAAAAGCATTGTCACTCATATGCAAAATAATTCCATTTGTGGAAATTAAAATTCAGTGCCCAGTGCTGTGAATCGTCATATCCATAAACATACATATCTGATTATCACAAAAAGTATTGCTTTACCATTTAGTTCACTGACTAGTGAAAAATTAATATCAAGAAATTTGACTAGATGATAATGCAACAGTGAATGGCTCAGATAATAAAAGGGGAATAGATAAAAAGAAATGCCGCTTCAAGGTAAAACTGTCTTTTTCAAAATTTAATATTTTAGTACAATTCATATTTTTGAAAAATTGTTCTAAATGAAATTAAAGTCAGGTTTAGTTGTTGTGCCAAAAACTTTATCAACATGTAGTCGTTCAGCCAGTAATTCCAGCTTTTGTTTTTGATTGAATCATCATAAAAGTAATTTCATTCGAACAGAATCTAAAAATATGATTGCAAAAATACGGAAAAAAGTCAGGTCTTCCTCATTCGACAAAAGGTGTGTGCTTTCATGAATTTCCTAGCTTAATTTGGAAAAGAAAACTATAATGCAAATATTAAACAAGTCATATGCAGTACACCTGTACTATGATATAATTTCTTGTGGATGCTAAAGTTCAATAAACAAAATTCCAAGTGTTCCTCAGTAAGATATGTCCTAATCACTAACAATTCTACTAAATGATTGTTCAGAAACTCTAGTTTGTATTGTTTATCAAGAGTCATCAACGAAACACTCATAAATCATTCTTAATGATTAAGTAATTGAAAAATGTTCTGTCTTTATCAAAACCAATCACACATTCATATCCTTGTTAAACATTTGCATAAATAATATCATAGAAGATATCCCATAAATATTTGCTAGTTTTTCCTTTCCCATTGAAAATCCAGTAAAAGAAACGTTATCAAGTTACCAGTACTTAATGAAAGAGCTGCTGCTCGTTAAAGTACATTCAGTAACATTGAAATTGCATCTATAAACACAAACCTTTACCTATCCTCCTTTTCTACAGGAAACGGTTATTAAAGGTAAACTATGGTAAGATTAGAATCTAAAGTTAGAAATGAGTAACTTCAGTCGCTTTTTATACTTTTCCAGAGAAAATTGGTGAAAATTGATTTGAAAAAAAATTTTCCACACTACGTGTACTATGACAGTTAGGTCTTTCCCAATATGGACTCGAATGCCTAGCGATGAGCTTGGAGCCAAACAATAGTATTATGCGATGGTTGTGTATTTACTGAACGGTTGGGTTGTTGGAAACCACATAAGTTTTGTGATCGTGAGGTCATGCTGTTTAATTGTGAGAGGTACGAAAAGGGAGGAGAGAATAACATAGGCTAATGACTACTACTACGATTGTGAATGTAGAGAAGTCCGGCGTTAAGTTGCGGCGAAGTAAACATGGGCCGAGAAAAGGTATGGAGGTTATCCCGCAATTATGGCAGCTTGTGATGCTTTCGGTTCCATTTATGTACTGCTATGATAATGTCATGGAGTTATTATGCAGTTCGGTTGTGGTGCAAATGGTAATAGTGGTTCACTTAGTATGCTTTGTGCTCCGGAGGAAGCTGTTTGATGATTTCTACCGTATATACTTGCCATTCTTGGTGTCCTTCACGTTCTGTGATAGAACTTTAACTGAACTGAATATGATTATGTCTACAACAGCAGTTATTCCTTCGAATTATACCCCAATTCATTTAGTGGGACTTATTTTCCAAGCTGGTCTGATGAAAATAGGTATGCATAACTATGATTATATTAGCGGAGTTAAATGCCTTGTTGCCAATTATCTGCTTGTGAATTGGTTGGAAGATATTGGTCAATTGAAAACTTTGGACCAAATTGATTGTAATCTATTTGGTATTCTCTTAACAGACTGTCTGATGATCAATAATGCAACAGCACCCAATTATCTATTGGTGCTAAAAGGAGCAATGACGAGTGTTATGATAATTATTGTAGTGAATCACTTTTTGACACGATTAATACCTAGCTTATCCAACAGCATTGTGTTAGCCGGTAATTTTTTGGTACTTTTCCCAATTTTGGTTAATCATTTGATTGATTTCTCCAATGAGAAAATTACTTCGCCAGCGTTGTGGCTAATTGATTTTATTCTGGAGTCAGAAATAAGACAGTATATTATGCTTTCTTGGGTAATAGTACTGGTTGTATTTATTCCCTTGGTTATACTATTCAAGTCAAAGATATCCTTGAATACTTCAAGAAAGATCTGGCATTTTGTTATTTTTCTCTTAATTGTGGAACCATTTCACCTAGATCCAGAGTTTGTTAAAATTTCACTTTGTGGTATCATTCCATGTTTTCTGAGTGTAGAGTACCTTCGATACCTGAAAATAGAACCATATGGTGAGCACCTGGATTTTTTTTTGAGATCATTTGCTGATTACAGAGATCAACGAGGTCCTTTAATTGTATCTTACATATATCTGATTACTGGAATAACAATCCCCCTGTTGCTGTTTGAATCTCCGGTAGGATTGGTAAGTTTAGGTGTGGGTGACTCATTAGCTTCCATTGTAGGCAAAAAGGTAGGCCGCATGCATTGGAAGGGGACTAATAAAACGATAGAGGGTACAGTGGCCTTCATCGTAGGCACAACTTTCATAAGTTGGATACTTCAAAGATATTTTAATTACTTCAGCACAATTGATATATTTAAAATTCTTGTTATATGCACCACAGGAGGTGTTTTGGAGGGGAATAGTGAACTTAATGACAACATATTGATACCGCTTTTTATGGTATCAATGGAAAAACTTCTGGCACAGTCATGAATTATTATCTAACGTATATTGATAGACTTTGAGAAATGATCAAAACTGTAAATAATGTTATAGTCTTTTTTAATTATGAGATTTTTTTTATTTGTCACTCTCAGCATTGATTAACTTTGAGTTCATTAAATACATGAAGTTTGCTACAAAATGCTTAGGCATCAAATGTCATTAAAATATAAATGAAAGGTCAATTTGAATGCAATGGTATTAGTGAGGAATGAGATGGATCGCAATTAACACTTTCAAAAACAAAAACAGATATTGTATACAATGAGAAAAATCAACATTCTTGATCAGTTTATTTCTTATTCTTACCCTTTGATTTACTTTTCTTGGTAGTTTTAGAGCTCTTTCCATCCTCACCTTCAATGAATGATAAAAGTTCATCAACTGACTTATCAGCCAGATCTGGATTTGTTGTTTCCTTCTTATTGTGACCAGACTTTGATTTTTGTGGCTGTTGCTTTAGTCCACTGGCGGCAGTTTGATCTTGTTGTAGTTGCTTCTTTTGATTGACATCCTTAATTAAATTGGTCAAACCATCGACCCATTGTCTAGCTTGAGCTGTACTACCATGATTTGTACCCAATTCCTTTGTGAAAATACGCTCAGCTACCTTGATTTGATTCAAGGCATCACTGAATCTGTTATCAGCGGCCAACAAATTACCCAACTTGGATTTAATGTAAGCATATGGAAGAGATTCAGTACCATCTATTGAAACAAGGAAATCGCCCAGGGACTTCAGAACCTCGACAGCAAGTTTAGCATCCTGAACACCAAGTGAGAGTTGCTCTAGATAATTGAAAATGTTAGTGAAAATTGGGTGGTGAATCTTATCAAGTCCGTAACCAGAAACTGTTTGAATGATTCTTTGATAAATCAAGGCCACATTATATGGACTTTCATTAGCAAACTCTAATGTAGCTAGATTTGTAAGAGCTCTTAGCAATTCAAATGAGTCGACACCGCAAACCCTTTCGTAGATAGCACAAGATTTACGACAGAACGCGATGGCTTCAGCATTCAAACCAAGCTTATTATAGATAGTAGACAAGGTCAAATATTTTTCAGCCACAGATGAATGCAAAATGCTATTAACTTCTTCCTTAAAACCTATTGACTGAGCCAATAGTGTCAAGCCATCCTTTTGATTTTCATTGATTATCGAAGCACCTTGTGACCACAATTCTTCACTGATAGGAGATGAATAGTCAATTGCCTTAATTTTAGGAATAACTGTCAAATCAGATACTGAGAAAGTGGTTAAAGGAGCCACATACTTAGCTCTGGATTTCTTGTCCAAAGATTGTTTGTACTCTTCCAATTGCTCAGTCGAGAAAAAGTAATCTTTGTTCAGAAGTTGAACCCCAAACTTATTGCAGATGGATCTAATTAGAGTAAATGGGTACAGTTCGTGCTCAGCAAACCAATCGCCTTCTAATTCATAACGGTAACGAACGACAGCTTCTTGTTCAATTTCTTTCAATAGAGTATCATGGGTTAAGTTCTTGAATTCGTATTGATCAACTGGGTATAATGGATCCACTGATTCAACAGCAGGTGCAGGATTGTATGTAGTTCCGAAAAGTAGGTTAAACACAAATGAAATTAAAGCTGGAATAACAATAGGTGGTAGACTTCTGCTGTATTTTCTTAGGATATGTTTCAAAGAACGTGAAATAATTTCCAGCTCAGCTGTCTTGATAAGAGGCACTAATTCATCATATGACACAACCACTGGTTTTTCAGTAGAAGGCTTTTTGATTTCATTGTCATCAAGTTTCAAGTCCTCGGTAAGCTCCTTTGGAACTTCTTTGCCTTCTTGAACTAATTTGTTGATCTTAGCTTGCCTTTCCTTTATCATTGTTTCAATCTTTTGCAAGTATGATTTTTCCCATTCTTCATATTCTTTATTGTCAACAATAACTTGAGCTAGTTTAGCTTCATGAGCTTCCTCTTGTTTACGAAGTTCCTCTTTGACCAAATTGGCGAACTTACCAAGGTAACGCATGTTGACACCATTTTTGTGGAAAGTATCAGCTAGATGCTCACCATTGTAAGGAGAAATAATATTCCCATTCAAGTAATCTTGAACAACGTTTGGAATAATCTCTTCATTTAGATATTTTGAAATTTCCACGACAGTTTCATCTTCTACACCTGGAACTTGGTATGCGTCAGGATTGTAAGAGTACAAGTTCTCTTCATAAGCCTTGACTAATTCAACTTTATCATTCTCGATCTTGGTTGCCCACCATTTTTCAACAAGCTCTGGACGAATCAAAGTTTGACGATGTGGATATTTCTTAGATGCCTCCTTAACATCATCAAAGTTTTCCTTGGCAAATTCAACATCAAGTGGGTATGTGTTAGCCAAATCTAAGATGTAATGTCTCTTATCAGAACCAACAATACCCTTAGATTGACTGGAAAACACTAATTCAGTACCCTGAATGGTGTGTTTTTTCAAATGGAAAGACTTGGCAAACTGATCATTTAAGATTTCGTCAAATTCTTCATTAAATACAACTTTCTTTTCGTTCTCATCTAGACCATATTTCACACAAATATCACTAGACAGTTCAGATACAGTCTCTTCCTTGGTCTCCTCATTAGTTGTAATTTTCACACCCATTGGAGAAAGCAGACCTGGAACAGGAGTTTGCGCAAGAATTCTCTTACCGCCGAAGTCAACAATCGTGGTCAATAGATGATGAATATTTGGCAAGTTCAATCTCGTCAACATGTTCAACGTTCTTAAATCTTGATTAGCAGAAGCAATTGCAGCTTCATCACCACCTTTATCAGCATAAGTTTGATTTAGGTCACCAACAAAGGAGTAAAAAATGTTGTTCTTTAGGAAGATTTGTTCTTCCAATGGTGAGTCAGGGTTCATTGCTGTACCATTTCCATACAAAATATCCATAGCACCTTTTGTTGCATTGATTGTAAATTCATGAGTCAACTTAGCAAAAATTCTTTCACTTTCAATTCTAGCTTGCAGAGTATTGGTTGGGATTTCCTTTATAGATTGGAATTCATCGTTGAAATTACGTTCCGGCTCGAAGTTGAAAGAATCTATTTGCGTACGTAGATAATCTGGCCCATTTGTAGGGATTGCAGGAATCAACCATGGTTTGTTCAAAGTTGTACATGCTGGTCTTACGTAAGTAACAGATTCCAAATCATCAAACTTCTTTTCAAGACTTGAAATGTGTGTAACAAAATTTTTAGATGAAGAAGCCAATAAATCATACAAAGTGTAATGTACAGTATCAACATGGCCGTCATTTTCCTTAGGAGATGGATCAAACTTGCTGGTGGTTGACTTGTTGATGTAGAAACCGGATGGAATGGCAGTTACTTGTAAGCTTTCACCCTCTAAAGTAACAATTTGCAAGTAGAACAGGTGGCCTTTAGTTCTGTAAAAAGCTGGTACTGGATTGTATGGCGAGAAGTTGATAGAACGCAAACATGGTGTGACAACACTAGTGTCCGTATTCATGAGATCTTTTAATAGAACTTTCTTCTCCTTTTTTAATGTTTCGAATAAACCATGCACCATGTGATTGAATTCGACCTTTTCCTCATCAGTAACATTCATTGAAGTGGGTTTTTTGTTTTCAGTATCTTTGTCTTCATTTTCTGGAGACTTCTCCTTAATTTCTTTCAATGGCAATTTGTAGAACTTAGACCCAGTAGAAACAGCAACATTGGATAAACCATCTTCAGTTTCGCTGGCAAACCCAAAGAAATCTCTAGATGTTAATACATGCTTCAAAGCTTGGTATTGATTGTAAGGCTTCAATTCTAAAGCAACTTTGTATTCGTCTTTATCGCTGCACAGTTCTCTTAAAGTTTTCTCTTCAGAGCTTAGTAGTAAATCACCAGTTGAGTTCTTCAAGTTATAATTGGTAAAATACTTAGTTGCAGGAGCAATTGAAAGAAAATCTAAAACATTTTGCAACTTAGAGTCCTTTCTAAATTGTAAAGTAATTTCTTCAAGTTCCTTGGATTTCTTCTTTTTCCCTTGTTGGGGTTTCTTGGATAGTGTTGGTAAGGCTACAATCACCTTCACAATATCGCTTGGTTGTGACATTGTAGAATGTTAGGTGAGACCTTAGTGCTTTCTTCTATACCAAAATTTAGAGCAGTAACCACTTATTTATAGCGAACTGAAAAGTTAAACTGCTCGAAACAATGCTAGCTCAATTAAATATACTCGAGACAGTTACCATCCACCGGTCAACTTTTTCATCGACATTTTTTTTCAACGCACATTTCCCACTACATCAGTTTAACTGGGAGAAAAATCTTGAGTGCATGCTACAAGATGGAAAAACTCCCTGTCAATTTTCTTTCTCTTTCTTACTGAACGTCGTTACCATCGCTTTTTCGAAGAACGCCCAATAGTATTCGAACTATTTCCAACAAGGTAGTAAAGTGATATCCGCAAGCCGTACAAAGGACAGGGTTGTAGCCAGGCGATGGAATACTGTTAAAAGATTCTAGCAAAGCTGTAGATATCAAATCTATAGATCATTACCGAAGGATCCGAAAAGATAATCGTAGCATTAATGAAGTATTTTTTACCTTGACGTAAAAGATCTGTGTAAGACCCCACTTGTCCGAACTTCATCCTCAACATCGCATAATGCTTTGAAAAGCGAAATAACGGAGATATATGTAATAGAGCCATTTTAGAGGTGGACTATTTTAGTGTTAATATTAGTTTATGAGATAGTTTACCCTACCTGGCTAACACAAATAATTCGTTCATAGTTTATGCCAGAGAGTAAGTGAGTTAGAGAGGCGATATGTTCATTTTAGGTAGACAACTTTATAGAACGTAGTTGAGTGAAAATTGTTAGACATACGTTATCCACATATAACTAGAATGCAATACATTGCTTTATGGTGTGTTGACGTAACATGCTTTGTTATAAATCTGTAGTGCCTAAGGTTACAGTTTGATAGGGCACAGACAAATAAAAACATATTGGCAGGTTCGGAAATACTTTAAACGCCCAGCAACCCAGCAAGAAGTTATAATAGTTATAAACATTCGTTATTAATGATTTAATAAGGCTTCTATTGCTGGGAGATATGGGTGTTAGAGATATACAATAGAGAGCAAAACTGAATACTGATAAGAGGGTATATCTTCAGGTTACTGTATTTCAAGCCAAGTTATTATTTTGTGTTATCTATTGGTAGCAGCTTTTGCAATATAATATCTCTATGGCTATTTAAAGCATATCCGGCATCTGCAACCATAACTTTAAATAATATCAAGTTCACCGTAAAAAGAAAGTACGAACTACAGTCAAACATTTAAATAGTTTACTATATACATGAGGCTTAGGACGTTATAAGTAAATATTCTACAATATGCAGCAAACAAGTGCGTATAAAATAGGTTAAGCATGATACTTCTTGACCATTTTTGAGATTTTACGACTAAGTGATATGTTTGTTATGGTGATTCATTTTTTTTAGACAAAATCAATCCAATACTGCTTGTTATATTAAAAATCGCCAAATTTTTCTCTCAAAGCTCTCGTTATCCCATCCGCTGTTATATTTGGAGTTGTTGCAATTGTCATATAAGCTATTATGTCATTCTTATACTTCGATATTTCAGCACGCTTATTTGCTTGTTCCTCGAAACTTAATTTATCCGATAGTTCCATTACTGGCATGTCATCCAAAAGATCAGTAATCAGTCTTCTGATATCTAGTTCTCTCTCCACATTACTTATATTGCTCATATGACCCAACCATGCATAATATCTTTTGTATGTAATCAGAGGATTATCTCTATCGTAGTGAGATCTTATCTGATCTATCAGGCCAAAAACAGTTACCTGTTTGTGATGTGCTCCAAATTGCAAGTATGAATCACACAATTCTCTGACTTTGGCGCTAACAGTTTTTAACACCAATTGAATCATAGCATTATCAAAGTTTGAGATCACATGACGTTCATAAATATCAGTAATGCCCTCCTTATAGTAGGGTCCCGCTTTGTAAAACCGGTACCAGTACATATTTGTTAGGAGTATGATATCCTCAAAGCGTTCAATCCATATTTGGAAGTCTCCAACCTCACTAAGAATGAAAGTTTTGAACTCACATATTGCGGGGTTCCTAATCTCTTCAAAAATGGCGCTAGTATCTGATCCATCGATTTCAGCTACCCAAGGGTAAACAAGTTTCTTCTCCAAAGACATGATCAAATTAGGAGGAGTGGCCTGCCTTGGCTATGAAGTAGGTGTAAAGAAATAATTAATATATGCCCTAGTAACGCAGTGAACAACTTTTTGGAATTGCTTACACAAATTAACATTCGGACCATATTTTTTAGTAACAGAGCAGATAAACTCTTAGGAAAAAGCTCTTGGCTAGTTATAAGCAATGGCGCCACAGTGCTTTTTAACAATAGGAGTCTTCGATAGTGAAGATTATCAGCAAGTTAGTGACCATATCTTCAACGGCAACGGCAATGGCGATTGGCTGATCATTGGTGGTTGCTGTTAGTATTTCGAGAGACCAAATGGGTAAGTTTGGAGTAGTTTCTCTTACAAATGGGTTTCTGCAGTAGATTCAACACGCAGGAAATATGGAACTACAACTATGCCAAGTTAGATGGTTTTAAAAACACCTAGCTTAAATGTAAGTAAATGTTATCACGTCTTGAGAAACCTCCCCACGAATGATAATATGCCTGATTAGTTGCCATGACTATAGAACTAGATATAGCAAAATTCTGATCCCTTCGTTCCAGAATCATAGAAATGCTAAAGCTCTAAATGATAGAATACTACGATATAGAAAATAAGTTTGCTAACGTCTCTTGTAACCCATATTATATCCTTTCATTCTGACAAGATATAGTTGACCTGGTAGAGTCCTAATTCCTTGCCACCAATTTTGAACCAAATGGTAAAAAGACCGACTTTTATTCTGCCCTGGTAGATATCCTCAAATCATTTTTCTTGTACTTACATCTGTATTGTGTGACTTTGTACCAGATTAGCAGAAACTAGGAGCTATAGGTTCGTAATATACCTTACTCTTCCTGACATAAAATTATCGCAACCTTTTACTTAGTAACATTTGATTCAATACTCTAAGAAGACCTCGGTGAGCAGTAGTGTCTCAGGTCCATATGCGTACGAAAGACATGCTGATAAGATACTAGTTCAGCCTATAATGGTGTGATACACAAATTATATTGGTTGCTTTCTTTTATTCTAATGAACAAGACACCAGAACTTTGGCCTAACTTCATAGACTAATGGAGATGAGGGCTCCTTTTATACCTTTTATCTTTAATAGATAAACTGGTTCTAAGAAGTCCTAACTCGGTTTCTTTTCTGATTAGTAATCTTACAAAGGTGAAAATTCTTTTCACCTGTAAGATGACCATAGTCCGTTACCGGCCTAGTTATATCTTATCTTATCTTATCTTCTCCTTTGTTTATATATATACTTCTGTGCCCGTATGAGCGGCATGCTACAGCCTTGTCGCCATTGTCGTATAAACGTTCATATTGGTGGCACGGTATGATCATATGATCATCTTCGCTTATAATAATAAGTAGTTTCGATATCTGCACCATTGGCTTATGGAGGTCACATCACACACACACACACCATGGAGATAAACTATAGCGTATACATAGACACTGGAAAAATGTGATCACATATATAATAGATAAGAATAAAACGTAAAGATAAGAGAGGGGTAGTTGGACGTGTTATGCCGGTAAAGGATTCTCTCATCTCTCTAGTGTTGAGAGAAGTACAAGCAACAGTTAGCATCTACTGGAAAGTCAAAAAGGCTGGTTAATTTTTTAGAATTTTTATGAAAATTATTTTTATCTCAGAAGGCTTCAAATGGTAATTATGCCCCATATAATCAGCGACTACCGTAGTTGACCTTAACTTATAAAGACTTTTAAGGCACTTGTACATTTCACTATGTACTCTTGGAAATATATATTTGTATATATAACTGCAATCCCTGCATTTTAACACGAATATAACACTAATCTTCCATACACTTTACATAATGGCATACCCATTGTTAAGTAAGCTAGATGACATTAAAGATGAAGTATGGTTATTTGAGAAAATTAATAAGCCCTTCTTATCAATAGGCTTTAAGACAATAATACTTAATGAAATTGGAGACTTCCAGAAATGGATATTGCAATTGGAATGGATCATAAAGAGTACAGATCATCTTTGGTATCAATTCTATCAAGCAGGCCCATTCAATTTTGCAGGTATTAGTGACCCACATAAACAATATATTGTAAGTGTATTTGATGGGGCTTTGAAAAAATTGATAAGCAATACTGTCAGCGAACGTGTGAATATTGACTATGAGGACTTTCTTCAGAGCCATCTATCAAACTGTAAAATAACCTCATTTGATCTGTTAGAGATACTCAAAATCGAATATGACTGGGTTAATGCCGAAAAATATTTCAGAGAAAACTTTGAATGGTTGCAAAATATGGACAATTTCAACACTACTCAAAAAATGCTAAGATGTCAGAGACTTGTTCACATTATCACTGAACCACTAGTTGACAAAATACAGATGACTAAAGAAACTAAAAACGAAATAGATGACTTTAAACAACAAATTGCAGCTAACTTAATGATCGCATTAAGTCCCAATCACACTCAAGAAATTTTACGACATTATAGGATTGGTAAACGCCTAGATCTATATGATATTACGAATACTATTGCCTATCTTGAAGACAAGTCAATTTAATTACTTTAACAAATCTTCTTGCAAGCTTTTCAGAAATGCAAGATTGAGTTGAATACAACTTTAAATGCATATAGCAACACTATGCTATTCAAATTTTAGCAATAAATAGGAGAAATGCCCAATAATTCTATTACTGAGTCGAAAGATATGGTTTTCAACGATATATATAGCACACTGCACATTGTGAAACAACTAAAAGATATTATGTATCTAGGATCTGAAACACTTAAAATTGGTTTAGTATATGCCAACGTTGCCGACTATTATACGTATAACAGGTAGCTATCATTTTCTATTTGGTTATCATTAGTGATGAGAGCCTCACAATTATTTTGGCTTTAGTAATTACACTTAAATAGAATTTTTACTAGAATGCCTGTCTTGAGTATAATAATAAACGCCGCATGCTAGGGAATATAGTCTAATTATAATACTTCATCCATTACTTGAAATATGGGCTCTTGGGCCTATACTTCATAAATAGCAGCCTCCGCAGAGGCTGATAACTTGATACTTACCATAGAAGAGTGAAGTTAAATAATAGCCTTTCAAATAATATACAAGTCCCTCAAGGATATTAACTACATTTAAGTTCAACTCTTATACTGTAGAACTCACAAAAGTATTACCTTTGTACTGTTACAACACTTCCATTTCCATACTATACCATTTCATGATAACTTTGGCAAAAAAAATTAAATAAATTTGAAAATTGGCTGATCACTCCGATACGGGGAGTCGAACCCCGGTCTCCACGGTGAAAGCGTGATGTGATAGCCGTTACACTATATCGGACTATTAATCGTATAATGTGGTCAACTAGACATTGGGATATACTGGAGTTTGAATAGTATAACGTTGTACGTTTATTTACATATAATTTTAAATAGTAAACTAGGTGAAATGTATCATACAAGTTGGCTGCATTCAGAGCTATTCAGACAAAATGCATTATATATCACAAGTCTGATGTATATTCGACCGGTGGAGAAGAAATCTCACACCATGGTATTATAGTCCTAGAAATTTCTGACTTCCGCGGCTTTGTAACTTTGTTTTTGGTTCTGAATCTAGCTCGAGTTCTAGGTCCGTCTTGGGAAGAGGAATCTGTCCAAGTTGTTCCATTCAAATCATAGTCATTAGTATGTCTATTAAGTGGAATGGCATTCGCTAATTTACTTCCCTCCGGTACTGGTATCTCTCCCTTGGTAATTAAAAGTCTTAACTTACCCAATAATTTCTGATCGAACATCTTATCAAACATATCCTCCAATTTTCTTTCAATAGTTACTTGCACTGTATTTACTACAGTGTCTTCAACATTATTACGATTAGATGTAATCATATCTCTTAAGCTCCTTTTAAAAGCTTTAAATTGTACTTTGTATTGATCTTTTTCTTTAATGAGAGCTAGATCAATATTATGTAACTGCTTGTCAATTGAAAGTAACAGTTCATTCATAGATTCAGTTTGGCATGACATATTGTGCATAATCTCATGTAGGTAATCCACTGCTCTCTGCAATTTTGGGGCGCCAGCTAATTCTTGTGATTTTATTATATCTCTGCATTCATCTTTCAAAATAGTACTGTTGTGTCTAATTGCGCCAAGAATGTTGGCTTCTTGGTTGGCCATACACTCTGTTAAGTTTTTAATTTGACCTAAATTACTGTTATGATTTATACTTTTCAACTGATCACTAAAGCTTTTTTTCCAATCTTGTAATTGATTGTTTATATTAACATCAAGCTTATAGACTTGGTCGACAATATCTATATGAATTTAAGCTGTTAGTAAAATCACGGCTTACATTTTAATAAGTTTCAACTAAAAACAACCAGTAAAAAAAATAGGTCATTATGGCAAAATGTGTTTTTTTTTTATAATCGGTACATACCTTCTTCTTTGCTGTGGTTACAATTCTCTAATTGTTTCACTAATTGCGAGCTCACTTTCATTAGCTCTTGAGACATATTTGTCAATGTATTTATTAATTTCTCCGACTTTTCCCTGAGATCTATACTTTCTAACTCAAGTTTCCCAGCCCATTCCATAATCTGTTTGTCTGCTTCACCAAGAGAAGAGTCTCCACTATGTAACAAATCATCTGCATCTATTGAGGAGGATATATCAGTACTTTCAGAGTGCAAATCTTCGGTCTCTAACCGCTGCTCCATAGTTACTTCCACTATATTTTATGAATAAAAACTGGATGGAGACACACAAGAGTCAAAACCAAATACATAAAAATGGGTTTTTATGCAATTATTTACAACTTGAATTCTAATCGAAGAGTTGCCTTATTTATACTTTAGTCAAAGAAATGAATTCTGGTAGTTCCTTCAGATTCGGCATCTCATCGCGCCCATCAAGAAATTTCCCTTGAAAACTCGAAAAACACATACAAACGCATAATGGGAAGCAAGTAAGAGTCTAGCAAAACATAGAAGAGAAAGTGCATCAGATGTACACTGGGATCTGGGTGTGCATAAACAGATACGACTAAGAACAGCATCTAGTAATTAGTTTGCTTATTGGCATTTTTCTAGGTACACTCAAGTTTGGAAGTTTTGGAAAAGTCTACAAGCAAGAACACACGCAGAGAATGTCGCCTTTATTGAAGCAGTACTTGAACAAAGACATAGTGGTAGTGACCACAGCTGGTGAAGTGATGCATGTCGTTTTGGATGGTTACGATAAATACACAAACCTTGTGGTCAAAGAAGGAGACAAGATCAGACTTCTGCGAGGTAGTGAGATAGTTGTGTGCGGGTTGTTAGAAGATGCAAAAGCACTAGAAGGGCTGCCGATGGATTCACATGTCTATAAGGACACGAAGAATGTTATCAAGGATGAGTATCTGATATGGGAAGCTGTAAATAAGAAACATCAATCTACACATAAGAAGAGGAAACTCAAATGAAATAACTTGACACACAAAAGATAAGGTCAAAACAGAAAAGCTATGTATAATGATAAATAATATTACTTCTAATATGTTGTTAATTTTTTTCGCATTTGAAGGTTCATTCAAGGTAATGGTATATTGTATTGGTGCATTTTCAAAGCGAGCTCAAGCAAATAGTCGATTGCTTCGTTATAGATTTTACATTTCTCGATGGATGGGCCCCATACGAAGATACCATGTCTCCTCACTATAACAGCCACGGTATCCTGGGAGTACTTGTCCAGCACATCATTCAGCTGGTCTATCAGCTCATCTTCATGTGCCATGTTTTCTATGATGGGGATGGTCAAAGTATCATAGTAACCGTGGTTTGGCATGGCTTTGATCTGTTCAATGTTGGAAATTTTGAACTCTTTGTCGAATAGAAGTGAGCACATCACCGCATTTTGCGAGTGTGTATGTATCACAGCACCACTGTTTCTCTTCTTATAACAAGCCAAGAACAATGGCGTGCAAGCACTGGGCTTTAATCCCCGGGGGATGCTCAAGTAGTCACCTTTGATCAAATCCATCACAAACAAATCTTCGGGTCTCATCAGCTCTTTTTGGACTCCTGAAGGTGCAATATACGCAACATCACTCTCCCCATTCCTCTCTCTTATGGAAATACCACCACCAGTACCGGTACACCAGTTCAAATGGTAAAACTGTTTGCACAATGTACAGATAAGTTCCGCTGCTTCACCCATATTCTTCCTTGTATCTTCTTACTGTTTCAGAGTCAACTCAAAAAAAAATCTAGCGAACACCTATGACTTCCCAATTCACAGAGTCATAAAATCAATCACAAGCATCACACATACCAACCCATAGTTCCATAGCAGTTCAAAACTATTACTTGTTAACATCGAAAGGTTCTATGAAGGCATCGGTGAAAATTCACGTGATGGACCAACCACCCGACCAAAATGGCCCTCTTTGAATATCCCGTTGCGATGAGCTTTCTTGGAATTTTTCAAGACTTTTTTTTGCGTCTCGCTTCCCTTAGGGCTTCTTCTATCTCACGCTGCACAAACAACAATTGATCGTGATGTAAACAATAACAAGCTCTACGGTGCATTGGGCCTTAAATAGAGTTGTTGGGAGCGGTTGCAATTGTGCTACTGTACTCATAGGAATATCAAATAGTATAATAAGTATACTAAGAAAAATATAAGAAGAGATGGCGGACGAGGAGGTAGATATTGAGAGGTTGACGCTGCAAGAAAAGCTGGACCATAAGTTATGGAAAGCACGTCAGCGTGGATACCAGGATTTGCAAAAGGAATTGGAAGAGGGTATACTGGATCCTTCATTTTTTGATCAGCTATGGGGGGAAACAGGCAGGTTTGAACAGTATATACAGGACTCAAACGTGGTGGCTCTTGAGAGCGCTGTTGTAGCCCTGAACAGTTTCCTGGGTAAAAAGATAAGTAAAATTGTCGATAGTGGTGACGATACAATCAAGACACATGCTAAGTTTCAAGTGGATGCGTGGGTTCCCGTGTTGATAATAAAGCCATTGAGCTCAACGAGGGCCGCAACGAAGAAGAATGCTATGGAATGCATAATAAAATTGGTATCATTGATGGACTCAGTTGACTACACGATTTCAGCGATACTGACGAAATTGCCATCAGTTATCAAACAACCAAAACCTACAGCTGCAATAATTAATATACTCAATCAAATACTTACCAAGTTTCAATGCAATTTATTGGCATCTGCAGACCTGCTAAAGCAGTTACTCGAGCCGTTACCAAAACTGTCTAGTCATGCTGATAGAAATGTTAGGTCTGAGACCATGAATCTAATAGTTACAGTTTTCCTAAAAGTAGACGGGTTCCAAAATAGAGCTTTACTTGATGAATTACTATTAAACTCCTTGAAACCTATCCAGATAAAAGATATGGAAAAGATGATAGATAAGGTCAAAGATCAGAAGCCAGAGATCATGCCCTATGTATGGGAGGATGTAATCGCAAAAAATAAACAACAATTTAACGTTGATGAAGATGGAGACACGGTTATGATGGGAAGTAATACTGAGCCAAAACAGGATAATACCAATAACAATGTAAATGCCTTAGACTCACTGGTTGCTGGTGATACCATTCTGGATAAGTTCCCGGACGAATTCCATAGCCGGGTTGAATCGCAGAAATGGAAGGATAGAGCAGAAGCTCTTGAGGAATTCTATGATCATGCTTTAAGTAAATTGAAAAAGATAGATGGCAATGCCAATGAAAACTATACAAATCTATTTTCAATGTATGGACATATTATTTCCAAAGATATAAATGTGCAAGTGGTTACAATCGCTGCTGAATCGATAGATAAAATATGCCACGCACTTCCGAAACAGAAATTGACAAAACATCTTATTCAGTTAGTTTTTAATCCTTTATTGGAGAGAACAAAGGAGAAGAAGCCCACATTATTGGATGCGATTAGAAAGACGCTAAAAACTTTGGTGGAACACAGTAATCCAGTACTACCGCATAATGAAGACATGCTTCAACTAATCTTGCAATATATGGAACACAAAGTACCGCAAATAAGAATGGAGTGTACAAGCTTATTCAACTACGTGTTACAATTGGAGGCCCCAGGGTTTGACATACATTCCTCTTATTTATTTGGTGAGATCTCCAGAATTGTACCAAAGGTGGTTAAGATCGTAAACGACACGAACCCTAGTATTAGACAAGTTGGTTTCGACTGTTTTGCAACTCTTGTGACATTGCTCGGAAAGAGGCCATTTATAGATAGCTTGGATAAGCTTGACACACAAAAGCGGAAGAAAATAGAGGAATTGATAAATTCCAAATCTAGACCATCATCTGGTGCACTTCCCGGCACGAGGGCCGGAGCAACCTCAACAGTTCTCCCCGTGAAGAGACCACCAACATCACCACTGAAGAAACCTCCAACTTCAACATCACCTCGATCTAGGGTCCTATTAACTTCGCGGTCACTGACTAAACCGAATTTTGGTGGCTCACAACCTGCACCTGTTGCTGAACTCACTACAGGCACACTGACGCCGAACAAGCGTTTCGATAAGGCTGTGGATAACGGTGTACAAGGTATCACGAGTAATGGTGGTGCCAATTACGTTAGCAAGTTCAACTCGGAGCGAGAGAGGTGGGATAAGGAGCGGGGTGGGCTGTTGAGCAGTATAAAAAAGCTTGAAGATACCAATGCAGAACTCACTGCGCGTAACTTTGAGCTTGTTGACAAGCTCACGTCATTTGAGAAAGAGAGGGAGCAACAGAACTTGGTGATCAATAGCAAGAACGAGGAGAACGGCAAGCTTTTAGAGAAAATTGACTTCCTGGAGATGAAAGTCAAAGAACTGCAAGAGAAACTAGATAGTAATCTGAGCTCGGCGAGGACTTTCTCGTTGGGGACGGAGTTGAGCGTCCCTGAGGCCAAGCGTGTAGTTGAGTCGAGCGACGACGAGTTGCCAAAGCGTGTGAACTCGTTGCGGATCAACTCTCGTGCCTCTACTCTAAGCTCTTCAGATCAGCAGCTATTCTCGAGACAGTTCAGTGGCAGGGACGATGAGGAGTCCTGGAAGCGAGCAGCTGAGGTCACTCGAAAGTTGAAAGAACGGATCGAGACCATGAAGGCCAGAAACCGGGAACTAAGTAACTAAATATGGAGATCTTTAATTTTCAAGAATTTTTATGTAACGTAAGTTCATTATACTCAAAGAATCAGTACCCTTAGTTTACTCCAGAGGCTGGCTCCATCTCTTTTGGTGTATTCTATAGATCTGTCATGTCCGTCACATCAAGTCAGTAGAGTGGTTTTTCTGTATTGTTTGGTGACTATTTTTTGAAAAATGCATAATAAATCGTCAATTAATTCATGTGTATAAAAACTTTATAAAGTATATTTAGAATTTTTAGAATTGTAAAGTTAAATTAGAAAAATAAACCAGTATTTTAGGATTTATCATCAGATTTATTCTTGCTTAGCGTTGATGGAAGCGGTCAACTTAGCTTGTTCAATCAAGGAAGTTGGAGCGTCCATAACTGGCAACATAACTTCGATCATTCTGATCTTGGAGTTCTTGTTGAATTCCTTGTCTTGGGTCAACTTGTCCCATTCACCGGTGGTGGCGACTCTGTGGTTTTCGTAGTCCTTAGCACCGAAGGTTGGCAATAGAGCCAAGTGGTCCCAGTTTTGGATGTCGTTGTAACCAGCCTTTTCACCGTGAATCAATCTTTCGATGGTGTAACCGTCGTTGTTCAAGACGAACAAGTATGGCTTCAAGCCCCATCTGATCATGGTGGAGATTTCTTGGACAGTCAATTGCAAAGAACCGTCACCAATGAACAAGATAACTCTCTTCTTTGGGTCGATTTCTTCAGCAGCGAAAGCGGCACCCAAACAAGCACCGGTGGTGAAACCGATGGAACCCCATAGAACTTGGGAGATACCGTAAGCGTTGTTTGGGAATGGGGTTTGGTTGATACCAAAAGCGGAGGTACCGGTTTCAGTGATAACAACATCACCTTCTTGCAAGAACTTGGAAACTTGGTTCCACATCCATTCTTGCTTCAATGGGGTAGCTGGGTCACAGGACTTGTTTTCTGGGACTCTAGCTGGGACAGGGACTGGCTTGTAACCCTTGATAGCTTCTGGGACGGCGTTCAACAACTTTTGCAAAGCGAACTTCATTTGGACACCTGGGAAGGTAGCGTTTCTGATCTTGATGTAGTCAGAGTGGAATTCGACGATGTTCTTGGTCTTGTAAGAGTAAGAGAAAGAACCAGTGTTGAAATCGGACAACAAAGCACCGACAGACAAGATCAAGTCAGCGGATTCAACAGCTTCCTTAACTTCTGGTCTGGACAAGGTACCGACGTAGACACCACCGAATCTTGGGTGTTGTTCGTCGATGGAACCCTTACCCATTGGGGTAACGAAGGATGGGAATTGAGTGGCGTCAATCAACTTCTTGGTTTCAGCCTTGACGTCGTGTCTGGAAGCACAAGCATCAGCCAAGATAACTGGGTTCTTAGCAGCCTTGATCAATTCCAAGACGGTGTCAACGACTTCAGTTTCGGCTTCTGGGTCGTTTGGCTTCAAGGACAAGTCAATTGGGGTTTCCAAAAGCTTGGCTGGGACCTTTAGGTCGACCAAGTTAGCTGGTAGACCCAAGTAGACTGGTCTTTGGGTGATGTAGGTGGTTCTGATACATCTGTCGATCTCAGCTGGAGCGGTAGCGATGTCAGTGACCATAGCGGTGGTCTCAGAGATGTTAGCGGACATTCTGTGGAAGACAGTGAAGTCACCGTTACCCAAGGTGTGGTGCAACAACAATTGCTTAGCTTGAGAGGAGATGGATGGGACACCGACGACGTGCAAGACACCGACGTGTTCAGCGTAAGAACCGGCAATACCGTTCAAGGCAGACAATTCACCGACACCGAAGGTGGTGATGATACAGGACATACCCTTGATTCTAGCGTAACCGTCAGCAGCGTAAGCAGCGTTCAATTCGTTAGCGTTACCAGCCCATCTCATACCTTCAACTTCGTAGATCTTGTCCAATAGGGACAAGTTGAAGTCACCTGGCAAACCGAAGATGGTCTTAACGTCGACTTGGTTCAATCTCTCGAACAAGTATCTACCCAAAGTAATCTCAGACATTGTTAATGTTTTTTGGCAATTGAATGTTTAGAGCTTATACAGTTGTATTAGTCTGGTCTCTTTATTTATGTACAATCTAAAAATTATTGAAACTTGATTCCATGTTGTCCTTTATATATGTTTTTTTTTCATGAATTGATTTATTCTTGATGAGTTTGATTTCTTTGTTCAGGTATCAAGAAGAAAATTTTTCTTTCTGCAGACTTATCTGTATAAATTGCTTTTTTATGGGATTTAAGCGCATAAATATTTGATTCAAATAAGCCAAACGGTATATTCTAAGAGATTCTTGGCTTTTCACTTCAGCTGTAGCTCTTCAGCTGTAGCTCTCTGGCTTCTCTCGCTTCACTTGAATTTGGGCAAATTGCATAAAGTTATGCAAAAATATGGTTCCTACGTAATTGTCTAAGTGGCTCTCTGCCCTTTTCTTTGTTATTCAATTGTGTTTTTGGCTCTTTGCTCTGGTCGTTGCGGACACAATGGATTTTGTCGGTGCGGCGATTGTAGTGGATAGCGGAGGGGAGTTTGGGGTGGGGACCCTTGCAGTTCCTTTTTTTTCTGATCTCTCTCTCTGTGATTCAATCCCATCTCGATTGTTGTGCATTGTCTGTGGAGCCCGTTAGAATATGTCGTGGGATTGGTATTTCTTTTTTTTTATCTCTCATTGGCATCGCGCGCGTTCAACGCTCTCTTTCTATCTCCGTCTTCTGATTCCTCCCCGTCGTGGGAGCAGCTGGGAGTCGGGAACAGGCATCTCGGGGAAGGTGGGATCCCGGTGTGTGGGTGTTGGTTTTTGACTTTGCTAAAGGCTTTAGACTAGCTGATGCTTGCTGATGCTTGCTGATGCTTGCTGATGCTTGCTGACTACACTGGTCTACAAAAGAGTGTTACAAAGTTCTCACAATAGAAAGGGTTGTACGTACGTATCTATGTGTATTGCAAAAAAAATACGTAAAACGTGTATAAAAATGCTCTACACTGCGAAGGACTCACCGTGGAAACGGAGTCCGCTGTCTGTGGACCAGCGGGACGTGGCGTCTATCAGGCCCGGAGGGCCTGCTGCGACGACCCATACGCGCCGCTTGTCTACGGAGACATCGTTGACTCCGCACTCGCTCTCCATGCACCAGTTGTAGTCGTGCTGGTCCAGCCGGGGTCGTCCATGGAACACTTTCACACCCGACGGGATCGCTATCTTCTTGTCCCTGTCCTCTTGCTCCTCGATAATCGATGGCTCACGGAATACCCCAACTGGTACTCTCTTGTGCTCCGTGTCATTCTTGAACACATCCGTGAAGTCGATCTCGTCTGCCGTGTTCTCCCGCGCTACATTGCGCAGACAGTAGCCGCCGTTGGCACCGTTGGCACTGTTAACACCGTTGGCATTGTTAGTGGCTTTAGTATCGCGCTTCGCACCGGGGTCCATCGCACGGGCGTTGCCACTTCCTACGTGGTCCATGCTGTCCAGCAAGGACCCGCCTTGCATGTGGTGGTGGCTCAGCAGCGGCGTGTGCTCGTTATCGCTGAAGTCGTTGTCCGTGTACTCGATCTCGATCTCGTCCTCGGCCCCTTGCCCGCTGATGTACACCTCCATCCCTTCGAAGTTGTTCCGGATGTGCGACAGGATGCGCAGGTCCCGGAAGTCCCGGATCGCCCACTTCAGCTTCACCAGGCACCCGTTGAAGTTCAGCACGCGCAGCAGCGGCAGCCCGAACGAGATGCCCGTGCCCCCGACCACGATCAGCACCCGCTGCGAGTCCACAATGTAGTTCAAGGGCGACCCCAGCAGCGCCTGCGTCCCGCGGCCCAGCGCGAACGTCGACCGGTACTTCACAAGCGAGTCCGCCAGGTTGCGCGGCTTCGTCAAGAAGTTGATCACCGGCTCAAACGCCCCGGAGACGTGGTACCGCATGCCGTCCCGCATCGGGAACTTCTCGCTGCGGATGATCAGCTGGATCTTGTCGTCCTTCGGCAAGTTCGCGATCGTGAACGGGTGCTGCAAAGGTACCACCAGGCCATTGACCAAGTAGTCCACGGCTCGCGCGAGACCCCCGCCTTTCGCAGGCCGTATGCGGACGTGCGCACCAGGGTACTGCGGCCGCAGCGCAAGCTGCTCCAGCGGGAACTCCATCAGCGTTAACGTCGGCGAGATGCGCTGCACCTTCGCCACACACACCCGCGTGATGCGCACCCTGTAGATCACCTGTGCCACAAGGATCGACAGGCTCATCGCTGTGTAGTACGGCACCCCGGGCCGCGCATGCATGTAGATCAGCACAACAACAAGCCACGTACTCAAGTAGTGCACCGTGTAGAAAACACGGAAGGCACGCCGCCGTATAGGGGCAAGCGACGTGACCACTATCAGCACGAAGAGCACCATCGCAATGAGCCCGTACAGGTTCGCAGGCTTACGCATCTTCTCCAGCAGCACTTTGTTAGCACACATCACATACGCATAGAACACAGAGTGCAGGAACGCCGCCAGCACGACTATGCGCCCAATCCACTTGTGGAACGGGAGTAACGTCAAGTATAGCGTCTTGGGCAACGGCGAAGGGCGCAACGTCAGGAACAACAGCGGCGGCATCAACGCCACCGCTAGCCTGCCAAGTTTCTTGACCACAATGAAAAAATTGCCCTGCGAACCATGCAACGTGAAAATGCCAACAAAGCTGCACCAAAATATGCACTGCTGGAGAGACTTGTTGTGGTACACTCGGAGCCTGTGTATCCAGGCGTGTCTGGCCACAAAATGGTGGCGGAAGTAGTGCATCACTTGAAAATACCGCTGCGACAGTGTGACCCGATTGTAGGACGGTATCATCACACATATAATGATCAGCGCACAGGTGAAGCACGCTCGCGAGTACAGGTCCGCGATGCGCGACTGCGCTAACTTCTCAGCCCTCCTGTCCGGCACCGTAGAATTCCCATCATACGCATTCATTACAGAATCATCAATTCTATTGTTAAACTGTTAATAAAAAGGGTCCAGAGATTTATGCAGCTGTATGAATATAGTCAAAATATGCTTAGATGATCAAATGCTTAAAAATACACTAATGCCAATGAAAGAAATGAAAAAATGCCAATGCTCGATTCATCATGTATATGAACTCTGAACTGCTTACTCTGCCAAACAAGAGGAAAAAAATTGTGAGGACACTATCATTATTATATATGTTGATCCATTAGCTCATCGACTTATTTTCAGCTTTTCCATCTTTTTTTCACTTAGAATCCCCCAACATTACACAGACACGTTCGTAGAGATGATAGGGTTTGAGGGTGAGGTCCAGACACCCCCTTCTCAGAAAGTTCAAGATCGTAATAGCCCGATATCTCGAGATTGCGAACTCCACTTTTACAGAAACCGATTATAAGCATGGATGGGTGGCTTTGATGATGGGTCTTATATATAAGATAAAGAATAGACTACAATTTGTGCAAATATTCAGCTTCAAACCACTCTGATTTATCAGTAGAGTAAATAAGATATCAAGACAACAAAAAAATTATTAAGGTGTATTAACTTCTGGCACCCTGTAATTATACCTTCAAAAATCTTATTAGAGCTCTCTCACCACAGTAGGATCTGTTTAGATCGCAAAGTCTAGGGAGTGGCCACAGGGGTTAGGAGCTCAAACTTATATCCAAAAAAAAGTAAATGCGCAAGCCCGGAATCGAACCGGGGGCCCAACGATGGCAACGTTGGATTTTACCACTAAACCACTTGCGCTTGTGTATTTGATGACTATATAAGTACAAAAACTAGGTACTTGAATAAGTATTTATCAGAAAATTTCTGAGTTATTGTTGAAATAAACGTGAATGTTTAGGACTGTATTGACTTTATTACTACTGAACATATAGTTCCGCACAAAAAAATGATAGAAATAGTTCGTCTCTGGCAATTATCCATTTGACGAGTCTTTATTTTATTTGTTGTGCAAATTATTCAAAGTATTGTCCTTTAGATCTAGCTTACGCATACAAAACATAAAAAAAATGCCATTCATGTGATAAATATTCATATTATTTACAGATAATGGTTTACATATGGCAATATTTAAGAGATTTATTCTTTCTCTGAACTATTTAATGTATTAAGTTTGTTCATCTCTTCTCTAGGGTTAAAGTCCCCACTACAAAGCTTGTCGTATTGCTGGTCGTATTTACCTGTGGATAATGGTGCATTACCTCTAAAACGCTTAGTCATATCCACCATACCGCGCTTGCAATCCAGAAAAGCCTTCATCTGGGCTATACATAACTCTGGCAAATCTTTACTCAGCTCGGGATTATCTAGACACTCCTGTGGCTTGTGTCTTTCAATCATCACACATGGCGACCTCTGAAGACATATAGCGACCGCTCTCTTCTGATCTTTACAACTGGCACCCATACTCTATGTTGATTCCGTGTATGCCTGATACTCCTTTCTATGTGTTATTGAACAACCAGTACGTTGCGAATGTAATCGATTTTGAGGATTGACCCATTGCATTGCATATTTGGTCTTTCATTATCCTTTTTTTTCTTTTACTCATCTTCCCTTTTCCCGGAACTGAAAAATCAGAAATAAAGGCATAATTAGCCTAATTAAATCGCATATTGCACAAATATGGGGTAGTGCCAACTAAGGAAATAAGAAAATCTAATAAAATATTTGAGCTTTTAATTATATTCTGCGGGTTCAATTTATAGCGCACAGAACGTATATCACTGATGTCGCTAACATTTCTCCCGGGGAAACCCAATGACACGGTCACCTCGGTATGTCAAAGGTTGTGGCTGGATCAGACTCTACTAGCATATTGCTCTGGTAATAACTTGATCATCATGTCCAATGAATTGACAAAATTGCAAACATTGTACTTAGATGAAGATTGTGTCTCAGTGGACATCAATGCTACGAATGGTTTCATAGCTGTAGGCTTTGGGAATAAGACTAAAATATACAAACCAATGTACCAAGTGATGAAGAATCCTAAGTGGGTGAATTGTTGCGAAGTATTTCACGATGAATCTAAGGTGAACTGTGTTAAATGGGGTAATGCCAATGAACTAGTCATCGGATCAAAATATCTATCGCTCTGGAATATTAAAGATGAATTTGGAGACTACAGACCAGTACTTTTGTGGACTAAGTTGCAGCCTAAACCAGTTTATTGTTGCGATATCTCTCAGGATTCTCAGCTAATTGCGAGCTATGGGAAATATGAGAAGACGGTAAAGTTATGGAAAAGAGTTTCAATTAGTGGTGAGGAGAATGTGTTTAATGTCACCTTGTTGAAACATGATGCACCCATAACCGCTCTAAAATGGAAAAGGAACTCAATAGACGATGATATAAACAGAGCCTCTCAAGTGCTCTTTACTCTTTGTGAGGATAGACAACTACGTGTATGGTTTTGCTATAAACTCGACAGTTGCCATACAGTGGATTTGTGGGGATCTTTAACACTAAGTCATAGACAAAGATATTGCCTAATAATAGATAACTGGCTGCTAAGTTACTGTAGTAAAAATAGCAAACTGCGATCTATTGATCGTAACACAATAGTTAACTCAGACGTCGTTCTACTAGCGGACAGTGAAGGTAACGTTGAGATCCATGCTCTTGATCATTTATCAAATGATCCACCGAGAATTATGAAGAAAAGATTACTGCATAATAAGAGATTACATAAAGACTCCTTTGTTGCGAAACCTGACATACTTTACTTCAGCGAGGTGCAACCTTTCACATCAAAGGACAATATCCTTTCGATTGTTATACATGATTTAAAAGGTGTGATAAGACATTCAACAATATCCTTAGCAGAATTATTAGATAATGATAAAGAGGTAATTGGAACTTTGGAACATAAATTCACTGGGCATAACAAGTCCATCCAAAAGCTAATCAGAAGTAGTGATGGTGAAGCACTGTTGACAACAACTAGATTTTCAGAGAATTGTGTGTGGACTCCACAATACTTGGGTCACGGTATAACATTGAGAATGAAAAATATTATTTGTACAGAAAGTCCCATCGAAACAGCTGTCGTGCATGAAAAAGGAAAATTGGTTATTGCGCTCCTACAGAACAATAAACTACAAGCATGGAGGTGTCCCAATTACGATTCGAAGATGTCTGATACCAAGCTCAGTACTCTAGAAGCAGAGTTAACGTTGCAAAAAGATAAAACCGTTAAGCCCATTTTGATGTTAAATACTCCTGAAGAAAAACATAATCATGATAGGCACTTTATTGCAATATTTTATGATGACGGTAGTATCAATGCATTTGAAGTGTCTGAAAGGAGAGGTATTTCCGAGATCAGATCTCAAAATTTGGCCTTGGATGGAAGAGAAATACACCAACTTTCCACGATCGATCCTGTACATCGTACATTCAATGCTAACAGACCTCTCTTAGCAGTATGTACAACAGGAGGAACTGTAATAACATTTAGGGCGAAAATAGATTACGAGAAGCTGGAACTCTCTTGGATACAGGCACATGAAATAAATACAGGAGGTCAAAAATTAAGACTAGTTAGGGGATCATCGACAGGTAAAATGTGTATAGTCGATCAATCTGAAAAGATTATGTCCTTATGGGACATGAGAAGAGGCGTATTAGAGTATGAGGAGCATTTTGAAGAGCCAATATTGGATATTGACTGGACAAACACTGTACATCACCAAAGCGTAGTATCTATTGGTTTCGAGAGCCATGTCATTCTCTATACCCAGCTAAGATATGACTATACTAACAAAACACCAAGCTATTTACCAATAGAGGATATAAATGTGATCTCTCACACGGCCCATAAGATTGGTGATTCTATCTGGATGAAGGACGGTATATTTGTGGTGGCTTCAGGAAATCAATTTTATGTCAAGGATAAGACTCTAGATACTAATGACCCTTTCACGCATGCCTCTATTGGTTCTAGAATGATATTTTCAAATGATTTGTTCCACTTAAGCAGTGTATTGAATGGTCCTTTACCAGTATATCACCCGCAATTTTTAATCCAAGCATTGTATGCTAATAAACTTGAGCTAGTGAAAGAACTATTATTAAGGCTTTTTTTAGAGCTACGCAAATTGCAACTGAACGCTAAAAATATTATCGATTTAGATTCAACACTCAACATTGAACCTTATAAGTTTTTGTACCGTTTGAACAAAGACTATCCCAAAGAAATTTTTCCGGCACCATATCAAGAGTTTAATGAGCAAGTTGCGGGGCAACTAAGTGAACAACTAACCAAGATTGCATTACCATATATGACGAGACATCAACAGATCACTTTGATGACAGTTATTACTACTGTGATAGAGCTAATGAAGCACCAATCTACTGTAGATTTCAACGGGTTACGATTTTTACTCGGTACCAAACTATACCAATCGCACAAGAAATCTCAAAAATCCGTATTGATGAGAGATGTTTCATGGGCTTTACATTCAGATAATAAAGAACTCTTAATGTCCATTTTGGGTGCACAAATACTATCGTGGCAGCAAGCTAGGCAATATAAAATTGCATATTGGGCAAAACAAGATGATTTGTTAGCCAGCTTCGAAAAAATTGCTAAGTATGAGTTTTCTAAAGATGATACTCGAGACCCTAATAGGTGTGCTGTATTTTACCTAGCTTTGAAGAAAAAGCAGGTACTATCAAGCTTATGGAGAGTATGTCCGGGCCATCCTGAACAACAAAAGATGATGAAATTTCTTGGTAATGACTTCAAACAATCAAGGTGGCGCACAGCGGCCCTTAAAAATGCTTTTGTGCTATCTAGCAAACATAGATACATAGAGGCTGCGAGTTTCTTCTTATTGGCGGATTCTCTTAAAGATTCTGTGAATGTTATTTGCCGTCAACTTAAGGATATTGATCTCGCCATAGCAGTATGCCGGGTATATGAAGGCGATAATGGTCCTATACTAGCGGAGTTTTTAACGAAGGAAGTCCTCCCGACTGCAATTGTAGACAATGATAGATGGACAACTAGCTATATTTACTGGAAATTAAGAAAGCAAGAACTGGCAATAAAAGCCTTAATCACTGCACCCTACGATCTAGAAGATAATAAGCAGTTAGTGGAAGAAAACAAAGTTGTGAACAAATCCTTCTTGGTTGAGGATCCCGCACTATTGTTTTTATACAATCATTTGAGGAATAGAAATTTGAGATATTTTTTAGCTTCTCTTGATCTGAGTAATGAATATGAAAGATACCTAATCCTAAGAGCCACCGAAATTTTATGTCGCATGGGTTGCGATTACTTGGCTATCTCGTTAGTGAAAAATTGGAACTTTATAGACAAACCTAAAGTTGCAACTAAACTACCCTTCAGCCCAATCAAAGACCAGACCTATTCAGGTATCAATGCTATGACAGAAGAGCCTACTTCGACAAATAAGGTCCGGAAGAGTCTCTTTGATATGTTTGACAAATCCGGTGAGGACAACACATCTTCAAGTAGCGCAAATAATGTTACTAAAAGTGTACTGGACGATTTTAACTCCAATAACAACTTGCGTACCTCTAGTATCCTCGACCAATTTAAACCTTCAGGTGGTTTGAATACGAATACAGATAGTTTGTGTACTCAAAAAATTGAGAAAAATCCTGATCAACAACCAAAAAATCTACTCGATGCATTCACGTACAATAATGTGCCTGAGGGAAAAGAGAATGACAATAAACTTACTGAAAAATCGGTCCCCAACAAGCCTAGAAGTCTTTTAGATGATTTTGAAACAATCCCAAGTACAAGTGTTACAAATTCTAGCCAGAATTCTGTTGAAAATAAAACTGTAACTGAGGAAAACGTTGCTTTAAGAAGCGAGCCGCCTAAAGTAAAGAATTTACTTGATGACTTTATGTAAGGGTATAATAGATCGATGATATTTACCAACTCATTATAATGCATATATGTTTGTTCTTTGTTTTCAGCAAAGAACCTGAATTTTTCAATTCACCTAAAAAACTTAGATATATTTTTTTTGGTTCTTTCTTTCTCCTTCTCCAGGATATTCTCTGTTTTCTCGATCTTTTGGCCAATAACGTTATCATCTGGATTGTGATCTCTGCATAATCTATAATTTTTTAGTGCTTCATCATATCTCTTTTTAGCAAACAAACTATTGCCAATTCTGTAGTAAGCCTTTGCCTTGTCCTTATCATCAACGCTATCCAACTCCAGTAAATAATGGCCATATTTCATACTTTCATCATAATCCTTTAGGTTGAATAAGGCAAGACAAATGTTTAGATATAACTTTTTCTTCAACTCAATGAATAATAGGCAATGTTTCTCATCAACGTCTTGTTCTGGTATGTAAGTGTTCACGTATTTCAAAGCCTTCATATATTTGTAATATGAGTTTTGATAATCTTTAATCTTGAACAAAGCCGAACCAGAGTCTTTTATGATATTTGAGGCGTTGTAGGCAGCTGCGAAGTCCTCGGAATCGAAATGAGTATCATCATCCGGGTATTCCTCATAAATATCTCCTCCAATGGTAGAGTTTGATGCATTGTAAAGAGGAATTGACATGGTTTCATCCCAATCACCACAGTCTTCAATAACAACTAAATTTTCAGGTGTACCTTCTTTGTCAACTTTCCCATATTCAATGGTTCGAACCACAGACTTTCCGTGAATTACTCTCCCAAAGATTGAGTGCTTGCCAGTCAGATGGGGAGAGGGGTATGTAGTTATAAAGAATTGCGAGCTGTTAGTATTTGGGGAACCAGTGTTGGCCATGGCCAACAAGAATGGTTCATCAAATTCACCCACATTTTCATCCTCAAACAACCCGTGACACTGCAATTCTTTAGTGTCATCTTTTATTTCCTCCTCTGTAGCATAAATGGAACATCCACCTAAACCAACTTTATCAGAATCAAGGTTGTCCTCCTTTCCAAAAACCAGATCACCACCTTGTATCATGAAGTTTCTTATGACTCTGTGAAAACATGATCTTTTATATGTCAAATGAATACCACCAACAGATCCACTACCAACACATAAGCGATGGAAGTTTTCTACTGCCTTAGGTGCTTTATCGTTATAAAGCTCGCAGACAATTCTACCAATCTGCTCGCCTGCAATTGCAATGTCCAAATAGACCTTCATTGTTATAGTTCGGTAACAAAAATTCTGTGTTAGCTAAAAAAAAGTAGGAATTCCCACAAGCTATACGGTAAATGAGAAACAACGGACTAATATACTAAAATATTAACTCCGAAAAATAGCCTTTTTATGTGAACCCAATATTACCTATATTAGTAGCTCATCGCAGTTTTTATTTTTGTCAAACTGATTTTAATATTTTTTTTTTCACAAGGGAGATGCTCGCGTGGAACTTTGAGCTAGAGACCAAAACATATTGAAATCATGGATCATCATAACAATGCATTTCTGTTCAGTCGATGACCGCTACTTCAAGGTTTTGTAGCAATTGCACGATTTGTTAACTATTAACTGCAAGATTCAGACGACAAACATTGTTGACTGATAAAGGGTGCTACACATTTTGGCAAGTTTATAGAATACCCTGATAAAAGTTAATACTCATACCGTATACCATTTGGAGTATAGCAAAAGGAATTGCTATTCAAATATAAAAAAGATAATGCTTGTGAGTGATCCAAATACAATAATCCTCAGGGAATGCCGAGAGTTGCTATATGTAATAGCAAGTGAGCGCCAAGATGAATACATACCAGCTGTCCCTGATCTGATAGGTGGGTCTAATGAATACTCCGAAGATGAAGAAGACACCCAAAAGGCTGAACTCATGAAAGGTGAAGGCACTGAGGATGTTGATGATAAAACAGCTGTAAAAAACCAACTACAGACTTTGATTGACACAGTATTGCTGTCGCAAACTTTGGATAACATCGATGCATGTACAATAGTAGCGCCTTTCAACCGAACACTGATCTCTCCAAGATTGAATAGGGAAGCCACTATCAGGACTCTAGATGCATTGGAGAAATTTATTAATTTTGAAGTAATAAACGTTAATATGTCGAATTATTCAACGGCCTTTAGAATGTTGATAGACTCTTTGAATAACATTAGTTTTGATGCATATGATAAAACAAGCGATGATTCTATTTTATTTAAAACTTTGGTTTTATTAAGGAGCTCTATAACAAAAAACTCTTTTGAAATACTATCCGATTCAGTTGCTTACGATTTACTGAAAACTACGATAACCTTAGCATGCAATTCAAAAAGATCACCGCTTCTACAAGAGTATGCGCGCTCCTCAATATATGAATTAACAGCGATTGCTTTCAACAAAATACGATCGCTAAAGAGTAGTGACGATACGAATAACTACATCAATGATAAGAGCCTAGGATCATCAACCTTAAAGAAATATCTGGCTAATAGGAGTTCCTCGGAAGAAGATAGTATGGGATTAAAAGGAGATGAATATTTTAATTCGACAGTCGATCTAATAAAGGAAAATAAATATAAGGACCCAAATTGTGGCCTGCCTGTGATAAAAAGATATCTGCAACTACTGCTCTCTTTATTGACAATTGATCAAGACAACAAACACACAAAACAGGTAAAAGCATTAGGATTCAGCTTAATAATCTGTGGTATTGAAGTGGCTGGCAAAGACATCATTTTGTTCCCCTCATTATTCAGTATCGTTGCGGATCAGATCTTTGAACAAGTGCTATATGTCATTAGAACAGTATATGATAAGGAGCTGGTTAAAGTTGCACTTGATCTCTTCATAACTCTGACAATCAATATGGAACCATACTTAAGGCCTCAGATAGAATTAACATTTTCACACATTTGTGATATTTTGTTGGATAAATCCATTTTCACAGGAGAGAGGTCCAAAAAAACAAAGTCGGAGCTTAAAGAAATATTTCTTGAATCTATATCAATTATGTGGAAGCGAAAACCAAGTTATCTTGTGGATGCTTTTATTAATTATGATTGCAACCTAAATAGAATGGACCTGGCCAATATCATCTCCGGTACATTATGCAAATTATTAACTTCTAACGGGAATGATGATATTAATACGTGGCTATTATCTTTTGAGAGCTTAGAGATATTTATAAATTTCATGTATGAAATGACCATAAAGAATGCTTCCATGTCCACAAATGGCATAAAAGAAGGGAGTGACATAATCTCTCAGAAGAAAAAAAAAATTGAATACTTATCCTGTGTTGACAGGTTCAATAAGAAACCCAAGGAGGGTATCACTTACTTTCATAGATCTGGATTTCTAAAAACTCTTTCAGATAAGGATATTGCCACATTCTTATTCGAAAATAAAGGCCCTTTAAACAAGCAAAAGATTGGCCTATTATTATGTGATCCTAATGAACAAAAATTATTGCAATCATACATGCAGAACTTTGATTTTCGGGATTTTAGATTGGATGAAGCATTAAGAATAATGCTATCTAAATTCAGGTTACCTGGAGAATCACAACAAATAGAAAGAATTATTGAAATGTTTTCGGAAGTGTATTCGTCACAAAATGAAAGAAAAAACGAGAACATTCAACCTGAAAGTATTGATTCTAACGAGGCAGATAGTGAGTTGTGTGTTAGCATCTCTAATAAGAATGTTACTTGTGATGCCGACAGTGCTTTTGTGCTCAGTTATTCCTTAATAATGCTGAATACTGATCTCCACAACCCTCAAATAAAAACACATATGTCATTCAGTGATTATACGAGCAATCTAAGAGGATGTTACAAAGGAGCAGATTTCCCAGACAGTTTCTTAGCAAAACTATACAACTCCATTAAAGAAAAAGAAATACTAATGCCGGAAGAACACCATGGCAATGAGCAGCTATTCAAAGATGACTGGAACAATTTGATAGCATCTGCATTTATTCTTACAAAGCCGTCTTCCAAGATACAAGAACATGAGGAGAGAACTAAGGATTTTACAGACTTCATTGGCGCAATTTTTGAAACATTTGGTTTCTCTCTGGTAAGCGCATTTCTATCAACGACTCATGCCAATCAAATTTCGTCGAATAATACCAGATTATTTGCTATAATAGAGAAGTGTGGAAGAATAACAAGTATATATGGATTAAGTGCTCCTTACAACAAAGTAATAGATTCTCTATTAAAAATGACAGTTTTAATCGGAAATTTGGACAAAGAGCTGAGACTTGTCGAAAATGATAATGATGATTATGCTCAAATAGAGGTCGAATCCAGTACTTCTAACGAAGCTATATGCGTTAGTAACGAATCTATTGCATTCGGAAGAGACGAAAAAGCGCAGTTATCTTACATCACTGCTTACAAGTTACTCAACCTAGAGAAAAACAATATTGGCTTGCTACCGGACACACTAGAAACTTTAATTGAAGTTCTTACAATTCTCTACGACAAACACATTATTGATATGTCCTATATTGATAATGTAAACGAATTAATGAGATGCGACATTCTTCCTCGTACCCCTACTGAAATAACCATAAAAAAGGAGGCACTTAACAGAAGTCTTTTGTCAACTTTTGCATCATATATCAAAGGAGATGAAGGGCCGAGTAAAGAACAAATCTCGCTAAGCGAATTGACGATTTCCTTGGTGCGAGAACATAATGTTTTTACTGCACTCAATGCTCATCCCAAATTAATCAACTCTGGGCCCATGAAATCAGTACTATCACTTACCTCTAATGCGAGGTATAATAGTAGGAAAAATTATTGCAATTACAACTTCTTTTTTTTGGTTGAATTCTTGATAAAACTCTGTATCGACAACAATATTATCGAGGAATGTGGCGGTTCAATGATTAATCATTTGGAAAATCACTCCAATACTCCTGGTATAACTACGCGGTCTAGATATGCCATCATGATTATCAAAAATCTTATTAATAAACACTTAGGTGAACAGGATAAGATTATAATAGATACTCTGACATTTTTGAACTCAGAAGATAAAGACCTTCAAGAAAATGATTTCGATTTATTTACCACATTGATAAATGAACTTATATCTCATAGTGAGAAGAACCTGACAGTCCTTAACAATCCATTATTTTGGAGGGCATTATCAAGAGCCTGTGAATATAACATATTGATTGAAACAGTTTCCAGTATATTAGACAACTTTGTACTCAACGAAGACACAGATCTCACTGACCAGATAATGATACATCTGTTATTTATACAGACAATCCATCAGAGTAAAGCTCTCACTAAATTGCTGGAGAATATCACTAAGCTTCCACAGAATTATTCTGATGCAAATGTTCCACACTTAATAGAGTTACTTCTAAACAATCATGACGAGCCATTACGAGTACAAGTAGAGCAATGCCTTGTTGCTCTCACAAAAGAATGCAGCAGCAGCGAACAGCCTGAGCCTTCTAATTTGGTACAGAAATATTATTTGCCTGTCTTGTCAAGAAATATTACAGACGAAAATGTGGTAGTTTCATTAGTTAATATTATTACAACGGTATCGAATCAGTGCACAGATACTAATTCATGGAACAAAGAAGAGCTGAAAAAAATTATGATGCCTTTTGTAAACCATGAGTAACTCTTTTCTCGGCATAACTTTTATTAATAGTTAAAATACTTCTTTTGGTCTAAATTGATTTTTAATTAATTGATCCGTCCACAGGTTATCAGTTGAAGACGCGTTACTAATCCAAAAGGTCTGGCCAAAATACCTACTGACTGACTATCTATTGTTGGCCTTGTGCAATAGTGTTGCATTTCCTTTAATATTTTTTCTTTTTTGGTGAATAATTTTTACGCGTTTTCGCGTCTTCGCAAAGGTTCAAGCGTTCCTAGAAAAAAATACCAAAGTGAAATTAACTGGGGTTTCTTTGGCTACGGCTTTTATTAGTATACTCAAACATTATTCTTCACACATTATTATGCCAACTCTAACACAACATATGTGGAGAAGACATTTAATAGTCCCTATTCTCTAAAACGTATGGTTGTTCTATTTAAGGATGGTATTTTGAGAAAAATTAATACCATAGAATATCAAAACCAAACTAATTCTATCTGTGGCCCATATAATAAGATAATTTTAAGCAATTAATAAGCGTTCAGTGATAAAAAAAAGGAGGTATATAGTGCTGGTCTCTTTCACAAGTTATAAGAATGGATATTCATACATTGAGGTCTAGATGGGCATACAATGTTCAGCTTCTGAAACAGTTGCAATGGGCTTGCACAGATACTGCAAAGAGGAGCCTCAACGGCACTATTTCAAATATTGAAGCTAGTTCTTTTGCCAACAATTTACAAAAATGTACCGAGGCTTTGCAATTCTGCATACAAAAGTCTCTTACAATAGAGAGAACGCTTAAAAACTACGAAATTGATGTGCCATTACCAGTAATTAAAGATGTTCTCTTAGAGCAGGAATTAATGAAGTATTATACTGTTATTTTAATGGAAGGTTGCAAGCTGATATTCGACTATTCTATATCAATATTTCGTATAGGTACAGAACCTCGTTTCATGCTATGCTTGATAAAACTTTACTTGAATCTCGATTCTATTACTGAACTTTTAGGTAACGAAGGAAACCAATTTTCTGATCTCCTAAATTCTTTTGAATACCAATTCATGACTCAGTACAATATTATTAATTGCAACACCATACATTTGGATCAAGTCCGTGACATTTTTGCCAAGTCAAATCCACTAATTGCTCCTCCACTTCTGACGGTTAATGATATCGAAAAGCGGGGCTATTTTTTCCTATCATCTGTTGATCTTCACATTGATAACAAGCTGATTGAGATAGCTCAATTGAAGAACGGCCACTTAGCTGTTTTTTATGTTAATTCCCAACGTCAGTCCTTTTCTACTAACGGTGCCAAGCAATTACTTAAGGAACTTGTTGAAGGAAGAATGGAGCTACTCAATATGGGGCGTACATTGCTATTTCAAACACTAAAGCAAAGAGACATGGTTATATTTTTAGAATTTGAGGATAGTTTAGAACTAGTCACTAATAATTCATTGACAAAAAAACTTCTAATACAATGCGTTGACAAAGTATCTTGGTGTACTTATTGGAAAATTTATTTGGAAAATTTGTTTTCCGAAGAACAAGCACGTACTAACGTGAAGGCTAGTACATCAATGTTAAATCCTTCTCATAGTTTCCAAAACTTCAAGATAAAACATACCAAATTATCGGAACTACGGCCTGTAAGTCACCAAGGTATTGCCCTGAACATACCTCAGAAAAAGTCTCAAAACTGTCAGGCAAATATCACCAAATCTGATGACTTAGAAGAAGATCCTGGATTCAAATTTGCTATTCACCAATCCAATCCAATTAATGAAATATATACTAGCCAAACAGAGGAACTTATAACATCACCTTCACTTAATGAGATTGAATATTTGAGCTACGATAAGCTAATAGCGCTAGATAGAAGCCTTGAATTAACTCTATCTCCTAAGCTCTTAGAATCTCCTCGTGAAGCCAACTACAAAACTGTTTCACAAACTTTCAGTTTGGACAGAATTAATAATATCTCACAAAATACACCTGAAGTTAGTGATCAAGAGAGTATAGTTTCAAATGATGAATTAGAAAAAGAACCCGTGTTCAATCCAAGTGTCGAAGATCATAAACCACAGCTATTGAGAAAGAAGTCATCTCTACTGAGCATATTTAGCAATAAAAATAAATCCAAAAATAAAAATAATTTAAAATTGGAAATCAACTCTCAGATGAGCTCATCAAATTTATCATTGAATAGCGCCTCAAGCTCAAGAACTTTCTTCTCTGTCAACAGCAACGATTCAACTTCCACGACGGTCAGCGATAAGTACATCGAAGATTCTGATAGATTTCAACTAGACAATACAACTTCGATTCTGCAGTTGAAGGTCACTAAGGCTTCCTGCTGGGATAAATCTTCCTGGCAGGTCCTCTCCTCATTCCCGCTATTACTGTCTTTAGTCAAAGATCATGAAGCAGTATACTTGACTTTACAAAATCCAAGCAATAGTGGTAGATTCAAGTTTGTTACTAGGATATCCAATATTTGGAAAACTACTCGTTCAACAGCCAAGGATATCCAAATTTCTATTCCAACTAAAGACATTCTTGCTACGATACTGGATGACTTAACTAATACAACACCAAGGTATCAAGTGTTATCGTTGAGAACAGAAGAGGCTGAAAGATTGAAGAACACAATCGATCACTGTATCAATGGTGATATGTTATCCTCAATTTCAAACTCCACTACAACTAGGACCTTGTCAAGTGACGCTTCATCATCTTATATGAGTCAAGTTAGTAGCAACGTCAGTAGATCATCAACTGAGGTATCAGACTTGAACGTCCATGACTTCAAAAGTATGGCGTCAGTCAAGAACATCTTAGTGCTTTCTGACATCAAAGCCAGATTACACACAAAGAATAACGGTAGGTGGTGTCCACATCACATAGGACTTGTCAATATTTATTCATTAGAAACTCCCAACAACAAAAAAGGCATAAGGTTTGAGTTGACTACAGATACACGAACTACCTTCCAATTTAATAGCAAGATCCACGATCTCAAGAGATTGGGACGCACTGGTATTGCTATGATCGATGACTCGGAATATCTGTTTGAGTTCCCTAACAATGTAATTACAGAACAGATATACCGTTATATTGCACCCAGCCATCCAATGATATGATAAGGTGTAGGGCATAGCTTGGCAATGCCAACTATAAAATCAAAGCATAACACAGTTATAGAGACATAATTCAATGATACCCGCATGTAACAGATAAGCCTCCGGCCATGCATTTTATTGTTGTGCGGGAAAAATATCCCCACACAGGCAAGGAGAATTTCACATAATCAGCATTTCAAAAGCACACAACATAATATAATACATATACTTAGAACTTCTTTATAGAATTCATCAGGTTCACAGTTTTCCTCTACTCATAGACAAAACTAGCAATACTTATAGCTTCTGCACAGTATTCCGGTAACAATGCAACTGAAAAATACACCACTATTTGTGACTTGTATAGAATACACCCATACATTACCAAATAACACCCGGACACCTTCCAATTTGAACAAATATCTAACAACTATAGGAAAATTGACATTATTGACGAATGAATGTATACCAGATGCTGATTTTCTAAGCAATTCAGTAGAGGTCCATGAACCCTCATTTGAAACGGTGGTAATGATGTTGCAGCTGTGCGAGCTCCCCAACGTATCTTCCACAGACGGCAAATTCCACCACACTGACATCACTCCCCGTGTAGGGCTTCTCCCCTCAGTAAGGCTAGGCAGAAGCCATCACAGACTTCGACAGTATCGCAAGTCCTTTGCTCCCATTAGAGAGTTTCACTGAGGGAGACATGCAATAGGAACAGGCTCAGCTGCTGGTTCCAGTCCAACCCTCCATTCACACAGGGAGGTAGGAATGGCACACCAGTCCAGCTTACTCAAACCGTCAGCCTGCGGTTACCACCGGCTACTGGGGGTGTGGTTGGGCTAGACAGGGAGATGGGCTTTCCTGACTCTGTAAGCAAGATTCACCCCGTCTGCGCTCCCCCAGTACTGAGGGCTCTGGAAGGGGGAGAGCTTCAACACCAGGGAGAGCCCTGCAATCCACCGGTCACGCTAGGCTCAGACCATGTGCAAGTCCAGCGAAGGTTTAGGCAGAGGAAGGCAGCCTAGGCTCAGGGTACCTCATTGCCATTCTGAGCAGACCAAAGGGAGCATCGATCAGAGATGGTCTGCTCTCTTACCAAGCTGATACCGTACCCATGAGTCCCTCTCATCACTTTGGAAACTCTGGAAAAATGTTGTGTAGTGAGTTATGCCAGAGTATGGCAATAATGAGATTTCATATATTTGAAATTTTGTATAGTTATTATTAGACGCTATACCTTGATATATAATAGCTTATAGTTATTCATTTGGTACTTTGTTTTTTGAAACAATAAAAGGAAACCAGTAACGAAATATAGCAATGGCCAGATACGGTGCTACCTCTACTAACCCAGCTAAGTCTGCTTCTGCTCGTGGCTCTTACTTGCGTGTTTCTTTCAAGAACACCAGGGAAACCGCTCAAGCTATTAACGGTTGGGAATTGACCAAGGCTCAAAAGTACTTGGACCAAGTCCTAGAACACCAAAGAGCTATCCCATTCAGAAGATACAACTCTTCCATCGGTAGAACCGCTCAAGGTAAGGAATTTGGTGTCACCAAGGCTAGATGGCCAGCTAAGTCTGTTAAGTTCATCCAAGGTCTTTTGCAAAACGCTGCTGCCAACGCTGAAGTATGTTTTTTTATGAAATGATTTGAAGTGGACATGAAGTCCATCAAGAATAATATCTGTGTGAGAAATGAAGAAATTTTTTGAGTATACCTCTCGAAGTGGAATTAATAACGAATATACGAGGATTCATTAATATGACTGTTGATAATATCCAAAATCTGTTTGAAACTATACTGTCCATTCCAAATGTGAAAAGACACTTGCAAGTGTTTTGGATGAAATTTTTTGAATTCTGATCCAGAATGAGAGATATATCGTAATTTCAGCACACAATAACCCAAATAATATAAGTTCAAGTTTACTAACAGTTTAAATTTTTATGTTCTCAAATATTTTCCCGAATATCATGATCACCAAGCAGTGAGATACTTCCTGAACCAAATCTGATAAATGTATGATATAATATCTGAATTTAAGAAATGCGGCAAAATGAATATACAAACGAAATGGTTTACAAATTACACGTTGGTTGGATGCCATAATCTTTCTGCAAGATTTTATCATGCTCTTATTGCAAAATTCAATGGGTTTGGATATTTGGAAGTTCCATTATGCTTATAATTTTGGTTGGGGAAAAACCGATTGTCAAGGAACATGAAATGCTATATTTACAGGCCAAGGGTTTGGACGCTACCAAGCTATACGTTTCTCACATCCAAGTGAACCACGCTCCAAAGCAAAGAAGAAGAACCTACAGAGCTCACGGTAGAATTAACAAGTACGAATCTTCTCCATCTCACATTGAATTGGTTGTTACCGAAAAGGAAGAAGCTGTCGCCAAGGCCGCTGAAAAGAAGCTTGTCAGATTGTCTTCCAGACAAAGAGGTAGAATTGCTTCTCAAAAGCGTATTACTGCTTAAGTGAAAAGGGTTTTCAATAATCTTTTAATTTAGCAACTTTTACAATCATTCATCATATAAAAACCTTTACTTATTACATCCAAATAAACAAAATTATACTACATTTTTAATATACGTTTAGGAGTTAAAATACACAAATTTAAAAAACTAAGCATTCTTTTGTGATATTTAGTGTATATGTAAATTAAGTCCAAAAGTCGTTGCCTTGCATGACCAAATCTCGGCATGTTATAATATTATACCATCATGAAATGCTAATTACAATGTATTTAGCATACTATTCGTCTTTCATTTTATGTATATTAGTCCCAGTAGAGGTTTTTCACAGTATGTACACAATGTTCTATACACTGACGGAAAGATGCTACTTTGTCATCTACTAAAATCAATTATCCTCTTATATATTTTTATCAACCGCGTTACCAATCTTTGAAGCCGATGTTTGCACGACATTGACCTCTGGGGTGAGATAACCGCTTATGTTAATAACATACATCGACATCATGAATACTAATCCATGTAGACACACACAGTATAGTAAGAAAATTAGCCTAGTAGACTTATTTTGAAGGACAATTTTCGCAAACGTTGAAAAGAGTTTCTCCCATACAGATAGATGTCTGTTGAGATAATAATCTCTTTCAGTCTTCTTAAATTTTGAAAGAGGGTTCAATGACTCGTCATAACTATGAGACAATTGAGCCTCTGTATCTAAACTGGAAACTCCAATTGTAGAAGAATTTTGATTGTTAGTTAGGTAGCGTACCTTTTCATAAAGTTTAGTATTTTCAGCCTTTAGTATTTGCATTTCCTGTCTTAGTTTACCCTTATCCTGATTCAATTGACGTAGTTGCTTTTCCAAATCTGTAGCTCTATTTCTGAATCTATCTCTTTGCTTTGTAATAATTGGTAAAATGGCAGTGTTTTGCATAGGCTCATACTCGCCTTCTTCAGGTATACCAACAATAGAACTTGTGGGAGATAACTTTCCTCTTCCCTTCGATGTTCTATTGTTCATCTGTCTCGTCGCTCCTGATACCATGCTTGCTGTATCATTAAACTTTTGATCAATATCTTCAATCTGCTGCAGGTCAATCTCGAGTTTAGCATTAGCCTCTTCCAGTTCACCCAGTTTATCAGTTAATTGTGCGATTTCTTTTTGTAGCTTTGAGTTTAGTTCCTTTTGACTTATATTTTCAGTTCTCAACTCTACCAATGTTGCTTGCAGTTTCTTATTAGCATTCATTAGACTCTTTTGAACCTTATTAGACTCTTGGTTCTGGTCATCTTCATCATCAGCATCATCACTAGCTCCAAACTCAATCTTCTTAAGAGCTTCAAGTTCACTTTTAATTTCATTATAATCAGAGAAAGTATTGACCTTTCTTCTGAGCGTTTCTAATTCATTTTTATACGATACCGATTCAGTCTTCAGATTATCCACTTTTTGCTGAAGTTCTCTGGTTATATTATTTAAATTTGTACGCTCCCTTTCGGAAGATGCCATAATCAAGGCATTTTCACTTTCCAATTGACTGATTTGCTGTTGTTTTGCAGCTAAATCTGATTCCTTTTCAGCTTCACTGGTTGCCTTAGCTAATTTACCACTCAACTCTTCATTTCTCTTTTCTAATTGGAATACTCGGGATTGAGAAGATTCTAGCTCCTGCATAAGAAGATTTCTCTCAGTAGAAGCACTAAAGTCCATTGACGAAGGAGTACCCGTACTAGTAGTTTCACCACCTTCGATATCAATCTTCTTGGCAATGGTAGCTTCTAAGGCTTTATTATTGTCTTGTAATATGGTAATCTGTTTGGATAATTCCTTTTCCTTCTCACTCCAGTTTCTCTGTTTTTCCTCCCAAGTGGAATTTAACTCTTGCTCCTTGGCTGCTAGTCTTTTTGCAAGTGTCTTCACTGAACTTTGTTCCAAATCAGATAATCTCTCTTTGATCTTATCGTAGTCAGCGCATCTCGCCAGCTTATCTTCTAACTCAGTAATTTTACCATTCAATTTATCTGAATCTTCAATCTTTTCCACGTTATCCGCCGAATTTTTTAATAAGGGTAAAGGATCAGGGGCTTCTGATATCTTTGAGTAGAAATCAAGCAAGTCTTGCTCTGCACTCTTAGCTCTTTTCGTCAAACTGTCGATTTCCTGCTGGTATTGTTTGATAATCTTGTTGATACCATTGAGCTTCTCATCCGACTCTAGTTTCTTGAAAACTTTGGTCTCACTTGCAAGGTGCTTTCTCGATTCTAAAGAACTTGACTCTCTATCCTTTATTGCCAGAATCGACGTATCCAGATCCTTTTGCAAGTTAGTCAAGTCGGCTTTTGCCCAAAGGTCTGCCGCATGGTGATACACAGAACCATCCATTTTCAGCTCCTTGTCCCTATATTATCTATCGGGCACTTCAACCTAGCTTAATAGCTGCAAAAAAAGCCAAGCAGTATTCAAGTTTCTCTTGTAGAGTAATGTGATTATTGCTGGTCTACCAAATTAAGGGCACCTTTTTCCAGGATAAACAACTCCAATGAAGGTTTACAATGCGCTTATCAATTACTAGTCCAACTCGATTTCGAACAACAGCTATCCAATTAACCTTTAGCCATAATCTAGAAAGCACCAAGTTGTTCAGCTTGGAGTGCTTGCACGTATTATAGTTGCTGCATGTTACTTAGCGCTGTTTACTGCGTCACCTGAAGGATTGACCAATTTCGCGAGATGAGTTTAACCATCACTCACAGTGACGTATTTAGTGAGTTACAAAATGAGTTACATACCTGGCAGTTTATATATGAGAATTTCAATGAATGGCATTTCTAAAAGTGATCCTTGTATTATTTTATATTGGATTTATTATACATCTCTTAAAATATTTTTATAACTGTTAGGTATGTTTGATTAATATTTATATAATTTTCTTCTCTTTTCATTGTGGTAAGACATAGAAATCGTAGTGAATTAAAGCACAAATGCGTATGGAATAGCTTTAGTTTTACATGTTTTATCCCGATTCTACTCTAGTTATTGGGGATCCATTGCTACTACCTTCTGTATCTATCTCTTTATTTGTATTGGCTGAATTCACCTCACTGCGGTAGGAGATCGAATATACATGCCCTAATGATCCTAATGAATTAGCCGAGTGCTGATGGAATGTTATTTGGTCATCATAGCTGTATAAATCAGACAACAAATATTGCCCCTGAGGTATTTTTTCCAGGACACAATCGTTCAATACATAAGACTTCTTAACATTAATATGGTATGGTTTGTTTGAGAACATGGCATCCTTGAAGTTTCCCATTTCACAATCGAAAGTACAATCTTGACTTGTAGGGGTTAACGACTCTGAGTATCTCTGTTGCATATCTGAGTTTTGATGTAATATTATTGACTCCATGAATGCACTGAACCTATTATTATTTTTCTCATCCCGCTTAGCACTGAACTTATCAAGAGTAAAACCTAAACCAATTAGTCTCATAAAACTGGCGTACATATCAAGAGCATCAGTTCCTAGTCCAAAAATGAGAAATACAAGATAGGACATCAAAACATATATCCACACGTTAACAAATTTATGACCAACATCAAACTTAAGAATGGTACCCCAAAACTCTTTAGAATGTGTTGCTCTGAATGAGAATTTTGTACCAACTTGTCTCAAGTCCTTCACAAAAAGATAGATAGAGAATGGAAACATAACAAGTATAATCAGGAAGCAGAATATCAATAATCTAGCAAACCTAGTTATATTTAATCCTGAGTTGGTACAGTATAATATATCCTTGACATCCTTTCTTTTACGATAGTAAACGATGAGAACTAGTACAGCGTATATAGACCCAATAGACGACCAAATTAGAAGCCACATGGTATATACAACCGTTGTAACCCAGGTTGGTGATAGAATGTTCAAACACCCGTAACACCTGGCTATCCCAAACCTGAAGACTTGAACAAGGTACGATAAAGCCATCACCATTATGGGAGTTAATAGACTAATGGACAAATCCTGTGCAATTTTCCTCCAACTATTATGTTTCAAAAGAGCATTATCTGCTTTTAGTATCTTATGTAGATTGTAAATGATATTAGTAACTGCACATGATATCCCAACATTGGCACCGACCTCAAGCTTGATAACGATATCACACCAACCTTTACCTTCCCACTTCATCATGAAATCGGAGCCGCTCCATATTGCCGCATTGACAATGCACTTGAAATCCATTAATATGAGCCACATAATTAATATGACAGCAGGTGTGTTTTTAGTCTTGGTATGCCATGCAAGCGGTGGAACCAAAGCGAGCATCCCTAAAGTGCATAACCCAATTATCGCTGATTCAAAGCTCATTATTGCGCTGGTAGTTTCTGTATTACCTTCATTGGTATATATAAGGGAAGGTCATAACCACAGTATAAAATAAGGAATGGCTTATATATAAGGCAAACCCATCATTGCTCTTCTTTTGAATTAGACACACATCCCTTTGATTCTTAAAGTTGAACTAATGGCAGTTCATTTGGCAGACGTTGTTTCAAAATGTTCGACTAAGGTATGTGGAAAACCTAATCAAAATAGTCAATTGCTGGAGTTGTGGTTACGTCTCCTTAAGTGCCTTAAGTAATTACCTTTTATTTTGCCATTTTGGTTGATCAATGGTGCCTCGATGCCCCATTGTTATGAGATGACTCGTAAAGGCTGCCCAACAATTATTCTAGTAAGGTAATATTGGGCAAGTGTAGTCATATGAAACAGTTCAGACAAATAACTGAAATATAATACCCTGTATCGATTGATAAACATAAATTTATAAATAATAAAAAAGAAAGAAATCAGTAAAATCTATATACCCTCCACTCTATAGTAAAACGCTTGAGGGATTTGGTTTCGTTAGGATAAGAACTAATCAGTATCAATTATGGTAGTGAAGATCTACCACTACAGTTTAAAGAGAAGAAAAAAAATGGTACTTGTAGTATGGCCATTTGTGGCTATATGTAATTCACCAATGTTTGAAGGTATATCTTCGCTAGCGAAGAATTATAACATATCATCAAGATATATTATAGGGAAATATTAACCAGTTCAGCACGAGTCAATTAAATCAACAAAAAGTGTGCAACAGCAGTGAAGGCAGTGAAAACATAGTACCAGATACCTTGATCAACAGACAATGCAGCACCGCTAGACTTAGACTTTGAGGAAGATGGTGCAACACCGGATATACTCATCAACTTGGTGCTGTAAGTTTCATTGCTTGGAATTGCTCTTAATAAAGAGTTGACTGCAGAAGGAGATAAAGTTTGGTCGAAGGAAGTTGAGTTGGAGATGAAACTGACAGTGTTACCATTAGAATCAAAGATAACACCACCCATCATAGTACCCTTAGTATCTCTTGGAATGTAACCATAACTTTGAATACCGGTACCCAGATCTTCAATACCTTGGTAAGTGTGGAAAGTTGAGTATAAGTGGTTTCTTTCAGTGCCGTTCATGACTTCAAAAATATCGAACTCACCACAACCACTTGACCAACAGGAACAGTTAGCGTTGATTGGGTATTGAGAAGTTCTTGGGATTTTATCGTTTAGCAACCAGATGGCTGGCATGTCATAAAATTCAAAAGAACTGCTGTTAGATTGGGTTTCAGTTGGCATCTTGAATTCGAACAAAAACATCTTAGTCTCACCACCAAAACCGTAGAAAGCTGGAATACCATCTCTGTAGTAACCACAGCCGTTCTTGACGCCGGACTTTGGACACTTGACAGTGGAGAAAATAGAATATTCTTGGTCAGAGCTGACATAGTTGTCGGCCTTCAAAACATTTGGAGAGCTAGCAGAAGAGGTACCATTGTCGCTTGCGTAAGAAAGAGCCTTACCGACACAAGGAGAATCAGCACCTTGGTTATTCATGAAAGTAACATTATCTGCTGTTTGAGCAGAAGCATCATAGAAGGCAGAACGGTTCCAACTTTGAGAATTAGAACTGTTGTCATTGATGACAAAGTTAGGAGAAGTATAGAATGCAAACTTTTCTAGGGACAATGGACCACGGAAATGCACAGACAAGTGTTCATTCAATGGTGCATTATCACCTTGGAACCAAGTCCTGTCACCAACTTCACACTTACAAGTACTGTTGTTGTCTAAGTTAGACATCTTCTTCACAGGGGTATAAGACCCAGTGAAACCAACATTGCTGAACTCAATCATGTCATAGCCTCTAACTTCAGCCTCCACAAGAGATCCACACATCAATGCAGCTGCAGTAGCAGCTATCACATTTTTAATCATAGCCATTGTTTATTCCTTGTTTAAAAAATAGCCCTTTTATGCTCTTGATTTGTAATCTATAAATATCCGATCAGACAAAGGTATTTCAGCTTAACAAAGTTATCTGTTCTATTAATCAAGTAAAGAACAGAGCTAACAAACAACAGAATTAGTTATGGCTACTTTATATACAACTCCCACTCAGCAATAAATGACTATGACGTTTCACTTTGTCTAAGAGGGCCTGTCCCTCGAGACCATTTTTGGCAACAAAACAAGGCTTATAATAATCATCATAAACGGCCCACACTTGTTTGCTCCTGTAGGTACACCGTGGTAAGCTATATGTATAAGCCCATATATCTTTTTGTCTTTATTGACTAAACCTATTACAATGATAAGATGACTTGGCCTGTGTTTGATTTTATACTTCGTCCACGTTGTAATGAGCTACCGCTAGAAATATCTTCAAAATGCGCTCATCTCTGTATTTCTTGTCGATGGTTGGATCACTATAAAGGGACATTGCACTCATGAGTGCAGCCTCTACGAACGCAACACAGTTGTTCAGCACTGGTGTGACTCTACCAGTACAGGTACCATTGGAAAACACTTTCTTGATTTTCTGTTTGAGCATACTGCCCTTAGATTTGTTTCGTGGGTCCTGGTTGCTGCTGTTCGATGGTGTATTTATAGAGGTGGTTTTCCTCACAACTATCTCTTTTATGCTTCTAGACCTCATAGAGATAAATAGAGTCTTTGACACATCACACTTCTCACTGATGAAATCCCTTTTCAGGCCATGGACAATTTTGTTCTCTATCTCATTAGTTGCTGGAATAGCTTGCAGTTTAAAAAACGGATTAAAATGCGATAAATACATAGTGTAGCGGGGTAGCAATTCCTCTGGATACTTCGATATAGTTGTACCTGGAATATCAACATCAATGACCACACGAGGATGACTTGTCACTCCCTCGGAGTCCTCTTGCTTGCTGTGTATATGCACCGCAATATCACTGCAAGGTACCATCGTTGTTACTTTATTTGCATCGATGTCGCCCTCGAAGATCTCTTCAAAACAGCTTGTTAGTAACTTGTGATGATCTAAGCTGCTACAATCCCTATCGAATCCAACGTTTTTCAAAGGAAATGTGTAAGCACCATTGTTATTACTGGTTCGTATGCTGTCAAGTAATGTAGTAGTATCCATATGAGCACCCTGAAGTAACACCGGTTGCTGCGATCCAACTGTCTCACTTGATGTTCCAACGGTAGCACCTCCCGCGTTGTTGGTAGCTCCAAACCATGGATACTCATCGTATTCTGAATTTGTCGAAGGTGATATTAATTGTTGTTGATATGGTGTGAGCATATGCCGCAAAGAACTGTTACTGGCTGTTCTTTGAAGAGTGATATTTGGATTCAACCCTGTATTGTTTTCTGGTCTCTCCCAGGAATCCGTACCTGCGGTCGGAGAGTTGCTTTGGAATATACTTGAAATGTTATTCTTCTTAAATGAACTGCTGAAAGTAGCCATGTTGCTTGTACCGTTGGATAATGGATTAGAGTTCGTAAAGCTGCCTGTGATACTGCCATTGAACCAAGATCCGTAAGATGATGAATACAGTTGATTGCTTAACGAGGATGAAAAATTTTGGAATGGTATCGAAGTCGTGGATTTCAAGGATGATGGCTGTATGACTTCTGCCAAAGATTCATCAGAAGAAATGGACACCGAACTTGTTGCAGATCTATAACTCGAAGGTATCTTCCACCCTCTTGACGTAGAAAATGGCGACTGGTCGCTCTTAACTATGGGTATATCCATAGTCCGTGATTGCACATGGATATTTTCAGTACTAGAGTACCTTGGCCTGCTTGGCCTATGCTCATTTATCGTAGCCGGAATCTTAAGCTTGGAAGGTGTATGCGAGTTGCTGGATGAATGGTAAGATGACTCATTTGAGCCATTCATCGAGGGAGGCATCAAATGATTACTAGGAGTTGGAGTTGATACTGGTGTGATCATTATCTTCATTTCTCCATCATATCGAGGTTTTAGTAACCCTCCTAGAATAAAAACTAGTTTGTTTGCGATCACCAAGTTACCGGAAGTTATTACTATTCTATGACATTCAGACTCTTGTGGGTCATCTCGATACTCTATCAACGTCTTCGCTATGAGAAACGGCAAAAAGCTCAGCTTCGTGCCTTCCTTCAACTCAATCCAATTGAAAACATCCTTGAACCATGTATGTATGAAATCTATATTATCCTGTGGGTACAAAAACAGCCTGGGAATCTCATGACAAGATCTCAACGCTGGAATCAGTAGTTTATTGACCAGTGTGACGAAGTTATCCTGCGTCTCCACCACATGAAAGGATGTAGCCATCAAATGGCGCTCTGTTTGTGTTAGCCAGCCATCTATGTCTGCCCATGAGTCCGAGATATCTGCCAGCAGATAGCTTGGTAAGCACATGGTGATGGAAACTCGCCTATCTGAAGATTGGTAATTCTTCGGAAATGTACCATGCAGATTCATCGATGTCCTACGTGGATAGAACACACGCGTTATCAGCAATTGTCTTGAATTCGGAATTATCCTAAACTTATCCTCAGTGACTCTAGTCTTCGACCTGATCGGTGACCCATATATATACTGCCTAAGCTCACTCGCAGTGATGAATGGCGCACTAACGTTCCCGTTAGTCATCTCATCGTGTTTCAGCCCCATAGACCCATGCCCACGACTGCTATAGTCAAGTATAGTCCTGTACCGTTGTCTACACACCATCTCCGCGTTCTCTTCTAGTATAAGCAGCCGGTACTCAATGGATTCATGCCCTCCAGTCCCACTCCCAGGCGCACGCATTCGACACCCAAACAACTTCACCTTGCACTCATCGTTGAGGTTCTCCAACCCTTCAAACCGCTCACCCATCGCACTAGTATCTTTTTTGCTGTTATTGTAAGAACCTTAATCCTGAATTGAAATACTGCCCCCAATCTTTATCTTCTCCCACTTTAAAGGACTATTATTTAATCGTCCATTCTTGATTCACATTCCATCGTGCTCATCACCTAGTCTCGTGTCAACTCATCTCATCACCTTTTACTCGGTAACCCTTGTACAATCAGCTTTTTTTATATAATGAGTTATATTAATAGCAACATCCAAATTGTTTAGACGGTCATTGGACTGGCTGATCCCTTGTTAAAACTTAAAGAGCTTCACATACCGTTTTTGGACAGATTACTAAAGAGTCACAAACTTGTCTTTGCAGCTTTATCCATCCATTTAACTATCTTAGCCGGGCAAAACTACCCTTCAGGTTCTTGGTTATAATCGGATAACGAGGAATCATATCATACTGCACATCGCTATATTAGACTATGATCGCTAGATGGTTACTGTTTTCGTTGATATCTTCGCTGCTATGTATATTAGGTGCGCTATTTGTGCCCATTATCAGCAGGTACTCCTCCAAGTCGCATGAGAATAATAACACCAAGCTGGTTAACTATGGTTTGTCATTGAGTGCTGGTTCTATGATGACCACTGCGTTGTATAAGATGTTACCTGCGATGGATCCTGATAATAGATTTACAGTATTCTTTGGCTTTACCTTTGGTATATTAATCAGTTTCTTTTTGAATTATGTGGTGCATGCTTTCACTTCTGAATCACTTATACATTGTGCTCATGGTGATGATCATAGCCATTCTCATGGTGACCATGACCGTGCCCATGACCATGATCATGACCATAACGATAGTCATGAATATGGCCATGGTCATGAACACTCTCACGAACATGGAAACAATAACAACCATGTACATCTAGATGACAATGAAGCTGACGATGATCTATATGATCCGCTCTCAAGGCATAGAAGTGTCGAGACTGAACACTCTGCATTACTACCACATGGTAAAGAAGGGGTAAGAAGAAGGCTTTCGTTGCTAGACTTGTTCTCTAAAAAACATAGAGATATCGGCCCATGTTGTGATAGTATTGTCAAATCTTGCGGGGTACTCAGTGTGCCAGCTGATAAATTAACCTGTGTTCCACTTAACCAGCGCGGAAAATGCTTGAATGAGCAGTGCCACAACTACATGCAGGAAGTCGACCAACGCCCAAATCACGTCTCCTCGCAGACAGATAGTTCCTATTCCCCTAACCATAGCAACTCTAGTTCATATGAATCTCAAGATGATGCAGAGCATAAACACGAGCACACCTCTGGTGTTGTGTGCCTGGAGAATAACATTGGATATGATCTGGAGAATTTGGACACCTATAGAAATAACTACATGCTGGGAAGACGTAATACTATAGAATACCAACCATCAGCAAAGGTTAGTACAAATGCCGGATCTACAAGTGTTAGGAGCCAAGCTATTTCTAGGCCATCATTGAAGGGGATAAATTCCGCTCCTCATTATAGTGAAAACGCTCAGGCTACTAAGGCATCGAATCATGATGGGCATGGACATGATGATGGACATGAGCACTTCCACCATCACGATGAAGAAGCTTTATACTCGCATCATCATCATCTAGAGACGCCCTTCTCTAAATTACTTTCTATCGGTTTGCAAACATGTCTGGTTTTGACGTTACATAAATTCCCAGAAGGTTTAATAATTTTCTACACAAATCAATCGGATGAGACAAAATCTCTAGGACTTTCAATTTTCATCAGTTTATTGATCCACAACTTTGTTGAAGGGTTTGCCATGACCTTACCATTTTATACTGCATTTGAGAGCAAATGGAAAGCCATTTTGATTACCACAATACTAGGTGGTGGATCTCAACCTTTCGGTGCAGTTTTAGGGTACTTCATTTTCAAGAGTAGTGGTGGTGATCACAAGCATTCGGATGGTGCACCCCCAATTATGGGATTACTTTTGAGTATAACTGCTGGGTTTTTAGTTGTGATAAGTGTCCAGATGTTCCAAACTGGTGTTAGTTTCAGTGATAGTCATCATCACCACTCTGATGACAATGAGGAAGAAATTGCGCAAAACCATACTATGGGAACCACTTGTCTAAAGTGGTGTTGTGCTGGTATCTGTTTGATTTTATTAAGCGGTATTTTTGTGTAATGTATAAAAATGACTTACAAGATGAAATGAGAATCAATTTAGGTGCACCCAAGGATTCTGTGGATTCATATTATGGGTGGTGATAAGAAACAATTATTAAATAAAATATGCATTTTCTTTTATGGTTGCATTATGTATTTTTAGTGAATGTATTTATGTGATAATTTAAATGATATGCGAAAATTCTACCTCATTTATACCCTCAACATATAAAAACTTCTTGATTTAGTGAATAGGTTTTAATATTAGGAGTTCAGTTCGTATCATTTCTAGTTTGGCCCTCTAACCTAGTATCTCTTTCCTCTATTGCATCTTGTAGATCAACTGATACAACATCAAAATCAATATCTGTTTGGCTATTTTCATGTTCCCCAATAAATGGATTCTCGACTGGGCTTGCTTGTCCTTCTGGTAGATTTGCAGTTTTGGCATTCGAACCACTATGTTCGTATTCGTTATCTTCTTTTGTTGTTGGGAATTGCGCTTCCAAACTAAAAGGGTTATTCTTCGCATCATCTGAAAGAGGTAATCTAAAATTGTATTTACCCCATTTGAAATAAAGGATAGTTATACCTATTAAGCATAAAACATAAACTACGATGGCGTAATTCATGCCTTTTACTGTGACAGGAAGTTGAGTTGGAAAGCATACGCTAACCATTACTAATAATAGCCACAGTACAGAAGCAATGTTGATGAACCAACCAAATTTGTATCGTATTTTTACAGGTGCGTGTTTTATTGATCTTCTTCCAGTGCATAAGACTAATACCAATGGAATGAATGTTGCAGAACATAGACATAGCACAGCTGCACCGATAAAAGCGTTAAAAGCGGCTGTTGAGATTAGTGCTAGTAAACCTAGAAAGTATGATATTCCCATACTCAATAAGATAGAATATTTTGGAACTCTTGACTGGGAGTCAGGAGGAACAAAAGTCCATAAATCATAACGTGGAATGGCATGATCACGACTAAAACTATAAACAGCACGAGAAGATGTTGTGATGGAGCCAATCCCAGAGAAAAATAAGTTACCTAAAATCAAAAGGACCAAGAATACGGAAACCACCATCGAATGTGTAGATTTTGTGAATATAGTTACAATTGGGAGTACCTTATGATTTGAAAATATGGTCTCGATATCCGGTAGGATTAACATGATAGGAAGTAAGAATATTAGGCCGGAGAACGTTGAAAGCAAGACAGCGGTTGACATACCCCTTGGGATATCTTTTTCAGGTTTTTTAACTTCGTCAGCTAAAGCTGGAAGCATACTAAACCCTTGTAATGTAAAGTTAGATTGTTGAAAACCAATTAGAAATGAAAGGAATGCACTAGAATATCCGGACATGCTATTGTCAAAATGAAATAAAGCGTACTTCAATGATCTAAATTTACCCTTGTGAAAAATAAGAAGCAAAATATCAATGAAAATGATGGCATAGATAATCCAATAAACACAAACTTTGTTGATTATCTCGATGAATCTTGCAAACTTTAAGTTAACAAGGCCCACTAGAGTAACTACCATGTAGAACACAATCACAGTGAATAGAATAAGATGTGTCTCTGATATTAATTCGTTGTTGGCCATCAATATTAATGATATAGTTAGCTGGGCGCCGGCGAATGTTATGCTTGTACTCATCGTCCAGTTACCGATCAACATTAGCCAGCCAGTAAACCAAGAGCAGATCAGTTTTAGACGAGGTGGTGCAATCATAGCACTCCCAACATGCAACTCCATTGGAAACTTTGAAACAATCTCTCCAAGAGATAAGGATGAGAACCATATTAGTATTCCGCTAATAAAAAACCCAAGCATGATGGACAAGGGCCCACCATTAAGCATACCAATACCCATACTAGTGCACATACCCAGTACGGGACTCATTAAGCCAAACCCTAAACCTATCACAGAGTTCCGTGACAGCAGGGACTTATCTAGTTCTTGTTTATAATTGAAATGTTCTACTTCCTCGGGTTCATCGGTAACTTCATCCTCTTGAACATAGTGGTGTAAATTTTCAAATATTTCATGAGGATCCAAGTTAGGCATATTTTCACGGATATTCTCCCGGATATTCTCCGGGATCAAAGTATATTCCTGTATCATTATCGGTTATCCTTTTTTCTTGTGAGAGCTTATGAAGTAACCATCCAAAGCTCAGGAAAAGAACACCTCTAAAAAAACCTGTTGCTTTCCTCCGTCTAATATGTAAGTATAGATTCAGATAAATTCAACCTCCATACACTTGATTTCCAAATACAGACTATGTATTTGTGAACTTATAATTTCAATACTTCATGCTCATCTTCATATTCTGACATTTTTTCAGCCTTCGTGGCCCTTTAACCTGAAATTTTGAAATTTTGACAAATTTAAAATAATAATAAAGATGAGATGAGCTTTATAAGAATATGCACTTTGTGATGGTTGAGAGGTGGAGATTGGTAGAGCTATAGGAACTATTGAAGGCAATGGATTTTGACGAGTTTGGTAATCCCATTGGTGATGAGTTGGAACTGGGGGAAGAAATTGAGGTTAAGAAAGAAGAGACCGAGAGCATAGGTACCAATGGTGAAGGAAGCAATCATAGTGATAATGAGATAAACGAGGAAGATGACGATTATATGAGTGATCTAGATGCCGATTTTGACGACGAGAACCTCGCTTTAGAGTCTCTTAGACATACTTATGGTGATCAAGTTGAAGTGCTGATGGAATATGAAGATAGAGACGCAAATGAGCCTATTGTCGAAAGTGGTGATACTGGGGAATCTCACAGCAAAGAGGGTGTTTTTATTAGATTAAAAAAGAATATTCCTAGGGCGCAATTTGATAGAGAGTATATGATGCAGATGATGAAAGTGCCAGAAAGAATACGAACTGTATGCATTTTAGGACCCTTACATTCGGGTAAGACATCAATTGCCGACATATTCGTACTTAACAATTATGATAGACTGAACTGCATTACTAAAAATATTAGACTTGGTTGGAAGCAATTGCGTTATATGGATAATACTAGACAAGAAATAGAAAGAGGAATGACTTTGAAGCTAAATGGAATGACTTTCCTTGCTACAGATATGCAAGATAAGTCACATGTTATAAATTTACTGGATACACCCGGGCATGTGGATTTTATTGATGAGGTAGCTGTGGCAATGTCTGTTTCGGATACTGCACTAGTGTGTATCGATATCATCGAAGGCATTAGCTCCACTACACGGTATATAATCAAAGAATGTCAAAAGAGGGGACTATCAATGGTATTCTTGATTAACAAGATTGATCGACTGGTACTTGAACTTATGTTACCGCCTACTGAGGCATACATGAAACTGCAGGAGCTTGTGTTGAATATCCAAGGAGCTACAAAAGATAGCATGTTTACACCAGAAAATAATAATATTTTATTTGCATCCGCCAAATTTGGGATAATTTTCTCAATAGAACAATTTGTATCGAAATGTTATGGTAAGGTTCTGGCTGGTCCAAAACTGAATGAATTTGTCAAAAGAGTTTGGAGGAATAACTACTACGATAGAGGCGTTTTCCACCCAAGAACACTAAATGATAAAAACCATGAAGCGACATTTGTAACTTTTATCTTGAACCCAATCTACAAGATATTTACTCACACATTATCAAGGGAAGTGGATGTGGTATCTAAAACACTCAAGAAAAACTTTGGGGTATCACTTACTGAGGATGAAATGGCCAATGATCCGCAACCTTTATTAAAGGTAGTATTCACTAAGATATTTCCAGACCAAAAGGCTTTAATCTCTTCTTTAACTTCATGTTCTGGCTCAGGTAATTATTATCAAAAACAAGTGAATCTATTAGAAAATGGGGTACAGAATACATCTTCCAGACAATTTTTAGCACATGCAGTCAAAAACATGAGTATAGGAGACAGTGAGTGGACCTTGGTAAAAGTATATCATGGAAATATTGCTGTAGGAGACAAAATTTCAGTAATTGTCCCCGTTAGTAATATATCTGACTCTGGAGTGAAGTTTATTGATGAAGAAATGTTAGAAGAAGGATCGCAGCATGTCATTGAAGCGATTTCCTTGTTGGGCGGTAGGTTTTGCTACCCTGTTCCATCAGCTTCTGAAGGGCAACTAGTCTTGTTAAAAGGTATCTCTAAAAGTTTTGTCAAATCTGCTACCTTGTGTAGCAACAATATAGAATCTGCTGGTCTACCGTTATTTCAAGCTATAAATTACATAGGTAGGCCTGTATTCAAAGTTATCATCGCACCACTTAATCCAAAGGAATTACCAAAACTACTGAGTGGTCTGGAAAAAACTAATAGATACTATCCCGGATTACACGTCAAAGTGGAGGAGTCTGGAGAGCATGTTTTGCTAGGTAATGGTGAACTTTATTTTGATTGCTTAATGCATGATTTAAGGAATGTTTATGGTGGAATTGAGGTTAAAATCTCGGATCCAGTTACTGTATTTGCTGAAAGTTGTCAAGGGGAGTCATTTGCGGCCATACCGGTGGAGTCTTCTAATCACAATATATCGCTAACAGTTTGTGCAGAGCCTTTGGACAAGAAGATTGTTCAAGATATAAGTAAGAAGAAACTTGATGTAGAACTTCTAGGAGATAAGAAGGGTTTAAGAGAGATGGCTAAGGTTCTTAGACGGGATTACGGATGGGATTCTTTAGCGGCAAGAAACATATGGGCGTTTTTTCACACTTCGATACTTGTAGATGATACGTTACCTGACGAAACTGACAAGAATCTTTTACAGCATTTCAGAGAACAGGTCTTGCAAGGGTTCTATTGGGCTGTTCGCGAAGGGCCCTTGATGGAAGAAGCTATCCATGGAGTTAAATTTCGGATTTTGAAGTTTGAAATGAGCGGGCGTGTTAATTTGGACTCTTTGGATGTTGGTATAATTGGTGTACAATTGATTCCACTAATGAGAAAAGCATGTAATGTGGCCTTACTCACTGCTAAACCTATTGTAGTGGAGCCAATCTATGAAATGGACATTATTATGAAAAAAGTGTATTACCCCGTTTTGGAAGAAGTGCTAAAGAAACGCAGAAGTGCCTATATTTATGCAACGGAGACCATTCCAGGTACACCTTTGATAGAAGTGAAAACCCAGGTACCTGTAATCGAGTCTTTTGGTCTCGAGACAGATATCAGGCTATCCTCCGAGGGCAATGCGATCATCCAATCACATCAATGGAATGACATCTGGAGAAAAGTCCCAGGTGATGTAATGGATGAAGATGCACCTATCCCTAAGCTGAAACCAGCGCCAACCTCCAGTTTGAGTAGAGATTTTGTAATGAAGACCAGACGCCGTAAAGGGATATCCAACGATGGATTCATGTCCAATGATGGGCCCACCTTACAGAAATACATTGATAAAGAACTCTTTTCCCAACTTAAGGAAGCGGGATTTGTATAGGATCATTACATGGGGTCAAAATACTGCTACGCTCTGTACATCAATCAAACTTTAATCACTACATATGTTGAATAGAAGCGATTTATATAAGTATCACTATATACGTAATACATAATACCTCGATTCTGCCAAATCTTGTTTTGAGGGGAGTTTCTTGGGAACTCCAACTGGCGCTTGGAAAACTGGAAGCGATATAACGGGAAAGTCATCGGCCTGAGCGGTAATAGCGGTCATATCAGATGACTGTGACATACAAATCTGACTTATTACAAAGGCGGGAACATTAGAGTACGGTATTTGACTTTCTGAGGGCAACTTCGTAAATTACAGAGTCTGCGAAGTTAAAAGATTTGGTTATTCATATTATTAAACCCGATCTGATAAGAGTTGTCACAAAATAGTGGACTGAGATTTTATAACAAGACTGTTCGATAAAGGAGTAGTGCTATAGTACTTTCATTGTGAGACAAACTCAATAGAGTGATATCAAAAATATCAAACGATATCAAGAGCACGTACATCTATCATTTCGGAGCAATCCAAGGCATAGAGTCAAACTAAGCGGGTAAAGTTGAATTAGTCCTGAACTAATAATAGAGGATGATAGTTTGTTTTGTACGTTTTAATTCTGTTTAAGGATCTCATCAGTGATTTTGAGTAATATTTTAGTTGTGAATCTAAAACAGCAACTAAAGTGGCCCGTTACAGGTTGGAAGATCCACATTATTAAGAGATTAATACTGCATCATTTACAAATAGAAACTCTGTTGATAGCAAAGTTGAAACCAAGGCCCTGTTATTGTTGTTATATAATTTTTGCTGCATTTTAAGGTTCTAGCTGTTTCTTCAATGTACGGTCAACGGAGAGTACGGTCGGAAAGGTATTCAAGCGATATATCAAGTGGCAAGGATGAAGAAATAAAAGTTAGTAGAAGTAAAGGAATTGACTGTCCCCCCAGGAGGAGGGAAAGTAGTACAAATGAGGATTCTCTATACTTTCAGCCCACAAAGATTTACAAACTGGAAAAGGAGCTGGCTTCTAGAAGTACCCTTGTAAAATCGGATAAAGACTCTACAGATGAAGAAAGAGATTCGGATGAAATAGTTTCAAACAGATTTAATGAAGCAGATTCAGTACGGCATTTTGGTAGATATACCGATGAAAATTATCAATATCGACATATTAATGGTCTTGTACCTGATTATTATGAGGGCATGAGAAAAAATAAACTGGGCCTAGTTTCGGATCTCACTAATGAATCAAGAAATAATTATATTTTCGAACAAAATGCTAACTTTGAAATGGAATTCCCGATTGATGAATCTGCTCTTGGTGGTAATGAAACGAGAGGCATGCACGATGAATATATACCCAACTTGAATTATGGTCAGTTGATAGAAAATTGGGTGGATGAAGAAAAGCAAGTACAAACAATGGAAGATTTACAAAGAGAAGATAGTATGTTACAAGGCCAGTTGATGAAGGAAGCATCTATGATTCTTTCAAATAAAGTTAGATCTCCAACGCAAGAAAGAAGTCAAACACCCAGATTAGCGACATGGGTAAACGATTATGATAGTGAGCCACGTATAATGACAAATAGAAGTTCATCAGTTATTCCTGAGGCATTATCTGACGATGATATTAGAGAAGATAGTTTAAGTCCTAATACATCCGCAATTTTTAGTAATTCGCATGCTCAGGTTGAGCCTATACCACTCCCAAGTAAAAACTCATCAAGAATGCCTACATCAACATTGGAGGATAGGCGATCGTACATGAACTTTCTTGGAAAACCAGCGTCGACTTTTGGTGCTATTGATAGCATGGGTATGTCAGCCCTTAAGAATGTGAATAGTTTTCTTCCTATTCATAAATCATCACTACCATCAACAATACCTGTAAGAAAGGGATCATCTGGTCAATCTACCGCAAATTCCGATTCATCATCACTAAATTTACAGCATAACTTGAGTTCATCTGTTGGTGATTTAAAATTAGACTCTGACCAGATGATGGACTTAATTAGGAAACTACCAAAGGACTTTCTAACATTACCATACTCACAGAGGAAGAAGCAGATAATAAAACTTGCCCCCGATAAGGATTCAAGACTTATCATGTCCTTGTTAAAAAAGGTAATGATCACAAATTCTAAGAGTGCGTCCTCGATTCAAAAGCCAAGTATGCGGTCCAGACATGGGTCATTGGCATCACAGTTCTTGAGTTCATTTTCTCCTTCTGTGGCATCAATGGCTAGTAGTGGAGGGTTTCGACCTGATGACAAAGGGTTGTTTATTATGGGACACAAATTAGGAAAAGTTATTGGCTTCGGTGCATGGGGTATGATAAGAGAATGCGTTGACATACAATCTGGAGCACAAAGAGCAATGAAAATTGTAAGATTCAAAGATAACCAAAAGGTGAAGAGAAATGTCATCAGGGAGGTTAATGTTTGGAAAGAAATGCATCATATGTATATATTGCCTTTATTGGATTGGAAATTGATCAGTGATTATGCCATGTATTGTTTAACAGAAAGAGTAAAAGATGGTACATTATATGATTTAGTGCTTTCATGGGAGGATAGAAAGAATAATCAGATCCCGGTAGATGAAAGGATTAAGTTGACTATGTTCCTGATGTTGCAGCTAATATCAGCTCTAAAATATATGCATTCAAACTCCACGGTTCATGGTGATATCAAGCTTGAAAATTGTTTACTGAAGAAAGGTAGACAACATAAAAATTGGACAATTTTCTTATGTGATTTTGGTATGAGCTGCAGATTTGGTTCTTACCGTAGTCGGTATGATACCTTAATAGATGAGGAGAAGAACAACTCAGGAATTATCAGAGAGGAATCATATATGCCGCTTTCATTTGAGGCTTCGCCAAAGCCTATCTATAGGGAGGTTTCTCAATTAAATTCTCAACATTCGCAATTGAGTTCGCAATTAACTCCTCAATTACAACTTCAGTCAAATTCTGCATCGTTTTCACAGCCGCAACAATTTCTGGCTGTACAGCAACTGCCACAGCCAGAGCCATCATTGCCACATGTGCATTCGGATTCTAACAGCACTTCTCAACCTCCATCTAAATTCATGAAGATTGTGACTGACAGAAATGTTATTCATGATGACACTCCATTTGAAATCCTCACAGCTAGGCAGGCGTCAAGGAGATCTTTTGAATCTCACAATAGTAAAAAGTCCCAGAAAATGAGCACAGTATCAGTTGAATCGCTTCCATCTTCACCCTCAGCAACTCCTCTTGATAATGTGAATGCATTCGATCCTTGTTCTTTGGATGCTCAAAGGCATTTCTCTCTGTCGGTTGAGAATTCTAACACAAAGACACCATCATCTCTAATTGGGTCTCTACCATATGCTGCACCTGAATTATTGGTACCTGAGCCTTCTCCGTTGGGGCCTGGTGCAGATATTTGGGCATTGGGTGTTACTATGTACACAATGCTTATGGGTAAGCTACCCTTCAAGCATGACTTAGAATCCAAACTTAAACAATTGATAGCATCAGGAAAGTTTGACAAGAAATCTCTAAAATGTATGTGTAATGGTGGGCACAGTAATCTCTCGGATGAGGCTCTTAAATATCAAGGATTGTATGACGCTATTCTTGGGTGCTTGACGATCAACCTCCTTGATCGTTGGGGACTGCATGATGTTGAAACAGCACTCAGAGAAGAATTAAAGAAAAATGGAGAACTAAGCCAGTAGTCTCCAACTCTGTTTTTTTTTTGTTGTTTTATCTAGACATCAAATATTTTGGTATTAATATAGATGTTGAGCATGATTTCTCTTCTGTAACACTAGTTTCATGATTGCTGTTTTTATTGTCGTCTATTATTTCTTCATTGTAGAATTCTTTGCCATCATCCAACCTTCAGTCTATCAGATAGTCTTCCTAGTCGCCAAGAATGAGGTTATAAAAAACAATTACATATTCTAGCATGCACATTTTACTTTAATAATGTTACAATACATATTTATACTTCCAAAGCCCAATATTCTTTCTTGGTTAATATGATAATATAGAATACCACTTTTTGTATTTAGGTACGAAGATATCCTCGGTTCATCGTTAATCATCAAGACGATTAAGAAGCACCATAAATTGGCAATATGATTTCTTTACTGAATGTCGAAGCAATATCGAAGAATCTCAGGCAAAGCTGAAATAACAGAAACATTCAGGCCATGATTTATCTGAAGTCTATCATCAAAGTTATTGACAACTCGGGAGCACAACTAGCCGAGTGCATCAAGGTTATTGGCAAGGGTTCACCTAAATCGCCAGGTAGAGTAGGAGACAGGATTGTTTGCGTCATACAGAAGGCCAGACCACTAACTCAGAATATTACTGGTACAGCTACTACAAATAGAGTAAAAAAAGGTGATATTTGTCATGCCATAGTGGTCAGAACTAAGCAAACTAACGAATATAGAAGAGACGGTTCTATGATAAGTTTCGGCGACAACGCCTGTGTATTGATAAATAAGAATACTGGGGAACCATTGGGTACTAGAATCATGGCAAATGATGGTGTAGTAGATAGAACCTTAAAAGATAAGGGATTCAATAAGATCTGCTCATTAGCTAGCAAAGCTTTATAAATACCGGATGAGATTTGATGCACTGTTTGTGATACAATGCACCTGTTGACCAAGCAATGATAATTCTGGATTGAACACATACATTCCGCAATTTACAACCACTATATTACACTCTTTCAGCATATTCATGTACATATATATATATATCTATCTTTAGTGTAAATAAATGATGAAATATTTGATAGTTCTTAATTTTCAGCTCATATTATAGTATTGAGGATGATGTAATGAATGTATTATATTTATAAGTATGTATGGTGATAATAGATTCTTAAGTCTATGTGCAACTAATTACAACAAGGGCGTGAACATGTATGCAGAGGGGAATAGTTAATGTTTTAAAAACCAGCGATATGATTTTATCTTGGTATGTTTTTATAGGGGACACAGCATTTGGTATGTCTCATCCAACCTGTTTGGAGTAGTTTGTCAATTGATATACGTTTTTCTGGGTTTGGTTGGAAAATTTGGTAAAGTGCTATTCTGCGCAATCTATTAATTTCTTGGTTGATATGGCGAAGCTCTTCAAATACATAGAACTCCTTTTTGGAGGCCATTTCTTCATAAAAAGAGTCATATAAAGAATCCTTTCCTCTGGCAGCATTTCTCCATAAATAATGGCCCATTATCATTGTACAATACACGATACCGATACTCCAACAATCAACTAGCCTTGGGTCGTATTCTTTTTTGGGGTTGTATTCCTCAGGTGCAACATAAGGTTCAGAGCCTTGAAGGCCCGTTTGGAAATGTACATGTCTCTCCCATGCAGTTTGGAACACACAACTAGTACCAAAATCACAGATTTTCAATAAACCGTTCGGATGAAGAAGAATGTTTTCTGGTTTTAGATCACAATGTGCAACACCATGATCATGCATAAATTGTATGCCTTTTAATAACTGTTTCATAAAACAATCAGCTTCTAATGGGTGTAATGGTTTTCCGATTTTATTCTTCCTTGCTGTCAATAGGCTATATAAGTCACCAGCTGGACAAAATTCCATGACTTCAATAAAAGTATCATTGTATTCTAACAAATCTATGATACTCAAAATATTAGGTGCAGATTGTTCACCATTTTTATCATAGTAATGACTCAAAGAGTGCCCAATAATGAATTCAGAGGTAATTCTAGTACTGAATTTCTCAATTGGGTCTGATGGCCGTGGTTTCAGCTCCTTTACAGCAAAGTATATTTTTTTACTGTCCATATAAGTTTTGGTGGCCGGCAGATCATCCTTCTCATCCCTAGTTCTAGCACATACTTTTACAACACCGTATGCCCCATGGCCTACGACTGCAACACATTTTCCGTATAGATCAGCAAAAGCAGGTTGGTTTTCGTCCTGGACTCCGGCTCCAGACGGTGTTCTATGTTTACTGGATTGATTGTGTTTGTTCTTGGCTGCTGTAGATAACCCCATTCTAATCTTTTCAGATAAGTTATTGATTAGTTTTAACTCCTGAGACCCTACAGCAGCATTCTTGTTAACAATTTTTGGAATCGATGGGTCATCAAGTTCTTCATCATCATCAGAACTGTCATCGCTTCCACTTTGAACGTGGCTTCTGGTCTTCGTAAAGACTGGAGCGAACGTATCTCTATCTGTTTCAACTTTTGAACAGATTTTATTCCTTGGTAATAACGATACAGCATATTTCAATTTTTCGTCAGCGTTAGCAATATCCTCCTTTGAATGTGGTTTGAAGAACCCAGATAATGAGAATTTTGACTTCTGTCTAACCACTGAGCCGTCATCACCTTTTGGTAGATCTAAATGACCGTCATTTTTCGAAGCATGGTTATGGCTATTACCATTCGCATCTGAGTTTACTGAAGTCATCACTTTCAGGGTGTGGACATGGTGACCATCTTCATAAAGTTTGAAATACTCTAAATCTAAAATGCATTTTCCAGGGGTTTCATTATATCTAGGTAGCTGAGCAGCACTAACTGTTCCAGCATGCTCTCTTCCCTTTCTGCTATTAGACCTACTTGGTACTCTTGAACTTGTGGGAGATTTCGGAGGTTGAATAAATCCAGGGGCATAGTGGCCAGTCGGTAGCGGAAAGCTTCGTAAGTTCTCAATATAATCGGAACTGTCTGCCTCTTCGTAAAATGGTCTCAAGCCAGTACCATCCAGCATCGAATCTATGTTATTACTGCTTGTGTCAGGGCCAATGACAGTGTTTGCGTTTATAGGCAAGTTACCATTACTTGACATGGGACTGGCGTTCCTCACAGTACGACGACTGTCCTTGGATGGTCTATAGTCCTCAACTTCAATGTCAGTATCTGTAATCAGAGATTCCTGTGATGTATTCTGGCTGACAGGAGACCCTGATTTGGATTGTGGATTCGAATTAGTAGGCGTCAAGTTTAACTTCAAGATGTTTGGCAAGCCCAGATGATGGCGTGGTTGTTGTAACTCTGGATTGGCAGATTGTGGGGTTTTATGTACCACCGGTGTATGCTCACGGCTTGCACTGGCTGTGTCCACTCGTATATCAACTTTTTGCGCAGGCCCGGGGGTCCCATTTGCACCTCGATCACTGGGGCCTCGAGACCTCTGAGACTTAAACAAGCTCCTCATCGAACTACCAAGAGATAGCGATCTGTTCACGCCATGGCTATGGCGCTCCTCGTGTTCTGGCATCCGGTATTGTCTGCTGTTAAGCTTTTGAGCCCTCTACTCCTACCAATAGCCGTTGTCTCCGGATTGTTTTACTCTAATTGGAAGAGTCTACCGCTTATTTGTCCTGTGAAGCAAAACCCTGTCAACCACCAACCAGAAACTAGTTGTAGCACTTACCTTATATTATAGAGGCTTACGAAGGGTTATTCTTGCAAACAGCTTTCGTTTTTGAACTTTGGCTATTTATATACCTACTTTCGCTCTTTCAAGGGATTTGCTCGTCGACCCGAGAAGTGCAGCTTTCGCCAATAATAGGGATTTAGAAGTGGAGTTGTGGCCTGTGGCTAATTCTTGGATTTGCTATTTACATTTGGTTAATATATATTCCATTTTATATACAGAATAATGCGAAGTGTTTCTTTCCCTGCCAGTTAAATTTGATTGGAAGCGATGGTGCACTATCTATGCCGACTGTGTGCCCACCGATATGATTTGCGATTCTGGGACACGTTCATGGTCTAATTTTTGCAGTAAAGATTGTAGTATCTCTGGCGCATGCTTGTTGCTCATATCTATCTCTTCGACGACTTTACCATCTGTACCGATGGCTTGCAGTGTGCATGGCACAGACACTGTTTTGCTCTCGTTCTTTATCCTAGTGACGTCTATCCGGAGCTGTGGGTTGTAAAACTGTATCGTTGGCAAATAGTCCTTCCAAAACTTACGCGCACCCATGTGTCCATTGTGGTTCTTGGTCTGAAATGTTAGTGACAACCGCTGGTATTTCCCAGGGCTTAGTATAACTTGTGCATCAGTCGTGGTAGAGCTAATCTTATTCAGAAATTTCAACTGTCTCGCTACTTTAGACATAGTCCCGGTTCTGGTGTTTCACAAGCTTTGTGTTATAAATGGTGGCTTCCTGCGCTGTACCGGTTGTATGTTTGAAGTAGTTGTAAATTCATCGACCTGCTTATTATTGAGTGCCTCGAGTTTTATAGTTTCAGCATCTCGGTGAAACTTCCTCATAGTGTCGTTATGGGTGATATTGTTCCGTGCAGTATAAAGCTTGCTTCCCCAGATGGATTTGTGTGCAGCTATGAGAGTTCTAATCGGCGTATAAAAGCCAAACTTATGAAATATAAAAGGGTCTGTAATATATATACTTTATGTCATTACTTATAGGTTGTCTATAAAAGGTCGATTCTTTGTTTTATTCAGGTAGCAAAATAATGGAGAGGGTGAGGTTGGAGAGGGACAGGGGCATCAGCTTGCGAGTATGTGTGGCAATATTTTAAAACTCTCTGAATAGATCAGCGTAGGGATCCTCTCCTTGTACGCCGTAGTTTATTTCTTCTTCTGGGTACCTGTCAAACTGGGAAGTATCACCTTGTCCCTGTTGGATAGGAGGTTCATATGGAGTCTCTATGTATCTCGCCAGCAGTTTCTCCCAGACAACTTCGCTAAACCACGGATGGTTCTTAACATCCTCACTGCCGTTTTGTAAGTTACCAAGACGTTTACTCAAGTCTCTGGTGATTAACTTAGACAGTAAATCTTGCACATCTGGATGGAAGAAAGAAGGGAACTTAAGTTCCGAGTTTAAAATGTGTTCGTAAGTTTTCATTGTATTTGCATCATAAAATGGTGTATACCCAGCCAACATTTCGTATATCAAAATACCGAAACTCCACCAATCAACAGATTTGTTATAAGGCTTAGTGCTTACTACTTCAGGAGCAATATAATCTGGTGTACCACATAGTGTGTATGTAACATCCGGAACATATTTAGCAAATCCGAAATCGGTAATCTTTATATGACCATTTTTGTCAAGTAGAATGTTCTCTGGCTTCAAATCTCTGTATATTATCTCTTTACTGTGTAAATATTCCAATGCCAAGCATACTTCGGCTGCATAAAATTTCGCTACAGGGTTGGGAAATCTTTGCGATTTCCTAAGTAGGGAGAATAACTCACCACCCTCGATGTAGTCCATAACCATGAAAACATGTTGTGAGTCCTGGAAAGTACCCCACATACGAATGATGAAGGGATGGGACACTATCGATAACATCCTTCTTTCGTCGTTGGTATGCTCTACTTGTTTTAATTTTACAACTGTGTGTTTCTTTAGCGCTTTCAAAGCGTAAAATCTACCATTATGATTTGACCGAATTAAATGAACTCTACCAAAGGAACCTGTTCCTAAAGTCCGTAATATTTGGAAGTCTGATAGGGTGTACTTTCCTGAAGTGTTAGCCCCATATATGAGCGGTTTCTTCACCGTTTCCATTTGGTGTTGTTGGTGCTGCTCTGTTTGCTGTAGTCGTTGTTGTTGCTGTTGTTCGTGATTTGATTCTGTTTGTTGTTCGTTTGATTGTTCAGTACCTTGTGTATGTCCACCATCGGTCCGGTTCGTACCATTGTTATGTTCCTCTTTGTTTCTTGCCTCATAGTCGATATTGTGGCTCCCCTGGTCGTACTGGTCGTCTTCCACCACAAGTTCTTTACTCATTTGGGACTCTGTAGCTTTATCAATGTGGTTTTCTAACTGCTCATGGTTTTCTTGACCCATAGGTTCGTCACCAGGAGGTCCTGCACTCTCTTCTTCGAGTTTCCTTCTGTCGTATTCGCTATCCATAATCTCGACTTCTTTAAAATTTTCTCCCAGTATTTGCATCTGCTGTTGTTGTTCCGTTAATTGCTCACTTTCTTCAGCTTCAGGTACAACTTTGTCAGGGATACTAAGCTTCCTTACTTCATTATTCTTCTTTGGATCCACATACATTGGTATAACCAAAAGCAATTGAGAGGAATGTCAATATCGATGATTGTTTTCCAACAATGGTTAATGTGTGGGAGAATGTGTTAAGTCTTTGAAGAGCAACGGGATGTAAAATTTCTCACAGCCAATGTGACAAAGCAGAGAAATTTTTAGCAAAGAATAACTAGCTTATAGCAATTCTATGGCACGCAAGGGATGATAAAGACTGCTCAAAATCAATAAGCTATTGGTGTAATAAATAATGTTTGTTCAATAGAGTTCTCGCAAACAAAAAAGGAGAGATTTCGAACAATTCTCTGGGCAAAAACGTATTATCCTATTATCAGTCAGAGTTAGCTCACTTTCAGCTAAAGAAAACTGAGACTAAATTTGCAGTTATTGTCTATTCACAATTTATCTGCTACCAATCTTTATAGTTTAATAACCTTTCCGAGCTAAGTCTTGGTATTCCAATTGCTGTAAGAATGCTTTAATCTCAGTAGACTTTCCGGTTTTTCTACTGAAAAGTTTTTTTTTGTTCGAAAATTGGTTCTACGCAGCTTTTGAAAAAATTAAAGCTGGGGACCATTTTACAACTCGATGACAATGGGCAAATGCATGAGTAATGGAGAGAATGAAAGACAATGGGGTGCCGGGAAGTGTAAAGTTGAATATATAATTTTATATAATTTGTTAGTGAGTTTTTATCATGAGCGACAGCACGACAGATATGATGGAGGCTATCATAGGTATCCATAAGAAAACTTCTGGAGAGCCTGCCACAGTTGCTCCGTAAATCTTTAATAGCAATGGTGGGAACACCAACATGGTTAATGATCTTACCAGAGCCATGCCTCCGAAGCACTGGCCAGTTCTGTCCTTGGGACAGTATTTTATCACTGTAGATTGAATAGTTGGAGACAGGAAGGCACTGAAGGCTTGAAATAGTGCAAATCCTATCACGGAACTTTCACTCTCAGTCTTGAAGATTATGGCGGATATGCCAAATACAATGGCTACCATGGATATTCTGATACAAATCATATCAATGTTGTCCACTTTGTCTGTACATGCAGTATATATTTTCTTTAGCCAAGCGACGATGTATGGCGAAAGTAGCAATAGAACAACTGCCTTGCTGATTCCAGAGAAAGAAACAAAGTAGCCTATTTCGACAGTTTGCCAGTTGTATTTATATGTGGTTAGCAGAATGAGTGGAGGCATACAGGCAGTGGTAGAGCATACATATGCGATGTCTATCACAAGTAATAGAATTACCGTGTGTCTTCCCCTAAGTGATCCATTAGAATCTCTTGGTATCCATAGGGTTTTGAGTGGAGAGAGCAAATGAAGTGCCTGGTTAGTGTAATAGTGACCGTAAAGGTAAATCTTGCCAGCTAATCCAGGCCTCTCCGCACTTTCAATGTCTGCCATGAGTCTCTCAAAATGCTTATCCATCCGTCTTCCAAACGCTTCTTGAGAGTCCCTTAAAGAATCCTCATGGCGAGTCTCCTTAATAAAAAATAAGCACAACAAAATAAATAATGAGCTGCAGCTTATGGCAAAGTAGATTGGTGCAAAATTATTGCCATGGAATAGTGTAACAATATTAGAAGCTAAGAGAAAACCAACACCCATGGTTGCAAACAAGGCACTTGTAACTTTACCAAAACTCACTGAACGATTCTCTGGCTCCACAATATCCGATAAATAGCTGTTGGCATTTGCAATTATGGCGTACATACCTCCACTAAAGGAATTCAAGGAACCTGCCAATATAATGAACCATTTGTAGTATGTAGTTGACGGCCATAGAGCATATACGTGTGCAGCGTTGCCTAGAAGCCGAATTAAGCCAATATATATAAACACATGCACTCTTCCAAATCGGTCTGATAGCTCACCCATTTTGCCTGCCATGAAGGTGGAGATCACCCCAGAAATTATTATAGTCATAGATGAAATCTCGGATAAAATGGTTTGAACTTTAATAGGATCGCATATAGTTTCTTCTCCCTTAATCTGGCCATTGGATATGCTCTCGCAAACTTTATCCTTGGTAATAATGATTATCGGAGTCATATACAATGTCTCAGCCAAGGCTATTAACATAATCAATAAGCATATTAAGAAAGTACTGGGCTTCTGGTACCATGGCAAATGAATGTGACGTGCCTGATTCTCCTGTATTCGCTTTAATTCGGCGCTCACTGGCATGGGGTGTGACTCATCAAAAAATGACTCTAATAAAGCAGCTTCCACCGTCCCCTCTCTGTTGGTATAATGAGACTCATCGATTTCTTCATCAGAATGCGAGGCACCTAATTGCATTGCTTTGTTAGCCTGATTATTTCCAAGCAGCGGTGATATCTCTTCTGAACTCATCCCGTAAAGTATGTGGATTTGACTGCCAATTCCGTTAATATATATACCTCCTTAGGTGCAGTAATTTCGTGATGTTTGGATTAGATAGTTATTAATCGCCTGGTGGCAATCAAAAAAAATCACAAATATTAGCAGGACCCAATATTTATATCAGTCCCCTTGCTAAGATAAGTTAATCTTGCTATAATATTTACCTTTTCTACGTTGCTTAAATCCATGAAAACATCCTACTTCACCAATAATGAAAAATATCTGACAAATTACAAATAAAAGACATGAAAAGAGGCAAACATTCTACTTAATATCTAAATGGATAATTAAGCAAAAACATTACAAAACAATGGGAAATTAATTAAATTGCCTTTCACAAGACACCGTTAGCTGTGGTTCCACGGAATGATATTTACAAAATTTAACAATTAAAGCAACTCCGCATTTACCCAACTTCGTTACCTAACTTTGTAACGGAAAAGGAATGATGCTTCACAGTTACCACAGATGAAGTGTAGTATATTGAAGATAAATGGGTATTTTATATAATCTTAAGAAAAGATGGTGCTTGCTAATAAGCTTTGCGGATATATTTCATGCGTGTAAGACAAAATCGTTTGTTTTCTTAAAGATTGAAGAAGTCTGTATGTTTTACTGCGAGCATAGATGTCTATTTGTTTCTGAAATTTAGACGTTGTATATACATAAGGTATGGTAAATGCTTTAGTGGAGTTAATGTTTATTTTATATGCACAAGTCATTTTCTATAATGGCTTTATAAATATGTATGTATAATGCATTAGTTCGTTTTCTTTTGAGATGAAGTAGCTCTTGTGACATTCTTCAATAGCTGATGTCCTACAATTTCCAGAATCAGCATGAACAGAGAAGACAGAATGGCTAGACAGTAGTTTGAGATAGTAACACCAATATCAAGCCATGACCCTTCAGTCTTTAACAGGTAGAAGAAGTTCAATGACAGTATATCACTCGTAGAAATAATTAATGAAGAGATGGTATAATCTTTGATATCCAGTTGAATATTCATAATGCCAAGACCGCATGACAGTAAGACATAAGGGATAATAAGTTTCAACATTAATAGAGCACCCATAGGGAATGGATCAAACACAGGTAGTAATCTGTACACTGAATCCAAAGAAAAGGATGAAATTGACGCCACATTACCAGTTCCAAAAAAGGCTATCTGTTGTAAAAAGAAGCCAATGATTGCAACTCTCAGTAACTGAATACCATTACTATCTGACTTTTGTTCATCCTTTAAAACCTTGATATTTTTCTCAATTTGTAGCCATTGAACAATGTAAGCAGTGAAGATGAAATAAAACAATGCTTCAAAAGATATGGATAAGATAATGAATGATGGGGCAAATGTTAGATAGATGGTTAGTAATCTTACTTGATAATTGTTGTTTGGCTTCAAGTAATGCAAGAAAGGCATTATTGTTAAGGAAATAACTAGGATAGCCCAACCACCAACCTGAGCAAACGCTGGCAAACCTTCTCTCTTCTGTAATGATATAACTGACTTGGAAGTGAAGTGTAACATACCACTCACTAAGAATATTTGGATAGACAGAAGATGCTGGGTGTATTTGGAAATATCTTGAGACAACCGCATGACAGCATAAGCTGAACTTAATACAATTAAGATACCTGCAACCTGGATTTGTTGCAAGTTTTCGATCTTTACCGCATCCAGTAGAGTGAAACTAGAAAGACCAACACTTGTTAGTATCCATAATAAATTGGTAAACAAGTCTGTGACACCACAAACTAATGGATAGAAGGCAAAACTAACTAAAATTAGGGATAAGATCCAACGGTGGAAAAACCCATAGACGATACCTTCATAAATAGAAATGATTGTTAATCCAATTATAACAGACTCAGCTTTTGAGATGCCTTTAAAAAATTCATTGACACCATCACGTATAATAGCTGTGTTTGAGAATATCTTGCTCCAGAAAAATAGAGGGAATATCAAATACAAGTAGAAGTTTAAAGGTGATTTTTGATAGAAAAGAATATAGTTTAGGATTAATCCTAGCGATGTGAAAATAGAAATGTTGAGAATTGATGGGTGAGTAGTTTGGCTATTGTTTAAGATAAACAATTTCAAGAAAATCATAAATGAATAACAAATCCAACCTAAGAAACCGAAAGTTACAATAGTTCTAATGAATCTCCAATTGTATGTAGTCAGATAATGTAAACCTTCTAGGGTCACTTTCATAAGTTCTTCCGTTAACCTGATGGCCTCTGGTTCTAGTGATTCTTCTCCGTTTTCAATCTTTTTGATAAGCTCTTTAATCTCTTTCAAATATTCTGTGGGGGACTTTTCGGCAAATTTTGGATATATTTTGTAAACAAATTGAGAGTTTATAACTTCATTTTCTTTTACACGGTATTGTTCGAGGATGCTTTCCGCGTTATTCAAAAGTGCTTCTAGTTTCTGGCCTTCTGAACCTTCGATGTACGCTAGAGGAAGTTCACCAACGGAATTAGCTGGGTAATTTGTACCAATCAGGTACGACATTAAAGCGGCAATATCAGCTTGTTTAACATCGTTTCTCTTGATATTAGCAAGGTTCCAATTTTCGGTGTATTCATCGAATTCTGGTGTATCTAAACGTACAGGTCTATTTAGACCTGCACCCCAGGCCACTAACGGTGTCCGTGTATTGTTTGGATGTCCATCACCATGGGAGCCAAAAGCACTCATACCATGGTCTGCTGTGAAAATGAAAGCTGTGTCGTTGTCACCAAAAAACTCTTCTACTTGTTTGACCAATTTTTCAACTTGTTTGTCAATATAGATCACATTATCATAATATTCAGCAGAGTAAGGTCTGTAAGAGTGACCTGCTGTGTCACAACCTAGTAGATGCAGGAAAAAGGCGTTACCGTCTTGTCTAATTTGCTTATCCAATTCTTTATCAGTGGAGGAATTTTTGAACAATTGATCTAGATGTCTGAAGACGTAGGCGTCAAGCTCAATTGAAGATTGAGTGAAATCCTCGTATTCGTGTCCGTACATCCAGGCATCGACTTTGTTTGGGTCTGATGCACCATCTTTAAACATTGGTAGTATATCTGGAGAACCAAAGGAGTATGTGTGAGCTGTTTGATTAAAGAAACTGTCAAAGTCCACAGGGTTTTCTTTCCAACCTTTTGTAACTGCACTAACATCCTCATAGAAACCTGCAATCATGGCCACATGTCCAGGTCTGGATTCTGTTGGCATTCTCGTATGAGAGATACCATAAGTGGCATTATTTTGAACCAATGATCTGATGAAAGGAGCTAAATAATCTGCCTTCTTGGTCACAGGATGGGTAATCTTATCAAATGTTGTATCAGCTCTTAAACCATCGCCTACAATCAGAAACAGTCTCTTTGCTGGAGGATTATTGGTACTTATCTTCTGTTCCATACCGTGGACCAATGGTGATATGAAATATATATCAAAAATGGACCACAGATATAGCAGATGGAATAGTACACCCACCACTATAAGTGTGAATCTAGTATTATTCTTCATAAAGGGCGGTTGTATGTATTTCAAATAGCGCCGGTTCTGGTTATTAATATCCAATTGAACTCGATATTCAAGTTTGTAATGTAATTGTTGTGCTTGTTGTTGTGTCGGCTAAACTATACTTTCGTGTCCGTATTCGAATGGAGTTTACAAGTTATGTTGTTTTTATTCAAGTTGGTTTTTTTTTTATATATATATCAGTTCCTATGGGGTAATTCAATTGTTGAAAATAAAAAAAACGATGAAAATTGTTGATCAAACTGTTTACAATTATCAATAGTATCTCTTACATCATCTAGCAAGGATAGCTAAATGTGTAAACGATAACCGACGTGCAATGTTTCTGGTGTTTTCATTTGGGCACCCGATGGGTGTTGGTACATTGCAAAATCATAGAACAGAAAGAAAAAAAAGACAATATACAAGTTGATATCTCGTTCTTTGTACAAGGATTTCAGTGTATCTTAAGGTACGCGAAACTTTGCCAGAGTTCTTTGGAAAAAATTATGATTATTTCAAAAAAAAAAATCCGACTATGGCGTCGTACAGAAAAATGAAAATGAAGTGGAGGAAGATTCACAAAATGAAAAAAAAAAAAGGTAAGTCAATCGTGCGAATATATATCACATGATGTGTAATCAAATTAATGCCGAGTTGTATAATATTCGAATAAAAGATGTTAGTAATGGATATGTCAATTAACTCTAAGTAAAATCAATAATAGAGCATACATCAAAGTTATAAAAAAAATTATTTGTTGGGTTCACTGGGAAAGAAGAAGAGGAGGGGAAGTGAAAGAAAAATAAAAGACAAAGATAAAATTGTGCCCGGTATTTATAGGATTGGTGGGAATGGGAGAAATGGTGAGGGTGGCAAAAGAAATCGAGGGGAACACCATGAAAACTTCCTCCCCTTTTATCTGTTGTTTCACCTCACTCACATTGATACTCAGCGGCTATTTCTAAAGATTGGGGATAATGAGGGGATAAAAAAATTGTCCTTGGACAAGTGCGTGCAGATTGGTACTAACATTTCTAGGGAAAGTATTTATTTTGTTTTGAAACGCCGAACTATGACAAATAGAATGTATATCTTATTTAAAATTGGGGTAAACGAAATAAAAAAAAGAAGAAGAAGACAACAAGATCTGTGAATTATTGTTAGAAACTCCCGTATATATCACTTAAGCAAGAGATAAAAACCATTAGGAAGGCGCTAATTAATTAGTAATTAGCAGATATCAAAACTAAAAAATGTCCTTAGAACGGAGATCTAGCGGAGATTGTAAAACAAAAACCATTTGGCGGCTCGCACCAGAGAAGAAGGATATTTCGATTTTTAATTAATTAGCCGCTTACCAGTTGGTATCATGAACAACGAGCTACGGACGGAGCTGCACGAAAAAAAATTAATTGTTGTTAACAACTTAATTTGAAATTGGCTGATCACTCCGATACGGGGAGTCGAACCCCGGTCTCCACGGTGAAAGCGTGATGTGATAGCCGTTACACTATATCGGATAAGTAACAACTTGAAGTAGGAGAGCAAAATTGCCCTCTACACCTAGTTGTATAACACACTGTACGACACAGAGACCGGAAACCGAGTATTCTTTTCGTCGTTTTTGTTACATTGTCTGATACTATCTGGTAACAGTGTCGATGATTAAATCTCAAGTTACTAGTAGTAGGAAAAAGCAAACAAAAATGGCAAGACTCGAACCGAGGACGGAAACGAAGACGATACAGGCATGTCAGTCACATGGTTTGTCACTAAATATTGTACACCAATTGCTTCTCTCCCCCCCCCCCCAAGAAAAATAGTGCAGATCCCATTAGACGTTACCTCTCCTTGCGGGTTGTGGGTTGTGGGGAACTTACACAGAGTAGGAAAATTGATGAAGCCAGATCATTAGGCTTCCTAATTAGGAAAAATCGTTAAATTTGTTTTTTTTTTCCACAAAAAAAAAAATTTCTTCTGTTTTTAAGTTTCCCAATTTTGGAATTTCAGATCTTTTACTTCCATTTTGATTTTGATTTTATTTTTACTAAATTGGGTAATTTACAAGGGGGACAATTAAATCTTAAATCCTCGTTATAACACAATGTAGGACGGGGGCGGGTGGCATACCATTTTTTTTGCTTCCAATTCTGATTTTATTTTTTTTGTCCTTTTTTGTCTGAATGATAATGTGAGGATAGGGTGTTAAGATCTTCCTTTCTACACAGTATTCTTCCACTAGTCATCTTAGAAAGTGACCTTTGGTATTTTTTATTTTTATTTTTACTCGATCTGGGAATCCAAGTGTCGATTTTTTTACTCAGATAGGAAGGAAGAGCAAGATAAAGATGGGTCAGCTTCCTACGAGAAAGTAGAAGACGATGCAAAGAAAAAGTAAAAATGAAAATAAGTGAAGACACTTACACTACTAAATATGGTAGTGTTATTGAATCTGCTATGGCAATTTCTTAGCCTTAAAGGAAGACCGATACAGCAACCTTTCTTTTTTCTATTTTCTAGTCTTTTGTCTTTTCGGATGTAGGATACAACTATTTCCCTCCCCCTTACTTTCTCTGAGAGACATGGACATAAAGAGAACTTTCCCACACTATCAAGTTCAAAGCTCAAGTTTTTTCGAATTCTCTCTTTTGAGCTGCATATGGATCTCTAACAAATGACAGCAGAAAAGCAATTTAGACAAGTACTTAAGTACTATTTTTAGTAGTTTTGAAAAGGGATTAGGGAAGGGGAGAGAAAGAACAGTCAATTCCCGCAGGAGACAAGAAAAAAAGAGGCGTATAAACCGCTATGTTCTTCCCCCTCCTGCAGGCCTGCATATCTAGTTGAGAAATTTACAGAGGATATCCATTTTACATCTCATTTGAGAATAATGGTGGAGGGCGGAAGGTGTAAAGCATTGAGAGATGATTGTACAATCACAGTAAAACGCCTGTACCAGAAACCCATGAAGAAAGAATTATCACGGAGATTTGGGGGGGCACAGAATAAGAAGGCTCGACGGAAGAGATCACAAGAAGAAAACAAAAATAGCCGCAGAAGCGTGGGGAGGCAAGGGGAAGCAAGTTTGTCAAGCACTAAACTTCCCAAAATAGGAATAGTAATGGCCCGGGTCTTAGAAATGTAGAGAGATATGAGCAAATGCCGAAATAGAAAACCCTGAATGGAATCCCTCAGAATAGGTTGTAGTAGGGATAGCAAATGTCTTAGCTGAGGGAAAAAAAACCTCTTACTATTCTTCGAAAGGAAATGTACCATACAGAAGAGCTGCAGGCATTTTGCTGAGAGACTTTTTCCCACAATCCCTACTAAGGTCCTCCTTCCACTTCCTACCCTACCCCGTTCTACACAACCACTTTGCGGTGCATGCGGTAATGGGAACCAGAACTTTGGTGGGGGGCCAGTCCCCAGCTTTAGAAGGCGTTAGGTGTGGGAAGCTAGGCTGAGGGTTGTGTTCCAACCTGGCACTAGGCTGGGCGGACAAAGGAAAGAGAACCCGATGTCCTGGCTTTTACAAAGAGAGAAGTCCTGCCTGTTGCTCTTCTGGCTCTTCTAGCACGATAATTGCTGCATGCTGTAGTGGTGCAAGATGCACTGCAAAGGTTGAGGAAAGTAACTAAAATAAGTAACTATTTCAAAACTGGATCAAGATCAAAGGCATGGACATCCACCCAACCCTTGGAAGGGTGAAGAAACTGAAAAAAAAAAAAAATGGATGGCTAGTTCTGTAGTCTTCGGTAGAAAAAGTATATAAAGCTAAGGTTTTCTTTCTGATTTCAATTCATTTTCTGTTTTCGATTCTGTCATTACAATTCATACATAAATCAACCAATAAAAAAAGAAATTAACTTTATATTCCCATACTTATAATGCAATACAAGAAGTCCCTCGCTGCCACTGCTCTATTGGCCTCTTCCGGTTTGGCCGCTTACGTTCCAGGTAACCCATGGTCCACTTTGACCCCATCTGGTACTTACAAGGGTGGTCTAACTGACTACTCCTCTACTTTCGGTATTGCCGTTCAACCAATTGCCACTTCTTCCTCTGTCGCTAAGAGAGCTGTCTCTCAAATCGGTGACGGTCAAGTCCAAGCCGCTACCAAGACTCAAGCTGCTCCAGTTTCCCAAATCGGTGACGGTCAAATCCAAGCTACCACCAAGACTCAAGCTGCTCCAGTTTCTCAAATCGGTGACGGTCAAATCCAAGCCGCTACCAAGACTCAAGCTGCTCCAGTTTCTCAAATCGGTGATGGTCAAATCCAAGCTGCTACCAAGACTCAAGCTGCTCCAGTTTCTCAAATCGGTGACGGTCAAATCCAAGCTGCTACCAAGACTCAAGCTGCCCCAGTTTCTCAAATCGGTGACGGTCAAATCCAAGCTACCACCAAGACTCAAGCTGCTCCAGTTTCTCAAATCGGTGACGGTCAAATCCAAGCTACCACCAAGACTACCCAAGCTGCTTCCCAAATCGGTGACGGTCAAGTCCAAGCTGCTACCAAGACTGCCAGCGCTGCTTCTCAAATTGCTGACGGCCAAGTCCAACAAAACAAGGACCCTAAGGACCCAGTTGGTGCTGTTTCCTGTAAGGTTGACGGTACCCTACAAATGAACTTGAAGGGTGGTATCTTGACTGACGAAAAGGGTAGAATTGGTTCCATTGTTGCCAACAGACAATTCCAATTCGATGGTCCACCACCACAAGCTGGTGCCATCTACGCTGCTGGTTGGTCTTTGACCCCACAAGGTAACTTGGCTCTAGGTGACTCCGATGTCTTCTACCAATGTCTATCTGGTAACTTCTACAACTTGTACGACCAATCCATTGGTGCTCAATGTCACCCAGTTCACTTGTCTGCCATTGACTTGGTTAAGTGTTAAAAAGAGAAAAGTATGAAGGATTAACTTATTTTTTTTCCCTCTCGCTTACTCAGCTCTTACAGATTTTTAATGATACAGAGAGGTCAACGTCTAGCAAGACTTCTGCTAGGTCTAGAGTGATGTGATACAGCTAGGTTCTGTAATTTCAAAGATCACTTCTATGATATATTAGTTTTGCGCGTTCCTCTTTTCACTTTTAAATTTTATTCTCCCCCCACGTTTTATTCTAAAAAAAAGTATGTGGTGGACCACAGGCAATATTTTTTTCTATTTTGAAGGGTAAAAGAAAATATTTTATACCCCATGGAAGCTTTAAGAGGAGGCATTTGCTAATATGGATCTATTTTATATTGTTTTATGTTTGTTCTTTTAACTGACTTGCTTAAAGTCTCGCGAATTTATGTAGAGACTTTATTTTGTCCTGTTGAGTCCAATTTTTTTCTCCACACTTTTAATTTTGTTCGTCGTCATACAGATAGATTTTCTTTTCTTTGTCTTAAAATCATACAAATATAAACTTTTTGAAAAGTTCTATCAATTTTTTTTATTCCTATTTGTTTTTTCTTCTATAGGTTTTCTGCATTCATTACATATAAATAAATATAAGCTTATATCAGTGATATAACGTATAAACTATTTTTTCATCTACTGAAAGAAAAAGATACTTTAATTATGTCAAAAGAATATTTGTAAATTAGACTATTTTTTTTGCGTTTGTATATTTGTGTGTGTGGGGGGGGGGGGGGGTATCATTCTCTATACATCGAAAGTATATAGATTTTTTATGGGATGGGGTTTAATAATATAGCACATTTTGATTTGCTGTTACTTAACAGTCAACCAAGGACAAGACTTCCAAGTGGATTGGGTGACATTGTTCAGCGATGTATTCGTCGTACAAGTTGTAGAAGTTACCGGAAGAACATTGGTAGAAGACATCGGAGTCACCTAGGGCCAAGTTACCCTCTGGAGTGACGGACCAGCCGGCGGCGTAGATGGCACCAGCTTGTGGTGGTGGACCATCGAATTGGAATTGTCTGTTGGAGACAATGGAACCGATTCTACCCTTACCGTCTCTTAGGATACCGTTCTCTAGCTCCATGACCAAAGTACCGTCAGCCTTACAGGACTTGTTGACGATGGTGATGTTTGGAGAAGAAGTGGTGGAAGAAGCGGCAGAAGAAGTAGAAGAGGATGGGGCCAAAGTAGATGTCGTGGAAGTTGACACTAGGGACTTTGAGACGACGGACTTAGAGTCGATGGATTGGACGGCGATACCGAAAGTAGATGTGAAGTTGACGGCGGCACCAGAGAAAGTGGCGTTTGGAGCGAAAGTAGAGAAGTTGTCACCTGGGGTGAAGAACTTGGTAGTGGTTGGCTTAGTTTCAGTGGTGGTTGGGGAAGTGGTGGCAGCGGAAGCGGCAGAGGCCATAGCCAATAGTGAAATCTTGTTGAATTGCATTGTGTATTTGTGTTGTTATCTTTATAATAAGTGTGGGGGGGATGGGATTCAGTATAGTAGGGTGTTGTTGTTTTTTAGCGAATGTACAGTTTTAATTGTTTGGTGGGGATTTTATATTCTATTTGCTGTAATACAAATTTGAAATTCTCGACGGGGATCTAATCTGAGAAACAAATAAGTTTTCAGAAAGAAATAGAAGTGCAAGGAGAATTATGAATAATTGTCAAAACCTTTTATACAAGAAAAAAAAAGAAGATTGTCATCTTTAAGAAAAACAATTGAAAGGATCCGAGGGGAACGTTGTTTTGATTTCTAGTTGTTTTTTGTTGTTTTTTTTTCAAATTAAATTCTCCTCTTCACCATCAGTATAGTAATACGGGCTTTGTGTGTGTTGGAAGTTATTTAGACTTGCGAATATGGGATGGGGTCACATACAATAACAAGACAATCAAAACAAATAGCAGGTCCTGTAGACGTGCGTTTTTCTGTTTCCTAAGCATTTTGCGTGGTAGAAGTTCTCTATAGTCTTGAATGTATGGTTGTGCGATTGTTTTGTTTCTCAGTGACTTTTGCCTTTGGTGTTTGCAATGAACATTGCTCTGTGTGTGTGTGTGTGTGTGTGTGTTCAAATGAGAGAGCCTACCGCACTCTTGTTACAACTTGTCTTCTACACACACACTCGTCGGTCTATAGTGTGTATTTGTGTATTTGTGTATTTGCGTTTTTGCGTTTTTTCTGTTTTGCGTTCTGTGTTAGGGAGTATATGCCTACGGGACCTTCTGTGTGAGTACATTAAAATAGAAAAGTGTTAATCGCGAAATCAGGATTACTACGGGCTTGGGTCGGCAAGCTCGAGGCCACTCTGCGCCGAATCTCTGGGCCCGTAAGGAAATCTCAAAACAGTCACAAAGTGATTCTGGAACTTTTTTCGCAGAGGGAGAGAAACTCGATTTTCCTCTTCGCTCGAACTCGACGTCCGATTCGATTCGATTTCATATTTTTCGGGTGTTTTGTGTTGTGAGTTTGCGAGGCCAAAACTGCCCACACAAATACACGTACGGGTCATTGTTAGTTTCCACTTCATTGTCATTATTCCTGTTTGGTAATACTATAACAGTCCTGATTAGGAATTACTTCCCTGTTTGATGGCTTACGACTATAGAGGCTTCTCCCTTCCCTACTGGGGACAGGTGAAGAATTCTAATTGCGGAGGGACCACACAGAGAAGTATGTGGTATACGTCGGGGGGGAGGGGGGTTGTGTGTGGGACGCTAGTTTCACAGAGCCACTTTAGAGGAAAAAAAGTGCCGCAATGTGTGAGCTTCCAGTAACGAATGGCGGGGGGGGAGGGGATCACAGGGGTATCGTACACTGGACCTGTCATACTATATTACAGAAACGGGTTGAAAACTTTCTCGTTTATTTACATGGACGGACGTGGCATACTTGAATACGGTAAGTTGTCAACAAAGGAAATGAAATGAAATGGAAATGCAATTGAAATGGGAATTGCCTGTGCTTATTAAAGATGCGAAAGTACACATGTATACACACACACATGAAGAGAGAGAGAGAAATGTTTCGTGTTCTCTCACTCTTGGTACATGACTGAGAAGGGGCCCGCCTCAGGGGCCGGCAGATCTGAGCCGCGCCACTTGTCTATAAATGTATCTAGAGGTTCTACGGTACAAGCTTTGCGGCCGTCGTTGATTCCCGTGTATAGCAATTGGCACTGGTGTGCATTCGGTACGAGTTTGAGGGCCCTGTGACTGTAGCTAGTGCTAGTGCCAGTACCGCTGGTGTATCCGAGGACGAGGCTGCTGCTCTCGATCCCATACGGTGCACTGGCTGAGCCAGTGCCAGTGCCCGTGATTCCACGGGTGCCAAATCCCATTATTGCCGCAAGCCATGACTTCCATCGGAAGTACATAGTCTCATGTGTGACTTCGAAGCTGTCTACGGCAAAAAGCTTGTGTTCTGGGAAACGTCGTTTCAGGTGGCTGAATAAGAGGGCTGCCTGTGACGGCACGTAAACTTCTGTGCCGCAAGCGACATTCTCGGCCGGCGGCAAACAGAGCTGGACGGCCAGCTCGCACAGCGGGTCCATTCCCATGCCCTGGCCCAGGTACGTGCGCGACATGTCCGAGGTGTTGACAAAGCATTGCTCCCACTCCCCCGCACTTGCACTGCCACTTGCACTGCCACCAGCGCCAGCACTGGTGTTAACGTTCCCGCAATCGGGGCGGACACGTACCAGATCCGGGGCAAGGTTCTGCAACACGTCATCAAACATTACCACGTGCACGGGATCTTCCTCGGCGATTGAGCTGGCGGTGCTGTACTCCAGCGGCAGGAGGTCGGCCAGCCTCATGTCCTGCAGCGTGGCGGGTGTCCCGAACACCGCTTGGTCATCGCCCAACACCCACACATTCTCCGAGACCTGTCGGGTCTCGCCCGGATGCTGTGGGCTGGGGTATAAGGGCATCATGTACACCTTGACGCGGCTGAGCAGCTGCCTGTCTACCACTGGTTCCAGGTACCGCATAGCCGCCGACAGGATCTCCATGGACTGCCTGTAGTTGGAGAACACGTTCACCACAGTGAGATCGTAGTACGGGTACTCGTTCAGCTTGTAGTCGACCAGGAGGTACTTTGCAAGACACGTAGCCACGCTCCGCAGCAGATCCGCGGTAAGTGCATTCTGTTGTCTCTGGTGTCGTAGTCTATAGTCATACGTAATGAAGAAGTTGGAGCGGGCAACCGGGAGATTCACCCACGCCAGGTAGTCCCTCAGACTCTTGCTCAGGCATCGAGACATTATCTGTTTTTTTGATATATACACAAGCTCTCCCTACCAATATCTTAATGATACACATGCCAGTATATTTTCTTACATAGTGTTGTGTACTAATGTGTACTAATACCATTCCATCGCAAGCATTGTTCACTTTCATCTATTGTTTTTTTCCTAAACCAATCAAAAAGAAACATTGCTCATCTAATTACTACACTTCTAACGATCTATTGAGTCTGTCTACAAGAGACACAGCAATTCCTACAGTTGTGGTTCCGAATGCTATCTCCACAACCTAAACATTAAAAATCTAAAGCTAAAGAAAATAAATAGAGATATGGATCCCGTGCACAATTAAGTGACTTTGTAACCACATCACAACATCACCACAGACGTAATGCTGGGAATGGACCAGAAACGGGTGACAACAGATTTATACGTAATCACAAATGCACGGACACTTAGACACCTACGTAGCCACCAAGGGAGAAACACCATGTGCAAGAGACATCCGGACAGGGAGGAACTTCTACCTCCAGGACGCAGTACAGCTCTATTGTGCTGCAACAAGTTAGGAAATGTGGAAAGAGGCAAAAAAAAAGACCAGTCTGCGAAGAAACGGACGCACAACAGATTACAAAGAAATAATTGAAAGGGGAAAAACAGGGGCCAAAATGCAATCCCATCACACTCTTACCCTGTAGCCCCCCCACCCCCCGAAAAGTTCTGCGGGCTTTTGTTTCGAACATTCCGCTTTTCCTATTGTGGTGGAACTTATCAATTTGATTTATTGGTTAGCCCCTTACAAATAGGACTAGACTACGACATATTCTAGGAGATTAGTTGTAAGCGTATTAGAGATGAAATCCTTTGAGCGATAAAACTAAAGTGCGCCTGCGTCGTACGTACCCTTCTGTGCTCTTCCCAAGTTTCTTTCTTGCTTGTCTAATTGGCATACACTGACCTGTGGGGGGGGGGGATGACGAAGATGAGGCCTTTCTTTTGTGCCCAAGGACAGAGCGTAGCAGCGATGGCACAGTGGAAATTGAGAATTGAAACTTAAACACCGAGTAACTCCCTAAGGGGGGTGACAAGGGGACGAGAGTAGATTGCTGTTCCTTGTTCCCGAAAGGATTTACTTTCGCTGTGTATAAAAGGGGCCTTACTTTTTAGAAACTATAAAAACAACCCCATCGCTCTCCGAACTCATATTTAACCGCATTGAACAATATTAGACAATATTAGACAATATTAAACAATACCAAAAAAACACTCACACATTATAAAACAGAAATGGATTCAACCAAGATCGTCAACATTTTCCTAGCTATCTTTTTGCCACCAGTCGCTGTCTTCTCCGCTAGAGGTTTCGGTACTGAATGTATACTGAGTATCATCCTGACCATCTGTGCGTGGTTCCCAGGTATGCTTTACGCCTTGTACGTTGTGTTGACCGACTAAACATAACATAAACATAAGGGGAAAAAAAACAATCAAAAACGGGAACTTTCAATAACCCAACACAAATATTTGCATTCAAAAAATCTAAAATTTTTTTCTTAATAGTTTATTCCTATTAATTTTTTATTTCTATACCCTCTCCCTTCCTAAGTAATTTCTAATACTATAATTACATTGTCTTCAGAAACCACAATAAAAAAAAAATGGCTAGCTCTTTATCCTGTAATCGTACTCATAGCCGGATATCCTCCGGTAGTATGCTATGTGTCGGATACAATAGTCGATGAGCCGGGCTACGTACAGTACGATATCGATCGCATCGAGTAGTAGGATTGGTGCCAACAGCAGCAAGATGAGCACACTGCACGCCAGCTGGAACATCTTGAAGACACGCACCAGTAATTGCTCTGCTACTTCTTGTATCAGCGATACCATGGTACTTCTTTATATGTGTAGAGATAGTGTGGATTCTGGTGTATAGTGTTTGAGTCATATACCCACAATTGAGAGAAAAAAAAGATATAAACATACAAATAAAGTAAATAATTACTAAGCCCTTATATATTAGTAGATTGATCTAATCTTATACATTTGAGGTTTTATTGAGATCAGTGGAAGTGTGACTCTATTCATTCATCTTGCAACAGCTCAAAGGGATTGACACTCTTGCCATTCTCCACTTGTGGTTCTACAACACTGATATTCGCTTCTTCGGACTTAGTATCGCTAATGAGGCCCTTATCTGTTATATCTTTGGGGTCCTCCGCATTGTTCTCCATCATCTGTGGCTCTGACTGTGCCTCCCCTGTCATCGCCTCAGTGCTCACTCCATCGCCCGTTGGAACAGACTTTTCTTTTGTTTCGGATCCTGCTGATTTCGCCTTCGATGATGGCTCTTGCAACTGAGACAGTTGTTCCAACATATCCTCTTGCTTGGCCCGCAACGCTTGCTCCATAAGTGTCTTGTCCGGTAGAAACTCATACCGACGCATCGGTAACCCCAATTGGATGTCTTCGCCCGTGAGACTCAACAACGCATTGAACGCTGGTGCCAAGTCACCTCGTGCAGCCAAGAGGATGGCCCGTATAATAAGTTTGTCCACGGTTGGAAACGCCTTCACCAACTTCTCATAGTGCACATTCTGCTCAACTTCTGTATTGAGCTGCTTGATGTCCGCAAATACCAAGTACTTCTGTAAATATGAATAGCCGTCAATACTCATATCTTCTTCACTGCTTCTCAAGTCTCTCAAAGAAATGATAGTTCACTCTCATAAAAAAATTACCTTCGGCTCCTGTCCTCTTTCTTATTGCCTTCTATATTTGATAGTTTTGCAAATTGCATGTTGACACAAAGAAGAGGTATGTGTTCTCGGCTAACAAGCCCATCGCCCCGGCTCTTGGAAGTCGCAATTCAAAGCACATATCGAGGCCATGAAAAAGATCAAAGCGAAAAAGTTCTAAATTCTAAGTTCAAAAGTTGTTCTAATTGACTAATGTCGGTACTAATTACATGTGTCTATATATTATTATTTTTACAAAGTCCTTTGTGAGGATAAACTTGTAGGTTGTAGTTCCAAGTCCTGAATCTCTATCTCTGTATCATCGCTCATGCCTGTCGATGCTGATCCCAGCAAGCGGTTCAGCTGTTCGGTGCCCTTGGTGTAATATCCATACCCTTTACTCGAATGCGAATTCTTAGAAGTGAGTTCAGGCGCTTTCCACCACTTCAACATCAATGAATTTACTACCACACTGACAGAACTGAACGCCATAGCCAATCCAGCAACCATTGGGTGTAGTGTGATCCCCCATGGTACGAGAATACCCATGGCAATGGGTAACATGAATACGTTGTAACACAACGCCCAGAACAGATTCAGTTTCACTCTACGGAACGTTCTAATAGACAGGTCTAATGCATTTACAACCCCTTTTAATGTGGGCTCGTCGGTGTCTGGATCATTCAAAATCACTATGCCAGCAGCTTCAATGGCAACCTCAGTCCCAGAGGAAATGGCTATTCCCAAGTCGCTCGTTACCAAGGCCAATGAATCATTGATACCGTCACCAATAAATGCAATAACACGCCCTTCTTCTCTTAAATATTCCACAGTTTGCGATTTCCCATCAGGTGTTACTTCACTGTATACATTATTTGGAGGTATGTCAACCATTTCAGCCACTTTCATAGCCGATTTATGAGTGTCACCTGTCACCATGAATACTTCGTAATTGTTATTGCGCAAATAGCGGATGACATCTTTTGCGTCACTTTTCACTTCATCAAGTAGCTCGAATCTACCACACACCTTATCATCAATGGCCAAATATGTCACGGTGCATGGGCCAGCTCTACCATACATTTGCCAGAATTCTCCTAACGAGTCCTCATCCATTAAAGATTTGTTTCCAACAGTAATTCTCAAGGTTTTATCAGCAGCTTTCACAGTGCACTTGATACCTTTACCTGTAATAAGTTGTTCATCCTCTATAATCATTGAAGTACCTTCGAATGACTCTCCTAATAGATCTCTGCAATATTTTACAACTGCTTTGGAGACTGGATGATCACTTAACGCCTCTGCCCTCTCAATACATTCTAGATAAAATAAGTTCTTGATCATTTCGGCGTTGCCTACAAACTGTTGAACAGTCATGTGCCCAGTGGTCAATGTACCTGTCTTATCAAATACAAAAGTGTTTACCTCGTTGAATTTCTCCAATACATCACCACCTTTAATCAGGACACCATTTTCACTAGCAACACCAGTGCCGACCATTATTGCAGTTGGTGTAGCAAGCCCCAGTGCACAAGGGCAGGCAACGATGACAACCGAAGTAGCTATTTGTAAACACATATAGAACCTGCTTTCACTAGTCTCACCAAATATACTTAATTTGGAGATGATTTTCTCGCTTCTAGTTAGAGAAGTCCATACAATAAATGTAAGTAGTGATAGGATCAGCACCGTTGGAACGAAGATTGACGCTACATAATCAGTGTATCTCTGAATAGAGGCTTTCTTCAGTTGTGCATTCTTCATTACCTTAATAATATTTGCGAGCTTAGTATCATCACCAACAGATGTGACTTCGAAATAAATCAACCCAGAACCATTGATCGTACCACCTGTTACAACTGATCCAATTTCTTTAACCACTAGATTTGTTTCACCAGTCATTAAAGATTCATCAACCTCAGATATACCTTTTGTGACAATACCATCACTTGGGATCTTAGCACCAGGCTTGACCATGGCAATATCACCAACTTCCAGTAATTCGATGCCAATTTCTTGCGTAATTGAGTCATCATCCTTATCAACGATAATGCAGGAAGAAGGTGTCAGTGATATCAATTTAGATAATGCTGTTGACGTTTTGGATTTAGCCTTGTTTTCAAGATATTTCCCGATAGAAATATATGCGACAATCATGACAGAGGTATCAAAAATAACTTTCGGAAGTTTCCCCGAGGCTGGTGGCGATACTATGCATTCGGTCATAGAATATAATGAGAAAAGGTACGCACATGTAGTTGAGAAACACACCAAAGTATCCATTGTACCAGCATAATGCTTCAAGGATGCCCATGCAGATTTATAAAAAGTGGCACCAATGACAAATTGCACATAAGAGGCTAGGAAAAAGCCTATGATATCACGGTAATATAAGCCGTTCACAGCGCCAACTGATGAATAAGGGAAGATTTTATCCTTCATCAGGCTTGGAAACAATGCCGGCAACCCCATGTATAATACCATGGTGACAAATGCTACTATGCAAGACTTCACACAAGCTGACTTCCAGTAACGTATCTCGCTGGCCTTAGTCAACAAGTTCAACTGTGTGTGCTTATCGAAGGAGACATCTACCACGGCGTTTATCCCAAGACTCTCCAGTATGTCAATGATCTTTCGTATACCTATGATCTGGGTGTCAAAGTGTACTGACAAACAGTAATCCTCGGTATTCAAAGCCATATCGAGTATACCGGCGTTATCCTGTTTGAAACCCCTTAATTTATCTGTTAGCTGATCCAGCTCATTGTCGTCCTTCGAATTGAAACCCAGTAGCCGTAGGTCAACGTATTTGGCCCTAGAGTCTGCACCACCCACAGGTTCACTGCTAGAGACAGTACCATCAAACCCGCAATCATCGATGGTCTCCTTGATATCCTCTATAGCCACCAACTGCGGATCGAAAACTACCGTACACTCCTCTGTCATTAGCGAAACATCGACATCAGAAACACCTTCTATAGCTTCCAACTGCTTGGTCACCGTGGCCACACACGAACTACATGTCATTCCTTTGATCCCGATAAACCCACGACATAGCGCAGGAGCCATACTCTTCTCCCTAATCAACTCACAATCAAACCCGCAGTCCTCAACAGCCTCTATAATACCATCAGTCGCTACACTATCCTCACTCACTACTTTGCACTCACTGGTGACCAACGACACATCACAACTGCTCACACCTTCGAGCGCCTCTACTTGCCCAACCACAGCATTCACGCATGACGCACACGTCATGCCCCGCACTATCAACACTACCTCCTTCATCCGTTACCTACTTATCTGTAGCCCTTGATCAGAAACATGACATATAGGACCTCTCTCTTCTCTCTTCTTATATACTATTTACAAGGTTTGTGGTCGCCCAATTCCCACCACATTAACATTCATGCCTATTATTGCCCAGTTTAAGTGAGACCTTCCAACTTAGTACAGAAACACCCGTACAAGTACACAACACAACACCGCACCCGGATTTTTTTCTCAACTTTTTTCCCGTCTCTCAGGCCCCTTCTAAACTCAGTTTTGGCACTTTCTGGAAGTGACACCGATAAGGAACTGCATAAGGAACTGCTCATCGCAAAGGCATGGAAGGTGAAACTTTCGTATTATCCGTTGGCTGGGGTTGGATGCCCGCGACACACACTTGCATTGGTACTATATGAATCCCATAGTCTATATGAATCCCATAGTCTGCATTGTCTCTTTCATTGTGCTGGCAGCTATCTCTGATGCCCTCTGTGTACCTTGTTGGACGGTGTCGTCGAGAAACTGTGGGTCCTCCATGTACTGGTGGAACTTCTCTCTAGGAACACGGAGTTCTTCGATGATTACTTCAGAGACGTGTGCCTTCAAGTCCCTGTAGTTATCGAATTTCTGCAACTCTTGCTCCACGGCGTGGACGGGTTGCTTCGTAATACCGCTGACAATGTTGATAAGGTTTGAGAGGCCTGGTCTGTGCACCGGGTCGTAGTAGAACTTATCGGTGATCGAGTCCGTGCGAGCCTTCTTGATCTTGCGAATGATGGTCTCTGGCGGGTCGTTCACGTATATGACGCCGTCCTGGTTGGGGTCGCTCTTTGACATCTTCTTGGTGTCGTGCGTCAGAGACAGGATCTTCTTGGTGGGTGCCAGCAATGTGCGTGGCAAGGGGAACACCTGTTTCTTATATAGCTTGTTAAAGTTCTCAGCCAATGTACGCGTGAGCTCCAAGTGCTGGACCTGGTCGTCCCCGACTGGAACATGCGTGGCTTTGTAAAGCAGGATGTCCGCTGCCTGGAGCACCGGGTACCCGAACAGGCCCAGCTTCACTTCACCGAGCTCTTTCGCTGTGGCGTCCTTGTCCTCACGCAGGTTGGACTTGGACTTCCATTGGGTCATACGGTTCAAATAGCCCATGGGGGCCACAGTGCTCAGCAGCCAGTAAAGCTGCGAGTGTGCAGGTATCGCCGATTGGTACATAATCGACGCCCTGGCAGGATCGACACCAACTGCAAGGATACTAGCAATCGCCTCACGGCGTAACTGCTTGAATTGCGCGGCGTCCGGCTTTGGGATGGTGATCGCGTGCAGATCAGCAACGCCAAAGATCAGCCGCTGGCCCGGTTGCTTGATGTCACACAAGTCCTTCCACACCCGCGTAGCACCCAGGTAATTCCCCAGATGGAACTTGCCAGTGGGCTGAACCATGCTGAACACTACCGCATCAGAGGCTATGTCCGCTTGGCTAAGCTTGTAGTCCGTGCTTTGAACTGTGCCCTTTGCACAACGACTTGTGGTGCTGAAGAGACGTATACATTTTGAGTGCTTGATCATGTTGTATAGTTTTGATCGTGAAGCGTCTTGTGGTTTCAATTGGGGGGGGGGGGGAAGTTACCAGACTATCTTTGCTTAAAGGGCTCACGCCTTTTTTTTCTATATCCTACAATTTTTGCTGATCAAAAAAGTTGAGCAATTGCGATGAGCTGTATAGAGAAGACTCATGCAACAGTAGATAGCAGGGTGAATAAGACAATTGAGTATGCCTATGCCAATGAGCTGATCGCTACGTAACAACAATAGCTATAACGCTGTGTCTCGGTAGTAGTTTCATGACTCTTGCATAAATGTAAGTACCGAAACCCAGCATACAATTCGTAAATATTCCTGGAAGTGCTCTTGCATTTCTGCTCGTATATATGTTATATAAAGCTTATTACCTCTATAGGCTGATACTTAATTTTTATTTGTGAGTCTGATCTGACTTGTGTTTGGGCGATGGCCATCGAGCAATTAGTAAGCGAGAATAGCCGAATATAAAAGAGCAAGTGAAATTGTGCCATTGGAGTTCTAAGTGAGATACAGTAAGCCAAAGGACCAAGAGTTAGGATGCCTTTACAATTAGCCAAATCGCTTAAGTTACACAACGACAAAGTGTGGTCCATTGATTTTGAGCCTGTAAGAGGACTCTTGGCCACTGGATCCACCGATAGAGCTATAAAAGTTTTACAATTGAAGAATGGCAAGGAGAACTTACTGGATGTGCTGGATGACACTGTTCATAAGAAAGCAGTAAGATCAGTTGCATGGCGTCCACATTCTGATCTGTTGGCTGCTGGCTCCTTCGACTCTACTATATCTATATGGACGCAGAGTGACCTCGACCTTGAAGAGGGTGCCAAGTTAGAGATGGAGCTGTTGGCCATCATCGAGGGCCACGAAAATGAAGTCAAGGGGATCTCTTGGTCCCAAGATGGTTGTCTGTTGGCTACATGTTCTAGAGACAAGAGTGTATGGATATGGGAGACCGATGAAGCAGGCGAGGAGTACGAATGTATCAGTGTTTTGCAAGAGCACTCTCAGGATGTTAAACACGTAGTATGGCACACAAAACATAACTTACTAGCATCTAGTTCATATGATGATACAGTGAGAATTTGGAAGGATTACGACGACGATTGGGAATGTGCAGCGGTGCTTACCGGTCATGAAGGTACTATATGGTGTTCTGACTTCTCAAAGGAGGAAGACCCCATCAGATTATGTAGTGGTAGCGACGACTCAACTGTGCGTGTATGGAAATATATTGGTGACGATGAAGATGACCAACAGGAATGGGTTTGCGAGTCGACTTTGCCGAATGCACACAGATCACAGATATACGGTGTCGCCTGGTCACCATCCGGACGTATTGCCTCTGTTGGTGCAGATGGTGTCCTTGCCGTATACAAAGAAAAGCAGAATGACTCTGAAGTAAGCGAATGGGAAATATCTGCCACGTACAAAGCTGCACATACTGTTTATGAGATAAATACAGTTAAATGGGTAAATATAGACGGCAAAGAAATGCTAATAACCGCAGGTGATGACGGGAGAGTGAACCTGTGGAATTACCAAGACTAATAAGAAAGAAATAGTTGGACAAACTTTGTATAAATTATAAGATAAGAACACAAAGCTAATTAAGTATACAAGTAACTACACCTCGTAACGCTCTACACTTGGTCTATTATCGTGTTCTTCCACGAATTAGTCACAATGTGACAGACCCGTCGTGACGCACTGAAAAAATATTGGCACGCACACACCGAGTTTGACAGAATTCGATGAGAATAGACTGGCACCAAAGCGAAAGCATGTTGCATAATGGCTGGTGGAGTTTCTATAACCTTAAGTGAGTTTAGTCCGTACAGTATCTAATTTTTAGTGCGTTATTGCCTGGTGTATGCTGACGTTAGATATCGAGACGACGCTCAAATACAGCAAAAAAAAAGTTGTAAAACGTGGGAAAATAAGAGAAACAGTGAGTGGATACTAGATTAGACTATACCGCACTTCAATTTGAGCCTTAAACTAGTGGAAAAAAAAATTAGAAGAAACTTATGAGTAGTGAACAGCAACAAAACGGATCTAAGCCCAAGAATAGGAATTTCCGTAGGACTCAGACTGGTGGTAGAAGTAATGGAGAGTCTGGTAATGGTAGAAAAGCCAAGAAAATTACTGGGAATCCAGATTTTTTGCAAAAGGAGATTAAAAGTGGCAAGAAGAGCAATATAGAAAAGAAAGTGGAGGAGTTCAATGCTCGTGAGGAAGATGATGATACCGAACTTTGTATTATTTGTGCCAGAGTGTTAGTGTATGCATCATTATCTCCATGTAATCATACTACTTGCCATGTTTGTTCTTTTAGACAAAGGGCCCTATATGAGAAGAAGTCATGTTTGATCTGTAGAACTGAGAATGATAGATTAACCTTCACCGACAATATCGATGCACAATACTCCGAAATAACAGACTTTTCAGGAAGTGACGATAAGTTTGGTATTGATTTTACATCAGATGAAGTAAAGAATGCAACATTAGATTTGTTAAAGTATGCATGCCCACTATGCCCGGATAACGAGCAACATGTATCAACGACTTACAAAAAATATAATGAACACTTAAAATCTGCCCATAATAGAATGATTTGTTTGATCTGCGCTGGTAACAAACATTCATTTCCAAGAGAAATGAAAATTTACACAGCCAATCAATTAAAGAACCACCATTCCAGAGGTGACTCAGAAGGTTTTAAAGGTCACCCCATGTGCGCATTTTGTACTGGTAAGAGATTCTACTCAGATGACGAGTTATATATCCACATGAGGAACGACCACGAAAAGTGTCACATTTGTGACAGAATAGACCATACTCAACCTCAGTACTTCAAGGATTACGAACAATTATTTGAGCATTTTAGAACATCTCATTATGTTTGCACCGTTCAATCCTGTCTAGACGATAAATTCGTTGTGTTCAAGGACGATATGGAACTACAAGCACATATATTAAAAGAACACGGTGATATATTAAGAGGAAAGCCTAAATTCTTTCAATCTGAACTATCAACTTTTATCTCTGCACCATCACAGGTTATACGGGAAAGAGACTCTTATAATTACGACATGGGCTCAGTTGGCAGTTCTAATATTGAAGAGAGTAGTAACCCTGAGGTAAATAGATTACGAATGAATGAAAGAGCTAAGCACTACTTAAACAGCTCCTTGGAAGGTTTCCAGAAATTCGAAACTTTGAATGAAAATTATGATAGCTCTGTGCTGACTGCTTCTCAGCTAGTACAGGAATATAAAAAGCTATTCACAGATACTCATGCAGACATATACCTGCTTGTACACAACTTATCTGCACTTTATCCAAAAAATAGCAAAAAATTCAAGGACTTAGATGTCATTTATCAAGAGTACGAGCAAACTGAAAAGAGGAAAAACGCATTACCATCGCTTCTTGATGATCATATCCAAACTGTGCCTGGTGGTGCTTGGGGTTCTTCCACAGGTAGATCCAAGTCTCACAGTTCTATTAAGAACCTAAACCAATTACCTTCTTTAGGAGGTGTGTCCTCATCATTTGATCCTTTCAAGAATCCTAACAAAGCACCAGTCTACAAAGGTCTAAGGCAATCCCCAAAACCAGTTGTATCAGCTACTCAAAGACAAACACCAATGAGAATTAGTGCTAGACCTACTGCATCAAACAGAGTTGAGTTTAATGGTGGAAGCACTACTAAGGCTGCTACACCTAGCTGGGGCTCACAACCTTCGAGTAATTCAAGCAGCAAGAATAAACTAGCTGATTTAAATCTACCGACTTTGCCTGCTCCTAAACCAAAGGTATACATACCACCTGTACATGAACCGGTAATCCCTGATCCCAAGAAGTGGGGACAAAAAGGCGAGCCAGCTCCTCAGCTAACAGAAGAACAACAATTACTCGAGAGCTTGAATTTGAACGGTAATTCCAAGTCAAAGAAGAAAGGAAAGCAGAAACAATTATTATTCCACATTGGAGTGTAATTGTAATTGTCATCATGATAAGGCCTGTGAGCTTCTTGTTTATCTGATCATTGAACCATTCATACTTAATCGTAGATTAACTATATACCAAGATAAAGCATGATAGATAGTTATATAAAATATCCGTAACGAATTCATAACGCATTATTACCATAAATTACATTTCTAATGAATATATTAAAATTGTTCGTAAATAGAAAGATTTTAAACACCATGTTTATATGCGCTCATGCTCTTAATGCCAACACCTGTTGAGGATAGCTACGTTGCCGACATAAGGGGCATTCTGGATTTTCCTTAGTCCAGTCTGTGATACAGTCCCAACAAAATACATGCCCACAAGGTAGACAGCTTGGATCAGTCATTTCCATCAAGCAAAGAATACAATTTCTTGATTCTGTGGGAATAAATGCCAGCTCTTTACCATTACTTAATTTGATGTGATCAATGTTAAAATTTTCAGGTACATCTGTCAATAACCCTGGTGTTGCTGCAGGTGCAAATCCTTCTTTTAGTCCAACACCATTGGACCCAGCATTTAATGTTTCCTTTGTCTGCGGTAAGATACTCAGGACCTTGTTAATAATAGGTTTAACTTTAGAAATATGTTGTAAAAGAATAATGTAACCTAGAATCTTGTAACTCTTACTACTCTTATCACGATAGTTTTCTTCTTCTTGTGATAAAGTATGCCCCAATGCATATCTCATACCCCAAAAACGCTTAAATACATCGTAATAAGTACCAGTTATATAGAACACCATCAAATGCAGGTCAATCATAGTACTCAAAATATCGGTGTAAGTACTCTCGTTGCCATCATCACTCTCTTCATTATTTGTACTCCTATTATTGACCTTCTTTGAGAGCTTAGTGACCAAATAAGGAATAGAAGTATAACTAAGCACAAATAGGACCCGTTTAATTCCTCTCACCAACTGAGAACCCCGTTTATTCACATATATCAGATCGACATATTCCTCACCCAATGTTCTTCTGGATAGTGCAGTCGTCAGTCCCAAATATATCAGCTTGACAACCACTGAGATCTCCTTCTGATAGTTATTAATGAACAACTGACCTCTTACCCCCCGTAGTAACTCGCTGACTTTTACCGATAACATTGTCTCAATCTGTTCATCCTTCTGGTGCGCCTGCACTATTGAAGGTGCACCAGCAAACGGCAACTTCCATCGTCTATCTTCTTCAACCATGGCTATGACTCTTGACCACCAAAGTACCAGTTCACTAATGTCGTTTCAGATACTTTTAGTTGCATCTATATTTGTATGTATATTGGAATCTTCCAAGGCGATGAGCAAGTTTCGGCCTTAAATGGCCGGGACCCGTTTTTGCCAAGAAAAAAGTGAGCAACAAGCAACAAAAAATTATAAATAGGGCCTCAAGAGTATCGACCTAGAGCTAAATAGAGTTTTCTACTTGAATTTGGTAAACCTATCCTGAACAGTGTGACTGCTGGCCAATTGAACCATACGATTATGGAGGATAACAGCGAGCAAGCTAGTGTGTCGAGCCAGGCATCGATGAGGCCGTTGGTATCCGACAATGGCGACAGGGAAGCCGGTGCGGGTGTAGAAGTTAATATTGCTAATGACAATGACACCAGTGTTGGTGTAGATGGTGAGAATGGGAATGAGGATGATGATCCTATTTTATCAAAGTATCACAATGCATGTCAGCGCGGTGATTTGGAAGTTGTGCGGGAGATGATTCATGGAGGTCAAGTCAATGTGTCATCAGATGCGGATCGTGAGGGTGTAACTGGGCTGCATTGGGCAGCTATCAATAATAGACTTAATGTTGTGGATTTTCTTGTACGTGAAGGTGCCAATGTTGAATCCAAAGCTGGCGCACTAGAGGCCACCCCGTTGCATTGGGCAGCTCGATACGGGTTTGTATATGTTGTGGACTATTTGCTACAGCATGGTGCCTCAGCCACAACCACTGACAAGCAAGGATTTAACCTACTTCATCTGTCAGTAAACAGTTCGAATATAATGCTCGTAGTCTATGTGTTATTCTTTGTTGTTAGTAAAGGGATTATCGATATAGATTACGTGGATCCAAAGGGTCGTACTGCTCTTTTGTGGGCTGCATATCAGGGTGACTCACTTACAGTAGCAGCTTTGATCAAGTTTAATGCTAGTGTTAAGATTGCTGATGAAGGTGGCTTTACACCACTACATTGGGGTACAGTGAAAGGCCAACCACATGTCTTGAAGTACTTAATTCAAGACGGTGCTGACTTTTTCCAGAAAACTAACGACAACAAGGATTGTTTTGTGATAGCAGAAGAAATGTCCAACACCCATTCATTCCAAGAAGCTTTAAGGCATAATAACTTTGACAAAAATGGTTATCCTATAAATAAGTTAGTGAAAAGAGATGATCATGCCAAGATAATTACATTTCTGATACCGTTACTAGTCTTAGGTTTTGCATTTTTTGGTTTCTCTCATTTACACATACTCTTTGCATTACCTGTAATAATTTTGTTGTTGCTTGCCTCCAACAAATTCATCAAATCATTCCTATTACCTTCTTATGAAACGAAAGGTACTAACTCAGCATCTCTACTCAAGTCTCCATTGATAGCGGGAATATTATTTGGAAGCATTTTTTGGCTAGCATTTGTTTGGATATTAAGGATTTTACCTTACACATTTACCAAGAGACCTCTAGGAAATTTAACCTTTTGTGCCATATTGTGCTTTGTATGCTACTCCTTATTTCTGCTTGCATTTTCTGATCCTGGTCATATTGGGTCAGAGAATGATCATGAGAAAATACGTGAGACAATTTCAAATCTTCTTAAAGAAGGTAAATTTGACACAAGATCTTTCTGTTTGGAAACATGGGTGAGAAAACCATTGAGGAGCAAATACTCATATCTCAATGACGCACTTATTCTGAGATTCGACCATTACTGTCCATGGATATATAACGATGTGGGTTTAAAGAACCATAAATTGTTCATCTTCTTCATTTTGGCACTTGAGCTGGGTATTTTTTCTTTTGTAAAAGTTTGTTTAAAGTACTTTGACGAATTAGACATGGATGGTGATTGTTTTATCCTTGGTGATGACGACCTGTGTTCTGGTTTGATTGGAGACCGCTTCACATTTTTGATTATGACATGGGCTTGCATCCAGGCTGTATGGATATTCAGTCTTGTGATTGTACAATTGTTTCAAATCACTAAAGGACTTACGAATTCTGAACTAAATGCTTTAATTAGGGAAGGCAGAAGGGTAGATATCGATTCTCAGACACATAACGAGTTTTTTAACACTGTCCCTGAAGGTTTTATTAACAATAAAGATACCGAGGAAGAAGCTGCACCTCCAGTAAGGAACAACACGAATGAAAGAATATCAACAACCTTTTCTGGCAATTTACCCAAGCCTAGAACATGCATGGGTATGATATGTGCTGTAACAGGCTTGCATCAATGTGTAGCTATAATTAAAGACACTTTCGGAATAGCAAGGCATGGTAGTTCTCGGTCAACAAATACAAGGTCTTTATTGTCATCAATATCTACTGACTATGGCTGGAGAAGAAACTGGTGTGATTTTTGGCTATTAAGTGATACTAACACACCTCTATGGAAGAGAATATTTTTTTCCCCACCATCAACCAAGGCATTACTAAACGGTAAGGAAGCCGATTATGCTACTTTATATGAAGTGCCTAATAAGAATCACGGTTCTGTGTCCCAATTACAGGAATTACAGGACCCTCTATCTGAAATAGATGATATGGTGTAGTTTAGTTTCTAAATTTAATAATTCCTAAATTTACTCTCAACTAGATCATATTTTTATAGAATCTAACTCTGATTTTGATATTTTCAAAGCTTTTGAAACAAATACAAAAACATACAAACCACTACATACACGTACTGATACTGCTTGAACGAATATTTTATTATTGGATTTGTAGTCATTTCTAGCCATACACAAAAAAAAGAAACAATAAAAAGGAATATGAAACTCATAAAATAAAAAAGTTTGAAATAGAAAGAGAGATCAAGCACCAGGCCTGGACAACGTGGCATCAATCACCAGGATGACACCATTTTTGGTGGAATAAATGTTCTGAACATCGTGAAATACTTCGTCAACAACTGACGCAACACAGTATTTCTCCCCCTCTCTCTTTAGCAAGACGTCACCGCCTTTACCATTTGAATGTTGCATGCTGTACTGTTTACTCTGTAAGAGAACAGTGCCATCTTTCGAAGTCTTGGTATCTTTCTGATATGCCACGACATGGGATCTCACAAAGTTTACGATATTGTTGTGAATGGCATTATCGATATCCCTCTCAGAAGAGCCAGCTTGCTCCATGGTATCTATGTCCATGGGGAACTGCCATGGTTTCTTAGCCAGAGCAGTGATAGCAGCATTGGTAGGTGCTATCACTATCAGATCACTCTCGGGATCTCTGAACATGTCGTAACTTTTCTCATCGTTACGAGAATACGAAGCAAAAATATCTAGCTCCGTCAGCACTGATATCTGAGAGTCCAAATATATGTCCGGCACATCGATGGTGCGGTGAATCGGCCTATTACTGAAATATACCCCCAGGTCAACTGGAGGATGCATCTCTAAATCACGTTTCTGCAACAATCGACTCTCCTCACCGTCTAACACACCGCCACGATACTCCTCTGGAGCCAACCTCCTATGCAACTTACCGTTCTCATCCCGAAACGTAATCATCTCAACAATATTCTTCGCAGCCACCAGTGCTACGGGCACTAAAACGTACTTGAGCGCAACCATTTTGTTTCTGCTTAGGCAAAAGAAGAAGATTTTATAAAACTTTAAACAACAAACCTTCGCAGCGACTATATATATATTATACTACCTGCTAAAGGGCCAATGAACTGTTCTAAGTTTACATCTTGAAGAAACACACTAAGTTAAGAACAAGCCCTTTCCTTATACATGAGGGTTACAGCTTTTCTTGCGAACCACTTTAGTAACATTAAAAACGACTAACACATGTCGTCGTAGACACGTATATAGACACGTATAATGTTATATAATCATATGACTTGGATGTATAGAACGATAAAGTATTTGCCGTTACTTTAGCGGTAACTCTGGATTCTCCATTTTACAAAACTAATGGGTGTGGGCGTCTAAACAGTTTGAGTAGTACTATGACTGATGGATATCTAGTTATATGTATGAAAACCTAGCTCTACAAATAACTGAGTATTTATTGTTTGATGGGATCAACTATCTAAAAGAAGTAGCCACTGCTGCGAAGCATGTGCAATATCTGGATACGGAATGAGCCTGGGATTTCCCGCACCAGAGATCTACGTGGTTTAATTAGTAAGTTTTGTTAACATTTCTATTTCAAATCTCTACTTATTTTGCTACTCTCCTCCAGTTTTCAGGAAATGTGTATCTTTGGTTACTTTTGTGCTGTGAGTTGCCAACTTCTATGCCGAAGAATGTGATTTGCATGGAACACGAAATTTCGCGTTCCATGCCTCTGGCTAAACGATTTACCTTACTGGTAAACAAAGGTTCCTTTTCAATAAAGTGACAAATTCAAGACAAAAAAAACAAAAAATCAAAATTGAAGGCCACTACGTGATCTGTTGCCAAGGCCTATTTTTATGCTAAATTGAGAACTAGAAATAAAAACGTCACTTTCTTAATGAGTTGGAAAAAAAATTGAACTAGTATCATTTTAAAATACTTTTAAATCCTGAATGCAAACTTGCATTATATTTTGTTATAACAAAGAAAGAGTAGTTATATTTTCTCGCTAATTACTCAATTACCACACTAACAACATCAACATCTAAACTGACTAAAAAATGCTGCATTTATTTGTGGTAATATTCTTAGCACTCGGCGTGTTGGGATATGATAACTCAGGTTTGACAACAGATGAATTGCAAAGTCTGCAGAAGAGATTCCAGGATTATTACAACGATGGCGAAGTGCAAGTGAAAGGTATCACGATCGGAGGCTGGCTGGTTACTGAGCCTTACATTACACCTTCATTATATGAAACAGCATTTACCCATGTGAATAAAACTCTAAATGGTACCAACAGCACCACTTTTCAAAATAGCACGTTTGGTAATTACTCAATTGTCGATGAATATACGCTGTGTAAGGAGTTGGGCTATCAGAATGCACTTACATTGCTGAAAGATCACTACGAGACTTTTATCACAGAGGATGATTTTGCACAGATTAAGGAAAATGGTTTCAACCTCGTGCGGTTACCTATAGGTTATTGGGCTTGGAAGAAAAACTCCAACGATACAAGCAGGTACAATTATGTTGGTAACATTAGCTATGATGATCCATACGTAAGCGAAGGATTACAACTGCAATACCTACTGAAAGCGATTGATTGGGCCAGCAAATACGAGTTAAATGTTTGGATTGACCTTCATGGTGCTCCTGGTTCACAAAATGGTTTTGATAACTCAGGACAGAGAATATTGTATGACGACCTGGGATGGCTGCACGCAGACAAGACGAAACCATTAACCCTTGCAATCTGGAAAGACATGTTTGAGAAATTTGTAAGGACAAATAATTACAATGGATATAATACTTCCTCTGTGGTTGGTCTAGAAATAATGAACGAGCCCCTGGGCCCAAAGATCGGTATGCGTAACATTGCCCAATCTTACTATGAGGCCTTTGACATGTTCAAGACGGCAGAAGCTGAGAATAATAATCCACAAAATGACAATTTGACATTTGTAATCCATGACGCTTTCCAATCTATTGGTTACTGGAACTTACACTTGAATCCAGATTATAGAAATGTCTCAAATCAATACTACAATTTGACTAATGTTACATATAATTCACAGTCGGTGTTGGTCGACCACCATCATTATGAAGTTTTTACTGACTTCCAATTAAAAAACAATCAATATAATAGAATAATGGATATCATCAACTATGGTGACTCTATTTCCAAAGAACTAGACTTCCATCCGGCTGTAGTTGGCGAATGGTCTGGTGCTATCACCGATTGTGCAAGATGGGTCAATGGTATTGGTATTGGGGCAAGATACGATGGCTCCTACTACAAGACTACTGCTTTTCAATCCGATAGTCCACCAAACGGTACATGTATATCGCAAAATGATATCAGCACCTGGTCCGAAAGCTACAAGACTCGAGTCAGACAATTTATCGAGGCTCAATTGGCGACATACTCCGCAAAAACCACAGGTTGGATATTTTGGAATTGGAAAACAGAGAATGCCGCTGAGTGGGATTATCTAAAATTGAAGGAAAATAACCTATTTCCTCAGCCATTCGATAACTTTACATACTTCAATAAGGATGGCCAAATCAATAGCTCATTCTCTACCTCGTTGTCAATAGAAGCCTTTGGAAGCCCTACAAGCTCTAGAGTGTCTTCAACAAAACACAAAAACTTTGCCATCTCTACCAAGATGAGAACTTCAATAACTGGATCATCCAACAACAACACATGGATGTACTTCCTTAGTGCTGCCCTAGGTATGCTCGCTGTTTGCTGTGTGATGTAGGTCATAAATCTTCTAGCATACAGAGATAATACTGATCCCTGGCAGCATACCTAACACTTACAAGTAGGATAATTACTAAATACTCGTTTCAGTTTTTTTTGGTTTACTCAAAACACCCCAAAACAACATTTGTAAAAGCTGAACCTATGTATGAAAACATTTATAGACTACAAATCCTTCAGTTAGTAATTAACACTAAAACTCTAATCCAGAAATATAATTAGCTATGAAGCCAAAACGGATGACAACATATCTACTAGTGTGCCAAGTTTACAATAGCTCGTAGTCTATACTACTTCACAAAAATGTACGTGATACACGACACAAAGTAGTAGACTGCGAGTTTCTCTGACGGGCGATCAGAGAGATAGTGAATGTTCTTGGAACTGACAGTGCGCTGCTAACAAGTTCTTGTTTGAATCTTAGACCTCATCGATTCCAGCGGGTCGTTACACTCACATTCGGAGGTCAATTGCATGTGATATATCTGCGTCCATAGCGGTTGCTAGATTAACCTTGTTTTTATCTGCATTTTGAACATCTTTTTAGCCAGGTACATATCAAAAAGTTATAAATTCATATAATTACTATCAAATTATCTGCCTGCCAGCTGGGAACTATCATCTTCACCACTTTTTTTTTATTGAAATTACCTTAACAGAGAACTTCAAGCATTGAGTTTATCTAATTTACTGACAATGACGTACAATAACTCACACTTCAACTACCACCATCTAAACAGATCACACTATGTACTCTATTCAGAGTGGAACAAGGATGAATTTCCAAATCCGACTCGAACCGCCCTGGGATCTAGACTCGAGGGCCCAAGCAAAGATTCTGCTAATCCCAATGACTTGAAGATAGACGACGAATACTGGGATAATTATTTGGAAGAGGAGGATTATCAGCTGTTCAAGAATGCGAAATTGGAGAGTAACGGCGTAGTGACATTTACAATTGCAAACCTCTCACTACCATTACCATCACAGAACACTGCATTGGAGGTGCATAATGAGGAGAGCTCTACGTTAACGGGGTCGATATTTGTTAGAGATGGCAGAGTAATTGCGAAAGCTAAGCATAGGCAACTGACGGGCGGGCTCTAAGATCATTGCATTCAATTTGTTGCTTTGACAATATGATTGACCGTGATCTTGGAAGTACTCAATGATGATGTCATCACTTTATAGTTCTGGAACACATACTCTGATATTCCCAGCCCATGATATAGCTGACATTCTAAGACTAAGATATGTAGAGAACTTTGTGAATTTAAGAGAAAGGGATTTACAAGGACGTTTGCATCTCAAAATTCCGATGAACTAGTTCCTGATATTGATCTTAGCTGGCCTATCGGTATTATACTATCACGGTGCTAAAATTAACATTGTAGATCGATTAAGCTGGAACCAATTATGTATGCCTTACGCAAGCATTAGGGGAAAACAACTAATGAAGCCTACACTGGAGTTAATGACTTGTAAATCCCATCAACTCTTTATGCCATATGCCTTCATAGTGCAACACGTTTTTTTTCTGTGAACATCTTGCCATGACAGGGCGTGACCTCAGAAAAAACTAACGCATTAGAAGGACAAATGATTTCTATATGAGGACATGGTGCTAGTTCTGGACTACCACGATTGGTCTAAGCTAACGGAAACAATATACATTAGTAAAACGATTATTTTCTCACACCTCTTAATGAGGCTCAAATGTATGGACTTGTTAGTAATCAAGAAATCAAAATACTATCAACCATTGGAGCGCCGTATTTCAACATGAGCTTCAGCCCGCCGCATTAAAGTGCGAAAATCATCACATGAAAAATGCCGTCGATGAAGGTTGCTCGTACTAGCCGAGACGCATATTAAAAGAAAAAGAGCATTCTATCCAAAACACTTGCCTACCTGGTAATTGGTGTGTAAACGGTAAATCACCACTTGTTATATCATAAGGATGTCATTATCGAGTTTTGCCTCTTAGAGAAACAACGGTCGCTTATTTCAGACTTTCTCACAGGCTTGAAAAACTGAGATACTATTGATTCTATTGGTTCCCTTTTCGCCGTGCATTTCAAGAGGAGGTCTATAAGGAATTCTTTGTTCGGAAAAACCAATGCCTTAATAACATCATAGGCAACCACTCTAACACAGCAAGCATCGACTCTAACCAAAGGACCCTACCCAGTCCACATATCTTTTCTTTTTCAATAAATTTTTTTGTTGATTTCTAATACAATGTTAATATTATCACTTAATTATACAATCACTTTTCTTTTCAGCTGGGCATGTGAGGAAGCAGGTAGGACGTTTTCCCTTGGCTCGCTCTTGACAAGCTACAACAAAGCACTATAGCATTTGTAATCACAGATCCGCGAGGCTTATACCGACACGCTCCTAACAACCGCTAGTGCTGCCCCACATAGTACTACGAAAGCGATGTCTGATCCTTTTATTCGGTGCTATTTTAGCTATAGTGTATGGTAATAAATAAAACCATTTCTCCTCTCTTCGTCAACTACTCGTTTGCATCTGGAAACACTTTCTCAGCAGCTGCCTATCTTTTCAAGAAATGAATGGTCAAGATGATTACGTCAAGTAGACGTCTGACAAAAGAAAAGGTAGTGGATAGGGTTATCCTCTTGCGAATGCTCCCTCCCTTGTCCCCCCCATTCAGCGAGTTGTTTCATTGAAGCATTTTCACACTGTTACTACTGTTGTTCTCAAAGTTCACACGTTACCACCTCGTAATTGTGCAAATATATCTGGGGTGAGCAAAGGGAGGGGTTATCAATTCAAAAAAGAAATGTTGCTACAACATGCCACGAGAAAATAAATAGTTAGTTTTTGTAGCTAATTGGTTATTCAAGGGTTGTTCAGTATATGAGGTATGAGGTATTATTACAGCAAAAACTACAATACCAGTTGTTTGTTGAGTGCTCTTAGACGTTTCCTGTTGAAACATGCCCTCCACCATCTACTTCAATAAAATAGCGAAAATCGCATTTTCTATTGAAATGGAAAAATTTTTTTTTTTTACTCAATTTAATAGCAAAGGAAGAACACTCTTGTCAAGCTCACACGGAAAAGGAAAAAAAGCATGTATGAAGTTTTTCCTAATTAGTGCAAAAGCCCTCAGTCAATTACATTTCCCCCTTCATTCTCCTCTACAAGGTTGAAGTAACTTAACTCTCATCCGAGGAGAGACTTTTACTAAGAAGAAAATTAGTTTAGATTGGGTCAACCGTGAATATTCCGTTATAAAAAAGATTATGGATGATGAAATTTCTTTTTAATTTTCTGATGCTTAGAAATTTGAGCAAGATCAAATTTGCCACTAGAACTGGAAGTAAAACCCAATGGTCTTGTTTGCTTGTTTCGTTTGTTTTTTTTTAGAGAAAGGTCTCAATTGTATGATATTTTCTTTGTTTTGGCATCTTGCACTTGTGGCAGGCCCAAGATAAAAAAAAGCGACCCACAGACAATTCGCACAGCAAGAAAAGAAAAGAATTGCCACTATGGGAGGATCAGCTTTGCTGTACAGGATGGTAGGCTCGTCCCAAACTTTTCACAAGCAAAAGAAAAATGTCCTGGCAGTGAAAGATAACAATACGAGATGAGTGGACCAAACCTATACTGTCTTGTCTTAACTGAAATTTTGAAGCTTCAGCTAACAAAATAAATTGTGCTCTTGGTATTTTACTGAATATGAACAGCTTTGGGACAGGAAAGGAAAAAAAAGAAATTAACTTTTAAACTTAATTTTTAAGTTCCGAAGTGAATTAAGAGCAAGAAGGCTATTAGCTAATTATATCTAGAGGGCGAAGGGGGGGGGAGGTGAACAAAACAAAAACTATCTACGACCTGAACAAGAACAAAGAAGAATAGCGGAACTGTCTGACCACATTTTCCCAATTGATCCAACAATTAAAGGGAATGAGACTAGTGAAAAGAGACAAAGACCACACCTTAGAGAAGTTGAAATTAGGCATGCACTACATATAGTGCGTTTTAGATATTTTCCGCTAATGTGGGAGTACATTTTGGAGGAAGGAAAGACTTGTAGAAGAGAATTCTGCGGAAAAAAAGGACCTCTCTCATCTTTTTTTCTTTTTCACTTCTCGATCGTTCCTCTTTCCTCTAATTTGTTTACATACTTATCAAGTTCTCTAATAAACAAAAGAAAAAAAAAATGTGACCTTTTTCTTATTGTTTATGTTGTGTTATTTTTAAATATTCAAGAAATGTAAATGGGCGATTTTTGATTCAGTTGAATATGGTATTCTGGGTAGGATTATCAACGTAATGTCGCCTTTTTTTTTGTGCTTTTTTTTTCATATTTCGCATAGAAACCACTTGATATTTAAACTTTAAAGTTAATCTCAAATCTCTCATATTTGTGACCTATTAATTCTATCAATATCTTGGTGTGGTTGAGGTTATAGAAAAAAAAAATTCTTTCTTTCTCTCTTGCGCTCTGCTCTGATTAGTGTCAGCTATATTTACAATTAATTCTCTTCTGCCTTCGTATTACAGCCACCTTTGGCACTTTTAATTTCTATTCTCCTAAAACACCATTTTGAGGATTTTGAGTGGTTTTTTGTTGTGCTTTTTAATTTTCTTTTTCTGATAGAGTACTGTTCTGTTTTTCTCTGCACTGCCACCGAATTTTTGCTTATATTCATTTTTTTTCTAGAAACTAGAGCCTTTTGGCCTATGAATTGAATATTTGCCTGAATTTATAAACAACATTCATTTGAAACTTGAATTCATTGGCAACTTCCCAAATTAGCAGTTATAAAGTTACTAAGATCGGCCACAGGGAATTGGTTGATAGAGCAAAGGTAAGTGGTTAGATTGCAAAGTTAACATACCCAATTTCATATCTGTGACACCTATAAGACTGTATTGAAAAAAAAAAGTTATTTCTTTTATCAATTGTTAATTCCTACCTTCAAAAAGTTTCATTTCGGCCACTGCATAGTGCATGTTATTGTGTGGGCTTCAAAAAATATCGAAACAAAGGATTAACATTGCCATTGCATTATTGGACATCTCGGAATTGTGATCCACAATAACACGCCTTTAGCCTCAAAACAAAAAGGGATCATACACCAACGTTTACAATATAGGAGAAGTTACGTGGTAGACATAGATTAAAGCAGGAACTTCCAAGATCTTATACATCGGATACATTTTTTTAATACTCTCGGATTGCATTTCTGTGTTAACCTGTTGATCATAACAAGTGAAACAAAAAAATAGAGTAGTTCAAGATCATCAGTCAAATTTATCAGGAACAAGCTGTTACTCCCAGCCTATCATAGCTGTTGAAATCAAGAACTTAAATAAGTACCAAGTTAAACCTTTCACCAAATTCCAAGCATTTGCTTATTTATTGTTCTCTGACTTCACCGCGTTTCAAAAAAAAAAATTCTTGTAACATTAGTTGAATACATTGAAACAACTCTGGTTCATTTTTTATATTTTTATTTCATCTTCGGTATTTCGGATTTGGACTTGTATCATTACAACAACTTTCAGTCAGCCTGTCAAACAATAGTGAAATTGACTAAAACTTATTGCTGAAAGACAAAACACTACCAAAACTATATTAACGATTAAACTTTAAAGACACCATTCTAAAGCAATACTAATAAAATATAAAACTACACATTTAGATGTCACATGAGTCGAGAAGTGAGGAAGTAAGAGATAATGAAACTTCATCAAGTAACAACAGTTCAAATAGTGCGAGTAACGTGATTCACTATATTTCCGGAGATATAATGGGACAAGTTAACATGCGACCGTCTCTGGCTTCACAACCTGCACACTATCAATTACCAAGCATAGCACCAAATATACACCCGCATCAGTACACCACTAGTCAACCACCACATCAGCAACATTACCATGTTGTGCACACCCCAATCTCTCGGATCTCTTCGGAAAATGGTCAACAGCAGCACATGATGCCTCCATCGATGAACCCCACAGCATACCAAGGTCCCGAACAGGTTATCATCGACCATGGCATACCCACTTTCCAATATGCGCACCAGCCACAACATGTACTACGCAGTAGTATAATGACGGGAGCCAATATGAGTCCCGGGCAACCCCAGCCTCAAACGATTGTGATGGGCCCTCAGCCTATCCAGCATGCAATTGACGGACATTTAGCAAGCCAAACAATCGCGACGCCTATGGGAACTACACTTCTGACGTCGTCGGCCCAATTACAAGGCCAGAAAACCAAGAAGAACACGAAGAGGGCAATGCAAAATAGGAAAGCGCAAAAGGCATTTCGACAGCGGAAAGAGCAATATATCAAGCTACTAGAGAATGAAGCAAAACTTATAGATGATGTTATGAAGAAGAACCAGGACCTCACTTCCGAAAACGAGCAACTGAGAGACTGCCTGAATCGCTTGATAGAAAAACTGAAGGACAACGGCATCGAAGTCGACATCCCCTCCGATTTCCTAGATAAGATTAACGCTTCAATCAGTGCCAGCAGGCGATTACAAGAGCAACACGAAGAGATTTCAAAATCAATTGCTGGCGAGAAGTCCTAGCTCTGAACTCCGAATGCACTAAAAAGACAAATCGAGGTACAATTTATTGTAGGTTTTTTTTTATTTTTTTTTTTTACTTTTATTTTTTTATATTTTCTGGTTATCTCATTTCTTATTTCCTTCTTCTTCATTGCATGCTATTACGTTACCGGAAAATAAAAGCTCTTTCCCACCACGACTAGTCTTTATTTTTACTAGCCACATACCTGGAAAGAAATAAAAGAGAGTAGGAAATACATAAAAAAAAAACTACATAGAAATTGTTGTAAAATATATAAATGACTTTTGATGACTATTATAATTCTCTCCATAACATTAATTTGTACACATGTAGCCATTCGAATTCACCAACATACAGAACAGTTATATACATGATTCTGCACTACACTAAACGAGATCATAATATACGACTATATTACCCGCACATCGGACCAGCCCAATGCCGGGAGGAACTCCGCGAACCGCGTTTGGCCACGAGCTTTTCTGTGACAGATGCTTTTCTACCTCCGACTGCGACCCTGCACTGCGACCCTACACTGCCTCTGCGATTGAGTCTTTAATCAAGTCTACGAGTTAGTCTAGGGCTGTGTCAGTTTGTCGACTGTAACGATCTTGGTTTGCCAGCATTCATCAAGTACAACGCAACTGGCCCATGTTCAGTCCTATCGCTCGCCGGGGCGAAGAAGGGGGGGGGGGAAGGGGAGGGGAGTAGCAGGTTCCAGAACTTTCCACGCAGCGCGGGATTTTTCTCCCCTGTGAAGGTGGTGAAGGGAATTAAAAAGGGTAATCTATGTGATGTGTGGGTGTTGTGCCTGGATTGGAAGGGGCGGGTGCTTGCGTCTTGGGTCCTGGGCGGCAATCTTAGAAAAGTATAAATAGGGAAGGCATCTTTGGCTTTCTTTCTCCTTAATCTTCCTTCCGAACCGCTCAGCGGCTAAGCGGCTAATTGATTATTGTTAATAGTGAAACGAAAGGCGTTACTTTCTTTATTCTCTATTTTTGTCTACGCATAAGATATTAGTGCAATGTTAAGCAGGGTATGTAGGTCGTCGTTGAGGAACAGTGTAGCTAGGGTCTCGCGGTACGCTGGTCCGAGGGCTCTGGCTCTGTCCATGGTTGTAAGCGGGAGGCAGGTTAGTGGTAGTTGGCAAACGTGTGCTTATGGTGTGCGGTACATACATAGTTCGAGGCCTCGGTATGTGCAGATGCGTATGAATCCCAATCAAGGAGAGCCTGAGAAGCCGCCTTTGGAGCAGTTTGGTACTAATCTGACGAAGTTGGCTAGGGATGGTAAGCTGGATCCCGTGATAGGTCGTGACGAGGAGATCTCGAGGGCTATCCAGATCTTATCGAGAAGGACCAAGAACAACCCGGTTCTGATCGGGAGAGCTGGTGTCGGTAAGACTGCACTTATCGATGGCTTGGCGCAACGGATTGTCGCTGGTGAAGTACCGGAGTCGTTGAAGGATAAAGAACTAGTGGCCTTAGATCTGGGTGCTCTGATCGCTGGTGCGAAGTACAGAGGTGAATTCGAAGAAAGGCTGAAGAAAGTCCTGGAGGACATAGACAAAGCAGACGGGAAAGTGATAGTGTTTATTGATGAGGTCCACATGCTGCTTGGCCTCGGGAAAACTGACGGTAGCATGGATGCTTCCAATATATTGAAGCCAAAGTTGGCAAGAGGACTAAGGTGCATATCTGCCACTACAATCGATGAGTTCAAGATAATCGAGAAGGATCCTGCTCTGACTAGGAGATTCCAACCTATCTTGCTAAATGAACCTTCTGTGCAAGATACAATCTCTATCTTAAGAGGTCTAAAGGAAAGATACGAAGTTCACCACGGTGTCAGGATCACGGATACTGCTCTGGTGTCCGCTGCTGTACTATCAAACAGGTACATCAACGATAGATTCTTACCAGATAAGGCTATCGACCTGGTGGATGAGGCATGTGCTGTGTTGAGGTTACAACATGAGTCAAAGCCCGATGAGATTCAAAGATTGGATAGGGCCATTATGAAAATTCAAATTGAACTAGAATCATTAAAGAAAGAAACTGACCCAGTGTCTATTGAAAGGAAAGAAGATCTAGAAAAAGAGCTAGAAAGGAAAAATGAGGAACTTCAACGACTAACTAAGATCTGGGAGGAAGAAAAAGCTGAAATAGAGTCTATTAAGAACTCCAAAGCCGACTTGGAGAAAGCTAGAATCGAATTGGATAGATGCCAAAGAGAAGGTGACTATGCAAAGGCGTCCGAGCTTAGATATGCCAAGATCCCAGCTTTAGAAGAGAAAGTGAAACTCAGCGAAACTAAGGACTCAAATAAGGAAAACTTACTGCATGATGCTGTCACTTCAGATGATATTTCAAAAGTCATTGCCAAGATGACAGGTATTCCAATGGAAACAGTATTAAAAGGAGACAAAGATAGACTTTTATATATGGAAAACTCCTTGAGAGAAAGAGTTGTAGGTCAAGACGAAGCTATCGAAGCTGTTTCAGATGCAGTGAGACTACAAAGAGCTGGCCTAACGAGTGAAAAGAGACCAATTGCCAGTTTCATGTTTCTGGGCCCAACTGGTACAGGTAAGACCGAACTAACCAAGGCGCTTGCTGAGTTCCTGTTCGATGACGAGTCTAATGTAATTAGATTTGATATGTCCGAGTTTCAGGAAAAACACACTGTTTCAAAGTTAATAGGTGCCCCTCCAGGATATGTATTAAGTGAATCAGGTGGTCAATTAACGGAGGCTGTTAGGCGGAAACCTTATGCTGTCGTTTTGTTCGATGAATTTGAAAAGGCTCATCCAGATGTTTGTAAGATTTTGTTGCAAGTCCTTGACGAGGGTAAGTTGACAGATTCATTGGGACACCACGTCGATTTCCGTAATACCATAATTGTCATGACTTCTAATATTGGTCAAGATATTTTACTATCAGACACGAAATTAGATGACGAAGGGAAGATCGATCCATCTACAAGAAACGAAGTTATCGAAGCGATGAAAAGATCTTATCCTCCAGAGTTCATTAATCGTATTGATGACATCCTAGTGTTCAATAGATTATCCAAGAAGGTCCTAAGATCGATTGTCGACATCAGAGCCAAAGAAATTCAAGAAAGATTGAACGATAAGCGTATGACGATTGAAATATCGGATACTGCTAAAGAATGGCTGACAGAACACGGTTATGACCAACTATATGGCGCTAGACCTTTGAATAGATTAATTCATAGAAGAATATTGAATCCTATGGCAACTTATCTATTAAAGGGCCAAATCAGGAATGGTGAAACCGTCCAAGTAGATGTTGAAAATAAGGAACTTGTTGTTAAAAGTAATCACGCCGAAGGAGAAATCGTGGATGAAGAACCTGAGAAATAAACGTAATGATGCTTCTTTATCTTAATTGTTGATCGTTATCATTTTATTCATGTTATCATTATTTTATTTATGTTATCGTTCTAGTCATTGTGGAAAACGAATAAATGAAGACTGAAGTAATAGGTCTGCTATGCGTACAAACTATGAAGACTCTATTTCTCGCACGTTTATTATTTTATGGTCTGTAAATACACTTATTATATGACAAATAAATATACCCATTAAACTATGATATTCTTATTACTCTCCGTATGTACCATGTAGTTGTAATGCCTAACATCACCGTTCTTTGTGAAAAAAAAAATCGATGGGGAGCGATGACCTGTGCCTTATTAAATAGACTTCATATGATAGTCAAAAACCGAAACATACAAAAATAATAACATTTTACAAACAAACCATATTAAGTAGGAGCATACCAATAGCCAAAAATGGCAGATAATTACACAGAAACGACTACTGAATACGTTTCCTGGCTGACTAATAATGGTGTAAAGATCTCCCCTAAGCTTAAAGTTGAGGACAATAGGTACAAAGATGAAGGGAGATGTGTAGTAACGACCACTGATATCCAAAAAGATGAGTTGCTGTTTGAGATCCCAAGAAATGTGCTGTTAAACTGCGAGACTTCACAGCTTGTCAAAGATATCCCTGCCGTATTAACTGAACTGGAAACTTTTAGTGGTAGCGAACCACTATCATGGGAACCTTTGATCCTCTGTCTATTTTATGAAATGTATATTCTGAAAGATAAAAGCAGATGGTGGCCATATTTTGAGGTTTTACCTACATTAGAGGATATGAATGTACTTGTGCTATGGTCCGATGAAGATTTGGCTGCCTTAGAACCCTCATATGTTTTATCATGTATAGGGAAGGAGCAAGTGGAAAACATGTACCAACTATTGAAGCGCTTTATAGAAGCATCTGATCACGAACAACTTAAGTCAAACTTAAATAAGTTCAGTTGGGATTCTTTTATAAGAATAGGGAGCTTGATTATGTCTTATTCGTTTGATGTGGGTAAGGAGATACATAATGAAGGAAAAGAGGGCGAGTCTATGAATGAAAATGATAATATGACAAATGGAGATGAAGATGAAGACGAAGATGAAGAGGATCTAGAAGTTGAAATGATCAAATCTATGGTTCCATTGGCTGATACCTTAAATGCAGATACAAAAAAATGCAATGCAAACCTACTACACTCAAAACAAACATTGAGGATGATTGCAATCAGGGATATACCATCTGGAGAGCAAGTATATAATACCTATGGTGAATTATCAAACTCTGAACTACTTAGAAGATACGGTTATGTTGAATGGGACGGCTCCTACTATGACTGTGGTGAGATCTCGAAGAGTGCAATTCACAAATCTTTACTACAACTATTCCCAACGTCTACTGAAACTTTAGAAAGACTGGATGCTGTCATAGATGAGAATGAGAAAGTACTAGATCTGTTTGACGATGACACAATAGTGGAAGATACATATATTTTCGAATCAGATGGGGAGATTCCCTTTAAATTCTTATTTTATATCCAACTTATGGCACTACTTCTACAGAACTCAAGAATTGAAAAAATGGGTCCAATTGCACTAAATAAGTGCATGGCTCCTACCATTGATAAAACAAGTAAGATACTCCAGGAACAGAAAGTCACTAGAAAGGCTCTGGATGTATTAAACGATTCTCTAGATACCAGGATGAAGCAATACGAACAGAAAATAACTGACTCTGGAGAGGATTCTTTAGAACCACCATCACATGAGGCAAGTACAAAAGAAAAAAGGATGAGAATGGTAAAGATGATACTGCTAAGTGAATACAAGTCCTTGAGAAAATGTAGTGAAGTAATTAGAGAAGAATTTGGCCCACTGAGTGATTCGGACGTATTATCCGAAATAAAGCAATCAAAGGAGGAAAAAAGGCCAAAGAAAAGAGCTAAGACGCGCTAATTACTATACAAACTAATCAGAGTATCTATAATTAATGCAAATAACATGTTATTTCTTGAGCTGTTTTCTGTAATATTCATCCAGCTATAATTAAACTATGTCTATACTAATACCTACACACGAAGAATTTCTTGCCTTAAAATGTGTAGCTCATCTGATCATAGTTACTAACTAGTATATATTCTGATTCTATACTGTAAGCAATAACTAAAATTAAGACACGAATATCAACTTTAGCAGCCATTTGGCTTTACCTTGCAAAATAACTTGTGCTAATATATCTACAATCGAGAATTTTTACAGCTAAATCAGCCAGGAACATTAGAAAAGGGATCAAACAAATCAAACATATTATTGCTTCAAGGGAATATGGATTCGGTTACCAATTTCTTCTGGAATGATACTTATGGGAGAGGAAGTGCTAGTACAATTGATACGGTTGGAAGTGACTCAAATGATAAAGATAAAAACACAAATGGGACACCCACCACTAATAGGCACAATAGAAGGTTTAGCAATAGCCTTGAGAAGATGAACTCAAGGGATTCGGGCTCTAATGTACAGGGTAGTTTTGCCAACACTGCATTTTCCACAAGCGGAGGTCTACAGAAAGCTATGACAGATACCCTTGTTGAGAAAATCATCAAGATGGCAATACCGGCTTCATCAGAATTAGCTGCAAATACAATTAAGAACAGAATGGCAGCTGGTAAGGAAAGACCAAGTTTATCTGTACCTATAACCAGCAGAAACTTCATATTAATGAACTCAAGGTTAAGTGTACCTTTTCTGGTAATTGATGAGATCATAAAGATTCTAAATTGGGTCGACCCGGCATACACACTTTCAATGGCCTTAATCTACACCCTTATAGTACTGAGACCGCTTCAAGTTTTGAGCTCACTACCAATACTTTACCTACTATTTGGTATTATGGTACCAGAATATTTACACATCCATGAACCTAGCGAAAACGTTTACTTGGATACAAACCGAGTCCCAGCTCAAGGTCCACCATTGAGGAAAGCTGAGGTTCCCAAGCCGGTCCCTGAATTTAGCCAGGAGTTTGTTTTAAACTTGACTGATTTACAAAATCATATGCTTCTTTATGTTCAACTCTATGATTCAATAATATATGTTTTGCAGAAATTTGCATTTTTTGTCAACGAACAAATTTCAGCTGTTGCATTTGTTCTATTAATGATATTAGCTGTTACTAACATTATATTTATTGACGTGTTGGTACGAATAATACCTATAAAATTGATACTAGTAGCAACTGGGTGGGCATTCATCATAATATGCCATCCAAAGTACAGGGATAATTTCTTTAACAAAGTTAACTCCGAGGAAACTAGATTAAGATTACTAAAACTCACATCAAGCTATGATGATTGGGTTAACGATAACTTGGGATACGTTGAGGCTAGGGAAACAAAGGTCGTGATTATATATGAAATGCAAAAATACAAAGACAAACATAAAGAATGGCACCCAGTCGGCTATGCAAATGATGATTTCACATTATTTTCGCAGTTTAGAATCAACGAGAATGCCATAGAATCCGTTGCTGTCCCATCATTAGATAGCATCAGTCCACCAACAGGATGGGAATGGGCGGAAAATTCTAGCTGGGTACTAGATTTGGACCCAACAGGATGGGTAGAAGAAGGGTTCATACAATTTGTACAGATAGATCCGGAGACAAAATGGGTGTACGACATAAACCTAGATGGAAAACGGGGAAAATATAGGAGAAGGCTATGGACCAACACCTGTGTCAGACAAATTCACGCTGGTGTTGATGAAAGGAATGCTTCCGACAAATTGCGAGAAGTATCGAACCCTTTACGCTCCGATGAGACACATTCAAGGTCAATACACGGTGTATCTAAAGGTTCCATGTCTGGCAATGTTAAAACTGAAGCAGATATAGAAGAAAATGCGTTTACCGATGAGGACGATTCGCATATAACTGACGATAGTATAGCCAGCAACATCTTGAATACTACCATATAACCATATTATATGTAATTATCTATCCGAGTAATAATATTCACTGATTAACGTTTCATGAAGGAGTCTAGCGATAACATCGATGCGGATTTGGTTACATCTTTTTTTTCCTTATCCTTTTTGCTCAATAGTGAGGTAAGTGAATTCTGTTTTCTCATTTTAGCACGCATCTTGGCATTATTAGTTTTTTTTTTCACTTGTCCAATATCTTTCGATATATTAGCACTATCTGCAACTTTTTGTTTTCTACAAAGTACCGTTTCATCATAATGATGTCCACATTTCTTACATTTGAATTTTGCTATGCTTGAAATCTCAGGACGCTCACCACTTATAATGTTAATATCGACACTATGATCTGGAATTTGTATATACCCACATTCACCGCAGAACTTCTTATCAGGTTGTACTATATGGTCCGGAAGATTGAGTTGGTACCTTTTTACTGAATTATAGAAATTCTTCAAATACATTCCTGAAAGCTCTGGCACATCTATAGTAGGCATAGCGTGTAATAGTGCATATTTATGCCGTATTTGCTTGTCTCTGAATTGTATCTTCTGGTCTCGGTTCATTACAGCGCAATTCTTTGTCTAAGTAATCTTAAATGCCGAGTCTGCCTTTGTAATGCTGTAGTTCTTGAACTAAATACTGCCAAAAGATCAGTTTGACACTATTCTCGATGTAGCTCATCGATTATTGTTAAACTTTTCAATCGTTTTCATACCAGAAAATTTGAGACAGAGAAAATGCCGAACAAAATACAAAGTGAGCTAAAGTATACAGTTAATGGACTGGCTTAAGGAGAATAGTGGGAGTATGATCACAAATTAACATTAAGGCTTAATACTATAATTGGTTAGAATTTGTAACTCTCAACTGGTAAATAATGAAGGAATGGACAAATTATAAATTGGTATATATAAAAATGAATAAAATTATAATTTAATGATGATTGAAAAAAAAAGACTTGCAAAAAGCATTGACACCATAGATTGTCGAAGCTTTCAGTGAAATGAAATCATAACAGTTCTTGTAACAAGAACAACTATAGCTTAGGGTAATGAGAAAACGCTCCAACACTATAACAGAGACTGTTCGTTCTTGGCCAAGATTTTGATCGTTTTGATTTTTATTGTAACATTCAATAGAGGAGCTGGAAAAAACAAATAGAATGATTAAATATCATGAGGTTGGAAGCTTAATGCACAGCACTAGTTTCCTTGACTGTTTACAGCCAATTCCATGATAAGTTTAGTTGTCAAATGCAAGAATGGGTATGCCGAAAAGGTACTCATCTCATCCTCAGACATATTGGTTGAAATAGTTGAGTCACCGTAAGTACTCTCCCAACCGTCAAACTTGAAGTCAACTAAGTAGTTATTAGTTTCTATTTGAAACAATTGAATTACAATTTTCATTAGGTTTGGAATTTTCTTAACACCATCTTCGATAAGTCTGGATTCATCTGAATCATACTTCCATCTCACCCTGATAGTCCATAGGTCTTCTTCAGAAGGCTTTGCCCACTCTGCACCAAGGTTCTTTAATGCAATATAAATCTCACCCATCACATCTAATGGGTAGGAACGGGATCGTATACCAAAATGCCATCTTGTCTTTGATTTTTTGGTTACCAAAGGTGATATCTTGGAAGCAGCCGGCAAGCCTTGTGCCAGCATATTTGCACGGTGGATTTGTGGTAAAGAGGTTGGAAGAATAGAGATTGTGGAGTCCTCTTCCTTTGATTGGTCCATAAACGGAGGTTGGTGGAACGTCCTTTGCTGAGTTACCGAAGAAGCAAGTCTTCTCCCACTGTGTTTTTTCTTTTGATCTTCCGATGCCTTCATACCATCACCATTCTGCTGGAATGTTGGAGGAGATTGCGAAAGGAACGTATCCAGTTCTTGTGTTACATTATTATCTTGCTTCATGTCCTTGATCAAAGACTTGTTGTCCTTAATCAGAATGTATGCATTTCTTATCTCGTTATAAGCTGGTGTATCTTCAGAGGATTCCAAGGCTTCGTAAATTTCATCCTTATCATATCCCATGGTCTTCGATAGAGTAACAACCATTTCGTCGTCAATCTCTTCCACATTTTCTTCATTTCCTGACTTTTTGTTGAACTGTTCTTGCTGTTTCAAATCCTGTGGGACTAAATACTCTGCCAGATCAACTTTGAACCATTCATCCTGCATTATTTCATGGATACTTATTCTGTTCAATGGGTTAACAATAAGCATTCTCTTAATAAGATCAGAAGCTCCAGGTGACAAAAACTTTGGCAAAGTGTAGACACCGTTGCTAATGTTCTTGAACAACACTGGAATGCTTTCATCATCGAAGGGCAAACGACGACAAAGCATGACATATAAAATGACACCGCAGGACCACACATCGACTTCAGGACCTGCATACAGTTTCCCACTAATAACCTCTGGTGCCGCGTAATTTGGTGAACCACAAGAAGTCTTCAAGAAGTTACCATCTGTCATGATATTAGACAAACCGAAATCGGCAATCTTGACATTCAAGTGTTCGTCCAACAACAAGTTCTCCGGCTTCAAGTCTCTATGTACAATCTTATGTCTGTGGCAGTACTCTACTGCACTGATAATCTGCTGGAAGAACCTCCTGGCCTCCTGCTCACTCATCTTATTCCTCTGCACAATGTAATCGAACAACTCATTGCCTGCATACTCGATAACCATGATAATTTCGTCCTTAGACTTGATGACATCATACAGTTTGATGATATGTGGGTGTCTCAGCAACCTCAGGTACGATATCTCACGCTCAATACGGCCTTGCATATCAGACTTGGCCAACACTTTCTTGTTAATGATCTTCAATGCCACTTTCTGCCCAGTGGTTACATGGTATGCCAGCTTCACTTTACCAAAGGAACCTTCTCCAAGCGTCTTCACAATTTGGTAATTACCAACACGAGAACCATCAGCCAGCGAGGACACCTTGTTGCTCACATAGGACCCATTAGAATGGTGGTGATGGTGGTGATGGTGGTGGTGATGATGCTCCTTGTTCTCCATTTTCCCCGTCACAGTCGCAAACTTATAACTCAACAGAAAGAACTTCTAGTAATATACACTAAGTTGAAAACTTACTCTTCTTCAATAGTTGTGCAAATCACAGAGAGGACAAAGGCCATTCCCCCCTCTCCATCCCAAGCTTTTTAGCTTCGTTGCGAGTCCATTCGAGCCCAACTTGTCATGGAACTAATGAGGGAAAACGTGATAGGAGCAACAGCACCTGGACCCTTGCCACAATGATATCGTAATCGTATAATGGCCCAATTGTGCCTATATATATGACTATTTAGATTGCTACCTTGCCAGCGAGCCTAGTGTTGTTTTGGTCTATATAGGCCCTTTCCAAGCGATAACCTCCAGAAGAGAGAAAAGACATGGACGCAGCGGATATTGCCAAGTGGAACACTGAGCGTGCACACAACTTGAAGGATATACTGTGCGTATATGGGAAAGTGAAGCAGAGGCCCTATGCCGTGAAGCTACAAGGTGTAGACGCGCAGGCGATGGAGCTGAACTTCAAGAACCACGAGTCTGACACGCAGATGACGAAGTTCGTCGACATCAGGGACCAATTGGAAGGGGTGTCCCCTGACTACAACGAAGTGGTCATGTCCCTGGCACGCCAGAGCGCCCGCAAGCTGAACAAGAGCTTCAACAAGCTGGACAAAGTGCTGTACCCGTGTGGGGTCGCCGACTTGCTAGTGATCCTCGCCGTGTTGCTGCCTCCACTGTGCTACTTGTACAGGCCCTTGCTGCACTGGCTGTTCCCACCGCAGGTGCCAGTGCTGGGCCAGCTGGGCCAGCTAGTAGACTCAGACTACCGCTTGCTCGCAGTCATCGTGCTCGAGTTCGCCATCCACGCAGGTGAAGTGTACCTCGGCCTGTGGCCCTTGCTCCACTACTACAGAATCACCGAGTCGCCGGACCTGCTTATAGAATACACACTGTTCGGCTTGCTCGAGGGCTACGGACCCATCCGTAGACTGAAATCCCTCCAGTGGGACTAATACTATGTACATATATATGCTATGTTAATGCTTATTGCCTGGCAACTGAAAAATTGTGAAATTTTAGCTCATCGCATTTTCTCGGCGAAAGGGATTCGCCAACGTGAAAATCCTTCTGACTTATAGAAGGAGACATACGGATCACATATATTGCCAGTTGATCTGTTCTCCTTGCTGGTCCTACATCAGCGTCGAGCACGTATACTAAAAATAAAATGGAGCAGGACGAGAGCTTGAGGAGTTTCTACCGGCGGGTCAAAGTGTACAGGCGGAGCGTGGGTGACGGGGAGCCTGGCCTCGGTGGTGATATTGGGAACTTGGACTCGCGGTTGTGCGAGTCTGAGTCTGCGCTTTCAGGCAACGACAGTCTGGAGCCTGGCACACCTGTTCTGGATGCAGTGGACGGGCGCAAGAAGCAGCGGAGCGTCAGCGTGCGGGCCAATGCGAAGGTGAGACCGTGTGTGTCGTTCAACACAGTACCGCTACCCAGCAAGCATACGCTGCTGGACGAGTACGAACAGGACTTCCCCGGTGTCCAGCTGTTTCCGCAGGAGTATACCATGGAGGAATACTACGACGACGAGAGTGGGTATGTCTCCGAGGATAATCAAAACTATATGCTGCACAACAGCTACATAACACCGGAGATAGTTGAAAGACTGAACAAGAATGCCACCACGAGGAGCTCATCTCCACCTCCTCTGGACAGGGAATATCCATCAGCCGGAAAACAAAAGAAAATGTCCTCGAAGCAGCAGGCAAACATCACCAAGATGTTCAAGATCGCCAAGAATGGTAGGATTGTGAGGGAGGATTATCCCAGCAGACCTACTTTGGTCAACGATGCCTTTATCTTGAACAGGGATCTTAACGATTGGCACAATACTTGGAGAAGCAGACGGCACACCATCGAGCAGAGGAAAGAGGACCTGTCTGAGACCTTCGAGTACCCACAGTTGTTGTTCCCACAACAGACAAAGCCCTCTGAACCCGTGATTATGATGGGTGAGGATTACAAGCCACTGACCAAAGAACAAAGAAAGAAAGAGAAGATCATCCACAAGAAAATCGAGTCGACTAGTGGCCCTCGTGTGGTCTTGTGCCACATAAGTGGCAAGCGCCATACATGGGTCGGCCTGGATTGGACCATAAAGAGGCTGAGTAATGATGGTGACCATATCGTTGTGCTTGCACACATTCCAAGGATGATATCAAGTAGACGTTTAATCACCAGTGCTTCTGCTTCTAGATCAAGATCCAGGACAAGGTCAAGAAGTCGGGACGTAAATAGGAAGGCGTATAACAAAGGTGACTATGAAGCTAGTGCATTTTCATTGGGGCAAGATAACAACGAAAATTTGAACAAGCATGAAGACTTTGTAGAATGGGCATCCGGCTACAGTCAAGAAGATGTAGAGACGACAATGGAGAATATATTCGATTATATTGCCAACATTTTACCCGAGGAGAGATCGGTTAAGATTACTGTTGAAGTGGTGGTAGGTGCTGCATTACATACTATTATTGATGCTACCAATGCTTATCAACCGGACTTAATGGTTGCTAGCACCCTTAGATGGGAGAGAACAGACAATTTGGTTTTATGGAAGTCAAATTTACTGATTGATAAGCTAGCTACTGTATTCCCCTTACCATTGTTTGTCGTTCCAGCAAGACGTATGTTCCTGTTCGAGCATGGACTTGAAGAAGAATCAAAACAGATTGAAATATCGCTAGAAAAGGAAAACATAGAAATGGAGAAAGAAAATAATGTCACTGGCGATATTGTTGAGTCTGAGGCTGATAAAAAAATTGTACCACCGAAAAGGATAGGAACTATAGGTCCACCTGAGAGAAGACTAGTTGGTGCTGATTCATTCACTGCTGGTTTCAATATGAAGCGTCCATCTTTGGGTACTTCTGTAAGTGCACCAATTGCTGAAAACGTATTTGAAGAAGAATCAGGGTCCGAAACTGGATCTGATGTAGATAGTGAATTATCTGATTTATCTTCGGATGAAGGAAACGACAAATTAACGGTCAGAGAGAAACTTCACTTGAAAGCAAGATCCTATCGTTTACAAACTGCCCAATATTTGAAAGATCTTGATAACAACAAAAGTATATCACACGAGGAGATTCAAATTAAAAAGGTGGAAACGATCATAAATCAAACTATCAAATTCTCTTTGGCCATAGAAGATCTTGGCAGTGAGAGTGATGATGATGATGATGTCGGTTTGACTAAATTGAAGCGGGTTATAACTGGTGGTGCTGTACTTAATCCACAGAGTGGATCGAAAAAATCCATGCTAAGTGTACTTGATAACCCTAAAACTACAAGGAAAAAGAAGTCTTTGAGTGCAACAACCAGCGGTGTGTCAGGAAATAGGGTTCCTAGATCTTCTCAAATTAAGTTTGCGTCATCGGTTAAACACAAAGATGGCAATAATGCCCTGGGGAATTCAGTCGTCCATACGAAGCCGCAAATTCAAGTGCATGCCGCTTCTGAAGATTCTTCACCAAAATTGACTCCTATTAGATCTTATAACACAGGATCATCAAATCAAGCTGGATTAAAGACTATGAAGAGTAATAATTCTCTAAGGAGAGTAAAATCCAATGATTCTTCTAGAATATCACAATCATCCAAAAAATCGAGTAGCAGCACCTCCAGTGGAGGCTTTATGTCTCTGTTCAAGGGTAAATCAAAGGAACGCTCTGAATCGCCCTCATCTAAACGTAAATCCGGATTGAAGTTCTGGTGAATGGTTTTTAATAGCAGGCTCTTTAATTTCTCGTTTTAACGCAAGTTCATGACCGTATTGTTTTCTATTCATGATAATCTTTATGTTTTTCTTATTCATCGAACATCTCAAATGATTTTGGCCGTAAAAGTACATACTGTCATCTATTGGCCACAGACAACCAATATGTATTTAGTTTTATTTATTTTCTTGTTATTTATTTTTTGTTTTCCTCTGACTAATTATTTTAAATGAACTTTAAATTTGAATCTTTCAAAATAAGTGAACCATAACTTTATATATTTATAATAAATACGATTATTATTTTACAATAATCACCAGAAATATATAGCATTCAAGAATCGGTCATCACTATAACTAATCATTTCTAGAAGACTTTTAAGATATTGAATCACTTGCCGAATCCCGAGCTCATCGCAAAAATTATGATTAAAAAATATCGAATAACATCTAACATCATAGGTACTTCAATATAACAAACAGGTTCATCAAAAAGTAAAGATAGAAAAAAAGGAGCTACCAGTAGGTCTGGTGTTTATCTAATTATCAATGCCTCCCAAGAACACAACCAGCAGGAAGCCTCGGTCCGGAAGAGGGTTAGATGTTGAGTTACACCCAGCTTTGGCATCTAGTAATGCTAATATCATCAAAGCACAACAGAAGCAAGTGAATCCCTACTTGTCAGATATTGGACAACAGAATGGTAAAGTGTTTAAGAAATACAAGGATGGTCTCCGATTTTATAAGAAAGGTGAGATTAGTGCCCAATTACATAAGGAAAGAGAGGAATTGGCAAGGAGATTGAAGGAAGAAGAACTAAGAGCTGCAGCAGAGAAGGCTCATCGTGTATCCTTGGCAGAGCAAAAACGGGAAAGAATTGCTAATGCTGAGATTCCTGATGATAGCATTGGCGAGGAGTTATATATGCAAAGGTTCAAAGATATCCCAAACTATGAATGGTGGGATGAGAGCTACTTGGATAAGTCTGGCAACATTCTTCCTAAATACACTACTGAATACCCAGAAGATATGGACTCAGATTACGACTCTGATGATATGAATTCTGGCGTAGAATGTATGAAGTCTCAGACGGAAGAAACGGGCCCACCTTCAATAAGATATGTGCAACACCCAGTCCCAATAAAAATACCGGAAGAAATAACTGCTCCCAAGATGTACCTAACAAAACTAGAACACAAAAAAGCTAGAAGAAGGAATCGGAAGCTTCAAAGAGAGGAGAAAATGGCTAAGGTCCAATTGGGTCTTGAACCTAAGCCAGAAACCAAAGTCAAATTGAGTAATATGATGAATGTACTTGATAATAACAAAAATATAAGTGATCCAACTGCGTGGGAAAATATGGTAAAAGATCAAATCGAAGAGAGAAGACAACGACATATACAAGAGAATGAAAAACGACACGAAGAAGCAGTTCTGCGGAAGAAATCAAAGGTTAGCGACCAAATCGAAGGTTCAGAAGATCTTTTTTGTAAGGCCTTCTATTTCCAAAGCTTACAAAATCCAAAAATAAGATACAAACTGAAAATGAATAGTCAGCAGTTGAATTTAAAGGGATTCTGTTTAAGGGTAGGTGAAGGTGGCCCTGGAATTATTGTTGTGATTGGTAAGGAAAAATCATGTAACTTTTATAAGAAGCTTGTATGCACAAGAATAAAATGGAATGAAAATTTTAAGATAAAGGATGCCACTAACAATGGAGAATTAATAGATATGACCGGAAATTATGCTGTTGAAATATGGGATGGTTTGCTAAAAGAAACGAAACTTCGCAATTGGTTTATGAAAATATGCCAAACTGAAGATGAGATGAAGAATATTCTTCAGCAGAATGATGCATTAAGTTTTTTCAACCTATTTATAGAAAACAAAGCAGAAAACACAAATTTATCACAGCAGTAGAGAACCTCAAGCTGTTAACTTTTTTTTAGTCACTAGACTTCATATTTATAAACTTCCTTAGCATGCTATGTGCAGTTAAACATGTTTAGACAAAGGCACTGGATTAGATGTACAATTTTTTATAATGAATAATGATTATACAGTCTACATTTCGACCTAACCTAAAGAGAAATGGCGGCTAATGAAAGTAAAAGAGGTTTTGGGTTCAAAACATATAGCGTTCTAATTTATTTGTCTTAAAATATAAGGTAATACGGCAACTTGGCCGAGTGGTTAAGGCGAAAGATTAGAAATCTTTTGGGCTCTGCCCGCGCAGGTTCGAATCCTGCAGTTGTCGTTACTTTTTTCCTACAATTAACAAACGTTTTTTTTATGGGTATGGTCTACTGTATTAATATCTAATAGGCTATCTAATACTAAGACTAGTTCGTTGTTGTAACAAAAATACTATTCTGTTATTTTCTTATGACCTCAATTGAGACTATTTTAAAATTTAGTTTAGTTTGAATTATTTGAAAGTACACAATTATTTAGACTAAAACATTAAATGTTAAAAGAACTGGATAAGAGAAAAAGGAAGAAATGTCCGCAATAATGCCGCCTATTTAGTCAAGGTCTTTATTGTTCAGTAATATATATATTTTACTAATGGTGAGCTGTAATGTTAGTTTGTATGAACATATTTTAGCAACTGGATGAGGGCTTAGACTATAGTCTAAATGAATATATTAATATCTAATAGGAATATGAAAACATGTTAAATACGGCAGTTAGTCAATTGTTCTCATCGCGATGCGAAGGGTTAATATTCTCAATATTTTATCCAAGGGAACAATTTACCAAACAGGATTCAAATGAATGCTCATAATAATTACAAATGTGCAAAAGTTGAGTGTGTAAATAAAGATTAAATGACAATGAGTGTGTGAGCCAAAATGACAAAAGAGATAGAATCACTTCTTAATGGACTATGGTTGATGTCCCTTCTTTATTTGGAAGCAGTACTAACTTCCTGTCATTTTTTTATATTTTTTTTTCTAATTTTTTATCAAGTACTATGCAATGCCAGTCAGATTCAGTTCAACTTCTTTGGTTTTGGTGTAGGTTTACTGAAGACGCCCAGGTTCTCCAGGTGTCTTCTGACAAACTCGTATACTGTGAATGTAACGGCTTGACCTGGAGCAACTCTCATCACTCTTGGGGTAATACCTTTGTAAAGAGCTCTGAAACCTTCTTCCTTTAACAATTGAGTACCAATGTGAGCAATTCTCTTCCATCCAGATTCACCTTTGAAGCTAGTAGACTTATCCTTTTGTAGTCTAGTCTTGATAGTGTCCAGTGGAGCATTTGAAAATGGACCAATAGCACCAGAGATCAAACCGATACAGGATGTTTCCCAAGATGGTAATGTTTCGGTACCGTGGTATTCCTGTAGGAACTCTCTCAACTTTGAGTAAACAGTAAAGTTAGCACCTTGGTTTGTGGCTTGTCTGGCAGCAGTTAAAGAAACACCTCTGTATAGAGCAGAGATACCTTCCTCCTTAATGATAGTGTAACCTGCTTGAACGGCATTTGTATATTTTGGTTTGGCCAAGTCATGGTTAGGGTTTAAGTGCTGAGCCTGCAGTCTAATCTTAACAACTTCCATAGGGTTAACAACCAAGACAGCTTCAGTGACACCAGCACCTACACCTGCGATGAAAGTGTTACTTGTGGAAACAACACCTGTTTGTTTGTCAGCCAGCAGAGTTCTGTAAAACTCATAGGAAGAAAATCTGATGGCCATCTTTGGGATAATACCGATGACAACGGCCCCTAGACCTTTATATAGGGCCAAAAACCCTTCTTGCGCATATATGTTTCTACCGGTTCTAATGAATCCAGGTGGCTTAATAGCGGCAGTGGCATCACCACCACCGACAGTAGCAGTTGCAGCACCTCCAGCACCGCCAGCCATGCTTGCAACTGCAGCAGCAGCGGGTGCCGCCTGTCTCTTGTAAATTTGCATCCGCACCTTTATAGTATCTAGTGGATGACAACACAGAGCTTCAAACAGACCGGCAGTACCACCAGCCACCAGGTTCACAACTGGGTTAGAAGATTTCTTTTTAGAAGAGGACATTTTATATTAGAATATTTCTTTGATTTTTTGTTTTGGGAATATAAGTAGTGTTATTCCTATTTTTTTTATTTATTGCTTAGTTGAGCTGTTCCAAAATTGATATTCTATACCGATTAATGTAAATCTTATACTTTGGATTTAGACGTTATTTCAGGCACAGAGCAAGTCAGAATATTAAACTGTGTATTGGGTTCAGGGGCTAGAAAAGTATCTAAGCAATCGCACAAATAGGTTAATGGTTTTTTTTATCCCAGGTCATAAGGAGGGAAATCCAAGAAAGCAAATCATGTCCCTGGTATTTATACTTCAATGTTTGTCCACCTGTCTTCTTTCCACTTGCGCCTAAAGTTCCGACAGTAACCCATGAACAATCAATGTTACTGACTCGAGAGAGTGTTTTGCGTTAACATTCCAGGTCTTAGCATTGCTCAGTCCGAGTTTTCGATTTGATCGATCACAATAGGGAAAAGGCTTGTTTTGGCCCGGCGGCCCTGGTAATTGCAAGGGAAAACCCTAAAAGCGTACCAGCATTTAGGGACCAATAGTATAGAGAAGTCTTAATGTGATTCTCACCCACAGAATAGGCCTGAAGACAAATCCACAAATCGCAATAGGCCTTTAAAAGGCCACAAACCCATCTCAAACCCTATCCCAGTTATCTCATCCCAGTCCTGGAGACAAACCCTAACTACAAATGCATTTATCCAGCGACTTTGGCAAAAGCAAAAAAGCCCTAATTTCGTTCTCCAGTCATCCGTTCTCTAACTGAACGCCCCCCCCCCTCCCCCCACACAAAAGACCTAAATCCGATCAGATCTTTTTATCAGCTTAAGCGTACTTTTCTCAGCGGCTGTGGGAAAAGGGTAGGAAAGCCCTACGCTGTTACCCTACAAGCAGTCCCCATTAGACCGAGGTACTTATCAAAAAACCTATTGGTCCGATAACTTCTCACTAGGATCCCCTTTTTTTATCTTTCTCCAGGTGATTTGTGTAGCGGTTTCTCACAAAGTGTGTAGAGAGCATCGCATTTGAAAATTAGGGTTTTAGGGAAGGGATGACTAAAAAACAAAATTGAAACCCTAAATGACCGGAGGAATGGAAACTTTCAAAAGCACTTTGAAGCTTAGAGTTTTGCGTACGCGCATGAAAAGGAGTCTGTCAGAATTTAGTCATCCCACATCCCACAAACCCTAGTCTACCGGGAGGGATTCAGAATAAGGGGCCATCGGGTCTTCGGAGTTTATTTGAACAATCCCACCTATAGCTTCTTTCTCTACGTTTCCTTACTCGCACTGTCGCAATGTCGCACTGCACAAATTGTCTCTCCCCCCACACTCAATTTCTCTTCTCTTGCTCGAGCCTCAGGTCGGTGTCATAATGTTCTTCTAATATCCCTCTCTGACTATTGTGATCTATAATCTCAACGCTCAATGAAGCGGACGTGGGGTGGAGAGGAAAAGACAACACACGTCCGAGGATCCGGACGTTCATCTTGCTGTGTTGCTCAGTTTGAAACGTATCACCCTGATCCCAAATAAACAAAAATTCACGAAAGTAATCCACCAATACGTATTTAACCTCGGATGAATGGATGACGGGATTCATTCCAAAGGCTGGTAAATCTTCTCCTGTGGGGGGGGGGGGAGGTATATGATTATACGGATAAATATTTCATGTGCACAACTTATGATTTGTCGTTAGTAGGTATTGTGTTAGCCGCGTATCACTTGACGTTTCATAAAATACAAAACGACCCAAATAATTATTTCGGGTACCGGATTCAGCCCCGTGTAAAGTACTTCTAGCAACACCCTACTTATATTAGTATCAGTAATTCAAAAGTATAAGAAAGAGGCTGCACGCATGTTTCTAAGTTGTCTAGCCAACCAAACTTTAATGCGTACATTGCTTTCTTAGCACTACAATATAAGCTAGAGATTTATCAATACACGATTGCTGTACAATATTTTCTCAGTACAATATGTTTTTTTAATCTACTGCAATTTCAGAGCGTTATATTAATCTTGTGTCTTGTGCGGTATCTTGTCAGCATGTGCTCATGCTTACTAACAAATAATACATCTCGTATTAGATAGACAGAAAACACTACTATTATTAGTATGATCATTTCCCAATGCCGAATAAAATAAAGGAAAAGCAAATAAAAAAGATGTCAACTGAGAAATTGGCGTACACATTACCCCCCTACCCAGACGCCACTGGGTTCCCCTACTACTATGCGTTTCAAACATAGCGCAAGTAGCGTCACAATGTGGTTACATCCTTTTATTTTTTCCTTGTTAGAACACTGCGCACAAATAGAACATCAATACAATTTCAAACTCTGAATTCTTGTTACACCTCTTACAGATCTTGCAGAATTACGTGTTTTGTACGCAAATCTCTTACGACCAGGCGCTGTATATAAACAAACATTAGCCGCCAACACCAGGCCATAAACCAAAAACAGCTCTATTTCCGAAAATTTTGTGTTTAGAATCTCACGCAGGAGATGTCGTTATGAAAAGGGACTTCTTTAACAAATAGTTCTTGTATTTCTACTGCCGCTCTTCACAACAAAAGATTAATGGGTAACTGGTACGTGCTGTTCTAACAATTAATAAGAAAGACCAAAATACCTAAAAAAGGCTGCTCTATCTAATAATAGTTTAATTTCGGGTAGAACTCCTGCACGCATATTTTTTACTGCTAGAAGAATAGCCGCTCAGCCCCACAAACACCTCTGAAACAGATGTAAACTGGAGCACAGAAACACACGGAAAGCCTCGCCGCCGAAGAGATAAGTGTTTAAAAACTACTCTAAAAAATAACCGCACAAAACCTAATTATTTGTTAATTTGTTTTTGTTGAGTGGAGATAAGGACCCTTATTGTGGGCACGCCTCTCCACCTTTTCAAAGGCGGCTTTCTGTGCAATTAACCCTTTATCTTAAAAAAAAAAAGCATTAGCCGCTGCAGAGGTTTCTAACAATATACTTCCTTACCTTTCAATTGCTAAGTTGCATGCTGAGACATCTTTCACCGAATATTACCAATCTGGGCTTTGCCCTTTTCCTGATTGTATATAAAGGGGGGAGCATAAACTCTTCTTGGAATATATTTTTATTTTTTTCTCTATCTTCAATACTAAAAAAGGTTTTTAACCATATCATTTTTGCTAAACTACTAATATATTATTTAAGAAAAAAAAGAGAGAGATTATAGCTTTTCTAACAATTATTTTTCTTCTCATATACCTGTTTTATTTTTTTTTTTGTTTATATGCCTACTCAATAAGTCGCCAATTCAATTTATTTTTTCTTTGCACACTATCCTGTTTCAGAAAAGCTGTCAAACCCAAGACAAAACAGGGACATAGCACACACGAACATCAAACAGTACACATTATATTTAATTCCTATACCCTAAGAAAAGGAATTCCGCTATACTTTTTTCAAAAAAATATTTACAATACAAGCAAATTTTTTTCCAACATTGAAACTAATATTACCGCTTTATCCAACCCCTAGATAGTTACTTTTACCGTTGATTTCTTCTTTTATCATACATTCTCGCCTTCACTTTTGCTTTGTCTAATAGATAGAAATTGAAGCCCCATTACTGAATTTTTCTCAATACAAGGATTTGATCTAGCCAAACACTGGTACTAAAATTCCTCGGTTTATACACTTAATAACAACACCAATTATCTAACGTCTTTTGCTGAAAGAAAAAAAAAACAAAAAGGAAATATTCAATACAACACTTACCAATAATCATTGTTCAATTCAATAGAAAATCTATATCAAAGATTTCCCAACGTAATTATTCAATTATTACATTGAAGAAAAATAACAACTGATAGTAATTGGCTTTTGTTAACATTACATCAAAAAAATATAAAAAATAATTATAAACCATCTTTTGAACTTTACAAATAAAACTGTCAATTTGATAATTTGGGTATACTTTTGGCGGCAAACGTAATTACAATCGAGCAAGTCTCAAAGATTTCCTTGAATATTATTCTGAAGTGAACTTAAAGGATTGATAAAACAGTAATAGATCAAGGAGTGTCTGAACATATCCGCTTTCTTAATTATGAATAATAGTTGTCCAGGTGTCACGGAAAAGGACAAGTTTATTATTAGGAGGAATCTGATATTATTTGATGAGGACGAAGAATTTAAAAGATTAACAGATATTCGCAGCTCATACATTCCACTTTCAAGGGCTATGCATAGTAGTAGCCCAAATTTTAAAGAGGCTAAGGTAGCTTCACGGGGTTGCAAAACTTATAGACAGTCTGAAGACATTAATGGAGATAACTCACACGAAATTAGTACACTCAACAATTACTTTTTTGATGGCGGCAACCCTCATCCGACAACTAACAACACCATAAAACTAGCTACAAATTGGGATGACACGGACAAATATATTAATTTTAGTGTTTGTGAGGAATTAACTCCCGTTACGGATTACAAAAATTGTATCATAGATCAGGACCCTTTATTATTGGCAGATTCGCCTCTAAATATGTCAGTTTCAACAGATATGATTGACAACGACCTAGGAAGCGCTTATTCAGAGCTTGACTTCCACAGTAACTATGATTTTGAAGACTACAGCATTTCCTATGATAATAACTACAGAGGTGACTACTTCAACGACTCCACTGAAGATGTTTCTCCAAATTTCTCAAAATCTACAAATTATACTTCTAAACTTCCAATTGAAATCATTCATACCCAGCCACATAAATTGATAAATCCAAAGATTTTATCAACTACTTTTGATATAGAGTTGTCATCCTTCATAAATGAAGAAACCTACCTTCTATCATCAAAATATTCAGAAGCCTCTTCTTTCTCCTCAATCTTTTCATATGATATAGACAACATCCAAAATATTGCTTCCATAACAAACTCATCTGGTGAACTAATGAAAGAAGCAAATTTTTGCAATGAACAAAATGAAAGAGACTCTGTTGTTACAATAAAATTGGAAACCAAGAACAATAAGAAAACCACCAAATATTCAATAAAGAAAGAAACCCACTTTCCTATTCCCGATCAACATAAATTTAATGATAACATAGAGTATTACTATTATTTTGATCCTGATGAAGGAAACCCAATAATTCTACCTGAGTATCCCCCATTAAGAACCTATGAAGTATCAACAGGGTTCAAAAAGAAAAAACGAATAAATAAGGAACCCAAACCAGTGATAAAAACAAAAAAATCACAAGCAAATTCTTATGTCCACCGTACATCTAAGAATAGAATACGTAAGTCTAAGGATTCGAAGAGTAATAAGGAATTTTTTACTTCATTACTCTCAAAATTAGATAGATATTGCGTTAATGCCTACGGTAGACGCTCAAGAAACCAAGAATATTATGATAAAGTTAGGTTCCAGGAAATTTTGTATAAGTTCAGCAAGACCTATTTTTAATTTTAAAGGCGCTGGTAAACTATAAAAAAACTCATCAATAGATAATAATTTTTAAACTGCCCTTTGTCTACTCTCAATTATACAGTTTTCTTCCCAATACCATTATGTGACTACAATTCCTAGAAATTTGTTGATTTTGAGATAATCGCATAAATCAAATATCAGAGTATAGGATGTTTGTGAATACAAGAATCTGATCATTTTATTTCATTTTTTTTTATATTTAGTCTTGCAGCATACTATGGGATAACCTGGGAAATTTTAAATTGGGTAAATCAGAATTAAAATTTTAATATCAAAATATTTGGACTTATAGTTTCGGTTCATTTCACGTTCTATTGTGCTGAAGTTAATTTGAACTTAGTTTAACTGATATTAATAGGCTATATGTGGGTAATTTCTCTGTAGCAGCACTTCTAGAAATAGTGAGATGTATCTTGCCATTTTTCACTACAGCATCACTTTTCGCTTTTCGAACTGCAATTTTTATTTTATTCCAGTTTTTTTTTTTCCCTTTCGCTTTTGAAACAAAGGATCAGAAAGGTCAATTGCTAAAAACGATATCACAAATAATGAAGTGAATCATACTGCAGGTAGTCAAGTACAATTCCTAGAGGTTTTCCCAGTCCATCAATTAATTATCCGAACTTTTAATTCTCAACCGTTATAGTATAGTAGTGGCGGTTTTTATAGAACTGAATCTCCATTTAACTTTCAATTGAAAAGAAACGACAACAACAATATGAGCTCGAGTGAAGATGAGGATGACAAATTCCTATATGGTTCAGATAATGAAGAACCAAAAAATGAAAAGAAAAGACCAAGAGAAGCCGCTGAAGATGACAATGAAGGTCCTACAAGTGATAAGGTAGTAAGCCAACATAATAATGATTTGAAAAGACCAAAGCTAGCGAAAGACTCTCTGGCAAATGCCAGCTCTGATGAAGAAGAAAGTGGCTCCGAAAGCGATTCAGACATCGAGTTCATTATTAGTACAGGCCCTGATCCACATCGACTGGATTCTTCAACAGTACCAGGTAGTAATAATGCTATTGTGACGGTTTCTGAAGGTGCAAATGTAGGAGGAGAAACAATGTCAAAGAGCACAGCTACAGCCACGACGGCCGAGATATCCACATTAAATGCATTAGGTGACACTGAGGTTGCTGGAACTTCTGAGTTAGATAACGAAACACTAGGTCCTGAAACAACAACTAAGAGCGGAACCTCTGCTGAGGGTATTGATTTAGATAAGGAAGGTTTGTATAATGACGAACCAGTGTCAACCATTGATCCAGAAGTACTAAAAGAGAAACCATGGAGACAGCCCGGTGCGAACATATCCGATTATTTTAACTATGGATTTAATGAATATACATGGATGGAATACCTTCATAGACAGGAAAAACTAAGGCAAGAATACAACCCAAGAAGAATACTTATGGGTCTCATGACATTACAGCAACAGGGCAGGCTCGATCAGCCTCAAGGAGGACACCAGAGTATGCCTGATAATATGGCCATAAATAACCCACAACCTACTAATAACGATAACATGATGCATAAACCAACTCCACCGCTACCGAATTTCCCAATGCCTCCTATGTTTGGTGGATTCTCTCCTTTTATGCCACCTGGAATGATGGCACCTATGAACCGAATGCCGAATCAAAATCAAAACCAAGGCCAAAACCAGAACCAAAACCAAAACCAGCTAAGTAAGTGAACATAACCCAATACTCCACATAATACATATCTGCTTGGGTAAATTAATAGCTGACCAACTTTTGACATGTCAACTGGTAGGGAAATTTCTTTTCTTGTTAACAGAAATATATAATTTGCATAGAATCATTCATATCATCTGTTTACTATTTTTACGATAAATAATAAGGTCCAAATTTCAATTTTTCATATTAATATGTTGTATACAGTTAATCACATCGCCTGTTTATTAGCACACTATATTACCGAAATTATACAATTATTAAAATATTAGTTATTGAGTTTATTAAGATATTTATTGTGATACTATGGTTTGATTAACACTCACGAAAGAAATCAAATATCATTAATTATCATGTTCTCTGAAAATCTTTTGACCCAAGGTTGATGGAAAGCATTCAATTCAACAACCTCTTTCAGTTTCATATACCAGCTTTGTTCATCTGCTAGAGAAGACTCATCACTAAATGTGATTACCTCACCATCATCAAATACCAGTTGAAAACAATCATTCATCAGAACCCATGTGGTAAAGTTTCTTACGTTGTCCTTACCAGTCACAACATCATCCTTCCCTATGACCTTCACTACTTTAAGCATGTTAATTCTTATCTTTGGTTTCATGCTGACTTCATGATAACCAACCAACTCTACACCATTTAATTTGAAAAATCTATTTTTCATTTGCGAGCTCAAATCTCCTCCTTCTTGCAACAGATATCCTTCCTTGGTTATGTCCTGTTGAGATCTATATTTTTCAACAATGCTTTTTGCTTTCTTCAATGACACTGGAAACTTTTCATCATTTGAAACTCTCTCAAGGAAACATCCCTTTACTTTCAAGGATCCAACTTTGTATGCAGGTCTACGTGGTAGATCATACAATGCTTCTTGAGTAACTTTACTTGAACTGTTGTTCTGTAAACGGGACCATTTGTTCAATAGATCAAACGATAAGTCTTGCTCTTTGAATCTAATCTTTTCAAAGAGTGACTCATCCAACAGAATTTCACATCTACCAAATGAACCATCACGAGCAAATAGATAATCCCATTCATCCTTGACAGTACTTCTCTCAACAAATTGGGTTTCTGTCCTGTATTTCATTTTACCAAATGGAAATTTTTTACCGATTGGTATTCTCTTGGTCACTTCAACAAGTTCATTGGTTAATCTAGTATACTTGATCATCAATGTAATTATCAGCTTATTAATAGATTGATCGATTGGTATTTCAAATTCTTTATTCAAACTAATGGTACCTCTGCTATCTAGTTCAGTCCAATCTGTTCTCACTACATTTTTACCGTTATCAAATTCAATAGAATATTTTGGATGGTGAGCATTAATACCAGCCAATGAAAGCTTGGTAGTACCTTGCAAGTGCAAATACAAAAGACCTTTGTCAACAATAGGTTCACCTTCATTTCCAACTTGACCAGCATCAATATTGTCTTTATTACTAGCATCATCTACTACTGCAGTGTCTTTATTTGTAATTTCTCCTACGGCAGACATGATCGAAATCTGGGCAGCTTCAGATTCAGAAGAGACTCGCTTTTCAGCAGTCGTACCATCCTTCAAATCTTTTTGAGTATTCTTTTTGGGACTTATAACCTTAAAAGGACTACCAACATGTGTGCTTTTAACAGGTGATAATTCTGGAGTATGTACCAAGCTTTTCTTATCAGAGAAGATACCCATATCGATATCATTAGTCATTTCGCTTTTACTGATACTTATATCTCTTCCATTTAAAGCAAACATGTCGACATTACCAGTTGCAATATCATTTGCAGTTGATCTCCAGATACCCAAACCTGCATTATCTATGATATGGTGCTCTTGATCGGAGCGACATTCATTTAATTCAGAGTTCTCGGTATTTAGGAGTTTCTTCATTATATTGTGATCAACATTAGGCTCTTCACCAGTTGGAAGTGAATAATCCACACTTTCACTCCATACTTTTGAAGTTGGAAGTGCTTGATTCTTTGTTGTTGTCTCTTCAATTAAATCTGAGGAAGTATTGGTATTTATATCTTTGTCAAAATAATTTAGAACATTTTCCAAGTCATTTTCAAAAGATGTTCCCAGTTCATTGAATTGTGAATCAAAATTATCCATAGTAGCGCTAGGTGTAACAAAGGCCTGACTACCTGATGAACAAGATTCATTATCATCTTGATTATTAGCTTTTAAAGAGGAGCTATCATTTTCTATACTGATAGGCTGTACTTTAACCTCGGGCTCAATATTAACTTCTGTTATGGTGTTTCCTTCGTCAACAGAAAAGGATGGATGACTCTTTCTTTTATCAATCACTGTTTGCCTAATCTTCTTAGAATTAATGGTATTTCTCCTCATTGGATCCAAAATACTAGGTAGCTTAGTGTATATGAAATCCATGCTTTGTTCCTGTTGAATATTATTATCAGGGTAGTAATACTTACTACGACTGACAATTTTTGGCTTGAATTTGAAAGCTGTAGCAGGTACTGGTGATGCTACACTGGACTTAGTAGAGTTGGAATTATAAGAGAATTGAGAATTCGAGCTTAGCGCTGGAGAAACAGCCTTGGTTGTCTGTTCTTGTAAATGCCAAATCGATAAATAATCTGTAGGCTTGACACTATTTTTCATTTGCATCGATTCATTAGAAGTTTCAAACTCATCATCAAAGGGATCATCAATCGAAAGCTTTTCCAATTTGGGGAGAGGTGGTAGTACTGGAGTGAAATTTGAAGCACTACTACTAATCCTGGAGTTAACAGCAGAATTATCAGTGGCTTCAGAGATATCTTTCTGCGAATTTAAGACTTCAATCTCTCTATCAGTATATTGATTCTTTTTTGCTGGCTTTGGCTCGAAGGTTTCCTGTGTGTTCATTACAGTTTCAGTTGAACGAATATTCTCTTCCAATTGAGGGTCACTGCTTACTTTATCTTCGTTATCTCTGTTTTGCAGAAATTGAACTGAAATCTCTGACTCGCTAGTATTTTCAAGCATATTTTCTGAAGCAGGCAAAATATTAACTTCTGGCAACGTAGTAGTAACCTCCTCCGGTACAACCATTTCTGGCTGTATTCCGGTATGGTTATCTTCCAGATTCTGTTGAATTCCATTGTCATTCTTTGTTAAGTTATTTAGGCTTGAATTTTGATCATGAGATCCGTTAAAACTATCTTCACTAGCAGTTATATCTGATTCTGTAACATTTACTCTGGTATTTGATTCTTCAATTAAATCATTATGCATACTTTGGTCAAAATTATTTCCAGATGTTAGATTTATTAGGCTATTATGCGATTCTTCAATATTCCTGGCTATGTCTGAAGTTTCTTTACCGGAATCTGCTACGTCCTCAACTGAGCCGTCATTTGCAGACTTTGATATGTTATTGTCAGAGACGGTTTTTACTGAGTCAATGGATTTATTGCTTGACAGTTGGTGATCAATCATATTTAATGTCTCATCTAGTTTATTTTCCTGCCTTATTTCTAGCATATCTGATATTGAATTTGAGGATGGGTTACTTTTCACCGCTGGTAAATTTTCATTCTCAGGTACTGAGCTTATAACGCCTTTGCTTTCTTCCTCGGATACAAGCCTATTCTCATGTTCACAATTATTATCAATGTCAATTGGTTTAATAGAGGGGGTGACATTGATATCAGGCAACTCAGTTGCAAAAACTTCAAATTCGTGGGCATGAAAGTCTGTTGGGGTATGATGCAAAACAGAAGTTTCTTGTTCCGATTGTGAATCTTCTTCATAATCTGGGAAACCTAGATTTTCCACTGATTGAGAGGCTTCTTTTAAATTGGAAATTACAAAAGATGGACGTTCCAATGTTGGTGGTAGGAGTGTTTCTACATTTGACAGAATATCATTGCTAACTGTAGTTTGTTTTGTCTCTAGAGGAATATCATCGGGTACTGTCTGTAATTTCGCATCCTCTACCGGAGCGTCCTTGAAATAATTTATAGTCTGTGCATTGGTAATTGGTATCTTGGATGGTGAGACTGGCTTTTTGGCTTTTGATAGTAGATCTATATCTTCTGTATCAGAATCATCGGCCATGCTAATCATATCAGGGCCATCGTAGATTGTACTGACTTCTATCATATCTGGTTCCTTGTCCTGCAATTCGTCGGCCAATAGCGGTTCAGTGCCCTTAACTGAGAAGTTCAATGTTCTTGTATCATCCATATCGTTTGACAATTGAGAATCAGATACTTCGTCCTCCACCACTTGCTTCAAGTTGTTGATTAAGTTGGACTTGCTGGAGCTAGGCGGTAGAACCAAGTTTTTGCTATCTACGAGAACCTGCTCGGATTCTTCTTCAGTCAAATGTTTGTTACCAGACAACAAGTTTGTTGTGTCGCTCTCATCTCCTTGTTCCTCGTCATCGTCGTAGTTGTTCTCCATGGGGAGTAGATCCTGGGGATCGTCGACTTTATTCCACTGATTAGCGTTAGCATTGGCATTGGCATTGACATTGCTGTTGGCGTTATTCTCAGTGTTGTACTGTACAAGCATGTCCATGGTCTCGTCGCCTATCTCTTGCAATGGCAGCAAGTACCCGTTACTCTGTGCGACATCGTTGCCTGACTGCATCTCCATCTCCATATCGATCTCCTTCAACAGCGAGTCGACTGTGGTTTCCGCTTCCATTGTGTGTTTCTTGTATTGGCTTTAGTTTTAGTGTGTTTGTTCTAGGTGAATGTGCTATTTTAATAAAGGTTCAGTGATTTACAAGCTGTATATATAAGTTGAGTTACTGTTTTGCGTCTGCCAAAACACACAAGCAATGGTTAAAAACTTCCAGTTGGTGTCTCTCAGCAATAGCAATTTGTGATAGCTACTGCACACGCACACAATAGCCCATGGGAGGGGAGCAAAGACGGGATAGTATGTGTATGAGCGTTGATAGACCACTTGTTTATGTTTGCGATCGATATGTTTACAAAATGGCCCAATTAGGAAAAATCTCAAAAAAGAACCAAAAGAATTGTTCAAGGTGAGTCCTAATATCATACAAAACGGATACCATATGACATGTACGTATAATATAACAAACTCGCGAAAATCGACCCAGATCACAGAATACGGAACTTACCCGGTCTCTTCCTTTCTAGCTCCAGTCTCTGGCTTCCTGCTCCACGGGATGCCTGTATTATGTGTATGTGCCGACGACCCGCCACCCGGCTGTTATCCCGCCAGACACGGGCCAAATATACCAGAATACAAGACCCAGGCTCGCGAGCCTGGGTCTCTTGAAAACTCATAGAACAAGCGCTATACAAACGAATCGCTGTGTATGTGTGTATGTGTGTATGTGTGTGTAGTGTGTCTTACGCGCCTCGAACACCAGTGTGGGCACCATGCGGCTTGCCCTTTTGAGGGAGGCAGCCGGGTAACTGTTTCATCCGCATTTCCCTTCTTGGGTCTCAATCGCTGCTGTGTAACTCTGCTGCACAGCCTTCTAGGCATTTTGCAAGTTGAAATTCTCTCGCCTGCATTTCTCTATCGCCCACAGAAAATCCCGCATAAAAGGCGAAGTTTTCCGCCTCTTTCTCTCTGGTTTCTTTGGGCTTAACTCGCTTAGTTTGTACGTACGTTTCTGAGACTTTAGGGCGTCGCTTGCAGTACGACACCAGATCCAGTCCCCTTTCTCTTCGCTGCGACACGCTGAACGCTGAACGCTGAACCCGCTACTATATAAACTCGGGATTGGGGCGCGGGAAGGGGGAATTTCACGGTTCGTTCTTCTAGCCGCCCAGATATTCATAATACCAGACTTTGCGACAGCCTTACTTCTACTTGAGGGAAAACTCGGTGAAAAAGGAATCTCTGAAACGTTTATTTTTTGATCTTTAGCTTGAGTTTGACATTGACTTTGGGAACAGTTTGAGCTTTTGTACCGAATGGAGAAGAAGTTTACTAATATACCGGAAGTGATTGATCCCGGGATCACAATCCCGATTTTTGAAGAGGATGTGGATGCGATGTCGCTGGAGCAGCCGCAGAAACTGGGGTCGTATAGGGCGCGTGCTGGTAAGTTCAGCAACACGCTGAGTAACCTGTTGCCGTCTATATCTGCGAAGCTGCACCACTCGAAGAAGCAAGGGAAAGGTGCTGGTGCGGACCCGAACGCGTCCACTCCGGACAGCTCTGAGTCCGCGATCGGGAACTTGTCTGCGAAGTCCTCGCAGATGTTCATGATGAATACAGACCAGGGTATGCCCTCCATGACCGCGGCGGTGGCAGCAGATATGGGCCCTCCCAGACCAGCACACGTGGAGGGATTCTCCGCCAGAGGCGCCGCACAGGACAACACTACTCCGCCTAGAGACGCCGACAAACTCGTCCACTTCCCGGAGTCCACGGAGTACTTGATCTCCAGACCCCGGACGTCAAACGACTCCTTCGGCAATAACTTGCCACGCCAAATTTCGCGCACGAGAAACAATACTATGTCCTCACAGATTACATCAATCTCATCCATAGTCCCTAAACCTCTGCCAAACACAGTCTGGAACAACAACGATACAGTAAACCAGCAGTACCAACAACAACAGCAGCAGCAGCAGCAGCAGCAACAGCAAATGGTCCCACAGATAAACACTTATAATGCTATGGATATGGGCCAGCAACCTAACTACGGCGATACCATGAACCAACAGATGGGTGGCAACAACTTAACTGTGAACAACGCCTGGAACTCAAATAGACCAAGATCACACTCAAACGCATCGAGCATATACACAGACGCACCACAGTACGACACAGTCGGCAGGTCTAGAGCCGCATCGAGCTACGCCCACGGCAACTCAAACATTCCATTAGTAGCAGACGAAGTCGACCCAAGGTCTCTGAACTGGGTCACCACTGACTTGCTAGTACCACCCATCAACCAAATCTCTAACTTGCTACCAACAAACACCATCTCGATATCGAACGTGTTTCCATTACAACAACAGCAACCCCATTTGAACAACGCCATCAACCTGACCAGTGCATCATTGGCCACTCTGTGCTCTAAATACGGTGAGGTCATCTCAGCAAGAACTCTAAGAGGCATCAATATGGCTTTGGTTGAATTCGACAGCGTCGACAGTGCTATTCGCGCACTAGATGCATTACAAGGAAAAGAAGTCTCCATGATCGGCGCTCCTAGTAAAGTTTCCTTTGCGAAGATCTTGCCAATGCACTACCAGCAGTCTAATCATACACAACAGCAAAACGCTCAAACAACTCAGGCAGAGTCAGTGTCCCAGCCTTTACTGCAAGAACAACTCAACAATGGCGCTGTCACTTTCCACCAACAAGGTAATATATCCATCCCAGTGTTCAACCAAAATCAGTACAGTAATGGGCAAAATACAAACAACAATGCCTCCTCTCACCCAGGAACCTCATCGTCCTCTGACAAGGAGCAATGCCCATTTCCTTTGCCTCCTCCTCCTTTGTCAGGAAAGAAATCTGAGTTGGAACAAGTGGTTTTGCAATTTAATTCAGATCACGATGAAAGCCAAGTAGCCTCGTTAATAAACAATAGCTTGAAGACAAAACCTACATCAGATGTCAACAATTTCGGACCGTTGCCTGGATCAGTCTCAAACAAACAGTTTGATGCACCAAAATTAAGGGAACTTAGAAAGGCAATTGATTCGAATAGTTTGTCAGATATTGAGATTGAGCAATTAGCAATTGCAATGCTGGATGAATTACCAGAACTAAGTTCAGATTATTTAGGTAACACAATTGTCCAAAAGCTGTTTGAACACTCTAGTGATATCATTAAGGACATAATGCTAAGGAAAACTGGTAAGTATTTAGCTTCAATGGGTGTCCACAAAAACGGTACTTGGGCTTGCCAAAAGATCATAACGAAGGCTACCACACCAAGGCAAATCAAATTGGTAACTGATGGTATCAAGGATTACTGTACAGCTCTTTTCAACGACCAGTTCGGTAACTATGTTATTCAATGTGTGCTGAAATTCGGCTACCCTTGGAACTCATTCATCTTTGAAAGTATACTTTCAAATTTCTGGACTATCGTGCAAAACAGATACGGTGCTCGTGCAGTTAGAGCATGTCTGGAAGCTCATGATATCGTCACCATGGAACAAACTTTGGTGTTGAGTGCTATGATCGTCATATATGCAGAATATTTAACTACCAATAGCAATGGAACATTGCTAGTTACATGGTTCCTAGACACATGCGTTTTATCAAATAGACATTCCATTTTAGCTCCAAGGTTAGTTAACCATATCGTTGATCTCTGCCGTCATAGACTAGCTTCCCTAACTATCCTCAAAATTTTGAACTACAGAGGTGATGACGCTGCTAGAAAGACAATCTTGAATACTGTTTTTGGTAATTGCGAAACAGATGAACCCCAACAAATTCTTTACCAAATTTTATGCGACGTTAATTACGGCCCAACATTTGTCTACAAAGTACTATCCATGCCTTTATTGGAGGATGATATAAGAATACACATAATAGCGCAAGTTAGAAAGATTCTTATGGAGTCTAATACGGCGCAGCATCACCGTCGTTTGATGGAAGAGGTTGGTTTGATGACCACCGGTAATAATAATAACCAGACCAGCAACAATAAGCACAGGAAGAACTCTTCTCATACATATGTTCAAGATAATAATGGACATATGAGAGGTGTCTCGGTTTCTAGTGTACGCAGTGGAGGATCTAGACAAACAGGTTTAACTCCAAATATACCACAAACGTTCCAAATGCCAAGCTTGCCAAATACTTCTATGAGCACCGTTGTGTCTGGAAATATGTCTCTAAATCAACTACCAACGCAAATGCAGCAACAACAGCAATCTGGTGTACTACCTCAAACCGTTCAACAGCAGCAGCAGCAACCTATGGTGGGCTCCAACCAAAACAATGCTATGAGTTACATGAATTACCCTGGAGTCTTCCCTATGGGCTATCCGAATAACAATAGCAGCTATGGAATAAACGATGATCTTGTGTCAAAACTAGATATGCTTACTTTGGGAAATGGTACTCACTTATCATTGCCTCAATTGAGTGTCACAAACCATGAAAATAACACTAACTACAGTAACAATAACAATAACAATAACAATAACAATAACAATAACAATAATAGTAATGGTAATAATAATACCAATGGCGGTAATCCCATGAACTTGATGAATTCTTCCTTGAATAACACCCAAGAATTCGGTGGATCATCTCTATGGAATTAATATCTCTAGCAACTTTGGCAAATTTCATGATGACGGTAATTACCAATGACCTCTTTTATGTTTCATTTTCATTTTTCCTTTTTTTTTTTTTTCATTTCTTAATGACTTATTGCATATTTTTCCCCTAACATGTTTCAATTTTGTTTATCTTTGTTGTCTTCTCTTTTTAATTCATTTATGTTTTGCTTTCCACACCAGTATTGGTGGCATTCCACATCTTTCTATTTCTTATTTGGTTAATGCAAAGCCTTTCTTTTATCAAGTATTGCACCATATCCAGCCTACATAATAGATCTATAGAAACTAATATTTTGTCACTCAGAAAGAGCAGTGTACAGCTCTAAATATATTTATAGATAATAGATTCCAACTCTGCTATACAAACTGAACAATGTCCCATGTTTATATCATCGACTTAATGAAAATAAAATATAAAAGCACAACTCATCACTAAGAAGCCATTATAAGTCTTTAAATAGCATATCATCATTAACGTTAGAGTATTGTGGAAGGGGAAATCATTTTTTGTGGGATGAGTCGAAGGCAAACCGGGAACTGAAATAGGATACTTTGTGATGATAATAAGTGGCCATCTAACGATTCAACTGTTGGGCTTTCGCATAACAGGTTCTCGAGAATAGCGCAATTTGCAAGTGAATTCAATTGCTTAGACTAGTTTCTTTGTAAGCTGGCCATTAAGTTTACTATTAGTAGGGGTTTTGTATCTGAACTTTTTTCTGTTCCGGATAATTGACAATTTGACAGTGATTCATAATCTGATAAGACCGAAAATAATAGTGCATAGCGGTTGATAGATAGTACGGGGGATACACTGGTCTTTATTAATTTTTACAATTTTGGCATTGCAAATAATTTTTTTTGTTCTTCTGCAATACAGAATATAATTCAATTTTCGGGATGGATGGTGCTAATGATGAATCCGGGGCACAAAATAACAATAGTGGAAGAGGATTATGGATGGATTATAGAGGGGATATAGCACGAGATATGGATATAACTAACCAGAACCACAGTATAGATACACCAATGCCTGATACGAGGCCAGATATTGAGTTTGGATTTGGTTATAATGCTGGAACCACTCGTGGCGGGCCATCCTTGGCTTCCATGCAGATACAACAAGGTACCAACACACACCATCAGATAAATAATGATATATCCTTCAATATTGGGAATAATGACACTAACAGTAATGACACTAATGAAAACATTCACGTTGATAGCTTAAGAAATAATGGTAATATTCAAAGATTTACAGCAGGGGATAGACTGCCGAACACTATTGGTAATCAGAGTGTCGCGATGGCTCGAAGCATTCCAGGAAGCATCGAGAGTCGCAATGGCTTTCCACAAGATGGCGAAGCTCTCATGGATATGAGTAACGTGGAAAGCATAGACTATAACGCGCCAGCAAAGATATTTGCAGATATGGATATTAATAGATTATTCTACGATCCAAATTTGTCGAGCTTACAGGCAGAAGATATCATAAAGCTCCATAATTTCAAGGAGGTTGTTCATCGCAAAATTGAAAACTTTATCGAAGTGATACAGAAACGGAGAGAGAGAATATTAAAAGAGATAGAATTAGGAAACCAAAGATTGGAGGGAGTTGATCTTGAGACTTCTGTTAGTGCTATGACATATCTAAATAAGCTTCAGAGAATAAGGATAAGCGCGCTAAAATCTGAAACTATGGAGCTCCAAAACTTAAGAATCCAAATTGTAAGTATCGTCGACGAATATAAGAAAGCAATGGCAGAGTATAGTAAACTGAATCAAGAGGGTAGAAATGCCGTGAACCCTACTCCATATTTCCAAAGATGGATAAAATCATTAAACCCAGAAGATATATCAGGTCTTAACAAAGAATTGATTGAATTACAGATGTACTCCAAACAACTGTCAGATATACCAGAGCTGGCTTCAATAGAGTATCAGGTTAGTACTCCACAAACCTCACAATTTCCTCTCCGTTCTTTACCATCTGAGATACTGCATCTTGTACTTGATAAAATAACACAGAAAGCTGATATTGTGAATTTGTTAAGAGTCTGTAAGCTATGGGCTCTTATCATAGTGAAAATATTGTACTACCGCCCACATATTAACAGAAAGCACCAGTTAGATTTATTTATGCGAACAATGAAGTTAACTAAGGATGAGACAGTGTTTGATTACCGATCAATGATTAAAAGACTGAATTTTTCCTTTGTTGGAGATCATCTGCATGATGAAGAACTTTACAACTTCGTTGGTTGTCGAAATTTGGAACGATTGACATTAGTATTTTGTAAGCATATTACAAGTGACCCGGTGGCAGCGGTTTTAAAGGGATGCAAATACCTACAGAGTGTTGATATTACTGGTATCAAAGAAATTTATGATAATGTGTTTGATACATTGGCTGAGAGTTGCAAAAGGGTACAGGGATTTTATGTACCCCAGGCTAAGCTTGTATCATATAATGCATTAACAAATTTTGTTTCCAATGCACCAATGTTAAAAAGAATCAAAGTTACTGCCAATGCTAACGTGAATGACGAATTTTTAGATCTTCTGGCTGAAAAATGTCCACTTTTGGTTGAAGTGGATATAACACTCAGTGCAAATGTGCATGATAGTAGTTTGACAAAGCTATTTATGAAGTTGACGCAGCTTCGTGAATTTAGAATTACTCATAATGCAAATGTGACTGACAAATTCTTTCTAGATCTTTCAAAGAATGTTAACCAACTTCCATCATTAAGGTTACTCGATTTATCTGGTTGTGAAAATATCACGGATAAGACTATTGATAGGGTAGTTCAATTATCTCCAAAATTAAGAAACATATTCTTAGGAAAATGTAGTAGAATCACAGATTTATCCTTATTTCATTTATCTACGCTTGGAAAGAATCTACAAACTGTGCATTTTGGGCACTGCTTCAATATAACTGATCGGGGTGTTAGGGCTCTAATAAAATCATGTCCACGTATTCAGTATGTTGATTTTGCCTGTTGTACTAATCTGACAAATCATACATTATATGAGCTATCTTATCTAAGCAGACTCAAAAGAATTGGCCTAGTAAAATGTTCACAGATGACAGATGACGGTCTTTTAAATATGATTGCCTTAAGAGGAAGGAATGATAGTTTGGAAAGGGTACATTTTTCATATTGTTCAAACTTAACAATATACCCCATTTATGAGCTTCTAATGGCCTGTCCAAGGTTATCACATTTATCATTGACTGCTGTACCTTCATTTCTTCGTCCAGATATAACAGCTTTTTGTAGGCCAGCCCCATCTGACTTCAGTGATAACCAGAGACAAATCTTCTGTGTGTTTTCAGGGAAAGGTGTTCATAAACTCCGTCATTACTTAATGAGCCTGACAACACCAACAGATGGCCCTCAAATTGATGTTGGTGATACATTGGAGCAATATGTTATTTCAAAGCATTTGCTCCGTCCTGGTGAGTATTTAAACGATGGTATAAGAAGGATTACCAGCGAGCTAAATCAGGATTCCGCTGCGATTTTGGCAGCAACTGGGTTAAATCAGATGAATGGTATGAATAGTGACTTTCCCTTTCAGAATATTGACTTTGAAAGACTGGATGAGGTGTTTAACTGGATTAATATGTCAATGGATGGTCATTCACTAAACTCTGATGAACTAAATGACTTGATATCTGAAGTTGATAGAGATTTTTGCGATGATCCCTTTGATGAAGACTACAATAGCAGGGATTCTATTGTGGCACCTGGGGCAAATACAGGCTTGAATAGCGAACTTTGTCATATTGTTAAAAAGTTTCACAGGTTAGATGATCAAATTTGTGACTTCGAGGTTAACGTATCAAGTCTGGCTAGGGTACAGTTTCAATTCACAGGATTTCTACTACATGAAATGGCACAAGCGTATATGAATATGGTTGAAATAAACAGACAGATTTGGCACATCCAGAAGACTACATTGGAAGCTGGTGTTGAAAGTGATATTAAGGCTTTATTGGTATGGAGGATATTGTTTATAGATAAGTTCACAGCTTTGCTTCACAAATACCAGATATCGACGGTGGTGTTAAGACTCTATTTGAAAGACAGTATAACCTTATTGACTAGACAAAGGGAGTTATTTTTAGCTCATCAAAGGACACCTTGGAATCCTACAATTGTTGAAGAAGCACCTGATTCAAACTATTGGCAATTAGTTGGAGACCGCATACAACTTCTTCCTGAGCAAATGAGGGTCATGCCCTTCGGTTTGAGAAATCCAGCCATTGCAAACAATGCACAGCAGAACGCAGCTGAAGCCCAAAATGATGACCGCTCGGAGACACCTGAAGATGATGTAGCAATAGAAGACTTTTAAATAGTTAAAAATACAAGGCTATCTTTTATTTTAATTATATTAACCGAAGAATATTGAAACAGGTCAACTGTTTCAATTAATATTACATATTTTGATTATTTATCAAGTTAGTTACACCATTTATTAACATTCAATTAAATTTCATAACACCCCAGGCGTTTTGCAATGGTAACTAGTTCGTCATCATTGGTGGAGTTGTTGATTAAGGACTGCTTTGCTAGTATGGACTTCTTTAATATCAGCAATTTTTTATTTAATGCAGATTTGAATTCTTGTTTAACACCTTCAACTTTCTCGATAATCCAAGATTCAAATTTCATGTCCAGTTCTCTATTCGGGATATGCTTCACAAAGTTCTCAATTTCACCATCAACATCTGTATTAAGTGTTAAGTCATTTTTGTTCATATAAACCAGCAAGTCATGAAAAAACTGTTTTACGGTTTTGGTGTCTTCATCCAATTCATTTATTTGAATTTTAAATTCCACTGCATTATTATCTTTTGGCGTTGATTTCATTTCATTCGATCTATCACTTTTTAAGTGATCTGAATGACTCGATTCAGAATTCGACTGGAATTTATGGTTATCAATGGCGGGTAGAACAAGTGGATCATCCCCAAGTCCAATTTCTTCACTTTGTTTGGATGCTTTCGAAATGTCAATAGTAGTAGGTGTTCTTCTATTTGGAGAAAAAGGTAAATTTTTAATGGGCTTCAGTGGTGTACCCATCTCAATTTTTGAAGAGTTTATATCTGAGATGCTCTCAATCGAATTTTCCGAAGGAAAGTTATGGGGAGCAATATGGTTACTAATAGAGATGCCTAAGCTTATTATATTTCAGCTTAACTGGTGTTTGAGCCAGTTTTGAAGTAAGAAAACCTAAGGTTTCTTTTGTAGGTGATGCATTGCCTTCTTTTGAAGCGATCGGAGATGGACTCTTTATCGGAGATGGGATTACACTGGATTGCGGTGAATCTAATTCAGATGATTCGTCCCCCGAATATTGTACGTTCTCCTCGCATTCTGCAGTATCCTTATTAATATTTTCAGTTACGTTATGAATTTCCGATTTGTTATCATTTTTAGATGAGGAAGTTGGAACTCTGGGTGTCTGAATCTCTTCTTGTAGTTTTTTTGTGTTATTGTTATTGTATTTATTATGAAATTCGGCGCTACTTGTCCCATTGTCATTGTTGTCTTTTGAGGGACTACTTGAAATCGAGATGTCGTTTGAACGATCACTTTTATTTTGAACTCTCTTAGGTGACTGTAATTCAGCAGGAATTGACGGTTCTGGGATATGGAAAGCATTATCACCGTATTTACTAAAGCCAAAGTCATCAATGCTGTCATCGAGCAGTTGGTTCTTTCTGGACTTTCCTTTCTTTCGGTGATAATGATTCTCGAAATTAATAACTGGCTCTTTATCTTCAGAACTATCAGAATGATTATTTGTATCATCGCCTGAAAAGTTATTCGACAATGATAAACGTACTGGAGAGATTCTTTTTAATCTTCTTCTCTTAGTTGGTGGACTTACTGATAGTTTATTAGCTGATTGGTCTTGATCTGCTTTCATAATATCTAATCTTTTCGGACTTTCATCTGCAACAATTTCAGCTTCATCAGATAAGCTTCTTTTCCTATCTTTTGAGTTATTTTCATCAGAGTTTTCCTTCTCGTTAACATGTGGGTCTTGTTCTTTCTCATCTTCACTATTCATCGCTAGATCTTCATCTGGGTTATAGTTTAGATCATCTATATCAATAGATGATCTTGTTGAATTGGCATTATCACTGTTGTAGCTTTCTTCGTGTCCTTCATCAGAAGTGGGCAAAGTCAATACATCGTTATCGTTTGAATCAGCATTGTCATTGTGCTCTGAGTTCATCTTACCATCCAGTAGTTTCAATGACTCTAATTCATCTCCATGGTTGCTGGCGTACTTCTCAAGGAAATAGCACTGATTGTTTGCACATGTCGCGTAATGACTCTGTATTGGTGTCAGTTCCCTTTGTAAAATCACAATAGATTGAGAATACGGGCAAAAGCAAGCAGACCGTTCTTGATCCTTCGCCATATCTTGGAAATTTGTCAATGATATATCATAGTTAATTAAGCCTGCTTGTACACAGCCGTTTACTGTAGCATGGTGCTTATCATTGTGGTCGAACTTGGACGGTACCGACTGGAAGGTCATTGTTGCATACTTAGCGAACTCCGCTGCAAATGGGTCGCTGAAACCGGGCACCTGGGTCCATTCTATAACTTTCTTTTGCGTATACCGCCATATCAGATCAGCATTCACACAGCTGTGCTCCTCGTAGTGGGCCTTCAGCACATTGTAAATGGTTTCGAGCTTCCTCTTGCGCTTTGATCTGTAGCTCTGTAGATCACCAGTGGACCCGCCACAGTAAATACAGCATACTTGGTTGTCAGCAGCACCATCCGTAACAACGGGGGCGTAGTACATCCCGAGGTGCGCCAGCAGATCACCAGGTATCGCAGTGTACCTCCACTTCATTCGCTTGCCAGAAACCTCAAACTGCTCCTGGAAGGTCTGTAACCGCGCACTCAACAACCGCATACGCGTATCCATAGTGGTCATCTCTACAAGTGCTCTGCTCCTGGTCCAATTGGGCTCGTCTTAGCTCATCTCATAGCTGTTTCGATAGGCCTGTGTTCATTGTTCTTGAAATAATTGAAATTTTCCAGCGATGAGGGAAAAAGCTTGAGAGTTTTGGCAAAAGATAGTCAAAAGGGCTTTAAGAAGGACTGATAGCTGAATTGGGAGGTGAAACAGGCTAATTGGGCTAGGAGAACAGTGCAGGTAAGGACAATGAGGGACTTGAGACGTGAGAAACTGCTTACCGTGATGACCACGCGGGCTTACACGCGGTTTGAGCCGCAGGAGCTGGTGCAATTGTACAACGAGCTGCTGATGAGGATGGGGAAGCTTGAGCGGTCGAGCGAACCCAATGATGTCTCGCTGCTGGAGATGTACTTTTATGTGTGCTGCTACCTTGGCAAGGACCAGGAGATGTCGCTTGTGTTTCAGCGTTTGAGGGACAGATTTGGCGAGAGTTCCCCTAGAGTTGCTGTGATGAAGGCTACTATGATGGAAGTTGAGGGCAACGACAGTAGTGCTGCTAAGCAGTACCTAGAAGGTCGTTTGAAGGAGCTGGAGTACGATGCCGATAGTGTGAGCTACGTGATGCTGTCTAAGAAGTTACTCGCTCTAAAGATGAGGGACTTGAAGAAGAACCCACAACAGCAGCTCAAAGAGACATTGGCGTTAATAGAGAAGTTTCCGCTGGACCCGGAGTTGCAGTGGGTGTGCTCTGAGCTGTACTACTCGCTGAAAGACCTAGACAAGGCGATATACTGCATCGAAGAAGTTCTGGTGGCGATGCCATTCAACTATGTAGCGTTCGCTAGGCTCTCCGAGCTGCTGTATTACAAGTATGTGCGTGAGTTCCAGGATAAGCCTGCGAAGAGGAGAGACACTGCAGCCTTGCAGCAAGCGCTGGACAACGCCCTTCGTAGTGTCGAGCTGAGCGAGCTGTTCTTGAAAGGATGGTCCCTGGTGGCTACCATCAGTAAGGAGCTGGATAAACCACAACTGCTACAGTTGTCGAAGAAGAAGCTGCAAGAGATCAGTGAAGTGTCAAACAGCAACGACGCCCGTATAGCCAAGAAGTTCCTACAGAAGATGGCATAATTATGCATTTAGCTGTTTCCCCATATATAAAGCGAAGAATATTGATTATTGAGTATTAATAGTAATTGCTAAAAGTTCTAATCTAGGTAAAGAGCAAAATATTGTATATAATTTTTATAAGACACGCATATTACATGATGGTACAACACGTAGCATCGTCTGCATGCTGCGTTTGGAAGTCCCTGAAGTGGTTAGTATCGGCAGGTGGATAGCCCCATAGTGTGGGCAAGGCGTAGTCCCTAGTGGAAGTGGTGTAAGCAATCAATTGCAAGCAAGCATTGGATGCCGTGATCCGCTCCCGCTGCAACTCGTCCCTGAGCTTGTCATTGAGCTCGTTGATCCGCTTGAGCTTCAAATACTTGATCTTCAAGTCCAATTGCGATTGTGACACTTCCATCGGCGATGCCCTTCCACAAACACGAAACACACAGGATGTGCGGGAAGGTTGCACAATGGAACCAACCGCACCATGGCATCTATTTATACTCCACCATTGAGTCACCTAGAACCTACCACTCCAGCTAAACCTCAACTTTTAAGCCATTTCAGGCTACAACTAGCTTCATCATCGCAGTGTTGGCTCACGAAGAGCTTAGTCATCCAATGTCATCCCTTATGGACCCATCGCTCCAAGTCAAATGAATATAAAAGATGATCAGGAGAGCATTCAAGGTCAATTAGACTTTATAAACGTTTGTACAAAGAATCATCAGTCATCTAGGAAATATGGAACACCCAGCTTTTACATTGAGTGCTTTGACCACCATCGGTGGTGTTGTGGGCTACATGAGGAAGAAGTCCCTGCCATCGCTAGTGGCAGGTTTGACCTTTGGTGGGCTGTACGCTATTTCTGGCTACCTATTGCACTTGAACAGGGACTATGGTCTTGAACTGGCTCTAGGATCATCTGCGCTGTTGACTGTTAGCGGTGCGATGCGTGGTGGTGTCAAAACACCTTTGAAGCCCATCCCATTCCTGTTGACAGTGTGTGGTGCTACTGGTTCCTACTACTACTGGAGTAAGTACAAGGAGTTCTACCCATGATTATACCTGCAGTCTTTCTATATTCATTCTAAACAATAACTGTATATACTTCTCTATTCTTACCCCAAATATATGTGATATTCATTTATTCATTGTCATCTCATTCAATTGTATATATGCCTCTATATGTAATAATACTTACGATGCCAATGGGAAAGGTTCGGTTTTACTTAGAACCATGCACCTCTGGCTATGTGACAAGTAACCTTTGATTCTGCCATTGGCAATGAGGTTAGCTATCCTACACTCGAGCTCATCGAGTAAGTCCTCGTTCTTCTTTTGCAATTTACGAGGGTTGGTGGTAGTGACACGGTTCTCCTCGTTGTCGTGGTTTCTGAAGTGTATTCTGTAACCTGCAGCTATCAGGTCTAGTGGCAGTATGCTCTTTTTGTCATTTACCTTGTAGCAAACCTTCACCAGCCGCAGGAACACCAGTTCTTTTATCAATAACATCGCCGAATAAGTACCGTCTATCAAATATTGAGCAGCATGCTCCTTTATCAACTCATCGAACACTATTGTGTCACCGTTCTTGTAGCACTTGTTCATGAGATCGCTATCGTAGGCATTAGCGAACTTCTCGTTTGTTTCTCTGGGTAATTCTACATGTATCAATTTGTTGGAAGTAGCGAGCATTCTGAATTGGGTGTACAAGTGTATAATCCTCTTGAACCACTTCGAGCTTGTGTATTTGACTGGGAACTCAGAGACACAGACTTGCAAATGCTCTTGGGCCTTGTTGAATTGGAACAAGTAACAACCATAGTACTCACCAATGAAATAATTGAAAATAATCTTCTGGCTGCGATGCCTTTTCAGCACCTTGTTATCTCTTTGTCTACTAATATCGGTCATTCCTGTACTCTCCAGGACCTTGATCAAGTTCTTCATCATGTCCCTGTTCCTCAGCATTTTGTAAAACATCATCTCCAAGTTGGCAAACAGGATACAGCCACCACGCTTGTTTTCCTGCATATTGGGGTTCTTGTCATTGAGACAGATCATAAAACTCCTGTGGATGACTCTGATGCACTCCTCCCAGAGCTGTTTGCGGGACTCTAGTTGCATGTACTTGCCAGTATCTCTCAGGAACGTAGAGACATCGTGGCACACAGTGTACACCGGGTACACCAGCCAGACAGAGTCATCGGACCTTTCCAGAATCTTATTAAGTATTCTGAGCTCATTGGTGAGTGCCTGAAACACATCGACAACCCTCTGGTGTACTTTCCTCTGCTTGTTCTTCTTCACAGCAGCGTTGGGATCCAGCTCCCGCAGCGAGGTCAGACTCTCCTTCAACTTGATCTGCACTATGGCATCGTAGAGCGCATTCACGTCGCCATAGCGGGCCTGCTTCGCCTGAGACCCACCCAGTATCAGCGCAGTGGCTCCAAGAGGCTCGCTCGATAACTTAAACCCCACAAACTCCAGAAACTCAGCGGTGTAGCTCCTCCGCTCAAAACAGTCCACAAATCTGCTATACTCCATCAATTGAAACGCTTTGAAAGGGGACCCAAACCAAAAATATGACTTTCTGAACACGCAGTCGCTGCTAAACTACCACCTACTGCAGATTGGCCGGCTATACGTTGCTGTTTCTGGCCTAAAATGGTGTCAAAAGCTTATTTTTATACTTCGAAGCTCATCGCTTTGAAGTTTTTCAACTTTTCCAGAAAAGTATAAATAGAGAGGAACTGGGGAAGGCAGAAGGGAATCATACCGTACTTGAATGCCAGGACCAGACTCAGTAAGTGCTTTAAGAATGAGTGAACGTATCGTGAGCAATCCAATTGAGTTGCACAAGCTGTCGCTAGTGGACAAGCAGAAAGGGGACACCTCGGGATCGAGTGGTGCGGCCGGCACTGGAAGCGGAGCCAATGATGGCAACAGCAACGCTGGCAACAGCAACGCTGGCAATAGCAACGCTGGCGGAGCTGGTGTTACGGGTACACCGGTGAAGCAGAGAGCTCGGCCTGTAGTTCCCATCGCGAGTCCCACTAAGGTGAAGGAAGAGCCCAAGTCTGAAGACGGCCTGTACAAGCTGGCCTCGAAGCAGCGTGAGATCTTTGAGCTGGAGCAGAAGCTAAAGCAAGCGCGCGTAGAGTTGAAGCAACTAGAGGAAGAGGTAGGCAAGTCGCTTGGGTACGCGGGTATGCCTCAGGAGAGTCTGCGGAACAGGTTGCAGAAACGCATTGAGGAAGTGAACAGGTCCCCCAACGTGATCCGCACCAAACAGTCGATGAGCAACTTGATCCAGCGTGGGAACACACTATTCATGGACGGTTCTTCCTCGGCAAGAGGAGCCACAGATAGAGACATGAGAACCGATCAGCGCAGGAGTGCACACGCACATGCAGCTGCTCCTGCCCAGGCACAGCCATCGGCCCACCGCCAGAACGGCCCACCGCTGCCATCGAGACCCAGGGAACCACAGAAGAACTTCTTCAAGAGCATAGTGGACAAGTTCCACGAGATGACACAAGAGGAAGAGGACTTCGACGACCAGACCACCAGCAACCACAAAGATAAGTACTACATTGGCGAGACATACGGTTACGATCAAGACGAAGAAGACGAGGACCCCGAGGACCACGGAGAACCCCTAGAGCACATCAATGACATTCCAACGACACTGTTCAAGAGGTGATGTGGCCCGCCTGATATGCTACAGCACTACGCCAAGGGCCTCAACCTGTCCATTGCTATATGGCCTCCACCATACAGGTTACCGTATACGAAACTGGGTATTCCACACGTGATTTTTCAGGCCTTGTTTCTTTCAAATTTTCAGCCAATAGGCGGCGAGTAGCAGCGCTGGGCGAGGATAATAGCACAATTTGAAGGCGATGAGCTGTGTGTATTGGCACTATTTCTGGGTTTAATTGTGTGGTATTGGCTTGCTCTGGAGGGTAGTGTGTCTGGAGGATGAGTGATGAGTATCAGTCTGTGAAGCAGGAGCTGAAGGCTCTTCTTGCTGACCGGAAGGAGCTTGAGGACAAGCTGGACAAGTTGCAGCAGGAGATATACGACAAGGAGAGCGAGTATTTTGATGTTGACGGCGGTTCGAAGAGCTACCACAATATCCTTCGTGGGTTTGACGGCATGAGCAGGACTCAGAGCAACAACTCGAACATGACGAACAACGACAGAATCTTCTCTCTGAGCAGTGCGAGCTATGTGAAGCAAGTGCAAGACCAGTGATGAGAAGTCAGTATATATAGCCTGGAGGGGGTGAAACTCCGTGTATTCTGTATCAATTAATATTTATGTAGCTAAGAGATTGACCATATGTTGAAGTCGCGGTTTAAAGTTGTTGGGAAGGAGGCCCTTATGGCATCGTTGCCATTGGAGCCCTCTGTGCCGATGTGTATAAGGAAGGGATGCCTGGTGTCTGTGATGGCAGGTGGTGCGCATGGGAGCGGTAAGACTGCTAGTTTGGTTATAGGTCACAAATGGGTCAACTTCTGGACTAATTTAGCCAGGTTTCGGTCCTGGAACAGCTCTCTGTACCACGTTCTCACGACTTCTGGGAAGGAGAATCGTGCCCTGGTTGCCCCAAACATCTCCAGAGGGTCGCCTTGGCTGAGTGCATTGAAGCTGGTCGTAAGTATATTGTCGAAGAACTCGAAAGGGATTACTATCACAGACCCTCAGCGCAGTATTTACCCATTAGAGCTCGATGGTACTCAAGATTGGAACGTATGGGGGCGTGACTCCCTGATTGCATTTGAACAGAACGATAGTTTAGATATCAAACCTGCATCTTTGAGCAGCTCTCTGAAGCGTGATGCTCTGTTTTCCCATAGTCATAAGTATCAAGTGGTTACTGGGCGCGGTAGTGTTTTATTAGGTGGATATGGCGATATATACTCAATTGATTTGAAGAATAGCACGGATGATATAGTAATAAATGCTCAGAATATCCTTGCAGTTTCTGGTAAAGGCCAGACTGAGACTATGAATGCTATCGAGAACAATCCATTCATCATCTCCCATACAGCCGCATCGAACATACCAGAGTTTACTTCAAATGTTCAAGAACTAGCTGCTTTTGAAGACCCCAAACAGCAGCAATCCCAGACCATAGTGCAAAAGACTGTAAAGGAAGCTGCTCGTGCTTCTAAAGCAGTTTGGCATTGGATATCCTATGTATATAAAAAAACTGTCATATTCAGTAACAACAATGGTCATAATATCACTTCTCCAGCATTTGTAAAGATCAAGGGGCCAAGAACTATCATTATACAGACATCACATGAGACTACACAACCCGTAAGTGTCAGTACTGTTGATATCCTTCCTAGAACAGTAGAGAACGCTATTCCAGAAGTCGTTGAAACGCCAAAGGCAAAATCTGATAGCTATATAAATTATGCAACAGTGCAACCTGATGGTAATGTGACATTTAGAAGTGTATCAAACTTTAATGAAACAATTGCTGAACGGTACTAGTCCGATTGATTCAATTATACATTCTTACAAATGACATGTACATAAATAATAAATACCATCCCAATCAATTTTTATTCGATAAATGCAATATGTACAGGAAATAGATTAATCCGCAGATGGATTGGTCCGGCATAGCGTAGCTGTAATATTTATTTAGAGCTCAAATCCCAGAACTTTCTCAAATAATCAACATTTTGATCGCAATTCTGTTTTAAGAAATGATCTGAGCTGCCTCTGAGTATACCCTCGATGGTCCTATTGTTTTCAACCCAATTATTCAAGTCATTCCATTGCTTATATTTTTTCTCTTCTTCATGTTGAAGGTCTCTGACAGAGTATGGGTCTAACCGTGTATCCACAGTAGTCCTTATTACCTCTGAAGATTTCTGTTGATCTAATTCGTACTTTAGTTGCGTTGCCTGTGCGGCACAGAAATCAATGATACTATCTCGAACCTGCCAGTTGGGATATATTTCCCGATGAATCAGTGAATCACATTTTTGTAATCTAGTATCGTTTCGGTGCTCAGTTTGCTTGCTATAATTGTTCAGCTTCTGTTTGATAACATCATCTGATCCATGCCTCAAATTCCTTAGAAAGGTATCTATTAGTGTGGGATCAACACATCTAGCCCTGTTTAACGTCAGTTGCCTCGTAGTCTGCTGATAATCCGGAAAGCTAAGGTTGGGATCCAATAACTGTTCTGAAAATGACACTGTTAGCTCCTCTTGACCCTGCTTTGCCATTTGCTTATACTGATGTTTTTTTCTATTGAAATATCTTGGTATATATTGACTATTATATTAATTTGCCTCTATTTTATAGGGCATATAACACTTAATAGCAAATTAAGTCGCCTCCCGAAGCTTAATCCGGACCAAAACGTTAATAGCGTAATCGAACCCGAGATGGTAGCATGATAAGTAGGTAATTGGCAGAATAAGGTTTTAAGTATCTAATGTACATAATTAGTTATAAGTATTGAAGCTGAATGTTATTTGGGATTACACGATAAGGACAAAGGCATGTATTACTGCAAGCCCATTTAAAATGAAAAATATTAGTTGGCGAATAATCTATAATTCTAGATCTTCTGGCATGTATGAAAATCCACGGAACTCCTCTTGTTGGGTCGTGGATAGAACGGAAGGTAACGGTGTCAATGATGGAGGTGCTGAAGTGAATTCTTGTTCGAAGTACGAAGTATCCTCAGCTGATTTAATTTCTGGGATATATGGCGGCTTGATCCGTAGGTTTAATAGATCATCAAAATTGATATTTCTGAAAAAAGGCTCCTCCATAATCTCAAGAGCGTCGCGGGGACCAGCACCTAGACGCTTTTCTGGATCCTTTGTTAACAAACCTTGGAATATCTGGACTATATCGCCAGCCATATCAATCGGATACAATGGCTCATCAGTCAAGATGGCATTGAACACTTCATCCTCATCGTCACCAGAAAATGGTGATTGACATAGAAGCATTTGGTAAAGCAACACACCAAATGCCCACCAATCAACAGCCTTTGTGTAATCTTGTTCTCTCAAAAGTTCTGGGGCCATAAATTCTGGTGTACCACAGAATGTAGAAGTCTTGTTACCATACCACATACCATCCTTACAAAGACCATAGTCTGCTATCTTTATATGACCCTCAGGTGTCAACAGTATATTTTCTAGTTTCAAATCACGATAAATAACCCCATTATCATGGAAGAATTTTAGAGCAAGCAATACTTCAGCTGCATAAAATTTAGCTCTCCTGACTGATAAACGCTGGTTTTGCACATGCCACATTAAATCACCACCACCGATGAATTCCATCGCAAAATAGATACGATTCTCTGTTTGGAATGAGCAATATAGATTTGTTAAAAATGGATGTTTAGTTTTAGTAGCCAACAAAAATACCTTTTTTTCAGCTCTAGCGCTTTCTATGTCATGATTTTGGATGATATTATCTTTTTTCAAAACTTTAATGGCACAAAGCCTATTCGTGTTCTTCGATCTAGAAAGTATAACTTTACCGAAGTTACCTTTACCAAGAACCTTTAGTAGCACAAAATTATCTAAGGATACCTTAGGACGCTTAGAACCCCTCTTCTTATGCTTACCACTGGAACGCTTCTGAGGAGATACATTATTACCTGCTGCGGTGATGATTTCAGTACTTGACCGGATGTCTGTAACATCACCCTGTAATTGATTAGCAACATAATTCTGTGTTTGTTCAAATGTCTCATGATTCATATCTCTGAATGGATTGTTATGTGATGATACTGTCTCGTCGACTGCAGGCAACATATTTACATCACCTGATGCTTGTTTAGTATACAAATCTATCTGACCTTCAGCATTATTATCATAGCTCATCTGCATTTGCTGCTCTTGTTGAAGCTCTCTCTCCATTCTCTCTCTATGTTGCTTCCATAATTCCAGTTCATCCTCACTTGCTTTCAGTTGGGAGTCGTTGTTATCTTGCTGGTACTCATGACCATACTGATCAACATATGCATCGTTCATATTTTGTGCCTTCACATCTTGCGATGCTCCAGGAACTCCAACACCAGAAGTAAACTTCAGATATGCTTCATTATCTTCGATATAGTTGTTCAATCTATTCTGATTTTGCATTTGATGCTCTTCAGCCTTTTCATGATATTGATTAGCAGCATAAGGATGCTTTCTTGGTGATGGGATAGATGGAATGGATGCATTCATTGACTTGCTTGGCGATGAATCCAAACGATCATGAACGGAACTACCAATCATGGTTGAAGTGGAGGTTAATGCAGAAGCATTTGTTTGAGGAGGTTTTCTCTTTTTCTTTTCTTGTGTACGCTTCGTATCTTCGATAGTTTTCAAGATTTTATTAGCCATTTCCATTGACATACCGCAGAAATCAGGAACAAGATGTGCACATTGTGTATGGCACATGATACCACATTCGGTACATTTCCTGACCTTTTGTTTACCCCATGGTAAAATGTAACCACAGTGACAACACCACTTAGTACCTCTATTAGATACGGGCTCAAATCTGTGTGGAATATGATGGTTCAATTTTGCTTCAGATGGATCAGTTTCCGTACTTGCTTTTGAAATACATTTAGTAACAACATTCCCATAACATTTCTTGTGACATAAAAACTTACAGTCTTGACATTGGAAACCAGTATATCTCAAGAAGTCACCACAATAAGCACAACACATAATATTGTAAAATGATTTTTGCACAAAGTGATGACCGTGCTGTTCATAAACTTCTTCCTTTCTGTTAATGATTGCACCATGTCTATGTAGACCACCTACCAAATTCTTTCTTTGATGTTGCGAAGTTTTATGGAAACCCAATGTCAATAAAATCTGACCAGCAGGTTCAAGAACAAACCATGCATTAGTTGTTACTTGTGTTGGAGACAATGACATATCTTGATTAAGATCTGAGTTACTATTATTCAAAGATGTGGTTCTGGAGTCACTTGCATATGTTCTATTTGCTACTGCCTGACTGTTGTGCACAGTCTGTGACTTAATGCTTGCCGCACGGACCCAGCCTTGACCATTTGTCTTTCCTACTTTTTTCTTACGTATCTCTTCTGCAATATCAGATAGTAACAGCCACATCACGGCTACAGGAGTCACAGATTCGTTAACTCTATCATAAATTGTAATTTCAATTTCGTTACCTTTGTCAACTTCTATAGAGAACTCTTCATTCCAACGATCGTTTCTGGAAGGTTTAGTTCTACTTTTGACAACATCATCAATCTTTACAGTTATGAAAGTTTCAGGATTTCTAGCAAACAATGGCGACTGAATGTGATCCACATCTCTAATCGCAGTGATTCCGATTGTTAGCATACCAGTTAATTGTTTTTCCCTTAGCTTTGGCTGCATGTCTTTTAAGGATTCATCATTATGATGCTTATAGTACTGGTCTAAGTCAACATTTATAGCCTGATATTTCTTTAATGCTTTCTTAAGAAGTTGGACTCTATTTTTGGATTCCAAGGCGCCACCTTCAGCAGCAGAACTACTGCGTTGATCACCATCAATTTGGTACAGTTTCGTTAGTTTATTGTTAGCTTCCTGGTATTGTCTTTCGACTTGCAACTTGAACTCCAATTGTTGCAACATGTACTGAATCTTTTGCGCAAGAGATGGACAATCATACTTTACCAAATCTAACCGAGAAAAGACATGCTCTTCTGGAGCAATTGTCGATAACTGACGGTAGCCCTGGCCTCTATCAATCTCTGTCACAGTACTGTCGTCATTGGCTTGCTGCTGTTGGCTGTCAGTCTGACCTTGCTGACTCTGACTCAATTGCAACTTCTTGAGGGTCTCTTCAAGATACTCAATATTCTGACGGGCTTCACGTATGTTCGTGTTACATTTCTGGATAACCATAACATTATCAGTCTTCTTCTTAAGCGCAGAAGATCCTTTAATGATATTCTCCTCGACAGCTATCTTCCGCCGGATATCTTGCTCCACTTGTGACAGCATCGCTAAATACAGCCAATGGTAGTTTGCGGTCCTTATATCGCGAGCTCTATCCTGAGATCAACTTTAACTACAACCGTGCTTTACAACTGTCTCTTGTGTTTACTTTGCCTTTCCCTGTTACCAACTCCCACAGAAAAAAAAACACCAGAAAAGATGAAAAGAAAGCAGGCAGTAATTATAGAATCGCCGCTATGTTCGTACCAAGCTTGTGTTACCTCAGTTGACAATAAACCACCCAAATATCAAGTCGAATTCTATATACTATTCTCCTTCATTTTGAAGGAAGAGTTTCGGTTTTTGATCCAATTTTCCTCGATTCCCGCCTCTCGGTGCCTGAGACAGTACAGCCTCTATTAGCATCCGGTTATACGACATGCAAATGCATCGACTATAAATAACAAGTTCTTAGTTTTGGCATAGTTACAAATCTATATATTATACGCTTAGGATGCTGATATCACTATCTATTGCATTGGCAAGTGCAGCCCGGTGTTGGACAGATTGTGTGTCTTTCGAACCATTCGTCTGCATGGCCTGCATGCATTCCGTGCTTGCACGTTAGACAGAAGCTGAACCATTCGTTCAGCTTTAACTTACGCTTGTAAACATTGGTTTCTTGTGGTTCCGCTGTGTCACTGTGCTCTGTGGAGTGTACCTCTGTGTGAGCGTCTTGGTCGTTTCCCTTAATTCCGTTTATCACAAACGGCAAGTTAGACGTACCTAATGGCATCAGACATATGGCACATCTGGGGAACGGTGCACCGCAATGTGGACAGAAATAACTGTGGTTGACGCTACGTTCCTCTTTATCATGCGATAATTTATGTGTGTACTTGTTCTTGGCTGCTGATGCTTCGGCACTTATGGGCTTGTTGATGTTCTTCTTACAACTTAAACATTGAATGTATAGTTGCCTAGGTGTGACATTAACAGTGACATTTCCTGCGCTAGTCTTTGATAATTTGGCTCTGAGTACATCAAATTTAGCCCTCATAGAGAATAGTTGCCACGAGTTCAACATGGTCCTATAGGTATCGATCCATTCATCTACTCTTTGATCGCGGAAATAACGCGGACATCCGTATACTGCAATTAGAGCAGCGCTTTGTATATCACTGGTCTTCATAACGTATGACTGCAACAAATCTATACCTATCGGAGTTATACCTGTCAATATCAGTCCTTCTAATTCACCATTATTGATCACAATAGATGAAGTTCTTTCCAAGAATCTGGTCAGATCACTGTCGTTTAAAAACCTTAATGCAACTCCCAATCTTTCACGCAATGAGATGGCAGGCTCATATAATATATCGCACCAGTCATTATCCGCAATGAATGCAAATATTACTCGCAGGTAGGGATCGTCAAGATCATTAGACATTTTTCTGCATTGCTGTCTCCAGGCATTGTTTCCTGGTTGATCTTTGTAGACTAGGTAGCCAGAGATTGCCGTAGCAATAAGTCTTAATCTTTCCTTCTTAGCAGAACCCAGGATTTCTATCGCTTTGGGAATATCACCAAAGAACATTGCCCACGCAGCAGCCTTCTCATAGTTACCATTCTTAATAATTATATCATATTTTTCCTGATAGTCTGATGGTGATAAATCCCATCCTGATATAATGAGACACAGCTTCCGTTGAATAAACTTTGGTGAGTCTGCAAATTTTGCAATGGCCCCATGATAGCTGTTAATATCTTTATTTTTCTTTCTCAGTCTGATGATTTTATCCATCTCTCGTATCAGTTGTTTATCGCTAATTATAACATCCTCACTATGCCGGTTTTGATTGGAAATACCGTTTAGACCATTCCATATACCTAAGATACCCTCATATCCCAAATCCAAGTCACCTGATACCATTGTACCGTCGACATCTGAGGTCTTAGCTATGGCTATCCATCTCCAAGTATTTCTTATATATGAATAGTTCTGAAGAGCCCTCGACCTATCTACAATCTCGACAGTTGTCATGGGGTCAAGTCCATATCCTAGTTGTGCTCTCTTTCTCATAATCACACTAATATCTTCTTGAAGTAACTTTTCAGCTTTCCAGTATAAATTATTACCTTCACCTTCTTGTAATAAATGCTTGCTTTCATTTCCCTCTGTGTGTTCAGTAACATTACTATGATTATCATCGTCAACATCCTCATCTTCGTAGTCGTCATTAGTATCATCTTCAGATTTCCCATAATCATCTCTTAAATCAAGATCCTCGAATGATAGATTCTTATGTATTGCACCTAAATTCTCAAGTGCTGACTTAGGTTTATCTTGAGCCACAGCAATCTCCTCGATATCAGGCCCGTTTGAATTAGATAATAGGAGAGTGTTCCTATTATTGAATTTAGAGTTGGTATAGTTCTGGTCTATCGACATTCTATAAACCGTACCTGACTGCCTCATACACAGAAAACTTGCATCCTTGTTGTTTTTAGAGATATAATCGAAAGTAGCAACTCTATCATAAGGCGTTTCAATATCATGAACTGTTGATACAAAAAAACTCTCGTAATCTTCAGAGACTTCGGAATTGACGTAAGAACCCAGTCTCCATATTTTAATAGTGTCTCCATGATACAGGGTGGAGAATTCTTTATCTCTGATAGGGGACCATCTGAAACAGGAATTCATATACTTCCTAGAGGCTGATCCTGCACCAACCAGTTTCTCAAAAGTAAGTAAAGGTGTCGTCAATGTTAAGTTACCATTAGAGACATTACTCACCAGTCTCCTTCTATCCCAAATTGCTAAAGTTCCATCATCACCATATGTACTAAACTGCCAATCATTAAAAGGGTTAAGCTTGATATCGTATGTTAGTCTCGTTGGGTGTTGGTAGATTGAATTGGGAGATCTGACGTCAATCTCCTTGAGAAATTTTGTGCTTGAGGTCAATATATTGGTATCATTCAAGAATTTTAGTGATACAATACTTTCGTTGGTGCAATAGGAAAATGTTGGGTTGATAATGTCAGATTCTGTGCTTTGGTAGTTGATATCCCAAATCTGCAAGGACGGATCATGTCTGTTACGATCCAGACCAATCGCTATGAGCCCATTGGTATTAATTCCCACTGCATTTATAGTACGCTGTTGTTTGGCTCTGGCACCAAGGTTGAAATGCTCTTCACCGTCATCCTCAGCATTGATGATATTGAATAATCTCATGTAACCATTCTTTTCACCAACAGCAGTAAGACCAACTTCTGCTTCAGAATAATCCAGACAGGTAATACTTCCAAAATCCTTCACTGTGAGCATCTTCATTATGGAATCATCTCCTTCTAGGTCAGGATTCACCTTGTAATGCGTCACCTCATCTCTTGTTGGATTCACTGACAAATAGTCGAGAAACTCATCATAGGACCAATTGAACGCCTTTTTGATCAATGCCATTTCTAATGTACCAGCTTATAGCAGACTATTGACCTTGGGCCTTTTAAAACTCTCTTACTCTCCATGTAATAATATTGTGTTGAAATAAGAGTACCTTTGATGCTCTTGAAAGTTAGGTCGTGTTGTGCTACTGGAGCGATGAGCTCACGTTAAGCTCAAATTTATGAAAGAGTCATGATGGGCATTTGACATAAATATATTATTGACATGTTTGCAATGAACTAAGTAACTGGCTTAAGAATTTTATATAAATACATATGTAAAAGAAACTGGGGTCTTTTATGTCCATCATCATCTAGTAAAAGATGAAAAAAAATATTTGCATTAATCAAGCAGAAACTGCTGGGAACATTAGGAATGTTACGGGTTGAACATTAGCTTTGCGTTGTCTTCTGCTTCCATTAAGTCCCCTGACAGGAACTGCTGTAAGTCATCGTTAATATTATTATTGAAATCTGTGTGGGTGGCATTAAAGTCGACATGGTTATGGTTGAAATCCTCCAATGGGTTATCTGTATGAGCCTGTGATGCTGAAATCCCTCTTGTATCAGGGATCCCTCTAGTGTCAATTATCTTCTCTTCATTGAATGTGTTTGCCTTAAGTGTAGCTTGTGAAGATATCCTCTGGGGTAAATTAGTCATTTTGCGTGGTCCCATACCCAGATCGTCAGTTGTTCTACTGCTTAAGCTCGATAATTGGGCAATTTTCTCCTGTAATGCTTCCCGTTTCCTCTTCTGAATATCTATAACGTATAGTAAGTATTCTAGGTACTCTACACTCTTATCCAGGATTGTTCCCCTATTAGACTTGATTTGATTACCGTCGGCGTCATAGTTCAACAACGAAGGTGGTACTAGCTTTGAGAGTTCTTTTATCTTTTGTTTTATTAGTTCTCTTCTTCTGCGCTCTACTGCGTTATGAAACTCCCTCTTACGTTTCAATTTCTCATCAGGAGTCATATGCGAAGTTGCATTCTTCGGCACACTGCCAACAGTCATAGGTATGCCTGAGTCATTATATGACGGGTTGCGCATCTGGCGGGACATAGAACTTGGGGCCCGCAGTGAAGTCGACAAAAAGCTCCCCGGTCTTATGCTGTCACGAAACCCCGAGGGGGACATGTTATTGTTCACAAGTATAGAGTTTTCATCTATCTGGTGTGGCAAAGGAGCAGGAAACGAGTTCCCAGACATAAAACTGTTAATCGAGGATACTTCAGAAATGCTAGAGTCCAGAGAAGACCCGTAGAACGACTCCGAGAAACTCGATATACTGTTGTCGTTTTGGTGGAACAGCATTTCTGGGTGTCCCGCTGTGCCGTGCTCCATACTCACACTGGGGTGTCTGCTATTGTACAAAGATGATGCAATGTCGCTTTCCAAATTTTGTTCGTAGTGGTTACCCATCATGTTCTTGGTCAGATTTGACTCAGTAACAGGCTGTCCATGGCCCAAACTAGAATTCGTAAACATATCGTCCAGGAAGGAGTGCATCTCGCTGTTCCCATGATTCATCATAGCCATCTGCTCATGGCGGTGTGCAGGTGTAGCCTGCGGATACAACGCCAGTCCATCAGCATTCCCTGCTTGTGTCTCACCAGACCCAGAGCCATTTCGCAGAAACACATCAGCATCGTTGCCAAACAACTCAGAACCATCACCTCCATGGCCCATAATCTCCGCTAGCAGCTCGTGGTCCTCATTGTTAATCTCCATGTCCTTAGCCTTTGCACTCTTAGATTCTGCACTTTCCGCCAAGAAATCGAAGACTCAGACACTTTTAACTTCAACGTCACAGTCCTTATTATTCCTTTCAGGAATTCCGTTCGGTGATTCCCACGTTAAAGCGATGACTAGATATTTCAAAGATATATGGGATGGTTGGACAGGCAAGCAGAGCTGAAGTGGTGAAGTGCCAAACTAGAAGTTCGATACAAGCAAATAAAACACCAGTCCTGGGGTTGTAGACACTCATCGGAAAGGCTTGAAGGTAGCACTGACCAACATAATAGCATGACAGCGTAAATACAAGGTCACGTGACATGCCAGTTTAATAGTAAGCTTATATACCATAGCTCTTGTAGCCTCTGGAAGTAGTAATTGCTAACCATTTAAGGTCAAGTAGCATTCATTACATGTAGCTGACCTGTTTTCTTAGTGTATATGCTTTCCACATTCTGTAATTGGAAGTGCCATCGCATAACCGAAAGCGACTTTGAAGGCTGAAAAGGAATAACAGTGAAGGAGGACTAGACCTTGGCATGCACTCACTTGTCTATAGCTGCGCATATCCACACAGACTATGACTGATAACAACGATCAGGTCAATTTGCTTAGGGACTCGCTGAGCAGGTGGAACCAAGGCCGGGCACAGCAATCGCAAGGGTTCAACGAGTCCGCAAAGACACTGTTCTCCTCATGGGCAGATTCTATCAATGAAAGGGCTCAAGACGTCTATTCCAGGCTGCCTGTTTCCAGACAAGACCTTATTCAGGATGAGGAGCCTGCTTGGTTTAACTTGTCACGCACAGAGAGGTTGATCTTGTTTGTGTGTTTCATATTGGGTTCCGCTGCATGTTTCACACTATGTGTGTTCCTGTTCCCGGTATTGGCCATCAAGCCTAGGAAGTTTGGTATACTTTGGTCTGTTGGCTCATTGCTTTTTGTGTTAGCCTTTGGTATATTCCAAGGACCTGTTGCATATATCAAGCATTTAACCTCTAGGGAGAGACTCCCTTTTACTGTGTTCTTCTTTGGTACTTGCGCATTGACCATCTACTTTGCTGCCTTCATGAAAAGCACTATACTCACCATCCCATGTGCTGTGCTAGAGCTTATTGCTGTGTTATATTACGCTATATCATATTTCCCATTTGGCGGCACTGGTCTCAGAATGCTCAGCTCATTCGGTATTAACACGGCTAGAGGCGCGCTACATATATGAACGTGCATACAGCAAACTACAAATCGTCTAAGGCGTATATTATAGCTTTCATTAGTAATATAAAAACAGTTATGTATATTTTGCCCATTACGTATTTTACGCTAACATATAAAAAGTTTTAAGATATAGCTTGAAAATTCAAAAACATCGATACTCTATGAAACGGCTTCTTCGTAAGTCGGCGGATCCTTGCTTGGTAATTGGCCAGGTGTGGTGCTATTATCATCAGCCTCTGGTTCGTTTGACCGTGGAGTCAATGTGTAATCTTTTTTAAAGAACGGGTTCGTTTCAACTATAATAGGAATCCTTGGACTTTGTTCTGGGTTGGTGTATGACGAGGACACTGCAGCGGCATCACTGGCTCTTCTACCTTGCATAATATCCATTGGCAAAGGTGGGGGTGGAGATGTTTGGCTGCTTGCAAACATTAGTCTATCTAAATTGCTGTACCTTCCACTACTTGCCTCAGCAGATATAGAAGGTCTATGCGACGAACCTGGTTGAAGTAAAGAAATACCACCCACACTCGAACCACCAGTGCCCGTGTTTGTGTTCTCAAGATGCACAGAAGGTCCACTAAATGACGTGCTTCTTGATAAGTTTAGTTGCTGTATAGATAAAAGTTCGGGATCATATGAAGGTGACATAACTGGTGATCCAATTGGGGACGCAGCTGGTGATTGGAATGGAGAAGCTGGCACCGATATCGCTTCTTCAAAAGTTGGTGGGGGTGCTAAATTTGTTGCATTTGGAATTGGTGTTAAATCTGTCGAAGTAACAGTCGTAGCCATGTCATAGGTAGGAAGTTCCATATTACCTGTGTTACATTGATCAGAGACCAAAAATACTGGCGTATCAATCAAAACCTCGTAATGTCTTAATTTAGAGGGGTTCTCAGGATCAGGTTTACTGATTCTTAGCATCACTTCAAGTTTATGTCTGGCATGTACATTAGTATAATGTAAACTATCCAGGTATAAACCACGCTTACACTTGTTTAATCTTGTATGGAATTTCACATTTGGATGAGAGTTTGCTTTAATGGAAGTTTGGTGGAATCTCGAAACAGTTTGCCTTCTGGCAGCACTTTCAGTTTCTGCAGATGATGAATTATTCGTATTTTTGTCAGAATTGGCCTTACTTGGCGATGAGCCTGAGTCTGTAGAGTTCTTAATTCCAGTAAGTATTCCAATAACACTAGATTTATGATGAGAAGTGCTTTGTTGCTCTTCAGGATTAGCAATTGCTGTATAAACATCGATACCATAAGGCGGGATATTCTTAGCATGTCTCTTATCCAAGTCCATGTAGCTAGGGAAATCTAATCTTGTCTCTATGGATACAGGTTCAACTAGAGGTATCGAGTCAGCCTTACCTGGTTCCTTAATTTCACCAAATGATAAGAGATTGTCATTAACACAGTTTTCAACAATTTCTTCTCTTAATGCTCTGGAACCTTTTGGTTTAGTCCTAACCTCAAGCAAAGCCAAGTTCCGTTCTTTACGTCTTTTTGAAGTGAAGTCTAAATAATATGGATTGTATGGATCCTTTGCAACAGGATCTACTTGATCATATTCGTATTCCAGATTCTTACTAACAAAAGTTATTTTTTCAGTGATACTTACTCTTACTCTTTTCACACAAATATTCTTGGCAATGGGTGCTAGTTTAATTTTAATAGGTACGCGACTGTTCAAGGACACATATTTTGATGCAAATGAAATTTCATAAGAAAGAGAATCAGACCAAACTCTGTTAATATAAATTGGCTTGTTCGCAGTTGATATGGAAATTGGGGGTGGTGTTCTTATGACTTTTATGGGGTATTCTGTGTACAGCTCTCTTGACTCTTCAATTTCTCCGGGCTTTACTTGATTATGCGGTAAATGTAAATGATTTTTAACCTTTTTCAAAAGGTTTCCACTCAAACCTTTATGAGGTGAAGCACTTGAATTGGCCTTTCCTTCATGATCCATATCTCTAAGGGATGATAAAGATGAAGTTGATGAATGGGAACTTATTGGTTGATTTTGTTGGCCAATAGATAAAGAACTGCCAGTTGACCCAGCCCTTTTTATTGAACTACCGATTGCTCTTGTACCGATTTTGAGCTTATAACTAATTCTTGCAGATGGCAAATATGTGGATTCTGGAATATGATTGGAAAAGATAACGGGTAACAGATAGACATAGTCACCAGCTTCAAGCAAGTGTCCCTCACAATCAAGCAATGAGTCCAGGTATTGCCTTTTTAGTTTGCTCTTATCAGTATAATATCTCTCACTTATTGGTTTATTTCTGAATATTTTGGTGGGCGTATTGTTATGTCTCTCTACAATTTGAGTATTTGACGATACCGTCGTTGGTACAAAAACGTCATAATTCGTATCGTTTAAATTCCAGTTTACATAACCAGCTTGATAGAATTCCTCAAAGAAAGTTTTGGTTGGAGGTACACCAGCATGCCAATATATCCTCACCCTTGAAGATAATTCAACTTTCAAATCGGTCAGCTTGATGGGTGATTTAACTGATAATATAACAGCAACGCTAAAAGACACCATTGAAGCATCAAATTCTAATGACCTGTTTTGATAGGCACCAGAATCCGGTACATCAGATTGTGTGCCAGATGGAGAGGCTACTGCAGTTGAAGATGAATTGTCTGTTGCAGAGTGACCTTGGTTTTGCTGTTGTCGCTGGAGAACTCCATCTTGGATAACAAAATCATCACCAGTTAATTCGTCATCCATGGCCCCTTGGTCAAGCTCCATATTTGATTCGCCCGATCCCACACCATTAAGTCTTGCCAAGTATTCATCATCATTGGATGAAACTGTTGGTAAAAATATAACATCCCCACTAGTGGCAATTCCTATGCTAAAGTTTTCCCTTGTTTCTACTGATTTTGGATTCAGAAACCCTCTGTTATGTAGATATTCTGCCAGGTACTCTTTATTGAATGATTCTGGCAACGGGGTGAGCCCAGAAGGATCCGAGTTAAGAGAAGTATTTTGGTCATCAAATTCTATGGCATTTTCATCATCAGTAGCAAAAGACCGACTATAGCGGGTAGAATCATACCTTGTATTCCTCATTGTATCATTCAAATGCCCTGTGGAGTTCGACTGAACATCAGGCATTGTCGAACTCTTATTTGGTGTTCTTGAAGGAACTCTCGCATTAGCAGCCGACCCAGTACCATGACTACTTAGTTTGCTTCTAACACTAGTATCACTTCCGTTTGCTGATATCGAGTTTGTACTGTGTCTACGCGCGTAGGCACTGTCCTTGCCATGGTGACCAGACCCGTTGCTGTGTCCATGAAGCAGCGACGATAGAGCACTCTTGATAGTGGAACTTCGTCTCCTCGATGAACTGCTACTTACCATCGTTTATGCCTCCTATTTGATCAACTATGTAATCTTTAACCTTATCTTAATCACAACGCTAATTGCGTTTGGGTTGTGCTCCTAAGCTATCTTCAATTTTCCTGCCCGATAATATAACAATCAATGAAAGACTGCAAAGAACAGATATAACAATGTCGAGATAGCACCATTCAATACACTGGGTATCGTGAATGCCAAACCCATAACTCCACCATAGAGACCACACACTTCTCTGGAAATTGCCCTTTTTATTGTACTTGAGTGACTTCGACTTCGCTGCGTTGGTTGTGACAGTCGTCCGGTGATGACTATTCTTTGGGATTGCCTACACAGGCAGTACTCAACGTGCGATGCTCAATACAAGATGTGAATGTCAGTGATTAGTGAAACGGAAAATACTTCACAAAACCGGTGGATTATTATTCTGTAGACAATATCTCTCACTATAGCCTATTCGGAGATGAATAAAGCTGGTTTTCTAGCAAATTAATGCAGTTATTTTGGGCCTTTCGAACTGAAATAACGCACTACTTATCAATAGCTCCGTATTTAGAATTTGATTTCAATGACACCATGTATCTATTGCTAATTATCTTGTTTTGACCTTATATTACTTGAGATATTATTTGTAATTAGGCAGTTAACACCACTTGCTGCTTGAATTTGAGCCAGTTACTCCAATTGCGCGTTCATCTTGTCAACTTCGACACGCACACGTTGCATCCACCTCTCCAACAGCTTGTCGTGCTCCTGTTGTAGATCCTGCAGCTTCTGACCCAGCACATTGGCCTCCAAATTAGCGCCTAAAAGCTCGTCGTTCAGCCGTTCGACGTTCTTGCTGCTCACGGCCAACCGCTCCTCCAACATCCGGATTTCATTATCTTTGCCACGCAATGCCTCTTGCAACAACATAGCATCACCATCATTAGATCTACCATCTACTGGTACTTCAAAAAGCTCGCAGTAGTTCTTCTCCAGCGTATCCCGCTCCGCAAGCATCGTAGCTAACCTTTCTTCCAGTGACATCCTGCTTGCTCTACCGCCAGGTCTTTGTATATTTCTGATGGTCCAGCTTGTGCTCCCAAAACTGCTCTTTCCTTAAATACTTTATCTGCCTTTGCCCGGTGAGTGCGCAGTTACAAATAGAAAAGGAAGCCGCTGGTGGAGCATTGACAACTTTAGGTCCTTAGAGGACACCAATATCGAGCGGTAATATATATAAGTGGCGAGTTATAAAGGAGCTATGAATGGTGAGAACAGTTGGTGGTCCAGGAACGGGGAGAATCGGGTTAGTGACGGTGGAGATCAGGTTGGCGATGAGCGATGGTATCAAAGCGTCTGGAACAAGTTACCGCAGTTAAGACGGCCTAATATGGAGGTTAACATTACCGCAGCAACTCAGTACTCTCATTTGAACGCAGAGCAGATTCAGTATTTGGAGAACGATGCGTTGGAGAAGATCAGGGCTCGGTCCAATACGTGGTGCTGGTTTCAGGATATGAATGCACTGGCAAGCGCAGGCGCTGCTGGTGTAGTGAGTGTTGCTGGTACGGGCTCTAGCATATTGCCTCTTCCACTGCCGGCATATCCTGGTGATACTTTCCCTGGGCATCAGCTTTACGTCAAGAACTCGCTGTTACTCCCTGAGTCACCATTGGAGATATATCACAGGGAGCCATTAAGGACACAGATAAGTAATGCATTCAAGGAGCATTATAATTTTCCCAATGAGAAGCATTTATACTTGAGGAGACCTGAACAAACTGGAATTGTCGACCAAAAAGTTGTAGTGATCTCTATTGTTGGTCATTTACCTGATAAGTACGAGAAGATTACGCTGGGAAAACAACCTTCCGCTTACTACTTAACGCAAAGGTTTCTCAAGACTTTAGAACATGTCAACCCCGGTACTGTTGTGACATTTTCCATTGAAGCTGATATAGATACCCAGCCCATGGAGACGGCATTTCAATCCCTAGTGAAGGTATTCAACAATTGGAAATTCAGATTAAAAGACGCTAGCGCAATATACATCCAAAGTGTGTATCACAGCGTTCCAATAGCTATCAAACTGGCAAAACACTTGATGTTGAATCATATTGACTATGGTTTCACAGATAAGACCAGCATTGGTTTGCTTGGGCTAGAGTCATGCATTGAGGGTTACAGATTTTGGGACCATAGTATAGACATCAGTAGCAGCACTGAGCAAGAGATAGACAAGCTGCAACAAGCCAAGGAAAAACAACTATATCAGGGTTGTACGAAACAACAACAAACGATATTGGCGCAAATCAAAGAATACTGTGATCTTGAATCGGAGGAGTCCCAGAATATGCAGAATGATCTGGATTGGGTCTTATACAATTGGGGACCCGCGAGAGTTACATTAGTGGGCAAACTATATGATAATTTCATGACGCTGTCTCAAAAGCTGGCCATTGACTACAGGCATTCCAAAATAATGAGATCGCTTTGGTGTAACGGTAGTTACTTGGGATTAGATCCCAAATTACCTGAGAAAATAAGTGTTCCGAATAGCCACTTGAAGACCATCAAGTTTGATTGCAATGTTCAAATTCCTGAAGAAAGGTTATTTGAAGTATCTTTGTTGATGATTGTTGTCCTAGCTCTGAATCTGGGTTACACAAGTGGCACGTCTCTGGCGAAATTGATTGGTCCCTATTTTATCTCTAGGTCTTACAACTCCAATACTGTACCCCCAAATATACGTAAGCAACAAACCTATGATAACAAGATATGGTTACAGGAGATGGAAGAGAAATGGAAGGATTTAAACATCCGAGAGAGCTACATGGACGAGTTACCAAAGCATGTTTCATCGACACATTCCTTCTTAGAGTTTTCATATTTCCAAGCACAAAGGTCCCCTGACCTTCTACAGATCAAGTCCGATATATATGACGATGATTCGGTTTACAAGTTGTTTCTTGAGAACACTATGCTAACCAGAAACCCTCGGTACAAGAAGCATTTACAATTGCACAAGGATGAGTACATGCCCTCGAGTATATTTGACCGGGCCAACCAATACGATCTGGTGTGGAAATTCCACGAGTTTCTCTCTAACTTCGTCACTGCTAGAAACTTGCCTCGCCAGAACTTCCCACCGTTGATCTCCTTCTCCATATCCTTAGACTACTCGTTTTGGAAGTACATGTACCCAGAGAGCAATTCTTTCAACCGAGACACCACTGAATCCCGAAAGAAGCTAGTCCAATTATGGGAGTGTTACAACAGTTGGGACCCACCGACTAGAGGCTTACAGAAGCTGAGAAACATTCTGAGCGTGTTGTCCATCTACAAGGAACCTTCCAAGTTCATCGAGGATATCCAAAGAACTCTGTAAGCAACAGTGAGGCAAACTAATAAAACAGGAAGATGTCAAACACACCGGCATACATGCTAGGCAATGCAGTGGTCCTGGGTATGGCTATACACAACTCTTAGGTCCACAAATACATACCTCACGTGATATATCTTCTAACCAGTTTGGTCCGTATAGCTTTCCCAGCTGGTGAAGTGGGGGGGAAGCCAAAAAAAAAAGCAATTCGAGACTTTGTTGGAGAATTTTGAATGGAGCTGATAAGGCATTGTGATCCATTGATTAGTATATATATTGGTCTGGTTGATTGGGATTTGCTGGTGTTGGCTGCTTATCGTTCTAGTTCAGTAGAGGGCAGGCTATTCTTTGTGATTTGTGGACAGCGAAGCAGTGTACTGTGTACTGGAAGATTGAAGAGAAAGATTTACAGCTAATGGAGATGGAAGAGTTTGCGCCATCGTATTACTATTATGTGGAACCTGAGATGGGTTACCAGCCGCAGCAGCCGAACCCTATGGAGGATTTGATTACTGTATACCATTTAGATGACATTTCACGCCAGGTGGCGAGAACCAATGAGGACGGCACTAAAGCCGTTAAACTGCGGAAGTCCTATAAGAACCAGATTACAGATTTATCGGGCAAGTTTTCCTCTATACCCAACAGAGAAAATAGGAAAGGTGGTGAGATAGCGCATATACTCTTTCAGAACAACCCGGATATGATGAACCAGGTGCATAGGTCGCCTGATATGACAGATGAGCAATGGAGAGAGGCACTGATGAATGTGGACGCTTCTTTGTTCCAAGCACCAAACATGGACTGGGAGGTATGTCAAAGTGTGCTGTCACAGTTTGATAGATCCTACCCAACGGAGTTTCAAAATGACCCCAACTTCCATGTAGATGACCTGGCATTTGATCTGGACGGCACAGGAAAGAGCAATGCGAAGAAGAGGAAGAATAGATCTAATGGTAGCTCTATGGCTACGCCGAATAGTGAGATGCAAGATGATGTCAAAAGAAGAAGACTTGAATAATATGTGATATAGCATCCTTCGTTCAGCCTTTGTACTTCGGGGGCATGTGATAATGCATTACCCTAATTCTACAAAGCAGAAAGCATTCACTTACAGCATCAGGGTTGGGCATTTTTAAAGACCAACAACTATTCATGAAATAAAACTTCACTATTAATTAATTATTCCTTTTATTGAATCAACTTTTTCTGTCACAAATTTTATTCTTACTTCTTTTTTTCCCATTATTATGAATTCCCACGCAGTGTAAACACGTATAGACCTATTGGTTACTTCATTTATGTGCTTTCCGTTTTAACAAAACTATAGTAACGAACATTGTAACGATGATAACTACTCTGAGTGTATAATAATTTGCCTGAAGTCAAACCTTGTATACTTTTGTTTTATAGATTAGTTGCTATTTGTATACAATACATTTTCTTAACGATTCAAGTTTAAATATGGTATGAACTGCTATGAATATATTATTGAATGACTTGTATTTCTGAATATTTTTCAGACTACTTAAAACATATTCAATCTGCTAAAATACTTGAACCATTTGGGTTCAACAAGAATGCATTCTGCTTCAACATTTGGCTCTTTCTCTCCCCATAAACTGGGTAAGGTGTGCACTTTATCGGAAAATACTTGTAATTCACCGTCTATTATGCATTTGCGTCCCTTTGATTCCCTCACTGTGGCCGTTAAAATAACAGTAGAATCGGCGGGTATTTCCCTATTGAATTTTAAGTTCAGCTTGGCTGTTACACCACGTTTACTTGGTAGTCTGGGGAATCCACAATAGCATAACGCCTCATCCATTAATAATGAAATTACACCTTTATGTACTTGTGACTTCTCATTGCCGAGATTCTTACCCAGATGGTAAAAGACAGTCAACTGACCTTTCTCCTCATTGAGAAATATCAATGGATCAATCTCTAGCTTATCCTTACCAAACAATATACCTTGGCCAACATGATATGGTTTGTGGCCGTGGGGTATTTTGTCACTTTGGCGAGTATGGTCAACATCATCCGCCCGCAACAGCTGTTTGTATAAAGTTGACTGTGTTATTTTTTGTAACACATCAGCTCTCTGAAGTAGTTGCATATCACTACCTTGCTGCTTCTGTAAAGTTATTGCTCCAGCTTCATCGGGCCATGCTTTCAGAAACGTTAGGAAACCTGCACTAAACCCAAGTGTTGGAAGTAGTATCCCTCTTGTTACAGCGCGAAACAATGGGGGCATGATAATAGTTATTGTGATCGTCACCTTATTATATTAAAATGCTTACGGTGGCTCAATATATAGTCTGATTTAAATATTGCTATATTTTGTTATTTTAAAGGGCTTCCCGGCTGATATTCTTGTCATCTCATTGCGATGGGCCGAGGCGACTTAACTCCGAATAGAATACGAGGTAATGCAAATCTATATGGAAAGTAAAAGGAATATATATGAATGATGTTATATAACTAGTGGTACGATTGGTTGGTGTCCAAAGCCTGTCATACTGTGACAACAGATTTATCGAATATTACAGTTAGGTCCTCATAGTTCTCAGTACTTTTGATCTGTAAGCCATGTTCGTTGGCTAAATGCAAAAGGCAAATAAAGCAGAAACTTGTTGAGATGTCACTCAGGCTCTCTGGTGAGTAGAATTTCCCTAGATTCTTGGTGATATCGGTAAATCTAAACTGTAATATATCGGATGTTTCATCTAATTGTGACACAACAGATTTAACTGACATCCATATGTTCTTCTTCAGTCTTCGTACATCTACTTTCTTGGAGACTCTGGAGTACGTTACCTTGTCAGGTTGGCGTAACTTTGTCAGATCTTCCTTCTCATCTTTCTGAGTGAATATATCCTTACCTGCATCATCGTTCTCATCCAATGACATGTCCTCAAAAGCTTGGTTAAAATCGATACCTTCTTCCTCAAATGGATTTTCTATATCCGCTCCAACAATGTTGCTACTTTCCAGATCATTATTCCCGCCGATATTATTCTCATTTTCCTGCTCCTCATAATTATTTGCCCAGAATTGTTCATCCGCGATTTGTGGAATCCCATTACCTAAGTTATCCGATGTTGTATCTACTTGAGCTGCAGTCATCTTTCTCCTCTTCACTCTGTTAAATATCGACATTTTTGTATTAGGTTTGATGAACAACCCAGTGATTTTTTCTGTAGAGAAATGGTAATCATCTGGTAGTAGATAATGTGAATCATTTGTTCTTGACTTTATTGCCATATCAATACCAGATCTCTTTTTACTATCAAATACTATGCTCTCGATGTTTGGATCTAAGTTTAAGAAATCAATCTGAATCTGTTTTTTCCTCTCTTTCTTGGTGTCACTCTTTTTATTTTCTTCTGAAGTGCCTTCAGATTCTGTTGCTTCCCTTTCTATTTCATTGTTAGGTTCTGATGATTTGTTATCAATGGTATTGGCTTTCTTGTAGTTTGCAACCTTCCAGTGCTCCCTACCTCTCCAATTTCTATTCATCTTCTCATCAAAATATGCCATAAGATCTTTCTCTAATATACTGCCAAGCATAGAATCCAGTCCCCCATTTTCATCACCTTCCTCGTCATCAATTCCTCCCTCATTATCCTCTCCAAAGTTGTCACCGCCATCATTTATATCGAATGGTAGTACGTCTTCATTATTTCCCATAGAATATTCCAATTCTTGATTTATACCATCATCGTAATCATTTCCATTTGGACCTTCTTCCTCCGGAACGGCTTCTTTTATTTCATCCTCGGTTAGGAAATTATCAAACTTGTTGTTTATGCTATCTATAAAGCCCTTTGCTTTGTTTATGTCAGCTATGACATTTCGGAGATTTTGTAAAGATGGAGAGATGTCAGATGTGGAAATATCATCAAATTTGATGTAATCAATACCTAGGGCCAATATTTCATCATCCATAGAATATTGAAAATTTGATGAAAATGATTTATTCAAGGTTATGTCTGCTTTACTATCTTCTTCTTCTTCAGGCTCTGTTATTGGTGTCTGTGGTGTCGGTGTACTATTTTTATCAGATCTATCACCATGAGAATTGTCTTCATCCATACTCTTGCTAGAATCTAGTGGTAAATTGTTCTCGTTGAGGGGCTCTTCATTTGATTCTTTTTCCTTCAGCAATGAAGGTTCATTTTTCATAGCCGCATCAAACACTACTCTCCCAGATTCATCAATGCTTAAGGTATTTAGCAGCAAACTCTTCGCACCACCTTCATCAAAATCAACCAAAGCTTTCTTGAATAACGGGTCTATATTAAGTTCTTGATCTAGTTCTTTCATTCTTATGTTATCGAATTCAACCAGCGTTGTCTCCAGTACTCTATTATGTACTCTTCTTCTCTTCAAATACTCGTCCGAATCTTTACCTACAGGTAACCCTGTTAGAGCATCAATTTGAACACTACTGTCGGCATCATCATAATCTCCATCATTCCCATCACCAGGTTGTTTGTTATTCTTACTATTAGCCTGTTCGTTCTTCCGCTGAGATAAGCCACTTAGTAGTTTGCCCGTTTCTGAAGTAACAGAATCCACTCTGGAAGAGTAAATCTTTACACAACCATCTAAAGTAGCAGATGCTTTCTGAAAATTTATATTATTCTCAGAGTCTTTTAGAATATTCAGGTCGTAAAAATAGTCGATCAATGCAAAATTCCAACTGTTCCGGGAGTTGATCTTGTTATCAGTAGCCATTTTGATCCACTCCTCCAAATTCGCCAGCATGGTGGTCCTGTTGGTAAACAGACCACCTTCCTCGTCTTCAAGTCTGGACATTTGCAATTAAGACAAAATTGAAGCTAGTACGCTAACGCTGTTCGTTACTGTATGAATATGATTTCTTGATTAATTGGGTTGAAGTTGAGGCAGCCAGATAAATGGGGTAAAATGTATAATATATGTAGTTGTGTAATGATGGTGATATTTGATAAGGTATAATCTGGGGCCAAAGGAAACCAAAAGTCAAAATTAATATACATTAAATAGCTGCTCACCAATTGGTGATCTCATCTCTTATTATCCAAAAATGTAAACATTGGTGTTCGTTCAAACGTATATGTGAGTTAGAGTGTAATAGAGGTAGTTGACTATCAGCTTGTTAACAGGATTGCCTAAGAAGACGATTTTAATAAATGGTGGAATATCCATACTTTTTTTTTGCGATAGAAAAATATATATTTATATATGTGACTATGGTCAAAATATAGGAATTGATCACTGTGGGGGTTGACAAAAACAGCGTTCTCCTTTGAATAGAGCAGTATCCAGAAATTCCATGTATTTTATGACGCGCATGTGGTTCCATTCTTTTGAATTTGTGGATATTTGTATTTTTGATTGTAAAAATAGAATGAAAATTAACAATAGTTATCAGGGAATATTATCTTAATAAAGTTCTGGGAACGCACAGTTATAATCGACATTTTTAATTGGAATGGTACATCTATTTTTGCAACTCAGGTAATGCAATTCTTGATAAGTCTGGCCATACCAGATATTTACAATATGTTTGAAAATAAAAGAAAGACAATCCATTTCCAGACAGTTTTCATATTGGGTGGTAAGAATATCTTAAAACGGTAATAAACAAGGTTGTGTGCGGAGTTCAGAGAGGAACAGTTATCACATAGAGGAAAGAGCAAAATTTAGCATCAAAAGAGCAAGATCACACCACTTGGTATTCGTTTAAGGTACCTTGTCTTTTGTGTGTACAAAAGTCAAGATCAGGAGGAATCATAGATGTAGAATGCAAAAGAGTCCAACAACGAAAATAGCAAGCAAGTAGAGAACCTGGGAATAGTAATGAGTCTCTGTCTCATCCAACCGAATGTGGTAATGACGTGTGTCCTTTCTGAGATGCTCCAATGGTTTTAGAAAAAGAGGTTGAAAAAAAATCTAGTATTTTGTGTGCGAAAAGAAAACAAACAAAATAGGAACAAAGCCTGTGCTGGTCACTGGGCGATGTGCTTTCAGAAAACCATTTAGAAAGTGGCAACGAAGGACTCAGTAGCACTCTTCAAAGTGGCTAGTAGGTCCTTGGTCAATTCACCCTTATCTCTGATATCGTTCAAGATGTTCTCGTGGTTGGACTTCAAGTAGGCCAAGAAGGAGGATTCGAATTCAGCGATTCTGCCCAAGTCGATGTTGTCTAGGTAACCGTTGACACCGGCATAGATCAATGGAACTTGTTCTTCGGCAGCCAATGGGGAGTATTGACTTTGCTTTAGCAATTGTGTCAATCTTTCACCTCTAACCAAGGTTTGCTTGGTAGAAGCGTCCAAATCGGAACCGAATTGGGCGAAAGCGGCGACTTCTCTGTATTGAGCCAAGAACAGCTTCAAGGAACCGGCGACTTGCTTCAAGGCCTTAACTTGGGCGGCGGAACCGACACGGGAGACGGAAAGACCGACGTTGATAGCTGGTCTGATACCCTTGTAGAACAATTCGGCTTCCAAGAAGATTTGACCGTCAGTAATGGAAATGACGTTAGTTGGGATATAAGCGGAGACATCACCACCTTGGGTTTCGATGACTGGCAAAGCGGTTAGGGAACCGGCACCTTCCTTGTCGGACATCTTGGCAGCTCTTTCCAAAAGTCTGGAGTGTAAGTAGAAGACATCACCTGGGTAAGCTTCACGACCAGGAGGACGTCTTAGCAGCAGGGAAAGTTGACGGTATGCGACGGCTTGCTTGGACAAGTCATCGTAGACAATCAAGGCGTGCTTACCGTTGTCTCTGAACCACTCACCGATGGAGGCGGCAGTGAAAGGAGCCAAGTATTGCAAAGGAGCAGCTTCAGAAGCGGTAGCGGCGACGATGATAGAGTACTTCAAGGCGTCGTGTTGCTCCAAAGTCTGCACCAGTTGTGCGACGGTGGATCTCTTTTGACCAATGGCGACGTAGACACAGTACAACTTCTTGGACTCGTCGTTACCGTCGTTCCATCTCTTTTGGTTCAAGATGGTGTCTAGGGCCACGGCGGTCTTACCAGTTTGACGGTCACCGATGATCAGTTCTCTCTGGCCTCTACCGATAGGCACTAGGGCGTCGACGGCTTTCAAACCGGTCTGCACAGGCTCGTGCACGGAACGTCTTGGCAAGATACCTGGGGCCTTGACTTGGGCTCTGGCGGTGCCGACGGACTCGATTGGGCCCTTACCATCGATAGGGTTACCCAAAGCATCGACAACTCTACCCAAAAGGCCTGGACCAACTGGGACATCGACGATCTTACCGGTTCTCTTGACGATCTCACCTTCCTTGACCAGTCTGTCAGAACCGAACAGCACAATACCGACCTGGCCAGGCTCCAAGTTCAAGGCCATACCCTTGACACCAGAGGCAAACTCAACCAGCTCCTCGGCCTGGATGTTGTTCAAACCAAAGACACGCGCAATACCATCACCGACAGCCAAAACACGGCCAGTCTCGTTCAATTGAGCCTCGTCACTAACACCTCTGATCTTCTCCTCTAGAATAGAAGAAACCTCAGTAGGCTGCGCCTTGGCGGCATAACACCTAGCACTAGTTCTAACGACACTTCCTCTCGAAGCTCTCGAAGCTCTCGAAACAGCTCTCAAGGCATTTCTCGCCAACACAACACGAGACAACATTATTTTTAAACTTTATTTTCTTTTGGTTTGATGTATACTGAATAATGTATACTGCAAGTCACAGGAAAACAGACCAACCTACTATATATACAAAGGGAGAAGTTAAGTTTATTGTAGTTCCCCATCAGAGAGAGCAAAGCTTGCCAGTATTCTCGGGACTCTTATTGGTGACGTTTGCAGCGATAGAAACCGGGTCGCGGGTGAGCCTTTTCACTCCATTCAGAGTTGTTTGCAGAGGAAGCCGGCAGGGGGGGGGGGGGGGGGCGGCAGGGAAATCACGTGTACATATGCACATACAGGGGGGGAGAGGGACCAGAACCACTCGTTTTGCCTAGACGGACCTGCACAGAGCGGGTGGGGGAGGTCTGAGGGTTGGGCTCGTTACATTCCTTCGTACGAGAAGTTAAGGTGCGTGTACTGTGATATTCCTTTCCCTCCAAGATGATTGGTTCGTCATGTGTGTTGTGTGGAGGTCAGCTGGATATCTTGTAGAGTGATATGTCTTGCATTTGCAGTAGCGCTTGCGCTTATACTTGTACTCATCTTCTATATTTCTGACTCATTTGTATATTTGTATATTTGTATTTGTATTTGTATATTTGTATATTTGTATATTTGTATATTTGTATATTTGTATATTTGTATATTTGTATTTGTATTTGTATATTTGTATTTGTATATTTGTATTTGTATTTGTATATTTGTATTTGTATATTTGTATTTGTATTTGTATTTGTATTTGTATTTGTATTTGTATTTGTATATTTGTATATTTGTATATTTGTATATTTGTATATTTGTATATTTGTATTTGTAATTGTATTTGTATATTTGTATTTGTATTTGTATTTGTATTTGTATTTGTATATTTGTATTTGTATTTGTATATTTGTATTTGTATTTGTATATCGCTGTTTCTATATTCAAATTCATTCCTCATCACATATTTGTGTGGATTTTGCGTGCCCTGCTGGTTATAGCTTACCCCCAAGAACGTCTGCATAGATCACCCGCAATATCGTGTATTTATTTTCGATCAGTTGTATTAATTTTGCCATATATTCTTACAACATTTTTGCAATATATTCTTACAATGCTATATATTCTTACAATTATTTTTGATCTTGTTTTCATTTCATCTTCCTGCAAATTACGTTTATCATGTACCTTTGACTGATCTTACCCACAAGATTTCAATTATATTGTAGCATGTAATCAATTCACATATTGACTGGGTATATAATTTTTTTATTAACTTCTATATTTGGTATGCTTAAGGATTTCTTAACCCTGTAAATTTATTAGCTCATGAGCCACATTGTCATATATTTTTTATTTCTTATTTTCTTGGCAATCTCTATCTGTGCACTATTATGCGTGAGACTCTCTCTCATCGTTCTAATCCTACCTTGTATCTATCAATAATAATTTTTCTGTTCCATATATGACTCTCTAAGCCTTAAATTGTTTTCACTTTTGTATATACTTCAAATTTTAAAGTTAATAGTAACTCCAGTCTTTCAGTTTTTATCCTATTTGTAATAGTAATTAATCTAGTACTAAAACTTTCAGTAAGCGATCAATTTATATCCTGTATTTACAAAGATAGTTTTATATTTTTATTCCTACCAAGATTGTTAGAGCATTCATTTATAATTTTTTTTTTTAAACAATACAAACCTTCAATTTTATAAATTATTTGATCGTCAATATAGAACTAGTGTATCGATCTCTCAATAATCCTCATTTTTTAGTTACGAGACATACATACTTCTCGAATATGTGTTCGACTTTTAGCCCTCACAGTAATTAATATTTTGTTATATAATGTTTGCTCATGGCGCTGAAACAAAACCAAAAAAATGATTTTGTAAAGTTGCTACTATTGTATTGGTGAACTAAAACTAAGGTCTATAATATTACTGTTCAGCTTCTAAAATCAGCAGCTAGTATAACTTCCAAAGTTTCATAGTTGGTATTCACAAGACGTTAGTAAGTCTACACTGCTAATATTTGCCAAAATAGTTTTTGATTTGATTCAGCTTAAGAACTTAAAATAATTTGCAGGTGGTATATATATGTAAATGTTAACTATAAAGTTTATATCGGCAAAATAAGTGCCTCTAGTATTAAGACTAGTACATAATTTGTAAGAGTTACATTGTTATGATACCTCTGGCCTCAGATGTATGAGCTTGACCTCTTTTACAGGTATTTTGGATCACCGATAGATTTTGTATATAGGAATGAAAATGCTCTTTGGTATATAGTGTAAGTTGCATATTGCAATTCATGGTATTTACAGATTATTATGGAATATACAGGGTGTGGCGAGCTTATTTAACTCGGCATAGTAGTTCTCCTCCATGTCTTTGAGCAATAGCCTCATGAATATCAACAATAGTGTTTCTCTCGGTTCTCACAAGCATCAATTCTCCAGGTTGCAATGGCTTTACTTGTCTCACAGATACTCCACTGCACACTTTCTTCAACTCATCAGGACCCATCATAATACGCATATTAGGCTTCGAGATCAAACGGCACTGACTCAACACAGGCTTGTTGTCCCTGTATTTCAGCCCAACCCACAAACGCCGTGTGGCAATGTTATCTGGAGTCACCTCGATAAACTCGTCATCTGGTCCTCGAGTAGATCCACGCTCCACAGAACTTAGGAACCCTTGCTTGTACAAGTTATAGGCAAATTGCAATTGCAACTTGGTGTATGGCAACGATGTCAAAGATAGCCTTACTCGCGAACAGTTCTGTAAGTGCGCACACGTATTTGCCAACTTAACTAAAGACATCCTTCCTTGTGGCCTCTTATAGTGATTCCTTTCTTTGGACTACTTTGCTCTTGCTAATCATTTCCTTCCTTTTATACTCGCACTGTCAAAATGAAAAATTCTTGAATTATAAAGGTAACAATGGAATTTCATGTAAGTTATCCCATATCAAAGAAGGTAGACAAGACAAAACGAAATACAGCATGGCATTGATGAGACTTGGTCTGAGGATACCTGCTCGACTTGGTTCCAATCTTCCTGTAGCCCAGCTCGGTATTCGGGCAGCTAAGCATCGTTTCTATGCAACAGCACCTAGGAACGATGGTGGTGAGCTTCCCAGCATCAAGAAGCTGTTGATGATTGGGCTTGCTGGTACAGCGGTATTTGTGTTGGCGGTGAACTCATTGGATAAGCAGCAGCCCAAGAACTCATACTCAGAGTCCGAGTTTGAGAGCTTACAAAGACTCAAGAGGAAAGTGGCACTGTTCCCAGGCAACCAATTGAAGGTGTATGGTGTTCTAGGCACCGAAAAGTATAATAAAATAGTCTCGGGTGGTAAGATTGTGGATCCACGCAAGATTATCGAGAAACACCGTACCACTGCGGGTGACCGTTACGAAGCCTTATTGAACATCCTATATGACAAGTATGGCGCTGTTGAGTACTTTGACATGCTACCACAGGGCCTTATGGTTAAGTTAGTCTCCCTGTACATGAAGGATAACTGTTCTGAGGGCGATACCGTTGTTATCCTAGACTTTCCAAAGTCTATCAAGGATGCATCGCAATTTGAAACCGAAGTGGCAGGCATCTCTAAATTTATAGTGTCACAGAAGCTAAAGGACACTGATATTTGTAAGTATTATGATGCCGTTGGTAAACTTGAATCAGTATAAAATTAATCGCTACGGCCGTGATTTCTCCTTGTGAATAATAACAATACCTATTAAATAATCCATAATGGGATTAATAGAACAAACATAATAATATATATCTTATTTACGCCTATTTATCAAACTTAATGAATATTCAATTGCATCCTTTCGCATCGCTTAGTGATATTTATCAAAATCAGGGAATGAATAATTCGAATTATTAAGGTACACACAGTACCACAAAAGCTCAGATCGTTATGAAGACTCACAAAGTTACCATATTACCACACCTTATCAAGTTCATACCACAGGTTGATAGTTCAATTGCAGACGATTCGCTAAATTTATATGGATTCGACCTGGATCACACAATAATTCAACCAAAAAGTGGTGCTGTTTTTGCCAGAGGCAGCAACGACTGGAAGTTCATGGAATTTGGAGGTAAACAGACCTTACAAAAGTTGATCAAGCTGGTTCTAGGTGAGTCCAATGCCTTTGTAGTGGTTTTCACAAACCAAGGTGGTGTAGTTACGGTTCCAACTACGGCTAAGAGTTGTCTTAATTTTACTAACAAGATTAAGAACTTGTTAGAGCATATAGAAGGAGTAGAGAATGGATCGAAATTCCTTGAGAGGTTATTCATATATGCAGCACCAAAGAAGCCCGCTTCGTTTGGAAAGAAGAAAGTAGCAGGAACTAAGAGTGGCAGAGTGAATAAGTCAATCAATTCAATGCTCGCGAAGACTACAAAAGAGAAAGAGCAAATTGACAATAAAGATATTGATGACCAAGTATCTATCTTCACCAAGATGAGAAAGCCTGAAACTGGGATGGCAGATGCTTTTATTAGTGATTTGGAATTGATCTTCCCTAAAGAAAAATATAAATACAACTGGAAGCTATATTGTGGTGATGCTGCTGGGAGGAAGTCCGACTTCAGTGATGCAGACAAAGCTTTCGCAGAAACGCTAAAAGTTCCATTCGTGATCCCTGAAGAATTCTTCTAATACCTCCTATGTTTATAAATAATTACAAAGATGGCCACTAATGCTGTCGAAACGATTGAAGCTGTGAATTTAAAAGTATCTTGGTAGCAGTGTGTACTGTTAGTACAAACATTCTCTGTACTCCCTAATGGGATATTTTTCACCATGTTACTGGATAGAATGTTGGATAGAACTCTGACACCGACAAATCCGCCAGTAGTTAATAGCCCCCAAATGGTACTGTAGTGTTTTTGACTAAACGTATCTGCAACAATTAAAGGAAAGGTACCAAAAACAATACCAAACATTAGCCCAATAAGTAATGATGATAGATATATTTTCTGTAAATTTCCTAATTTAGCAGCACTGATACCTGGCGTTATGGCAGGACTATCAAAATTCTTCATTAATATCAGACTTGCAATGATAGCTAAGAATGCGGCAATTGCTATATTCCAGAGCCTATGTAATTGCCATCTTTTCACTAGAAAATCAGATATGGTTCCAGATGTTAATCTACCCAGAAATGAGAATAGCGATAGTATAGTGACTTGTATAGATTGAATTGTTTCGGCATTGAAGCCGGCTCCAAAACTATTAGCATATTCAACTTCAGAAGTCACAAGGAACCCGACGGAGTAAATATACATTTGTCCAAACCCCTGCAATATCATCAGAACCAAATAATAAGAGAAGAATTGTGCACTTAAGACCTGCTGTTTTATTGTTAATTCTAGTTGATTAGAAGATGGCGTATGCATGTCTTCAATTTTGGTGTCGATGTCAAAGGAGCTGGGCGTGAGTCCCCTCTGCGTTAGATCATCATCGTCTCTTATTTTATATGGCGAGAGTGTTACGCCTTCGTGTGCACCAGGTGAAAATGTCTTCCTAGTATCCCTTAACTCAATATTCAAATTCATGTTCTTCGACCATATATCAGCATTGGAGAGCCCTTCAATCACAGGAGCAGCTTGTAGGCCGGAGCTGTCTTCCACAATGGGTTCATATTTCGTCTCCGGCATAACAAAAGATGTGGCACCAACGGCAATTAGAGCTGGACATGAAAGAATTAAAAATACGAAGAATTTGCTTTCTTCCTGTTTAAATATTGTTGTACCAATGGTTGAATATATCATAGCTGATAAAGCATACATAGCAATTGGTATTGCAGTTGCAGATCCGCGATTCCTGGGGAACATTGCAGTGCAGCATTTAACTGCGGCATAGAATCCGGCAACCGAGCCAAACCCAATAAGAGCCAACGCAAATGATATTAAAGGTACATTTCCAATTGCGCGATCATAGCATATCTTGACTACTATGTAAGCCAATAAAGTGGCTCCGGAGCCAATTGCACACGCAACTTTTGGTGACTGGTCGACGATATACCCTGCCATTGGTCCCAAAATACAACTGCCGATATTTAATGAGTAAGACAGTGTACTAACAGAGCCCGCATTTATGTGACATTGTGATATGAATTGAGGTGCCCAAAAGGAATAAAGGTAAGGCGTACCTGCACCAAGGGATACCAATGCCGCACTAAGAATCAGCAATCCAGCGCTGGTTGTCGAGTCCGTCATCGGTATAGCTGGAAAAAATGGGAATTTGCAGAAAGAGAGATTCAGAACCAGCACAAATATAATAGCATATAATATCTGGTTATGCCAATATTAATGAAACTGTGGTTAAGACAAGATCAATTCTAATTGTAATTGGTGCAACGGATGACTATGACTTCCTTCCCCCATTGTCTCTCATGTAGCATAAACCACCAAACAATATGGCCGGAGAATGCAAGGTGAACCAGAAGATAGTCAAGGCACGACGGAAAATTCGATATTCCGGGTAACTGAAAGTTCAGGGTCCATCTAATTTAAAATGAAATTAAATTTTTATTAGCTCATTGTTCTATGCATTTTTACTCAGAAACCATCGTGAAAATACTGCTTGAGCTTAATTTTAATTAAATCAATAAAACGTTTCTTTTTATTGCCTTTTTAGGAAAGAGGTATTCTATTTTTAAAATTTATTATGACAAAGAATTGTAAATCATTCTACATGTGTTCGAAATTCCTGGACTTTGTAGTACTCCTACTCAGACAATAATACCATGCCTATGGTAGGGTTGCTGGAATAACTAGTTTCTCTAAGTTATTGGTTTTGTTTATTATAGAAAAAAATAAACTAGATAGATTTACATAGAAGTAAAGAACCAGTATTGCCAATTGCCCCTCTTGTAGCACTCACATTTTTTTTTTATAATTCTAATGAACGTTGATAGGTGTTGGGAGCAGTACTACAAGACCCTCAAGCTGATATACTTGGAAGAGAACAAAGAGACATGTCAAAGGGAGATTGACCATCTAGTTGATACTGCTATTGAGCTAAAGGAGAAGACCTACTCCAACGCGGTGCTGGATTTAGGAAGACAGTTCCGCGAAGTATGTCCTAAAGCTAGAATTATGTGGAAGACATCTTCGATTGCCGGTAACTTCTATCCTCCCATATCAATTTCTGACATTTATTCTCCAGTGATAGCTAATGTTTTTGACCAGACAACTAGACTAGAGTGTCGCAGGCAGGAATATTCGCTTAGAATGCCACTACAAGAGGAACCAAATTTCACAGGTATTCAGCAACATGCACAGGTATCAGATTGTTCCTTGGTTGTTTCCCTAATTAATATCAATCGATATAAAACTACCATGCCAGTAGTTAAGCAGGTTGCTGAGAATTTATATGCAACGAACCTTTACTTCAATGGGGCACAAAGAAGGTTAGTGCTGGTTTCAACCGAAAATATTCCAACCATGCAAGATGATCCAACGAAGCAGATGTCTGTCCATAGTGCTAACAAGATCAATAAGATACTAGAATTGGGACTGTTAAAATTAACATCACTGTCCTACCATTCAGAAGGCTCTAATACCGCTATAGATACATATCGGTTATGTGGTTGGATACCAGATATATCAAGTATAAATGAGTTTAACTTTCTCAAAGTACACAAGGCTTTCAGTAGAGGCGAATGTCTCATAGCTATGGGAACTGGTGGATTTGTTCCTAAAGAGAACATATTCGGAGTTAAATTACGTAAATATCACGATTACGCTGTTCTGGATATAGATATGATAAATGAGGTAGTTACATTGCGTGATCCATTGATAAGTGATACCTTGTTAACTATTAACTTTGACAGTATCAGAAAATATTTCCTTCAAGTTTATTGTAACTGGGACAGTTCTAAGCTATTTATGTTCACAAAGGATACACAGATTTTCTATTCTGATAAGAAATTTAATCCTTACCAAACTTTGGCAGGAAAGCCTACTTTCTACCTCAAGAATAATTCTGATAGGGATGAGTATGCATGGGTTCTGCTAGAATTCCATCTAGACAAAAATAATAACACCACAGCTTATTTACAGGAAATACCAGACAGAATTTCAACAGTTAGATTGGGATATAATGATAATTCAGCGGAAACGGGATTCCAATTAATAAAGATAAGGTTGAAACCCAAGCAATGTATTTGGTATTTTTGTTACAGCTCTACAGATAAGATGTTGACATTTCATACATACTCTACCAGTAGTGATGTTGTGTTTGTGAGATCTAAGATGCCGGGCTGTGATTTTGATGTCACTGAATGTGCCATACTACCGGAAAACATAGTACCCATGCAATACCCTAATCATTCTGAAACCGATATCTATTACCTTGCATCTATTGATTTTTCAATAGAAGGAGAACCTGGAATTACAATAATAACTGATATGGTCGTGTGCTTGGAAACGGATGATGACTTGGTGAATTTCCAGATGTTTCATTGGGATGATCTAGATTTCAATTCACCAATATATGATGAATTCTACATGAATGAGAGAATGTTTGAAAAGAAAGATCTTCCATTGACTAGTGGTGAACGTTATAGAATTGTTGCATCAACAGCAAGGCCGCCAATTTCTAAAGGATATCAATGTGCTGTGTCTGGAATAAATATTCATGCAGACTATCCTTGTAGTTACAAGTTACGGGAATCAGATGTTCGGTATAACTCTATGATGTTTAAACTTCCTCATGTTTTTACGTTAGCCTCCACGGGCATAACTAAAATTAGCCTAGTTAACAGAAACAAGTACAATAAAGTTTTTATGCGGATATATCCTCAGACACAGGAGGATTACAGATATAACTACAGGGTAATTAGTGCAGACACTGGAGAGGATCTAGTGAAGCCAGGTAATAATATTCAAAAACTTTATGGTGGAATTGTAATAAAGGAATTTCTTGTATCTGATCAGACTAATTTGGAGCTTCATTTGTCTTTCCAAGATAATGGTCGTGTGCCAGTGGAGTTGAAATGTCAATTGTATGTTGGAAGTGTAAAAATAATTACGTTGTCTTAACGGTGTAAGAATTGTAGAACATAAACTTTTAAACCAAATGAGAATGTAGTAAGTTTTCTTTTTGTATAATTACTTAAATTAATACATATATGCATGTGATGGGTAAGCTAGTAGCTTTAGTGATACATTAAGATATTCGTACTGATCCTAAAACTCATCAAAAATAGAGTTTTGGATTACTTAAAGAATTCGGATTATAGATCGTTCCAGCCAAACAACCAACCACTGATCTTTCCGATTAACGACCTGTCCCTATTGATCATCCTCTTCTTGGTCGGTTGGCCATCTAAGGTTGAGAATATATTGTCCGTTCCAGACAAAAATAGCGAAGAACCATCTTTTATGCTTAATCTTCTCTTAGTCCTACCAGAAGAAATCGAACCATTTCCTTTGTTATCAGATCCGAATGCTGAAGGAGTTTTGATTTGATTTCTTTCGGTTTCATTAGTTGGTTTAGTTTCGAAAGTTTGATTGCTTTTGGGCACTTCGGATTGATTGTGTTGTGTCAATTGGTTTGTGCTGATCGAATTAGTTTGCTTAACGTCATTCATCGAATTATAGGTGTCTCTAGATAACTCGGATATTAACTCATGTTTGTAGGGTACACATCCAATAGCAGCTCCACAATATATTGTTCCGTGTTCCCTTAGAGCACGTAAGTAGCTAGAATGGTTAGCGTAAGTCAGTTTAGTCCATGTTCTCCCATGTTCTCTGCTTATGCGACGTCTATTGGGTGCCTGTTGAAAAAAATATCCGGGAGTCCTCATAGTTTCAGTGTCACCCAATTCTGATTCTAGATCTTCTAATATCTCGCCAAATTGTGCAAAGTAGGCTAGAATTTGTTTGGTTATAGCCTCACGATAACCAAATACCACAACTGCATTTCCTGTCTCGGATTCAGAACCTATAGAAGAGGCTGATGATGATCTTGATTGGGAATTGCTATCGAATAAACTCACTTCACTCTTTTCCCTAGAGATGGGAGAAATGAATGTCGGTGTGCCAATAGTATTTATGGTATTCTCATTCCTGGTGTTTCGGAGATCAAATAAACCTTCCTCTCTTTTCCAATCAGAGATAGACACAGTTGGAGGTGCCTCACTATTATCCATAAGTAAGGGATTCATATGGTCATTTCCTCCAGTGCTGACATTTGAACTTCCTAACAGCATGTGTTTCTTCGCTCCAAATGTTAGTGTGTTGAACCCTGTGCTCGTACTGTCTCCTCTGTTCCCATTGTCATCTTCACCACTATTACTACTACTCTTCACTTCTCTGCGCAAAACGGTGTTTGGAATGGTACGTCTGGCAGTCTCTTGAAACCATGAAGGTCTATTGTTCGCATCACGATTAGCTCCACTACCACCACTACTGTTATCACCCACTGATCCAAAGCCTGCGCTGTTCCCAAACATCTATAGCAACGTATGATTTCTAAGAGTGGTTATATTATCTAATACCAAGGGCAATGAAAGGATCGATGAGTTGTGCTACCATTCCATTATTATGTCCTTATGCTATTCAAAAATCGTCATGTTATGGCGATGAGTTTTGCAAAATTGTTCTAAGCCGGGTAACAAACCAAAAAAGCGTATATACCCCTCCACTATCATAAAGTAATATTACAGAACTTTCTTATAGATATTTATTTATCGAGTTATCAATGTTTATAGTTCCCATTAGTGGATAACTTAAAATTTATAATTGAGGATTGATAGCTTTGTTGTTGTCTTAGATGTTGCATAACATGATGATATATAATAAATATTAAGAATATATGGATTATTTGTTGACTCTGATTACAATTTTACCCTTTGCCTTGTTTGTTAGTAGCTTATCCATTGCCTCCTGGTATTGATCAAACTCATATACAGAATCTATCACTGGTTCAAATTGGTTTTTCTGAATCATCTCTGTGGATAACTTCATGTAGCGGTCAATTGGTTTGACAAGCACGGTGGAATAATTGAAACCCAAAAATGGATTTATCTTCTTCCATGCAACTGACAAAGGCATTGCACGACGGAAAGTTGGGTTCTTATAGTCTAGCTTGTTGTCGCCTACGACAGTAAGGAAGTATGAACCCGTGCTTTTAGGCTTCAAGAACTTATCAATGACCGGGAAGAAGTCTGTGTTTCCCACAGAGTCGAAGATCATGTCAAACTTCTCGCCACCAAGTTTCTCTTCCATCAACTTCGTAACATTTTCAATAGTTTTACCATCATTGTAAGAAACGAGATGATCCCATCCAAATTTCTCATTGTACTCAAAGGAGTTCTTATTACAGATACCAACAACAGTACCAATATTGTAGTGACGCTTAGCAATCTGTATCAAACAATTGGAAACTTGCGTGGAAGCACCAATAACCAATATACGGGACTCGGGGGTCCATTTCTTGATGTAGTCAGCTAGAACAGAATCAGCAGTTCCGTAGACTAATGGGAAAGAAGCGTTCAAGACCCAGTCATCGTATTTACCCTCATTGTAGTTAAGAGCGCCTTCACCACGAGGAAACTTCTGCATATGAGCGATACTCTTATTTTTGGCAGGGTTGAAAATCAGGTAATCACTGAAAGAGCCGCGGTCACCTAGCAAGTGCACATACTGACCATTCACCTCGTCGTCAACTTTCCATTGGGGATCCACACGGGACCCAGCTCTCACAATAACACCACTAAAATCTCTTCCAAAGGTCTTGGGCTTGCAGCCGGTAAGCCAGGTAGTACTTAGACCATATACTACCATATCGATAGGATTAATAGCACAGCACTTGACCTTGATGACTATCTCATCGTCCTTGAAGCAATTGTCCAAGTCAAGCTCCGTAGTAGTGATTGCTGGCTTCGAGTAGCCGTCCACAAAAGTGATAGATCTCTGTTGAACCATTATAATTCTATTATTGTACCTTGATATTGATATCTTGTTGTGTTTCTAAGTGCATACAAGAGTTATTAATTTGAAAGTTATGTTGCATTGTGCTGCTTATATAGTAATTCATGTCTGGTTCCACGGAACCTTAATTTTCAAACGGTCCGGATCAAGAATTACGCAAATGATTCCGTGGAATAGATTTTGCATGTTCTTAGAGCTACCATAGTGTTCTTAAGAGATAGTAGTATTTTAAGTGGATATAAGCCAATTTTACCGGCAGGGACTAGCTAAACAACATGAAGTTGAAGCTTGAGATCAATGGGAATGATTACCCTGAGAACTTCAAACTTTTGAAGACCACTGTTACTACAGTAGCGTCATTACGGAGCCTTGCTGTGCTGCGGTTTGACAGTGATCGGCTGGTTATTATATCGACGCCCAGGGTATCGAATGGTGTGGTGGCTGGACATGGTGTTGTTGCCAGAGATAGTGGCGAGCTTTGGTGTACCATTCCGCGAGATGTTTTCAGTCTGTATCATGTCTCAGCGGAAAGACAAAACAACACCATTGCGCTTGAGTGCAATGTTGAATCACTGAAGAACGCTGTTCTGCGATATGATAAGGTGATGACCCAGGGATCAGCGTCTACTTTGCAATTGAAGCTCCGGCAAATGCCTGAGTGGAACGCCGCTAGCGCTAACGGGCCTGACAGTGCCGGTAACTCCAGGATACGAGTCGCTGCATTGGCCGTGTCATTCGAGGAATTAGTTAATGTTTACTCTGGTCAGGGCAAAGATGATGCCTTTATGGATGCAACTCAAAACAATACTTCACATGCGGTCAACAAACTTATAAGTCACTCCTCGAAGATTCCAGTCAGATTCTTAAATGCACAACAGGATGAGCGCATACAAGAACCTATGATGGACTATAACCAGACAATGTTGTGCAGGTTGCCGTCGATTACGGATGAAGCTGGTGGTGCTTTTCTGAATTTCCTCAAAAGAATAGAACGGTACACAAATGTGAATCATATAAAACTACAAGGATCAACAAGCCCGCATATCTCACACAACCGCAGAGACGCCAAGTTGCGGATTCTTGTTGATGAACTAGATTGGAACCTTGTTATAAGCTGGAATGGCCCCTTGGAACTTCAAGAAAGGGCAGACATTGATGAAATGGCAGAGCCAACATCGCCAGAACGGCCTAGATCTGAAACACCGTTGCTGAGTAGGATAAGTGGTGATAATAATTTCGATAGAATTGATGACAGCGAGGTTAATACATTACAAGAAAGCGGTCCCGATACTAACTCACACACAAATGGGTTTCTTGAGCAAGTGCAACAAGCAGAGGACGAGTCTTCCCTGGTTCAAGAAGTAATTATAAGAAGCAAAGATTTAAAAGTATGCTCAAAGCTTTTTGCAGCATTCGAAGAAGTCATCATGGCCATCTCGCATGACTACGCCTGTGTCTTTCACTGCTCCCTGAGCAGAGGCCTAAGAGATACCCAGACACAGGAGGAAAAAGAGAATGGTCAGATAATCTACTACATATCCAGGTCAAAGGCACTGGAATTTGCATAAATAGATAGTATAATGTTTCAAATGCATAGCTGTTTGGACTTAATATTGCTAATAAAATGAATAATATGTCAAGTTTTTGTACGGCAGTTTCTGTGAATATTTTAAGAACCATCGGCTTTGAATTAGAAATGAAAATTTGAAGAAATTTTGCGATGAGCTCATCACTAAGGTCTGTAGACGGCATTATATGAACTAACTGATATGCACAAATATTAGAATGGGTTCCTCGAACCTTTGAATAGTATATTACAACTTAGATTTTTCTTGCAGGGATTAAAGGGACCAATGGGTGAAGAAGTTACGTTTGCGGAATTGAAAGAGCTGGCCGGCTCTATAAAAGAGCAGTTTGTTGATCCATACAAAAATGATATCGGGGCTTTAAAGAAGATTAGCAGCGAGACTAAGCTACAAGGTTCTGATCCACTGACGGAACTAGAGAAATTGGCCAAGATTCTAAAAGCATACTCCACAAAACTGGGTATTATTTGCGAGCCCTCAAAGCTGCACGGTAATTATCATGCAGCATATACGGAGTTGAAGAACTATGCAGATTCCCTTTTCTATTTATTGAGTCTTCTCCCTCTGTTCACTCGTGAGCAAGGTAAACTTTATGCGTCTTATTTAAACGAAGACGTCTTCACACAAGTTTTGGGGTTGCTTAACGGTACTGAGATGCTATGTGATGAGATCTGCAGCAGTAGCAAAGAGAATGAGGGTGATAATAAGGACAGATTGATATCTGTAGGTATAATATGGGCATCATGTGACGAATTATGCGATATAGTCAAAGGAGGTAATTATGGGCTTCTATCGAAACGTATTGCATTGAGTTGCGGATTGGTTGATGATGTGTTGGAAGATATTCATGGTTGGCTAGAAGACCCGCAACTCGAAGGTGCAGATGATTTCCTAGGTGATGATCTGGACTCTATAGATGAATTGGAAGACGGTGTTAAGAAAATGGGCATTGATGGTGATGACGAAGAAATGATTGAGATTGTTAAAAAGTTCCTATCCGAATGGCAAACTAAAATAAAGATGATAAAATTGCTTCTATCGTCATTTTCTAAATCTATTACATTAACTACGGGTAAAAATATACCAAATCTTGGTTCGAAGTTGGATGAACTTAATAAACTGCATAAACAAGTTATTTTGCATCTTGATGAGCTTGTATCTGATGTATTTATGTCTGGCGCAGCATTCGACGAAGATGAAATGGGGCCTTCAATTGCTGATCTTAACGACACTCTGGCTAAAATGGTACACATAATAAAGGAGATCAGTAAACAAGATCCAAAGAAGTCCAAGTGGATAGATGTTTGGAATAACAAGTATTTTGAGTAAAAATATTAACAAACGGCATTATCATAATATTGATAAAAATTCAGCTAGATCTATTTTTTTAAAACACCTATCATCGCATCTAAACAAATGGAAGTATATTTTATAGAGTTCTCAAAATACCAGCTGTTGAAATTCACAAGCCAACTGGTTAATACCTAGGCCTCAATAGAATACACAATGTCTTCTTATAGATCACATGATCAATAAATTTTTCAGCTCTTTAGGCTTTTTTTCGCTGGTGTGGGTGTTTCTGCGGAGTCTTCTGTGAAGCTTTCAGAAGGTGCTGGTATTTACTATGCCTACAGGTTGCTGGTGTCGTTTGACGTGATATGTTGATTTCTGGTGTATACTGCTGGTAATGGGAGTATACTAGGTGCTGTAGTCTTATCCTTACACTAAGGATAATAACAGTGTTCTTTTGCTAACCAGTATTTTTTTATTGTTTACATGTAAACATTAAAAAACTATCAATATTTGTAAACAAACCAGGATCAAAACAATAACAATTAGTATTATTGATAAATAATAATAATAGGCATCCAGGCCTTTTATGAAATTGATAGTGAGAAACTACTTTGATTGATATCATAAATCCATATATAAAGGTAGGTATTTTAATGGACATTTTTGCTGTTTGTACAATCAATTAATTTTCGTTTGGTTAGCTTTCAAACTTATAATACAGTTAATTATAACAAACTAAAAAAAGGCTAATTCTATAATCTTAAACAAGTCCATTCCTTTAAACTTGTCAGATAGTGTATTGAAAACTTTCTACACGTCCATTCGTTAATATTTTAATTTTGTGGTGGTCCGTTCCTTTACTACCCATTCATTTATTCCGTTTCAATTATTGTTTACCGCTAACTATAGAATAAACAAAAGATGATTCAAATCCTTCTACCGCTCTTGTTTATTTTGAGCACTGTTTTTGCATTTGATATAAACTCAAAAACTAATGTTGCTGTCTATTGGGGTCAAAATTCTGCTGGTTCTCAGAAATCCCTTGCTAGCTATTGTCAAAATACAGAAGCAGACATTTTTCTCCTATCCTTCATGAACTCATTCCCAGCTATCGGGCTAAATTTTGCCGATGCCTGTACTACCACATTTCCAGATGGCTTGCTACAATGTTCTCAAATTGCTGAAGATATTAAGACCTGTCAATCTTTGGGTAAGAAGGTCTTATTATCAATGGGTGGTGCATCCGGTGCTTACGGTTTCGCGGATGATGCCCAGGCTGAAGCATTTGCTACTACTCTATGGAACACATTTGGTGAGGGCTCAGATATTTCAGTTGAGCGTCCATTTGGCCAATCCATTGTAGACGGTTTTGATTTTGATATTGAGAACAATAATGGTAAAGGTTATGCCGCTCTAGTATCAAAACTAAGGCAACTGTTCAGCAATGGCTCTAAACAATATTATATTTCTGCGGCTCCACAATGTCCATACCCAGATGCCTCAGTTGGTGATTTATTGGCTAACGCTGATGTGGATTTCGCTTTCATTCAGTTCTATAATAACTACTGCAATGTTGAGGCACAATTCAACTGGGACGACTGGAAGAATTTCGCTATCAACACTTCACCAAATAAAAACATTAAATTGTACTTAGGTCTTCCAGGTGCACCATCTGCTGCTGGCTCAGGTTATATTTCTAACCTTGACAATTTATCAAAAGTAATAAAAGAAATATCTAGTTTAGCAAATTTCGGTGGTATCTCTTTGTGGGACGCATCTCAAGCCACATCAAACGTTATCGATGGTGCTGATTATCTGTCTCAAATGAAAAACATACTTAAGAGTGCTGCTGGTAGCACTGAGACACCTACTACATCTTCAAGCTATTCTATGCCTTCCAATCTAATCACTAACACTGGCGAACAAAGTTCATCTGTTTTAGTTTCTTCTGTAGAGCGTACAACCACCACATTAGAGCCAACTTCAATTATTTCTTCTAGCAGTTTTAGTGACTCTGCGCCTACACCTACCAACTCTCATATTACCACTACGCTTCAACCAAATACTAACACACCACCTGCAGCGGCTCAAGATTCTTCAGCTAATGTTCAAGTTTCGGTAACTCCTAGTACAACCACGACTACACCTGATAGTCCATCTAATCATTTGAATGATGTTTCCCCAACCCCTTCAACTCCAGCTCCTTCATCTCCTGCTAATCCTTCTCCAGACACTCCCGCTCATACGATAGCTAAACAATTGAATGCGCAATATGCCGCCGGTCAATTCAATGGTAAATCTTCCTGTCAAGATGGTGAATTATCTTGCTCTGCAGATGGTAAATTCGCTATGTGTGCTCATGGTAGCTGGGTTGAGATGGCATGTGCCGCCGGAACAACTTGCTACGCTTATGATAGCGGAAATTCAGTCTTTACTCAGTGTAATTATGTTGATTTAAAGGCATCATTTGTTTAACCAGTTCCCATTCATGCATAATCTTTAAGATACTTGTGGTTGCAGGCATTTTTTGGTCACTAATCTTAACGTTTCAATCTTCACTATAAATTACATATCCATTCCAATAAAAATAATGAAAAATCATATAAGCTAAATAGTTTAACCCCGTTTGTTTTGTTCCAGATAGATACCTTACCACAGGTTGAATTATTGAATCATATTCCAATGCCTTATATCAGAGATAAAATAAATATCGTTAAAATAGGAAACAGGAAATGTTACAATTAAGCGTGAGTCATATAATATGCATATACTCGAGATCTGACTTCGGCGGTTTCTTCGTCTTCTTCAAACATGGGTTTCCAGTTGACCATCTCAATCTTTTCGGGAGTCAATCCATATTCTTTACAAGTTTCGAAGAATTGTAAATCAGCTTCGAGTAAGTGAGGTCTGTGTGGTGAAAATACAACCAACGCCTTACCATTGGTTGCTAATAAATCTTTGGTTGTTTGTAGTAGTTTATCATGTTGATTGTGATTAAAGACTAAATCACTCAGTATAATAAGATCAAATTTCTTGTCACCATCCAAATGAATTGTTAATGGATCATATTCATTACCCCATATATAACCTTCAACTCTAACGTTTTCCTTTAATTCATCAGGAATTATGGTGTTGACGTTGTATTGTATATTTGCCATTAGGTCGGCATCAGGATAATCTGTTACCACTGCTCTCTTAGCACCTATTAGTCCAGCTACCAGTGATGGTAGAGCTGATGCTGCTCCAAGTTCAAGAACGTTTTTGTTAGACACCAATTCTGGGTATTTGTCCAAATGTCTTGCAGTATATATACCGGCATTCCATAGTAAATGGCCCCATAAAGGTGAAGAACCAACCAATTGCAGTTTCAAGTTTGTAATTTTGCTTTTTGAGATGTCAGGGACATCTATCCTTTCGTAGTTTGCATAATGTTCTTTTGGTTTCTCGGGTCTAAAGTCTTCAGGTTCATCAAATAAGCCTAGGGCATCATTTAAGGACTCAGTATCAGACATTTGTTTATGCAATAATTCAAATAAATAATGATATTCGGAGCGTTACAGATATACCGATTTTACGAGTTGTTTCGGTTTTCAAATACAATATTATGCTAAAGCATTTCATATTTACACTATAGAGTCCTGCGATGAGCATCGATTTTATTGAAATTTTTCAAATCAACTCATGGAATACGTAAAAATCTTATGGACAGAGGAATACGCCGGAAATGGAACCTTTCAAGAATAGTGATGCCATTGTCTAGTACATTCACTTTCCCAAAGTATTATCGATTGATGTGGTAGATGAAGAATTTGATGATAATGGTACTGGTGGTGGTGATGAAGTAGCAGAGGCAGATACTGAGCCACTCTTAACGCGTTTTGTTGTTGTCTTTGTGAGACTTTCTCTTCTGAACGTTAAATTAGGACTGGTTATATTGACAGGTGTGAATTTAGATGGCATGTTGACTCTATTAAATTTGTTTCTGAGCTTCTGCTGCACATATTCCATATCCAAATGTCTGGTTAGTGACATCTTAGGGATGCAGCTTATGTAGTGTCTATCGTCCAGTTGAACTTCCAGTGGGTCCTGAGTGTGGCAACCTGGAGACATCTTCAATCTTATAGAGTGTGACTTCACCTCATTAGCATCTGTACTTTCGTATAGTTCAAAGTTGATCTGTGAAAGGTAATCGAACTCTGGTAACGCGTTACTTGCAATTCTCATTGGAATACCTGATTCATAAATAATATTCAATAGAGTGTAGATATGGGATTCCTTTGTGAAGTATGCAACACATGCAGGGGCTTCTTTGTTCTTCATAATATCAATATCATTTAGTATTTGCTTCGCTAACGGTAATGATGTTAATAAGCCAATGTCCAGTTTTTCAGCATCCTCTATACCATATTCTTTAGGGCAAATAAAATCAAATAGTACTTTGGCGAGTCTATATAGTTCTCTGAATTGAACGTATTTCTGGCCATCAAAAGGAGACGCAGATTTTGATTCTGAGTTAACTTTAGTCTTACCACTTTCCAAAACCCAGCCCAATGATCCAACACTCGTTTTACTCGAACTAGAGGTACCAGCCGCATAGCTTGAGTCGACGATTTTAAAATTGTTCCGAGCCAATACATTAATTGGATAGCGATCAACCAAAGAATGATTAGAGATATTTTCATTTGCTAACTCGCCTGGATCAAAAATATTCTGTAAAAACTCTCTGTTGTGTAAAGCATCATATTTCATTGTATCATAAAGTTCAGATATTTTAGATGGATCTGCTTTCTCCACTGAAACAAATTCCTTGAAAAGTTTATTCCATCTCTCTTTAAAAAGACCAGGATCTTCAGAGGTACACCATCTTTCTTGTAACTTGCTTACATCTTTTGTTTCAAAATTATGATCCATGATTTTTTTATGGTAATTCATTAATTCCACAACACGCTTAATAACTAAATAAGGCTCTGGCATTTTTGCAGGCCATGCAAATTGAGGTGGAGTTTCTTTACCTTCTCTTAGTAATGGTTTTAACTTCTTCTTCACTTTATCCATGATGTCTTTTGCTGCATTACTGTCATCAAGAAGGTCTTTTCTTATATTGATTTCATCGCTACTGAATTCATCTGCACCAAACAAGGCAGTAGCCCAATATTGAGCAGACACAAGAACTCTTCTTTCTGATGAAGAAAAGATTTTGATATCCTGCAAAATATTCTTATTCAAAAGGTCAAAGTCCTGTCTCATCTGTTCACCTAATTCAGTAGCCTGATAGCGAGCAGAGTGAGTTGGTTCACCACCCCACTTTAGAATAAATTGGACTTTTTCAACCTCATTGTTCTGAGTTAAAACTGGTTTAAGCTGAATTTTTGTACCTGGTAATTCGAGTTTTTTTTCAAGAGTATTAGCCAACAATTTAATCTTAGTAGGATTTCCCGCTTTTTCTTCTAATGCAATCCTTAATGCTTGCAAAACAATTTTCAAATCATTAACCTTTCTTATGACAACTTCTTCTTTATGGCCCTTTAGTAGAGAGATAAAGATTGGCGAGGTGAAAGAATGCTTGAACTTTTGTTTTGGGGTTCTATCAGCATGTCTTATTACTGTAACAAGGCCTTTGAAAACCCATTTTTGTTTCTTTTCTTCACGAATTACAGGCAATGTTTGCTTCTCGATATCTATTTGCTTTTTAGCCTGAATAAATGTTTCTTTTAATATTCTGGCGCAAGAGTCATAATATTCTTGGTTATCCTTGACAAAAGAAAAGCCATTGACATCGATAACATAACTTTTACCGCCAACACGTAGTAGATCAAATCCACAAATCATTTGTGAAAAAGCTTTTGATACTCGACTAGCCATCTGTTTTTCCTCTTTGCTTAGCTCAGTAACGTATCTGACTTCTTTACCATGAGTGTTTCTTCTAACAATACCATCTACAACAGGTGACTTTCTCGTTTCAGCATGGCAGAAATTCTCACCGACCGTATAGGCTTTGACATCTTCAAAATTATCAGTATCCATAAACTCTTCATAAATATAAGAGCCTTCTAATCTTGGTGCTAATAGTGCAGGATCAAATTCAGAAGATTTGTTACCAACTTTACGGAAAAGACGTCTACCACCACCTCCATTCTTGGAATGATAATAGATGTAGATATTGTGGTCCTCACCATCCACAGGTTTCTCGACAAATGGTTTGCGCATTATTTGACCACCTACTTCTAGTGTATCATCGTCTACCATCCGCCAATTTGGTTCCTCTACTGGTTTGATTTCTACGCCAAGCATCTTCAGTTTTTCGTGAAGCTCATCATCAACATGGGGACCACCATCTCTACTAATCTCAAGCCTTCTTGGTGTGGGAACTTTGGACGCATTCAAAATACTTAAGCATAGTCTCCTGTCCCATAAAACTTTTTGCATCGTCAAGTCGTTAATAATAAAAGGCTTTCTCAACTTCACATAGCTTATAGCCTTGTCTAGTGGGAAACCTGAAGAGAAAAATGATATCAAAAAATCGCAAGTTGGCCAATTTTCAATCGTTTCATCTAAGATAACTTTGTCACCAAATATAATAGTTTCAAACTCTCCGTGTTCCATTAATCTGTTTAGAATATGTCTCATTGGCTTGGAAAGCACCTTTGCGTCCATAGCACAGACACCAATCTTGCCTATCTTGGGAAGCGATGGTTTAGCTTGACTAGTAGAAGACTTTCTAGAAGAAGTATTTGAAGGAATATTTGACTGAGGAGGTAGTTCTGTAATTGGAGTATTTGCTGGTGAAGTCACCGCAGAGTCATTCCTGCTAGTGTTACCAGAGCCATCACTACTTGGTGGATTTTCTAGCGCCAATTGACGCATCTTAGCAACCGCATGGGCCGCAACAGTTGCGGAGTAGCTCCTTGTCTTTCCAGCACCCTCTTTGCGACCCTCATCTATGCTTAGATCACAGTGCGAATTGCTGCTTCCACTACGATACATGGGCGGTTTGTCATCTAGCATCGGTGGAGGTAACTTCAGAGACATATTTTCACTTGAGGAAGTCTTCGGTGTAAACCCTTCCAGTATAGGAGCAATTGACTCCATTGCCTTCTTGGTATACTTGTTCAAAAACTGCCCATTGCTGGGACTTTTGGCTTCCTCCTGCATAGTTCAGCGTCAAATTTACAGATGATGCCACAAATCCCAACTAAAACAAAATCTGTATGCGTAACTGTTGTGCTGCTAAATACCGTAAACTTAGCGGCTACAGTCCGGGTGGTTCTAAATTGAACTTCCAGTGCCAAGGGGAGCACGACTCACCTCGTGGCTATTTATACTCGCGAGATGAATTTGCGATTTTGAAAATTTTTGAAAAAAAAAATTTTGCGATGCGATGAGCTCATCGGTGATAATATAAGAGCAGATGTACAATTAGCAAAGGAGCCTGTGGAGTCTATAAGTCGGATTGATAGTTGATATTAGCGTTTCAGCAGCAGAATGACTATGTCTGAAGTTGCTAAGAGGAGGAAGCTCACCTCTACCAAGAGGTATGCGTCGAAGATATTTTCTCCATTTCGGGTGATTGGTAACGTTAGCAATGGGACACCATTTGCTGTAGGCAGTTTGGGTAGTACTTTTTATATCGTAACCAGTGTTGGTAAGTCTTTTCAGATTTACGATGCTAACAATTTGCATCTTTTGTTTATTTCTGATCGGGAGACTGACGAAGAGATCAGTTGCCTGGAGGCCCATTTCCACTATGTGTATGCTGGTTTTGGAGGGAAAGTAGGTATCTACAAACGTGGTATATTAGAGCACACCATTGAGGTTGGTAACGGCTGCAAAGTTACAAAACTGTGTGTTTTTGGTGATTACTTGTGTGTTTCAACCGATAATAATGAAGTACATATTTTCAAGAAGGAAAATTCAACAACTGATAAGTATGCTACTAAGTTCTATACCAAGTTTGAGATTCCAGAACTTGTAGGTGGTGATATTGTATCTGTATTGCATATGCCCACATATCTGAACAAGATTGTTGTTGTTACAAAGATCAATGTGTTACTGTATAACGTTAGAAGCGGAAAGCTGTTATATAGCTCTCCAGATTTCCCTGATCAACTGACTGTGGGTGAAGCTGCTCCAGCACTTGATATCATTGCACTTGGTACTATAAGTGGTGAGGTGATACTATTTAACTTACGTCTCGGTAGAAAAGTAAGGACAATTAAAGTACCAAACATGAGAATTTCATCCATCTCATTTAGAACCGACGGTTCTTCTCACATTTGCGTTGGGTCATCAAAGGGTGATATCCTATTCTATGATTTGAACCGTCGTGCTAGAATTCACTTATTGAAGAATGTACACAGCGAAGAATTTGGGGGTGTCACAAGAGCAAGTTTTCTAAATGGTCAGCCAATAATTGTCACATCAGGTGGTGATAACAGTTTGAAAGAATATGTTTTTGATCCATCTTTGTCTCAAAGTGATGAAGACATGGTAGTGCAACCACCAAGGTTTCTGCGTTCTAGAGGTGGTCACTCTCAACCTGCGACAAGCATTGCTTTTGCTGATGACGAATCGCATTTTATTCTATCTGCTTCGAGAGATAAATCAGTCTGGGCATTTTCCTTGCGTAAAGATGCCCAATCTCAGGAACTTTCACAAAGATTACATAAAAAGAATGATGGCAATAGAGTTGCTGGTAGCACCATGCGTGAAAAGTTTCCAGAGGTCTCTTCTATAGCCATTGAGAATGCTCGAATTGGCGAGTGGGAGAATATTCTTACTGCTCATAATGAAAGCAAGGCAGCCAGGACTTGGGATATGCGCTCTAAGAGGGTTGGTAGATGGACGTTTGAAACTATCGATGACGGTATGGTTAAATCTGTGGCCATTTCTCAATGTGGTAACTTTGGTTTTGTAGGCTCGTCTAACGGTGGTATTGGTGTTTATAATATGCAGAGTGGTATGCTCAGAAAGAAGTACCGGTTGCATAAGAGAGCAGTAACAGGTGTAGCTGTGGATGGGATGAACAGAAAGATGGTTTCCTGTGGTCTTGACGGTATCATAGGTTTCTATGACTTCAATGAATCTAAATACTTGGGCAAGTTACAAATGGATGCTCCAATTACGTCAATGGTTTACCACAGATCGTCGGATCTATGTGCGTTTGCCTTGGATGATTTATCAATTGTAGTTGTCGACACTGTTACTCAAAAAGTTGTGAGACAATTATGGGGACATGGTAACAGAATAACAGCATTCGATTTTTCACCAGATGGTCGTTGGTTGGTATCTGCCTCTCTGGATTCTACTATCAGAACCTGGGATCTGCCTACTGGATCGTGTATCGATGGTGTTAAGATTGAATCAGTTGCAACCAACTTAAAATTCTCACCAAATGGTGATATGTTAGCCACTACCCATGTTATCGGTAATGGTATTTTTATTTGGACCAATAGAGCACAATTCAAGCAGATTTCTACCAAGGCTATCGACGAAGATGCCTTTCAAAAGATCATGTTGCCAAATGCCTCAGTTTCTGGTAATAGTCAATTCTTGGAAGGAGCATTTCAAGATGGCGGTGATGACCATGAACCTCTTGATATAAACAATTACCAATCGGTGGAACAAGTTAACAGTGAACTCGTAACGTTATCGTTGGGACCAAGAAACAAAATGAACACCATCCTCCATCTTGATGTGATTAAGAAGCGTTCTAAACCTAAGGAAGCTCCAAAGAAGCCTGAAAAGGCACCATTCTTCTTACAACTTGCAGGTGATAAGGTGGGTGACGAAGCTTCTGGTCGTGAAGGTATTAGTTTTGAAACGCCAGAAGAGATTAGAGCCAGGGAGGAGAAGCAAAAGCAGTCAGAAGAAGCACAAGCTGAGTTAACCAAATTCAAACCTGGTACGAACCGTGGATTCCAATCCAAATTTACAAAGTTGTTATTACATGGCAATAAACAAAATCAATATGAAGAGTTCCTAGAGTACTTGGTTAGCATGTCTCCTGCTACACTTGATTTAGAAATCAGATCATTGAATAGCTTTGAGCCATTTGAAGAAATAATTGCGTTCATTTCTGCACTTACTGCCGGTTTGAAGACTAATAAGAATTATGAACTATATGAGGCGATCATGAACTTACTATTCAAGGCCCACGGTGATGTGATTCATGCTAACAATACCAACTGCGACCTGCAAGACGCACTTTCCCAGTGGGAAACTGTTCATGGCACAGAGCAAAAAATGGATGAGTTGGTTAAGTTCTGTTCAAGTGTACTTGATTTTGTCTCTAGATCATAAGCCTTTATAGAATACAAAATAGTTAAATATATTGCATAATACAGATTTTTTATTTTATCACAACGATGATAATTCTTTCAAAATTTAATGTTTTGGATCATATTTGGTGTTTATCTGTCATTGTTAAAATCAATTATGAAAACGATAGGCATAAAAGATACAATTTTCAATAACGTGTGTAATAGATACATCGAGATACAAGTACCTTGAGAATCAACTACCCCAAAATTGCCACATATTAATAATGCCTCCTTCAACCGAACTAGATGCGCTTGTTGACAAGATAGTCAACGATCACTCCTTGAGTGAGCCAGGACAGTCTTTGAAAGAGTTGGGAGATAATGGAAAGTATATTATGGATGTACAGATGAAAAAATTGTTGAAGTTGCATGATCAGAGTTTTATAGAGAGATGCTTCACACCTATGGAGGAGCTGAAAAATAGATATGCTAAAGTTAAAGAAAGGAGTGGAGACTTACAGAAAGAAGCTGAATTAGTGGATAGAGATATACGGATAATTGAAATGGCAATCCAGGATATCAATAAAAATAAATCACATCAGTGAATAACTCGACCCATTCTATATATGTGTATACTATACAGAGCTTAATGATTTGATGACTTCCATATTGTTTATTACTTCTGACTTTATAGAGTTTAATAGACAATGCTAAAAAACAGAAAAATAATAAAAGAAAATTAATTAAAATGTGAATTGAACATACGACTAATTAAGAATTGAAAAATAATCCAAAAATATGATTATAAAAAATTGAAAAGATAAAGACCAAGATAAGGCAAATGGATCGATAGGTCTTTCTGGATGTATTGGTGAAAATATTATCAAGATAAAAAAAAGCTGTGCTTAATCTGAATATGCAAAAAATTAGAAACTGAGAACAGACTCTACAACAATCAAAAAATAATGTCGAAAAAATGCCATTATGCCACAACAGGGTAAGATGCTATATTAAAGATTATGGCAATCCCTTACCGGCGTTAGCCCATTTTTTTGTATCTATCCAACCAGCATTAATTACTTTCATCGCATGAGATAAGTTCAACGGTTCCTTTAAAGGTTTATTATCAACAACCAACTTCTTGTAAACACTAGTATGATAAGCCTCTGGAATTGCATCAAAAACACCTCTCCCATTCTCTCTACGGTGAGCGATTTCTTCAGCAGAGACTGAGGGCTCGCACCAGAGCTTTCTCCTTTTCTCCCAGATCTTTGGACCACCAACAAATGGCTTATCCGATCTTTGTCGAAGTTTATTACATTCCGCAACAGCGTCAAAGTTATCATAGGTCAACTTTTCTTTATGTGAAACACCTTGGCTACCTCCTGAGCTAGACTTCATTATTGTTAGCTGCTCATGTTTGTTGCTAGTACCAGTAGTTGACCCACCTTCTTCACTCTCTTCTGAAAGCCTCATACTAGTTCCGCCTACACCTCCCACAAGCGACCTAGAGCCCGAGCTTATCTGCTCAATACTTCCAGATTTCAAGAGTCCTTGAATTCCAACCGGTTGAGCTGTTGTACTCTTTTCAAAACCGAAACTTGACGACTTGAGATCATTTGTAACATCTTCTTCAAGCATATCCTCCTCATGCACTTGTACCAACCCATTTTTGCTGGTCCGAACTGGACCCCAGTTAACAGTTTTTCCACCTTCTCCATCAAATAGAGCATCTATCTTCTCCTCATTTGCTGTCACCTCATCTAGTGAGTTTAACGTATCATGGGTCACCTTCCGCAGAGTGCTTCTCCACTTTCGAAGTGTACTACCTATTGAATTCTTCATCGATTTCGGCGAACTTTTACCTCCTATCATGTAGCCCTTCAAACACAAAAGTTGCTAATAGCTTCTAAATTCACAGCTTATCAAAAAAAAAACTCCGAAAATGTAACAGACAACCCAAAAAACCAAACGTTCTTCTAATAAACACCTATAATACTCCCAAAACCTTATACCAGTCCTCCGGATACAGCAACTACACGCTTAATGCTTATCTGAATGTTGACTATTGCAACTTGTGAAGCCCCATCCGATGAGACTCATAAGCCCTTTTATATTGCTGCAAAAGACGACAAAAGAAATGATTCGTACTACACGATTGATATACACCCCATGCGCACTATCAATTAGTTTGTGAGGCAATTCATACTTCTTTGCATCTTATATTGTTGGCATTTATAGTACAAGTGTGGTACATAGCTCTGTCATTATTTCAATTAAATATATTAAGATAGTCTAGTTAGTCTTCAGTTGAGGATCAATGGTGGTGCCAAATTCTTTGTCTCCATGTCGATGCATAACAAAGTTTGTGTCAAACCAGTCTAAAAGTTCTGGGTAGCTCCTTTGCAACATCATCTCCTTGAGTAATTTACGTCTTATACCCATGTTTTCCAGCATACAATATAGGTGATGCTGTGTTAATGCAAACGGCAAGGTGTTATACTCGGTAGTCCAGTACCAAAACCATTCGACACACCCCCAGGGACATTTATCATGGCCTGCAAATAGTGCAGGATTTGCAAGCACACCGCGCACAGCCATTACGCCTTGTACACCTGTATAATCGCTAATATGTTTGAAATCTTTCATGGTAAAGCAATCTCCGTTAGCCACAACAGGTACATTCTTGTCTTTGATTTTATCTACAATGTACTTTATAGCTTCAAGATTAACTGGTTGTGATGACCTTGTGGTCCGCGTGCGCCCATGAATTGTTATCCAATCAACGCCGCTATCACATAATCTGCGACACAGATTAACTGTAACGTCCCAATCATCATGAATTCTTATCTTTGTCTCCAATCTTAACTTGGCACCATACTTACTCTTGACACTTTTAACCATTTCACATAACAAGTCTGGGTTATAGATCAACGCACAGCCGATACCTTCCCGTATCTGTTCTCTGATAGGACACCCACAGTTAATTCCAATACCATCGCAGAATGGGGCAACCATCTCAGCGAACTTCATCAAATCACCAACGTTGTTCACACCTACTTGCACGATCAAGGGTGTATCATTTTTGTTTGTAGTCAGATCCGCAATTCTAGCCTGCTGATTCCTTACAAACTCACGCGCTAGAATCATGGGTGTGTAAACTATATCCGTATCGTACTGCCTACATGTTTGTCTAAATGGCAACTTTGAATACCTCACCATTGGCCCAGCTATAGTAGCCGGACGGCCATGAGTCTGGGCGCGAGTCTTGATTATGTGCAACGGGTCATTCTCCTTTGTCAGCTCTTTCGGTACTGGTACTTCAATCATACTTCAACAGCATCAACTTATATTTCAGTTGGAACAGTACGATTATTAGAATCGGCATATCTACTCTTTCTAACAGTCCATTTCAAGCCTTTTCAATGCTCATCGCATCAATTTTTCATTTTTTTCACTTCTGATCTACTGTGAGTGATATGAACTACTTGAACAGGTCTTGCCATGGATAACTTGTAAAATATAGTAAATCCCACATAGCAGTCGCAAAATAAACCCTAAATCAATAGCTAGTCTACATGCGTACTACTATACTTATCTATTGCTTTTGATGCTTACCATATACCTTTGTAAATATGAGGAAAGTTGCCATACACGTGATCACGAAGATAAAACTTAAACTAATATAGAATACAGCTGTTCCTATAATATAGGTAGTTCTCCATCTGCGTAGCATCCAATTCCTTAATCCTTGCTCAAATGATCTTCTTAACAAGATACCGCTAGTGGGTTCTAGAAGGATCTCACCGTTTGAGTTTGGAAGATCGATCGATATTTCAATGTTTTCCAGTTGAGGTGAAATATCTGCGATGTCTTCCAAAGATAAACTATTTAACCATTCATTCCTCAGAACTTCCATCCGGGATTTAGCATGATTATTTCCTTCTAGGACGTTTGTTGCTCCTTGGTTTCTGCAAATCACTGGCTGCCTATATCTGTAAAACAAGTTGGAGTCATCACTCAGGGACACAACTGCGTATTGTAAATCTGTCCCTTTACTGTTGCCAATGGCATCCAAAGAATGACAATAGAACTCTAGTTTCATATCTAGTTTGTAATTTGTATGGCATCTCAACGCTATTGGCTGACTCAAGCCATTCGGTTTCAATCCCGGTAACTGTTTATCCGGAGAAACACAAACAATCCCTTGTTTAAACCTCGTGTTTAACCCGGATGCATTGCTATTAAAATTATCCAATGGCACCCATACAGAGGAATCCGACGGTAGTAACCTTGTATAGAAATCATGAAACAGTAACACAGCCAGGGGAAGAATTACAACAATTTGAAGAATACCAACTCCAAGGATATAACTCACCCATTGTGCAATCTGTAATGGTCTTGTAAGGTTAAATTTCATGATATGTCCTTTATCGCTGTTATATTTCTCTACAATTGTGCTGCAATAGAGTCTGCTTTCTTCAACTATCCTGCTAACTTGAATTCTTAATTTCGCTTATTTTTGGCTTTAAAAAGAGCCTCTTGGGCTTTCAAATGGTCACTTATATATCAGTATACAAAAGTGGGCAGTAAATGCCTAAAATTACATAAGAAATGAAACATATATATGAGTATCAGCTATTAGCACAATAATCGTGTTTTTTTCTACAGCCTTCTCTATAGCTGGCGAAAACTTGAATATAATGAATGTGAATTTTAGAGTAACCCATCTCAAACAAAAACAATATCATGATAGTAACGACAAACTGGAGAAGCCTAATGATCCAATGGATTACTCTATATGATTGGAAGTGAGTTCAGTTCCAGTTTTGAAAACTAGTCATATCTAGTGTTATTTAAAGTTGTGCTTCTTCTAAGGAAACTTATGGGCCAAAGTTAATGACCTCCAGTGAAACATCTATTCCAAGACGACAGTTGGAACGAGATAATGTCTAATATTGTAGTAAAAATGAAGAAAAACCATTCACTAACAGTAAGGAATTCTGTGATTAAAAAGATGATAGAGAAAAAAAGATAATAAATAAACACAAATGCAAAATAAAACCTCCCCAACATTATTCTTCTTTCATTCAGAAAACAAAAATAATAATATAATAGTCAGAAATAAAAGAACATAAAAAAGTACACGAAATAAAGCACGTCTATCAATGTGTGGAGTGGCCTCTATGGTATTTGAGTCCATTCAGGTTTTTATAACGCTTACCACAAACCTCACAGCGGTATGGCTTATCCTTATCGTTTCCCATGGCATCCAATGTGGATACTTCGTTGGACTCTGGATCTATGACACTGAAAGTACCGTCGGCATTCTCTCGCAGAGTCTGGTTTTGATGGCCATGCAGCCTATGATATTTAAGCCCGTTCTGGTTCTTATATGTTTTATCACAGCCAATCACAGGACACTTGAAAGGTTTATACTCCTCATGATCCATAACATACAATCTTCTTGCTGGATCATCAATGTAGAACTCCTTTTTATCCTGCTCTTCCTCCTCCTCATCATCTTCGTCATCATCATCATCGTCTTCGTCATCATCATCGTCATCGATGGCTATGTCGACATTGGACGAATGTAAACCTTGTGTTGATCCATTATTTGGTGGCATCATCATATTTTGCAATGCTTGAGGGTGAGCATGTTTATGTATCGGTTGTGTTCCTCTAGAGGTCTCCATAGAGGTAGTGCCCCTGCCATTATTGAGGAACACTTCATTGGTGGACACAGTATCCACTATATTATTACTATTATGACCTCTGTTTACCATGTATTTGCTTTTAATATTATTATTATTGTTAGCGCCACTTATTTGGTGCATATTTATCGATGTATTGGAGCCAATCTTACTCTGTGAAGACATTGGTGTAGGCGGAGACATCCCATGAGAACCCATGGATCTATCCATAAGATTTCTTGTTTGAACGGTTCCTGTACTCATGCCCATAGATGCATCGCTACCACCAACCGGCCTTGACATTGAAGTCCCTGGTGAAGTTGATATATGCGCTTCTTCATAATGCCTCAGTAGGTCATGCAATCCTGGCAATGAAATGCCACAACAAGAGTAGTCCTTGCAATACTGCTCTTCTAGGTGAGGCAAAAAAGTGTTTGTCGACGCCGATATAGGCCCTTGACCTATAGGCGCATTCATTTGTATCTGCAGTAGACCATTATTAATGGAAAACTTGCGTTCCTGGTTCTGATATGACTGCTGTGAGGACGGATGTTGTAACATCACCTCATCTCTAAGCCAGGAGCTGATAGACAGTGAACCCCAGGATACACCACCAATACCTTGCGAGTGGGCTATAGAATCTCTCCGAAGCCTCGCCGCCTGTGCATCACTCGGCCCCCGCGTGGGTATGTGGTGTACTACTTCCTCACCAGCTGTCATCAGAGGCCGACTGCTCGGACTGACACTGTAGCTCATCCTTTGTCCACCGCCGTCTTTCACATTCAGATGGGTGGCTTTAAAAGCATCACCCATCTCATACTCGCCAACATCGTGCGCATCCATCATCAGCGAGTTGTACTCCATTATAACACTAGACTCGTCTTGCTGTGACCCAACTTACACTCTACATACATATATGTTGCATTTACACGGCCCACTTATATAATCCCCCCATCCTTCCTCATCACCGTCGCTCCATATCACTCCTTGGACCGTGACATATCTCACGAGGTCACATACCACGCTTGCCATTACTAACCCATCGTCGCTCCCTCTTTGACCTTTCCCACCTTCAATACTCTCCCTATCCATTGTCTCCCAGCAGTTCTCAAACCCAAATCCCTTGCCCCTCTATACTCCTGTTCCTTAGACCATTCCCTATACCATTCACCATATACCCAACAAAATCCGCACCCTCCTCCCCCCCCACCATAATTGCGTTAATCATGCAATAGTCATAACTCAGTCAGCTCGAAATCATGAGCTAGCTCTGGCCGCCAACATCTATATATTGCTGAAGGTGCGATGCTCATCGCTTATACCCATCCCTTCCAGCTCATCGCTTGCAAAGCTCATCGCTTCGAGCTCATCGCTTTTTTCATCAGCTTCGTACAGCGCCGTCTGTGGATCAGAAAATTTTTTTTCACTTTTTGGCAAACAGCGAAAAGAAGTAGTATAACTGGTGTATAGTATGTATATTACCTCGAGACAGGTACTTAGACGGTACCGAGACGACGTATATAGCCATGAAGCGTGAACTGGAAGGTAGTTATGAGAGTGAGAGGAAGCGTGGTGTCGCTCAGGTGAAGGCCGAGTATGTTGTAGGTGCCGCCAGTAATGTGCGTGTGGATGAAGAAGAAGCCGGGTCTGAGAGGTTTGTGCAAGGTGAATTTGGTGGTAAGAAGAACAAGAAGAAGCGTGGGCAGAACAAGAACAGGGACAACAGACAGCAGAAGGAGACGCATGCGCTGTGTCCCAAGTATGTGCTTGCAGATGTGACTAACCAGGTGGATCTGTGTACCTTTGGAGACAATTGTCGGTTTGTGCACGATATACCAACGTACTTGGAGCACAAGCGTCCCGAGATCACTGACTCTGTGTTCAAGACGTGTCCCGTGTTTGAGACCTTGGGATACTGTCCTATGGGTTTTAAATGTAGATTCCTGTCCTCACATATGGACAAGGAGACGCATAAACTGCTTGGTGAGTACCCGTCTGACCTTGCGAGTGCGTCGCATGAGATTAACCATATTACCCAGGACCAGAAGTACGACTTAATTAAGAAGCGTTTCCCTTTCTCTAAGAGTGAACTAGTTCTGGAAATCCTAGACTCATTCCAAGAGGAGAACAGAGAAATGCATCGTGAAGCTGAGAAGGTGAAGGAAGATCAACAAGATAACGAGGATGAACAGAAGGAGAAAGCTCCGCAAGTTGTGCAAAGAGAACTAGAAGCTCAGAAACGCAGGCAAAGACAAAAAGATTTGTACTTACAATACAAGGACACCAGATTTTTTGCCCAGGAGAAAAAGCCACTTGATCTAAGACATAAGAAGATTGTGTCTCCATTAACCACTGTAGGTAACTTGCCATATCGTAGACTGATGAGGACTCTTGGTGCAGACGTGACATACTCCGAGATGGCTCTGGCAGTGCCATTGGTGCAAGGTACCAACTCCGAATGGGCTTTACCAAAAGCTCATGAATCTGAGTACCCAGGATTTGGTGTTCAAGTCGCTTGTTCAAAGGGCTGGCAGGCAAGTAAAGCTGCCGAGGCGCTTGCCACATATATCCCCAATGGTATCAGCGAAATTAACTTGAATTCGGGCTGCCCAATTGATTTGTTATACAGACAAGGCTCCGGTAGTGCTTTATTAGATAACCCTGCTAGAATGATCAGATGTCTTAATGCAATGAACTATGTCTCTGGTGATATTCCGATTACTGTGAAGATACGTACCGGTACCAAGGAGGGCCATCCAATCGCGGATACGTTGGTACGCCGTCTTGTGTTCGAAACTGATGTAGCTGCCATTACTCTCCATGGTAGATCTAGACAGCAACGTTATACAAAGGTCGCCGACTGGGATTACGTCTCTCAAGTCGCCAAAGCTCTTCGTCAAGCCGAAGCCGATTTCATGGAGTCACCACAAGGTAAGGAGTCTCATCATGACGAGAAAACCAGACATACACAATTTGTTGGTAACGGTGATATCTTTAACTACACCGATTGGTACCAACATCTGGAAGACCCCGAAGTAGACTCCTGCATGGTCGCCCGTGGTGCATTGATTAAGCCATGGATATTCGAAGAGATAAACGCCCAACAACACCTGGATAAGACCAGCTCGGAACGTCTAGAAATACTGAAGACCTACAGTAAGTTTGCCATGGACCACTGGGGAACCGATGAGTACGGTATCGCCCTGGGACGTCGTTTCTTCTGTGAGTTCATGTCTTTCTTCCACAGATACATCCCAGTGGGTATCCTTGAGCGTGTACCTGTGCAACTCAACGAGAGACCACCGTTATGGAAGGGCCGTGATGACATGGAGACACTATTAGGAAGCTCTGACGTGAAGGACTGGATCAAACTGAGTGAAATGTTCTTCGGCCCAACAGAGGACTCCTTCGTATTCACACCAAAACACAAGAGCAGCTCCTACAAGTAAATTAGCAAAGACCCAATGAATGCATCAGCATTGCATAATAAGCCTGTATAATTATTTATTACATATAAATACTGCAATTTCATGTATAATTGTTTTATAATAGTGAATAGGTGCCTACTATCACGTGACTCAATTGTACATACCCACCATGTTAGCCGGTTTCCGCTGCGGCAAGAAAAAAATTTCGCTGCAGGGAGCGGAAATGGCAGTGCAGTAAGGATAATAAAGGCAATTAGTCGTGTCACGACTATTGCTACAGGGGTTTACAACTCGATTTCAATTTCTTGAAGCTGATACCGATTACACAGAGGTTTTTTTATTTTAGTTTTTAAGTTGTTCTACAGTTGGTGCGAGCACTGGGCGTTACACAAAAGCAATTTAAGGTAATCGAAAAAGAAAAAAATAAGGAACTTATAGGCTAAGTGGGTCATCAAGGACAGGACTTCGACTTACTTTTGCTTTCCAGCACTGAGACTAGTAAACGATTTATAATACAATTTTAGGACGACTAAAGGTACGTGAAAGTAGGTAGACTTTGAGAATTACAATCTAATCACCCAGTTTTCGATACTACACATACAGGTGTTAGAAGGACTGCAAGATAGAAACGCACAGACATTATGTCACATTTTGGTAAAAGTGGACATAGGAGGTTCAGCAGTAGTGGGAACAAACCAGATTCGAGGCATGTATCAGCTCATCATAGAGTACCACCACCAAGGCCTCCCCGCCCGACTACTCCAATTACGAATGCAACCCCGAACGTCCTATCACCGGAATCAGGTCAATCAAGCGCAGGTTCGAGGGGTTCGCACAGGCAAAGCCTCAGCAATCCAATAGGTAAATCTAAAATGACTGAAACATTGGTCTACCACCTATTTTTTGATCGAATATTACCAGTGCTACCGGTTGAATCTACATTAACGACTTATAGAGAAGTAGAGAGCGATCAGTTTTTCATTTCATGCAGGGGCGTGATTATGAATGTAGCCTTATCCAGAGATTTGAATCCTGTCATCGATTATTCATTACAACTCATAGAATCTCTGACCGAAAGTAGAGAACTAATATCGGATGAAATTAATGAGGATGTTGCGCAGTCTGTATTGGTCCTCCTTAGACTTTTAAGTGATACGTTGGAATTTTGCTGGGAATCTAAGGAAAGTCCAGAAGATAAAGTTAAAGATGAGCCAAGTTTTGAGAATATACCAATAGATGATAACAAAGAGTATGTGAATATGGGGGAACAGGCGAGAGCTGGTAATATGTTTACAGGATCTACTATCGGTTACTCGACACATAAACCAGGCTTTCACAGAGTTCCACCTCCACAAATTGATTCTACCTTGGCTACAAGATTGCTAAGTGTATGTACGAGGTTAAAATATAACACAAGAACACTAAGAGTATTAAAAAACATGTCCAAAAATTTGTATGGCAATGGTACAATAACTTATTCCAGCGTCTTACCAAAATTCCAAGCTTGGTTGAAATACCATAACTACCCTAAATATACAGAAACTGTTGATTTAACAATTGACTACATTCTAAGATTCATAGCTGCTGCAAATCCAGCAGATTATGATAAATATGTAGACTCTAAAGTGACGAATCCACTTTTGATATCACATACATTAACGGAGCTAGGCATAGTAAAGTACCTTGATTTCTTTGGATGTGTATTTTTAACGCCAGAAAATGTGGGCCCATTTTTGGAGACACTGCGACATCTATCAGGATTTATGAAACGAACAATTTTTCACTCGTTACTGTTGTATTATTCTTCTAAGGCATTTTTATTTTGGATTTTATCAAGACCTAATGAATATGTCCAACTATATTACGCCTTACAAAATCTGGACAGCTCCAAATCGAATACCTTCCACCAAGGGAACAGCAATAGTTCCATAGCGACGATTCCTTACTGTGTTTCAGTATTATTCGATGATATTTATTCTACATTCAATGTCTCATCATTATTGACTAATATATACGACACGAGGGGCCATAACGGATCAACAACACAGCCAGTTGAAACAGAACAAAGCCAAGCCACATCTCCAGGAAGTACAAATCCGGTATTATTTTCCCCTACACTGACTAGTAACGACGGCATTATAACATCCCCTACAATGGGTAGTAATCAAATCGCGTCCCCTTTATCACCACTCCCAATGTCACTAGATTTTAATTCTAGGACACAAGCGCAAGGATTTCCATTAGAAGAAACAGCCTCTATACATTCTAGTAAAAGGTCATACAACATCGACGAATCCGTTTACAGTACTATGGGTTCGACACATTCAAATATTAATACTCCGACAACAAATGCTAGTTTCACACATCCCAACGAGGATGAAATACCGACGTCTGGTTCAGGACATTTACAGTATGTGTTGGAGCTATTCTCAAACTATGAAGAAACAGAACTATCTTCCCATACTTCTATTCTAAGGTTTTTACTTTCACTAATACTGTTGGATACGGATGTCTTTACTGATATTAATGCCATGACTTTCAGGTATATTCCTGATACTTCGAAAATTATACAACAATACTCACAAAAACAAGGAACTAGAGATGCAGGTGCTGGTACACATATGCAAAATGATGATCCTTCAAAAGAAAAAGAAAAAAATCAGAGTATAAAACAGATTACTCATGGCTTAAAGAAATTAACTAACCTATCCTCATCCAAAAAGAAGACAGTAAAGTTTATAACAATGCTGATAAGGAATTTAAATGGTGCACAAATGGTTTCTGATGTCTCACTAGTAGATTCGCTTAAAACATTAGTTGCTTTGGTTACATTAACCTCCTCTATTTCGTTAATTGATTCAAATCTGCCTTCGGTTTTGTTTGCCAAGAGAATATTTTCTATCCTTGGACATAATCTAGATGTAGGGAAAAATTGGGAGTCTAAGACGAATGGCTTTATTGCATCTTGTACTGAAAGAAATCCAATTAGCCATAGGAGACTTCAACTAGAATTTTTTGCAGCAGCAATACAACTAGATTCTGATAAGCTTCTTTCTCATATTCACCTGGAAAGGGAACTGGCCGGTTTAAATCTAAGGAGACTCCTTCTATATACTGAAGGTTTTAAAGTGTTTTTTAATTTACTAAGTTCTGATGTTTTACGGAAGAAAGTAGCACTATCAAGTAGCAATTTTTTAAAATCCTTGTTTTGCATTATTGCAGACATTTTACTGAAAGCTTTCCCATACTTTGATGCAAAGGTAACATCTATTGTTTCATCAATTTTAGATGGCTCCATTTTAGAGAAATATGATACCATAAAGACGCTAGCAGGTTTAGAACCTTCTAATCCACCTGTTCTAGATAGGACTGATTCAAGCGTTAAGTTGAAACTTCAGAAGAAAATCACAAATTGGGATGTGCACGAAGTTTTACCTACCTTGTCTGCTGTATCATCATCATCTGATATAAATCTTTCTGATACTGGTAAGAGCATTGCAGAATCTACAGAACGGAGATCAAACACCTCAACGCCTGCCCACACCTCAACGCCCGCAAATCTAACTCATAATCCGTTATCTACAATTGCTTCACCACCCTCGACACCAGGTTCAATTGGTAATTACAGGAATAATCCAGGAATGAACGTATTAAGTCCACATGCACGTAGGCTTCAAAATGTAAAGATTGATTCTCCACAAGTAGAGGGTGAAAGAACTCGACAAAGCCCGTATTATTTTGGAGCAACTAGTACAGGTGAATATTCAAACCAATCCGTTTCACATTCATCGTTACCAAAAACCACTCGATCTTCAGGAAGTCAAGAGAAATCCAGGAGATCATCGGATGATAAAAATAAACCACAACTAAAAATGCAAGACTCTGATGATGTAATTGTATTGAAAACGAATGAGAATGATGACGCCCGCAGGATTATGATTAATATTTTCAGCATTTTTAAAAAAATGACTAATTACTTTATCCTCCCTCATGATCAGAATCTAAACACTATTTGGGTTTCTAAAGATTTCAGAAACATCATGAAACCAATCTTTGTTGCCATAATTGACACAGATACTAGACTACAAACTACAGCACAATCATTTATGGATGTACTAATAAGATACATATCGAAATTCTCAAGTGATATCACTGCCAGAAGCTTGAACGAGCACTACTTGTTATGCAACTACACAATTACATTATTTGCCGCTTCACTTTTTGATCTAAAACTTGATAATAAAAAGAGAGAGATAATTTTAAGGATTGTAGTAAAGTTTTTGAACGTGAAATCTGATTTATCAAGAATAGCGGCTCAAAAAGATCTTCAATATGCACTTTATTCTACTGAGCTTGTAACATTCCCGTTGTTGACAGCTACTGTTGGAGGAGGGCTATTTATCTCCTTATACTGCAATAAAGGAGAAATTCCAAGATTATTAAAAAAGGGTTTTGGGGAGTTTTTGTTTGCTATCAACTGCTATGAGAAACATGTCGGGGAAATTGATAGGACTTGTATATACAACCTTGGATTTATTGTTGCTATGTCAAGGGATAATTATGCCGCATCTGGATCGGTCGCATTTCAGAGACGTTTAAGAAATAAAATCTTACATCACATCAAAAGACCAGACACTATTCTTCTTGATGCCATGGATGTTATTTACCGAAAGTGGTCTAGTTATATGAGGAAAGAAAACATAACTCAGGAAGAACTAATAGATTTTAGAAGCTTGGCTGGTATACTGGCCAGTATGTCAGGTATATTGCTTTCTTTTGGAGAAACAAGCACAGATAACGTCCCTCATTTATTTGAATTCAGAGGGGACCTTATCAAAAAAATGGATTACTTTGTTTTTAAGCAATGCCAGTGGCTGAATAATCCTGATTTGCTTACCCGAGAGAACTCTAGAGATATTCTAAGCATGGAACTACATCCCTTATCATTTAATATTCTGTTTGATAACCTAAGAATTAAGATTGAGGAATTAAGATCCGTAAATCTTTCACAAAAAGTTCATGAATCTTCATTTGTTTTACTAGAGCAAATCATAACTATTGTCAGAACTGTCCTGAATAGGGATGATGATGAACGCATCATGCTTTTGTTTTCTATTAGAGTTGTATCAACCATTGATCAATTGAGTGATCTAGTTGAAAAAATACCTCATAGCTCTGTGAAATACTATAAAGCCATTATTCAGATGGCTAAATTATTTAGAGCAATCCAGCATTCTGAAATTAGTCTAGGGATAAAGAACCACTTTTACCTGAAGAATAAATGGTTGAAATTACTTACAAACTGGTTTAAGGTTACTATTTCTATTGATTACGATTTTGATAATCTGTCCAAACCTCTAAGGGAAATGGATTTAAAGAAAAGAGATCTCGACTTCCTGTACATTGATACTGCTATCGAAACATCTAAAGCTGTTGCGTACTTAACCGAAAATGTGCCACTGGATATTCCACCTTCTGCCTCCAAGGACGAACTTGAGAGAGCAAGTACAATAGTGTTTGGTAACTACTTTACCATATTCTTAAAGGGTCTAGAGAAGAGTACCGATATTCAGAGATTCCCAGTATCCCTCAAACACAAAATAACTATCTTAAATGAAAATGTCATTTTATCATTGACGAACCTTTCAAATGCTAACGTAGATGCTAGTTTGCAATTCACATTACCGATGGGTTACTCTAAAGACAAGAACATAAGAATTGCATTTTTGAAAGTTTTCATTAACATTGTGACAAACTACCCGAAATTAAAAGTTGAATCAGAGCGGAAGAAGCTTTATGCAGTAGATCAACTGGTTCAATACCTCATTGAACATCCACATTTGGCTTTCCAAGCAGGTATAATATGTCCTGCCAGTGATGTAGATGCTTTTGTCGCTGGACTGGTCAATGGTTTTGATTCTAGAAATGCTTCACACATATTGGTGACACAATTGATTAAAGATGAAATAGATAGGGCGTCGAGATATGCCGATGTCTTGAGAAGAAATAGCTGTGCAACTAGGGCACTTTCTTTGTATGCCAGATCTAAGGGACAAAGCTATCTGGTGAGAACCTTGAAACCTGTTTTGGATGAATTTTTCGAAAGTCGTGATAGCTTTGAGATAGAAAAGATACTACCCGATGATCCAGAGGCAGAAAAGAACGTCGACATGTTTATACACTACATGAGCAAGTTGATTAATGCTATAACAGAATCTGTGGATTACTTTCCACCAGAATTAATTAATATCTGCCAAACTATCTTTCATTCGGTAAAGGAAAAATTCCCTGATTATTCATTCATTGCTGTTGGGTCCTTCGTATTTTTGAGATTTTTAGGCCCTGCTATAGTCAGTCCTGATGCCGAGAATATTATTCTGATTTCCCAAACAAGAGATAAGAGGCCTTTAATAACACTTGCTAAGGTCCTACAAAATATGGCTAATGGCTCTGAAAACCTAACTAGATGGCCTATATTGAACAAAAAGTTAGACATTTTTAAGGACTTTAGCAACCGCATATTTGAATTCTTATCAAAAATTTGTACTATTGACTCCAAACCGAATATAGAAATTAGAAGAGACCCTGAGCCGTATTATTTTGAATTTAATTTCTTACACAAGTTTTTATATGAACACGAGTTGGAAATTAGAAAAATGATTGTGGAGAGCTTAGTCTCTTTAGATGACTTTGATTATGTTCGTAAAACATTCCTATTTGTTGATGATATTATGGGTGTTCTAGGTAGACCAAAAGTTGAATTAAAGAATGAGATACCTCCTTATATAGTGGAGCATATGGAAGAAAATCCACATTTATACGAGTTTATGAATAGGAACGCGTTCAAGAATGTATCATTAGGTGATGAATATGAGCCATTTATGCATGAGTCTATGTCATTGGATGGTTTGCCAATAATCACTATTACATTTCGTAAGTTTGAAGCAGAGAATATTGAGGTCGACGCCATCGTTTACAGGACTATACAGGTTTATTCCAAAATGTGGATGACAAAGCATTATCTGGTGCTAGATTGTACCGGCAGTGATTCTATAGACATGAACTACAATAAATTAACGTCTTTGTTCTTCAGTCTATTACCTGATATAGCTATTGAAAACTGTATTGGTGCTATCTATTTCAATGTTAGCGAGAATTTCATGAATCAATGGGTTAATGTTTTGAGAGGTGATAATCCCTATCTCGTTGCACAAGTTCCTCATCATTTCATCAATAGCAGTTCTGACCAAGAACAAGTAAAAACACTAGGCCTGACGGGAAAAGGCGCTGATGTGGTACAAGATACAAGAGTCTCCCTGCATGATATATCTTTATACCATGAAGATACTAAAAATCTAGAGAATGTTTCATTGAAAATTGGTAATAGGTATATCCAAATTCTACATGAAGCAACCAAACAATATAAACTGCACGCACTAAACCAAATTTTGAATATTCCTTTTAATGATGTCTATGAAATTGTGGATTTAGCGACAGTTGGTGTTTCTTCAATTACTGGTCTACCAAACGAATTCACAATAAATTTTATAAACGGTAAGAGACTGGTTTTAGTTAGTAAAAAATATCTTGAAATTGTTAAAATGTTCAACTATGCACAACTTAAAATCGAAGATGAGTATGGTACTGAGAGTCAAAACCGTGAATTGACTAGCACTCATGAAGAATCGTATGTTAAAGAGAGTCAAGAAATTATTTGCCACCTGTCTTTAGTCATCTTGAATGGGTTGTTTAACGACGATAATGAGGTTAAGAATATATCTTACAATTTACTAGTTGTAACACAGAATGCTTTCAACCTAAACTTTGGAAGCAGATTTCAAAAAGCACCTGAAGTGTATGTTCCAGATAATACTACCACCTTCTTGTCCACTATTGCTAGAGCTCTAGCAGAATCTTCACCTGAACTGACGCTACACATGTGGACTTACTTCCTAGAAGGCTTGGAAAATGATGTTATACCTCATGAACATATACCTACAATAATTTGCTGTCTATCATACTGGGTGCCTAACCTCTATAGATATGTCTATTTGGTTGATGAAGAAGAAGGTGCAAACAATTTATCAAAAATAATAAGATCCTTAATCCAGCTGACTGTAAAAGACCCTGATTTTACTACAGTTTATTTACAGCAAATCTGGTTTTTGCTTGTATTGGATGACCGTTTAACATCGGTAACAGTAGAAGAATTTGTCACTCATGCTTTAGACAGAGATTCTGAAAGTAGAGATTGGAAAAAGGCTGTATCCCTATTGACAGCTTTCCCAACTGTTGAAGTCGCGTGCCAAGTTATTGGGAAGCTAATGGATATAATAAAGTCCTTTTTACCATCATTAAAAATGGAGGTGTCTACTCACAGTTGGTCTGAGCTAGAAATTCTTGTAAGGATTAGTGTTTCCCTATTTTTTGAATCACCTTTATTAACGCAAATGTGTCTTCCTGAAGTACTATTCATAATATCACTTTTAATTGATATTGGTCCCACGCACATCAGATACTGTCTACATGAACTATTAATGAATATTTGCCATTCTCTGATGATTAATTCATCTTTACCAAAAGAAAACTCTGAGAGGCTCGATGGCATATGTGCTGTTTTTGCAAGACAAAAGCTAAATTTCATGTCTGGTTTTAGTCAGGAGAAGGGCCGTATACTTCCAAATTTCAGTGCTTCTTCATTCTCGAGCAAATTTGGAACCCTTGACCATTTTGTTACGAATGTTTTCAAACTTATGGAATATGGATCTACATCTGAAGCTGCGCAGTGGAAAACTAAATATAAGAAGTATTTGTTGGGTTGTGTATTCAACCACGAGTCTTTTCTGTCAGCTAGAGCTATCATGATTCTCGGTATTATTGGGAAGATAGATACCAATGAAATTTTGTGCAGAGATCTTTTAGCCGAAACAATGAAAATCTTTGCTGAACCAGTTGTCACTGATGAACAGCTATTTGTTGGTATTTCACACATCTTTACCTACAGTAAAATTGTCGCTGGTCTAGATCCTGCTGGTCAAATGCTGCCAAGAATGTTTTGGTTAGCAACAGTTTTTGTTGAATCACCTCATCCGATTTTGTTTGAAGGAGGATTGCAATTCTTGATAAATTGCCTCAAACATTTATACGAGTATCACTATAAAATCAATAATACAGAGAAGCTAATTTCTGAACTTTTAATAGAGTCGAGGAGCTTTGCATCAGAATTACTAGAAGAACTAGAAGGCTATACTGATTGCTTGTGGACAAAAGATAATTTTGAACATTTAATTCTTGGTTTTATAACCAGGGGATTATCTTTAGCTGTCTTAAGAGGTGTCGCTCTCGATTGCCTGATGACAGCTTTTAAATATTCCTTCAGAGAACATCAAATGATCCCTAGGACTAGTCACCACTTAAACTATCTGTTTCTGCTATATTTGGTCTCCAACCAGGAAACCTTTCTAAATCTCTTGGACAGCGTAGGCTTCGAGAGTGATTATATTGAACTAGATGACAATATTAAGATACCCAGAGCTCTAGTGGAATGGATCAGTTCAGATAATGAATGTTCAAACATAACATTGTATCAAGGTGCTCTTTTATTTGCTAGTCCTGCTTCAGATGAGCCAAGTAAGTTGAGATTCGAGCTGCTGACAAGGTATCTTCTAGGTATCAGCCCCAAATGTGTTTTCCGTTATTATTTTGTTACTAGACAAGAGCTAAGAAGAATTTCATCACTTGAGCAACAATCTGACTCTAGTACCATTGCTTTTGAAATAGCTGGTATGCTGGTAATGCATGATGATTTCGATATTTTGGATATATACAACAAAGATTCAGTACAGCTTCTGAAATCAAGAGGTTTATTCTCTTTGACTAAGGTGAACATATTTGGTCGTAGCTTCGAGGATATCATGAACTCGTTACAGGAAAATTCTGACCAAATTTACAACCGTAAGAGATTGACAACCCTAATTATCTCTAAAATCATTTACCAATCCCAATTAACTTTATAATTATTAATTTTGAAAAGTAAGTTAACCAAAATATTGTATTATCGAGTATAGCTAATCTATATAAATGTCAATAGAAATAAATATCAGCCATACTCTACTTATACAGCCCAAGCAATAGGTAATATCATATTTAATACAAGCCGATCAACAATTCAGATTGGTATTAATCAGAAACCTGCGTATGACTTTCAATCACATTAGAAACTGAATATTCTATTCGCAATCGAAACTGTATATCATTGTGAATTGAAAAATTAAAGATTTTTCCTTTTCGGGAAACCCGTCAACAGAAATTCTGACTCCCCCGATGACTTACATTAAGTTAGTAGTGAAGACAATCTAAAATTTTAACATAGTAGTTCCCTTGATCAAGATAACTGGATACTACTAAGGTATATATAGACTTGTTTAGTTAAAAACTAAATACAGAAATAAGAGAACTAATAGAAGGCGACTATTGGCATAGTTTATGCTTTGATTACTACAGAGAAGATTTAAAAGAAGGAATTATAAACAAACAAGGCACTAGATTAACTGATATTGGTATTCGAACAACTTTAATTTAGCAAGGATGGATGACCAGACTAGATTAAGAGTGTTTGAACCCCTCGATTGTAACTCCTTTGTCAGTGCGACTCCCAATTCCACGCATTTGAGTAAACTATCAGTTCAAACACCGACAACATCTTCATTTATCAGGAATCCGTATGAACGGGACCAGACAGCATTAGAAAATCAGAGTGGATCAGAATTATTAAGGTGGAAATATGATCAACGAGAATTTATGTTTAATAGTAATAGTACACCATCAAAAAACTCTAACTCTCAAACAGAAAAATATGAATTCCCAATCACAGAAAAATTGGTAAAAAACAAAAATCCAGGATGTAAGAGAAGAACAAACCAACTTATAGGAGCCAAACCAAGCCGGCCATCAGGATTGCAAAACGTTACATCTAAGTTAGAACTGTTAGATGAAACCCATTTCACGAGCTTACCGATCCCTGCTCCAAAAGGTACTAAAATTGACAATAGCGCTATCCTTAGTGACATAATTGATGATAATTCTGACGATATAATAACAGCCGATGACTCCGTTATTCTGCCTAGCAAGAGGTCGTTCAGGACACCAGCCAATGAGATTAAGGTGCACAATAATGGCAACAAAAGATACATAAGCTATAAATATAGTAACAGATATCCCGAACGAGAATCCAGTCCATCTGAGCAAATGATATCATCAGGAAAGGACACACATCCTATTGTTATTGTAGAAGACTACCTCCTATCAGACAGTGAAAGATCATTTACCGAAAGTACGCGGAAGAGGAAGAGATACAATTCAAATAATGACGGATTAAAGCCAAAATTGTCATTACACAATTTAAAAACCAAAATAAGAAGCTCGAATACCGATCATTTACCTGTAAAAAAAAAAGTACACTACCTGAAAGAATGCTCTACAGTCGATAGCTCTACGAATGAAGAAAATGAGGCAGGATCCTCAAAATGCATAAAAGAAGTTCTAAATGAATTCCTACCACCCAAATCTAATTCCGCAGATTGTGACCTATACATATCCAATCTTCTCTCAAAAGGCACTAATGAACTGAAAAGATGTGTCATCTGCGAGAAAATATTATATGAAGTGAGTTCCTTATTATACAAAGAGAATGACTTTAAAGAATTGGTCTGTGGAAGCTGTACCGAGAAGTATGAAACAATTGCAAAACTGTTGGAAGGCTGTGAACTCGAAAGTACTTTTGAGTATTCTTTAGATTCGTCATCATTTGAAGCAAATACGCTTGACTCATCACTTATACAATCCAGTCATACTGTTTGTCGAGAAGTCACTCCACCACATAACTCGAGCCTCCAACATATGAGGAGAGACTCTTTCTCTGAGGATCTGATAAAAGCTCTGCAATCGCAACTAATTAAAAATAGTAAACAGATACCAGAGAATAGTATTTTTCCCAACAAAGCTCTTAGCTGGTTCATTGATGCTAGAAGGAAACTACGCTGGAGATGGAGGGTAAGTGGGTTGCTACCAGAATTCACTATTAATAATAACAATGAATAATTCAAATATTCTATATTCTATATTCTTTAAGATATGATCTCAACAAACTTTCTAATACTTAATAGTCTTTTTTTTAAACAAGTTAAATTTTAGCTTTCTATCCTAAATATGTCCTTTATAGTTTAGTTAATTTGATATTATTATTAACACCAGCTTGCTTCTTACATGCCTCCAACCCGAAATGCTCTCTGACCATATGAGATACTGCTACATTACCATAAAGATTAACAAATCTCCTTCTCACAACAATATTGTTGTGTGAATCTGGCTGAATTTCAACCAGGACTTTTCTCCAAGACATGTTCATTTGCCAGGCTCTAGCAATACGCTCCTGAATACGGTTCACACTTTCGTTTGGATATACCACTCTCTTCATAGTAGATCTCTTCAAGTAATGTTGCTCTGGTAGATCTTGTGGTTCGTAAACTCTATCATGAACAACACGGTCTTTCCTTACCTTAGGATTTTTAATGTATTCTTGAGTCGGTACTGGTGCGGTAAGAGTCGACAGAGCTGACATGAACGTCGATGCTTCAGAGGGTCCTTTAAATTTCTGTTCCTGCTTACTATCTGAGCTCTCAGTGTCCGTATCCGAAGATTCATTACTTTTGGTGTCCATGATTTGCCCTCTTTTGAATTTATTCATCTTGGGTCCTTTTATTATTACTTGAGGTAGAGCCCATTGTAAAAAGTTCTTACTGTTAGGGCTTTCTGAAGGAATTTCTCCCATTTTGTTATCTTTATTTGTAGTACTGACAGATTCGTTATCTGTTGGTGAATCTTCTGTAATCTTATTATTACTCTTTTCCCCAGCAGACTTTTTAATATCTTTTACTTGTGTCAAACTTCTCCAATCTAAGTATAACAAAGCTGCTGTACGAAGAGGCACTATACCATCGTGAACAATGTTTGCATATAAGGTTCTGTTCATAAACAACTGGAAAACTTGCTGTGCTGGTGGTTGAGGTATTATTTCAAGAATATTCTTTGGTAGATGTGAGTTTTCTTGCGCCAATGTTAAAGCTGAAAGACCTTCGTTAGATGTTAAGGGTGTGTATTTTAGATTCAAGTCCCTTCCTGTCAATCCTAAAGCACCCATATCAAGCGGTACAGATAAGTATAATGGGAAATCACCTATGACACCGATAAAGGGACTGGCTAGTGCAATAAAATGCATTGGTTTTATGCCAGACACAGTATTAAAAAAGTCAGGATACATAACTGAAATGTAATGTATAGCCATAGACTGAGTAGGACCACCGAGGGAATGGCCAATGAATGATATCTTATCAACGTGATACTCTTTTCTTAATTCTTCAACAGTTCTCACTACAAATTTGGCTAATCTCTTCCCCAGATAATAAATACCATGTGCCGATTTGCCCATATTGTCCATACACCCTCTAACAACCACATTGGGATTATATCGCTCTTCAATATTCATGGCCGTCTGTTCAATTTTGTCCTTCATATAGAGCATATCGCATCCTACATTCGAAAATATACCATGTGTGAGTATTACTAAATGAATTGGTTTATCAGGATACTTAGGCGGTAAGTTCCACAAGGATTTTTCATCCCACATTTTCAAACTTAGCCCCCTAACAGATGTGACTTTTTTACCCTTTGACTTCTTCACTATCTTTTTTGAAGTCCCTACTTTAAAGCTATATTTCAGAATAGGGAAAGTAACAACAGCTAGTTGTGATATAATGTCTATAGTCCAGGAATATATTTCATCTCGGGCATTCTTGGTCTGCAATCGAGAATTGGCATTGAAATAGAGTTTGGCCTTAAATTTCTCGTCCGGCTTTAAATCACTGCAAAAAGCTACATCCTCCGAACCAATATAGGTCTTATCCTCGTCATAGTTGCACGGCCTTACGTCAATATAGAATGCATATGGGCCAGTTAGATAAACTGGTCGCAGTAACGGACTTTCTAGGTTTTTAAATCTTAAATATAGTTCCTGCGTATCAATTCCATCCTCTTTAAGTTTTTTGTGATCTACTTGTAAAATGTATCTACACATACCACCTATCCCCAAGCTATTCTTCTCATGCACAAGCAATAAACCACCATCCTTTTTCATTTTGTTCTGATTATCAAAACCACCGTTAGCACCGAACGTTAATGCCGCCGAGATACCTTTGGGTTTCTTATCTGTAGTCATTAGAATGGGAATATTTACTGATCTGTTAGTCTTTAAAGATGTCTTTAACCTTTAATAAATTGGTAATAGTTCGACCAATTAGCTATGGTAATCTCGTGAACTATTTCGGATTATTTTATATTCTTATAGTGCACTAGTAAAATATCGTTACAATCCAGTGCACGGCCGTAGGTATCAAATAAAACGTTCCTGTTTTAATATTCTCAAGGTCCTATGGAGTTACAATTAAACACCAAATAAAAAAACTGCCATAAAATGACTGTATCTTCTTAAAAATCCGGTATGCTATAATATGACCAAAAGCTGGGCTAGTGTACTATCTCCGATAGGTGGATGCGCTTCGTTGGTGAACTTTTTGAAGATAATGTGTGCTGTTAGAATTGGATGCCTTCTAGTCCTTACGATATTCCAGTCCCTATATCTCTTGTCGATTACGAAATAAGTGTAAACTATATTTGCTAATCATGGCTATGCTTCCCTTTCTCAAAAATATTGTAGTTTTGTTTCTTTGTAGATCACCTCCATCTCTTCGCATGTGGCTAGAAGAAAAAAAGCTGGGAGGAAATGCTGCGTTTCGTCCATGCTAGTTCGAGTTTTCTTGAGTATTAGATTTTCTGAACGAGCATTTTTCTTTCTGCTAAAAAAAACTGCACTCCGCTTTCTTTTTCACGTATTTCTCATTTTCTAGAGAACAGAAAAACAGTGAAGCATTGCAGGAAGCAGAATCAGAATCAGACAGGCCCTTCTTTTCGGACAGTCTACGTTTACCAACAAATCATCGTACAATAAAATTTCATACACTATGGATCTCAGCTTGTCAGAATGATCCATGGTAATGAGATATAAAATACCGATTCCATGTCTTTAGTCAAAATTTAGCCCCAGCAAGTACGTTTGTATTTAATATCATACCTGAAGGAAGTTGGAAGTACCAATTCATTTATTCTAAGTTTTCTTGGTAAACTTGGATTACATATTTGAGTTAGCACATTGAGATTGATAGATAGAAGACAATGAGCCACCATTGCGAAGACGAGCATTTTGAACATGATCATGATCACGATCACGGACACGATCACGGGCACAGTCATGAGGCCCCAATTGCAACAAGTGCTGCCCAATCACTATATGAGCAAATTGATACCCCGAAAATAAAATGTTTAAACGGCGTAGGTAAAGGAGCAACGGGTAAAGAACTGTACAAATACTTTATTAAACCACACGAAGAGAAGTATAATACAGAAATATACTTGGAAAGCGATGCCGACTGCCAATTGATAATCAATATTCCATTTGTGAATAGTTGTAAAGTTCACTCGGTGGTATTGAGAACCAACGCTAACAGTTCGGGCTACTCCACGCCGCGCACCATTAAGATATTCAATAACTTCAAGAAGAGTCTTGACTTCGATACCCTCAGCGGTGAAAGCAAGGTAGATTTCAAAACTGAGCATCCTAACAATGTCGGGGTGCACAAAGGAGAAGCGTCTGTTACTGAGGATTCCAGCTTTGTAGAGTACCACTTGCCGCGTGCACAATTCCAAAATTGCGAGTCCCTAACATTATTCATAGAGGACAACTGGGCGGACGACGAAGACGAGCTTTCCCAACTGTTCTTCCTAGAGATTCGCGGTGAGATCACCGGGAAACTGAGACCTGAGAACGCTGTGCCGCTCATGACAGTATATGAATCCGCACCCAACCCATTAGACCACGCCAAACTAGAGTCCGAAGTATCCGATGGCTTGAACCTGGGGAAATAAAGTTTATGAGAAAGTGAAGTCAGAAATCAAGAAGTCCTGCCACATTCTTTATATAGTTTTAGGAAAAATCCCGCCGATAGAGCGAAGCTGCATCTTTTTGCCCCCAATTTTTCAAAAGGAACCCCGCCAGAATTTCTTGGCGTAGGCGGCTAACACAGGAAATCTACCATATGGTAGTTGGTAAGTAAGCGCCGTAGCACCGGCGAGATCCGGGCCCATAGAAGTAAGATAGTTAGCCGCCGAAACTGTATGGTCATCTCTGTGTAACTCAGCCCCTTATCAGATCTGACCGCTTGAGATATTGTGCAGCGATAGGAGCAAAACAAAAATAGCGGGTAATGCGGCAAGGGAAGGGGGGACGCGTCTCAGAGATCTCGTTAGAAAAGTAGAAACCTGCTCTTGAAAGCGCTAAACTTTCCTGTTTTGGTAATGATGAAAAAGACTAGATCTACATGCAGATAGTGGTCTGATTTGTCTCTTCTCTATCTCTGTGGCTGTCTCTCTACTATGCAATCTAAGGCATGCACTACAATTGATTTCGTGCTTTAGAGGATTAGCGTTGACCGGATTTCGGGGAATGCCGAAGGTTTCATAGATCTTGTAGCCGCCGGAGAGCCCAGCGGGGGATAGGGGATTACATTGAGTATATAAAGGGCAGGGCATACGCAGATTTATGGAGAGTTGAACTTGTTTTCACTTGTTCCCGTATATTGCAAGCTTCTGGATACCAATAATTAAGAGTATATTGTGTAAAATGATCTAGGCTAATTTTGTATATGTGGCATGAACTGACTGATACCTTCATCATGGTCGGGTTCAGTACTGAAATTGACATTTCTTTTTTTTGAGTACCTTTTGGCTGAAATATCAGTTGAGGGTAACTCATCGGTGCGAATCATAATGCGTCTAGTCATTATCTGTTTCCACTTGAAGCTAGAATAATAAGTTACGGCTTTACAAATAACGTACCTTTCGACTCAGGTACCCAAGTATTCGACTTTTTGATAGATGGCGTGTTGTTCTCTTTGAGAATCAAATCAGCTTGTGCGGAGGTTTGTGACCATATCCTCTGGGGTTCTTCCAGTTGTTTTTCCCTTTGTGCCTTATCTCAATGAGACACAATTAATTGCGATGTTGTTTCGTTATCCCAAGTTTTAATGTTATTCCGGTTTTATTTGTTCGCACACGGTTCATACAACATCTTGCACAGGGTTTTCTGAACTTTTCTTGCAAAATTTATGCATGACAAAGGAAGGAAATGATCATACTTGTGCACAATTGTACTGTGGGTATTTGGTCTAGAAACAATAACTGAAAAATGAAGCTCCTGTTCGGTAGATGTACTAGATGAAAACGATAAAAACACTATGGCAAAATGTGCTACCTGCATACAATTCTAAGATTTTTGACGAAGTAAGGGTCGTATGCATATGTGATGGCCCCTTCCAAGCATTTCATTCCATACTCAAAGTTATGTAGAAATGATGAAAGAGATTTGAAATGGAAAAAAAAGCAATTAAGAAACAAAGATTATGATTGAAACTATTCTGGTACGGCGTGATTTAACTGCCGTATTACTTAGCAATCAGGTGTTCATGGCAATTCATTTAGTCTCTGCTGTGCTGTACAACAGGAAAGTGCATACACGAGATACGTAAATGGGAAGAAGCGTTTTTATCATTTCCTCTTTAGACTGCTGGTTCAAAATCCACGGAAGAGAACCAAAAAAAGAAAACCTCTGAGAAAAAAATGGTACTGCACAGAGTGCTCTGAGGCATGAATTCATTTAATTAATTTTGGGTTTCTGGCTCTCAGGTGCCCATTTTCTATATATCAAGCTTATGTGGGAGGGGTGATAGAAAAAGTTTAACATAAAAAATGAGATAAAGTACATATAAAACCATAATCATTATATACCTGACTACTGACTACATAAGGACAAAAGAATCCTATAAACAATTCCATACCCACCTAAGTGAGTGATTTAGACATCAGGCGCTATTGTACAACTAAGGAAACTCAAAATAATATACCGATTTTATATCTAACACTAGGTGTTGACACAAGCAATATTAAATCTGAGAAGGAATCGTTATCAGAAAGTGTAAGAAAAATATTTCTTTTACTAATACCATATTACTATAGCTCAGTTGTATTTTGAGGTGGTAATATTAGTACTATTGATACGTTAAAAACAAAAGACGCAAGAAACTTACGGCCAATATTATTTTCTTTAGTATCTAATAATATATCAGTTTTAAACGTTTTCGGAAATAGACAACAAATAGACAAGTCACACCAAATATGAATAACGAGCCGTTTGATATCCTTGGCTTGATGCAAGGACCTCACTTTTCAAACAGCGGTGATGATATTTATACAAATGGTCGAATGGAAGTAAAATATCCTCCTATTGGTATTGATGACGAAGGGCAAAATATATCTGGAAATGGTATAGGCTTGGATTATGCTCCTTTCACACCAGCTGGCTTAAGTGGTAGCGGGCAGTCAGCTATGGCGAATTTCCAGCAGCAGAACAATATTAACTCAGCTGGCTTTCAAACACAACTGACTCCTTCAAATATTGAACTACACAATAATTTGCAAAATCTGCGAACTCCTCCTGACATAATAAAAACTGAACAATCGATAAGCCCTAATTTAGATTTTTCTACATCGATAAACGGAAATTTTAATACAAATAATTCGATATCGGGTGATAGCAACAATGATAAATTGAATACCACAGCAAGAAGCACTTTCAGTCATCATAGGGAGAATTCCAATCCAGGCGATAATATTGATGACAAAAAGAAAGCTCAAAATAGAGCTGCACAAAGAGCGTTCAGAGAGCGTAAAGAGGCCAAGTTTAAGGAACTACAGAGAAAAGTGCGAGAATCTGAAATAGATAGAGATCAGTTGTTGAAGGAACTTGAGAAGCTAAGAAAGTGGAATATGGAAATAAATGCTGAAAATAGAAAACTTTTACAGAAAGAAAGGTTAGGAAACAATGGAGTCTACAGTGGTAATATGGAGTGTTCAAGCTCACAGAGTCTCCCTAATATGGAGCAAACGACATATATTTTTCCTTCTACAAATGAATGCTTTGAGCAATCGATAAACCAGAAAAATTTAAGAGATAAGAATCCAGAACAAATTTTTGAAAGAAAACCAGTTTACTCCGCTGCTGGTAGATTTCTACAATACGAGGACGAATATCCTGATGATGTCCTCTTGACTGTACCTGAAACTTGGGAATACCTAAGTCAGTTATCGGAAAACGAAGAGTTTGATGTTCATGAAGTGATGGAGAGGTTAGTAGGTTTGGAGCAGTGTCACCCATCAGGACCAGCTTATTCAAAGCAGAGGATCGATAATTTAGTAAAACAATCAATCGAAAATAATAGGTAACCATATTATTGCCTTATAATGAAACCAACTGTCATTATCGATAGGTAATGAATCTCTGCAACTGATTTCTACATTATGAAACAGTTGTTTGTTACTGATTTTATCAGAGACGTTGTATTATCACTTGTTTCGGAGCGTCTGTACCTATTTTTAACGCTAGAATCTACAAACTGTCATTAAAGAAGTAATTTAAGCTGTAGTGATCATTTAACTACACTCTTTTTTTTTGATCTAAAATGTACGACACAATATGTTGAAGACAATGAAATACTTCTGATGAATATATACCAGGCATGCTCTCATATGTTTGATTTAGACTCAGCTAAATTTTAAAAGAAGTACTACCATATAAGGCGCTAATCTATGTAACTTCAAGTAATGCTATTAAATAATTCATGTTTTCTCATATGTTTATGAACTCTGTCACATACAATTTTTTTTTGATTAACAATGACAATTTGGATTTCGGCTTTTGATACAAGCGATGACATGAAATACTATATGAATACAGGGTCATATCCACCAAAATGATAAAGAATGCCATTAATTGTGGCATGTATAATATTGTTTCATTTTTTTGCTGCCTAAACAATTGAACCTAGTCTCCTTGATTGAGTTCAAGCATTCAATATGGCCGCAGATAACAATCTATTAATGCAGCTGGCAGAGATGTTTCCAGATCATCGTCTTGAGACTCTCGCTAGGTGTCTGGAGGACTCTAACAATGACGTTAATTTAGCTTGCTCCATGGTAATCAGCGGTACACATATTAGTGTCGGAGAGGATCTGCATAATGACAACACTACTTTAGATGAGTTGTATAGTCTTTTTCCGCAAATACCCAGAGATGATATACAAACCGCGTACTATGAGCACAAGGGTAACAAAGAAAAACTTTTTGATAGTAATGAGGTTGTCTTAGAACTGCTAAGCTTAGAATCCATTAGGAATCAGAAACTAGAAATTGACCAACCTGTGCTGAGTTCGACTGTTAAAGCAGATGAGAACACATCAAAATGGGGGAAAACGCACAATAATATTGAAACAATAATAAGATATACTAATGTGGATAGAGAGAGAGCGAGTAAATACTATACTAATAATCTCTTTAGTGCACCCTTAGCTATTATAAGCATAATTAGAGATGGTTATGAGCAGCCGATAATTTCAAAAACAAATACAACAAATAGAAAGACTGCTTTTAGGAAAGGCGCTATAAGGGGAGGTCGAGTACAGTCTAGTCATGGTATAGCGCACCGCAAGCAAAATGGATTGGACCTGAAAACGGAAAACTCATTTGAACATCTTTGTGATGTCACTGATAACATGTCAGATACGATTTCTACTGTTGAAGCTCCTACATATGAGGATGTCGCCGATCTGAAGAAATTATTATCTGGTGAGCAGACTCTGAGTGCATTTAATATGGAATTTATTAATAAGGCATATCGATATTATCACTTAAATTTGGACAAGCTTGCATCATTAATTAACTATTTGAAATTAAACAGTGCGTCTAAGTTAACATTTATTACAGCTGAAAAAATGAGTGCTGAATCATTACAGCATTCCACAGATGATGTTGGCATGAGAGTACCTTATTCGAAGACTATTAAGAAGAAATCTACAGTTAACACATCTCCTGCATTAACAAAGAATATGATTCAAGGTAAGGAAAACTTTCAAATTGCAAACAAGATGGTGGTAGAATTTTTCAATACCTACAAGCTAGATTTTCATGGATTTTTACCACAGGAGGCTGTTAGAATTGCAGATATCTGTTTGACTCAATGGTGGGCAGAGGAACTGTCAAATCGAGAACTCAATGCAGGAAAGCTTAATATGAAGAAGTCGCAATATATGAGCCCAGTTACTCTTATCACAGGAAGGGGCATCCACAGCGCAGGCGGATTTTCGAAAGTGCGGATAGCCATAGTGAAATACCTACAAAATAATTACTACATTTTTGAAGAGTTCCCATCCTATTTCATTGTTAATGGAAAAGGTAAGGTTTTTGGCTAGCCATTTCAATTTGTACTCGGTAATTTCCTGTTCCATTTCAAAAGGGGCTCATCAAATTCAACATTATTATCTACTGCTTGTTTGACCTTGTAATATTACGTCTTAGGCACTTGCCTCATTTACTATACGTCTTAATGTATACAAATGAGGCCAATATTTCCGGTTTGAGACTATAGATATTTTATATCACGTGATTGTCTCTACTTTTTTACTTCCCCAAACCTCGTTACACCAAAAGTTTTGGAAAATTCGGGTTTCGCGATGATTTCGATTCTAAACAATAGAGATGGTGCAAATACCGATGAGGATCGACAATAGCACGTTAGCGATTGTTGAAGACAAACTATAAATTCGGACAACTTGTTTATAATCAGGGATTGTGGGCTTCGGCGCCGAAAAGATCATCGAAGAACAATTCACATAGCGCGAGCTATCTTGATTGTTTTGTAAAAGAACAAGTATAAGGATGGATTACATGAACCTAGGGCTTCGATCCCGTAAGACAGGCATAGATGTGAAGAAAAATCTGGCAAAAGATGAGTATAGTATGGAGAACATTGATGATTTCTTCAAGGATGACGATACAAGCTTTCTATCACGAAGAAAGAGCAGGAAGTCCTCCTTATTACCTGAAGCTGATATTCAGAACCGTATCTTGCCAAGTCCACTTACTAAACAGCACAATGTCAGAGATACAGATGGCTTCAAAGTTCCGCAGAACATTAATGTTTCACATAGGTCAACAATTGAAAGAGCACCAACTGAGTTTCAACATTCAGTAATAAGTGAGGATATACCAGAAGTGATACCATATGAAGGACAGTCAGCTACACCGGACCGAAATATTGAGCCTATAGATGAGGATGAACTGGCTAATATGCCGAAACCAAGGTATAGAAGTCAGTACAATTTAGGAGCTGGGAACGACGATACAGATCTGATAAATCTGACTCCTGAGAAAGATGGAAGAGGCACTTATAATGACGTGCCGGATTTGATTGATGACGAGGGAGACACTTCCAAAGATAACACAACATTCAATACTTCAGACCATGCAATGTTAGAAGATGAAGTTGAGGACGGCTTTGTACTTGAATCTGAAGAAGACCGAGATTATATGGAAAGTGATGAAGGCTCCCTGGCTGATGATACCGATGATGCTAGTGATTCTGGTGATGATATAGGAACACAATTTGCGGCTGAAATAAATAGACCTGGGAATGAATCACCGCTTTCAAGTGACGATGAGGATTATATTTCCGAAAACTCCACAGGTCACAACAGGTTGGAGGATGAAATAGATAACCCTTCCCTTCCTACAAGGTTGTCAAAACCATATGATATTGTTGACGGTGTGAGGCGATCAAAGAGAGTGAAAATTCCGCCTTTAGAATATTGGCGTAATGAAAAAATTCAATATAAAAGAAGACGCAACGAGCCCGTTTTGGATATTGATAAAGTAATAACTTATAACCATAGCGAATCTGAAGAAGAATCTGAAGAGGAGCAGAAGAAGGTCAAAAAGCAAAGAAAGCCTGTTACCAGAACGCGTCCTTATAATTATGTCCCTAATGGTAGACCAAGAGGCAGGCCGCGGAAAAATATCTCAGATGATCCAAATGGAAATTTAATCAGAAAAATCGAAAATGGAGAAGAACCTAAGGGTGAGTGGTTGAAGCATGGAATGTTAGAAGCAACTGTTAAAAATCTGCATGGCGAAGCCAAAACTGAGTTGGTTGCGATGGCTCCTAATGTCTCTCAATCTGAAGAAACGAAAGCATCTGGTGAAGACGACTATTCAATTGAGATATTGTTTGATAAATACAACGAAGCATTTGCCAGTGGGATGTTGAAAGTACCAGTAGATGGTCGTAAAAGTCCTGCTGATTCAAATACTGCATTCATTACCTTTCATGTTCTTGATGGTATAGTAGAGGTCACATTGGATGGAAAAAATTTCATCTGTACAAAAGGATCGTCATTTCAAATACCTGCGTATAATGAATATGCATTTGCAAATATTGGAAGTAATGAAGTTCGTATGTTCTTTGTTCAAGTATCCCCTCCTTCTGACTTTTATTCTGAACATTATTGAATAGTCCAGTTACTTTTTATGAATTCCCAATAAGTATTAGCATTTATAGATTTTAAACAAATTAATATTCAAGACTGTTTATTTTTGGCTAAATTATTGCCTAAAATTTGTGTTACCCATCTATTGATAACTATCGTAATATGCTTTTCTTCGTATGGTAGTGTATACTTCACTGGATATTTATGTAACTTACATAAAATTAAGAAAAAATTGCCATAATTAATAACTATTGTATCCCTGATTCAACAGAAGCAACAGCTTTTGAAGATGAACTGCTGGAACGCCCTTCCGAATCACTATTTTGCTCTGCAGCTTTTTTCATTCTAGAAAATTTCACCAGGGCGGATAAACCTTCTGTATTCTCGGCCACTTCAGTTATGAATTTATGTTGCAGCAATTCCGATGATTCCGCTCTTTCACTTACAGTGACAGCCAGGCATTTATCAATGAACTCTTTGAAGTCTTTGCTCAATCTATCAGGTTCTTGCACTTCAGGACGGCCGTTTGTCGCAATTAAATACAATGCCCTCAGCGGAGTCTCATTTAGATAAGGCGGTTCGCCCTCGATCATTTCTATTATCATGATGCCTAAAGACCAAATATCAACTTTTGGACCGTACTCCTTACGTGATACAATTTCAGGGGCCATCCAGTACGGAGTGCCCACCATGGTTGTTCTTTTTATTACAGTATCATTGACTTGAGCGCAAAATCCAAAATCAGTTAGTTTAATATCTCCATTCATTGAAAGTAGGACATTATCTGACTTTATGTCCCGATGAAGGACCCCTTTCGAATGTAGGAATTCTAAACCTTGTAATACTTCTCTACACACAGCACCTATCTGACCTTCCGTAAGAACGCAATAAGTTACAACATCAGTAAGACAGCCACCTTCCATGTACTCCATTACAACCCATAAATCAAGACCAGATAAGTATGAGTCAATATAGTTTACAATATTTTGATGTTTACTTGAGCTCATTACCATGATTTCATTTACAATTAGCTCCTTCTTTGGTTGTTTCTCCAAGTTCATCTGTTTGATAGCTACACACTGGGACTTATCGCTTCTGGAATGAGATAAATATACACCACCCGAAGCACCTTGACCAATTTTTAGGTATGTTTCAAATTTATCCTCAGGTGTTCCTGGTGTACAAATTTTAGATAATCTCGATAGCACAACTTGCATTCGTTTGTCTTTCTCTGCTTTCTTATTTCCTTCATCTCTCTTAATAACATTCGAGTTTTCTTTTTTATCTGTGTGACCTTTTATTCCCCAAGATTCCCTATAGTTTGTAGGGTGTTTGGATGTGCTGGTACTTGTACTTGTAATCGAAATTGTTTTTTTATTGCCGCTAAGAGATTTTTCGAACCTAAATGTATCTGTGGAAGTTCCAACCCGTTGTGATTTATGCGATTTCTGATCATTACTAAATTGAACAGTTGGTTCGCCATTATTAGGAAGAGAATTAACTGACGTTATTTTTGATGAGTTATTTTTCACTCGAGTGGCCTTCGGACGGTTGGGAGACTTGGGAGGAATAGCTTTTAATTCCTGTAATGCTGGTGGCTTTGGGGCTGGTCTACTTGGGATGAATTTGTCTTCAGTAGAAAAGCTTTCCTTCAAAATTAGTTGGTTTACTTCGTTTTTATGCCGACTTTCAATTGAGATTGCAGGCATCAAACTCTCATTAAAGGAAGGTTTGGCGGCATCATCATCGGCACTACTTGTTATATTTGACGGTGTCGATACTTGTGTATCATCCACACAGATGGTTCCTTTTTCTAGTGGAAATGTTTGAAGCAGTTTATCCGTTGTTTTTGAAGCTGAAACATCTTGATAAAATTGGACAACATTAAGTAGCGTCTTAATATCTTTTTCCTGCTCTTTCTTAGTAATACCATTTGACTCAAGAAGAGCTTGCCATTTCTCTGGTAAGCCTATATAATCTCCTGTAACAGGATCAAAACCAACATGATGAACATGTTTCGGGTTGTATGGTTTTGAAATTGATTTTACTTTTTTCAAATCATGTTTAGGCGGCACTTCTTGGTCACTACGATCGTTACTATTATTGCTATTATTGGACACCTTGATTGAATTAACAAACAATGAAAAAACCTCTTTCATTTTAACCGGTCGTTTCTTTTCCTGATCATGCTTAGTGCCAACATTAAGTTTACTATTTGATTTAAAACTAAAATTTCTAGAGGGTGATTTTAATGACAATTTTCTAGGGGAATGCGATAAACTCAAGCTCTTTTGATATTGAAGAGGCTTTGGTGTATTTGGTAAAGACTTTGACATTTGCTTATGCCTACTTATTTGCCCTGAGTTTATTTGATAAGTTGTATCAACTCCTTGGTTGTGATAGTCTATGGATGTATGTTTATTTGGTTTGGACAATATATTTATGCTAACTTCTTTATTATTTTGAATTTCCTCCTTGTCGGTAACTAATTCATGTTGGGTATCTTCTCTTATTGATGTATATTTGCTATGAATTGAGCGATATCTTACTGGTCTATTTGGGCTCTTGGGATCCATCGACCTATATTCTGAAAGATTATCTGAGATAAACCCTCTAGAGTATGAAGAGGAAGAAGAAGAATTTGATGATGATGATGATGATGACGATGATGATGATGATAAACGACTAGTTCCAATATGGGTTATTGTCAGCATCATAGGGTAGTCTGAGAGTTTATGTTTATTGGCATTGTGGACATTATTGACATAGTTCCTACTAATTGGATGTTCATGACCAGCTTTATTACTTCCGATTGAGCGGTCTAATTTATGACTTTTTAATTCAGCGGACATGACTATAGCACCTTAAACAGTTTATATTTACGATCAAAAACCGATTATTATCTGTTAATTTCCAATAACTCTTTTCAATCTGAAATGAAACCGAAGGGAAAGGTAGTGCTTTTGATAACGTTAATTTGCTGTATTTGTTGTATTTATTGTATGTTTTCCCTATATTTATGGCAATTGGTGTGCTGTAATTTCTTCTTACCTGTAGAATCTGATATTCATATAAATTCTTAAATATAAATAAGCAAAATGTCTGTAATAATTTTATCTCAATTGGTTTAAATTTCTTATTGGTATTCTAGGGATGATTCTTCTTTAGTGTTGGATTCAATGATGCTAAAAACTCTGTCACAAAATGTCTTTCGCTAATTCGTTGCGATTATTCTTTAGAAGAGTGGGTAGTCAAAATATAAGTTGAAAATACTTCAAAACCAAGTTTTATTCAAATATGTGGACTCTGATAGTATAAACTTTCTTGCAAGAGATAATGTAAAAAGGAAGTAAATTGAAATTAAAGAACTTAAATCCTTTTTCTCTTTTAGAAACCTTATTAAGAAAAGGTACTCATATTTCTCGACTTATTTAAATAATGCTTTTGATGAAAGAATTTTAGAAAACTATCCTTTCACCAATAGCTCAGCCGTTTCTCCTTTATGATGTATGTGTTCTAATGACTAATGGTTGTCTCTTAGATTTTAACTATGACGTGGTTAAAATGACCTTTTGTACGTACATTTCATAGCAGCATTGACAATGATTGTCTTCTGTCCATCAATGATCTACATCATTTATTGTACATCATGTTCTGAGGATCGTCAATGGCATCTTGGAATGTGATTGAAAATCAGCTAAAGAATGCGGATCCTATATTCGAAGCTATCTATCAAGGTTCAGTTTAATACAATAGAAATTCGACCATTGGAATATTGTTCTGTATATTGTCGTTCGCGAACCATTTATTCAATGGTATACTCTATCTTAATGAAAGGATAAGGACTGAAAGGTATAACTCTTGAAGACATATACTGAAACATTATACATATTTAATTTGATAAACAGCTATCTATAGGAAGTCTTGTGAGTTACAACTAAGCTTATTTTGACACAACTTATGAAGAGAGAGAATTATGATAATTGGAATGAATCTGCACCTTCAGTCATTGCTGTCAAGATTTGTTGTCTCATAACTTCTCTACTTGAGTATTTTGGAAGTTTTAAGTAGTTTGCACATGTCATAACACTGGGTAAGTAATCGTCCGGTTGTAGACCATCTTCTGCATGTTTTAAAACAACCGTTAATTTAGGCTTCAAAGATTTGAATCCACCCAAAGGTAGTTTAGGAGAGCCCGTTAAAAATTGCAGGAACATACGCTTTTCTTGATTGTCAAAAGTTGATATAATGGATATTAAATCCCTTATAGTTGGGGAATCCATGGTATAGCCATGATCAGCAACTAAATAAGTGAATAATGTCTCTGGTGACCAGTCTTCTTCGACCCTTCCAAACAGATCAGCTATTTCATTCGGGGAAAATAAAAGCATATTTTTGTAAGGAAATAGCCTCGAAAATCCATCAATAAAACTATTCAACTGTGGAGCAATACCAGTGCCCAGAAACATATCTAATACCAATGAAATATATTTTTCAACAGACGTCAAATCATCAACAGCATGATCATTACCATGTTCAACTAATTCGAAGTTATACCCCGGTAACGTAAACGTAAGTGACAGAGATTTTATTAAAGGAGTATTTGTTCTGTTGTTGTATATGTACCTCAAAGAAGCTGCCAATTGGGAGTCTATGTTGGCTAATATTGACAATTGCTGGTATACTTGATCTGAATCCAACGTCAATGTGCTTAGACCTTCATTTTTGGTAATTGCATGGCATAACATAAAAAATACAGGGTTGAAACGGAAATCCAGAATTCTATTATCATACAGCGAACGAGCAACAAATACACCCAATTGATTGAATAAATCTAAAACTTCATCTCTTTTTTTTTCTTCGGGTATCATTGGTGCTGGAAATAGTGGGTTTAGCACGTAAACCTCAGACATTGTATTATCATTTGGAGTACCGTCAGCAACGTGCTTCATGTTATCATCTAGGCAGTGCCACATGTTCAATGACTTGCGAGCAAATTCTTTTGATATGATAGCATAAAATTCCAGCGTTGGTCCAAGGCCAGTTCCAACCTCATCAATATACTCAACTTCCATAACTGTAGAATCACCACCAAACCTCTTCAGAACCTTGACACCAGTTGAGAACATGTCTTTTCTAGGGATTCTCAGTTTATGTCTAACAACTCTACCCAAGTGTTCTAATTGCTCGTCAGTGTTAATTTTGCTTGAAGAATCAACTCTGGACTTCCATAATTGGATTAATCTACCTTGATCAAAAGAAATGCACTGAAGAGCAAACATTCTAGTTTCAAAAGGAAATAAAAAGGAGAATTCTTTAGTTAGCAGAGTAGCCCATTCGGGTAGACGAATACTTAAAACAATCAAAGGTTCGTCCAATTGTCTGGCTAGTTTAGAGCTTAATTTTGTGTTCACAAAATTTTCGGCACTTATTGAACAGTTGTGCAGGAACTTTAATATTTTGAGTATATCAAGTGCTGGGTCGTCATGGTCCGCGGGAGTTGAAGACTTCATTCTGCTAATACTTTCTTTTTCGTCCCCCTGTGTTTCTTCAAATTTGTCAGATTTGGAGACAAACTTTACCTTTATTCTTTGGGACTTTTGCCATACATCTCTGATAGATTTATCAAGTTTTTCATAAGCCTTTAGTAACCCTCCAAAAATGGTGTCGTTTGAATCAATTTGATAATCTTCAAAGTAAAACTCCATGTTTTTTTCCTTTAGTAAAGAATCTAATGCATCCGCACTATTCGGATTAGATTCGTTATTCCTTATTGAAGAATTTGGAAGTAGGTTATCAAGAAATTGAACTTTTAAAAATCTCTGTTTTATAAAATCCTTTAAGTTTGTATATGTTGCAATACAATGAATTTGTACGTTTGTAGTTTCCAAATTCTTGGGTAAACCTAATTCCTCTAAATTCTCATCTATTACCAATTCTAGCTTGAGTAATTTGGTTAATAATGAAACACCACTCTCGCCAGAGATGCCACTATCAATAATAGGGAAATTCTCAACCCTATTGAGTGTACTTTGTAGTAAAGTCACAAGGTTAATGGCTTTGGAGCTGAAAATTTTTTCAAATGATTTTCTAATCTGGTAATTGTTACTTAACTGCTCTAAAAGTGTAGCAACTGCTTTTCCCAACCCTGTTGAAATCATTTCAAATCCGGATAGTTCTTCATCGTTTCCAAAAATATTTGAATAGAGCATTCTCCACAATTTATCACATTTTTCAGCATCAAATGTTTCAACTTCAATATCTGCCATAAAATTGATTGTTTGTTTGATGGAATCTAACTCTTCATTTGAATTGGTTCTATATAACGGTGCAATATCAGTAAGTTCGTCGCAATATAGTTCCAAGTATTTGAGTGTTTTTTCTGGTGATGGATAAGACAAAAGGTTAAACTTGATCGCTTTAGGTTTTACGTAGTCGGGAACAGAAATATCGTAGTTGTCTTCATTATTTGCGCTATCACTATCACTACTCTCATCTTCGTTGTTGTCGTGTGATACATGTTTCAATTCAATTGAACGTAAGTTAAGACCTGTAAATTCTTTCACTTTCTCAGATATTGAATTTATCATAATATTTATGCCTTCTCTTTTCATTGAATTTGCAACAACATCACCAAATTTGTTGAGTAATATCCTCAATATGCTTAATGTAGCCGTGCATAAGATCCATTGTTCCATTTGCTTATCGCTTATTATATTGTCCAATGAAGTAGCTAATAGATCATTGTTTTGAATATGTGACAAAATAGAAGCTAAACATGGAAGGAGATGTTTACACAACTTTTGAACATCTGTTTGTTTTGTATGAGTTGATATTCTTGCCATACAAACAAGAACATATTCCTTCATCTCAAAATCGGTTGTATTTCCGTAGAGCTCTATTAGCAAAGGTGTCAAGTCCTTAAATATTCTGTCCAGATATATGTTGCTTCCGTCTATTTCTACCTCTGTTAAAACATTATTGGAGAGTAAACTATCTTCTTCAGAAGGAAGTAGAGCTGTTATAAATCTAGTGACACTAAGAAGCAACTTCTTTGGAACAAACATAAGCTTGTCATTAATCTTTGTAGAGTTATTCTTAGCATAAACGTTTAGGCAAAGCATAATGTCTTGAACGGGCTCCTCTCTTCTTAAAAAGTGTCTCTTAAGATCCAGGCACTGAGATACTAACAAGGTCATGATATTTATGCATTTCAATTTATCTTCAAGTTGGCTGTCAACATTGGATAGAATTTGTAGGATTTTATCAAAAAGACTAGGCAAAAACAGTGAAACTAGTTGATCAGAATTTTTAATATTTCTACAAACACCAGTATAAGCGTTCAGAATATGACTTATAACATTTGAATCATTGGTGTTCATGAATATTTGAGTTAATGAAGGAAACACCTCCTTAATGTTTACAAAGTCAGCTTCAATAGCATTAGTTAGTGCATTAGTGACTATGTATACCGCTTTTCTTTGAGCATGAACAGTAAAAAAATCATAGTATCTGATGTATATACTCATTTCACCGTTTCGGCAAATATCTTTTCCTTGAATCCGCGATAGGTATTCTAATGTCTCTAAAACCTGTTCTGCAAGGTCAATAAAATCAATTTGCTGTAGCTTATCTTGTAATATCTGAATGATATTTTGATCAACCGATGAAGACATGCTATCAATATTGACCTCATAAAGGTTGTGTAGACATCTACAGGCCTGTACTTGAAGTTCAGATTCTTGTGATAGCATTGGATCTTTTAATATATCAATCACAGCAACAAGTAGCTCATCCATCGGTATAATTCTGTCTAACAGTAGCTGATTTGTCATCAAAAGATTCTCTGATATCTCTCTCAAACTTTCCATGGCAATATAACTATCTTCTGAAGCATTGGCAATATTTTCCACCAGTTTTACCATTCTAGAGTTTCTGGATCCTGTTCCTCCTTCCCTCGCCATACGGCTACTGAACATACTGATGAAATCAGAAAAGGTTGCATTTGCTGGTGGTGTAGATGTATCCCCTGCATTGGTGGTATTACGTCTATTTTGTTGTGCTTGACCCATGTGTTGAGATAAAGTTCCCAAAAGTTCCTGTAAATTCATCGCTGGCTGAGTTGCCACTCGGACCCTTCTTCCTCCGAAAGCAGCCGGTATGGCACCTTCAACATCAAAGCCATCTCCATCTATTTCTTCATCTATATCGTCTTCTACTCCTTCATGATCCTCATCTTCATCAAGGCTATGAAACATCCCATCTCCCTCTCCATCATAGTCATCTCCTAGCCCGTCATCATCACTATCTTCTTCTTCTCCATCTGGATAAACATACTGCACTTCATCTTCTTCGCCATCGGTGTAATGGTCGTCCATCTCATAGTCAGTGCTATGATCATCCATGATGAATTGTTAGTTTACCTGTGAGCTGCTTTGGATAACTGATCACTCCTATTACTACTATTATCCAGTTACTAGGAGCAAACTGAATTCAATGCCAAAAAAATATTCCTCAACTTATTAAATGAAATTGCTATGATATACGTTCCTTGAATTAAGTGTGTGCTGCACTGTGTGTTATTAATTAATGTAATACATCATTCTTGTTCTACGTTTGTGCAATTTTTGTGATGGCTTTTTTTGGGATCGGAGCCCTTATGTGCGCAGCATGAATGGGGAGTTATCACAAAACACATAAATAAGAGCAAAGATGGCAGATCAATATATTTGGGTCGTAATGCCAATATTAAGACATTTCATTACAGTGCATTGTGCAGTCCTATATAACTTTTGGGAGAAGCTAACGCCGATGATATCTATACTATATTTTAAGTTTACTCCTAAAACATTGCGAGATACATGTATATAAGTCTATATAGCATGTAAATTATATTAAGGAACTGGTCTAAATAGTTAAGTGCATGTAGTATTGTTAGTGAGATCAATTACATATATACCATTGCGGTTGGCTATTTTATTATTTTGCAATATAACTGTCATGTGATTTTCGTACAGAAGTGTTGGAAATTTTTCAGAGTGAAAAAAATTGCGATGAGCTTGGCCGATGAGCATCACCAATCGTCTGTGGTATACATATATTGGTACAGCTGGTGATAGTATCGGTTGTGTCTTTTATTTTGTTTAAACAGAGCTAAGAAGGTAAGACAAGGAGAAGTTAAATATGCCAAGATCTAAGCGTTCGAAGTTGGTGACATTAGCCCAAACCGATAAGAAGGGCAGAGAGAACAAAGAGAGAATTTTCGATGAGGTGAGAGAAGCATTGGATACTTACAAGTATGTCTTTGTGTTACAGTTGGATGATGTTAGAACGCCTGTCTTGCAAGAAATAAGAGAGGCGTGGGTTGGTTCCAAGTTGTTGATGGGTAAGAGAAAAGTTTTGGAGAAGGCGCTTGGTACTACTAGAGAACAAGAATATAAGGAGAATTTGAGTAAACTTACGAAGTACTGTTCGGGTGTCATTGGTCTATTGTTTACTAATGAGACTCTTGACACTGTTAAGGAATATTTCGAGGCTTACTCAAGACTGGATTACTCAAGACCAAACTCTAGAGCACCAATCACTTTTGAAGTGCCCGAAGGTATTGTTTACTCTCGTGGTGGTCAAATTCCCATTGAAGAAGATGTTCCAATGGCCCACTCTTTGGAACCAACACTAAGAAACAAGTATGAGATGCCAACAAAGATTAAGGCCGGTAAAATTACCCTTGAAGCTCCGTACCTTGTTTGTAAAGAGGGCCAAAAGTTGGATGTTCGTCAAGCGCTAATCTTGAAACAATTTGGTGTCGCTTTGGCTCAATTCAAGGTTATCATTTCTGCATATTACGACAATGAATCCTCCACCGTCAGCGAATTGAACATTAATAAGAAACAAGATGCTTGATAGGCATTACTAGTAAAATTTATTCTCAACGAATAACTCAAATATTTTATGCATTTCTACTCTTCAACCCCAGCACTTATCTTCATTTAAGTTGCAAAAATTTTTACTGTATATTAAAATAGATATATTAAAAACAAAAAGTCTTCTAAGAATTCCAGAAAACCTTATTAAATTAATTTAAATCAGAAGACTATGCTAAGATGCTGTCTTTCTTCCCAATAAGTGTATAGAGTATATTTAATGAAGAAAAAATAAAAAAAATGAAAGTAATCGTAACAAACTTGGTTAAAATCAAGCGAAGAAATGAAGTGTATAATGTCCGTGATTCATCATATATTTCCAGTTATTCGATCATATCAATGCTATTACTATAGAACCACTGATAGTTTAGAGGTCATCTTGAGTATCCTGATCTATCAGTAGTGCAATTGACGAATATTAAATTTTTTGGTAAATCCTTGAAGGATTTTTTACTTTTTTGGACTATAACGATGATTTTTAATGCTTTTTGGGTAAATAAATACCAATTGTAAATGAATTCCCAGTACTGGATCAATCTTTTTTCAGCTCATCGCTACCAGAATCGGTTTCTTCATCACTTCTGACATCTTCAGTAACACCTTGCCAAACAATCTTATACAGAACTTTAAAGATCAAAAACAGCCAGTAGATGTTTAGTACTTGAAGTGCAAATATTAGCACAAATACAATTGGAAGTGAGATCCAGCATTTGTATTGTTGAGTAGCGAAATTCAAAATGTATGGGCCTTCGGTTCTGAATTCAGTTAGCACAGACCATAAAATTTTGCCATTGATAACATGACGTAAATAGATCCATACCAAAACAAACATACCAAAGACAACTTCTGTTAATGGGGAATCGATATAGTTCAAGGTCTTGGATAATGCCAAGAAAAAGTCAGATACATCCATTGTGATATAAACTGCCAGCCCCATCTTGTGGAAATGAAACACATAAGAAGACCATATCAATAGAAGTGTAACTACGTGATGGAAGCATAGCTCTTTGTGATCTTTTCTTGGTTTCTCTAATTGTAGCACCAAGACAAATGCTTGTTGAGCCCAGAATGCTGCTTGGATCAAATAGAAAGCCTTGAATAGCTTTGGGATTAGAATATCTGGGTAAGTGTTGTACATTGTATTGGTTCTGAAATACCACAGATCAGAATGGTACATTACATAGACACCAAATGGACTCGAAAAACCATAGTAAAAGATGGAGAACATTTGTTCCATCATTCTCTTTATTTTATATTTTGAAGTGATGTTCAGCCATTGGGTTATTCTTCTGATAATAACATCCATTAAGAACTCACGCAGAAAAGTGAAAAATATCATATGGAAGAAAACAAACGCCAAATCCTTTATACCTTTTCCATAGTATTGAGGATTAGATTCTTGCTCATATGATATCGCGACAAACATATGAAGAAAGCCTTTAACGCGCTTATTGGAGATTCCAAAATAAGCAGCATATGTAAGAATTAGGATGCACAACGGCAGGAACCACATGTGATGATAATTGTAATCTCTAGCTTTTAAATAGAGTTTGGTGGTCATTTTTAGATTGCGCTGAGTGGCTAGTCTTTCATGACGTCTCTTTGCAGCAACTTTCGATGCTTTCGATTCATGCATGGTAGCGAAGCCGGGCACCGTGTCACCCAGGTCAATGTTTCCCACAGACGAAGCACGTCTAGGTCTCTGCTTTGTTTCGACTTTTAGCATTTGGGGTGTTATTTGCTACTAGAAATGAGTTACCTTAATTATTCTAGTGGCTTTATTTAAAATGCCCTATAATATATCTGGTAAGAAATAGTAGTTGGCGCATAAAAGAATCACTAGTGACAGACTTGTTATATGCTCAAGTGTTGTATATATATATATCGTGGCATTTATTCTTACTATTCAAACTACCCCCATGTTTCTCAGAAGAAAACCCTCATCGACGTAATAGAAACACGACTTTCTACAAGAGAGTGAAAAGATAGCAAAACATCGAGACCTTTTTTTGGTTCTTTTTTTTTTGCATTCTTTTCGCCCACTTCATTACAGTAGAGACTATGATGGTCAAAATTCGTATTCTAAGTATTTATGGGCTGGTACTACGGCACTTCTCTCTTCAACGTTCTGGACCAAAATGCCCTTGATAATTCCTTGACATCTTCTGTGCATGAATTGCACTCGAGAACGGAAAGCAAAAAAAATTCGACTTTCTATCGCGTTTCCCATTGTTTATCGATAAGCACTATCCGTGGATAACCACTCTGGCCCACGGGACTTTTGCTCGTCTGTACACTAAACGTTCTGGGGGAAATCTACTCAACTCACTTGCGGAAGATATTCCATTTGAATTTGTCATCAGCACTAAGTTCGAATCTCTACCTGTATTGTAAAGAATGGTAAAGAGCGTTGTGACCTGATATTTTTAATTGTATACCACAAATAGGAAAGAGAGGGCTCTCCAAGGCTACCCCATTACTACGAAAGAGGATCCAGAAAAGAAAAAAAAAAAGAAAGAAAAACGTAGATCAGTTCCCATTGTTCTCGCATAGATACCACTGCGAACTCTTCTGTGTTAACAATCCCGTACCATAACCTATGGGAATTTCTTTTTTTTTGTTATTCTGCCTCTGAAAGGTCTGTACAGAAAGTGATATATTTCGTTACGGTTGCAAGTGGAGCAAGATCTGTTTCATCATGTTATACCATTAGGGTACAGTCCTATACTACAACAATGCATATTATTTTATTGTAAAACTTGGCTTTATTGAAATGTGCTTCTATAAAAACTCCCTCTAAATTGTGTATGCTACTCCTGGGCTTTTATTGATACACTAAATGACGTTAAATAGATTAAATTTTAAGATATTGAGTAGTATATTCACATTGGGTCGATTTAAATGCCCTATGGACCTCCATTTAAATTAGAGTAATGACAAGCCATTTGTGTTCGGAATTAGCTCAATGTTAAATGTAATGTATTAATCAAATCTCAATGCAGTTGACTATATTAAAAAAACTTGTACAATGTGTAAATTATGAAAAACACTGAAAGGGCTATGAATACCATACGCCAAACACCTGACCCCATAGACATAGACCGCGTAAGCCTGGAGGAAGAGTTTTTTAAATCATTCAGTAAACTAGAGAATGATTCTGAAATCGAATCAATAACTGAACTGTCAATCTGTGCTTGACGTCCTATGTCTTCATTAATGTTTCTAAAAGTTGACAGTTTGGTCGCCAGCGACTCTAACTTCTTGTCATTATCTGCTTCTTGGTATCTAGACATTGCTTATCAATGTATTAGTCTATATTGTTAAATGGGGAAGTACTATTATAGCCAAATCTCAAGTTATGTTTCCTCCGTTGGCACTTATTAGAGTATACTGTCTTAAAATCCCTTTTCGTCACTTTTGTTATTTATTCCTGGTGCTCAAGCCAAAAAAAAAAAAGAAGAGATATATACAAAAGATTTCGTGTACAGGAGTTTACAAGTTCAAGAATTTAAAGTAAATATCAGAATAGTAAAATATTCGCATGCTCTGTATAAACCCTTAGTGTGTGGGACTAGGCGTGTCCCAGGTATATACATCCTCAATCGCAAATTAATTCATCATGTCAGTTAGCAAGAAGGTCATTTCTCCCTCAAAAACTAGTGATCCTCACCTGAGAATCGCTACTAAGAGGTCAGATGTCATCTTTACTTTAACCTCGAGGAAACCACTAGTCAGAAAGAGTTCTTCTGCACTTTTGAAATCATAAATCTACTCCACTTCTTATATACTTTCCAAGATTGCACTGCAGGTTAGGGAAGGCTTCTACATTACAAGTTTCTCCAGTTAGGACTTCTATCACCTTAAAAATCATGTAAAATGTTGTGACTGCTGCTAACCCATACACCTGGCCCACAGCCACATTATTTCTCTGCGGCGTTTGTCTATTGGGATAGTATCAGAACATTTTCTACGATTTACCTGATTTTCAAGTTTAAATCTTCAAACCCCATAGATTACCTAAAGTAGTAATTTTTCATCAGTTGTTCTTGTTTCATTTCTCTTTTAATCCACTAACGCATGGATGTACCAGCAGCCAGCCTAGGATGGTAAACATCTTGTGAAGAGCACCCCCCTTCTAGACTGACAACCGTATCCCATCAATTTCTAGTGGTGGGACACCAACTGGAATCACTCTTTGCCTGGCCTGGGAGCTGTTCCCTGGATAGTTTGTATACTGTTTACCCTGTGTAATCCGCTATGGACACCTGCCCAGTCTCCTCTTGCCTCCTATTGCCTCCTGTTGGGCTAGTATCCTCTCTGCCTAGGATACTGTCCACTCTACAGAGCTCTAGTTCCAGCTCTGCCTAACTTGGCACCAGCCCCTGCCTAGCTCAGGGCCAAGCTCCACCCTAGCAGGCTTAGTACCACTGCCAACAGCACAGACACTCACCAGCAACGAGTACCATTCTCAAACTTTTTGCATTCGGTCACAGAAACATCAGCACAAGCAGACACGAGCTCTTGCCTCAACGATCGGGGGACTCGCAAGTTTCTGACAAAATATGGCCTCTCGTCGATTTCCAAATGATACTCTCATTGGGCTGTGTTAACAATTAATCGTAGTGGGTTCCCATTCTACCATGGTTTACTCTTGGTAGGTATTGACGCTCATGGGCAATATCTGAAAGATAATATTGATATTTTTTAATAGAGACATATAAGAAATAAAGGATTTTGTATTTGCATTTGCAACTTTCAATAGCCTCAAGCAAAAGCACTATAGAAAGAGCAAAGATGTCTTCCACTACTGTCAGAAACTCTAACTGGAGATTGGTTGAAGTTGGTCGTGTTGTTTTGGTCAAGAAGGGCCAATCCGCTGGTAAGTTGGCCGCCATCGTTGAAATCATCGACCAAAAGCAAGTTTTGATTGACGGTCCAGAAACTGGTGTCCCAAGACAATCCATTAACTTGGGTCAAGTTGTCTTGACTCCATTGACCTTCACTTTGCCAAGAGGTGCTAGAACTTCCATTGTTTCCAAGAAGTGGGCTGCCGCTCAAGTTACTGAATCCTGGAAGGCTTCCTCCTGGGCTAAGAAGATTGCTCAACGTGAGAGACGTTCTGCTTTGTCCGACTTCGAAAGATTCCAAGTTATGGTTTTGAAGAAGCAAAAGAGATACACTGTCAAGAAGGCTTTGGCTAAGGCTTAAATCGGGAAATATTAAAATAATAAGATAAGAATATTATATCGCCTTTTTTATTAAAAATATAAACAAAACCTGAAACACCCTACCACTGACTTTTACGCATTACCTCAAATATAACAAACTGGGATTTAAAAAAGACCGAATGACCTTTTTAAGCACCATATCTGGGGAAAATTGAATGGATACCATGCTTGGATTTGACTACATTTCCTACTCTAATACATATATAATACAGTGGGATTTTCTTACAATACAAGGATATTGAAATTTAGTTTTTTCCGCCATTTGTTTCTTTGAATTATACTCTTGGCTAAATCAACCAATGTCGTCTTTTTATTATGGTAAAAACAAAGCTATCATTGCATTTTATGATACTTTAATCTTTGTGGCTGAGTTGTGATAGAAATTTTGGTTGGTATAACTGTTAGAGGAATAATAAAGAAGGAACTAAAGCACAACGTTTTTAAAACTTTAAATCTACAATTATTTTGTATTCTATTCAATAATTTAAAAAATATCATTTTACAAATTATACCAATTATTCTTGAGTCTAATGTTTATAAAACATCGCATGCAAGAGAGTCGCATAGACAGTATATAACTTATCTGTATTTCTGGATTGGTTGGGTAGCTCATTCAATCGTTAATAGAAGCACCTTTGTGCCTCTCTGCCACAAGACTGTCTACGTAGTTTTGCTCTCTGGCGCCAATATTTCTAAAAGATTATTTACAGACGGACAGGACAAATATTATTCATTCCAGCGGGATGAATTTAGACTTTTTTATTTTCTATTGTATAAGATAAGTAGCGCTTTGATCTACAATGTAGAATATTAAAACAACAATTGGAAACATATAATGTTGTAGCCTTTATCGATTTCACCAATGGCCTATTCATGGAAGGATGTAACTTCTGAATGCATTCTTAATACTAATAACTGAATTTTTAAGTACAACGAGAAGACCCAATATTTTGTATGATGAATTAGGGGAATATTAAGTAACAGTATACCCGGGATCTTATTTTACTTCTAATTCCAAAACTTTTAGGATAAATTAACAGAGAGACCTGCAATTTTGAAATTGATTAATAGTATGGCTCCATTAAACTAATGGTTTTTTAACAGCAAGCTATTTTAACAGGCTTTCAGATATAAGGTAGGCATTATCCTGTTGCCGCGATGAAGCGGGTACTGTAGTTTTTGAATTCTACGAAATGCCTGGGAGGTGTACCTGAGCTCATTTATATATATGAAGAAAAGTTCCTGAAAAAAGTAAGAAAGAGTAGTAAGTCTGATACTATAACGTCAAGAGAATGGTAAAGAGTAGTTGTAAATAAACCCAATGGCTGATCCTGTCATACTGAAGGAGTTTGGATTACTGATCGTATAGATGATTCAGGTTAATGTTATCTAGTTAGAACTATAAATATTGGGTCATCCAATGATACTCGGCGGGCATATTCATTAGACTTAGAATCGAATGCCATAATTGTTACCAAAGATGGTCAATTGAGAGAAAATATTCAACAAGAACTGGACAATATTCTTAAATACACAAAACTGTAAACTTGGAGGACTTCAGTAATGAAGCACATAAGCAATTAAGTGCTAAAGTTAAGGTAGCTTCCCCACTCTAAGTAAGAGATTATGATTGCTCTGGCACTTTCTGTAAATAGTTAGTGTAGTTACTCAGACCAAACTATGCATTAATATAATATATATCTATGGTAATTTTTAAAATCTATAAGTAAAACCTAAAATATATACAATAATAATGTACCAGACATCGGTGTATCATATTCTTAGCAATGCAAATGTTTCGCTCATTCATAGATGCGTTTAAGGTATGGCTTATTCATTGCATATGCATAATAATGTTGTTAGTAAATGATACCTAACCAAATAAGTTGAAGAAATGAGACCATCCTTGGAGTTGGATTAAATGACCACTGATAAAATTCCAAATTATCAATGAATGTGCGAAGGTTAGAAGCTTGTAAGACCGAAGTTGCTATTATTGAAATCTTAAGATATTTTGGGGGTAAGCCCTTGGTTGATATACCCATCCAATTTAAAGATATCTGGGGTAAGTATTTGACAGCCGACAAGAACTGTCCAATCACCCATAAATAGTTGACATACTCTATGTAGTAGCCACCGAATCTACCATTATTACGTTCCGGCAAGTTATATTCCGCACAGATATAGGTAAAATAGGATAATATCAAAATCATTAAGAAAATGCATATAAGTAAAAGAGATTCATTGCTCAACGTTTCTAGTAGCTCGGTATTTCCACAATTGAAAAAAACTATACTAGATACCGCCAGCATTACGAGGTCTATTAATAATAAAGCCATCGATATTGGGATGGGTTCGGCATTAAGCGAATAATATAATGGAAATCTATCAGAGAACTGCCTAGCGGCAAGTTCGGAATACTTGTATATTACAGTACAGTACAATGATATGAAATACGTCGCAAACTGCATCAGATACAAATCATAGGACAATCCATACACTGATTTGTGTACCGCATTATATCTTTTCTGTTGAACTATGGCATAGATCTAAGGATAATGCTAGTACAGACCAAATGAAAGCAGTGTGTTACATGGGCCATCGCTTGGGTCATTAGATCCCCATGGATTAGCTATGAGACACACAGTTCCACTGCTTCAGATCATGGTACTTGACAAGTTAGTAAGAAAGAACTTTGTAAAACAGTTCATAAGCAATAGGAGATTTAGGCAAAACTTGGATACATATTTCGAGGATCTTTCCGCATGACTGTACGGTTCCAGTGTACAGCATATCAGTCCTCATATCAATCACAGCGCAAGGGAATCCTAGAGCTAGAAGACGCAAACCAAACACTCATCATGTTAAACACTGCACCCATCATATTCTAAGAAACCATATCAATCTCCCTCGCGATGAGCATTTGTATACGTGCCAAGCTACCCTAGTGCAGTTATTATTGCAGAACAATGAACTCACAATGCGTACTAGTTTGGGGCTGTCTGCTGGTAAACCAAGTCTCAAGTCTTGCTTGTCTTGTCAAACTTGGCTTTCCCCCCACTAGATAATGAAGTCTGAAGCCTGTATATTATCGAGTATAAGTTGAAGTCTGAAGTCTGGGATCTGTATGGATAATTTGACTTCAGTTAATATTGAAGGGTCAGCAATTTTGCTAATATAAATAGAAAATAAAATAGAAAGTTTCTTGGTGAATCGGTATCTTTGAAGCCATTCATTGTATTTGTGCAAAAGTATAAGAATTGTACCAATTCTATGTGGACAAGTCCACACTATATATCAAGGAAAGATGGGCTGCTGAGTTAGGTTTTCTGGTACTGTTTGTATTGCGTATTGTGTTCGGGCAAGGTTGGTACCTTTTTGCTAGTATCTCTGTGGTGAATCTGTACTTAGCATTCTTGAAATGTAAGTTCGATGACTCTTTACAACAAGATGAAAATAACAATGAGTTGGAAGCCGGAGAGAAGTCCAATGAGTTCTGTCCGTTTATCAAAAGGTTACCTGACTTCAGATTCTTGTAAAATTATATCAGGGAGCCTATGTTGTCCATGTTACTGTCTTTGTTCATAATACCAGATATCAAATTGTTCTAGTCTATCTTGCTGTTCTATTTCATTCACTGCATCCTTCATATCTATAAGACACGAACGGAAGTCAGTAAAACATTTATGATATATTCCGAAACTATTATAGGGAGAATGTTGGAATACCATCACTAAATGGTAAATTTGGTACAAGACTCTTAAGTCTTACAAAGATAAGTTTTCAGTATCTAGTTTACTGTAGCCACACATGGTTTATCATTATTTCATGAATTGTTATACAATCTCTGGCTTAACAACAACCACTAAATACAAGGTTTTATCATTATCATTAATTCGTGACAAGTCAATTCTCTTCTTGGCAATACTTTCATCTGTGGTCAGTATTTGCAGGATATCAGGGAGTTTGCCAAGCAGAGAACTTAAAATGTACATATTTTTGACGTAAGGTTTCCTAGGTTTCATCCCAAGTACTCTATCGAGATCATCCATGAATTCTACCAGCTGTTCATACTTCTCCCTATGTGATGCTGATGGTAAAAGTTGATATGCTAAGACAGCTCTTGTAGTTTTTATCTCAGAAATATATTCCGTAGCAATTTTTGTATGTAACCTTCCTTCATATATCAACTTGCCGTCCCCTACTACAGCTTGATATATTTTATGCTCTTGATTCTCGTCTAAAAGCGTAGACCCTAAAAATTTGAATGTACCAACTACATTCAGATCTACCTCGTTATAATCCAGTTTAAACTTAACATTCAATATATTCTGATCATTTGTATCAACACCATTGTTACTATCACTTTTCATACTGTCAGGTTCATCTGTGTAGCTGTTCGTTGGAGAGTCAGTAGTGTACGGTCTGTTATTCGAATTAGACTCATGTATGTCTTTAGGATTGAAAGTTTTTGTAAATGTTGGATTGGTGAATTCAAAGGAATTATGGTCATCCTCGGAGTTATCTTGTTTAAGTTTATCTAATGGTTGATTTGGTATAACCAAACTGTCTATCTTCTGGGAATCTATTTTCTTTTTCATACTCTGAAGGTCAGGATTAGCTAGATCGGTCGCTGACATAGAGACCAATTGTTCTAAATCAAGTTGCCTGTTAATAACAGCTTCCTTTAGACTAAGATTCTTTGGATCTTTCAGGTTACTGAATAGAACACGAACCTTTTCTGTATATACAGATATAAGTGTTTTATAGTTGCTTATGCTCCTACAATGGGAAAAGAGTTTACTTTCCATCTCCTCTGCAAATTCATCTGAGATACTTTGTTCATCATGTCCTTTGACAATCTCAAAGACATTGTTCTTTAATGTATCTGGTATAATATAATTTTTGAATAATGTAACCAACATTTTTCTGGCGTTTGTCCGGACTTTCGCATAGGAGTCTTCTGAGGGTATAGTTTCAGTTTCGGTCTGATCATCGGTAATAACCCTCGCCTTCTTTTTGGGTACAGTTTTGGTAGTTGTTATAGCACTGTTACTGGGTTTGCGTTTCCTTTTATCCTTCTTTACCCTATTATCGTCGTTTTCGACGAATTCGTCGTCATCAACTTCAGCAATATTGGCGGTATCTTTGCTCAGTATAAAGTCCTGGTCCTCATCTTGATCATCAACATACTCATCTGGATGTTCTTTTGGTTCATCTAGTATATCGTTATCACCAATCATCTCGGATTTGTTCAATTCCTTATAAGCACGTCTTTCTTCGCGTAGTTGACTTTTATAAATGCATCTGTCACAATAATACTTGTCCTCTGAATTCACTAAAAGTTTACTCAGAGAGTCCACATCATCAGAATTCTCTAGTTCTTTTGGTACCTTGATATCCTTTACTTGTAACATACAATTGATATGTTGCCAAGTATCACATTGATCGCACTGAATCATTTCCCCATAAGGGTCCTCATCCTCAACATAGTTAGCATCAGTGGTTCCACATGGTGAACAATGTACAATTTCCTGTACTTTTTCTTTCTTAGGTCGATTCACTCGCTGCTCGTACTCTTCTTCCTCTTGTCTCCTAAGTACTTCCAGGTATGTATTCTTCCCCTTCGTACTTCTACTAGATTTCCGCAGCGATTCCATGTTCAGTCCTACTAGTTCGTCCCTAGCAGTGAGCCGTAATATTAGCAATTATAAACCGTTGCTATTATATTCTAAAGGGCATCGGCACTAAATGTATTAGCCAGTGACTATAAAAACGTTCTATGTGACTCCACGTGAAATACAAAGAATAATAAGGCTATAAAGTTCATCAAGTATTGGCAAGGCATCAACACTCGTAGACTACAGTTGCAGTTCCCGAAGCCAGTAAATTTTTAATTACGCAAGTCCCTCACTTCAGGTGCCACTCAGAAGAGCACGCTAGTTCCCCTGAGAACAATGGCAAAATAAACATCTGACACCTGCCCCCCATTGTTCTCCTTCTCCCTCATTTGGCATACTGTTGAAAAGTGGGATACGAAGCAGCAGACAAGGAAACACCTAGCAGAGAGATTAGCAAATATAGTAAAAACGGATCCTTCGAGAAATCCCCCTTCATTTTATCACTCCCTCCCATCCCGGAGGCCAAAAAAAAATTTGTCAACAGTTGCCAAAATAACAAAACAAAGCTCATCGCTCATGAAATTTAGAGCCCCTATCCCACACATAATATTATTAATAGTATTCCTTGTTTTAATAATTATATAATAGTATATAATAAGAATAGTACTCCTTTGAGACACGCATACATTCGCTTAAAAGAGCCTTTCCCGGTTAGCCAACGCTTAACACTATAACAGAAGATTACTAATACTGGCAAATCAAGGCTATCGATCTAAAATAATATAACAAATGTTTCTTAAGGTACGGGACTGGTTTCTTAAGGACAGGCCGGCTAACCATAGTGCTACAGATTTGGAATATGGCTGGAATCCCATGGAGTCTGTAAGGTACCTCCGGTCTCAATACAGACATTATAAGGCTAACCCACATTTATTGAGCTACAAGGACGTGTGTCATTACACATTTATGGGCTCTGTTTGGTTGTTTGTGCTAATTATGAACCCTGCACCAATGGTTCTAAAGTTGCTGTTTTATGCATTCTTAACTCTCCTGTTCCTGGTACCCATAACTTCGCAGTTCTTCTTTAATGCATTGCCTATCCTAACCTGGTTGGCACTTTATTTCACTTCATCATACTTAAAGGCAGATATTAGACCACCTATCACAGTCAAGGCGTTGCCTGCTATTGAAACAGTGCTATACGGTGATAACTTGAGTGATATCCTAGCAACATCCACCAATCCTGTTTTGGATATTTTCGCATGGATCCCATACGGTCTGTTCCACTTTGGTGCACCTTTCGTGGTAGCGTTGATTTTGTTCTTGTTCGGTCCACCAACAATTTTGAAGGGCTATGCATTTGCATTTGGATACATGAATCTAATCGGTGTCATGATTCAGAATTTCTTCCCAGCTGCTCCTCCTTGGTATAAAATCCTATACGGACTAGAGAGTGCTAACTACACCATGAAGGGTTCCCCTGGTGGTTTGGCTAGAATCGATGAGCTACTTCACATTAACTTATACAGTAACGCATTCGCTAACTCCTCGGTTATTTTTGGCGCTTTCCCATCTTTACACTCCGGATGTGCCACCATGGAGGCCTTGTTTTTTTCCTACTGCTTCCCATTTTTAAGACCACTATTTATTTTCTACGTTTGCTGGTTATGGTGGTCCACTATGTACTTGACTCATCACTATTTCGTTGATTTGATGGCCGGCTCAGTGCTATCTTATGTGATTTTCCAATACACTAAATACTATCATTTGCCAGTGGTGAATACTTCCTATTTGACAAGATGGGCATACCCAAGTGTATCGAAGTATGATTTTAAGACTTCTGATCCGTTGAACACCGACTCAGAGATGCACGTCGAGAATATTCCATTAAGAACTTACGATGAAACAATGAGTATCGACTCTAGGAGTAACAGCAATGGTAGACTTGAGTTGGAGTTAGATATGGATATGGATAATATGCGTACTGTAAGCAGCAACACTTCTACACCAGCATCGGTTTTTGATAGAATGGAATCTTTATCCAGGTCGTCCGCAACTTCAAATACATCATTGGGAAATTTGTCCACAACTGACTTGACTGACCCTCCTGTAGCAAGAAAGCCATCTGCATTCTAGACCTCGATTAACGATTTCAAAGAAACCCTATGATCATAATTTCTAATTTTTATTATTCTCATTGAATTTTTAAGTTTCAATTTTAAAGCGTTTAATTTGTTCCATTACATCAATAACAGTACTTTTGTTCTATCTGCTCTAATAAGGTAAATTAATGTCACTTACTGAGCTTGTTATTAGGCTTGGTTACTGTTTTTTCTAATCATGACAAGGAATATATTGATTTATCCGATATTATATTCGATTTCATCATATTTTTTTTAAAGTTATTTGGTCTTTACTTCACCTTTACCAATCATAATGCTAAGGTCCTCTAAGCATTCCATATAGATTCAGGATACCCATAAATGGTTTTAGGACCCTTTTAATTCTTCCCCAGGTAATTTTTTTTCTTTATTCATTATCATACTTTTATCTTACTATATACTGTGCGACTATTGTCTAATTTATTTTAGGAAATAATATATTAATTAGGTGTTAATATTGAATTATTGGATATTATTATTTAGAATGTTTATTCGTGGATTGTGTATATATACAAGGGTTAAATATTTTGAGAATTTATGCATAGAAAGAGAAACCTTCAAGTGAAGTTCTGCGCTTTTCACAAGCCTTGACTCTTTTCAATCGAACTCAAAGATGCCAGCTCTTTCTCAGTATTAATCTTGACAATGGACGATCTGATCACACGGGGGTCTTTTCTCAATGTTCTCAGAATCTGGGATTGTACAGGAATGGATGAGTCAAACAGCATCAAGAACTTGAATGCTTGGAAATGACGTTCTTGATCCTTTGTAATAACCCTCGGTAACATGGTCTTACCCATCGGCATAATTTTACGCACAACACCACGATTCTCTATGATCATTCTACCTATAGTAGTGGCTAGCTCCTTAGCCTCCTGTTGCATTTGATGCTTCGGTTGCAATATACGCACCATGGCAATTAATTCATACAGCATTTTTTTTCCTGCTCTAAAACAATACACCGGAAAACAACTAGCCTTAACACCTAGCTTATGATTCTTAGGACCAGATGGAATACAACAGTTTCTTATTCTATCGAAAGCTATTGACGACTTTTGAAGATAGATTGGAATAGACTCTCTGGTTATATTCCTCTACTGTTGGAAATCCCCAGCGTCGGTCGTCGCTAGTTATGTGTATACCCTGTTGCAGTTCATTGCTGCATCATTGAATGCATATAGTGGTAGGAATGCATCGCACAGTATGTATACAATGGCAGTATTGGTGTTTTCTATTTCTATATACTAGTGTCTGAATGAGCAGATTTTCATCGATCTATTTTATGTGCAAGTTGTCTATATTATCGGCTATGATTTAGCAAGTTGAGAAGTGTTAGCAGCTTTGAGACTTCAATAACGTTTGAATGACCAGAACACATTATCTGTGCCCTGAAACAATCTTTTGGTGGGCTTGATAAATGTCTTGATATGACAGTATCGATAGCAAAGTTCGCTATTCTACTTGTGATGAGGTCCCCCCGCTTCACCGTTAATTGGAATGGTGAGGGGGTGTGGGCTCGTGGTCTCGTGGTGCTGTCAAAGGGGAAATGAGTGATATTTATATAATTGAGTCTTGAATTCGTTGCAATAGGAATGTTAAGTCTGGTAATACCAAAATATATAGTTAGTAGCTAGGTATGCATGTACTTAAAAATACTAAAAGTGTATAAAAGCTGAAACGATGAAATTTATTGATGAGTTGGATATTGAACGTGTGAACCAAGTTCTTAATTTTGAGACCATTGATTGCAAGATTGTTGGTGGGTGTGATATATTCACTACTAAAGCTGTAGCTTCTGACCGGAAGCTCTACAAGACGATAGACCATCATTTGGATACGATACTTCAGGACAATGAGAGTTACAATTTGGCTTTGCAGCAGCAGATAGCTCTGGATGCTGAGGACAAGAATGAAAGGTCAATGTCGCCTGGAGGACAAAGGCGAGACAGTTCATCATTCTGGGAGCAGAAGAGAAGGATGTCTGTGAGTGACAGTCCTATCTACTTGCAACATATTAATGGAAATCTCAACGAGAGTAATGGTGCCCAAGGCGAAATAGTAGCGGATCTAGTACCACCAATTATCAAGACATCTAAACTTAATGACCATAATTTGAAAGAATTAGTGTCTAATTATGAAGCAGGTTATTCAAGTTCTTCATCAGTTGAGTCCCTTACACATAAGAACAAAGAGAGGAGGACAAGTAGCCTATCAAGTACTGGAGGGAAAGTAGACAAGCTGCGGGCAGATTCCAGCACAGCAAACGATATAACCGCAAGGTCAGTGCTCAATGATACATCTAGAACCTTAAATTTGGGGCCATTCGGCCCAATAAATGAGCCATCTAGCAGAAGGACATTTGCATACTTGATTGCAATTCTAAATGCCTCATACCCTGACCATGATTTTTCTCTATTGGAGCCAACTGATTTTAAAAGATCTTCTATAAAGTCCTTTATTGCAAAATTTGAAAACTCGATGTACTCATTGGGAAGAAAGCCAGAAGAGTGGATATGGGAAGTAATCAACTCTCATATGACTCTCTCAGACTGTGTATTATATCAGTACTGTCCAACACAATCGTTCTTGGATGATGAGCCTGGGCATCTATGGAGTCTCATCGGTTTTTTCTTTAATAAAAAGAGAAAAAGAGTGGCCTATGTATACTTACTCGCCTCTAGACTACAACTGGCTGTTAATAATGCTATTGGAACTCCTGATGAGATGCAAAATGAAGACGGTACGTTCAGAAATAACAATACAACCTCTTTTGATAACAACAATACGCAATTCGAAGGTGAATACGATTTAACTTACGAAGAGAACGCTATTGTCGACGATGATGATGAAGAATAACTGAATAATGAAACTTAGTTGTATCATTATGTTCTATTAATTTTTTATGTTTAATATTTAAATGTTTTTGTTTTTCTCCACCATAATAAGTGGATGTAGCATATTTGCTTATTCTTATACTTTGGTCTGGCATTCAAAGTATTTTAGTTTTTAGCCTGATACAAACTATTATTTCCAATAATGTAACATTATTGTATTCGCAGAAATCGTCGTATGTGAATATTACTTTTTGACACTATATAGATCAATATTACACTCATTATGAAGCATTAATAGTTCATGTTAACAATTTCAGTTTATTCAGTTTGTATAATTTAATGAAGCAAAAGTTGTACTATTATAAATAAACGATAATAGTGACTATATTAATGCAATTTAACTTATTTACATGTCATTCTGAAGTCCTTCAAAATTCATGAAAAATATCTATATGTATCAAAGTTCCTCAAATGACAGATGACTATAATTATACTGATTCAACTCCACATTTCGTAATCTTGAAATTGATTTCCTCGGGGGTACAAAAGCTAGAATATACAACTTTCAAGAGTCTTTTCACTTGCCAAAAATCGGATGTATCTGATCCTTTGTATTTCTTTAATTCACCTCGCCTAATCATAGGAGAGGCTGCATAACTTTTTTTTAGTAAAATACGAGTGCTTACATAATTTGCCCAAGTGAGACCAAGATTTGGAACCCTGTGATCCATTTTTCTTTTGATAGTCTTCTTCACGCTGTTATTTTTGCGCGGTTTGAGCTCTGTTAGTTTATTGTCAGCTTCTTCAACTTCTCCCCTAGCAAGAGCACTAGTTGAACCGCCAATTCCACTTTCAACAAATTTCTCACCATCTTCTTCTCGCTTTATCCGTCGTACTTGCTCTTCAACTAGCATATAGTCCTCATCATCGGATAGTATACTATCAGCGTTTGATGCAATTACTTGTTGCTTTTGAAAGCCTATCTGCTGGATTGTTTGTCGATATAATATGGTCGAATTCTTCCATCCCACCAACCATCCTAGCTGGTACTCTAAGTCATTGACGTTTAAATTATAAGGGTCTAAGTTTTCATTCAACGGTTTATCCCCTACTTGGTTGGCCACTACGATAGCAACTGAGTGCTTTGTAGCTATTCCTTGTAGTTTCTCAGCCATTTCAGTAATATATGCCTTATTTTCTAAAGAGTCTTTGAATGATTTAGTATCTAGTTCAACTCTTAAGTGATGGGAAATAGAATCAATTATTATCAGTTTGATCTCCCCTTTATTTCGTTCAAGTAAGACAGGTAGCTGAACATTTACTATATGCTCTTGTGAAATTAAGTCAGGGCAACTAACGGTAAAGATATTCGACTGTGATATACCTAATTCATGCCAGTCTTTTCTTGCCTCAATCATCCCAGCTAGTCTGTTAGTCGGGAGATCACCTTCTGTGGTTATGAATACACATTTGGCATTAAGACCTCCTTCGGAAATAGGTAATTGAACTGATAAACAGAGCTGCATCAGTAACTGTGACTTTCCTGTAGAGCTTTCACCGAATATTTCAGTAATACAATTAGTCGAAATTCCTCCTCCTAAAACCTCATCTATTCCTAGGTCACCTGTTGTAAACTGTTTATTTGGTATTTGTTTAGCTAGCGGTTTTGTACTATTGGAATTATATTGTGCATCATACTCTCTTATTAGTCTCTGTTGAAACCTTATGACCTCGTTAATTGAACGCTGAGATAGCTTAGCCAAGTCTGGTGCTTTTAATGTCAGGAAATCAACACATGTTACTTTGTTCGCATTTAGTGCTTCAAGAAATGTTTCAAACTCAGGATCAAACAAAAGCTGGCTCCCAGGTAATTCCTCATAAAGGTCCATAGAAATTTTGCTTGATAATGCTCTTCTAATTGTTTGGTAGTATTACTGTATCGTTGTGACTTTATTTTAAAACTATAGCGTTTGTTAAGGTTGATTCAAATTGACTATTTGAACATGTCATATACGTCTTTTGTCTCTTTAATGAATTATAATGAGATACTATGTTGAGTATGTAAATCAAACTTTCAATTATTCTTAGATTTATGATTTAATGTTTTGGACGTGAATGACGTGTGGCCAAACAATGGCCCATTTTGGCGTGCTGTATTATATCATACTGTACAAAAAAGTCACAAGACTAACACAAATTTGAATTTTTGAGTCCTCGAATAAAATAATATATTAATTACAAAATTACATTTATAGTACTTATTTTAAAAACGATTTTGTAACTCATAGAAATTACCGCAGTAACAATTTTGTGTATTTATGGATTAAATCAAAATTTTTATGTTTGTGGATGCTATTTTAGTAATGCTAGCATATATTAAAATTATGCAGTAATAAAAGGAACCTTTTGTGTTTCGAGGAACCACATTCATGACACTAATAGCCGAATCCAAAAACTATATAAGTTCATCCAACTGAAGACAAATTATTTATGGTTTATTCTAAATTATTTTCCTGAGAAGGTTTATATATTTCTGTTATTTTTACATTATATATTTCCGTTTCAAATAAATCAACTCTTCTTCTTTTGATAAAGGCAATACTCAAAATATAGAACAGTTGGATCTAAATCTTTGAAACTTTTTATAATACTATGGTTATTAATTGTGTCGGTAAAACCTTTGAAATTATGGCCTGGAATTATCCAGACAATTTCACCTTGCTTGAGGCTGGGAAATTGGCTAGCAAAATTGGATATCGGGTCGCTAAGAGAGAGTTTAAGAGAGATTGGGAGAAATATAAGAAGGGCCACCAGAAAAGGAAGGCCGCTAGGGCGATAAAGAAAAAGAAAGCTAAGGAAATTAAATATGGCAAGAATAAAGATTTGAAAGAAAATATTGTGCAACAGGCTAGCAACCCAGAAAAGCAAAAAGAGCAGCCCAAAAGAAAAAGAGCTTGGTACCAAGTTTTGAGCTGGTCTGTTGATGACTTGGACGATTATTTAAAGAATAATCCTCAACCTCCAGAAAATCCAATTAAAGCGATGGTTAAATCTTGGTTTGAAAAAGAACCCACCAAGTTACCACCAAGAATTTGGATGTTGAACAAAGATTCAAGTCAAGAGTTTTCGGATTCTACTATAAACCGTAAAACGTTGACATCAGACACCGATGCTAAAGTTATAGAGCCAGAGGCTGTTGATGGTATAAATGGAAATGATCACTGTAATTCTGACTCTTCATTACTGGCAATGGAGGCATTAGTGTCTCTGGATTATATCAGTAATTCTTCTACTTATTCAATCAATGTAAAAAATTTACAATCAGTTACTAGTGAAAAATGGTCCATTTTCCGGAGTTTAAAAAAATGTACTTCATCTTCAACTCAAAAAATAAATGAAGAGCAGGATTCATCTCGATCAAAATCAAGATGGAGAAATTTTCTTGGGAAACTCAAGATAAGAACATCCAAAAGATCTAATGTACTCACTGAATTATCTTTACAATCTTGTGATCGTTCTTACGAGGACCCAAAAAGTTATCAGCATAATAAATTTGACTTCAAGTCCAGTTCTGTGCCATTTACTAGCGATGATGAGAAGTTGTTCAGTCACAAATCACCAAGTTGTCGTGGAGAAAGCACCACACAGACAGAACCAATTGGAAGTAGGGAATTGACGCCTGGCTATAATCCCAAGAAAGTAGCGCAGACACAAAAGACTGAAAATCAATGTCTTGATTTAGTCTGTAGTGATAATAAAACCGCCAACGTTTGTTCGGCTAGTAAAGACCTTATAGCTGGTAATAATGAACTAGTGAGTAAACAATTAATTTGTGGGGACAATTCAAATATCGCTACCAACATTGTTAGCAACAATGCTAGTAATAATGCTGCTGATAAATTGAGCATTGACGATTACATGAAGTTTTCTTGCACTAAAAATTGTGAAAATCTAACATCTTACTGTGAGAATATTCTCGATCAAAAATACATGATTGAGAGTGACTCAAACATTAGTGCTGAGCTGCAAAAATTATTTAAGACGCTTGATGATGAAATTGAATACTATTCAGAAAATCTCAAAAAGGATTGCAATAATATTTCCATTTCTGAATTTGACATTAGCGTTGTAAAACCTTTAAATATTGAACAGTTATCCATAAATGAGGAAGCTTCTATATGTACAGAGAAATTGAAAATTGTAGAGGCAAAGGTAGGGAATTCTGTCTCGGAAAATGGGGAAATTTCGAGACCTAATACCAATACCTCTGCCAACTCTGAGCATAATCCAGAACAAGCCGATCTCCAGGATAACGTTTCACAGGAGTTTATCAGGAATAGTATTGGTAATGAGCAAGTCTCAACTGAAAGTAGTATCCAAAAACAACAGATAGACAGGGGAACTCCATCTGTTATGCAACTATTCAGCAACTTTGTAGAAAATTCCATTAATCAATTGAAGAAGAGAGCTGATTTTACTCAGAATAAGGGGAACTGGGAAGGTGACCTTGGGACCTTACCAGAACAGTTACCCAATTCAATTGAAAAGGTTTGTGTAGATAACCTCAAACAGCAACAGCAACAACAACAAGTAGATCTGACAGGGAATACAATAGAATCAATCAATTCATCCAGCACCAGTAATGTGTTTGTTTCCGCAAAAGGAACAACTAAGGTAGGTTCAGATACTGTAGTGTCAGGAAGCAGTGACCATCCTCTTAATGGCGCCAAGCAATCTGCTGATGAAAAAACTGAGGTAATGACTAATGTTTCTCACGAATGTAGTGCTAATGAAAGTAAACTAAATGCCAACGGTAACATTGGCCTTGGTAATGCAATAACTTCCATTTTTAATGAAACCTGCAATAAATTGTCTAGTATGACATTCCCAGTCCTATTTAAAAAGCCTCTTCAGGACGAACCGTCATTTACAATATCAGAAATAGATGATAAGGAAAATAGAGAGTGTGATGTTATAACTGAAGAAAAAAGAGCTGAAATTCAAGAGCAAATAAAGAAATCAACAGCTGAGTTCAATATTTTCTTAAAAGAAAAAACTAAGCCCTTAGAAAAGTATGAAAACCTTTCCTATTGTCTACCAAATGTAATTGATGAATCTAAACTACATCCGAGGATTCAGGCTTATCAAAATGATAATAATGGCTTTAACAATGAAAATGTGGGATATTTTACATTGTTAGTTGCCTCTGATCGTGAATGGGAAAAGGAACGCCTAAAGAAGGAAGAGGCTACCAATAGCCTACCTATTCAGCATTGTACGTTGGATGGTTTAGACAAGGGGATTCAACAAGGGTTGAATTCTTATACAAGCTCAAATGTGGTCAGTCCTAACAAGCGCATAATAAGTTCATGTAAAGAAAAGAAAGAAGTACCAGAATGCCTGTTAGAGGGAATAAAGGAAGTTGACAATATAATTCAATTACAGGAGCCACTCATTGAACGCAAGGTATCTGAAATCACTAACGAGAGTTATAAAAGTGTACCGTCAACCAAATCCGTCTCCTTCAAAGCCGATTGTAGCATTCATTCAGTTTCTAAAAGTAAATCATGCACGGCAGGAACTTCGAAAAGCATCAAAGGTCCGACAGATCATGCAGCCAAACCACTCAAAAGCTGCTTGAAGAAGTCATTTATTAGTCCTGTTTCACTTGACAATAAAGTCAACGAGCAGTCTAGTAAGGAAGTAGGGGTAGCTTCTGAGAATGTCGGAGTTATATCTGTTACCTCTTTCCACGACAAATTACCTGATCAATTTGATGATGTAAATCACAGAGATAGTAGAGCAATCTCTAAAGTGCCTTCGGGTAACTGTTCTGTAGATCATCTACCATTAGATCCGGAAGTCGTTAATAAAGTACCTCCAGGTGAATATGACTCTGCAGTTGGTACAAATAAACAATTATATAACGAACCTTGTAGTAAACAAGATAGTTTTAGGATTGTGGAATCATTAAAAATCAAAAAGAACACTCCACCTCCACCTCCTCCACATGGGCAACTTAAGAAGAAGCCTCCTCCACCTCCACCACAAGGGCAACTTAAGAAGAAGCCTCCTCCACCTCCACCACAAGGGCAACTTAAGAAGAAGCCGTCACCATTGCCACAACCAGTAACCGTCACTGGATGTTTTCCTTCGGAAAGAGAATATCCTATCTGTACTGGGGAACAACAAAGCACTCCAAATAAGGTTGACGATGAATGCGTTACTGTCAATTCGCTATGTAGTCAGAACTTCTCATCAAAAATTGTGGATTGTGATGAACATAAGTATGACTCGGTGGCAAACGACTCTAGTCCAGATTCTATAATAGATCACCCAATTGCAAACTTAAATGGTCTTACTCCTGAGGAGTCTTTCGACAGTGAGACAGAAAGCATTGATTATACGTACGAGCTTGATGAGTTTGAGATAGCACTCCCTGAGTGGGTGAGAGAGAAAAGAGCAACGAAAGGTGAGTCAAAATTAGTTAAAAAACTAGACCATCGGCTCATTAAGAGTCAAGTAGATAAAAATGGGGTTTTTGTCTTTGGAACACCACATTACCATGATGCCTGTCCTGTTTGGGTAGTCGGCCCACATTCGAGATTAATTTCAGAGAAAGAAAAGGCTAATAACAAGCCTATTTATAAGAAAAAACTGCCAAAACGATTGAAACGTATCAGAAAGCGAATAGTTTGGCATCGTAATCGTATTGCTAAATCATACTCATCTCAGCCTCATATACGTTACCGTGTTATTGAGAATGCAGCTGATAATCCATATTTAGCTGAAGGGGAACATACTTTTGATGCAGGTTATAAAAAGGTTGGCGTGAATATGTATGATTTTGATATGGATGAATGGTTGCAGTCGGAACAAGATGTCGACGCTGGGGATGTTGTCAAAGTTGTTCCGGTAGCTAATCTTGACGTTAACCAAGAAAGGTTTTGGATTTCTTTATTCAGCGATCTTAAGACATTTGCAAAGATAGAGTTGAATATAAAACAAAAGAGACCAAGATTTTTATTGGCTGTCGATGAATGTGAGATTGATCAGGATAAATGTATAGTGGATGACATGAAAATACGTGGATGTTCCTATTTGGCAGATGAACCAAAAGATGAGATATTGCTAGAGAAACTTTTAGATGATTTCTACTTAGAAGATTTCGATCCATTAGCAGCTCTGAAGAATGGTTTTATGACAAAGAGCGAGGCTGAAAGAATAATGAAAGTACAGGAATTAAAAAAAAGAGGTTTAAAGGATACTCCTGAGTTTGAATTCCTGAATGATATTATCGGGGAGACAGAAGAAATGGTGTATAGTTTTGATAAGAATATGCCTATCGAGGATGCAGTTGCTTACGCTACGAAGGTTAAATCTTTGGCGATTGTAGAGTGCAGGGAGCGGCACAAGTTGAAGCTACCACCAATCGACTCTGAGGGTGTTGTCGTAAAATTCATCAAGAATATGGATAAAGTGTTGGCAAACGTCGATACTGAAATTACAGAGTTCTACATAAAAGGAGATTTGTATGATATCGCTCTCGAAGAAATCGTGCGCGATGTTCAAAAAGGAATCAGGCGAAAGAAGATGGAAGAGTATCGAAAGCGGTACGAATGGAGAAAAAAGATTCTTTGGGACGTTTAATGTCCAATTACAAATTTTTAATTTGTATTATAGTGTATTATAGATATAACGGCCCTCATGATAGGTGGTGCTGTAAATAAATACAAAAAAAAAAATAAAAAAAAAAAAAAATTAGAGAAACAAAAAATCCATTTAAATTATTGCTGTCTTGTGACATATAAGGAGCATTCACTTATACATAGTTATTTTTGCTTCACCTAATGAATAGAAATATATATTATTTTTTGATTATGAATTAAAAGGTATTAGTATTATATAATTATGCAAAAAAAGTGTTTCGTAAATACTACCAACGTGAAAAAAATAACTATGTATATAAATAGGATTTTTATTGTACACCAGTTAGGATTAGCCATCTAATGAATGGATCAACAGAATAGAATGTCACTAATTATCATAAATTCATGATTTAAGAACCAAAAATGTAAATTTCAAAGAGTAGAAATTTTGGCAATTGTAGTGCATTTAAATTTGAATTTAAAGTATTCTTAATCGCGATTAAAATCTTGAATAAAAAAAAATAATAAAGTTCAGACAAAGAAAAACAGTCAAAAAGGATTGCAATGGTATTTCTACAGGTATCAGAGAAATAGAAACAAATAAACATATGATAAAGCGGTTTGATCTGCATGAGGTGATATTATTGTTAGCGGCATAGTGTGTAAGTTGTTCCGCATACAATTCTTCTCAGTATTATTACACTCAAAAAGAAAGAAGAAAACCTTTTGCTTGGAACTGGAAACCCCCCGTTGTTGTGATATCTATTTCTTTGAAGATGTTCTAACTTGTTGCATCTGTACAGATACACTTGAGTCTTCATCGTCATTTGTCTCTAAGGATGAACTTGGACCAGCCGTAGTTCTTTGGAAGTTGGTTTGAGCAGGCCTTCTAAACTCTAGATCGATGTCCTCCTGCGGTACGTCTTCTGGTCTCAAGTATGCAGACTCTGGTTGTGTGAGCCCGTCGAAACCAGGTGGAGGGCCATCTGGCCTAGCGACCTCGCCATCCAGAGCCGGTGGTTGAAGCATTTCAGCCTTTGCGTTCTTGTGGAAGACACCGTTGGCATCGTAGTAGCCCAGATCGTTGGCATTTGTGGTCTCTGTGTATGTAGGAACGTACTCCTCTACATAGTTCTGGGTATGGTTGTAGTCTCTTTCGGACTGTCTGTACGACGGAGGCGTCATCCACGCAGTGCCGTAAATCGGAGCCCTACCGGTGGCAGTCCTTCGTCTGTTGATTCGGAACGTAAGCAACGTCATCAGAAGAATACCAACAACAAATATCACAAACAGGATCCACCGACCCCACACCCACGACCCTCTCCCATACGGATCATCATCAGTAAACCCATCGTTATTATTATCCCCAGTTGCCCTCTTATAAGCTATCATTGATCTCCTTTGTGTGAAATTTTTTAGCCAAATTTGTAATATTGGAAATCTACGTCCTGTGTCCTCTAAATTTCAAAAGATATGCTAGGGTAGTTAATTATTAGATGATTAGCTCTCACCATAGCACTTTTTATATTTGTATTATTTTGCATTATGAATTTTCTTCCACAGTAGCACAGCAACAGAGCAAGCAGAGTAAGAGCAGAAGGATCCCTAAACACCGACTGGGTTACTTTCCCCCACTATAAGCCTTGCTAAGAAAAGCCTTCTAAACCTTCCTTCCCACTATAAACCCGTAGGAAGCCTCTTTCTGTATTTTTGATTTCACTCCTCCACACAAATGCACAATCGCCTGCAGAGAGTTATTCGCCACATGTCACTGCGTACGCATTTAATCTTTAGCTTTTAGTCTTATTAGTCTAACAGTCTAACAGTCTAACAGTCTAACAGTCTAAGAGTCTAACAGTCTAAGAGTCTAAAAGTCTGCTAGTCTCTCCATCTCTTAGTCTCTAGCTTCTGGCTTCTCCCTTCAAGCCACACACAATTTCTAAAGAAGATCGCCTCCTTCAAACACTAATCGGCTCCATCACATCTGACTCCTTAACCACATGCACTTGCATCCACATGAACGGTCAGTATATAACACAATACGAAAAAAGAAAGAAAAGAAAAAACTCATTATAGATCCGATTTACATTCTTGGCGTCGGGGTTATATATATGAGTAGTTCTAAGAAGGGTGTACGGGTGTATCTGTTGCAATCGCTTTTCTTAGTGCTTCTCATCTCCCTTTTTTTAAGTCTTGTGTGGTCATCCGCACACCACACTTTGCATTTGACACTTGCACAGTAGCCCTATGTAAGTTCGCATCTACATCAAATGAACTACACTCAGTAGGCAGTACATAGTATATAGTACGAAACACAACTGTCCTTGCCTGGACATTGGAAGATACGGATGACTCGCATGACTTACCGTGACATAAGTGCTGTCAAGGGGGGGAATTGCAACTTTCTTTTCATTATAAGGGGAGGTGGAAGTATTAACGAATGAGTTCTCAGTATCGAGAAAGTTGATTGCTTTGACTCCGTGTAGTTCAGATTGTACTATACTCGGAAAATATAGAGTGCCATCCCTCCCCCCCATCCAGAACTAAATTTCTTTTGCGCTAAATACTTGTATTGGCCCACCTTTCCAAAAACTGCAATTCAGAACAATTAGTACACTGTTTTTTTTTAACTACTATATATATAAGTGATTTTTGTCCATTGGTAAGGGAGCATTTTTTTTAAGAAAATCATCTAAAGGATTCACAAACAGAATTAGAAAATCTCTCTATCTGAAAACTGATCCACACTATAAAATACGATCATTTTTATCTCCTATTTATCTGCAATTCTGACTTCTGAATTATCGCTAATATACAATAAGTGGTTAATTTGTCTGCAATAGTGAAAGGATCCCTTTGCAAAGAGTTATTAAAAAACCAACGAAAAATAAAAAAAAAAAAGGATCCTCCCTTTACTTTTTTTAATTAATATTCCGAATCAAAAAAATAGAAAAAGCACGAGCTATAGTCCACAGAATAGGAGTCTCTCTGACCTTTCAAGAACAATTGTCGAGTATTCATTACATTTCGCTACACCTACTAACTCGCAATTCGTCTCGCAGGTAAAAAAAAAAAATAAAACAAGGAGACTATCAACTCCCATAAATTACTAGTGAAAACCCTCTCGCTGAAGGAAAACTAAATCTAAATCTAAATCTAAATCCAAAACTCACCAAAAAAATAGTGCAATAATGTCTGACCCCATGGATGAAGGGCCTTTGGGCAAGGGTGCTGTGGCCACACCAGCAATGGTCGAGAAAGTCGCTAACGAGAGTCCAAAGAAGACAAGACCAAGGAGACTGTCCTCGCTGAACGAGTTCTATGACCCTTTCTCCACAGCAGAAGTCTATTACGGTCCCGCTACCGACCCCAGGAAGCAGAAAAAGAGCTCGACTAAGCTCAACAGGACAAGAACCATGAGTGTCTTCGACAACACTTCCATCGCCAAGACCACTGCCAGCTTCGGCCAATTCCAATTGAAAAGAAGGGGTTCCGAGGACGACAGTCTAACTGCAAGTCAAGGTAACAGAAAGTTCTTCATCGAGGATGTCGACGGCACCCTGGAAGAACTTCTATCCAGCGAAGACACAGACCGTAATTATCAGATCACAATCGAAGACACCGGCCCAAAAGTGTTGAAAGTCGGTACCGCTAACTCTGGAGGTTACAAACATGTCAACATTAGAGGTACCTACATGCTTTCGAACCTTTTACAAGAACTTACAATTGCAAAGAGTTTTGGTAGACACTCCATCTTCCTGGATGAAGCAAGAATTAACGAAAACCCAGTGAACAGATTGTCAAGATTGATCACCAATCAGTTCTGGAATAACTTGACTAGAAGAATAGATTTGAATAACATCGGAGAAATTGCTAGTGATACTAAAGTTGACACACCAGAGGCAAAGAACCCTAGAGTCTACGTCCCATACAACTGCCCTGAACAATACGAATTTTACATTCAAGCATCCCAGATGAACCCTTCGATGAAACTCGAAGTCGAATACTTACCAAAAGATATAACCCCGGAGTACGTAAAGTCATTGAATGCAACACCTGGTTTGCTGGCTCTGGCAATGGAAGAACACGTCAACCCAGCAACTGGTGAGGTGTCCCTAATTGGTTACCCATATGCAGTTCCAGGTGGTAGATTCAATGAACTATATGGTTGGGATTCTTACATGATGGCACTGGGATTATTGGAAAGTAATAAGGTCGACGTTGCCCGTGGTATGGTAGAACACTTTATCTTCGAAATTGAACATTACGGTAAGATATTGAATGCTAACAGAAGTTATTATCTGTGTAGATCGCAACCACCATTTTTGACTGATATGGCTTTAGTGGTATTCAACAGAATTGGTGGTGATAATAACCCAAACGCAATCGATTTCTTAAAGAGATCTTTCAAAGCCGCTATCAAGGAATATAAAACGGTCTGGATGGCTCATCCAAGACTAGATCCAGAAACCGGTCTATCATGCTATCATCCTGATGGTTTAGGTATTCCACCTGAAACAGAACCTACTCATTTCGATAGTATATTAACGCCATACGCTGCAAAGTACTATTGCACAATTCCTGAGTTCATTGCGATGTACAACGATGGCTCAGTAAAGGAACCTCATCTTGACGAGTTTTTCTTACATGATCGTGGTGTTAGAGAATCTGGTCACGACACCACTTATAGATTCGAAGGTGTTTGCGCATATCTAGCTACCATTGATCTCAACTCACTGCTTTACAAGTACGAGGTCGATATCGCTAATTTCATAGAAAAATATCATAACGATGAATACCATGATCCATTTGATGGAACAGTTACCAATTCTGCTTACTGGCGCGATCTAGCAGCTAAAAGAAAGGAAAATATAACTAAATATATGTGGGACGAAGAGACTGGTTTCTTTTATGACTACAATATCAAAGTGAAGTGCAGGACTAACTATGAGTCAGCAACTACGTTTTGGTCTTTATGGGCAGGATTAGCAACTCCGGAACAAGCAAAAAAGATGGTTGAATTAGCATTGCCGAAGCTTGAAATGCTAGGTGGGTTGGTTGCTTGTACAGAAGAGTCCAGAGGACCTATTTCTATTGATAGACCTCATAGACAGTGGGATTATCCTTTTGGTTGGGCACCACATCAAATACTTGCTTGGGAGGGCTTAAATGATTACGGTTACACCTCTGTTGCAACGAGATTGGCATACAGATGGTTATTTATGATGACCAAAGCATTTGTTGACTATAACGGTATTGTGGTAGAGAAGTATGATGTTACACGAGGCACTGATCCTCATCGTGTTGATGCTGAATATGGTAATCAAGGTGCAGACTTCAAGGGGGTTGCTAAAGAAGGGTTTGGCTGGGTTAATACTAGTTACATATTAGGGTTGAAGTTCATGAACAGTCATGCTAGAAGAGCGTTAGGAGCATGCATTCCCCCAGCACCATTCTTCAATAGTTTGAAAGATGATGAAAAGAGCATATATGGTCTTTAAATTGAGACTCTTTATCTTTATATTCCAGATGATATGTAGTGTATTTAAAATATTCACAATGCTGTCTAGAATAATTTTATGATTCTATTGAGAAAAGATCTTCATCTTAATTCCTAAGTATTCGTTTGAAATAACTTCCATAACCATACTAAAACTTTCAACGAATTGTGTAACAAATTATTTTTCTTCAAGTAACTTTCCGACTTCGGTAGTCATGGCCAAATATATATATTAGTTATAATACAAATTAAATATATTTATTTTAATTTTTAAATTAATTATTTATACTTTTCTTTGATCAGCTGATTAATTGGATAATAAATGTTAAAGAATTTCCTAAGTTTACGTTAATCAAAATGCTCCAGTATAGTATTTACACACAATAGATTCGTTGTATTAGAATGTATATATGTCTAAGTTCGGTTAGCTATCATGTCTACAGCAATATTTACTAGTGATACAACAACTTCCACAACCACCAACACAATCACAATAAGTTCTAAGTACTCTTCGTGAGAATGTCCCAATTGTTCTTTTAACATTTGTAACAGATCAGAAATGACTTCCAATCTCTGATTTAAGAGTGCGACACGCTGATTAATTTCTAGATATCCCCTTGTAGCCTGATAAATTGGTTCAAGCTGAGGTTCGGACCACATTATTTCTGGTGAATCTAAAACTGAACCATGTAGGTTGATATTAATTCTCAAAATGAACAACTCACCTATACTTTTCATGATTTCTTCTTTACTCATAGAAACTTTACCACTCGATGCAATCTCTTGCGGAATGTCTTGTGTGTCTTCGATTGTATTATCTACTAATTCTTCAAACAAAGATATTTTAACACTTTGGGCGATTGCATGTGATATGGACAATTTTATCATATAGTTGGAACCATCTCTTAATGTAATGAAATCATTATAAATTCTAGGCTGATAACTTTGTGTAACATAGTAATTGAACTCTTCAATTTGGATATCTTCTTCGGCCAGTTTTTCTTTTTCAAATTTCTCTAAGTCATTCAAGAATGCCTTTTCCTCTCTTTCAGTAAAGCCCCACAAGACAATAACACCATACTCAAAGATGAATATATCAGGATGTTTATCACTTACGTTTATCTCACCACCTTCATCATCAAGTCTTATCACGTCTTCATGTTCGAATCTTTTGTCGCCCCTCCAATCATTGTATAAAAAGGGTGTATATAGACATTCATCAAATAGTTTTGGATGTGTATGATGCGTTTTCTTCGAGTCCTTTAACCACCTTATCAAATCCTTCATATTATAACTACTGGCAGTACAATATGAGGTACATCTCGGTAGCAAATGTCTGTGTGCTTTTCCAAGCTTTTCAGCATCTCTTCTTGCATTCTTATCTGTTATTCTATTCACTTGAGAATAAACATCCCTATCTCGGAGTTCTGAGACTTCTTCATCTCTATGGAAGGCCTCTTCTGGTAATAATTTTAGCTTTTGAGCAGTTCTAGATGTACGCTGAGCACCATTTCTGATTTGTCTGCCAGTAACCTTTGCTATATTAGATATTCCTTTTGTCTTAGAATCAATTATGCCAAGTTTACCATCCTTGCTGTCACTAATACTTCTATCTGAATTTACTGGTCTTGGTATATATTTGGCTTGGCTATTTTCACCCATATCGTTCGACTTGGAGCCTCTATTAAGCAGGGCGTCGGATTCTTCAGACATGTTTTACTGGCGTTATGTTTGTATATATAAACCCACGTGAATTCCTAGCAGAAACGGAGTTTCTCTCAGTTTTATTCTTGGTAGTAGATCTGCCTCCTCTCAACACAATAACTTATGACTTACTAACAAGGCGTTGGCTTATCTAAAGCTTTCTAATCTTAAAGTGGTGCTTTTAAGGTATTGAACTGTCAAGAATTTGCAAAAAAACTGAAAAATCATTGAATTTTCAGAATATATAATACTGGAAGACAGAAAAGGTCTGGGATATATGGATGGCAAGGAGACTCCAAAAAAGAATATTAAAGCATTACTACTAAATTTGAAAGTTTCTGTGAATATCATAATAGCTAACATTCCAGTGAAGTTGTTATTTAGGTTAGAGGGAAGGGAAAACATACGAGAATATAAGTCTGAGCAATGGATGCAAGAAATCTCAGTGATGAAGAATTGAAGCGTAAAGTTGAGGAGCTGAAAGAGAACAATGAGGTGATTGGATTAGCATTACAACGATCTAGGTTATCAGTTAAAAGACTTAAGCTGGAATATGGTGTACTTCTCGAAAGATTAGAGGCGCGCGCTGACATGGACCCTGATGTAGGAACGTTTAACCCACTACCATCACTAGAAAACTTCCAGAAGGAGCTTATGTCTACACCTTTGAAGAAGCCGAAGACACGTAAACAGAAACTGAAAGAAAGAGATCCAAATATGCCGAAAAGGCCCACGAACGCATATCTATTATTCTGTGAGATGAACAAAGAGAAGATAAAAGAGGGTGGTTCTGTAGATGTAACCAAAGACTTAACGGAGAGTTGGAAAAACCTTAGTGAACAAGAGAGGAAACCATATTATCGTCTTTATAATGAGGATAGAGAGAGGTATCAAGCAGAAATGGAAGCCTATAACAAGAAATCAAAAACTGAAGATGCTGGGAAGGAAGATTCCATGAGTAAAAATAGCTCAAAACAAGAAGATTCAGATCAAACGTCCAACGAAGTTGAGAATTAAAAGCATATTAAGTTATGTCACCATTTGCTGAGGGTGTAATATTCGGTTATGTTAATGAGGCTATTGCTGATATGACTTATAGTAATAGAATCTCTATGGAATATAATAGATCCTCCTTATTGAACTGTATTCTTATTTTAATTTTTATTGTAGCTTAAGTAGTCAATACATAATGGCCAACAGTTGTAAGTTGGTAGCATTGAAAAACTTTATGTTTAGTTACGAAAATGGGAACTTATTATTTAATGTAATAATATAATATTATGCAATAATTCAATATGAAATAAAATTATGTATATGCAAGTGATTCCTATGCAAATGTTTAATAGCTAAAAACACCTACCTAAATCCTCTTCTTTTTGTTTTTCCTCTGGTAGTAACCGTTTTCATCCCTTTCATGCTTACGCTTCTCTCTAGATCTTGCGTGCTTCTTCAACTTCTTTGCAGCAGCAACGTCAGGAGCAGTAACAGCTAGAACTGACCTCTTATTCTTTCTTTCTAATCTTCTTCTATAAACCATTTGCTTTACGTTGGCGTATGCCTTAGAGAAAGCTGAGACAGAGACAGAGTCTTCCAATTGCTTCATACATTCTTGGGACGAAGTAACTAATTCCGACTCCTCATCTGTTAACCTTGAAACATCTGACTTTTCCAAATAAATGTAGAGCGAAAAGAGAATAATTTCAAGAACAGATTCTAATGCTTCGGCATTTAGCATTTGAGTTAACAAATAAAAGTATTGAATAGCAAACTTTTTCGAGAAGAACGTGTCGTTACGATTCTCTTCACTTCTAATAATCCCACCGATTGAAGAAACAACATACTCGATTGCTGTAGAATAGCGATTGATGCTTTCTGTGGTTTCACCAAATGGTATATAGGACACGTTGTTTTTATTCCAATATGATGAAACTTTCAATAGTGTCTTAATTGCTGTTTCAGCAAGTGCTTCAGGGATTGAAGGAGCTCTTAATTGATGAATGATCTTCGATGTAATGATTTGTATGTCGGAATTCTCATACATCCAATTGTCCTTTTCAAGGTGGTTAAATAGGTCACAAACCAGTTTACCAGAAGCTTGACGGACCCAAATATGAGGATACAACAAACATTTAATTACACTATCCCATATATTTTTGTACTCAGAATTGAAAACCTCAGGATTTTTATTTGTAAATACAGTGAAAACAGCTAAAGCAGAATAAATGAGATCCCATTGAGTCTTAGAATTTTCATCAGTATTATGCAATGTCTTTATGATGGCTTTTGTTGCTTGATCATCCAATTCAGCTGAGTGACCAATTCCCAGACCCTCCAAATACACTTTGTATATCCTTAATCCCAAATTCAAAAATGCATCATTTTCTAGCTGTTTGAGCCAAGCCGAAATATACTTAACAATAGTACGCAATGCAGTTGCGTCAAGGCGAGGTAACATATTGGTTAATATTATAGTAGCCATTTCACGGCACCTTGGTGAATCATCATTTACAGATACGTTTGCCAAACCAATGAAAAAAGATGATGCAAGCTTCGACAACAGCTCCGGATTAGCCTTAGTAACAATTAAGTTGATTAACTCCATGACCGATTGCTTACCATCCGGTGCTGGGTATTGTAAGTTATCGACCATAAACTTAAACTGCTTCTCTAATCTACCCTTACTTTGATCATATTCCATCAAAAAGTGATAAAAAACACTACGTGCAACATTTCTAATGTCTTTGGAATGGTTTGTTATCATGATTTCTCTGACAGTCGTCATAATGTCATACAATTCAGGTAGCATCACTTGCTTAGAGATCAAGGACTTCAGAAAATTGAAAGCTAGACCTTGTTTGTTTGGTTCATTAAGATCTGGAAGGATTCTTTGAAGGACGTAACTTAAGGCAACATTTTTTAGTTTCATCTCTTTATGTTTGATCGCCGCCGACAAATATTTAATTGCCATTTGGCAAAGTTCAGAACCGGTTGATGGCGAGTCTTTTACAATATTCAGAGCCTTTTTAACGCAATTCTTGAATAAGTTTTCTGTCGACATTTCAAAATCTATCTTTACTAATATTATCAAAACTTTGAGGGTACTGATCAGCACATTTTCATCATCAGAGGTTAATGATTGTTGTAACAGTGGTACAAAACCTTGCAAGTATTTGGCTTGCATTAGGGATTTATGCCGAGTAATTACAGTTCTGAGCAGATCTAATGAGAATTTTTGGAATGTATGAGAGAGCAATGAATATTCAGTAACAACTCGTTCCTTTTTAGCGTTCAAATTCACCAAAAAGAATTCTTCCTGTTCTGTCACAGTAGCTTTTGGCCTGTTGTACTTCTTCTGCTCTACATCTTGATTGAATATTTCGTAACAGAGTCTTAATGAGTTTATTTCAGCAGCCTCAGTATTGTGGTTGATACCTAACGCATAATGGCGCAATAGCTCTTGTAGTTTATTCTGACTCTTGAAGCTGACACGCTCCATCAACAACATCTTAATAGGCTTTAAAATTGTACTAAATTCTTGTAGACTAATATTTGCCGCTAATACTTCTCCAGTGTCATAACTACGATTGACTTTCACTTCCTTCATCTTTGTGTGATAATTGTCAGAATCTTTCTCTTCACCTACCGCACCAAATACATCTTCCATTATCACTCTGACAATTAAATGGGCTGAATCATCAAGATCTCCATGATTTAGATCATCAACGATAGTTCTTAAAACATGATGAACTGTGTAACTCAAAACATGAACTTGGGAACCTCTCTGAAGAGCAGAAACTAACTCCTTAATAATAAAGACAATATATTTTGCACCCAAAATAACAACAATTTTAGATAGTGACTGTCTGACAGCATCACGTAGCTCTTCTGATTTACTTCTTAAAACTTGACATATACTGGTCAACACACCAGGAAGTAAAGTGATCTTATCATCTTCATCAAGACCCAATAGAATATTGATTATACCCTCTGACAATGGCATTCGTGCTACAATAGTATCGTCATTTCTGGTTCCCAATATTTTTGAAAGAGTTGGGTATAATTCATGCTTAATAAAGCTTTCAGCATCATTAAAGTTATTTGGAAATTTTCTCATTGTTCTACTATTGATTTTTTCATCAGATGAGTTTCTCTTTGCAGTAAGAGTATTCTTTAGAGCAACAGAAACACTTGTAATCAAAAGCACAGACTGTTTCAAAGCAGTATCTTTCGTCTTCAGCAGGTGAATATATCTACGCATTAAGGCCTTATATTGATTCCAACTCATAAAATTTGCGAGTTCTCCTATGGTGATTAAGGATTCATTGGCAATATTTCTGAATTTTTCTTCATCTGAAAAAACATATTGCTCCGCGATAGGAATTAAATAATGGGAAATACTATTGTCAGAAAGTTCACTTGCGACCTCCTTCAATCTTCTAATTGCTCTTTGACGACGATGGAGTTGCACATGAGCAATATTTTTAAAGAAGCTCGCTTCTTCATCATCACCAAATGACAAAACCTGCATATCTGCCATGTCATTATAGTACTTGGAGTTTTGAACAATGTATTCAAGCAAGGCAATATATTCCGTTTGAATCTCATCATTGTACTTTCTCAAGCCAGATTTGATTTGGGGTAGAATGATACTCTTCAAAATGGTAATACCTGGTTTTGCTTCCTCAAAACTCGATTTCTCGTTGATATATTTTACAAATACAGTCAATGTATGTGTTGCATTTGTTCTCACTGCCAATTCCTCCTTATCATTGATCAAAAAGAGACATGTATGAACAACGGGGAACCATTGGATTTCGGAGTAGTTACAGTAATCTTCCTCTGTAAATTTCTTAAACGCTGATAACATAACTGGGAAATCGTACTCCTGAATTCTTCTATTCGAATACGAGTTTAAAGATTTCATTAAGGAGGCAACCTTTTCAAGCTCATCAAACCTCTCAGAAAAAGCACTTAGAACATCATTGACACCTAGCCTTGTCTCTTTGTCTGCACAAGTTTGATAAAAACCGGAGAGAGTTCTGAAAAGGCTTTCTAAATCAGAAAATGGCATTGTACTAACAGGTATCAGGGTCTTTAAAACATTTAACATTTTAGTAATAATCTTCGGGTTATTAACGTTTTTATTACTTTCCAATATTAATGTCAAAGAAGAGAGTAAGTAAGAAATTGTCTCATCATCTTGAACATAACCATTTTCTGTCAAATTAACAAGTACCTCAATTGCAATTGAGATTGAATCTGAATTTCCTAGTCGCTCATACAGTGTTGGCAAACTCTTCAGTGTCGAGGTTGAAATAATTGTGACTAGTTCAACATATTCAGCATCTTGAGCTGGTCGTGTGATTACATCATTACAAGCTGTCAAGATTGAAACCAAAACAGGCTCTTTTGTATGTGGATTATGCAATAATTCTACCAAAGCCTTAGTGCATGAAAATGAATTATAGTAAAGGAACCTGTACAACGATTCATTCCCTGACCATTGGACCATTATTCTCATCAGGGATGATATTTGTTGGGCATTCTCCACTGAAAAGTTAGCTAAACGTGGTTTGAAAGCACATTCATAGATATCTTTGATATACGGGTCCCAGTTCAGGTCATCACCAAGTGTATCAAAGAATTCACTCAGGCACTTTAACGAGTGTTGACGAAGAGTTGAACCAATCTTTAAAAGATGTGATTGATCACTGTCTTTGAGATTTGCATCGCTACCACAAATATAATATGAAGAACTGATAACAAACAGGAGGGGTTTCAATACTGTTGCTAACTCTATAGAAAATTTGCTTCCAAGAGTGCCAATAACACCACTCATTAATGTAACAAAACCACTCATACGCTTCAATGTTCCTTGTGTTAGATCATCTTTATCAACAGCGTACTTTTTATCAAAGAACTTTTCAAATGCAAGTCCATTGTACGTTAAACTCAGAAAATCAATAATGTACTTTCTCTTAAAATTGGGCAGCACAGAAACCACTGCATACTTACTACTTTTCTTAGAGCCACTAGTTATTGGAGTTTGAGCTCTGCCATAAAGTATTCTTAAAATATAAGGCATTAGTTTTATCTCATGCTGCTCTTCCAGCTGATTTTTTTCTTTGTTGGCAAAAAAAATAGTAATTTCATCTTTAAAAAGGGTGTCATTCAACAGATTGCTTAGGTTATCCTTATATTTATTCACAGCTGGCTCCTTGTAAGCAAATATTGCATCAAGTGCCAATTTTTGAACTTCAGTGTTCTTGCTTCCCAGTAGTGTTAAAAGTCTGTTGTGAAGTTCGTCAGATTTGTAAACATTCTTAATGTTCTTGAATTTGGATAAGACTTTTAACAATACATTTCTATCAGCCTCAGTCCAGTTTTTCGCAGTTTTTTCACCATTGAAATCGTTGTCAAATAGCTCCTCGTATTCTACTTGGTTGAAGAAGTACGTTATGATATCTGCAAAATGCTGTTCCGCTAAATGTGGTACTAATAGCATGACCTTTAATGTTTGATTTCTAATTTGCCCTGGGTATTGGAAACTACCTCTCAAATCCTTACTTAGTTCGAATATCGACTCATTTTTGTTAAAAAAGCGGTTCCAGATTTCTCTGAAATTATTGATTGTATTAGTCAGTCTATCAACACGAGAATCCCACAAGGACACTGGTGAATCAATATCCATGAAAGTTTGTGGATACGAACTTATAATAGGATGCTCTAGGACATTGATGAATTGTAAAATTAGCTTCCATACCAAATCTGGACATTTACCAGTAGTTGCAGACAGAAAATCGTTTACACCATCCCAAATAGGAGAGAATCTGATTGTCAGTAAACCAAACATGTGAGAAATTACTAGTTTAATTTCGGGACTCCCTCTTTCAATTTTTAAAAATGGTGCTGACATAGCCCGTATTCTCGCGGTTAGAGCCCTACCATTGTCTAAAGATAGGGGAATTTCCTCAATTATTTTACATTCATTAATCAATTGAGGAACTTCACTAGAACGTAATTCATATAGTGTAGAGATCAATACCAAAGTTTCGTATCTGATCTTGGAGTCAGGAAGCACCAAATTTTGCTGAAAGTTCTCTAGATTATCAGTTAGCAAGCTATCAATTATTGTCTTAACACTATCAGTATTACCAGTCTTCCTTAAAAGGTATGTTATACTTTTAACAAAAAATACACTATCTCTGTATGCGCCAAATGAATGCACTAGTTTTTCCATAATATTTATCAAAATATTATTTTCATCAGACGGTATCGCTAAGATTAAGTTACCTAGTAGATCCTTTTTCATATCACTAGGATTGCTAGCATCTGAGATCAGGTTGAGTATGACGTTAATTACTGGATCCGATTCTTGTACATCACATTTTTTCAAAATAACAGACATCCAATATAGATCAGCAAGCTGTTCTTCTGTAATTTCTTTATCATTGATAGTCCTTAGAGTATCTAGTAACGAGTTTACTAATCCAGATGGAATTTTTATTCTCAAACGGTTTTGTAATTGAGTGTTCTGTTCAAGTTCGAGTAGAAACAAGGACAAGTTTTGACCTTGAGATGCCCAGTTTTCTTCCAGGAAAACGTTCGCGTACTTATCACCATTGTAAGATGAGATTTTGTCGGGACATAGGTCCATGCAGTATCTTAGGAAAGCGAAGTAGTCATCTGTGAACTTCGTCGCGTAAGTGCTGAAGAGCAACTTATGCAGTTGGGTCATCGATCTAACATCTGCGTTTCTGAACAGCGCAGCGGAGTAAAATGCAAGGTTGGATGAAGAGCAGTTTTCGGCATTGCATGACTCCAGGATAGACTTGGTGATGGAGACCACGGTTTCCCAGTGTGGTATCTTCTTACCGCTTTCAGAAAAGACGAGGGTAGCCATGATCTGCACGACGGTGTTGGTGTTCTCGGGGCCGAGTTTCTCTGTGATGTGCTGGAATATCAACTGGTACACGGGTGCCAGGTTCTCTGCCGCAGTGTGTTTGGAGATATTCATCCAGACATCGCAGAACAGTGTAGTGCACACGGGGTCCACTGCCTGTGGAGTGAGCACCTTTGTTATGAATGCTGTGAGTATGATGTTGGACTTGGAGTGCAAGGACCCCTGTGTGGAGACCAGCGACTCTGTGAACAGCGTCAGTAGACCCTCGTAGTAGTGTCCTTCTTCCTCGTTTTCGGACAGTTTCGCAAAGAAGTAATTCAGCAGCGCGGGCAGGTTCTTTGCGGATGTCTTTCTTATCAGGAAAGAGAGGGCCTCGGCTGAGAAGCGGGACAAGTATTCCCTGTGGTGTGAGAGCAAAGGGAAGAGCAGCTCAGAGGTCTGTGCGAGGTCTGCGGTGAGCAGTCTGGACAGGTACTTGAACAAGTACGCCAGGCAGTTGAACGCCCACTCCAGCACCTGGGGGGACTCGAGGGAGCCGGCGTCGCTGATCAGCGCGATCAGCGAGTCCATGGCCGGCTTGTAGAACGGCATGAAGTCTGGGCCCAGATCGTGACAGAACTGCGCGAGCATGTCCAGCTCCGGCTGCAAAGAGAGCTCGTCGTGCTTGTCGATGGCCTCGATCAGCAGCGCGCACACCTGTTTGCTGTGGAACAATATCTGTGGCAGCGTCTGCACCAGCGGCTCGAGCTGCGGCACGAGCGCGGTGAAGCTTGCGGAGAGATTGATATCCTTCCAGTGCTCAAAGGACGCGAGCAAGTGCGAGGACTCCACGTAGTCGTGCGCCCGCTTCTCGAGGTTCCGGGCGGGCTCAATGCGCAGGTCATCGATCCTGCTCTTGAAGGAGGAGTACCTGTACCTCTTGGTCGTCTTCGTAGTGGTCTTCTGCTTCATCCCAGTGTTTGCCAATTGGTTCTTTGCAGTTGTATAAAAAGAGTGTTAGTGGTTTTTATTTGCTACAACACCACTATATACCCGATGAGCTTATGCGATGAGCTTATGCGATGAGCTTATGATGCGATGAGCAAAAGGCACTTGGGCTAGTGAACCGTAATAAGTGACTGATAATTTTTCAGTCACCAAACACGTACATCCCACATAACGAATACATGTGAAAAATCACACTACACGCAACCAATCAACCTATTCCAAATCTAAAAAAATGCAAAATGACGTCATATTATTCCCTCGAGGCAAGAGACTTCCCCCCCTCCCTCCGCAGTTTCTCTGGGGCCGCGGTTTAGCGGGATTTGTGCTGCTTCTGCATCTGAGAAGTGGCGCGCCCTCAGAAAACCGCCGTAGCTCAAATGGTGTCACTGCGCAGACGTTCCCAGGAAGGGCAACACCGCCGTGGGCATCGCAGCTGCTTATTGTTGTTGTGCGGGTGGTTCTACGTGTCTGTATATGTCTCTGCGTGTCTCTGCGTGTCTCTGCGTGTGTCTCTGTGTGTGACAGGTGAAATCAAATATTAAGCCGGGTAAACTGCTAATTTCAACAAATCCTCGAAGCTTGGCACAAGTTGGAAGTATATAAACGAGGAATAGTCAGACGTTGAGCTTTCTCCCCCAAGTCACAAGGAGGAAACCATACAACTGTGCCATAACACTGAAGTGAAAAAAGGATGAAGCTGTTGACTAAGGAAGAGATTGAGGCCCACAGGTCGCACACGCTGTCGGGTGGTATTCAAGGCTGTGTTGCGGGTCTTGCGGTGAGTGCGCTGATGTTCAAGTTTTTGCCTAGGCGGTACCCTAGCTTCAACCCTGCGCGCATGACCTGGTCTATCAAGACCGCGCTGTTTATTACGCCTCCTACGCTGCTGACCGCTATCTGTGCCGAGGAGGCCTCGAACAACTTCGACGCAACTATGTACAGCTCAGGGTCCTCCTCGAAGGACGCCATCGAGGAGCACCAGCGCTGGAAGAACTTGCCCTTGAAGGACAAGCTTGTCGAGGGTCTGTCCAACAACAAGTACAAGATCATCACCGGTGCGTGGGCCGCCTCTCTGTACGGGTCCTGGGTGCTGGTCGACCGTGACCCGATCATGACCACCGCCCAGAAGGCCGTCCAGGCCAGAATGTACGCCCAGTTCATCACCGTGGCCTTGTTGCTGGCCTCCGTCGGTCTAAGCATGTACGAGGCTAAGCTACACCCCGACAAGAAGAAGCAAGGCGAGAAGAGACGCTGGGAGAAGGCCCTGCAGTACGCCGAGCAAGAGGAAAGAGAGGAGGCAGAGGCCAAGGCCCGCGGTTTTGTCTCCAACGAGGACAGAGTCAACGCCAAGATCTACAAGTACAAATAAATGCCCCTGATACATTTCTCCTATCTGGCTCCTGCGCTAGAACGAAGCCCATCTCATTCTCCCTAAGTTATAATATTTTCTGAGTTTCTATTTTTTTTTCAGTTATTCTTATCCACACCATACAAATATTCCAGTTTGGTCAAATAATCTACAGACCCTATATTTACTCTCATATGAAGCTAACGACGCAACTATCTCTTAATGTAATGTAATAAATACGTTTATTTAACTTTTATGCAGCTCTGATTAGCTCATCATCGGCCCAGTGACTTGCAACGGGATAGGGGACGCAAATCACGGACCCGCAAGTGAGTTCGATGCCCGCAGGCCGATGACTTGCAATAGGGGAAGATCCCAAAAAGTATATAAACTGGTGACTATCTCTTGTGCTAATGCCTCTCCCCCAGTTGGGGGAGCACCCCACAGAACAGCACAGTCTAACAGTTGAACATGGGGGACGAGTTGCTAGGCGACAAGAGGTTTTTGCGCATCCAGAGGTTGAACTCGCCGGATGACGGTAGACGTCACTCATTGCAGATAGACAGTGAGGAGCACCTATATGAGCACAAGGAAATTGCCGTTGATGAGACACACCGTGAGGTTGAAGAGGACATACCTTCGGAGACGCACACTCCGCCTGAGTTGAGGCAGACCATTGAGGTAACGGAGAAGCCTGTGGGCGATGGCGAGGTGGAACAGACTGTGAAGATTAACACTGAACGGATGAACTCCAACGGCAGTGGAAAGGACATGGAGGACAAGAACGTCGAGAAGATATCTAAGAAGTTCAAGACCAGGTACCAGAAGGGCACCCAGGATTTCAGGTCGTACTTTGACGACGTTGCATTTGAGTTCAGACCAAGTATCTTCGATGTGTCCATCAATGAGCCTTACCAGACCAAGTTTGCTGGTCCTACTCTAGAGGCATCCATCAAGTCCAAGGAGAAAGAGTTGCGTAAGCTGCGTCGTGAGCAGAAGCGTCAACTGGATAGTGGCGAGGGCCCTGTCTCCTGGGAGGAAACATTATTGTCTTCCAATTTCTCTGGTATTTATGTCGCAATTTGGATGACATTGGCATTGGGTGTCCTGAAATCGATTGTGGACTACTACTGTGAGACTGGTAGCTTGACCGAGTCTGAGATTTGGAAATTCATGACCACCGACTTGTTTAAAGTCGCCTTAGTAGACACCCAAATGTACTTGGCCACTTACTTATCACTTGTGGTACAATATCTGTGCAAGTGGGGGTTGCTATCCTGGGAAAAGCAAGCTTGGTTGATTATGGCGGTGTATGAATTTTGTTACGTTTTCTTCTTTATGATCTACACCGAACATATCATGAAATTGCACTGGATTGCCAAGATTTTCTTATTCCTGCACTCATTGGTACTTTTGATGAAGATGCACTCATACTCCTTCTATAATGGTTACCTATGGGAAATTTACGATGAGCTAACTTACTCAAAGAAGGCTTTGGCAAAATACAGAGAAACCGCCAAGTCTCCTATTATCAAGACATTGGAGAATTCCATTGAATTCTGTACTTTAGAAATTAAGTCTCAATCAAAACATAACGAATTCCCAAAAAACATATCTATTGGAAACTACTTTATGTTCACAATGTTCCCAACATTGGTTTATCAAATTGAATACCCAAGAACTAAGAAGGTGAGGTGGTCTTATGTCTTAGAAAAGGTATGCGCAATCTTCGGTACAATTGTAGTCATGATGACTGTAGCTCAAATTTTCATGTACCCAGTTGCTATTCGTGCGCTATCCATCCGTGACTCCACCGAACAAAGTCTCTTTGAAAAGGCAAAGGAGTGGCCAAGACTATTAATTGACATCGTGCCAAGTTTCATCATAATGTACTTGCTTGTATTCTATTTGATTTGGGATGCCATCTTGAACTGTATTGCCGAGTTAACATGCTTTGGTGATAGGTATTTCTACGGTGACTGGTGGAACTGTGTCGATTGGGCTGAATTCAGTCGTATTTGGAATGTTCCTGTTCATAAGTTCTTGGTTAGACATGTTTACCACAGTTCCATGAGTGCTTTCAGATTGAATAGGGACCAAGCAACCCTGTTTACGTTCTTTTTAAGTTCTGTGATTCATGAAATGGCAATGTATGTCATCTTCAAGAGATTCAGACTTTATTTATTTAGTTTCCAAATGTTGCAATTGCCATTGGTTGCTATCAGTAATACGAAATTTATGAGGGAAAGAACTGTAATTGGTAATGTTATCTTCTGGCTAGGTATTTGCTTAGGACCCAGTGTGATTTGCACCATTTACTTAACTTTCTGACTATGAAACGGAAGAGATCAGGCTTATACATATCCTGTCTCGTTGTCTTATCAAAGATTGTAGATAATGTTTTGAATAACAGCAAAAAAATAAATAATTGAAAACTTTGTATGCAATAGGAATACTCTATTTACAGTTTCTGTTATCCCTAAGTATATCCGAAAATAAATACATAGATGTGGTAGTAGTAGCTTTTTGAATATTAACGTCAATTAAATGTAAAATAATGGTCCAACCATAAACTGTACAGACTGCATGGACGATATCACCTGTATATCTCCTCGAATGGTCGAGTATCATAGAAACAACTATCCCATACTTCTTCCACTACTTTTGTAGCGTGTTCTTTGTCCTTGCAGTTAGGGTTCCCCATTACACTGATAATGGCTCTTCTCTTGGCACAATCCTGATGACCTCTACCAAAATTCATCGAGAAGCCCAACCGGGCAAACTCTCTAGAAAACCTACATTCACCGCTCAAAGCCGATGCTCTGATCTCCGAGCAAGCATGTTGTTTCAGATTCAACCAGTCAATCTGCCACTTTAAGTTATCAAAATAGTGTACAAGTTCGTGTGATAATGTGTCCTCTAGATGCCATTTATCCTTCAATCTGTTCTGACACAGTAAAATACCGATCTCTGGGTGGAACCCACCGCTTTTCCAGTCCGGGCACTCATCACATATAATCTTAGACTCGTCAAAGTTAAGCACTTTGCCATCGCTGGCATTCCCATTCAGTTTAGAGATTTGCTGGATCATAAACCTCACTGTCGGTGAATATTTCAGCATCCAGTCCCGATACTCGTAGCAGCTCTTACACTGCTTCTCTCGGTTGTATACAGCATAGTCCTTCTCATACCTTGCCTTCTCGTCAGCAGTAAGCCCCAGACCAGTCTGGTACTGCATGGTCCGCCTCCACCATTCAAAAGATTCTCCTGCCATCACTGCCACTGAATCACCCAATCAGCACGAAAACAAAAAACCCTGAACAAACAATAAACTCCAGCGTCTAGCACGCTCTGAAATTGCAACAGGGACACACAGTTGGAACTGCACTTTATCAGTTGGCCATATCCAATTTCAAGTCCAAAATGCACTTTTCCAGTTCACAATCCTTTAGCCTTTGGAAAAAAAGCTGAAATTTCTGAAAAATTTGAGAAATCGCAGCTCAACAAACATCCTAGTTGAAGACTGACACTTTGGCCAGTGAAACACATATAAGTATAGTAACTGACACTAACAATTGGGACTAGGACGGCCAATTACAGCAAAGTTATTAATAAGGAAACTCGAGCGAAGATGTTTGGTGCGTTGTCGGGCATGTTCGAATACATCAACGGGCTGAATGCTCACTATGCGGCTCTGAGCTACGAGGAGCAGAAGGCAATGACTATAGTTGAGAGATTGAGCATTTACAACTGGAGTTTTGAGTTGTGTGCTTTGGGTTTGCTTGCGTTGGTTGTTTTGGCATACAAGGTCGGTACTTCCATCAATGTCGGCAAGGCCAAGAAAGTCATGACATCAGTGAATTCGTTCTTGAACGATGAACTATGTTTTGCCAAGGTAGGTATCGTGGACCCTAGGTTCCCAACCCGTATGTACAACTCAGAGCGTCAGAACACTTGGTTCACCACATTCGCCACAGGTCGTTCAGCCATTGCCTCTATCAGAGTCAACTTGCATCTACCACCATTGAACAACCCCTTCACATTGTTCATCGAAGGCATCCTTGCCTACGCATTCCCGGTCTTGAAGTCCAAGGAATTGGAGAGTTTCATCGAAGTTGTTATTAGACCTAACGGTATTCACTTCGGTTCCACCACCCAGGAATTGACTAACGATAAATTGAAGGCCAGAAAGGACATCCTGGCCAAGTTCAAGTTTATCACTGCTGTTGTGAACAAACATGTTATGAACGAAGTACGTGACGACCATTACTTCCTATCTCTATGTGCTACTACCGATAATGACGCTTTACCACAAGAATATGTCTTCATGTCTGAGATGAACCAGTTGAATGGCTTCATTACCAACTACTTGTCCAAGACCAAGACTCCTTTGAATGAAGCTCTAAAGCAAAGCAACAGAATCCTGGAGTTCATCGCATTCACCGATCTACCAAGTGACAAGCCATTTTCCGTTGAAGAATGGAACGAAGAGACCCACGACCCACGCATCCTTATCCGCACCGCTGTTCCAAACTCAACAGCTGAACTTGAAGCTTTGAACAAGCTGATCAGTGTTGCTGTGGAGGTTTACGACAATTACACTGCAGAATTATCCACTAAGGGCTTCGCCTATGTCACCAACGATATGTTGAAGAAGTCCAACAACATGAGAACACAAGAACTTGAGAAGCTAGTAAAGGCCGCCAAGATGAAGGCATTGGAAGAGGCTAAGGAGAAGAAGCTAGCTGAAGAGAAGGAGAGAAGACGTCAACTAAAGGGTACCACTGAGCAGCAAAAGTTGGACCAAAAGATGAAGGAAAAGAGAGAGAGACGTCAAAGAAATAAGCAAAAAGTTAGAATGTAATCTTGTATTAATTGAGAAGTATGTACAGGAGAGGAATAGCTTCTCTCTTTAAATATTTAGACTATTAATATCGAATATGTACTGCGTAAAGTAAAAGCCATGAACTATTTTCAAAATGATTACCATCATGCTAGTGACTTTAGATGCGAAGACCTGGTATCTTAACATCATTAACAGTGATATCAGAATCCAGGAATCCTTTCTTCTTTTCAGCTGGTGGTTCTTCCTCTTTCACATCAGCTCTAATGCCTGCTGTCGTTGCCGCTGTAGAAGCAGTAGTCTCAGAAACCACTTTGGATGCGCTTGGCTGACTGGCTTTCCTTAGCTCAGCCTGCTTTTTACTATATTCGAGCAATCCTTGATCCACTTGGTCTTCGAACAGTATATAACGTGCTCCATTACCGTAATGCAAGTAGTTCACCATTAGAGAGGGCTTGACCCTGGCAACTTCACCTTTGTAGAGGTGGAACCTGGGAAAATCCTTCAAGAGTTGCACCTGGACTCTTTTCGTCCGCTTCGAAAGCGCACTGAGACATACACTAGTGGGTTTAAACATGTTATAGACGTTGATGCTATCGTTCTTGCTTGATTAACTTCCTAAATCGTTCGCATTGAGTCCTTCAATTTAAAGCTTATTGCTTCACAATTTTCAATTTTCTGGCTGCGAGTCGGTCCCGACTGGAAAAAACTATAAAAACAAGCTTCACGCTCAAAACAAGTTTCAACTAAAAGAAGAGAAAGGGTTTGACAAACAGATTTGAAGGATACTGTGTTAGCTGCGATGAACAACACTAAAAGGAGCAGTAATGAGAGCGGTGGTGCTACACGGAAGAACAGCGAGACGCGGAGCGGTTCTTCTGCGAGCAACACGAGTGGTAATGGTTCTGGTGAAACCAGTGGTGCTATAGGTCACCCTAGCGACACGTATATTTCGCCTGAGCTGAGTAAACTAATACCTGGGCTGAGGTTATATGAGCAATTGGTAGAAGAAGAGAAAAAGATAGATACTGTTATTAAGCGGAGGAAGCTTACTATGAATCAGACCATACAACGCATAAGAAGCAACCTGATACCATTTCGAGAGGCATATAACCTGAATGGGGTCAAGCAGACCACATATCTGCGGGTATTCATAAGCAGTGTGTCTGAGAACCAGCTGTGGCAGAATCCCGATGCAAAGCTGGAAGACGGTGGGTGGACCATGCGGATTGAAGGTAGACTTGTGGATTCAAAACAAGGAGGAAGTGCTACACGAGACAAGTTTAGTAGTTTTATAGATGGAATCAGAGTTGAGTTTAAGAAACCAAAGAAAGACGAGCAAAACAGTGCAAATAAGGACGATGACAACAACAACAGCACAGCCGGAAACAATAACGATAACGATATTGAATCGAACGAAAGCAGTGCTGAAGGATTCACTCGTGAACCATCAGAATCCGCACCGCAATTCTTTGCTGACCAAACTCCAAATCCTCTTGGCACAGACATATCAAACCCACCTACTGTAACAGACATGGGATCCGCAAGTGAAATAACAACGCCCTATGAAAGTAACAAGCTGGAAAAGGAAGATCAAATACAGGAAATTGTTGAGTGGAAAGCTGACCCAAAGAAACCAGTAGAGTTTGACGGGTTTGATATCAAGAGGAATGGTAATACGAATCTTGATGCAGTTGTGACGATATACCCAAAGGCAGTCGAATCAAACAGATACAGCTATTCACCTGCATTAGCCTCTTTGGTTGGACTGAGCCACGGTTCAAAGAGCGATGCCATTTTTTCCTTGTATAAGTATATCAACGCAAACAATTTGCTGGTCTCTAGAGAATATTCGAGGAACACATCTCTAGCGGCAACAATAGTCTCCAGCAGAAGAGCTCAAAACGTAAAGAACGTAGTTAAGCTCGATGAGCCGTTAATGAAATTGCTCTCTCGTCATAATAGCTATAGCTCACTGGAGAGTACACCCGCAACAGTGAAACTCACAGACATTCCATCTATAGTAGAGCGTAATTTAGAACAGACGAAACCGGTACGCCTGAATTACACAGTGAGAGTGGACAAGGCATCCACTTATGGTGAAGTTGTATTTGACATGGAGGTTCCAACAAAGGAGGCCTTGCTACAATCAATATCCATGAAGGGCCAAAAAAGACCACTAATAACAGACAACTTGGCTGAAGAATCACAGGCGATACTCAGAGACTACGAAGCACACATCACCAAGACTGCAGTGAAGAATGCTGAACTTGACAAAAAGCTTGCAATACTACATGCGCAACTAAACTCTACCAAAATGAAACACCAATTTTACAAGAAATTCGCAGAAGATCCTGCAAATGCGCTAAAAGAATACATCGAGTCCACATCGGGTGCTTTGAAAGTACTTTCCGGTGATGAAGGATTCTTGGAAGACACCGTGAGAAGATCACAATTTTACAAAGAAAACGAACAGATACTAGAGGAAAACATCTCTGTGCTGTTCAAACATGAACGTATATGATATATCTATAAGTGTGTAACAATACCATCCCCCTCCCATGTTATCAGCTCTACAGATTATAACAGCGGTGTCCCAAAACGGAAAAACATCGAAATTTTTCATCTTCAAAAAGTTGTTAAGCTCATCGCAATAAAGAGAAGCTAAATAGAGGGTCTATGAACGTACATAAATGCGTGCTTGTCGAACTAACCTGAGTCAACATCAGCTACTCATCGTTTTACAATAGCTTGGGTTCAAATTGAGCTAAGAATACAATTAAGAAAATGAGTGGGAAAGGAGAGCTTTCTAGCAGAGTCATGAACATGAAGTTCATGAAGTTTATGAGGCCTGAGGGACAGGACAACAAGGATGAGGGCACTAGTAAACACACACACTTAGATGCGTCCAAATGGGATCTTAAGAGCAGTGTAAACTCTGATAGCACTAACAAAAGACGAGTTGTGGTCAAGCGAGCCAGTAAAGCTCTTAAAATAATGGAAAATGTTGGTATCACCAGTGTCAAAGCAGAAGATGATTCAAACAAAAGTAGTGCTCTGCATGGGAGAAGGATATTTGGCGAGAATAAGAACAAACGTGTGGCAGAGGAGGAGGAGGAAAATAAGACTGAACAAGAGCCAAAGCAAGAGAAGGATATGGACGAGCTTTTCAAGGAATCCCGAAGAAATACAAAACCTAAGAAAAAGTCTCACAAGAAACATAAGAAGGCATAAAATGTTTGGGAAGCAGATTTCAATCAATGACACTGATTTTGTGTTATTTTTGCTTCAACAGTAAAAAAGTGCTACAAAGAAAGGAAATGGCAGGGTCGAGCGACAATATAGCTCGGAGTTACCTTTGATCGCAGTATGCTTTGCAATGCTAATGACCGATTGACTAATATTACATGGCAAATGTTGTAGCACGAATTGTACTATAGAATATTTTATACCGTTGAGTAAGTTAATGGAACATATATTACTATATATAACCTTTTGAGTCATGCATTATGAATTTCTATTTGATAACAGATAAATAGCTTTAGTAACCTATACCTATAAAAAGTCAAGCTTTCAATTCAAAGGTCTCGGAATTGTTCAGCATATTGTAACAGCTATCTCCACAGTCTGTAATCATCCTGCTTTTCACTGTTGATTCTGCTGATGCTGTTCAGGAGATTTCTTGACCGGGTCTTGTTGGGATCTTTCTTTTTCACTCACATTAGTTCTCGCAACTACAGAAGTACTCGATACAGATTTACTAGATTCAAACCTCTGAGTAGTAGAACGAACAGATGTACTTATTGTGCCGACTAATGTTACTTGTTCCATGTCTTCCATACTTAAAATTGAGCTACTGTCGATACTCTTGACACTCCTAAAATAATTTAGGACATTCTTATGCATATCCTCTTTGTACATAGAGTTCAAAACAAATGCCAAGAAAAGAACCATAATAGTATTCATGAGCCATTGGGTTGTTGACTCGGACAAGGACCTAGAGTCAGCAAAGTCCGATGGGATTTCTATAACATGCACTGTTTCAGCCGCCGAAATGCTGACGGCATATCTTGAGTCTGGAGAGAAGATGACCCTCGTAATGGCAAATCCGTGAACCTGAGTAAATGTTTTACCAACTGACAAGTTTCTTAATTTGACCAATAGCACAGAATTATCATTTGTTGCAAGCATTACTAAGTTCATTTGGTCATTTACATCCATAGCTGTTATACCTTTGAATTTTGAACTGATTTGACGAGACCAGAAGACAGTTGTTTTGCCACTCTTGATGCTAATTTTAGTTAGCAATATACCTTTTGAAGATGCCCAAGTTGCAGCAATCAACACGTTATTGTCATCCAAAAACTTCATCTTTGATAAAATTATCTTTCTGTCAAAGTCTGTCTTCCTAACCACGCAACTACCCGTCACTGTTGAAATAATTTCAAGACTAGATTCTGTAATATAACCAATAAGCTTACCATTTGGGGAAAAATGTAAGTCCTTTACATCCCTACCAGTTTCAATTTCATACTTGACAGAGTAATTTCTGGGATCAATAATAGCCATAGAGGGTGGATTTTTAGAAGATGCTATAGCAGCTTCTGAACCATCTTTCGATAGTCTGATGACTTTCGTATAATCCTCTGGGTTAGTAGACTTATCAATATCAGCCGCAGACTCAAATTTCAAACTCTTACCATCATAGCGAAACTTTCTGACATGGCTATTGCCAGCACCACTCTTCACTTTAGCACTATTCTCATTACATCCAATGAGGATTGTATCTCCTACAGCATCCAACGCAGTGGGGGAGTCGTCGTTGGCGGGCAAAGTCGCATCACACACTTCGTCAACTCTCAATCCATTACCTTCCGAGCTACCAACTTTAAGAACAGTCAACTTGTTGTCAACCCCATTATTACCTTCACCACCACCACCAGTGACAACAAACTGGTCATCACAAACAAACTTAGCCCCATATAGCGGGTACCCGACTTTGTAAAGCTTTGTGTGAAATTTCATTGTGTTTTAATGAGTTCTGGACCGATTCAAACTGTACTTTCACTCAACAAACAAGCAAACGTATAACAACAACAGTAAAATAACCAAGCAGATTATATCGCGTTGCTTTGCTTGGTCGATTTGAACTTGTTTTAGTGCAATTATCGTGCTTTCTAAATACATTTCTGGTCGGGGACCCTTATTTCAATAATTTTTCAAAGCCAACTCAGCTAAAAAGCAGAAAAACCGAAATTTGCCAACAAACCAGCGATGACTTCGACATTAAGTCATACTCTATAACTTCCAATTGAGCCTCTTAATGAGCTATTTTGGGCATTTATAAGTGATTTAGAGTGCAAATACGGTGTAATAATTGGTATGACGGGTGAAGGAAGTGTACCGGGGGGCGTCTCCGTTGTCGGTAAAGTGTTAGCCATTCAGTCACATGTGGTTCATGGTTATGTAGGTAACAGGGCAGCCACCTTCCCTTTACAATATCGAGGTTGGGATGTGGATGCGCTGAACACTGTCCAGTACTCTAACCACTTGGGGTATGGCCAGGCTACCGGGTTCAAATATAGTGGAGAGGAGCTGTGCTCTGTATTTCGTGACGGACTTCTGAAAGCTATGGGGAATCGTTATGATGCCATCATTACTGGTTATACACCTAGTGCTGAGGTCTTGGAAGATATTAGCGGTATAATCAAAAATCAGTTAAATCAACAACAAGATCTTAAGTGGATAGTTGATCCAGTTTTAGGAGATAACGGCAGGCTCTATGTCTCTGAAGATATAGTCCCAGTTTACAAAAGGCTACTTAGCCAAAACAAAATATTCCTAGCAACTCCCAACCAGTTTGAGATGGAGCTACTCTCAGAATCAGAGTTGACTGATCTGGAAAGTGCGTCTACGGCAGTATCAAAGTTCTTTCAACTGTATCCACATGTTGAAAGATTGGTAGTGACAAGTGTTGTGCTTGCAGGATCCGATGATTACGTTGTAATTGCTGCAGATAGAACTACATCACCCCAGGATACAATATACATCCGATCTCCAAGAATTAAATGTCACTTCTCTGGTAGTGGTGACTTATTTACAGCATTGCTGGTGGACGCACTACTGAGAGACAGGGAGAGTACGAAGCTTTCGCAAGCTGTTGCTAAGTCCCAATGGATGATTGGCAGTGTATTACAAAGAACTTACGAACAGGCTTTAAAGAGTGGCGAACTAAAAGACCAGGATAGCCCAGTAATAAAAGATTTGAAGCTAATACAATGCAGAGAGTTATTTCGCCTGCATGATATCCCGGAGATACCAATAACAGGACACATAAATGTACCTCAAACTTGAAAGTGAACTGTATTTAACTAAAAAATTCGTAACTTATATAATTTCATTACTTGGAATCAATCACTCTCAACAAGAGCTTTTGAATACTGTCCTTGTCAAGGTATTTACCTATTAACACCAACTTACAGTCACTTATGGTATCATCTGAATGCCCTGTAAAGATATCAAAGGTATCTCTAACACCTTGAATCACATAAGTGCTATCTGCAACCAAGACAAGACCCTTAGACCTCTCAATTTCCCAATCGTCTGATAGTTTACTCAAGTTCTTAATCTCATCGTCATCGCTAAGACCAAAATTCTTCCACAATAATTTCTGTAAGAAATTTCTCTTAAAATTCTCAAACTCCTGTTCTGTTTTAAGTGGCCTGAAAGATAAAGTGACGGTACCCATTCTATGATCATGCATGACCTTCTCATTTTGGAGAATTCTATCCTTAAAACTGCCATCCAAATTTAGGTCTGTGCCTTCATAAGCATGTAAGTCAAGCAATTTATCTAAAGAGACTTCACCATACTGTGTATGGTATATTGGCGCGACACCATTGATGTCTTTTATTCTAGCTTCAATATCACTGATCGAAACTCTTTTACCCTCAATCTTATCTACTTTATTTAGCAGGATGCGGTCGGCCATAGCTATCTGAAAGTAAGCAATAGTTAGGTTCTCTTCTTTAACCACACTCTGGTTGTACCAATGCGCGTCTGGTGACACATCGTCCAAACATTTTACAATGTGTTCTGCGTCTAGCACCGTAATTATTCCGTCAATGTACACACTACTATTGAGTCCTTCGTCTTGCCAGAACATTTTCGCTATTGGTGCAGGATCAGCAATACCAGACGTCTCTAGCAGAATATAATCAATGGACCCAGGTGATCTCTCGATCATATCCTCGATGGCCTTAACACCAATATTCTTCAAGGAGCAACATAGACAACCATTGCCCAGGTCTAACCACTCCTGGTACTTAGAATCTCCATTTTGAATAGTCATAGCCTTTTCTATCTCACTACTGTCCCCAAACTCATTCAATATCACAGCTATCTTCCTGTCTGAGCCCTTTAGTGCTATCTTCTCAAGCAACGTAGACTTACCACTGCCCAAATAACCGGTAATTATAGTCACAGGAATCCTCTTTTTTTCTGTTTGAATGCCACTATTAGAACTCAAAGGCACCTCGACCTGCTTGTTAGACCTATCTACTTTATCAGCACTCACCAAATTGTGGCCCCCATCGTTCCGCACTTTCCCCAGAATCTCAGCGAGATTGGACTCACGCCCTGTAACTAGCGGCGGCAACTCGCCATCATCTTCATCGTGCTTGTAATTCTTCAGCGACATGCCTCTATTGCACTCCTGCTGCAGGTTTAAATTACTGTTAGAAGCACTTAGTCTTCCTTATATCTTTTCCGATGAGATACTCGGTGACGGATGGCGATGAGCTGTTTAAATTTCAAGCCATTTTGACACCAGACACCTTTAAATTAAACTAGTTCCAACTAAATCGCTCAATTGGCAAGTAAGACATTAGCAGAACAATACCAAAGATGTTTAAGTGGTCGCTTTTAGATACTGCACTGCTTGCTGTTATTTTTTACCACTTGGCCCAGGCTCCCTACACCAAGGTCGAGGAGAGTTTCACACTACAGGCAATCCACGATATTTTAGAGTATGGTGTTTTTGATATATCTCGCTATGATCACTTACAGTTCCCTGGTGTGGTTCCCAGATCATTCATTGGTCCTCTGATTGTAGCCGTGCTTTCGAAGCCTGCCATTATGATTTCATCGATGCTGAATTTGTTCACTGATGACACACAAATGCATGCTCAATTGATTGTCCGTGGTGTTATTGGATTAGTCAATGGATTGTCTTTGATTATGCTTAAGAATGCCTTGCAGTCTTTGTTTGATGAAATCGAGGAGAAGAAGAACAAGAAACTGGAGAAAGATGGAGAAACCCCAGCAAACACTGTCACCATGACTAGTGTTGGGTCCTGGTTCCTTCTATTCTGCATGACAAGTTTTCATATGATGTTTTACAGTTCTAGAACATTACCAAACTTTGTTGGCGCGTTCCCATTGAGTAATATTGCCTTAAGCTTGGCTCTCAAGGGAAATCTCGAGTGGGCTATTTTGTTACTAAGTGGATCAGCTGTGATTTTTAGATTAGAGTTAGGCGGGTTAGCTGCAGGATTAACTATATTTGGCTTCATCTTCAAGAAGGTTGACATTTTTAGGGCCTTAAAATTTGGTTTCATGGGTGCCGGTATTGCTATTGGTATCAGCATGTCAATCGATTCTTACTTCTGGGGTGACTGGGGAATCCCAGAAGTTGACGCCTTTATCTTTAATGTTGTCTATGGTAAGTCTGCACAATGGGGTACTGAGTCACCTCTAGCTTACTTCACTAACTATTTGAGGATGCTATTTCTTCCACCAACTGTGTTGGTATTGAACTATATCGGATACAGAGCAGCTCCAAAGAACCTGAAAATTGTCACATTAGCTGGCTACTTCCATATTTTGGCTATGTCCACTCAACCACACAAAGAATGGAGATTTATTATTTACTCAGTGCCACCAATTATAATGTTAGGTAGTGCAGGAGCTGCTTATTTGTGGGAGAACTTCAAAGTTAGAACCATGGGGAATGCTGCACTTCTAGCCTTGTTACCACTATCTGTTGCTATCGGTGGAGTTGTTTCCTATATATTTTGCTACATCTCTACCATGAACTACCCAGGTGGGGAGGCTCTTGCAATGTTCAATGACTACGTTATGGCTAACAATGTTACCAATTCTACTGTATTCATCACCGTGCCACCTTGTATGACTGGTGTAAGCCTGTTTGGCCAATTGGACTTTGATAAATATGGAATTACCTATGATAGAACCGAAGATTCAAAGTCTGTTCAGAATAAATGGGACTCATATGACTACATGATCACACATGAAAGTCTTGACATTGGTAAGAGTTTTGGTATTGAAGACCCATCTGCAAGCAAATGGGAACTGATTGGTAAGAGCAAGATTTTTGCTGGAGTGAATCCAGCTCCCTTAACGGATTATATCTTCAAGGAAGGTAACAATGTATTCAGCTTGGTTAAGGATGTTATAATGAGAGAATCTCCATACGATTTCATGTTTGCTATGCTTGACAACTGCTTGATCCGTCAAGACCTTTTCTTTATCCATAAAAGAATTAGGAATGACGCTGATGAGAACTTGCAATAGGTGTGTGAGAAACGATAGTTCTGTTATGTAAACGAACCCCTTTTTTTATACTATCTTAGAATAAACTCTTATTTTATCATATTTACGAATCTATGAAGTTTATCTTAAATCAAACGTAATGTCACAGTGTATAATTAGTTAATATAAAGAATATTAAATGTATGTATATTATCTATTAATTAAGATGAGATAATAATAAAAAAAATCTATCATTTCCTTTCTTGGGAACTTGAAACACTATTCGTGTCCACATCGTCTGATGAAAACAATTGCTCTCTTATTTCAACAATCCAAGGGTCCATTAGCAATTCAACTGCGGTAGCTCTTCTCTTAGGGTCTTGTACTAAACACCTCTTCAAAAACCTTCTACCAGCTGAAGACACCTCATCTTGAGCAGGTAGTTGTGGAATATGCCCAGCAGCTACATGATACATGATGGCCCATTCATTGTCAAGGTTAGCCCAAGGCCTTCTCCCAGTAATCATCTCTAAAACAACTCAACCAAGAGACCAAATGTCATCAGAACCCAAATGGCCTTTATTTGTAGAGCCAGTGATGGACTCTGGAGCCATATACATAGGAGTACCTATCAGATCATTTAATCCTGTACTATCAGGAACAATCTTGTCCTCCTTCATATCATTATCTGCTCCAGGCATCTTCGTGCGTTTAGTACCTTTCTTGGATATTTTTCTGGCGGCACCAAAGTCAACGTACTTCACAATACCATTGAAGTCAAGAAGAATATTTTCAGGCTTAATATCTCTATGAACAATTCCTGACTCGTGCAAGTAGGCCAAACCTTCTAATAGTTCCAAAGTGTACACTTGGGTGACCATCTCGTCTTCGATTCTTCCGTGCTCCAATAAACTAGCCATAGAGCCACCTTCACAATATTCCATAAATATATTGACTTTATCACGATGCACTTCAACACCGTAGTATTGCACAATATTTGGATGGTTTAGCATTTCTAATACGTTCATCTCTTCCTTTATAGATGGAAATACCTTCTCCATTGCTTTACTGTCCTGGATTCTAATCTCTTTCACAGCCAAAATTTCACCATTGTCCAAATCGACAGCAGAATAGACTGATCCAAAAGTTCCTCCGCCGATGAAGTTTCTCTTTTGCCATCTAATAGAGACGTTGGATATAGAAGATGCCAAGGAAGAAATGTACTTGTTTCCTTTATCTGTATCGTCAAGAACTTTACCTATTCTATGAGTACCTCTAGTGACATTTTCTTCAAGTGCTTTAATACTTTGCATACGTAGTTCAGAATTCTTTTGTAGCATAGAATCATCGTCGAAAACATCTTCGATATTTATATTTGGTCTAGGTTGTTGGCTATTCTTCTCCAATTCAACAGCTCTTGCACCCATAACATCGAAATGAGAAATTAAGAGAGACATACAAGCAGAAATCTTATGTTTCAAAGATGAGAATTGGTTTTCATCAAGTGCCAATATATTCCATCCGCTTGTCATATGCATTGCAAATTCCATTGCAGTAACACACCATCTAAAAGTTCTGGGATCAGTTGGATCACAATCCACTGATAAAAATTGAAGCCAACCAACACTGAGACGTACCAATAGCAATATTATCAAAGATTTTTTCTCATTACTGGCAACATTAATACGTAAGAAATTTAAACCAAAGTCTCTTGCAAATAAAAATATACCGTTCAGGAGATCATTATTAGGGCAAACTTTCTTGAACGTCTTTACAATCTTATGATAATTTTTCAGGACACTGTATGTGCACCTGAAATACGCCTTATTCAATTTTTGCAAATTATTCTCCACAACTTCAAATGAACATCTTTTCTCCAAAAATGTGACACAGTCTGAAGCTGATTGTAAGAATCGATCGCATTGATATTCAAGAGCATAACTAGAACTTTGACACATCAATTTAATGGTATCAGGACGAGTCTTAAAATCAAGATCATTTATTTCTTCCGTGGTAAACTCACTTAAATTGAATACTTCACCAGACCATAACATTGGTTCTTGAGGACACAATACTAGAATATAACCCAGGGAGTTCAGTTTCATTTCAAGTTCCAAAATATCAGCATCTGGGTCTCTATCATCGTTATACATCTCTGCCACATGCGATTTCCCTGAGTTTAAATTTGGTGGTCTGAATTGGGCATCGACATTACCGTTTTGCAGATAATACCTGGGCAGCCCATCCTTCCCAACTCCTTGAACAATCGATGTACTCAGATCCCATTTCTCTGCAACAGCATTGTATAGTGTTAAACTATTTTCAATCTCCAATTTAGGGATCAAATCACAACCACTGTCACTGTTGTACAATACCTTCAAAATCTCATTTTCAGGACAGCCCAATAACTCTGGACTTGCAATCAGATAAATACCTTGCTTTTCCAATTTGCCCCCAGTGTAGACGAGAAAATGGCCTGTATCTTTCAAGCCGTTCATCAATTGAGCATGATCGTCGATTCTATAAGTGACTGAGTTTTGGAAAGCCTTCATCAACACATTGGTGAACCTATTAAGTTTACGTTTCATTGATCCCAGTGTTTCAAATAGTTGTACTAGCCATTTCTCCGCCTCTGCTTCGTTAGTCAATTTTGGTGGGGAATTTTGTTGTTGTAACAAGTAAGAATGCAACCTATGCACCAATCTTAATGTCAATTTAGTAAACTCAATGGCTATAACTTTACCTGCACCGTCGATATAATGTCCACAGTTTTTCAAACCGTCCCAATACTTCAATAGGATATCTGGTTCTTTGAATGCATTCGTAGATTTACCACCACCATCGAGGAGTTTTAATTCTAGAAGGATGAACAGGTGTCTTATGGCCTCCACGACTGTATCATCAAATTGTGGATCGATATTAACAGTAAATTGCCAACCTTGACAATAACTTATGACTGTGAACTTCATCTGTACAGCTACTCGGATATACGAGTTAAAATCATCGATCATTTGATCAATCATCATCATTGTTGGTTTCTGTAACTTCTTGGCATAGGATAAACGTAGTTGGATGATATCTTTTACTAGTCTCATGGGGAACATTAATAACATTTCCAATTGATCGTTCAAATACATTAGATTCAACTCATTCAACGTATCTCTATTCTTTAAGAAAAATAGTTTTGCTTTCAGTATCCAAGGCGCCAGTGGGAAAAAAATTCTCTTTTGGAAAATGGCCTCTATATCCTTTTCCTTAATCATTTGGTCTGCGAATTCGTGAGCGTAATGACGGAAGATTGCATCATCATCGTTGATATCAACGACAACTTGAGTCTCAGGGTCCTTGGTGCCTACAACCCAATTTCTGATATAATGTATTTTCTCTTCAAAGTTTCTCTTGAAATTCAACCAGCTATCAAGGGTGTCAATTCTATTTCTAAATGCTTCTGTCTTTGCAATTGGCTTATCTTGGTATAGTCTTTTCATGTTACTCCATAGTTTTATCACACGGTAATACTTGTTCATTAATTTTGCAATTTCCACTTCGCCTTCATCTGACGTCAAACCATCTGGTAATCTAAAATCTAGCACTCTTTGGAAAACTTCATCCGCAGATTCTCTTAACAATTTCAAAGATTTTTTCTGGTCATCTACATTTCTACCATTCATCCATGCTTTTAACTCCAGCCATATGTCGTCCGAGTATTGTGTTGTAAACCCTGGTCCTTTAACTTCTTTAGCTATCTTTGTCTTCTCACTTTTAACAATATCACCTTTAAGAACATTTGCAAGCATTGTTTGCCATTCAAATCTCTTCACCACTGCTGGATCCTGTAATAACTGTGATATGAAATGTTCATTTGCAGATAAATTTTCCTGAGGCGCTGGTGTATCTGATACAGAGTTGTTTGGTGTCGATTTTCTTGGTGTAACGTCTGCTGAGTTATTAGTTGTGGAAGTTGTAGTGATAGCAGTATTGCTAGTACCGTTACTATCTTTGTTGTTGTTGTTGTTGTTGTTGTTGTTGTTGTTGTTATTATTATTATTGCTATTATTTCTATTGCTATTAGTATTATTATTATCGTTGGTATTGTTATTGATATTATTGTTAATGTTGTTATTATTTCCATCATTAATATCAGCAGGAGATCTTCTGCTTTCTGTAGGAGTAGAACTAGATTGGTCTTCTCGTACCTTTTTGGAGGGGAAAGCCCAGTCTAACTTTCTGGATAGAAACCTTGAGCTTAATGCCACTAAGTTTTCGTTCCTATCAGCATCGGGGTTTATGAATTTAGTCCCAAAATCTACATCGTCTTGTATATCCACATTACCATCCAGTTCTGAGAGTTTATTGTTTGAACCTGATTGATCGAATACCTCGTCCATTTCTATATCGAATTCTTCGTCCTCGTCTGTTACCGATGTGGGGCCGATCCCTCTAGTGTAATAATCATCTGGTACATTGCGCCTCATTTTCTCCAAGTAGAGTTGTTCATTGAGCACATACTGTTTCTTAAACGTTCTTAGGCTTGCTGTACTTCCGTTCTGTATCGTTGCGGATCTTGTTGACGCGCCTGGCGTTGCCATGTCTTGAAGACTTCCGACGGAGCCCATGTTCACAGCGTTGCTTGCTGTACCACCAGGAGTAGCCATGGCGCTGTGCTTACCGGATGAGTGTTTCAAAGTGGATTCTGAAGGAGTAGAGCCTAGGTTACTTGGTAAGCTTCCTGCTGCCATATCTGGTGAGATTACCAGTGTGGGTGTGGTAATTGTTGAAGTGGAAGAATCCATCGCAATTGAGCTGGTCCTTATCTTGCTAGCTGTATTTGTGATACTTGGGTTCCCGTCCTGTGAATTGTAAATCTTGTATGGTTTCTTATTAGGCGATTGTTGCTGTACTTGTTGTCCTTGTCCCTGGTGTATCTGTGTTGCTATCTTTGGCAAGGAGTGTATACCTTGGCTGGAGTTGCTGACCACGGAGGCCCTTCGACTAGACCTAGCCGATGTGCTAGTAGGGCTTGGCACCGGCGCAAAAGAGATTGTGTTGTTGCCGCTGGAAGGCTGTTTTGGCACGCCTGTGGAGTTCTTGCCGAATGCGTTCAAGTTAGTGAGTGGGGAAATGCCGGGACTCAGAGGGCCCATACTCAGCACCGGGTTCTGCATCATCGAGTCGAACGTCAACCCCGTATGGTGCTGCATGAGACTCTCCGGTCCACCAATCCTCGAGCTCATGTACCCGGACTGCGGCGACGTGGTGTGGAACCCTGGCGGCGTGCCCACATTGCTGCCACTGCCACTGCCAGTAACAGCACCAGCAGCACCGGCAGCGTCCCGAGGGTTGTAGTGGTACATGTACGGGTTTCTGGCATCTGAACTCGAGGACCTCGACCGCGCAGGCAAATACTCCTTCGCCAACCTCCGCGAGCCAGTACCAGTGCCAGTGCCAGTGCCAGTACCACCACCAGTACCAGTACCAGTACCAGTACCAGGAGTGCCAGTACTATCTGCTGGTTTATGACTAAAGTAATCCGAATTGGACATCTGGTGTTCTTTAGAAGTGGAAAGAGAGGGAAAAACAATTGGGTCCTATTTATACTCTAGTTCTTTTTCTTGTAATTGAGGGAGGGGGGAGAGAAACAACCTATTTGTTATTCGCCAGATCTGGGTATCTGTACGTAGAATTCTAAAAAAACAGCGGTGTACCTAGCCGCCGAAATGTAAAGTTGAAAAGGGGCGAAAACAAAAAGTTGGGGTAACGTAGCGCTGTTAGATCTCGCCCAGAAGGGAAAGCAGAGTATTGATGGCGGCTATTCTGAAGAATCCCTTCCCTTTCGCCGTTACGCTGGGGTTTTCCTAAAGTTTTTGTGTCTTGTGGCAGAAGCGGGAACTTCCCGGACGAAAAACCTAGACCTGCTCTCCCCCCCAACGCTCCACGCGTCTCGTTGCGAGGTATTCGTCTGCCAAAGAAACGTGTGTCTCTGGGTGTGTCTGTCTATGTGAAGGGCCGGTGCGGATGCGAAGAAGATGGGGGCAGGGACAAGGTTAAACCCATACACACAGTGTTAACGCGCAGCGTGTGGTCCTTCTGATGTGCTGTGAGACTGCTGCAGGACACGAAATTTATTTGCCATTTCGTGTCATGGTACCTTTGCTTCTGGAAGTGGGGGGAAGGCAGGGTAAAGCTGAAAAATCTATTTTTAGATTATTAGTTACCCGGCTGTTACGTGTTTGGGAGTTCGATTCTTGCCGGGAGCGGAAATTCCAGCTGGAAGGTTCTCATTTTTAAGGAAAAAAAAAAAAAGGAAGAAGGTAACAAAATTCAAAACATGATGTAGAGCTAGACCAAGAACGGGTACTAGAGTACAGAAAGGGTATAAGGTGCTTGAAGTGGGTGCTTTTGGGTCAGGCGGGAGGGGGCAAAACAGCGAGAGAATGGAGCTGGATGAGTGTTTGGAGCGGTTGTACCGGGGCCAGTTGCTGCCGGAAGTGACAGTGCAGGCGCTATGCTTCAAGCTGAAGGAGTTGCTGGTGCGGGAGTCCAATGTGATACACATCCGGACGCCTGTGACTGTGGTTGGGGACATGCATGGGCAGTTCCACGACATGCTGGAAATATTCGAGATAGGCGGGAGGGTGCCCGACACCAACTACCTTTTCCTAGGTGATTATGTGGACCGTGGGCTGTACAGCGTAGAGACGATGATGCTGCTCGTGGTTTTGAAGCTGCGGTATCCGAGCCGGATACACCTGCTGCGCGGAAACCACGAGTCCCGGCAGATCACGCAGAGCTACGGGTTCTACACGGAGTGTCTTAACAAGTACGGCGGTAGTCCCAAAGTGTGGCAGTACATCACTGATCTCTTCGATTACTTGGTGCTGTGCTGTATTATAGACGACGAAATATTCTGCGTGCACGGCGGGCTGTCACCAAACGTACAGACTATCGACCAGATTAGAATTATAGACAGATTTAGGGAGATCCCGCACGATGGCGCAATGGCCGACCTTGTATGGTCCGATCCCGAGGACGATGAGAAGATTCTGGACAAGAGCCCCTCGGACCTCGATTACTACACTGCACACTTATCATCATCACAGCACTTCCAGGTGTCTCCAAGAGGTGCAGGTTACACCTTTGGACGCAGCGTGGTAGAAAAGTTCCTGCACTCTAACAATATGTCAAGAATATACAGAGCTCACCAGCTGTGCAACGAAGGATACCAGGTGTATTTCAATGGATTGGTGACTACTGTGTGGTCAGCACCAAATTACTGTTACAGGTGTGGCAACAAAGCCTCTATCTTAGAACTCTACAGCAAGGATAACTTCTACTTTAACGTCTTCGAAGAAGCACCCGAGAACAAACAGCTCAATGAGAACGCTAATCAAATTATAAACACTAAGGCTATCCAGGACTACTTCGGCTCGAGTTCCAACCTTGAAAGCGAACCTACCCAAGTCGACTTATTTTCGGATGAATACCAGGCAAAATATGCAATGTCGAGGCACGTTGAGTATTTTTTATGACTTGTTGTTAATGCATTCTTTAGTGTAGGTTTTTTTTTTTTCTTTACAAAGCGAAATTGCATTCAAACATATTATCCAGCATTTATTAATCACAAACAAACAAAAGTATTTAATTTTTAACTTCTGTTGATAGAGCTTGCTTTTTAATTATACTAAATATAAACCCTAATTAATTATATATCCACCAAAGCACCTAATTACAAACAATTTATCACGAGTAGTATAATTCTAGGTTAGTATTATCATGCACTTCGTAATCATACAATGTAATGTGATCTTTCAAGACACTGCCACCTTTTTGTAGTACAATCTTCGACGGTTGCATCCCTAGTTGAACCGATAAAACCTTTTTAAAGTCGCCAACAGTGTCATCCTCGAGACACTTCACCCGGATCTTTTTGCCAAGTCTATCATTTACCAGAACTTCTATCATATTTTATTAGCACCTTTCAGCAGATCAGAATTTTCTATACTTACTTTTTGCTGTTCTCACAATTAGAAACTTTTACTCATCGAGCTCATCGCTTCTGAAATTTTTCATTTTATCAGGAGGATTCAACAGAAGTAGTTCAATAATAGTAAATTTCGTCGAATCAAAGAAACCAAATATCAATAGACGTTACCAACAAGTGTAGTCATTCACAGAGCCTAACCCAAGCTTGATGCACATTAACGTCCTTTTTATAGACTCGTATGACTCCTTCACTTACAATGTGGTGAGACTCATCGAGGAACAAAGCGTTGAAGGATTGGGGGTAAAAGTTACCACGATTCACAACGATAAGTTTGATCTCGACAGTCTTAAGGAATATTTGCCATTGTTCGACTGTATAGTTGTTGGTCCTGGTCCTGGTAATCCCATTAACGGTGCTAAGGATGTGGGTGTGATCGATGCCTTGTTCAAGAATGGCCACGATCCTACCATAAATCAAATCCCATTGCTGGGTATATGTCTGGGATTTCAGGCCATGTGTCTACATGAGGGTGCTGTTATTGAAGAGTTGCATACTATCAAGCATGGCCAAGTTTACCCGATGGCGTTAGCTGATGATCAGCAATGCGACATATTTAAGGGATATCCACAGGAATTCAAATCCGTCAGGTACCACTCTTTACAAGTAAAGACTGTTACTGACTCATTGTTACCGCTAGCTTACACTAATGATGAAAATGGGAAGATACTAATGGCTGCCAAGGTCAAGAATAGGGAATGGTATGGTGTCCAGTATCATCCAGAATCATGCTGTTCGGAGTTAGGTCAGATTTTGATCAGCAACTTTCTAGATATTGCCCATAAGCATAACGTTATCAGTGGAAGGAGAGCTACCAAGGAATTACTCTGTGCAGACAACTCTACTTTACAGAACATTGAGTACTTGAACCACACCATTGATCTAAGTAGCATATTTGTTAGTGACTCATTGCCCTTAGATGTAAAGTCTCCAAGACTCGCTATGGAAGAGTATGACATTGAAGAAACACCAAATGTGACGTTTAAGTTAGCAGAGCTAATAGACTCTCACAAATTTATATTTGCATCCTCCTCTCTAAGTGAAAACAGAGGAGAATGGTCAATTATTGCATTGCCGGATTCAAATTCACCAGTGTTTTCTCATTATGTCAATTACAATAAGACCGTATGTCACAGATGGAGATCAGAACATGTGAAGAAGCAGGATATATTAGAATGTTTCCGTGGTGGTAGTGACGCCAGGGTTAACGAACATTTGACAGTGATTGATGAGGACAAGGATAAATTTTGGTGTACCCTGGGTGCTTTTATGAAGGATCTGCTGGTAGAAGAGCATACAGATATGCCATTTATTGGAGGTTTGTTAGGTATTCTTGGATATGAGATGGGTAATGATGTGGAGAATATTTACGATGATAGAGAGCTGACTGATATCATACCAAGACCTGATGCGAAGCTTATTTATATCGAAAACACGCTATTGATCAATCATAAGGAAGGTAAACTGTACTTGATATCTTTGAGAGATCAGTTCCCACAAGACATAAAGGAACGAGTTAGTAAATATGTTACACAGAGTGTTAAGGAAGACTTGCATTGGCCGGATAGGCTCCCTGAAGGCATTAACTATGATATTGAGATGCCAAAGCTGGAAGAATACAAAGAGGCCTTTGAAGAGTGTCAAAGGATCATGCATCGTGGTGACTCATATGAGATATGTTTGACCACACAAACAAGGATTAACATGGAGACAGTGTTGGAACCATGGAGAATATTTCAGACACTGGTCCAGCGAAACCCGGCTCCATTTTCCAGCTATTTGGAGTTCAGTGATATCGTGGATAACCACGACTCGAATCTATGCTTTATCAGTACATCACCTGAGAGGTTTTTGAGGTGGGACCAAGATAGTTGTGAGTTAAGACCCATTAAGGGCACAGTGAAGAAAGGGCCAGATATGGACCTCGAGAAAGCCACTGCAATATTAAAAACACCAAAGGAGTTTGGTGAAAATCTGATGATTCTTGACTTGATTCGAAATGATCTTTACCAGCTACTGCCAGACGTCAAAGTGGAAGAGTTTATGTCTGTAGAGGAATACGCGACCGTGTACCAACTAGTGAGTGTTGTCAAGGCCCGCGGAATCCAGTCCCCTACACGCCATAATCGCCAGTACAGCGGTATGGATATACTAAGACACTCTTTACCTCCGGGATCCATGACAGGGGCACCAAAGAAGATTACAGTGGAATATCTCTACCGTGACTTGGAACGCAAACTGAACCGCCACGTCTACAGCGGGTCCCGTGGTATATACAGTGGGGTTACGGGCTACTGGTCTGTCAACGGTAACGGTGACTGGTCTGTCAATATCAGATGCATGTACAGTTATAACAGCGGTAGCTCGTGGCAATTGGGCGCCGGAGGTGCCATAACTGTTCTAAGCACAGCCGAGGGCGAGCAAGAAGAGATGTTCACAAAGCTGGAAAGCGCCCTACAAATATTTACCTGAGTTTAAAAAAGATAAGAAATTGTGGACTTGATAGTCACTAAACACATATACATATAAAACACCTGTAAATAATAAATGGTCCTTTGTATAATAGCACATCCGACATGTGCATGTCTAGTGGAAGAGCCGTTGATATACTTATCACTATATACTACACTCTAACGGCAACATTAAAGGAGAAGGGGGGGCCAGAAAACCCCTTCCCATCCTATTTGCGGGTCCCTTTGAAGGGACAAACCCGAGACGACGGACGAGGGCGATTAAAACGGGAAAAGATAAATTTAAGATCCTTGTTTTCATGGATAAAAGTTGTTCTTGTTGTCCAGAAGAGTGTACGAATTGCTTATAAAGCTAGTGAACTGATAGGAATTCGAAGGAATAGAGGTCAGAATTGAGTTCAGCGGTGTTGATTTCCACATAGCAATTTAATAAGACGGGGCATACAAGAGCTCAGAGATAGAAAGAGAAGAAAAATAGGGATTTCAATAAAGTCTACCGGATTAGACAAAGAAAGTTCACCAATTATAAAAGGATAAGTATAGCGTTCAAAGATGACTACTACTGTTCCGAAAGTGTTTGCATTCCATGAGTTTGCAGGTGTTGCAGAGGCTGTTGCGGACCATGTAGTGCATGCGCAGGAGAGTGCGCTGGCAGAGAAGCCAAAGGAGCGGAAGCATTCATTGACTAACCTAAGCGGTACTGTTGAGTCTCTTGAGATGAGTCGGGCCACATCTGTGAAGTCTGTATCATCAACGAGGGAAAACAGCTCTGGTAAGAAGAACGGTGCTCCAAAGAAGGAGAGACGGTTTAAGATTGCGCTATCTGGTGGTTCTCTTATCCAGGTGTTGCACGAGGGTTTGCTCAAGAGAACAGATGTTAAGTGGGGCAAATGGGATATCTATTTTGCTGATGAAAGATTAGTTCCATTCTCCTCACAGGAGAGCAATTATGGTCAAGCAAAGAGAAAGATTCTTGATCAGATTGATACAGAGAAATATGGTACACCAAATGTTTTCCACATTGATGAATCACTGATTGATGACCCACAGGAGTGTGCAGACAACTATGAAAAGATTTTGATTAAAGGATTTGCCGGGAGAGACTCAGTTAAACTTCCGATGTTTGACCTTTTCCTATTGGGTTGTGCCCCAGATGGCCACATTGCATCATTGTTCCCAAACTTTCAAGAAAACTTACGTGAGAAACTGGCATGGGTTGTTCCAGTTGAAAATGCTCCAAGCGGCCCATCTAACAGAATATCTTTGACTATTCCAGTAATTTGCCACTCGCATAGAGTTACGTTCGTGGTTGAAGGTGCAACTAAAGCCCCAGTGATAAAAACAATTATGGAAAGACCAGAAAAGGGATTACCTAGTAGTATTGTTAATGAAGGTGCAGCAGGTCGTGTGTCTTGGTTTGTTGATGATGACGCTTTGACAGATGTCTTTGTAACAAAGAAAAAGTATAAGTTCCATGATGCTGAAGGATTAGGAACTGAGAACAATAACGACAACGAACAATAGTGTTGCTAATATACGATAAAAAAAATCATGAGAATAATTCGAAACTATTAATGATTGCTTGAATGTTTTACTACACTTTACTGTTCTCAACCCTTACCACAATATCCTAGATGATAGAAAAACAAACTCAGTCCAAGTTAGTATTCCTGCTTGCATATCAGCTGTATCCCTAAATTCATCTCACTAATTTTCCTTAATGCATTATTTTTGTTCTCGTATCAATTATATCTATTAGGTAAACTCAAGGTACACTGGTTACTAGGAAATTGTTTGCATTTTTTTGTTGAGAAATCAATGTTATTGAGGAAGAATCAAAAAGCAAAGCCTGCTTGTCATGGTAATTCCATTTACGATTATAGCAATTGGATGAAGGATACAAAACAGAAAACTCCTTAGTAATTTATAAAATTCAACTATCATGAATGTACTTTATATAAACTTTTAAAAAAATTCGAAAACGATTGTAAATGTCTTTGTCGACATGATTTTGTAATAGTGCTCAAAAAAAAATGCAATGACGCTACTGATAGCTCGAAATGTTTCTTTGTCTATAAATATGTATGAGAAGCAGGCATATCGTTGAGTCGACCAGAGTCACTAGTAGTGCTGTTTGTTTGAATGTTCGTTAATGGGTTGTTATGCTGTGGACTACTTTGTTTTAAGCTGTTGGATGCCCGTTCAAATAAAAACTTTCCATCCTGTAACGAATACTGATAGTCCTCATCTAACGGAGACCTCTCAGCCGTGGCCATTGAAATTGGGCTTATCCTTGGCTGGCCAGTTATAGTCCCGCTACCATTGTTATTCGGCACCATTCTATGTCTGCTTTCAATATCTTGTTCTGTGCTAGGGATTTCTCCGATTGGTTCATAAAGCATTAATCCAAAGAATTGGTAATAGTATTCTTCACCTAAAACTTTTAGCAAAATTTTTTGCTTAATGTCAAACTTATAACTTAGAGGTATGATAGTCATGAAGAGTAATGGCAAAAACTTATTAAGGAAATTTACCATTGGGATAACAGTCAAATTTTGATACAAAACTTTTTCAAATATTGAAGATACTGGTGTTTTCTCGCTGTTATTGGAATGCTTGGGAATTAGTGCAATTAAGTTAAAGCACAATGGAAATAATAGACGACTTGAATATAAGGAATAATAAAGGGCATTGGAAGGGCTACTTTGGCCGTTAGGGATCAAGTGGAAATCGAGGAATTTGAATTTGCTCATAGCGTACAATGATGCTAGAGTATTGTATGAAATAATTGCAAGCTGTAGGAAAAAATTGTAGAGTTTTTGATCCACAAATACCCAACCATGAAACCATTTTGTAGGCGTTAGTTCCAAAAAGTATACTAGGAGTGATAGCAACGTAGTAAATATACCGCATATCAAAGATAAAGCACGGACCACCATTTTGCCCTTGCTGTTATTCAATGTAGCATCCTGTAAAACTGCCAGTTTATGAATAATTTCATCTGATTTAACTTTGTCGTACATGAAATTGTAATAGTTATTGATGAAGTCATTATAGTTCTTGTTCAGTTTCTCCAATGTTGTAATAGAAGATGATGCGTGATTTCCAGAGTTACTAATTTGCACCAATGGTGAGGTCAGTAAGGAGCTAGACTTTAGTTCTTCTAATTTGTACTCGATTTCAGATTTACAATCTCTCAGAAGATCATTAAAGATAATGTCACCATTTTCTTGTTCTCTGGTGCTTAAAATCAGCATTGCACTCTCATTTAGATTCAGTTGTGATTCGTTCATATCCTCGTTTATCTTACTCAGGTTCACAAATAGAGTGTTCATATTCTTGTCTGAGCTGGCTAACTCCAGTGAGTCTCTAAGAATATCTCTAGGCAGTATTATTAGACCTGTAGAAAGTAAAATAAGTGTATAACTTAGTGAGTAAAGGTGTGACAGCGCCATTAGTAAGGATTTCACCTCTCTTAGACCATGACCTGTGCTTAAGATCAAGTAGAAAAGTCCCAGTGCCAAAGCAATGAGACAGATCAGATAGAACTTCAAGTTCAGCTTAATGGACTTGCTTATTTTCGTGGTAATTTCATTGGCAGGTATTTCATACTTCAATGATACATATGAGATTAGAATTGGGATCACTAGCCAGCACACCGCGAACTGCAGCCAGTAAATAGAAAGCCATATGACTTTGAACAGCAAGGAATTGGGGTGTCCAGCAGCAGTGTCGTGCAGGTCCAGTGGTAAAAGTAGTGCAGTCACCAATAACAGCAGAAGATTACTCACCAATACCACTATAGTGAATGGGTAGCTCTTGTATATCCTAAAATTGAAGTATCGGTTAACAACGACCAGCGAGACTACCGACGTGATCGCCAGGCCACACACCGTGTAGACGGCAGAAAGCATGTAGGGCAGTTTACGTTTATTATATTATATCTAATAGTATTGTTACAATAGAAGCTATGTATCAGTGGCTTTAATGATTTCAATGTCAAAGGCCATACTGCGTATAAGCACAAATCACCTCAGGTTGATTTCCCAGGTGATGCGATAGTGTCCATTGTAGTGATAAATTTGGTGGGATGTGGGAAGATTGTCCTCTTGACAGGTGATTTGTCCTTGTGATGTGCAACGTTGTCCTTTGTGATTCCAGTTTTCTGATAAAACCTTGTCAATAAGTTAATCATCCCTTTGATGGGTAAGTAGGGAGAAAAGATCGGGGGTGAAAGGGAGCTGGGAAGTGAGCATTTGTTTAGCAATGGGATGATTTTGCGATTTGAACTGGGCTTATTGTTACTATCACCATTTCGAGAACTCGGGATTGGGGCTCCTTATTCTTTTAAAAGGGGGTGGACTTAAGATTCCTTTATCCCCCCCACATTCAAAACCTATTTCTCGATTTATTTCATGTGAAGCACCATATAACTTATGTAAGGGGGATGCTGTAAGCCAGTTCTTGCCAGCAAAATAGAGGCTTGCTTCTAATGATTTACCAAGCAACAAAGGGGGGGATATGTAATAGTCAGGGGGATTTCATTATCACGATTGATACACAAGGGGGGAGATAGGTTAAAGTAGTCTCGAAGGGGGGGCAACCCGTATCTTGATTGCCCATAATCTTGGAAAATGTATATAAAGGCCAGGCAGCTATTGCTAAAAGTATGGTCGATAAAAGGTTCTTATTATCTTGCAACTATAAATTTGTTGATTAACATACAGAAACATACACATATACACATAATAAAACATGCCAAGCAAAATTACATTTGAAAGTCTAACTGCATTGGGCCAAGACACTCTAGGTACTCTAACATTTGATGAGAAGCATCATTTGATTGACACTTCTGGTATCGGTGAGAAGATCAACAAGTCCTTTGTCGCCGACGCTGTCAGAAAATCCAATGACGAATTGGGTAAGTTGGGTTACCAAGTCTACGAGGACAGCAAGGTTGTCGGCCATGCTTTCAAGGATGGTGCCGGTAAGACTACCGTTTACTTCCACGACAAGAAGGACGAGAAGAAATAATTCTACCTCAATAAAATTTATTAATAAGCCTGTGTTTATAATTTTTTTCTAATTATTCCTGTTTTCTAATATTAAAAATATTAATAAATTATTTAATACAATTATTATAATGTCTACGTTAGTCCAACAACTATAAATGATATTTTTTGTTTAAATTCTGTCTTCATTTAATTTGTCAGACTGTAATGAAATAATATCAATCTTTTACGCATAGTTTATTCATCAAGAATTAAGATCGACGCCATTTTCAAAAATGAAAAAAAAAAGAAGAACTCCTCATAGGGGGCTCGAACCCCTGACATTTCGGTTGTCCTCGTTGACGTAAAAGCCGAACGCTCTACCAACTGAGCTAACAAGGATGAGTTCTCCTGATTACTTTGACAGCATTTTGGTGCCTACCAGCAATTCATTGGTGTTTCATTTGTGAGAATAGATCAATTGGATTGGTATTGTTCATTTGTTACTTGCTGCTACCGAAAGGTAAGTGGTAAGATAGGGTATATTATAGGCTGTAGTACATATATAGCTTCTCTCTGCATGGTTTTGACAGCGGTAGTGGATCGTATTATACATCGTGTCGGTTCACATTAAAAATCTAGGTAAATTTTTGTGTCATTGTCAAAATTTGTATACTCGATTGGTATTTAAACAGTCGTTAGGGCTAGAATTTGATTTGTATTCAAGTAATTTATCTGATGTATAATTCATATTTTGGTGCCTAATTTGTTTCAATGTGTTTATGAGTTTGGCAAACTTGTATATGTGCAGTGTGGCGTGTGCGATTAACCTAAATATTAATTTCACAATGGACTCCAAAATAATAAAAAATTACCTTTTACCTAAAGCAATATACAAGCCTGGAAACAAGATCGGTGCAACAATATTCAATGATAATAGAACAATTAACAATAAGCTTCCTTTGAGTCTCGAGAAAAATGCAAACTCTCTGAATATAATGGATAATACTAACGTCTTAAAATCAGTATTGAAAAATTATAAATGCAATAAATCACTGCCTTACTCTAGCTTAATTGACAAAGAAAATATTAGCAATGAGAGCAGTCAGATTCATATAGCTAAGGAAAATTCAGAGGTCGACTTGTGTAACACTACGCTCGATAATGCTTATGAATATTTATTGAAATTAGATGAAGATACATATCTGCCAGACACTATTCTTAATGAATACAGCAGTTTAAGACAAACAAGAGACTTATTATTAAATTGGGTAATTAAAATCCATCAAAATCTGAAGCTAGAAAATGAAACGCTGTATATGACCATTGACTTAATTGACAAATTCTTGATAAAGAAGAAATTGCCCATCGAGAAATTCCAATTGCTTGGTTTGACATGTTTATATATAGCTTCAAAATATGAAGAAGTACTACCACCAAGCATATTCCAGTTTGCACTTGAATCCAATGGTATTTTCGATTCTGAAGAAATAAAGGAGTCTGAATTTAACATCTTAGAAACATTAAACTTTAAAATAGGTTATCCAAGCCCCATAGTTTTACTCGACAGACAGTTGGATGGCTACTTAAACTATAATGAAATGAAATTCATGTCACTTTATCTACTAGAGATAACGTTTGTGGATTTTAGGTTCCTGAGCTATCGAATGAGTATGAGAACAAAAGCAGCTGCTTTGATAACTTTGAAAATGTATAATCATTCCATTAAAGATTTGAAGACTCGGTTTCAAAAAGAGGGACTGATGCAAACGATTGAAAAAATATGCAGATATATTTTACAATATTTGCTTGAGCCAACTATTCATACTGAGCTTCAAAGAAAGTACTCACAATTAGCTTCTTATAATGTAGCAGATAGAGCAACAAAATATGTGAAGTGTTTAATTAAAAAGTATGCTTAATGCCAACAACAATATCTATACTTGTTACCAACTCCCATAAACCGCCATGACTTCTACTTTAAGGACTGAAATATGATGTATGGCTAATATATGATTTAATGCAGGATTGAGAATTATATTATTATTTATGAAGTAAAGAACAAATGCAAAAGTACGAGTTTATGCGAAGGAAGAAATGTCTAAATGTAATTCAGACACCAGTCCTGAACTCTGAAGAACATACCATGGTATGTGTTGGCCTTGTATTTGGCAAGTAAAGACTTTGTGGAGTTAGATGGCTGTTTAAATTCATCAATTAACACATTAAGGCTGTCGTTAAATTTGGGGTCATTATTTGGATTTATACCACCACTATATTCAGTATGTGTCGCTGACCAGGTTGTTAAAATACCCTCATTGTGGTTGCTGCTTTCATCGTTACAGATGCGCTTTGATAAATAAATTGCCATAGCGCTGAGAAATGAAGGCTTGTAGTTAACAAAATAATGTGTGCACATAATAAACTCAAGTACAAACTTGGCGATATCCCTTAGTTCATAATTGTAGTCATCAATCTGTGACAGTCTTCTCAAGAAATTTAGCGGGTTTGGCCAATTGATATTAAATCTCAAGGTTTCAAGAATATTGAATTCGGCCTCTCTGATATCCTCCACAGTGGCAGCACCATCAGTAATATATGCGAAATTAGCTATCTTTGGTAACTTAACCTCTTCATATTTACATGCAATGAATAATGACGTTACAGCTACCAATTGCAGCTTTGATACGGATACTTTTGTAGAAGATAAGACTCTATCGAGAATGTTAATGGCTAAAAGTAATGTTTCCGGTAAACATTTGAAATTCCTATGCACATCTACCAGCCAATCCACTAGAATGGCTCTCATATTAGCACGAATGTGGTACTCAGACTTTTCATCCAACAAATAGTTATGCGAAGGAATTGTATCTTCTTCTGATTTGAACAAGTTTTTGAATATATCAGTAGAGTACTCAGGAACAGTTGCTACATCTCTTATAGCCACTTGATCCACAACTTTCACTTTTTTTGCAGGGGTTTCCTCACCATCATATACCTCCAGTTTTCTCTTACTAGAACTTATGGTGACAGGCTGTGACAGTACGTTGCTGGCTCTGACTTCCGCCAATGGAACTCTTTCTACCCTTTTATCCATATCCATCCGAGTATCTTCACACTAACCCTTAGCTTTCTGCTCTCTATTTTAATAGTCTCAGAATCTCAAATATAAAGCCACTCTATACCAAATCTTTAACTATAATTAATGAATTGTATAATATATAGTATATAATATATATGGTGTAAATGTAAACCAATAGACGGTTTATCTGAATTTGGTGCTCATGCCCATCGCACATAAGAAAATAATTTGGTGTGACATCCAAATTTAGGGCTTTATTTTTTCTTAAGGCAAGACTCGACTATTGCTTGCAAGACGCGGGCGTCTTTCGAATTATACGGTCCCCTTTCGATCACCACTCCAAACAATACAAGCTCATCGCCAAAAAGTCTTTCAACGGGACCCAGCAACGTTAACTCGATACGTGTATACCCTAACTAGGGCATGCACATATTCTCGACCAGAAAGCCCTTGAAGACAATTATATGACGTAATCCCCACAGGAAACCAGTTTGGAAGTATATTTTTGGTGGTGTTTTAACTCAGAAACATGCGCAGCGACCAGCTCACAAGAACTTTATTGCAATTTACGCCTTTCGAATGTTCTGTGCATATTTCGCGAAAATGCATTTTGGTGGATACCGAGGGGCACAGACCATACCGTAGCAATTGCTGCTTGCAAGATAGATGAAATTGCTGGTCAAGATCTTGTGAATGGTTCCTGCGGTGTTTGTTAGGTGGCATTCAACCTTTTGGTATTTCGAGTTCTCGAGAATAAATTTGGTGCAGTATGTTCTGAGACAAGGTGGATGGTGGGTGGTCGAAGGAATGGGACACCAAACCAGCTAGGCTGGCCTTACTGGGTTAGGGTTTGTTCGAAACTGGACCACAGCATGGAGGAAAAACCCTAATGATTTGTGGTTTCATTCTGCTTGGACGTCAACTAAAATGGTATATTGGCAATATTGTTTGTTTGATTATTCTATAGAGCTGTGGTTATAAGTGGTGAGGTGAGTCGGGCTTTGGAAATGGGTAAGTGCACTCGTCAGCGTCCGACTTACCAAGTATTTTAGGGCGTCTGATGGAGCGTGGAGGTGCTTTTGCTACTTTTGCGGGTTCGGCTGCGGCGTTTGGGATCGTCTGAGTCACCAGGATGTTGTATCTTTCCTTGAAATAGTTTGTGAGTGCTTTGTTGAAGGCTTGCTCAACGTCCATAAAACAACTTTCCATCTCCGCTTCTGTCTGCTGTGCTGTGGCGTTACGAGCGGCAAAGTATGATTTATCAATGAACTTTCGGTACTCATGGTCATATTTGTTCGCGGCTCGGAGGTCTAGCTCATCACTCAGCAATGTCCTTTTTGCCGAGTCAATTGCCTCCTTTTGTCTCTTTCTTTTGGCCTTGAATTTTGATTTCAAGTTCTTGAAAGGCTGAAATTTAAAGCCGCTAGCCCTTTCTTTGGTCTTTATATCGTCAATTTCCTGCTGTAAAAAAATTGTATCAACCTTAGTGACTTTACCACCTTCCATGGGGCCAATTATCTTGGCTACATCGTCTTCAATCGACGAAGTAGTCTGAGACCCTTGACTATCCACCCTGAATGAGGGCTGCGTCAGGGCAGTGCCAGCACTATCTCTTGCTTGATTAGTGTCCATGACTGAAATACTTTTCTTGTGTTAATACGTGCCATAGCTGTGTAATACAGCCATGTGTGATTGATAATGCCTCTATTCACATCAATTATATATGCAAACCATGTAACACAAAGAACCTCTTGTAAAATAATAGTTTCAAGTCCAGTAAGCGACAAGCTAGCGCATCTTTTGACATCGTTATACCAGTGTTTCAAGTACTCTGAAGAGTTTCAGCCTTGTATCACAATCACGGGCAACTTATAACAAATTTTTGTATTATATTATTAGTATTTTGTATTTGCTTTCCTTTCAGAAATTATAGAATAGATAAAGTACATAATGGCTCATTCATATGAGCCAGGTCATAGTATCAATGCCAGAATGCATGTTGTATATGTAGAGGTTCCTGTAACATTCATTTCTTCACATCCTCAAACAATGACATATCTGATTGGAATGTGGATCAATTTGATTGCGTAACCAATAACACCAACAGCAACAAAACCAATACCAACAGCCTTGACAATCTTAGTGTACTCCTTCAAGTCTGGCTTCTTACACTTGGACAAGAATTGACTTCCTTCCTTGACAAACTCCATTGGAGCGTCCAAGATTTGCTCCTTGTTCTCACCTTTTTCGTTCTTAGCCATTATGTTCTTATCAGTTGCTGTCGTACTTACTTGTGCAAAGTTAGAAAGCCTGCATAGCAGTTGAACATGCTTCTTTATATAGTACTAGGAAGTAAATCCTTTTCTATTGCCTTCTGTTGCTGCTGCCCCCAGTTTGACAGCACATCGTTGTCAGAAAATCCGAGTGTGCTGGCATCGTTTTCAGTGATGACAATAACGTTCTGTGTTCAATAATATAGTACTAATACGCTTTCTATTCTATGATACAGTTTTTATATATGATCTATGCAGAGGTTTTATATATGTATTTTTTTTTTATGTGAGCGATGGTGATAGCCATTTTTTTTTCTAAAATCCTTTCCATTCTTCTTCAGATTGGGCCTCTTTCTCCTCTTCGGTTTGTTTCTTTTCGACAATGCCCCATTGTGCGAGTCTCTTGTCGGTGAGCACTTCCTTCTTTATCTTGTCTCTTAGGATTTTGCTGTTATCGTAGTTCTTCAGCAAGTTGCGCAGTATATCTAGCACTTGGTCCAATGGCGAGCCAGAGACAAACTCCTTCATTATTTCCAGCTTCTTGTCCTCCTCAAGCTCTTCTTCCTCGTCTTCCAACGCCAGACGCTCCCATTCATCCAACATGATATCCATCACATGGATTGGTATACCGTTGTACACCTTAGGGTCACCACTTAACGGGATGGCGCCCAGAACTCGCTCCAGATACTTGGCAACAAGCGGCGCATGCCATTGCCTCATCTGCAGGTACTTGAACTGGTTAAACAGCGCACGACGGATCAGCAGCAGGTACTTGTCCAGCCTGAACCTGTCGATCCCCAGCCACTCAAGACACATGATCCTCCAGAACGCCTTGCTGAACCGCACGAACGCCTTGTCATTGACAGTAAGCTCCTCCGCACCGCTATCGCGCTCGTCAAAGAACCGTACGTGCAGCGCACCAAGCGTAGAGGCCAACCGCTGCTGTGGACGAGGACGGTCACAGAACCACATCGCATAGTAAAGACCCTTCCATAGCTTATCAAACTGAACTTGCTTCGACTTCTTGAACTGCGCACTCACAATAAACTGCTCCAGCGTCTCCAACGCCTTCTCCCTAACAACCCTGTTGTTAGAAGCCAACTGCTTCACAAATTTAGAAGTTTCCATCTTGTACTCGTCCTTCTATAACAGCGTCTACAAACACTAGTAACTGCTTTGAAACTGGCTACTACTGTTATAAGCTCATCGATGCGATGAGCTCAGAAATAATTTTTCAGAAATTAAAAAAAAAAAGAGATTGAAAATTTTAATGGTCTAAAGCAAAAATACACAGAAACAGCCGTAGAAATAACGATGAAAAAGTTCAATATCCAAGGCAAACTGGGAATTTTGGTTTTAGCAGGCCAACAAAAAAAAGTATTCTTCCCCGCCAGGACTCGAACCTGGAATCTTCTGGTTCGTAGCCAGACGCCGTGACCATTGGGCCACGAGGAACAAGAATTCGTTGAATGTGGAAGTGGCGAAGTGTTGCTATACCGAGTAGTTGTTTTTCCTTCATTATAATTGCGGGTAAGTTTTGAAAAATTTTTCTAGTCGAAAACGCTAACTCTAAAATTTGCGATGAGCTTTAAAAAGTGAGCTCATCGCATGTAATGTATAAGGTGCGGAAAGTGGATGGAGAGTGGAGTGAGCTAGCGAGGTCTTGTTATAAAATATCCAATGGCTAAAGGGTTTTCGCTGAAGGATCAAGTTGCGTCCAAGATTGGGCAGCAGAAGAAGAAGCACGACAAGAAGCAGGAGAAGAACGGGAGCAAAGAGACCGATGAGGTGTTGAAGAGAGAAGCATTGGAGCTTGGTGCTAGTGAGAAGGATCTTGATCTGATCAAAGATGTTGATGTTGATGAGAATGATGATGAGGTGTTGATCCTGGATGCTGAAGACGGCGATGACGGTGAGCTAGGTTCCGAGTTGAAGAGTTTCATTGGGAAGCTGGGTTTGGATAAGCATGCTGTGCCAGATGCCAAGGAGGAAGTGGCTGAAGAAGCTCAGGAAAACGATGAAGATGACGACGAAGACGAAGAAAATGACGATGAAGAAGAGCTTAGTTCTGAATCAGAAGAGGAAGGACAAGACAGCGAGCCAGAAGAGCCAAAAGAAAAGAAAGACAGCGGATTCATCTCACAAACCACTATAATTTCATCTGATAAGTTAATTGTGCCTTATGATGTACCTTGGTATCAAGTACCATTGGACCCTCAACTGAAACAGAATGTTCTGGATAGTCAAAATGAAGAACCATTGACCAAAGAACAGATCACTACTTTATTCAACAGAGGTAAAGAGACCTTAGAGGCCGATAACCAGACCTACTATGACGAATTTACCAAGGATTCCTCTCAGAGAAAGTTTATGTCTCAAATTCTGTCAGATGGTACACTGAGCGATAAAATTTCAGCCCTAACTTTGCTGATACAGGATTCACCACTCCACAACATGAAGTCCCTAGATATGCTTCTATCTTTTTGCAGTAAAAAATCCAGGAATTCTGCTTTGCAGAGTTTGAATGCACTAAAGGATTTGCTCTTGAGCGGTTTACTACCTAACAGAAAATTAAGATACTTTAAAAACCAACCAGGTCTATCGATGATGTTGAACAAGCGGACTTTGGCTATCTTCTATTTTGAGGATTACCTAAAGAAGCTTTTCTTCAAAATTTTAGAGACATTAGAACTGCTGTCTCATGACCCTATCATTCACGTGAGAATGCAAGTTTTGACTCATATATTCGATTTCCTGATCAAACAGCCAGAACAGGAATTCAACTTATTAAGACTGGGTGTTAATAAATTAGGTGATATCGACTCAAAAGTCTCTTCGAAGTCTTCATATTTGCTACTGAAATTACAACAAGAGCACCCAAATATGAAATCTATTATTATTGATGCAATTGTTGACATAGCTCTTCGTCCAAACGCTGACTATCACGCTACCTACTACTCAACCATCACCCTAAATCAAACCATTCTAACAAGAACTGAAGATGAAATAGCCAACAAGCTAATCAAGACATACTTTACTTTGTTTGAGAAGTTCCTAATAAGTACTGAAAAGGACAATAAAGATGATGGTCCCGAAAAGACCAAGAAGAGTTATGAAAACAAGCGTAAGAAAAACTTCAAAAGAGGTAAAAAGGGTGGTAAGTCTGTTAAGGAAGACGTTACCGAATCAGAAGTCATTAAGGAAAAGAATTCCAAGCTTTTCAGTTCATTATTGACTGGTATAAACAGAGCGTTCCCATTTGCACAACTTTCGGCATCTGTTTACGAAACTCATTTGGAGACCCTATACAAGATCACCCACTCCTCGAACTTCAATACATCTGTCCAAGCTCTTGTCCTCATTAACCAAGTGACTGTTAAAGCCAAATTAAACAACGATAGATACTATAGAACCTTATATGAAAGTTTACTAGATCCAAGACTGGTTAACTCCTCAAAGCAAGGTATTTACCTGAACTTGCTTTATAAATCGTTGAAACAAGATGCAAGTAATATTTCAAGAGTAGAAGCTTTTGTAAAGAGAATTTTACAAGTATCCTCTCACTGGGTTAACATCGGTACTATTGTGGGTTTCTTTTTCCTACTGATCCAATTGGTCCAAATCGTTCCTCACATTCAGAACCTTTTGACCAATACACCAGTCGATCAAGAATATCAAGCCGATGAAGCTGATGAGGATAGCTCAGAGAAGGCTCATGTTCGTCAATATGATTCACGTAAGAGAGATCCAAAGTTTGCGAATGCAGATGTATCTTCTCTATGGGAAATAGCAAACTTCACAGATCATTACCATCCTACTGTCAAAGCATACGCAGAGGCTTTTGTAAATGGTAAGTACAAAGAAGTTTCGAAACCAGACTTAGGTCTATACACCCTTACACATTTCTTGGATAGATTTGTCTATAGAAATGCTAAACAAAAACCACTTTCTAGAGGTTCATCCATTATGCAACCTTTATTTGGTGGTGCACAAACACGCGAATCTTTGTTGGTTAAAGCATCTGATATGGTACGTAATATCGGCCCTGTCAATACCAAAAACTGGATTGATAGCAAGGTAGAGGAGATTAAGCCAGAAGACCGTTTCTTCTACCAATATTTCACTTCAAAGAAGACTGCGATCAAGTCTGATAAGAAGGAAGCTCAACCTAAAGAAGAAGATGAAGAGATGGATGAGGATGAGATCTGGAATGCTTTGGTCAAGTCCAGACCAGATGTTGAAGATGATAGTGATGATAGCGTAGGTTTCAGCGATGAAGACTTCGGTGATATGAGTGATATGAGTGATGATGAAGATCAAGATGTTGCCCCATCAGATGATGACGACGAGGAAGACTCTGACTCAAATGATGTCAACATTGATGAAGATATTTTCTACAGCTTCAATGATGATGGAGAAGGTAAAGAACAAGAAGACGAAGATGAAAACGAGGACGACGATGAGGATGAAGACGAAGACGGTATTGATTCTGATACATTAAAGAGACTAAGAGAAGACGAGGTGTCCTCATCCGAAGAAGAAGAAGAAGATAACAAAAAGAATAAAAAGCAGAAGAAGAGCAAGAAAAAATCGCTTCCTGTCTTTGCAGCTGCAGAAGATTACGCTAAATACCTTGAATCAGACAGCGAATAAACTGGCTAATGCTAAAATTCTTAAATTTCCTAATAAATCCATTTTACAGTTAAATTGATCATAATGTGCATCGAAACATTTAAATAGGCATTGTATAGTAATTAATATAAGCACTCTATTAATATCACGATATAGTTGATGAGTGAAGAACTGCATTGATGACCATAACATTAAATTTAAATCACTTTGTATATATAGGGGTTAAGTACCGCCACACATGATGATCTTTTTGTCTTTTACTTTGTATTATAAAACTAGTATGCCATCAAAGTTAAATTTAAATGCATTAAATAACATAATAAATATTGCATATTTTAAAGCTCATTTAACCATTCTACTACTTTCTTCAAAAATCCTCTTGAATTTGGAATGAAGTGACCACCCTTGTGAGTCAAAAATGTGCGACTACTTGAATCACAAGAGTCATAGAGTGCCTGCACTTTCTCTGGTTCTGTGACTGTGTCCAATTCACCATGTACATGCAGAGTTTTGATAGAAATTGGATTTTTATACTGTTTTTGGTGCTCCTCACCTCTAAACCTAAACCCACTGAAGGCCATCAGAAATTTCAAAGGTGGTTGTTCCTCTTCTGTTAGATTCAGTAGTCCATTGAAATCAGTAACTAAGTATCCTGCCAAACCAGCACCTTGAGAAAACCCTACTATACCATCAAAGGGACCATTTTCGATGATGTAGTTATGTAAATAATTGATAGTGGTTTCTGGAATGTAGTAACCATCACCAGTTTCTTTATTTTGAAGCCAAGCTATAACCCCGCTCTGCGAAGAAACTTTGTCGTCGATCTCATCAAGTAGCCCATTTGGCAAGTCAGCTGGCGGGAAGCTGTTAGGAGCAGTAGGGTAGTAGAGCTCATAGTCCAGCTTTTCAAGTTCCGCTGCAAAACCTTTCGTCTTAGAGGCAAAATACTCTCCAGATTGGGCTAATCCATGTAACATCAGCACTTTCTTTGCCATTTTCACTTGAGTTCTTTATTATAGCTCACCAATTTGTTTATATTTTAAACCAATTATAAAAATTATATAATGAACGACATGAAGTCGATATACAATTAACCAGGAGTTATAAAATAAAGCAGAATTTAACACAATTCTTTAGAATTCGATGGTCAATATTGCTAAATATTGTGAAAAATCAGCTGCGATGAGATGACTTTTGAGTTTTTTTGCAAAATCAGGCAATTTGACAAAAAACTGAAAAATTCACATACTTAATAGCTTGCCATATCCGATTTATGGGTTTGATTTACATCATTATCAATAGTGTGAAGATCACAGTAGGCCTTAAGATTTTAGTACTAAAGTTGCTGGGAAGAGTCTCTATATTTTGCTGAAATTCCAGTGTTGATCCGATCAATAAGCGAGGAATAACGACGGTTTTTTTATTTAATATATGGGATACAATAGACCAAACTGACAAAATATCGAGTAGAGGCAGACAAAATATTTGATCCCTAATAGACATTGGAAAGGTTCTAAGTCCAGCTTATTATTTGACCACAGGATCATAAGAAATTATTTTGGTATCGTACATTTAATTTAGTGATGGATGATTGCCAGCATATTCAGTCAATTTTTGAGAATCCCAAGAATAGAGCAGCTTGGCTAAATGCATTAAGTACTACACAGAGTGTACTACGCCATTCTCCTATCAAGGCGAAGCTATTGCATGCTTTTCGATGCTCGACTTGCAAAGAGATATCCAATGGTTCGAACTTTTTATGTCTTCAATGTGGATTCTGCGGCTGCTGGAACGGCTCACATTTTGAACAACATAGCAAAGAGACAGGTCATTTATTTGGCATTAATGCACAAACCGAACTAGTATTTTGCTTTCAATGCATGGACTATGTTGGTGATTTTGATCTATTTAGAGATGCGGCATTGGCTAATAGATGGGACTATTACGAGGAATATACAAATGTGCCGACAGTTGATCAGATCGATGGTATGGCTGGTTTAGTTAACATGGGATCTACATGTTACATGAGCAGTATAATGCAATGCATTATCCATAACCCATATATGATACGATACTTCATGTGCCAGCAACATAGCAATAATTGTACCCTCAAAATGGCTAGCAATTGTACTAGCTGCGCTATTTCATCAATAATAGCTGATTTCTATGGCAATTCAGTTCAGAATGATTATAAGAGCAAGAAGAACAATAATAATAAACATGAAGGCTTCATTAATCTACTTACCTGTTCTTGGAAAGTTAACGAGAATCTGGCTGGGTACTCTCAACAAGATGCGCATGAATATTGGCAATTTATATTAAACCATATCCATCAAGATTACAAAAGTAGCATGCACTCGCATTCTGATGACAAACTATGCAACTGTGTGGTTCATTCATCATTCCAAGGATCATTGAAGAGTTCAATTGTTTGTCCAGAATGTAATAACGACTCGAAAACGACATTTGATCCTTTTATAGACCTTTCATTAGGGATTAAAGACAAACACACACTAACAGAGTGCTTAGATAATTTTCACAAGAAAGAACAACTTCATGATTACGACTTCTTTTGCAAGAAATGCCAAGCTCAACAGAATCCAATAAAACAGTTTACAATCAATAAACTTCCGCCAGTTTTAGTACTTCAGTTAAAACGGTTTGAGCATCTAATGAGTGGTGTAAATCAAAAATTAAATGACTATATCGAATTTCCCAAAATTTTAGATATGAAACCTTACCTAAAGGACAACCAGAACCCTGATGAAGATCCATCGATATTATATGAATTAATCGGGATAATTTCACATACTGGATCTGTAAATGAGGGTCACTACGTTGCTTTTTGTAAAATAGAAAATGGAGAATGGTTCAAATTCAATGATTCTATGGTTACAAAGATCCTGGAAAAAGATGTGCTAAAAGAACAAGCATATTTATTATTTTATATCGTAAAGCATATCAGTTAACGGCGTTGCCACGGTTCTTCAGCTCCACGCACAAAGCGATTTCTCAATATACTTGATGAACAATCTTATAAATCATCATAATGACTTTTCAATTAAACATTATAGCATTGTCTAATTACGTATGCATAGTAATTCCAAAGAATCTAGTTATATAAACTTATTTCCTCTTTTTCGCTAACAGACTACCAAGAATATCTGTTTTTGGTGTTCGGGCAGATTTCCTTGTTGTAGCTGATCTTTTACTAGATTTGGCCGATCCCTTCGGACTTTTAGTAGGTTTTGTGCTCCTAACTCTCCTCCTTTCGCGATAGTTGTCCTCATCAGAGCTAATCTCTATCAGGTCTTCATCATATCCTTTTAAATCAGCGTCATGGTCAGATTCTAACTCATCCTCAGAAACAATAATTTCGCTGCTCAAATTCTTTTTTTGTCGAGTAGAAGGTCTAGAGTTCCTTGATGACTTTGCTGGCAATTTATTTATGCCATTATCATATCCATTAAGAAGAAGATCAGCAGCCTCATCTTTGTTTATATCTAAGGAAGAGCTCTGATCACTTGTATTTGCTCTTTTTACGCTTTTAATAAACTTCTTTATCTCTTCCGGATCATCACCATGAATAAAATCCTTATTATTATATAAAATATCAACTTCATGATGAATTTCTTTTTCTATAAATTGCTTCAGTGCCAACTTTTCATCCTTATCAACAAATTTCTTCATGGCTTCATTCATACCATTTTCTGGAAGTAGAGATAAATTCATCTTCTTCAGTAAATCTGCTATTAGGTCATCTACCTGTAATTCCGATCCATCATTAAATGGCAATTCGTTGTCTATATCCATAGTTGTCACACCATCTTTACGGGTTTTGGCTATAGGCTTCCTCTTTGCTCTGAAAAACTGTACAATATTATTGGTATTTGCTATTTTCCCAACAAATCTGTTGCTAAACCTTCTTGGATTTTCAACTTGATATATAATTTCTGGATTTTCATCGGGACCACTATAGTCAACTCTTAGTCTTATTAATGGAAGTGGGAAGCTTCCCATTGATTCAATTTCATCCATTGGTATATTAGGAAATAGTTTCTCCTTAGTTTCGCGGTTAGCTTCATCCAACATTTCTTCTATAATATCAACAAGATACTTTGATATTGCCTCCTTATCATGCGGTCTCAATGTTGGTTCGTCTTTCAAATGAATTGTCTTCATCTTAAATGTCCTTACAGTATCCAATTTTAATGGAATCAGTTTGGGTTTCGTCTCATGTCGAAGTTCAACTATAAATACATGTTTTTCCTTGCATTCAGCTTCACATAAAGATGTAGCAACTGATGATCCTGGTTGCAACACATCAAAATCCTTTGAAGGGTTATGCATGAAATTTGGTATGCATTCATGCTCATGCCCCCATATAATTAAATTCAAAAAATCTGGTAGGAATTGTTCCGGTAGAAACGCAGTATTAGTATGTCCTGTATGGTTTTGATGCACACATAATATATTAAACCACTCATTTTCACTAACCGTTGGTACTTCAAATGTAACTCCCCCATCTTTGAATGTCCTAAATAGTCTCTCTTCCCTGACAGAAGCCAAACCATACAATGCCAGCTTAGTTTTACCTTTCTGAAATAATAATGGTGCAATATTAATCTTGTCAGCTTCTAAAACTTTACCAAAATGGTTCACCAAACCAGTCGCATGCAATACATCCATCGGACAGAGTAAGGAATCACCTGTAGCATCATCATGGTTACCAGATATTGCAAACATGGGTATAGATATGTTGAAATTAGGGTCCTCATAATTGACATCTGTGAACTCATCATAATTGAATACTTTAGATGGATCACTGAGTAACTCCAACTCACAAGGCTTGTCTCCCATGCATGCCAATCTTAGTGTCTTGAGAACCTGGTAAAGAGATTTCTTGGAAGGTTTATTCACATGAAACAAGTCACCAGATTGCAAAACCATATCAGCGTTGTTTTCCTTAGCTAGCATCATAATTTCATGGAAAGTACGCCAGGAATCATCTCCTGTGATGGGATCATTCTCATTGTAGCCAACATGGTTATCCGTGGTGATCAGTATACGTATAGTATCCTCATCTGGCAACTCCATTTGTCGTTGTATGCTGTTTGTTGCCACTTGTTCTCCCAACTAGAACTGCTTGTTCTTCATGAGCTTTAGTCTCCCAAGTAACTTTAAATTATAAGGCGAGTTGTTCATAATAAGTAAAAGTTTCAATTACAAAAGTGTTTCAAGGTTGAAGCAGTTTGTATATTTCTTAAGGAATAGATTAAATGACTATATACTTGATTATGTTTATGTACAGGTTATCGTAATTGGCAGATTAGCAAACGTAACGACACTTACTACTGGTTCTCAATGGTCTCTTTGATCTGCAACTGTCTGGAGTGTCTGTCAAAGTAGTTCGCTAGCTCTTCGAATGAGTGGCCTCTGGGATCCAGCTCAAGCTCTTTCTTATCTTTGTATGTAATCTTCACTAGCGGAGTAGCTGTGCTGGACTCAGTAAGTAACTGGTTTGTTATCTGTGTACTCTGCATCCGTTGCACTGGCGGAATAGAGGATAAAAGAAGTCTAACTGCGCCTGCTGTATAGAAATTGTATATTGTCCAAAATACCTATTTAAAAATCCAATAATTGTGTGGATAGGCGTTTTGATTACGCAATTAGTTAGTATAATGCTCCCATTTCCTTCCTAAAAATTGGCACCGATGTTGCGCCTTGAAGACAGTCGTTGTAATGATGCATACCTTCTTTACCGAAAGGGTTAAACCTCACAGCAACCTTGCTGAAGTATTTTGTAATCATGATGGCAATAGTACTGTGCTTTATGCTTTGTATTAGTTTTACCCTCTGTTACCTGTATGTTACACCTTTAACACTCAATTTATCAGGTCTTTTTGTTCGAAATTCGGGATTTCAAAGCTTTTTAGCATTCACAGGTCAATGCGATGCAATGAGTTCAACTAATTGCATTATGATATTCAACTACTTATTGGAGATGTGAAACAGTTAATTATCAAATACTATATCTATTTATTCCATGATAAACTATCACTAAAACAGTGTTCATGCGACGACTTCATTTAGTCGCCCCTGTAGATGTGCGAAGCCGATGCCTGGTGTGTTGGGAAGACCAGGACATCTGCTACCACCATGTTTGGCTTTCTGCTGGTAGAGTACACAATCAAATCCGCGATATCATCGGCATATAGTGGTGTTGTACCTCTGTAGACGTCGTCTGCTTTGGACTTGTCACCTTTGTACCTGACCACAGAAAACTCGGTTTCGACCATACCAGGAGCAATTTCAATTACTCTAATGTCGGTGTTGATCAATTCCTTCCTTAAGGATTGTGTGAATGCCCTGACAGCATGTTTTGTTGCACAGTATATAGCACCCGTTGGGTATGCGTCTCTACCAGCAATCGATCCCAAGTTGACGATATCACCACTGTTCTTCTTCTTGAATAATGGCAACAACAATTGTGTTAAATTGATCAATGCAAGGACGTTGGTGTTAACCATTCCTGCGATATCCTCAGGGTCAATGTCTCCAACTTTGTCAGACCCCAACGCTTTACCAGCGTTATTGATCAGGATGTCGATGTCCTTGAACTCTTCTGGCAAGTCAGCCAAAAACTGCTTGACGTTTTCAAAGTCTGTAACATCCAGTTTACCTATATGAATCTTTGCATCAGGATATTGAGCCAGCAATTCCTTCTTCAACTCCTCCAATTTCTCCATTCTACGTGCACCAAGAACTAGCTTCACACTACCATTGGAAGCATCCAAATACTCAATGGCTGTAGCTTTACCGATGCCCGCAGAGGCACCCGTAATAAAGGCAATCTTCCCTTGTAACCTCTCAGCAGCTTTTCTTCCTTGAGACATTCTGTATTTGTATATATATTTGTCAATAGTCCTCGAGACCTACCGACTTTACCTTAAGAGCGAAATAATAAAACTGGTAAATCAGGGTCTTATATATAGTTGCTATCGACTAATCGATTCAAATGCATGATGATACAGTTGGCAAATAGGGCAAATACCATCGGAATTTGGTTGAGCATGCAGTAAGACCGTTATCAATAATTGTCAACGATTGGTCTTATCACTAACCCGACCCTTATCAGTTGCCTTGCCAATCTAATCATTCTGGCAGTTCATCGTAACTGTGACAAAAGTGTAATTTAGGTTGCATAAGCCTATCTCATTCGCAAAATTCTATAGAAGTCTATTTAACGCAAATTCTCTAGCACCTACCTAATCCGGCTTATTCATCGCCTTCACCACCAAATAGCATCATCATGTCGAGGTCGTTCTGATCAAGCTCTTCTTCTTTGTCTTCCTTTGAGTCGTCCTTGTCTTCTTCACCTTCACCTTCGCCCTCCTCCTCCTCCTCCTCTTCGTCTTCGTCGTCATCTTCGTCATCTTGATCTTCGTCGTCTTCATCCACTATTCCTGTCGAGCTCACTGGGCCTGTGCCACCGCTTAATTGATTCTCTGACTCCTTCAGTTGTTTTTTCTTCAGCTCGACTTCTTTTTCTAACTTCTTGATGCTGTCAACAAATCTTGACTTTAGCAATGGATTAGTTGCCTTTTCAAGCTTATCCTTTGTGTGCTCTAGCGTAGATACCAATTCGTTCAGCTCGTCTGCTAACAACTCCGTATGTTGTCTCTTTTCATTATCATCACCACTCTTAGCTACTGAACCAACTTCTTCTTCTTCTTCCTCTTCATCGTCGTCTTCATCATCATCATCATCATCTTCATCCTCACCATTATCTTGCTCAACCTCGTCTCCGCCTTCTTCATCTTGGTCTCCGAATAATGCATCACTACGCTTAGTAGACTCGGACTCATCTTCATCACTTTGGAACGCCTCTTCAAGGTCTAAGTCCTCATCATCGTCCTGTAACGTCACGTCTTCGTTGAGCACTTCAGGCTTATTAGCCACAGATAGATCAACATGCGATGGTGCTGCACTCACCGATCCCTTCTCTGGAACGTCTGATGGCGCTATGAGATCAAACTTAACATCCTCAGCTTGGGCATCTGCTTTAAGAAGCATGTCCACTATCTTTTCAGCATACTCAAATTCATCCGCATGCATCTGTCTTCTGAACCTCCTGTTTCGCACATTATACAGAGGAGGCGTTAATCCGTGCTTGTAATGATACTTCTTTAGCGCTAGTTTCTCCAAGTTCTTGGCTTCAGTTTCTGAGTGCAAATTGACATGGTTGGCATTCTTGAACAACTTAACTTTGTGATCATTTATTTCATCTAGATATTCTTCATAGTGTTTGGATATCAGATCCTCGGTTTCTGGTGCCTCTAGGGTAAACAACTCGTCCTCACTGGTAATGGGTTTCACACAAACGAGCATCTGTGTGACATCAAACGTCTTGAAAAGATTCTTACGATCAACACTCTTGTTAACTTCTATTATTGTCGGTAAATCTACCAAGATGGCACCATATGTTACATTATTTAACTTGAGAATCGCATGCCTCTCACCCTTCCACTTGATGCTAATACCGGTATAGTCACCAGATTCAATTGAATTCTTGATAAAATCAACCTGTACATCTGGAAGCACTCGCAGTATAATACCAGACTCAATCAACGGATCATCCTCCAAATCAGACGCCTCAGAGTCATAACCTTCACCAGGTATACGGATAGGTTTCAACCGCAGACGCGGCGTCCGAGACTGCTTCTCCTCTTTCTTCGACCCCAGCTTCAACTTAACAACACTACCAGATTTCTTGACATCTGTCTTTTTCAAGTTAATCTTTAATTTCTTGGGTTCTTTCTCCTCTTTCCTATTCCCAGCACTTATCCGTATCTTCTTTAATTTTGGGCCTTCCGATTCGTTAGCACCCTCATTCTTCTTGGGCTTCTTAATCTTAATAACAGCCATATCTATATTCTCACAGGTACAAATTGATTACACTATCCAATGCCCTTCTATTTCAAGAAGTTTGTAGAAACTATCACTGAATTTGACTTGTTTCTTATAATTATGCAACTTTTTTCACAATTTTTCAGTTTTGCGATGAGCTTGTACCAGAAAGGCCAAAATACTCACTGTAAGTCATGAAATAATAGCCCAGAAGATGTGCTTATTGCCCATTTATTCAAGGCATAAACCTCACCAAACTCGAAATTGCTAATGAAAGTTGCTGTACCCACAATTTCGCAGCTGCATATCAAGAGTTACTATGGGTTCCGGTACCTTTTGGACCCAGATTGGCATCAAAAGGTGTTTGAGAAGTTGGGTCTTTCGAGTAACCCTAACATGAAAGTACTGGATTTATATCCTGGCCCTGGTATACACTCTGCTGTGCTTTACAATAAAGTTCAACCACAGCAGTACACCATGATGGAGTGCAGACGGGATTTCTTATCGAATCTGAGAAATATATATACGGATGGACCGATGGAACTGGTTAAAAAAGATCCTTACAAATGGGAATCATACACAGAGCTTATAGACCAAGAAAAGTTGTTTGTACCCAAGAAAGCTGATTACAATGTAGTCAATAAGGATTTTTATATAATGGCGAATTTGACGGAGAAGAAGCATGAGGGCCTACTTATGCAGTGGATGAACTGTGTAGGTAACCGGAACTGGCTTTTCAGATTCGGCAGATCACCAATGCTGATATGGATGCCCACTCCGACGGCATCAAAACTGCTGGCAGATAGCGGTGACCATAGCAGACACAAATGCTCCCTTGTCCGTGAGGCCTTCACTGATACCAAACTAGTTGCGTTATCCCAAGAAGAGGACATGAAAAGCTTCAATTCTGTATGCCTGGATAAGTCTAACCCTCTTGTAATCCCAGATGGTACAGATTATGGTGGAAAGGACTTCCCCATCGCACTGGTTGAGTTTACACCCAAGAAACATGATATTGACCTTGACAATTGGGAATTTGTTACTAAACATTTGATGGTGTTGTATAAGACACCGCTCATAGATGCCATAGATTGTTTAGGACACGGTGCTAGAGATTATTTTAGTGCCAATATTGACAAGGATCACATCCATCTGCTGAAGAAATGCCCACAGGACTTCACCAACAATGATTTTGTGTACCTCACCAACTTATTCCATCTATGGCCTTTCAAACCAGATGTTTATATGGACTTCCTAGATATTTATCAAGAGGAATCAAGAGAGTAGCCTAAAATGTAGTAGAAAGACAGAATGCCAATTATTTCAACTCGGAGCAACTTGTACATAGTTTCAGCATAAGCGAAGAGAACGACGTAAGCATAGGATACACCCATAAAATAACAAACTACACCGAATATATTTCTTTAAATGCATCGAAGAGATGCTTACCAGCGCATATATAGCCAGTTCGACCAGTATATAGTCAATATGATAGCATTCCAACCATGTGACATGAATTTCGTGCCCAGGTAATGATTCGGCCATTGAGGGTTCAAGCATTTAGCGTTGATCAAAGCACATACTTTTTAGAAGCTAAGTCATAAATATAGGCTTCTTGAGATAAACTATTATTAATACCAAAGCTATATAAAATACAGATAGCGTAGATGCCATACTCACAACATGGGTCCTCCAGCCATGCGCAGAGGACTAGAGCGTCATTCTCGTCTGCTCGAAGCAATGCTACGTCTGCTACTCTGACATCCTCAGTGATCATTGACCATAATAACTCAGAATCGTATGCTGGTGCTGCATTTGAAGCAGTACCGAGCTCTATTGTGTCCTTTCATAGGCCGCACTCGTTCCAATCAAGCCATATGATGGGCTCGTCACTCAATTCGAACATGCTAGAACGCACTACAGGAGCCATTCATGAGACAGAACCATTGTACCAAGGTAACGACCACTCTAGAAGTTCTTCTAATAACAGAAATTTCCGTTTCTTTACCGATGAGCAAGTAAGCCAGGCTGAAGGTATAGCTACTCTGGAGAATACAGATTATGACATCGATTGGGATGCTGCCCCAGCCTACGAACAAGAAAATAGAGCGGGATCCTATATGGGCTCACGTAGGTCCTCTATACGCGATATATCCCGAAGATCTTCATTGTCGACATCGCCTTATGGTAGTATTGATCACAGGGGTAGGTCGGCATCGAAAAGTAGACCAAGGTACGATCAAGTATACCAGACATCCACTCATAGCTCTTCTAGTTTATCCCGATACTCAGTAAGAGAGAGGATTCCAGTTGAAGTAGAAGACCAAGATGATAATAGTCTTGATGTCCATTCATCAGACCAATCATTGGCCAGCTCACATTCAAATACTAGCAATTATGGAGGAAATGAAGGTAGTGTAAACCCCCATGACGATACTACACAGAGGAAAAGCCAAAACCATCACGAATTCTTGAAACCTCAGTATCATGACAAATTTTACCCAGAGTTTAAAGCTGACAGACATATACAAAGGGCATATATTAGTGAAGAAGACATGGTAATAGTTATAGCAGGCTATAAAACTTCCAAATTTATGTCTTTAGTATACAATTTATTGTGCATATTTACACTTGGTGGGCTGTTTCTAATAGGGAAGTGGCTACCTAAGTATAAAGTACGGATAGTCGGTAGGAAGGCTCCATTGGCAAAGGCAGAATGGTTGGTCTTGGAAAATGAACACGGCGAGTTCACCATTGAAGAACCAACGAGGGAATGGTACAATAGGACATTAAGCACCATCCTAATGCTCGATTCTAAAACTGAAACTGAAGAGTTTGAACATGGATTTCAGAGACACCACCATACTAGCGAAGAGAATCCCAATTTACCCATCTTGATTTCATTTCAGTACAGATATATTAAGTTCGTATACTCACCCTTGGACGACATATTTAAAACGAATAATAATTGGGTGGATTTTGATTGGGTTGATCTGGAAACAACCAGTAAAGGTTTATCTTCGGGTATTCAAGAGGATAGAGTACTTGCTTTCGATAAGAATCAAATCAATTTAAAGATGAAGACCACTTCTCAAATTCTCTTTGATGAGGTTTTACATCCCTTTTACATCTTTCAAGTCCTGTCTATAATCTTGTGGAGTTTAGATGAGTATTATTATTACGCAGGATGTATATTTTTGATATCATTGCTTTCAATTCTTGATACTCTTATTGAAACCAAGAAAATATCTAGAACCTTAGCTGAGATGTCCCACTTCAACTGCGAAGTCCGTGTTTTGCGTGAAGGGTTTTGGTCAAGCATTCACTCTTCTGAACTTGTTCCTGGCGATATATATGAAATATCTGATCCAAATTTAAATCTCCTGCCTTGCGATTCTATCTTGCTCTCCGGTGACTGTATTGTCAACGAGTCAATGCTTACCGGAGAGTCAGTTCCCGTATCCAAATATCCGGCCTCAGAAGAAACTATCTTACAACTATTTGATGATTTTCAAAGCACACAGATCTCAACATTCCTTTCCAAATCCTTTCTCTTTAATGGAACAACTTTAATCAGAGCTAAAATACCCAATGGTGGATCTGTTGCATTAGCCATGGCAGTTAGAACAGGGTTTTCAACAACGAAAGGGTCTTTAATAAGATCGATGGTGTTTCCAAAACCATCTGGTTTTAAATTTTACAGTGATTCCTTCAAATACATTGGATTTATGGCAATAATTGCCTTTTTTGGATTTTCGATTAGTTGTATCAACTTCATTAAGCTGGGACTTGACAAGAGGACAATGATTTTAAGAGCTTTGGATATAATTACAATTGTTGTACCACCAGCACTGCCTGCTACATTGACCATAGGTACCAGTTTTGCTCTAAATAGGTTAAAAGAAAAAGGAATATTTTGTATTGCACCAACTCGTGTAAATATTGGTGGTAAAATTGACGTTATGTGTTTTGATAAAACAGGAACATTAACTGAAGATGGTTTAGATGTTTTAGGTGTTAGGGTATCATGTGCTGCTACAAGAAACAAAGCCTCTTTTAGTGACCTAATATCAGATACTCATGACATCTTCCCAAAATTCTCATTGAAAGATTGTAGTAACCCCGACGATTATAAGAGGAGAAATTTCCTAATTTCTTTATTAACTTGTCATTCTCTTCGGGTGGTAGATGGTGAATTATTAGGTGATCCTCTAGATTTTAAAATGTTTCAGTTTACTGGATGGTCTTACGAGGAGGACTTCCAAAATCATCAATTCCATTCGCTGTATGAAGAGCGCCATGAGGGTCAGAATTTCCCCGAAAACAATGATATAATACCAGCGATTGTACATCCGAATGACTCAGATGAAAGAAACAAATTTGTACAGAACGATCCTAACAATATTTTAGGTATTATAAGGAGTTTCGAATTTCTTTCAGAATTGAGAAGAATGAGTGTTATTGTGAAACCAAACAATGAAAATGTATACTGGGCATATACAAAAGGTGCACCAGAAGTGATTATAGACATATGTAATCCAGCCACACTTCCATCTGACTATGATGATATCTTGAACTTCTATACTCATAGCGGATACAGGGTTATTGCTTGTGCAGGTAAAACACTTCCAAAAAATACATGGTTATATTCCCAAAAAGTACGCAGAGAAGAAGTTGAATCTAATATGGAGTTTTTAGGTTTCATTATATTCCAAAACAAATTAAAAGATGCTACTTCTCCAACTCTCTCCAAATTGAAAACTGCCAATATTAGAACTGTAATGTGTACCGGTGATAACGTCTTAACAGCAATATCTGTAGGTAAGGAGTGCCAATTAATTACAGAGGATCGTGTTTATGTTCCAACTGTTGCATATAGTGATATGACTGTACAACCTGTCATTCACTGGAATGAAATTTCAAATGCTGAACATATACTAGATACTTTTACCCTACAACCAATAGATGATTATTCAGGACCATATACCCTGGCTATTACAGGTGAAGTCTTCAGAATAATTTTCAGCAATCAAGATAACTACTCTGAAGAGTATGTAAATGAGATACTGCTAAAAGGTAGCATATTTGCAAGAATGTCACCAGATGAAAAGCATGAGTTGGTGGAGCAGTTACAAAAAATGGATTACACTGTGGGCTTTTGTGGTGATGGTGCCAATGACTGTGGTGCACTGAAAGCTGCTGACGTAGGCATTTCTCTGTCTGAAGCGGAGGCCTCTGTGGCAGCGCCATTCACGTCTAAGATTTTTGACATAACCTGCGTCTTGGACGTTATTAAGGAAGGTAGAGCGTCACTTGTTACATCATTTGCTTGTTTTCAATACATGAGTCTGTATTCAGCTATCCAATTCATTAGCATCACAATTTTATACAGTAGAGGATCAAACCTTGGTGATTTTCAGTTTTTGTACATCGATCTTTTATTGATTATTCCTATTGCAGTGACAATGTCTTGGTCAAAACCTTATCACGAACTGGCAAAGAAAAGACCCTCTGCAAATCTTGTTTCACCTAAGATATTGGTACCGTTGATTTTGGATATCGTGTTTTTGTTTTTATTTCAGTTCTTACCATGGATATGGATTCAAGGCAGGCCTTGGTATATCAAGCCTATTGTTGGTGGTGATGATGCAGTGCAATCATCTGATAATACAGTATTATTCTACATCTCTAACTTCCAATATATCTTGACGTCAGTAGTCTTATCAATTGGGCCACCATACAGGGAACCTGTCCACCACAATGTCCAATATGTCAGAGATATAGCCCTATCAGTTCTAGTAAGTTTTGTGATAATGCTAGTTAACCCCGATAGTAAGTTAGGCAACTTATTACAATTGACTTCGATCCCAACAGGGCTTATTATACTAATTCCTATATGGTGTATGTTAAATTACTATGTTCTGACTCATGTCCCACCAAAAGTGAAGCAATACTTCCGTAAACAGAGAAGTAGTAAGCTATACAAGAATATATTGAGAGACCAATCTCAGCAGTATGTAGTTTAATGAACAGACGTTTTGTGTTCCTGAATTGTACTATATCGTAAGAATTTATACATATTCTCTCAGATTTTAGTTTAAAGGATCAACTTGCTTATGGCAAATTATAAGGTCAAAACAGTTAAATATCGAAATACGCTTATTTTGCTGCATTTCTCATAGATAAGAAGCAGTTCCATACCACACCTACGGAACTGCTGAAGGGCACCTGATAGTGCTTAGGTATGACTAAAAAGTTGATGAATTGCATCATAGGCCAAATCATATAGTTACATCCCAGGGTGGTTACATATAGCCTTCTTATCTTCATACTAAAAGTGTATCTGTCACCTTGCTCTATCACATAATTGGAGTACATAAAGAAGAAGTATAGGGATACCGGCGAGTATAACAATTGGTCAGTGAGAACCCGCTCAAGGACCTGAACTACCGTAGGATCTTCAGTATATATTGTGTTTAAGATAATATACCATGGCACCTGGAAAAAAGAAATGAAACCTCCCCATCCCATAAACCCTAACCATCTTCTAAAGTGAAAAGTGGCCACTTTCTCAGTATGATTGTATTCTATCTCGTCGTTGCTATTATCATACTCACCATAGTCATTGAACACAGACAAATTATCATCATTGTCAGAGTCTAGTAACTCTTCATTGGCTTCAAATATACCCCCAGGAAGTGGCATTACATTATAAGGTATCAAATTCTGGACCGTCTCATCTATTATTCGAGGCACTGGGTCCATCTCCCTAGAAAAATAGCACGTAATGCATTGTGCAAGTATATCAGACAGCCCAAATAGCATGCAATTAGACAATTGAGATGCTATTAGTCTATTATACTTGTACAGATCCTTGTAATGATTGAAATAATATCTCCACATGAGATTCAACCAGCAAAACATTAAAAACCAATGCGTTAAGCTGATATGGAACACATTAGCAGTGAAGACTGTACGAAAGACGTTCCGCTGGCGTACTGCATAGTTATAAGCAGTTGAACCGTCCACTCCTGGAAGAGCAATGGTCATTTTTAATCGCAACAAAAGATGATTCGGTAGCCTGTGTTTTGGAAAGTCTGATACTGTTTATAAGCCTTTGATTCGCATCCAATTAAGCAGATAACGTAAAAATAAGCTCCTAACGTTGAATATATGTTGAGCACTAAACACAACCACTGTCTTGGATGTCTGTTGTGTGTTGATATCCACCAGTTTTGTTGTTCGTTTCGGTCCTTTTAGTAGAGCTCATCGCACCGATAAGCGACCCGTTTAGGGCATCGGCCTAATAAGCCGAGAAACAGGTGATCATGTGATTGGGAATAATACAAATATTATTGAGCTATATCTCTACGTATTAGAATTTAGACCGGGGGTTATTATGAGAATACCAATTATCTTCTAACTACCGAAGTCCACTTAGTATTCAGCACCAAACGCTTTATTTCAGACACTCCAAATGGCACAAAGCGAAGGGGTTTGTGATTTTGATGTAATACACTACACAGTGCTACTCAGCCTATACCGCACTATATCCACCTCTACTTGCAGATGAATCTCGCGTTCCTAAGGTCTTGGTTACTACTTCTTTGACAAATGTTGGCAGAGAAGTTATGAATTCTGTACCACGTTCAACAAATTCATTACGGAAGTCCTGGAAGGATCCACCTTTAGTGTTCAAGTATGAGACTACCATCAAATATATGACAGTAAAGAGAATAGCGTAAACAAACAACCAGGTAAACCATGATGTTTTCTTGCTCTTCTTATCCTTGCCAGTGTTATTATTGTTATCAGGGTCGTTACCATTACCGTTACCATTACCGTTGTCGCCAGAGTCAGAGTTCCCGTCACGCTTACAACCAGATGGACCAGACATCTCAATCAATACATACTCAGAATTCCAGATCGTGGTCACCAGTTCGTCTGTCTTCAAGTTAGTATCACAAGAGTAACTCAAAGTAGCATCGATTGTGTTACTGCCCCATTTAACACCCAAGAATCTGATATCAAACCCGCCAGACTCGACCTCTTCTACCTCATACTTGGCACTTTTATGGACATCCAATTTTTGTGTCAAATGGTCGCTTCCATCCACCTTAACATGCCTGATGGCACACATCAAGTCATCGCTCGAACACTCACTGGGCCTCTGTCTCCGAGATCCGTCTTCACAAGGAGCAAGATACCACATCTCTGAAGTCTTGCTGGGTGGAGTGTCCAACTCATTCTTCAGCAGTATATCCTTGTTCGCAACGTTATAATTGCTCAAAACGTTGTGATTCTTACAATTGAGGGCCACCGCGCTGCTTGCCATGGCCAAAGCCACTACCTGTCCTAACATAACCATTGCTATATCTCTATCAGGACGTTTCAATACTATAAAAAGACTGCAACCAATCTTATTACTATATCGACTTGATACTAGAGCAGTTTATATGACTACAACTAATATTATTCTTATATCTTCAGGTGTTTCCAGCCGTTGTGTAAGATAGCTGGCAACGAGTGAATGGATAATATAGAAATATAGATATTTAATTGTATTACAGTAACTGGAAATGTGTGGAGTTTATACGGATATATATCGTTAATATTACAAGTAGTGATTTGTTGCGTAAACTGTACCTTTTACAGAATAACTGCCTGGGATATGTATTGTTATGCTGACCAGTATCTGTAGTACTGTGGTACTTCGATGGATACCGGTTTGACCTCCTTAGGCTCTGTAGATGACTTTGAATCACCTGGCGTAGCCAAAGATGGCGTAGGTGGGTCCATTACATGGTCCCTGATTACTTCTAGATCCTTCTTTAGAGCCTCCTTATCATCTGCATCTTCTAGAATCTTGGTCGCTATCTCCATGACCGATCTCGCATTCTTGGCTATCTGGAGTCTCTGCAGAAGTAAGGACTCCTGTTGTTTCTCCAACATTCTCTTTTCAAGATCAAAACTCTTCTCCATTTGATTTAGTAATTCTAGGTTAGAATCTAGTTTTTGTAATTGGATTTGTACTAATTCATGGGAGAGAGCGTGTAAATGTTTCTCCTCATTGTTGGCATAAACACCAGAGCGTACGCCCAGGGATGCAATGGCAATCTCAGAGCCTTCTTTTGCGTCACTCTTCGTATTTTTTAGATTCTGTTCATGAACGTCTTCAATCCGTTGTATAGCTCTGCTGGTCATATTCTTCACTATCTGAGGATCAACCATACCTACTAAAAATGCAATTGTCGATAAGATAGGGTTCTCACTCTTAGAGAAAGGCAAATGAGGAGCAAATTTGATAGGGCCCAAATCTTTACCACCTTCACCGTTGTATAAAAATTTGTCTTCGATAGGTAGCTGAAGGAACTTGAGAATACATTGTTCTGGTGTTTTATTACCAATCTCAGAAGCCACTTTGTACCAATCTACACCATGTTTTTGCATACCATCCAGTAGTTTTTGCAAATCTTCTCTGCTCCATTCCTCGTCTGTGTGATCCAAAATCTTTGGTTTCTTCAACTTATGCTCTTCATTGAAGATTGCCTCACTAGACCTTTTTAAACTACTACGTTCTTGGCCCTCATGGTGAGCCGGAGCTGTTTGTTGTTCTGTAGATTCTGTATTTTTTTCATCTTGATTCTCTTTCTTCACCTCAGTCTTTGTATGTTGTTTGTGGTGCACACTATTTTCGATTTTGCCTTCTATAAATTTTCTTTTCTCTTCTTTTAGATATCTGTACAGTGCACTTTCTGAGTCATTCACATCCATCATCTTCTTCAACTTTGCCATATCTGGTAGTTGAACAGATGGTTTATAACTTTCGAATGGGAACAATCCACGAGGAGCATCATGTCTCGTAGAGTAATCACCAGTAAAAGGAGGTTCAACATTCTTGGGTAATACTTTAGCATCCACCTGATAGTTTATAATACCCCACTTAGTTAAAAATTTGTGTATTCTGAACAACGCAGCAGCATCACCAGAAACATTTCTTCTTGCAGCTGTCACCGTAAAATATTCATTTGGATTCAATCTATATGCATTTACCATGAAGTTTCTGTACTTTAAATATACTTGAGGAGTTTTGGAAGGAATCCTGTTAGTGAAAAACTCTGGCAGGGACTTCTTTTCAATCTCATGTATCTTTCTTAAGTCAAACCATTTGGAATAACTTGGTATCACAATTTCATGTGTCTGGATTAAAGCATATTCTGAATCATTTGATGCCTGTTCTCCTTCAGTGGCCGGAGACCCTGTTAACTGTGCTTCATCCTTTTCTTCTTTTAATAAATCATTTGGTGACTCTATTCCATCCTGCATCTTGACATCTTCTGTAGTATGGTCTTGTACATTTTTATCCTGCCCAGGTATTTCATCAACAGGGTTTTCACCTGAGAGTTTTTCATCAGAGGGCTTTTCAATGGGCAATCCATTAGATATCTCTAGAGTAGGTAATTCCTCTGTGGGTGAATGCTCTTTAGGCTGCTCATTGGATGTGATGCCGTGTACATGAGAAGTACTTTCGTTAGTGTGCTCTTGAGTTATATCTTCTTTAGTGGGTAGTTGAGTGGAAGCTGGCCCATCAATATGCTGCTCATGTGATACATGTCCAAGGGATGGCTGTTCAGAGGAAGTCATGTCTTGACTTATTTGGTCATCAGTAACTTTGGACTGGAGTTGTCCATCGGTAATCTCGTCCTGAGCTTGCTCATCAGTAGGTTTGTCCTTGGAAATTTGTTGATCAGAGACAATTCCTTCTGTAATTTGTTGATCAGAAGCTTTTTCCTGAATTATTGAATCATCTGAAACTTTTTCCTCATTTGGTAACTCATCGGAAGCCTTAAATTCATTTCCGTCATCACCAGAGACCCTTTCCTCATTTGGTTGTTCATCAGCCCTATCTTCAATTGGTTGTTCATTAGAAATCTCTCGACCAGTTGGCAATTCTGTAGCATCATCTTGTAATTCTACATCTGATTTATTATCGTTAGGTTGTTCTGAGTCCTGCTTGTCTTCAGTAGGCCGTTCTACTTCTGGTTTATTTTCAGCAGGTTGTTCTGCGTTTAGACTGTCTTCGATTGGTTGTTCTACTTCTTGTTTATCATCCGTAGGTTGTTCTGAGTTTAGATTGTCTTCGATTGACTGTTCTGCGTCTAGCTTTTCTTCGATTGGTTGTTCTAGTTCTTGTTTATCATCTGTAAGTTGTTCTGCTTTTAGATTGTCTTCGATTGGTTGTTCCGCATCGGTCTTATCTTTGTTAGGGTCTGTGTCTGACTTAACCTCAGTGGGTTGTGATATAGATGATACAGGTTCTGTCACATCTGCCGGTTCTTGTGCTTCCATTTCTGTTACATCCACAGCCTCTTTTTCAGGTGCCTCAGATTCCTGTTCCGATACTTTGTGCTCTGGCTCAAAATCTAGTATACCTGGCGCATCACCAGCGGCATCACCAGCGGTATCACCAGCGGCATCACCAGCATCCTCATGTGCATCCTCAGCTTCCCCCGGCGAAGACGTCTTGATCCGAGACTTCTCGTCAGCGCTCTCGTACACCGAGTAGTCCTGCGCGTCGTTCCCGTCGTTCCCGTCGTTATCGCCAAACAGGTCCACGTCCATGTCAAAGTCCATCCTATTCCCGTTACGCGCAATGTACTTACAACTCCTGCGCGGCTAAATACCACTTCCGAGCCCTCTTATTTATGTATGAGGAAGAGACGCCAAGCTAAAGACCCCCATCAGCTTGGGAAGTTCCGGCAAAAATCAAAATATCTCTTCACACGGATATAACTACATACGTATATCATATTATACGTGAACATCCGTTCGAATCCTCCTGGGAGCAGAAATTTATCAAAAGTTTTCTGGAAATTTCAAAATTTCAATTAAAAAAAAAAATTTAAAATAAAAAAAAACACTCAGGACTATAAAGAAACCAGATCCTGGAGTTCTTGGACAGTTTACACAACACTCCTAGTGCAGTAAGCCTTTTTATAAGAGTCAAGTGCGATAATGGAGAGGGACTACCATGTGAATACGGGGTTCCAGATGGGGCGGCGCGAGGAGGAGCGCGGGATAGCGATGGCGCCGGCGTCGCTGCGGATGATGGGGAAGAGTGGTGCGCGGGAGCTGATGGAGCCAGCCACTGTGAATGCTGGAGTACAGGATATAGATGCGAATGCGGAGATGCAGGCTACGGATATGCCAGGAGCACCTGCGTCCGTGCCTGCAGAGAGGAAAAGTCAGGGCCAAGGACAGAGCCAAGGACAGGGCCAAGGACAGGGCCAGGGCCAGGGCCAAATGAAGCAGTTCCACAGGAAGTCGCTGGGCGACTGGGATTTCTTGGAGACAGTGGGTGCTGGGTCTATGGGGAAAGTGAAGCTGGCGAAGCACAGACGTACAGGAGAGGTGTGTGCCATCAAGATTGTAAATAGGGCAACAAAGGCCTTCCTGCACAAGGAGCAGAACAGCCCGCCGCCGGTAAACAACCAGGAGATTATGGAGAGACAGAAGAAACTGGAGAAAGAGATATCCAGAGATAAGCGGGCCATACGGGAGGCATCCTTGGGCCAGATCTTCTACCACCCGCACATATGCAGGTTGTTCGAGATGTGTACCATGTCCAATCACTTCTACATGCTCTTTGAGTACGTTGCAGGTGGCCAGTTGCTGGACTACATTATCCAGCATGGCTCCTTACGAGAGCACCACGCGCGCAAGTTTGCCAGAGGAGTCGCTAGCGCTTTGCAGTACTTGCATGCCAATAACATAGTGCACCGTGACTTGAAGATCGAAAACATCATGATATCAAACTCCGGTGAAATTAAGATTATAGATTTTGGTCTTTCAAACGTTTATGATACGAGAAAACAATTGCATACATTCTGTGGGTCACTATACTTTGCCGCACCAGAACTTTTAAAAGCACATCCTTATACAGGTCCAGAAGTGGACGTTTGGTCTTTTGGTGTGGTGCTATATGTACTGGTGTGCGGTAAAGTGCCGTTTGATGACGAGAATTCAAGTGTTCTGCATGAAAAGATTAAAAGGGGTAAGGTCGAATACCCACAACACTTATCCATAGAAGTGATGTCATTACTATCTAAGATGCTGGTTGTCGATCCATCTCGTAGAGCTTCATTGAAACAAGTAGTGGAACATCCATGGATGACTAAAGGCTACGACACCCCTGCACCGTCATACGTACCAAACAGAATACCGTTGACTCCAGAAATGTTAGACTCTACTGTCTTAAGAGAAATGTTTAGATTGGAATTCATTGAAGACATAGAAGAAACAAGAAAACTATTAGCAACAATTGTTTCAGACCCAACCTATCTCACATTATCAAACGAATACTGGACTAGACTACAGTCTATAACCGAGACAACAGGTCAGGGTAAAACGACTCATTTTGAAATTCAAGGTGTATCAATTAACTTTCATTTGACTTCGGGTGTGAACAAAATACCATTTGAGGATCCTACTAGGGCATTTCATCCACTACTATCTATTTATTACCTAGTTGCTGAGATGTTACAACGTAAGATGGCCAAGCTGCAAAAGAAACAAGCATTGATACAACAACAGCAACAACAAATTCAAAAACAACAGCAGCAACGTGTGCAACAACAACAACCACAACAACAAAAGCAACCATTAACACCTAAGGAACCTGAACAAACGGAATTTGCTTATTCAAAGACTCCCAACACTTCAGATAAGTCTGCAGGTTTGACCGTTCCGAGCAGACCAACTGACATCATTAATGAAATGAAAGCGAAATCTGATAGAACTGACTATATTATGAATACTCCAAAACAAGACACTGGCTCTAATACTACTGTTGAAAAATTATACACACCAAAAGAGCAACAATCTGTGGAAAGAAAAACGGCGCCCCTACATATCATGGTACCACCTAAATTAACAATGCCTGAACAGGCTCATACTTCACCCACCACAAGAAAGAGCTCCGACATACATGATGAACTGAATACTGCGATGTCTCCGAAAGTTTTATCAAAAGAGTACGAGCAAAGACCTAACACTCAGCTGGATTCGCCGGAGAAGAAACGCTTCCCCGCACTTTTTGGCAAATTGTCTCAGAAGAGGCAACCTTCTTCTCAACAATCACCTCAATCAAACAACAATCCTCAATTTCAAGTACATGCTGCACCAAACCTGGAACCGGCGAAGAGATCAACTAAAACACACACTCGTACTGTTTCTGAATATGTGCCTGGCCCCTCCAATAACAAGGAGTTTATTGAAACTTATTTACCATCAAATTATGCCAATAAAAACAATTCACCAAGTAGATCTGTTTCCACAAAGGTGGCCAACACCGAAAGGTTCCCAGCTTTACCAGCGAATGCAAATACAATGGTAGAACAACAATTAGCTAAAGATATGGATAATCTTAACGTCAATAACAACACCAACAGAGCTCCTGATACATCAAGTGCTGATTATGATGAAAACAAACCTTTACCACCATTAACAGTAACTAAAGGTAGAAAACTACATCCTAGCGCAAGAGCAAAGTCTGTTGGTCATAGCAGAAGAGAGTCACTTAAATTCACAAGACCACCAGTACCCACTAATGTCCAAGGCTATGATAATGATGATGCTGGATTCTTGGAGTACAGTGATGACAATAGAAACGATTCAGCAATTATTAGAACACCAAACAGTTCAAAATATTTATCACCACCTACACCAAATACCAGATTCGGCTTTGGATCAACAGAGGAACTTACCGATGAACAAATTCTGGAACAAGCTTCTCGTGCTCCTCCTGGAACAATGCCATCTATTGATTATCCAAGGTCTTTGTTCTTGAAGGGTTTCTTTTCCGTGCAAACAACATCATCTAAACCTCTTCCTATTGTTCGTTATAAAATCATGCATTTGTTGAAAAAGATGCATGTTGAGTTCAAAGAAGTTAAAGGTGGATTTGTTTGTACACACGAAGGCCAGTTAAGTTTCTTAAATAATGATAATGAACTTCCTGAGTACAATCCATTAGCAGAGACAGACGAGAACAACATTGATAACAGGCTAACAATAAATACAAACTTGTCTCCACATCCATCCCAGAACCATCTACAGCTACCTACTCCTATTGAGAATCAAGCCGTAACATATAGAAGTATCAGATCTGGATCAAGACAAAATTCCATTAGAAGACAAGGTTCCACAAAAATTTCACCAAATATACCTACAACTCCAATGGCAACCACTGAACATCATAGGAATATTTCTGAAGTTATGTCACCAGTTGCCCAAAATATCAACCTTGGCAGCACACTCTCTGACGAACACTCAACAACATCTCTAGACAATATTGCAAATCAAGAAGATATCTTAACTACTTCAAGGGTTCAAAATATGAATAGACCTGACCTTGACTTAGAACAACAAGCTATCGCAAAAGCATCTAATGAAAAAAGCAGAGTTAAATTTGAGATTCACATCGTTAAGGTGCGGATTGTGGGTCTTGCTGGTGTCCATTTCAAGAAAGTGTCCGGTAACACTTGGCTATATAAAGAGTTGGCATCCCATATCCTAAAGAACCTAAATCTTTAATTTACAGTAATATAATATTCTTTGATTTTATTCCATTGCAATTTTATATATATTTCGTAATTGTTCAAAACATTTGCTACTGAAATATCTAAAAATTCTTACCCAAAATAAATATTCTATATGCTTGATAATAGAACTTGATACTAACCAAAAAATCGAATTTCTTAAGATGAAACCCAAAGGCTCATTATAGCTACTATAGTGAGTTTTCATAAGATTTCACTCTTGAAAAATGAAAGGCTCTTTCATTTTTCAATGAATTTTCCATTTCCACACCTTCATTATCAATAACAACCGAAGAAAGCCAAGCTAATTGGTGATGCTTTTTTCTTCCTTGATTTTTTATTACAAACTTTTCATGAAACTCATACTTATCCGATGTTCTAGTAATATGCAAAAGTCCAAAATCATAATCGAAACCTAATGACCACCTACAAATCTCTGAATCTTTAATAGGTGTTTCCTTAGAGAAATGCTTAACTACAAAACTCGGTTCATCTGTAGTCAACAGTCTTAGACAAGAACCATCTGGATAAAATCTGAAGTATCTATAATACGTCAGTATATGAATGGGATTCATGAGTGACAAAGAACCCTCATCATTTGCCCCATACCGTACTACATTAACGACACTAATGTAAATACCATGGTATTTTATGAAGGGCCTGTTGCATATCATTTGCTTTGCATCATCACCCCATATCTCTTTAGTAAAAGATTTCATATCTGTGACTTTATTCATTTGTAAAGTCTCGGAGTCATACACCTGCTTGGGATAAATATAATCGGCAAATGCTTGGTAGGGCAAACTATTATGAAAACATAGCTTATTGAAAGATGCACATGTTTTTGATAAATTCACCCATGATTCACCTGACATATAAACTACCTGCTTAATTATTTGTAGTAGTATATCATCGGGTAGCATTTCCAGTATCCAACATGGATCTACAGGCCCTGCTTCCTCACTTGTACCATTGACATCGCTGGTATTTTCAGTATGATCATTGCTCTTATCATTTAAATTCAAAGCTTCTAGTTTCTGTTGCAGCATATAGTCTTCCTGTAACTTCTTTCGATACAGTTTCTCGACACCATCATGAACTTTCAATGCCTTTCTATAAAAATTGATGGCATCCATCAGAGATCCGGCCTGCTCTTTTGCAGCACCTTGTTCCCATAACTGCAAAGCTTCATCCGCACGAGGATTGGTATCCTCGGTGTTACAACTCACAGCATCCTGACCTCCCATATTTTGAGTTCAGTGTAAATCAGGTCCCTATAGTCAAATCGGACATTAATAAATAAGCCACAGCTGCACGTAAATTAACTAGAAAACCAATGCAGTAATGCAACTGTAATCACTTTGGTAGGGTTTCAGCTCTAATATTATTATTCTAAGCACTGTATCCGTCCAGTTTGGTAAGTAGAACTGCGATGAGCTTTAGGTATCTGCCCATTTTATGCCAAAAGGTTGCTGATTGTGATATTTTCTTTCAAATCCCAGTGAAAATCCCGTATAAACTGCGTTTTCGGGCAAAAATGAGAGGCGATGACTTCAGTTGGATCACTAATACAAGCTCACCAAAGGGTATGTATGTCACTCGATATCATAGCATTGGACCATTTGATCCGCCAATCAACAGATCAATTTCATTTAGCAGTGTGAAATCCAAGTTATATTCGAGTTTCAAGTCTGTACCGCTGGATAATGTACCTAATAAAAGGTCCAGAGGCTCTGTACCTGCGGGTTCGTTGTCGTTATCGACAAATTTCTTTGCTATCTCATATGTTAACGATGGCGATTTTAAGAACGCCATGAATTGCTTGTAATGCCTGTTACTTATGGTTTCCGTTTTCATGCATTGTAATGAAAGGATCACGCAGTATACCATGTACAAATTGGTTGTTTGAAAGCCACCGAATTTTATTTCCCAACCTTCCAACAGTAAAGACAATTCATCTATGTGCTCCGTGATCAGCTCTCTACTTAGTTTAAGTTCTTCCAAAAATGGCTTGTTGTAGGATATCAGTACAAGATAGTAGTGAAACCATATGTATGCCCTGGATGGGTTAAAATCGTGCATATTCTTTATCGTGGATCTAGACCACCGGAGTTCCTTTGGCAGGTCTTTTCGCCAGTTATACATTTCTAAATTGAACTTCGATAAGTGTTCTCTTCTCTGCATAGGAAACTCCGACTGGCCAAATATCTTCGGCGCGAACACCTCCGTAATTCTACAAACCACAATCAGGTTCTTTAAAGGCTTGGCCATTGATAAAGTGCATTTGGGATCAAATATAAAATCTTCAATACCAGACTCTATCTCAGGCAGTTCGTCAGTCTCCGGCACTGTGGAGTTCGAAAGTTTTAAAATTGTGGTTCTTCCAAATAATAACGTAATCAAATGATCAGCAATATAACAACCCCAATAAACTCTACTACGCACCTCGATATCAACCCCAGATAGCTCATCTTCGTAAACATGGGCCCAAGCTTCTGGGTTCAAATGTAAACCTATTTCATATGATATTCTAAAAGCCAGTCCAGATAAGTACCATGCCATTGGGTTGTCACCATGGCCTATGTCATAAAATGCTAAGCATAATAAAGTTTGAATTATGGCTAGTTTTGATGACGATGTGGATTCATCATTAAGATCTTCATTCAGTTGAAATATCTTAGTCAATACCATACTCTTTGATCTTCTGTAGTACTCGGCACCCATGTTGGCTACATCATCTGATCTGTCAGCAATCTGTGCACCTAGAGCAAATATTGCATACACCAACTCCTCAGAACAGTAATAACTCTTTGTGTTAAAATCACCAAAAAATGAATTAAGGAATGTCTCTCTATGAATAAACATAAAATGACCAGGGTACAACCATTTGAAGAACAACGATAAGCCTTTCAAAATGGTTGGATTTTTGCTCAAGTTTAACAACTGCCTCTGAGAGCTTGTTTGAGTTATAGGTGGCCTGGGTCTCTTCAATGACAACGAATTTGATGGATATATACCGATATTTGTACTCAGACCACCGCTATTCAAGTTCTCAACGGAACCATCAGACGCATTCAGCGAGCCCACACTTTCCACCTCATCGATCCCAGAGTCAACAGTCCCACGCATCTGTGTAATGTGCATCTCCAAGTCTTTAACCCGCTTCTCAAGACTCTGCACATATGCTACTGAAGTTCTATTACTCCTCAGATCATTATTGGTCATAACACACTCGATCTTGTGCTTGACGCAATTTGAACATGGCACCTTCTTATCGCACCGCCTTCTGCGCTTCCTGCAACCTTCACACGCCAACTTGCGTACACCAGACATGGTCAATAACCCACAAACAACTGCTATTAACCACTTTCACCTTCTACTTAGGTCAACTGTCCCTCATTACATCAAAATAACCTCTTATTTCTACTTTTGCGATGAGCTTGTGCGATGCGATGAGCTAGGAAACTGGGTTTATCGCATAGTAAGGCAAGATGGAGTAGTCCATGTAGTTATAAAAATTCTATGTTGTATGTATTGTATAGTGTATATCTTTACTCGCTGAGAAACTGGACAAGTTTCTTGCTGAAGTAGTCTGGGTTATCTAGGAACAGGTTATGTCCTGCGTCAGGTACTTCCAAATAGGAGGCAGAGCCACCTGAAGTGCTGGCAACTCTAAACTTCTTCAAGCGTTCGACCATGAGATAACCAGCGTAGCTGTTCATCCAGTCGTGGTCACCGTAAAATACAGATACATCTGGCACTTTCAACTTGTCTATGGTGTCCATGATGGGGTCTCTTGCGAGCAGACTGCGTGTGAACAAGTGCTTCAGAGCATGGACGTTCTGCTTGGCGAAATGCTTCTTGCCCAGGAAGGACTCGAACAAGTAGTCCTTGTATGCCTGGCTGGGTACCTTGGCGTAACTGGAATTGATAAAGGACAGACACAGCTTGTCTCCTATTGGCCCCATCCACCTGAGCACGCTAAACTGGTTCTCGAACAGGAACTTTGGAGCCTTGCGCTTTCTAGTGTACAGGTATGAGGAAGGATCAGACTCCTGCAGTTCATAGACCACGTTCTCCTCAAACGTGTTATTTATCGAGTGTATGTTGCGCTCCATACCCAGCGGTGACAGCAGGCAGAGCTTGTTCACGGACTCAGGGTACTTCAGGGCGTACTTGTAGGACAGGTACCCGCCAAACGAGTGGCCCACAAGGTTGAACTTGTCTAGGTTGTTCTCCTTTCGCCACTGCTCGATGCTCTCCACATAGTAGTCCTCGTACTGCTGCAAGTACCGCCTCTTCTCCCGGTGTGTGCGCAGCATCAGCTCCTGATCCACCTGGGCATCCGTCACCGGCTCGGCAGCACGTCTGGCGCCCTGCACCACGGTGAACTTGTTCTCCTCGATCTTAAACTTGGCCTTTGGCGCCTCACCCTCTGCCACCAGCGGCGGTGCCTCGCTCAGCCCATTGGCCGGGAGGTCTATAGCATACAGGTCCCGTATGTGCCTCGACAGCGGCGCAAAACAGCGGTGGTACGCCATAGAAGAGGCTCCATACCCATGCACTAGCAGCGTCGGAGTCACCACCCGGTCACCGCCTCTGAAGTACCACTGGTTCACCCCACACCGCAGCACCGCCCGCTGGCCCTCGACAGGCACTTCCTCCATCACCTTATATTGCAAAGTCTCGAGGTCATCGCCTTTGCACCACATTGCATAGAAAGGAATAAGTTGTAGTTGTTGTAGTAATGGTAGTTGTAGTTGTGGTTTCTGGATGTAGTTTCTGGATGTAGCAGAAGTAGCTACTGTGTCTGTGCTATATATGACTTCATTGGGTGGCGTTGAAAGTATGGACGATTACAAGGCGTTGATGGAGGCGCAAGAGCAGTGGGAGCAATCTGTTGAGCAACTGAACGAAGTGCTGAACTGGGTGCTGCTGCCGCTGCTGGGGAAGTACATGGGACGCAAGCTGGCCTGGCGCCTGTGGCGGGCCATTGCTGGCTGGTGAGGGCAGGCCTTGGCCACTTTATATACACTTACATAGACATCCTATTGGTTTCCAATTATCTGCTAGAGGGCCGCTGGAAAAGCTGCTGAAAGCTGCTGAAAGGTGCTGAAAGCGGGAGAAAAGACCATACAGGGATGTGGAACTACACAGGGCACAAGCCTGGGCTTATTCCCCAAGCGATGCACCGCTGGAGCTCCATTACATGTACCATTTATAGCTAATACCATAGAAATTTTATGACTCACTGAAAATTTTGGCGAAAATTTGCGGGACGAGTATAAAAGCAGGACAATGGCGATGCCTGGCAGGAGGTGAGCAAGGACCCCAGGACAAGACACTATAGATTAAATGCTGGTCAAAGTTCCTATTCTAGGGCGGGAGACCATTCATGTTGGTTACGGTGTGCGTTCGCACATTGTGGAGACGATTGTGGGGCTGAAGTCGTCGACCTATGTGGTTATCAATGACAGCAATGTTGGGCGTGTGCCATACTTCCAGGAGCTTTTGAGTGATTTTGAAGCGCAATTGCCTGCTGGGTCGCGGTTGCTGCGGTATGTGGTGAAGCCCGGTGAGGCTAACAAGACTAGGGCCACCAAGGAGCAGATCGAGGACTACCTGCTGAGCGAAGGCTGCACCCGTGACACTGTGATCGTGGCTGTCGGTGGTGGTATCATCGGCGATATGATCGGGTATGTCGCTGCCACCTTCATGCGTGGTGTGCGTGTCGTGCAAGTTCCCACCTCTCTGCTGGCGATGGTCGATTCATCCATTGGTGGTAAGACTGCGGTCGACACCCCGTTGGGTAAGAACTTCATCGGTGCGTTCTGGCAGCCTGAGTTTGTTCTAGTGGACATCAAGTGGCTGCAGAGCTTGCCAAAGAGAGAATTTATTAACGGTATGGCAGAGGTCATCAAGACGGCGTGTATCTGGAACGCCGACGAATTCCAAAGATTGGAGACCCACGCAGACGAGTTTTTGCACGTTGTCAACACCCCAAAAATCTCAGAGAAGGAAGGATTCCAACTATACGACACTGACATTGAATCTATAAAGGAACACATCTTCAAGCTGGTTCTAGAGAGTATCAAAGTTAAAGCAGAAGTGGTCTCATCAGATGAGCGTGAATCAAGCTTGAGAAACCTGCTGAACTTCGGCCACTCAATTGGCCATGCTTACGAAGCTATCCTAACACCACAAGCTCTACATGGTGAATGTGTATCGATTGGTATGGTTAAGGAAGCGGAATTATCACGTTACTTGGGTATTCTTTCCGCTACCCAGGTTGCAAGATTGTCGAAGATTCTGGTCGCATACGGCTTGCCAGTGTCCAAGGATGAAAAATGGTTCAGAGAACTAACACTAAACAAAAAGACCCCTCTAGATACTTTACTGAAGAAGATGAGTATTGACAAGAAGAATGATGGTTCTAAAAAGAAGGTGGTATTGCTTGAGACAATTGGTAAATGTTATGGTAAGTCTGCCCATGTAGTATCTGATGAGGATTTGAGATTTGTGCTAACAGATGAAACCTTGGTTTATCCTTTCAACAACATCCCCAGAGATCAGAACAAGACTGTCACCCCACCAGGTTCTAAGTCTATCTCTAATAGAGCGCTGGTTTTGGCTGCCCTAGGTAAAGGTACCTGTAGAATCAAGAACTTACTGCATTCTGATGATACTAAACACATGCTGACAGCTGTTCAAGAACTAAAGGGAGCCAACATTTCCTGGGAAGACAATGGTGAAACTGTTGTTCTAGAGGGCCAAGGTGGTAGTACCTTGGTAGCTTGTGAAAACGATCTTTACTTGGGTAATGCTGGTACTGCCTCTCGTTTTTTGACATCTGTTGCTGCACTAGTAAACTCCACTTCACAAAAAGACCATGTTATATTAACAGGTAATGCTAGAATGCAACAACGTCCAATCGGTCCATTGGTTGATTCTCTACGTAACAATGGTATTAAAATCGATTATGTAAAAAATGAAGGCTGTCTACCGTTGAAAGTACATACTGACTCTGTCTTTAAAGGTGGTAGAATTGAGCTTGCTGCAACTGTTTCATCTCAATATGTTTCATCCATTCTAATGTGTGCCCCATATGCTGAAAACCCTGTTACTTTAGCTCTTGTTGGTGGTAAACCAATTTCAATCTTATATGTTGAGATGACTATCAAGATGATGGAAAAATTCGGTATTAAGGTTGAAAAATCAACTACTGAAGAATACACTTACATTATTCCAAAGGGCCATTACGTTAATCCAGCAGAATATGTTATTGAGAGTGATGCATCAAGCGCTACATATCCATTGGCTTTCGCTGCATTGACTGGTACTACAGTGACTGTTCCAAATATTGGTTCTGCTTCTCTGCAAGGTGATGCTAGATTTGCCACTGACGTTCTACAACCAATGGGCTGTTCTGTTACTCAAACAGCCACATCAACAACCGTTACTGGTCCTCCAGTTGGCCACTTGAAACCATTAAAGCATGTTGATATGGAGCCTATGACTGACGCGTTCCTAACAGCCTGTGTTGTAGCTGCAGTAGCTCACGACAATGACCCTACATCGAAGAACACAACTACCATTGAAGGTATTGCTAACCAGAGGGTAAAGGAATGTAACAGAATTGAGGCAATGTGTACACAATTGGCTAAGTTTGGTGTAAGAACTAACGAATTACCAGATGGTATTCAAGTTCATGGCTTACATTCTATCAATGACTTGAAAGTACCAAGCATTGGTAACGAAGCTGTTGGTGTCTGTACCTATGATGATCACCGTGTTGCTATGAGTTTCTCTCTACTAGCTGGCATGGTCAACTCAGAACAACCAAATTCAAGTAACCCAACACCTGTCCGTATTCTAGAAAGACACTGTACCGGTAAGACTTGGCCTGGCTGGTGGGATGTTTTACATACTGAGCTTGGTGCTCAACTAGATGGTGCTGAACCACTTGAGTTGAATTCGATGAAGAACGCAAAGAAAAGTGTGGTAATCATCGGTATGAGAGCAGCTGGTAAAACTACAATTAGCAGATGGTGTGCTGCAGCACTGGGCTATAAACTTGTCGATCTAGATACTCTATTTGAAGAAAGATATGGACATGGAATGATAAAAGATTTCGTTAGCCAACACGGCTGGGAAAAGTTCCGTGAAGAGGAAGCTAGAATTTTCAAAGAGGTTATTGAAAACTATGGCGATGCAGGTTACGTTTTTTCAAGTGGTGGCGGCTTAGTTGAAAGTTCTGAATCTAGACGTATATTGAAATCATTTTCCAAGAGCGGTGGTTATGTACTTCATCTGCACAGAGATATCGAAGAGACTATTATGTTTCTTCAAAAGGATCCTACCAGGCCTGCATATGTGGAAGAGATCAGAGAAGTTTGGAATAGAAGGGAATCTTGGTACAAGGATTGCTCAAACTTCTCGTTCTTCGCCCCACATTGTAACTCTGAAGTAGAATTCCAAAATCTAAGGAGGGCATTCACCAAATTCATTAGAACTATCACAGGTGTAACGACTGTAGATATCCCTACAAGAAGATCAGCATTTGTTTGTTTGACATTTGAAAATTTGACTGAATATACAAATTCATTAAAAGCGATTACATACGGTTGCGATGCTGTAGAAGTTAGAGTAGATCACTTATCCAATATGGACGAAGACTTCGTTAGTAAGCAAATTTCTATTCTCAGAGCTTCAACTGATGGCCTGCCAATTATCTTTACTGTTAGAACCAAAAAGCAAGGTGGTAAGTTCCCTGATGAGGACTATGAAACCCTTCAAAAGCTACTGATAACTGCTTTGAAGGTTGGTGTTGATTACATTGATTTGGAACTAACTTTGCCAATTGGTATTCAATACAAAGTTTTGAACATGAAGAGAAATACGAAAATTATTGGCTCTCACCATGACTTTGCTAGTGCCTACCCATGGGATCACTCCGAATGGGAGAACAGGTACAATCAAGCTCTTGCCATGGATGTTGATATTGTTAAATTTGTTGGAATGGCCAAAAGCTTCGAAGACAATTTAATGTTAGAGAGATTCAGGGACTCACATACAACTAAACCATTAATTGCCATCAATATGGGAGCACATGGTCGTGTCTCTCGTGTTTTAAATACAATTTTGACTCCTGTGACCTCAGAACATCTTTCAGAAGTTGCTGCTCCTGGCCAACTAACTGTTGCTGAGATCAACCGTATCTACACAGAAATGGGTGGTATCACTAAGAAGGATTTCTTTGTTGTTGGTAGCCCAATTGGCCATTCTAGGTCACCTGTTCTTCACAACACTGGCTACTCAGTGTTGGGCCTACCACATCATTTCGATAAATTCGAAACTACCTCGGCTGAAGAAGTTAAGAAGCACTTACTAGATAACAAAGCTAACCTAGGTGGTTTGGCTGTAACTATTCCTCTAAAATTGGACATTATCAAGTATATGGATGAATTAACGGAGTCTGCTAAGGTAATTGGTGCTGTGAACACTGTCATTCCATTAGGTAATTCTAAATTCAAAGGTGACAACACTGATTGGCTGGGCATTCGTAACTCTCTTGTTTCAAACGGTGTTCCTGAGTCTGTCTCAGGCTTATCTGGTTTGGTTGTTGGTGCTGGTGGTACCTCCAGAGCCGCAATCTTTGCCCTACATAAGCTTGGCTGCCAGAAGATATTCATTGTTAATAGGACAACCGAAAAGTTAGAAGAACTTGTGAAATTTTTCCCTGAAGAGTACAACATAGTTCCAATCAAGGAAGCTGAAGAGGCAGAAGCTGTAAATGAAACTATCGGCGTTGCAGTGAACTGTGTACCAGCTGATAAACCATTAGATGCAAAGCTAGAGAGCTTGCTGGAAAGACTACTATTAAAATCTTCTCACACTCATTTTGTATCAACTTTGGTGGAAGCTGCATACAAGCCAAGTGTGACGCCAGTGATGAAGCTGGCTAAGGACAAATATCAGTGGAGAGTTGTCCCAGGTGCCCAAATGTTGGTTCACCAAGGTGTTGCACAGTTCGAGACCTGGAATAACTGTAGAGCCCCATTCAAGGCTATCTACGATGCAGTAACCGAGATATGATTTGAATTTATGGTCCCTGTTGCAAGTCCCCGTAAAAGGTATGAGCTTCAATTCTTTTTGATTGACTTGGCACAATAACTGGGCTGTCTCACTCTATTATTGCTATGATGTATACGAGTTTTCTTTATGCTGATTATTTATAATTTATGTACATGTTATAGAATATATATATAACGTACCATTAGAATCGAAATGATTATTAATACCGACTCACTGTATCCATCATATCCAGTTTAGTTTTATCGGTGATATCACCTGATAAAAGCTAAACGACGCATTGTTCTCTTAAAAGCTCATCGCAGTTTGGTTCTTTAATTCTTCCAACTCTTATAAATTTGGTATCCATTTCATGAAATCAACTGCTACAACTTCAATATCAGGTAATAAACAGGATATTAACAATCATTATGACATCCAAGACCAGGAAAGTAGCCGTTATCACTGGTGCCAATAGTAACCTTGGGTTGAACATTGCTTATAGATTAATCGAAAGACAGTCTGCTGACGTCAGATTGACCCTTGTGGTCACTTCGAGGACGTTGCCTCGTGTAAGAGAGGTTGTTGAGTTGATCAAGAAGTTTGTTGCAACTCAGGAGGATCCATGCTCTGTGGATTTTGACTATTTACTTGTGGATTTCACCAACATGGTGAGTGTTTTGAACGCGTACTATGACTTGAACCAGAAATACGAGAGCATCAATTACTTCTTTGTGAATGCTGCACAGGGTGTCTATGATGGTATTGACTGGATTGGTGCTGTAAAGCAGGTGCTATCTGATCCACTTGAAGCTGTTACCAACCCCACTTATAGGAAACAGCTAGTGGGTGTCAAATCAAAGGATGAAATGGGACTGGTCTTTCAGGCCAATGTATTTGGACCATATTATTTGATCCAGAAAATTCTACCTCAATTGTCGAAGGGGAAAGCTACTGTGGTTTGGATTTCCAGTATTATGGCTGACCCAAAACACTTATCTCTACAGGATATCGAAATGATCAAATCAGATGTTACTTATGAAGGTTCTAAGAGAGTTGTAGACTTATTACATTTGGCCACTTATAAGCAAATGAAATCTCAAGGTATTCACCAGTACGTGGTTCAACCCGGTATTTTCACCAGTTATTCATTCGCCAAGTACTTGAACTTCTTCACCACTTTTGGTATGTTGTTCTTGTTCTATTTGGCCAGACTACTTGGATCCAAATGGCACAACATTGACGGTTACAAAGCAGCTAATGCTCCAGTATACGTTGCCACTCTAATAAATCCACATTTTGAACACCAAGAAGTTAAGTATGGATCTGCAAGTTCAAGAGATGGTATGGAGTATATTGAAACTACAGACATCGATAAGACCGGATCAAGTGACGTTCTTGCATACATTGAGAAGAAGAAATTAGAATGGGATGACAAGTTAAAAGACCAAATAACGAACTCAAGAATTCCAATTTAAAGGTATCATATTTTGTGGAATGTTGGCCTTTGTTTCGGTGGTTGAAACTGGTAAAATAGCTTAGCTGGAATAACATTTGTGAATAAGACATATTTTTAGTGTCATTGAAACACGCAGTATATTATCTTGATAAATCAATAATGCATTATTTTTATTCTTTAGGGTTTGCATAACTTTACTAATACTATATATCCATTCTCAGTATATGCCTAATCTGTTGTGTGTGTTTAGTAACATCATCATCCAAAATATGTCCAGCATTCTTTGGACTTTGATTTAATTCTTCTCGCGAAAGTCTAATATAATCCTTCTCTAGTCTCAGAATTTGGAAAAGGTTATGTGCGTCCTCGGTTCTCAAAGAGTATGCCAAAGAATCCTGACTCCAGAATTTACTTAGCTCTATGAGCTCAGTATTTCTTGACGGATCCTGAATTCCAAGAGCAGAACCCCCATTTCTCAGTTTGTTAACAATACTATTTCCAGTATAGTTGGGTAATGTATGCTGAAGAACACCTCTCTGCCGTTCGTTAAGAGCCGAGTCAATTGTACTTTCCTGATGCGGTGGATCAAGGTTCTCGATGGAGTAGTCATCAAATTCACCACAGTATATGTCTACATCTGGCCTAAACTCATCGATATTAATATGACAGTCCTTATGAAAAACTAAACAGTGGGCAGCTCGCTCACACTCAAGTAAACTTTTGATCTGACTCTCTCTAATTGCCTTTCTGTTAAAGAACGGGGAATAGTCATACTCCTGTATATTTATTGAGGGTTTCTTTGAGACTCTTCCAATGTTACGCTTAGGTACATGGATGGTATTCCCATGAGAGATCCTAATTCCTGGAGATCGTATGCTTCTAACTGGTCTTTTCAATGGCGTGGCATTGTTGGCTACCTTGAATTTTGGTGTCTGCCATGGAGGCAACGTCGGCAGCTGGAAGGACCGCTGCCCGGATTTCCTGTTAGAGCCAATATTTCGAGACATAATGTTTCTGGCTTGATTGAATCGTATAGAGGCCAGCTCACTGGTCGCTCAAGGTTGCTAATAGTGACAATGACCTCTCTATAAATACTCGCGATGAGCTCACTGATTTGAATCACAAAAGTTTGGGTCTTATTATGTGTCGTACATTATGATATCGATATATTGAAGGTAATGGAGTCCAATCACTGGAGTGTTTGCAGGTTGATGTCGGTGTTTAGGAAGTATTAAGTATTAAATATCTATATTATTTTCAGCTCTATTTAGCGTATATGCAAGTGGGAGGTCTCTAGATTAAACCACTTAGTGTTAACTTTTCTAGGAATGGTGAGAGGTCCGCTTTCTTGATTTCGATGATCGATGACTCGAAGTTATCTATCTTGACCTTTGCACCAGTCTGTGCAGTGATTTGTTGAAAAGCCATGCTGAAGTTATTCAAAATAGGTTTCCGGTTCTGGAGCATGTCTAGTCCTCTCGGGTATCGGGGAGCAAGACCTGCCACAAGGTACGTATCCGTGGCTTCGTCAAGACTAGCTAATACCATTGGCAACAACTGCTTGGCCTCTGATTCTGCACAACATTCCATTAGCCAGTTACCTAATCGAAGCAGTGTCAATGGATTTCTGTATAGATCTAAATCAGGTCCTTCCCTTAGAACACAAAGTCTATAGATCCGTAAATGCTTTATCATTTTCTTTTCTAGTACTGTTACACCGGTGTTGAATATGGCCCTTTGTAAGATTTGGGCATGCTGAATACCAAGTTTTAGGATATCGAGTTTCTTATCATCAAGGGCATCCCAACTTAACCAGAAATTGGATAGCCATCTCTTATGTAATTTCAGACTTTTGTTTTCTTGCTCTGTCAGAGTCTCGTCTTCCTCATCCTTTGATGATATACCATCGTCATGAATAGCTTCTCCCACTTCTAATAATGCATTAAGTGCCTCCAAGTATTCACTTGCACTAATGGATCCTCTATAACCAAATGAACGGACAAAACCATCCCTGACAATATCTTGTAAACCATACCTATCTAGGTTTTTATCGAATATCACACCTAATTCCCTTTTGATTGAGTGATCCATGTATAACCACGACTCCTGAGCTGTGGTTAACGGTATACCCATTCTAGCAAACATCTTATGTAAACGTTTTTTTCCGCTTTCATTCCACAGTGATAACTTGGCATTTACATAGTTTGAGAAGTAGAAACTATCATACAGTGATGAATGCCTTAGAAGAAAAAGATAGTAGTCAGGTTGGATGTTTAGCGTCAAAGTGTCTGGTGTCTTCACTCCTGTGCTTTTTGGCGATAATCTTCTTACTTCATCCTGGAGTAGAGGGCAAAGCCTATTATAGATTTGTGTGAATGCCGTATCTAAAGAAGTAGTTCCCAGTATAGTTAGCCATAAATTTTGTAACGTAGTTTCACCAATTGATGATAATAATGAGTAGACCTGAGCAGCTAGCGAGTTTACTACAGTAACACCTTGAGCGTAGTAGTCATCGATTATACTCTCATATTTATGAATCTGTTGTTTCCTCATTTTCCGCTTCCTTTTGTTGTTATCTGTACTATCACTTAGGGAACGCTTCTTAGAATATGGGTCGTCATCATCATCGTCGTCATCATCGTCTTCATCCTGGTCAGTTGCAACATCATCCTCATTATTGTCATCTTCATCGTCACCATCTGGATCTTGATCTTCATCCTGCTCTTTTTCCAACTGGATCAACTTATAGTATGCTTCTTTCACTTCAGAAAGTTGGTCATCTACAGTACCATCGTCAAAACATTGTACTATTTCAGAGCCAAACAAATTATCCAGATTCCATGGCCTCTGTGCGTCCCACACGTATATGTATCGCTTAGAAACACGCTTCTTCCACTTGGCATTCTCTGTTATGTATTCTTCAGGGTCAATCTCCAAAAAGGTCTCAAGGTCAACAACACCACCAAATCCAATAAACATTACAGTGTTGACATTATCATCAATCTGGTCATAATGGGTTTTCAGCTCGGAGTAACCAAACACAGGAACTATCTGACTCTGGATCAACTGCTTCTTAAACAGCAAAGATAGAATCTTTGCAGCACACAACGCATCTACATTCAAACACGACACAAACAATACCAATTGGCACGACGAGTGACTCGAACAACTGCGAACAATGGTATTATAGGCCTCACCGTACTTGTCTACAGCATAGTACATCAGGTCCACCTTTTAAATTCAATCCTCCAACTTCGTAGCTCACCTGCACTACTTCGAAACCAACTATCAAAATGTAATACACCTCTTGTCGAGCAACGATATCTATGTAATGGCCACTATTGTTGATAATGAAGCCTATTGTATTATCGTGTTGTTTTCTAGCTCATCGCGAATTTTTGCAGTTTTTGCCATTTCTCGAGGATTTGCCAAAATATTTCAACTGTGATAGTAGTGAAGTTGATCAAAAGTGTTGTTGAACTTCAAGCCAACTTACACACCACATAGTAACACACAAATCGGAAATATGAACTTGTTGATGGTGCTATTTGTAGCGCAGGCGCATGCATTCTTCTTTGGGCAGCAACAGCAGCAACAGCAACAGCAGGCTTCCTATGAGGACCGTGTGTTGGACAGTGGTTGCGCAAAATACCTCTGTTCTGACACTTTGGAGTGTGTTGATTCCTGGAAGGACTGTCCTTGTCCATTTCCTAAGTCTCAGTTAAAATGTATGCTACCTAAGGGTTCCAATCGCCCATATGTGTGCATCTCGAAGCCAGCCACACATGATGAGAAGTTGAATTTGATATATGACGATCCAGTGCAAGGACCCAAGGCTGCAATCAAAGGTATGAGAGATTGTGGGTGGGTACAACAGAACCTATAAACTTGATACCATTAGAAGCTAATATTAATATAACTGGAACTATGTAATTAAGCAAAATTGTGTAAAATATTTAATGCCCCCGCCCAATAGATATAATGATAACAAAAATACATCAAATTGCACTGAATAACATTGATTAATCTCTGTTTTTACCGGGTATCCATCTTTTGTATGTAACTTCTGCTACTTTGAAGTGTTGGAGTAGTTTTACCAAGTTCCCCTGATGCCATAGATCTAGAAGGGTCTCATTAGTGAGTCCTTGGTCGTCTATATAACAGAGGATTAAGGTCTTCTTGGCACCACTCGCAACACGCGCAACACTTGAATACCAAGTATAGTCGTGGCTTTCTGTGTGGTCCAATACCATTATTGCAAACTCCGCATGCTGGAATGGTGGGCCTCTCTTGTATAGAAGATAATCACACCCAAACTTTATTCCCGACCGTACACACCACTTGAGTGATCGATAGTGGTGGTATGCCGCATATTTTCGTACTAATACCTTCAATTCTTCAATATGTTGAAATTCAAAGTGCTTTATTAGGTCATTTATTTTGATATCTAATACTGGCAATGCGAAAGTCAGGAATATTGCCTCTACTGGCATTAATTCCATCGATTCTAGAGATCTGATCTCGCCAGAATCATCATAAAGTTCTAAGTCTTCATCCCTAGTCTCTGGGGCAGTCAATTTCAAATTATTAAGTTCCTTCAATTGATCACTTCTAAACACACGAAGTTTCTCTCTATGCTCCTCTATGATTTGGGTTTCTTGTTCTGCTGATATATTCTGAGACCTTGATTCAGATAGCTCACCTTCCAGTCTAAGTCTCTCTTTCTTGAAGGCAAGTCTTTGTATTCTCCTGATCTCAGTAACCTTTTCTAAATCCATAGTACCTGATGGTTTATCGCCAGCATCATTAACTTTTAGTCTCTTCTCGGTTCTGAACTTCCAAGTGGGTTCACTTCTGGACATCTGGCCAGTGCCAAAGAACCCATTGTTCCACAGATATTTCATATCTTGTTCATCTTCAACTAGTAAATGGCACCAACCTTGTTCATCTTTTCTAATCGTCAAAGTCAGCTTCTTCGGAAGCAGGTTGGTGTTTGCATACAAGCAATATAGCCATTGCAACCATGATATCGGATTATATTGACTCACCACCGGCAGCGCATTCCGGTCAATAGGATGGATTGGTAATGGGAACTTATACCTCTTTGTATTAAATTGCTTCTTAGCCATGTCTGCTCCCGAGTTTGGTTCTTATATTATTTACAGCTCATCGCCAGGTGAATTCATGTGGCTTCTCTTATAATGCCAGAAAGATGAAAGTTTTTAAAGGCTTTGTGTTGCTTTACTGACAAGGATATTATATGATTACTACTAGAATTGCTTATATGAAGAGTACATATACAAATTTACAATAATTCTTCTTACTCAGATACCGTTGTAGTCTATTGAGAAATCATTGTGCCCACAGTGCCAGCCCATCGGACTGTCTTCAAGCAACATGTAACATATTATCATCATCGAAAGAATCGTGCAAGATAGACTCTATGAATGCCTATTCAGCATTTCCAAAGAGCTGAAATGCTATATCATATCCAGAGAATGAATACCGTCTGACCAACTGGTCAGAAACAACAGAAAAGCAGAATTCATCCCTAACGTATATACATATAGCACAGTGTAATTGTCTATAATGGGTGCCATGCTAAACCAATATGGAACTGAAATCATTGAAAAATACGACCTGCATTCCTTATAAAGTTGGCCTTGAGATGGCCTCATCGCAAGAATCTTTTATACTTGAAAAATTTCACATAATGTTAGACGAGTAATAAATATCGTATATATATACATATGTGGCATCAATTAGGTCTTTGGTTCAGTAATAATAGTGCAAATAGAGATATAGAATCAATTTAAGGCTTTAAAGGGCTTATAAAAATTTTTACTAAATAGCAATATAATTCATGGTCTATTGAGATGCCAGGTCTGAAAAGTATTGGCGCAAAATTAATGCCAACATTTCAGGCAGTTCAACAATATCATGGACCACAACATAGAATTCGAACGGGAAGGTATCTAGATATTTAGTGATCTTCAACTGTAGGTTACCTGAACTGTCCGGAACGTACTTAACTTGGCTCATGTCCATGATAGATTCGTTGGATTGGCCTAGGTTGTCGATAATCACAAAAACAAGCATGATTTTCTTATCTCTTGCGCGGCGTACCAGTCTCTCAACTGTATCATGATCTTCGCATAAACCATCTGATATCACGATTTCTAATTGCCATTGATCATTGTCTGAGTAGGCCCTAGCACGTTCAAATATCTTTATAGATTCACCGACAAGTCTTTTGACATCTGTTTTGTCCTCTTGGAAATTGAACCATTGGAAAACTTTACTTCCTGAATCATTCGAGAAGTTTTGATCAAATGAATGAACTTCTTTTGTGTATTCACCAAATCTGACAATAGACAATCCTCCAGATTCCAGTTGCGACAGTGTCTTTGACACTAAGCATAAACTATTGAATGCCAATTGCGCAGATTTGGATTCACTCATAGATTTAGAATTATCGAGCGCTAACATGATTTGGTATTGCCTCTTGCTTGGTTTGGTGCGTCTTAGCCAAATTTTGTCTTTCCTGTACTGAGATGCTATGTATGGTATAATACGCTTCATATTCAAACGTTTACCTGTTTTATAGTCACCTCTTAATTTAGTGGCCAAAGTTGGCTCCAAGATTAAACGTAATTGTTCACCCAGTCTGGCAGAAAGTTCTACCGTCTCAATCTCACTCTTTCTCCATAATTCTCTAGATTCAGTAAGGTCACGTTGTGGTTTATCAATCTCGGCTTTCAGATTAGTTTCTTTATCGATTTCATCCATTAATTGATCCAACTCGTTTTCGTAATCCTCTCTTTTGAAAAGTCCATCATTTTCATAAATTTCTTTATCTTCAATGGAAAGATCTTTCATGGTGCTGGCAAATGCACCTTGGCTCTTAGAGTCAGTATCCTTCTGTATATCAGTATTGAGATCTTCTTCCAATTCTTCTTTAATTTCATTATGTGACTCCAAGTTTGCTGCATCATCAGTGTCTATATCAGAATCTATTTTCTCCTCTTCATCAAGGTCATCATTGATCGCAAGATCGTCATCTATTTTATTCGCTTCTTCTTGATTTGCACCTCCAAGAGCTTGTGTATCAGTTTCGGTATTAGCACCATCAAGATGTTCAAATTCATCAGGTCGTTGATTTGCCTTGTTTTCATTCTCCTTGTTTTCATCATTTGAAGGATTATTAATCTCTTGTCTGCGGTTATGGTATTCCTTTAACGAGTCACCAAGTTCTTTCAAAACCTCATTAGCTTTTTCACGGGAAGAATCGTTATGGTTTTCAGAGTCTTTTTCCTGTTCTTGGTGTTCCAGATTTGTCATACCGGAATCACCTATATTTTCTTGATCTTCGTCATCTTTAGTGTCAGCTCCTGCACCTTTAGCACCGGCGTTTTGTTCCGCATTAGCTTCTGAGGTTTCATCATTGTTGTCTAAATAGTTTTCAATACCTTCAGCACCTTCATCATCAATATTGGTTCCAGTTTCCCCGTTTTCCGTTTGTGGTTCTTCTTGAAGTGTCTGCTCTTCATCTTGCATGTCTACATCATTATTGTCTTCATCGTTGTTTTCACCTTCTTGATTATCATTTTCTTCGTTTGCATCGGATAAATTATTCTCCTCTTCAATGTTTTCCTCCTCTAGATTGTCTACTTCCATATCATCTTTGTTTTGCTTCTCGTCAAGGATATCTTCTTCAACTTCCATTTCTTCTGCATTAGATTCAAAACCAGAATCCTTCATGTCATCCTCCTCTTCTTCATTATCAGATTTGGATTCCTCTTCTGAATCGAGTTGCATATCTTCTGGTAATTCCATAGTTTCGATTTCGGGGGCATCGAACATTTGTTCTTCTTTCTCATCATTAACAACTTCATCTTCTTGCTGGCCTACGTCTTCCTCTCCAGATTCCTCATTGTCAAGATCTTGTTCTTGTTCATCCCCATTTTGGTTTTCACTATCATTTTGCTGATCTTCGTTATTTTCTTCTTTACTATCAGGCTCTTTGTTTGAACCTTCATCACCGTTTTCTTGTTGTTCATTTTCGGCTGCCTGGACATCTTCAGATTCATTATTCTGATTCTCAATCTGATTATCAGTTTCCTTCTCTTTGAGATTATCATCAACTTTCTCGTCCCACATTTTATCGTCAACCGCATTAGCATCGTCATCGTCGATATCATTGATTTCCTCATCCAGTTCTTCTTCATCACTTTCATTGTCAGAGTCATCGGAGTTATCTTGATCGGAAATATCTTCTAATTCACCAGCCATATCACCTTCCATATCAACTGCATTATCTTCGTCATCATCTTCTCTATCATCTTTATCCTTTTGATCTTGATTTGAAGTTTGTGCATCTTCTGTCAAATCTTCATCCTGATCTATATCATTACTCTTGTTCTCAGCACCCTCACCATCACCTAAACCAGTACCTTCATGCAAGTTTTCATCATAAGTTTCTTCAGATGGCGGAGGTGGTGAACAAAATCCATCCTTGGCTAAGTTGTACAATATAGTACCAAATACATATGTACCGGAAGATAGTTGATAGTAAAAGCTCCAAGTCTTTTCCAGTAGGTTTTCGGAAAGACCAACATACCCACAAATAAAAGGTAAAACAAACTTAAGTATTTTGCGTAATTTAATTGATTCACCTTTGCTGTAATCACAAGAAATTATCATTTCGTATAGTTCTGAGACTAATTTGGAAATATTCTTCGAATTCATGTCTTTTAATGATGATAACAGTTTCTTTGATAGCAATTGCAGCCATTTGTCATCAGATTCTGATAAATTATCAAAGTTGTTTGACATTACTTTCTGAAATCTGACCAATACGGCATCTGACAACTTTGATGCTAATGACGTTATTGCCTCGAAGTGAGACTCATCATTTCTTGTCAGCTCATCATTTAGTTCTATACTTCCAACATTCAAGAGGTAGTCGTGGACAGGTTGAATAAACATGCTATTGTTTGGTGTTGATATCTTTTGAACCTCAGTTCTACTACTTAATATCAGACTGCTAAATTCGTTCCTGACATCGCTGAAAGAAATGTCATAGTTGAGAGCATTTGAGATCATGTTCTCCAAACTCATAAACTTCTCTTTCGATGTCTTTAGGAACTGATAACAGGAGTTGATGTTGTCATTATCTTTGTTGTTGTATTGGCTAACAGATGAAAGTGTTTCCAAACTGTAATTTACTAAATTTAATATGGCAGACACATCAGATGACATATTTTTAATGCACTTGTGTTGAGTGTTGAACTTCAAAGCAAAGTTAGAATTCATAAATTTTCTTATGTACAAGAGTTTCTGCTCTATGACCTTCGAGTTTTCTTGTAATTCTAAAATTGGTGTCCTTGTGACAATAAGTGAGAACACTAAATTTTCAGTAATAGCCATACCCTTTTCTAAGGAGGTAATAGGAACTTCTTCATTTGGCTCAGAAATTGCACTCCTTAGTCTAGGTAGAAGGTCAATTAGCTTATAGAACCATTCGTCTCGTGTACTATCAGATAACTGCACTAGAGCTGGTGCATTGGCCAGTATTAAAGTTGATGAAGATTGTACTTTTTGAATATCAATACGGTAACTTGACTTCAGACCAATTCTTCTAAGTTCTTTTATACCATCACTTAATAGTTTTCTTTTTTGAACTTTCAATGCAGCCAAATGTTTTTTTATTTCTTTCTTATATTGAGAAGGTGTTTCCTTGCGGAGCCTGTCAGCTTCGCTGAGATATTCTTCTGATAATTGTGTAAAGTCCGGAGCGTCCCATTGTTTTACAATATTGGTGAAGTGCTTCATATTATGGACAATGGTATCAATGTTTCTGAAATTCTTATGTAATTTCAAAGGTTCGTCAACATCAGTAACTGATGAAAGGTCAACACATAAAGTCTCCAAATTTAGGTTGTTCAAGTTACGAGGGCCTAAAGATTTCGGTTTGCTAAATTGTAAACCCCCCGTAATTAGGTCAGTGACTTTACCAGATATGACATTTCTGTACTTCCTGACAATTTTATAAAGGTTATTATGGGATTTTTTGGAACTTTGTTTCAGAGCATCTATATTGACATCCTTCCAGCTAGCAAGAAGAATTATATCTTTCATATCCTTATCCAATGTTTTTCGTGTAGTTTTAATCACATCCTGCACCTTTTCTTGAAATTGCTTGTAATACAGAATGATGTTTGTCAGAGCATTTATGGTCTGTTCTTTATTAGGGAAAGAATTCAACAAATGTTCTTTAAATGAAATAACTAGATTTATTCTGTGATCGTATTCTCCAATTGTACTTTCACTAAAAAATACATTCAATGCTTGAAGTAGTTTATATTGTTTTTCATTTTCTCCATCCATATTTGATTCTGTAGGTAATATGATAGTTTCATAAAGGTAAAACCACCATTTACTAATACTTCTCTGTGCCTGTTTATCCTCATTCAACAGCAGTTCCGACCAACTTCTAAGTTCCATTCTTCTCCAGCTCACCAATGTGTTTACAATCTCAGTGATATAGTCGTTGAGCGATACAGTTGAGGAAGCATATTTCTCCCACTCTGTTAAGATAGTGTAGATCTGTTCAAGCTTCTGTAATTGTCTGGCAATGGTAGTGTCCAATGTGAAGGAAAGAAATTCATGGCAGGTTCTAAATAAATCTTGCAATGTCGCATTCTCAGGCCATTGGTTAAGAAGTTCATTGACCTTCCCAAGAAGAGTTAAAATGGATCTAGCGGCTTTCTTGCTTTCTGGTATGGAAAAGTCCTTAAATATGCTGAAGGATTTGTTCTCGGTTTTATCGAATCCATTAATTTTTTGTGCTAAAATGTTCGCTACTGATAGTAGCGTTTCAGGGGTAACTATTCCTGAGGTTAATTGTGCAGATAAACTATTATCCAATGAACTAATCTTTGTACCTTCCGTAATCACATCGTTTAGCGATAGTTGTTCATCGGAACTGAATAAGTTCATGTACTCAATGGTCAGCTGATGATATAAGTCAACAGTTTCCTCGTCTTGTGACTTAATATCTTCCGATAAATTTAATTCATCATCATAGTCAGGGAACATTTCTCGGAATTCTCTTTCAAAATCATCAGATTCATCAGTGTACTTAAAAGTTTTGGCCTGTTCTTCTTGTTTTTTCTCTGATTGCATTTTTCTCATTGACCATCTCGCATATAATGTATGCAGAGATTCATGGAATATATCTAGCAGTTCATCAGATTGTTTAAAGTACCTGAATAATCTCACAAAATGTAATAAAGTTCTATCTGCGTCATAATTATTAGCAGAGGCCCTTTGCAGCATTACAAACATATTCTTGAAATGCTGCTTCACAGAGTATTCACTTACAGTTAGTAGTGGGTTTACTGCCCACAACCTTGTGGTCCCTTGGTGAAGGTTATCATTCAACAACTTTTGTTTCATAATATCAAAACCAAACTTAATTGCAAATATGTAGCCAGCAAAAATATCATTTAGATCAGAAAACATTTTGAAACCAGATTTTACTCTTTCAACAAATTTTGAAGAGTTCACTTGAAGACTATCCAAACGAGATGAAATAGAGTGCTTTAATTTACCTGCCTGTACCAAATCATTTATATGATCCTGTGAAAGTGAAGATAATAAGAAAGCATTCCATTCATCGAACAGATCATCCACAGCTTCATTGGTCCTGTAAACTAGAGGTTTTTCAGGCGCAGACGGTTCTTCGATAGATTGAGCTAGTAGTTCATTATATATTGGAGTGACACCCGAAGTAACCATTCTAAACTTAGCCCATCCTGACTTTTCCGCTTGTAAAAAGTCCCTATGCGATCGGAATAAATCATATTGAACATAATTCTCAATGGCAGGATCAAAGGCAGTGTCTGGACAAAATAATTCGATTAATGTTATACCAAAATAAATCCAACAGGAAGCCAGTGCAAAAGAACATTTACTCTCAATGAACGCTTCCATCTGCCCTAAAAAGTACGGATTTTGTAAAGGCTCTAGAACAGGAGCTTCAAGACCACGTAATTCGGAGAGCAACTCGTTATAGCTTCTATATATCACATTTGATCCCGTAAAAGCCTCTATTATTGCTACAATCCAGTCTACCAAAGTCTTGAATGTTTGCTCTAAAGAATGACTCGTAATTTGATATGATGTGGATAATAAAGCCGATAGCAAAGCCTTTACATCATGAATAGTCTCATCAACTTGAGATCCTATTATTTCATGTAGATTGTTCGCCTTCGATAGTGTAGTTTCAGCAAATTTTCCAGTTAATAGAGTTCCTGATTTTGATATCAAATTGTTATCATCAAAGGACCACAACAATGACAAGAATTTAGGATAGGAAGTGCTCTCTCGTGTTAATTTATAGCCATTTAATGTAGAAAATGACGACAATGCTAGTATATTAAAGAAAGTTGACGGTTTGTTTGCTTGTAATGCAGCTGTGTATACGATAATATCATCAAATTCATTTTCGAAGTAATTTCTTTTCTGAACTAAGAATGATTTAGAGATCACTTCTAACTCATCAATACCAGTTTTTAATTTAGATATTAGATCTTCTGCTATGTCTAAGTTGTCTCGACAAATTTCATCGAAGACAATAAAGAAAGTTTGCTTTAGATTGGAGATAATCTCCAAATTGTTCGAGAACTGCAATTTAGCAATCTTGTCAAACTTAAACGATAATTCTTCAGCAACAATCCATAGTGACCATCCAACGGAAGTCCTTGGATAACTGTCCCGGAATTTAATCCATAAGGCCGACATTCCCTTACCTCTCTTCAGTTTTAAGCTGTCTTCGAAATTATCCATAGCCAACAGTATGGAATCAATAGCAAATCCTTCCACTGTGGCATTTGAAATCCATTTTTGAACTTCGGTTTTATACACTCTCAATCTTGCTTCATCTTTTTTGCCACAGGTTTCGATTAAACTTAGTAAGACGAGCAATAGTTCGACGTGGCACTTATAAAAATTTTGTTGTTTCTCATAGCCATTACCACCAAATGATGAAATGAGGTAATTTTGAATCTGCATCAAAATCTCAAAGATTGGGACATTAGGTCTATTCTTTAGATACCTTCCATTGTATATTGCAGCAGATAGTTCAAGATAGTTCATGTCTTCCATTTTCAATGATGTTGAAGCGTTTGAAATATGATTCAATTCAGTGATTAATTTGTTCAGTAATCTATGAGCAACAAATAAAAACATCACTTCTTCATCACTTGTTTTGATATAAGATTTTCTGATCTGTGGGAGAAGGTAAACATTAATCAAAGGATTTATTAAGGATGATTGCTGGCTATCTTCGATGATCAAGGAATTGGTTTCTATCAATTTAATAAATTGAACCAAGTGGTTTGATTGTAGCAAATTTGTGGTGTTACTTGTTACCGCCAGATTTTCGTACCATGAAGCAAGTGTTTTGCGGCAAAAAGGAGTGATTCTCGAGGCAAGAATATTACTTGAGATATTAGATGAATTTGATAGCAAGTATTGTATTTCTGCAAATGAGTTCAGTTGAGACAAGTGTACTGGCATAAACTTTTGTAATGGCATACTACCATCCATGCTTTCATATATCAAGTTCTTGTCAAAGGTTGTTGTTCTATCAGGTAAAGCTTCAAGGTATATCTCAACACCTCTATTTCTCATAGCTCTGGACAGCTCGCCATAATGAGGGTCAACAGTCAAAAACAACCTGAAATTAGGATGCGGTTTCAATACTCTCGTAGACCCATCTTCGTTACTGCATTCATTGATTAGCAGTGTGCTCTCAGTTTCCAATAATGAGTTCAACCTATCTAAAACGGAAGGGGAGCACAAGTTAGCGTTATCTAATATTAGCCAATGTCCTTTCTCGATAGCTTGGATTAGCATACCATCAAACCATTCAAACTTAACAGGCATGTCTTTTCCGATTAAATTAGTTATCTTGGATGCTTGTAATAGTAAATTGTTGTATTTTTCATTGTGATCAAGCAAATGTACAACTGACAGCACCTCCTGTTGAAATGATATCTCATTTAGAACAGTTCTCTCATTAATAGACTCGTACAGCCTAATCATCTTCATTAGTTGTTGGAAGTCTTGTATCTCTTTTGTAATTTCTTGTTGAATAAAATCAGCTAAAATGGACAAAATGTCTGTCCTTATTTGAGATAGTTTTCTGTTAAGATCCACTTGTTCATAACCACCTAGTATATCCATACTGTCTACATCACTATTCATTGAAAAGACATCCACCTTTTGACCAACAACATCAGCAATAAAGTTAATAAGTTCCGTTTTTCCGGACTTGCTTGGACCAACTATAATGGCAGGCCAGTTGTACTTAATACACCTTATTAATGATTCGTAGGCATCAAAATTACATTGTAATGGTACAATCTTTTTCAAGGATGGATGATGGTATGATGAACATCTCTCTATAATTTCACTATTAACTTGTAATGTTTCTGGAAGCACACAATAAAACTTATCCCGTGTTGGTATTTTGCCAAAGATTGATTTTATCAGTTGGTTTACGTATGTTTTATCGGCATCAGCTCTAAATCTTTGGGTGACAATGGTGTCAACATAATTTAAAGGATCATCACTTATTTCTGAAGAGCGGAGCAGTTTTAACCACCTTAAGGTATCTCTTAGGTTGAATTCCCATGGTGAACCAAAAGCACCGAATGACTTCTTATGTACTAATTCATCCTCCATCAAAGAAATAAACCTAATCATCTTCTCAACGATGTCCTCTTTTATTTCAGGATATAGATGGTTTGCAATCTTCAACAAATCGTGATAGTCCAGCATATCAACATAAACAACACTGAAACGGTTAACAAATGACTTTGGTAAACCTTTTCTACCACCACCTTGATATTGTGGGTTTTGAGCAGCAAATACCATGAAATTAGGATGGCACGAAAAAGACCTATCAAGTTCTGGAATGTAAGCCATACCACGATGATCTAAGCAGGCGTTCAAACCTTCTAAAACTGACTGAGATGCTAAATTCATCTCATCAAGTAACACCCATTCACCTAATTGCATGGCTCTTAAAAATGGCGCGTCCTTCCATATAAATTCACCACTATTCTCTCCTGGAGCATCTGAACCAAACAAATCCACTAAATCTGTTTGTTCTGACAAGTTTATACGAGTTAGATTGTTCCCCGTGGCATTAGCTAAAGCAGTTATTAAACTGGTTTTACCAACACCTGGACTACCTTCAAGCAAAATTGGTTTATGTACTTGCATGGCACGTATAACTTTCATAGTGTTGACTGTGGTAGTAGGGGCACTAAAGTTGAAGGTAACAGAGTTTTTGGTAGCATCCTTGATTGGAATTGAGAACAGTCCTGCACATACTTTATTATCCCTCACTGTAACCTCAACTTTCTGGCCAATATAAGAAGTCAGATCCTCATTGGTAATGTTTGACAAATACTCGATACATTCAAACTTTAGTTTTTTTAGGAGCCTCTCATCTTCGGCAAAATGCGCAGTGTTATTTGTTCCAAGTGCGTCTATGAAAACCATAGATGCACCGTGAACAAGAACTGCGTAGTGATTATTAATAGAATCATATGATTCATTAATGAATTCTACCCATGATAAAATATCTCTCAAAGATACAACACCACTTGAGGCATCACCTCCACCGAACTTTTTGCCAAACCATTCGGTGAATTTACATATTATGTTTGCAAATTCCTGCTTCTTTATTTGCAATCTATCTTCAACAATCATGGTAATGTCTGCCAAGTTATCCATGGATGGAACCCATATCTCAGTAAAACGATTCCGTAAAGCTGGAGACAGTTCTTTCTTACCATAATCACCACCTGGGTTCATTGTTGCAAAAAATTGAAACCTTTCAGAGGCAGTTACTAGGGCATCAGATGAACCTTTCTCAGCTAAAAGCAGACTTCTTTCTGGTTCTAGAACACTGTTTAACCTTTCTAGCACTGAGTCATCCGCAAGTGAAATTTCATCAAGTAGGAAAAAATTGCCACTTTTCATGGCTTGGACAAGTGGACCATCTTTCCATTCAAATAGTATATTCATATTTTTAATACTATTTTCTATCTTAGTTTGTAATTGATGATCAACTTCGCTTTTATCTAGCTTATTGTAGCTTCTTATCAGATCATCGACTGTATAAGAGTTTGGCTCGTCATTATTAATATTCAATATCGGTAATACAAGATTTTTGAATTCCTCTTGTAGTCCTGATCTATTACGCACAGGTCTCTGTGCACCAAGAATATCACCAGTTTCGGTATTCTGATGAGCATTCAAAATGATTAAGTTGTTTCTCAAATATTTAGATAATAGTTGAAAAACCGTAGTTTTACCACAACCTGTTTCACCAACTAGTAATATAGGTTCTTTGTTCTTCATAGCTGACGATACTAACACAACAAGCTTTCTTAATGCATTCGTCCACACAATAGAATTATCCTTTAGGATGTCGGTGTCTTCGAGATTCATATAATACTTATTCATGTTCAATTTAACTTTCATTACACGTTCTAGTACCTTTTTCACTAATAGTTTCTCGGTGTTTGATCTGCATCTCTCGGCAAGAAGCATGTAACCATTAGCAGCGAGTTCTTCATATCCAACTGCGTCTCGCATTGCCCATCTAAATAAATCTCTCAACGTGGCAAAGCTATTCTTCTGTTCAAATAATCTATTGGCAGAGCGTTCAATAGCCAGTTGTCTGTAGACTTCAACGATTTTTTTAGCATATGTAGGTGCTATTTGGCAACGTTCTCTTAAAATTATTTCTAATTCATCTTGAGGGATGTCATCAAAATGCAATTCCAGGAAACGGTTTCTAAAGGCTCTGGATAAAAATTTACGACCACCATATAGGCCAGGTGGATTCTGAGTAGCAAATAACATGAAATCAGGGTGAGGATGGACAACTTCTTGTGTTTCAGGAATAAATAATTCCCTATTGTCGTCTAAAAGTCTGTTCAATGCCTCTAAAACGTCTGTTGGAGCCAAATTCAATTCATCTAGTACAATCCAATAACCTTTTCTCAAAGCTTCTACTAAGATACCTTCTTTGAAGGACAGTTTTCCTGTATCATCCGTAACATACGTACCTAAGTATTCTTGTAAGTCTGTATGTTCATGATTGTTGATACGGACAAAAGTATGGCCCGTGATATCAGCTAAATACTTGATCATACTTGTTTTACCTGCTGATGTAGGACCTTGAATTAACACTGGAAATCTGCTTCCCAAAGTAGCCCTGACAAGGTTCATCATATTTTTTTCAACAAAAGGAGTGATAATATAATGTGCTTGAGGTTTTAACTCACCAGGTCCCTTCTTCATCCAATAATGCTTAAATTGAATATAGTTCTCCCCAGGTGATTGCGGAATTTGAGATAAGACAGATTTTATGTTTTTGAGTCTGCCAATGGTGTACTTCGAAATTAAAGGACGTAAAATATCTTCTGATTTCTGGTCCAATAAGGTCAAGAAACTCATACAAAAACCATCATATAAGGCCCGTCTTAGTCCATATACATGGACAATGTCACAAACATATAATAATGTTCTGGTAAGAGTTCTTATACTGAAGTGTGGTCTCTGATTTGATCCATCGACGATGACATTGTTCTCTGAAAGCTTTTTAGTTTCAAGATAGAGTTCTGCGATGTCATTACCAACCCATTCATCACTGACACTGTATTTTCCGATATACTTATCAATAATTGCAAGTAAATCACTAATGTCCCTATCTGGAGAATGAACATAAATCTCGGTAAACCTAGAACGAATACCAGACGGAAGCTCTTTTTTACCTACATCAGTGGCAGGATTCATACAGCCAAATAATCTGAAGTCAGGATGTGCTTTGATTGGAAGCATATCACCCTTGTCAGCTAATAAAATGCTTCTAGATTCTGGATCTGCTAGCAAATCGGATATACTTTCTAATGTGTCGGCAGATGCTAAGTTAATTTCATCAAGTAGCAGCCATTCACCATTTTTAATAGCTTTTACAAGTGCACCTTCAACAAAATTAAAGACAAACGAATTCTCCAAGCTTGAAGATTGAACCTCGAACTTTTCTACATCATCTTTGAATAATTGCCATTTCTTGAAGAGTTGAGATTTTTCATTACTATTGAGCTTGCGTCTTTTCTTCTGAGAATCACGATTTTCTTCATCCTTATGTGATTGAAGAATGGTAGATGCCATTTTAAATGCTTCGTTCCAAAGCTTTACTACATTCTTCCAATTACCACGGTTGAAGAATTTATGAAGCATTTTATAAAACCTTTCATTTTTCTTCATGGAGAATGTGGATGCAAAAAGTATTTCAAATTCCTCTTGTATAGGAATGGCAATTGATTTAGAGTTAACAGGTTTGTAACCACCCAATAAATCACCAGATTCAGTTTGTTGTGATACATTAATAACATTTAAAGTCTTGTGTAAAAGTTTCGATACCTGCTGTACAACAGTTGTCTTACCAGTACCTGTCTCACCAACAAGAAGTAGCGGTTCATTCATTTGTATTGACATGGCAATTTGTTCCATAAGTCTTAAAGAATGATTTGTGGTAGCAAAATTAGTACTATTCACAGATTTCTTTTGCATATTTAAAGAGTTCTTCTCAAGTTTAGAGCGCCCGATTTTGATGAAATTATCCTGGTTTTCAAAGCTAGGGACACGACTATTGAGATAAACCAATATTCTGGATTCTGGTATTTCTAACGTTCTACCAATTCCATGATAAAGAGGTTCTAAGGCACGATATTCTCCTACAGCTGCAGTGAAGCAATCTGCTGTTTCTGCAAAAATATCGTCAAATACACTTGTCTCTATCAGATGATCAGAATCTTTGATGTTATTCGCAGTAAATATAGACGTCAATCTGTGGCACAGTTTTGTTAAATCTCTTATGGAAATACCTCTTGAATGGCTGCCTTTATTCAGGGAAATAAATTTAGGGTCTTGGTAAATTGAATGTATGTTGTGATAAGTTTCAATAAGTTGAGGAATTAATCTAGTTAGCAGAGAAAATTTCTTCGACAAGATCTCTTCGAGGTCCTTGTCAGAAGGTTCTTCTAGAGAAACAATATTCCAAGCACTTTTACCGATCATGTTGATTACTGGCTCAGAATCCTTTGTTGAGTTTCTTTCGCTGGTTTGTACTGTCGCAATTAACTGAAACCCTTTTGCTGCTTTCAATGTTTCACCACGAGACGGTATTGTCAGTTCCCTTTTCTCCAGTAGTGAGAGAATTACAGATAAAACTTCTGTAGGAGCCTTATCAATATCTTCTATCAAAACCCATCTACCTTCTTTGACAGCAGTTGCAAGTACACCTGATTTCCATGTAAATGTGCCTGGTTTTTCACCAGAGGTATATGTACCAATCAGAAGTTTAGCATCTGTTTGTTCACCTAAGTGGATTTTAACAACAGAGTCATGTGTTTTCATATATTTGCTTAATTCATTGATTAAAAAGGTTTTACCAGTACCAGCCTTACCGACAAGCATCATAGGTTCATTTTTCTGGATAAGCTTTGCCAGTTTTTTTAGTACAGCAACAGTCTGTTTGGTCGGAACATAGTCGAAATCGTAATCTCTGGTATCTTTAGTAGTGACTATTCTTGGGGTCAATATACCACAAATTGATACTATATGGTCTGTAAAGCAATCAGTACCGAATGTTATTATGTTCGATGAAGTGGGATTACTCTCATCACCGATTTTTGGTAGACTGAAGAATTCAGAGAATCTATGGGCTTCATTCAATTCCATAAATTTATAATTCACATTACTCAAACCTTCATAGTACCCTGGAATATTGTTACAATTACCAATATACAGGTCAGTTGTTTCTAGTATATGCTTTTCGTTAGTGTTCAAAAGAGTGCATAAAACTCTCACAGCCAGGAATTTCATTTCCATTGAACTTTCTTGAGTAGCTAGTATTTTGTAGAGGATTTCCATCTTAATATATTTATTGAAGATCTGCTGATTCTCATATAGGATACGATAGTATGCAAGTAATATTTCAGATTTCTTTTCCATGTTTATTGCAGGTGAGTCTAATAATTTAGTGAAGTTATCAGCAAATTCTGACATGCAGTTATCGATAAGATTAGTACTCATAGGGAAGATGGTGATAATTCTGGCAAGTTGGGAAAGAATTTCAATTGCTTCATCATCTGTACAGTGCTGTAAAGAAACAATCCATCTTGAGACAACTTCTGGAAATAGCTCCTCATAAATGTATACGTATGCGCTAGCTTCATATTTTCTAGCTAGTATGAACTGCGTCAAACCTTCCAAGTTAGATATCTGAGCAGAATTGCTCTTGGAGAATTCAAATAAATCTATAGTAGCATTCGGATTTCTTTTAACAAACTCATCTCTTCTTTGGAAGGCCTTATCCAAGTCGAACACAACGGTGTCGGCAGATTGAATAGACATCGGAAGGTTGTTAAAACTTAAAGTCAGAATAATCAAAGATGTTTCTTAAATAACCTTTCTGATTTAAAGTTAGGGAATAATGAAAAAATACTGTTGTATCTTCACAAGATGTAGTATTCAGTCTCAATATCTATTCTAAATTACAATAATATGGGCAATAAATCGAATGAATAACGCTGACTAGACTGTATATGTTATAAGCTTTATTTCAGCTCATCGCAATTTTTTCAAAATTTCACTCGCAGCCTGGGAGCCCAAGATGGGCATCGCAAAATGAATCTGAAAAATTTAACAAAAACAATGAAAATTTTCAGAAAAGGAAGGATTGCGATGAGCTCGTTTGATGTTATGTGGTAACTTCAACACAATAGCAAGCAATAACCATAATTGTTACCCTTCAGTTCAAGTGATTACAAAAGCACAATATGTGTCATACACCAATTTTTTTACAGCTTGTAATTGTTTACAGCAAAGATACGGATATTATAAGAGAATCTGATTCATTTGGTGATGATGGGCAAAGAAACACCTTCTTTGAGACCAGTCGAATTACCAATCCAGCCAGTGGGATTCCAGGATAGATATAAAGTTATACATAAGATATGCGAGGCACTGGAGAAAGTAGCATATCCACGTGTGAAACTGGCGAAGTTTGCCGTGTCTTTAGAGTTGAAATTGGCGAAGGAGAGCAAAACATCACAGTTGTATCGCTTTAATGTCGGTATCTTGCTAAGAGATATTGTCAAATTCAAAGCTAATGTCTATAAGCTGAAAATAGCTAACAAACCATTAGTACCGCAAAAGGTGAATGGGAGATCTCATACTGCCCCTATAACTACAAAGCAGGAAGTCTTCACAAGGTTGAGAGAGCTCCTTATAGACAAGGAAACGTTACGCAAAAATGGTTATATTCTGCCGGATGTAAAATATGAGCCACAGCAACCTGTTAGTAGTCATGTTACATGTGTAAGATGTGGTACAAAATTCAGTAAGGAAGACATTATGAACTCGGTAGTTTGCAAGTTTCATCCTTCAAAGAAGTTGTATGATAAATCAACCAAATTAGAGATCTACCCTTGCTGTGGGGAGTCAACATCGTCAGTTTCATTTCTGAGACTAGGATGTTCAACTCAGAAGCATCATGTGTATAAGGGTGAAACATATTCAGAACTTTGTACAATAGCAAATTTTCTCACCACAGATCTTATTGATGGTAAAGAGAATGTCTTGGCGTTAGATTGTGAGATGGGGTTTACCACAATGGGATATGAAATGGTGAGATTAACTATTGTAGACTTTTTCACTAGTAAGACCCTTTATGATGAAATCATAAGGCCAATTGGAGAGGTCATTGACTTGAACACACAATTCAGTGGTGTTCGTGAGGAGGATATACTTTATGCCAAGGACTACGAAGATGTTATGGAGGATGTTCTGAGAGCAGATATGATTAATAGAAACAGTATATTGATAGGTCATGGATTAGAAAACGATTTGAACGTGATGCGTTTATTTCACACTCGTATTCTTGATACTGCTATCATGTATTCCGTGGGCAGATTTAAGAACTCGCTTAAAAATTTGAGTTTTGAAATACTGAGCAGAAAGATTCAATTAGGGGAGCATGACAGTTCACAAGATGCAATTGCAGCTATGGATATCATAAAAGCAAAGAATGGTATATCCATTACACAAACAGATTGGTAGGAAATGGTCTATGGATACATGTGTAAACATTACTTATATTTCTTATAATCATATAGCTGGACTATGGGTGATATAATATCAAAATCATATAATACGAATGTAATGGATCAAAACGAAATTTTTTATCTTTCATGAGGTCCTTGAAGTAACCCTTCTTGGACATTTGGTCAATTTGAAACAATACAGAGATGATCAGCAGTTCCCCTGCATAAGGATGAACCGTTTTACAAAGAGATTTATTCGTTTTTTTTTTACATCTCTTTAGGTTACATATATAATATAAGAGTGTTAATTTGCAACAGTCTTGTTCTAATAATAAGAAATAAGGTTACAATTAATAAGTGATCGCTCCCGAGATTCTGAGTTCGATTCTCGGGATATGAAAAAATTATTCGAGTACTTCTATATGATTATTTTGGCCATTATAAAACCTAAAGCCCTTAAAATAACATATATGATATTTTATGATAAGAAAATGCAATGCACAATATCTTAAGAAGTAGATTAGAAACGAAGTTGAAAAGACAAATTTGGATTTGGATTTTACACTTAGTAAATGTATTCTTGATAAATTAAAAATGTCTATAAATTGTATGAATATCTTAGAAATAAAGTGATTGGTTTCTTAAAACCTCTATAAAATGTTGTTGTTGTTTTTTATGCAGTTTTGTTTATTTACCATTCCAATAAGTCATCCTTGGCGTATAGGTAGTCATCGAAAATGAATTCGACTTCATCGGTTTCTGGGTTGTAACCACCAACTCTGATAGATTCGTGGTTCTTAACAATGATATCACAACCCTTCTCCTTCAAGAAGTCAACATCAAAAGTGGTGGCAATACCGATGATCTTACAGCCAGCGGCCTTACCAGCGGCGATACCAGCAGGAGCATCTTCGAAGACAACTACCTTGGACTTTGATGGATCTTCTTTGTTGATTGGGAAACCTAGACCTTCTCTACCCTTTAGGTATGGTTCTGGGAATGGCTTACCTTGCTTAACATCATTAGCAGTAATGAAGTATTCTGGTCTTTCAATGTTCAAGATCTTGAACCATTTTTGAGCCATATCTCTAGTACCAGATGTGGCAACAGCCCATTTTTCCTTTGGCAACTTGTTCAAATCTGTACAAAGCTTGACGGCACCTGGAACCTCGATGGAATGTTCACCGTACTTCTCTGGAATTTCACCTTCTAGCTTGTTAACGTATTCTTCATCAGCATAGTCTGGAGCAAACTTGGCGATGGCATCGTAAGTTCTCCAACCATGAGAAATGTGGATAACATGTTCAGCATCGAAGTATGGCTTATCCTTACCGAAATCTCTCCAGAAAGCAGCAATGGCTGGTTGAGAGATGATGATAGTACCATCAACATCGAACAGAGCGGCGTTAACTTTCAAAGAAACTGGAGAAGTGGACATGTTTATTGTAATTGTATTTGTAGTTTTGATTAGCGATTGATGTAATAATCTGTATTGCTTGGTTTTTTATATTTTATTATAAAGTATATGAATGGGAATAACAAAAAGTTTTGAAAAGTAGCAATTATCTACCCTTTATATATAATTATTTCATGATGGAAACGCCAATATGTTTTAATCATACTTTGAGTCAAAATGACGTATGTTTGATCCAAAAAAGCAATTCCTTTCATGGACTTAAATTGATAAAAAGAAAGAAAAGTAAAGTAAGCCCCCGCAACTTTAGTGGAAAAAGTACCAAATCTCACTACCATATTGCTTTTTTTATTGTGTGCGCCCCCTCCCACGGGGTGTTAGAGCAGACAATCGTATGAAATTTCTTTTTTTTCTTATTTTATTGGTATTATGCAGACAACTACAGCAGCAGTCTCAAAATTCTCGAGATCACTGGAAATTGAAAATCATTTCTTTTTTTCCCACAAATTGGATATACACGCAGTCCACGAACAATATTGAGGGATTGAGCGGTACTGAGAACGCGGAAGTGGGAGGAAGCCCCGATAACCTTAAAATTTCTTTTTCATCTTAAAATGCAAGATTTCTTTTTCTTGAAATGACGAGTGTAAGTTGGGAACCAAATTAATGGCGTTACTATTGCAACGTTGCGCTAAATGTGAAGAGGATTACTACTGATCGCTATGTTGAGGATGATGAAGATATTGTCTTACTATTTGCTTTCTTTTTTATGTTTGAGGGTGCTAATAATGACGAATATCTAGTCCTTTTCAATAGAAAGTAGTACACGTGTAGCCCAGCAAAAGTTATACTACATCATTCTTATAACGAAATTTTATAGTCAGTATTAGTAACAAGGATATCATTCCGACTAGTAATAACACGGCTATTTACCTAGCAAATAAACAATTAGAGAGAAATTTTTTATAACTAATTATAGAAAATCGATGGTTTTACAATATTCTTTAGTACTACAATAGGTAACAGCCTTGATCGCGATGAGCATGATTTTATCCTTCTTTAGGCCTATCTTCCACATGGATTTTGCAATATGTAGTTTCAGGCCTGGGCAGTACTGTAATTCTGACATATTAGTGAAGTCGGGCACTCTTTCATTACATTTAGTGTCGCCTACCAGTGAGAAAATATTGTTGCACTTAATCCCATTGACTTGCATGTCGCATAAAGATACACAAGCAGGCAGTACTAATAGCTGAGACCTAACACACTCGTTTTTTTTTGAGGCACAGCTTGGAAGTCCCGGAGCAGTCACCTTATAATTTGAGAGATCTACTTGATTGTCTTCACCATTGTAGAATAGATCAGCAAACAACTTCTGGAATAGGAACGCTGTGGAACCACATAATTCTACATGGACTGCCTTCTTAGACTTATTAAATATTAAACTGCATTCGCTATTGTCGAGTTGGAATATCAAATCTCTTGGATTGGCATCAACATATGGTCTCTTATAAGTTACAATATCCCAGATTTTCTCTTTCTGAGCAAACGATTTTGCGGTGTTATTGCAATCGCTTAATTTTAGTTTTTTCCTCTCCGGTTCCTTTTCTTGGTCATCGCAAGAAGAACTATTACTATGTTCAGAAGAAGATAGGTTCGTGTCGTTAGAGTGCTGTACAGCTTTCTCAATTTGATTATCTTTTTTTATATGCTCTTCTTGCCGTACGCAGGCTGCGATCATAGTCTGTGGGTTAGCGACCATTGGTCTCCTTAAATCGAGTCCCGATTTACTTATATCGCCCAAGTGTATACTTATCTCTTCAACATTTGACATAGGGTTATTCATCACCTTGCATTTAATCAGTTTTTGTTCCAAATTGTTTAGTCTATAGTACCTACATTCCTGGATGAGCGATGCTCTTCTAATATCGTCCATTTCTAGATGAGCACCGCTCAGTAACGTCAGTATTTGGGCAAAATATTCTGCTGATCTAGGCACATACGTTGGCGGGTAAGGTGATAAGTGTAATTTCTTCTCCAGGATACGAGCTTCGATCTCTTTGTAAAACCCTGAAATGACGACGTTGAAGTAGTTGTTGTTATCACCTTCGTTCTTGAACAGACTTTTTGGCACTTGGAAGGACTTCCCACCTACATTAATATAGTAGAATTCTGGGTTCCTCAAAAACTTAACCAGTTTCGGCAGCGAGTAAAAGAGGGCATCTGTGAACAAGGTTGTGTACTCCACTTCGTCTTTGATTGAGGTGAAGTACCCTTGCATGTGGCGGTATATGATTTCGAAGCACTCGGTGGACCTGTCCAGGAACAGCACTTCGCTGTCAGTATTGTTCTTCTGGAAGTAGTCTGTGAAGAAGTTGGGCCCATCCCAGCTTAAGGTCCTGCCTGTGATCTTGAATAGTTTCTGACCAACTTGTATCTTATAGACTTTGTCCTGAGGCAGCAAATCTGGCACAGACTCATAGCTTTCGCGGCTTGGAGGCATAATTTTGTGGTGTGTGTTATAAGTTATCTACCTGGTAGTATTCGTGGAGAGCATTCCTGCATCCAAGAAGTCTGCTGTGTGTGAGCAATAAAAACTTCACATACATATATATATCTATCAGTGCATCTAAGAGTATTTTTAAAGTCTTCGAGGGTGGGATATAACGATCTACCGTGGCACAAGTGTATTACAAAGCAACTCCGTGTCAGACCTCCCCCTGCCCCCATACAATTGTATGTCTATAAATCCAAGTATTATTCTGAATGGAATGATATTTGTCAGCAAGAAATTTCAAAGCTTTTTCGAAATGTGAGATGGCAGAGCAAAGGGGTTCCCACTGCATTTCCCTAGTGATTACTGATGAGTCTATCAATATTGCAGTACCAGTGTGGATCCGAGAGCACATTGATAGTACATTAAGTCCTTTTGAAGATGCTCCCGGTGTATTTCTAGTGGAAGCTAAGATCAGGTAGAGATAGCGTAAGGGAAAGAGCCCATCAAAAGAAGACACAACCAAACTGAACAAACTATTTGTCATTGCCCTTTACCCGGACGCACAAAAACCTTGCTCCCCCTCATCGGGTTTTGGCTCTCATCGTCGGCTCGTCGGGTCAATAACGCGGGTTCAGCATTTGTAGGCTTCAGTGTCGGCTGATAACGGTCCCTGCAATAGCAAACCCGTTCCGTTCCTTTCATCCAACCCCTCCAGCATTGTCTGTGCCTGGGAGGACGGGCCGGTTAAACACAAATATGTGAATGTGTGCCCGCGGGACCTCCCACAGCCTCCACAGCCTCTGCAGCCTCCACGTCCACTGTTCCATATGTGCATCGTGATGTACGATATAATTTTTCGAATTAAGTAAGTTGTCGTTAGCTATGACTAGAATGTATATGTATCACACAATACGTATTTCTAATGACATCACCGTGAATCACTGGGTATCGTACTTAACGGTGTAACTGTGCATGTGAAATATGCTCGTATAGTAGCATAGAGTTTGTTTTATGCGTCTTTCTGATGTCCAAGTTGCTCTTGTTGTCTATTGATCCATGAATGCTTGAGGATTGCACGAATGTACATCTACATCTACAAGCCATGATCAATTGAGATTATGAGGTATTTTCTTTCTGGAATTTCACTAGATCTTTGATCCAGGCAATCCCAGATCGCCACCATCGAGGGTGTGTTGATCGCATCGTTCAAGCTCTAATATATTGTGTGAATCTTCACAGGCTTAGCCATTTTGAGCTATTTTGTGTGTGTTCCCAGAGAGCAATTAATACAATAGCAATGGCCTGGTTCTGATTATGTATCATTGTGTATTTGTAATCTATACAAGTGGGGTCTGGCTGGCGATTATCGATATGTATGCATAAACTGTGTAACCCCAGCATCGGTTTGTCAATGTCAATGGCACCTGCACATGATTTTTATTAAAACCCAATTCCTCCCGATAATGCACAGGTGCAGCGTATCGGGGTGTGTATCGATTGTTTTGTGTTGAGATATGTCTTGGAAAAAGAATCAACCCTTTGTCCTCGTAGTTTTTGGTTTTTTTTTTTTACTCATCACACCATCATACTGTACTGGGAAGACGTCACCTTTCCTTTCCGAGTGATTTCTTGGAAGAGAAACTTGCCATTGCTGTTAGTAGGGGTGTGTGCCCTTTCTCTCATTGAAAGGGTCTAGCATAATTGCAAAAGCGATGCTCTCTCAATTGTGTCTTCATAACAGAAGGGGTGGCAATACTTTCCCAATACCGTCTTCTCTCTCTAAGGTACTACATGCAGACCATCAATTTGGGCTTGCAAGTACCCTAATTTTAATTAAATATCAATTGTGAATGGGGAAAAAAAAAGGTATATAAGCTGGGTATAGTTTTCTTGCATTTGGTACATTTCTCATTCACAATTTATATACAATTGTATACTACTACAACAACTACAAACTAAATACACAAGACAAAAAAAATTACAATGGCTGCTCCTCAAGTTAACGAAAAGTTCGATGTCAAGGACATCAAGTTCCAATACATTGATTTCGATCAATCTGTGTCCCACGATGCCTGTGCTATGCCAAGCACCACTTCCTGGTCCGACTTCTTGGCCAAGAACAAGACTGTCGTCATCACTGGTGCCCCAGCTGCTTTCTCCCCAACTTGTTCCATCAGCCACATCCCAGGCTACATCTCCAAGCTGAGCGACCTGGAAGCCAAGGGCGTTGACCAAGTTGTTGTTGTCACCGTTGACAACCCATTCGCCAACGAGGCCTGGGCCAAGAACTTGGGTGTGCAAAACACCAAGCACATCAAGTTCGCCACCGACGCCGGTGCCGAGCTGGTCAGACACTTGGGCTACGAGTTGAAGGTCGGCGAAGGTGTCTACTGGAGTGGTAGATGGACCGTCATTGTCAAGGACGGTGTTGTTGTCTACGCCGGCAACGAGTCCAACCCAGCCTCCGATGTCACCGTCTCCTCTGTTGAAGAAGCTTTGAAGCATTTGTAAATACGCAATGTATAAGATAGATATTCGCTAATAAATTTTATGAAACTTTAAATTAAAACCTCTCGCTCCTACCCGCAGCCCTAAGGTAAAAAAAGAGTGCTTAGTGGGATTACTTGAGCAAAATGGGTCTGCCAGGTTTGCTAGATTTGTAGCTTTATAGAATTGCAGATAGTAAAAAATAAAAAACATGAATTTTGTTTATTGTTTCACGAAAAAATGTTATAATTAAAACTCTATGTAGTTGAATATCAAACACGTACACACACTGCTTTCTCTTTTTTTTTCCATTATATCTGTATAAGAAATAAATTAAGTTAAAAAAAAGAATAAGAAAAATTTAGAAAAAAATTAAACCTTGAGATTGTGAGAACACAACGGCTCAAGTCAAATTTAATATCCCATAATTAAAAAATTTGTTGATTAGAAAAAATTGTCTTTTAAGCTCTATAAGGAGGTTAAAATTACAACAACAAAGCAGCGGCACCAGCGAACAAAGCACCGGCAGCTGGTAGAGCCTTAGCGGCAGCACCAGTGTAAGAGGTGACAGTCTTGGTGGAAGAGTGAGCAGAGGTACCAGACTTGGTCATGGTAGTGTTGTGGTAAGCAGAAGAGGATGGAGCTGGCTTACCGGTGGTTGGAGCTGGCTTAGCAGTAGAGTTGTGAGCAGCGGTGGTGGTCTCAATTGGGCACCAGGTGGTGTACTTGGTGACAACGTCGTTGACGGTGACGGTAGCAGTGGAAACCCAAGCTGGGGAGACGTGTTCGGAACAGATGTGTTCTTCACAGTCGGTGATGGTGACCAAAGTGGTGGTGTGTTGAGTAGCAGTAGCGGTGGTGATGTTAGCTTGAGCAGAGGCAACAGCGGCGACGGCAGCGACGGAAGCGACAGTAGAGAATTGCATTGTTAAGTTTTTTTAGTTTAGTTAAAAGCGAATGGACAGAAGATTAATGTTCTTGGTTTCTTTTATTTTTGTATTATAAGAAGCGAAATGAAAATCTGATAAAACTTGAAATAAACAGCTCCTTATATATCCAAATTTTTCAAAGTTTGGGTTCCTTGTTGCAAGAGTAAACAACCCCTTCCCGCACTAACCCAATGTTCAGCACTTGTTTATTCAATTATCCAGCTTCAAAGTTACAGCAGGGGGGGGGATTCAAGCTCGAGAAGAAAAAAATTTTCACGCAGCACAGAAGGTATTTTTGGCGTTGGTCCTGCGTAATATTCTGTGTACCTTTGTCTGTGGGGATTTTCCAACATTTTTGACAACACCAGCACTGCCACTGCCACTGACACTTTCAAAAAGAGCAAAGGCTGGTCTCCCAAGTTTCTAAGTACTCTCAGTAGATTTCTTCGAGTGGGTTTGGAAGGGAGGGAGGGGGCCGTGTTTCAGACAACAGCACGCACAAACACGGTCTGGGCTTTTTCCATTCTGGAACTCTGTACTTCTGGGAATCGGGAAGCGGGAATCGCGGTATTTTCTTTGGGTCTCGAGATTCCAGAACCCGCAAAACTAAACCGGTTAGGGCCTGTGCACGCGTTTCTTAGGATGAAATTTTTTTCTTCTTCTAATATAAACACCCGCACATCCACACAGGAGAGGGTGGAAACGGGTGGGAACGGTGGGTAACGGTGGGAAAAACGCGGTGGCTGGGCCCCCCTTGAGTCAAGGAGCGCACCCTCCCAAAGTGGGACCCGCGTTTTCTGCTCGTGCGGAACTCCCTGGCTAAAAATACTTGCCCAATTCGGTAGCAAAGGGCCCCTCCCCCCTTCCTTGCTGGGTCCTTGAAGAAGGCTGTCATGGATGACTAACAGCTTCTAAATATAGTAGTTTTTTTGCAAGCCACGGGACCAGTTCGCGTTACCGTTCTGGGAATGGGGACAGCGTGTTCTGATCGGAGTTAGTAAATTAGTGAATCAAACACGAGATGTTCAAAGGATAAACGCGTTCGCTTAAAAAGAATTCTAATTGAGTTACGCGTTTTGCTATCTTATAGATTCTCAGGATCTTCTTTTTTTTGGCGTTTGCATTACTTGATGCCAGAACGTTCCCAGGATAGCAACGAATTGTATCCATACTTGCGTTTTGGCATTGGCTTGATGTGGTTGGCATAGCTGTTGCTATTGTTGGTGTAGCTGTTGTCATTGCTGTTTCTGCTGCTTTATCTGCTACTTTATCTGCTACTTTATCTGCTATTGCTTTATTTGCGATTGATGTCTACTGTCAGCGTTGCCGACCGTTCCATGCTCCAGATCTAGCCGCCTTTCCTTGATGCTGAGACAAGATTTTCATCACGTCAGTTGTGACTACATCATATGATTTACGTTTTACGCGATTGACATTTTTTTTTTGAATTTTTATCTTTTTTACAAAATGACGTCATTTTCATTTGCTTGCCGTGCCCCATCAAGTCTTTGCTACTTCCTGTTCGGACCATTTACTAACTTCATACTCACTTACAGGTGGAGAGAGACAAGTGATAAGGATGATCAAAAATCAAGTTCACACGGTTCAGAACTGATTAAGATGTTCAGAGACGAGGGAAAAAAAATTTTTTTTCAGAGGTCTTCATTCTGATCACTCTCATGGGAAAATGTTAGCTGGATTCTGTACTGCACAAAGGTACAAAGTACGATAAATTATATTCCCCTTACCCTCCCCCTCCCCTTGTTATCTCAGATTTAAGTTTTTTTTCTCTAGGGCCTAAAAAGTTGATTTCATGGGGGATTGCCCATATGACAGGAAAAATTTAAATTTTAAGAGAACGTTGTTGTGCATTTTCTTAATAGCCTTGTGATTTTATATTGAAGGGACTGGACATAGCGATTAAAAATTACCAATACCTTCTATTGATTAAGCCTCTCTATCCATATTTATTTCACCTCAGTAGCAACAAAAGGATACAAATATAAACTTCTTGGATATACTACACTATACACCCAAAGATAATAGCGACAACAGTGAATAAAAAAAGGAACTATTAATTAAATAGGAACACCAGAAAGAAATAATGGCTACTAATGAAGAGTTCATAAGAACCCAGATATTCGGCACAGTCTTCGAGATAACTAACCGTTACTCAGACTTGAACCCCGTTGGTATGGGTGCCTTCGGGCTGGTGTGCTCGGCTACAGACACTTTGACTAACCAACAAGTGGCAATCAAGAAGATCATGAAGCCTTTCGCCACAGCGGTGCTGGCCAAGAGAACCTACAGAGAATTGAAACTTCTGAAACATCTGAGACATGAAAACTTGATCTGTCTCCAGGATATCTTCCTGTCGCCACTCGAGGATATATACTTCGTCACCGAGCTGCAGGGAACTGATCTCCACCGCTTACTACAAACCAGACCTCTAGAGAAGCAATTCGTACAGTACTTCCATTATCAGATATTGAGAGGTCTGAAATACGTTCACTCAGCAGGAGTAGTCCACAGAGATTTGAAACCAAGCAATATCCTAATCAATGAAAACTGTGACCTGAAGATCTGTGATTTCGGACTTGCAAGAATCCAGGACCCACAGATGACAGGCTACGTCTCCACAAGATACTACAGAGCCCCCGAAATCATGTTAACTTGGCAGAAATACGACGTCGAGGTCGACATATGGTCCGCAGGGTGCATCTTTGCCGAGATGATAGAAGGTAAACCTTTGTTTCCAGGTAAAGACCACGTCCACCAATTCTCCATCATTACTGATCTGTTGGGTTCTCCTCCAAGTGATGTCATTGACACCATCTGTTCTGAAAACACATTGAAGTTCGTCACTTCTTTACCACATAGAGACCCTATTCCATTCTCTGAAAGATTCAAGACTGTCGAGCCGGACGCAGTTGACCTACTGGAAAAAATGCTGGTATTTGATCCAAAGAAGAGAATTACCGCAGCAGATGCATTGGCTCATCCATATCTAGCACCATATCACGATCCTACCGACGAACCGGTAGCAGAGGCAAAGTTTGACTGGCATTTCAATGATGCAGATCTACCAGTAGACACATGGAGAGTTATGATGTACTCAGAAATACTGGACTTCCATAAAATCGGAGGCACAGATGGTCAAATCGATACATCCGCAACTTTCGATGACCAAGTTGCAGCTGCTACGGTAGCTGCTGCTCAAGCCCAAGCACATGCATTGGCACAAGCCCAGATGTCTCAGAATATGATTGACCCAAACCAACTTCTAAATGAAGATGGTACACCAGTGAGTGGAAGCATAGCAGAGAACAGCTCGAATTCTGCAACAACTAACCTAAACGGTGCTGCTGCAGGTATGAACAGTGCAAGTGATACTATCAATGAGTATGCTAATCAAGCAGTGCATTTTGCAAATGAATTCCAACAATAACTTACATATAAAATTTAATTATTCGTCTTCCTAATTTTTTTTCTCATTAATACCACATTTTTGTTACCGGTTGTATGCATATATTACTTGTTGCGCTTTGATTACTTCTTTGTTTTTCTTTTCTTCATTGAGATATGAACTGGTCTTTGTTTTACTCAATTAAGACATTTTTTGCATACAAACAAGAGCATTATTAGTATCATATCAACAATGTCTATTTTTACAGATTTTATATCTACATACCCTTAGCGAATATTTCATTTTCATAAAAGCCAATTCTATACAGCCACAATATCATTACAATAAATAAAAACTACTGTGTGTAGTTTAGCTGAAGTAAATGAGCTCATATATGACTACCTGCAACTAAATCGGAAATAGTCCTCCAAAACGTTATTAGTCGACGAACAAAAAAGAAATAAAAAATGGTATAAAACTGGAAGATACTTATTAGTAATAATTGCAACTCATTAATGCAATTTTCTCATAAATGCAGATTTCTATTAGAATATATGCGTGTTTAGTTAAAATTATGTCTAGATACTACAGAACATTAATTTAAGTTTCTCATTGCGCATCTTTCCCGGTGAAATAACGCTTTTCCTCTTTTGTTGCTCCTTCGTTCTCTTTATCAGTATCTTCATGGTCTGCAACTTCTTCTACATTATCAGGGTTTGACAAAAGAGTTGTGGGCTTCAGACCAAGACTGAAAAGGGCTGTGCCAATAGCTTTATCGGTTGAACCACTATTTTTCAGGTCTTGTGTAGGCTTGACAATATCATTGCCTTTATCTTTATTTTTCTTACTTATATTCTGGAAATACTCTTTCCACGTAGACCATATCTTTTGAGGCTCTTTTCCATTTGATCCAGACCTAGAAGAATTATCCTTAGTATCTGCTAAACTGTTTGAGGATTTATTACTACTTGAATCGGCAAGCTTGGCTTGACTTGAATTATTGCTAATATTATTTGACGGAGTAGTGTTCTTTTTCAAATTCTGGAAAGTTGCTGCTATCTTCTTTTGAAATTCCGCAAATGGATCCTTTTCATTGCATATATGCTTTGGTGTAAACAGGTCAAAGAGTCTATCATCTGTTACTTTATTAAACAGATTGAAGTTCTGGGTTTCTTTCCATTTTTTAACCCAGTTAATATTGAAGGAATTTATTGGAGCATTGTTCACAAACTCATCTGGTAGAGACTTCATGGCGGTCTGATTTCCCTTATGATCTTCTATGTAATCATAAAGTTTGACGCTAGATAGTAGTCCTACTAAATAATCTTCAAATTGCCATCTAATGAAATCCTCACTGCCTTCAAACTGAGAGTTTTTTGGAGTTTCGTCATCATTTTCGTTCCATGTAGTTTTAACTACATTACATATTGTGTCCATCCACTTAATATCTTGACCTGACAATTGCAGTGCGGATCCCAACTCTTTGTTCAAGAACTCCACAGTGGCATCATCTATGTTAACGAATATATCACAAATGTCCGTTTTCTGTTCTGCAAGTAACTTATTTGACGTACCTACCATAAAAAACTTGGTGGCTGGAGAACGAATCTCGCTAACTTGTTGCAGCGGAGTATAAGGAGAGAATAGCCCACCTTTTTCAAATATATGTAAAGGAAAACCCAAAAATTTTAAGACAGACAATCTATCGCTTGATTTGAATGAGTCTGCCACGGTAACGTTTTCATATGAGTTAGAGAGCACAGGAGATGCGGAAGTTTGCAAACTGGAGAGTAAATTCGGTATCAGACTTATCAGTCCAAATTGTAGGTTACATAGTGCCTCGACGTTGCTCCCATAGAAAACAATTTTCTTCTCTAAAAGCAACGCCTTCAGTAACACCAGAGCATTCCTATTGAAGTCATGTAGTATTTTGCGCAAACATAGCCCAACATAAAGTTGATTTTCTCTCTGGCTAAAGTTTGCAGGTGACGGCACATCAGAGGGCATATATGTGGCCTTAAGGCTGTCGTAAAGAGATGAGATAATAGCTCTGTCCGAGAAATCTTTTTGCCTAAAGAAAGCGTTCGTTACAATGCTTAGTTTATCTTTAATCTGCCCAAATATCGGTTCAAAAGAAATCACTACTACTGCTTTTTGTACAGTTGATCTTGTGACGTCCTCATCCTTCGCTATCAGCTCATCTGATTTTATCTGTCTGGAGCAAGAGATTGCAAAAACCGTGGTGTAGTTCTCAGAGTTTTCCCCTAGCTCGTTACTAGAGTTTGAAGGAGGCGAACACTTGTTTACGCTGTCGTAGAGCAAAGTAAAATAGGTAAATGTCTCCTTGAAAGAGTGGGACCCATCAGGTAGTGCCTGGAAGGGCAAATTCGGCCATAGGTGCTGAGAGTCTATTCCTGTGTCATCCAGCCCTTCCCAGTACTCCACTTCAGGCCCACGTTTGTGGTGAAAATCCACCAGACACACACCAAGGATAGCACTGCTATCCGAATGCATTGTAATTTTTTGTATATTATGTCCTTTCCTAAGGTTAAAAGAAAGGTCAGAGTATCCAATTGATTAGACCCAGCAGTATAGATCGATTAGCAGACAGTAGCTTCACAGCGATATAGATGAATCCAACAAAAGTATATGGTTAGAGGGCATTCCTTGAGTACAGCTCCAGCTACTATTATTCTGCCAGACTTTCCAGCTGAAATGCGATGCGATGAGCTCACTGTGGATGTTATAGTTGTCTACGTTTATAATCATGTGATTTGAGTATTTAATGATATATCACGTTATTTATCCCCTATTTTTCGTGTAAAATTATTGCTAGGGTTTTACAGAAGTGATTAGTAGTGGAATTTAGGGTTGTTTCATACAATAATCGTAAAGCCCTAAGCAATTGCCCACATACCCTAACCGCTACCAATTCCAGGCCAAATTGGCGTACTTTACAGACATCGAAGTTGTATAAACCATAACCGTTGTTTAACTTAGTAAAATTATATATTTTATGGTTGTAGCCTTCTCACAGATGTAGAGAGCAATAGTGCGAGGCCATATATTTCATTCTTTCGTTATTCCTCTTGTCTGCAGGTTGAATTTCTGTTAATACCACCAATAATTAATATCGCAAGTGCTAAAGCATATTGGTACGTTAGCAAATGGTGTGTAGAATAGTATTCACCCTTAGTGCACTGTACTGACCTTGGCAGGGGGGAGGGGCTAACGCAAAGAATGTTGCAACTGTAGATCATTTCTAGGAACAATCTTAACGAAAATCATTCAGCACTAGGAGTGTTGGGCGAAATTGATTCCTTTCCCCTTCCTCTCTTCCCCATCGCCATAGTCATGGAACCTAACTATACATGATTCCCTCGAGGATTATATAACTTGCTTGCCACCATAAGACACTGACATAGTGCATACAGACCTTACCATTTGAAACCTGAGGAAGTACCAACTGCCCAACCACGCTCATAAGTATATAGGAAACTATGTTGGCTCGGTCTGCAGCATCGCTCTCTACCACAGCTGCCACCACTCAGAGCAATATGTCTGTGACGTCGCAGTTCATGGATGCTAACGACTGCAAGTTCATAGTCTACAAAGCGTCCCAAATCAGGCTCACCGAGATGAAACGGCTGCTCGGGGTGCTGGTGCCTAACTTGAAGAAACGGTCATCACAGAACAAGAACATTGTACCTTTAGTCACATACATGTTGCCTCTGTTGGCAGGTCCAGTGTTAAACGTTAATGCCGCCCTTAAGGAGAAGTACAATCAAATTGTGCAAGGCCAAGAGCCCACGAAGGACAACAAGGATTACGATGTGACGCCTAGAGACTGGCTCACTTACGTCATGGACTCCAATACACAGAACCAACCTCTGGAAGGCTGTGAGCTAGTCGAGTTTAAGAAAGAATTATATGACAAGGATAAGCAGTGGCTTACAGTGACTAGATTACTTAAACTGATAGATGAAGTAATTAGTACTTATAACAACAAGTTCAAAAGCGCGAACTTACTTAAGAAGACTTACTCAAAGAGTATTGAGGACTTGATCAAACCTTCAGAATTATCTTTATGTCTTGATCTAGCAGTTCTTATAACTGACTATGAACGCGATACATCCGAGGCTTCGTTCCGTAAACTACAGTGGCAGGTTATCGAAAAATTCTTGGCTACACTGCATTCAAAAGTTGAGCCAACCCTTAAAACATACTACAAATCTCTCCTGGCTTACCAATCGGGCAAACTTATGCTATATAAGCTGCCCTTCCCTGAATGGACTATACATAGAATGTTTGCCTTCACCGTGAGAATGATTTCTTTAATGAAGTTATTTGGTTGCGAACTAAGGGTTCTGTACTATCCAAACCGTAAATATTTAAATGATCTCAAGACAAAATTGGTGTGTGAAAATGTTTACAAGTATGATTTGCTAATCACTCAGATCGAAAAATTATGCGCGGATCCACTCTACCAGATAAAAGAATCAAAAGAAATGATGCAATTTTTCCAAAAATATCCATATTCACTCCCAAAATCCTTACCTCAAAAGACTCATGAATTCTTCATCAAGAAGGTTATATCGACATGCATAAATCACTGGAATAATAACACCAAATTGGTCGAAGACTGGGTGGAAATGTGGAAGTTTTGCGACAAAAACAATTCCGCTAAGGAAAAAATTGAATCATCAAACGAGGAGCAGTTAATCAAAATGTATGACGAAAGATACACTGTTGATAAGCTAGTTTACTTGGAACATGAAGAAGAAAGAGCCAAGCTTTCAAACAAGAAAAGTATTGGAATTGTTGTTAAATCTTCAAGTTCATCGTCACCAAATAAACTGTTAAGAAAACTATCTCCAATTAGTGGAATGGCAAAGCCCAAAGTACGATCGACAAAGAGCCCTGCATCGTCGTCATCTTCTAACAGCAATTCTAATTCTGCACTGTCATCTGGTATGGCAACGCCTAAGGAGAGAAGTAGAAGATCATCAGTTGATCGGGGTTTACCTAAAGGTGGAAGGCTTCCAGGACTAACGAAAACTAACACAAATGAGAGATTGGTAGCACCGTTGATTCATATAAGTGAGACTTCATCCGTCAGTAACTCGGGAAGTAGTTCCATTAATGCATCGCCGCTGGGTTCCAGAAGAGGTTCTATTAAAGACGAATCAGCTGCCAGGAAAATGGTGATTAATAGAACTGTCGAAAGAACCCGTAGCAAGATAGGTAATAGACCCCGTTCAGCTTCATTGCAATCGAATGAAAGCGCCGCTTTGAATTCTGTTGGTATTGTGGGCAGTCCGTTGAGTAACAACAGATTACCAAAGCCTGTAAGTAACCAGTCCCAACTGCGGTCAAATTCGCTGGAATCCAATTCTGCTCTAAACAGAAAAATGGTCCAAGATACATTCAAGCATTTAATGGCGAATAATCCTAAGCCTTCGAATTTAAGCCACTCTCCAACTTCTTCACCCATGAGGCCAAGTTCTCCTATTCCAAGTAGATCAAATAGTAATAAAGTCTCAAGTACAAATAATGGGGCTATACTTTCCCCAGAACCAAAAGGTAAGAGCAAGGCAAATAACAGTAATGATAAAATTAAGACCAATGGAGTGACGAGTATTAATATCGATAACTCGGATAACGAAATAGTGCTAAAACCATTACCACATGAGTCTAAAGATACAACTACGGGTCCTGTTAGACCTGTAGATGAATCTGTCAACAACTTATCTGAAGGCACACCAGCTGGATCTGAGTCCACACCAGAATCCATGAAAAGCGCCGTAGGTATTGAAGGCTTAGACAAAGAGAACTTAAATGTAGAATCCGGAAATATGGAGTCTGGAGAGCCATCTAAGAAAGTTAGATTTGTTGGTGTGCCCCCCATGACAGAAGCAGAGAATCCAAAGCCAACAAGAAAGGGTTGGTATAAAAAACCTGCTGTACTCCATTACCCACCTGTGCCTCAGCAAGTAACTATGTTTAGAGATAGACTAAGACAAGAAGGTATGGTATTCAGAACGAGTTTAAGAGATACAGTTGCAGCAACAAGCAATGAAGTTGGCAAGAAAGGTGGTATGATGCTCAGCTTGGCGATAGATAACCCACCAGTCAAAGAAATCAGTAGCCACAGTAGATTTGCATCTAAGCTAAGAGAAAAATTGACGAGATAGAACAGTCTGTCCTACATAAATTATATAATGGAATTAGAAGTGACACATATTTCTCTCTGTAACACAATTGCATACATACATGATCATTTCCACAGCGAAGGCTGAAGAGCTAGAAAAATGCGATGAGCTTGAAAATTTACAATTCGATATAAGGATATTGGAAATAGAAGTACATGCAATAGAATACTATCGGGCAATTAAAAATAACTGAGCTGCCAAATTCATAGATATCGTTATTATGAGCTTCAGTTCTCTGTTACCACCGCCGGAGCACAGTCCTCCAGATGATGTTAATTCCAGGGAAGTTGAAATAATTACAAAAGAGCATGATTTTATTGTAAATGCACTGACTAAGAAGGAAGCAGTACATTCTAGCAATAACAATATCGGGTCATTTGTCGGCTCCCAAGTTGCTAATTTCAATGATGTTATACCTTTGAGACAAAAGGATTTTTATGGGGTGCAGGCACCTTTACCTACTACGCAAGAAATTGAGCTTTGCAAGGTACGAACACAAGAAGTGGTCAATAGACTCTTACATAAATTCACTGATAAGGGTAAAGCTGGTTATCAGAAGGATACTAGGAAGATAACTACAGGCTCTAGGATAATAACCATAGAGAGCAAGAGGCAGGATCCATTACAACCCTCAAGACAAAAAAATACAAGTAGTAAAATAGTTCTCCCTGAAGATGATGAGACTGATACTCCAATTTTACATGCCACAGATGATGCTAAGAGTAAAAGATTAACCAAGGAGGAGAGAGCCAAATGGAATATCCCAGCAGCAGTGTCTAGTTGGAAGAATCCCATGGGTTATACTGTGGGCTTGAAGCATAGAGCGGCCCATGGTAAAAAAACAGGTAATGTAGGATCAATCAATAATAAAGTATCAGATATTGTTGCTGCTTTGGATGAAACTGATCAAGAAATTAGAGAAGGTATACAGCAAGAAAATGAACTAAAGCGGAAACAGCTCAAGGAAGAAGAGAGAATCAAGGAAGAAAAGCTAAGGGCCATTGCCGAAAGATCAAAGATACAAACACAAAGTTCTGCTGTAAAGAAACGAGGATCCCGTTTTGAAGGTGGTAGACATCAGAATAAGAAGATTAAGAAAGAAGAACCCCCAATTAAATCAGCTGCGGAAAGACTTAAGGAACTTGCTTATGCTCAGGGTAGGGAAGTTAGTGAAAAAGTTATCTTAGGTGCTGCCAAAGCAACTACAACTGGAACTGGAGCAAATGTTCATTACGATTCTCGTTTGTTCAGTAAGGGTGCAAATGCGGCAGCAAAACGCAGCGAAGAGCAAGTATATGACAATCCTCTGTTTGTTCAACAGGAAATTGACAGTATATATAGAGTCAATGCAAAGAGCATTGACGAAGCCAATTCAGTGTCAGCCAGCAGGTATGGACCAATTCAATTTACGAAGGCACATTCACTAGATGATAAGAGTACGGCAAAGGATGAAGAGGAAACATAGGTTGACCGCTAAACTTAATTTCTATAAAGTTGTTCATGATACGTAATAATATATCAACTATATACTAGTTGTCCTCGCTATCCATAGGGATATCTCTAATTTCATTTTCGAATGTACTTGACTCCATATTCATCTCACTGATTTTCATTTTATTTAATTCAAATCTTTTCAATGCATTAATAAAGTTGTGGTTTCTCCGTATAGCATATTGCTCGAGCTTTTTTATTGTGCCACTGACTTTGACTGGATTAAGGATTATACCTTCACAATCTCCAATTTTATTTACTAGAGCAAGTGTGGTAAGCAAAATATTTAGATCCTCTCGGTGGCACCTCAGTATCCCTGTCGATGTGGCATTACTGAAATACTTAAGATGTAAAAGTGAAGTCAATTGGCCTGACCCCAAATCCCCGAAATTATACTGTACAACCCGCCGTATCTCCTGAAGTATTGTCTTGCTATTAATCTCGTGGTAATTTCTAGTACTTTTATGGAAGCCCATCATGACGTCGTCCATTCTGTCCAGCTCTGCTTCTGCCATTGACTCGGGTGGATAAATTATCTCAAATAGAACGTATCTGCTCTTCAAACGGACCATTTTTTATGCTTCTTGTATGAAAATATGTCTCCAGTCTGCTTGCTTTGAGTTTAAATCTTAATAGTAATAACAAACAATAGACAATTGCTCTTATTGTTCTATCTAAGGACTCTGTTCTGCTGAAGCTCATCGCATAAATAATGAAGCTCTTCTCATTGAAATTTTTCAAAAATGCGCTTCGGAGGAAAGTTTCGTGTTTCCGACTCGAAAGGACTCATATTATCTTGATCTGATCTGAAATATAACCACAGTATTTATCCGATTTCGAAGCACCACAACGTATTTCATAGCGACTTCATTAGATTTTGAGCGAGAACTGCTTTTGTGTGGTCCTCATATCATAATCATTTGTTAAAAAACAATTGGCTACATTAAAATATTTCAAGCAGCAGTAAACAGCGAGAATGGAGAATAATGGTAAGAGTCGTGGGACTCAATTGGTAGGCCAGATAGATGATCTGACAAGAGAGCTACAGGATGCGCAGAAAGTTGTTGTTTCCCGCATAAATGAGAGGAATCGTTTAGTTTCGGACATGATGGAGAGGTACAGAAGCAATCTCAGGATTTTACAAGAGCAACGTGTTACTGTTCTTTCCGAATTGGATAGGTATAAGGAGGAGGAGAGTAGAATGAAGGAGGCCTTACAAAATTTGAACTCTACGAAGGAAGAGTTCAAGAGGGAGATGGATGCATACCAGTTGAAAGCTGAAAAAATGAGGCTACAAAAGCAACAGTTGCAGAAACAATTGGATGATTTAAACAAGATGTTTGCAGACAGGGCTAATGAGATTCAGAAATACAAGGAAATGGTGACCAGGCAGAGACAATTAGATAGTCCCGAGATAAAACTGTATGAGAAACTGTTAGGGTTGCAAATCGATAAAGCGGACACACATATGCTGAAATTTACGTTTACTGACTTCGGTCGTGAAAGAGAGTATAAGTCTGTTATAGTCGATGTTTCTCAGTTGAACGACGACAGTTCACCACTGAGAATTAAAGAAATAGAGTCCGGAGTAAGTGCATCAACGGTCAATGAACTAGAAACGGTGCTGAATCAGCAAGGTATTGTTCAGTTTTTAATCGAAGTCAGAAAAGTCCTTGTTAAATCTGAGTGAAGTGTTTTAAAATATAATTTGTGATATTCATTACGCACCTTACAAATGTCCAGTCCATTGTTCTTCAATTGACATTCCTGGCTTACTGTGTGAAAGGTCACGAAGCTGCTTTCTGGGAATTTTGAAAAAAAAAATGTCAACATCGAAGAAAAAGTCTGATAATAGTGCCTGAATGTTTGGGTATTTGGTCTTCGAGTTAAATCTGGGGTACTGACAGAGCAGTGGATATATTATTTTTGTTGGTGTATCAGTTTACCAGATAAGTATTCATTCTTCGCGAATTCATAGGTGCGGAACTCAAAGTTGCAAGTTCTGCTGTTAGTTGGTCACCAATGCAAATTCTAACTTTGTTAACAAGCTTTGTGTTGGCAAATGCAGTGGTTGGTTCGCCAGGGGATCAATTGGATGAGTTCATAGATTGTATATGTGCTTGTGAGTACGATAGAAAATGTGCAGGCTCGGGGATAAATTACATTGATCCCAACACTAACGAATTCCATAATGTCAATTTTGTCTCGATGATAGACGGTCGAAAGACATTCTTGAGCTCGATGGTTTCGAAAGCCACTTTTTGGGACTGTATGTCTGAATGTGACTACGAGTGCCAGCAAATAATCACATATGACCGCATAAGAAAGAATAAGAAGATTTTGCAATTCCATGGGAAATGGCCATTTAAGAAGATAATGGGGTTCCAAGAGTTTTTTGCTAGTATATTCAGTATAGGTAATTTTATCCCCCAGTACCGTGGGTATAAGTTGATCCAGAAAAGACTGGAGCGGAACTCCAAGAGGGCTGTCACGGATGTGTTCTACGAGATGATGTTGAGAAACTATATGTGGGTGTCGATAATGGGAATGTTAGCGTGGACGTCAAGCACCGTTTTCCATCTGCGCGACTTGGTAGTTACTGAGAAGTTTGATTATTTCTTTGCAGGCGGTACCGTGCTGTCGGGCTTCCACGCGATCCTGACAAGACTGATATACAAGCATGTCGCGGAGGAGAGGAGGTACCGGTACATGAAGATTGTGAGTGGACTAGTGGTGACCATATTCACCTGCCACATACTGAGACTGTACATCGACTGGTCCTATCGCTACAACATGAAGTTCAACATATTCTTTGGTGTGTTGCAGTACATAGTCCTGATATACGTTGGGATTGATAACTACATAGAGATCCAGCGGGTACGCAACGGCAGCAAGACGGAGGACAAGTCGAAGCTGCAAGCAAGCGTGTTCAAGTTGAGCTACTTGCCAATTCTGCTGGTGCTGTTCACCTCGATGTCAATGAGTCTCGAGCTATTCGACAGGTTCTCCATCAAATGGCAGCTGGACTCGCACGCTACGTGGCATCTGCTAACCATAGTACCTAGCTGGTACCTGTTCGATTTCTTCTTGGCAGACCTAGACTTCGCGCTACACAGAAGAAACGAGTAAAAGAATATAATCCATATTTAAAACTTTATAGTACAAGATACACATGTAATTACCGATTGCAGGCATAGCTACATTCAGCCAGCCTCTTCCAAACCCTCCCATCCAACACGAAGGGATTTGCAATTCCTAACACATAAGAATATGCCAATTGGCAGGCAAACTCCGAGTGTTCCAGACAGTCAGAGCTTTCCCAGGGGGGGAGATGCCAGTATTTGCTGGCATCTTCTACTAAGGAAATATCCTTTGCAATTGGCTTATTTGTAATGACTTATATTTGTAATTGCATAATGGAAATTACCAAGAAGACCCACGCACCACACACAAAATATTTGATTGCACCCACACCTCACACTCTAGTAGAAATACGCCCTTCTCGCCCTTCCAACAGGAGTCATCGCCTCCCCCCCCCTCCATATGATGGGCATTTTCGCTGGCACAGGAGCAATGGCACAGCCTTTGATTTCCGTGTCCGTGTGATGGGGGGGTGGAATGCAAATGCCGCAGAGGATGTTCCGGTCCCTGAAAGGAGGCGCAAGCGGTTTCTTCTGAGGGCAGTCAGGGAAGAGGACAGAGGGTGATTCTTCGGAATTGCGGGGCTTTTTTTTTTCCGCCCTGGCGTTCTGCTAGTTTTTCCACAGTATAGTGCCCGTAGGAACGCTGAAAACACGTCATTTCCTTTGTGCTCTTGCCCGATCTCTCGCATCCCGATCCCATCAATTCTTGCCCATCGCCCCCCGGAAAATCCCTATTTTTCCCGGAAAAATATAATCTCCGGTGCTTCTCCAGTGAGATGTGCGCACAAATGCGGGCTCTTGTTTTGCGTCGCGGATCCTACCCCCACTTCGCCCATTGTTCTCTGTATCGGCCTGAGTCATGGGCTGGGGGGGACCCTTAGTAATTAATTTTAGAAGCCCTAGGCCTGTACTAATCCTACGATGGTATTTAAAGGCTAGCTCATCGGATGCAATTGGGAATTCAATCAAACATTAAAGACTACTCTACCACAACAACTACAAATACAACTACAACTACAAATACAAATACAAATACAACAACTCGACAATGGTTTTACAATCGCCTCAGCTTGAACAAGCTGAACTATACTCTAAAACTCCACATGCAGAGCGCAACTGCTCTATAGACTCTATCCTCAACAATTCTTCTGACAGCTTCAACATCCCTTCGCCTCCGCTATCGCCGCTGGCTGCGTCCGTGCCCACCCGCCACAGGAGGAACCTGTCGATCGACAGCCTGGACTTGAACCAGCCACAGGGCATCCAGACTATAGACCTCGACTCGCAGGACGCTAAGAAGCTCAGAGACGACATCTACGAGTACTTGACGCAGTACAGGATGATGGAGGGCTTGAAGAAGAGGTGGGAGGCGCCCAGCCCAGCTGCGTACCGCCACTACCACTACAATAGCGGTCTCGAGGCGTCACCGCAGAGACCAGTAAGGAGAACGAGGGAGATGTCCCCACCAAGGTCATACGCAGTGCCCGTGTACAACACCAGAGTCGGCCCACAGCCCCAAGGTGTTTCCCTAGGGAACAACAACTTCTTCTACAACACTAGATACCACCACTACACCCAGCTGCCACCAATTTCCCAGATCACAGGCCAGTCTGTATTGGCTAAGCCTAAGAGCGTGACAAAGCGCCACTTCGCCAGTCCCCCAAACTCGCCACCTAAGAAGAGGAAGACAGAAAGATCGCCCACAAGCTCGCAGTTCCAGCAACACCACAACCCAAACCCAAACATTGTTTCCATAAAGGCCGTTGCTAGTGTGCCACAGTACGTTCCGGGCATTTCCTGGGAGCAACTGCCAGACTACTCCCCACCACTATCTACTTTGCCCGACAACAAGTTATGTCTACGCATAGAATGGAAGGGCAACCCAATGGACCTGTCGGTTGACCCACTAAGATCGAAACTGCATCCAGCAGAGATCGTGCTCGCATCCATCCTAAGATTGCCTTGCGACTTATACTTGGACTCAAAGAAGAGATTGTTCTTGGAAAAAGTCTACAAGTTGAAGAAAGGCATGCCATTCAGAAAGACAGACGCACAGAAGGCATGCAAGATAGACGTCAACAAGGCATCGAGGCTGTTTACAGCATTCGAAAAAGTAGGCTGGCTGGAAGATCACCATTTCCAAAAGTACCTGAACGATATCCAATTATAAATTACGATTTCTTATTCGGAATTTCTAACTTCACTTTTGAATTACTTTTTTTCCCATTTTGCATCATCATTAACTCTCATCTTAATATTCTCTTACATTTGATTTTTGTTTTGTTTATTTATGTCACATTTATTGAAGTTAATTAAATTTAACTTTAAATTTAATATTTTGTTCGGTTACCTGGGAGATGCGACAGGCTCTCCCACTAGTCGTTTTCTACATATTCAATCTATTTGTCGCAATTTTTATTCTTTCTGGCATAGTTGCCAAGCACAATTGTCCTGCTATATATAATCTACAATTATAATATAATATAAATCAATATTCTTTTCAAATAAGCTTATTCTTATTATAGGGAACCTTTTTTGGTGTTGACAATGTCCGGCCAGTGTCAGCACCACGATAACTTTATTGTTACAACTTAATCTTTCCTAGATTAAATGAGGAATAGACATTTCTATTATTGAGTTAACTTACCTGAAGAATAAGGCTGTCAATTTTTGTGACTTGTATCTGTCTCGGTTGGGTGCAAAAGCTTTTCCAGTACCATGTCTGCGCTTGCGTCAATGTATTTAGTTCTGCTTGAATTAGGCCTGTAGCCATTCTGTCGAGTGCTTTCGACCACAGTGTTTACTTTATCCATCGAGCAATTCTCTTCGCTCTCAATGTAAAGCCTTTTCAATTGCAGGACAAGCAACTTCAACGTATCGTCCAGCGGCCGGAGACTTCTTAGTACACCTTCAGCGTCGTCTCCTTGCTCTTTGACAAACCTTACCAGCAGGTCTTCAAATCTGTTCAGTCTTTGTGCAACCGTCTTCAAGTCGCGTACTTTCTTCTTCAGTTGCGCATGAGTTTCAAACGCAGTTTCCAATTCGCGCACTTTGTCCTCCAACTCAATCTCCACCTGGTGTTGTAACTTTGGATCCACTACTTCTAAGTCAACTTGGTGCTTCAGTCGAAACACACCAGCATCCAGCAGCTCTTCGGGAACCCTCAACACGTTCCGCAATACGTACAGTTCCAGCTTATCAAAATTCCTGTCCACAGCGCTCTCCATAAGCGACTCAAGCTTCGCAACACCAACCCGTATCTCTTCCTCATACGATACCCCATCGACCTCACTCCGGTCCAGTAGATACTTCTCCATCGCACTGGTACACTTGTACATCGTCTCATTCACCGCATTGATAATATCATCCACCAGCGACACCGGCGGATACTCAAGGTGCTCCGTCAGCACAGAAGTAGACCTCAAACTAGGTGCAGACATCGCTCAATCCACTGCAATTGTAATCCCTCGCCCCCCAACAATACAACTCAAGCAGGCCTACCATTTCTACACATCCATTGTTTTCAATCCCAAGGCTCGAGAATCCCAATTTTCTTAGCAACTGGTGAAAAATTTCAGAAATCGAAAGTTATAAGTGAAGTTCACAAGTAGTTGCTGGGTGTCTTGAGGGCAGTTGTTACGTTAGAGGACGACTACACGCCACGCACATATTATATACAGATGAAGAAGTCGACGTTGTTATCTTTTGATGCGTTTGCGAAGACAGAGGAGGACGTGCGCATCAGGACGAGGTCCGGTGGGTTTATCACGCTGGGGTGTTTGGTGGTGACGCTGATGCTGCTGCTGAGCGAGTGGCGGGACTTCAACAGTGTTGTGACTAGACCAGAGCTGGTTATCGACCGTGACAGGTCCCTGAGACTGGACCTGAACCTGGATATTACGTTTCCTTCCATGCCGTGCGAGCTACTGACGCTGGACATCATGGATGACTCCGGCGAAGTGCAATTGGACATCATGAACGCTGGGTTTGAGAAGACTAGGCTAAGCAAAGAGGGCAAAGTTCTGGGCACCGCGGACATGAAGATCGGTGAAGCCGCAAAGAAGGACAAAGAGGCCCAACTGGCCAAGCTGGGTGCAAACTACTGTGGTAACTGTTACGGAGCCAGGGACCAAGGTAAGAACAACGACGACACCCCAAGAGACCAATGGGTCTGCTGTCAGACGTGTGACGATGTGCGCCAGGCGTACTTTGAGAAGAACTGGGCTTTCTTTGACGGTAAGGACATCGAGCAATGTGAACGTGAAGGGTACGTACAAAAGATCGCTGACCAACTACAGGAAGGTTGCAGAGTCAGTGGTTCTGCTCAATTGAATAGAATTGACGGTAACTTGCATTTTGCAGCGGGTCCCGGTTTCCAAAACATCCGTGGTCATTTCCATGACGACTCCCTGTACATCCAACACCCAAACTTGAACTTCAACCATATCATCAACCACTTGTCCTTTGGGAAAGCTGTTGAGCCAACAAAGAAGGGCAAGGTCATGGGCATCGAGAAAGTGACCGTCAACCCTCTAGACGGACACTCCATGTTCCCTCCAAGAGACGCCCACTTCCTACAGTACTCATACTACGCCAAGATTGTCCCCACCAGGTATGAGGGTCTGAACAAGAAAAACATGGTTGAGACTGCACAGTTCAGCTCCACTTTCCACATCAGACCAGTGGGCGGAGGCTCCGACGACGACCACCCTAACACCGTGCACCAGCGCGGTGGCTCCCCATCGATGTGGATCAACTTCGAAATGTCCCCATTGAAGGTGATCAATAGGGAAGAACACGGACAATCCTGGTCCGGATTCGTACTGAACTGCATCACAAGCATAGGTGGTGTGCTGGCAGTGGGAACAGTGCTAGACAAGGCATTGTACAAAGCCCAGAGGACAATCTTCCAGAAGAAAGACGTCTGATTCTAAGTCTGAATCTGAGTCCGAGCCTCACTCTGAGTGTAAAACCTTAAAGACACTCCATCTACCCAACTTTTACGTATCATACATACACTAACAGCACATGTAACCACAAGAGCTGGAGCAAGTGCCTCACCACAAGGCAAAACACCAGAAAATAGTGCTCTGTATATAGTTCAATATACCACTAATGTTATGTACACGTGACTTTTTTATTACTGAAAAATTGCTAGGCAAAGTGATTTGCAATTGCCAGGCGATGCCGGGGACTCGAGGAAAGGAACTAACGTGTCAGCATTAGCAATGGGTGGATGGAGGTGTAGGACCCTTTCCCATTGTCTCTATAAGATGATCAGCAGCTGTAAATAAGCAAGGATTAATTAGGCTGTGAAGGACCAACGAAGTCCTCGACGCTTCTATTTGTATTTAGATGTTCTCAGCCAACAGCGATACGCATGCCAGCATGTCTGCTACTACTCTGGCATCGAACTACAGTGCGCAGAGTGGGAGCACTCCAACTTTGACGCCTGTGAGTATGACAAACAAGGGTAAGGGCCAGATAGCCAGCTTAATGAACAGCAATGTCAACGAGTGGGACTCGTTGTACTACATGTGTCTGGCGATGAAGAAGCGGCTCGAATGCTTGTCCCAATTGCAGCCATACTTGAACCTGGCATACTCTTCCAGTGAACTACTTAGCGAGAGGCAATCTTTGCTTCTATCGCAGAAACAGCAGTTGCAGAACATTGCGAACTCACATTCTGGTGCTAATAATAGAAACTCCAATTTCAGCTCACACCATTACTCCAGGGATAGTCACGACAGCGCAACGCTGGGGTCCTTACAGCATAACGAGAACTCAAGGTCCAGCGCTCTTTCCACTTCGAGCATGAAGATGGACATGGCAATGATGGACGGCATCACTTACACGAATAGCAACAGAGTGGTCAGCTCCTCGAGGGATAGTGCTGCTAACTCTATGGAAGATACTTTACTTACCTTCAGCATGGGTATTTTACCAATTTCTATGGACTGTGATCCAATCACCCAACTTTCGCAATTGTTCCAGCAAGGGTCGCCACTTTGCGTGCTCTTCAACGCAGTCAAACCCCAACATAAACTCGCAGTTATCTCCTCAGATGATATGAAAATATGTAAGAAATCTATCTATGACTTCATTCTAGGTTGCAAGCAACATTTTGCCTTTAACGATGAAGAACTATTCACCATCTCAGATGTCTTCTCAAACTCTACTAATAACTTATTGAGAGTCCTGGACGTTGTACAGACACTGATGGATTCTGCACCTGAAATATTTCCATCAGTAGAAGAAATTCACAGGAGGATAATGCAAGAGCTCAACGAACAAAGCCAAAACGTTCAGCTACAGATTCAACAGAACAAAAGATATGCAGAACATTACAAAATTATCAAAGAGTTTGTCGCAACAGAAAGGAAGTATGTCCACGATCTGGAAGTTTTAGAAAGATACAGAGAACAACTTTTGGAAAGTAACTTGATAACCTCCGAAGAACTATATATGCTATTCCCCAACTTGGGAGAGGCCATTGATTTCCAAAGAAGGTTCTTAGCTTCACTAGAAATCAATGCCTTGGTAGAACCATCCAAACAAAGAATAGGCGCTCTGTTCATGCACTCAAAATACTTTTTCAAGCTATATGAGCCATGGTCCATCGGACAGAATGCCGCTATAGAATTCTTATCTTCAACTTTACAAAAAGTTTCTGAGGAAGACTTTGTCATTAAAAACAAAATGGAACTTCAATCATTCCTTTACAAACCTGTCCAAAGGCTTTGTAGGTATCCGCTATTACTAAGGGAATTAGCTCAGCAATCTGTTAATGACAAAAGTGCAAAAGAATTAGATGCAGCATTAGAAATATCCAGGAGTATAGCGAGAAGTATAAATGAAAACCAGCGGAGAACCGAAAATCATCAAGTGGTGAAAAAACTTTACGGTAGAGTTTTGAATTGGAAAGGTTACAGAATATCTAAGTTTGGTGAACTTTTATACTTTGACAAAGTGTTTATTTCCACTAGCAACTCAAGTGAACCTGAAAAAGAATTTGAAGTATATCTTTTCGAGAAGATCATTATCCTGTTCTCAGAAGTAAGTACGCCTGCTAAGAAATCTACATCGGCCTCATACATCTTGAAGAAGAGCAAATCTGGCAGCTCTAGCTCGGCTCTATCACTCAATATAATTGGTAACAATTCCAACAATTCATCTAGTTCTAGTTCTGCTCCAAATACAGAGTCAAAATTAGATTTACGTGGCCGTATCATGATTATGAACTTGAACCAAATTAATCCTGTAAATTCTCGATCCTTAAACATCACATGGGAATCAGTTAAAGAGCAAGGTAACTTTCTTCTAAAATTCAAGAACGAAGAAACAAGAGACCACTGGTGTGCTTGCTTACAATCTCTTGTAAGAGATATAAAAAGTGAATCTTTCAGAAGCACGAATAGTGCTAGCAGTGACCATTCGTCTTTTGCATCTGTGACATCACCATTGGCCACTCGTAATCCTCATGACAGCATCACATCAATGAACAGCACACATAACAAATACGTCTCTGATATATTGAGAACTAACAGTAAAAGAAGAACATCCCAATTAGAAAGTGATATGAAAACCATAAATGAAACTTACAAGAGCTCTATCCCTGATAATTCCATTTTAATTAGAATCGCATTTAATAGTGATTATTACACTGTCCTTGTAGATAAAGAAAGCTCGATCGAGAATGTGATTGATATAATAAAGAAAAAGTTAAATAGTGGTGGGGAAAAAGCCATGAGAGTTAAATATCAAGATGAAGATGGAGATTATGTTGTGCTCGAGAGCGGTGATGATTGGCTAGTGGCCAAGGACATGCTGAAGGAAAATAATGAGAGAATATTAAACGTATGGGCCATCACCAATTAATAAGAATATAGACAATTATTTTTTTACTTTTCAATAATTCATGCATTTTTATAACTGTTATAGTTCCAATAAAAAAATTTCCGATGGTAAGATAATCTTTTTAAATTCTGACTGGCAAGACACATTTATCCTTATTCTTAGCGGCATAATGATCCGCTGACGCGCCAATTTGTCCTAATTTGTCCTAAGTTCCAACACCTCAATTTCCCAAATAGGAAATTTTATTCTAAGACTTTCGTTTTTATTTAAAATGCATTTCTTTTAAAAGATATCATATATAAGATAAAAATGAGTGTGTCTAAATACTGAAGTAAATTAGAAAAACATAGGAAATGGATAAGAGTTACTTGCAATTGTAATCTATTCTGGTAAGCAAGCTGACTGGAAAAAAGAGCCTTTAAATTACTGTATAATTAAAGCGAGATAAGGTCTCAACAAAAATAGAAATGAAATCTGATTCGACAAAATAAAATTGTAATAAAAATGAATCACTGTGTTTGATCTACAAACATCAGTGTCTTTCAATGCTACCTGCTATCAACTCTCTTACAGGATCTTTCCGCTTGGAAAAAATCCAAATCTAAACTCGAAGAATCTCTCTTGTGATGGCCTCTAACAAAGTTTGATGATATAGAGCCCATAGAAGAAATAGATGATTTATTACTTACATGACACAAGTACTGATTATTTCTTAAACTCATCATCTTTCCATCGTTAATGGAAGAGATGGATTGATTCTTTCTACCACCATGAAATCTACCCATTTTTCCTTGCAGTAAAGAAGGTGTGTTTGGGGTAATTGGCAGGCAGAATATTGAGCCAGATCTTGAAGGTACTCTTGATGAAGTTTGAGGTGTGAATATTGACTCAGAGGATGAGCTTAGCGATTTGTTTAGCGAAAAGTTCTTATGAATGTTATTAGAGTTGTTTACAGGAGCAAATGAAAATAATTCTGGAGATGCAAATGGAGAAATAAAATTGTTCATAGCGGTATTTGGATTGCCACCCAGCGAGAGGGGTGACAGATTAGATGCAGATGAGTTAAGACCTTGTCTTTTCCTCAATATATTGGATTGTTGTGGAATCATTGAATGATCATTAAGCGTTAAATTTTGATTGTACACATGGTTTTCATCATTAGCAGTGTGATTAGCATTATTGCTATAGCCAGGATTCTTTGGCGAGAATGATGGTGAAGAGAATGCTGAAGAGGCGGCCGATGACATTGGCTGAGCTTCATCAAATGTATTGGCCAGTGGCGAACCATTTGGCGATATGTTCTCGGTTGGAAATGGGTAACTATTGGTGTAATCTTGAGAACGATATAATTCTTCCAATTGTAGTTGGACATGGTAGTTTTGTAATGCATCCAATATTCTTTTCGAAGTTGGAATACCATTCTGTTGTTCACGTCCAGAGAAACGCTTGGAATTACCGGCTGGCATCTTACTAGAAATGTATTTGAATTTGAAGCTTGAAGGCAACGAATCGATGTTGACCACTAAAGATAGTAGCTCTTTGCAGATGTTAACCATGTTATCATCGTTGACATTCATTTGCAGATCTTCCCATTGATTCAAATTGTAAAAGTTCAATGACATTGAAACAACGGTAATTGCGGCTAGCGCAATAGAAGACTGATTGTAGTTCAAAGCAAGATTCAAATCGAAGGATGCAAGTTCACAAAGTAAGATGGCGCCAAGCTTGATTTCATTGATATTTAGTTTTTTTGGGAAATCGTTGTCGTTGGCGTCGTTAGTCTTCATGAACAGCAACATGTCAATGAAAGAATCATAAGTAGCAACGTGACACAGAGACCAGTTCAAAGATTTCAGCAAATGTAGTTCCATTTCTTTGAATTGGTTAACTGTGAACTGGTTGCAACACAGACTCTGCAAGACCTTCAAAGTAGCGACTCTGTTTTTGGAGTCCCAGTACTTGGAACTAATCCACAAAGAAGTCAAAGCAATCAGTTGGTAAGTCGAAGACTTGATGACGTATTTCGAAGCGTATCTATCCAAGATATCGAAAGCCAAGAACAAAGTTGAAGTAGATAGGTTCAGTCTTGTGTGGCAGTACATCAAGAAATCAAAGATCAAAGTCCTCATCTTGTGATTGATCTGAGGTTGGGCTTTGAAATTTGCCAGCGACTTAGCCACAGTTGTGGCATGGTTTAGCTCTGACTCCAGAGTGAGCAAATGCGACAACTGATTAGGACTGTATTCCTTGACAGTCAGATGGTGTGTTTCCAATTCTTTTCTGACAAGGTTAGGGTTAGTGGCTTTGATTGTAGCAATGTTCCTTCTAATTTGAGCCAAGTATGGCATGTTCGGTAGACTTGAAGTTTCATAAACGGCATTTCTGATCTGTTTATGAGACATAATTGGAACGGAAGCAAGCAAGCAGAATTTGAATATTCAAAAAAAAAATGATTTGAAATGAGCGGGCAGGGAATATCCTAATATCGAGTTGTCAAGTGAAGACTATTTTTGAGAGCAACAATGTGTCTTGTTTTTAGTATTAAATAAGAATAGAATAAAATAGTAAAGAAGAAAAAAAATATAATAATTCTTTTGTGGTTCTTGAGACAACTAAGTTATTGATTTGATGTTGTTATATTTTTTCTTTTCTTCCTATTGGCGTTTTATTGATTCATGCAAAATTTTGTAGTATATGTGTTTCAAAAATTCTTTATTCTTGTGATCTGTGGTTGATGTCAATGCAGAATATATGCTTTATAAACACCTAAGATTCCTAATCCTGGTAATTTATGGTATTTGCGTTTAGCAGTTGTCAAGATCAGTAATTAGTTGAAATAACTATGATCCAATTGTAGTTTGATAACGAAGATCAATTGATAGTTCTTCTTCGAGGTCTTTGAGTTGATCTGATCCGAATATATGAAAGGTGAAATATGAAACTCGAATGTAATATGAACCAAGGAAAGATAATACTTTTGAATATCTAGTTGCTTTCCAATATATATATTATCTTTCCAAAAGGACCTTTTTTTTTTCTTGGTGGATGGGATTTCGATTATCTTGGCTGTATTTCTTCACAATTGATGCACTCTCTCTTTGGTGTGTGAACAAGCCTTGTACCAAAGTTAGAGCAAATAGCACAACGGAAGACAAGAGGTACCTGCTTCACGTAAAGCAGAGCAGTAGCACCACCAAGCGAAGTAGAACAATTTGACCAGGACAAAGAGAGCAAGCCTGGGTGGAAATAGTAGAAAAAAGAACTGAAAAGTGCTGCTTTAGCAGTAGAGATCAAAAGAGATCAGGATATGAGAATTTACAATGTCAAAAAAAAAGGAAAGCATAGTGGGATGCTCGATAATTGCTTTTGTGGATTTGGTGTTTGTTCATAAAATGTCCAATTATCCATGACAATTGTCTCCATCAGTGGCCATAGAGCCTGTGTCGGTGTTTAGCACTTTAGGTCGTCCTCAATGGCCTTGCTATTTTTACTCTATTGGGCAAATAGTGAGTGCAGAGTTGGAGAGCAGGGCTTCTCTTGCATAACTAGGACAATGGGAGGGGGAGGGAAAGATAGAGAGGTTTGAGCAAAAGAAGACGGTGGAGTTGTGGGAACAGGACATACGAGTGCTGGTTGTACCAATCGCACTAGACAAGAATAGATAATTTCTTTTATCAGTATGTAAAACTTTTTTTTTACTGAACGTAGTAAAAAAGAGAGAGAGTAAGAACCTATGTAGGTGAATGTAGGAGGACCTTGGTTGTTAGGGCATGAGATCGATGGAAATATGGAAATCGAAAAGGCTGAGGAACTGCCGTGAATATCCAGTTCTGAGGCATTGCACCGTTGATGGACACTGGAGAGCTCTAGAGAGGAGTGCCATCTCAAAAAGCCTTGCACTAGTGGGTGAAAGACTTCTCAGCCAGAAAAGAGTGGAAAGGCCCCCCCACTCCCAGTATGGTTTCTTTTCTGGGGATCAGAGAGGCAGCACAAACCCTAATATGTCCTTCTAAAGTCCCATTTGTCAAGGAGATAGGGAACACTAAAAGATACCACATGCATTTTATTACTGTTCATGGTAAAAGCAGGCCCTTCTCCAGATTTGTCACGAAGAAAGTACGTTAAAGAAAAAATGTCGAAAAAAATTAAAAAAAGAAACAGGACATATCTTCAAGAGGAGCAGTGCTTTTAGGGTTTCATCCTGTGTAGAGAGCCCATACTTCCAACTGTCAAAATTTACTAGTGAGCAGCTTCTTTCTTTTTGCTACATTTCACATTTACTTTATCAAGGTTCTTTTCTTTTTTCACTTAGTGACCTGCAGTGCAGATACAAAGAAGAAGAAGAAAAAAAGCAACACTATGACATTCTCTATCCTTCAGTTTTTCGTCATTCACTGACAGCTTAAAGAAACCTACGACCATACTGTTCTGATAAGTGAATTTTGCACAACCCAGGCGAGTTTCAACTTGATCCGTATTTAAAACTGCTAGCTTTGCTACCATTACATGTGGGGTGGGGGGGATGAGGAAGAAGGCAGGACAGCTCGGTCCAAAGAGTTCCCTATAACTACTGAAACGGATCCCTTGCTAGTGAGATCCAAAGGGTTGGAATACTGTGGTGGGCTCTTAGGCAATAATTCTACGTATGAAAAAAAAAAAGAGAGGGCTTGTCTTGGCTGTCAGTGAGAGATATGGCATTTGCAAGAGAAACTTCAAATTTGAGATTTTTCCCTTTTAGGAAAAACGTCGAATTTTTACTTTTCTCGGGAAAAAAGCGTAGGTGAAGGATCAATGCTTTGCTGAGCAAGTAGTGTAGTAGTTGAATCTGACCCGATATTCAATATATTATTATTTTGAGGATTTGGTGCTAACCCTAAAAAGCTTCACTGCGTTTTGCACGCTCTAAGTTTAGAGAACAACGAAGTGGACCCAGGTTTGTTGCATCCATCAATGGGCACTGATCAAAACACAAGAGCTGATCTTCACTTTTTAGTATTTTAGCTATAATTCAGGAATATGTAGTTGCTTTCTATGCACTAGCCAATCGACTTTCACTTGATTAAAGGGAGCTTTTCGATTGAGGCTATTTCTCAATCAAATCCAGGTTATCGATATTTACTGATGAAGGATTATCTACAATGAACCCACGGAAAAAGAACTCTCAATTGGCCTCTCAAAACCAAAAGGAGCGCCCACAAGCATTGATGTTTTAGTGGGTGCGCTCACTGTCTCTACAATTGAGCTTCCCCTGTGTCTTCCAGGCCTGCTTCACACTATGTAATATTATCTTGAAGGATACCGGCCCTGCTACAAATCCTAAGTAGAGCGTATCAACTATTACTGACAATCTTGAAATATCAGACACCTGCAAGGGGCAACCAAAGAAAAAGATATTTGGTAGCAATGTCGTAATTTCTTGTGTAGTTGTGTAACAATCGACATCAACTATCGGATACTTCAAATTGTCATTGGAACTTGTCTCTCTCCTTTACCCTTTCCTTCCATTCATGGTAAAAAAACTTAAGGATCTGGGCTGTCGGGTCCCTCTTACAAAGAAATACTGAAGAAAAGTGATCGAAAAAGACAGCTTACCTGAGAGAATCGCGGTAGGGAGAGCTGCAAAAACGAGTGAGAACCAGGAGAGGACATTTGGGCTTGTCAAAAGACTTGACATTTCTCAAGTATCGTTCAAATCATGCCTAATGAAGAGATATAACGATTTATTATTAGCAGCTACTTCCTCCTTACAACAGTTGTGTATAAATCTTTGCCAGATCAAGCAAAAATCCTTGAGTGAAAGACCAAGCAAGATTAGAACATAAAAGAAATTTGAGATTTGAACTTGCTTGTCCTCTTTCCCATATAAAGAAAAACTGTATAAATCTTGAGCAACAACACCTATGAATACCAAGTAGGCTAACAAATACGCAAAAAGAAAAGATGCTAAATTATTCCAATAGAGAATCAAAAAGAGAGTGACTTGTAGGGTGATCAACAATTTACTTGACCGGTATGACTACTTTAGCATCCCTTGAAAATGTTTGTGATAGATAGCTATGTAGATTTTAGTGTTGTCATTGTGACATACACCCTAAAGCTTTCTTAGTAGCTGAATATCCAGCAGGAACATTTCCAAAAACTGAATTAAACAAAGAATAGAGATACGGAACAGCGAATGTATTTATATTACTATTTACAGTTAAAAGCGGTCTAGAAAATAAAAGGAAGTACAGCAACCCAACTTTCTGTCTAAATTCCGTCGGAATCAGAAGAAAATAAGCAGCCAAAAAACGTGGTATACCATAATGCACTTGTACAATAACTATGGCTGTCTCACAAGCAAGAAAATGCTTTATTGGGAAATTAAAATCAGTAATGACCGAACACTTTTTCATACTATATTAACAAGTCAGAAAAGATTACAATCAAATTGCAATAGATCGACCACTAAGATTCAATATCTGACCACTGAAATTATAATGCTCATAGTTAACAATCATTTTGATATAGATCAGTCTTAATTGATACATTAAATCTGGAAGCATCAAATATTTCCCAATTGCAGTAGTATTATTTTCTTATAAAATTTGACAATGTTAGAGGACATAAACTTCACTCCCTATCCTAATATATTGCAAAATATCTGATAAAGTCAGCTGAATCATTACCATAAATATTGGTTTTCTAGATATCCATCATACTTAATGGAGTCACTAACAAAACAAGAGTAAAATGTGTTTCACGAAGGCTAGTTATCACAATCTATCTTAATTTTTTGTTTTTCTTAAGAATCAAAATAAATCAATTGTAAATAAAAGAACAGAACGATTTGTAGGAGTGGAATTTTAGCGCAAATGTTTCGATTTACCATCTCATCTGGGCCTCACTTCTTAGAGAAATATTCGTCCATTATCGGAGAGGTATACCTAATGAATCTATCGCGGCAGTTCTCATAACTATCTAAGGCTGGTCTGACATCAACATTAAATGTTGGAAGCCCATTAGCATCATCAGGTCCCCCATAAAAGTCCAACACATACCGGACTTCTTTCTTACCTTCAGGATTGCTTCGTAAAACTACCCAATCATGTCTGTCAAATGGAAGTTCTCCATGATAAGTCTCAGGGAATAGTTTTCCCATTAGATAATTCCAACGAGCTCTAGGAGATAACTTGTCCGGTCTTCCTGTGAATTTTAGTAGTTTAGGTTCAATTTTGCTCTTTTCAGTATAGGGTTTCTCCCAATCAAGTATTTCTTGCCAACATCCTTCATTTAAAAAGTTATGGACATTAACCATCGATTCAACAGCATCCTCTGGTATCTCTTCTCCAGTGTTTGGGTCAATCTTACCCTTCCGAATCATAGCATTATACATTTGTTGCGGAGAAGGGTATTCCCAAAACTCGTTACTTGAACCTTTTGGTATACTAGACACGGTTCTCTCCTTTGGTAAAATAGTCTTTTGTCCGTGTTGACTGGTCTGAGATAATTCTGGCATGTTATTCAAGGGGTTGAAAGGTGACTTTTCAACGTCAACCTTTGACTTTCCGGCCATAACAGGACATCTACCTACATCACTCTCATCGGCGACCGATCCTGATTTCTTATTGATGGAAGGAATGTCCTGAAATGAAGCAATATCATTTGAGCGTTTATCAGCCCAAAACCACCCCATTGCCAATAATATGATAATGTGCTCTTCACGAAAGTCGTTAAATTTAAACTTCTCAGAAATAATCAAGAGACAAGCAGTTTAATCCTTGATTGAGAAAGTCTGCTGGATGAAATAATTCGCGTTTATAGCTTTTTTGCTATCGAAACCACTTTCAAGAACCCTAACTGCTTCTGAAATTAATAATAGGTTATGTAATATCAGTGCGAATAACCTTCTTGTTCTCGACCAAAAGGGATCTGCAAAAATAGATTCTTGTTTTATTCAACTAATTGTTTGAAGAGCAATGTGGAGGAATGCTAATCGTTTCAAAACGTCCAAATGCAATTTGCTATTATCAGGCTGCTGATTTATCGATTTTTGGACAGGTACAAATCTATATTAAGATCAAAACTATTGCACCCTTAGTACTTCTTTGAAAATCCGATAAAATCAGAGTTTCAATTATCAATAGACGGAGGTTTTAGAAAATGATAGCCTTAAGCTTTCCACGTTCTAAACAGTCTGATCAAACCGCAACTCAAAAACAATAGTTGATCTTTGAGTTTCTAAAACAAAATTAAAAATAATTCAGTTATAGGTGATATTTTCACACAAGGACTATTTGTCGTTCACTGTAGTTGTAGTTGCTTACCCTTTGAGTAAATATAACTTAGCTGCTCCGAAATCACAAAGATACTTCTCCCTGGTTTGTTTGTAATTCAGAGTGAAACCAAAGCCACTAACACTGGACCTTTATTTTACCAACTAAATGCTATCAACAGCCTCTATCGGTGCACCAGTGTGATCGATAACTCCAACTACTCAACGATTTACCTCGAGCAAGTCTTCCTAGCTTGCCACTTTTTGCAAAAATTTTCCTTGCCGAGTCTTATCAAAATGCGAGATGAGTTTCGGACGGCCTCGCTATCAAAACTTTGGAACAAAAAGTAAGGGGTTTTGCTTAGAAGGTTCCCTACAAGGTAGGCTATGAAACCAACTTGCACCGATAAAATTGTTAATGATAAGATAGGGAGCTCCTGAACTGACGTAATTATGGCACTCATCTATATAATGTGTTTGAAACACATACTATTATGGTCTACCATGTGATTATAAGAATATATTTAGTTTGCATTGCTAGAAAACACTCGAGTAGAGCTTTAAACTACCAAACGTTCACGTTTAAGTTAGTTTTTCTCATGGCGGAATCTGAACTAAGAATCGTATAAGAGTTGGCTATTGTACGCATTTTAGAACTACTTTATTCCTTGTTAGAAAACAACACCAAATGTCGCTTAAAAATTTGAAACCATACGCAAGTCTTTCGTCATCTGTACATACATGACCCATTAGCGTCATGACTAATGTAAATCATAGTATAGTCTTACGGAGGCTTAGTTTATACACAAAACTAACTCATAGGACAAAGAAACCATACATCCACATTAAAGTAGAAATACCCTAATTGATTGAAGTAATTGTTTATCTCTATATTGCTTACTAGGAAAAAAAAAATACTTGAGCAAATCCAAGAATCACGGATTACTTAACCAATGGAAATTCATATCATCCTGGAAGAATTGATTTGATAGTTCTTGGTTTTAAAGTTGGAGTTACATGTCGATAATAAAAATCTGCTTTAGACCACAGTTTATAATGGTCTGTTGGACTTTTTGCAGTATCTGTAATGATGACAAAATGAGCAAGGTCTTAAAATCCGATTGTCCAATGTCCGAAAAATCAGGGACCCTAATTGAAGTCCTGAATTGTATACTTACTCTTTTAGCCTGTTTCCCTTTTATGTTTCAATTTTGGCGTCAGTCGAATTCTCTATGCTATAGTCCCTCCTGACATACCAAATGCTTTTGGCGTCATGCACTACCATCCCTTCTCCTTTTAACATCATACAACCTTTCTCAATACCCTTTTTAGTAAAAATAAAAAAAATCGATCAGTTTCCATCCGTTACTCTGCCAATCACAACCAATAAGAATTCTAGTTTCTCCTAAGAAAAGCAAATCATTCTCGCTTTTATCATCACTAACTCCAATTTCCATTAGCAGATGGGAAGCCTTTAAGGGTCCTCCCTTCTCCTTCTATCGCGGGGTTCCTGAAATTGAATTTTTTTTTTAAAGTCTGACGATTGACTCTCCATTAAAACTGGGGTAGAGGAGAATAAAATTTCCTCGTTCGGCAATGTCTGTGCAGAAAGCATATGAGATAATCGGTAGTCATCATGATTTACATAAAAAATTGGATTTTGTACATCCCATTTATTCTCTGCTTTGTTTTTCATGAACTTTCCTTTTTATGGTAAGCATGAAAAATGTCTAAATTTGTCCGATTTTTAGTCCGATTTCTTCTTAGTAAATGTCCCTACACACGTTATTTATCTTCTCAGATTGCGTTAGAACGTGGAGTAGCTAGGGTCTGCGCTTTTTCAACGGAGGTTGACAATGGGTTGCTGTATTCTTTGTGCATTTTAACAGAAAATACCGTAGAGGACGGGACATCAAGAGTGAAAAAGGATCCGCAGGACGCAAACGAGATCTAAACTTTTATTTCTTTCTTTGGTTCTATGCTTCCCCTTTAGGACAAATTAAAATGGGTTGTCCCCGTAGTATGCTGTAAAAATAGTTTGACCAATAAAAGGCCTGAAACCATGGAACCCAGACCGGCTACTACCACATTGAATGTATTCGGTGTACCTTACCCGATGGTATGTCTGAGTAATCCTTGTCAAGAATGAGAATTAGCATAGGCATACTACGATAATAGTGAATAAGGGTCCATTCCGAGATATTTTATGTTTTTTATCTGAAACTCAAAATCCGGTCATGCGGAGAAGAGCAAAACCATATTAAGGTGAAATAATCACATGGCATGAAGATTTACGAGTGCGGTCGAGGATATATGCTGGCATAACATACTCGTCACCATTACGACTGCTAACGTCTTCCGTATAAGTGCCTTGCAAATCGTTACATGCTGAAACACTTGGGTACAAAGCGGATACAACCACTGTTTACATTCAGGAACTTTACAAACCGAGCTGGTACAACAAACAACTAAGGGAAAGTGTATGTAGAGGTTCCAATACTGCAATAGGATTTTATCCATTTTCGGGATATAGATTGTTAATAGAGGCTACTTAGTACACAATCATTGCACTAATCGTCGATATACATGCGACATTTTAGGTTGTTGAAGACAAAACAAGTTTATACTACAAATGGTAATCACCTTATGGATGGTTTACCACAAAGAATTGAGTACCTGAGTCAAACATTTTCATTACTTCAAAGGGAAATCCCGACTCATGTTCCCCACCTTAACAGCTTATTAATTGGTATGAACATACACAACACAACTCTCAAAAGAAGAAATCTATGCCGTTAACCAAAAAAGGTAAAAAAGACACACTGAAGGTATTTCCAGTGAGCGGTATGGTATGGATGTTTGTGTGTCTCGTCTGTTACAACGCACAACACAGAAAAAGTAAGCCCACTCTCCAAGGTGATACCACTTGCAAAATCGTTAAGGTTACAACCGAGAGATACGCTATGTTTGAACGCTGGGCTGTGCTGCCTCTCTCTAGAATTAGTATAGAGAGGCATTGTGAGGTACCTGGTTCCTCAAATCCATAAAAAAGATCAGACCATGAAAAAGAAACTTTCATCCCATGTCTGATAAATGTCCCACAACAATATGGACAAGGACATGCAGATGTCCTTATCAAGGATAAGAAAAAAAAATCCTTTTTAGGGTTAGGATTTGCAAATGATCATAGTGATGTTATTGGAGTACTGACACACTTTGAAAAACAATTTTGAAAATTAGGGTTTGGATGGAAGGAAGAAAATCGTCTTCGGGAAGGGAGAATATTTTGACGAAGACTGGATCACGGTATCAAGCACCCGAAGGTGACATGAATATTTTGCACGATGGTATCACGCCATAATATCACTATTCACCCAAAAAACCACTTGAAATCACCACACACGCTAAATCGTATGCCCACTCTCGTGCAAAGACATAACACTCATAACATCTGCCATCCCCAACACGTATGCGGGTAACCATGTGTGCAACCCCCATCAGAATCACCGAAAAGAAAATTGAAGATATGAGTTTCGGCCAAAACCCACACACCACCAGATTCCACTATTTCTGCCTCTCTTTTCCCTTCCATTAAAAACATTGCTTTTTTTTTTCCCTCTTCCTTGAAAAGAGCCTTCCCACTTAGAATCTCTGCCCCATTTCTCGTTCCCTTTGTTCTCTCTCCCCGTAGAGGAAGGGTCCTGGGATTCCACTATTTCCTGTCCTGCAACACTTCTTGTGATGCTCACAGGCTCCTTTCCCTTGCCCCCCCCCAGCTATTTCTAACCACCACGAAAACTGCACACAGACACCACATAACACTTGCAAATGACGTAATTATTATCTACGCCCTCGCCCACACTAAGGGAGATAATGGAGCCCACCTGCACTAGGGTCCTCGAATTGGCCCACACAATGCACAAGATACTTTACAGTCCCCCCCCACTCCTCCAGCACTTTCACTAACTATGAAGGGCATCTCTTAGCAGCTCTTTAACCATTCGAAATATTTTTCACAGCTCGTATTGACTATGATTTGATTTGATTTTGTGCTTGAACTTTGAACTTTGAACTTTGAAATTTGAATTTGAACTTTTGGCTACCACAACAAGGGTTCTTGAACTGGAATGTTAACTGACCTACAATGAATTGAGCTTTGATCTTCTTTATGGGTACTCTCATGATGAAATTAGTTGAATGGGGGGGGGCCTTCCTTTCTTTTTTTTTCATAGAACCCATGAGAAGATAACTTTCTGAAGCTTCTCAACAATGAAGTGAAAAATTTAAGAAAAAAAAATTTTTCTTTCCTTCAATTGTAATTCAAAGCTCTATATTTAAAGCCAAACCAATTGGGTTCTTTTCTTACCTTTCCTATCTCTTGTACACGTTTTTTTTTTGTAGATATTGGTTTCCTTTTCTTA